GGGCTAAAGAGGGGATGAAGAGTAACTCACATCGTTCCCAAAGCACATAACTACTCACAATCGCCACCGGCAACGCAACCATAATCGTAGTCCACCGCCTCGATAACGATCTGTATTTCGGGTCTTTCTGGAGCTCCTGGATCGGCAATTCAGAAGGTCGTTTTGGTTGCGGTGTCGGCGGCGGAGGGCGGGAAGGAGGTAACGATACTCCTCCCGCTCCAAAACCGCCTGCTCCAGCACCAATACCGGCTCCGGCGTCTGCTCTCTTCGGGAAAGACGGCCCACTAGATGTGCTGGTGGTGCTGCTGCCAGCCTGATGCGGAGATGGTGGAGGTTGTTGTTGTCGCTGTATATTGGTGGTATTGATCCCACGTGCAGCGAGGGCGGTCACCGTCGATGCGGGGAGTACATAGCGCGGTCGTGCCGGTCGTGACCACCATGATTGGGGCATGGCGAGGGGCATTGATGCTGATGGGATGTAGACTGTTGGAGCGATGGCGGGAGGTTGACGCTGTGTTTCGTCAGGGGTGAAGGGTCCTTGAGTGGAGAGGGCGGCTTGTTCGACGAGGACAAGCGGCTCTGCTTCCAGAGCGAGTTTTGACGTTGGTGCTGCTGCTGCTGTTGGTGGTGGTGCTGATACCGCGGCTTCCACTAACTGTACCAATTCTTCCAGGGTAACTTTCGATTTTACCTGTGCTTCGGGTCCTTTTTCGTTTTGGGTTGCAGATAGAGCTATAGTCTCAGTCGACTTCTGGTTCTGCTTCTCCTGCTGGGGCTCTTGCTCAGCCGCCACCGTTGTTGGTGTTGGTATTGGAGTTGCTGCAGCTGTCACTGTTGGTGTCTCTATGGGTATGGCTCTTACTGCTGCCACAGACTCAGTTTCGCTTGAGATTAGAACCTCGACCTCCTGTACAGATGCCGGCTTTCCTGTCTGTGGCTGCAAGCCTTGCTGTCCCGTAGCGTACTCGACTTCACGATGCCCGACAAATTCAAACAGACTACGATGCAGATCGTCAGAAAGCTCGCTGAACGCTTTAGCCTGTTGCAGAATTTTCGAGAGGCGTGTTTGATCTTGATCTTGACCTTGACCGTCAGAAAGTTGAATTGGGATAGAAGACTCCTTTGTCTCGACAGCACTCGCCGCTGTTCTCGTCCTTTGCACCACTGTGGGCGTAGTGATCGTCGCAGAACGTGCTGCTGTTTCCGTAGTTGCAGACTCTTTCTCAGCCGGCAATTTCTGTGCTTTAGCAGTAGAGTTCTTGGCTTCTGCTATCAGACCTTCCACCTTCTCTGTTGTGGTAGTCTTTGGTGCAGACTCAGGATTTGCCGTAGATGTTACAGTATTTCCTGCAGTATCAGATTTGGCAGCAGTCGAAGAGGTCGGCTCTGACGTTGGACCTGCACTTGAAGTTGAGCTTTTCACATTCCTCTTCCTGGTCGGACTTGCAGCCGGTGTCGATGCCGTCACTTTCTTATTCTCTGCCAGTACTTTCGTTTTTTTCGCAGCTGTTGACGACGTCGTTATTGCAGCCTTGGATGTTGATTTCTTGGCCAGTGACGAAGAAGCCGCGGCTTTTCCTCGCGTTCCTGTTTTGGGCTCTTCGTCGGCTGTTGTTGCCTCCCCCAAACCCCGAATACTACCGTAGACCTCATCGTCCACCGCGACTTTCTTGGGGCGACCTCTTTTCTTGAGCGTCACAGCTTCTGCCATTTTTGCGTTGTTGTAAATGATTGCTTCGTGCTATACAAAAGGACAACAAACTGTGGAAGTGCAGAATGTACGTACTATACGCGTCTCCCACCTGGGTACGGATAGATGTGTGCAATGGCGCGTCCAGTTTAAATTGAATCACACGCTTGTAAAGGTTAGACCTAAACATACGGGGGTCGGTTTGTGGGGCATTGCAGGGCCAGTGTCCCTGTCATCGTGTCAATGTTTCAAACCACCACAGATTTTCAAAACACTTGCCATGGCCACGGTGTCATCGTCATCAGGGTCTAAGGTACGGCAGTTTCTCTGGGTGATGGATGATCGCGTCTGTCATGAACGACATGAACGACACAAGCATCATTCATTGAAGCATGAACAACCCTTCGACCATATCTCACTGAACCGACTCGGCATTTCGAAATGGTGGACGATAAGTAGTTTTGCAATGATTGAACATGAATGCTATGCCTATTATACACAGAATGAAACCTATTTTCCTCGCTATGCATAAACGGAACATGATATGCTTCGCGCCCCCAAGAAATTCCCATGCATAATCCGCTCACAATGAGAGACAAGCACTCGATCCCTCTTCAGGACCCGTGCCTCGATGAAACAAGAAAGCGTGGGTACTCACAGTCCTTCGTCGTGTTCCCCCAACGTGAGTCCGTCCGAAACCAGATTTCTATCCTCCTCGCTCAAGTCCTATACTCTCAAGAGATGTTTCCCGCTCGAGCTCGTTCGCCGACATCCATTACCATCTCTCTCGATCTTCTCGTTTGCTTTCCATTCGCATTCCTCTTCTCCGCCATATTGATAATCGTTCCCGGCCCTGGTGACTCTCCTCGTAATCCTCTTGGATCAACTCGAAAACGAGAGCTCTTCGGTCTGCTAGGCGATGATACGCGTCGGTACTGCGTCCCAGCGACATCTGCTTGACCAGCTAGACCATCAGTAGGTGGACTTCCATGTCCATGCGACACGTTCGAGCCGCCATTGATATTTGCCATCTCTGCCATCTCCCTCTGTCGAGAGCTGCCAGCCGTCTGACCATGAGAATATCCCAGTGGGAGCATGAGCATGCCAAAGCCAGATGGAGTGTCCGATTGTCGCCGTACAGGCGCTGGATGCTGCTCATGAGACATACGACGGTCCCTCTCTTCTGAAGGGACGTATGAATCCAGATACATTCTTTCTTCAGCAGCTTCATGTTCCAGAATCAAGGCCTGGATCTCGTCGAAAGTCATATTAAAACTCCATTGGATCCCCTTGGCCGCCGCTCGCTTCCGGATCGTTGTCAATTTCTCGTGATCCTGGCGAATGCGTTCTTCATACGAGTTTCGTGCAGGAATTGGCGTGGACGATGTCGAAGGTGGGTACATCATCGTGTTCGTTGAATATCTTAGTTCAGGCGCCCTCATCTGAGGAGCGGAGAAGCTTGACTCCCGGCGCACAGATGGGCCGGCAGACAGGGAGTTCCGGTCTCTGCTTGTGTTCTCGGTGGGAGGTGCAGCATAGAGTAGAGATAATCGTTCTGCGTCCGAAGCCCGAAGGATGGTGTTGACCGGTGTCGAAAGCAATTCGGCTTCTGGTGTAGCTTGGTGGCGGGACTCAGTCAGATCAATGGGCTCATACCTTGCACTGCCCGCCACAGTATTCGGTAATAGTGCTCGGGCAAGCTCTTCTGAGTCTATTGGAGCAACAGCAGGTGGTTGCATTTTGTTGCACTCACACCATTGTCCCGTATAAGCGCGCCAATCATAGATACTTCCTGGAATGATTTCGACGTCTTCATCTTCTGTGTCGGGCATCTGCCGCGCTATCTCCGCAAAGGCAAGGAGACGGGATGAAGGCGCAAGGCAAGACAGGTTGCAGATGTTCTTTAGGTCGATGATAGGGCCACTGGTCGCTATGCGCGCCGGAGGAACAATGCGTGTCTCATCTCTAGAGGGCTCGTTGACCCTCACTCTGCGTTGAGACTTTCTCCTCGATGAAGAAGGCTGAAGCTTCTCGACGACCGGGCTCTGACTTGGATCGTTGAGTTCAGATAGTCGCTTGGATTTCAGAACCACCATCTTGGATTTCTTGGGTGTTTCATCATTCTCGACCTCATCGTCGACCATCGTAACATCCTCCTCTGTGGCAGAGCTCAACGAGTAGCGAAGCTTGGAGGGAACCCTGGCTCCAGAATGTGAGATTCTAGCAGACTTTCGAGGGCGGACATCTTCCTCTTCGGTAGCTGGACGCTTTTGAGCCGTTGAAGATATCTCCAGTACTTTTGCCGTAGGCTTTCTCTCTCGTCGGGAGGTTCTCCGTGAAGGTGATTCAATAGTAGTGAGCAAAGTCTCATCATTTTCTATCGGAGTTTCGGAAGGCGTAATGGTGCCATTGACTTTAGTTGTTGCGGGCGTTTCTGGAATCTCTGGAGCTGGTGGAGTTTTTTGGCTGGACTCAATTGGCTGCCCGGCTGCTGTTGTAGGCTGCTCAGGTACAGGTGAGTCTGCCTTTTGTGAAGACGAGCCAATAACGATAGTATCTGAAAGTGGCGGAGAGTAAGATCTCGACCCATTTAGTGCTTGAGCTTTGGCAGTCGGCTTCCGTACGCGGCCGGAAGATCGTCGACTCTCATGTTCTGCATTCGATTGAGAGTTACGACGGGCTGTGGATTTTGGTACCGTTGCTGACGATGCTCTGTCCCGAAGCGTGCGATAGGTGTATTCATCGACATCAGTCATATCGATCGTGGACGTTGACGGACCTTGGACAGCCGGTTTCCAGATGCGGCTGTTCAACGATCTACGGGCGTCATCTTCCATACGCGATACCAGACCATGGCGAGCGACAGTGTTTGGTGACGACGCGTTGGCGTTGTCCCGAATTGATTGGTAGGAGTACCCATCAATATCATACATGTCAGGCATGGACGGCGATGGCGTCGGCGAAGGCTCCTTAGCAGTCGATCTCCGCACACGACCGGAGGATCGTCGGTTGCCATTTTCTGTGTTGAGCTTAGAATCACGGTGGGTGGTAGCCTTTGATTTCATTGTTGCAGCCGTGTCCCGAATCGAGCGGTAAGCGTGATCATCAAGGTCAGCCCAATCAGTGACGGAGGCTGACGGGTCGTTGGAGTTGAAGCTATCACCATTCGAAAATGTAGGGCTTGGTTCGTTTGAGCTATTTGATGAGGCAGAAGCCTTGTTGTCCGCGCGATCAGTGAAGAGGCGCAAAGGCGTTGCCGAAAGCCGTGCAGATTGGCGAAGGGACATTGCCGTTTGACCAACGACAAACCCTCGCCCCAGAGTTCCTGTTGCTTGCTGGACCTCGATCGTATGTAGACGGATCAGATGATGGCTTTGACTTGAGCGTAAATGACCAAAGCAAGAGCTGCCAGCTTTTGAACAAAAGAGCAAGGCGGTTAATTTGAAGGTGTTGTAATGAAACTAGAAACCCGCAAATGTCAAGGTGGGCATTTCCTTCCCAAAAGGGATTAGTCTTTCAGCTGCCACGAAAAGCCAACAAGGCCATACTTAGTTATTACTCTCAGTCAAACAAGAATGATGACTTTCACCTTGTCGCCACCCTCTTGGATACTCGTCTTTGTCATCTGCAAGACTTCTTACTACTTATCAGCCTTCTGTTTGACACAGAGGAGGTCTCCTCAGCTACGCCAATAGCTGTATTTGGAGACAGCATCCACCGGAGATTGGTGACCGCCTCGGTGGGTTTAGGGGACTGGTTTCAGTGTTGCACCACTAATTGCCAGCCTCGACTCGAATGACTATCATCAATAGACGCAAGCATTGTTCCTATTTGCTACCCAGTTCCTCCCGTGGTGGCAGAATACTGCTCTTACTAGTATCACCGCCTCCTCTGCATTCGCGAGAATGTACTTTAGGTCTTTGCCACCCAGCTCGATGCCGTGAAGAGATCTATAAGCTACTGTTTGTGATGCTGGGCTGTTCAGTACGCTATTGTATATCGTATCTCGGGAACCAAAGGCAAGTCGGCAGTCCTAAGAACCTTTGTCTCGTCCACCTTGCATCACTTAGTATACATGCCTTGCAACACAATACCTCAGGTCTTTGCGTGAGAGACCATTGGTCCTCTTCACAATGTTCCCAACGTCGACCCAGTATCTACATCTATCGCGTATTCGTTCATGGAGTCCCAGCCACTCATACAATGAAGTGACATTCAATGTCATGACCATGGGCATACTTACGCTTTATAGAGCACACTTCACGATGGACAGACTGGTACAGACACCATCTGTCCAGCTCAATCGTGCCCATTGCTACACTTCCAAAGCAACAGGCCCTCTCTAGCCAGGTAATTCCCCCCTCAAATCCTCCAACCTCTGTCTCTGTCTCCCATCCAAATCGAAATTCCCGTCGTCCAACCACATCTCAAATGCATTCTTGACAACAGGCCAGTCTGAATCAATCACCGAAAACCAAGCTGTATCCCTCGACCGACCTTTGTATATCATATGCTGTCTAAATATCCCTTCAAAAGTGAAGCCCAGACGCAGTGCCGCTCGTTTAGATGGGAGATTGAAGTTGTCGCATTTCCACTCATACCTGCGATATCCGAGATCATTGAATACATGCTTTGCCATGAGATACATGGCCTCTGTTGCGGCCACTGTCCGCTGTAGTGAAGGTGAATACAAGATATTGCCGACCTCGATGACACGGTTCTTGGTGTCGATGCGCATCAGCGCGGCCCATCCCATGGGGCTATGGGTCTTATTGTCGACGATTGCGAAGAAAACAGGATCCTTTGATTCTGACTTTGTAGTGACGGCCTCGCGGAAGGCTTCTAGGGATGTGTAGGGCTCGTCGCTCAAGTATGTGTAGACGTGGCGCTTGTCGTCACCTTCAACAGCAGCGTATAGATCAACAGCGTGTTCCGGAGTCAAAGGTTTGAGTGTCACCGTCTTCCCAGTGAGGGTGACTGGCTCTGGGCGAGGTGCCGGAGTTGTAGACACTGGTGCACCAATGTTTTGGTGCCATTCAGCTGGATGATCATTGGCAAGATGTTCGTTCAGCGTAAACGTAGCAATGTAACTCACTCTGATGGCCTTTGAGGCTGGAGTTTGCATTGTCGGCCATTGTTCTTTTGTGTACAGAACAGGGCGTCCTTATCTTCTGTGCTCCTACGTATCCCGTGCTTAGTGCAGAGAGCCTGATCAGTGGCCGGGGCGGCATCCAGTTTTTGAAGAAGCAGACCGTGCTGAGTAGCACTGATGTTCAGGGTGAGGGTGTGATCGATCCGAAAAGAGAACGCGGACAAGTATGGTATGTGAGTCACTTCTGAGGGCAGAAGCTATGTACATGTAGTCATTATTTGGGAAGTAAGTTGAAACTGTCAAGATACGTGCTGGGGCGGCGTCTACAGTGATTTTAGGTGCTTCTAGCGGTGGGGTCGCGGGAGCCGCCGCCTATGAAGCCGTCCGGGATGAGGCAGACAAGGCTCCCTAGGCTAAGTTAATCAGCCACATCGAGCCCAAGCCCATGCCACCGTGCGTCATAAGCGAAAGTTACAGGCCCAGCCTACATATTTCTGATCGACGTAAGAGGCATCGTTAGACACGGAAGATGCAATTGCACCTTCCAAATGATGCTTTCGATCTTCCATCTGTCGGAGAAGACGGACTTGCCCTTCAAAGGGCCATCTGTGCTGCGGTACCGTATGGCTTTCGCCTGGGCTTTATTCTGCGTGGCCCCGCCCAAACTCCCTTCACCACAAGCTTGGGCGAAGCCGCCGTACAACTCACCGAACATCTTAGACAATTCTGCAAGTGATTCAGCAAGCCAAATAATACCTTACCTGGGCCAGCGGCATAGATATGAACCATGCACGCATCCACAGGAACCCATGATCCATGATCCACGATGATGGTCGACTTCAGCTCAACTCGCTTCGAGAGGCAAAAACTCACCTGAGCCAAATCAAAGGGCAGACTGTAATCGAGCTGGTTCAGGGCATGCCAGAAATCAAGGCAATGCTTGTAGAAGTACAAATCAGTGCTGTTGATAACGGTGCGTAGCTCACCGACATTGACAGATACCAATAATACCATTACCACCCACCATATAGGCGTGGGTTATGCTGTTGTTATCGGTGCGTGAGCTCACCGCAAACCAGTTTGCCCAAAGGCTGACTGGAATGACTAAGTGGACTATATGACAAGACTTTGCTGGTTTTTGTGACGGTGCGGAAGCTCACCGTATGTCCAACGTACACAGAAGTGTACATATGTGCATTTAAAAATCAGTGTCCAGAATGATCGAGTGCTGTTGTTAACGGTGCTTTAAGCATCACCGAGCCACATATCAAGAACGTATGGCTTGTCGAATGATGGAGTGCTGTTGTTAACGGTGCTTAAGCATCACCGAGGGACTTGATCCCCGTGATTGGATGAAGATGGGTGCTCCAGTGGTTGTCGAGCACTCCTCAAAGTGGCTGTTGAAAGTGAGGTCTTGACTGTCGCCGTCGTAGTCTCGAACCGTTGACCGGATGAAACGCATGTTAAAATGCGAGTCAGACTAGTTGCATACTCAGCAGCAGTGTATGCACCCTTAAGCCATGGATGATGGTTCAATCGACTCCTTCCTCAAGCCCGTGATGGTCTCGCGATGTTCTTTGGAGAGTTGCTTCTTTTTGACGAAGAGGCTGGCTATGATCCCAAGAGCTCCAAGGGCTGTCATCATGATCCACATGTTCCGAATACTCCACGCAAATGCGTCTTTGACGGCGAGGTCCTGTGCGTGCGAAAGAGTGCGGCCAACATCAACGTTTGCGCCGGCATTCTTCCCGGAAAGTTCTTCCAGCACAGATGCTGGCAAGCCAGCCTTGGCCAAGTTGGTTCTTTGAAGGTCCATGCTCTGCTGGAAGACAATGCCACCAACGATGACGCTCAATGACAGAGCCAAGGCTCGAATGAAGCTCTGAGTCGAAGTAGCTGTCCCGACGTCGTCTTGTTCGACACCTTGTTGAATTGCAATAAGGGGCGGCTCGAACATGAGCCCTGAGCCTATTCCTGCAATAATTTCAAAGCCCAAGATCATCCCAATGGATGATTTGGCGTCCAGCATGATATAGAGACCAGTGCCTAATGTCAAGCAGATTGACCCAAGCCACAGTGACCCTCTATACTTTCCTGTACGGTGGATGAAGACTCCGTTCAGCACACCTGTCCCGGCGGTCGCTACAATCAATGGCGCGAGGAGATAGCCGGACTTCAACGGGGCGGCTTCTTTGACGCTTTGGAAGTAGAGGGGCAGGTAGTATTCGCCAGCCATAAAAACCTGCAATGGGGTCAGTCATGTTACTGCGCCCACGAGGGAGCTACATACCATTCCGTGAAAAAAGGTGACCATAAGCGTGGCAACGTTTCTCGTACCGAACAACGACAACGGTATGACTGGATACTTGGCCAGTTTCTTCTCACTGTAGATGAACACGAAGAGCAGCACAGAACCAAACACGATGAGACAGACGACTTTCGCGGATCCCCAAGGATAGACAGCACCACCAAGGTCGAGACCGAGCAGCAGCATGACGGTAACTCCCAGTATTGAAATGCAGCCAAACCAGTCGATGGCTTTGATGCCATCCATGGCAGGTGTTTTAGGATTGTGGACGTCCAGGAAAAGGACAATGAGTAGGAAGGAGGTGCCAGAGATGGGAAGGTTACACCAGAAGCACCATCGCCAGGTAGCGGCCTGGGCAAAGGCGCCTCCCAGCAAAGGTCCGACTGCTCCACTCAGAGCCCAGACCCCCTCGCAGAGACCGAGCCACAAGCTCCGTTCGCGAACACTGAAGAGGTCTGAGATGCCGACATTGACCAGACAGATCAAGCCTCCTGCTGCTGCACCTTGGAAACTGCGGCCAACAATGAGCATTTGCATATCGACGGCCGCGGCACAAATAATGGAGCTGACGAAGAACAAGACAATAGCCGCAAGGAAGATTGGTTTTCGACCCCAAATGTCGGAGAACTTGACCCAGATCGGTGCGGCGGCAGCATTGGCGATGAGGTAGGAGCCTCCGATCCAGATATAGCCAGCAGCGGAATGAAGATCAGCAGTTATTTTCGGTAGTGCCGTGGCAACGATCGTGGCATCTAGTGCGGCGACGAACAGACAGAGATACAAGGCGATGAGAATCATGGTAATTCGAAGTCTGCTCCGGTGTTTGACTGGTGATTCTGGGTCTGCTGTTGCCGAGGATTTGTCGAACGGGCCATTGTCGATGGGCACATCTTGGGCTGGTTGCGGTGAACTAATGACGCCCAGTTCTTGTCCTGGCAGTTGTTTGCGGTCCATGACTGCCGGTGGATGATTGAGACGCGCTGCGTAGAGCGCAATCTCGACGGGAGAGGTTGTGAAGGATGATGGGAATATGAGAGTGAGGTCGAGAGTCGTGGAAACCGGAGAAGAAAAGCTAGGAGAAGACACACAGAAAGGCACGGTTCAATACGAGATCTTAGTCATGACCACACCTTCCTCAGCTGCTGCCTGGGAGTAGAGTGTAGTAGTAGACAGGGAGATTTGCGTGACAAAGGTGGAGGATCTAGATTGGATTTTTGATTTCTCTCGCAAATGAATAATGGTCATTGATTTTTACTGTGGAGCCATTCAGCTGTGGCCTCCATATTACTCCATGTTGTCCCTTCGTACACAGCTTCGTACAAGGAAGCCATCATGGGGCAATATTTCATTGGAGAAACATCTGTTGATTCACGCATCAAACGGTGACACGATGCAGCAGTGATGGATAGAAGATATATCTGTATATGATGTGCAGGGTGAAACGAATGGCCATAATCCATTGGCAACAACCATACCACTCCATGAGGAGGGTTCAATCGTGGATAAGGCGTCAGAGAGCCCAACTTCTTCTTGATTCAATATTGGAGCATTGTCTCGTAGGATGATACAGATCGAAAAACTGCAACTTCCTTTCAAGCACTGAGATAGCGCTGAGGGCTCCGTGGTAAAGACTGTCAAGACCAGAAATTCACGAATGACCATATGCTGTCAGCAGGGGCACAAAGCATTGGATCACGGGAAATGCATGTTTCGAAATCAGGAGACAAGACGACATAGGAACAAACATTGGTGTTCATAGGTGTTTTGCATCCAAACAAAACGTATAATATGAGAAAGGTGCTCGAGTCGCCCAACAACGTTCGCAACCTGAGGTCTCATAGTTGATGTCAGGTCAATTGTCTTCATCTCCTACCGGTTGATTCTGGCTGCTTTGAATCTGCTGACTTTCCGCCCTGCCGGGTCCTCACTAGCCCTACCCCGTCCTGGCGTGATCATCTCGCCATAATTGTCGTCTTCTCCACCTCCCACGAAACCACCATCTTGAGACTGAATTCGCTTCATCCGATGCATTTGATATTCCCGGGCGATCTCCTGGCGATGAATTTCCTCAGGAAAGTCATCTGGATCCGGTGCATCGGATGCTTTTGGAGACGGCCGCTCAACAAGATTTGCGGCGATGATCCTAGAGGGTGATGTGGTTGAGGCGCGCTGTCCTTGTTCCTGCCCAGAAGATTCAGTCGGAAGCGTCATGGGAGGCGCAAACATGGGCGTTTGAGGCTGGGTATCTCGTGCCGCTTTAAATCGTGACTGCTTCTTCGGTGTGGCTGGGGCCGGTGTTGGAGCTTCTTCCCCGTTGGGAACAATCGTCCTCTCCACGACCGATTCAATGATCGGCCTAGCTTTGGGGATTTGCGACTGTTCCTTTGCCTGAGGCTGTTCCACAGTGGCTGCTGGCTTCCCAGGGGCAATGTCAAGGTCAGCAGAGAAGGCCACCTTCTTCTTCCTGGGTTGGTCGCTCCCCACAACTTCTCCCGCGGTAGTTGGCGTCTTGACAGAGGACTTCAAATTACTCTTGCCGGATCGATTGTGTCGAGCTAAAGCAGCTTTTCTTGCGGCTTCCGCAGCTGGAGGTCGCTCAACTGAATCGCTCTCTTCGATGTTGCTCTCGGATCCGGCTGTAGGACCAAGGTTCTTCAATCCCAGCTTTTCCTGCAATTCCTCCATTCTCTTCCGGTAACCCCGTGGGACACTCAGACGACCGGTGCTCTTTCCTATTTCATCCTCCGAATCGTCCTCGTCAAATTCTTCGTCATGATCCAAGTCAGAGTCAAGTTCGAGCATATCGTCCTGCTCATCATAGGATATATCTGAGCCTTCCTCTTCGAGATCCAGTTCTGCCACAATGGCACCAACTTCATCTACGCCTCTTGAGTATTCGAACATTTCTTGGCGAAGTTGAGCCTCTTCCTGGGTGTCCTCTGCATTGACATGGAGGTCATTTGAAGTAGTGGTGTTATCGGTTTTGGCTGTTTCTGAGGGTTCTAGCTGACCTTCCTCCGCCTCAAAATCACGCCCAGAGGCCACCTTGGTGATTGTGCCGTCTGTTTGCTTCAAATCAGTGACCCCAGCCTTCTTCAGTGCGTCAATCAACTGCGGTGCAGTAGACTCAGGATTTGCCACTTTGCTAGACACGACATTCCCCGAATCATCGAGTTCTTCCGTGATTTCAGCTAATGGCAGACCTGCTTCATCACGATGATCAGGCTCTTCAGCAAGAAGCAATGCATTTCGTTTCCGCTCGGCACCGGAGAGTTGCTTTCGAACAGTTTGTACGTTTCGATCCACGTATTCTATGCGCTTGGACAATAAATCAGCCAGTTGGCTAGGCTGTCGAGGTCGTCCATTGTTGTCTCTAAGCAGGGTCCCTAATTCTTTATCGTCCACCAGCTCAGGCTTCGCCTCTTTGGCGACAGCCAAGCAGTCTTCGACCGAGGCGTCATCGGAAATGCCAGTGAATTCTTCTCTGAGACTTTCGTAGTCTATCTCCAGTGTCTGCCAATGTCGAAGTGAGTTGCGGAGTTTGGCAATATTAGCTTCAAGCTCGACTCTTTGCTGTTCGATGCGTGCAAGTGCGGCGTCATCCATGGTGAGGGCTCCAAGAAGTACTCAGTATAAGCTTGCGCCATTAGCTGCGAGATTCCTGGCCATTGCGAAGAAAAGGAGACAGTGATAAAATGAAATGTTTTGCTTCGTAAAACGCCACTCATCAAAATGCTTTGTCATTTGAACTGGAGCCTTCGTTGCTGCCCTTTGACACATCACAGTTGATTGTCCATCTATCCTGTTACTACACTCCAGCTTCACGGACCCTCAGCAACCATCTGACTCAAGGCGGATGTTTGCTGTCGCTTCACAAAATATGCCATACATCAGGTGAATGCCCTGCTTAGATCAGGTGGCGGGACAGATCCATTCAGCGTCCCTGAAAGACGATTACAGGACTATCACCAAACGCTCATTACTATGGACGACGAGGAGGCAATAGGTATGCTCATTCCGAACGATCTTATCCTTAACCACGCTGATTAAAATGTCTTCAGCTGCGAACAAATGTCCTGTTTGTGGAAGCGACCCTCGCACACACCCAGGACTTCGCTTCAAGATCAACACCAAGTGCTACCACCGAATATGTGAGGGCTGCGTAGATCGAAACTTCTCCAGTGGTAAAGCAGAGTGCCCAGTCGCAGGATGCCATGTTGCACTGTGGAAGCGAGAATGGAGGACTCAAACTTTCGAGGACCTCAAGATCGAACGTGAGGTCGAGATTCGAAAAAGGGTCAACAAGACCCTCGACCGGCAGGAGGACGAGTTCGAAACTAAGCGGGACTATGATGATTTCCTGGAGCTCAGGGAAGAACTTATTATGAACTTGGTCTTCAAGACCGATGTTGCAGCTACAAATCGCAAGCTGCGAGAATATGCCGTGGCGAATGGTATCAAAACAGACACGACCGATGCTGCGAACGAGCCGACAAAGCCTGTCAAACGAAAAGATGTCGCCCCAGATGCCGCCGATCCAAGTGGTCTGATCAAGGGTCTGAAGAAGATTTCCATTCCCAAGGCCAAAGCCCCATACGACCCGTTTATGGGCATGTCACGGACAAGGGACTACTACGAAGTCACAGAGAGCTACGTCGCGCGAGCCAGGGGCAAACCTGCAGAGGCTATGCTTGCAGCAGGTTATGACTTCGGCCAGTACATGGATGAGTGTCTCTTACGGGCATTTGCTGGCCTCGGCGTCTTCATTGAAGATGAGATGGCAACCAAGAATAACACTGCTGTCCCAGTACCAGGGACTGGGGAATTGAAGGCTGCAGATGATGTTTTTTGACGAGCAACGAACACAGTTAGAGATATCATAGTTGCTCGTACATATTCGATTGCTGGCAAGGCTGGCTATGAAGCAGCGCACGTGATGTCACGATCCATGCCAAGATTTCGATTTTCAGGTTCGAACCCACAGGGAAAGAACGACATCGACCAGCGCAGGACGACGACGAGGCCGTTTTGTGTGAACCGTCTAACAATTTCCTCGAATATCGCGCCGCCATGCCAGGACCTTCGAACACACTCCTGATTGAGGGATCGTTCTCTGAACTCGCGGAGGAGCTTGCGCAGTACATCGATGCGCTCGCCAAAACCGAAGAAGGCAGTGGTGTTCAACAAGAAATCGCTCAATTCCTGGGCGACATTCGAGAATCGGAACAATCCCAAGAACCAGTAGACGAGTCTGCTGTTCAAAAGCAGAAAGATGAAGTTCTCAAAAAGATTGTAACAAAAGCACCATATCTCAGTTCCGCTCCCGAACGAGGTACGACTCTACATTCCACGAACAATGTAAATTGTAGACACTGACGAATTTGCAGAGTTCACCGCAGCATACAACCTCCTCATCAACCTCTCACTCAACTCTCCAATTCAAGAGCAAATTTTCTCGAGAATATGCCAATACCTCTCCGAACACCCCATCAGCTCCTCCCCTACCTACGGCCCTTCTCTGGCCCTCCAGACCCTTACTACCGTCTTCAATGTCCTCCCCCCCGCCAGTGAAGGCCGATACCACGTCTTCCTAGCCATCCTCAGAGTCATCAAGTCCGCCACATCCTCAGTAGCCTTCGAGGCATTAATACCACAATTGGAACTCAACATCCCCACCTGGCTATCAGCGTGGCAACTTGATGAGGACGATGCGCGGAATCTGTACATCTCGGTGGCCGACGTTGCCGCAGCCATCGACAATGATGACCTGCAATACAAGTATCTACTTAAAGCACTAGAGACCGTCGCTGCCGACTCTGCATCCGAGACCGAAGCACAAGATTTGGCGAACCGAACCCTACGCGCAGCCCTCATCAACCCCAACGTGACGGACTTCACACCCTTGACAGCGAACGACGCCATCCAAGCCATGCGAAGATCCGACAGCAACCTATTCGACCTCCTCGAGATCTTCTCCTCAGACGACTACTCCTCGTACAAGGACTTCCTAGAGACAAACAGCCTCTCTTCGCTAGGCCTCCCCGAGGAAAGCGCAGAGGTCCTAAGCAACAAGATTCGACTCCTCACACTGGCCACCATCGCCGCATCCTCGCAAACACGCTCAATATCATATTCCACAATTGCATCGGCCCTGCAGATCCCCAGCTCCGACGTAGAAATGTGGGTGATTGACGCCATCCGGGACGGTCTTGTCGAGGGCAAACTAAGCCAGCTGAAGCAAGAATTCCTGGTCCAGCGTGCCACATACCGCGTATTCGGCGAGAAGCAATGGGCCGAAATCCAAGGACGACTGATGGTCTGGCGGCGCAGTCTGGAAAGCGTGCTGAGTGTGGTCAAGGCCGAGAGGGAGCGGTTTGCGCGCGAGGGTCCAGGAACCGGCGAGAATGGCGTCACTGGATATTGGGACAGGGATAACGACGGTCCACAAAGAGGCGGAGACAGGCAGAGACGAGGAGGCGGTGGTCGTGGTAGAGGCGGTCAGCATCGTGATCAAGCCCCGAGAGAGGTTGAGGCCGTTGGCGGTGGAGATTAGTACTCTCCAGCATTATCGGTTATTTCGCTCGAGTAAGAGGTCGTCTTTTCTCAGTCTTTGCCATGATGCATCGAGCGTTCCGAACAGTCTAGATGCAGGAAGCCGGAACACGAAAAGTGAAACGGGGACAAAGGAAAGCGAACTGTGCGCAGGGAAAACCTGACTGCTCTCGAGAGAGGCAGCCCGACGTGATGCATGGGTTGAGAGTTTTTTGAGATGGGACTGGCTTGAGGTCCTCGTTGAGCGACGTCCAATAGCTCATGGCGAATGAGTATGAATACGGCGATGCCAGACATGGGCACAAGCACTCAACCACGTCGAAATGTGCTAAGTAGATGTATCATGGAGAAAAGCGAGTAGAGAGAAGACAAGTTAAATTGATTTACCGTCATGGTAAAAAAGACACGCTTGACGACGACGGCGTGGTCGGCCTCCCCTTACTCAAACAACTCAAAGTCAAATATTCTCTTTATACAAAACTTCCCTCCTTCTGGCAAGCTGCATTCAAGTCTGCATGCTCTGCTGCGCCGGTCGAGGACTGCTCTGCGGCCCAGAAGCATTGCCATTGACATTGCTCTGACTGCTGCTCCGCTGGTCCCTCGGCGTCGCGCTCCGACTCATCTGTCCCTGATTCGCGTGCTGGCTGACAGGCCTGGCCATATTCATCACAGGAGAGTTGTTCATCCCATTAGGAATCGGTCCCATGACCCCTGATTGCATTTGTCCCTGCATGCCTCGTACCGCGTGTTGCTGGGCCTGTTGCATCCTCATTCGCTGATTGTATTGCTGTATTTGTTCGTTAGTCATCATTCCGCCCGCGGCGGCATGGCCAAATTGGGCGGCCGCTGCGTTGCCGGCATTAACGGCGCCAATAGCAGCGTTCAGAGCAGCTTGATTGTGAGGTTGAGGACGTTTCTGAGTATGACCAGCTGCGGCTGCCGTGGCCTGTTGCTGGTACTGGGTAATCTGCTGAGATGCCAGCCGATTGACCTCTTCCTCCGACAGGTTCGGGTGATGTTCGCGAATCTTATTCGCGATCTGCGTCAGAACCGGCACATGACCGCTCGACAACGCTTGACCGGAATTAGCGGTCGTAGGGCGAGGTGAGGCTGAGGCGCCATTCATGTGAGCCGAAGGGGAGCCCACGCCGTTAGCATTGGCCATGGCAGACATGTAAGCAGCATTGTTCATGCCTTTACCTGCAGCAAGCGCCGCATGAGTATTGTTGGGGGAGGAATGAACGCCATTCTGAGCTTGTTGCGCTTGACGCATCAGCTGCTCCTGTTGGACACGACTCGCCTCTTGCAGCATGCGCATCTGGTGCGGCGATGTGGCGTTACCCCGTGCAACCATTTGAGCTTGCATCTGTGCCTGCATCTGCGGGGTCAGACCCTTGGGCGCAACCATACCAGGAGCTAGTTGCATGTTTCCTTGCATGGCCATCATGGCAGGATGACGTTGATGACCATTGGGCACCTGGAGATTCCCGTTGGGGATCCCAGGCATGCCACCAGCGGATGAAGGACCGCGCATGCCAGGTGCCCCTAGAGGCATACCGTTTGGCACACCATTCGGCGGAGGATTCTGACCACGTTGTTGTTGTGCTGTTGCGCGTTGATGGGCAATGAGTTGCTGTCGATATATCTCCTGTCGTTCTGCCAACTTCGCTTCCCGCTCCTGCTTAAGCTGCGAGAATTCCGCGGGAGTTTTGTAGGCCGGTTTGGGCACATTCGCATCATTGACTTTCCGCATCGCGGCAAGGTCGGCTTGGTGTTGTTGTTTCTGAAGCGCAGTCTCCCGCTTCTTGGCAAGCTTGCGCATAGCATCAAGCATGGCCAGATGTCGTTGCGTCCTCTTGCGTTCAACCCGTATTGGCTGAGTCGTCCTTTTGCGGGCAGGAATTTGTACGTTGGCTCCAGCCCTCCGTTGAGCCTCTTCAATCTGTGCAGCGACATGCCTGCCGGCCGCCTCGATTCTGCCAGAGTATGTCTTGAAGTAGGCAGTTTTGGACATATCTGCGGGTAGACCTTCCAATCCGATCCATCTTTCAAAACATTCCCATGGTGTTCTGCGGTCGGCTCCGGATGTGTAGGAACCCCTAGGTGTAAGACAGCTCGAAATGAGTGACCAGTTATAAGAGTAGTCTTTCACAAGCTTGCGTAACTCGTCGTCCTCTGTATGAGTCCATTGCGATGATGATCTGGTCTCAAAGAAAGCTTGCGTAGGCATGGGATGTTCGGAAGGTGGCCGGAAGGAATGTCCGGGGTGAATGCGATCACGAATGTGCTTGTTCTCGGGCATGAACAAGGCAACATTGGTCTCCTCTGGTGGCAGAATGTCTGAAGTTTTCCTGCTTGAGGGCTCGAGTTCGTATTCGTACCGACTTCGCTTGAAAGGAGGCCTATAGTCCTTGACTGGTAGTTTCTCCGTAGCCCACCTGGATACAGGGACGATGGGAGTTTTCCACTGAGCATCTAAGCGTTGCGCTAGATTCGACGTTGAAAGATCCGGCTCGATGATTGATGGTTCGTATAAAGGAAGTTCGTTGAGCAGTTTGTCCAGAGCAGGCGTGTGATCGGCGGCAAAACTGAAGTCGGACGCACCAAGCGAAAACAAAGCCGCCGGAGCAATCGCGGCTCGAACCTCGCGAGGGTCTGCAATATCATCACTCATAGAGTCATCCTCATTTGAAGGCATCAACTCAGGAGTCGGCTGTGAAGAAGCATTTGGTCCGGCTGCATCATCCATGTCAACGTCCTGTGACTCGTCGAGCTTGGGGAGTAATCTTGGGGCCCGAATGCGGACCTGTAAGCTTGCTCTTTCCTTTGGAGAGCTTGCAACCCACTCTGCACAGGATTCCGCCAGGTCTCTCGCTGCGGCGAGCTTCCATTTGCGTTCCTCCCTGAAGTCTGTCCGCATCCATTTCATATGGTCGAGCACAAAGTCCCAGTGCGACGTCGGTCTGGGTGCTTCATCAGCACGTTTGTACTGTCTCAATGCCCAACGTTGCTTCTCTTGAAGCTGATATAGTCGCTTCAATATCCTGCATTCGGCTGCCAACTCATATTCAACAAGATGATCCGACGTCGATAATGTTTTGTGAGCATTTTGAATAAGGTATGTCATAGACGTCTGCCTTGACATCGAATGTGCCTTGTTCTCGAAGAGAGTGTATAAGTAATCTCTCTCGCCATTGCTCGCTTTCTGAACCTGGCGGTTGTCGATCCGCTCCAACGCAAGAGTAGCCTCATCGTTGGGCACTTTCTGGGGCTTGGCAAATACGACTGTAGACAGTCTACTGCGTTCTTTGCTCCGCCTGTCATGTACATCGCCACGGCCATCGGGTGTAGAGACAGGAGATTCACCTTGTGGCGTCGTTGCTTTCGGTGTCTCACCAAGGATCTCTGACACGGATTTCTTCTGCAAGACTCCAGACGATATCCGCGTGGCGCGTTTTGGAGGCTCCTGTGTAGACGGCGTGACTGGAAGAGCTCTTTTTGGTGTGCCGACAGCAGTCATTTGCGCCGGACTCTCGACGATGCCAGTATTGAGACGTGCTTTGAAATAAGAGTCGATCTCAGTCTGCGTATCTATTCGTACGGTGGGTCTTTGACCGCCTTGGTCCGACGAGGCAACAGCATCGTTTTCGGCGTTTTCCGTCCCAGTCATTGTCACATCTCCGAGCGGTGGTCGCTGCCCTGTGATGGCCTCCTGATCTCGTCCACTGACATCATGCAGCGATTGTTCCGACTCTATCGGACTGACATTGCTGGGCTTTCCCTCCCGAGTCAGTTCATCTGTCGAAGGTGGTAAGTCCAGCCCCGGGCTTGTGACCGGTGAAGCGGCCGTTAAAACGGGAGTGTTTGCGGAATCTGGGTCATTTGTAGATGCTGGTGAAGATTGTGGGTCGACATTAGAAGGATTTGGCACGAGAATTGGAGGGCTTCGACGTGCTTGTCGGAGAGCGGCAGCAGCGCCAGGTACGGGATCTGCATTTCCTTCTTCGAGTTCCGCTTGCGCGTTCAGGGCTTTGACTTCTGACACCTGACCCTCTGCTAATGGCACAGGAGTGGCGGGAGGCTTGACAGGCTTCGGTACGATGTTGGCCTTCAATGCTTGAATAGCAGAGCTTTCTTCGACCTTATGCACGTCTTCAGACACGGACTCATGGTTCGGCTGAGCATCAGGTTCGGCCTGACCCGTTAGTAGCAGTCCACTCTCAACCACTCCATCACCATTGACACCTTCATCTAAATGCGCTGGTTGTTCTGAGGAGACATGCTTGTTTGTGTTCTTCAATGCGCGCCCGAGCGGGTCGTCGTGTTCGGAGTCATCTGTTGTTTGCGGGATACTATGAGTATTCGGTATAGAAGAGGTTGTTTGTTGGGCAGCCTTTGACGGGCGTGACTGGAGGAGTATATGTGTTCGTGGTGGTAGAGTCGACTCGTTGAAGGAACGCCCTCTGCACAACAGTGAGCAATCTCGAGCGAACGTGGTAGATTAATTGCCAAATGGGAAAACAAAGACACTTGCAGGACAGCGACATGGGAAATGTACCTTGTTAAGTCGTTTGCATCGTGGAATGCTTGTAGTTTTTGTTTATATGTTGGGTCGTTGGGCGTGAGAGGGTACGCGGTGATGGAAAAGAGTTCAGATAACTTGCGCTTTCTCGACAGCAAACAACGTCTACAATTCACCAACATTGGTCAGTATAATGCCCGAGAGTGTAGGAATATTTTGAATCGATGGAAAAGAGAATTACTGACTGTGCTTCAGACCTTCTCGAGCGCAACTGCTCGACTTGCATTTCATCAGTGGCTGCTTTGACCGGACTTCATCGAAATCAATTGCTGAAAATTGGACAGAATGTAGATTTGGATGGATGAAGATGATCGGGCTTGATAAAATGAATTGTTTGGCCGTGTTGTGGTTGATTTGGGACGGTTGAAGTGTTTGAAGCAGGCCAGAGGATGTGCCAGATATGCCGGGTTGGTGTTCTTTCGCAGATGGGCAGCACAGAGGAACAATAATTATCGCACGCGGGGGAGAGAGATAGGAGTGCTAGAGGTCGAAGTCCGCACCAGATAGGTAATGAATTTTGATGGGGCTAAGTGACGGCTCGCTCCTAAGGCAGGGCCCCCTTAGCCTTGGGAGGGACATCATCACTAAAAACGCCAGAAAAAAATTGATGATTTCGATAAGTCACATTTCACGGTTTTCATGCATCGTTCCTTCACGAAAAGCGGGATATTGAATTTGCATTGCATCTGAAGACTTTCAATCTTCAGCGTTCTCTGGGTCTATCTACCTCTCGACCGGACATCTTCCTGTTTGTGTGGCCGCTTCCAAATTTGCAGCCCTTGTACTTTGAAGGCCAGCGATCTCCAAATTTGGTCTACTGAAGTTTTCTTCATCTCTACATGGCGAAAAGAAAGCGAGAAACAGAGCCTCCGGAGAATGCTACACGCAACAACGGTGTTGCTAATTCAGCAAAACTCCCCAAAACCAACGGTCATGTCGACGTGAAGACCACCAGTCCAGTCATACAGATCATTGCAGGTTCATACGAACGGGTACTGCACGGCATTACCGCATCCGTCTCCAATGTTTCCTCTTCAGAACCAGCGCCGTCGGTTAAGTTTGCAGACACATTTCTCTTCAACGCCCACGCCTCTGCCGTTCGATGTCTGGCATTATCACCACTTCCGGAGCCTGACTCGTCTGAGGCGCAGAGTGTATTCCTTGCGACCGGTGGCTCTGACGAGAAGATCAACGTATACAGTCTTTCCGCATCTCCCGTTTCTGAACATGACAAGACTCCTGCCATGCCCTCGCTGGGCAACAATATGATATCAGAGAATCCCCGAAATAGGGAGTTAGGAACTCTTCTTCAGCATACATCAAATATTACGACATTACACTTTCCCACGCGATCAAAGCTCCTTGCAGGCTCCGAAGACAACTCCATCTCTGTTACCAGACTTCGAGATCTTTCCGTGGTATCGACGATTAAAGCACCTCGTCCGAAAGTCCAAGGCCAGCCAAGCGGAGACACGGCACCGCCTGGTGCGACACCGGCTGGGGTCAACGATTTTGCTGTACATCCCAGCTTGAAGCTTATGGTTAGCGTGGGCCGTGGTGAGAGATGCATGCGCTTATGGAATCTCGTGACTGGCAAGAAGGCCGGTGTTCTCAACTTCAGCCGTGAGGTCCTGCAAAGTGTGAAGGAGAGCAAGTACAGCAGCGGTGAAGGGCGGAGAATACGATGGAGTCCTGATGGAAGTGAGTTCGCTGTATCGTTCGAGCGAGGCGCTGTTGTTTTCGGCGAAGACTCCAAAGCGAGATGCAAGGTCCTTCCACAACCCTTGACCAAGTTGCATCAGATTTCCTACTTGTCCTTGCCAGACGATTCAGGCAGAGAAGTGACTCTACTGGCAGTATCGACAGAGGATGGACGGATATTGTTCTATCACACTGACAAGATCTCACCTGTTCCGACCGACAATGGCAATGCAAAGAAAGAGTCGATTCTCGAAGCTAGCTGTCGCGCCCAAGTAGGTGGGAAGAGTGCCGGCATGAGCGGTCGCATCAAAGATTTTGAGCTTCTGTTCTCAAAAGATAATTTGGGAAAGAGCGAAAGTCTGTACATTGTCGCAGCGAGCAGCGACGGAACGATCCGACTCGTCCATCTTCCGCTTTCCGATCTTCGCAATGCCGTCGCCAAAGGCAGCAAGGCGGCACAATTGGGTACTGTCATCGGATCATATTCGACGGGAAACAGGATCACCTGTATGAAAGCATTTGTAATGCTGCCACCGCCAGACGAAGATGAAGACATAGAGGCGGAAGGAGATGAGTTTGAAGGCTTTGAGGAAGAGAGCGATGAGAGTGAAAGCGATGACGAGTGAAAAGACTAGTCATAGGACCAAAAGACTTTCAGATAGCGTGATTCATGGCCGAATATCATGGACATGCTGATTTCGGTATGAATGGGTTGTGAAAAGCCTGACAGTCTATCATTGCCTGCCACACTAGGTTACTTGCTCCTCGTTTGGTCAACCTATCTAGGACTGATCAGGAGCACGATTGAGTTTGTCGCAATGTGCTTCTGCTCCAAACTTATTTCGAAGGTGAAATGCCCTTCTCAGCCAACGCTTTGGCCAGGTTCTCGTACACCTCATTCACAGAATCCTCAGCAGAGACCTTGATGACCCTGCCCTCCTCTTCAAAATGGTCCACCACAGGCATGCTCGTGTTGACAAATGTCTGAAACCGTTTGACAATGCTCTCCTCATTGTCGTCGGATCTGCCACTGGTTTTACCTCTGTTCAATAACCGCTCCCTCATGACCTCTTCCGAGCATTGAAGGAAGATGGTGCTTTTCGAAGGGCAAACAGTCTCTTCGAAGAAAATGGCTTGGTCCATCTTGCGAGGAAACCCGTCGACCAAGAATTTGCCTGTGCCATCACTGTTCAGCTTTGAGCGTATGGCACCTTCCAAGAGCTTGACAGTTATCTCCATGGGGACAATTTTGCCATCTTTGATATAGTCCGCAATCAATTGACCGTACTTGCTCTCCTTGTTGTTCTGTTCCTCTCTCAAAAGGTCTCCCGCAGAGAGGTGTACAAAGCCGTAGTCCCGCACGAGGTTGGCGCACTGCGTACCCTTCCCAGATCCGGGGCCACCAAGGACGAAAAGAATTGTGACCTTTTCGCGATCGAATGCAGGAGACGTGTTCGTAGAGCTTAGTGGTGCCGCTGGCTGAGCCAGTGCCGACGTGCCGGATGTAGGATCTATTGCCGGCATGGTAGACAGCCTTCAAGAAGTTCCTTTTATTATCTTTCAGTATGCGCCTTTCGTCGGTACTCGGTGGATGCTGTTGCCTGCTGTTCCTTTTTTTGTTTGACTATGAATATATAGGAGCCGCTGCTGAGCAGGAAGAGAACAAGGAAAGGGAAGAAGCTGAGTCTAGTGCCTCGTCCTCCGGGTTGATGTTTGGTGACTGTCTGCGAAGAAGGGGATTTTCCAGGGCTGGGTGTTGAGGGTTGTGAAGAGTACGATCGAACGGGCAATAAAGAAGCTTGATGGTTCAATGGCAATGGTGTTTGCCTACCCAGAAAAGTAGTCAAGTAACGCCGGTTCATCACTTGGGAAGGGAGGACGTAGATATGCTGCCCTGATATCAGTCTTTGGCGTCAACAATAATGTGAAAAAGAGCCAATGACGAAATGACCAGCAAGCTTGTGAGCAGCAAAAACGCGCTTTTCTTTAAACTAACTGGTGTAAGAGACACGGGCTGACATAACGACCTGAGTACGGAGTATTCTGCCAGATACAGGTACACGTGATTCTGTCACTCAGAACGCGGTCTGCCTGGACAAATAGCCGCTTGGCGCGGATCTGGAGAGAGCGCAGGACAGCCATGCCCAATCTGCCCGTCTCTGACTTTCTAAAAAGGTGTCTCCAGGAGCTCACAATCAACAACACAATTCCTCCACAACTCACCTTCTCATTCTTCCTCCTGCTTCACCGCAATTCCTGTGGTGTTCAGTTCAATACGCTCCCTTTCCCATTAGACACTCATTTGTGCCCTATTTCTTCTCAACCGTTCCAACTGCAAGTCAATTGATTCAGAGAAGTGCATGAGGCCGCAGGGGGCCGGGTCGCAACATGGCGCTTCCTATCAAGTTCACAGAGCTGGTCCAGGTCTGTCTTATACTCAATGGCTCATATTCCACGACCGAACTGACATTCTTCTACTAGCTGACCAACCTTGATATCGCGGTAAGCGCACGAACCTAAGCCCATGCCCACTCTGCAGCAGTCTGCCTGCGCGCAGTTCATACCACATACGCACCATGCTAACGTTCCTCGTCTATACAGCCAGCTTCGATATCCTTCAACACTTGTGTAAGTAGGCCCGAGGTGACCTCAATCAAGCCTGATCTAACTCTCCTGGCAGACATTAGAGTCCGACCACTTTGTTTGCGTACGACAGAAACTTAATGAACAAGACAAGCCTCAAGTCATAATCATAAACCTCAAGAACAACAATGAAGTCATCAAACGCGCTATCAGCGCCGACAGTGCCATCATGCACTTCACTCGCGAGATCCTTGCCCTCAAGGCACAAGGCAGAACCATCCAAGTCTTCGATCTCGGAGCGAAGTCCAAGTTGAAGTCTACGGTCATGAACGAGGATCTTGTCTTCTGGAAGTGGTTCAGTGACCGCAGCTTGGGTCTGGTCACCGATACATCGGTCTTCCATTGGGATGTCTTTGACCCTACACAAAATGCTCCTGTCAAAATGTTTGAGCGAAATGCCAACCTCAACGGCTGCCAGATCATCAATTATCGTGTCAGTGATGACGAACAGTGGATGGTCGTTGTGGGCATTTCTCAAAGAGAGGGCAGAGTCGCAGGCACAATGCAGCTATACTCCCGGAACCGTGGCATCTCTCAGCACATTGAAGGTCATGCCGCAGCTTTCGGCACCTTCCATGCGGAGGGCAACGCAACTCCTCACAAGTTGTTCACGTTCGCAGTCCGAAACGCTGCTGGCCAGGGAAAATTGCACGTCGTCGAAATCGACCCCAGCGAGAACAACACCCGATTTACCAAGAGGGCGGTGGATGTCTACTTCCCTGACGAAGCTGTCAACGATTTCCCCGTTGCCATGCAGGTGTCAAAGAAGTACAGCATCATCTACATGATCACCAAGTACGGTTTCATTCACCTGTACGATCTGGAAACAGCCACCTGTATCTTCATGAATCGGATATCCAGCGAGACTATCTTTGTTACCAGTCCCGACTCCGAGTCAGCTGGTATTGTCGGAATCAACCGCAAAGGTCAAGTCTTGTCCGTCGCTGTTGACGAGAATACCATCATACCTTATCTGTTGCAGAATCCTGCAAACTCGGCTCTCGCCGTGAAATTGGCTTCCAGAGCTGGTTTGGCAGGTGCTGACAACCTGTACCAGCAACAATTCGAGACACTATTCTCTCAAGGTAACTACGCCGAGGCTGCCCAGATCGCCGCAGACTCTCCTCGGGGCTTTTTGAGAACACCAGAGACTATCAACCGATTCAAAAATGTGCCTCAACAGCCAGGACAACTCTCAGTCATTCTTCAATACTTCGGCAAACTGCTCGACAAGGGAAAGCTGAACAAGTATGAAAGTGTTGAGTTGATCAAGCCGGTCTTGGCTCAAAACCGGAAAAACCTTCTCGATAAGTGGATGAGCGAGGGCAAGCTGGAGTCTTCAGAAGAGCTCGGCGACATTGTCCGGTTACATGACTTGGAACTTGCTCTGAAGATCTACCGAGAATCCAATGTGCCTCCCAAGGTGGTGGCAGCACTCGCTGAGACTGGTCGGTTCGAGGAGATCCTGCCTTACTCACGAGAAGTTGGATACCAGCCAGATTTCACCAGCTTGTTGCAGCACATTGTACGAGCAAATCCTGAGAAGGGGGCTGAATTTGCTACCCAACTTGCCAACAATGAAGGTGGTCCCTTAGTAGACATCGACAGAGTCGTTGATGTTTTCATGTCTCAAAACATGATTCAACAAGCAACTGCTTTCCTCCTCGATGCTCTAAAGGAGAATCGTCCTGAGCAAGGTCAGCTGCAAACTCGATTACTGGAGATGAACCTCCTCAATGCTCCTCAGGTTGCGGATGCTATTCTGGGTAACGAAATGTTCTCTTACTACGACAAGACCAGGATCTCTCGACTCTGTGAACAAGCTGGACTCCTTCAACGTGCACTTGAGAATACTGACGATCCTGCATCCATCAAACGCATTGTTGTCCAAACCGATAAGCTCAATCCCGAATGGCTGCAGCAATACTTCGGCCGCATGAGTGTCGAACAGTCTTTGGACTCCATGGACGCAATGCTGAAGAGCAACATCCGTCAGAATCTTGCATCCGTGGTTCAATTGGCCACCAAGTACTCAGATTTGCTTGGTGCCAGCAACCTCATCTCGCTGTTTGAAAAGCACCGTACTGCCGAAGGTCTCTATTACTACCTTGGAAGCATTGTCAACCTCAGTGAAGACGAAGATGTTGTCTTCAAATACCTTGAGGCTGCTGTCACCATGCAGCAATTCCAGGAGGTTGAAAGAATCTGTCGTGAGAACAACCACTACAATGCGGAGAAGGTCAAGAACTTCTTGATCGAGGCAAAACTTGCAGAACAACTCCCTCTCATCATTGTTTGTGATCGATTCAATTTCGTCAAGGATTTGATCAACTACCTCTACCGCAACCAGCAATACAAGTCCATCGAAGTATATGTTCAACGCGTTAACCCGGCGAGAACACCAGCCGTCGTTGGAGCATTGCTGGCTCTCGACTGTGAAGAGTCTGTTATCAAGAACTTGTTGACATCAGTCGATCCTGCTGCTGTGCCTATGGATGAGCTTGTCGGCGAAGTCGAGGGTCAGAATCGCCTCAAGATTTTGCTGCCATTCCTTGAATCCACTCTGCAACAAGGCAACCAGCAGCCCGCAGTGTACAATGCTCTCGCGAAGATCTACATTGGTATGGCGCCCTTCCCAATCCCCTATTCTTCATTGTTCCTTCCCTGCATGCATTACCAGGCCATGCCTTCCATGTATGGACCTGAAGCATCTGCTCTTTCCCCTTATTCTTAATTGTTCCTTCCATGCATGCAATACTCGGCCATGGCTTCTGAACCCACGGATCTGAGCATCTGCTCTTCTCTTCAACCTGTCTGCACCGACACCATCACCACAACCATCTCGACACATCATCTCAACAGGCGACTCGACACACCATCACCATCGGCGATTCTACACACCATCACCTCCAGCAATTCGACACCTCTTCACCTCAAGCAACTCAAGACACCATCACCCTCTGCAGCTCGACACCTCATCACCATTGGTGATTTGACACCTCATCACCATTGGTGATTTGACACCTCATCACCACAAGCAATTCGACACCTCTTCACCTCAAGCAACTCAAGACACCATCACAACGAGTGACTCGTTGAGGCAGGATGGTAGCTGCGAGCAAGCCGGTCTCTTCTGCCACCGAGCTGCAAGAGTATATGCTCTGGCAGGGTTGGAAATGTCTCTCTGACACGACCGATGTGGTGAAGAACCCGTCCTTCCTCATTGCAATCCCTGACGAAGATTCCCTGGAAGCTCTCTTGTCAGAAAGTCGTCTCAAGTTCGCTCCTGGTCTAATCGACGTCGTCAATTCCAAGCTACCACCTACCATCGTCTGGTTCAAAGACCTACCGTCATTGACGAAGACCTCAAGCCATCGCTGGGCTGTCTACCTCCTTGTTCTCGAGAAGGATGGCTTTCGTCTGAAGATATACATCGGATCTGGTACCAATTCGGTCACTGGTGTGAAGGCTCGATTCTACTGTTATGATAATGAGAGGGTCCTACCACAATACGTTGAGCAAGCTCTAGAAGATGGTTATAAGATCACCCACAAAGGACTTCTATGCTGGTCACCTATCCCACCCGCTGGCAGTCGATACGCCATCGTCGCCCTCTTCCTCGCTCTTGAAGCAACATTCGCCATCCTGCTCGGGGCAATGAAGTCAAAAACCAAAAACTACGGCATGCCACACATTTGCCTCTGGGACCGGGAAGAACTCGACTATGATGGCCTTTGCTCCCGTACTGCCTTAGCGGAAGCTATTCGAGGCGAGATGGACCAGCTCACTCCGGAGCAGATTGCAGTCAAAGAAATCGCTATAACGAAGCGACGTCTCGCATCACACCGAACCAGGAACATGGCCAGATATCACAGAACCAAGGCCGAAGACTTTCCTAAATGGCAAGCTCAGCGGCGTGCTCAAACAGCGAACCGTGACCCGGTGTCCAAAGCAGCAGCGGAGAAGAGATCTACCGCCAAAGCTAAAGCCAGCAGGAGATACGCATGCGAGCTCTGTGGCATTGCCTTTCCATCCTCATACCAACTTTCAATCCACAAGAAGACCCGGAAGCACATCTCTAAGGTCACTGGCGTCGGCAGAGTCTACAAAACTCCAGTCCGTAAGCGGAATTACGGACTTCGGATCATTGCTGAGAAGCGGTTCTACTGCGCAGTCTGCAAATTCGCGTTCAGCAGGCAGGGCCAACTGAACAAACACCTCCTCACCAAGAACCATATCAAGAAAGCCGCCGCCCTTGAGAAGTCTGTGAAGAACACCGACGCCGTCGAAGAGGCCCTCCCGGACCCGTGAATCACCATTGGTCTTTTCGCCATCGTGTTACACGTTTTGTTTCTTTATGCTGCACTCACACTTTTGTTTCTTCATGATGCATTCACATTTTGTTTCTCTATGAGGCACTCACACTTTTGTTTCTTTATGATGCATTCACATTTTGTTTCTCTATGATGCATTCACATTTTGTTTCCATACACTGGCTAACTTTTACTTGGAGATTCAAATCATAATCCTGAAGCATTTCTGAAGGAGAACGACCTTTATGACACATTGACAGTTGGAAAATACTGCGAAAAGCGAGATCCCAACCTGGCATACATTGCCTACCGTAAAGGACACAACGACCTTGAGCTCATCAACATCACGAATGAGAACTCTATGTTCAGAGCACAGGCTCGCTACCTGCTTGAGCGTGCTGATCCAGAGATCTGGGGGTTCGTGCTTGCTGAGAACAACAGCTCTCGACGATCTCTGATTGACCAAGTCATTGCGACTGCCGTCCCTGAATCAAACGAACCGGACCAGGTTTCTGTTGCCGTTAAGGCTTTCTTGGACGCCGATTTGCCTGCGGAACTCATTGAACTGTTGGAGAAGATCATTTTGGAGCCTTCCCCATTCAGTGAAAACAGCAGCTTGCAGAATCTCCTCATGCTTACCGCGGCCAAGGCCGACAAGTCTCGGTTGACCGATTATATTCACAAGCTCAATGAATTCAGCACGGAAGAAATCGCTAACATGTGCATTCAACAAGGCCTTTTTGAGGAGGCCCTCGAAATCTACAAGAAGGTCAACGACCATATCTCTGCCGCCAATGTGCTCGTCGACAATATTGTCAGCATCGATCGTGCGCAGGAATATGCTGAAAATGTTGACCTGCCGGAAGTCTGGAGCAAGGTCGCCAAGGCACAGCTTGACGGTCTCCGAGTGAGTGATGCGATCGAGTCATACATCAAGGCCCAAGACCCAAGCAACTACAACGAGGTTATTGAGGTGGCAAGTCGTGCCGGGAAGGACACTGAATTGACCAAATACCTCAAGATGGCTCGGAAGACGCAACGCGAGCCAGCCATTGATACAGCCCTCGCTTTCAGCTATGCACGCCTTGACCAATTGCCTGAGCTGGAGGACTTCCTGCGCTCTGCCAACGTCGCCGACGTGGAGGCTTCTGGAGACAAGTCTTACGAAGAAGGCTACCATCAAGCTGCCAAGATCTTCTTCACCAGCATATCGAACTGGGCAAAACTTGCCACGACGCTTGTGCACCTCGGTGAATACCAGAATGCAGTCGATTGTGCTCGTCGTGCCAACAGTGTCAAGGTGTGGAAACAGGTCAACGAAGCCTGTGTGGCCAAGAAGGAGTTCCGTCTTGCTCAGATCTGCGGTCTCAACCTCATTGTTCACGCCGAAGAATTGCAAGATCTTGTCAAGCAGTATGAGAGAGAGGGCTACTTCGAAGAACTCATCTCCCTGCTCGAAGCCGGTCTTGGCCTCGAACGAGCCCATATGGGAATGTTCACCGAGCTGGGTATAGCTCTTTCGAAATACCACCCAGACCGTGTGATGGAACACCTCAAGCTTTTCTGGTCCCGGATCAATATACCCAAGATGATCCGTGCATGCGAAGAGGCACATCTCTGGCCCGAACTTATCTTCTTGTATTGTCATTACGATGAGTGGGACAATGCTGCTTTGGCAATGATGGAGCGTGCCGCTGATGCTTGGGAACATCATTCTTTCAAGGACATCATCGTCAAGGTGGCCAACTTGGAGATTTACTACAGAGCCCTCAACCATTACCTGCAGGAGCAACCATTGTTGCTGACCGACTTGCTTCAGGCCTTGACTCCTCGCGTCGACGTCAACCGAGTGGTTCGCATGTTTGAGAAGTCGGATAACATCCCCATCATCAAACCGTTCCTGCTCAGTGTACAGGGTCAGAACAAGCGTGTCGTTAATAACGCCATCCATGATCTTCTCATCGAAGAGGAAGACTATAAGACGTTGAAGGACTCTGTGGAGAACTACGACAACTACGATGCCGTGGAGCTGGCTCAGCGACTCGAAAAGCATGAGCTCGTTTTCTTCCGACAGATTGCAGCCCAGATCTACCGCAAGAACAAGAGATGGGAGAAATCGATTGCCCTTTCGAAGCAAGACAAGTTGTTCCGAGATGCCATCGAGACTGCTGCTATCTCTGGCAAGCCGGTAGTGGTGGAAGACTTGTTGAGATATGTATGTTCATCTGGTAACATTGTTGAAAAGCGCACACTAACAAAATTGCAGTTCGTCGACATTGGCAGCCGCGAATGCTATGTTGGTATGCTGTACGCATGCTACGACCTGATTCCATTGCACGTGGTGATGGAGATCTCATGGCGGCACGGCCTTAACGACTTCACGATGCCATTCATGATCAGCTACATGAGTCAACAGTCAGAGATGATCGAGAAATTGCGCAAAGACAATGAAGAACGCAACGCACGTGAGGCGAGCCAGCAAAAGACGGAGGACAACACCCCGATTATCGGCAGTCGGCTCATGTTGACCCAAGGTCCAGCCAATGCGACGCCCACAGGATATGCAGCGACGAATGGAATTACACCTCAACCGACTGGCTTTCCTCGGGCATTCTAGAATTCCAGATCTATGGAATCTGGGGATGCTCTCGATCGGAAGTTGTCGGGCTTGGGGAAGTCTCGGAGCGAAGAGCGGTGGAATGTGGTGCAGCAATCAGGAACAATCCGGAACTGGACACGACTGTTTGCGACTCCGGAGTATTAGGGTCCGGAGAAACTAAAATAATGTGCGGGATTGAGGACCACACAGAAGTTACTTTTTGTAAGATGTCTTTAGCAGATGAGGCTGATGGGAGAGCTATCTCCGGGGTGCATCAAAACAATGACCGAGTATCTACAGTATTTCACAAAGGCGAGCTGCTGTTGAATGACTAAGTGAAAGGAGATAAGCCAGTCACAGCAATGATAAAAAGATACATTATCATTCGGTTCTGGTTTGCTATCTTGGAATCTGCTCGTAGCAAACCGTGAAAAGAGACTCTATCAGCGGATTGGAGCGGAGCAGGTTTGTGTCGACTACGCATCCTTTCTTTTTCCTCTTGGGCCTGCTTGCAAGCATTGCTGCCTTATCATCGAATTGCACATGGTGGTGGATGTGTGACGTGATACCGTGACGTTGATGTTGATAGTGCGCAGTGATGCGTCCACCAAATTGAAGAGTTGTTATCAGGATCGAGTAGAAGCCATCGTAATGTCAATTGAAATCCTTCTCTTGTTCATCAATGATCAATATCTGTTGCGCGGGCTCAGCAAGAATTAGGCGTGGGCTGAAAAGAAAAAGGAAAAGGCTGCTAAAATTCTGTACCTGGAACTATGCCATTGCTAGTACCCCACCTCTCATCCCACATTCCACATTCTGGGTACCAATCGTAGGATCTATTAGGACAAACAGACACAGAACGATAACTTCGGAGTAAATTGGGCGGCCCCGACAATATTGCGGACGAGGCTTCAGATTAATTGACCCGAAAGCACGGTAACTAAGGCAGAGAGCTAAGCTTAAAGACAATTCCATTCTTTGTCCGAGGGCCATCCGAGGCTGTACTCGGGAGCATTGATCGACCCTCCCGACGTCAACCAGCAGAGAGCTGCAGCAGCTCGAGTCCCACATCCCTAACTTACAGAGATCCTTGCCCTGCCTAAAGCCTTGCCCCTCTCATTATCTCAACCATCCCTACGTCTCAGTAAATAACTACTAGTCCTCCTCGTAGGTGGTTATCGTGATCAGAACGCTGGTTTCACTGGGGCAGTGACTCAGATATATTTGTTAGCTATACCCAAGTTTTGTATGCGCCCGCGCTGCGTACAAAGAACCAACCCCACGTCAACATCACATTTCGAGCTTTACCAACCCACCGATCCTCATTATCAACAGCGTCTCCACTCACCGAGGGCACTGGAGCTTCTCTCCTCATTCTTTTTCTCGCTGTCATAGTCCTTAAACACCTTTTCCCTCTCTTGTCATCACTTCTACCTACACGCTCTCAACGAGCTATTGCCAACAGCTGCCTCTGCCAGCAGCTGGGCTATATAACCCAAGCTCCATCATGGCGACCAACGAGTCAGCAATTGCCGACCATGACGAAGGTCACACTCACCTTGAGCACTCGGTCCATCAGCGGCTGAGGGCCAACTCTACCATCATGCAGCTCAAGAAGATCCTCGTCGCCAACCGAGGTGAAATCCCTATCCGAATCTTCCGTACCGCTCACGAACTTTCCCTCCAAACCGTCGCAGTCTTCAGCTATGAGGACAGGCTGGGCATGCATAGACAAAAGGCGGACGAAGCATACATGATTGGAAAACGTGGTCAATATACCCCTGTCGCTGCCTATCTGGCCGGAGACGAGATCATCAAGATCGCTTTGGCCCATGGCGTGCAAATGATCCATCCTGGCTATGGTTTCTTGTCCGAGAACTCAGAGTTTGCTCGCAAGGTTGAGGAGGCTGGTATCATCTTTGTTGGACCTTCCTATCAAGTCATTGAGGCGCTTGGAGACAAGGTTTCTGCCAGACGACTGGCAATGAAATGCGACGTCCCCTGCGTTCCTGGTACCGAGGGCCCAGTCGAGAGGTATGAGGAGGTCAAGGACTTCACTGACCAATATGGCTTCCCTATCATCATCAAGGCTGCCTTTGGTGGTGGTGGTCGTGGTATGAGAGTGGTCCGTGACCAGGAGAGCTTGAAAGACAACTTTGAGAGAGCTACATCCGAGGCCAAATCGGCCTTTGGCAACGGCACAGTCTTCGTGGAGCGGTTCCTGGACAAGCCCAAGCACATTGAAGTTCAGCTGTTAGGTGACAACCATGGAAACGTGGTCCATCTGTATGAGCGAGACTGCAGTGTCCAACGACGACATCAGAAAGTGGTCGAAATCGCTCCAGCAAAGGATCTGCCTTCTGAAACCCGAGATGCCATTCTCAACGATGCTGTCAAGCTCGCAAAATCGGTCAACTACCGCAATGCTGGTACCGCCGAATTCTTGGTCGACCAGCAGAACCGATACTACTTCATTGAAATCAACCCTCGAATCCAGGTCGAGCATACAATCACCGAGGAAATCACCGGCATCGATATCGTTGCGGCCCAAATCCAGATTGCCGCAGGTGCTACCCTCGAGCAACTAGGCTTGACCCAAGATCGCATCTCTACTCGTGGTTTCGCCATTCAGTGTCGTATCACCACCGAGGACCCGGCCCACGGTTTCTCGCCAGACACGGGCAAGATCGAAGTCTACCGATCAGCCGGTGGTAACGGTGTGCGTCTTGACGGTGGTAATGGTTTCGCAGGTGCTATCATCACTCCGCATTACGATTCCATGTTGGTCAAGTGCACGTGCCATGGCTCAACCTACGAGATCGTGCGTCGTAAGGTCTTGCGAGCTCTGGTTGAGTTCCGCATCCGTGGTGTCAAGACCAACATTCCATTCTTGGCTTCCCTTCTGACACATCCTGTCTTCATTGACGGCACATGCTGGACGACGTTCATCGATGACACTCCGGAGTTGTTTAAGCTGGTCAGCAGTCAGAATCGTGCCCAGAAGTTGCTCCAATACCTTGGAGATCTCGCTGTCAATGGTAGCAGCATCAAAGGACAGATCGGCGAGTCCAAATTCAAGGGTGACATAATTATGCCTACAATGCTCGATGACAACCACAAGCCCCTCGATATCAGCACCCCATGCACCAAGGGGTGGAAGAACATTATTGACAAGGAGGGTCCAGATGCATTTGCCAAAGCTGTGCGAGCCAACAAGGGCTGTCTCCTCATGGACACGACTTGGCGTGATGCGCATCAGTCTCTCTTGGCCACTCGTGTACGAACCGTTGATTTGTGCAACATCGCCAAAGAGACCAGCTATGCTCTGAGCAACGCTTTCGCCTTGGAATGCTGGGGTGGAGCTACCTTTGATGTTGCTATGCGCTTCTTATATGAGGATCCTTGGGACAGACTTCGGAAGATGAGGAAGCTTGTTCCAAACATTCCGTTCCAAATGTTGCTGCGAGGTGCCAATGGTGTGGCGTACAAGTCTCTTCCGGACAATGCCATCTACCATTTCTGCAAGCAAGCCAAGAAGGCCGGCATGGATATTTTCCGAGTTTTCGACGCTCTCAATGACGTTGACCAGCTGGAGGTCGGCATGAGAGCCGTCCAGGAGGCAGGCGGTGTCGTTGAGGGAACCGTCTGCTACAGTGGCGACAGTAAGAACCATTCCCGTTGGTGCCCTCCTCGATGCTAACCAGGTTATAGTGTTGAACCCCAAGAAGAAGTACAACTTGGAGTACTACATGGATGTGGTGGACAAGATTGTCAAGATTGGTACCCACACTCTCGGTATCAAAGACATGGCAGGTGTCCTAAAGCCCAAGGCTGCTCGCATGTTGGTCGGTGCCATCCGCAAGAAGTACCCTGATCTTCCAATTCACGTGCATACTCATGACAGTGCTGGGACAGCCGTTGCGTCGATGGTTGCTTGCGCCGAAGCCGGTGCCGATGCCGTTGATGCCGCCTCTGACAGCATGTCTGGCATGACATCTCAACCCAGCATTGGTGCTATCCTTGCTTCCCTCGAGGGTGGCGAGTTCGATCCAGGCTTGAATGGTCACAATGTCCGCGCTCTTGACCAGTACTGGTCGCAACTCCGATTGCTTTATTCACCATTTGAGGCTGGTTTGACCGGTCCGGATCCCGTAAGTATTCCCCTCTCAAATTATATCAGGACAGCTTCTAAACAGTCTTTAGGAGGTCTACGAGCATGAAATTCCTGGAGGACAGCTCACCAATCTGATCTTCCAAGCATCTCAACTCGGTCTTGGAGCTCAGTGGCTCGAAACCAAAAAGGCGTACGAAGAAGCCAACGACCTCCTGGGCGATATCGTCAAAGTCACTCCCACTTCAAAGGTGGTGGGTGACCTGGCTCAATTCATGGTGTCCAACAAGTTGAACGAGGAGGACGTCAAGGCTAAGGCCAAGGAGCTGGACTTCCCCGAGTCGGTTCTGGAATTCCTCGAAGGCTTCATGGGTCAACCTTACGGCGGCTTCCCTGAACCACTCCGGACCGATGCCTTGAGAGGACGCAGAAAGATGGACAAGCGACCAGGCTTGTATCTCGACGCTGTCGATTTCCCCAAGATCAAACAAGAACTCAAGGAGAAGTACGGAAATGTCTCAGAGACCGATATTGCCTCGTAAGTATTCTTATTTGCGAAAGACTGCCCTCGGATGGCCAGCCTTTCAATTTCCCTGTTTTACCGAAATAACATGCTAACAACCAGTAGATATGTTATGTATCCTAAGGTTTATGAGGATTACCGCAAATTTGTGGACAAATACGGTGACCTGTCTGTTCTGCCGACCAAGTACTTCTTGAACAAGCCCCAGATCGGCGAGGAGTTCTATGTGGAATTGGAGAAGGGCAAGGTGCTGATCTTGAAGCTGCTAGCCGTCGGTCCTCTCTCGGAAACCACTGGACAACGCGAGGTCTTCTATGAGGTTAATGGTGAAGTTCGCCAAGTAACCATTGACGATACCAAGGCTGCCGTCGAGAACACCAGTCGACCCAAGGCGGATCCCAGCGACAGCAGTCAAGTTGGTGCACCCATGGCAGGTGTAGTTGTCGAAGTCCGAGCCAAGGAAGGACATGAAGTCAAGAAGGGAGACCCAGTTGCTGTGTTGAGTGCCATGAAGATGGAGATGGTCATCAGTGCGCCTCATTCTGGAAAAGTGGGAGAACTCTTTGTCAAGGAAGGAGATTCTGTTGCTGGGTCAGATTTGGTCTGCAAGATTGCCAAAGCATGAAACGTGAGGTATTGATGATAGGGAGTCGGTATCAACTGGGTATATCAGGTACAATCCAGCTACAGGTCATGCTGAGCTGAAGGCTAGGTACGTATATTATTATGTTTGACCAGGATCGATCGAGTACCTCGTTCTATTGATATCAATGCCTTGTAACCATGGCAGCATCCTTGATGTCAAGCTGGTTCGCAGGGACAGTGGCACTGTTTGACTGCTGCAGGGCTCTAGAATCAGCTAGACACCGTTCCCTATCTCCAGCCCGGAGTCGTTCGTACATAACGTTGTAGCAATAGCCCTTGGAATTCGAACTTATACCATCGAAATACTCCCCGACAGACGGTACTACTCCCTGGAAGTAGGCTCGGTATCGAGACGATTCACGTGACCGTTCTCAGCGTCGCAGCTGCGGAGTTGTAGTTAGAAACGCTGCTAAAGGTAAAGCCGGCACCCGACCGAACCCCATCTTTCTCAATCTCTCCGACCGTCCTGCGCCGACGACCTCAGTAATCAGTGCTTTCACCTGAACTCACTATCGTCACCGTCAGCGCCTCTGTACCTGCCGTCTTCCTGGTTGCGCCACTTCCATCCCGCTCCTTCGTCCCCGTTGCCTCGAGAGGCTTGTAAACCATGGCCGCAGCCATCAAAGCTCTCAATGCGAAGATTCGCTCCAACCCAGTCTCCGACTACCTCTGCTCAACACGTATGTCTTTCCCCTGCGATACCCCAGCGAGTACAACACTGCGACGCCCCCAGTGCTCTCCGAGAGAGCACATCGCAGTCAAACTTCTTGGCTTGATCAGAACTAACCGGTGACTCATTGCTACAGATTTCTGGGGACCGGCCTCCAACTTTGGCATTCCTCTCGCAGCAGTTTTAGACACGCAAAAAGATCCAGAAATGTATGTCAATAGAAACCTTCCTTCTTGCCGCATCGCGGCATCCCTACTCGATCTATGAGCATTTTATGAAAAGGTGCGCTGACATTTTGGATCCCAGTATTTCCGGCCCCTTCACAGCAGCCTTGACCGTCTACTCTGCAACCTTTATGCGCTATGCGCTCGCCGTGCAGCCTAAGAACTACCTGCTCTTCGCATGCCATTTCGTCAATTTCAATGCGCAGTTGACGCAGGGATACCGATTTTATGATTACTGGTAGTAAGTACACATTGCGATGGTGGAGAGCTTGCCAATCCATGTGCGAGCGTGCGGCGGGTGGTTCAAACTCCCCTGGTACGTTGAAAAGAGCTGACAAACGTTTGTGCGAACAGTCGAGGCGGTCAAGATCGCTGGGCCCAGGTCCGAGCAGAAACAGCCAAACTTGAAGGTAAGGCCGAGTCGGTAGCCGAGACGGCCAAGGGCAAGGTTGCAGATGCCGTGCAAGAGGCCAAGAAGACGGTATCATAAACAAGTTGATTCAGACGATACGTGGTCCGCTTCCAGTCGGAGCAGAAAGAAATCTACCATTACTATTGTTGGAGGGCTGCGCGGTACACGAGGAGACCAGTACATCTATTCTGGTACAATTCTCGTCAAGCTGCGTCGCGATGAGCAAGGAGATGGACGGTGTACAGTTTGTCCCCGTCGGGAGCAAGCGATGGGCATCCTATATCGACAAGGGGATCCCTGGAGCTCTTCGATCTCCTGAATGTGTATCCACAATCCACAAATTTGTTGTTGCAGCATGCACACACATTTCAATACCACATGCGATTGAACTGCTTTTCCCCCCTGGGTTGACTGTGCACATTTGAGTCAATTACAGCGAAGACTGACAAGAACAAAGCTTTGATATCATACTCCTACCACAGCAGATATAACGGTACAAAGCAGCAAAACCCAGTTAGTACACATTGGCAATTTCGTTGAACAGATCCACCTTTGACGCCCATGTTCCAACGCCTAATCATACACAATGCCCATGGCAGTCCTCTCGACATTACTCGATGCTTTGTTTCAGCTACCCTTTGTGAAAGTATTCCACATTCCCCCCAAAATCCCCGGCGCCGTCTTCTGCTCGTTCCAGCTCGTCTTGCGCTCGTCCTGGGAAGATCGTTTATGCCCGTTCAAGCCTGCGTATGCACCTGCGTTGGCGCTGGACTGCTCACCCTGTGTTAGCGAACCATACTGTACTGATGACTGTGGCCTCGACAGAGGTGGTGGGAGAAAGAATTAGGGAGGAGGGGGATCAGGTATGGTGTGGATATGGTAACTTACCCTTCTTCGTCCCGCGGCACCAGCACTGACGGCCGGCCCTGCGATTTCGAGACTGGATTTCTTATTCTCATCTTTGAGGGCATCTTGTTGTTGGTCCGCAGAGCCTTGGCTGGATGTCGAGAGGGTGCGGGGCTTGTAGCCTGATTGTTTGAAAAACATGTTTACTGGTCTTGTGGTTTGTGAGGGACGGTGGCTCTCCAAGGGTCGTTGAGAAGGTATGGATGGATACGGTATATAATGCTGGTGGTGGTGGTGGTGGTGGTGATGAGGCTGAAGTGGGTCAGGAGGTTGCGAGTCACTGACTTAGTACTTCTGGTTGTTGTCGGTGGTAGGCGATGCTAGAGATGTTGGATGTCTCTGACGGACAGGACCAGAGGGAGTAGGGTATATATCAACTTTCCCTAGGGGTTGGACTTTCTTGGGGCTTCGATCGTTGCGGTCTGACTCTTTGGTACAAGACTAGTTTCCTGGATCGATTGGGTGGTGGTCGTCCGCGAGGCTTTGAGCACGGGTGGTGGAATTGTGGATGTGCACGTACGGTGACGTAGACCATATACTTACTTTGGAGATGGGTGTCAGGTAACCTCCGTTGGATGTGAGAATACAGAGCAATGCGCCTTGCACTGTTTTATTGGGACTTGAGGCGCGACAATTCGCTGATACTAGGATGTCTCTGGAATAGAAACTGAACACGGCTGTTGTCTTGCCTACTACGACGAAGAAAGGAAGTGTGAGGGGGTTTGAGGGGCTGGAACGGCGGATATATATTGTCAAATGACTTTGACATGTTACTAACGTTACTCTGAACAAAACACCGTCTTGTGCATCAGCTCGCAGCAGTATGCAGGGGATTAGGGCTTTGGGGAAGGCTTTGCCTACCTCAGTAGGGTTCACATTGACTGGGAAGGGAACCAGGCATGCGTAGTGGCATGATGAGGTGATGCTGACTGGGTGCAACTGCGAGTGGCGCGAGCCCTCGCCTAAGATTGACCACAATCAAAAGGTCGCGTGCCGCTTGTTTGTCACTTCCTCCATGGCTCACATCGTATTCGCCAGAATGTGTGTCTGTGAACATGTACCAATCCAATACAACGACGATGAAGTGCATGCCTGTAAGGTGACAGAACTCTGCGAGGTGGGAAACGGCATCTTCCCTCCTCGTACTCGTAGGTCGTCCACAGTGATAGTTCTGTAACCCCGCATATGATTGCAAGTCCATCGAAGCGAGGACGAGTAGAAATAGAGACACTCCACGGACACCGGACGTGAATGGAATCATTGTGGTTGGACGAGAGAATGCCCCCCTCCCCTCCTGGAAAAGACATCCTTTTGTCACATGTCGACACAACTCAAACATCTCGATCGCAAGGAATGAGTCTTGCTCTACTTGAATCGACAAGCCTGTTTCCAGAAGTACCTCGGCAGGGCACTGTCTTGACCGCTGTTGCTCCTCTTCACGTTCAAATGGAAACCTACCCTTCATGTCGTCTCGGAGTCCTTCGCACCCAACGATATAGTGCTAGCCTTTGGCAGGAGGGAAGGTCATCATCGTTACGGTGTACACCTGTTGGCTAGAAGTCAAGGCACGCATCGTCAGTAACCTTTCGAAGTCTAGTAGATTCGCGACGGGGGCTACCTTGACAGCAAATCAGTAGGACTATACGATAGAGCTGATGACCTCCTGCCCGTCAAGAGCTAAAGCTATATCATTGTGTGCGAAGGACTCCGAGTTGACAACAAGGTTCAATATCTCTCTGCACCTGGAGAGGTACAGCGGTTAAATGCTGCCACTTTCTCTGGAACAGGCTTTAAGGGGTGTTGTTTGACGTGAATCGACATTGACAGAACACGTAGAGGCATGGGCATTCTTGGTGCTTTGCAAGACCATGTGACAGTTGTGATACAAGATCTATGCTTGCTAGTGACAGATAAGTAAGTCCTTTACAATTCTTCCAAACCGATAGCACCGCCATAATGGCCTCTTACTATGTATGATCCAACAATCGTCCTTCATGCCTGCTTGATTCCTCGACTGGACTGATTCAAGCCTCGTTCCGTTGAGCGAGAACCTCCTGGGCTTGAAATCGAATCTGGTAACACAAATCGTCCACAGCGCGTAGGTCAATTTCTCCTGCATTCCCGGAAGTGAGTCGCATCAGAACATCCTGCAGCGAAAAAACGATGCCAGCCTCTTTGGGTGCATAGTCTTCGCCATTTTCCTGTGCCTGAGGTTCAGGAGATACGTCTTCAGCCACGGGCTGATCTTGCGCGACCTCATTTGTATCTTCGACGACGACCACATCTGCCGCACTGACCTCTCGATCTTCGGGAGTTTGCGAGGCGGTAATGGGCACCACAACCTCAACCTGCTGGTTCTGAGAGTCCGCAGCCTGAGAATGACGTGCCCTCCTTCTCGTCCGACGAGTCCTCTGACTTGGACTCGGCTCTGCCGACTTCAGCGCTGGCTGCGTTTGAACGCTCAATGCAGTGTCCTTCGTTGCTTGAGAAGGTGCTACTTCAATAAAGTCCATCATCTCATCCACGTCGGCCGCTCTCAACGGCGCTACTGGAGGCTCGCTCGACTCGCTGGATTGTTGGGATGATGTATTCGACCTTCTCGTCCTCTTCGCTACGGTGGGTGCGGATCGAGGAGCTTTGCGTTTGCGGCTTCCGCGTGAGCGTTGACTCTGGCTTTCTGGCTCCTCGACTTGTGCTTGGTGTAGTTCTTCCATTTCGTGGGTGTCTTCTGCAGCCTGGCTGATGTGACGATCGAGATCCTGTGAAAGCTGCGAGGCGCTGAGTATATCGATCTCGTCGCGGTCCGCTCTTGGTGTTGCAGGTGGTGTTGACTCTCCTTCAGGCTTGTTGGCATCAACATCCATGGGAGTTTCTTCTACCGTCGATGGAAGGTATACCTCCACCTCGATAGCCTGTTGCGCGGCGGCACGTCCTATTGTTTCTTTGTCGTTGACAGTTGGATCAGCAGCTACTGGGGGCAGCTCTTCGTGAACCGTGACCGGTTCCTCAGTTGCCAGCCCCTCATCAACATCGGCTCCATTAGAGGTTTCCGCTGTATGCACTGCTCCTTCGTCCATAGTGCGCTCGTGCTGCGGAATGGCAAAGTCAATCCCGATATGAGCATCCTCCACTGGAGCTTGAAGTGGCGACGAAAGTACATCTCCTTCTCCAGCCTCCTTCTCTTGATTGTCTGGCATGGACGGTGGCGATGAAGGTACATCAATGTCTGTAATCTGTTTTGCGAAATGTCGGGCTCTTGGTGTGGGAGATGCTGCAATTTCCGGCTCCTCTTGATCGTGGTTCCTGGGTAATGTGGGTGTTGACGGCCTCTCGGCCAGTGCGGCTGCTTTTCGCGCAAAGCCGCAAGTTCCTTGACTTTCTGATCTGCCATGCTCACGTGGAGTAGATCTCAAATCTGGAAATACAACAGCTGGCTCTGACCGTTGCCTGTCTCGGACTTCTTTCTGATGGGCAGTCAGAAACTGAGACTCGGGCTCCTCATGTGCAACTGGGGACGATTCAATGGCCACAAAATGCAACTGGGAGTCATCATGTCTTGATCGAGGTCTTGACGTCGGCGCCATATCAAGTTCTTGGTGCTGACTGCCCAAAATCGGAGACTCTTCGCCAGCTGGCTGCATCTTTTCAGGACCGCCATGCGCATGATCGTGTGGTGAAGGACCTCCGGCGTTTGCAGGGTCTGACACTGGACCGTGGCCATCATCATGATCTTCGGGACTCTGCTGAGCCTCAGATACTTCGGCATCCATCGCATTCCCGAGTTTATCGAGGGCATCCAGGAGGCGTGGTCCAGCAACCAGACTTTGTTGATTCGCAAAATATGTGTCCCACAGCTCGGCACCCACAGCCCTGCCAGAAGCATGACTGCTTTCGAAAGGAGCTGCAAATATCTCGTCCAACATCGATACAGCAGAAGAGGGGACCTTGGTAAGTGCGTGCATAACAGTCTTGACAAATTTCTGGTAGGCCCGAGTGAAGTCCTCATCTGGAGAGTCCCCAAATTGGCGGCCTTCGTCCTTGAGCAGTGGTACAAGGGCACCGCTTATAGTAGAAAATGTTTGTACAAGTTGCTGCTCGGAGACGCCTGAAAGAACTTGCTCGATGGTGGTGAGAGCTTCGACAAGAGCGGTAAGGTTGAGTCCATCTGACTGTAATTCTCCCATGATGCATGCATTGAGAAGTTCAAGACCCTTTTCGTAATGCGAGAGGAAAGTTCCCAGAGTGATTTTAGGGTAGTGAAGCTGTGACCGCAGCTGTTCATCTTGTGTGAGTTTCTTCAATGCAGCAAGTACTGATTTTAAGCATTCTCCCAGAATGAAGGTATTTTCGATTTCAGCGCTTTCCTCCCCCAGACTGGCCAGCACGGGGTCTGCACCTAGTTCAATAACTGCGCTTCGTGTCATCTGCCGTATCTGCGCAATGCTTGGACAACGGGTCTGCCCAGAAGCATCATCCTTCTGTTTGCTGCTCTCGATCCATAAGCGGCCCAAGAAGTCCAGAACGCTAGTGGTTGCATGTCTAGCTTCAGAAGATGGTTTGATTTCCTTGCTGCTGGCTTCTCGCAGGGCTTTGAGAAAGTGTGTCCAAGCCACGGCAATGTAGGCTCTATCAGATTGACCGGATGCTCCCCAAGAGCTGTATCGCAGAAGAACGCTGAAGATCTCGATGACGCCGAGAGCTCGGGCACGCACCCACTTGCAATCGATTGTCGGAAGTTCGTCCGGATCAACAGGTGTGCTCTCAAACCCTCGAGCGTCATTGTACAATTTCCTGTTTGTATTGGGGTTCCAGAGAAGAGCAATGAGAATACGGCAAGCGAGATCGGAATTTGCGGCATTCTTTTCGAACAACGAGCTCTTCATCACCTTGACAATGTACTCATTCCAGACCCGCGTGTACTCCTTGTGTGTTGCCTTGGATCGGAAAGCATAGTACAACAGGTTGCAATAACTCGAAGCGGCTGTTGCTCGAGAACTCTTGACAGTTTTGTCCGTGCCTTGACGCTCTAGCTGTGCCGCCAAGGGCTTTGCGAGCATAGCCATGAGACTGCCTGAGGCTTCATGAGGACGGACGAGGTAGACAAAGCGGTTCCAAGCCATGTTAGCTTGCTGTCTGACAGCGGACTCGCTACTGTTGAAGCATCTTTGGATGACAGTCAGCCAGTCCTTGAACTCTGACCAGGTGTTGATTTGTGTATCCGGTCCATTGCTAAGCACGATTACAATAGCCCAGATCTGCGGCACTTGAGATGCTTCCTCTCTAGCACTGATCATCTTCTCAAGTTTTCTGCACATGCATGAGCTGAATTTCTTGCTCGGTGCCAATTCTTTCTCGAGAATTGATCTGACTGTTGCTGAGATCGACATCGACGATCGAAATTCGGAACATGCTTTCATGCCCAAGGCCATGGCTTTCACTCGAATATCCTTCAATGTGCTCGTCATGCCCGTCAGGAGTTCCTCGACCCAGAGATTTGCTCTCGCTTTCATCAGTTGTTTCGCTTGGGCCAAAAGCCTCTGATAGACCAGCAGTCTTTCAGAGACCACCCCGTTCCCTTTGACATGTTCGGGTATTACTTGGAGTGCTTCCAGGAGACGCGCGACTCGGTTGTTGGATGTGATGAGACCTGGGCGAAAGTCTTGCGTGGCGAGCAGATGTAGATAGTGCATTATGACACTCTTGGAAGCAGTATGTTCGTCAATGACTTGGATAGAGCGATCCAGAATAAAAGCACGATACTCGTCCGAAAGCAACGAAGCATATTCTCGACTCCAAACAAATATGACGAGTACTTTCAGAGCTTGGGTTACCAAGTTTGTATCAGCAATAGGTGACTCATCCGGCTTGGATTGTCTGGATAGGTCTCTTTTAATATATTTCAAGATAGTATTGATCTTGCTTCTCAACACAGCCTCTTCTGGTATCTCGTCGTACTCTCGGACGACCGACGTGAGGGTCCGATACGCATCCAAGGATATCTTTCTGTCGTCCTGGGACAGTTGATTGACAATGCTCTCCATCATTTCGTGCATTGAACAGTCTCGGTCCTGTTGATGGTGGACAGATAGGAGCGGCTGATCCTCAGCAGCAACAGGCTTGAGGATAGATTTGAGGGATATTTGGCATTCCGAGGAGGGTGGCAGTGATCTGACTTGAGGTAGGCTGGACGCACGCTGCAAAGAAGACGCGGGCTCGTGAGGATTGGTTCCAGTCGAGAATTCGACGCGTTTTCGACCGCCTGCGGTGGAGGAGCCTGGGAAGGATGATGCTGATTCTGGTGTACTCGTGGCATCTGCCAGAGGCTTAGGGAGGACGGCTTTACGTCGAGAAGAGGTTGAAGGTGGACTAGGAGGCAGGACCATTGGATTCGACATGATTGCGAGAGTGCAATCAAGCGGCAAGGAGTGCTTTTAAGTCATTGGGTGTAACCTTTTGAAGGAAAAAGTGACTGTAAAGCCGGCTTGCAGTCACTTAATACTCTGTGATTGAAGACATAGTCCATGAAGAAGCGTATGCAGAGCAGTATGGGAGTATATCACGACCAGCCACCACTCAACGCGTCTTTGTACGCGCCGACACTTTTCAAGACGTCCGGGCTTAGTTGGCGTCTCGCCTATCTAAGACCGAACACCAATCATTAGACGGAAGAAGTGTTACGTCTGACAGCGTCACCCCACACATCTCTGGTCTCCAAGCAAGCCTATTTTCTGAAAAAGTGGTAGTGTCTGACAGGGAGAGCATTGACGATACAAGTTCAGAGTCCAGCAGGTTGACAACAGCGAGTATCTTGATAGCAAGTTAGTATGACTATACAATAGAGCTGATCACTGTCACTCCATCAAGGGCAGCGATATAGAGTTGTGCGCAAAAACGTTCCGGGTTGACAACGAGGGATGATATGTACTTGAGGCTGGAGACCTACAACCGTCAGACTGTGCGACTTTCGCTGGAAACAGGCTCGCTTGGACACTTCATCCCTTGTCAGATATTGGGCATTTCCTAAGACGTTCTCTACACCGTTCGCTTGCCATGCATTTTATCTCAGACCGCTACAATGCTTACCTCAGATGCCGAGTCGAGGATCGGATGGATGATAACTGAGCTTTTGAAGAACCTGATCGTCGCCATTACAGGTCACTCTCAACTTGAAAGTGAAGTCAACGCAAACTAGAATAACACAGTCACCAACTCGATGTCTATCCCGGCCCAACAGAGCGAAGCCCGAGCCTTGCTCGAACAATTGCAGAATGACCTACGACACCGGAGCCTTTCAGAAGAACAACTCGAAGATGCACTCGCCAAACTTAAGGTTCTCGGACGAGATGTAGGCAACGTCACCGCAATCTACGATGAAGCTGGAGTCGGGGTCTTATGCGCCTACGCCTTCGGACAGTACTCCTCGAACATTCGCCTGGAAACCCTCAGATGTCTAGCGAATGCTCTCCTTCTTCTGCCACAGACCAGAAGATCCTCCATCAACCTGGGGCTCGACAAGACGGCAACGGACACCCTCCAACATGCAAGCACAGATGAAGAATTCCTCCTATCCCGGATCCTATTCCTGTTGACATATGATCCTCAAATCGACTTGTCCGCCCTTATCGACGAGCACAGCCTAGCGGATAGCATTGTTAAGCTGCTTCAGAGACATGCGGAAGCGCTCTCGGAGTCCTGTGGTCATACCAGCAATCCGGCCTTCCCAGAGACCCTAAAGCTACTATTCAACGTGACCAATGCGAAAGTAGAACACATCAGCAAATTCGCCCCAGCAACGGCTCAACTCTCTCGTATCCTCAAGTATACCACAATACCATCACCACCATTACAGCCTCCTCTCAGCCTGATCATCAACGCACTCGCCAACCTCGACTTCGACTCGCAGAGTCTCGAAACCAACCCAAAAGCACCAGCTGCACTCACGAAACTAATGACCATCCTCGAACAAGCAATCCAGAGATATCCCACCACCGAATTGGATACAATCGCAATCCCCTTACTGACAGTACTGAGAAACATCAATAACAAAGCAAGCCCCGAACTGCGGGACCAAATGAAAGCACGCCTGCTTCCAAACGACGAAGAGCGAGACCAACCCCTTGGTAAATCCTCTTCTCTAGCATCGCAGCTATTGCGCTTGACGACTTCAGCGGGCCTGTTGAACCTCTCAGAGGCAATCTCAGGGTTGATGTTTGAACTCTCGGATAAGGATGCGAGTCAATATGTCCACAATGTCGGATATGGGTATGCTGCCGGATACCTCATGACACACAAAATACCTATTCCTGAGAGTGCAAGGAACGGCCAGTATACCGGCGCATCTTCGCGGCAGGTCCCAGTCAATCCCGTCACGGGCCAGAGACTTGACGCAGAGCCCGTGCCCGACCTCCCTCAGATGACAGACGAGGAAAAGGAACGAGAGGCCGAGCGGCTCTTTGTATTGTTTGAGAGGTTAAAAGCTACGGGGGTTGTCGATGTCAAGAATCCGGTGGAACAGGCCCGGGACGAAGGGAGATTTGAAGAGTTGAGCGATTCAGACTCGGATTGAGCGTTCAGATGCAAGCGTACATACTAACTAGTCTGGCTATTAATGATGATGAACAATGAACACCACAAAGTCAATATGGCGAAAGCTTCTCGGTTTACCATCATTTGTGCTTTTCTCTTACATCACATCTCTCGACAACGGGGACCGTTGGCTCCTGTATGATTTCAAGGACATACTCATGAAAAGTTACCTGGTAGGTAGTATTGTTCGCGTGCCTGAGAAGTTGATATCCAAATCACGTGTTCACAGCCATTACATTACGGTCTGTTCCTGTTGGTTGACGACACTGTCACTGTAGATGGTGCCACCCGGAAGCGGGTTTTAAGGCCTTTTCAGCGGGGAATAATTCCTGTTCCTGCATACTTAACGATAAGCTTAACCTCCAAGCTCAACAGGTAGTGGTTAGGGGGCTCGGCACGGGTGCTGTTGAATTTCGGCTGCGCCATCCCTTCTGCTGCACGTCGTCGCATCCCTCCCATCTCCCCCAGAAACTTTTTCCTACGGATGGCGTCCCTCCCTCCTTACCTCCCCACCGTTTGCTAGAAGTCGTTGAGACTTTATGCTACATCCGGAACCCTCTGTCGAGCCCCTTCACCTCACGCCATGGTCCATCGCACTGACTCAATCATGAATGGAACCACTCGAGTCAACGGCGTAAACGGCAACTCCAAAGATGCGTCCCTACAAGCCCTCAAAGCGTCGCGCAGAGCCTCCTCTCCCATGGCTCCTCCTTTTATGACCTCTGCTCCTGGAAAGGTTATTGTTTTTGGCGAGCATGCCGTTGTTCACGGAAAAGCAGCAATGGCTGCGGCCATTTCTCTACGATCCTACCTCCTTGTCACCACACTCTCAAAGTCGCAACGCACAATTACCCTCACGTTTCCAGATATAGGCCTTGACCATACATGGAACATCAGTGATCTCCCGTGGCACGTCCTCAGCAAGAATGGCCGAAAGCCTCGATACTATGACATGGTTACGACGCTGGATCCTGAGCTGGTCGAGGCCATGCAACCGCATATTGATGAAGTGTCACCACATGTCAGTCTGGACAAGAGGAAACGGCATCAAGCGGCAGCGTCTGCTTTTCTATACCTCTTCCTCTGTTTGAGTGCTCCCACAGCTCCTGCCTGCATATACACACTTCGATCCACGTTACCCATTGGCGCAGGACTGGGCTCGAGCGCCAGCATTTGCGTTTGTATCAGCGCGGCCCTACTGAAGCAAATACACGTCCTTTCAGGTCCCCATCACGACCAACCGGAGGAGGAGGTCGACCTGCAACTGGAAAGAATAAACAAGTGGGCATTCGTTGGTGAACTATGTATTCATGGTAATCCCAGTGGTGTTGACAACACTGTTGCGACCAGGGGAAGAGCTGTGCTTTTCAGAAGGGTTGACTATTCAAAACCACCCACCGCCACGCCTCTGAAAGACTTCCCAGAGCTGCCACTGCTCTTAGTCAACACAAAACAGCCTCGTTCAACCTCGGTTGAGGTCGCGAAGGTTGCTACCATGAGAAAGAAATACCCTGCAGTAACCGAGGCTACGCTGGACAGTATCGACGAGGTCACCATATCAGCACATTCACTGATCACGTCAGACAACTTCGATCCAGTATCCGAAAAGAACATTGAGCATCTTGGGGATCTCTTCAGAATCAATCACGGTCTCTTGGTCTCCTTGGGCGTCTCACATCCTAAACTTGAACATATCCGAGAACTAGTCGATTATGCCGATATCGGTTGGACCAAACTTACAGGAGCCGGTGGAGGTGGTTGTGCTATAACGCTGCTCAAACGGGATGTGGACGAAGAATCACTCCGCAACCTGATGGCTAGATTTGAGGCTGCAGGCTTCGAAGAGTACAAGACTACCTTGGGTGGCAGCGGCGTGGGGATCCTCTACCCAGCCGTCCTGCGTAATGGCTCCGACGAAGCAGGCGGGGACGAAATCGACCAGCAAAAGTTCCTCAACGCGGAAGGCGAAGAAGGCATCGAAGCTTTGGTGGGTGTCGGACTTCTGGAGCGAAGACCGGAATGGAAATTTTGGCAATGATGGCCTGTAATTGACTAATGAACGTGCTATGAGCGATGGCGTCTGGAAGCAGCATGTAACAGGATGGTCATCTGGCTTGCAGGTGGTCAAAAGCGTGCTGTATATTATTACTTTGCTTGTTGTCTTAATATGGATGGAGTTCTTCAACTACAGCCACCGAGCCATCAAGGACCTTTCTTAGAAAAGATGGCACCGTATAACAGGGAGTACATCAACGATATGAATTGAAAGTTCTGCAGGTTCGCGACAATGGGTTCCTTGACAGCAAGCCAGTAGGGATGCACGATGGCGTTGATGACCTCGCTTCTGACAATGCTTTAAAGCTCTATCGTTGTGTGCGAAGGACTTCGAGACGACAATAAGACACAATACCTACTTGCACCTGACGAGCGACACTGGTGAGACCGTGCCACTTTTTCCGGAAACCATCACGTGACATACCCAAATATATCGTCCTCGATTGCTATTGTTCTCCCCTTTCCAAACACACATCGTAAAAATATGTGCTGAAATCGGAAACAACTTTCCTATCTCGTGAATAAACCTCCTGCATAATGACCAGAAACTAATTTGTGGTTCAGTCGGTCCACCTTGTGTCTTGCTGAGAAGGGATAGACCTGCTGCCAGCCGCTATGAGGCTTGTTGGCTTCCGAAAATCCAGCGCCCGGTCTTGACAGGTTTCGTCAATCATTGCATTAGACCGCCGGCACCATGGCTGAGAAAGCGTCCAATCTGTCTGGCACAAAACCGAAAACAAAATCTGCCAAATCGAGAGAACCATTCTACGCTGTGTCCCCCCAGTGGAAGGATGTCACACCAATCCCTCTCATCGACGGACCACCAGGTCAAAAGGATCCAGGTCCTGCCCTGGCCACAATCGCCTACTCCCCACGGTACAGCGAAGCAATGTCTTATCTTCGTGCTGTTATGGCTGTCAATGAGTTCAGTCGGAGAGCGCTGGAGTTGACGGAGGACATTATCGGAATGAACCCCGCACATTATACGGTCTGGTTATACCGGGCAAAGATCCTGAAGGTAGTATGGGAGCATGAAGGCACACCCATTGAAGACGGCGTCAAAGTGGAGTTCGAGTGGCTGGATGGCATTAGTGAGAGGACTCTGAAGAACTATCAAATTTGGTGAGTTCATGTTATAGGATTGGTCATTGCCGTTGACTGCGACTCTGATTGACATTCCTTTCCAGGCACCACAGAAAACTCCTTATGTCAATGCTATCTACCTTGCCGCCTACAGAACCAGAGTTTCTAGCGCACATACTTTCCTTCGACTCCAAGAACTACCATGTCTGGACCTACCGGCAATGGCTGTGCCGACGTTTCCCCAATCCCCTATTGACCACGGACATGGAACTTGAAGCCATTGACACGCTTATCAATGAGGACGTCCGCAACAATTCCGCCTGGAACCATCGGTACTTCGTCTGCTTTGGCGCCGAGGAGTTACGGATCATCGAGTCTGAAGGCGCCAACCGCAAGGAGATTCTTGGCAGCGGCAAACTGGTTGTCGACGAAGACGTTGTGGAGCGAGAGATCAACTACGCGAAAGACCACATCGCATGGGCACCACAAAATCCTAGTCCGTGGAATTACCTCAGGGGGGTCCTCAAACATGCAGGCATCCCAACTACGGACCTTCAAGTATATTGCGAAAGCTTCATAGGTGGCAGAGGAGCAGATCTGATGGGCGATCAAGTCAGGAGTAGTCATGCCATAGATTGGCTGGCAGACATTTACAGACAAGACGGAGACCTCGAGCGAAGCAAGCTGTGTCTGGAGGCTTTGGGCAAGAAATGGGATCCGATAAGAAGGAAGTACTGGGACTATCGGGCGATGCAGTTAGCTGAGCTTTGAGTGAATGGCGATCTAAGGTTCAAGCATTCGTCCAAGGCAAGAAAGAAGAGAAGACACAAACAAGCAGAGGCAGCGTGAACTGACGTGCGTGGCCCTTTGCGGAGCGCCCTATACTTCGCGGTATTAATGCTCCATTGTCTGCCGCCAAGACTATCTTACTTATTTTGACCGAGTCCTCGTTGCATCTTGAGGTGTCGCCAGCAAGAGCCTTTCATGTTGTCGGAGTGTCGTCCAGGTGATCTTGATGACACTTCATTCGGCTGATTATACCCAGGTGCGAGAGGTAGGTGCGCACTCGAAATCAAGCACAACTTGGGCGGTTGGCGTCGGCAGCCATCTGATACCTGTGCATATTTTCACCACGTACATTTTACCTAACACTGCTACCCCGATTTCTCATGGTTCCACCGGGGTGCAGCATATACTTCGAAGACTCGATGAAATCTATGCCAGTTCCTGATGAAAGACCCAGAGATAATGGATCTCCGTCAAGCCTTGAACAACTTTTTGAGGACAGTCTTACGTTTACAGTGAATGGAGATTTCCGCAATGGAGGCAACAGTGACCTTCTAGAACGGATTGAGAAGATTCGGTCGACCAATCTGTTTGTCATGGCGGATCACACTCCACGTTTACGGAGAAGGACTGGGCGGCAGATGCCTCAATCAGATCATGGGGAAGTTGTCAAAGGGTGTGTGCCCACAGCTTCTTCGTCTCCTGGAGATCCACAGGCGTTGCGGAGGGTCGGGGGAGCCGGGGTGGTATAAAAGAGTCCAGAGCTGTCGTTGGTGCTATCACTCCGTCTCCTCAACCTCAAGCTTCTGCTCACTGTGTCTGAAAATGGCGGACACTTCAGGGCAGCATATGGCATCCGCAGCCATGGAGCATGATATTCAAAACGGCCCTTCCAAGACACAACGTTCCAGCATTGACATTGAAAAGGGGGAAGACCACGATCATGTCGAGATCGAGGCAAAGCCGATCCCACCACCGTCTGGGAATGCGCTAGCCAAGAAGCTCAAGAGTCGACATATGCAGATGATAGCTATCGGTCAGTTGGAAAGATCTTGAGTCTCTCGTCCCTTCCACTGACAAGCATGACAGGAGGTTCCATCGGTGCCGGACTCTTCGTCGGCAGCGGCTCAGCCCTTCGCTCAGGAGGTCCAGCATCCTTGATCATCGGCTTTTTGATCACGGGCTTGATGATGCTGTGTACCATGCAGGCGCTCGGAGAACTCACCGTGCTCTATCCTGTCAACGGCGCCTTCTACTCCTACGCAGTCCGCTTCATCGACCCGTCCTGGGGCTTTGCGATGGGCTGGCAGTACGGGCTCGCATGGCTGACCGTCTTGCCATTCGAGTTGACCGCCGCTTCCATCACGATCGAGTTCTGGCGCAGCGACATCCACCCTTCCGTCTTTATCGGATCATTCCTCGTGATTCTCTGCCTCATCCAGATCTTCGGGGTCCGCGGCTATGGCGAAGTCGAATTCTTTCTGTCTATGGTGAAAGTCTGCGCATGCATCGGTTTCATCATTTTCGGCATCGTCGTTGACGTTGGCGGCGTCTCGACAGACAACAGGGGCTATATTGGGGCAGAATACTGGCATGAACCGGGTGCTTTCCGCAACGGCTTCAAAGGGTTCTGCAGTGTGTTTGTGACGGCTGCATTCGCATATGGAGGGACTGAACTTGTCGGTCTGGCTGCCGCAGAGGCGACTGACCCAGCGAGATCACTGCCCCGAGCTACGAAGCAGGTCTTCTGGCGGATCTTCTTCTTCTATGTCGTCAACTTATTCATCTTGGGGCTGATTCTCCCCTCGGATGACGACAACCTACTTGGCTCCAGCGGCGCGAACACCAAAGCATCTCCGTTCGTCCTGGCGATCAAAATGGCCGGCGTGCCTGCGCTACCATCGATCTTCAATGCCGTCATCACTATCTCGGTCATCAGCGTCGCCAATTCGTGCACCTTTGCCAGCTCTCGTACGTTGCAGGCTCTGGCGGCGAATCGCATGGCGCCTCAATTCCTGTCGTACATCGACAAGTCGGGCAGGCCGCTCTGGTGCATCGTCCTGCAACTCTTGTTCGGGTGCATCGCTTTTGTCGGAGAGGCAAACGTCTCGGGCCAGATCTTCACTTGGTTGCTCTCGTTGACGGCCCTATCGTTTTTCTTGGTCTGGCTCAGCATCAACCTCGCCCATATTCGCTTCCGGGCAGGGTGGAGACGGCAGGGCTTCTCAATTGAGAACCTACCGTATCGTGCTAGCTTTGGCGTCTATGGGTCATATCTCGGTCTGTTCCTGAATGTCATTGCTATAATCGCGACGTTTTATGTCAGCTTGTTTCCCTTAGGCGGCAAGCCGAACGCCAAAGTCTTCTTCGAGAATTACTTGGCGGGACCCTGCGCCCTCGGGTTTTATGTGTTCTGGAAGCTGTACTCCCGCAATTGGAGTTTGTTTATACGGGCGGGAGACATGGATGTCACAAGTGGGTTGAGGCCAGGCTGGAATGAAGTGCCTCAGGACGGTACGCAGAAGCAATCAGGATTGAGGAGGGTGCTCTCCGCCTTTATATGATGGAACAAGGACATGGACGACTGTCTAAAGCACAGCAATGTGGACTGGATGGCAAGGGATATAAAGCAATACACACTCTGCCTCCATGCAGGCATAAAATTGAGAGTATTCGACAAAGTGTAACATACCTTGATACTCATATTTTATCCTCTTTTGGCCCTGACGGGAGTTCTGGCCAGAGTCAGACTTGAGTTTGGGATGGTACAGGTGCGAGACGCCTTTTCTTATTGTCGTCTCGAAGTCCTTCGCACACAACGATAGAGCTTTATGCATTGTCAGAAAGGAGGCCATCAGCTCCATCGTGTATCCCTATTGGCTTGCCGTCAAGGCACCCATTGTCGCGAACCTGCAGAAGTTCAATTTGAATGGTCGATGTAATCTTCTGGAAACCGGCTTGCCAGGTACGGAGTACACAGATCTAGTCGAGATGAAGGAGCTGGGCTCCATCACGTGATATCAAAAGTCTCGCCTTGGCAAGGGCGCAGGTGGCAGTCGCGCAGCAAGTAAAGTTGACAGCATCCTAAACATTCACATTCATTCCCATTCCCAATACTCTCATCTGTTATTCAGTTCTTGCAATGAATACTCTTACTTCTTGACGGCCCTGAATCATCCTATACTTGATCAGTAAACAACATGGCCTCAGGTCAGCCATGGATCAACCAGGACCTGGGTGGAGATGATGAGGAATCCGACAATGAATTCAACCCGGGTGTCGAAGCAGGCTCCGACGCCGAAGGCGATAGAGAAGATGCGAAGCCGCAAAGTAATAGGAGAGACGTCAATCCACAATCTGACGACGACGACGGAGCCCCGGAGCCCAGAACGAACGGCAACAGATCCACGTCCCCAGATCGAAAGCCTAGACGATCTCCCGTAGACGAGGATGATGCTGATGGAGACGAGGACGAAAAGCTGGACAATGGTGAGGATGATGAAGGTGAAGGCGAGGATTTGAACGGAGACGACGATGATGAGGACGAGGAAGAAGAGGATGAAGACGACGAGGACGCAGTTACAAGTCGGCCACGCAAACGAAGAAGAAGAGGCCTCAACCAGTTCTTCGAAGAAGAAGCCGAAGTCGACGAAGATGATGACGATGTTGAGGCAGATGAAGACGACCTGGGTCCAGAGTTCATACAAGATACACATCCGGACGATGACCTACCTCCCGAAGCAGATCAAGACGATGCTAGACACAGAGAACTTGATCGAAAGCGACAATTGGAAGCCTCCATGGACGCAGAACAGGAAGCCGCTGCGTACAAAAAGAAATACGGTCGGAGAACGGCTGCAGCACTCAGCAACACTTCTTTCGTGCCGCAGAACCTACTCATGCCAGACGTCAATGATCCGAGTATTTGGGGCGTCAGATGCAAAGCCGGAAAAGAACGCGAGATTATCAGCAGACTCATGAAGAAGTTCTTTGAGAGCCAGAGCAGCCGAACTCCTATGCGGATCTGCTCGGCTTTCGAGCGTGGCGATGGACCCATGGCAGGCTATATCTTCGTGGAGGCTCGAAGCAAGGTAGACGTGGACGATGCACTCAACAATGTGGCGGATGTCTATCCACGATCGAAGATGAACCTCGTACCCGTCAAGGAGATGCCCGACCTGTTGAGAGTCAACAAAAGCAAAGAGCTCGAAGTTGGTGGCTACGTGCGTATCAAGCGAGGCTTGTACCAGGGCGATCTGGGCATGATCGAGGCCGTCGAGTCCAATGGTCTTGAAGTGACGGTCCGACTAGTCCCTCGGCTTACCTATGGCATGGACGAAGACACGATGCGACCCGGAAATGCAGACGCCAAGCGGAAGCGCCCGAATACTTTTGGACCCGTCAACAACTTTGCAAACCGACCTCCACAGCGACTGTTCAACGAGGCGGAAGCGCGGAAAAAGCACGACAGATTCATGCAACAGAACAGAGGCCTTTCGAACAAATCTTGGACCTACAAAGGCGACCAGTATGAGGACGGTTTCTTGATCAAAGACTTCAAGCTACAGCATCTCGTCACGGAGAACGTGAACCCACGACTTGATGAAATCACCAAGCTTACCAAGACCGCTGCGGATGGTACCGAGACCCTCGACCTGGAGTCTCTTGCCCACAGTCTGAGGAATACAACGGCTGAAGGTAGCTTCCTACCAGGTGATGAGGTGGAAGTCTATGAAGGCGAACAGAGAGGCATTGTCGGCAGAACCGAAGCAGTCAATGGCAACATTGTGTCAATCATGGTAACACAAGGTGATCTGACTGGCAAGCTTGTCGAGGTGCCTGTAAAAGGCCTCCGGAAGCGCTTCAGAGAAGGTGACAATGTTAAGATTGTCGGTGGGAGCAAATACCGTGATGAGGTGGGAATGGTCCTTCGTGTCAAGGACGACAAAGTCACAGTTCTCACCAACACGACCAACGAAGAAATCACTGTCTTTAGCAAAGATCTCAGAGAGGCAACGGATGGAGGCGGTGATGGCGCTGGAACGAGCAAGTTTGACGTCCAGGAACTGGTACAGATTGAGTAAGTATGGCCTATGAGATGTGCCGGGGAGATTACTAACTTTATGGCAGTCCTACCACGGCTGGCTGTGTCATTAGAGCTGACCGCGAGTCGGTGCGGATATTGGATCAAAATGGCTCGGTCACCACTCGAATGCCTTCGCAAATCCAGAAGATTGAGGCCCGGAAGAATGCCGTCGCCACAGATAAGAACGGCGCCGAAATACGTATAGGGGATGTTGTTCGCGAGTCAGGCGGAGAAGGCAAAAGCGGCACGATACTCCATATTCATAGAGGATATGTCTTTGCACACAACAAGCTTGGAATCGAGAACTCGGGGGTGTGGGTGGCTCGGTGCACCAACGTCATCACCACGGCAGCAAAGGGTGGACGGATTACAGCACCTTCGACCGATCTAACGAAGATGAATCCTGCCCTTCAGATGAAGCAACGATCGGATATGGCAATGGCGCCGCCTCAACGACCTGGACGAGATCCACTCCAAGGACGGCTGGTTCACATCAACAAAGGTACCTACAAGGGACATCGTGCGATTGTCAAAGACACCACAGCTGGAGAGGCAAGACTCGAACTCCAGACAAAGAACAAGGTGGTCAATATCAGCAAATTTGACCTATCTATTATTGAGTACGTCTGATCATCCTACAATGCGCGAGGAAGCTAACATTATCCCAGTGAACATAACCAGAGCAAGACTAGATATGAGGACTGGTCCAAGACGCGTGGTGGCCCGCCCTCTATGCGAGCTGGACATGGTTCTGGAGGTTCGCGTATTCCAGATGCGGGTGGTTTCGGAGGACGAACTCCCATGGGTGTCATGGGTGGTAGCCAAACTCCAGCATGGGGTTCATCATCCCGAACACCGGCATGGGGCGGTCCTAGCAGCTCTGGCCTTGAGAGTGGCCGTACTCCAACTTGGAAAGGTCCGTCTGGTTCGCAGACGTCCTATGGCGGCGCTGGCGGTGGTATGACATCCTACGGAGGTACTGGCAACTATTTGACAGCCGGGGCAGCCGGGGCCGCCGGCGGCCGAACGCCAGCTTGGAGTTCCAGCGCAAAGACTCCCTATGGTGCCGACCACGGATTCAGTTCTTCCGGTGGTTCAGGTTTTGATGGTTTCGGAGCCGGCTCAAGAACCCCAGCCTATGTTTCCTCATCATCTCGCACACCAGCTTGGAGTGGGCCAGGCAACACAACGTCAGCACCAACACCGTCTGCGCGGCCATACGATGCCCCCACTCCAGGAATCTCCGCACCCACACCAGGTGCATCTGGTCGACAAGACGACGACGCCTATACTCCATATCTGGGTGCCCCCACACCAGGCGCTGGTGCCTACGATGCTCCTACGCCTGCACCCAGCTTTGTCAAGAACGCAAACCATGAGCCTCTCGCCCATAATCGTTTGGCTTTTGAGGCGCCTACACCTGCCGCCAGCGCATCTACACCGTACGCTAGTGGTGCTTTTGATGCTCCCACACCTGCGGCTGGGGGACCTCGATACCTCGATGATGACGATGACTGAAAAGGTCTCCAAAGATATTGCAGGCATGGGCTTCTGCTCAATATGTATCAATTAGCATAACCAACATGACAAGGGTCGGCTATGGAGCGGCGTCGTGTTACACGCAGGGGGAAAAGTCGTAGTCTGCAGCGAGGTAGTCGACCTTTGCAGTCGACACCATAACACGTGTTTGTATTATCAGATATCCCACCAATGCAGTCCGCGAGCACGGACAGTGCTCATCTTCACTGACCTGTGTATGATTCTCCCAGACACTTCGCACGTACATCTAGTAGGAGCCAAGGGATGCCTAAGACTCATATAGTCTGGTACTAGCAATGAATCCGCCAGTCTTTAACTTCGTGCAGACTCCCCGACTGCATATCCTCTGGCGATCCCGCTCCGGCCCTCCTCAACTCGAGCTCCATCGCTTTCCTCCTCATACTTGACCTCGAAATTGCTCCCTAGACCATGCCAGCCGCGTTTCTCCCGGAGGTATTCTGCTGCGGGCGATGCGACTCCGTTCACGGAAATCATATCTCCTTTGGTCCGTCGTGTCAGGGCTGTTGAGGATGCAGCATTGAGGCCGGACTGCGCGGAGATTTGATGCGGCTTGATCTTCTGCATGGGTCTTGAGCGAGACACGTAGCGGCCGGTACGGAGGTCGAATTCTGGAGGTTCAGATTCTGACTCGGAGTCGCTCCTGGCATCAGCTTCGCCAATGCCATTTGACTCAGGCACATCGTCGTCGCCAGATAGTCGGTGGGAGCGTGCTTGCTCTTCACGCCTCGCCGCGTCTTCGAGAACAGCCTGGAAGTCAGCGCGCCATTCACCTGTCCACAGACGAGTGTCATCGGACTGCAACACCATATCGAGCTCGAATGGAGTGATGATAGGCCGGTAGAATTCTTTACTGTCGATTAGCGAACTCTCCCAGCACCCGATTACGACCCAGCCTCCGATTTCGGAGAAGTTGGCGATTTTGGCGGGGTTGAGTTTGCCGACGACGAAGAGGTAGGATTTCTTGCCGGCGGCGGCGATTTGTCGCTGGATATGCGAGAGGACGTCGAGGTAGTTTTTGACGCTGAGGGTGTTGATTAGGATGCCCCAGATGGGGACGGTGGTGAGGGATGTGATGAGGGCGTAACGGCGGCGTAGGAGGAAGCGGGTTGATGTCTCTAGGGCTGAAGATGGGTCGGTACTGGTGTTGACCTCGGTGTTGTATACTCTTATACTGGCCATACGGGAGGTTAGAGTCAGGAGGAGCGAGGTTGGCGGGTCGGAGATGTGGAAGAGGTTCCACTCTGATAGGGATGCGGTGTCTTCGACGACAGATTGTGGAAGTGTCCGGTTGGGTATTGCGGAAGACGGGTCGTGGACTATAGATGCTGGGAAAAGATTTTGGTAGCCTTGAGCCTGGAGGAGGTTGTATATAGGCCGGACGTGTGCGGCGTAGGGCACGTCGGCTGTTAATATGACTTTTGCGGCGAGGTCTGGAAAGGCTTCTCGGAAAGATTTGACCGCGTCGTTGTGGTCTAAGGGCATGGCGGTGTAGATGTGGAGGACGGGCAGTCTTGCTGTCGGCGAGAGACAGGCTCGTCCGTAGTGCACCACGGCATCCGCATCGACGTGCTCGGCGGCAACCTCGTCGACGCAGCAGGATCCGTAGGACGTGTCGCCTAGGATTGTGAGTTTGACTGGTTGAGTTTCATGGATGCTGAGATCTGATAGACGGGTTTCGGTAGACAAGTGGCTATTTGTTGGCTGGTTGGCTGGAGGTTTTCGCTCGTCAAGTCCACGGGCTAATAGTTGATAAACCCGGGCTGAGTGAGGGAGCATATGGTCCGGAAACTGTAGGGCGACCCGTCTCCATTTTCGTGAATTGATTTCGTTAATGGTCCTGCTGATTTCATATCTGGTGTTTAATTGTTCGTCGGAAAGTTTCTCTGCTGGACTTCGAGAGATATCTGGTAGACCTTCGTTCAGGATATGCGTCTCAGGAGTCGAAAGGACTGGAGGCGCGGTAAGTTCTTGAGCCATGTTGATCAACCAAGACTGACGGCGAGGGTCTCGTCAGAAAGGTAGTCCTCCAGACTTGAAATTGGTGTCCTAAGGTCGACGGTGGCCACCATCGATTGCCGCAGAGAGAGACAAGGCTGAGAAAATTTATGTCTTGGTTCGCTCTGTTTAGTAAGCTAACGGTAGCGTTGTGATTGGGTGGGCGACGGAGCATCATCAATCAAGTCTTTCACTTATGATGCTTCCATCTTCGCTTCTCAATCGCATTTACCGCCCTGGAGAAGGCATCTCTATCTGTGTCGAGGCCGTCAAATACCCAGAGCAACCTCCGACAATCGGGCGTTCGCGGCGACGACCGGTCTCCTCAACATGTCGATCGTGCTCACTCTTTTCCATGCGGTCCAGGCATGCGGTGGCGTCTATACAGGCTTGTTTTCCGCCATGGCCGTCTACAACCTGAAGCAAAACGAGGAGCAGGCCGAGAATGCAGCAAAGTACTCAAATACAGCCGAACATCAGCTACACAAGACTAGAACAACTCAGACCAGTGGAGCAATAGCGGTAAGCTACGTCTATGCGGACTCGCCAACTTCACAATACTAATACCAGTTGCCAGAGCATTTCTTCCATTGTCACATCTGTCGTCCTTGCAGTCAATCCCTTCGGACAATCCAGAACATGGCCCTTACTGCTGAGTGCGGCCAACGCTGGTGGTATTTACCTAGGCTATCGACACGTCTCGAGTTTCTGGCGTCACAAGGCTAAAGTCCCCTTCTTCACGGACTACAACGATGGAATTACAGCTTCGAATTCGATGTTGCAGTTGTTGCTGGTCCTATCAGGCTCTTGGGCTGTTTCATTTGTTTTGTATCTCTGGCCAGGCCTGGCTAATTGAGACTTTGAACCCCAACTCAAAAACGCGGAACACAATTACGTCGAGGTTTGTAAGCGTCGGGCACTCCAAGCTTCGGATAAATACTTAAAGACGCACCAGAGCATCAGGTTAGGTATGGGTGCTTTTGCCGGTGAACTGGTGCCCCACGAACAACAGCCTTCTCCAGCGAAGGGGCCTTTTCCGATGCGGGGTCTTCTTCTACCACCAAAACTGCCTTCATTCCCGGCATCTGCCATTTCCCTTTCTTGTCTCATACCTGTTGTCAAGCTCGGCTTCTTTCATTCTTCGAAACGACAGATACACAATATTCGATTGCGCAATATGGATCCGTTCGAGTACAATGCCAACCCAGGCCGAGTCGTCTTTGGCCCGGGCAGCATCCAGAAGCTCCCTGACGAAATCAAGCGACTTGGACTGAAATCACCTCTTCTCTTGTCTACACCACAGCAAGTCAGCCAAGCAGAAGATCTTGCAAAGATCCTGACTTCGGCCTCCATCGAGCCTGCGGGCACGTATAACAATGCTACCATGCACACTCCCTCCCACATCACCGAAGAAGCCATGTCCTTCCTGCATTCCAAGTCCGCAGACTGCGTCGTGTCAATAGGAGGAGGTTCCACAATCGGTCTGGGTAAAGCCATCTCAATCCGAACAGGCCTATACCACATCTGCATCCCGACAACATACGCTGGCAGCGAAATGACCCCTATCCTTGGAGAAACACAAGACGGACGCAAAGCCACTCGGTCAGATCCCAAGATCCTTCCTGGCACAGTAATTTACGATGTGGACTTCACGATGACGCTTCCGGTCGCCCTCAGCGCCACCTCCGGCGTCAACGCCATCGCTCATGCAGTCGAGGCTCTATATGCGAAGAACAAGAATCCTATCATATCACTGCTAGCTATTGAAGGCACAAAGGCTCTCGCAGAATCTCTACCGGAGATCATCGAAAATGCACAATCACAACCGGCACGTGAGAAGGCCCAGTACGGTGCATGGCTATGCGGAGTGTGTCTGGGCTCGTCAGCCATGGCACTGCACCATAAACTCTGCCACACGCTCGGTGGATCTTTCAACCTCCCACACGCCGAGACACACACGATCGTGTTACCCCATGCCCTGTCATACAATGCACCAGCCATTCCAGAAGCCATGGAGAAGTTGGCTACCGCACTACCTGGTAGCGAAGGTGACGCGACCAAGGGGTTGAATGTCCTGCTTGAGAAGCTCAAGGTGAAGCGCGCGTTGAAGGACTATGGTATGAAGGAAGAGGACATCGACAAGGCTGCTGAGATTGCGGTCAGCAACCAGTACCCGAATCCTAGAAAGATCGAGAAGGAGCCGATTCGGGAGCTTATTAGACGGGCTTGGGCTGGCGAGCCTGCAAGGGCGGACTTATAGATAGTTTTCTAATGTCGCAATTAAACCAACCCTGAATGTCTCTGAGGGTGTCTTTGTCTTTTGTCAATATACTGTAATTCACAATGTCGTACTCCCTGAGAGCGCCCAAATGCTCTATACCCAAGGTTTGAAGTTCGCCTCTTCCTGTCTAGATGATGCATGTCGGTCTACAAACCGCTTCCCACTTTTCCGTTACAGACTGAAAATTGGCAACACATATGCACACTTTTATTCGTCGCTGTCCGTTGTGTTTTTCGGCATCTTTTCCTTCTCCGGGGTCCACCGACTCACGATCGTGAACCCCAAAGCCAGCGCAACCATCAATATCCAAATCAAATGTCCTCCCAGGACGCCACTCCGCACGCTGGCGGCAAAGAGACTCGCGAACAGCGCCGGCGAAAATGCCCGCATCCCACTGATCAGCGTCAGGGCGACGGCGTTGAGCGTCCCAAGCACGGCTGGGCTGGGACTCACATCGTTCAGCACGAGCTGAATGGCTGTAAATGACATTGCCACACCGCTTCCCAGAATCATACTGGGTATGACGACGGCGAGGAAGACGGCGGTCAGGCCCCTGCGGAGAAGGAGATTGCAGCATGGCAAGATGACGAAGAAGAATGGATAGGCCGTTGCGCATAGACGCATGACGCCCGCGGTGCCCATGCGCGCTTGCAGCCAGGGGAAAGCCAGGAGGAGCCATAGTGCCTGACTTAGCCCTGTGATGGCCATGAACATGGAGATTTGGAGTGGTGTGAGGCCGAAGCCGCCTAGGTGGACTGGCGTGAAGAGGAAGACGGGGCAGATGGCCGTGTAGGAGAAGGCAAGGGTCATTACGTGCGCGTAGATGTATAGTGTTATTGGGACGCCGGGGGCGCGGAGGAGGTCGAGGGTCGACATGGGTGGTTTCTTGTCTGCTTCGGAGGACTCGGGTTTGAGGACGAGAGTCTGTTTTGAGCAAGGTTAGTTGTAGGTCAGAGAAAACATGATACGTGGCGAGGCTGATGGGGAAAGGGGGGTGGGTGAAGGGCGTCTGCGTACCTCTTTGATGCATGTTGCGCTGGTTATGGTTGCGATGGCGCCAATGGCGCCTGATGCAAAGGTCGCGAGGGCGTAGGGGTAGTCGTGGAAGAACTTGAACCTGCCGAAGAGCCTGGGGTATTCTGTCGCCGGCCTTGAGAGGGCGCCCCCTATGATCGGCCCCAAGAGGATGCCCAAATTACCTGTGAAGGCGAAGAAGCTGAAGGCGCGAGCTTGGGTTTTGTCGGTGCTGTTTTCGCTGATCATGGTGCGGATTGTACTGGGTTGTCATCAGGTTAGCACGATGCAGCAAGGGTTACTAGAGCGTGGTACTACTTACACGATAGTCCCGCCAAAGATGCCGGCGAAGCATCGAAATAGAATCATCTGCCATATTGTCTTGCTGAGGCCGAAGATGGCTGTTGCTATCGCGATGCCGCCCAGGGAGGAGACTAGGACAGGTTTGCGGCCCCAATAGTCCGCCGCTCGACCCCAGGGGATCATGAGAAGCATCTGGGTTAAGGAGAAGAGGGATTCCTGTACGTGAGTCAGTCATGCTCCATGCTAGGAGCCGGGGGTACGGAGTCGTATGACTGACTATGAGGCCGCTGTAGAAACCGACGTCGGTCTCTGCTACTTCGCCAGTTTCCCAGATCATCTGATTGATAAAGGGAAAGATGCAGAAGAATGCAATGGGTTCGATAAGGCGCGCGAAGCATAAGAAGAAAATCTGGTCTTTTGGAAGAGGCTTGTCGTCCTCATTGTCGTTCTTGGTAGTGCCATTTTCGCTGTCCTCAATGTCGCCAGGTACAGGCTTGCCAGGTGCGGCGAGTAGTGCTGTAGTCTCGTCGGCTGCATGCTCGGTTGCTTCTTCCTCGGCGGCCGTCATTGTTGATGCTCAGAGTTTCCTGACGGTAGTGCGTTTGATAGGAAGAGCAAGTTTTGTGGTAAGCCAACTACTAGTAGCGGCGCAAAAGGATTTTGGAGGTTCAGAGCGTCAATGAGTCAGGCACCAAAGAGTCGTAAGTCTCGACAACCTCAACATTCAAGCCGTTGCGACTTTGTCCCACTTCGCCTAGCAAGGCCGCCAATTGCTCTCAATGTCGATTATCGTTAGTTTGATGGAGATCAGCGTAAGAAGTATCGGTGAACATTGGGCGGAGGTTTAGTTAGTGATGGCAACACGACAAGGCAGTTTCCAGAAAAAGTGGCACCGTCTGACCGTGGTACCTCTTCAGGTCCAAATACACATCTTTCCTTGTTGTCAACCTGAAGTGCTTCGCCTGCAACATTATAGTGTTCGCCCTTGACAGGAGGAAGGCCATCAGCTCCACAGTATATTCATACCAGCTTGTAGTCAAGGCGCCTACCGTCGCGAACCTGCTGAAATTCGACTTTGTATCGTCGATGTACTGACCGTCAGACAAGGCCACTTTTCCTGGCAATAGGCTTGACGGCACCGCCTATAGACAAGCTTCTCGGTGCCAAACTGCCTAAAGAGGGTTCCACCAATTGACGCCTGCATCTCCAAATTTTGTCTTTGCGACTGCACTTTTGCTTCTCCAAATCTACAAAGATTCACAACGACCTTAACCAGGCTTAAAGCTACATCGGCAAAGCTACAGGTGATGAGGTTGTGATCTCCTCCCTCGACAACCATGTTCGACACCATATGTACCCTCCCTCTGCAGTCGGACCTCTTCGCTCAAGTCATCCACCCAACCGAACCCCTCTTCGCCGTTGGGCTTTCTTCTGGACATGTCCAAGCATACAAACTTCCATCCGACACAGATCTGGTGGACGATGGTTCTGAAGACAGCCACGAGTCAGCAGGATCCGGGAATATAACAAATGGAAATGGCTCTGTTCCGGTGTCGTCCTCTCTACGAAGAGGCTCTTCGGCCAGTGCTTCAGAAAGTGGCCTTGGGTCAGTAAGCACAATTTGGAGTACAAAAAGGCACAAGGGCTCGTGTCGATGTCTTGCCTTCAGCCACGACGGTCAAATATGCTACTCAGCCGGTACCGATGGCTTGGTCAAGTCTTTCATGACAGAATCTGGGAAGGTCGTTGGCAAGATCGCGATACCACAGAGCAAAGGCGGTCCGGCTGCTGATGCACCAACTGTACTGCATGCTCTGTCACCGCAGACGCTTCTACTGGCCACTGATGCTGGGAAATTATACTTGCATGATTTGAGACAAGATGGCAAGGAAGTGACGTCCACAGCAAGTCAGACGTGGGCACCGCACGGAGACGAGCATATCAACGCACTTGTACCTTTACCAGCTAGCGAAACCAGCACCAGTGGGTTTCCAAAGCAATGGGTCAGTGTTGGTGGCACCACTCTCGCAGTGACAGACCTCCGCAAAGGCACCATTGCCACGAGCGAAGATCAAGAAATCGAATTGACCAGTGTCACGTTGCTACAAGGTCTCAAGAAGGGCGGCACAAGTGTTGGAGAGAAAATCCTGGTCGGCCAGGGTGACGGCGTGATGAGCCTGTGGGAGAAGGGTGTCTGGGATGATCTGGACGATCGGGTTGTGCTCGACAGAGGCGGTCTCTCAATTGAGAGTCTGGCTGAGGTCCCCTTAGGGTACGGGCGGGGTAAGTTGAAGATGAATGAAAAGTTAGTGGCTGCTGGCCTGGAGGATGGACGAGTCCGCTTTCTGCGAATTGGTCGCAACGGAGTCCTGAACGACATGGATGCCAAGCACGATGAGATCGACGGGGTGGTCGCCCTTGGTTTCGACATCGAGGGAAGAATGATCAGTGGTGGAGGCCAGATCGTCAAGGTATGGACAGAGGCGAAAGGACTTCCTGGCGGAGGACGTGCCAACCACAAGCATGATATGTCATCGGACGACGACGACGACGAAGATGATGAAGACTCGGAAATGGAAGCCAGCAGCGATGAAGAAGGCAAGGCCAAGTCCAAAAGGAAGAAGAGAAAGAGGAACAAGGGAAAAGACAAGGCTGGTGGAAAAGCTCTCGATTTTTCTATGTGATCCAGGCCATGAAAAGTGACAGCGTTATTATCAATGATCCCCAAGATTTTTTCGATACCCCAGCCAACAATGGAAACCACTGTTGCAGCCAGCTCGGACGTCGTTGACCTGAAGTTCGGATTGGCGACAGATTCAGCGCCCTACGATGTCTCGTCAATGTTCGACGCCGTCGGTTTACGCTGAGCCTCTTTGCCCAGGATCCGGTCGAGATTGGCCACCAAGTTTTTGACGAATCCTTCCTCGTCCATGATACTCAGGTAGTCGACCTGCAGACCCAGTCGATGCATACCCTCCGCCAAGAGACCCTTGAGTTGAAACTTCTTGATCTCGGCATCGTGTCGAGCCATGAGCTGTTTCAATACCAGAACTCTCTCAGCAGTCATCCCTTCAATGTCTGGCCATAGTGTCGCCACTTCTTGGAGTACCTCAGCCGCAGTTTCTTCCTTAAAATCGACGGCCTCGGCGTCGACGAATACTCTGAGGGCCGTGTTTGACCTTAGCGGACGATATGCAATATCGGCATCGGCTTTTGCCAGCAGCTTCTTCATGTCGTTTCCACAACCCTCGCAAAGCTCTACGATGACCTCCCCAACCGAAGCGGGCATACGTCGGCCGACCTGAGCGGAGTGTTGAGCAATCTTCTTGCTCCATGAGCTCCTCCTCGCCTTGACACTTTTCTCAGTGTTGCGATACTCGTGTCGATAGAAGATGTCGTCCTTCGCAAGGGCGTATGGTGTGCAAAGCTCATTCTCTGGCATGAGAAGAGCGTAGCATTTCAGCTGGTTTGGCTGCTGTTCTTGGATTGGGGTGACAACGTAACAAGTGCGGTATTCGTCGTCATCCCAGGTAAGAACATGACTTGGTCCATGGACACCGACAACCTGCTTAGTGATGCCATCCATGCTTTTGTACTTTTTGTCGAGACTGGGCTTAGCATAACCAACCACGAGAAAACGTGCGGTGCCCGGTTGGAGAGCTGAATCTGTGCTTTGCTCTCGCAATGTGAAGTTCATGCTGGGGCGAAAGATTGGCGGTCCTTGTGCACCACTGGTCTGGTTCTGCTTGATCAAATCGTTCCAGTGACTGCTGCTTGGGTTCCGAGCAATGATGACCTGATGTTCGTCACGTTCGCCGCTCTTGTCTTTGATAGCCTTGCCGAATATGTTGAATGCGAGATCCTGGAGCTGGTCACCTACGGCCTTCTTGCCTTGTCGGCCTTCTTGCCTTGTCGGCCTTCCTCTCTTGGAAGATCTGAAGACGGAGACTCCATGGCTGCAGCTGAAACCGGCTCGTTATCGACGCTGTCCGTTTGTACTATACTACGATAGAAGGAGCAGGGAGGCAGTGATCGGGCTCGAGATAACAGGCGTAAAGTTCTGAGGACGGTGGCACATAACGTCGACTCTGTGTCAAGGGATTTTTCACTTTACCTCACTCTTAAGCTGACTTCCATTCACTTTCCTCTTAACTTCACCTGAATCTTTCACTTCCACCTCACTGTCGCTGTGACTTCCTTTTACTTGCCTCTTGTTTTTAGTCACCTCTCACCTTCACTTGTCCCTCAACTACACCTGAGTTCCACTCCTTTTCTGTAGCTGTTAGACTCGCTTCGCTAAACATATACCTGACCCGAGGCATACTCTGATATCTAGCACGACGTTGACGACCTCGCATCGTGGCAATGGCGAAGACGACGAAAAAAGTGCTGTGACGTCGACGAGGCTCCTATTTCACCTACGAGTTCGTCCGTGCGACTGTTCCACGTGCCCAGGCATTCTGAGCAAGTCATACTGGGAACGTGGTATCGACTTGTACGCAGTAACTGGCGATGTCATAATTCTTTGGTTATACTGCAAGTATAATAGGCGGTGGAAGCACCTGAAACGATGCTTAGAAGATTATCTTAATGACCCATTTATACGCGACTTAATGCAGCACGTGTACACAAATGGCACAATCAGGCAACAGCCGAGGCTTATCCGCACCATTACCTTTTGTCGCCGATGATATTCACATCAACGTCCTTTCATGCATCTTCCATACAACTTGCTCGTCCCTCTTATCTAGGAGTCGTGAATTCACTGTCATTTCAGCATGGCATACTGGTCGAGGCTGGCTGGAGACAAGGTTGAGTGGAACTATGTGGTTGCAGGAACTTGTCTTTTCGCTGCAGGAGCTCTAGTCAGGTCACTCTTCATCAAACCACAAGCCAGCTACATATACACGTCTCCACGGACGACACTGCTGCCAAAATTGTCAGACGAGGAAGTATCACGACTCCCATATCCCCCAGATGTTCTGCCAGGCGCAAGAGATGTGGATAGCCCGTATGGATCAATAAGGGCATATGAGTTTGGTCCAGAGGATGGACGAAAAGTGTTACTCGTCCATGGCATTAGCACACCAGCCATCGCTCTGCTCCCTGTTGCCAACGCCCTAGTCGAGAAAGGTTGTCGAGTATTGCTTTTCGATCTCTTTGGGCGGGGCTATTCCGACAACGCGAGCGACATCAAGCACGACATCAGGCTGTTCACAACTCAGATCCTACTTGTTCTAGCTTCATCTCCGTTGTCTTGGACTGGAAAGGACTCTGACAAGTTTGCGCTGGTGGGCTACTCTCTCGGTGGCGGCATAGCTACCACTTTTACGTCTTACTTCCCAAACCTCGTCGACAGCCTAATACTTTTTGCGCCTGCCGGCCTTATCAGACCCCACCATATCAGCCGCCAGACTCGAATCCTCTACTCCGACGGAATAATTCCTGAGCCCCTACTGCATCGACTTGTTAAGCAACGGCTTCGAACGCCTATCGCTGCACAACCCAAGAAGCCAGATCCGTCTCGCAATGTGGACGCCACTGAGGCTGTCGGAGCCGAGGTCAACCTCGAATCCAATTCCAAAGCGCCACTCTCTAAGGACCACCCTCACGCCTCGGTTGAGGCCGCTATCTACCACCAGCTAGATCATCATCCGGGCTTTGTTCCCGCGTTTATGTCAAGCATTCGATACGGCCCAGTCCGAGACCAGCATGATCGCTGGCGCGTTGTCGGAGAACGCCTGAGCCAACAAAACAAGGAGAACGGCACACAGAAGAAAGTTCTCATTGTTCTCGGATCGACGGACCCCATCATCATCAAGCAAGAGGTGCAGGAGGACGCAACCGAAGCCCTCTCCGGAAATGTGGAATTCACGGTCCTTGATGCAGCTCACGATGTGGCGGTGGTCAAAGGGCCAGAGATTGCTGCAGCCATTGTGGACTTTTGGGAGCGTACTGATTGAACAGCGAGCATGGTGGTGGGCGGCATGGTACCTTGAGGTACGTGATAGAGACGAATAGATCAAACCCACGCATGTTTTCGAGTAGACAGAGAGCCCCTCTGGAGCATGACAGGAGACATCAAGAGACACACGTTACACAAGGAACGATATTGTTACATACAGTCTGTCCATCCTTCAAGGTGCCCTGCATGTGTTCCGTCATTCCGCAGGTACTGTACTCTGGTACATTATGTGAGGGCTGGTGTCCAATCCACCTTAGCGTAGCATTAGCGGTACTTTCTTCCCAGGCCTTGGCAGGCGTGAGGGCGACGTCTGCCCTTCATTCTTCCTGCTTTGTCTTTTCTCCCCTTCCCCACCATATCTTCTCCAGACCTCCATTGACCAATACTGGTCGGTAGACGAGCGCTTCTCGAATCATTTTCGCATCTGTCAGTTGATCCATCCCTCTCATGAGCGATGACATATGTTCGCAACGACTTTGGGCGCTTGGAACGTCATACATTTGGACCTCCGCTATCGCTCGCTTCTGGGAGGGGTGACACTCCAGAGCGCGCTCCTGGAGGATGAAGTCCAGAACACAGGACTGACCGTGGAGGAATGAGATCAGCATGCTCTGCTCTAAAGCGCTTCGAGACCGCCTCCCAGTGGAGTTGATGCCTTGGGTGCTACAGAAGGTGTCAGTGCGGAACTCACGATTGCTGAAGCCACTACCTGGAGACTGAGGCCATGGCTACTAATGTTGCAAAATCTTTATGTCGATGTTTGTGTCTGACAGCAAGAACTGTTGGTGTGTCATGCTAGGCACGTTATGACAATGATGTATAAGACCGGACTATCTGAGGAACAAAGGCTCAGAGATATATATACGAGCGCAAAACCGAAGCCACATGTATTGTGCCCTGGTGACGATATTGCTCGAGACGTATCGCAGCTCAGCAGGGCTTGTTTGTGGATCGGGCTCTCCGAATTTTCAAGATTTCTGTGTCAACAAGCATATTCAAAACGGACTGGCACATGAATCCCACGTTAAGGGGGTCGAGGGGGAGCCTCGTGGGAAGCGAATCGAATGCCCGAATGTGGAAGGACATCAATGACACATTTCGGGATGGTAAGCATCTCATTTGCTCAATTGCCTCGAGGCCTACACATGTCATGCAAGCGTGCGATTAATTACCCATATTTACCCTGTCTCATCAGGGGAGTCAACCCCGGGATGATGCTGAAATCGAATCTCGGTTTGGGACGACGGATCTTTGACTAACCCACCCGAAATGGCTGACGGCGAAACTCCTAGCAGACTGCTTGTTCCGGATCCGAGATGCACAGATCAAGGTCTCAGAGGATGTCAATTTGAAACACCATTGGCCAGGTTTATTGCAACGAGGCTAGATACGAGCATAAGGCTTTTAAACGCCTACGACATACAACGCCCCGAAGAAAGAATACGACCTTTGACTGCCTCACTTCTTGCCTTGAGCCAATGTTAGCAGACCTGAGTATCAGCCACGAGAAGTTGAAAAGATGCCCAGCTACCCCGGCCGGGGTTTGGTTCGACACAAAACGGGCGTTTTCATCCGATTTATCCCGAATTGACGTCGAACAAGGACCCTTTCTCGGCAGCACTATGTTTGGGGCCGAAAAATTAAGAGCGACTATTTCTCCGTGGTACGATCTGCTGTTGTCGATACTGCGTCACCATCTTTGACACTGATTGCCCTGCGCTGGTGAGGAAATGGTGGCGAAATTTGGCGGAATCCAATTCTTATTGTGTTATTGTGTGAATTGGCAGACTGGTACAAAAGCGCGGAGTGGCGACCACCCGAGCATGGTTTTCAGTTTGCAGCGCGTTCTATACGAGACGGTCTCGAACGCGTTCGGCGTCAACGACCGACATGCAGACGACAAAGCCGCACCGACGCCTTGATCTGTACGGCCAGCCGCTGTGGTGACTGTCTTGGACGGCAACAGCGTTCAGCCTGAAAACAATGATTTTAGCCTAATGACAGTATGCTGCCGCAGGGCAGAGCCTCGAGTCTAGGAACAGTGGTCCTAGTTATGTGCTCAGGCTGACAATAGCACCTTCAGCATCAACGCCAGAACCCTCAGCCTTGCGCCAGAACTCCTGTTACTTGATATTATACAGGGCTTGCTGACTCCTCAGGACAGAGCCGGAAACATGATGTCCGAAGTTAGGTCAGCCAAATTGATACCATCCATCAGCGCCAGGCAAGGACATCCATCAACCCCAGGCAAGGACATCCACCATCCCCAGGCAAGGACATCCGCCAACCCCAGGCAAGGACATCCACCATCCCCAGGCAAGGACATCCATCAACACCGAGCAAGTACCATGCTTTCTGACAATGACCTCAACACCAGTGCGACTTCATCGCAACCTTTGCCCTTCGAGACAGCTATGCATAGGAGCAAGTGCCATCTCTGAGTCCTATGCCTGTCAGACCTAGCTCCTCCCGTGACTTGCGGAGGCAACCAACCTTTCTGGTATCCTCTGGCCCTACTAAGTAGGATCGGGTCCGTGATGGCTTGTATCTCTTTGTTCAACTTGCGCATGAGAGAAATGTCCCTCCTCTTCTTCATCCTTGGGCTCGTGACATTTGAGATGTCCCGACTCGATCGTGTCGAATCGCGCAGGTTACGCTCCTGCTGCCGGACTAGACGTTCGACGAGGGTATCGGTGTGATGAAGGTAAGCTCCGAGCATCTCGCTCGCAGCGCGGTTGCTTGCGCTCATCGCGGCTGTGAAAGAAGCTAAGCGACGTGTGGCCTAGCTTGCATGCGCGACCTATTTTCATGGTCAGCATTGATATTCTCTTAGAGTGCGTCACTCAACAAACGGCATTGAAGTCGCTGGGTGACTATGCTTTCGATCCTGGGACCTCTTCCCATCAATGCGCTGATCGAGTCTGAAAGACGATACCAAAGACGCGAGGCTTACTGTGGCAGTGTGTCTCTCAGTGGTGGTGAGAATATCCAGATGATGGTATGGTTGACAGGCTCGATGAGGAGCCTGAGCCTTGACACGCACGAAAGGTCCAAGCAGTGGCTAACACCACAACCCCTACCTTGTGGTTGATAACCTGAAGATCGGGGTATTCTCTTCAAGACTGGTTCGAGGAGGAGACAGCGCGAAGTATCATCGGTTCATTCCTCACGTCGCAGCTCTTCTCGTGCAAGGACGGACACACTTATAAGGGCAGTCCATTGGCACTAAATGATGACCGCAGCGATCAACTGTACCTGATCTTGGTTATTTTCCGAAGAGGTCGTACAATACCCAGCACGCTCCGGTGTCAAAGACGGGGTTCTATCGGAGAGATCAACAAGCGTGCCGGTCGAGTGGCACTCTTTGAACTAGCTTGCATGATCAGTGGAGCTTCAAGGGTCAAGTTGGGGTGGTAAGCAGCGTCCAATGCTACGAATTTTGGCTGGGAAATAGGTCAAATTGACCGTCCCAGAATCATGGTGCAGCCTCAGGTACGAAGTCAACCTTTCAATGCATCGTCCATGCGCCGAGCAATGGGGGCCAAGACCAGCTTTGCACGCTCACAATGCCGATCAATCTTAAGTGGTGAGCCATCGGCGAGAGCCCCGAGCGGTCACGAGGCAGGTGACGAGGCGAAGAGCATCCAGAACCTCACGCCTCACACCGCAACGAGTACTCAAACAGGAATCAGGCCCGGTGTCTGCACAGAAGGCAGCAGATTGTCGTCATTGTCCAGTCCAATCACAGTGTGCAGCAGTACGGATTGGCGTTCTGGCCACTGTTGGATGTCTGGCTGTTCTCATGTCTATACCTCTTTGAAGCACGCTCTACATTCATGGTTGAGGTCAATTTGGACCGTCGAGGTCGATCTTTGCCTGGTTGAGTTGGTACAGCTTCTTAACCGGGACAAGCGCATTTCATGCAGCAGCTGCTTAACAGGCTAATGAGAATGGTTCGCTGTGAATGAATCTGCATGAGTGGCGAGTACTCGTACAAAACTTTGTGGAGGTTGGTGGGAGTGATAGCCGTGGTGGGTGTCTAGTCGTTATGTAAGTGTGTTTCCCCAGCCGGCAGCCACAGAGTGTGGGGGCCGGATGTCGTTGTCGTATGCCAACAGCGCGGTCACCATGCACGCATGGCACATTCAACTTCAATGTCAGATATCCTGACCTAGCTTGTTAAATTATGTTTGTTCTACGTCTTTACGGCATCTGTGTTCGTACTCGTACTCCGGGCCGCGGAAAGAGCCGGTGCATCCGAAACTCAGGCATCTGCACGGCATATATGACAACCTCAAGATGTTTAATAACTGGTTCGATGTACGAACAACCGAAAAGAAAGCATGCATGGGGGATTTGAGGCTGAAGGCCAACTTGTATTGGAATCCATGAGTGAAAAGTCGCCTACCATAGTATTGTGAAAGACCCTGGAAGTCAGCGTAGGCTCTTAACAACGTCATAAGCCGAAGCAGCCTGACTTGATCACACTGGCAGCTCGGTCACATGTTCTGGAGCTTGGCAATGGGTTGTTATCTCACGTCTACGCGTTCTTCTCAACTCTACCAGAGCCTTGTGAAGTTGCCGTCACAGGGCAGTGAGTCTCGTTACTCAGACACTTCACCTGACCGCAAACACGATCCACGGTAGCAGGACCTTCTCAGAGAATGTTTACCCCGAGACTGAAAAAAGCGGCATGTCGTCACTCGAATCGACATACTCTGCTGACTCTTTGGCCACAGGGATGATTTTGTCTATTCTCTTCTATGCTATGTTGGATACAATTTGTCTCCATGCATCGGGGTGCTTGACCATGATTCATGAAATGACATGATTGGAAGGTCATGATTCATAACAGTGATGGTTCTCTTGCCGCGGCAGGCGAAGCCTTGCAGCGACGAGGCGTAACTCGTAAGTGCTCGTCAAACAAAGGCACTGACTTCATCAGCAAGAACACCAAGAAGAGGCCTTTTGAAGTCACAAATTGACCACAATTCCGATTCCGACTTGCTCAAGTCTTGGAGCACATCTTCCTCAAGATCAACGCCTACTTGTAGGAGCGTGTGCCATCCTTAAGACCTGTATGTGTGTGTCAGACGCAAAAATATCTGTGGGTTGAGGGAGGCGACACACCTTGCTGGTCATGTCTGGCAGTGCGAAGCAAGACCTGCTCCGTCTTGCTGTTCAGGTAGTCGTCGAGCTGGCCTGTAAGGGTGGCGTCCCCATTCGTCGTATTGCTTGCAGTCTGGTTTGTCCTTCTCGAGTCGCGAAGGTTATGGTCCGGTTCCTTGGCTAGACGCTCAGCGACACTGTCGGTGTTGTAAAGGTATGAACCGAGCATCCCGCTGGAGGTGCGATTCTTGGCACTCATGATGATGTGGAACTGGATGGACGGATCGGCTGGGTCTTTTTGAGGCTAGTGGTCTGCATGGCCATCGGTGTATCGTCAGCGTCGACAGTCTTGCCAGACAGGAACATCATCATCAGAAAGCGTAACGAGAACAACTAGGGGTGTCCTTTGTTCTCTTTGCTGCTGCTAGTCGCCGAGCCTCCGGGTGCGAGGTTGGAAAGAAAATTGGAGACTTACGTTGGCAGTGCTTCCTATGGAAGGTAGCGTGAACGTCCACGTGATGATCAGGCGACAGTCCAGCGGCAAGGGAAGCTAATAGCCAATGGCACAAGGTGTTCAGGCGAAGTCCAAGTACGAATGTCCTTCAAAAATCGAGTCGTCTGAAGGTTAGAAGATATTGAAATTCGATGGCGATGCGAGAAAGAAAGACGAGAAAGAACGCCGTTGATTTCGAGCTTCCTTTATACCAGTCTTCTCGCGCACCATGCTGTTTGTTGACTTGATCATTGAACGCCATCCCGCTGCAGCGTCCCTTCGTCAGATCAGCAGCTGCGGTACTTCATTCTGGTCACACAAGTCCGGTCGCGGAGGCGCGTGGAAGCGGAAGGGGCGCATTGCCAGCTGGCATCAACGATGCATTGTGGTCTGGCCTCAACTAACTACTTTCACGATTCAGGGAAAGACCGGTGTGGATGACGCCAGCTGTTGGCATGTAAGTGAAACAGGTCCATACGCATACGACGGGTCCAAGGATGCAGCTGGGGTGCCAGGAGGTGGGAGTTTGGTACCACCAAGTCGAGCCACGACACTTTGGTCAGGAGAAATTGGTATGGAATTGCGCATATACCACATGGTAGCGACGATTGATGGGTGGTTGCGTGGTGCTGCACTGGTTCTGCTGTGGCGTTCGTGATCATGACCGTCAATGCCGCAAAGTGATCAGGATACTGTATTCAAGGCAGCGCCCGGTAAAGCGTCGCGACCTCAAGGGACCAGTATCATCATTCATTGCAGGTGTCATTGGTTTAGAGCTCCAGGAATTAATCTGCGGATATCATAAAGTTTTTTTGATAGAGTTCGTGTGCTTCGAATCGGGCACAATTCCTATTTCCGGCCCAGGCCAACGTCTCGCCACCTGCCGTACTAAGTTAGACGGTCAGCCTGCTCCTGAAACAGGTTGCTTGCAGACAGACATCAAATGTTCTTCTGCGGTCAGGGACCATGACTCAGGTGTTAGCCTTGAGAGACCCTCTCATGCAAGGTCGACGGTCGATCGGATAGAATGCGTGGATGCTCCGCGTAATGCTGCTCACGAGAAGTTGCACCATACGAAAGATGTGGTATGGCTGGCTTTTCTTCGTTCCTTGTTGTTCCTTTGGAAAGCTAGTCCCTGTCAGGACGGCTTGATAAACCCGACAGACAACTGCCTGTTGATACTAAAATTGATGTTCCAGGAATCCCTTGTCATCCACAAAAGAAAGAACTGTTGTCATTCGGACAGAACTTCGTCGTCGTCAGGAACATGACAAAAGTTCGTTGTCGTTCAGGACGGGAAAACGGATGATGGGTCCCGGATCAACCGTTTTCCAGTGGCAGGACTTCGGCAAGTTCATGGCCATGTTCATGGGCGTTGTTGCACAGACATGTCGTCTGTCAAACTGCAGGCGCCCTCGATCCACAATACCTTTTTTCTGTTACGGCACTCTGTGATGCTGTAGTAATTTCCGTATACATGGATGTACAAGTTTTCTGTTGGACTACCAAGAGCTCAAAGGGGGAGCACAACTATATAGACGTAGTGCGGTGGATCATGCACCCAGAGCATTGATCACGTGCCATGTGAATGATTTCCAGACTTCAAACTTCCTCCCTTTGAGACCACCATCATCAATCGTTTATTATCAAGCGTATCTAACATCAACCATCACTGCCAACAACCGCTACCCTTGTCCATAGTCAATACTATCAACCGAAATTCATGGTCAAAGTGACCTCGACCCCAGGCTTTGCGAAAGGGGGGCACAGATTTCATCCGCAAACATCCTCAACACGAAGGTTACTTGGTCAATCCTCTTCTTCAAATGAATAGCTATGTGTAGGAGCGTGTACCATCTTTGAGACCTATTTGTGTCTATTAGGTCGAGGCATCTCAGTGAGTGAAGGGACCGACGAACCTTGTTGGTTTTCTCTTGCATCGCGGAGCAGGACCGGGTCCGTCCTGGCCTTCATGTCTCTGTCCAGCAGGCGCGCTAGGGCGTCATCACTTGACAGACTCTTCTCTATTGCGTTCATTGGCTGACATGCAGACTGACATGACCTGGTCGAATCTCGAATCTTGCGATTCTGCGTCTGGGCTGGGCGCTCAGCGAGGGTGTCGGTATTGTACAGGTAAGTTCCAAGCATGCCGCTGGGCGATTGATTGTTGGCACTCATAGCTACCAGAGGTAAGTCCGGACTTCCGAGCCCTGGCAACAACCCAACACCAACGCTGTGGTGGAAGCGGACAAACGGACAACAGTTGGTATGGCGAATTGTCCGATATTGTCCGGCCTAGGCTAAGAGAGGCAAGGGTATATGTATATTGATATATACTATCAGCGAAGTCAGGAACAGGAGACGTTTTACTGCAAGGCAATGTAATCGGGATGAACATAAGTATGGAAGACTGATTGACAATCTGGATCAAGAGAATTTGGCTGACGAACAAGACAGGGAGAATATGTAGGAATCTGGGAGGATGGTCGTTCCATTTGGCACGGTACCATGATGCTTACCTCACAGTTGCACGCGAATGGAAATTCACTTCGGAGTGATCAATTCAACAGGTATGTCCGGACTCCGTATGCTGCGCAGGCGTCAGTGAAAAGGAAAAAGTGACCAGCTGATACTGGCGCTTGGGATAACATGACAACATAATACCGAAGCTCGTGGAGATGCTACACGGCAACAACGAATACATAAAACAGTCAGACAAGCTCTTAAGGCAAAAACCCATTATGCCACCAACAAGAGGCAGATTCCACAGTCTCATGTGTCCTAACACACTCTCATGTGGCGACAAAGTCAAATATCTTGACGTGCCTGTGATTCATATACGGAGTACTGTCATGCTCCTGACATGGTTGGATGGCAGCTCTCAGCATGCATAATCTGCTGGACTCCAAGCACTTGGGCCAGGTATCGCTTGGAGGGGTGGCGCGCGATGAATGAGCTTGTACTAGGATCAGCAAGCGGGGGATTAACAGATGGCAATGGACGAGTGATAACACAGGATTCATTCCTACTTGGTACGAGTAAATACCCAAAGTGGTCGAGAAGGCTTGGTCCATGGGTATTCACCGTTCAGTGATCGTCCCTGCCAACGTTGCCTGCGCGCTCCGTTGAATCTCCTCCGCTGGCCAATCAGACCTGCCTTGACGTGGTATATGCTTACCGAGGATCTAAACTATTTCTAGATATATGCCACGAGTACGTATCACGTTTCGAGGTGCCTTGGAACGCTAGAATCTGGGGACCTTCTGTATTGTGACCGGTGTGCGGTTCACGTTCGCGAACCAAGTCCAAAAGGCAACAACCACATAGCGGCTCAAGGGACCAGTTACGCTGAGGTTACGGATCTATCCTGCAGAGCAGCATATGCCATCTCCGGATTGCTGGGCTGAAAAGGCAACCACGCTATCAACAACCGAACGGTGATGCATATTGCACCCTGATTATATGGAGGTTGATTGAGGCGGAGTTATCTCGTATTCTACCAGCTATCACATGCCTGCGCCGATGTGTTGTTACGAGGCTTTTCCATTCCCGATCTGGCCATGAGCACATGATAACTTCCAGTCTTCTAGACTCGGTCACTCCGGGTGCCTCCTAAAAGGACCTTACATCCTCGCGATCATCGCTGCCATACACCTTGGCCTGCCTGGGCCCAGTGTCGCAAATCGCGATCATGGCATGTTTGTCAGCGCACGTGGTCATCTGCTTCTTGGGTTCGTCCTGGGGTCAAGCAATGATCGCTCGATAGGAAAGAACACGACGGACCCCACGAGTCATACAATGGAGGGTTGAGCAAGATGCATGACCTGGTTTCTGTTCCGACTGATCGATTGAGCGAACTCTAGAGAATTCCGCGATGGAGAACATCAAAACCTTTCTGGCATTTCGGTCTATCAATACCTCACCATGATATCGGCACCAGCACGTTGCACGCACACTTGATTCACACAGACGTGCGGCGCGGTTTGCATATCATGTCGGCCTTGTTGCGTGGAGCATGTCGAGGCCTGGTCGAGACCCCTGCCGTATGGGCCCCTTCTGACGGACGCTCTCATCCCCTCGATGCCGGTGCTTCACCTCCGCGTACTTATCACGACCGTACTATTCTTCCCTTGTATGCCGTCGTCACGTCGTCTTCTGCGCGCCACGATCTCACAGCATTCAATTCTAGTCGTTGATGGCCGAGCGTATAAGAAGTCACCCCTGGTCGGACAGCCCCTGAGCCTGCCTCGTCCCTTCGGCTTCCGCTCTAGTCCAGCCATGATGAGGCGATCATATACCTCACCAATCGTCCCTTCCTCGCCATTCTCTGATTCCAGCGTCATGCAAAGCGACGTAACAGGAAAGGAGATTCGTTGCAAGTCAAAAAGGCTGGATCAGTCTCAACCTGTCCAGCCTGGGTATCAATAATATCCAACTCTTTCCTGCTGAGTAGATTTCTGAATAGAAAATGTGCATGTCCAACATGCATCGTGCCTTCGTATATCGAAGGCCATCGTCTGCCGTTATAACTGTGGTGTACTTGCCAGCCAACCTCGTTGTCGTCGCCGCCGCCGTGTAAAGGTAGCCCTGTCTTCCCCGGAAACGCCAGTTTTTCGAAAGGAAAGTCGGACTTTTGTGTAAACCAGACCAGGATGCAGAATATTAACCCTTTCCCTGAAAGAATTAAACAATAAGATGGGGTATTTGTGAATGAGTGGCTGTAAACAGGTCATCGTCCTTGATAAAGGACTCATCAAATGTGAAAAGAGTGTCGTTCCAATATGATGGCAGGTGTGCTTGGAGCTCAAAGACGACAAACCTCGGTATCGCAGGTCATCAAGACCAGGGTACACATCAAGAGGTTTGAAGTTGTTGATCAAGCAGACCTGGTCATATCAGAAGAAAATCCCATCCATTTTGCTGCATCACGTCCCTCCAGTGGACGTTCTGGCTCCTTGGTAGTGTGGTTGAAGAATTCGGATTGGCGGCGGCGGCAGTGGCAATGACGGCGTTGACGACAGGGCCAGTGGGCGTTGATACCGATTCTCCTGGGCTTCGGGCAGTGACGGGCGTGGCTTCGCATACACCGGCAGAGATAACCATGTCATCATTCCTTCTCCAGACTTCGTGCAACAAACGCACCATTCGTCCGAATGATCCGTGATCGGCTGCTTCGCCGAGCATATCACATCGTTCCGAGAGCATGCGGCGGAAGGGCGACGCTGGTATGGAGTTGACACCACAGATCAGCATGGGCCAGACAAGGCATCGGTCAAAACCATTGGGGCCGGAAGGAATATATTGGAGCAGATCGGCCATTTGCGAAATGAGGTTGACGGTAGCGGGCTGGTGACGGTCGTATTCTGGAACCAGCGAACAAAGGTAGACTCGAGTGGCCTTGCGAAACACCGCCGTGATGTTCTTAGTCAGTTGTTGTGGTCGTAGCTTACCCTGTTTCGAGAACGGAATTTGCGGAGGCTCGGTAGGTTCGATCTGGTCCAAAGTCTTCGCGAGCGATATGATATGGCTGGATATGCCGATATCGTCAAGCCTGCCTTCAACTTTGAGAGAATCCAAGCAAGCAACCTCCGACAGCAGGTACATGACGAGGTCGTTGCAGCCCATCAGCTTTTCGAGACCGGTCGTGGCGTTGGCAAAGAACATGTTGCGGTAGGTGTTGGAAAACCGAGGAGCTTTCCCCTGCATGGTGGAGCCAAGAATATCAATCCATGCAGTCAGGGTCATGTTGAACGGCGGGTGGCCACCAGTCAGTGGAAGCTCTTCCAGCACGGCGGGGAGGTTGAGCTTCTGCACAATGTCGGCGGCAGTTTGGAAGTGCTGATGCCATGGGATGAGCTCCTTCTCAAGATCAGAGGCGGAGCCAACGCAACCCTGTAGCGAGATCATGCCCAGCAGTGCGTCGAGCATCTCGCTATGGTGAGTGTCACCATTGAGTGCCTCGACCACAATGGAAACGAAAGCGAGCTTGTGGCGCATTGTGTCGTCCTCGACGGTCATGCCAAAAGCTGTTCTGGTATCCTTCAGGTGAGTTGCCGCGGCGAGCAAACAGGAGTGTAGATAGGCCTTGTTATTTTCTAGGGCAGGAAGCACAACATCCTGCCTCACCGTACCGACTTGATTGGCCTCCAAGACAGGGAAGAGTAGTGGTAGGACACTGTCGAGGAGGTGATCAAAAAGTGGGCGGTCACAATCCTCGAGTTGGATCATCGTCGCGAATTGGGGTTCGGGGTGCCGAGCAAGGTGGGGAAACTCGAAGAAGTCAAAATCGATGCCATCCTCTGTAGCCCATGAATCTTGTCTATGCTCGTAGAAGTCCTGTTGAACCCAGTCGTCGCCAGTGTAGGATGGTAGCATCGTGTGAGGAGGAGGTGGCGGCATGAAGGTGCTGAAGGTTGAAATTGACGAGTCACGACGGGTGAGTTCATCGTTGACAAAGGTCTGACACTCTGTCTTGACATCCACTTCCCATGGATAGCCTGGTCCATATGGGTCCCCGTGTGGCAGGAACGCACTCGTGCCATAAGCGTCATAGAGGCCTGGCGTGGTCACAAAGGCCGGGTCGAAATTGATATCGTAGTCGTCTTGCGATCCAGATGACGACGATTCCCTGGTTCCATCTGTGTGAAAGTTAGCAGGAGGGTGGCATGAGCACAGTGACAGGAGATTGTCATGAGTGGCATACATGTACTCTGGGCCGCCACAGTCTTCTCAGTTGTCTTGGTCCTTTTGATGACGGTCTTTATGAACTCCTTCTGTTTCCTTCGAGTTTCGTTGTTGCTCCACCATTGGGGCCTCTTGTATTCGCAGTCAAGGCCTAAATGTCGGCATGCCCTGCATTTCGATTTGCCCTCGTCACACTTCTTTCGTCTCAGCCGACAGGTGAAGCAACCTTGACAGGGTTTAGCAGCTGTACTTCTGGGAATGGGTCCTTGTTACACTCACCAGATCTCGACCTTCTATGCATCTTGGAAGACTTGGAGGACGGCGAGTCCTTGATCGCCGCTGACGCTGCCTTCTTCTCCTTGTCCCTAGATGTCGCCATTGCTGAGCAGGTATGGGAAAGGTGTCTGACCGATTACAAGTCTCGGGATGGCGAAGGATCAATGGTTGAATGTGGATGTCAGGACCAGCAATGACAAGGACGCCAACCGTGAACCGTGCTGCTGAATACTATTACGAGGGAGTGGTCGCGAAGACTGTCCAGCAGTGTTCGCACGTCTAAGAAGTCGTCGACGAGGTGAGAGAGCAACAGCGAGGGCACCGGTCTGCCTTGAAGGAGTTCACAGCGACATTGGCCGAGGATGTCGTATAAGAGTGAACATGAAAGAGCCTCAGGCCTTGGAAAGAGCTATATTTGGATTGTGGAGAGCCAGTATATGCAGGTAGATTGTGGTTCCGAATCGGCTCGAGCAAGATCGAGATGATAGAAACAATTCTTTGCGAGAAAGAACGAATGAGAGAAAGAGGCAGTACATGACTGCAGAAGTGTTGTATCTATGAATATCGCGTCTGCGTCTGGATGTGCCATTTGCGGATTGGCTAAGCGGCATGGCGAAGGTGGGCATTTGCATGTCTTCGAACAATGAGCAGGCTGGTCAAACGGGTCTCTGGAGAAGTCGTTGAACAATTCGAGTCCAATTCGGTAGGTCAATAGTCTGCATCGTATGCAAGACTCAATGACCATGAAGTGTGGGAGAATTGAATGATGATTGGATGACCATATGTGGGCTGGCGCTTCGAAGCTAAGATTAGGACCTGGCAGCTTTGACGAGTACCAAGGTCAGGACTGTTAGCGCCGACCTGTGAACATTGCTGCAGCTTACCCTTGTCAGGCATGTGCCCTGTCAAGCCACTTTTGCATGTTCGTTGGATTTGAGGGTCACCAATTGCTTGACAACCCCCAACCGAGGATGGCCACTGAATGGCTGACTTAACCCTGCCCTTGCTAAACAAGGAAGCAAAGCAGTTGAGAGCGGGGCGATCAATAGCCATCAGGCATCAAAGGATGACTTTTTTGAGGAGAGCTAAATCGCTTGGAGTCGAGTCATGGGGTATACCTCGGAGCAAGGTGGAAGCAGATGTGGTGGAACTCCCAAGCTACATCCAAGTCCTGGTTGTAAACGTGCGAATCGCGGTTGTACCCGACTGGTACCAGTCTCCAGGGAAGAACCACAACGGGCGGTACCAGAACCATGATCTTGTCCTGCGCACAGACACCGAGATGCCATGCGGTTGACCATGGAATAGTTACCAAGATATCGATTTTGGGCATTCTTTTCCTCTGGTCAGTGCTCGTGTCCTGAACACTGGAAGCGGGGAAAAGTGACCAGAAAGAGCTCGCTTATCAAAGGGTGTTGGTCGAGTCTCTAGGGTCCACTCGGCTAGGTGCAGTAGCACGTCAGTAGCAGCAGTAGGATCTTCAACTTAGTTTTGGAAATGAAGCCTTTGAGCCTTACTCGGCCATTGCTTGTCCTATGGTTCTGGCAGGATCATGATTACATTGCACGTTTCCCCGCCATGTGTCTCGTGTCTTGTGCTGGCAGCCATGGCCGGGTGTTACACGTACTGTCAACGATGATCCTCTCTCTTGTGCCAACCGCCTGTCACACAGCTGTGTAAGCAGGTCGCCGTGTTTTCTCCGCTTGTCTGAGAGTCACGTTCGGCTTCTGGGTAAGAGATGGTCCGGACTGGAGAGGAGACAGGGCCGTTCTAGGCAGGCTGGCTCTGCCGAGGGTGTGTAAGAGATCATGACGATTGGACCTAGTTGGAGCGAAGGAGTCGAGGGTCTAGGTAGGAAGAGTGTTTAGTTGGCAGGTACCGCTGGAGGATCAGTGAAGTTCAATCTGGGTGTGGTTGAAGCTGCGGGAGCGACGGGAGCCAACCGTGATGCCAAGACCACTTTCGTGCATTAGCCCATGTAAGTTGGTGATGGTCAATGCTCCTTGTAGCCTGCAGCAGATGCACGACTGTAGCCTAAATTCTAGCCTAGAGCTTCCATTCCCTGCTATATCGTTTTAACTAAAGGAATTTGCTCCGTACTTTGTTCTTCGTCATTATCACTTACCATGGCAAGCTTCTCGAGAGATTCCTTTCCTCGCTTGAACACTCTCATCGGTCCGCATGGTATGTTGACTGTGTTTTTCTTTTTTTAGAAGTGCTCACCAGCACAACGAGCATGGCACCATTGACCGAGATATGATGCCACGATGAACCCTTGTCGGAATTCGGCATACTGTGAACTTGAGGTATTGACCACGGTCACCAGTCATCGTTACAATGTTCCTGCAGCTTTGACCTCAGGGCACAGAAGATCTCCCAGTCGGGTTCAAAATATGCTCTTACACAGTCACTGCTTCTATCTTCCATGTCGTGTCTCTGTCGTTGCGACTCCCACAGGCTCAGGCACGCCGGGCAATAGTGTAGCCACAGGGACGACCTACCCAGCTAGCTTCTCCTGCTCGCCGACTGTTTTAGCAGCGACTGACTTTCTCTTAACATTCCATGCATGCGTACGCCGTACTCTGTGTGCCATCACAATCACACCATCTCCAAGCACCATCTTCTTCAATTTCACGCAACGTGGCCGTAGTTTCGAGAACGCTACAGCACGTTGTTGAATTCTATCCTCATAAACGCAGATTAGTCATGTTTTGACACCCGCCTTCTCTTGCGCTATCGCAACGATCCCGCTGTCAACTTGATAAGACGATAACTAAAGTCTTGCTTGCATGTGCCAGTCTGCACATTTCCGTCGAGACCAACAAATGACGAGCATCATGCTCCAAAGATTAATTTGGGGGACTTGACTTTGAGGTTGTGCGGAATAGCTTTTTGCTGCAAACCTTCTGGCAGCGGCACCGAGCAGAAACCTCATGATACTTTGCAATGATTCTTGAAGTATCCGGCTATATTGACCGAGCAAATGAAACAGGTCCCGATCATGGCCGTTAGACTTGTACACGGTACGAGGTAGTCTACCTGGATTTGGTGTAACGAGCAGGTACCACAGCTGCGTTCCCGTGTCCTCGTGCCTCAACAATGGCAAGTAGCGGTGGGCTCACCGCTGTCATGGGATACTGGTGACTGCCATGTTTACAAATGGCACTTTACCACGATACAAAGGAAGCATGCCAACTGCAAGTGTCGTTATTTTCTGCCCTCCATAGCACAGCATGATGTACGGGTATGTAGCCTTTTGACATGACTCGTCGCAGGAGGTAGATGTGTTCAAGGTTTCGCCAAAAAAGTATAGGCAAGTCTGGTCTGTTGATGCGCAAAATCTTGCTTGCATATGCACACACTTGAAGTGATGCTACAAGCGACTCGTCCAGAAGAGAAGCATCAAGTTTAGGCGAAGCGACAAGACTTGTGGCAGGAAACGATTTCAACTTATGCATGAATCCCCGCACTAATTGGCACCAGACTTTGAGCTGTCGACCAATCCGATTCATAGTCAACGTCAAGAACTCGTCTTCCGGTATGGGCCGACATGGTAGGAGATCCAAAGTCTAGTCCATCGCCTTGGTAGTGTGAACCTTGGGGACCCTTCTCTTACGGGAAAGCACATGCTGAAAGTAAGGAGGTCGATGATGGGCATCTGGATGGTGCGGGAGCGGGAATCTATGGAGGCCGGAAAAGATCCAGAACCTACTGCTGAGTCTGGTCACTCCCATCACGACCTTTGCAGGATCTTTGGACCTGAACAGGGTCGGACATGTCTCTCAGCTCAACTGACAAGGTACCATGTACCAGCGTTGCATGTCCTACGCATGGCGAGGTGCAGAATAGATTGTTCTCTTTCCACTAGTCCTTGTGATATATGCGTGGGGGAAATGTGGTCACTTGGTCAAGTTACAACCTTAGCACCTGAAGGGTGGGTTGATCAGCAGGGCAGGAGAGGTTCGTCTGCAGGGATCACCAGTCTCGCAGATCCGGGTAAATGGCATTGTGAGAAAAAGAGCGATTCTTTTTCAGAGATAAGAACCAATGAGAAAATGAAGAATGTTGAAAATGCATGCAAGGGGGTGGTTGGGAACATCACAAGGGATGGAGGTGCGGAATCAAGGGAGAATAGACTTCTACGGGTAAGTTAGGAGAATAGGGAAGAGCCTGAACAAGACTTCCCTCTCCCTTCCGAAACGGCTCGAGCCTGCAAAGGAGATGAGAGCGAGTCAGAAGCGCTGGATGCTATTCCAAGTCACAGCAGAAAACGACACCAGGCCAGAGATAGGATAGCTGCTTCTGGCCGCTCGATACTGAGTGGAAGGGTATTTTTGGTACTCGACCTCCTCCTGCTGCAATTGGCCCCCTCCATCGCGGGGGATAAAAGAGACGGACTGCATGCATGTGCCGGGCCTCATTGGGTCGTCACCTTGTATACCTCGTTCATTGGGTAGACGTATCCTTGCACGAAGGAAGGGTCACTTATGGGGGTGGATGCGGCCGTGAAGCCGACCACGACGGCTTCAGCGCGTACTATGCATAGATGGGCCTCGATTGGATCTTCCAACATCTTACCGCCAGCCTGTACCAGCCAGCGTCGGTATCCCGGGCATTGAATGGCTACATCTGCTGCGTTTCACATCTATCGCACGCATAGCACTGCAGCCAGACCCATTGCGATAGTCAACCCACCTCGTTTCCTGCGACCATCCTGGCTTCATTACTCCGCTTATCACATTCGTCTAACACTCTTTAACCGCCCTCCTCGAAGGACTCCTATACATACCTCCGACCCTTCTCGAATCTCCATCTCCACCCTTGGTGGTTGCCATCTTCACAGAACCAAAACACTTCCTGGCAGAGATGTTCCATTCCAGCGACATGGACCGGTCTCTACCATACTCATCATATCAACTGCGACGTGCAGAAATGCTACAGAAGCAATCCGACTTTGCAATGCTGAGTCGACGAACATCAGCTCCACGGCCACTCTCGGAGGCCACTGAGTTCGACACTGACAATGAAGAAGACTCCGACTCGGCTCCTCAACCTTGGGGCTCGGAAGGAGACAATGACAGCCAATCTACACTGTCAAGTCCGGACGACCTCCCCACACCGCCGCATACCGGTGGTCTGGGAGGGTTCGAGTTCCACTTTGACGACAAGTCAATAGTTGGACCTCAAGGTCCGCACCTCTTCCGAGGAACACCAGAGATCCTCACTTCTCCCGAGGACGATGTCTTCCTCACCATGTCTCCTGTTGAAGAGTTCAAATCCCTGGCTGCTGATATCAGACCTCTTGCCAGACCCATCAACGCTCTCAACAGAGCAGTGGCAGAGCTCGATGAATCTCAAGTCCGTGATTGGACACCACGGCAAGTGGCAGACTGGATGCACGAGGCTGGCTTCGAGAACAGCGTTGTCGACAAGTTCCTCATACACGATATCTCCGGTAGCGTGCTGATCGACCTACAATTCGAGGACCTCAAAGAACTCGACATCAGCTCCTTTGGCAAACGACACCGAGTCATGAGTTCCATCCACCAGTTGCGCAACAGCAGCATGATAACCCTGGACACACCTCTTTCGAGGACTCCCTCCAGAACGAACCGAAGTCCCAGGGCCTTGCAACGAGTAGCCAGGCCCGATGAACGGCAAGTGGTCGTTACAGATCGCTCGCGCTCCCAGAGACGAGGGCGTCAACCCGACATTGTCACTCCGGCCGAGTCAGTATCCATTGTCGGTATCGAACAGGTCCTTCCCAAGGAGCACAAATGCGCCAAAGGAGAAGACTGTCCCAAGTGGCAGAAGCAACAACGGAGAATCCTCCGGATGCAGCAAGCATTCGAGCAAGACACCAAGGCTCAAAGACGCCTTTCCAAGGCACTCTCCGAGGCACAATCCGAAGCCCTTCCCTCAGTGGTTGGCTCATCAGACGTCCTTGGTCCCTCAGCCGCGAAGATCACAGCCGAAAGTCTGAGCTCCATTCAACCTCGCGATCCTCAAGAGAACATCCGCCAATTCCTCAACTTTCAACACCTGCACTCACCATCACACGCCACCAATCCATCACCTCCCCCAGCCGCCTCTGCTTCATTCGCCGCCAAAACCCACCTTGACAACAACCTGCGTGGCCTGCCCAAGCTCACAATCCCAGGCTCATCAGGTGACGACGAGAGAAGTCCATCAAGGACACCAATTTCGGCCCTTCAACAACCCACACAAATCCAAGTCCAACTCAAGGCCCAGCTCCTCGGCGACCCATACCACTACGGCGGCGTCGCCTCGCCAGCGGACATCTACCGCATCGACACCCCCATGTCTGCCACAGACATTCCCATCACAGCAATGGCCATCGACCCTTGCCAACGCGACGTCTCGCAATCCGTCCCACCCGAGATGCGCTACGGTGCCGGCGCCGCAACACTCGTAAGCCCCGAGCCCATCCAAAGATGCACATCGACGCAACCAACTCGCCGCCACATTCGCCAACAATCATTCACCCCATCCATTCCTCCCGTCCAAGAAACCAACAACGAGTCCTCCCAAGCACAGCAAACACTCCCATGCTCTAGACCCACCGAGCTCGACTTGGCCAACCACCAAGGCTGGATGCGCAAGCGCCGCACCACGCGCATCCTCCGCCACGAATGGCAAGACAACTACTGCACGCTCGTCGGCAACAAATTGACCATGCACGAGACGCACTACGCCAACGCCGCACCTCTCGAGAAAATCGACGTCGACGAGTACACTCTGCACGCGTACGCGCAGGCCTCGAGCTCCAAACTCAGCGCCGCTTTCAAGAAATCGCTGCTCGGCCAAGGCAAGCTCCCCGCCGGCGAGCACAGCTTTGCCTTCTCTTTAATCCCCGACTCCGAGAAGTCCCGCAAGATGTTCGAGAAGGGCAGCAAGACGCACTACTTCGCCGTCGACAGCTCCAAAGAGCGCATCGAGTGGATGAGGAAGTTGATGCTGGCCAAAGCCATGAAGAAGAATGATGCTTGCCAGATTTGAAACACCACTTACAGTATAATGACTCCTTCCTTCCCCAACCCTTTGTGGATATACACACACACGCACGCCTTTACGACCCTGCCACGACTTTCCTGTCACTCAAAGATATGTCGACAGTTGCCTCGCGGCAATTTTCCTTTCTCCTCTATCAAAACCAAAAATCTTTTCCTCACGACGTTGACTTTAAGTCATCACTCACCACATCAACACTCAACACCTCATACAGTGCATTAGCGACGGGAGCATCTCACCAATCTTATTTTTCGGGCTTGGAGTAACACGATACATGGGTCCACTCGGATCCTAGGATGAGGATATGGATATGGGATATTGATTGATTACCTGGGTGCTTGTTATTTCTTTCTGCATCTCTCGATGATACCACCTTTGGAAGTTTTGATCGGATTGACACGAGGAAGTCCTTTTGAGCCTTGGACAAGAGTCCTCGTGCATATGATGTTGAGTGCGATATCGAATAAGATCATACATAGGCCTGTACCAATGGCAAGATATGCATGATGAAAATATTTTCGTCCCTTTCTCTTTCCATTGAGCAGCGTTCGATGAAGACGTTGTCATCAATTACTCACTGTGCGTCGCCGTCAGCGCACCGAAAAACAACATGGCGTCCGCGGGTCGAAACCGTTCGTGCGACCATGTCGACACCGTTTTAATATTGCACCGGGTCGGTAAGCTTATGACCCCTTCCTGAACAGTGAACATCTCAGTGCCCACCCCAAACATACATCGTACTCAGGCCGTAGAGCTAGGTTGTGCACGTGATCAGTAGCTCGCTGTCATCGTTGTGCCGCACCCCCTTCCTTTCACCGAGGCGGTGACCTCAAAAAATGGCCCTGAACATATATCAAACTCGCGAATTTGTGTCCAAGAACAGCCTTCGATCTAGGAATCAGTCTAATCGCCCATCATGGACCTGGCCAGTCCTAGGCGTGAAGAAGATCCGAAAACTCTCATCGGACCTAGTAGTCAGCTGCAGCTGGGTACCTCCTAGAGAAGGAGCGGTCGAAGCAGTTTCTTTAGACAAAAAAGTCCGGGCTTCGATCACCAATCAAGCAGAAAAGGTCCTCCCCATGGGGCTTGAGAGGTGCCAGGGTTCAACACCTTGGGTTCGGACTTTCTCTCTGAGTTTTTGCTGTTTTTGGCAAGCTCGATGTATATTTTTGGGCGGTCGTGTTCGGTTGTGTGCGTTGTGCAGGTGAGGCAGAACTCGGGTAGCCTTTCTGAACCTCTGGAACGACGCTTCCTTGGCGAGCTGGGTCAGACAACGTCGCTGCTCGATGACGGCAGAACATTCATCACTTTCCCGTAGCCCAGCCTGGTTCCAGCCTCAATTCAACGGAGCTGGATGCGACAGGGTTCGGTGCTTGAAGTCTTTAGAGGATGTGCGGCGATCACCTTTGGACCAGATTTAATGCTTGACGTTCAAGCAGCCTTGATCCAGACGAACGACTCTTCACCCTGTCAAGCCCTCTCTGCCAGTATAATTTCCACTGTTGCTCCAGCCGTCCGAACCACCAAAACTTGCGACATATCTTGGTTATGCCCTTCCACGAGCGCGCCGCGGGGAATGAGTCGAGCACGTAATCCAGCAAATCATCCGCCGCAGGCACTCCCCCAGCCGTATGTGCGCGCCAATTGATTACCAGGGCAAGCCAGATGATGACCTCACTCTCCGCCACGCTCGGGGTATCTATTGCCTTAACGTTGGCCATAAGCGCGGTGAGAGATGCGTGGTCGAAGATATTCGTGCGGTTCTGCCCACTAAGGTGTCTCACAATGATCGCCAGACCCAAGCACACTACGTGCTCCAGTCCGGGCGGGATGTTTGACCTTCGTAAATCGAGAAGCAGCATGACGGCATCGCGCGCAAATTCCCGCGGTTCGCAGAATAGACGGCAGTATCGCATCATGGCATCTTCGGTGCTGCTGGCTTGTATGTTGGCCAAGTGTGCCCATTGCGCGAGGTTGGATAGCATTCTCATGCAACGCACGCTCAGTTGGCCGGAGAGCGCGGCCTCAGCAAGGCCCACGGGAAGTTTTGCGAGATCCCGGGTTACTTCTGATGGGAAGGGGTGTTGTACGTAAGTGATGGGTTGCATGGGCACGGTGCTTAGGTCGTCCGGGCTGAGTTGTAGGTACTGGCCTAGCGCGATGTAGAATTCGTTCCTAGATCCGAGGTTTTAGTCTTGTGAAGTGCGCAAATATGCGGATAACTTACGTGGCTAGGATAGCACGCAGAGCCAGATGAGCCGGTGTATCACTCAGGCCGCCGCGCAGCGCCAAAATCTGTCGCACGCCCTTAAGATGGAGTTTCAGAGCCGGGAGATCCATCGAGCAGGACTTTTCATCACGTGTCAGATATATGCAAATGGGAATGGACTTGTGCAATCTGAGACTTACATCAGCAACCATGAGATGCAGCACCGACATAATCACACCGTCGTCTAGATGAGCTGCTGGTTGCGACAGACGTTTCTGAAGGGTCGCAATGGCATCATTCTGGATCATGATCATCGCCTGAGAGCGCTGCGGGTTGCGAGGGTTCCGGTTACGACGCCACTCATACTGACTCTGGGCCGCGGCCAGAAAGGCTCTAAACAGACCTGTATCCTGCATCGCCATAGGTATGAGCACTGAGAGGGCTGGGTGGTTGGCATCAGGAGTAATATGGAGGCATAATTCCTCTTGTCGTTGGGTGTAGATATCTGCAATTATTAGTCCAAGTATGCCATTGTTTTGTACGTATGGCATTCTTACACTCATCGATGCTCGCCATCGAGGGTTGTCCAGGTGTCATGGGATACGACATGAACATATCGCGCCGGTGGGAATCCAACGCCGTGTGGACGAGCGCATTGTTGTTGTCGGAGTGCCATTGCTGCAATCGAGTGAACCATTGCGTCCCACTTTCGTCCTCTTCCTGCTGAACGACACCAGCCTGGGATTCAAGCTCGTCATCAGACGGACTCACTACGCCCATGGGTTGATTGAAAGCGTCCAGTCAGTAACGATTTGGTTGTACAGCCGCCGTCGACATGACAGCGATGGGGTCGGAGTGGCCAGTTTGAGTACGAAGCAGATGCGATTTTTCTTTGCCGGCTATTGTTCACCAACAACCTCGAGGTGAAAGCCTGGCGAGCAATGAATTGCTATATAGATTGTCCCTTGGTGGTAGATATCAAATATGTTACATTTGGGGGCCAAATGTAGGGCTGAAAGCGAAGGTCAGAATTGCAGATTTTGTGACGTATGGTAATCCGATGAGGGAATATACGAATGAGCGACCAATGGACGTGAAAAGTTCGAGCCGGACAGACTTATAACTCAAATCAATTCGAATGATAGATGTCCAGTAAGCAAATGATGCTGGAGGTAATTTTGTTGATCAAGAGAAATATGCCCCTCGAAACGTAGATGAACAGGCACGGAAAAGAAAAGCTTTAGAAGAAGCAAAAGCGGATCAAAGATCGTTTGATGCTTCTCTCAAACAAAGTCACTCAGCTGGTATCGTTTTGGGATTAGTTGACATTGTTTCGTCGGCAGTTACACTTAACCGTAGCGCCCAGAGAAGGCCGAAGCGTCCGAAGGAGATGCCCGGTCGACCCCTGGGAAACCGTACTTTGGCATAAGTTGGCGAACCTGTTCCAACAAGAGGTGGCGCGGTCTGACCGTTGTAGGTCCCCAGAGTCCAGAGCACAAAGTATGGGACCTTATTGTCAACCCAGCGCCCTTCACACGCAACATTATAGCCTCGGTCTTTGACAGAGTGACAGTCAACAGCTCTCTCGTATAGCCATACTAGCTTGCTATCGAGGAGCCCTCTGTCATGAACTTGCTGCACTTCGAACTTATCTCGTCGATATACAGTAGTACTCTCTGTCAGACAATGCCGCATTTTCTGGAAACAGGCTCGATGGCCATAGGTCGTGGATCGGTGAGAAGGGACAGTCGCAAGACTTCATAAATGATCAGCCCGCACGAGCTTGACCCCAGAAATAGATCCAACCTTTTATTTTATTTTGCTGCCTGCCAAAAACATGGCATTATGATTGTTGCACCACTCATCAGGAGGACTCTCTGTTTCAGCTTGACGCGCCATCCCTGTGGCTGCAGCAGCGGATGACGTCGGGAGTGGCTCATCCACAACAGGTCCGTAAGCAGCTTTTCCAAGGCTGGCGGCGATGCCAACCGGGGCACCAGTGGCTGCCCAATGGCCAATGTCCTTGGTGCATGGTGACATATTTCCGGCCCCGGGTTTCATTTATGCTTGACTTTTCCGTAGCTTCCGTTGATCATGCAGTCTGATACCCAGGCACAAGGCTCGCATTTGGTCCTCCGTCTCCACGGCGAGGCTTGGGCATCCACGACAGTACCAAGCCAGCTGTTGATCCGTACATCATGCCTCCACACCCCTGCTCACACGCTGTCATGCATATCCGGATTACCGTGAGATATAAATTCTCTCAGCATCGCCATGCTCGCAACACTCCCACCTACTCCTCTTCTCACCTAAACCAACATATCACCGTGTCACCAATATTACCAACACCGACCACCCATAATGCATTTCTCCAAGCCATTGATCTTGGCCTTTGCCGCCACCGCCACCGCCCAGGACGTCAGTTCAATCGTCAGCTCTGCCCTCTCCGTTGCTAGTTCAGCCGTCAGTGACGGTACGTCGGTGGCAAGCAGCGCGGTCTCATCAGCCGTATCGCTAGCATCATCCTACGCCAGCAGCGAGCCCAGCAGTGCCAGCTCCATCGTTTCCTCCGCTTTATCTGAAGCCTCTTCGGTTGCATCTTCTGCCAACTCATTGGCCTCAAGCCTCGCCTCCAGCGCCGCCACGGAGCCCGCTTCGGTCAGAAGCAGCGTCAGCAGCGAAGTCAGCAGTATCACATCCAGTGCCAGCTCTTTGGCTTCCAGCGCCGTCGGCAGTGCCACCTCTGAAGCCTCTTCTGCTGCTGGATCAGCCACCAGCGCAGCATCCTCCGCTGCTTCTTCGGCCAGTGCTGCCGGCACTAGCGCCTCAGCCTCAGCCTCATCCACCGCATCTGGAAGCGGAGCTGCCGGAGCCAACGTCGTCCCAGCTACAGGCATGCTTGGTGGTTTCTTCCTCGGCCTGGTGGCACTTCTATAGATGTGTTGTCTCAGCACGGTGTCCTCGCCTCTGTGATGAAGCATAGCCTTAGGCAGCTTTTTGAGGTTGGCAACCGGTATGACCGATCGTGTACAAGTGGACATGGAGATGACTGTGGTTCCATCATTTAGCCTTACAAGTTTGTTTAGCCAGGCAACGAAGGAATATTCACAACCTTATCCCATCCTGCCTCAATACTCCATATTGTATCATACTCTTGCCGATCAGGTTCGACTTCAACCTCCGTCGCTCAAAAGCTGTGCAAGCCTTTCCGACATTCATGTTTCCAATGCTGAGCGTGACGCGCGAGAGTCTTTCAGGGGCGTAGGTGGGATTGCCACAGTGAACACCGCACGAGCAAATGAATTGACGAACAAAACATGGCGGTATGATATTGTCTTCTGGAGAAAATCGCTGTGTCAGCTAAACCCTACCCAGTACTTGAAGGAAAATCGACCGTCAACGTATCTTTTGGGCTGGACTATGATATGCTCACCTGCCCAGCACGAAGAGTGACGCCATTCGCAAGGCGAGATAAGCTGTCACTTTGACAGCTGGCTGCATTCCTAAGTCGCAAGGCGGACCAGGTGAAAAACTGGGGAAAGACGGGGGAACCATGGGGGAAAGACCCGCGACGCTATTCGACCGGGCTGAAAATAAGGTCGACCAGGTTAATTACCAGGTATACTCCCATTCATAACGCTTTCAGAAAAGGGACTTGCTTCAAAGATCCTCCATTATCATCACGGAGACCGGTTCGTCTGTCGTAGGTAACGCCCCTACTTTATCGTAAATTTTCGCTCATGTTCGCCTCACTCTCTAGCTACCTACCGCCTTACAGCAGCTTCAGAGCACGTCGATGCAAATCTTCACCGCTCAAACGTCCTCAAATACGGCTATCGTTCCCGGTGCTTCGACGGCCTCAAGCAAATCCTCATCTACCTCGCTAGTAATGTCCGCGAGTACAGCAAATCATCCTTATCCTCATCAGGGACAAAGGAGCGAGATCGATGGGCGCAAACCTTCTCGTGGTCGACCGGGGCAATATATGCGGGACTCTTTCATGTGAAGCGATGATCGTTACCTCGATCGACCTTGAACATCAGACTGGATACCTAATACATCCTTCCGAGGCTTCAACAATATACTGTCCAATAAGGAAAAGTAAATAAAGATGTCTGTCTCATCTTCTTCAAAAACTTCTTACTCCAATTGTTCTGCTGCTGGCAAGTGGTGATAATCGCCAGCGAACCTGTCTCCAGAAAAAGTGGCACTGTCTGACTGCTGTTGCTTCCCAGCCTCAAACAGGTACTGTCCCTTGTTGTCGATTTGGGGTCCTTCGTATACGAAAATAGAGCTTTAGGTCTTGACGGAGGTAGAGTTCATCAATTCTATGACGAACGTTTCTGTCTTGTTGTCAAGGCATCCGCATTGCGAACCTGCTTGACTTCGAAAACATGTCGTCGATGTACGCCCTGTCAGATTGTGCCACCTTTTCTGGAAACATGCTTGCCGGCTCGACTGGCCTCCATAGCAGCAGTCCCGGGCTGACCGGAGTGAGAGACCTTTGAGGACTGATTGGCGGTGAAAGGCGCTGTCTCTTCCCTATAGTCACTATGTCAGTTAAAGCGGTCTTCAAGCGGCGTACGCATGACCTAGCGCCACAGAGCACGAGCAACTCTGCCCCAGTCAGCCGCTAACTGAATCTCACGGGGAGAAGCGGCCAGTAACAAGTGGTCTAGCTGCCATTCTTGCGCCTTGGTATCGCTGATGACGACTCGACATACCAGGATGGATGGCGGCGAAATATGTCATGATGCATGATATGAGGTCCCTGATATGCAAGCAGAAGATGCTCACCCAGTTTGTAGCGCATGCTGGGCAACAATCGTCCCACAGCGGTGAGGATCATCGGAGCCACTGTAGTCGGGCACCGATGCTCGGCTCGCGGTGAACTCACATGAAGATAGACCGGGTTGTGGTGCGCATTGTAGAGACGAACATAGGACCTGGAGGCGAAGAAAGAGACTTCTGCCAAACGTTGTCGACGGGGCTCCTACGACCGTAATGCAAACCGAGATATCGTGACTGACTCCGATGGCTGTTATGATGCACTACTCGAGGTTTCGGGGAGGGCGGTGTATGGAGAACGACCAGACTAGAGTGTAAGCGGCACCCGTGTGGAGCTGAAAAGGTCAATTCCATTGCCCATACATCAGCGGTGCCTTACGAGCACAGAGCCTCATACAATTTGTACTCGAAGCGATAACAATGCATGAATATGATGCCAGACCAGGATGGGATGAAACTGTGACGGAATGAGGTTGAGCTCCTTGATGGTGAGGGTGTGTTCTTCCACATGACTGAACGTCGATCTTGCGACCGAACGACATTCAGGGTGCGCCCCGGATTGAGATGCCATCACATCGCCGGGGCATTTCCTGAGAGAGTGATGGCGCCCTGCCACACCGAACTCTTTGCTCCGGCAGTATGGGGTCGTGTTGTGACGATCTGCACCGTCGTTGGGCAGAAATGGAGGACATTCTTTCACCTTAGTCCCATCAGTAAATCAACCCGAACATTGAAAGCTCGATTTCTTGATGTTAGTTTCCCAATTATCAAGGTCCTTTGCTAGTCGCACGGTTGTGACGGCTATACTCGGCGGTTTCTCGTTGAGCTCACGCAGCGAAAGGAGCCCACGTGATGTGAGAGTTGAAGAGCGCCACGCCCCGTACAAATTGGATGATCGTCTCGCCTCACCTTTGAACCGAAGTGAGAAGATCGACGTTTTTCTCCGACCACGACTATTCTGCTGCTAGGTCCATTTTTGTTGTGGAGCTCTACTCTGTACCGAGACTCGCAACGATGTTTGAGACCCGAAAGACCCGTCCGCAGCGGGCCAGCCTCCGCAGTTGGGCGTCGAAGAGGCACAGTGAGCACGAGGCTCTGCTGGGCCGGCTGTCGCATTGTCGTCGACGTGGGATGTCTTCTTTGTTGCATTGATCAGCGGCTGGTGCGACCGGTTAGGCAAAAAGCATTGAATTGAGGACTGGGCAGTGAGTAAGGAAACGGAGGTTGGAGTACATGCTGTCGGAAGCACAAGTTGTGGCGTAGTGTATGTACAGTACAGACAAACAGTGAGGCGTTCAGAGGATGACTCGTGGCTCAGCTGTCAAATGGTGAAACAGGTGTCAAGCTCTTTTTGGGCGGGCCACCTCTAAGAATAGGCGAGCGGCGGGTTTCAGAACAGAGCAATGTCCCTTCGTTGATGGGCTCCGGTCGTCTGAGCAATTTTGCAGGAAGGACTAGAGGACGATGCCTCGGAGCAGCCATGTGTATGAGCATTCCTTCCACGTTTCTGACCATGTACAGCTGTGCCGGTGATTTCGGTGTAATACGAAGTGGCAAAAAGGACGATGAAAGAGCAGGAGCAAAGTGGGAACTTTGGTTCATTCCTCTGCATCTCTTTGCTGCAGGAACAGGAAGAATAATGGCGGCGGCATGATTTGACAAGTCGGAAGGTTCTTGACAGGGAAACCAAAGGGAGCCCAAGCGTCCAAGCGTCCTTTGGGGGCACTTTGGTTTCCATGGACGCGCCTAAGCCAGTCATTTGGCTTGAGATTCGGCTTAGCCCTGTTGCCCCCTGCAAAATGCCCTGGTCATGCAATGCTGCTATGTTTACGCGCAGTGTACGAGTTTCTGAGGCAAATTGATTTGCTTGTCGCACGTCATGTCTGCCTTTAGCAAGATTCCTGACTCCTTTCCCATTCTCCCTCCAGCAACACCAGACAACAGGATTCACAAGAAGAAAAGAATAACCGGTACCTGTCAAATGGCCCAATGAATCATGTCGCAGCATTGGCCCGTCATTTTGACCCCTGGCTGACTGACTTCAAATGCACATGGTGAATGGTGTGTGGTGTGTGCTGCCTGATACCAATAGTCCCCTTCACCTTCACAGCCTTCCGTCTCCGTTTGTTTCCTCTTCTTCCTTTCTATCCACCCTTCTCGCCTCGTCTCGGATACTACCGTCTCCTCCTACAGACTCCATCCATTTCTACTTCTGGCTACGTGGTTCTATTGCATGGTCTTCGTCATCTGAGTCACAAACATGGCTTAGTTCCAGTTGCCTGATGCTAGCCTCTTTTCTGCCTGAATAGTACATTACTTACCACACCCACACCTTCAAGAGGCTGAGTCCTACGCTGTGACTCCTCATCATTGAAGACTATAAAATCAGCCTCTTCTCTCTCATATGTCATACCTCTTCATCCATACCAACATCGTCCAGCCAAAGCAAAAGAACACCATCAATCGTCCAGAATATCACTCGGGCCCCCCTTCGCAACATTCCTGAGACCGCCCCCACCAATCCATCCTCACCAACGTCTACTTTTAGAACACTCCTGTTTGTTCTGGAATTGCTCAACGAATATCTCGGCACAATCAACCAGGACATTACCTTTCCGTCGACAAGATAAAACCTCAGGACTTCGCAACAACGAGTTCACCTCACAAGCAAACAACAAGCAAAGGAAAGCTGTCGCAAGCCCAGTTTACCTCAAACAAACGCAAGGTCATCATTACCACCTCCAACAAGATGCCTCACTATCACAGCTCCTCTACCTCAAGCAGTGGCGGCGAGAGAGTCTACCACGACTCCCGACGAGAGGCCAGAGACCGCAAAGACCCTCGGCCTGCCTCCAAACGTGAGGTCGTCATCATCCATCACCATACATCTACCCGAGATGACCTTGTACGCACAGCAGACATGAGCAATAACAGATGGAAGTGATCGAGCCCGGTGCTTGATCATTGTACGACATCTATCTCATGTGCTGGACACTCATAATATCATACCAAGGGGAGGAGTTGCAGGATTGAGAAGGGCAGATTGGACTTTACTGGAGTTGGGATTTGATTTTACACATCTACTCATCACTACAGTGGTGAGGGCAGGAAGATTGAAGAAACCCTCGCGGGGTCATTTCTTTTGTTTACGACGAAGTCAAAGGACACCTACGAGATGGGTGCATCGATGAGTACTTCTCATCGTGGAGTGTTGGCTACTTTCCCAACCTCTGGACTTGCAGGGCATATTGTCACAACATCATATCAGATATAGAGAATAATGTGAAGGACGCGAGTCTTCATTGTATCCACTACCTCAAGATTATGGATCTTCCAGGACTACTTTAGTTTGTGCTTATCGATTGTGGGATCTAGTCTATCGATAGGGTCTGATCCTCACAATTACAGTCATATTCTGGTCGTTATCCCTTTTCCCATCCTCCATCGTCCTGGTTTTGCGTGTGCATCTGCGGGCTTCCATGTAGCCGTCGGAATGATCGTCCGCGGTCACCTGTTTGAAGTATATCTACGTAGGTTAAGATCGCCCATGCAAAGCGCCCAAAGGTGTAGTGTAACAAGATCGGCACTGCCCTCGGGCCCCAATCAACTGTGACGGGTGAGGCGGCGGCTTGAATTTAGGCGTGTCCACCCAATATGCATCCATAACCTTCGTTTGCGCCTTGGTGGAGTGGCTGATGGGCATGGCCATTGGGATGGTTGCACCCGAGAACGGACGCGAATCCCGAACAACTCTTGCCCCTGCAATCTATTACATTCCACCATTCAGAACTCTGAATTGGCGGAACTTTTGCTCAAGTATTATGCCCTCAGCTGGCTACTGCCAGTACATGTATGCACCACTCAGCTGCGCAGGGCATAGGCATTCCTCCCGGAGTATCCCTCTAAAGTGAGTCATCATCCTACGACCTACCACTTGTCTTGAGGAACAAGCACTGCAGCGAACAGAATGAGCACGGTTGTCGCTCACCGGCAGGAGGCTTTAAATGCCCGACGAGGCCGACACTCCTATGCATCCGAGAAGCACGCTGCAGCCTGCAGGGCTCCTGCAGGATACCAGTACCTGTGCCCTGTTCGATATCCACCTCTGAACTCCCCCATCTGGAAGTGACGCATGTTACTGTACGCCGATGCATCCCGATAGTGGCATTGAGCAAAGTGATCTTCGTCCTGTATCACGCGCAGTTGATCCGAAGTACCATGCATGAAGATCAGTCCGACTGGTGAGATTAGAAGTCGAATGATATTCGTTTCTGAACTTCTTCAGCCACATCGTGCCTTACGCAGTCATCGTCTTCCACGTTGAGCCACATGTATGCTGACACGGAGGATGGTGAACCGATCAGTTGACACATCTGTCACCATAAGTACAAGACTTCATCTGGATGTGAGGTCCTTTGCACAGGTCGTTACGGAGTCAGCGCTACAGAGTTCGTGAGCAGAGTAGTTGTCCATTTGACCTGCATGATCCTGCAAATAGCTACAATACGATCCACGCCTTTATGCCTCGTCCAGATTGTTCAACATCCGCGAGAAGATGCAGGAATAACATGGCAACAATGTTCGGTCTCACGAGCTAAAGATGAATATCTCAAAGCCCGCAAAGATTGGGAGAGGCAGAATTCGATAATCGACATTAAGCCCCATCGTTACCTGCGGCGCACCCTCCATGGTGTTCTTCCCCACCGAAGCCGCCATACCCCGCCATCAAGCACGAGTACCTCGGTCAACATATTCCTTTTTGCTGGCAACGCGTTACAAGGACGAGTATATTGTTTTGCATCTTCCAGCAAAACCCAGAACCCAACTTTGGCACTTCTGGTGCCCCTAACCACATGATTATGATGGCAAGAAATTTGCTACTACTCAGCGCCAATTCCCGAGATTTCATCTGGGGAGCTCTCGAAATTTACTTAACTCCCCGCTTGTTGACACTTATGCAGGGGACTGCAGCTACCCGTTGTCCTACCCTTCGAGACTCGCCCAGCTACTATGATAAAGTGTGCAACAGGACGCCTTGTCTCACCGTAAGTCCGTGGGCGCACATGCTGACAGAACTACAAGTATCGAGACAGCCTCTTGGTCGCGCCCTTATCCTTCTCCGTTTGATCAGACCCAGTAATATATCCGCCTACACCTGACGTTCCAGGCCATTCATCCCTCAAACAATTACCTCGTCCGCCACAATTCTCTTAGAAGAAAATGGCTCCCATACCCGTCATTGTGTGTGGTACAAACGCAGAGCACGTTGAGCATCTAGCAGACTCCCTTGCACCACAACTCGAAGGCATGTACATGGACCCCCTATCGCGAGCCTGCTAACCAATCTCACAGTCCTTCATGGCTGCAACAATACGCAAGCCGTCCTCTCTGAAGTCCCTGCGCTCCTGAAGGGCGAATCCGTCGTTCCCTCGTCTGGCGTTGGTAGCAATGCCAAAGGTCAAGCGCGAACAGACCCGGCCCTTATCATTCTCGGTCCTTTTCCACCACACGAGCTTGACGAGATCAAAAGCGCTATCGAGACCGCAAAACCAATGCCAGTCTTCGTTGCGGATATCACCAAACGATCTCCTGGCCAGCAGGGCCCTCCGAGCATCGAGATGGTCCAGCAGAGAATCATGGAGAGCATAAAGGCTGCCGATCAGGGTGAAGGGAAGTGGGCTCCCGGCGTGCACATGTTTTGATCGAGGCTTGAAAGATTTCACGGAACATCTCTAGGCACAATGCATCACCCGGCGAGTGTATCGAGGTCAGTCTCTCGTCTCGGGAGATTCTAGAGGGGCATGTCGAGACGTCTTCTCCACGCTGCCGGTCAACGGCTGGCCCATCACTGCGCAGATCCTCTTGAGAGGCTCTACGCTTTGCAGTCTGTATATCTCCATCACCTGGTCGTGTATAGCCTAAGTTGCGCGAACTGTCTGACTTGGAAGACTGGGCGTGTTTCGGAAGGACTGTATTGCTACGCGCAGAACATTGGATTGCTTGCTTGCTATTTGTTATTTCCCGTCACATTCCCGATCTCGTTCGCATATGACCGTTGTGGCGTCGCGTTCACCTACCGAAAGTACCATTCAAGGAATCATCTGCAGCAGAAGCCAACGTCACACCATATGAGTATGCCTTGAAAGGCGAGTCGCCGTGCTCCCTCTCCAAAGCAAATGTACTTCGTGCTCGGGCAGCCGTTGTACTATATCTCCATGTTGCTTCTAAGGTCGAGCATGGAAAATAGACACGGTCTGCGGAGGCTGCCGTATGGGGTTCGTACAATGATGTGATAGGGCTCGTACATTCGTCTTGGCGATCGATGACCCTTTGGCCACTTGCAACCGTTCTTCATGTCTTCGAGTCCTTATCTTGCCACGCCTCCTTCGATCTGCTTCTCTCCACACTCGGTGACCACCGAGCCTTGCAGATTCCAGGCTGTCTCCTCGCACATCATCCTGACGTATCAGCTTGCAGAGCCTTGTGTTAGCTTTCAAGATAGGTAGCTTCCGAAAGACTTACTTCGTCAATGTACGATATACCTCAAAGGTACGTGAAGCGTAAGTGATCATGTTTTCCAAATATATAAGGACCATTGCTCCCTCGACCAGATACCAGATTTCTTCCCTCATCACACAACAAACACTCAAGTCTTCAATCTGCTCAAGACCAAGACAACAACTTCCCTTTTCACAGTACCCGAAAAACACTTACGCCACAATGCCTGCCATCACTGCTCAACCTATCGGGGCCTCCAACCATGGCCTTGGAGCTGTCGTTAACGACGTAGACCTCAACAACCTCTCCGACGCGGACTTTACCGCTCTCCGCAACGCTGTCTACAGCTACAATGTGGTTTGCGTCAAGAATCAATCGAAAGTCACCCCAAAGACTCAAGCTGAACTCACCCGACGCTTCGATCCAGAAGCCATGTCCTATGGCCACGGAAAGACCATCGATGCCAAGCGCTCCATCCTCCATCCCGACCTGAAGACGGTACCTCACCAGCCTGAGGTTCAGGTCATCGGCAACGGTTTCGTTCCCGAGTACGAGGGCCTGAAGAATGTCACCCTCAAGCACCCTCACCACCGCACTTTCCACCAGACCGTCATTCCCGATGAGAAGGATCTTGACTACACCCGCTTTTACCGTTGGCACATCGATGCCGCTCTCTACGGCGAGCTCAACCCACCAATGGTCACCACGCTGCTGGCAGTCAAAGTCCCCGCTGGCCGAACTCAGACTCTTCTGTACGACGATAACAGTAACGATGAGCTCCAAGTGCCTTTGGGAACCACGGCCTTTGTGTCTGGATACAAGATGTTCGACCTCCTCAGCGAAGAGCAGAAGGAATTTGTCATGACCTCCAAGATCGAGTACGCACCACATCCATACGTATGGATCTCAACCGCCAAGTCACGATCTGATGGTCTGGGAATCGTGTCCGAGGGCAAGGAAGTGCCCCTTAACGACCTCCCTCCCGTTGAGCATGCAAACCACATTCAAATCCTCCCAATGGTTTGGCGCAACCCTGTCACAGGCCAATATGCACTCCAGATCCACCCCTCTCCTGTCCGCAAGATTCATCTACGCAACGGCAGGGTGATCGACGACCTCGAGAAGGTCCGGGAGATTGTGCACGATCTGCAACGACCCGGTATCGCACCCGAACTGGTGTATGCACATGACTGGGAAGAAGGCGATTTCGTGCTGTTCAACAACCAGGGTGTCTTGCACAGTGTGGTTGGAGCCTTTGACAAGGATGAGGTCAGATTGTTCAGACAATGTAACTTGGCTGCAAGCCGGAGACCTGTTGGGCCAGACGATGCTTGAGTCTGAGAGTGATCGTCCTGGATGTTGGATTTTGTCGAGCGTTTGAGCATGAATGAACGAATATAGATATGTGGTGCTTGATAGATTTGTCTAGATACAAAGATTTGTTCTCAATAAAGATCTAAACGCTACTTATACATGTCTCAAACCCGGGTGGATTTGGTATGGAAGTGTGCTCGTACTAGTAATCATATGCGGAATGCCTGCACGTCGCCTGGTAATGCGCGTCATTGGTAGACCGAGCTTCCACTACTTAGTTCAACATGATTTACATTTCTTTCATATTTCTGCCGTTGCTTCCATCAGTATGCACCAGAATAGTACTTCGTTACCATGTTACCAGTCCGACACGAACTCCTCCGTTGGGGAACGCAACGACTTGCATAAGCCGTGAGCGCCACAAATCTGCGAATTTTGCACGAAGGTGTCCACAATCAATAGCTTGATATGCATTAGACAGCACACAGGCATATCAAAGTCAACCATACGGGGCTGGAGTAAGGTACTATCATATACAGAGATCATTCCGATATAGGACTCTAGGACGCTCGTGCAGGTCCAGTACGCCATCGCCCACAGCGTCAAGCTAGGCCGTCTCACCTACCCATCAACATCCTCATCATGACAACCTCAACACCCAGCCAAGCAGGTCGTATCCTGATCAGCGGCGCAGGCATCACCGGCCCCGTCGCAGGATACTGGCTCGCACAAGCCGGCTACTCAGTCACCATCGTCGAACGCGCCCCTTCAATCCGCACATCAGGCCAAAGCATCGACGTCCGCGGTCACGCCCTGACAATCCTCCAACGCATGGGTCTCGAAGGAGAAGTCCGCAGCCGCACCACGCAGGAAAAAGGCCTGCGCTTCATCGACGGCAAGGGCACCACAAAAGCCGAATTCCCAGTCGACCCGAACGGCGCCAGTTTCACCGCGGACATTGAGATCCAGCGCGGCGATCTAGCCGAGATACTGTACGACGCGACCCGCGAGAAAATCGAGTACATCTTCAACGAGTCGATCTCCCGCATTTCCGAGGACAAACAGGGCGTCACTCTCGAATTCACCAACGGTCTACACTCAAGAACAGTCGATCTCCTCGTCATAGCGGACGGCATCTCCTCGCGCACAAGGGAGATTGCATTTCCGAACCATCCATCTACCGTCAAGACTCTAGGCCAATGGTCCGCATGGTTCACGATCCCCGGAATACCCGCGGGTACCGATGACGGCTGGGCGCGCTGGTACAACGCTCCCAAAGGCCGCATGATCCTCGTCCGGCCTGACACCAGCCACAAAAAATCCCGAGTATCACTCTGGATCATGACGACTCCCGAACTAGAGTCGGCGCTGGTCGAAGCACAATCACCAAATACCAAGGATGATCAGAAACAGCAACAGCTATGGAATTCCTTCTTCACAGACGCAGACTGGTCCGAAACACCACATATCCTCCAAGCCATGCTCTCTGCCCCGGACTTTTACGCCCAGAAAGTCGCACAAGTCAAGTTACCATGGTGGTCTACCTCCTCCGGATCAGTCGTCGCCGTCGGCGACGCGGCGTATTGTCCCTCCCCCATCTCCGGCATGGGCACCACCCTCGCAATCACAGGCGCGTACATCCTGGCCGGCGAGGTCGCGCGAAATCGTCCCAACTTTTCCGCGGGAGTGTCGGCGTACGAAGCGAGAATGCGTCCCTTCGTGAAGACCGCGCAGGAATTATTCCCGGGTACACCGCGGCTTGCGAATCCACATACCGACTTCGGGGTATGGATTCTGCATTTATTTTTGGCCTTCTTCGCGTGGACGGGGTTGGCGAGGGTGTTGGGCGAGAGGTATAGTCCGGTCGCTGATGCGATTGAGTTGCCTGAGTATGCTTTCTCTTGGGGATTCTTTCGAGGGAAGACAGCTACGGCAACTACCACTTCATCGGCACAGCGTCGAGTAGGAGAAGGAGATGGGACGTAGGGACGTAGAGTGGCATGGTCGCCTTGTGGATAAGTATTGAAATTGCAATGCATTACGCTGGCATGTTAGTACACTAATTCGCAAGCATGGGTTCACCCTCCGGGAGCGTCGCCAAATGGACGATCAATGAGCCATGGTCATACAATAGTCTCATTTAGACTGCGCAAAGTACCCTCTCAAAGGTTCACGCGCTATATGAGATCGTAGTAGAAGTATGCATATGCCCAGGCCAAACATTGTTGCACGTGTGTCAAGACTCGACTACGGCCACCCACTCAATGCAGCTTTTGACCGGCCCACATCACTACTAAAGGCCTCGGATTGACCGACTCCCACACGAGTCATTGACCTTCATTCCAGGTTCCACTGAGACAAAGACCCCAAGGCTGATGCCAGTTTCGTGCATGGAAAACAAAACTCCGCATATTTTGACCCAGCACTATAAGCGGATATCCAGCAAGAACAAATAGTTGACGATGCCGACCCCATGTACCAGCATGATTTACTCGTCAGGTCTGACCTCTGACTGCAACAAAGAGGTATGTCCGTTGTTGTCATTTCCATTCTGGTTGTTCTTTCCTCTCTTGAGTATTGAATCGATAAGATCCTGAGAGCACTTGTTCGCGGTGCTGGTGGTAAGATGGCCGCCAGGACTCATCATAGCGTAAGAGCCATTCTTCAGATCGTCCCTTCTCGGATGCATCGGTAAAGTACTCGTGTTTGGGGTGCTGGGTCTGGAAGAGTTATAAGATGTGGTGATTTTCTCGGGTGATGTTGATAATCCATTGCCTAGCGACCCACGAGAAGGTATTCTTTCAAGGTTGGAGGTTCGTCTTGACACAGGGACGGATGTTGGGGCAGGTCCTGGGGTATTGGTGCGAGACGGAACCAAAGAGCCGAACGAAGCTGTCGAAGCGCGACTCAATGCCGGCGTGGGAAGATACTCGCGTTCTATCGTGAGGTAAGGGTGCTCCAGAAGTTGCTTCGCTGTCCACCGTTCCTCCGGTGCCCATGCAATCATCTTCTTCGCAAAGTCGATGAACAAGTCCTTTTCTTGTCCCCTCATCCGCTGTACTGACGATCCAAAGGAGAGCTCTTTTGATATATGATCTGGAAATTTGAAGTTGTATTGGGCATCGAAGTAGTTCTGCGACTTTGCGCTCTTCTTGAGCAATGATTTTGGAGGCGGTCCCAGGAGAGCGATCATTAACCCCAGGTGTTGTTCGGCACGGTAGTGGCCAGGTCTGGTATCAATGCCATCGAACAGACCAAAATTCTCGAATAGATCCCACAGCATCACTCCCAAATTCCAGATATCAGCTGGATATGACCAGCCGCATTGCAATATGACTTCAGGCGCCATAAAAGCATTGGACTGGATTGGCCTGGTGTTTCTACCCTCGCCCCAGGCCGCTAGACCAATGTCTGTGATCTTGGCGGATGCGATCACGGCGTCGCTGGGAGCCTCGCCGAAATCGCTACAAGAAGTATAGATGATCCGTCCGTGAGAGTCCGGCATCTTCCGCGGCGATGGATGCTCGATTTCGTGCTGCACAAAGCGGTCGAGTATAGTTGGATCGCCAAGTCCCATCATGATGTTGTCCGCTTTCAGGTCGGTGTGTACAACTCCACATTCAGTATGCAGATAGTCCAAACCCTTTAGCAAGGCAGGCAGAAGTTTGCGAAGTTTCTCCGAATTGAAGCGTCGACCTGGGAATTTCTCCATACACGCGTCGATGGGTTCGCGGAGGACGTCGTAAACAATGCAGAGATGCTCACCGTGCCGATTCTTGATCTTGAAAGTGTCGCGCATGAACCGGACGTGTTTATAACCTGGGTGGTCAGAATTTGCGGTGGATATCTTCTGAGCAATCTCGCGTCGACCCTGCAAGAACTCCTCGGTCAATGTGTTGACATTGACTTTGATGGTGACATATTTGTTATTTCCTGAGTTCGCGTCGCTACAACCGATTAGCTTGCTCGATCGACGACAACATAATGTCGCTACTCACGCCTGTAGGTCTCTGGCAAGCCAGACGGTTGCGGTCATCCCATAGCCCAATTTCACGCAGACTTTGTATCGGTCATTCAACACGTCGCCAAGACGGATCGGATAGAAAGTATCTGCACTGTACTTGGGGAGGGTCTCCTCCTCAATTTGTTTGTGCCCCGAGATGGTGTCGGCTTGAGGGTGAGGCGAATTGCCTCTGGAGTGAATGAAATCATGTATAGATTGTCGGTTCGTGTGGCTCCGAACTCGTTTGAGCATATCCCGAGTCGGCATGATTATTATGTAGAAAAAGAAGAGAGGAAGTTCGTCGAAGAGTTATCGGGATCACAGAGCCCGTCTTGATGGAGTCATTGTATCACCGTAGCACATTAGTCGTAGACTGCCAGACACTGGTATGTTGATGTCGTTGATTTTGAGTGAGGCTGGACTCGATTTTCTGCACCGGAAAAGCTGAAACTAAGGAGAACACGGAAGAGGCGGCAGGTCACTTAGGGCGACGTCAGCTGTGGTGGTCAGGGACCCAGAATTAGGTAAGCGGTGATAGGATCAGGGAGCCTTGACGGCGTTCGGAGTCCGTTAGAGACGGAGGACGAGGTTCGAAGACTGATCCTGTAGTAGATTGTTTGTGTTTGTAGGGCCGAACTAGACCGGTGGTGCGAGATCGATCGTACTTGTAGGAGTTGTTTGTTTGGTGAGTAAGTGAGAGGGGGCGGGAACCCGGATGGATTAGAGGTGGATGGATAGAGATGAGATGATTGAGGGAGCTGCAGACTGAGTGTAATGTGACAGGATGGTCCGTACGACGGCGTAGAATGAAAGCGGCAACGCCTCTTACGTTGACGTTGACGTGTGAGCGAGGGTCATGTTCTCGCAACAAAGAACTTGAATGGCTGTAGATTCGCTGAAGGGATTCAATTATTGTGTGTCCAAATAGAATAATACCGCACTCTATTTCCAATTTTGCCGCTGGACAAAGCAATCAATAATCCAGGACCGTCTGTCTACACGTGATCTGAACCAGTGGTTGGCACCGTCGATTTCTAGGCGTCCCTCAAGGCTCATTTCAGGCTTTCTCGGCATCAACTTTAAAGTACTCCAGGTCCGTAGCCCCCTCTTTAAGCAGGAGATCATTCCCCGGCTTACTGTACTGGAGAGCGAAGTACTATTAAACGACCTCTTTTCTTTTCGTCGCCCCAACGTCGCGCTCATCTTGAGGTCTGGCTCATTTTCCAAGTATATAATCCTAAAGCGACGATGTATGTATCCTTGGTGCCATACTAATCATATCTTGACTCAAGATCAGAATTCTACACACTGATCTGCGAGTTGGTGAAATAAGATTGCTGCCGAGCCATCCAAGGAGACCTCAAGTCACCCTACCACCCCTATTTTCTAGGCACTGCATGCCTGCCACAAGGTTGCCATGCATATGCGGCCTTCCCGCCTCAACTAAAGTCGGTTTAGTGTTGAACTCAACCACCAACAGACAACAAGCAGACAGCCTCACTAAGCAGAACCGGTCTATCGCTACTTCCTTTGTTTGGCTGCTTCCATCTTCTCCCGCCTTCGAGCCATTTTCTTATCTTCTCGCATTTTCCGAGCTTTTCGCATCTCGATACCACGTCTCATGAGGATAATCAAGGTAGGTGCAAAGCACATGTAGATCAGCGCCAGTGTCGTGTACGCCCATCCCCGTCCCATGGCAGCGCTCATGGGATCTATCGCCGCTGACGCCGCCGCCCCAAGCTCGCATCGGATCAAATTACTGGCTGCGGTCGCGGATGCCGCCTTGCCCGGCCAGATGTCCGTCATCAAAACATTCAATGCCTGATAAGAAGCGATCGACGAGAAGCCCAGCAAAAACAAGAATATAACCGGTCCTGCCAGATTGACTTTGTAGTCTAGGGTCCACCCGTACCCTATAACAAACAGCCCATTCATCAGCAACAATGGCAGGGCGATCTCGATCCGCGCTCGCTCGATGGGGAACTCTGTGAGCTCTTGCCGCACGCCTTTCTCGATGGTAATACCGTCTTTGCGGGCGTGTCTTCGGTAGTTCCAGTCGACAATCTTGCCTGTGGTGAACGCCGCAACAATGCCTCCCACTCCAATTGGGATGAAGCAAAGTCCAACCTGGATGTTGTTGAAGCCATACCCCTCGCTGAAAGACGAGGCAGCACCGGTCGAGATGGCGTAAAAGCATGCCAGGTTCAGGCCGACCGCAACAAGAACGATGAATGACTCTGGATCCGCGCAGATCAAGAGGGTAGGTAAAGGATTTGGAAAGCGAAACCGGTAATTCTTGCGAAGCGCCGCCTGCTCATCAGCGTCGACTATCAGACCTCGCTGCTTCCTCTTCCGGTGTCGAATGACATCTGTAACGGACCAATTCAAAGGTGGTGGAGGAATGGACCCGTCCCCAACAATTTTGCGACATGTCTCGGGCAGGAACAAGAACAATGGCACACAAAACACGCCAGAGAGGATGAGGAGGAACCAGAAGATCCAATGCCAATCGAGGTTCTGGCTGATGAGTCCTCCAATCTGCATTCATGTCAGTGGTCTCAGATCTTCTCTCGATGGGCAAGGCATACAATCGGTGAAAGCGACGGACCAAGCAGCCCTCCCAAGGACGCGAACGCAATAAACTCCCCTCGCTGTTCCGACGTCACCGTGTCCCCGACGAGTCCATTAGCCAAAGCTATTGTCCCACTAGTACCGGCGCTCTGAATGCACCGCAGGATAAGCAGAGCTGCATAACTGTTCTGGAGTCCCAAAGCGAGATTTGCGATGATATAAATCGTGAAACACAAAACATACGCCGGTCGTCGGCCCATGCTGTCCGAGAATCCCGCGATGACCATCGGCGCTGCGCCCTGCAGGATCAAATAGGTCGTCACGGTCAAGTTGATCTTTGAGCCCGACACGTGCAATGCCTGGGAAATGGTGTTCAGTGCTGGGAAGTAAATCGCCCCTGTCAAAGGCGAGAAGAAGCCCGCGAGCGACCCTGCCGCGATGATGATCCTCTTCTCATTCGTGCTGAAGACGGAGTATTGCTTAGTTGGTGGTGTTGATGGCTGTTCCTGTTTCAAGGCGGCGTCCTTCTCCACATCTTTACTTCTCTCCAGAGCCGGCGTGGTCTCAAGAACACCTTCCTCGCGTGTCTGTGCATGGTCGGGGCTGCCAGTTTTCACACCTTGGTGTACCTTTGGCTCAATGTTAGACGTATCTCCCTTTTCGATTCGGTCCTGGTGAGGCGTGCTCAGTGGTTGTGCTAGTGGCTGAATGACATTTGTATCCTCCTGATTGTCCGCATGTTGAGTGTCGCCCATAGTAGCGCACTGGCTGCGAGTCGAAAGTAGGATTTCAGCATAGACCCTGCCACAATTGTTGTCAAGCTTTGAGTTTCGAAGGCCTGGTGTACGTACAGTGTCGTCAGACCGCACCAGACTCGAATGGACAACTACCTGCAATGAGCGTTGTGCATGGATACTTGATCCACAGTCCGGCCAAACGGTGTATGCTGCAAATTATGCTTTCGGATGACGCGAGAAGTTTCCAAAGGATAACGGCTTTCTAAATAGGAAAAGAGATAACTGTTTCTCGGAAATTTCTTTGTTCTGCCTTTCGCCGGTACAGGGCCGGTTCTCGGGCCTGACCCAGGCTGCCACGACTTGATCCTGCGCAATGAATGGTTGCAAAGCCCCGACCGGTGCGGTGATAAGAGTAAACCCCTTAAAAAAGGGGGCGTCGTGCAGCATCAAAAGCACCGTGCTTCTGGTGATTGTTAATGGCAGAGTATCAATTTCTTGGAGTCTTCAGCCCTTGAAACGAACATCATTGTGAGCAGGTTGTAGCTAGCCGAAGATCTTCCGACTCCGGTGGTCGGCTTTTGACTCTCAGCATCGGAGGGACAGCCTTAACGAGGCTCGAGGTATATATGGTCAACCCCATCCCGCCAAACCGGTCGTTCAGGAGTTGATCATAGCCAAAGGTCACAAAGCGTTGAGTAATCAGAAAGCATCTTTCACACGATCCTCTGAATCTAGACCATTATTGACAGAGCTACCGCATCTTCGACTTTGACCACCCTCACAGCCACGCTGCTCACGATGAGTTGGCTCAAATACCTCGAGTATTACCTTGCGCGATTGCTCTACAACAACAGAGGCCGAGATGCCAAACTGTTGATAAACAGCGCGCTTTTGAAAGACATTCCCAAGAACATCCACGTTGAGTCTCCTGATGTGGGCCCGTCAGAGTCGCATCTAGGCCTCGAGTACTCCCAGTACGGAGGGAGCAAATTCCCGCAGCTATCCTGGTCCCTCGCTCTTGATGCGAAGATCTCCCAAGCCGACATTAAAGAATATATGCTGCTCATCGAGGACCCAGATGCACCACTACCCTTAGTCCCCAACCACGGCATGTACTATGCCATCCCAGCGACCAAGACATCAATCGGTCCTGACGACCTAAAGCTCGACCCAGCGAGACAGGACAACGGCGAAAAGTGGTTGAAGGGTGGTTTCCGTTTGGGCAAGAATCTCCGTGGGTCGCTCTACTCTGGACCAAGACCTCCTGTCGGCCACGGACCACATCGATACTTCTTCCAATTGATTGCCCTGAGGGAAAAGGTTGACAGCACCAATCTCAGTCCGGTGGCCACGAAATCGGAGTTAATGGAACATATCAAAGGCAAGGTCATTGGCTATGGCGTTTGGATCGGGGTATTCGAGAAGAAGTGGGATTAGGCTTTCTTTTGCTCCTTGGGTCGGCAACGGCCCTGACGATCTAGCCATAAAATTGGTGGCTCCTTTTCAAACAATAGTCCGAAATACTGTGTATCCGCTGCGTGTCGATAATATTACAATGGGAATGATAGGACTCAAGTCGTACAGTCGTTACTTATCCCACAGCTCCCAGTGTCTCATCCGTCCATAAAGACGAAAAGATATCTTCTCCAACGGGCCAACCCAATTCGGCTAACATGGGATCGTCAAGGAAGTTGGAATATTCTGGTCTCGCCATGGTCGCCATCGCAGGTTCGATTATTCCATTCGCGTGGTTGGTAACACCATTTTCATTTGCGGGAGTATCTTCTGTGATTGTCAGCCAAACTTGCACTAGTACAACGACAAGCCAAAGAGTCCGCACCATTTCGAGACATTGGAGGTGGGTAAACTCCCATGAAAGCTCCAGTCTCTTCACGCCACCAAACAATACCGTCGAGGACCATGCTTGCAGCAAGGCGGCTTCTGACGCGTAAAGCGACTGCTTCGGTGCCATTCGGTCTGCGAAACACCCTGTTGCTGGTCCACAGTTGTGTCAAGGCCACTGCATTCCTGGCAGGTATGTCGTCATTTTGTAGCGATAATCGCTTGTTCAGGCTGATACCCAGGAATAGTGCGGCCTTGGCTCTCTCAACATCAATGTATCGTGCAAATGAGGTCTTGAGCAGCCGAAGCAGGATATGGCAGGGTACCATTATGCTATGATAAAAGAAAATGCCTGATGCTGGAAGGGAGATTTGGCCTAATTTGTCCAGTTTGTCAAAAGTCTCAAGTACTTGACACGATACTGTACATAGGTCGTACAATGATGTGGGATCCTGTGCCGCGGGTGACTTGTAGAGATTGAACATCTGGATCTGAAGGCTGGACAGTTGCACATAGAGATGGTCGAGATCTCAACAAGTCAGTTTCCGTGGGCAGTTCAACATGGGAGTAAGGACAGACCTGAAGCGTAGTCAAGACCAACGCTGCTGACCTGCGCCTGGAAAAGATTCAGGAGAGTGTCCAGGGACCGCTCTTGCTCCGCGGACATTGTTCTGAGGCCGTTCTGCGACACTGCAATCGAACACCTCGTCAATACATCCTGTAACTTGAGTTCGAATTTTAGCCTGGTCGATATGTTTTGGAATACCACTCTTCTCTGCTCGGGGTCATGAGGAATATCGAGAATCGGCATTGCGGATATTCCTTTGCAGAGACACGAGCTACGATGATGTCAGCATGTTTCATCGGTCGATGCACCTAACGACGGCGACCAACGACAGTGGCAACAGCGGTTTCCTTTGACTCACCGTTGATAGACCAGCATGCAGTAGCCCCAAGTTTCAGCCCGCCTCTTGGTGTCCTCCTCACTCAATCTTATCGGGACTTTGCTGAATTCCTGGCCTGACACTGGATGATGAAGTCCTAGTTGCATTGCCATATGTATCAAAGCGCCACTCATAGGATAGATCAAGTCCTGTCCAGTAGCAGCCTTCGGGAAAGGCCAGTACAGGATCAGTAACCACGCTAGGACGATTTGTAGATTTACGTTAGAATTGATTGTCGGCAGAGCCATGGCGTAAAGCTTGGAAGGCAATACGGCAAGCAACGTGGGATCTTTCGGATACGTGCGGCAACCGACTCCGATGATTGTCCAAAACAGAAATGGAGAGAGCCCATAGTACGCATTCGGGGACGTTGTGGGATCGAGAATGGGCATAAGACTGGCATAGTCGCGGAAGTATCTGCATAAACCGTCAGCAGTGGTCGAGGTCGGTTTAAGAAGGACCCGGGCAGGTGACGCACATGAGAAATATGGCATCAATGTCCTTGGCTTCCACAGTGAGCGCATCCAGGCTCCTCGGTAATGTTCCCGAGACAGGCTGATCATGCAGTAGGCTCTCCGGAGTTTGCAACGTTTCGGCCGGTGGAGGAAAAGATCGAAAGGACACGGGCGCAATGTTTGCATCTCGGAAGAAAGGTGCAACTGAGGCTAGCCGGCTCTCAGTCTCAGCAGTTTGGTGGTCATTGCTGTTGACAGCAGCCCATGATCGTTCGGGCAGGGCTGGTACTTCAGGTTGGGCAGACTGAGAAGATGTTCTCAATCTCTCCTGTAGTTCGTCCGTACGGAGTTCAAGTTCGGAGATTCGCTTGCGTTTGTGCTCTCGTCGAAAGGGTTCCGATATGGTGCACTGTCTGCTCATTCTCCGGCATCGCGAGCAAGGCTTGTCTGGATCTAGATACGCATCGCACCGAGCCTAAAAGACAGTGCGTCAGCCCTGTAACAGCAGTACAATAGTCGGCGTCGCTTTGGCTATCACCAGCCAGTCGGATTGGCAGTGGAACAGGATGGTTCTATCGCGCCACGGTTTGTGAATGGCTCAATAATCCCCTGGCGTTCGGTTACGCACAAGGATGCCGGATACATCCCCGGGCATGGTGGCATCTTCCTGAAGATTCCAAATCCCCTAGTAGCGTGCCCCTCGGCTGGAGTTGCGCAGAGAAGATGCTGCCATACTCTCCGCGAAGGATATGATTTGCAAGCCTAGATGACTTACTTTTTGCTGGCGGCACTCCCTTTGGACGTCAGGTTGCTTCGCTAGGACCAATTTTCGGTAAGGAGAGAATACTTACGTACACGCTCGTTTGACCTGTTTGCCGTCGGCCCTATTGAATTGATTAGCGACGTGTTGCGGACAATGACTGGGGCGAGCGACACTGACTGCGGAGTCGTATCTGCGCTCATCTTCAAGCGGACGAATGTCCAGATCACCAGCGCCCAAGATGAAGTATGTTTTTGATTAAAGGCTAGGCAACGCAAAGTCCAATGGAAGAAGTGGTGGCCAGCTCGCAGAAGGACAGGAGTCGTCCGGATCTCAAGTATCACTAGTCGCGGAGTTGACGGCAACGGCGACCAGCCGGACATGAAATCAAAGCAGGTCAGCCGAGATTGACCTTCCACCAGTCTGGAACATTGTGATTACCAGCTGGCAACGAAGTCATTTCTATCATGTTTGGCTCTACAAGGATATCTTATACGAGTATTTCGACTTCAATGGCAAAATCATTGCCGTATGGCCAACATTGATCAATTGGGCTTGGTTTGAGCTGCATGAAATCATCACCGCCACTGCCAGCCATTCCAAGCGCAGGAGCGATGTACCTCGATCCACAGAGCCACGTCAACCTGAAAATACATGGCTTCAATGCTTGACAGCGGTCTCCCAACAACATTCCCATTCGCGCTCAAATGCGCTGTGCGACAAGAAGAACCTCATGGTACGTATGACAGATGCCCAATCACGGCCCTCATTTACATCCAAAAATTTCGCCATCACCTCATTCTGTATTTGTCCCATGCCGGCTCGTCTTGCTCCGTTGGCTGTAATCATCGTAATCCAGCTCCAGATTCCCCCATGGCTTGTCTGCACCAGCTCATCCGAACATAACGTATCGGCAAGCTCGTTCAGAACATGGCGATAGCCGGAACAACGACAGGACCAGGCCAGAATGTTGGCGTGGAATATGTAGAGCGCTTTGCAGATTATCCGTTCCACAGTGAAGTTGGAGTCCCTGCATAACCTCATTGCCTTAGCGCTGTTCGAGCGAGGGTCGAAGCTTAACAAGAATGTTTCCCTGGATTTATTCGTCTCGACTCGGGACATTCCATCGATGCACGATACCCATTGAACGCTGTTCTGAAGAACGTCAAGCACTTGTGTACAAAGTTGGCCGTCCACAGCAATGGATCGAAAACCCGGAGTCAGCCCGGAGATCATCCTTGTTACCGCTTTCGAAAACGGCTTGGAGGGATAATCGAGTGCAGCATCGTGAGGCCCATGTTGATCGGACGCAAAATTGTCTCCAAATATGAGCAGAGCGTTTGATTCTGCCCTAAAACATATGTCAGCGTGCAGACAAGATCCCGGACAGTAGATCACTACTTACCAGGTCACAAATGATCGAAGGGCACCTGCGTAGGCCAAACCGTCGTACACTGGGTTTCCCGTTACCATTTGCCTGAGACCTTTCAGGTGTGTTTTGTAAGCTTGTTCATCTAGAAACACGTTCTGAAAAGGTTAGTTATGAGACCTCCTATTATTGTTGGGTAGACGCACGTCCGTGATCATCAAAAACACCGTTGAAAGAATAACAGCTTCATCAATCGAGCCCGAGGTCAGTTTCGTCCTGATCCCTACCAGGGCTTGACCTTTGTGGTAGAGGCTGGCCTCGCGCATTGGAGTTTTAAAGTCTTGACTCGCGGCTTTGAATGTCAGACATAGCGAGATAAGAGCCTCGAAGAGTTCTCGGTGCTGCAAAGCAGAATTGAAAATGTCCTTTATGAGAGGGTTGTCTTTGGTCTGATATCTCAGGCCCGGCCGTTGCGACGGTGCCCAAACGTGGAGAACTACAAGAGATCAGAAACCATGATTGTACTGGCTCGCCGCCATCTTACAGTGATTCATCGAAGCCACCACCTCGTCGCCCTGTCTAGTGGGTAGTGTGTCTAGGGGATCGAAGAGACCAGACGATGGATGCCTTGAGATTCGGGTGTACTCGCCCACGTCCACCCATTTCTGATGGGCGTTTCTTCGAGAATTGACGGGACCGTCATTCTGATTAAATGACCAGGGAACACTGCTAGACTGCGGGCTTGGTTTCGAAGATATTGCAAGTTCTTCTGACTGACGAGCATTGACAGATTGTGCTGTGGCACCTTGAACATGGTTGAGGGTGTCCGTAGTAATGTCGGTTTGTTCATGAATCTTGTTGTCTGGTGGGCTCAGTTTTACATGCCTGCCACTTTCAACCGATGTCTCTCTCGAGCTTGTGCTAGGAGTAGGCCACGCATTGATAAGATTGTCGTTTCGAACATGGTAGCTCGATGCGCCCTTTGCAACCGCAGGGGGTGGGCCTTTTCTCGTGCGCCAGTATGCCACACGTGCCGCGTGTGCTCTTGCTTCAGAATGTTGCAAATCTTGCAGTTGACGCTTGTTTGGTTTTGGTAATTTGAAGGTTGAGTAGTCGTAATTGATCAGAGTTGCCATGACTTCGTTATTGGGATACGCATAATGCGCGTACTAGGGTCAGACTTTCAATGGATTCGTGGGAGTGTCTTTGCATGATGAATGTCGCACGGTTACACCTGAGGTGACCTTCCTTTCCGGATCAGTCCGGATGGGCAAATGACTTTGGAGAAAGGAGCAGTCGTGTCTGCAATTCGATGTTGTCCACACGTCATGAAGTCGACGGCGGGCTCGGAACAAAAATATGTTGTGGACGCCCCCAGTAGTCATCGGTCGAGTTCAAGAGCAAAAACAATCGTTCAGCCAAGTATGGTCGAAGACGAAGAGGAAGTGGTTGTCGAAGGACGGGGCGATACTGGAAGCGTCACCATATTCGACAGCGGCTCGTTGTACTTTTGAGGGGGAAAAGCGGAAAGTTCCAGGGACGGCCCAGGCAGGGGATGGGCGAGAAGTGCTGCAACAGGGAAGCCAAGTATCATTATTCAGCATCTCATGTGCCTCACTAGCCCCTAGTCAGCAAGGTTACAGAGCAGTGTGCCCCATATCATGATGAAACTGGAGTAAGCCACATTGGGGAAGAGGACAGGTGAATCGGAGCAAGTTTCTGGGCGCCTCTATGTTTAGAACTTTAGAGGACCGGGGAAAGCCGTGGGCGGCCGTCACGGTTCCCGGAAGGCTGCGACTCTCGTTGTCCATCAGATTGCCCTTTGTCAGCCGTAAGGTACCCGCTACAGAATGGGTGGCCTGGTGGAGGCGAAATCCCGAATTTCGACTGTAGACGCTGCCAATCAGTACCGACCTTCCATGTTAGGTATGTATTAATGCAACACGACCCTGTCAGTGATGCTAAGAACCGGAATGCTCTGTGATAGTGACCGGAATGGTCTGTGATAGTGAACGGTATTGAGCGATGAGGATCAGATCGGATACGAAAGAAAGATTCCCCTTGGGGGCCTGCTTGTTGATTGTGGTTGCTTCGTGAATCCTCATGATTGCCAGGCCGTGTAGCTTCACTGACGCGTACTTGTGCCAATATCAACGTGTCCCCGTCGGGAATACCTATCGTAGAAGATCGGGAGACTCTTCGCTGAAAAGATAAGGAAGCATTTTAATAGCTTGAGCTGGTGCGTGACTGGCAAGGCTGCGAGGCCGCCCTGAAATCCGAGATTTTCCAGGCGTTCTTATCGATAAAGGTCGGCGACTCTTAGCACCGATGGTTTACCAAAACTTTTTTTCCTGCGGCAATGAAACTGCAGTACGCTTGCCTCTTGAAAGGGCATGCATTGATCCTCGACAACAAGCGTTGCACAATGCCGTCAGTCTTCATAGACGCATGAAGGACGACGATTTCTTCATCCACTATTCTCAATATGGACATTCACCGTTGCAGATTCGTTCAATATCCGGCCCAATCCATCAACGCCCTTGCCTTTTCCCATACCTCGCGACCGAAGGAAAAGACCCCCTCTGATGTTCGACTTGCCGTTGGTCGCCAAAATGGCGACGTCGAGGTTTGGAATCCGGCGAAGGGCCTGTGGGTGCAAGAAACTATTCTAAAAGGGAGAGCGGACAGCACAATTGAGCACTTGGAATGGACGCGCGACCTAATAGTGGAAGAGAATGCTGATGGCCCAGAAATTTCACATGGCCCGCTACGTCTCCTCAGCTCGTCAGGTTCAAAACAGCTGCTTGAATGGGACATCTCGTCTGGTTCTCTGAAGCGACAAGTCGAGGGCAATTCCGGCGACATATGGTGCTTTGCCGCCCAACCGCAGCTTGAAAATCCTAAAGATATCAAAGCCTTGGAAAGCGGTATCTATTCGCCGCTGGTGGCTGCCGGTTGCGCTAATGGCACTGTTGTTCTATTCTCGACAGAAGACGGCGATCTAAGATACCTGCGACCACTGCTGGCACCCCCTGCCAAAAAGCCCAAAGTTCTCAGTATTGCATGGCGCGATCGAAACACCATCATTGCTGGTTATGAGGATAGCACAATTCGAGTCATCGAACTCTCGACCAGGAAGATCCTTCGCAGCATGAGTCTGGGCAAAGGGCCTGATGGTAATGATCCAGTTGTCTGGGCTGTGAAATACCTTCCGGATGGCACGATAATCTCCGGCGACTCCTCAGGTCAACTGAAGATCTGGAACGCGAAGAATTTTACTTTGCTCCAGACATTGAAGTCACATGCAGCAGATATCCTCGACATTGTTGTAAATGCAAATGGCGACAAATTCTTTTCACTCGGCGCCGACAGAAGGACTTTCAGTTACCAACACTCAGGCAGCAAGAATTTGGGATGGGTGGAAATCTCCCACCGAAGATACCATCGTCATGATGTCAAGTGTGGTGCGGCGTTCGAGAGCAAAGACCTCAGTGTATTGGTATCAGGTGGTCTCGATTGCAAACCCATCGTTGTTCCCATCCGAAAGGCACAAGGCGAGCTGCACCGCGCGCTTTCGCATCTACCTCAACAACCACTGATCTCTGCTTCACCTTCTTCCAGGCTCTTCATGTCCTGGTGGGGAAATCAGATTGTGATCTACCAAGTACGCAAGCCGCGAAACCCAGAGGAGCAGAACTTCGACTTCGATGGTCCCACGCCTTCTTCCTATGAAACCCTGGCACAGCTAGTCGTCCAGGGCGATGAACACATCCAAAATGCGCAACTGTCCGCAGATGGTCAGTTCATCGTTGCCGCCACCATTAACGGCGTAAAGCTGTTCCAGTTACGAAAAACCCAAGCCGCAGGCCGACCATGCTTGCGAACGAGGCAGGTCGAGTTGCCCCCCGCTATCGTTAGACTGGGAGCACGGCAAGCAGGCTTCTCGCCGGACGGAAAATGGCTGTATACCATTCGAAAAGACAACACCATTGCATTGAATAAGCTCGTGTTGGGGAGCGACCCCAAAGACGAGCCCGCAATACATGAGAAGACCGTCAAGCTGTACCGTGTATCTCGAAAGCAACCAAAATCCTCCCTCGGCACTTACCCCCAAACCATAACACACGTCGCCTTTTCGAGCGACAGCCGCGTACTCGCTGTGGGCGACGTTTCTGGTGCCATTGATACATGGGTTCTAGAAGGCCACGAAGACGTAGACTACGTCGAAGCTGCGTCAGATAACTCCGACAATTCATCCGATTCTTCTTCGGAGGACGACGACGAAGAGGAAGACGAATCACCCGTGATTCACGCGCAAAAGTGGATTCGCAACCCTTCTGGATCCCAACTGCCTCAGCTAGACTCCTCAATCCTGGCACTCACATTCCGCCCGTCGGATCATCCATCAATTTCAAACCCAGTTGACGGGAATCGCGGCCTACACGCCACGCGCCATACCGCCCACCCAGTCGCCCATGAGCTCCCCTCCTCCAACATCCGCCTCATCGCCGTCACCGCCACCCACCAGGTCGTCGAATTTGATGTACTATCCTGCAGACTCAGCGAATGGTCTCGGCGCAACCCCTCAAAATACCTACCCCACGCATTCACAAGGCTCAAAGACCGTGTGGTGGGTTGCTTCTGGGACTGCACTGACCCCGAGACTCACGGCGAGCGCCTATGGCTGTACGGTTCGAACTGGCTCTTCATGCTCGACGTGTCGCAAGACCTGCAAGAGCAGAATGCCACACCCGTCTTCACGACCGCGACATCTGCGAAAGCCAAGGTTGCATCTCTGGGCGGATACGACGTGGTCGACCCAGTGGAGTCGAATCCGCCAGCTGCCACCAACGGTCATGCCTACAAGAAGCGCAAGCGGAACACAGGTGCAGGGGACGCCATCCCCGAGCATCAGCGTCCAAGCGGCGTAGGTTCCACGATCCGCAAGTTCAAAAACGACCGTGCTGACGTCGACATGGTTGACATGGACGGAGACGAAGATGTGGAGGACCAAGACACGGACATGGTCGGCGACGAAAACGGAGATGACAGCCTTGCGCTCATGAGGCGCCGTGATGACCAGATGCAGCAGTCTACGAAGCCTTCAGATGCAAATGGCGATGGACAGCCAGCAATGCCGCGGCCCACGCACTGGTGCACTTTCGAGTACCGCTCCATCCTAGGTGTTGGCGTGATTGGTCCTTCGCCGCCAGAATCGTCGGATCTGGAAGGCAAAAAGCGAGGCCCGCTCGAGGTCGTCATCGTGGAGCGCGATGTCTATGACGTTCCGAAGGGCCCTAGACTTGATGTCGGGCAGGAGTGGGACACGTGAGCCGATGAACACATGGCTGCACATGCCACAAACGCAGCCATAGACGTCTGCCCGGCATTGGCCCCCGGGAAGACCTGGATAGATTCCGACGTGGACACATGACACAGACACCTGGTCCCGTGGTGATCACTGTCCCGTGTCCTTCTGACGGCATGGAGGTCTATCGTGGTGACAGGCAAGGCAATCCATGTATGACTGCCGGTTCAGTCCAAGCTCAAGGTGAAGTTTTGTGTCAGCGAGCAGTTGAGCGAGCGTCATTCCAGAAGTACAGACTTCCAGAGATCAAGCTTGCAAACCTATTACTAGTACTCCAGAAAGTACTTACACACTGCGGTACTCGTACAAGGTTCTAGGCTTTGGAGGGAGGTTCAGAAGCACAACTTGCAGGCTCGCGCTTGCCAGCTCTTCACTCTCGGCCAGTACGCAGTCACGGTTCACCAGTCGCCTTCGATCATGCACCGCTACAAATACCATTTTTCGTCGGCTACCCACGAGTATTGAGTTACACCACGAACCCTGGCACGAACTTGATTTTTGACCCTACCACTACGGAGTACGTTAGCCAGAGACATGGTGGACTCCGCTTTCTTGCTTACGTCGATGGTTTCTAAGTGGCCTCGTACTCCTAGGAGGTCTTGAACTACAGTACTGTCGTGGTCCAGACCCCGACGTGACCAGAAGAAAGTAGGACCAAGTACGATGACTACCGTAACGAGTACAGGTCCAGACTCCAGCGTGAACAGAACAAAGCACACTATCGCCAAGGTACGATACTACGAGTACATAGGCACACCAGGGTGTTGCATGCATGGCTACGTAAGCAAGATAAAGAAAATTCACTGGAGTCATGCAGGCCAGGCTGCCAGGCTTGCAGGGCATACGTGGACACTCCCGAACGGGTTATCCTCCACTTTAAGCGGACAGCAGACAGTTTATGAGCAAGGAAACTACTTCCCTTATGGGGCCATGCCACGCAATGTCTATGGCAAGATCTGACTGTGCTCTGGCTATCTTGTCAAATGTCAGGTAGCTCTACAGTCCTCCACCTGGAGCTATGTCCACGAGTTTCTTCTTATTTTTGAGACGGTAGCATAACAATGCAATAGCAAAGTAGACAGGATCAAGAAATCTTTTCAATTCGAGTTGTGACTCTTAGTTCATTGTGGCCTGTGACACTTATGTGCAAAAACACCCTTCCTGTTCGGGTACATCAGACTCATTGATCACATGCTAGTGCTGCCAAAACGTAATCCAACCACTAGTGCTCAAATGGTAGACAGGCAAAAAATGCTCCCACGGGACATTGAAGAGCGGACATCCATCTCGTCCATATCTTTGCGCTAAAAACTCCTCACCGACGCATAGCAGGCACGCCATCGTCTCCCAGTGATGGCTCGCCATAATCAAAAACCCCGTGATGCAAAGATGAATACCAGATATTATAGCCAGGTAAAACCCCTTTGTCGTAAACGCCATGAGCTGGTGTTGATCAAGCGCATATAAGTGACACGCTTTGACGCCAGAAATATGCATGCATATCAAAAGTGTTCTTTTCTGAAGGAATCGTATCTCCACATGAGACGCAATAGGCTCATCGTGCAAAATCAGTCGAAAGTAGTGGTGATGAGAAAGTCGAGTAGCAGGCGAGTGGTCACGCCGGTACTACCGGCGACCTGATTGATCCATTTGTTGTTGATTCGACCACCGTACGGCGGCTTCCTGTTGTCTTTCGGCAGGTGTCTTGACATCTTCGCCCCGTTGTGGATTGGTTGTTCCAGGTATGGAGTTGAGCATGTCGTCCGCCAGCGACGTCGCAACGTAACCTCTTAGCTCGCGCTCTTCTCTTTCATCCTCACGCCTCAGTCGTGCTTGCACTGGTTTGTCCATGTTATCTCTTCGAATCTTGCGGATCTCGTGCATGATCCAGAGCAGGACCTCTTCTGTACATCGGTTTCTTGTAAGCTGGTAGCGTGAGTTGCGAACGTAGCGTCGAGTAACATCAGTTGCACCCTCATTGGAGAAGGCAATGCAGTAGCCGATCTTTCGGTTCCAGCCTGGATAGTGTCAGTATGATGATCGAGTGGGGATGTCAAGACACTGCTTACCCTCTGTGTATACCCTTGGTGTGTCCCAAAGCTCCTCGCATGGGTCTACATGAACCCATCTGCGCTGGTGTTCGCTGTAGATTTCGGTCCAGACATGGTCTTCACTGTTCCAAACCCATCGCACTCGAGCGCCAGCGGCACGACAAAGCATGCTAAAGCAATTGGCAAACTCTCCGGCTCGTCCCCTTCGGGTCTCGAGCAAGGTCCAGACGTCACTGTATCTGGGGAATCTTTCGAAGGCCGAACAGCCAGGGGTGGTGCAACGGTATAGTTCGACTCTGGTAGCACCACGAGCAACCTCGTCCGGCGTTGGAGGAGTCTGTCCCTGGGCGACGGTGGCTCCGTGACATCTCGTGCAAGGAGGGTTGTTGACAAATGCGAAGAACGATCGCTTGAACCATCTAGAGGGCAAGGTTAGAATTGTACAACAAAACTAGGCTACCAACTTACCTTAGCAAAGTTCTTATGACGCAGTCTTGGTAGCCCCATTCAGGTTTGCTTCCATCACCCTTTGACTCGGCCATTACTACCATCAAGTTGTGCTCCTCCTCGGCTTCTGTGTAGATCTGGTCGATTGGCACGTGGGTGAGGGCGTCATCGAGCAAGCCAGGGTTTTCGTATTTTGTCGGTGTCATTGACAGAGTTATGAGCAGGTTGCGAAACTTCAGGGATAAGGCGTCTTGAGGAGGGCATGGCACTATAGGATGACTTCGAAAGGATGTATAGGTTGGTGGTTGTTGTGGTTGTGATTGTGGTTGTGCAGGGCGAGAAGACCGTACAGGGTTTGGAGATTGTGGGAACGGCGACGATGCTGATTGAGATGATGTTCGAGGTGCAAGGTGAGGTGAAGAAGCCCGAGACGTTCTTGCTTGTTCCTCGAGTTCATTCAACCTCCTTGTCCGTAATAATTGTTCGAACTGTTTTGTGAGGTCACCGGCATCAAAGTCGAACTCGTCGTCCAGGGTGCGTGACCTGGCGTTGTCCGCCATCGCGATGGTGTGTTGCAAGTATGCCTAGAAGATACCAACGAAGAGGTAAAGTTGTAGGAAGTACTTGGTTCGTAGTCGAAGGTATGCAGTCAAATGGTGGACTTCAGACTTCGGGAGGGGGATGTGTTTTGGGCGCAGCCGCGGAGCACAGCCGAGTTTTGGAGTTGCCTCGCCACAGTCCGGCCTCGAGTATGGACCAAACAGCGCATGCACAATGCAAGAGCGATTTATTCAGGATATAAAGAACGGACAGAATACCAAAGACGAGAAGAACGGTCGAGACAGTGAGGACGAGGAAAAGTCAGAAGAGGAAGTGTAGGCAGCCGTGTGGTGGATGGCGACGACAAGGGCTCGGAAATGGAATGGAGGATTGGCGGTGCATACGTGGACTGCAAGATTGCGTGAGCGGCAGAAGGCGAGCTGGCAGGCTTGGGGCTTTGGTGAGGAACTCTCAGGTCAGGGCTGGCCTGGCGTTAATCCAACCAAAGCTAGTTATTTTTTTCTGCTGCAGGGACGTGAGGGAGTTGCAAAAAAGCCTGGGGGAAGACGGTCAGACCGTCAGACAGGACCAAGAGTGCGACGTGGCCCAGGCGTCCCTTGGAAGAATAGTACGAGGTATCCTTCTCAAACTGCTGACGACGACGGGTTGCAGCGTGTCAAGCCTCCGTGGGCTTTGCCTTCTCTGGCCTCGCTCTTTTGGCCCGCCCGCGCCGCGCGTCCCTTAAAGTCTCGACGACTTACGCAATCCCCTGACCTACTCTACCAATCACCAGCCTGAGAGATCTGCTTTTGGTGCCCCAGTCATATATTCTCCGACACTTCTTATGTTTATATGTGTGTGACCTGTATAAAGAACTTCGTGGCCCTCTTCCAGGTCGCTCTTCTGCGGGCGAAGGACGACCACTGTGTGCGCGTATACGTACCCCGGAAGCGGTCTGGCGCATCAATCGTCGGTATTACCTAGGTACCAGGTCTCCTTTGTGTGGACCTGTGATACCTGGGCCAAGGCGATATGGGAATGTCATCCATTTCTTGGTGCCTTTCAGTGCTCCTCTTCTATACCAAGACAAGAAGTGTCGTACCGCGAGATGGTCAGCAGGTAAATAAGCTTGCTCCATAAATGGGCCGTAGCCAAGAGTTGCACTCGAACAGTCGTGCTTTGTACTGAAGCCATTTCCCAGCCAAGAAGGAGAGAAGAGAGAGCCGCATCAGCCTTAGCCGTTGGTCCCTTTTTTGGAAACCGTTTGCCTCCACCGGCTGATCAAGACGCGCGTTTGACAGGATCTTGTCTTGCGTGTGCATTTCCTTGGCTTTCACGTGCGATCCGTAGAAAGGCCAATGTCACGTGGAAATTGCGCCACACTTATCACGTGGGATGTTGGCTTACATAAATAGCCAAAGCTACGAAGCCACATACCCTCTATATCTTAGACTTTGGGCGGCTGCCATTGCCAATGTTTTCATCAGCACGTCACTTAAAACAAGCTGTCATCTCATGCCTTCAACACACACTCTTGCCGCCGGTACCTGCAGTCTCTTCAACACTGTGTCACGTGTATCTCAAGTTGAAGTGGATATAGCACTCAACATGGCCTGAATAGCAATTAGAACGAGGAAGGCACTGTTCGAGAAAGTCAGAGGTGATCTCATTGCAACTGACGCTCTTCATGGCCTTATTCGTGTCAAGCTGTCTTTCTGGTCTTTTCTACCTCTCCTCCACAACGTCCCACAGCTCGCCATTGTGCCTCTCGAGGAACTCCTTGCCTCCTGTCCAGAAGGTGATATGTCTGACGAACTGGGCCAATCTATCTCTCAATTGACTCCAGAACTCCACCACGGCCTTCAAATTTTCTCTCTTCCTTGCGCTCAAGTCTCCCTTCGACAGCAGCCTATTCGCCTCTGCGGCATACTCTAATCGTATGAGCGCGTACTTCGACAGCTTCGTCTCCCAGTGCAGGATCTGGCTCCATGCATCTGGCGTTCTCCAGGAGCGAGCCAGGTCATCAAGGACTGGGCTGGGATGCAGATGAAGTAGGCCCCGTGCCTCGTTCCTGATTCTTTCCTCATCTTTGAGGCTGGCTTTATGGCAACGGTCAAGAACCCAGATATTTCTCTGGATGCAGAATTGGAGCATCTCGTTGGCATCGGCGTTTGTGTGGAGCTCGAAGATCTTCTTAATGGTCGTTGGGGCGTCTGTCCCTGGTATAGGGCGGTACTGACTGTAGTCAGCAGGTGATGTGTCAGCATATATCCACTTGAAATTGAGCCCATTTGACCATGCAGGTCTTGGACTCACTGAATCCTGTGGAGTATCCTTCCTCGATGAAATGTCTATGCAGACGGAGTGCCTCCTGGGCGACAAAGCGTCCATACTCTGTGCGCTCGTGCGTTGGTGGTTCTTCGTTGCTTGCCTCGGGCAGAGTTGTGGTGAAATCAACGGTGAGTCTGAGAATTTGGCACTTGCTGATCCAAGAGTATGGTGTGCTGTGCCAAGCTGCGTCGAACGACTCTAGGGATGACAAAGATGGACAAGGAGACGACATCATTGCGGGTATGCGGCTGTAAGATGCGGCTGTGCTCAAGATCCCGCGGGCTGATGTCTGTTGATGCTGTCTTGTGCAGCTTCATGTGAATGCATCACAAAGGCAGTACGCCAAGGAGGGGAAGTACTGCGGCACAAGGCGGTGATACTTTGCTATAAGGGGGTTGGCAAGGCTCTGACAAAGTGTCTATACCACACCTGTGCTGCTCTCAAGCCGCCTAGCCAGCCTGATTGGGACGTTGGCCAAACCACCTTGTATGTGCGTTTATTGGGAATCTCGGGTGATTGACAAACAGGGCATGTTGGAAGAAGATACTAGGCTTTGTCCAGGGATATCCACTGCAGCAAACAACGTGTCTAGGCATTGAACGTTCACAAGAACACTACCCATCGACCTCGCTATCCTAGAATGGCCGCTGCCAATTTAGCAAATCCCGACAAAGTTCACATCCTTACATTCGTCCGGAGCCTCACACAGCAGGGAACGAACCTGTAGCTCAACATGCCTTTCATAGCCGCCTTCTCCCTCTCTGACCTGATCATCCTGGCCAGCCTATCTCGGTCGATATGGTTGTTGCATTGTGCTACATGGGTTCGGACGATATTCTCCCCAACCTCAGCCATGTCTCTTAACTTCGGAATCGGATTGGTGCACTCACAATCGATGAGCCATTGACGGCAAGCTTCGAGCATGATGGAAAGGTCTGCGTGGGCGGCGGGCAGCAACCCGATGCCACTGTTCGTCTTGACAACTCCCTTTGCACCAATATGCTGGATCACACTGGTGAGGTGCTGCTGGAAGTGCTGCACTCGAACCGAAATGTCATCCAATGCTTGGATCACAAGGTGCATCCATAGTACCTCGTCCTGCGCTGCATCTATATCGTCGACAGCCCCTTTGCTGAAATACTGTGGTCGGCTTCCATGACTGAGGAAAAGGGGGTCTTTCAATCTGCTCGTTGTTCTTGCCATGTCGGTCGAGGAAAGAGTTCATACGACGGGCAACTTCCAGCAAATGAAGATCCATTGCTTCAACAAATCCATGTTTCCCTCCGAGAAACCCCTTTTCGACTTCTCGCCCGCGTATTGTCACGCTTGTTCAAACGGATTCGTTCCAGCATTGCAAGACGAACAACAGCAGGTTTGCTCGATTCGACAGCTTCGGTAGGCCGAGTGCTGTCAGCCCACCTCAGTTTCCATTCAATACTTCCCGACGGACGCGAATAGATACATCCGACAAGACAGAAAACTTCCACGCTGCGTCTACGTCCACAACATTCCTTTGCTGGCATATCTTGGTGATCAGCATCCGTACAATCTGGCCACTAAGTATGCAATTGTCGTTGCTGAATTCACTTCACCTGGATATTTGATATCACCGCCTGTTTCCTGCCTCCGTTTCTGCCGCACTTATTTTGATTTTCCACACGCGTCCCAGAATTCTTACCTGCACATTGCACACCCTCAGTGGCCTTGCTATCCTCGATGCGTTTTTCCCTTAGAGTCTGTTCTTCCATCCAACCCTCACTTTCTCTACCACGATACTTACCATCAACATGTCAGACCTCACACCAGACCCTGAGGCCGGCTTCGAACGTCTCGTCGGCAAGTCTAACTACGCTCGTTGGGCCCGGGGCTTCCAAACCATTGCGAAGCTCAAAGGAGTATGGAGTCTGGTTTCAGGAAAAGAAAAAGTACTAGAAGAGTCATACTTGTATGGCCACCATTCTAAGGAGTACTTCGACCTCAATTGCACAAAGTGTTTCGAACGTAATCAAACTTACACCGCGCAAAATGTGAGAGTCCAAACTGCGCAGGGACTTCTGGAGTTCTGGGTCAATCCCGACATCCGATACGAGATCAAGTCTGAACAATGCCCAAGCGATGCTTGGTGGCACCTCGAGGAAGTATACAAGATGGAAGACGAGGACGCTATAAGACTTGCTTACGAAGCCCTCAACGGACTGCATTTGAAGGACTTCAAGAACATGTCGGAATATCTAAAGGAACACCGTCTGGTCAGAGCGGACTTGCTGGACGCAAACGCTATAGTCACCCCAGGCGAGCTGATTGACAACATCATGGGCGGACTGAATGGGACTTACCTCGATCGAGTACCTGCATCTCGGCTACAAGGGCTGGAGCATATCACAAGTCTCGGAGTACTGGCTGATGAACTTCTCGAGCTCGAGAGGGTATATGCCAAACTATAGAGCTTTCCGACACGACCTTTCTCCACAAATTCCTTCTTGTTCAATCGAATGAGAAGAGACCCGACGTCAACACCATCAACAGAATGTACGTGATGGATCGAAGTGATCGACACCAAGCAGTGCTATCAACAGCCAACATCTCAATGTCTCCGTCCGAACACGAACAGCGCATGATTGGCCTTCTTCCACATTCCACGGATTAGGCCACAAACGTGCGGCCATTTCCCCTCTTCAGCACATCGAGCTTTGCGAGGTCAGCTCCAACACGACTACCTACCCCTGATCGACACATTACCCAGTCACCGAGTCGGCTACAGTACGACCCTTCCCCCTAATCAGCATATCCCACAGTCACAAAGTCAGCTTCTATGCTTCGACGACATGACACCACCAGCCCCTACCCCAGCCCTCAGAGCACGAAAGGAGAAAAGGAAAGAAGCAAGGAATTGTCCAGTTAAAATGACATTCAGACTACCATAGCAAGGCAGATTCCCTCAATCAATGAAGAAGAATTGAAAAGATTGCTCTTTTTTGTCCTCCGTGAACGTGCCGTAGTCATATGGTAGGATCTAAGCAGAAGCATGTTCAGGAATTGTGATATGTTCAGTAGTTCTGATTTCTAATGCCATCTCTCAACTCCACAGCTATTGTGTAAACAGACGATCTATCAGGGTATGTCTAATGTCTAATGTCTAGCATCTAAGTCTGGCAGGTACCCTCGCAAACAATGTAATGCACTAACACCTGGCTAAAAGTTGCATATGCTGCCCTCGTTGGCTACGACTCCAGGTCCACAATATCCGGCACTCCTTCAACCGCTTCTTCAGTGCCTGTCTCGCGTTCTCGTCTGGGACAAGACCGTCCATGACGCCATTGCACAATCATGCCTCTTTAGCGTGGTACGGTTGTGAACAGGGAGTGAGCCGTTGGCCCTCATTGGGCCGAAAAGATGAATCGTCAATTGTTTGCCTCCGAGTCAATTTCGATTATTCACCATTGCTGACTTAGTTCGCTGCCTCGGCCTCATGAGTAGACTTGAATCGGATTCTGTCCTCAGGCTTGCTCTCAAACGGCACACCCAGCTCGAAGAGCTTGGTGACGACATTGGAGAAGTCGTCGAAGAAAGACTGGTTATCCTTTGCGTACTGTTGGACATACTTCATGAAGATGGGATCCTTGATCAAGGCGATATCGGTGGGCAACATCATCAAGCTCTTGCTAGTGGCATCCTGGTACTGCTTAGGTCCGTTCCAGCTTCGCCAGCCCCACTTCTCCTCGAGCAGAAGTCGGAAGTAGTCGTTGGTCATGACGGTAGGGGAGAAAGTCCAAGGTCCATCGAAGCCGGAGCGGTCGGTGTGGCATCGGCCTAGAGCATGAGCGCCAGACAAGGCGACCATTTCTTGGTCGTTGAAGCCCATGCGTCCGAAAATAGCGCGGATGTGGTTCTGGTCTTTTGAAGCGTCGGGCAAACGGCCGTCAGGTGTGCAGAAGGCGACGTCGCGGTCTTTTCGACCTGGGCGCCAGGGGATGCCAGGTCCTTGCATCTCTTGCACAGCGCAAACACCGGCCAGAGTCCAGAGGTCGGAGTATGAAATCCATGGAAATTGCTCCTTGACAGGCTGAAGAAAGTCGCGGGCAGCTTTTAAGCCAGCATTGGCACCGTGATCGCCTTCGGGAGCGAAACGCATAGTGGCACCGTTGCTGCCACCGGTACCGGTTGCGGCGTCGTAGGTGCCCGATGCGTGCCATGCCAATCGAAGCAGGACTGGGCCGTAAGAACCGTCGTCGTAGTCATCCTTCTCCCACAACAGCTTGGCAATTGCGTCGTAGACCTTCTGGTAATCTTCATTTGTGGGCGTGAGAAGACCAACTGTTTCTCCTGCGCTTCCCTTCTTGACGTGCACCTCAGGAATCTCAATCTCGCCTCCCTGGCTGCTGTAGTAGTAGAAGCCACCTGCGAGCAGTGCAGCTGCGGCAGTGGCTCCGACAATCACGCCGGTGTTGCTGGACTTGGGAGGTTCGGGAGTTGGGTTTTCCGAGGAGTAGTGGCGTCGGGAGGAGTTTTGGAAGAACCGCTTAGCAGCATTGTTTCTCGAAGGACGGGCGGCGAGACGCAAAGAGGTTGTGGCGGAAGCAGTGCTTCGTGGGATAGCCCTGCTGAGGGTACGAGCAGCGGCAGCTGTAGCCATGATGGTTATCTGAGATACAAACGGTGTTGTCAACGAAATGAGTGGGAGACAAGAGAAGAAGGAGAGGACTCGGAATATATCTGATCTCACGTCGGCCGAGAACACGCGATGGCAAGGAAGCAGCAGCAGCGAAAGGCGTGGAAAGGGTATGGAACAATCAGGAAAGGCTGGATGATGAGTGGTTGAAATGAGAAGACCCACGGATGGAGCCCTTCATTCTGGACTGAAGCGAGAGGTTTTAGTGCTGGATTGGACAAGGCGTGGACCGCAGTGGCTGACATGAGGGCAGTTTGCTCTGAGCTGTCCTGCAATTTTTTCTCTTTACATGTGCAGTGGTGTTCAATGCGTCCATGAGGGTTTTGACGTTATCAGCAGAGGCTCCAACAGGTTCATCTAGCGGCACTGCTTATTTCGTACCGAGCCAGTTGTGTAGCTGGAACTCCTATCAATAGCCGCAGCAGTGTTCCTAGTTTCTTGGCAGGGGAATGAAGTTCCGCTCTTCTCCGACCCGGCCGCTCGCCGAACTCGCAAGAGACTTTTCGCTACGTTCCAATACACCGAATCCAGTAATCGGCAGCGAGTTCCGTGGGCATGTCAAAACAGAAAATATGAGTCTCGTAGTCATATCCTATTCAGGGTAATGTTGCCGCCTCTACTATATCCCAGATAGGCACCGGAACCGTTTTGCTATGCTGAGTATTGCTGAACCCGATTGTTTATGCCCAGCCTGAAATGATACCTGTATGCCTTGCCATCCATAACGCCACCCAGGTCCCTGTCGCAAGCAATTCATAATGGCATATCCCTCATTGTCAAACTGGCGTGTTCTCGTGATAGGCTCGGTCCATAGTCGACGTCGGCTCGAAAAGCTCCTCAAAAGCATCGCGTGCTAGTCGAGCCTGTATCACAACTTGTCCTTTCAATCTGGGACGCTTCCTCACGTTCTCGGCCAGCTTCTCCTCCCTTGCGCGTGCTGCGTCCTTCTCCGCTTGCAGCTTCTTGTCCGCTTCCGTCATCAACACCAAAACTTCGCTGTCAGACGGCAGGTGCATGAGACTCTCTGTCCAGCTAATCTCATCCTCTATGTGCCTCTGCTCCCAATGCGTTATGAGCGCCTCGTAGGGTATGCGATACTTGACCTGCTTCGCGCTCGGATCGACTGTGCCTTCTGCAACGCACGATCCGCATTTGAAACGTAGGTCAAAGTTGGCATTGGCATGGTGGATGAGTTCGAAGCCCAAAAATAGCATTGACATTGGGGGTTCGCCCTCATCGATCCTCATATAGAGGTCCAGCGCGTACCGCAGGGCAATCTTCATCTGACACAGACCGTCAAGCCGTGATGAGGTCAGAGTCTTAACAGCAAAGGCAAGATTCTCAGGAAAGTCGGCTCGAGACCGCGGACCCTGACGAGCTCGCCGCCCTTCGAATGCTGAAATGGACGGTGGGCTTTCCTTTCGAACAAAAGGCTCACTGACCGCCGGGTGCCAGTTGTCCATCTTGCAGACATCCTGGTGGAATGGAACAAGAGGTAAGCATCGTGGCCATGGTACAGTGTACCACGGGAAACGATCGCCATTGTCATCCTCTCCCCGTCGTCTGCGAAGTGTCCAATACGCACCCGAATGTGGAAAGGGGACCGCAAATTGCCAGAACTCCAAGCCTTCGCCTACCAATTGTGCATGAGTGATCAGCATATGCTCGAATGCTCCCTCAAATGACCACGTCTTGGTAAAATCTGTGCGAGTGCAGCCCCTGCATTTGAGCTTCCGAAACACCACTGAGCCTCGTTGAGAGTCACTAGCAATGTGCTTTTCCATGATCAGATGGACAATCATACGGGCGTCATCCAAGCTCAGACAGTATAGCCCTGTCGTGCCATCGAAATTGAGCCCTGTGGGACGAGTGGTCAGTTGGGCATATTCGTCAAAGACGTTCTTCAAGCAGAGTAGAAGAAGATCCTCGTCCGCAACACCGGCTGCTAGGCATCGCGCGAACTCTTTCTCGCCGAGTTCAAGAACAAAATTCTGTTCGGGCTGGTATGCCCCTGAAAATCTTTTCCAATCAGATCGATGCTCTCGGAGTAGCACGAATCTCTCGACCAAAGCCCCAGCCGCGCCAGGGTTTTGCATCATCAATATGTTGAAGTCATCAACTTGTTGCGCTTGAGATCGATAGGGTAGAATTTTCTTCTTCAAAACCGTCCATGATCGCTCAGTCGGTGGTGTGTCAACTTTGAGTGCCCGCCGGAACGCAGCCATGTAGTCCAACATTCGGTAGTCGATAGGAGGGGAGAGGTTTTCTGCTCGTTCTGCAAAGAAGTCGTGTCTGTCCAGCCTGTTCAAGTGGTCTGACAGCGCGAATTGTTGCCTCTTTCGCCATTTGTCGATGGTATCGGCGTCGGCCATGATAGCCATGTTGCTGCTGTGTTTGTCCCGTATCCATTGTTCGATGAGGGGGCCGCCATCGGATCGCGTCCCGTCTGAGGCTACGACTGCCGTCAGTGTACCATTTGAGCGTTGAAGTTCCAAGTATTCGGACTCGAGCTGGGCGTAAGCAGACCTGAGAAAGACGTAGGAGCGAACACCAGACCATCCAGCCCAGGTATTTGTGGTTCTATTCACAGCTCGGGGGTGAACGTAGCGTCGACCATCGCTTATAGCTTGAGGAAGCAGGTCCCAGAGCATTGAGTCTGCAGGACGGATCTCGTCACGATTGAGCATGCCTTCGTTAATATCATGGGGGAGCTCATGGTGTCGATGGGGGTTGAGGTCATCGGCACGCATCACTTTGCTCCTGAAACAGTCCGAGCATAGACGCACTCGGAATTCCCAGCACACTCGTGCGATCCTTTCCCTGTGACAATTGCGACTCTGGCAGCCTCGACCAACCAATAGATCGACATATTGCTGCTCTGTAAGGCCACGTGGTGGGTCTGGCATATCCGAGCCCAAATGGATTTGCCTGCTTTGTCTCCAAATGCCCGAGCGATCAGACAATAGGCGATAAAACCCTGAATTAATGGTTTTGGCTTCGAGGAGGAGTTGAGGTTCGCAGTAGCCGAGGATCGTCTGCCAGATATCGCTGTTGATCTGATCCGAGTTTTGAAGCGGCCGACTAGGTTTGAATAAGGCTTTGCGCTTTGATTGTCTGGGAAGCAACATTTCTTCCGTTGATTGGCGTGACAGCTGAGGCGGCTCTCGGCCTGCTTGACGGCCGTGTCTCATGTTGGCTGCAGTGTTGATAACAAAGGCATGCTCGAGGGCCGGCGTTGGCGGCGCCTGATGATGACGAGTGTTGTCGGGGAGCGGTGGCGTAGAGACATTACTACTGGGGACTGATCGATCTGGGGCAGAAAGGTTGTCTGTGCGAAAAACGATCTTGCGCTGGTGAAGAGACTGGGGTGTAATGACCTGATAGGAAGAGCCTTGGGCGTTTCGAAACTGCTTCTGCACTCTCATGAGAGGACCACTGCCATATTTTGGTTTGTCCGGCGCATTTGCGCGCGGACCTGGTTTGGCCTTGCCCATGGGCCGACCGGAATGCGGCATGGACGTAGGGTCTACATTAGCCAAAAGAGTTGATGTAATTTACAAAGAGTGATGATTGATAGAGTGTGGGACAAGGAATGGTGTTTGAGATGGCCATGTTATGTCACTATGGCCGATGAAACAAAGGTGACAAGGCACAATTGAATGCCCAGACCACACTATCCTCAATTGCGCGATAGGTAAAACCAACCACCCCGCCGAGGAAGACCCGGGGCCGCCAAACAACCCATCAACACAATTACGGTACATGAAAACTCCTGCAGACATTGATCACTGCTTCAACCCTCCTTTTGATGCCCCGTGTTCTGATATCATAGTAGCTACAAGGTGGAGGGTAGGGTGGTATTTACATCCTACTCATTGCTACCCGGGAATCTCCTGGGCACTCGTACATGACCCCTCAATCGGCAACTGCTTTGATATTTGGAGGCTTTTTTCCGAGCGCATGACTGGATCAACCAGCAAGCCTTGCTGCCACTCGCATCGGCCTCGGAAACCAGATCAAGGCTCTCTAAGCAGCTGTCTTGTGCGGGGCCTCCGCCAAAAATCAACACAGTCCAAGCTGTTTCCGGTACTCGCTATAGGCATGTTCGCCTCTGCCAAAAATGCAACCCGCCTATCCTAACCTCTTCTCTCCCTCCACTTTGATTTCCAGAGCCTCAGGCCACCAGTAAAACCTTGAGACACCCTGGTTGCCCAGCCGATCATGTGATTCACGTCGCATTTCATCTTACCAGGATCGCTAAACAGCTTGACCGATCTCTTCTCCGTCTGGGGCATCCACAAATCGGCAATGCGCGCACACACCCTCTGCAGCTTTCCTTGCCACTGAAATTGGCCTCGGCCTGGCAAATCTGTACGCTATTCGTGTGCACGAGCCGGCATCGCAACCCGCACGTTGGTGTGGATTTTAGAGTCATGTCCGATCAAGTACAAAGAGGATCCGCTGCCCACCACCGCAACCGTTCCGCACTTTTCATTTCTTTCTCTACACAGTACCATATAACTGGTTCTTCCCTCCATAGAGGACGTCCCTCAGTAAACCAGGATCAGACGCGTGATCGCAAACATGCGCTTCTCTATAGATGGCTCGAGTAAGTCGCGGTCCTTCGCTCAGAACAAATTTTCTTGATCGCATGACTCATTGTTTACTTTAGCCGAAAAGGCCAATGCCTACAACGACACCAACGGAATTGGCGAGGGCCAGCTCGCCTATGACCCCGACCTTGCACATCCAGCAGCGGGCTACAGGAATGGCGACACCGCTGTCCTACCACCCGGCGTGTCCGAAAGGAAACTCATAACCAAGATCGATCTCAGGGTCATTCCGGCACTGTCGGTTTTGTATCTTCTCGCTTTCCTCGATCGAACGAACGTCGCCAATGCCGCCATTTTCGGCCTGCAGAAGGACCTGGGACTCTCCAGCACTCAGTACTCCACCGCTCTGACCATCTTTTTCGTGCCTTACATCCTCTTCGAAATTCCCAGCAACGTCGTCTTGAAGCGTCTCAAGCCCAATGTCTGGCTCTCCGTTTGCATGTTCTTCTTCGGTCTGGTAACCGTCTGCCAAGGTCTCGTCCAAGGCTATAGCGGTTTCCTCACGACACGATTCTTCCTTGGGCTTTTTGAAGCTGGCATGTTTCCAGGTACGTGGAGCTATTTTCTAGTCTGCCAGCTCAGACTGACCCTTTTGTAGGCTCTTTCTACTTGATCGGCATGTGGTACAAGCGACACGAAGCGCAGAAGAGATACACGTTCTTTTTCGCCAGCACGACCCTAGCAGGCGCCTTTGGTGGTCTCTTGGCGTCCGCCATTGGCAAAATGAACGGCATGAGAGGCTATCTCGGCTGGAGATGGGTATTTATCCTGGAAGGATGCCTCACCTGCGTCGTCGCCATCATCTGGGTCTTTGTGATTCCCAACTTTCCCGAGGACGCCACATGGCTGACCGAGGCCGAGCGTGAGTACGTCAAGGCCAGGCTTCGCGACGACCAGGGCAAATCCGCCATCGAACGGCGCATCACCTTCCGTGACGTTGCCCAATGCTTCAAAGACTACAAATTCATTTTGTGCTGGCTCATGTACTTTGGTCTGATCGTTCCTGCTTACGGCTACGCCTACTTTGCGCCCACCATCATCAAGTCCTACGGCTACAGCGCCATCCAGACACAATTCCACTCAGTCCCACCATGGGCATGCGCCTTCGGTTTCAGCATGCTCGTCGCCGCTTTCTCCGACCGTCTGCGCCACCGCTTCGCCTTCGCCATCATCCCCATCCTCATCGCGATAACCGGCTTCTCCATCCTCTTGTGCGTTCACCACAACAGACACACCGAGTACGCCGCCCTCTTTTTGATCACATCGGGCTGTTACTCCGCCATGCCCATCATCGTGTGCTGGTTCACCATGAACCTTGGAGGTCACCATCGTCGTGCTGTCGGTTCTGCATGGCAGATTGGAGCGGGTAACATTGGCGGGTAAGCATACTCATTTCCATGCCTTTTTCTCCTCTACGACGACCAGCATACTGACATTATCGTGCCAGAATCATCGCAAGTTACAGTTTCGCATCCACCGATGCAAAGACCTTTTTCCACAAGGGCTACAGCATTTGCGTTTCGTTCATCTGCTTGAGCGCCGTCGCGTGCATCGTGTACTTCATCGCCTGCATTTCTCAGAATAAGAGCCGCTCGAAAACACCCGATGTCGGCTTGACCGAGTACGAAAAGGTCGAGTTGGGCGATATGTCGCCTGATTACCGCTATATGGTCTAGAACCAAAAAGTCGTCTTCTATGCGAGATGAGGAGGCGCACCACGGAAATGACATGAAGGCGGTCGCCCTCGAGTCGGACACAAGTATATGGCGTGAACAGGTCGCTTATACCTTCAGGAAAGGCTTCATGGAGACAAGTTCCTTCATACATAGCTTTTGCTCGTGCCCGATCCTAGCAAGTTAAGCGAACAGATATGAACAGAATCTAAAAGTGATCTTTCAACATACTTTTTTCTCTGTGGCTGTGACTGGAATAGTTGTGCTTGATTACGCTCACGCCTACGCTGAATGTTCAAATGGGAAAATCCGTTTAGCCAACAACTTTTCTTTGTCACCTTTTTGATCCCGTCATCTCATTCGAAAACATCCTTGATGAGTGTCTTCTTATTGACCTTCCCCATCGCATTCCTAGGAATCGCCTTCACAACCCTCAGCTCCTGCGGAATCTTATAATTCGCCAACCTATCCTTCATCGCTCTCCTCAAGTCCATGACGCCCCATTGCTTGCCACCCCTGCCGCCCGTCAAGCCTGCCTCACTTAGAACAACCACCGCCGCGACTTTCTGGCCCCATTGCTCCGAGGGCAACCCGACGACAGCAGCCTCCTCGATCTCCGGCAAAGAAAGCAATTCACGTTCGATCTCCAGGGCCGACACCTTCTCGCCGCCCGTCTTGATTATGTCGACGCTCTTGCGGCCTCGGATAAAGTACATTGGGCCTTTCGCCCAAGACTGTTCTAAACCCTTGCCTGCACCTTCGACGACCTGTCGCACAGCCACGTCACCGGTCTTGAACCACTTACCACCCCCATCATCACTTTCCACAAACTCCTCCGCCGTGGCTTTCGGGTTACGAAAGTATTCCTTGAAGATTGTTGGTCCCCTCAATTGAATCTCGCCCTCGCGTACTCGGCCGTCGTTGTCAAGCTCCTCGCCCAATCCAATGACTTCGCCCGTCTCGCTTTCGACAAGCCGAGCCTCCACGGAGGGTAAAGGCCAGCCGACGCTGCCGTCGACACGATCTTCGAACGCCAAACCACAGGACAGCGCCATACCGACCTCCGTCATGCCGTAGCGCTCAAGTAAGATGTTGCCGCCGCTCAACTCGGTCCAGGCCGCTTTCGTGGGCGTCGGCAATGCTGCAGACCCTGAGATGTTCAGCCTCATGTACTGCGGCGTTATGGCCGTGCGGGTCGCTTCTTGCATCTCAGGACTTAGTGTTGGGTGTGACGCAATGAGTCGGTTGTATACGGTCGGTACGGCAGTCAGGAACGTTATTGGCGGTTTGGACGGTGATGATTGGGGAAAGAAAGGCATGGCGAGACGTTTCCACACGGTATCCGCGTTGAAGGGGTAAGCAAATTCCACAGCCGCTCCAGCCAGCAATGGTGTGAAAAGTGCGTTAATCGTGCCATGGATGTGGTGGAGCGGGAGAACATGTAGGAGAAGATCGGACGGTGTATACTCCCATGCTTCGATCAAAGACCTTGCTTGTGCTATCATCGTCGGCACGGACAGGATTACGCCCTTTGGCCGGTTCGTCGTGCCCGACGTGTAGAGCATGAAACCCCCCTTGTCGACCGAGCTGGAGCTGAAGTTGACATCCCCCGCCGACGCTGCTCCGGTCTCGATCTTGCTTAGGATTTCCAACTTTGGGGTATAATTCAAGCCTTCTTTGACCACCTCTCTAGCTTTCTCTTGGAACTTCTCCGTCGCCAGGAACAATGCTGCCTCGCTGTTCTCGAGGACGTACCGTAACTCCGAGTTGGGGTGGGTGTGGGCCAGAGGCAGGGCGATGGCGTCGTGAGACAGGATAGAAAGGAACGTCACTTTATGGGGTGTCAATGTACTTTGTCGGCGTAAAAGGTAGGAAACGCTCCCGCACCCACATAGTCGTAGCCATTCTCGGCCAAAAAGGCTACTCTTTCCCCGGCAAGGGGTCGCCCATTGACCATGGCAGTCAGGTTATCTTTTGCCGCAGCGACATCATGGAGCAGGCTGCCATAGCAGAAACTGCGATTGGATGCGCTATGGATGATGGCCGGACTTTTTGGGTCGTGTTTGGCAATAGCCTCGAATATAGGCGACGATGGGAGTGTAGAGGCCGACCGCCGATGGACGGTGCTGTGTCCATTTCCATAGAAAGGAATGAACGACCTTGGAGCTCTGGTTAATGTTATGAGGCTACATCTGGAATGAGATAGGACATTGTTCAGTCGGGAGGTTAGGATGACAGAGCGCATCCCGCGGACATCGTTGAGCTCGTTTTAGGAACTTCGTGTCAGCTACAAGCATAAGTTGAGGCGGAATCAAATCGAGAAAGGCTCCAGCCTGTTGTGTGTAATTGATATCAGCACCAAAAATGCGGTGTTAGTGAGGCTTTGTTGCGAAAACTTGGGGTCTTCTCCATGATGATCATCGTTGACGCAGTCTTCGGCTGCGCCCCGGCCCTAAGTCAAGTTGCCTTACTTAGCCGATTTAAGCGAACCCAGAGCCGCGGTACCCGCCTACAAGATTCGAGCTGCTAACGAATGCCTGTCCCCTACGACGACGAGTATGGAGGTGCAAAGAGCCTTGCAGCACAACGATAGTCGAGTCAACAGCCAGCCAAACGTTCGTCATTTCTATCATGGCCGGTAAAGTACCGTATACGATCAAATCTCGTCAACCTCTATCTTCACGAGCAAAGAGCACGTCGTCTCCCGTCCCTTCAGATCCAGCATGCGGATAAAACTCCAGCCAGGAGTCGCGTACATTAACCTCACCGTGGAGACCGCAAACTTTGGATTCTTTGCAAAAGCGTCATCGCTCTTGATGAGCATACGCAGGAAGATCAACTCGTTCTCGTCAAATTCCCACTCCAACGTCTCATCCCAGACAGGGTCTTTGGCCAAAGGGTTCTCGCCCGCATGGAGAAACCCGAGCTTATGCTCCTTGTACGGCGCGGTCTTGTGCTTGGCCGGGCCATCTTGCTGATCATCAGGATGAAACAGTGTGCACGTCAGGTAAGGCTTGATATCCTCTGGTTTGCGACCCGCAGGAATCGGCACATTTGTCGCCCCTGCGGCATGAAGGCGGAGTCTCTTCCTCTTCTCAATGGTCAGTTTTCCACTGCCTCCCGAGCGTAGCTCCGCGGGCTTCAAGACAAAGCCATCCGAACCAGCAAAGAGAGCCTCGTTCAGCTGTAAAGGAGCGGCAAAAGTCTGCCAATTGAGCGCGCAGATATGAGCCCCGACCGCCCAAAAGGGGACCGGGTTGAGATTGTTCGAGTTTATCCTCGTGCCTTTCGGGTAGACACGCATCATGTTATGAGCGTTGTGGCGGGCGATCTTGTCGCTTTCAGCGGGCAAATGAGCCTGCAGCCCGGTCTCGGATATGTTGATGAGGTGGTGGTGTGGGTCTGTGATCCCAACCTCGCTGTACCAGGAGTTGTCCGCAGGCTTGATAGACTGAGCATAAACACCTAGCTCGGCCAGTTCCGGGGTGATGGCAGTAGCAGGGGCGGACTTCTCGTTCTCTTCGTAGATTTTCCGCGCCTCTCTATCCTCTTCCGTTTCGTCCCCGGCACTTGGCCCAGCTTCCTGCTCGACCTTGTCCTTGGGCTCGTTGGGATAGTGGTACTCCACGATGACAACGATTTTGGCAGCGAGCTCTGCAAGTGTCACATGCTCCCCGGTCCCTTGCTGCTCTTCGTGGCCTTTCTCCCGGATACATTTGCTTAGTAGACGATCACCCCAGACTTCTTCCATAATGTTCACCAGACGCAACTGGCCTTTGGCACCACAGTGATTTTCGAGAGACAAGAAAATAGGGCCAGATCGAGTTCCTGGCTCATTGCCAGCCTGTGCTTCCTCTCTGTCGACAAAGTCTCGCATCGTTTCGCATACCTTGCGAAAGGGTAATTGGAGACCAGAGTATAGCCATGTGTGACTTTTGGCTCTTCTGGGTCTTTTTCATTGTCCCATGCATCAATCTCGACACAGCGGGCTCCGGCATTCAGTGCTGTCTCATAGCCCTTCGTTGAAGATGTACCATAGAGCTGCTGACCTACCAAATATGTGTTATGACTTGAGCTGATGAAGTACTCTGGTAAAGGATACGATCTGTCACTGACAGTTGCTGGGACATTGATGTGCGGCTTGTCGATGAGTTCTTTTAGAGCTGGAGGTATCTGATCTGGAGTATCGACGCCAGCGTCCTCCGAGGAAAGGACATTCTGGCTGACGAGAAATGATCTCAACGCGTGGCTGACTGTGAGCTGATTCCTTGTGATGTCGCTTTGCCTGGCAGCGTGACCGCCTCCTGCAACCGTGGAGGAGTCGACTTCATCACCCTTGTCCTCTTCATCAACTTTATTTCTGGCCTTGGAGAAAGGTTTGAGGTTACCGAGCCGTTCAGACAACCCCGACAGAGACATGATGTGATTGATGATATCCTAGAATGCAGAATTGGTCGTGTGAGAGGTCTGTAGGTGAGACTTACGCGGCCCCTTGAGTACATATATAGTGTAGTCTTGTGTCACTTCTACCATTGGCTACACCGTTATGCAGGTCCATGACCTGAAAGTCAAATGCGTTTCCTGGGGTGGATGACGTAGGTCACCCGTTGTAGCAACAGTGCCCTCTGTGTGTGCCACGACTTACCAAACATTCCGACGCTTGTGATGCTTTGAGGTGGCGGTGACCATGAATCAAGAAACTCATGGTGTGATCTCCCAGGTGACACGCCACAAGGACCTCAACTTCGAGAACGTTGAAAGCATTTCGAAATATTCATGCCCCTCACACCTCACAGACAGAAATGACGTAGTACGACATTAAGATGATATCAGGCAGGCTCTATGCACAACGTGTTCGCAACATCTCCCTGTTGACTGCCACTAATACTCACACTGGCAATCAAACAAACGAGCCGATTTCAGTGAGCCAGATACAAACGTAACTCAACATGGGTGCCGACAAGTATCCTCCTGCGGTGATGACTACCGAGCAAACCCCAGAAGAAGAGGTATGTTAGGAACGGTCAACACTTTATCAGTCACTGATTCGTATTTCTTGTCCTCAAGCGCAACATTGGAGTTTGCAAGGAGTATATGTCCATAGCCTATTCACCCACCGAGAACAAGGGTGGTGACTCCGTTCGTCATCTGTGCCACGAAGATAGCTGGTTCTGGTCACCAGCGACATTCCCCGGCGCTGAAACACCAATGGACTATGCGACCTCGCATTCAGTAGTCATGCAGAGCGTAAACGACCTCCACATCATCCGCTTCGACCAAGTCTTCGCCAAGAACGGCCACGTCCTCCTAAGATATACTGCCGAAGGCAGCCACTCTGGAAAGCCGTACAAAGGTATTCCAGCATCCGGGAAACATGCCAGATGGTGTGCAGCCGCCATTTTCGAGGTGCATGACGGCAAGATCAAGAGTTTCACCAAGGATTGGGACCAGAAGACCATGCAGGTAATTTTTGGACCACATCGTGCACTTTATACATCGCTGATTTGACGGTAGATACAACTCGGCTGGGCGCCAGTCAACGAGAGCAGTGACCCAAGGTGGAATGCCGATGCTTTAGCGAATCCTGAGCGCTCCAGGACGCAGAAGGAGTAGTGAGACGAAGACGCGCTGAAGTGTGACGTCGAGCCTGTCTCCAGAAAAAGTGGCACTATCTGACCGCTGTTGCTCCTCAGGTTCAGGTAGATAATATTCCATGTTGTCATCCCGGAGTCCTTCGCAAGCAGCCATATAGCCCTAGCTCTTCACAGAAAGAGAGGTCTCCACCTGTACCGTATAGCCTTACTAGCTTACTGTCAAGGCACCGGCTGTCGTGAACTTGCTGGACTGTTACCTTATCTCTCCGATGCATTCCCTGTCAGATGGTGCCACTTTTTCTGGAAATAGGCTCGACGTCTATCAAATGAGTGTCTGGCGTTGCATCTGGGCGAATAGCGCAGGACCGGCAGCATTACAAGTGATACTGCTGAGGGCTGTTGATCTCAACACCATGCCTTTTCCAGATACCTTCAACGCCCATGTCCTCTTGGCCACTGCTTTCGTGTCAGTCTGCTCGTTATTGATGCCGTACGAGACATGGTAACTTACTCGTCTTTCTCCATGACTGTGGGCTCAGTTTCCCCTTGCGCTTTGTTGGGATTGCGGAATATGACATTCGCTTTCTGCTCATCTCGTCAGCGTATTTCTTACCATATACGAAGTCCCGCCTCACCATGCCCAGAGAAAGATGGATGCCTGCAGGTCCAGGTACGTATTTCTCTGTGGGTTCTCGCCCTTCAATCAGGGCCTGGACATTCTTCGCAACAACAGCCGCCTGCGCAACTCCTGGCCGTGCGGCTTTATGAGCCCCCGTGTCAGCGATATCGCCAACGGCGAACAGATGAGGATATTTTTCATCCAGGAACTGCAGAGTAGATCGAACACGGATGTAGCCGTTCTCCGGGTTGATGACAGTGTTGGGCACTTCAGGATCCAACGCGGCCACTAGGCTGTTGTTAGGAGTCTGGCCGGTGGCCAGTATCACGAATTCGGTCGATACCTTTTGTCCGTTCGTGAGCTCTACCTCGAACGGAGAGCCATTGTTCGGAAATCCACCTGATGGTATCTTGACTCGGGCACCAGTGATGACGTTGACGCCCAGCTTATCAAAGCGTTTCTGGACGAGGTCATGGAACTTGTGGTGGTATTGAGGCATCAGATGCACCCTCGAATGGACCACGGTGATCTGCTTGTCGGGGTAGTATTCCTTCAGATCTGTCGCCATTTGGACGCCAACGGCGCCACCGCCAACAATGAGGATGGACTTCGCCTGCTTGACACTGTTCTGGTGCTGCTTCAAATACTCCACGGAGGATTGCTTGTCGTCCTTGCTCATCGCCGCTGGCTTAGAGAGTAACGTCCCTGTGGCAACCGTCAAGTACTCGAAAGGTATTTGGTCGGACCCCTCCCATTCCCGATCAAGCTTGACATGCTGAGGCTGCAGCGACAGGACTCGTGCGTGGACAACGGCATGCTCGGCAGAGTTCGGCACCGACGAGAACAGACCCTTGTAGGGGACAAACGCCTTGTGCTCATGATTTGGAACGATTGCAAATCGAGGCTGCCTATATCAGCCTCACTACCCATAACGAACGATTCAGCTCAGCAATACTCACGAAGGTGAATAGATGGTGGAAGTGACTGTGAGGCTCGATCAGCAGTACCTGGGCATTGTAAGTACACTCTGGTCCTACGTACACTTCGAGTAGGCTGACGAACCCTATGCGTACTGGGGACCACCTTCGCCAGCTCTTGGGCTGTAGCCTGCAGGGAGTTAATCGGGCTGAGTCAGCCAGGGGATAGTGGGAGGCTTACTCGCCCGACATAGGATCCACCAACAACCACCACGTTCTTGACCATTTTCGTGATCATGAAGATGAGCTCCTAACAAAATCAATGATCTCGTCACGGAGGTTATGTGAAGTCTCAAGGCTCTGAGGTATTCGGTCGTTGGCGGCAAGGCGGTTGTTAAATAGAGCAAACGGAACAACTTCCGCAGGACTCGTGTCTGCTTATCTGATCAGATAAGATCTTTGCCCTCCGCATCTTCCGCAACCACCGAGACCGAACTTTGGAGCCGAAGTGCGAGGCGTCTCGGCCGTGGCCCCTATTTCACTTGAGACAGGGCAACATGAGCCATGTTCCAGGACTGCAGCCAAAAGAGTCTACAGAAGTCGGCACGCGGCACGGTCAGCATGACATGCGTGTAGTGACTGCATATTCTGCACGCACTCAGATCGATCTCCAAGCCTATGCCACTATGTTTGAATCTTCCATTTCCCGACCCACGAAGCACTTCGGAGAGGCGGATCGAAGAGAACCTCAATGGATTTCGTATTGACTGGGCACTCCGGTCTGCTGACCCTGAGAAAGATTTCAAACCACCTGGATGTGTGAGCGCGCCTGGATAGACGACACTGAGTACACAAAGCGCCAAGCAGGCTTGCTGTGAATGGCATTCTGCTGGAATATGTGGCTTTCTACTTTCTCGAAGTTGAGATCTCAGAGTCTTCAAAGTCGCTGTCTCTTGCGTGACCTATCTGCGAACGAGACATATGAAATGGTAACCCAAGGACGTGCCTCATCAAGGCTTTCGCAACTTGTACTGCTGACAGTGCTGGACACAGGAGGTGGTTTGTACCCAGGCGGCAACCACACGCAACAGTATCTCCCGCTCAGCATCATTCAGCAAAGCATAGATACTTGACTAATTCTATGAGAAGGTCTATTCTGCTCGACTTTGAGCAGCTGGTACTGGACGCCGGGAATGAACTTCAACCGCGTGTCGTTGGAAGATCCAAGGGCCCGTGACTTGCCGCAAACTCTTGCTCTTCTGACAACACCGGCTGACTATCATGCTTTTGCTTGTATCCTGTGGGTCGGTGGTTGACTTCTCTTCGCCAGCCAGCTCGTATGGAGGTATGACCTGCTCCATTCCTTCAACTTCATCGCGTGCCTGTACAGTGCTTGTGGCTGTACGTCTCTTAGAATACCGTATTCCAAAGCAAAATGCCACACAGAAAAGGATAGCAGCGCCTGCCCCAGCGCCCACGCCGATTCCAGCTTTTGAACCTGAGCTCAGGTCAGGCTCGGAGCTTTGGTTGGCCAAGCTGACAGATGAGGGAGATGTCGTTGTACTCATCGTAGTGGTACCATGATCGTTGGTGATGGGTGCCGATGTTCCCGCCGGATTCGCGAATGTCACCGTTATTAATGTGCTCTCTCCTGGTGCAAAGGTCTTGCCTGAAGGACAGACCCCAAAATAGTAGCTGAATTCAGGGTAACAAAGTAAACTCGCCCAAGCCTCCATTTGACCACAGCCGACCGTGTCGCAAGCTTCGAAGGCACAATGACCAACGCCGTTGATGTAAGTTCCATTCGGGCAGGTACATTGTGCGCTGCCATTGTTGCAGTTTGGAGGAAAGGGGAATAGGCAGTTCAGCGCACATGAAGGGATGCCGAGGACATTGGTCACGTTGCGTGTGTCCACGTCCGACGCCACGATCAGCGGTAGGCCGACAAAGACTGCGATAAGCAGGTAACACTTTCGAAGTAGGAACGCCATTGTGGGATACTGGGCATGAATACAGACTTACACGACCTTTGCGAGGGCATCGCGCTCTTTTCATACAGAGCAGATCAAGTACTGTGGAATCTCCGCCGATTTTAGTACGTGCAGGGTCATCATAGTCAGGACAGGTTTACGAATAGCGTTCGTAGAACAGGAGCTTTTTGCATGTTGGTAGTCATGACATGAACCAGCATCGAAGCAAGGCACTGGCCCACCAAGAATCGCAACCGACCTCGCCGGCAGTGGTTGTGACCAGGATCTGATGCCCCTAGGGGGTTTACTTTGATATCATTCTGGACGCGAACAGTTTTAGGAAGGTGTACTAACTTGATCTGTCATGCGTTGGTTCTGTCTTCAGCCCTTGACATGGGTAACGAGGTAATCACCGGTAAGTTGGTCTGCTTGCAAAAGCCAATCACCGGCCTTATACATTACGTAAGCACACTGGTGGTCAAATATCCGACCTCATATTCCACACGACCCTCCTCGTCCAGTAACCCCTCTTGCACAAACTCATCATGACCCAATGAGACGCTATCTGACACCTCAGAGCTCTCTCGGGCGATCTATCCTGCACCTGAGAATGGCGAGCACATCAATTACGCCGATGGAGGACGCTATCCGCAGAAAGGTAAGTCAATCCAGCATCATCGTTGACACGAAGCCTTGTTGTTATTGCATCGCATACCCTGGTTGACGCAGCGTCAAACATTGATTTCGATGACGCGCGAGGACTTGTACAGCCCCCACAAGCAGGATCACTGACATCCCTTCTCACGAAACAGGTGATCGAAGCGTTCAGCCCAACGGACCTGAAGATCCGAAATGATTCCCATCTTCACTCCCACCACAGAGCCATGGCGGGCAGTACCTCGCAAGAGACTCATTTCTAGTAAGTCTATATCACCTGCCCCGTTTATCCCTGTTCTGTGGAACATCTGCTAACCAAACATATAAGTCTAGAAATAACGTCCCCATCATTCACGTCCAAGCCTCAACCCGCCCGCCACCGCATGGTCTACAGCCAGCTCAAGGACGAAATGGCTCAAGAAGGTGGCATCCACGCGCTCCAGCTCCGCACCAAAACGCCCGAAGAAGAAGAGCGACTGAAAGGCAAAGCTTCTTCATGACCCGCCTATGCGACGAGCGTTTGTTGTCAGTCCTTCGAGCAGTGTATTGTTGCCTCAGCCAAGCACTCGCTATGGGCGACGTCAATCCAGCCAAGGGTGACTGCAGTCTCGTGGTTGGATCCGCAGACTGTGCGAATTGCGGTCCTCACGATCCCCGGAGAGAGCCATAGTCATTGTCATCTCAAATTCTCGGCAGGCTCGTCATCTAACGGATCATCGTGCCTTGGACGGCTTTGGGGTGTATGAGGGATCGAAGTTGAAAGACACGGCAAATCTTGAATCGCTGTGGGACTACTTACGATGATGGTAGAGCATACATGTAAAAACGCTAGAGATCAGACTCATGATTCCAATCATTTCGATTCTCCTTTGAAGCTCGATCTCATCGATGCTGAAAAATGCAAGCATCAACGGGAGCCCGGAAGTCTGTAGGAGATTATTAAAGGTAGTCTGTCTAGGGTTTGCTGTACAATATCACCAACCGAGCCAACAATTTAACAAAACAAGAACGCTTCGCGCCGGCTTTTTTCTGGACATATAAGAGTCTGGCACCTGAACAGCACTTGGAGCTTTCTGGCTGCCGTTCCCGCCTACTGCGCACTCACTGATGCGCCACTGGAGGCCTTCAAGGCCCTCACAAGAATTTTCTGAGATGTGAGATTGAGGTTCGTCTCGCCAACGTCGGACCAATAGTTTTCCATGCATATGGTACGCCTTGTGGAAAACTCACGATTGACCCTGGGATGGACACTGTAGTCCTTAGGCAGGACGCAATGGCATTCCCACAGATTGAATAGAAAGGGTGCGCCAGAAGAGTCGCTGTTATCTGAGTCACCGGAAGACTTCTATTTTCCACGCCCGAATACTACACCAAGGACAATCGCAAGGATGATAATGATGAGCACTGGAAATTGATTAGGATGAGCTTGCATTTCGGATGGGGATGATACTGACCGACGATACCCAAACAAATCCACTTCTTTCTTCGGGCAGCTCGGGCTTTCTTGACTGCTCCGTCAAGTTCCACGTTGGCCTTAGAGACGTGCTCAGTGACCTCTTCTCCTCGTTGTTCAATCTGCGTGACTGCGGGCTCTTGCTGTACCACCAAAGCCTCAAGATCCTGGAAGAGTTGTGCAAGCTCAATCATTTGTCTTTCAATCTTCTGAATATCTTCATGACGTTGAGAAACGTTCCTTGCGACGGTCTGCGCCTCACCACGACGGTCGCTTTGGATAAGAGCTGAGCTGAAAATCTGCTGATTGTTGGGATCTTCGACAGCTTCACGAACCTCAGCATCTGAAGCATCTGGACGGACAATGCGATACTGTCGGGCCATTTGCTCTTGCGACGCCTTTCTGAACTCTCGCTCAACCTGCTGGTATTGGTTGATCGCAGTCTTCAGTCTTCGGTCAACCTTGCCAACTTGTGGCGCGTTGCGAGGATTGCCCGACTCGGGTTGTTGCTTGATGTTTTTCACTCGGCTGACAAGGCCTCTGTACTTGGTCATAATGTTTTCTCCGGTTCGGTCGACTTCGATGCGTAGAGGCGATTGCGCAGACGTGTTTGTGTCGGCCAGATAGCGGGATTGAAGGCCTTTAAGACGTTGTAGGTCGGCTTCGATCTCGTCAATTGCCTGGTCAACACCTCGACATTCATTGAGGATTCGATTGGGGTCGTTGCCGTTCATGTTTCGCATCTCTGTTATGTCGGGTCAGCCGGATTCAGCATTTCAGTATTCAATCATAAGTTTGTACCGTAACCGCCAGTCCGCTGCTCTTCATCAGCATAGTAGCTGCCATCTTGACCTTGACCTTGTGGTTGTGCTTGCGCTTGTGGTCGACCAGCACTGTAGCCTTGTCCTTGTCGGTCGTTGTAGCCTTGACCACCGCCATTGTAGCCTCCCTCAGTGACCTGATCGTATGGGTTGCCCCCTTGTCCGTAGGGGTTATAGGTGCCGTAGGCTTGATTGCCTTGCTGGCTGTAGTTCTGATTGTACTGAAAGCTGTCAGCGACCGCATTCGAAATGACAGTGTTGCTATGCATAGGCAGTTCACACCACTCACGGGGCTCTGGCTACTCGATAAGAGAGGATATTGAGACTGGTGGACTTACACTCATGATGACAGGAGGATGAAAAGGATGCTAGAGAAGTCCAGCTGAAGATTCGTGGGAATTGCTGTATTACTCCAGAGAGTTACAGGAACGGGATGCCGAAAAGGTGCTGAACGACTATCGATGCGCACGAAAAGGTGCGCGTCACGATATGATCGATGTTCGAAGGGTGATGCTGGTAAGAACAACCTAGAGTTTAAGGATTGAACCCGGATTGAATGCAAGGCAGTTGGATGAGGTGAGAAGAAATGTAGAAAGGGTGCTAGTTTAGCTGGGTGATCACAATCCGATCAGCTCGGCTCGTGGTGAGAAGGAAGTCGCGCGGCGGGAGAGAGTCTGGGCGGAGACAGCAGCCTAGAGCCGTGCAAGAGAAATGCTAATGCCTGACAGTGGCATGTACGGCAGCCCGCAGCTGAGGGACCGCCCATTGGGGGGCTGTGTGATAGCATTGGTTAAACGTTCTTAGGTTCTCCGACCCTCTTTTGCTTCTTGCCCCGTGCTTTTCGCCCACTCAACTTGTCAAAACCAATTCTTTTGCAACAGTCAGCATCTAACCCCTTTCCGCCCTAATTTTCCAACTGAGGCCAGCCACAACTGATTGTTGTAACCACTTTTTTGTGAACTGACTAAACTATCTTTGACCCTGCTTGGTCAGAACCAATGAATCCTACACAATCTCCTTTAGCAGAGAGAAAGCGATTGGCCTCACTTGCACAATAGGCCGCAAATTCGCTTCAGATAATCATTAAATGGAACTTCCATCGTCGCACTAGGACTTGTTTCAGCAGTTGCTCGGTATTTTGTCCAGTAAGTCATCGGTCAACGGGCTGTGGTCTTGACTATTCTGATTCCTCCAATCATGTCCGGGTCCAGTACTGGGACGGCGCCTGGAAACTCCGCACTCCATGTGCTGCTTGTGCTATCCTTTCCATCTGTTCAACAGCCACTTAGTCACCATCGTGGCTGAGGCAATTGCGCATGAATTACATGTAGCCTTCACGTATAGGCACCAGCATTATATCCAAATGTCCAACTCCCCATGGCTTCCGAAGACCGAGTTTTCTGTGATAGTCCCCGTCGTGGCTGTTGACACAGGGGAGGTCCACTGCCACCAATCCCCACAGATGGACAGAGCCTCGATCCCTGAGCTCCACAAAGGGGTCAGGGTCTGCAAGGCTGCGACATTCAGCTCTGTATTGGGCGAGGTCCGACACGTCAACCAGTGTCACAGCGCATTACCATCTCTTTGCTTCGTCTCCGTCCTTCCAGTCATGCTCAATGTACCCCAGCCGCCGTTTGACATCCTGTACCGTTGCGGTGTCACCAGTGTTCTTACCAATGTTGTCTGATATCTTGACTGCTGGTCTTCCGCCTGCTTTCGATAATTTGACGACGATATTGAGAGGTTTGGACTTGACCTGAGGATCCGACTTCAGTGAGAAGTCGTTTGTGAAGAAAGTGCCGACTCCGAATGACGGCTTGAAGCCATTTTCTTCTGCCACCTTTTTATATTCTAAGCATTTGTCGACGTTCAGAGCATCCGAGAACACAATGTTCTTCCCACTCAGGCCTATGCTCTTGTAAAATTCGCTGGCCTGCTTGACGTATTGTTTCGGGTCGCCAGAATCTTGCCTGATGCCTGCGAATACCTCGGCATACGTGGCCTGGTTGGCAGACGGAGAGCTTTCGTCTGTATATGACATTGTAGGGTCTTTTGAGGCAGATGTTTTGGCAGGAACCTGCTGTCTAAAGGCTTTGAAAAAATCGTCGGTGCCAAAGGTGTCGGTCAAGGCGATTCCCAGTACACCTTTGCCAAAACAATCGAGCCAATATCGTAGACCTTGTTCGTTGGCATGTTCATAATCATTGGTGAGCGCAGCAATACCCATGTACCATTCATGCGCCACGGTACCAACAGGAGGTATATTGTGCCTCATGGCAAAGTAGACGTTACTTGTCCCTGTCAATTTCCCCGGCACATCGTTCTCCTTCGACGCCCGCACTAAACCTCTGATCACAAGGTCCTGAGCATGGAAATCTCTTCTTCTGCGAGTTCCGAACTCTGAGACCAAGCAGCCAGCTGACAACAGCCGGACACCTTTTCGGTATGCATTCTCTTCCTGTCCTTCATGGTCCCAGTCTTTGTCCACGAACTTGAAATATGCTTCGCTGGTCAAGGCGAGGAGAGGGATTTCGTATAATATCGTCTCGACCCAGGACCCGGTCACCGTGATGTCAAGGTCTCCGTACGTGTCATCCACAGGTGTGAATTTCACCTCAGCTTGTTCAGTAGGCCGAAGTTGGAACACTTGTAGGTAATCCAAGTAGTCCGAACTCAGGTATGTACATTGTCTTCTCAGGAACTCCAATTCCTGCTGTGATAGCCTGATGTTTGCTAGCTTGGCAATCTGCTCCTCTAACCAGGCAAACGCTTGCTTACTCAGTCGCATCTGCGGTGTACGGTTTGTGAACTTGTACTCGACGTCGACAGTAGGAAAGTATTTGAAGACCGCGCACTGCATCGTCAGCTTGTACAGGTCAGTGTCGAGGAACGAGAAGACGCCTTCCGGCAGCTCAGGTTGTGCCATTTTTGCCTGTGTGTATTGGCTGTTCGGAGAGGTAGCTAGGAAAATGAGACGCCGTTCATGTTTGGAGTGAGTGCATCAAGCTGGTAGCGTCCCTTGGGGCGCAGATAGGGCCAGCGAGGTGCAATGTTCGCGTTGTACAATAAATGGTTGACACCAGGGTCTACGAAATTGTTTGCAGGATGACGCACGCACCCACGCATCCCGGCACTTCGAGCCTTACCAGTTTAGGCGCTTTGGTGCTTTATCACAAAGCTTACATAACCGGTACGATTGATGGAACAGATGTGAATGAAATTGAAAGATGGCACACTTGGTCTTGGTTGGGTCTCCTGGGTCAAACGCGGCCATGTATGAATCTTTGATTCAGCATGGGAACTCATAGCGTGACGACCACCTTCGCTGCCGAAACTCCTTCACGGTTCTTATCAAGACCAGCTTGAATGTGCTCTACTCCATGACCAACCACGTCCGGCTTTGGTAGTGGCCTAATCTGCCCGTTCTTGAGAGCATCAGGCATGAAGACATGCCAGATTGCTTGTCCTAGTTGCTTATCCTGCGTCAAGATATTGACGGCATATACTAACAAGACAACATCAGTAATGTTGATGAATGGAACAGACCAGAACAGGAGCTTTAACCATACCTGATTTCGCTGTCACCGTTGAAGGAATCTCGTCGCTTGCCGGGAGAACAGTTGCCATCTTGCCTCCACCAAGCTGAGCCAGGACCTGAGCGGTATTCAACTGTGTGTCACGAGTGGAAATGGCTGCAAGAAGAGATTAGCAAGCTCTTGCCTGCAAGTTCTGGAGTCCTACCATCATATGCGCCAGCGACATCATCCTTCTGTAGGGCATCCGTCAAGTCACCAACAATCCCAGGACTGCTGTAATCGAAGACCTGGCTGGCTCCAAGGTCTTTGCAGAAATCAAAATTTCTCTTTGATGCTGTAGCAATCACCTTCAATCCTGCAGCAACCGCAAGTTGAACGGCAGCAGCTCCTACCGATGAGGACGCACCCCATACCAATAACGTCTTGCCTAACTCCTCCACATCGTGACTAGGCTTCGGCAGCGCGAGGTATTCTTTGGCAAACAAACCCTGCGTAGCGGTCGATATAGCTAGCGGGAGGACGGACGCTTCTTCAAAAGTCATACTATCGGGCATCGGACAGACGCCTATGGTGTTGGCAAGGGAGAAGTTCTGAAAGCCGCCTTCTTCAGCTTTGCCGGTGACCAGGCCGATGACATGAGCAAGCACACGCTGATCCTTCGAGAACTCGGATACGCCTTCACCAACTTCAACGATTTCACCTGCAACATCATTTCCCATGACCCTCGGCTCGTTGATAGGAAACAAATGTCCATCTTGCATCTTCCAGTCGACTGGATTGATGGCGACAGCTTTGTTCTTGATCAAGACCTGGTCATGACCAGGTTTACCTATCTCGGCGGGTCCGACCTCCAGTTTTGTCTTCTCCTTTCGAAGCCATGCTGCCTGATTTGTTTGCGTCATTTTGATGTCGGAGTTATTTACACAGACGAGATTAGTATAGGTGCATCTGTTTCAAATGCTTCTTGCGAATGCATTATTAAGCATCCTCGATGGGTATATAGTATATACTGTATCCGTGGAACAATGCGGAAACTGACATCATGACGGCACGAGATGTACATTTATCCGGTGATGTGCTTTGGTCAGAACGAACGAGCAAGCCAACTCTTTCGCTTGATGATCTATCGAAAAGCCATCTCGCAAGCCAGATGGCTAAGGAGCTTTTATTCGGCTCCTACACTTCATTGGTAATTGTTGTCCGATACCACAATGTTTTGGTTGCCAAACTCGGTAAGATATCAGTGCACAGCCACACATTGAAATTAAAGGGTGCTAGTGTTGCAGAACTGGTGCAGTGGGGATGCGCATCATGTTGGTTTCCGTTCTCTACTACGATAGGACAGCGCAATCTTCAACAAAGTAGAGCAAGTGCTTTTCGGAACAGGACGTCCCTTTGACTTGTTGCAAGGCCATAGCACACGCGCCTTAGCTACCATCCATCACAACATCAAGTTGTCTCTGCTACAAGAGATCGAGCGCATATGGGAATGGTGGTTGGAAAAAGGTGCCTGTAACTTACCCCGTAAAGCTAACTTGAAAGAAGCCAAAAAGCCAAACTGCGGGAGGTTAGAGCACAGCGATCTTTTCATTGGCGGAGCGAGTGATATGCAGCACCCCTTTTCTGGCAGGCGCAGGGGTCTTTGTCCTGCTCCCGCGTTTCACACCCTCCGCGCCGATGCTCTACTCGAGGTACTCCGTACAGTTTATCTCTGCGAGATACCTCCTCACATTCCAGCGCCGGCCTCCTCTCCTTCGTCTGTCCGTCGAGCACATACTCACTCATAGCTGGCTGCCACTCACTTCGGCCTTCCAGTCTCTCTTTCAGTCTCGTTGTCGCGCTGTGCTGCGACACATGAAACACACTCATTAGACTCCCTTAACATCTACTACAGTCCAAGCTTCGAACTTATCCTCCCAACCGCAGGCCCGGCTTGTGTCAGTGTCACCGGCAGAAAGTCCGAAAACTGCCAATCCACCACCTCGACAAGGCACTGCGTCTTGCGATTGACCTGGAGCAGGATCAAGTGCCGCCTATATACGCGAAGAAACATTCAACTCAACAGCCATGTATTTCTCCACTACTGCCGCTACCTTCGCGCTCTTCTCGCTCTTTACCGTCTCCCTTGCGCAAACATTCACATCATGCAATCCCATGAACTCAACCACCTGTCCGGCGGACACTGCGCTAGGTGTTGCCAACTATACCATCGACTTCACCCAGAGTATGATGACGGATACAGTATGGAACGCTACCGCAGGCTCAGTTACCTACGGCGATGACGGCGCCGACTTCACAATTAACGTTCGCGGCGATGCTCCTACCGTCCAAACAAACTTCTACATCTTTTTCGGCCAGGTCGAAGTCTGGCTCAAGATCGCCAAAGGACAGGGCATCGTATCGTCCATAGTGTTGGAGTCTGATGATCTCGACGAAGTGGACTGGGAGTGGATTGGAGGTAACGACTCCTACGTCCAGACCAACTACTTCGGCAAGGGCAACACCACAAGCTTCGACCGCGCCGCATGGTACCCAGTCGATGACCCTCAAGGCGGCTTCCACAACTACACCGTGGACTGGACGGCTGAGAAGCTGGAATGGTTCATTGACGGCCAGTCGATCCGCGTGTTGAACTACTCCGATGCCAACGGTGGCAAAAACTTCCCCCAAACGCCCTGCAACGTCCGCCTCGGTATCTGGGCCGGCGGTGACCCAGCGAATGCCAACGGAACCATAGAATGGGCCGGTGGCGAGACCAACTACAACGATAGCCCATACACCATGACCGTGAAGAAAGTTCGTGTGACCGACGCGAGCAGAGGAACAGAATACGTCTACGGCGACGAAACGGGCAGCTACACAAGCATCAAAGTCCTCAAGTATACATCCCTGTTTCTCTTTCTAGTAGCACCAAGCATACTGACCACTGTCACAGCGATACCACACCAATCAAGCTTGACGGTGAAGACTCCACGTCCGCCGCGAAAACCATCAAACAAAAATGGAACGGTCTCCCACAAACCACGAAATACATCATCATCGGCGTCGTGGGCGGCGTGCTCTTAATCGTCGCCTCAGTCTTTGCTTTCTGCTGTATCCGCCAACGTCGCGCCGGGAAGCACGAGAGGCTGATCGAGGACGCCAAGTACGAGAAGAACGCGGCTGAAGTGCTGGCCTACCGTGCCGACATGACGAAGATGCGGTTTGACAAGTCCAAAGGCCCTTCAGTGCATGTTTCGCCCATCATCGGCAATGGAGGAGCCGCCTTTCAGAACTATGGGCAGACTCAACCTATGATGGGCGGCATGAGAAGTCCTGGTCCACAGTATGGACATGGGCACAATGTCAACCCATTCGGTGGTGCAAGAGGATATCAGAAGTTCTAGAGCACTCGATGCGCACAATTGGATGGGACTTGCACCAGGACCATATTGTAGCACTGCTTTTTGTCGTTCAAATTTTCGGCTAGTCACCCGTCATTTTGTACATTGTTGACAGCCCTTTTAGCGATGTTGGAATACATGCAATTCATTGATGCTAACTTGGTACTTGTGTGCCTGGAGCGCGGCTCGGTCATCGTTCATACTGGTTGCTGGTAGACTCTAGAAGCCCATCTTGGACATGTTCTTCTCCAATTGAGCAGTTTCCTCCTTGCCCTTGGAACCCCATTTTGGCATGATCTGGCTCAGTTTGCTCTTCAGACCACCTCCATTGCCACCGCCTTCAGCCTTGCCACTTTCTTCAGCCTTGCCGCTGGTGACCTTCTCTTCAGCAGTGCCGCTTCCTTCAGCATTGTCGCCGATGGGTTTCTTCTTCTTGATCTCAACGACCTTGACCTCACCTGGACGGACCCAGCGAGCCGGAGCAACAGCCTTTGGCGAATTGACTCTAACCGTTGTCATCATGTCATCAGGCAGCGAGAATCCGGTATCGATGCAGTCCCCCTTGAATGTAATCTCCTTGAACTTCGCTGGGTCGAACCACCGGTAGAATGGACCGCCATCCACAACGAAATTCATCAACGTCAAGTGAGTGATTGGGAGGTATCGGAGGTTCTCAACAGGCACCTGGTGGAGAACGTCAAGCTGGCTGGTTTTCATGACTTGTTGGTCAAGGTACTCGCCGTCTCCAAACTCTTCGTGCAAAGTGCCAGATCCGTGTGAACCCATGTACTCGATTTCGGGGCCGGAATCAGATAGACGATCAAAAGTCCAATTGGTGTCGATCTTGCGGTACTTGTGCATGATATCCTCGCAGATGAGAGGCTCGAGCGCCATTTCTAGGTGGATTTTTGTGAGGTTCTTGTTCGCCCAGCATGTCGCCCAGATGACGGATTGGTAAGAGCGCATCATGCCGTTGAGCTGAAGGTAATGGAGATTGTGAAAGGACTTGAGGGGTTGAAGCTCTTTGATTGGAAAGACGCCTTTGAGGTCGCCATTTTCGTCCTCCTCTTCCTCGTCATCAATATCTTCTAGCTTGATTGGCCAAAACACGTCAATGTTCAGCGTTTCCCGGTTGACATCAAGGTGACGCCAAAGATGAGGACGGAAGTTCTTGATAGGGTGGCCGATGTCACCTAGTTCAGCGCTGACCACTGGTGAGTCCATGATTGAGAAGCATGTAGAAGAAAGTTGCATACCTCAAGACCGTGGTGACAGCAGAGTCAGAAGTAGTGCTTTTCTGACTGACTTCCGACAACTTTCTATTGTGCCGTCCTCCAGGAACGCTAGGGACGCCGCCTTCATTTTGGATGTCTCGTGTTTGACGTTCTGGCCGTTTGTCTTCCACAACACTGTGGCTTGCTATATCAAATGGTTTCTTGGCCGGGGAAGGACCTTTTGCTTGTCGACGTAGTGGCATGTTGACCTGAGATGCTGAGTGTGGTAGATCCGCCAGAGCATTACGACGTCTTGAAGATCTCACTGGAGTGTCAAGCGCACCTGTTGACAAAGGAGAATTGAAGGGTCTGGAGAAGTTTGGTGTCGTTGAAGCAGGAGCCATGGTGGATCACGGCAGCAAGGAGTTGCTCGCCACAAAGGGAAGGAAGGAATATGCTTGTTCAAGAGAATGAAGGTGCGTCTTTGCGGCGTTCTGTGCTGACGAAGTCACGAGGATTGAGAAGCAAACAAATAGGTGAAGACATCGTTGGAACCGCTGTGAAGCGCAACACCGCCTGCGGCAGGCCTTGCGCTCCTCCCAAACGACTCTACACAAGTTCTGAAGCGCACGAAGACACGATAACCACACTCACAGTCTCCTTTTCCACCCTCTTTCTGCTGACATCCAGCCAGCGCCTCAACTACCTTGAGCGGCCAGAGTCTGGGATTAGTCCTCTAGGACGGTGAGGTACATGTTGCTTGACGAAGACATGGAAACCCACATCGAAGTCCATCATCTTCAATGAATCCACCGTTGAGGCTTCAACCACGAACGATCCTAGAGGAACAAACAGCATTGATGTCTTGTTCGTAAGAGTGTTGTTGAGAAAGGCAGCTTTGGAGAAAGCTTATCTAATCTCTTGGCCATCTGTGCGGCTGCGGTGCGCCGCTGTATGACGCGCTTCAAAGACGTCGATCTGCGAAGTCGATTCGTCTGCAAATTGATGCCGTCAAGATATCTTAAGTGGTGCTGTCGTTGTCGCGATGGCACCTATTAGACGATATCTTCGGATCAGCAAACACTCTGTCCTCGAATGCCGTATCTTCCTTGAGAATCCCGCCGATGAATCACGGTGGCTACTTAGAGACAACGACCCTGCCTTACAGCGCGTGTTCGAGGCAGTGAAACCATATGTCTTACCGAAGTTGCGAGAAGAGAATGAAAGAGCACGTGGGAAGGGGAAGAAGAAGAAAAGTGTGAAGGATGTGGTCAAACAAGGTCAGGCCAACGAAGAGCCCGAGAGCTGGGCTGGGATTAACAACTGGTTCTAGATGATTTTGAAGTCTCCATATTCCTCACTGAGATACGGACCCGGCATAATCTTCTGGTCAAGAACAAGACATTCAAACAGAAAAGCAGCAATAGCGGAAAGCTGACCGGCGCCCATCGAGACACGGTCATGGTTCAAGACGAAAGCGATGAAGAGAGCGTCAACCTCGCACACATCCCGCGTGCTGAAGATGTGGATGACGATTCGAAGGGAGGGTTGAACACGAACGAAGAAGATGATGACAAGAAGAAACTGGGTTTCAAGACAACGTATGAAGGTTTCAGCATTTGGGGATGGGTGCTTTGTCTCTTCGTTGAGCGCAAAGGTGGTCCGAAAAAGCAGGCATCAGAACTCGGAGTAAATTCTCAGGCACTCATGCAGGAATGGATCGCATCAACACAGGAGCAGAAAGACGACGACTTTTGACACTCGATACTTTCAAACAATGCATCAGGCGACCCGGATTTCCTCGTGGAGTGCGACTTTCATGCAGAGCCGCGGTAGCCAGCCCCAATCACTGACGCTCAGTATTGCAAGCCATGGGCGAAACGAGGAGGCTATGAGGAACCCTCGTTGCTGTGGCTTCAACGTTTTGCGCATGATTTTGAGACTCAAGCTTGAGACACATCAGTATCGAGTGTGTCGCGGTGCCACTGAGACATCATAAGTGGTACAGTCGATTTTCAACGACAAAGTGAGGTTCTATCGCAGCATCTCGAGTATCAGCCTGGTAAGGGTTGTTGTCACTTGTTGACGAATGCGACCCAGTTGCAAAATGAGGTGGACCATCTGCACGAGAACAGACGTGACACATCTCAATCGGTGAGGAAGTTTGGGGTCCGTCACACACTGCGTGTCGTGGCGTCTGCTCACGCAATTTCCACGTGCTGGTGGCGGCAAAAGACCCCTGTCCTCCTGAAGCCCTGCATGAGGCATGCGACCCAACCTCTTGCCGCCAGACCCCTTCCCCATGGTCCAGATCGTACATGCAGTACGACTATGCTTTACGCAGCACACCATGCATCGACAACAATCACAGGTACGAAACAGGGGAAGCTGTCCTTGCATTCTTGGCTATGTTGAGCAAATACGATCACAATCGCACACGGGCAGCTGAAAAACCATACAATGGATATATCATTATACGCACGCGCATGGTTACCACAAATGCGGACAACTGTTCAACGATATGCAGGACTTTCACTGATAGCGGAAGTCGCTCCGTGACTTCAATGTTGTTACATTTTTCGCAACGAAAAAAGCAGTTTGAGAGCTGCATCGTTTCATGCAGGGCGCGGGGGACTCCGCGGTGGTTCGCGGCTGGCATGCCCAAGACGGTAGCCCGAGCCTCGGGGATGCCTTTAGCTTTGAATCATGAAGCTGCGGCTGAAAAGAAGATTGACACAAAAAGCAAGAGTCACGAGTGTTCGCGAAGAAATCTTTGTTCTGGCCGCTTCAGGTTTTCACGACTGGCCGTTGCAGATGGTCCGCCCATCCTCCATCGTGCCAACCCCTTTAGGTTGAACTACCAATCGCTCGCTAACACTGGCGGCAACCTGAAATACATCACAATCTACTAGTCAGCAAAGGGCAATCACGCCGAATTCGATGCGATGTTCGAGAAGCGATGGTGCAGCAGTGCACGTGTAGCGAGACGCAAGCCACTGGCGCTTTTCTTTTGCGGCATTCGTGCTTTTCTTAGACGTTTCTTACTCGGCACTCCAGCGTGATGGCTCTGACCCCTCAGCTGACGAAGCCCTAGATGGCGTGCGAGGAATTAGCTGCATGTCGCAGGCTTGATCAGTGCATTCTGCGCCTGCCGAGGCAGATCACCGATTATCCGTCGCCGTGCTTCACGATAATGCAGGAACGCGGACTCTTTCAATCCTGTATGACGCAAGGCGCCGACAATACACGCAAATCGTGACATCAGATTCGAAGTCAATCCCAGGTTGGCAGGTAAGAGTACTACGAGTACGAGTATAGTATTGTGGAAACGTCGGCGCAGTAACTTAGTGGACAGGAAGAGGCGTTGTGGAAGTGTTCCCCTTCGGACGGTTTTTCTTGTCGGTCGCTCAGGAGCACAACCTGAAACATGTCAAGCTGTGAACTCAAAGATCGCAAAAGTTGGGGGGGTGGCGAAAGAAAAATCCATGCGGTGATCAAACGGGGCCAAAAGACGGCACAGACCACGAAACCGAGAAGGATCTTCAGGAACGCGCATGAGGATCAGGCCAGCATTTGGTAAAAGCTCGCTACCGATCACCAGCCTCGAGTGTTAGATGAGCCGAATGTCTATCTTTGATGAAACGGCCGGTCAAACGAAAGTCTTCCTTGCTCACGGCATGTATCACCGACACCGCGATCTTCCTAATTGCAGCGACACCTGTTCGTACCTGCGCAATCAACCCCCATAGAAGTTGGCAACTGACGTACCATAGTACATTTCTTTTTCGCTTTAGTGACCTGACTTGCAACTCTTGTCAACCAATCCAGCCGCGCGGTTGGCAAGAAGGTGAAACAGATTCCGCCTGACAGTTCCTAGCCGAGCGGGCACCTGAGAGCAAAAAGACCATCTCCGATCGTTCAGCTGTCAAAGACCAACTATTAACGGCCAAGATGGGGGGCCAGATGTCGAACAAAGAATACTTTGCCGAGCATGAAGATGTGCGCCCGCCACAGTAGGCGACATCAACGACACCAACGATCACTATAGTAAATTGATCGGGAAAAAATGTGCTCCTCAGTCGCATTTTGGTCTTACCTGCGAACGCGGGTACGACACCCGAAAGTTTCAAGTATCCGGCTCGACCGGTGGGTTTCTTCGGTGACATCCTGCTAAGCTGAGTGCAGCGCTTGCCGCCCAATTGCCGTGCATCTGACGGGCTATAGAGGTGTGCAGCGGCACGGAACAACCGCAGAACAATCACGATCATAGGCTTGGAGAGCGATCACGAGTTCCAAATATCGACCGACTATACTTCGTTAAGCTATGCCACCGAGTTACAACCCGGATAGCTTCACCGCATCTCAAAGCTTCTCGGCATGGGTGATGGTGGGATAGACAAACCAACAGGCCACGTTCCGGAAGCATCCCCTGTCGCTGGTTGGTCGCTTCGTCGCATATCCGAACATTCGTGGAGGGTAACCTTTCAGGTACGAGTACACACCGTTTTCTCTCATGCCGAAAACGTACCACATCGAAAATAGTAACTTGTAAGTCAACACACACAGCCGGGTCAGCGGACGTGTCGCTCGGGAAGAAAGAATGCCCATCCTCCTTGGCCTTCTACAGGGTCATGCCTAGTCGTGGACGACATGGCTCTGCTTTTGTCATTGCGGGTTCCAGCCTGACGAACACACATTCCGAAATTTGTGCCAAACCCACCTCGATATATCAGGTGGCAAAGTAGAGTGGAATTTTGCTAGATGCGATACGTAGATGATCTAGGTACGCTGGGTCAGGCCAGGGACAGGAACTGTCAGTTGTCACGCCAAAGAGACGACAAATCTCCTCCTTTTTGCCAGATTGCGGCCTAGCAACTCGCAACCCCCAGGCAGGACCGGTCAGCTGGGAACCTCCTTTTTGCACGCCCTGCACGCCTGAGCAGTTTTTGGCGTTTGAGTCTAAGGAGGCTAGGGAAGCCTAAGCCGGATTTGGAGAGTGGAAATGCCAGGGTGTCGACCGGCTTTCTCATTGATCTTGCGTGTTCAAACAAACCTCGACGGCATCATGTCACACCGCAAGCCTCACTCCGGGATCCACTCGGCCCAGGCACGGCATGCCAGGAAGCTCCAAAAAATTTCCTGCAAGGATGACTGTGCCCAAGGCGTCACCATTCTGGAACAACTTTCGGTTGTGCCGGGGGTGAGGCTGCCTGACTGGGAAAAATAAATATCTGACATGATCCCGTCAGGCAAGCAGGTGAGTTTCTATTCAAACCTCTACCTCTCCAGGCGTATACGTCCCAAGGACTACATATTGTTTGATGATATATACATTGTCACCTCTGCCTACTCTAATTTCGACTCACTTGGTCCCTCAAGTCAACACCTGCTCAATCCCGCCCATACTCACGGGCTTATCCAACAACATCCTCATAATGCCTGCCGGTTCCAAGTACCCTCCCTGCCCGGGACCTCCTCCCAACCGACCTCTTCCTGCTATTCCCAAGTAAAGGGCCGGATACTGCCGCGGCACACATCGACAAAGTCAGTACTTTCCAACATGACTGTCGATGAGGAAGCGCATCCGCCCCGGGCTTTAGCTGGACTCGAGCCTCTGTCTCATTGTACAACAACCCTCTTCTACATGTCCGCATGACATGCGTGCCTACTCTAGCCTGATGCATTACAATGGCATCCACCACTTCGTCCAAGGATCCGAAGTCGAACAACAAATCTGGGCGGACAAAGAACGACTGGCCAACGAGCGTTGCGAGCGGATCTACTTGGCACGAGTTAATTCACATTTGGAATACGTGCGCATGGATTGATGTGCTGGCACCTTTAATGCCCAAAGCACGACACTCGTGCAGGAAAGTGGCTATTCAATGGCGCGGCAGCCTTGAGAACGTCTCTTGTTCTGGAAATTCCACGACCCATGCATTCGCAGCATGCGCCTACCTGCAGATACGAAGACCACGGTGCTAATTACTATTGCCGAGTTCCTCGCCTCTCGGACCGCCTGACCTCGACATCCTTGTAACCTCATACATCACGTTCAATCATCATCGCCAACCCGTGCCTTTCTGGCAGGAGTGGCCTATTCCTTTTCGACATTGTACCAACACATATTTTGCAATACCTGCATCCACGACTTACCTGTACCAATAGTCGATACCCCCAAAAACCCCTTGGACCATTCGTTTTGCGGAGGAATGCTGGTCTCAAGCTCTGCTGTTGGGGATTGACTTACGTGGTCTCCCTATTTTTTTTGTATACTATTTTTTTCTCAAGCACATGATGAGCCCCATGCCTGATGAACAGCCTTGAAAGGGTCTGTTGGTAGTTTGCGGTGGAATAATACTATCCCCAATTTATCAGAGCACTACTCGAAGGAGAAAGTAATGGATAATATGTCTTCAACAATATCATATCAGTTATTCCCTTCTCTGGTTTCTGGATTATGTCTGACATACCCGTCTTAATCAGCATAATCAGTGTATATAAACAGTGACATGCAGCGACATTCATGTAGGATCTGACCGAGAGTCACGAGTGGTGCCTGTGTCAACCCCGGTTATATAGCCTATTATTACAATGATCCCGATCGGCTCGGCTGGTCGGGCAGACGCGGTTGCACGTGATAAACGGCCTGCATTGTGCAAAAGGAGAAGCTATGTACAATCACCGAGTCTCCGTCGCCAACAAGATTTCTGAATATAAGTTGGCATCGTAGAACTTGCCTGGCCACACCGCTACGGACATTTGTGCCGAGGAAAGGGAGCTGCCACAGTCAGGCTGTCAGGCTGAAGGCTGGCAAGCTAGTCAAGCCAGATTCATAGCAATCAGCCACACCCCGCATCCAGGTTGGACGTAACTTATTTGAGATTGGAAAACAGAAGCACTTTGTGAAGAGAAGGAGAGATGGCTTATATTTCCGTCACTCCGATTGCATGCTCGTGCTATACTGAGAACCAAAGAGTCTTGAGGAGTCTGCCGTGTCACTCTCATACAGGCTCACATTCAACCTGTATACTGTTCTCCTTGTTACTGCGAGATATATCCGTGGTGAACGGCATCAACGGAAGTCGGTAGTGGAAATTTTGGGAGATGGCAGATAAAATAATGATATCGTGGACCCTGCCATGACTCCCCCATGAGAAACAAGTGGCACCAAGGCGCACAATATAACTGGCTCCGGGCACCTTTAAGGTAAAGGACCGCCTGGACCATGACGCAAAGTGACCGTTTAGTGCACCAACCACCTTGAAAGCTGCTTCCACTTTCCCACTATCATTGCGCGTCCCAGTGCTAGAGTTATCCATGACCTTGGTAATTGCGGCTACGCGGCCACTGGCACGCACCTGCTGCTGCAGCCAGCCGTCAAGCTTGACACCCCCAGATCTCTATCAACTTCTTGTCTCCTGTCTATCCGTCATCGATCCCCTTACACTAATTGGTCAATTTCTCCGGGTCCGCTGTCAAACTCATTCTTCGTGCGTGCATTGATGGGCTATTGTTGGGTTTTTTTCATCGCGCCTGTTAACCTAATCTCTGTTGTTGTCCTTGGGAAATAAACCTGCTATCTCAAACACCCATCGTTCCTGCTTTTCGTTTGCTGTTTCTGTCGTTTATTGCTGGCGGTCGTCGTCGAATTCTGGTCTCGGGTTTCAGGACTGCGGTTCATGAAACAATTACAATCGTTAAGAAAGCACGAGCCCCAGCCAAAACCAACATGTACTCTCGTTATTTGCCCCTCGTTGGCGCGGCCTCATTAATCACCTTTGCGACCGCCCAGAGTACCGTGTCTCTGTCCATCACCGCACAACCCACCTCCGGCGCGTCCCAAGTCATCAGTCCCTCGTTCGCCGGCTTCGGGATCGAGCCGTCGAACCTCTACTCCTTCACTGGGGGAAGCACCGCCAACGAGCTCAGTGTAAATCTGCTGTCTAATCTGGCAAATTATACGGGTACTCCGCCGCATATGCGTATAGGAGGAAACACAGCAGACTACTTCATCTTCAACTCGTCTCAAGATGCGTACGAATGCGAGGTCAACCCTGACCATGTCGGCCAGGGTGCCTATGCCTCCGACTACTATATCATCGGCCCGCGGTACTTCGAGGTCCTCAACCGCTTCCCCAGCAACACGCCCATCACCTTTGGTCTGAATCTTGCCTATGAGGAGTCGGACTACATCAGTCAGATAACCACCATGGCTACACAGGCGGTCAAAGGCTTGACCACCGTCAACCTGGTTTCGTTCGAGATTGGCAATGAACCTGACTTATACCTTGACAATGGATTTCGAACGGGGACATGGAACGGTCAAGTCTATACCCAGCAGTGGTTGGAACGGGCCAGCGCCGTCTGGGAACAAGTTCTGGAACCAAACAGTCTAAGCAGCAAGTTCTTCGAGCCTGGCTGTACCGCATCGACGATTGGCACTACGTTCATGATCGATGACCTTGATCAATATGGTATAACCGTGGAGGCCAACGGCTCAAGCGAGGGCTATGTTTCAACTTGGAACCAGCATGACTACTATTACTACATCGGTGTGTCGACCTACGCTTTGACTCAATATGGCTTCATGACCCTGTCTACCACCAACGATCAGTTCGCTGCCTGGACGAGTCAGATCACCCAAGCAGAGAACACGGATATACCGTATGCTCTGCGTGAGATGGGTGTCGTCGGTCCGATTGGAATGGACGGCATCACCAACACGTTCGCAGCTTCTCTTTGGACGTTGAACTTTTTGCTTTATGCGGCTACCCTGAACATTTCTTCCGTTCAGCTGCACATGACCGATAATAGTAATGCCAGTGCCTGGCAGCCGATCGAGTACTACGGCAACGAACCGTTCGTCCGACCCAATTACTACGGTATCGTCGCCTTCGATCAGGCCATTGGCCCGACCTGTCAAGCCCAGATTGGTGGATACGACTTCACTGATGCTCCTGGCGACTATGGTGGTCGAATTGCCGGGTACTCCATTTACCAAGACGGTACTCTTGCTACGATTGTCCTGATCAACTCCAACCCAGCCAACGTGTCGGAGACCGACAAGCCTACCCTGAACTTTGCGCTGACTTTACCGACGCAGTTCGCAGGAAAGGATCTGTATCTGGCCTATCTTACGAACGATGGTGCCGATGCGAAGAGTGGTACGACGTTCGATGGGGTCAGCTACGAGGAGAGTGGTGATGGTACAGCAACTCGAGTCAACGATACCATACCTATGGTCACCATTGGCAGTGATGGCACCGTGTCTATTCCCATTCGAGATACCCAAGCAGTGGTCGCCAATATCGGATCCCCGGTCGGACAAAGGGCAGCTAACAAGAGTGCATGTGCGGCACTGGCGTCAAGCACTCCAGATGCCGCAGCTGCGACGAGCGCAGTCGGAACAAGCACTGCATACGGCACATCAGCATCATCTTCTTCAACTCATACCAATTCGGCGTCGAAAACGGGCAGCAGTGCAAGCGCCAGTAGCACGAGTGGTGTTGCGGGCTTGTCTACCATGATTTTGGGGACAATCATGTCAGCATTTTTCAGCGGAGTTTATCTGCTCTGGATATAATCATTTTGGGGATGCTGTTTGTTCGACAAGATTGAATACACGATAGACGGCGTCTACGACACTCGATCGTCTCAGGATTCACGAGAAAATGTTTTTGATGTGGAGTTGGCTTTTTGTACAGGAGCCGAACGTGGTCCATTTGAATATCCAGGAGCAGCTTTGGTCATTGCAAGCCGGACAATGTCGATACAGGAAAGAGATCGCTGAACATGTTTGTATCCGGACATTTTTGGAACGACAAATATCAGCGTCGACACTACTTAGAACTTCACCTATTTAGACTTGGGCAGCTTATTTTTAATGGATATGGGAACTTACTGGGGTCGATATGACTCTTGCAGAAGAGTTTGCGGCTGTTTCGTTCAGTTTTAGATTCGCATTTCTTTTCGATATGCGAGTACATTTGCCTGTGAGCTTCGTCGAGAGCAGCATTCGTATCAAGTAGACGTTGACTTCCTGCTGAAAGTTGCCATGTCGATGGAGCTGTAAAGGAAGATACGGAGTACGTTAGTAGCGTAAAAGGTTCCCCCAGCCGGGCTAGGGGCTTGAATGCGCCAATGACGCAGGCCATGGATTCCCGCGGTGGAACAGGGCTGAGTAAATTCTTACGGCTCACCAGGGCTCCTGGCCTGCGCTTCTCATATTCGATAGTCTGCTTAGGGCATGCAACATGTACAGGCCCAAAATGTCCAGCTTGAACAACGGTACAAGCTGATCGCCCGAGGTTTGCAAGGATTTGTGAAAAAGCGCCGTCCATACTCTCGAATAACTACCTACCTAGCTGGCCGGCGTCCTGTCCAAGCTCGACCCATTCATCAACGGAGAAATGGATACCCCCAACACACCAACACGGCCTCACTACCAACTAGGCGGGCTGTCCTCCTTTATTCCTTTGAACGACGAGTCTCCCGGCGCGGTGTCGACTAGGGGTCAGCGTCTCCCAGGCCTGATTCAGAACCGCTCGAGCACGTCGCTGTTTACGCTGCCAAACAAACGCCGTCAAACAGCAGCAACAATCGTCCGCCGCAACTCCTACACGAGCCATGACTCCGAGGATGAAGAACATGGTATCCTGGATGACCTAGAGCCATTGCGCAAGAAGCGCAGCACGCCGATGGAGATCGACGCGCGCAGGATGAGTCTTGGGCCAGAGATCCTCATGACGCCGCAGATGCGCAGCATGCGGCTCATCGGGCAGAGCAATCCGCGATACCACTGGCACAAGTACTACAAGAGCGAAGATGAGCTGGCCAAGATGAAGAAGCCCGTCCGCAAGTACTACGAGCGCAACAATTTTCTTGTAGCCCAGTACCTGTACATTGACCGGCTGCTCGACTCGTCGCTGCCGCACGACCTCATCCAGGAATACCAGCACTCAGCCCCCGCCGGATACACGTCCAACATGAACACGATTTCCGAAGAGCCAACCAGCGCCATCACTATCAACGGCAGCGCCAACGACAACGATAATGGAGCGGCAAAGACCACCACCGACAAGACATCCCCCGCGGAACCCAAAATCAAACGCACCCCTAAGAACCTGTACAAACTGCCCGACGAAGCCACGCCATTACTTGCAGACGGTGGCAACGGCAACGAAGACGTCGTGACCGACGAAGAAGCCGCCGAACTACATCCAGAGATCGACCTCACAGATCTCGACGAGGGGGTGGAACTCGACGACCCTGTCGTCACACTAGCAATCTACCTCAACCTCGCCGCCAACATCGTTTTGTTGGCAGGCAAAATCGCCGTCATAATCCTAACGTCCTCCCTCTCGGTACTGGCGTCCCTTGTCGACGCCGCTCTGGACTTCTTGTCCACAGCAATTGTCTGGAGCACCACCAAGATCATCTCCCGACAGGACCAGTATGCATATCCAATCGGCCGTCGGCGTTTGGAGCCAGTTGGAGTGCTAGTCTTCAGCATCATAATGATAACATCCTTCTTCCAAGTCAGTCTGGAATGTATCAACCGCCTCGCAAGTGGGGACCACCAGGTCGTGGAACTCGGTATACCTGCTGTAGTAATCATGCTGAGCACCGTTGCAATCAAAGGCTTCTGCTGGTTCTGGTGCCGTCTCGTCAAGAACAGCAGTGTGCAAGCGCTTGCCCAGGACGCCGCGACCGATGTGGTCTTTAATACCTTCAGCATTATTTTTCCGCTGGTCGGATACTACGCGCAGGTATGGTGGCTCGATGCGCTGGGCGGGTTGTTATTGTCTTTGTACGTCATCTTCAATTGGTCCAAGACATCGAGCGAACATGTGCGCAATCTGTGCGGTGCCGCGGCGACGGCGGACCAGCGGAACGTTTTGTTGTATTTGACGATGCGCTTTGCCAAAACGATCCGGTATATTCAGGGATTGCAGGCTTATCATGCGGGGGACAAACTCAATGTCGAGGTGGATATCGTTTTGGATGAGAATATGAGTTTGAGGGATAGTCATGATCTGGGTGAGAGTCTGCAGTATGTGCTGGAGAGTGTGCCGATGGTGGATCGCGCGTTTGTGCATGCTGATTACGCGGGATGGAATTTGCCGAGTCATATGAATCAGCAGAGCTGAGTTTAGACTCTATATCGACTTGGTCTGTTGGATTGGCTGTAGAAATGGTCGTGAGTGTTGTATTACATTACTTGAACCACGAACTTTTACTGGCCCGCACACTATTACCCATCGTAGGACTTGCACAATGCTAACACCAGGGTGACGGACCATTTTGATACTTGATCACGTCTAGTCGGTGCAGGAAACGGCTTCAGCCTTCCCACGTAAAGACCTCCGCACTCCGGCACAGACTGTGCGTCCTCAACGCCACGGCAATCACGCCGAAATGTATCAGCATGGCAGTCGCGGCCTTCCATACCCGTAGATCTGCGACCGAAAATTCAAGTAGCGCAAAGCATATCAAGGGATACACGACGACGGCGTTTATCCCGTACGACAAGCACGGCTGCAATGTGCTGAGTAGTTTCAAGCCCAGAATGACAAGACGCATCGAGGGAGATGTCAACGGACGGTTGAGTACATTGGATATGGTGTGCATGTATCGGGCCACACGCCCTTCTTCGTGATGCGCAGGCTCGAGCAGAAACTGCGGACGAACAGGTGATGTATCAATGGGAGATTTGTGGATCGGAGAATTCGGCTGAGATGGCGACGTGGACGCGTTTTTGGGCCGGAGGATGATTGTGCTGCCCGTTCTCAAGCTTTGTTTTGCACGGTTGAATGATGATTTCCTTGGAGGCTGTCCATCATCGTCTTCGCTCCGACTCGAACTGCGGTCGGTCGAAGAAGTCCTTCTGCGTTCTGGCGATCCCGACCTGTTCTGCCAGAACCGCGTGCGCGGCCGTCGGGGTACGTGCTCATGCACACTGCGTTGTGGCGAGTTACCCGTTTGTGGTGTATCTAGTCTCTGAATACGGCGGCCTGGTGTGAGTTCCTCCGGTTCCATCGAGTTGCGCCTTCTTGCCGGGGGGATATCATCGAGTCTGCCTGACAAAACGACCTGCAAGACATCATCTGCGCTTGGTCGTTGCTCCGGATCCAGAGAGAGAAGACGTTTGAGAAAGGTATACAGTGCGGCAGGCAACTCGGGACGTAATCTGTGTTGGTCGTCGAAACCTTCCCAGCGCATGATCTCAGCTCTCAATTCATCAACGTCTTCACGCTCTTCGTGCAGGACGTTAGCTGTGAGATACGGTAGATTGGCGAAGCACAGGAAATGCAGGATCATCCCAAGAGAGAAGATGTCAGATTTGGATGTGAAGTTTCGAAACGGTCCTTCAGGTGAGATGCGCTGTAGGACTTCGGGCGCGCAATATGATATTGTACCAGTTGCGCCAGTGGATTTGCGTGCTGCATACTCGTACTGTACTTCTCCGAAATCGCTGACGAGGACTCTTGTCTCGCCACCAACCGTGTGAAGCAAGCAATTGCTCGGCTTGAGATCTCTGTGAATGAAGTTATTGTGATGCAAAAACCTCAGGCCTGAAGTTATGTCTCTGAAGAAATTGTAGATCTCGTCGAATGGAAGTCTCTTCGGCTCATTCGGTCGCCGAGGTAATTCAGCCTCGCCTTTCGACCGCCGGCGGATGCGTTCTTTGAGCTCTTGTGTGGTTGTGCCTGCTTGTGCTGATCCGAGTACATAGTTATGCATATCACCTCCATTACAGTATTGTTGGAGAATGAACGCGCACGGCACACTTGGCCCGAATGTGCTGATCTGATAGTCTTCTAGCCAGACATGTCGATACGAAACCAGATTTTGATGTGACAGCGTTTGCAGTAATTGGACCTCGATCAGCACCTTCTCCAGCCAAGCATGGTCGTCTCCGATGGGGACTCTTTTACAAGCGAAATAGCCCAGATTGACACCGTCTAAGACGTGCTTGACGAGTAGGACGACACCCCTCCCACCTCTGCCGAGTTCTCGGTCCTCGATGAAGAACCTCTCAAAATAATTCGGAGAGAATGCTGTCTCTGAGATGCCATGGGCCTGCGTTGGAGCCGCAGGAGCACTTGCCACGAACTCGGCGTTCGGAGGTGGTGAGGCTGTCAATGGAGTCGATGCATGAAGCCGCGAGCGCACTGGCTGAACCAGACGCTGTCGTGGCGAAGATGGTGCAGATGTTTCGTTGGAGCCTGGAAGACTTCGAGCCAGCATCTCAAAGTAGTCATGGGTGATGAAGCTGGGCTGCTCTTCCAATGGGCCCGCTTCCGACTCGGATGCCGTCGAGCCTCCTTGGTTGTGCCAAGGTCGACCGCATGTTGGACAATCCGATGGCCTTCGTTGTACATCTTGGTTATGGTGGAAAGGGACAAGCTGGTTTGTCCTCGGATCTCGATAAACGATAGTGTCTGCATGACGGCTGGTCTCGGATGTTCAGTACTGTGTTCCTGCCCAAACATTGAAGGTGCCATTGCCAGACTTACAGGACTATGTCACGATTGTTGTCGTAGGGAATAATGGACAGGGTGGGATTGACGATGCCACCATCTTCGTCCATTTCAAGGTCTTGAACCCAGTACCAACCAAGCCTGGCAATGCACTAGGGTGCGTGTAGCATTATTGCATCTCGATTTGTCCAATTTGCGTCGAAGTCGGCCTCAGTCATGCGAAGCTGCTCCGAACTCGTTAGTGAGTTTGGTGGGTAAGTTGAGGGCTCAAAGTCTCATATAGGAGCATGCTAACACCATCCGGCATTGGCGAAAGAGTGACTTGCAATGATGAGTGAGAGAGATGTCTTCAGTGCAGGTATTTGACGGGTAAATTGCATGAAGAAAGAGGTGGAATGATCAAAAAGACGCCGGAAGTGAAATAAACCCCAAAAGCTGGGGAAACGGAAAGTGCCGCGCCACTCGGTTGAAGGTGGATGACACTGGTTTGTATGAAGTGCGGTGCCTCGCATCACCCTCGATTCACGCCATCAGGGCAATTGTTCCCATTTCAGCGGATCGGTAATTCATTATATGATTATGCTATAGTATCAGTTGTGTCCCGGCCTTGGAAAGACTGGTACTGTATCTACGTTATTGACGTTGTAGCCAGAATACGTCCCTTGACTACTGTGCTGCCACCCTTGCCCAGTTTCTTGATTAACAAAAGCGCTTTGCCGGAATGGATTTGTGCTGCCTGTGACATTTGTCGTCAACGGTGATGCAGTGTTCGCTGGTCGATTTTTGGCAAAAGGATTTGTGCCAGTTCGCTGAGGCTGGAGTGCAGGTGGAGAAGGTGCAAAAGGCGAGTTTGTAGCGAAGGACTGGGGCTCAGCAGTGATGGGGCTAGGCGAAAATGACTGTTCGAATCCGGTGCCAAAGTTAGGCCCGTTGTTAGCCACTGCTCCAGTGTTGTGCTTCGCAAAAGGATTGGTCGACTGCCGGCTAGGACCTGCACTGGTAGGAGGTGATATTTGTGTCGAACCTGTCGGCATCATAGACTGACGGAAAGGATTTGTGGATGTCGACTGTGGTTGTATGGCCATTGGCGGCGGTTGTGAAGCACCAAAGGATTGTGATTGGAAGTCTGTCGCACCGTTTTGTGGAATCGTAGGAAGGGTGGACTGGTATTGTAGGGCCTGTGGTTGGGTTTGTTGCGGAGGTTGAGGTCCATATCCACCAAAGCCTGCCCCTGTGAAATCTGTTTGCAGCGGTCCAGGTTGAGCCATCTGCTGATTTTGAAAATGGTTTTGTTGTTGCAAAAATGGATTGTAGCCTGTTTGCTGGGGAATGTGGGTTTGTTGATACGGCTGAGCTTGCGGATTCCCCTGCTGATATTGCTGTTGCGGGTTGTAGCTCGTTTGGGCTATCGATTCCTGATTTCGCTCGATAGAGTCGAAAAAGTCGATCAGGTCGGGAGCTGGTCCCTTTGGTTGTTGCTGCTGCACTGGTTGCGATCGCGGTTGACTCTGCGTGGTCATGTTTGCTGGCTTATCAAACGGATTTGACTTTGGTGCTGAGGATACTGGCTTGCCAGTCCTTTTGGCTTCTTGTTGCGCAAGGTATTGTCGTCTGTTCATTTCGAAGTCTGGATCGTTCAGGTACTCCTCCAACGAATTCGTCAGAGTAGTTGGTGCGTGTTTAAGTTTCGGTACCTCGAGGCGTGTGGACGTCTCATACTGCCGAGCAACACTGAGATATTGGACTACTTGCTCAGTCTGTTTGCCAAAAGTCTTGTAGATTTCCAGTGCCCTTTCCGCGTCTGGACGTGACATTTCAAAGTAATGTTCTACGCCGAAGTTAGCATGATGATGTCGACAAGGCGACCACGCATACCCAAAACATTTATTGTGCCCTCGTTCATCACCTTGAACAGTTCAAGCAGGTCCAATGTCAAGAGACGAAAGGCTGTCAATGTGATCTCGTTGTCCGGATCGTGATTGCTTAACAGCTACAGACAGTCAATATGTCATCCGACACAACCCAGAGTTGCCACTTACATCGCACCGAATCAAGGCTTGTATCTGGTCCTGCACAATCTCTGTTTGTCTAAGCAAGCCCCTGTCGATAGTCAACCTCCGCATATCGCCCACTCCTGACTTGACATAGTCGGTCTTGGTGTCGCGGTAGGCTCGAACCCGTTCCATGAGGTATTCATAATAGCGTCGAATGTTAAGTCCCTGGGTTTGAACTGCCATGTATCAGCCACCGAGCTCCTGCATGAGTCGTTGCAGTAATACCTTCTGCGAAGCTACTAATGGCCAATCTTTTTGGTGCATCGGCTATATATCTCAAGGTCACTTCTGGCTGTCCCTCTCTGATCATAAGGTGCACCACGATCAGCGATTTGAAGACGATAGTCCATGTTGCATCTCTCAAGCGAATTTGCAAGGTGCGAAAGACCTCGGCGACACCAGAGTCACCTCCATTCGTGGCAGACAGGATTGGCTCGATGTACTTCGATTTGGGCGCAGCCAACTGTTGAACACACGTTAGCCCAGGTACGGTCAACGGTAAGAAAACAAACACCTTTATCTTCGTGGCGCCTTTTACAAGTTTCTCCATTCCTGCACTCTGCGCCGAAGGGCGGGGTTCTCAAACGGAAGTCAAGTGTGGTTCGAAAGTGCAGAGGACAGTCGCGGTCCGAAAGGTCCGTAACTTAGGCGCGAAGATAGTGGTAGGTGTCGGTCGGCTCGCAAGGAGCAAGAGGAGGTCGTGGCGAAGTAGGTTAGGTTGCCATCATAAGGCAAAGGTGAGTAGAGCAGTCATGATCATAGCTGCAGTTGCATGGCAAGGTAAGGGTACGCTGATTGATTGGGTCTGTGTATGAGGATGTCTGGAGGCCCGGACAACGTGCGACGTGTGATGCTTGTACCACTCGACTGGGCATGAATCAAATTGGACCGCCGAACTGCCTTCTATCACATGCAAGTTGAGTCTGTGGTCAGTTTGAGCCTTACAGGGACGTGGCCTCTTGTAACGTGTGACGTCGAGAAGTGAACGAAGTGCTGTGCAAGCAAAGCCTCATTTCTCCAAAACGAGGCTGGGGCGCAGGCAATCGGTCCGAGCTCCAGTCGGCTCCCCAGGCGTTGCTTGCAAGATCTAGGCAGCTCCGTCAGCATGCATGGCGCCTAAATCGTGCCACAACTCCATGCCCATCGCATTGCCGTCCAGTAAAATTGCCTACATTCGCAACGAAGGACCATTTCCTTGTAAAAGCGTTTATACCCTACAAACAAGGGACTTTAAAAAGGACTTCCAGCAATGATTCCGAGAGGCTTAGACTATAGTGTAGCTTTCCACAAGATACCAGCCTGAATAGATGCTTCCGTTAAGCTACTTGACTTGATCTGGGACTTCTTTTCCATTGCTTGGCATGTGTACGGCAACCGTGCCTTCCAATAGTCGTACTGCAAACCCCCTCTTGACTTCAAGTATGAAATAGTCTTGTATCCATCACAATTTCCCAAGGCTCTTCAACCGGTCATTAGCACGGCTACGAGATTCTTCGAAGCTCTCAACTCGAGCGAAGCGCGAGCGCGAAGAAGACAGATGCGCAACGACTGACTTTACTTGCCCACGAACTTCATCAACTCAATCCCTCGATCTTTATTTTCATTTCGCACACCATGGCGTCGCAACTCCTGCCTCTAGGTATATGACTCTGTTCATCTGGAATTCAAATGCTAATGGATCGTGCAGAACTGATCGACAAATGTGTTGGCTCGAGAATGTGGGTCATCATGAAGGGCGACAAAGGTACTACTCAACTTTTGCCGCAATCTCTGGAACGAGGCTGTACTCTCCAATGTGCGAAGTGCTGACGTCCTGTACAGAATTTGCCGGAACCCTGCTCGGCTTTGATGACTATGTCAGTAAGTAGAGGATCCATTCTCCAATTCCCATACGGAATACCAAGGATGGCAAGGACGAATTGTGCTGAGCAATATTTACCACGACAGATATGGTCCTTGAAGATGTGATCGAATTGTAATTCCAGCTTTTTTTTCCTTTGCAATTACCTTCAGGCTAACGAGATCACAGTGACTACACTGGCGCCCAAACGAAGCTGCCCAAGATTCTTCTCAATGGTAACAACATTTGCATGGTAAGTCTCTTGCCACAGCGAAATATACTCTTTATCATTGAAGCACGCCAATCTTCCCCTACATTCTTGTTGCTCTCAGGAAAGCGGACACTGACATTCGCGTCTCGATGAGCAGCTGATACCGGGCGGCGAAGGACCCGTCGCAGCAGCATCTTGAGCGGTGCTTCTCATGCAATATGAGGTGCACTCAACCGTTCGCCGATTAGGACGAGATCAGGGCATGCCGGAACAGCACTCGCGCGAATATTATGAGTCAATCTCGCAATCGATTGAAGCCATTCACAGGACGGCCAAAAACGGCCGCGAGAGGCTCGCGGCTCTGTAGAGGCAACCTCTCCAGCGAAAACTCCAGCTTTGAACAACAGCAGATGGAAAGGAACCTTCATAGAAAGGGATCTTTGAACTCCACGGAGCTCATCGCAAATCAAGCATTACGCATACATACCTTCGTCCCTAGATCGACAACAGAATCTACTTTACATACTTGGCCGTCGACCTTTGGAGCGTCTGCACGGCTTCTTTTTGAACGCTTTTGACAATTTCCCCTGCGGACATTACCTCTCTTACTAGTCCGACGCCGGTACCTGCATAAGTGGTCATGCGACCCTCAGGACCCCAACCAGCATCACCTTGCTGCACTGCCGTTTCGTACTTTTCCACATTTTCGGCCTCACTCATTCCCTGCTCCGCGTCGTGATACGTGCTGTTGGCAATACCTCTGCCATTGTAAGCTCGAGGCCAGCCATGGATGCCCCTGACGACATCGTATATCGTGGTGCCGACAGTGCTGGCTCCACCATCTGTGACACTGAGTACCTGATCCTGGTAGCCTTTGGCAATGACAGCTTCGGAACATGCCAGGAACCTTGTCCCCAGCGCCACGCCAGCTGCACCAAGCGTCAATGCAGCCGCTGCACCTCGGCCGTCGACAATGCCTCCTGCTGCAATCACAGGGATATCGATCCTCTCCTCGGCCAGGGCATCGATCACTTCTGGAAGAAGAGTGAGGAGACTTGCGCGCTGTGCAAGGCCGTGACCACCTGAATCTGCACCCTGAATGACTATGACGTCGGGCTGTGTCGTCTTAGCAACCTCGAGGGCTTCGGCTACGGTGCCGATCTGGACCCATATCTTGGTCTTGCCTCCACTGACTGCTCGAATCTGTTTAGCCCAGTCCAGAAGATCGCTGAGCTGCTTCGGTGCAAAGAACCATACCGCAGCGACAGGATGTTCCTTAAGCGCTGCGAGGGCTAACTGTAAATCACTGCCCCAGTTCTGGAAGCCCACACCGATAGGAAGTATGCCGTCGTGAAGCTGCAAGCCTTGAGATTTGGCAAATTCTGCAGTTTCTCCAAGGTCCTTTGCAAGGGGTGACAAGTCGAAGCCACCCGCCAGGAAGCCCAAGCCTCCATTTGCAGACACAGAGACTGCTAGGCGCCCCAGAGTGATCTTCATCATCGGTGCAGCCACCACAAATGGGGCATCTGGACTGGTCCAGGGATAATCCGCGTGAAGTGTGTTTCCTGGCATTTTGGCAACTTCTCTCAGACGGAGCACTAGATAGTCTGTTCACGGAGAGACTGGTGTCGTGAATAAGTTTTCCAGGAAGCAGATCTTATTATAGGAAAACATAGTACTTCTTAGTACTTAGCAATGTTCGTAAGCATTGACTCATAAGGCGCACATCGAATAGCCAGTTCTCCGCGGACTGGAACGTGGAGGATATGTGATGCGCAATACGATTCTGAATACGTACCGCGGCGCCCAGCAAACAGCCGATCTTGATCCGAGTCGTGTAAGGAATATGGAGCAGATGGCAAGTTGTTCACCCCAGACGGAACATGCCAGACACTGACTGATCGACGCGATCAGAGCTTCACAAATCCCTCGGAAGCGGCTCAATTCAGTTTGACCTCTCGGAAGGAAGGACGGTTGATGTGTCAGGAAATGGATCAGTCGTCCGGTGAGCCTGCTCCAAGAAAAAGTGGCACAGTCTGACCACTGTTGCTCCCCGAGTTCAAATAGATATCGTTCCTTATTGTCAGTCCGCAGTCCTTCGCACACAGCAATATGGCTTTAGCTCTTGTCGGAGGTAAAGGTTATCGCTCTTTCACATGGACTTTCTGTCTTGCCGTCAAGCCATTCGGTTTTGTGAACCTGCTCGGCTTCGAACTTAAATCGTCGATATACGCCCTGTCAGACAGTGCCACTTTTGCTGGAAACAGGCTCGCCGGAAGGTTGAACTCGAAGAACAATACAGGTCACGTGGCTCTTGGCGGCGGTGACAGTTCCAGCCTCACTTTGTCTTTCGAGAACCTCTTGAATAGCCACCTTATTCATGCCGTCGTTGGTATTGTCGTCTCCTCTCAAGACCACATAGCCTTTCCCTGTACCTCGATTTTCTTTCTCATACCCCATACACTTCAGACTCACATTTGGATCTCTCCTGAACGGATCTTGGAAATTTGCTCTGGCAGTTATACCTTAGAACTTACCTGTTTATTTTCTCTTTGGATATCTCATAACTCAAACATGTCTGGCATTAACGCCCCCGATCGGTACGTCTCTTTCACTTCTGTTTGTCTCAAGCGCATGTCCGGCGGGATGGGAGTAGAGGATCTTGGTCTCCAAGATGAGGTCGCGTGCCGGCAGATACGAGAATGGTCCAGAGATCCCTGCAGGACGAATAGTGCCTTATTGAAGTCTTTAAAACTTGGATGGCAACTGTCGGGACTTCAGGAGAATGTGAGGTGCTGCGGATCCCATGCTGGCTGCCGACTTCTTTGTTCTGGAGTGAATGCCCAACGTTCACCACCGCCTGTGGCTTGGCGTGTCGCTGCAACTGCCTCACTTCCCTCAGCTGCAACAAGTTACCATCTTCGATCCTCTCCTCTGTCAATTCTACTGGGATGCAACAATATCTTGTAAGAATATTACAATCCGTTGTCAGTTATGTCAGACAACTCGGCATCTTCACCCACGACCGGCGGTCTACGACGTCTCTCAGAAGGAGAATGGCCAACCCACCCGAGTAAGAGCAAGTACTCTGGAAACCAAAACACTTCCGTCAACGATACCACCGTCAACAAACCTGACTCGTGAGTCTTCCTTCCTAGCGGCCGCTCCTTTACCGGAAAATCCATGGAATCTGTGGAATACAAGGGACCAGGCAAGGCCGCCGGACGAAGTGACTTTATTCACACAATCATCTAGCAACGGACCTCATGAGAGCAACTCACTGTCCGACATGGCAAAATCCACACAACCTGCACGCAGCGAGCCTGATGACCGCAGTCTGATGGCCGACGTTGTTGTCGACTCCGTTGTACCTGCTGGCCCTGGAATACCTTCTCTGAACTGCAAATCCCCAGCACCAGCGGAACGCGATCCAATACCAGGAGATACCTATGCTGGCTCTGGTCCTCGTGGCCTTCCCTTGGATGGAGATGGATGGAGGTACCATATCTCTCATCAGCGTTACAACGGGCCTGCGATCGACCACAACGCTCTTAACGAACTGGAACGGTGCGCTACACTCTGGACATGACGGGACCGAGCCACCTCTCTTCAGGATCATCTCCTCCATCCACCCAACCCCGTCTCGTATTGCTGGTGATGAGCCTGACACTCAGCTAACATGGGAACAGTACCGAGGCTTTCATTCTGGGAGAGGGTGAGAAGAAGATCGAAGAGAAAATTGATACTCGTGAGCAGATTGATGCAAGCCAAACCTACTCTTGCTAATGCCCTTGACTAGGAACTCCAAACACTACCATTTTCACCTTCAACAAGGAAGACCACACTCTCGCCAATCTGCTTCGCGACAAGCTCTTGAAGAACAGCCACGTCACCTTTGCAGCATACCGCGTAAGTCGTGCACCACACCTGTATACTGCTAGCCTTGTTGCTAATTGACCAAGATCCCCCATCCACTATTCGCCAAGTTCGAGCTCCGAGTCCAGACTGACGGCGAGATTACACCCAAAGAAGCAGTCTTGGCCAGCTCCAAGGACATCATTCAAGACCTGAACGCTCTTAAGACCAACTTCACCCGCGAGTACGAACTGAGAAAGATGGTTGGAGGTGCACAGAACGGAATATGATTGGTCTCAGCTACATCATGGGGAGATGAAGAGGACGTGATGATCACGCGTTACTACTTGGGCAATACCCTGTACGACTACCACTAGAAAGGGCGGGAGTTTCGGCGTTCTATGGAAGACAGCAATATTTGTAGGGGTTGGCACCAGGATTGCATCGCACAAGGAGTGGTGTAGCGGACCCGCACAAAACAGCATCATGGGCATACTGACCTTGTTTGGTTGCGATTGACTGGCACCCAAATTTCATCTTTGCCTTCTTGAATGCTCCGTGTCGTTGCCTGATATCACGCATACACGCGTGGCGGGCGCCCTGTGAAGACTGGTTTTCTGCTAGACGCAATTGTGTGTCAACCTTTTCCTGGCATATTAGCCTCGTGGGGCTTTCGCCATCGCACGCCATCTCCGCGACCTCTAATTGAACCGCACGACTGAAAAGCTGCGTGCTCTGTCAATGCGTTTGTCAAGGAATACTACAATGTAAGTCAACGTCAAGGTCAATTCACTTGATGGATTCGATAACATCATGGCGTTGTCATGCCACTCTCCATGCTGTAAGCACTACATATGGGTGGGCGTTTGCATCGCAAGATGCATGTCAAGGGAGGTCTCACACTCTCCAAACCCTCGAAATTGATGCTCGTCTCGCCGATCTCTTCTTAGTACTCACCATGTCGTCGATCCATGATGTCGAGGATCAAAAAACACAGACGCCGAAGGGCGTTCTGGATCTACCAGGCGAACCTATCGACGCCTACGAAACAGGGAATATCCGTGGCGACAGACTTGCCCGCCGCCTGTCAGCTCGACAGGTGCAGATGATTGCCATCGGAGGTACAATCGGTACAGGTCTTTTTCTAGGTACTGGAAAATCCCTGGCCACAGGTGGTCCTGCATCGACCTTGATCGCCTATGCGATCGTTGGAGCCATCGTTTTCGTGACTATGCTCAGCTTGGGAGAAATGGCCGCTTTCATACCTGTCGCTGGCTCTTTCTGCACATATGCAGGTCGTTTCGTCGACGATTCGTTAGGGTTTGCTCTCACCTGGAATTACTGGTTCAACGACGCGGTGTCTACAGCTTCGGACATCATTGCGCTTCAGCTGTTGCTGCAATTTTGGACCGACAACTTCCCCGGCTGGGCTATCAGCTTGATTTTCCTGCTGGTGGTCATCGGGTTGAATCTCCTGTCTGTCAGAGTCTATGGAGAGGTCGAATATTGGCTCAGCCTGCTCAAAGTCATCACGATCATCATCTTCATCATCATTGGCATCGTTGTCAACTGCGGCGGCAATCGAGACCACAAATACATTGGCGGCCAGTACTGGCATATCGGCGACGCACCCTTTGTCGGCGGCATCGGAGGTTTTGCCTCGGTCTTCGTGACGGCTTCGTTCGCATACGGAGGCACCGAATCGATCGCCGTCACCGCAGGAGAGACGAAGAACCCTGCGAAGAACCTGCCGCGGGTCGTGCGTAATGTCTTCTGGCGCATCTTGCTCTTCTACATTTTGTCCATCCTGTTGATTGGCCTGAACGTGCCGTACAACTATCCCAACCTGAGCGAGAAGAACACCAGCACCAGTCCTTTCACCATCGTATTCACCGAAGCCGGCAGCGCTGTGGCCGGTAGCTTCATCAACGCAGTGATCCTGACCAGTGTCATCTCGGCGGCCAACCATGCCTTGTTCGCTGGGTCGAGACTAATGTATACGCTCGCTGTGGACGGCTACGCCCCCAAGGTCTTCGGCCGCCTCAACCGGTTCCAAGTGCCCTGGGTGGCAGTACTGTCTACCTCGACTATCAGTGGTCTGTGTTTTGGAGCAAGTTACATTGGAGCCGGACAGCTGTGGTCGTGGCTGCAGAACATCGTCGGCGTCTCGAATCAGTTATCCTGGATATGCATCGGTCTTGCGTCGTTACGGTTCAGGGCCGGCATCAAAGCCCAAGGTCTCGATCACTTGCTTCCTTTCAAGAACTGGACATATCCTGTTGGTCCTATCCTTGCGGTTGGCCTCAATTGTGTTCTCGTCCTGGTCCAGGGCTGGTCCTGTTTCAGTCCGACATTCAGCGGCGTTGATTTCGTCTCCTACTATATCGAAATACCGGTTATGATTGTCATGATTGTGGCGTGGAAGCTCATCAAGCGCACTCGTTTCGTTCATCTGAACGAGATGGATTTTGTCACAGACCGGTATGACCTGCATCCTGAGCACAAACTGGACCTCGATGAGAATGCGGCTGCAGTGGACGGCGTGGGTTCCCGGACGAAGAGATGGGGTCTGAAAGCTGGCGAGGACAAGACGTGGCTTGGAAGGTTGAAGAGATTAGGGATGTGGTTGTTCCTGTGATTATGCTATCTGACGATCGCAAAAGCATTGATTGACTAGAATACTGTACGTTCAACTCGTAAGGGGTTTGGAGCGTAAGAGGCGCACATAAGGTGCGACTCGGTCAGCCTGATTGGTTGGTACACGTAACAATGCAGTAACCAAGAGAGGCAGAGCGTACAATATCTGACTGAAGAGCAATAGTGGGTCAGACTTTCTCAATTGTAGCTGCAAGTAGGTGGCTCCAGACAAGTAAGTGGCCACGCTGCCGGCGGGTTCTGGCAGAAAGGCTTTGGCGTCATAAATTCCACTATGCAACACATAGTTTTCTTCCAGTCGGTGAGGTTCTGCAACCCGGAAGGACCGCTGACCTGGTACTGCAAAAATGCCCAGCACTCCCATGTAGGCACGCAACATTGCTGGTTTGGATCCCGACGTCGCGGGCGCGTGAGAGGGGTGTTGGATAGACCCCTCTTACTGTGTGCTGCCTGCCATTCCGCAAAGCTCCCATGGTCACCATCACCAAGAGACGTGAGAGATGTCATGAAAGTCCCATCGGTATCGTTGTGGGAGACCACTAAGGCTTTATTGGTAGCAAGAATACTTCGGGGTTGGAGGAGGTATCGAAGGCTATCGAAACTTGGTCCCTCGTAGTTGTGGGACTCGGATGGCCAGTCCGCCTCACAAGTGAAACGTTTGCAGTCATAATCAGGGTGTGAGTAGACCGTCATTGGGCAGGATTCTGCTGTTTCAGAAGCACTTGCGGTATGATACATCGAAGCCCAGCAGAGAAAAGTTAGTCCTAGCATCCATGGTCCCATCGCGCAAACTGCAGCCCGCCAAAACCCCAACTTCAGTGAAAGTATCCGATCGAGCCCTTGACGTAACTTGGGCTTGTTTACTGTGAGGGGCTCCGCTCGTCTGCAGTTGAATCTCAGGAGCTGAATCCAATTTTAGGTCTGCGCCGACAACAACTGCTGTGCTGTCAATGTCGATTATGATGTGAGGCGCGACACTATGCCAGGTGAACGAAGCGATAGTTGCTGTCAACAGGTAGCACCGTTCAAGATTGGATCCCTGGACTATCGCAGTGTTGTGGTGATGTGCATTTTCCGAAACGTTTTTTCCTCGAGAGAACTCAGGCGCGTGGGTGTGGTTGAATTCGAAGTCGCGTGAGAGAAATGGCTCAATTTATAGTCGGGGCCACGACCCTAAACGGGTACCATGCCAAGGTAAAGGTACTTCATCCTAGGGCGAGGTGGCAAAGGTGATGTGGGAGAAAATGGGCTTTGCGAATTGTCTGGTACCAAAGCTCGGGGACTTGGTACGCATGCTAACTGAGCGGTGTAGTTCCAACAATGGTTTCTCGTAGCGCGAGCCACGGGAATGCTTGAGTAGCTGGCTGAAATCAGGCCTTGGATCGTAATCGGACAACTGCAGCGTACTGTTCTGGCAAGGTCTCTCGAATGAGGAGGGAATTTGTATCCTTTGGACTTTTTGCGGCGCCATTGACAAGCATACCCGGCTTGCGAATGGGGAACAGGTGAGGAGTTGAAAACAAAACGAATTCTGCTGTATGCTGCAAACAAGCATATGCCGCATCGACCTACTAAGAGGGATTGATACCCTGATATGGTTGGCAAAATTGGCGTTCGAAGTCGGTCGGAATTGCCAACAATGTATTGGTCTCAGGAGGAACGTTTGTCCGAGACTTCTGTGCCATTGTGCTTCCAACGAGTAGGCATCCTTGAGCGAGAGTAGCTCAGCGATGATCCAGTCTGGAGGATCCATGGAATAATGTTGCAGACATCGCTGGTACAGAATAAGGACATCTAACGTCTCCGGGAGGTGCTGTTTGAGAGCGGTTAACAGAGATTTTCACACGTCGCGAGAGTTGCAACAGAAAAGAAGAAAACTGGGAGACCTATTAGGTGAGCTGGAGGTCGTCAATTTTGTCAGGATTTCAACGCAGTTTGACCTTTCGGAACGGCGGTTGTTGTGTCAGGAACGGATCAGTTTTCCAGCCTCGAGACCTCAAGGCTGTTTCCAGTAAAAGTGGCACTGTCTGAATACCATTCTTTCTTGTTGTGGCGGACTTCTTCGCACACAACGATACAGCATCAGCTCTTGACAGCCGGAAAGTCGTCAGCTCTACCGTATAGTTCTATTAGGCTTGGAGCCACGTACGCGCCGTCGTGAGATTGCTGACCATGAACTTACACCGTTGATGTACGCCCCGTCAGACAACAACCTCGACCGACCAACGTCACGTGAGGCATCCCCAGACCTTGGCAACTATTGAAGTTCAAATGACAGGCGCGTGCTTGGGATGATGGCATAGCATGGAGATCTTAAGCTGCGGAAGGCCGCCATGAATTCGTAACAATAGGAAACACTGCCCAGAGTCAACGCTGCTCATTTTCTACTGTTGCTTTCTGGCCAACGCCACGATTGTACATACCGAATTCCCAATTGACACGCTCGTGCTGTCCACCCGGCAGTAGGCTGCCCCCGGATCATAGAGTCGGCGACATCCTGGGCATTGAGCGACGTTCATCTACTACCAAAGCCCAACTGTCCCAGTAATTCAATCCCATTACCTGCCACGCATGGTCCTAGAAAATAGATTCCACATTACACACGCTCAGCGACCATCTGTCCAAATCGCCTCTGCTGGCTCCTAAAGCTGGCACTTCAATCCGAGACCGTCTTGCATGGCCGGCGTGCAAGGCAATATACGGTCCTTCATTGCGCCGATCAAGGGATCTGGTTTGTGAAGACGATGAATACCCTGGACATGAACAGTTGATGACGAGAATTGACAGGTCGAACCGCCCCGGCCCTCCACGAGGACCTGTCACTGTACGAACCATGGCAACAGCCACAGGACGGTCCAAACCTCTTAGCTGACTCGCCGCTCCGTTTCATTCAGACGCAGTACCTCGGAGACTTGATCCCTCTCACGAGCTGCAGACACAAATTCGGACTGAAGCCGAAACAGTCAAACCCCGCAGTATTGGATGAAAGACCTGGACCTCAGACAATATGGACGGTTGCAGCATTCTGTCAAGTATGTCGTCTACACCTTCAGGTCAAAGTGGACTACACCATAAGGTTCCAGGAGCCACCGTGCCCCAATGATGACCATCCCCTACACCATTTGGTGCGATCTGAGTACCAAGAGCCGTTGGAGCGCAATGCCTGGCTACGGCAGAATCCCGAGTCAAGAGATGAGGTTTATACTTACAAATGCTCGTCAAAGACCTGTTCTGCTACCGTCACGGTTCGCCTCAGCCCTCCGGTGCTGCGGCCTAGCGATGTGCGGACGCTGGTGGATGCCGATCTCCTCCAGCAGAGGACAAAGGATGCATTTCGGGAAAGAGAAGGAAACACAGAAGGAATGAAACACCCAGGGCCAGTTGATGTCTTGACCGATCTTCGTGCGTACATCAAGAATTCGTGGAAGGCGCGTGAAGATGTGAAGTACAGATCAATAAACCTTTCCAACAGAAGATTCATCGTCCGCTTTGGACCGGAAGGAAATGCTTGTAAGGATGTGCTTGAGCATCTGGGTTTCCAGCTGGTGGTAAGCAGGACGAATCTGCTCAATGAATTGCGCTGACTCACTTCGCGCGCAGCCAGGTGAATATTGGAGAGTTCCTCAACCAGTCCTTGAGGACAGTCAACCATTCCAGAGTCCTGTCAACATCTGGCTGGACAATGCTGAAAATGAGATCTTGTCTTTACTGCTGTCACTATCTTCCGAGGAACGACAACAGCTCCCAGATATTTCACCACCTGTGCCTGCCGAACGAGAGCTCTCTCGGATCCTTGGCTGTCAAGATTGTGAGTGTGTTTGTATCTCCCTGGGATCCTTGCTGACAACCACAGATGATTCTGATCCATCAAGTCGCGCTGCGAAGCCTTCGCCTGAGATGAGGACTGCGTAAGATCATTCTTTTGTCAACAAGATAGCGCTGACATTCGCCCAGACCATTCATTGCTCTAGGATGTCCACGGGATCTGGCCGACCACCTGATTGTGAAAGCGTACCACTGGCAAGTGGAGACCGATCCTCAGAATGCGCCCATATACTTGAGCCACCTGCGATATGTCTCAAACGACCGTCAAAGCGATGTCCTTGAGACTGAGGTTGTCATTGAAACCTCAAAAGGCCGATTCGACTCGGAGACGCTGGAGAAGGCCTACAAGACTTTTCAGTTGAGTGGACGTGAGGGTGCGGTGAATGATGAAGACATTATTGGTACATTCATGGCGACGCTAGCAGATTCACCTGGCCAGGAGCATGATTTACGTGAATACTTGCGCATTATCGGTGTTCACCGAAACAGCAAGCTCGTCATGGATACAGCACAGAACAGTGGGTGGATTGATCTGAAGTGTCGCGTCCGTTACTAACAATGCTTCCCAGTCATGGACAGCTACGAGCAAGCCCTTATTTTCCTCGGTGTGGATGCAAGCACGGAAGACGAATTTATTCAGGCTGCCTTTACTGCCAAGGTACGTTGGGCTGCGCTCCTGAGCAAGCTTTGCTAATCTTCATAACAGACAAGCGAGAACAAAGCCCTGGAGCAGCAAGCAATCCAGGCCGTCCGCTTAATAGCTCAGCATCGAAAAAGCAGTCTTCTGTCCACCTGGATTGATTCCGGCTTCTCAGCCGAAACACAGATGGATCCCGCGGAGGGCTATCAAGCCCTGCAAATCCAAAACCGCGAGATTGATGACGAAATGATTATGCTGCAATACAATATGGCAGTGGAAGAGAATCCAGCAAGTGTCGAATATTACAACAAGGCACTCGCTGCCATCGCCAGCGGCAGGAATAGTACTCAATTGCTGGACCATCTACAAAGCCGGGCCCCACAGCCTCCCGCGGCCACAGAAGGCGAACCTGTTGGGCTGGAGAACATCGGGAACACTTGCTATCTCAACAGCCTCTTGCAGGTCCTCTTCACCATGACTGAGCTGCGGAAAGTGGTTCTCGATTTTGACCAGTACCGAATGACCCTGGATCCGGAAAGCATGGAGCAAAAGAGAGTAGGGCAGCGGAAAGTCAGTCTTAAAGAGGTTCAGACCGCTCAAAAATGTAAGTGACTCAAAGCCGACTGGTGCATGTTTCTTACTTTTCAAGTTGTTGACAGGTTGGCGTCACTCTTTCGCGGCATGATAGAAACACCACAATCCTCGATAAAGCCTGAACAGGAGCTCGCACGCCTAACGCTCGAGACCGAAAGTGTGAAAGAAAGAATGCGTCGAAGATCTACTCTCATGACCGATCGACCAAGTTTAGGCCACATAGATAGCATACCAATGCTCGGACCGCTGACTCTAGCCGAGCACGAGAGGGTCAGAGTAACGGATGATGTTATAGTGCAGTCTCCGACAGAAGGCGATAACAAATTCTTTGATCCTCTTGTTCGGTTCGAGGAACCGGAGAGCAAGAGGAAAGACAACAACGACAATATCGAGCCAGACGTGGAGGACATTACGATGAACGACAACTCCAGTGAAGCTACGCTGGTTTCCAAGCCAGACAGCGACCAGGTCTTGCTCGAAAATCCGAGCGAAGGGCAGCAGCAACCCGTATCGGATGACAAGGAGAATCTGTCCCCGATCAAGCCGTCACCGTCGGTCACGACCAGCCTACCTCACAACGTGGAGCCTCTGGCACCAGCATCACCTTCCAAGTTGAACGCACAGGCTGGGGCAAATGAGCTGTCTGCCGTACCACTGGAGGTGAACACGGAACCAGAGCCAGTGAAGTACGAACCTCCTCCTGGAAAACCGCCTCCAGTGCCACCCAGAAAGCCGAATCAGACTCCGACCACCACTCTGGAAGAGTATGCACGTCAGCAGGATGTCACCGAGGTTATGAATCACTGCATCATCCAGCTGTCCTGTGCAATGCGACCCAGAGGCTATGATAAGTCTGGCGAGCAGTACGACGAGGTGCATGATCTTTTCTTCGGGCAACAGGTTGTACATGTCCAACCAGAAAAGGGACCGTCCCCGACTGTGCCCTTTCTCAATATCATTACCCGAGTATACCATCAACCCCCTGATGTGTATGCCGCAATGGACAACGAGTATGATCTCCAGGACGCCCAGGATGGGACAAAAGCTTACACTTCCGTTGCTCGTCTGCCACCTGTTCTTACCATTGCCCTAGACCGAGTAGCCTGGAACCAAGAAGCAAAGCGCCAAGAAAAGCTCAACTACCATGTGGACGTCCCCGAGACCATTTACATGGACCGATATCTCGAGAGCGCCAGCGATTCGGACCTGATGCACCGGCGGCAGCAAACTTGGGAGATGAAGAAGGAACTCGCAGCACTCTCTGTGCGGAGAACTTTTCTGGAGGAGAAGCACGTAAGGCAACCGAACAATGCTATCATGTTTACAACTGACGTGATACAGGGCACATCGAAAGATGTTCCAGGCCTCCTGGAAGATGCGAAGCTTGTCCTAGAATACCTAGCTGAAGTATCAAGCGATTCTGTGTCGGAAGATCTCAGCGTCAATCCTACCGTTGTCGCAGATCTTGGAGTTATGGCCGAGAACGCCCGAGCGGAACTTGAAGGTACAATCCACCACCATTTTATCCTCCTTCTTTGTCTAACTTTGAAGCAGGTATCAAGTCGCGAATGGATCATCTCAACCAACAAATCAAGGAAGCATTCGTAGATATGCGCAAACATCCATACCGATTACACGCCGCCTTCTTCCACCGTGGCGGTGCAGCAGGCGGCCATTACTGGGTGTACATATTTGACCACAAGAAAGAAGTCTGGCGCAAATACAACGACGATCGCGTGAGCGTCGTGCAGAACCGTAACGAAATCTTCGGCAAGCCGACGCAGGATCAATGGGGTCCGCCGCCGAACCCTTACCTCCTAATCTACATCCAAGCAGACCGCATCGACGACCTGGCCGAAACTGTCAAGCGCGACATCGTCTACCCGCCACCCGACGCACCGCCTCCAGTACCCGCACGAAACCAAATGAGTGAGATGCCGCCCAAGGGAGACGTGGAAATGCTGGAGTACGTCAATGGCGGTGAGCAGGCCCAGACCACTACTGCCCCTGACCCATACCCATATGACCTGGACATTTCCCACCCCGAAACACAGTCAGGTGCCAAGAAGGAAGGCGACTGGGACAACAGCGAGCTGATTATTCCCGACAGACCAGTCAATTGGTGATGAGGAAGCGTGCATGAGACTCGAACCACTACTCTGACACCTCTTCTTCGACCAACGGAATGGAAAGCATACCCTGTCAGTGGGGGCAGTAGCTTCCACGCTCGAAGCACTGGTAGCTCCGGCTGGACATGAGTATTCTGCCTTGTCCAGATGTTTGGTTCAATGAATCTCACAGGACCTGAACTCTGGCATGCGTTTGGCTTTTTGCGGAAGGGTCGTTACATTCTCACACAATATTCTTTTCCTAGTCCTTCTCAGCCTATTGGACTGGATGGATGGATGGATTCAGTCGATTAATTCCAGCATAGCAACCAGACAGCGAGGGAATAAAAGGACTGTTACAAGAGATACTGTTGTTGCTTTTGTTCACTTCATCGCTACTTCATGTATCGGCATGCACGTTTTCTTCGTAGCTGACTATCTCTGATCGTGTTGTAAGCTTGCAGTCCACCGGATATTCAGTCACCAAGAGCGATCTCTACAGCATTCACTTCCAAGCATGCGTTGTAACAGTGACCCCTTCAATAAGTCCAGCTCATTTGCGTAGAGCCCAAGGTAGTGAACCAGGTCAAGCTCGCAAAGCGCCTCAACTTCCAGCAGCTTGGTTCTCAACTTCGTGCACCTTTGACTTCATACATGCCCGCGGGCCAGCCCTCAATGTTCCCAAATTCGCTTCACCTGTCCGAAAACATGGACTGCAATGCATGTTTTCTCCCACGGCCGGATATTGTTACGAAAGAGTACCAACTGCCGTCAGAGCGAATTTGTATCAAACCCGGCAACCGCTGTACATCGTACTCGCCAACTTGAGAATCTGCCCATCAGCCTCAATCTCCGGCCTTTCATAGCTCCCTTCCCAAGAACGAAGAAAGCTCAGGGTAGCGTATGAGGGCTGTCCTGTATTCTGCACGGGCGAATTGAGCCTCTTTGTTGTCCAACGTTGTTGATGCTGGCAGGCTCAAACAGAAGACGTCACACCATTTCCATGCTGACTCGATATCACTCTTGTTTAATGTTCTTCTTAGCCCAGGACCGGACAGGTCAACGAAGACAGGTCTTCTCAAGCATCAGCAACCACCAGTGTACAGGTAAAGGAATGAGACCTCACCTCTTTTTATCATAGTCCAGCACAACTGGTGGTTGCCCAAGCTTGTCACGATCCATGCTAATCTTCTTAAGATATAGCTTGAGGATGTGGTCACCAGGAGTCGGCAATTCAGAAGCATCCACCTCGGGTGCTTTTGGAACAGCATTTCTCCGAGTTGGTTGCTTTCGCTTCCACTTCTTAGCCGCTTTGTCGAAATAGTCGACGAGACGTGGGATGAGGTAGGCATGGTCCGGAGCAGCAGCTGTTTCAGATTGGAGATATGTCTCCCAGTGCTGATCCAACGCTGCACTATACGACTTGACTGCTTCTAACCATTTCCAAATGACTAGATTTTGATCCTCGCAAGCATAGGTATTGTGTCGCTTATCCATTGTCGTGAAGAAAAACCTGGAGTAATAAGTACAGGCGAAAATCAAATTGCTCCTGGAGACAAACTCACCCTGGAGCCTTGCGCTTGAATATGACCTGAATGCCTTCTAGACCCTCTTGATGTCTTTTGGCATTGACCGAATCCACGAACTTACTCACAGCATTTGCGGGCGCACGTGGCCTTCGCAGCTTATCATCTGCGCGGGTTTGAACATCTGATCGTTGACGTCCCGATCTTGTACGAGTTGCTGGTCCATCGTATTTGGTCATATCGACAGGAGCATCGGAGTCGCTTGAGTCGCTTGCGTTACTTGTGTTGATGGTTAGCTTGATCAGTGCAGAAAAGGTGTCCATTCTTTTTATTCCTCACGCTTGTCTTTGAGCATTGGCCCCGTTCTTCTTGGACTTTTTCTGCCTAGGCCTTCTGCCCTTACCCGCGACCGCTTTGGGCTGCTGAGCCGGCTGACCTGAGATCGGGGCCTGATCTGACATAGCGTGTTGGTTCGAAATCGGGTTCGATCCGCGTCTTAGGGGTAGCTGGATGGAAACACCTTGAGGAGGGCGGTCGTTCCCGCCTCCGCGTTGGGGGCCTCTTGAAACGTCGACGGTCCTGCCATTTGCGGAGGGGCGACTGCTGTACGGTGATGGACCGGGCGAACGCTGACGGACATCTCTGTTCTCATCGGATCGACCTGGAGATCTCGATCTTCGACGACCAAAGGAGTCCGTAGCATACCAATCATTCCGGGGCCGACCTTGGGCTGAGCGCGTATCCGAGGGAGCGTCGTAACGGTCGTACCGATCACCATGGGAGGCAATAGGGGGACGATCAGGTAGAGTGTGAGGTTGTCGGAATGTGAAGTTACCTCGACTGTCATTGCCACGGTTCGTGACTCGAGGTCCAAAGAACGTGTTCTCGTTGTCTTCATCCGATGGCTGATCCGAACGAGGATTTCCGGCGTTGTGAAGGCCTGCGCGGCCCCTAATGCGCATACCTTCTGGACGCATTCCACGGTTTGCAGCCTGCTGCTCACGTTGCTTAGTGCCAGCTTCAAGACTCAGATTGGTGACCTGTCCTGGTGCGAATGATCTTAAAGACCATCTAGCCCTTGCGATTGTGTTCGTATCGGGGCAGTCGCCCACAAGATGAGATTTACTTGCGCAAACGCAACAAGAAATCCAAAACTCGTGAGAGCCGGCAAGAATCTCAGTGTTGGCGGGGAAGAAACGGCTAGGGCAGGATCTTTCGACATGGTTCAAACCACCACATAGGTCACAAGGAACGGTTGTGACTTTGAGATCTGCGTTACAGAAATCTGTTGTGTGTCCCTTCTCACGGCATCTCGAGCATCGCCCGATCAGAGGACAAAGCCGGCCTGGATGCTGACCGACTGCTGCACAATGGACGCAATGTTCCTCGGGGCAGGCTCCCTCGGAATGGCCGGGCTTCAAGCAAGCCAGACAGATGGCGGGCCAAGTCAAGTCGACCTGGTCACTCTTGACGTCGAAGAAAGCATACTTCAGTTGAAGTTCCAGCTCATCCGGTTTCAAGTCCGCAAGGCGTGGGACAGGGTGTGAGTCAGGACTTTCAATTGCTGCGAACGGATTGGAACGCCCGGTGGCAGACTGATTGATCTCAGCCTGCAACTGCATTTCAACAGCATCGTCCGGTGAACTTGAAAGTTGCTTGACGTCCTGGTTTTGTGATGATGTTTTTGTCGCATGGCTGACCACCCTAAGATGCTCTTCCTCGTCGGTGTCAATTGCCATGATCTCGTCACCAGCCTCTGGTGTATCATGCTCAAGATTTATGACCATTCCTCCTCCTTCTGAAGAGTCGTCCTCCTCATCGCTGGAGATCTCGATAGCATCGTCAGCCGATACCCCAGGGCTTGCACCAGTCGCAGAATTCGAGGAGTCATTCGCAGTGGAGTCCTGGATGATGGGAACCGTTGGTTTACGAAAGCCAACCGCGAGGCGATTCTTGCCAAATCCAGGTGAGGGATGAGGCGGCATCGTGCCAGCCAGTGTGGAAGGAACGGCAGAGGTAGAGTCCTGTGTTTGGTTTAGAGAGTCGGAGTTCGCAACTGCTTGGGAGGCAGAATTTCCCATCACTGCGGTAGAACTCTGAAATTGAGGTGGGAAGAGAGTCACAAGTGAAGAATCATCGACTTGACCTTGTCTGTTGGCGCGAGTGCGTCTCAGGCCGACTGAGGCTGTTCGTGACTCGCCTTCCTCATCTGAGTCTCCTGCATTCCGATGCATGAAATGGTTTTGAGTCTGAAGTCAGTAGTCGCGCTCACATCAACATAGTGAGAGAGGATCACTTGCAACCTCGGAAAGCACTTGTCGTGAACTGTGCCTACAGCAAACTCGAAAAATGAATCGACGACAACATCGAAATTTGGAGTTTTTGAATATTGGGGTAATTGCGGTTTCGGCTAGGCTTCCCAACTGGGACTTAGGTTAGTACTGTAGGCCAGGAAATAGGCACGCTAAGTAATGAGTGAAGCCTGTTTGCTCGCGTGCTGTTGGTTTGAGTGCCAGTGTGTTATGCACGCCCCAGAGACCACCGGTGTTCCGACCCCTACCCATGTTCGCCTCTCCATATATCACGCAGTCCCATCAACCAAAATCCTGTATTATTGCGTCTGATCCGACACTCATTCATCTCGACAGGCTACATCTTACCTCTACATCGCGTTTTCGGACCTCTTATATACATTCCTGCTCATATCTCACAGTTTTTGCCTCGCGAAAATCTGTTTTCTGCATTCAACGTCAACTCCAACGGGCATCTGTCAACTCTGTTACAGACGTCACCAATACAACACGAACCATTCCGCTGAGCTTGTCTCGTAAAAGGCCGTCAAGGTACGCTCGGCTCGAGGACGCAGGCTTCTGCCAGACAAAGAAAAGACACGCTGACCGTATACATCTTTGCAGACCTGAAACTACCCAAACGTCAGCCATTCGTTTTCGAGCTTTCCATGACCTCTCATACTACCCTTCATCGAACCATCTCCTTCCAAGCCGATGCCAGACAAGCACCCCCAGTCTCCGCATACAACGCAGCCATGAGTACTGGAAAGACCGGACGAAGGAGACGATCTAGCAGTATCATCTACCAAGAACCACCCGAGTCATTAGAACAAATCAGCGATCAGTCAGCCCTGCCCAACCTCAACTCACAATGGGTGAATGCAAAAGGTGGGTTTACCATATATCCCGCCTACTCAGGCTATGAATACCCCAATGGTGGCTAACATCTGTGTTAGGCGCGTGGACGATACACCCTGTTCTGATCATCGGCTTGAAGATCTTATTTGACATCATCCCCGGCGTCACACAGGAGATATCGTGGACGCTCACGAATATCACGTACATGGCCGGCTCGTATCTGATGTTCCACTGGGTGCGTGGCGTGCCATTCGAATTCAATGCAGGAGCATACGACAATCTGAACATGTGGGAGCAGATCGACAATGGCGACCAGTACACGCCAGCGAAGAAATTCCTCTTGATCGTCCCAATCGTGCTTTTTTTGTTAAGCACGCATTACACCCACTACGACTTCACATATTTCACTGTCAACTTCATGGCTCTCATGGCAGTTGTAATACCGAAACTGCCGCAATTACATCGCGTCAGAATAGGGCTCTTTTCAGACCCTCCCGACGAATAAAACTACGACTTTCGGAGTCTTCGCACAACAGCCCGGCGTGATTGTGGGCGGACACATTCCCTCCTTGCATTTCCATCCAGCATTGTGTCTTGACCTTGTTCTTTCGGAGGAATGTTCTTCGATGTGCTACAAGCAGGGTGACGGAAACAGGACTTGGTCAATGAGTTTACTTTAGGCTCAATCTCAATGAAGTCCAACAAGCATTTCAATGCCATTGTCTTACTTTCTACAAACGTGATGTACTCCTGACAGAATCTCCTTCTTGCTTCGTATTGTATCCTTGCCATACTCCCTCTTCAGCATTCAACTTGACTCAAACACCCTCCTCATCCTCACCGGGTGCCAGGACCAGGTCCAATGGCGGTCCCCACGTACCCAACACCCGGGCGCCACCGCTTCCCACATCGCAAATCTCCCGGCGACGACCCTCCTCGCAGGGCAAGGCAGCCTCCCCCGTCACATTGGGCAGGATGGAGTGCTGCCTGCCACCGCTCAGAAGACGTCGAGCCGGGTTGTTCGAGAAGGTGAACTCCTCGAGAACACGCTGGTTGTCATCGAGGTCGGCCCAGTCTTGAGGGCGGCGCAGGACAGAGACATAAAGGGCGTGCAACGCCGCTTTCATCAGGGCGTCGATGCCCAGGAGGTGCGCGATATGAGCATAGGTCAACAGGACCTCCTTCTGGCGGGCGGTTGTCTGGATGTCCATCAAGGACAGAGCCACGAACAAGAACTCGCCCTTCAGGAAGTCAACGACGTTCCGAACGAGAACGAGATCCGCTTGAGGAATGCTGACGGTCCCGACCGGTCCCGCAGCGAAGAAGGCTAGGTTCTCACAGCCATTGACGCCTCGGAGGGTGCCAGAGAAGAAGTTCAGGATCTTCACTGGTACTTCAACACCACGTAACACGCCTCGACTGCTGTACGAAGGGACGAGGACATAGCGGGGCTCTTCTCGCTCAGCTGACATGACTGGGAGCTGCTGACCGTGCTTGTATCTGAGTGAGATGCCTGGACCTTCTCGAGGTGGTCGCACTGAGCTGTTATTCGAAGTCCACATTCTGGCTGAGGCCTGCAGGCTGGTAATGTTGTGAACAGACATAGAGATAGCACCTGGACGGGGCGCTGGGACAGGAAGCGGTGCTGCATGTACTGTTGCAACGGAAGCAAACTGCTGGAGGGCTTGTGAGGTAGGTAGGTTGTGTGCGTGTGAGGACGTAAACGTGTTCGTAATGCTTGAAGATGGACGAGCAGGATGTAGTCCACCTCCTTCGATCGGGGCCGTCGGTCGCGGTTCATGAGCCGCTTCGTGGTCGTCATCGTCTTGAGTAAGGTCTATGAGATTGCGTGGGGGTTGCTCATCATCGTCTTCTGTAAGGTCAATGATCGTGCGAGATTGGTGCACAGCTTGAGCCGCCATATTGTCCACCAGGATTTCGTGGTTGGAGGCTGCCACTGGGCTTGTGTCGGAGCTAGCACTCGGCCCTTGCTTCGGAGACACGTTTTCAGACCAGTCGTCCATGGAAAGATCACCATCCTGATCACCAGCAGTACTTGTAGCTACACTTGCTTCGTGGACGTCATGGGGAGCGACATGGATGGAGGTGTCAGCCAAAGCATCGTTGGTCCTCGCAGCAGGAGTGAAAGAGCCATTGACCTCATCACAAGTGGCGGGAATGTTGTCGGCACCATTTAGGTGAGGAGCAGCGGAGTTGCGAACAGTATGATGGCTGGAGAGAGAAGCGGTGTCGGCACCAGTATCATGTTTGGAAGGAGTTGTGCCTTCACCAATGTCGGCGTGTGAATCGGCAGCAGGCTCGGCATGAACATGGGCGTCCATAGGAGCAGGAGTGGCTTGAAGTAATTTGTCACTGACAGCAACTCTTGCGGCTCTCTCTTCAGCGAGGATAGCCTTCCACTTAGGGATCATACAGTTGGTGCACATCCATAGTTCTGGAATGGTCAGTCAAAGCGGTGCGATTCTGAAGAGTATACTGACCATATTGCTTGAAGAACCATTGTTCATGAACGTTTAGACATGGCTTGTGATACCACCCAGTGGTGCAATCGGGATTGCCACACTTGACGCTCTCGGATCCAATATCTCCTCTCTGACACCAACACCAAGTTTGCAGGTCATCATCGTCACCATCGTCATCATCAGAAGTTATGCCCAACTCCTCGCGGTATCTCTGCAACTGAATGAGTGCAGTTACCCATCGAGAACGTGAAGTTTCTGGCAGAGGCTTTGGATCTGTCTCCGGTGATGGCACATGGACGATCGCGTCGGAGGAATCGACGGTAAACTCTGTGCTGGTCTCAGTCGGAAGATTTGGAACAAGTGGTGGCACGATTCCCCAAAAAGCGTTGTTTGCTGTATCAGCATCCGAGGCGAAAGCCGGCAAAGTCCGACGTGGACGAGGACGATGACGAGGACGAGGACGAGGACGGGGCCGAGGGCGATTCCATGTAGGTCGTCGGTTACCGAATTGTTTGCGATCATACTCGATAGCAATGCCCTTCTTCCGGCACTCATCGATAACGTCGCTTGGTATGAATTTCGATAATTCTTCACATTCCTTGGGATCACTCAAGTCGTTACTGACAATTTCTGGTTGCTGCATCGAGAATGGAAGCGTTGATTCGTCAATTTCAGGAAGAAGGACAGGGTCGGAAGGGCTGCTGGCCGGGATCGTCTCTCGCTCTTGAATTTCGTCATGCGACACGAGATTACCCAGGCGATGAGGCTGTCTCGTCTGTCGGTTCGAGCGTCGCACCCAGCCGTCGCTGCTATCTTGAGCCGATGCGCGCTTCGACATCTTCAGGACAAGTAGTAGTTGCGCAGGAACGTTCAAGCAATAAAGCACTGAGGCACAGTAGGAAGAAAGATGACATCAAAGTGCTGTGAGAAATATCTTGCACGCTGTAAACATTGAACATTGATTCACTTGCAATTCACAACACCGAGTTTGGGTAGGTTTCTGCCTCACCCCGAAGTACCACCCATGCGAAACATACTGGCCGCCCAGCAGCCCTCAAGGCTCTGGCGGTTTCGTTACCAGAACCGTCCGTCCGACACATACCAGCTGATTTCCAAGCATGTCCTGTGCTTCATTGCTCACCCATGCTCGAGGATCAAGTAGCGATGTGGAGGGAATCCTCCTCCGTCTTGGCGGATGTGCGTTACTCCCTGAAGTAGTAGAGTGGTCACAGAATAGGGTCATTCACTGTAGCTGATCTTGCACACAACCCGATTGGACTTAGACAGACTGCCAAAAAAGGAAGGACAAAAATGCAAAAAAGAAAAGGAGTTCGAACACAGTTCAACTGAATTTAACACCTGGAAGCCGGGTGGATAGGGTTCCAGATGCTGGAAGGATGGTCAACCATAAGTAACTTATATGGCCCCCGCCTAGACCTTTCACAACGAGTAAAAGCTATCTGTAAAGCAATTAGAATCATGTATAAACCATTAGACCACAGAAGAGGACATAGCTTACCCATTTGGACACCAATTTTTGATTGTCGTAAAATATAAACCACAAATTTCGGTGAAGCTGAATCTGGCCAGATTTGCCAAGCCAGCAGCCGGTGAAGAGCCTCACGTACTTGACCCTTTGACATGTTTCTCGACTTTTGAGCAGAGCTGCAGCATTTTGACATTGATATTGAAGACAGGCATGGCCCGTCCACCGACCAACATCAGAAGGAGCCGTGCTTGCCGCTGTGGTGCTTACGATAGAGGTAGGTGCTGACGGTACATCGGGTTCAAGGACAAGGTTTTCGAACACCATGAGGATTATGCGTCATCCTGAGCTTCCTAAGGAGCATCGCGTCCGGTCAACGAGCCATCGCTCCGGCAATGATGTCGTCGCGCTCTCATGGGCGACTTCCGATTGAGAGGGTGTCGAGAGAAGAGATGAGGTTGACATTGAGGTTGAAACAAAGGTTGAAACATGCCCGGCTGTGGAGTAAGCACGCCGTTTTAAGGAGAGCGCGATGCCGCCCTGTGCTCACTCTCATTCCTCGGCCCCCTGCAATGGGCCATGAGCACCACCTCTCCGTTGTTCCCATAGCCACAATGGTCGCGAATCCCTCAACTTCCTCGTACACAGGTCTAGTCTCTCGCGCAACGTCGATGCAAGATGCGATTTCGCCGACCTTGCATTTCTGATTGTGAATCATGCGTCTTTTGCAGCGACATGCCAATGGCACCCTCAGCCTGACTGACGATCTACACGATGATGACATTCCGGACTACGTGGTACTTTCTCACACCTGGGGAGCACCCGCACAAGAAGTGACGTTGCAGGACTTCCAGAGCCGATCTATCCGGCGACGAAGGGCCAAGTCTGGCTACCAAAAAATCCAGTTCTGCAGCGATCAAGCTGCCCTAGATGGATATCAGTACTGCTGAATCGATACCTGCTGCATCGACAAGACTAATCATGTTGAGCTCACCGAAGCCATCAATTCCATGTTCCGTTGGTATCGCGAAGCTGCCCGATGTTACGTCTACCTCTCCGATGTGCATGCGGTGGGAATACAACACAATGCATGGCAAGATGACTTCAGGAACAGCAGATGGTTCACCCGGGGCTGGACGCTCCAGGAGCTTCTTGCACCAAGACTGGTGGAGTTCTTCTCGTCGGAGGGCATTCGACTTGGCGACAAGATCTCGCTTGAGAAAGAGGTTCACAGCATCACCGGTATTGCTGTTGAAGCGCTTCGAGGAAGTCCTCTCTCTGATTTTAGTGTCAAAAAACGCATGGATTGGGCCGCGAAGCGCAAAACGACCCGTAAAGAGGATGAAGCGTATTCCTTACTCGGCATATTCGATATCTACATGCCGCTCATCTATGGAGAAAGAGAGAGGGCTCTAGTAAGACTCCGAGAGCAGATTGACAGATCAATACAAGGTATGAAATGCAGCATGGCCTCCAATACCTTGAAAGTCTCAGCGCCGCTGTCCGCTTTAGTGAGCCCGTCGTACTGACGCGCTGTGTAGGTCCCGATCCATCACCTTATTCGGGGACCAATGCTCCAAGCACTTCGGTCAAGTCTCTTCATCCAGTCAGGAAGAACTACCGCAAGGTCCATGTCACAATCCTATACTGGGAAGTTGATGAGGTGTTTGACACGGTAAGATCCTGAAGTGCACGATGATTGTATATTCGCTTATTCGTGCCAAACAGGTCAAGAGAATATCCGATGTTTTCCGTTCCTTGTATCGTTATGAGGTGCGAGAAATTCGACTGCCGCATCGACAGAAAGAAAAGCTTAGATGGCCGTGGCTAAAGGACTCTCTTGTCGATGACAGGGATCTCCAGATCATGTACTACTTGGGCAGCACAATGAAGCACAACGACGGCCTTGTAGATGGTCTCAGCATCGCTGCGTCCCCCGTCAAACCGTCGCTGTAAGTGGACTGAAACGCAAATCGAAGTATAGGCTAAAAGTTGTGCTAATCGCAGAGATTGTGATATCTATCCTGACGACCCAGATCCTGGCCCTCTTTACGGGCCAGAATTTCCTGGACGCGAGTGGTTGGCATATATGATCGGCATTCCAGAGCTCAGCTCGGACGTCGTAATCGTGCTTGACTGCTTCATCGAGGAGCTAGCCGAGCTCAACACGCGGGACAACATCCGCTTCGTGCTCGACAACGACTATGCCTGGGCACGTTATCTTCTCCTTTTCGCTGGTTACACCGAGGCTTCCACTACGGTGGGGAAGTTGTCCGACCGACTCATGTTATTGTTGGAGGAATTAGCATCATCGCTCAGGTTCTATGCACGTGAAGGACTGATCACGAGCGGGATAGTCAGAGAAAAGCTGGCTGAAAAGGTCTCCTCCGATGCTGACATCAATTTACATTGGTTTGGGAACGACGGCAGGGACTTGATACACTTATCGCCATTGCCTGCGTCTGCAGCACCAGCCTCCTGAAACGCGTCATGGCTATGGGAATCCCGAGCGGGGCTTTGATATTGCCAATGCTTCGCACGGCAGATCTGCGGAAGTAGGAGAAGGCTGAAGAAGTATTAGTAGTCGGAAACATGTCATGATGAGTTCCAAAGTTCTGGTATTCTACTGCTACAGCAAGGTGATGATACAGCTAATGTACACAAGTCTGATTTTCTCGTGGTCTGAAGAGGACATCCGACATTTTAAATCCACGGCTTCTGCATTATGGCAGTCGAGTGAGGGGGGATTTTCGGTAAGCCAAAATCAAATGAGCGCGGGCTGGGAATATGCTGGTTTTGTTGAAGAGTCTGCAGAGCCAGATCGCGATCTTGCTTGACGGCTTCCACATCTTTGGGTGACTCCGGCTGAGTAATGTTCTTGGTGTTCCGCTTGAAGGTAATATTCACTTTTCGTTTCCGTCTGCAACACCACAAAAGGAGGAGCATGATCATGGCTAGACCAGCGACACCGCCCAGTACGCCGCCGGCCACTGTTCCAGCAGGGGCAGATTTGGAGGCCTTGGAACTGGCTGTGGGGCAGGGTGTCTTTGACGAACTGGAGCTATGAGATGCAGAGGCAAGGCTGAGAGTCTTGGTCGTCGCGACGGATCTGGAAACCGTGATACTAGTAATGGACGCGGTTGTTGTGGGAGGAGAAGAAGGTACTGGCACTAGGGTTGTTTCGAAGCCACCCCCGAACACCGGAATTGTGCTTACGACCATGCCGTCGGTCGTTGAAGGAAAGGAGCTGCTGTCTGGATCAACTGTGCTCGTTGCCACTCCTTGCAAAACCGTCTGGGTTACAGTGACCGTACTCGGAGCGGCGCAGGAATCCGATTCCATTTGAGTGTTTGTGGTATCTCTTCGCCAGGGAAAGAACATGGTGCTGGGCGATTGCATCGGCGAGGCTTTCGTGCAAGGTCCTTACGAGGGCAGGATACTGCAGTATTTGGGCAGCTCTGGTTTACTGCAGGATGGGATGGGTTGTGTGCACTCATCTTGGGGCTATATTCATAAGTATTGCGTTCAATGAAGCAACTCACCTTTGTTCACCTGCGCAAGAATATCCCCATGGACAATGAGATATAAAGACAACCTAATTATAGCTGGGTGTTGCAAGACTTGCCTTTGTTCTGTCTTCACATCGAAGGCCTATGATACGCTGAGCAGGCTCGAAAATAAAGAACAACTCGATTCTCTTTTGTTGTATGTTAGATTATAGCAAAGAAGTGAAGACAGTATGTTCAAGTTAGCGCCGATTGAGAGCACCATCTCCGCGTGGGTGGCTCGTGCGTGCCGTTTCAGAAAGCGTCTACCATGGTAATGGTCTGTGCATAGGGGACCCTGAATCCCTTACCGATGTACATAACTATACTCGTACGTCAAGCCCTGAGTCGAGTCAGGCATCGTGTGAGTTTAGCGACTTAATAGCCATGATGCGACCATTCTCCCGCCATCGCGACCATTGCGGCTGATCGGCTATGTAGGTGAACGTGGAGCCACGTGTATACCTAAGACTTCACTATTCTAGTCCCGTTTACGACAGCTGTCAAGTTCGAGAAGGGCGGTTGAGAAGGAAAACGTGCAGACGTGCAGGAGACGGGATGTGACGTACCGCTAGGGGGAAACTCAATGCAAGGCGTTCTTGGGACTGTAGCACTAGAAGGCGGCGCTATGATGTGTGATGCAATTACTGCAATTGTAGGTTTAGCATTATTGCACGAGGGCATGGTATTGAGGCCGGGGGAAGTTGTATCCCTTGATATGAATGCGGGTGTAGTCATGAAAACGGCTGTGCAACCGGAGACGATAATCTGCAGGGTACACGATTCGTGAACTGACAGGTTTTTACCATCAAAACACCAGGAGTCCAGCAGTATGGTTTATCTTTGGGCGTTGGGGTCTCGTGGAGTCAGAGGGGCAAAGGCTTTGGATGCAGAAAGTCCCAAGGCAATTTGACTGCCTCAGCGCCACCCCATGGTCCACGCCCGGCAAGCTTGCCGGATAGTTGGCGACAACGATCAACAACCACGAGGATGCCGAAATACGTGAAGAACATAGCATCTGAACATCTTCCCTAACCGACATTGTGCAGTCTGGACCTCGTAATCTTAGGAACAGCGCAAAGGACGGCCGAGAGCACGAGGCTGAGATGATCAGTGATCTCAAATGTACAAAATCGATGCTGTCTGCCGTGCGAACTGTACCCAGATGGGAAGGCGCTTGTTGGTTGCCAGGATACTATGAAACACTTAGCTCTGGGAAGACAGGGGCATGGTACTGAGAATAGCGAGTCTTGCTCAGAGGGTTGAGCCTCCGATTATCGACCCTACGTGGCTCATGGATCGCAAAAGAAGTTCTTCGGATGCGGGAGGCAAACCCGACATATTTTGCAAAACCTGTCATTTTTAGCTGGTGTCAGTCTGCATATGTAGGCTGAAAGCTCTTTTCATGTATATGCAACTCGGACTGCGCGGATGCGGCTGCTACAAAGAAGCCCTCTTTTGACAGGTGACACAGGCAATGATCTGGCCAACTCGAAAAGAGACAGTGGGTGAAGCGGGATCACCAAGCGTGGTTGGTAGACCCCGTATCTGAAGGATAAGAATCCTGACAGAAGTTGGACATGTTTGCTACTGAAGCTTGTTACGAGGGTGATCCCATGCCTGTGGACAATGCAACGCAGCGCCTCCACGCGTTCTTGAACCAACATGCCAAGAGCGCTGGATAGGGCTTTGAGAAGCTGTTTTGGGTGGGGAACTCTTCAGGACTGATGAGAAGGGGAGGTCGGATGGGGTTGACTCTCGCGTATCTGTACCTGGCTAGCGATAATAGCTATTGATTTGCCAGCAAGGATCAGGCCGACACAAGATGCACCATGACGACAGGGCGCATGTTCGTGGAACTCTGGCTGCCCTTTGATCATACCTCAATGTGTAGCGTTGCCCAAACTTCAGGACGTCGTCGCAAGGTGCCTCTTTGGACGAGGTAGACGGCAAGACCGTAAGTTGGCGAAGAAGTGTCTGAGTCCACAGCGCAGATCCAGAGGAAGGGGACGAGGACGAGGTATCTAGGAACGGAATCTATTTCTTGGAGCATTTCGAATATGGCTAGTAACAGAGACATGGCGATTTGCTGAACCACTGACATGCCTTTTTCGAGCGGGTCTGTACCAGTGAGCACTGACCAACGATAGGCGACCCTTACCGGAGTTTTGACCACGGTGCATTTAGCTTCCACCCTTCCACGGCTCCAACCACCGCCACCTGCGCATAATGTGGAATCTGTCTGTGCTGATTGATTGACTTTTCTATTGACAGCAAGCCACTACGTCTTTTTGATGTAAGGAGATACTAGAGTGCAAGGTGAGGAGCTGAGGCGAAATCGAAGGAAGATTTTCGGGGTGCTCATAAGGTCGTTTTGCCGGCTGCAGACGCCCTGGGCAGAAAGATGATCTCCGGAGGATCGCTGGACGATCAGGACGGCCCTCTGTTGAACGGTTTTGTTCTGAGGATTGGAGTGCTCTGGAGGCTGGCTGGGTTTGAAAGTTGACCGCGTGTTGACTGGTGAAGTGGTGAAATGGATGACGCAGTGACATGGAGTTTTGAGCCTTTGACGTACAAATGGCGCTTTGTGAATGGACAGGGGAGCGCAATTGGCGTCCGCTGCAAGATGCGAGGCGAGCGATCTTTTGCCCATTTTAGTCACTTTTTGTTCCGCTTCTCTTGGCTGATCCGGACTTTTCTTCTCTCAATCAGTCTTCCACCTCGTATTTGATATTGTTCTACTAACTGACTCCGTATCAGGGACCAGGGCATACTTGAAACTTATTCATCTTGACATGGGTGTGGCCGTGGGAAAGTTGTCCTGGTTCCCCCCTTTGGTGGCTTGCAGCGTCCGTAGTACGAGCTAGTCCCTCATCCATCGAGTGGAATGCCCCTCTCGTGTTGAGGTTCGGACCAGTTTTCAGTCCTGACACTGACAGGCACCGTGGCGCTCCCAATGGCACGTTTTTGCCAGCCATTGCTAGCCAAAGCGGCGATACACCCATGTCTCTCCATCCAAAGCAGACAAGGGGTTTGCAGAACTTTGTCCGACACGGCCAGCAGCCACCAGCATACATTTTCCCCCCAGGTATGACACGTAGTAGAAAAGATAAACACCCTCTGTTTCCGTTGCTTCTCGAGCTGAAGCCTTTTCTTTCCCATCACCCCTCGTGAATGTAAGAAGAACGACTCGTTCCGTCTACGATCGACAGCAGCCAGACGACAGAGTCTCAACCGCGACTGCTTTGTCCTCGGAGCACTTGACCAGAAGGCGCTCAGATTCCCCAGTGTTCTCAAACTCTATCTTACTTTTTGTCACTCTCCCGCCCTGGTTCAATTCCCAAAAGTCTCAATCGTATCGATTGATCTTCGGAGTGACCGTGCGTGACCTCCACGTGCCGAATCGGCCGGATCCAACTACTTAGTATCTGCTTCCGCCAGTCTGCGGCTACACTTGCAATCATTGTCCAACAGCCACAACCTACGTCGACCTAAGATTACCCCAACAACAGGTCACTATGGTTCTCTCACTCAATTACCGGCGTCCAGTCTATGTCACTACTTCCTCTCGCACCTCATTCGAGTCGGAGAAGCCAACAGAGTCGATTATATCAAACTCCAGCTCTACACATGGCATCCCTGATGCTCTGTCGTTTGACAAGATCATCAATGGCGGAACCTGCCCAGTGAGTCCTTTTTACACCTGCATGTGCTTCAGTCGTTGCAGGACGATAGCTGACACGGATATAGCCAGTGACTACTCGCGAGTTCATGGACTTCCTCCGCTACATTGAACACGACGCCGAGAATCTCCAATTCTTTCTGTGGTACCGTGACTACTGTCAACGATTTGCCGAGCTACCAGAGAGCAAGCAAAAGTTGGCACCAGAGTGGACTCCAGAACAAGCTCTCGCGGAGAGGACCGCCACCGAAAAGGAGAAGCCAAAGAAGACTCCCGCCAGCGCCGCTGCTATCCTGAAGGGAACCGATTTCGACCCCAATCTCAAGGTGACCGTGCCAGATCCCTACGCACCAAACCCTTTCAATACGCCTCCAAGAACACCATCGGCCGCTGATCACGACAGTGTGGCGCCGTCGACTATAGGCTACAGCGAGGACGGTACCACCCTGCGAACTGGCACCACGGATCACAGCAAGGTAGCGGAGACAGCATTCGAGGACGCCGGTACACTGCAACCCTTTACTATCCAGCCTTTCCGTGAGGAGATCTCCCGCATCATCGCCGTCTATATTGCCGAAGGTGGAGCAAGAACGCTGAACCTCTCGGCAAAGGAAAAGGCGGTCCTCCTCAAGGCTCTTTCCATCACCACCCACCCAACAGCTTTCCGCGATGTCATTGCCACGGTCGAATGGTCATTGCGGCGTCAAGCCCATCCCAACTTCATTCGATGGACAATTTGCAATGGAAACCCGCCACGACAGACCTTCGCCCGCGGCCTTGGTATTGCTGGCATTGTGGCTGGCATCGTGTACGATATTGTTATCACTCTCAGTTCCGCCAACCGTGGTTGGAGAGCACTGGGATTCCTTGGACTGTTCATTGGTATTGCTACGCTGTTCGCTGGTTGGAAGGGCATGTGTGTTGTGCTGCACGGCATGCATCACCGACATCTTCGTCCATGGGAACTTTTTACCGACGACGACGAGGCTTCTTCAGACTACACTTTGGGAAAAGGTTCATTCGACAGCTTGGGCTCTTTCAACAGCTATGAAGACGCTCCCTGGGTGGTCAAGTACGAAAAGCGCAATGTCATCCGCAAAATCTTCGACCGTGAAGTTTGGATCAAGGAGCCTATGCTGCGTCAAATCCAGGATACCATCTTCCTCCAAGCCTGTGTTACTGCCTTTATCATCTCAGCAGTCATTACTGCCATCTTTCTAGCTGTAAGCCATTCATTCACTCGAATCGTTTTAACGCAGTCTAACTCATTTGGCACAGGTACCACGCGGCAACTACTATTGATCAAGACTTGCCACAACGAGCTCGACGTCTTACATCAAGCACAAGCCGCCACTGTCATGCAATCTCTAGCGGCGAAAAGAGATACCCATTTGCAAACATATTTAACGAGGCACAGTCGCGGGCGAAATCCAACCATATCTTTAGGATCAAAGTTATACTGAAGGGCGGGTACCTGAGTATTTGATGACGATAAGACCAAAGGCACGATGCGAAAGATATATCTGTCGGAATCTCGTTGAGTAATTAGTTCTTTCTGATAGTGAGATTCAGTGTCCAACATTCCTGAGGTCCTAGTCAATATATCTGATTCGACGTCTCCATAATGTGTTCTCGAACAATGAGTGAATGAGTGACTCAAGACGAAGACGTCCTTCTCAATGATACATGAAACCATTCCCCAGGATTTCTCTTTGTGACCGTCGCTTTCGCACGTGACGGTGAAAGTTCCTGTGGGGTCAGACACGGTCGCGTCAAACGTAGGCAAGGCCAAACTTACCGCGTCGCATCCATCGATTTCAGGCTCGCTATAACATCGACCGCCACAACTTCCCTCATAGTCATTGCCAACTTCATGATGGCTCCTCGAGCGGGTCGGCGTTCGAGAACGCTCGAATCCGACGAGGAAGACTCAAGACCGAATACACCTTCCTCAACCGCGCCTAATGATAGCAAAAGACAACGGAGGTTCGAGACACTAAGCAGGAGCAGCGATGACGATGACGACGCTTCGCCCAGTAGGACGTCTATACCGGCTACTCAACCTGTATCGACGATGCTTCAGACGCAAGCAAACAATACCCGGGTGAATGGCATCACGGCTTCCTCGGGCGGTCATCAGCCTGGCGCCATAGTCCGTGTGAAGTTGATAAACTTTGTCACCTACGCATCTGCAGAGTTCTTTCCTGGTCCTAACTTGAACATGGTTATTGGTCCAAACGGGACAGGAAAGAGTACGTTGGTTTGTGCCATATGCCTTGGGCTTGGATGGCCACCATCGGTAAGTGCTATACCTGGGACTTACGTGCTCTTTCTCACCTTCGATAGTATCTTGGGCGTGCAAAAGATGCAGTTGAATTCATCAAACATGGCTGCCGAGAAGCGACCATTGAAATCGAACTCCAGCGATCCGCCTCTACACGGAAAAACCCAGTCATAATGAGAGTGATCAAAAGAGAAGGGAGCAAATCTGTGTATACTCTCAACGGAGGTCCTGCCACTGGAAAAGCAGTCCAAGCACTTGCGAACTCCTTCAACATTCAGATCGACAATTTATGCCAATTCCTTCCGCAGGACAAAGTCGTGGAATTCGCACAGATGAGCCCAATCGAACTCCTCGTGAGCACTCAACGAGCTGTTGCGGGCGCCGACATGGCCAGAATGCACGAAGACCTTAAGAAACTGCGCAGTGCTCAGAGTGAGGCACTCAACATGAACAAAGCTGAGCAGGAACGGCTCGCCAACCTAGAAAACCGACAAGAAATGCAGCGCACAGAAGTGGAGAGGATGCGAGAGCGAGCACTCGTCCAGAGAAGACTTGACTGGTTGCAGAACTGTCGACCACTTGCTGCATATACCGAAAGCAGGGCAAAGTGGCAGGATTCGAAAGAACAGAGCAAAGTCTTGACACAAGAGCTGAAGAGGCTCAGGAATCTTTCGGCTCCAATCATGGCGGAATTCAATGCCAAGGAGACATATGAAGCGGAGGTGCGTGCATTCAGAGATAAATGCAAGAAAACCTTCGAATTGGCCGAGCGCAGATGCGCCCCAGCAGCAAAGCAAATCGAGGATGCCCAGGAGGCGTGCAAGGTGGGTCAAAACAATATTGAGGCGGAAAAGAGCAGTAACAGCAAGAATCCGGGAGAGATGAAACGTTTCGAGGCCAAGGTAGCAGCACTCGAACGCCAAAAAGAGCAACGGCCTGAGGAGCCCGATAATCGGGGCATGTCCGATGCGATAATGACCTTGAAAAATCAGGAGAGGGCTCTTGTAGAAGAGAAGAGTGGATTGGACACTCGCAAAAAGGCGCTGGGGGCGCAGGGGAAGCAGAGAAACGAAAGAATTAAAGAGTGTGAGGCTGAGCTCACGGCGATGGAGACCGAAGCCGGCAAGCAAGAAACCAAGCTGGAGAAGATCTCCCGTGATACATTCAGAGCATGGGAATGGATAAAGGCAAATCGCGAGGAGTTCAGTCAGCATGTCTACGGACCACCAATTGTTGAATGCTCACTCAAGACTCCGGCAATGGCCGATGTCATTGAGACGCTACTCCAAGAGAGTGACTTCAAAGTCATTACGGCTCAAAACCGAGAAGATTTTGCCAAATTGCAGCAGAAGCTGACCAAAGAGCAAGGACTTCACGACATAAGTATCCGAATGTGCTCCGCTGAGAACCTGGACCAATTCAGGCCTCCTATATCAGCGGAAGCAATGCAGAGGCTAGGCTTGCACAGTTGGGCTCTTGACCATTTGGAAGGTCCTGCGACAGTCCTAGCCACTCTTTGCAACGAGAGAAGTCTGCACCGCTGTGGAATCAGTCCGAGAGAGCTCAGCCAGCAGCAACATGACGAAATCGCCAAATCAGCGGTCAGCAGCTATGCCGGCGGAAGGAAAATCTATCAATTCACGAGACGAGCCGAGTACGGCTCAGCTGGAGTATCTGCCCGTGCCAGAGAAGCACGTCCCGCCAGTAGATGGACAGATCAGCCAGTGGATATGGGTAGGAAGACAGCACTAGAACGCGAGATCAGTGAACTGAAGGGAGAAACCAAAATGATCCACACAGAGTTTGAGAATTTGAAGAACGAAATACGCAAGATTGAAGCCAGAATTCTGCAGTCAACAGACGAGCAATCGCGGAAACGTGAAGAAAGAGACAGCAGGCAGGCAGCGTGGATGGCCTGGAAATCTCTCGATGCGAAAATCGAGCAGCAGCAAGAGAATATCGCCAAGCTCCAGCAGAAGATGGAAGGACACAGAGGTCGACTTGAGGAATTGAATACTGAGATGGCCAAGGCACTGACAGACAAGACTGAAGCAGTCGTCGCGTTCGCATCTATTGTCAAAGAGGTCAAGGTCAAGTTGACCGCTCTTCTTGAAGCTGAGGTTATGCATGTCGAAGCCTCGTCGGACCTGGCCGTATTGACGGCTCAAAATCAGCACATTGTGCAGAATATCCAACAGAAAGCAAAGGAGGTGGATGAGGTGGACCAGATCGTTGCAACCGAAAAGAAACGAGCGACAGGGTTAAAGGAGACTTGCAGAAAGATTCAGGCCGAAGCTGAGAGACTCAAAGAGGAAGAAAATGAAGTTGGTCTCGCAGAGATCTTCGAGAAAATCGTCCAAGACCTCAACAGCGTTGAAAAGCTCGAGGGCGAGATCGATGCAGAAAAGGCCAAGCTTGAATTGACCGAGGGTGGCAGTGCCGGCATCATCAAAGAATACGAGGATCGTGCCAAAGTCATTCAGAAGCTGCGAGCTAAGCTGCAAGAAGATGCACAAAAGCAAGACGATTTCAAACACAGCATCCGGGAGATACGGAGCAAGTGGGAACCTCGACTCCAAGAATACATTTCCCGGATCAACGACGCTTTCTCCGACTCGTTCGCACGTATCGGATGTGCTGGTCAGGTGGCTGTTTACAAGGCGCCATCTGAGAATTCTGCAGACTGCACAGAAGAAACCGGTGGGGTGGACAATGGACTCGACTTTGCCAATTGGGCAATCCACATCAGCGTCAAATTCCGCGAAACAGAGCCTCTCAGTCTGCTCGATAGCCATCGCCAATCAGGTGGTGAAAGAGCAGTCAGCACGATTTTCTATCTCATGGCTTTGCAGAGTCTAAGTCGAGCGCCTTTCCGTGTGGTGGACGAGATCAATCAGGGTATGGATCCACGAAACGAACGTATGGTCCATGGACGAATGGTTGATATCGCGGCGGATGATGGTGGAAGTCAGTATTTCCTCATCACGCCCAAGCTGCTGAGCGGATTGAAGTATAGACGGGGTATGACGGTGCTGTGTATTGTCAGTGGTGAGAACATGCCGGCCGCGAGAGAACTAGACGAAGAGGGTCGGTGGGTTGATGGGCGCAAGGTTGACTTCAGGGCGTTTGTGCGACTGGCGAAAGATCTGGGCTATGCACAGGGTAATGGTGATAGAAGAGTCGACTCGGGCGTTGGGATGAGAGGGCTCGGCGGTGCAAGTCAAGTTACTGCGGTCGGGGCATGATTGACGAAATGATTCTGCTGCTGATGCTTTCAAACAACCAGCGATGGTTGTACGGTATGGATATGCTTGATGGTGAAGTTGCTGGCTCCTATTGATGACCTCGGTGGATAGTGAGGTTCTTCATCTTCAACCGAGGCTTTGGGGTGCGGAATGAATCTCCGCCTCCGCTTAAACTTGTCTCCTCCGCATTTTGGTCTCCAACGGTATTGAATGCCGACATAACCGATTCTTCACACCTTCAATTTATTGTTTTTGGACTTTTGCGGTTTGACTGTTCGAATTCTCGTTTTGGAATACTGCTGCTAATGGTGCCGATGCGTGGAAATTATGGTGCTCTTCAAGTCTCTCCATCCAGATGTGGAAGGTACGTACTAGCCAGAAGGTTGTCATTATTCGTTTCTTAACGTGTGTGGTTTGACACGTGAACAGTTCCCGAAGATATCACGACATGGGAATGGGTGTTTGAGAGTGAAAAGTACTCCCCGCTGTATCAGAAAGACCAGAAAGATCGATTATGTGCCTACGTCAATGCCGTCACTAAAGAGAGACTCGATTGGGCGGAGGTCAAGACTAAAGCCACGCAATTGAGCACGGCATTGATCAGAGAGTATGGGTTCCAAGTGGGTGATACGGTGTCGTTGTTCAGCACGAATACGATTTGGTATCCTGTTGCTATGTGGGCTGTTATCCGAGGTGGTATGTTGATCTTCCCTGACGAGCATGTTTTCAGGTGCAGGATTTGAAACCTGGAGGGAAATGGTCGATGGTTCGGGCTGACGTTATTGTGTGGGACTGTAGGTGGTCGAGTCAACGGCGCTTCTCCGGCATATAATGTCGAGGAAATGAGTTATGCATTGAAGATTGCTAAGACAAAGTTCCTCATGACGCTGCCTGGGTCATTAGACGTGGCGTTGGCTGCGGCGAGCAATGTCGGGATACCTCGCCGCCATGTCTTTCTGCTGGAGGGCAAGGCCGATGGATTCAAAAGTATACAGGACCTCATGGATATTGGAGCTCGGTATACCGCTGATGCGCCGTATCGGTTACCACACGGAAAGACGAATAAGGACGTTTGTGGGTATTTGAACTTCAGCAGCGGGACGACAGGCTTGCCTAAGGCGGTATGTACAAGGCCCACAAGTCCGTTCTGTTGTTGCGTTTGGTGCGTTCGAGAAATCGACGCTGAGATATACAATAGGTCATGCTTTCTCATCAGAACATCATTGCGCAGTGTCATCAGCTCAGACAACTTCAGGCCCCGGGCGGGTATAAGATCCTTGCAGTCATGCCGTTGTTTCATAGTACGTACCTATGCTCCCCGGGGGAGGGAGACGTATCGGCTAATCTGTGGTCTGGGTGTCAGTTACCGGTCTCGTCCGTTTCTGCTGTTATCCTGTCTTCATGAACGGCGACAGTGTCATGCTGCCTTCATTCACGATGGAGGGGATGCTCCGGGCCATATGCGAATTTCAAATCAAGGAGCTCATATTAGTACCGCCCATCATTATACGGCTTGTGCGCGACAAGATCGTGGATAATTACGACCTTCGGCACGTGGAGCGGTGGTCATCGGGGTCTGCACCAATCTCGCCTGAGATCATTACCTTGCTGCAGAAGAAGTTTCCCTGGACCGGTTTTCGACAGGGGTATGGCGCGACGGAGTCAACGGCCTGTATAACGGCACATCCGCCCACTCACTACGACTACAAGTATGCGACTACGGGAGGTATGCTTGTTGCGAATACTGTGGCTAAAGTCCTCGATCTTACTACGGGGAAGGAGTTGGGTCCGAATCAGACAGGCGAGATCTGTGCGCGAGGTCCACAGATCGCGATGGGATATCTGGACAACCCGGCTGCAACGGCGGAAACGTTTGATGCGGAAGGGTACTTCCATACTGGCGACGTGGGACATTTTGATTCCGAAGGACTGGTTCATATTGAGGATCGCATCAAGGAGATGATCAAGGTCAAGGGACTACAGGTGCCGCCTGCCGAATTGGAGGATTTGTTGTTGGGACATGCTGAGGTGGAGGACTGTGCCGTGCTGGGTATTGCGGATGAGTATGCTGGTGAGAGACCCAAGGCATATGTGGTGCTCAGAAAAGACATTGAGCCGAGTCAGGACGTCGGTAGACGGCTATTGAAGTTTGTCAAGGAGAAGAAGGTGAGGTATAAATGGCTTGTGGAAGTTGAGTTCACAGACCAGGTGCCGAAGAGTCCGACAGGGAAGTTACTTCGACGGATATTGAAGGTGAGTGACAAGGATCCGAAGAGGACGCCTGGTGTCAGGGTCAGAGATGAGAACGAAAGGGCGAGGTTGTAAGAGATTAGACTTCTGAAGTGAATAGATGGATTGAATCTATGAGGCTGAAACGACTCGTCGACAAATACGTCATCCACTTGTTTGAATTGTACGTACAAAGTGCTTCAACCTTTCAAAGTTTGTGAAACCTGAGACTCCGGGCTTGACGTCTTCTTGCAGATATATTCACCATCAAGTACGTCGTGATCTCTTGCTAGCACAATGTTTTTCAAGGCAAATGGACAGTCCGACGACAACAGCCCTGGTATCCGTAAAGGAGGAAATAGTCGATGTCGTTACCGAGGTCAGACGAGTACCGATACGTGACAACGAGGCTGAGAAAGATGAACGCAATAGCGCGGCTTCACAAACGCCTTTTCGAAAGCTATCTACTGAGCAAAAACTCCTGGCCATCGTACGACAAAGCGTCAAACCCTTCTCAGACCGTCTGGATCCTTTTGCTGCCTTGCCCGTCAACCTTGATCGTTTGCAGGAGCATCTGGTCAGTTTCTACCTCTTGTACTATCCCAAAGCTACGTATGGTTTCAGTCCACGACTTCGTCCACATCCGGTGGCCAGCAATTTTTCCATTGCTTTGACGACTCCGGCATGTTTTCAGGTCATCCTTGCCCGGTCCGCGTTGTATCGGATATCTCTCAAAAAGTATGCATCTGACGGCGAAAAAGATGCCCTCGATTTAGCAGTGATCAGGCACAAAGGAGAAGCCTTGCGAATGATCCGCTCTCTGAGCGTCAAAGCGAGTCCAAATCGAAAAGACGACCTCCTGGCTTCCATCATCAGTCTGGGCACCTTCGACCGGCGGAACGGTGCAAAAGATGCGTCCGGTGTGCACTATTCGGCAGTTAGGAGGATTCTCAAGACCACAGGTGGTCCACTCGCAGTCACTTCAGTCCTGCTGTCAAGAGTCATGTGTTTCTTCGAATGCATCTATGGCACCAGTCCGGAAAGCTATATCTGGGACGAATCAGACCTAAAGCACTTGATCAGTGGGCTCAACGGCTTCCTCACGAAGCTGTGGGGCCTTTGGCAGTCACTCTCGAGCATCCATGAGCTCACACCACTGTCGGCTGAGGACTCGGAGTCAGCACCCATCCATTCCTTTGGTCTGCAACCGGGGTCGGGACTTCTGTCTATACTCGAGACGCAACCGCCGTCAGACGCCGAACTCACGCAGCAACTGCGACTTGAGATGATTTTCCAGGTGACATGTTTGCTCACTCTCGGGACGATTACACTGGATTATGCTCACGACTTCCGGACCTTGCAGCAGTACATGGACAGCATCCATAAACAGATCGATGACCTCCACTTGGCAGGGCAGAGCTGTAATAACGCAATGTGGACAATCCAGGTCAATGACCACAGCGACGCTCACAGTCGAAGGATATGGCGAGCAGCATCTTTCGCCTGGGTACTCAAACATGTCTCATACACTGTTCAGTTGAGCCTCAAGGAATGGCTCCTGACCTTTTTCAAGGGGCAACCTGTGGTGGACAAGAGGTATCGTCTGGACCCTTTTCATTTCAGTTACGCCAACTGAAGAGAGATAGCAGTAGTCATATCCTTGGACAGACGTCAATTGGATTGCATTCTGCTGTCAGGAATAAATCTAGTCAGCTTCTCGCATCGCATGTGGAGGAGTTCCTGCGTGACTTTGGAACATTGTCGCTTATCGATGATTCGTTCAATCGATAGGTCAGGAGAATTGTCGCTGGCGAGGGGATCCAACAACAGGGGCGAATAGAACAGAGCTTCTAATTAAAGGAGCAACCTTGACTCGAAATGGTCTAGAGGGTGATTTGGGTAACCCTTGGCAGACTTTCCGCTCTGATCCGCCACTGGACAGTCAGGAACAGGCGCAGAATAAGCAGTCCGTTACCCCGTAGATCTCTCTCACAAAGGTTATGCATCGCTGATGTTATGATGCCACTCTTCGGACTGAGAGGGAGATGCTCTACATGCTGCAGAGTACATGTCTGGTTCATCCTCACTTTTAACCAATAATGGACGAATACTTGCACATCAATGACAAAATAATAAGCAAAGAGATGGATACCTAGGTACTTGTAAGAGAAGGCTCCAGGCATCAGGCTGCTTGAAGGAAAGGAGAGTAAACCCAATTCCCAAGTGCAACGGTGACAGCCGATGGTGCCTGTCCCCCTTAGAGTTAGTGCCTGTCCTTCACTGCCCTTTGCGCAATAAACCTTTACAGCACGCGCTACCCTTAATTTTACTATTGCTTTTGCGGTATGGGGGCCATGGCCAATGCGCAGGTCTCGCCATCCATCAGGCTTCCATTCCACCAAAATCTATGCTGACCACATTCCCTTATTACTCTTCCACACATCACATGGACCGCCATTCTCACCTCACACAGACCTTTTGCCGTCGTACTCCAAGGTTTCTTCAATTCTGGGTGCTCGGAATCATGCATTGATTCGACCTCCTTACATCTGTGCTCTCACCCCATGTCACTCATTTGAAGAACCTGCTTCCCACCCTCCTGCCTGCCCCTCCTCTGGTCACTCGTTCCTACCAGCAAGCCGCTCGCCCAGTCACTCATTTATACAGTCCATCAACGCGTCACACTTCTCTGGCTCTTCGATACAGCGACCTGTTTAGACTATACACTCAATTGCCCGCCAAATGGCCGTCCAAGGTATGAGAAATATCCCCGAACAACACTCGACCAGCGCTTGCTAAACAATGTACGCAGACGGTATTTCCACCATCTATGGTGTTCCCACCAAATATGTCTCGCTTTTGACCCTCGTTGTTCAAAACTCCTCCTTGGTCCTTGTAATGCGATACTCCCGAATCCTACCCGGCCCGAGATACCTCAGTTCAACGGCCGTTGTTCTTTCAGAACTTCTCAAATGTATAATATGCCTATACGTCCACATCAAAGAACAGCGATCCCAACTCCAATCTTCAGTACTTCCTACCCTCTCAAACGATACCAACCCGTCATCAACGACATACAGCATGCGTCAGCTTTGGAACGATGTATTCAGTATCAAAGCTGGCTTCTTTAAACTTCTGGTGCCTGCCATACTATACACGATACAGAATAACCTGCAGTTTGTTGCGGCGACGAACTTGGACGCCGCTACCTTCCAGGTCACATACCAGTGCAAGATCTTGACCACCGCTCTGTTTGCTGTATTGATGCTGGGTCAGACTCTGTCGCCTAAGAAGTGGTTGTCCCTGGTCATTCTTACAGCCGGCGTTGCTTGCGTTCAGATTCCCACTACGGGCGGTGCCACAACCACGACTCAGGAAGGGAACTACACGCTTGGCATAATTGCGGTGGCAATTGCCTGTCTTTGCTCCGGTTTTGCTGGTGTATATTTCGAACGAGTTCTCAAAGGCGGTCAATCCGCTTCTATTTGGGTACGCAACATCCAACTCAGTGTCGGTTGCCTGGCGATAGCACTCTTCGGCTGCCTTATGTGGGATGGCCAAGCTATCGCTCAAGGTGGTTTCTTCCAAGGCTACAACTTCATCGTCCTTCTCACAGTCTGCACTCAAGCTGCAGGAGGGCTCATCGTGGCCATGGTCATCAAATATGCCGACAACATCCTCAAAGGCTTTGCAACTTCTCTATCCATCATCCTTTCGACTGTCGCTTCAATCTTCCTCTTCAACTTTGTGCCTACAATCTACTTCTTGATTGGGTCCATCTTCGTTTTCATGGCGACCTATCTTTACAGCATGCCTGACGCACCCAAAGTTATCGACCTTTCTGCCATCAACGAGAAAGGACCTATGCTCAAGCTCGAGGATTACGACAGCGAAGGAGAGACTGAATCTTCACCGGCTCGATCGTCTTTCAGAGATGAGAGTGATCTTGAATCAGCTGATGACGACCGCCATTCCACTCTTAGTGTCTACGGTCAGGATGACGGGACGCAAAGCCGGAACTTTTCTCCTTCTCTGATCTCCGCAACTACGATGGAAAAACAAGTGCTCCCCGAGCTAGGCCATGTTGCATAGAGTTGTTGCATTTGTGAGCATTATTTGTACGGCTAAAAAGATTTTATGATTACTGGATTGGATATTGTCGACCCCAGAGACCGGTCCATATCGACTAGCGAGGAGTACGGCGTGCTTTGGACCCCTTTTGGTGACTGATGGGTTGTCATTTGTCGAATCACTTTACGATTGTCAACAACATTGCTATTGCCATCGGCGGCATTTAGAGATTTCTATGGGGATGGATGCATTTACGATACCCGGCCAGGCTATCTGGTTGCAGCGCTTGAAGACTTGATTATTTTGAGTAGATCTCAATGGAAGACCCTCTATTCAGTGGAAGAAAAACAAATACATTCCCTAAAGTAGTCCAACCTTTCCGCGAGCCCATCTCGTTCTCTCCTCCCACTCCTCGCCTCTCGTATGCAATACACCAGCGATCTCCGCGACAAGCACTTTCCCCGAGTTATGTGACCACCAGAAATTCTCGAGATTGCCCAGCAGGATCGCCCAGTGCACGAAGATCAGCAGCGACAGGGAGTCACTCTGGCGGAGTTGGGACACAAAATCTCCACCTGCCATGCCCAACCAACCGACTATATGGCCTCTGTAGATGTCTGAAGAGTCCTTGGCTGTTTGTGCTAGGGTCTCATCTGTCAACGCAGGGGGAAAGTTCTGCTTAGCATAGCAAAATTCGAGAAGCGATATAGCACGTTTATTCGTGGCGAACTTGGACAGCTCCGTGGCGCTGCTGGAGGCGTTAAACTCGTCGTTCAGAATGGTAAGCCTGTTCAGCGCTTGCGCGGCATCGGCGTTGGTTATGCGCCAATTGTCGGTTGTGTAATCGTCGAATGTGCCTAGAACGACTCGAAACGGCCCAGACGCTAGCCAGTCTTTGCTGACTTCGATGATGGATGCTAGGCCCCTCAAGTACTCGAACAAGGTGAATATACTCTGCATCGAATTGAGGTTAGGGCCTCCGCCCTGGGAGCCGTCTTCGATCCCGGGAATGGCAATGGCGAAGAGCATCGTCAAGATCGAAAATCCAAACACGGCACTGCAATTGTCTGGTGTCACGTTCTGGAGGACGCCATGAAAGGATTCGAATGCCAGGTTTTGATACTCGACGGCTTTCTGAAAGTAGAACGATGACGAGGACAAGAATGATCCGGTGCTGTTGCTCTTGGCCTTGAAATCGGGTTGTCGCGTCAATTTGGCGATATGCAATGCCGCGAACGCTAGGATGCCGTTCAGGAGGAATTCGTGCTTGAGTGATTCGCTGGGGACAAAGCTTTGCCAGACTTCGATGGTCTCGGTGGCTCGTAAACCGATGCAGCTGATGTATGCTGAAGTCGAGTAATGGTGCATGAGCTCGAGTTCGAGAATCCTGTCGGACTGTTTGACGACAGGATCGCTTGGATCTTTGTAGACCGGAGTCACTGCCGGGGTCAATTGGGACGATGGTTCCGATCTAGGACGACTTGTCCATAGATGAACAGTTGATGCAGGACTTGTAGTGATCTCATGACTCGTCGCGCTCGTGGCTTCGCGATCTGGTGTGACTCCTCCAATGAAGGAGCATTGTAACTCGCGTTTCACACAGTTCTGGCAGATCGGGCCTTTCTCGTTGCACTGTGTGAGAGATACAAGGTTAATCTTAACCTTCGTGAAAGTATGGGGATCGACGCGTAAGGTTGCGGAGTAAGGACGCTTTACCTTGACTCGTCTCTGCTTGCATTGCATGCAACCATTGCGAGATTTATTATGCGAGCGCCTGGGTGGCATCAGTCCTCAATACTTGAAGACATTCGTCCCTCGGCGGGAACGAGTCTGCGAAAGTCGTTGCAATCACTGTCTTTCCATGTCACGAAAGGGCGAAAAGGGTAGAATGATGATGGCGGGATGTCGGGAATATAAATCAATCAAAACTCCGTATCGGGACGTGCAGCCTTACGCTCAAAATAGCAGAATCAGGCACTACCATAAACCCAACAACGCGAACATTTATTGTCCCGCAAAAGACATAAAAGTTCCGCTTGCCCTCTATGCTATGTAATGGTCGAGTGTACCTGAACATGCAGTCTTCCAGGGTATGACTAATCCTTTAGACGGGACGAAGATGCTTCAATGCGCACGTCAAATCTCCGTGGAAACTCCCGCGGAAGGGAGTGGCGACGGCTTCAACAACCCTGTGATTCTCTAGGAGGTGACGGTGTCTGAACGTCTTTCACACTACTGTACACCGAGCACTCTTCTCACAACTCTAGCACTGCCCCCATCTTCCAGCGAAGCATTGATTTCGCTCGGGTAGACAATGGCAAACAGGACCGTATTTGCAAACATGAGCAGGGCATCAAAAACGTACAGGAACTTCTCGTGTGAGTTCAGATATCCATCATTACCCTGGCCGTATTCCACCACACGGATGATGGACCGGAAGAATATAAGCACACCGCCTTGGTACAGTGTGTAGGAAGCTTCCAGCCATCCGCAATGTTACCATCTGACAGTTTGGGCGTGGGCACTTTGCGGATGCGGACATGGACGAGAGGCCACCACAATGAAGAAGTTGGTGAGTAGAGGAGAGACACGTCGTGTGTAATATGCGTGCGCAACGATTGCTGAGCAGCAAGACTTCATCTTCTCTTGTATAGAGCTCTCAAGCTGAAAGCTTGCACGCGTTTACCGCCGACGTTTCACCAACCTGAGATCCAACCCGAAGGAGTAGTCGCCGGCCTACTCCCTGGAATCGTCGATCTTCCGCACAATTCCGCGCGAGGCTGGCATGGGACGACTCGATACAGTCCTCGAGTTGCTGCTGGTCGAACTCCTGGGGGTGACCTGTTCGAGTGGTGTCACAGAACTTGCCTTGTCAGTATTTGCAAAGTGCAAACTACAACGACCAGATCTCGATCTCAAGAGTCTAGACCTGGCCTTTGACTTCTCGGATACATGGAACGAATCCATTTCCTGTGTAGGGGTTTGAAAACGAGGAGATGTGAACAGTGACATAGTTGTTTGATATTGGTGACGTGTCGAGGGAGTAACATATACTTCTGAAGCACAATCTCGAAACACGTACGTATGACGATGTACTCGAACACGGACTATCCCGGACTCCACGAAGTATTAACGCTGACTCTGGTATCAAGCGGATGCTGGTGTGACAAGTTTCGGTTGGCCCTGATCATCAATGCACGAAATTCGCTCTCTTCGCCTAGGTCGGTACCGGTAGCCATGCTTGAGGTTCACCTCGGCTCGAATATACTTGTATCGGGTTGACATCTTGGTGGTGTGGTCGCAACCGTGTTAGAGGATGGATGGGAGGGACGAAGAGCAAACTGCTGTGATAGTCCATGAGCATCACGATTCGCACACTACGCATCCATGTAGCAGCTTCGGGGGTGCACAAGTAGAGAGTCGGGATATGGGCAACGAGCTGCAAACGATATTCAGAAACAAGGTCTTTCGCCATTTTCAAAGAAGTTCTCATTCGCTTTGCTTCGTGAATCTCGTAGGTCGAGCTGATGTGGGTATAGTGCTATCTCTATGAGATCGATAGTAACGACAATTCCAAAGATTCCTCTTCCGTGGCCGAAGTACACACGGCGTGCCATGTTTTTGTACATAGAAGGGGCAACAAGGGTTGCATATGGTGTGTCCCAACACTTCTGGGGAAAATTTCCAGCCATACAGTGCAGCTGTGAGGGGCTCTAGAAGTTTTCCTTGCCCCAGACAAAGTTGAAGCCCTTGTCACCTTCGCTATACATGTTACACTTGAGGTGCAGTTGATGTCCAAGACCTTTTGGACCGCAGAAGAACACGCCAGCTTCGCCGGGCGAATGTAGCTTTCGAACTGCACGGAACACCATATCCCAATTGGGGCGCCCGAAGTTCGTAGGCGTACGGAGGCCAGTAATGGCATCAGTGTCGGTGGTGTTGAGCATGATGTTGTTGGCATCTGCAGCAGAAATTTTCGCAGTCAGGTACTGAAAACAGTGTTAGCAGTCACTCACAAGAATGTAACTCTGCTCAGACTTACAGCATGAATCTCAATGTTGTGCTGCTTGTCTTGCGATTCGATAGCCATGAGCAAGCTCTTGAACCACTCCAGAGATCCGAAATCTCGGCAAACCCAGAAGAAGTACACCTTGCGTAGGCGAGTCCTGCCACCCTGGCCGGTACTCATTCGATACCAGATGGACTTCAGAATACTTGCAAAAGGCGTGACTCCAATACCCGCACCAACCAGAATGGCTGTTTCGAATTTGAAGACATCTTCCGACGCAGATCCAAAAGGACCATCAACGTAGATGCGAGGCAAAAGCTTTGTCAGTCCGTCGCCTCCAGGCGCCATGGAAATGACTTCAGAGCCTTCTTTCTTGGCGCGGTCACCACCACCTCCCCTGCCTTTGCTTTCCTCGCATCCAAGAGCCTTGCCAAGGGCTTTCGTAAAGTTGCCCACCATGCGGACATGAACGGAGATATAGTCCTCATCTGGTGCAGAGGTAAGGGTGAAAGGGTGGTACTGCCAAATGGAGACTTCTGGACAGCAGAGGAAGATGTACTGCCCTGCCTTCGTCTTCGTCTTCTCTTTGTGCATTTGAATTTCCACGACATTGCTGGGGTGCTGGATGACCTTGGTCACGTATGTCTTGTGTCGGCCACGAATCTCTCGGAGTACCCGCTCCAACAGGTAGGCAAAGCCACCATACATCCAGTACTCCCAGAACACTCCAGTACCGAAGCAGAAAGGAGCGGTGTCTGTCTTGATCATGCAAAAGGCGCCATGTACAGACCAGAAGACGAAGAAGACGATGAACAGGTGGTGGACAGACCAAAAGCGCTCAAAGTTTTTGCGCCTGGGCTTTTCGAGCGAAGTGGCCAGCATTGCCATCAAAGCAAATAGCATCACATAGCCAGACCAACCCGGCCCAGTGACGAAGTTGATCTTCAGAAAGCCAACAAAACCCGTACCCGTCTCTGCCGCAAGCCTAGCAAAGTTGTTCCAATGTGCGATTGTGTGAACCCAGGTGAAGAAGACAATCGAGAAGGCGACCAGTTTATGAAAGGTGAGATTCTTGTCGAAGGGTACGATGCTGTTGAGGGGTGTTTGGCGCAAGAGCGATATCAGCGTCCTGCAGACAGGGAAGAGGATCAAGGCGATGTCGAAGTGCAACACCAGTGCTGCTGATCGCGCAATAGGATAGGTTATGCCAAAGGTTGCGCGCGCGGTTGTGAGGTTGTCCTTTAGTTGGTAGTTCATGAACCCGAAACCGAATATCAATCCGTGAACCAGCACGAACATCCCGACGACCATTCGCCTTGAGCCTTCATTAAGCATCCATCTTTCGAACTTCTCTTTCATGGTCAAGTTTCGGGGCGCTTCGCCGCTGACTTCTCCCGACAACAACAACCTTGACAAAGGCGTCGACCGCGATCGGTCTGACATTGTGGACGATGTCGTCGAGGTTGAGCGGACCAACGGTTTCTCCAGGTAATACATTGGTGCATTATTATGCGTATTCGTGTTTGACCGTCCCAGCGGCTTTTCGTAGAAGTACGTTTTCGGCGTGTTGGTGTTCATGGCAATCGATATGTAAAGAAATGGCTGCTTCGACGCTCCACAATTGGCTTGCGTTGCTGTAGCAGGGTCGAGACTCGACACACAGACCAAGAGGCTTTTTGAAACGCAGACTTGACACAATGTAAGTAAGAAGCGAGATGACCGTGCCTGAAACGGAGCGAGCCACGTACCTTGGTACCAGTAAGGACGGCAGTTCGCACCAGGCAATGCTCTTTGTCCTTAGCAGCGAAATGAATTACTCAAATGTATTGTTTGAAAAGGTACAGAGAAGAAGAGAAAGATGATCAGCATAAACAAACAGAAATCCGGACAGCGCAGGCTCAACCATAGATAGAAATCGGATCGCTTAGACCTTTGAAGACCCCCTTCAGCGCTTCTGTTGACAGATTTTGCCCGAATCCTCCGTACGCCCAGCCCAGTATGTGCAAGATCATGCAAAAGAAAGGGGGATCTGTCGGATAGTGTTAGCGGAGCAGGTGTCATTGGAGAAAGGCTGGTCTAAGGCGTAAAACACCCACGGCTCCATACGAAGCCTAACAGCAATGGGGAAAAAGGAATCTAGATCCATGGATGAGGCGGTGGCACGGTGTTGACTTTGCAGACTTGCAGGCCTTGAAAACAGAAAAAAGTGTGGTCGACGGACATGATTTGCAGCGGATGCGAGGGGGATGGAGGTTGATGAAACACACCAGGGGCGATGCCATTGTAGGAAACGGGCCAAATTATCCACGGACTTCCTTCGTTTACTTCTTGCTTCATCCTTTGTCTGTCTTGCCGCCTCGCCTCCTTGTTTCATACATGCAAGGCTTTTCAATATACTTACGAATACAATTCCCCTCATTCGTAATGCCATCAGACCACTCCACGGACACGTACTACAGCTCACGCTTCAAGACGTTCCAACAAGTCACGACACGGGCATGAAAAGCAAGGAACATGGCACAGGACTTACTTCGGATGGTACACTTATCAAGCCGAAAGGCCGTTCCTATTGGGTGTTTCGACTTCTCGAGTGAAGTCCTTATGACTTGGTCATCCTTTGCCCAGGGCGGTTGCAGTCTGAGATGTCACGATGTCACTATCACGCAGATATCAGTGGCGGTAATAGCACCCGTGCGACTAATGTAGAAAAGATAGGACACAGAAGGATGTAGAAGAAAATACAAGGTAGCAAAGAGCACAAAGAGCACAAAGAGCACAAAGAGCACAAAGAGCACACTGTTATCCCTAAAGCACGCCCCATAGTGTAATGCATCATAAGAGTTCATTCCAGATCGTGCTGCTGGAGTAGTGCACTCTCCAGAACATCTGCGCCCGTTTCTCCTGTTGCTTCCATCACATCCGTATTGTAATGCATGTCTCCTCTCCACCCTGCTTCACCACTCCCCGTGTATGCTGCAGTCTACGATGTCACTGCATCTAACGTACTGCACCGCAACGGCTCTCAAAGTCTCCGAGCACAGGCCACACCCCTCCATCTTCCACAGCAACTAGATTGCAAACTTTCTCGTCCACTCTCTCGCTGTTGCCTCGTATCGAGCGCGATCGGTCTTGTACACGTGGGCGATCTCCGGAACAAGAGGGTCGTCGGGGTTTGGGTCTGTAAGCATGGAGCAGATGGATAGTAGGACTAAATCACGAATTAGCAGGTGGCTTTTCTGATCATATTGCCCCAATTCAATCATACCTTTTGATATCGTCAGAGCTGGACTCCACTGGTCTCGCAGAATATCCAAACAGATGCTGCCATTCGAGTTGATGTTGGGGTGATAAATTCGGGTGGTGAAGTTGACCTTCGGCGGCTTGAAGGGGTAGTCTGTTGGGAAGTGGATGGACAGGAAGAAGACACCGCCTTGGAAAGGGCTGTCGCTCTAATACCCGAGTCAGTAAGCAGTGTGATGAGATCTGGCTTATCGAGAACGTACGGGACCCATGATGGTTGCTTGCCAATGGAACTGTAAATCCATGCGTCAGTAATTGTGCCAATGAACCATGGCCACATGTTGGACAGTCGCCGTAGACTACCCAAGAGCGCCGTTCTGAGGACCAACGTACCAGATCATCACCCATAGGACCTGCGGAACATGATGAAGGAGGATCACTAATTCGCCAACTTGTCAGTATTTGATTCGAACGTCCAAGGCCACCTTATCAGGCTGTATCTTGAGTTGCCCATGACATCCCGGAGAAGGCGGATATGAGGAGAGGCTCACCGGCCGAGATCTGTGAGTTCCTTGTTGATACGCTTCAAAGCCATGGCTGAGGTATGGAAATATGCGGATGAGGGAGAGTTTGAGAGTGTAGTGGTCGTTCAAGTCGAGCGAGCGCGGGGCTGCGAACTGAGTCAATGCTTGTCCTCAAATTTAGGCGCTGGCTGGCCGAATGAGGGCGGAATGACGAACCTGAAGAGTGCAAGTTGGAATGAGTACGATAGAGTATTAGGGTTGAAGTTGATTCAGATCGCAATGGATCAAACACGTCGTACCAAGCGTTTGCGTGGGGTTCTGAGATTGATTGTAGCGGTAATAAAGAAGAGATCGACTTGGTGATGCTCAGCCGACAGCGCAGTTGGTACCAAGATGGCGAAGTTCTTGGCTTGGCAGCGATGAAAGAGCCTGACCCTTGGAAGGTGCCAGTCTCTTTTTGCAGGTATAATCGCTTACTACTCCGTACCTACGTACTCCTAGACTTCAATTTCTCGACAACTTCGCCACGCCTTCGCCCTCGCCGCTACTATTACAGCCTTCATATTGGTTCGATTTGTTGGTTATGACAACCCAAGCGAAATTCAGTTGTTCCTTCTTTTCCGGTCCCGCAATTCCGCTACCTCACTCAATTGTTGTTTAAGTACTTCATTGACCCTCTATCTCGAAGGCACTGGATAGTACCTCATTTTGACCTCATCTCGACGACATCTATATGTACATCTACAAGGCGACTATATGACATTACATGACCCTCATACGCTGTTGAGGCACCAGTTTCCTTCGCAAGCAGATAGACTTTTTTCCGATAGAGCAGCATCCTCGAAGTGCCACGTTAATTTGGACGTGACACACCAACCAACCGCGTCGCATCCTGGGACGAGATTGCTGCCTATACAAATGCTTGTAGACCGGTGATCGCTCTGCCTAGGATCAGCGCATGAATGTCACTTTGTCCCTCGTATGTTTGAGTGACGAAAAGATTGGACACGTGTCGGCCAATGTGGTATTCATCGCTGACAGCGTTTCCACCGAAGATTTCCTGAAGATGGCGAGCGTTGACCAGGGCACGATCACAATTCTGTCTCTTGATCATCGAAATCATTTCTGGCGCAGCTTTTCCCTCATCCTTCAGCCTGCCAACCATATAAGCGGCGGCTAAACCGTATGCTACATCCGTGGCTGCGTCGGCCAACTTTTTCTGTACAAGCTGGTATTTTGCGATTGGATTGTTCTTGAATTGTTTGCGTTCCAAGGCGTACGTCCTTGCTCGATCGAGACAGTCCTCGAGCGCTCCAATCGTGCCCCAAGCAATGCCGAACCTCGCAGAGTTGAGGCAGGAGAAGGGGCCTCGAAGACCTTCAACCTCCGGAAACATATTCTCCTTCGGCACAGGACACTCATCAAGTTGGATCATGCCTGTGATGGAAGCTCGCAGACCGTTCTTCTCCTTCAGTGGGGGCGTCTCCAATGTCCCAGGTGGACATTTCTCTCTCTCGATCACAAAGCCTCTGATCTTGCCGGTCTCTTGAAGTTTGGCCCAGATGACCAGGACGTCCGCAATTGGGGAGTTTGTTATCCAGGTCTTTGCACCAGACAGCGAGTAGTAGCCCTCCTTTGACGGGTGAGGTTTCGCAGTTGTTTCCATTGAGCCTGGATCCGAACCATGGTTGGGCTCGGTCAGTCCAAAGCAGCCTATTAGCTGGCCATTCCCAAGCTTTTCCAGGTATTTGTCTTTTTGCTCTTGTGTCCCGAACTCTTCGATAGGACCCATGACAAGGGACGATTGGACAGACATTCCTGACCGGTATCCAGAGTCTACTCTTTCTACCTCTCTCGTTATGAGACCAGAAGCAACGCTGCTCACGCCGGCACATCCATAACCTTTAATTGTGGCACCCAGTAGTCCCAGCTCTCCCATCTCTTGGAGGATCTTCTTGTCATAATCTTCTTTTCGATATGCCTCCAGCACTCTGGGCTGTAAGCGCTCCTGGCAATACGAGCGTGCTGTTTCTTGGATGGCTTGTTCCTCTTCGGTCAAGAAGTTGTTGAGATTTAGAGGATCTTCCCATTGGAAAGCTGCTGGGGTCGAGGCATGTCTACGACAAGGAACTGTCTTTGACGGGGTCAAGCGCGCCCGCGCAACTTGACGATACAATGAGCGAGCTGCCATGGTCAAAATCAGCTAATGACAAGAGGTCAGTGATGGTAAAAAGGTCAAGCGAGCAAAGTATTGAATATATTACAAGGGAAGACAATGCGGGGACACGCCTTGCAGTAATAGTCGCCCATCGGTCAGTACAAGCCGAGGCATCTCAATGGCCTTTCGCCTGTACCTTCTTAATGGCCTTTCGCCTGTACCTTCTTAATGGCCTTTCGCCTGTACCTTCTTAATGGCGTGCGAGGACAATCAGGTATCCACGACTATGAAAAAGACCCATACCATCGATCGCCTGAATCTGCGGACGTCGTCCAGATACCGTTGTACAAGCATGCAGATTGAGGTTGCTGCCTCTTTCTAAGGTAGTTCACACCACTTGTGGTAGGCGTGGTTGCCGTAAAGTAATGTGCAAAACGGTCGATTGATCAAGCGGCGTGCCTGGCGCTACACGTCATTCACTTTATGCAACTTCGTTTCTTTAAATCGCAAAAAGCGCGACGCGCCTAATTTCCATCAATTATTACTTGCGCAAACTGCACCTTCCTGCTTGCATTCAACACTTCAAGATCAACATCTGAGACACCTGGTCGGCACACAACATCTTGCAAAAATGGGAATCAAAGGTGAGAGAGCATTTGTCCCCGCGTGCTGCAAACGATCTGACGATTTACAGGGTTATATCATGTCATCGCCGACGAGGCACCTGATGCCATCAAAACCGGGGAGATCAAGAACCACTTTGGGAGGAAAGTGGCAATTGTGAGTGCACTCCGCTGTTGATGAATTGAAGCTGACATTCCGAATAGGATGCGTATGCCACCTCTTGATCCTCAGTTGGAGAGATCTACTGACCTTCTGCAGATCTATGAGCATCTACAGTTTCCTCGTTGCGGTACGATCAGAAGGCCAACAACTTATGTCAGACACGGGCGAGACTACATCACACCTGATGGGCATGTTCTACAGAACGCTGAGAATCGTGGATTCGGGAATCAAACCATTATATGTTTTTGACGGAGCACCACCAAAGCTGAAATCCGGCGAACTGGCGAAGCGATTTGCTCGCAAGAGCGAGGCCAGCGAGCAGCACGAGGAGGCTAAAGAGACCGGCACGGCAGAAGAGGTCGAAAAGTTCTCAAGACGTACGGTAAAGGTGACCAGGGAACACAATGAAGAGTGCAGACGGTTGCTCAAGCTCATGGGCATTCCGTACATCGTCGCACCCACTGAAGCAGAAGCACAATGTGCGGTTCTGGCGCGAGCTGGCAAGGTGTATGCAGCAGCGTCAGAAGATATGGACACGCTTACATTCGATTCACCGATCTTGTTGCGACACTTGACCTTCAGCGAGCAACGCAAGGAACCCATTCAAGAGATCCACCTCGACAAGACATTGGAAGGCCTGGGCATGGATAGAGCGCAGGTACGCACCCTGCGAAACCTTCCGCCATGTGTTCGACTAACTTCATTCAGTTCATCGATATGTGTATCCTCCTTGGCTGTGATTATCTTGACCCCATTCCCAAGGTTGGCCCGAATACTGCAATCAAGCTCATCCGAGAACATGGCACGTTGGAGAAGGTCGTTGAGTCCATTGAGAATGACCCGAAAAAGAGATACACCATTCCGGAAGACTGGCCATACCAAGAAGCAAGAGAGCTGTTCTTCCACCCCGACGTGCGATCTGCTGACGACCCCGAGTGCGACTTCAAATGGGAAGCACCGGATGTGGAAGGACTCGTTCAATTCCTGGTCAACGAAAAAGGCTTCAGCGAAGACCGAGTGCGAAGTGCTTCCCAGAAATTGCAGAAGAATGTCAAGACAGCCCAACAGTCCAGACTTGAAGGCTTCTTCAAAGCAATGCCAAAGTCCGAGACAGAGAAGAAAGACCTAAAGCGCAAGCATGACGAGAAAATTGCAGATGCCAAGAAGAAGAAAAAGGAAGATGCGAAGACGAAGAAGGATTCCAAGGCCAAGGCACATATCAACACATGATCATGATCACAGACAGCGGCCGATGGTCCTCAGGATTCCCAAGACGTGTCGAAAAGCGTTATGAAATTGTGGTGAGAAGTGCACCTTGAACTCAACAGCGCGGCGTTCAGGATGGGAATGAGTGGTGCCACGAAGCAACTCGACCAGAGGAGTCAATGTGCACGTGCATTGAAAGGTTGAGATAGACTCGGCACTAGTGCTTTTCGAAGGGTGTTCACATGACGCGGAGAGTCGCTGATGAGATCGTATTCCCAGTGGCTGAGCTTGATAACAGCATCGATCCACCACAATGGAAGTGAGGCGGGAAACAAGCATTAAAAATGTAACAACATAACGAGACAATGCAATACATGACGGATGTGAGACACGTAACAGCAATTTATTGAGGTGCAGAATGACTTGAGTAACAATTACGTTGTCCAAGTTGAAACGCGTCTTCTAGGGTGCCTTATGCAAAGAGGTAAGCAGGAATCCGATGATCATACTGTTCGACAATGGACATATTGCATCAGAGCTTTTCTAGAGGACGACATGGTTGTCATCAAGACGCGTTGGCTGAACAGGAGCCTCAGCAGAGGTAACAGATGGAGACGGGATACAATTGACGGAAGGAAAACAATGCTTTGTTGAGGTGATGAACACAGAAGAGAGAGGAACCAGAGGAAAGGCAGAAAAGTGGACAGGTGGTCAAGGCAACCTCATCAATCGAGGTGGGAGAGAAGACAACTTCGAAAAAAGAGAAAAGATGGGAATGGGAAAAGAGACAGACGACGAGGAGGGTGCGTGGAAGCCTTGGGAGAAGATGCGCGTGATCCCTGCTGCACGATTGATCAGACAACTCGAGTTCAGAAACTCTTTTTATTTTCAGGTATCGATCTATCTATTCCTAACAGTTAGTTATCCTAGCTTCCGCTCCCGAATTCTGATTGGACAGCAACAGCAAATCAACCCGCGAATCGTCATATCACGAGTCAAGTATAAACAGTCGCTCCCTCCCCCGCCCGCGCGCCTGCTACAGACACTGCTGCATCTTTCCACTCTTCAACTCGACTCCCGTACAATCCGTCCACTCGATTTCGATCGTTCGTTTCCATTCAATTGAACTATCGCTTTACTCGTCTTCCCACATATCACAACATGCCTCCCAAGAAAGCTACCGGTGCCGCTGCTGCCGCCAAAGAGCAGAAGGAGAAGAAGACCGCCGCTGCCCCCGCTCATGCCTCATACAAAGGTCAGTTTGTCCACCACAACGCGGTCGCATCGTTGCGAAAACGGGTCTATCTTTGTCGCGTATCATTACTGACCATATGTACTAGACATGATCAAGGACGCCATCATCAATGTGAGTCTATCTCGTTTGCGACAACTCGAGTCCCCCTCAAGCCGCCGACCGTGCCGCCGGGTCCTGGTGGAGGACTGGCACGAAGACATGGGCCCTTTCCAAACCCAAACATATGGTTGAAGCATGGCTGACGTGTCTCAAAACACAGCTTAAGGAGCGAAATGGAAGCAGGTTAGTCATGTCCACACACCTTATTGTCGCTGTCAATGCACAGAGGTTTCTGTCATCAATGGGGCCACATCTAACAAGCGCACAGCCGACAAGCCATCAAGAAATACGTCAAGGCCAACAACAAGATCACCGTCACCTCCGAGACCCAATTTGACTCACTGTTCAACAAGGCCTTGAAGTCTGGTGTCGAGAAGAGTGACTTCACACAACCAAAGGGTATGATCGTGTCTCAATACATCGCGATCCTCTGCTGACGCTTCACAAGGTCCCTCCGGCCCCGTTAAGCTCGCGAAGAAGGAAGCCAAGCCTGCCGAGAAGAAGGCCGCCGCTCCCAAGGTGAGTCACTATACACGTCGATGGCCTCGACCACACTGACAACGTACAGAAGGAGAAGGCCGTCAAGGAGGAGAAGGAGGCCAAGCCAAAGACAACCAAGACCAAGACCGCCGCCAAACCCAAGACTGCTGCTAGCAAAGCAAAGAAGGCTACTGCCCCCAAGAAGGCGTCCGCCGCTAAGCCCAAGGCTAACACCGCCACGAAGCGAGCTCCCAAGACCAAGGCCAAGGCTGAGGCTCCCGTAAGTACTATCTATTGCCCTTGCACCAACTCCCTGCTGACTTTCCCTTAGGCCGATGCCGTCACAGATGCTCCCACAGTGCTTAAGAAGACCAAGTCTGGACGTGTCAGCAAGACAAAGACTACCGCTGGCACCACCAAGAAGGCCCCAGCCAAGAAAGCTGCCCCCAAAAAATCAGCCACCCCCAAGAAGGCGGCCACACCTAAGAAGGCCGAGGCTGCTGCATGAACGGTTGCCGAAGTCTGAAAGCTATATTGCTGTTATGACTTGACGTGTGTTGCTTGCTTTTCCCACCAGTATCTGGTATCTGTGAACATGTTGATCAATGATGGGGATGAACGGTCTGTGGTGTTCATTGTCCAGCCTTCACCTTCTCAAGCCCATCAAGGTTCCTTCTACAGGCGTTTGATGAGCTTGCACAAGTGTGTCTCACTTGCTCGGGTGTTTTGTACGGGATTGTGGGATGGGATATTCACTGGCGTTTTGATATTCGGGAATGGGCTGTGAATTGTATGGGTCAAAGATGAGGTCGTGCGGGAAGCAATGGCGCTGCGTGACTGGGAGACATGACATTGTGGCAGACTCTTTTCTCCTCGCTCGACGTACACAAGAGAAGGAAGATTGGCCGCAGCTTTTCATTTCGATAGCAGACGCACAAATCAATCGAAATGTCTTGTACAAATCCTCGAGGACTTGCCCTGCCGAAAAACAAACACCCGTAGGTGATCGGAACTGAGTTCCGCCGATACCTCCGTTCGTTTCACGTGATTAGTCGAGTCAGGGGCTGTCCTTTCAACCAGGACCATGAGTCAATACATTGCCCCCTGAAATGGACATGGGGACTCGCGTCTACTTTTACACCGCGAGTCTGCTATCAGTATCAATTATAAAATAGTGCACACACCTAAAGAATGATGAGCAGGTCACCGGGTCTTCTTCGACTCTGGTCTCGATGTGTGGTGGTATCCTGTGTCCGGCAGAGTCATCGCTTGATCCATCTGATCTTGAGATCCTGGTTCCTGTTCATCTGCAGCGTCAACCGAGGTGCGCTGTCCTCCATGACCGCCTCGAACCGTCCCTGAACCTGCTCGTCCGTCTCGTTTGTGTCTAGTCTCACAGCTTCGCACCGATATCTGCGGAAGATGGTCATAAAGACGCTCACGAACTCGACTTGACTCATCTTCATGCCCGGGCATGATCGCGGTCCCGTTGACCACGGCACGAACGTGCCCTTGGGCATGGTCTTTAAGTTGGCGATTGTGGATGTCGGCGAGTCTGGTGTAATTGTTTCGTCGATAATCCATCTCGAGGGACGGAATGTCTGGGCGTCTTTGCCCCATGTCGACTTGTCGCGGTGGAGGCCTACCGTGCTGATGTAGATGTTTGTGCCACGCGGAATAAGGTAGGACCTCGTCGAGGTGGTGATGGTTACGTCGTGATTTTTGTCGGTCGTTCTGGCGATGTGCACTAGCGGTGGGAAGAGGCGCATTGTTTCGAACTGTGATCACGGTCAGACTTGGCCCGAAAATGGGGACGCAGGATTGAGATTTACCATAAGAGCCAGACAGCGTGGGAGTCGGGGGAAGATGTCAGCGTACTCGAGATACTCGACTTCCCGATCGCCTACAACTTGGCTGATTTCCTCGTATATCCAGTCTTGCCATTTTGGGAATGTTGCGAGGAAGGCTAAGGCGTAGGCCATGGTGTTGGCTGTCGTGTCGAAGCCCGCCGCCGTGAAAATGAAGAGGTTGCCTTGGATTTCTTCTTCGCTGAGGTATTGGGTACCAGCGGATTTCTCGTCGTTAGATTCGGCAAACCGCACGAGCATGCTCATGAGATTGTGTCGTGGCTCCGCAGTGGTTTCTTGCAGTTTGCGCTCATTGGCAAGCATGGCACTGGAAAGGATTGGGAAGTCGTTCTTCGCGTGGCCCAAGTCTTGCATGTCCTTGGGGAAGAATGGTAGAACGATTAGCTTTGCGGGGAGGACAGCTGCGGTGACAATGTTCTCGACGACGATCTTGGTGGCCTCCATGTACGTCAGGCGATGGCCTTTGGAGCGGGTCGCCTCCTCAGAGTCGTTCCAGGGGCGTGAAATACCGAATCCTGCTGTGCCCAGGACGTTTATGGCGACTTTCTTCATGCCTCTCATTGTGTCATTCGTGACGCCCTTGACATCGTCCATGTAGAAGGACAGCATCTCGCGCGCCTGACGGCATGATTCACCGAAGACTAGGCTGCTGATCTTTTCGTTGATATTGGGTGCGATGAGTTTGCGCTGACGGGACCATGTCTCGCCGTTGGTGGTGAGGACGGAACTTCCAAAAATGTCCATGATAACAGCACTTATCTCGGTGTTGGGGAAGTCCTTGGGGCGTTTGAGTATCTCGAAGATAAGTTCGGGGTCAATAATGCTCATTTCCATGGGGCCTGAGGTGACGAGGATGAAGGCCGGGCCGGTTTTCTCGAAGAGGGAGCTCTTCAGGCGGACCTCGAAGCCGTAAGTCCCGATGTCGACGCTCTCGTAGAGCCATGATGGAAAGATCCTCTTGAACAGCGGGTTTAGGGGCACGAGGGTTACCATCCAAATTGGGTTATATATGTTGATGGGCAAGAGGAAAAGCGGAAGGCCCGTTTTGCGGGCGGCAAGGTAGTTTCTTAGCAGGCCGTAGAGGTTTGAAGAAAGCCAAAGCGCGAAGAGCGTCAAGATGATCGCGAGCCAACTCATCTTGAGGAGCTCGCCAACTGGCCCGGCAGTTCAGCAGGCAGTTGATACCTGATCTTCTCAATAGCTGAAGTTTCCAAGGAGAGGGACGCTCAAAGAGATGTGGTGGTCTTCTGAAACCTTGACGGGTTGCCTTATCTCGCGGGGCCTTTTATATTCATGTAAATCTGCCTCGAAAGCCTAAGAGGGCTTATTGCTGGCGGCCGGTTAGTACCATCGACAGTACCTAGATAGGTAATCATAAAAGCCTTTCCACGCGAAGACGGATTTGCATAAAACTACTACTGTACAGTAAGGTAGCTTCGACCAGCTGTGGTTGCCTTGAACCTGCGTAAGACTGCCCCAAGATGATTACACGAACACGAGGCGCGAATCAGACCAAACCGCATTTGTCCAGTCTGAGAAGAGCTGTCCGGGCATCGTTCACAAGTTCCGACAGAGAAGTCAAGGTCCGTTTCGAGCGCAAACAGCGGCATGTCTTGAGGGTATATCCATTACCTAGCCGCGCTATGCTTGATATCTAGTACACTTTTTGATCTAGGTTGATCCAGATCTTGCTCCCTCATCGTGATAAGGCGATGTCATCAATGCGTAGTATCATCTTCACCGTCTCAGCTGCCAGTTCAATGGCACTGGTACTGACGAGCAAAGGCTGAAGCACCTTCTCCTCCGCAATGTTTGTCTTCACTCCTCCACTTCGGATGCTCACACCAGCGTTCTTCTCCCCAAGGTCATGTCGATGTCGAAGCTCTGTGACGACCTTGATACTGTTGAGCCCTGCATTCTCTGCCAATGTGGTCGGAATGACCTCCATCGCATCTGCAAAGGCTTTCCAACAAATAGCCTCAGTGCCGGTCAATTCTCGCGCTCGTTTCGCTAATTGCTGAGCCACCTCGATTTCCGGAGCACCACCACCAGCAATAAGTGCCTTCTTCTTCACCAGGCAGCGGATGACACATAGAGCGTCATGGATCGATCGTTCCGCCTCGTCTAGTACCAGGCTGTTGGCGCCTCGAGCCACTATTGACACAGTTTGACTCAGAGGTGATGCCGTGCGAATGCCTGTGATCTTGACGTAACGAGCCCCGGACGCCTGCACTTCTTCCACCAAGTCTGCACTTCCTAGTTTGTCCTCGGTGAAAGTGTCAATATTGGCTATTGGCTTGCAACCAGTGCTCTTGCACAAGAACTCAACCTCATCCCGCTCGATGTCTTTGATGGCCATGATTTTCAATCGTGACAGGAAATGAAGAGACAAGTCGTTCACTGCGTCCCGCAAGATGGACTTTTGGATCAGCAGTACATTGCACTTGGCCTTTTGGATCTTTTTGACCATGTTGAGCAAATATGTCCTCTCCTCTTTCAGAATCTTGTCCATTTGTCGATAATCATTCACGACAATCTGATTCTCCATATCCGGTTTGGGTGGACTCAGCTGGAACTGTATCAACGCAATCCGCGCCTTTTCAATCCTCGTCGGGCCGCCACTGCTCTTAATGACTTGCTGATTGAGTACTAAACCATCGATCATTTCCGAGTCCTCAATAGTACCGCCAACCTTTTTCACAATGCGAATATTTCGTAGATCAACATTTTCGGCAGTCTTCTGATCAATCGTTTTGAGTACCGCGTCAACAGCCATCGGACCAAGCAAGCCAGAATGTTGCGACACAATTTTCGACGAAAGCGAAGTGGTTGCAGCTTGTAGAAGTGTGGTGCGATCTGAGAGCGAGATAGGTTGTGACATCTCCTGTAGCAGTTCGACTGCAGCCCCTGCGGCTCTCTGGAATGACTCGGATATGATTGTGGGATGTATGCCTTTTGCGAGTAACCGATCGGCCGCCCCGAGTAGACTCCCTGCAATCACGACCACAGAGGTTGTGCCATCACCCGCCTCCACGTCTTGCGCGGCGCTGAGATCTACCAGCATCTTCGCCGCCGGGTGCATGACGCTCATACTCTTCAGCATCGTATTGCCGTCGTTCGTGATCAGGTTCTCGCCTCTGCCAGATTGAATCATTTTGTCCATTCCTCGTGGACCGAGTGAGGTTCGAATGGCGTCGGCAACGGCTCTTGCAGCCATGATATTGGCAGTCCGTACCGCCACGGGCTTTCCTTTGTCCTGAGATCATGTTAGAGACACTCCAATGCCGTAGATAGGGCATATGCACGAACCTTGAAGGCCGCATTTCCGGCGTTGCCTTGAATTCCCAAAGCAGCCGCCATAATGAGGTCGGTTTCTCTGGAGAATGCCGAGTTCTAAGCGCAGCGTAGTGTGATCCTTCCAGAAGATCAAGAGTCCTTGATGTAGTGCCAGTTGTCGATGATCAGTGTAGGCTGTTAATATGGACCATGCATTCAGGCACGTAGTAAATATCTGAACATGAAAGTTGGGTGGGTCGATCACTTTAGCGCGGCGCAGTTTAGGTGCCTTAGGTAAGCTTCCAGGCACGGCGCGATTACGGAGTTCCAGCATCATATGGTCAACACTCACTCGCCATCCTGCAATTCGACAGCCATCTGCACGATTCAGGTCCGACCAACCTCCAACACCGTTCCTGCCCCCAAGAACAATCTCAATACTCCTCTGCGTCAAATAGGCTTCACGCATAACAGTCGGCAAGATGCCCAGCGCAACGGGCCAGAGCTGGGAGAAGTATCAAAAGGAATACGCCGACGACGAGGTTCCAGAGAAGAAGATCACACCTTTATCAGAAGAGTCCGTGATTCCCGTAACGCTATGAAGCATTGCTGACAATATCCAGAGACATTCAAGTATTACGGACATATGGAGCCGCACCCTATGCCGCAGCTCTAAAGAAGCTTGAGAAGGAAATCAAGGACAAACAACAAAGCGTCAATGAGAAAATCGGCGTCAAGGAATCAGATACCGGTCTCGCTCCTCCACATCTTTGGGATGTTGCCGCCGATCGACAACGCATGTCCGAAGAACAGCCTCTACAAGTAGCGCGATGCACGAAGATTATACAAGATGAGAAAGATGTCGAGAAGAGCAAATATGTCATCAACGTCAAGCAGATCGCAAAGTTTGTGGTGAACTTGGGAGAGCGAGTCAGTCCCACAGATATCGAAGAGGGTATGCGAGTAGGAGTGGATCGACAGAAATACTCAATCATGCTGCCCTTACCCCCAAAGATCGATCCCAGCGTGACCATGATGACGGTCGAAGACAAGCCTGATGTGACATACGGAGATGTCGGTGGATGCAAAGAACAGATCGAGAAACTCCGCGAAGTTGTGGAAATGCCACTGCTATCACCAGAGCGGTTTGTCCATCTCGGAATCGATCCCCCAAAGGGAGCACTGCTATATGGCCCGCCCGGGACAGGGAAGACACTTTGTGCACGAGCGGTGGCCAACCGAACAGACGCAACATTTATCAGAGTCATTGGGTCCGAGTTGGTACAGAAATACGTTGGTGAGGGCGCCAGAATGGTTCGCGAACTGTTCGAGATGGCGAGAACGAAAAAGGCTTGCATTATCTTCTTTGACGAAATCGATGCCATTGGTGGCGCTCGTTTTGATGACGGTGCTGGAGGTGACAACGAGGTCCAGAGAACTATGTTGGAGCTGATCACACAACTCGACGGCTTCGACTCAAGAGGAAACATCAAAGTCATGTTCGCCACCAACAGACCAGCAACTCTTGACCCTGCTCTTCTCCGACCTGGACGTATCGATCGTAAAATCGAGTTCGCCCTGCCAGATTTGGACGGTCGAGCAAGCATTTTGCGGATTCAGTGAGTATTATGGTTAGTTTGTGACGGTCTGTTACTAACCATGTCGCAGTGCAAAGAGCATGTCTGTCGAACGGGATATCAGATGGGAGTTGATTGCTCGTCTCACAGGTCAGGCCACTGGTGCCGAGCTGCGATCTGTCGCTACAGAGGCTGGCATGTTTGCCATTCGCGCAAGGAGGAAGATTGCCACTGAGAAGGATTTCCTTGCTGCTGTCGAGAAAGTGAGTTCACCGTTCACACGTTCTTACGATCACAGTGTCCTGACAAAATCTAGGTCATCAAAGGCAACATTCAGTTCTCATCGACTAACGTCTACGCGCAATACAACTAGCGGCCGTATCATGGGTCTTCTCGGCATAGAGTGGTATCACATTGCATCGCTCGGAGTCTGGCGAGGTGTGAAGGATTGGCTGAAATACGGCCAATGGTACTTTGTAACATCAACACCACCTATAAGGAACGGAACAATTGCAAAGGTCGCACAGACTTTTTCTCAGAAATCTGTCGGAGTCTCTGATGGTTTACTCTTGCCGTGTGTCCAATCCCATCGTCAGAATGCAGGCCAGTAAAAGGTACAAATCATCCTTACCAAACGCACCGCGGATGATGTTCGGGTTCCTGCAGGCCGCGAGATACAAGTGTCACACGAAACTTTCCAGAACTCCTGAGCATCTGGAATTCTTGACGTGATGCACAGTGGAATCGACAGGTGGCCTACCTTGTCGATTTGGATATAGGTGTTCACATGGAGACGTGCACATCTGACCTATCAAGGAGCATTATGAGCCACATATCGTGATAGGCAGGGGTGAAGCGCCACGAAGTCCCACACTCCACAGGGGCTGGTAGCCTTAGCCGATATCAATCTGATAACCCAACGGGAGCCTAGGAGTGAGGTTTACGAATGATATGCTGGTGTTGCACGTACAATAATTTTCCAGGCGGATATCCCTTCAATCGTGAAACTTGGATATCCGTGCTTTGCGCAAGATTGACAGGGTGTCAAAGGGCAGCGATGAAGAGCTGCAACTGTCACTTGCTGTCAGGAGACACGTCTTCGCTTCCCACTCGGTACTTTGTCGAGATCCATCTTCGGGAAACACCATTCTCCCCCCTGTCCTCCTGAAAGACAACCCACCTGTTCTGTTCGTGCGCCGTTTAGCTGTTCACCGAAAGACTTGGACTGCTTTGTCAACCCACCAGATAGGACAAGTATGGTATCCAACTATGCGAGGAATGGTTCCTGTGCGATGAAGGTTCACTTAGTCCCATCGTAGATCTTTACGTTGGCTCGGGGGCATGCCGCTTGGCGCCCGCTAACCGTGTTCCTGCTCCCGTGCTTTCGTCTGTAGTTGACCCTATTATTTTAGTATTCGTGTCCCTCTGGCCTGCGCCTGCGCCTGCGTGATTTTGGTAAACTTGTGACTTGGAGGTTCAGACTCGCACAACAGTTCTCCCTGGTCGGTTCTGTGCTACTGTGGTTTTCGGAGCATGTCATTCAATACGAATCTCAAACCCATGTCCTAGCACTGTGTCCCTTGCAACCACGTGCCTGAAAGGTGGCTCGGTCCTCCTCGCCCGCTTCAGACTCTCCTTGACATCTCCCAAACCACGAACACGTCGAACAAATCGCCGTGTGCGATCTCAGTGCCAGGAACCAACCGAGCCTCATCATTGTAACTTGCCTTTGCGATACCTTGATCGATCACATGTTCCGCGTCCTCCATCACCATCTCTAGGCATTCTGCCCGACCTCTCCGATGCCCCTATCGAAGAGTGCCTCTCCACTACCGATCGGAGGATGGGCAGCGCAAAGTTCGGTCGTTGAAGGCAGATCGACCCCTAACGGCCATTATCCTGGAGCAAACGGCTACAGTAGTAGCGATGACCAATGGGCGGTAGCAAAAGCGAGAAGCGCTCAAGTCAGAGGATACCCCAGTATTCAGACCAAAAATGAAGGATTCTTCCAGCGATCGCGACGGAAACTATCCACGACACTCCCAGTATTCAGCCCATACACACCGCTGTCAGCCAATTGGAAAGACCCAGAGAAACTAGGTCGCAGTCGGTGGTCAGCAAGAGGTGGCAGCAGCTTGGCCAAACTGAAGACCTTCGCTGGAAACTTTGTACGGAAATGCAGGTTTCTGATCATAGTATTATCCCTGGTGACGTTAACGACTCTCATAATGTCGCATACAAGTGAGTGCCCCTGCGGAGTCATATGGTTGCCATGATACTTATCTCGAACCAGGTCTGTTGTCCAGCATCCGCAGCAACTCTCATCTCGGTGGTGGAAGCAAATTTGTTATTGTGCTTGGTGCAAATGAAGGTGGTGGTGTCATGGAATGGAAAGGTCCAAGGGAATGGGCTATAGAACGAGACAGCGTCAAGAACAAGAAGAGATATGCCGACAGATGGGGGTACCAACTCGAGATCACCGATATGAGCACCAAAAAGCGATACGCTCATGAGTGGAGAGAAAGCTGGGAGAAGGTCGACCTGCTTCGTAATGCTATGGCGCGCTATCCCAAGGCTGAGTGGTATGTGTAAACCTGCACTTTGTGAGGAATGGCACTGACACGGGCTAAACAGGTTTTGGTGGCTCGACTTGAACACCTACATTATGGAACCCTCGTTATCGTTGCAGTCGCACATCTTCAGCAATCTTGCCAATAACGTCTACCGCGACATTAATGTTTACAACCCCCTCAACATCACTCATCCTCCGCAAACCGCATTTCTCGACCCGGTTGCCCGTTCGCCTACCGGCGACAACCTGACGTCGTCTATCGATATAATCATATCGCAAGACTGTGGCGGATTTAACTTGGGCTCTTTCTTCATCCGACGATCTCCGTTTACAGACCGATTACTGGACATGTGGTGGGATCCGGTCCTCTACGAACAGAAACATATGGAATGGGACCATAAAGAGCAGGACTCACTCGAGCACATGTATGAATCGCAGCCCTACATGCGGACACATTTTGCATTCATTCCGCAGCGCAAAATCAACGCATTTCCTCCAGGTGCTTGCGCGGTTGAGCCAAAAGACGGCGAAAATGTGGACTCGAAGAAACCGCTCACCGACCCACGATTCCACTACAATGCGAAGGAGCGTGACTTTATGGTCAATATGGCTGGGTGCGAATGGGGTCGGGATTGTTGGGCCGAAATGTACGGCTATAGGGAGCTCAGCAACAAGTTAAATCGATCGACTTGGGCAAAATTCAAGAGTTTCTGCGGTGACTCTTTGAGAAGCCTTATTATGGGGTCTTCTGCTGAAGGAGAGACAAAGCCACAAGGATGAAGCATCAACCGAGAGTGAAAACACTTTGGAAGGTCTTGACAGCATACATCCGCCGGAGTACGGAGAATCGTACAGGGTAAGCCTTTGCGGACCTAGTCTTCAGAGCACAATGTGGAGTTTTTGCGGGATGACATCGGGGTACCATCCCTGGAATCACTGGAGCAGAACTATACAATGTATGAATAGAGCATTGGCAGCGATGGAAGCTGTTTGCTTACTATCGTATCAGAGCCAGGCGGCCGGCACGCGTCGAGTCGAGGAAATGTGGTCTCGTGATTGTATACCTAGGTAGGTGGACTACTTGGACCACAGAGAGGCAGAGGCTCTTAGAGTTGAATGAAATCAAAAGCTTTTGTACCACATCAAGCCTATCTGCAGACAATTCTATCTCATACTGCAATGTCCCTTCGACTGATCGCAGACGTCTCGGACATTTTCTGACGCGTCGAGGCTGAGCCTCAGCCTTGCGTCCGCCGTCTTTCTTTTCCATACCAAGTTCGACTTGACTTCCTTCCACCTTCCTTGCCATTCTTCATCGATCTTCTACATGTCCTTCATTCAACTCTTCCAACACTCTTGCCTTTCTTACCTTTCACCTTCATGTTCTCTTTCATGAACTCGTTGTCATCCATCTCCACAGCGACGTCAGGCAACGGTGGAAAATCCTCAATGCTCAATTCCTCGGTTCTCGCTTGGCTCTTCATTTCCCTGTCCCGGAGCTCAAGACACTCTTTGATATCCTTCGTCATATCGGTTTTGGCTTCTGTCACCATTCCAGCAGTCCTCTCCGCGATTCCCCAACCGTTCCCGCCACGTGTTTCCTTCATGTCATTGACTTGCGAGCAGAGCCGGTTGATCGAGCCTTTCAGCTTCCGTAACAGCAAAAACGCCGCTTCTGGGAAAGCTTTGCGAGAGGAGACAGATGCGAGGTCCACCTCTGCAGCGTCGTCCTGGATGTCTGGCTCGTCTGCCGGTAGGTCGTTCAACTTCTTTGACTCAGCTGTGACCTTGCGCAATAGCGTCTGCAGCTCTTGATTGCGCTCCTTCAAACCCTTGATGTCTGCGTCTTTCAGTTGCTTTCTCAGACGGCCGACCTCGGTTTCGACTCGATGCAGTTTCACGTTCTCGGCTCTCAGTCGTTCATACTCATTGTTGATCTCTCTTGCCTGCTCAATCTCAACGCTGCCCTTGTCGAGTTCAGCAAGGACTTTACGTGTCTCTTCCTGTGCTTGGCGCAGTTTTACATCGTGAACTTTCAGTTGCTGATAGTCCTTTTCGAACTTCTTCACGCGCTCAATCTCAGCCCGGCTTCGCTTGAGCTCATTGATGATTTGACGTCCCTGTTCCCGTCCTTGATGCAGCTGGTTCGAGAGTTTGTCCACCTGATCTCCTGCTCTCTTTGTGAGCGCCTTTTGTCTCTCCAACGTCAATTGCAGTTCTCCAAAGCGAATCTTGAAGGACTCCAATATACCGTCTTGATCCAGATATTTCCAATATTTGTCGACTTCAGATCTGAGGAAGGTCCCTCTTTCTGCAGATTTGTGCAGTTCTGCTTTTGCTTCCTTCATTCCGGCTTTGAGGCCATTGCATGCGTCGGTCAACAATTGAGTCGCTGAAACGAAAAAAGCGCAGGTCTCGAACAACAATGCGTCCAGATGATTCGGCGTGCCATGTGCCCTCAATGCTTCATTGTACTGGTGTTCCACTGCATTGTAAGCGCTGTTGATATCGTCATGGACTTTCTCCCATCGTTCGATCGCTTTGACTCTATCGGAGCAGTCTTGAGCTGCCTTCATTTTCCGGATCTCACCGAGGCTTTGGGCCGATGAGTCCCTGAGGCTCTTCATCACCTCGAGAGGCATCGTGACATTGGCGAGTTTCTCTTTTGTTCTTTCCGGGGTCTCGACATGGGTTTCAATTCCAGATGTCAAGTCTTTTTGCGCTGCTTTCTGGTCCTCGCCGGTCTCGCAATGCTCATTGCTTGCTGCCGTCCTCCTGCCCATGTTCTCATAATCTTGCGAATGCTGGCGAATGTAACCGTTGTCGTCATCCATTACGCGAGCTTCGTCATCAGGCTGATCAGTCTCACAACGGCGATGAGCTAAACTGGCGAGGCTGCAACAAGCAACTTGGCTCATATGTCGAAGCGAACGAAATCAAGCACGAGGTAAAGTCTCAGTCGGGCCAGATTCGGATCTGAATGGCAATGCGGGCAAGTTGTTCTTCGATGAGCGCAAACTGTCTTCGATTGCCGACCTGTAACTGTGGTTTATCTGAAGTGCTTAGTCTTGGTATGGGCAAGACTGTCGAAGGACCTGGTCGGGCGGATGCAGGTGAGGAGGATAGCAACGTCAGCTTGCGGTGTAAGTCTGTCGGTGATGAAGTTGATTGAGGAAGAGGTCTGTTGGGGAGCAAGATGTGAGCCTTCACGAGCCCTACAACTGGATACTTATAGGACAATCACAAAGTCATTCCCTGAGGCAGCAGCAGGACGACAAAGGCAGGTCTAATCCATGAGAGACAGCAAGGACAGGTCGAGCCATCAGAAGTGTACCTGACTGCCAACAGGGCTGGGACTTTCAAGCATGTCTCTTGGAGGACAAGACATTGTTGTTACAAAGGGCATACTTCTCCGAACAGCATGAATGCTTGGTCATCGACTGGTCTGGGATACAATATCTACTCTGCAGCCCCGGGCGATGGTGGTGTTTTCTTGTGATGCACCAGACATGGTTGAGACATGGCGGACCATGAAAGGCCGACAAAGCAGAGGGCCAGCATGCAGAAGTGAAGAAGTGGTCCTGGCGTCTGGCTCCCTACAGACAGCTGTACTGTCGAACGCAAGCCCAAGCAAATGTTTCTGAGACTGGCAAACACAGAGGTCTAGTTTGTCTCAATAGTGGACAATGGCCTCCCTCATTTGTACATCATGTGTGTGAAAACATAAAGGGGCTTCAGCCTTATCTCAGCCCAGCCTCGGCCCTCGTGACACTTTGTCCGTGAGAATAAGGCAGGATCCATGATAAGTAGTACCCAAGACAAGAGATATGGCCTGGACCATTTACAGGGATGACATTCTGAAGCACATGATTTTGGATTCGACTAGAAGTAGCTGACTAAAAGCTGCAGACCACAGATCATGCTAACGCCACTGCTGTCGTGTTGCGGCGTATACTATCTGGGATCTGGCATTACTCGTGATACAGAAGAAGATCGCTGATGGAGCGCCCATTGCTTTTTCGAGTCCATCAACCCGAAATTCAGACCTTTTTGCATAAAACCGTACAGTCCCCGAGTATGACCAAATAAAAGCCCCATGTTTTGTGTCAATTTTGAATTAGCTCGCGCATCAAGTCCTTGCCCTCCTCTGCATTCATTGGACGTTGACATCGAAAATGGCGTTTCTCCAGCCACCACCCGTCTCCTGGTTCTCCTCGACATTTTGCTCTGCCTGCAAAGCCTCTTCGTGGAACATCTTGACCATGCTGCCTGGTGTGTATACACCACGGAAGACGCCGTGTCTAGGGGCGTCCACGCCGACCCTGGTGTACACGTCCGGATCTTCCTCCGGCGTGAGACGTGCCGCCACGGCCTTGAGGAAGGTGATGACGTCTTGAGGATCGGCGATACGTGTCGCACGAAGCCTCTCACGGGCGAAGACCAACTCACGGTTCGCTGCTTTGAGACCGTTGACAATCTGCTCGGCGATAGCCTTCTCGAGCGATCGTCGTACGAGATGTTTCAGGAGAGGCTTGAAGATCCAGCCCAGCCAGGACAATTTGGACTTGCGAAGGTCGTAGTCGAGTTTATGGATGTGGACCCTGACTCCGCGGAGGCTGAGGATCTGCTCGAGGCGTTCTCTCCCCACCTCTACGTCGATTGAGATGTCAATGCCACGCTCGTCAAGGTAGAAGCTTGCAATTCCTTCGTCTGCGAATCGGACTAGGCCTGCGTGACCTCGAATCCAAAATCCAAGGTCCTGAGCAGCGACGCTGAGGCCGTTGACCGAGATAGTCATGAGAGACTTGGTGTTGGACACAGTCTTTCTGGAATGGGTCTTGCGGATCTCGAGATCATTCTGGGTGGAGACGAGTAAGCGATATGGAAGGAAGGAGGAGGAGTTGACGTTGCGGCCAGGCTCGAGGATGAGGTTCTCGAGGAGAAGGTCCATCTCCGGGACGGAAACCTCAATACGAGGAATAGGGATGTATTGTACGCTGCGAATCAACAGGGGCAGGAAGATGTGGATGGAATCGGTGATGAGATCTGGGTTGACAATCTGGTTGGGTGGAGATAGATTGTTGTAAATGCGTCGTGTTGCGAGCATAAGACCATTGACGTCCTTGTCTTCCATGACCGCACTGACAGTCACTTGAGCTTGTCTGAGCAGCTTGTCGAAATCAGCCTTGAAATCAGACTCGTTGCCTAGCTTAGAAGATTTCTCCTTCAGCTCCTGGAGTTTGTTGTCGGCATCGTCGAAAAAGTCTGGGTCGGTCAGCATTCGCTGCACAGCTTTGCCGATGTCGACCATGAAACTCTCAAACTGAGGATCCGATTGGGCATGGCTGACGACCTTGTTCCAATCCTGCTCAAGTTGCTCCCACTCTTTACGGTCACCAAAGCTGCTCATGAGCTCCCAGAAGTTCCGGACGGCACGATCCAGCGCTGGGTTGGTGTAGACATCGTCTTGAACAGTGGCCAAAGTGGTGTCGGCAACACGGGAGTATGCAATGGCATATCTCTGGATCAGTTTGGCGATAGTGGACACAGAGTCGTTGTAGTCGGTTCTGCCCCTGAGGTTAAGAATGGTTTGCTTAAGTCGATGCAGTAAAGTATCTCGTTGAGCACCGGTGAAGTTCTCCTTGGCACTCTCGATGGTATCTTCTCCAATCTTTTTCACCTGGTCGCCGATCTCTTCTGTGGCTTTCTTAGCATTGGTCTCAACCTCCTCTCTTGATGGCTGAATGCTCTCATCGGCTCCTGGTTTTGAGATAGCCTGCTGTTCTTCGGTCGAGAGCTCGAGTTGTTTGCCTGTCTTCTCGGCGGCGGAGGACAATGAAAACGCAGTATCCGCGAGAACCTGCCTTCCAACCGTAGCAACATCGTTGACGAATAGTCTGAAGTCGGAGTTCGTGAGCAACAAGCTGCCAACGGTACGGAAGCTGTCGTAGGCAGCTTTGGCATCGGCTCTAGCTTTGGTTTTGGAGGCTGAGTGGGCAATGTCGGCAACATCGACGGAAACGCGTGACTTTGTGAGGTACCAGATGAAATCTTGAATCTGGTCTTCTCCGTTCTTGTGCATCAGAAGCTCAATGAAGAGCTTCAACCATGTCCGGCAGTTTCGAATCAGTATTCTGCCAGAGTCACTCAGCTCTGTGTTATTTGCGTTCAGGACATCGGAGGCAAGGAGAGTTCTGAGGTTGACGATGGTCTGTTCGTTCGATGGCATGTATCCTTTGGACAGAGCTCTCAGCATCTGATAGGTGTGGAGCTTCTGGTGAAGAGCTCTTTCACGAGCTGTATCGTCTTCATATCGAGGCAGTAGCGGAGTGGTATCGTCACCCTTCTTACGGCCAAAGCCGCAGCAGGACGCGAGGAAAGACATGTTTGCTGGATGTTGTGAAGGAGAGACGACACGCTGATACGAAGAAATGAAATAAGACCTTTAGAAGATTGTGCAGAAAAGATGGTCACTGTGTGCCATGATCTTGGAAACTCTACGCAATGATGATTGAATCTTGGAGCACCCAGGCGTGTCAAACTGCGGAGTCGAAGAAGCAAAGCTGTGGCTGCCTTGCATGTGAAAACGTCATTGGACGCGCCGAGTCTGATCGGCGGAATTCTGATTCCCGCCAGTCATTAAGCATGAAAATCCCTTCAGCCTCGTGAGATCAAACATTTGACTAAGATTCTACCGCTTAAAAGAACCAATAGGTTGAAGAAGCCTTTTCTACTGTCATTTCTCTGCTGGTACGAGTTGAAATATCCGTCTTGATGATTCTTGAGGGCTGGTATGCTGGATATAAAGCTCTTGTACGAGCAGCGACCCAGCCTTAACCCAGCCCATTGTACTTCATTTAGGCCTGCGCATTTCGTTCGTTGATGATCTCAATTTGCCTCTGCAGTCTCCACGGCACATCCATTTTATCCATGAAAACTTCAAGAACCTGCAGTCCAGTGGATCAGTAAACACTTTTCGTCCAGTCGTTCTGTTAAACAGGATACAGGGCAAGACAGACCTGGATTGAAGTTGGACGCTGATACTCTGGAAGGCTAGCCACCTCATCAAATTCCTTCTTCGTCCGTACTTCGCGAGTACAGGCTCGACCATTCTTAGCTCCGAAGAACTCGAGCATGGCAGAATGATTCCACACAGCTATGTCATTATATGCTTCGGTGGTTGTCAGTCGGACGCAGTCGTTCTCTGCAACCTTAGCTCAAAATGGTGACATACCTTCTTCAGGCCCATGTATAACCCTCTCAATAGTATAGCCATTGTTGTTGATCACAACACTGTGGGATGTCAGTCAGAGAAAACTTTCCGACCTGGGGGACACTGACATGAGGATGTTCTTCAAACCCAGCTTTATCATCGTTCCAATCTCCTGCACCGTCAACTGCAGACTCCCGTCGCCGACTACTAAAATCACTCTCCCTTCGCGTTGTTGCTCGCGATAGACAATGGCGGCCCCTAAGCAAGCCGGAACGCTGTATCCGATACTCCCATAGTACAGCTGCGTCAAGAAAGTAGCACCTTGAGGTAGGTGTGCGTCTGGAAGTCCGAACTGAGCAGTACCCGAATCTGCTATAAGAATGTCACCAGGTTTGCAAAACTCACCAAAGCGCGTCCATATCCACGATTGAGTAATCGAGTCTGAGTCAGCGTCTTTGGCTGGAGGCAGTGGGCTCCTCCCAGGGGCAGTAAGGCGTGGCAGCCTGGATTCATCGACACTCTTCAAGAGAGTGGACAAAACTGACATTATTTAGCATTTGAATACCGAAGCTGAAAGTGTCACCCACACTCTACCAGACCAATGTTACGATAAGCGACACCCCGAACGCTAACATGATGAGGGTGAACTTGTATCAATTTATGCTCTGCAATGCTCCGAGTGTGGCCACCCGTATTGGAATCTGACAGTAGAGGTCCAAGATCGAGGACCAGATCGCTCTGCTGTTCGACAGCTTCACACACTCCAGGTATCGAGACCTGTCCGTTATAAATTCCGCAAAAATATGGCTTCGTCTCATCGACGATACCTTTGCCAATCGAAGTCGAGTATGTGGGAAATTGCAGGAGATCCACCAGTTCGCGCGTAACGTCAGATCCAAGGTGGCGCGCCGTCAATCCATCGACAATTACTGCCGGGGCCTTCGCGTTGTAGAGCAGAGGTAGCGTGACAGAAATCGCAGACTCTCTGCTGAACTTGTCCGTGCGAGGCACCAGATCAAGTCCAGTTGATGGTTGATCAGGCACCCGTAGATGGACCATGTCTGAAGGAATAAAAATGTAGACTGGTAATGACTGTGCATAGCATTCATGGATGACCCTCTACGGAGAACATTAGCATAAAGCCAAAACATTTGAACCGACGACTTGACCCTACATCGATTTCACGAGCCGCTGTTGCAGGATTGTCCAGCCAACAATGAGCTGCCCGGACGTGTTGTGATGTTTTTTCGTAAACCTTTGCTTGATCAGCAGGATCCAAGATGTGAGCCAGCTCCAACTCATTTACCTTATGGTCAGGCGAAGGTCCCAAGCAGTGGTGTATCATCAGGTGTTTTTCCATGGCAGTCCTGCTTGTCGTTCCAACGATGTGTATCACTTTCACTTGTTCCGTGTACGACCCAGCGATACCATTGATTGCGCTTAGTTCGCCGACACCCATTGTTGTCACGACTGTTCCCAGTGAGAAAGGGTGGACGCAGAAGTGCACAAAGGATCACTGACGAACTCCTGGAGATCCGCTCACTCTGCAATATGCATCTGCGGCGTATGCAGCATTGAGCTCATTTGCATTTCCAACTTTGGTCGAGTGTCAGCGCAATGCCGTAAGGGAATCTTTGAGAGATTTCACCCCAACTCATGCCATCAACTTCATTGATGTAATCCAGTAATTCAAGGTTCATATCACCAGGGACGCCCATGATACTTCGAGTATTAAGGCTACGGATCCTATATGCAAGAATAAGTCACGTTATGCCATGCACTGAACGAGACTTACTTTTGCCATAGTAAAAGCCCCAAAGGGGTCCCGGGATTTGACATCTTGGTTTTCAAGCTCCAGGTTCAGGCCGCAGATTATGGTGTGTCTTTGAGGAATGCCACCGAGTCTGCCAAAGATGGTTTCAGAAGCGACGACAGCATCTACAGGCAACCCAGGACGTATTAGGATCTGGATCGGTGACATATCGCGTTAGCAGGGGGGCTCGCCGGTCAAGGTTGACGGAATGTCCCCGCTTGCGCACATTCAGATGGCCAACCCCTCAGAGACCGGAGAAGACCCATGTGGGAGAGGGGCGTTTTCGTGCAAGGCTGGAACTCCTATTTCCCCGCCCTTTCCTTCTGCTGATGCGGGGTTGGAGGGATATGGAGAATGTAAAATACTGGTCCGGCTTCACCAGCTTCGCAAGATCTCACGTGGCCTTTGCACCGTGCGGAACAGGGGAGTCTACCGTCTTGTGAAGGCTTTGTGCAACATCGACCTGCGTCTGATGGGTTAAATCAGTCCTTTCGCTTGGAAGTCGATCTTGCTGTTGTCGATTTCGACTGTCGCATACTGCAAAGATGGCGTGAGCACGCTCTTCCTGAACAATTGGTACATCGTCACTTAGAAGAGTTCCCGAAAAAAGGGCAGAGTGTTGTTCTCTCTGGTGAGGGCCATGAGCAAAGTTAAGAACTTTCTCTAATTCGTAGTCTTCCACGACCCAGTCGCCTTTATGGACCTCTAAATGACCAAGTGCTGAGCGAAGAAACCGAGCCTACAGGAAGGCGCATGAACGTCACCAGCCCTGATGATATCAGTCTGTTTCAACAACAAGACTCGAACGAAGGCTGCCTGATGATCTCCATATTGAACCGGAGACATGCAGGACTGCAGTAGTGGAAGCGACGTTGTAGCGCTCTGTTTGGGAAAGGTCACAACACATACCAACGCACTAGGATGCGACTACTGTCAGTAGCCTTGCGGGGAGACCTTGTGGTTCTCGTCTGCGTGAAGGGTCAATACCAACGAGAGTGGTAAATTAGTCAACAGGTATTTTGAACGACCGGACAATGATTAATTGACCCGGAAGTAGGCTACATCGCACTTCGCCGGTAAAGCAGTCTAGAACACCAGGCCGTCAAAACCAACGACCAGCATCGGAACCCGCAATATTCAACGGTGACTCAGTAGTCTCGACGCGGAGCCAGGCGTGCCAGGCTCAACGGATCCAAGGTCCAAAGGAGATACTGGGGCAAGCCGGGCCGAGGGTCCAACCAGCGCGGCGCCGGCAAACCAATGCACTGCAGGTCGGGAGTCTAATTTCGGAGCCCGTAGGACGGTTAGCACCTAAGTTATTCCAGGGACAAGGCCTAGGGAGCCCTGAATATCTGCACCTCAACTTTTTTTGGACCTCCGAAAATGGGAGCATGAGATTGGCTGAACAACGCCCTGTAAATGCATCACTCCCTGTAAAAATAAAAAGTTGAGAATCAACACACACACGATCAGCCCTCCGACGGGCATATTGATCAATCGTTCAATCTCTTTGCTCACCGCAGTTCAGCCACCGCAGATGTCCGCGCCTTTTGATCCAGAGACGGGCCTTTTGACTCCAGTTTAGGTATATTTACGGGCTATGTAGCCTATGCATACTCCACTCACTATTGGCTTTGCGACACATGTGTGACTCTTCGCCTTTTGCTCTCGTTTCCATATAACTCTCCCCCCTCCGGTTTCACCCATTTTCCAACTCGTTTTGCTAGCTCCTAACCTACAAGTGCCCTGTTTCGTCTCACTCGGAAGTGGTTTCATACCCGAGGAACTGCTCCTGTGCGTTTGGGCTTTAGACCACCGGTGTCGGACACTTGTCACACTGCTCAAAGATCCGAGCCGCTCACACAGACATCCTCCCGCATGCGCAGTCCGAATGCTCTACAAAATCTCCAGGCCATCCACCTCACGGCTCAACCTCAACCTCATCTCCTTTCTCCGATCCGCTAACATGTCTACCACTACTGCTACCCAGGCGCCCATTGCGCAGCACGTGGGCAACCTGGCCGCCGTCACTGCCACCACGCGTACAGCCCTCCATCATCATGCTCCCAAGCATACGCTTCCCATCGCTCATGTACCGAACCGTTCTGCTCACATGGACACCTCCCTCTCCATACCAGTCCGCAAATATCTTCAAACGTATGGCCTAACTCCTCCTCGTGTGGAAAGTTACGAGGTCCAGAAGCAGAGATGTTTGGCACAATTGGCTCTCAAAAGCTCCGACATTGAAAGGTTTCAATACTTGAGCGCTGTGAGATGCAACAATGTACATCTATTTTACAGGCTGTTGACAGATCATTTCAGCGAGCTGGCGCCGCTCGTGTACACTCCAACTGTGGGAGAGGCATGTCAAAGATGGTCTGAAATCTTCGTACAGCCCGAGGGCATGTACCTAAGTTTTGAGGATCGAGGCCACCTATCGAGCATCATACAAAATTGGCCTCAGCACAATGTGGAGATCACTGTCTTGACAGACGGATCTCGGATCCTAGGTTTAGGAGACCTTGGTGTTGGTGGTATGGGCATCCCGATTGGAAAGCTCGCACTCTACACCGGCTGTGCTGGTATTCGACCAGAAGGTACTCTGCCATTGACAGTGGACCTGGGAACGAGCAATAAGGCTTTGCAGCAAGATCCCCTCTACATGGGCAGTCGCAGGGACAAAGTGACTGCAGAGGAGGAGAAGGAGTTTCTCGACGAGTTGATGACAGCGCTGAAAGACAGATGGCCAGATATCGTCATTCAGTTTGAAGATTGGAAGAATCCCTTCCCATCTCTTGAGCGGTACCGCCAAGACTATGCCATGTTCAACGACGATATCCAGGGCACAGGCGCTGTGATCATGGGTGGTATCATCGGTGCTGTCAAACAGTCTGGCGTGGCTCCCAGAGACCACAGAGCGGTCTTTCTAGGCTCAGGCTCTGCTGGTGTTGGCGTCGCCAAACAGATTGTCGAGTACTTCATGCATGAAGGGTTGACCGAGGAGGAGGCCAAGTCCTGCTTCTGGCTTGTGGACAGCAAAGGCCTTGTCACGCAAGACCGAGGCGACAAGCTTGCAGACCACAAGATCTACTTTTCGAGAACCGACAACAATGGACAACAGTTCAAGTCTCTAGATGAGGTGATCGAGTACGTGAAGCCCACCATTATCATGGGACTCAGCACGATAGGTGGGGCTTTCACCCCCGAGATCTTGCAGAAGATGGGCAAGTGGAACGACAGACCTATAATCTTCCCACTATCCAATCCGTCTAGCAAATCTGAATGTACATTCGAGGAAGCGATCACCAACACCGAGGGACGTGCCCTGTTCGCATCGGGCTCGCCGTTCCACCCCGTCATGTATGGTGGCAAGATGTATCACCCTGGCCAGGGAAACAACATGTACGTCTTCCCAGGAATCGGGTTGGGTACGATTCTTTCGAAAGCTGTTCAAGTCACGGAGAACATGATCTACGCCTCTGGAGAAGCTCTACCAACCATGATTACCGAAGAAGAAAAGCAACTTGCACTGCTGTATCCTTCGATCACACGCATTCGCGATGTCAGTGCCCGTGTTGCATTATATGTCATTCGTGCTGCACAAAGGGACAATGTCGACCGATTACACCATCTTCGGGAGATGGATGATGCCGCATTGGAGGCATGGATCAAGGACAAGATGTATGATCCCCATAAGGAGACTGGAGAGCTGGAGAATGAGGTGCGCGTGCTTGTGGAGGACATGGCTGCCACTACCGCCTCTCCGAGGTTGTGAGCTGCTTGCCTATAGGCGTGAATATTTGCAGATACCCTGGTAGCTTGAATGTTGGGAATGGCTGGATCCTTTTCCTTGAGCGTCAAAATAGAATTTCTGGTCAACTATCCATAGTGCTAGACTGTTATGATGGTGCTAAGATAAATAAAAGTGTATTTGTTGAACGTGCACTGGAGGCTACGATTGAATTTCAGCCTTGTGTTGACTTTGTCACATGTTGCCGGGCAACACCTGCCAAGTGGAATTCGGAATTCGTCGATTCGAGTGTTGCGATCGCGCTCTCGTTGCGGAGACTCCAAAGGGACCGCATTACTTTCACGTAGAACACTTCTCATGCGAGTTGTGCAACCACTCCTTCTCTTGCAACTTCAGTCGAGTTTGATCTTGACGAACTTCACAAACGCAACACTTCGTTCTCCTACCTTACCATCCGTCCTCCCACCTTTCTGTCCACGGGTGAACAAGTGAAGGTGAGCCTTGATCCCGTGGCCATAGAAACCGGCAGTCAATCCCAGACCGTCAATAAAAGAGACACTTTGACCAACGTATGGAATGTTCAGCAGGACACATACAACAAGAACCGCTACCACACTTCCTATCCTCCATCACACCGAGTCACCATCTGAGATGGCCTCGTTGTTGACCACAATGTACGAGTTTCTCAATTCTTCTCCTTCCGCGCAGCCTCTCAATCCACACTTGACCTTTAAACAATCCTCTTCATGTGTTACGATCAATTCCTATACTTTTCTCGAGAATAATGACCACACTTCTACTACGTCTTCTCCTTCTACACCCTCACGCGCCGCCCAGCTGCTACGTCGAGGACTGAACTCCCCTATTGACACACGTTCTTCGCCTTCTAGCAATGCGCGTACCCGTGGCCAATTCAAACCGCAGCGGGCAAACAAAGGAACATCAAGCTATCAGCTGAGACAGTTCGCCGAAGCGACACTAGGCAGTGGAAGTCTGAGAAAAGCTGTCAAGCTACCTGAAGGCGAGGATCTGAACGAGTGGCTGGCTGTCAATGGTAAACATACACAACCAGGCATTTGGCACAACTGATTGTTTGGGAAACAGTCGTCGATTTCTACAACCAGATCAACCTCCTCTATGGGTCCATCACAGAGTTCTGCTCGCCGCAATCATGTCCAGAGATGAAAGCCACAGATGAGTATGGAGACCCCTTAAGGCACCACAGAAAGGCTGCATGCTAATATTCATATTTCTTCTAGATTTGAATATCTATGGCAAGATGCCGCCACCGGCTACCCGAAACCCACCAAGATGCCTGCCCCAGAATACATCGAGCACCTCATGACCTGGGTCCAATCCAATGTCGACAACGAAGCAACCTTCCCCTCGCGCATCGGTGTCCCTTTCCCGAAACACTTCCCATCAACAGTCCGCCAATTGTTCAAGCGTCTCTATCGCGTCTACGCACACATTTACTGCCACCACTACCAAGTCATCGTCCATCTCGGTCTCGAGCCGCATCTCAACACCAGTTTCAAACACTATGTACTCTTCATTGATGAGCATGGTCTCGAGAAGGGTGGTGGCAAGGACTATTGGGGCCCATTAGGCGACCTGGTCGACAGCATGTTGAAGAGTGATTAGGGATTGAAGCTGGAAAAGCACAAATGACATGGGGAGTTGGAGAGGCAATGGGATCCAGCCTGATGTGGTATGATTTTGTACATGTATGGAGGATACGGCGTAAGTGGTCTGTAATGATGGAGTCCTCACTTGACGATTGTTGCGATGATGAGCGCTTATGGCCCAGGTTAGGCTTTTAAAGCATGCGTGTTCAAGGAGATGCAGTATGGCCATCATAACGATTCGTTTGCAGCTAGGATCGAGTTCCTGGACAGGTTGTAAAATTAGACGAAGTACAGCATGACATCTTGACTACTATGACGATGTGCTCTTTTCTATGAGACGTGGGATGACTAGACCATGAATTGTTGCTTTCTTTCGCGCTCGAGGAGGTTTGACGGAAAGAAGGCTACGCAACCATGTCGACTGGTAGTAACGTCTAATCCTAGGAGGACATTTTGGGCCGAAAGATGTGTGTAGCTTCGAGCTGCACAGGTACACGTACACGCACCCTGACCTTGGGATATCGAATTCACAGGAATGGCTCGAGCAGACCATCACCAGTAACCTCTTCTTCCATACCCTCCGCCAAAGCCGCCACGACCCCGACCGCCTCGAGCCATGTCATCGCTATGCAACCTCCCGCCGCCACGAGGGACCGAGCCTGGACCTCCGAAGGACCCCCGTGGTACTCCGCCAACACCGTTGCCGTAGTGCGACGGGCGCGAGTTGTAGTTCTCTGGTCTGTGATCGCCTCGACGGTATGAGCCAGAGCCCGAGTCTCGCTCGTCGCGGCGCTCGTAACGGTCGCTTTCCCTGTCACGGTCGCGTGCTCTGTCTCTATCACGATCTCTTTCTCTCTCCCGATCCCGGTCTCGATCCGGCTCCCGTGGTCGGTCGCCTCGTCTCTCTCTTTCGTTATCGTAATCTTCGTGTCTTTCGTCTCTGCCATCTCTGGATCTTCGGTCACGATCATCGTACGTTGACGCAACCCCCTCATTGTCCATCTCCACATCTTCCATGGCGTTGCCGTCGACTGGCTGACTCGAAGCTGCAGGCTCTTGAGCTGGCGCGGCGTCTATCTCGCTGGTCTGTACGAGAGGTGCAGGCGCACTGTCGGTTTGCTTTAGGTAGAGATGCAAAACCCTGCCGTCTGCCCGCTGGTTGTTGTACGTGGAGATCACTCTATCTGCGATTCCTCTCTCGGAGAACACCATCTCTGCAACGACAGCTGGATTGGTAGCGATGACACGACAGGATAACATGCCGTTGCCGCCATTGTCATCCACGGTGTCGCCTTGTAGGGCTGATTCGATATCTGCGGCTGTTGTTCCTGGCGCGAAGTTGCTGGCTTCGACGGTGAAAGGGCCTGCTTTGCCTTTTATACTGAGACCCTTTCCTGCGGGACCGCGCGGCGTAGATACAATGTTCACCTGTGGCGAGGCAAGGGCAGATGCCAGTCGCGAGGAGCGCGCATTTTGAGGAGTGGTGGAGGCCGGCCTCGAAGGAGGATTTCTGGGAGAGCTGGATCTCGCGACGGAGTTTGAGCGCTGTAGCAGCAGTTCGTATCAGTGAAACTGTCCTTTACACTGTTCGCATGATAGGGGCCAGTGGCCTGCAGCATAGGCTCTCGCGCTGTCGAGTGGATGTATACCTTTGTAATTCTGCTTGCGAGATCATTTGTTCTGGGTGTAGCCTTCGCTGGTCGGGTGTTTTCCTTCTGTTTGTTCTTTCCGAAGATCTCGTTCGCTAGGGCTTCATTCTTCCTCCGTTGTCGATCTGTATCGTGGTCAGCTGCGCGTATGCAAGATAGAGTGGTGTTGGTGATTGGTACCAGCTTGGATGATCGAATCGAAAGAGACTGCGCCTTTGGTATTCGACATGTTTAGAAGAGAGTTGCGGCGATACTCTCTACTCCCCGATGCTCGGAGGTGTTTACTCAAGCAAGTGCAGACATACGAAATGGTGATTGCGGGTCTAGAATTTCCATCGGTAAGCGCGATCTTTTTGCCCTACTGCACTGTAGGGAAGTCGGAGCTTTAAGTCAGGGTCCGCCGCGCTGCGCTGCCTGTGAAAAAGCTCCCCGGGCGCGCAGGCTTGGCGACATCAAATGTTTCTCCAATTGATGCTGGGTCGCAAATGTTTGACTTCCATCGCAAAGTCATAAGAACCATTTTGTACATCCTGCTGTCTGCTTGTGGCTGCTGTCGACTGACCCAGGAATCGGACACAACATCAACCCAATCGCACTTGCGCCTCAGCCGAGCATTTCTGGCTGTTGCCCATCGCGATGGCCTCTGCCCTTCGACCTGTTCTTCGGCCGGTTCAGCTACCCAGTCTACCCTCTTCGAAAGCTACCACCACATATATCTGCCAGTCATGTAGGCATGCGCGACTATTAAAAAGACCGAAACGACCTTATACCTTTACTCAGCTTGTGACAATGTCCGACGGAAGTGCTTTCACGATGCGAACCACATCACCGGTCCCCGTCTACAGATCGACACGAGACACAAGGAATTCGCCATTATGGAACCCCAGTTCGAAGGAATTATTGAGTGTGGAAGACGATGAGGCTGGGCGCTTGGCAGGGTTTCGAGCAAGATTTGGTACGGGATTCGACAGCGCAAAGAAGGGGAAGGATCAAGATACAGCCGACGCTGATGTACCTGCTTCCCCTGCTGTGTCTGCTACGACGTCTAGGCCAGAAGGCAAAGCTGCCAAGCAGCCACTGTTCGAGGACGAGAACAACGATTTCACGGAGGACGACACCAACCTGCTGGAGCTCATCAGTTCGTTTGGTCAGGAGAATGCCCAACCCAATAAATCAGGATCTTCCAAGAAGGGTGGGAAAAACTGAGAACAAAGGCCCCTTTCCAGATTATTCTTACCAGCGGCGCTTGTATACTATGGCGGAAATTCGATAGCAAGGGTTCGCACCAATTGATAGGGTCATGTCAGGCACCACATGCATGCACATGGCCATATGGATCAGTGGAAGCCTGCGTACTAGCCTGTTTAGCTACTCGCAGCAATTCTGTCCCATATAATCAGGCATCACCCGCTGCAAATATTTCATGAACTTCCACATTCCGACCGCGCTTTCTTTGTTGCCCAGAGGATCTGTGACGGCCTCGGGAAAAGCAATGCCCGCACCGAGCAAGCCTGGTATGCTATCTCCTTGTTCATTCCGAAACAGCCCTGTAGTGCCGTCGCTGGACAATTTGTCAACACGTTGGTTGTCCACTTGAACAGCCGGTAGGGGGTCTTGTTGATAACCTATCGCGTACACTAGATGTGAGCAGCTGGGAAGGTGCTGCCGATATGCTTCGGGCTCGTTCTTAGAACAATCGACCCTCTCAAGAAATCGACTGGTGGGTGGTCGTGTCAGAGGTTCGTCTTCAAGGTATTCGCGCGCAAAGTCCGCCGAGGCGCCCTTCAGGCCAGTGTTGTCGCGTAAGATCCAGTCGCCCATGTCTTTGGCATATGTCAAAGGGCGCCGCGTGAACCATTTGACTCTCAAATGTGGATGAGTGGTTGTGGCCATCTTGAAGAGGCCCATGATGACCACAATTGCACTATGAGACGCACCGACGATCCCGATGGTCGAGTCCTTGTGCGTCGGGAGCGTTTCTCGAAGTTTCGTTCTGTCAAGCGCGGAGTCGAGATCAATGACGCTACATGACGATGGCAGCCAGGAAGGAGGCTGTGGATCTGTAGGAGACGAGCCCGTACATAGTATCACCTTCCGCGAGTTTATGTTGATAATCCTTGATGAAGGATCAGCGGCAGATACCTTGACAGACCAATGCTGAGTCTAGAATGTGTTAGCAATGTGCATGGCAAAGAGGTGAGCGCTAGACCTGGCTATTCAGCTTGACCTCCTCAACCTTTCCAACCTGGCCATCAACATTCGGAAGCCGTCGAAGCCCATTAGTTATCATCAAGCACAGGTCGTGCGCATAGCTCAAATCGCAGCCTGCATTGGGGTCGAGACTTTCGAGGGCAGAGATGGCATTTGGTTTTGGCGTTGATTCGATGATATGTCGAAATGGTTCCAAGATGTACGCGTACTTTAGGAACAATGAGACTTTGGTATTACTACAGAAAAAGTATCAGTGCTCGTGGTCCGAAGCTCTTCATGAAGATCAAGGAACAGAATCCTTGAACGTACCTCGAAACTTGTCGATATTTCTTTAGCCTTCCGCCCTTGAAATCTGGGTCAATCCAAAAGACATTCGTAGCGGGATTGCAGTCTAGGATGTTGCCCAGCACTGCGATACCTGCTGGGCCACTGCCAACTACGGCAACATCATAGGTGTTCTGGATGCCTTTGGCGTCTTGGTCTTCCATGAGACTCGAGGCAAACCGGACACTGACGTGAGATGAACGAAATGAAGTCGAGATCCATTGTGGCGACCAGCACCGGGGTGCATTCAAATAAGCAACTCGGGGAGTAAGATGGATCATTCTTCTGATATCTGCCGACAACTCTTTGTTGATAACTACATGTCGAGCCACCGCATTGGATGGTCCTCGAGCAAGCGAGGATTCCTCACAATGTGGCGGCAGGTATCACAGTCGTCCCATTGTCGACTCACAGGTTGACGCGGTCGGGTTCTGGGGACCCCCTTTGTGGATCCCCTAGCCTTGGCGTCGGGCTTCAGGTGAACCTCTACATTCATTGGCAGATGGCAAGGTGACAAGGCTGAACTTGATCGGAGGGGCCGAAAGCTAGGAATATTTTCCCAAGATCTTAACATATCCTCCAAAGCGGCTCCGAAGCGACCGACAATGGCCGAAGAACTTCACACAGGTATGTTCGCGAAACGGGTCAGAGGATCAGGAGCACCAAGAACAAGTTCAAGTCTGACAACAGATAAGGATTTTACTTCACGCCTACACTGCACAAAGACACATATCCTGCCATCGACCCGACCAGGTGTGATCTCAGTGGTAAATATGTATTCATCACGGGCGCTTCTAAGGGCATAGGGCGAGCAACTGCACTATCCTTCGCTCGAGCCGGATGCAGCGCCCTGGCACTTGGCGCACGGTCGGACTTATCTGAGGTCGAGGAACTCGTGACACGAGCAGCGACTGAGGTTGGAAAACCGGTCCCGAAGATCTTAATCGTGAAGCTCGATGTCGCGGACCAGGCCAGTGTCGACCAAGCCGTGGCCAAGATATCATCTGGATTCGGCAGACTCGACATCCTTGTCAACAACGCCGGGTATTTGGAAAAGCGGGCCAAGATTGCCGACAGTGATCCGTCTGAGTGGTGGAAGACCTGGTCTGTCAATGTTCTGGGACCTTACCTCGTCACTCGTGCATCGCTGCCGCTCATGCTCGGCACGGAAGATTCATCGAAGATCATCGTCAACCTGTGCAGTCTGGGAGCACACTTATTGGCACCCGGAGCATCGGCCTATCAGCCCAGCAAGTTGGCAGTGCTGAGATGGACAGAATTCCTTGACGTGGACCATAGATCGGACGGTGTGCTGACCTTCGCGTTGCACCCTGGAGGTGTTCTGACCGACATGGGTCAGCGGTTGCCTATCGAGAGACAGAGTGCCTTGACTGAAACGCCTGAGTTGGCAGCCGACACTCTCGTCTTCCTGACGGAGAAGCGGAGGGAGTGGCTGGCAGGCCGGTACATAGCTGCAACTTGGGACATGCCCGAATTCCTGGCCAAGAAAGAGGAAGTCGTTAGCGGAGACAAGCTGAAAGTGCGCATGGTCGTGTAGACCTCATCCCCTATGCCGCAGTATATAGACTTAGAGATTATCCACGTCAGGCTTCAATCATCTGCTGCGAATGGTGGGGATTGTGCAATAACTAGGAACCATCGGGCTTCGCAGCCTTGCGGGCAGAGATATCCTCAAGACGAATTCTGTGGCGTGAAAACGCTATATTTGACGGCGTCGCAAGACTTTCCCAGTGTTTGCTCTTAGCAGACAGTACATCGATATCTCTTTGCACCCACCAGTCTTCGAAGTCAGGAGGCCAATAGCCGTCTGTTTCCGCGCCCGAGTGCCAGCAAACCTTTGTAGCCAGCCATAGTAACCCTTGCCACGCGGGTTGATCTCATAGAGAAGGGATTTCCGTGAGACGGTATCGTAACGGGAAGGTCGTATTCACGCTTGCGAGGGCAAATCGCAAAAGAGTCGAAGTGGGAGGAGGGTGAGTCGCGGGTAGCGGTGCTTTTGAACAACCGTAGTCGCGGTGGTTGGCGGCGAGAGCTCGGGGTAGTTTCCCAATTAAAGTGCACCGGAGTTTAGATAATCCTCAAGTTACGTGGTTGCTCTCCGCATTCTTGAACTCCCTACTGCAGGCACACCACGTTTTCAATTCCAGCCGATCAGTTGTTATTCAAGGGAAGTCTAAAGCGGTGGCAGGACAGGCGAAGATGGATATCGACTCGCCGTGGGACGGTAAATGGCCTGCGTTGCTTCCACCGGATCACATGCTGATTGTCGCGCAGATGTACCGTCTAAAGCGCAGTCAGATATACCGCAAGAGTCAACAGATAAAGAGAACCATGCCAGCAGTATGCGCGTTCTTGCGGAATCAGTTTGGATTGCTGCTGATACTAGCCAGACGCCTCAACTCCCTCGAAGCCTTCCAGCAGCGGACCTCGACCCTCCTCGTCCCGGAAGATACCTGCCCGCAAGATTGAAGTCCAATCAACGAAGCTAGAGGCAGTGGATGATGCTTTAGATCCCCTCGGACCTCTAGGGACAGAATCAGCTCCCGCTGCGCCTTCACTACCAGCAGAACAAGCTCCGACGCCACCGAAGAAGGAAGTCGGTGCAAGGACACCGCAGCCAACGTCTACATCATCTCCGGGTAGTGCGCTTTCTGAATATGAAGACACCACGCTACCGATAGGAAGACCCAAGGGTCCGCCTCCAGTCCAGTCACAACCTGCAGGTGCTTCTCGCCAGACTCAGCCAAGCGTGAGCGTTGAACAAGCTGCAAAGCCGACCTTTGACATATCAGTGGGAGATCCGCATAAAGTGAGTGATCTGACAAGCAGTCACATCGTCTACCAGGTTCGGACGAAGGTAGGCCATTCATGATGACCCGGTTGATGCGCAAACTCACGTATCTAGACTACATCAAAAGCATACAAACAACCCGAATTCGCAGTCACCAGACGTTACCGAGACTTTCTATGGCTGTATAACGCTTTACATAACAATAATCCTGGAGTCGTGGTTCCTCCACCACCAGAGAAACAGGCTGTTGGTCGATTCGATAACGAGTTCGTAGAGTCGCGTCGACAAGCGCTGGAGCGGATGCTCAACAAGATTGCTGCTCATCCAATACTACATCACGATGCCGATTTGAAGATATTTCTCGAGAGCGAAGCGTTCAACATCGATGTCAAGAACAAGGAAAATCGGGAACCGGACTTGGGTCAGAACAAGGGCATGCTGAGTTCGCTTGGGATCAACGTCGGTTCATCGAGTGGCAAGTTTGTGGAGCATGATGATTGGTTCCATGACCGCAAGATCTATCTTGACGCGCTTGAGAATCAGCTTAAGGCACTGCTGAAAGCTCTCGACACGGTAGTTATCCAACGAAAAGGGCTCGCTGAAGCTGCAGGAGAGTTTGCAGCGTCGTTGAACAAATTGGCTCAAGTTGAACTCTCACCGATATTTTCTGGACCTGTACAGGGTCTCGCAGATTTGCAAGTTCGAATCCGGGAATTGTATGATCGGCAAGCACAGCAGGATGTTTTGACTCTGGGTATCACAATTGACGAATATATTCGACTGATTGGAAGCGTGAAACAAGCGTTCACGCAAAGACAGAAAGCATTCCATTCCTGGCATGCTGCAGAGAGTGAGTTAGCCAAGCGGCGAAGCGCACATGAGAAGCTGCTACGGCAGGGTAAAAGCCAGCAGGACAAGTTGAACGAGGTTGGTGCTGGAGTCAGCGACGCGGAGAAGAAGGCGCATCAAGCTCGCCTATTGTTCGAGGACATGGGTCGACTCATGCGAGGGGAATTGGAAAGATTTGAACGGGAGAAGGTGGAGGATTTTAAGAGTGGTGTTGAGACTTTCTTGGAGGGGGCGGTCGAAGCTCAAAAAGAGGTAAGTTCATCCATCCTTGACCATTAAACGTGCTCTAACACAGTGATCAGTTGATTGAATTGTGGGAGACGTTCTTATTACAGATGGATGCCGAAGAGGAGGCTCCTATCAAGTCACCGCCGCCAATGTCGGTTCAGGCACCAGCAGCAGAGCACCCCGATCCAGCCAACGAGAGCCACGACGAGACTGAAGCGACACCTGCGACAGCAACGGATGTAGCTTTAGAGCAGGATGCGTGATATAAGAGCTCATGGCCATCAATGAAATCCTTTGAAGACAAAGATCAAGCAGAAGTACAGGAGGGATTGCTGGTCAGAAGTCACCAACCCTGTGCAGAATGCTTTCTTTCTTTCTCTCCTCTTCTCACTTTCGTCTTTCTGTCGTCGCACTAGATACCCATCTCAACACCCTTTCACTCTCGCACCTGTCGCCGCGGCGATCACACTCACTTGGCACCGTTCGCACTACTCTTTATTTGCGTTCATTTTACCCTTTTCGGCGGGCTTGAAGTGCTCACCATCGCAAACATTCATTACTCCCAAGCGACCTATCTCAGCATCAACAATTCACAGCGGACGGCCAACTCTTTTGCACTCCCTGAACATTCTCCGCCTATTGTTAGGACGACGACGGTATTGGATAGCATTCCGGACAAAGGTTGGTAACTACTCACGCTTTCACTTCCCTGCGCTGCAACTGACGACGATATCAGAGCTCTTCCCCGACGTCAAGCAGACATCGTCCTCTTTCGGTCGTCACAATGGCAGCACCATGGGACTATGGCTCGTTTCAGCCTCCTTTGACGTCGGCTCCTGCATTGGAAGGACCGTTTCTGTCGTCCATACTTAGCGCTGCATCAGAACCAGGTTTTTTCACCTCGGCTTTCGAACCACCAATTCCCACAATCCAGGTTTCTTCCACTCTGACAAGAGCTTCCTCTACACCACTCACTTCCATCACGTCGACTCCGCAGTTGAGCGAGCTTCTACCCCAGGAGTCGGCCTTGTCATTCGCGGTCAGCAGCAGTACATTCAATACTTCGACCACCTCAACTACGACAGAAGGGAACAATTCGACCTTAGGCTCAAACTATGCACCGTTGTCTGGATTTGCGACCTCGGTTTCCACCAGCATCCTTACCGTCAGTGATCTGTCTACCTTCGGCCTTCCCTCTACTGTCAGCGATCTGTCTACAGTGAGCCTTCCTTCTACCGTCACCGTTTCTGCCGCCCCTTCTTGGGCAAGACCACCACATCCGCCATCCGGGAAGCCTGGTCTGCAACCATCGAATCCTGATGAAGCCACCACATCCACACAAGGTTCCACTACCACCTATGTGATTCTCGGAATATTGTTGGCGTTTGGGATCGGGGGTGCGTTCATCACGACTCCATCAGTTGTGCGACAAGTCAAGAAGTGTTTGACTCAAAGGGAGCCATAAGCAAGAGGTGGTGAATCGCATGGACAATATGAAGATGTCGAGTGCAGTGTCACGAATGCGGGCGATGCAATGATTGTGAACGTCATGTGATGTATGCACAATGCAGTGTGCCATCGGTTTGTATCGAAGGCTTCCTGGGACATAATTATGGTAGGCTGGCCCCGTTGCTCTCTTGCAGGACCTCGCTACAAAACCAGGGACTCAGCTTCGGTGTGTATGAGTATGGCTCCAGCTTCAAGACTTACCACAGACGCATTGTGGTGGAAGAAAGAGTCAAGTGCAACCAGTGTCAAATTAGAACCATAGGTCAATGTCACCTTTTCTTGCTTTGTCGACCGCCCTTTCCACTCATTTCGTGGTGTTGTAGGCAGTTGCCGCACTACAGGTAGGTTATCTTAGGTGGGGAAAGTACCTCGGTCTCATTTTTCATTTCAGTATAAGCGTCTGCCATTGCACCACCTTGATTGACCAGTACGTTTACTTCTCGCTATGACCCTGAAACTCCACGAGCTGTCACCCTCTGACCCGGTAGACCAAAACCTGATCCCAGCTATTGCAAGGGTACATCTCACAGCCTGGCTGTCCAACTCGCTATATGAAGCGATTTACTACGGTCCACCATCGAGCCATGCCCGGATCATCGAAAACAATCGACGGCGACACTCTAAGACTCTCACATCAGAACCCAGCAGTCGTTATGCAGTGGTTTTAGACGATGGGGCCTGCGGCGATAATCCGAAAAGGCACAGTGAGCAGACAGGTCCTGACCCCAACCACCTCATTGCCTGGGCCAAGTACGACATCTTCGAGAGGCCAGAGGCAGAGGAAGAACGACAAGACACAGGAGAAATCAAATACCCACCTTACACCAACCTACCGCTGGCCAACCACTTCTGGGACTTGATTGTGCAATCACGACAGCGTGTTGGAAAGTCGCTCGGGGCCCATGTTAGTGTCGATCAGCTCGCGACAGACCCAGATCACCATCGACGTGGAGCCGGTCGCATGTTGATGGAACATATCGTGAAGAAGGCCGACGAACTAGGCTTGCCAGCTACACTCGAAGCTAGCCCGCAGGGTATGAACCTGTACACTTCGGTGGGTTTCGAGCCGGTTGATGAATTCTGGGTCGATCTGCTTCGCTTTGAAGGTGGCGAAGACAAAGGGGAAGCATGGTCGAAAGAACAACATCGAGTGCCTGGCCAAGGACCTGGCTGGTACAAGCAAGTTGCTATGATACGACAGCCTCGGAAGACAGAGTGACTGGTCCGAAAATATGCACTTGGTGCCTTGTAAGGCCGGTCATGCTGGTGGTGTCGAGGCAGGATGAGTCACTTACGAAATGGATGTCGACAAAAGGAGGTTTATCTGTTGTCGAGTCATGAGCCTAGCCCCCCCATGGGCCATTATTTTCGCTATAAAATAGGGAGCAAATCATGATTGACCCCCCGGACTTGGCCGCCAAAAGACTGGAATCCACTCCCACTGCAACCGGAGACACAGGCTAAGATAAGAGCCTAGCGCCACAGATAGCATCGCATCATGTATAATTTTGGCAGAAAATTGCGATCAGTAAGCATTACAGAACCTCGTTCGTCGTAACCGCCTTCTCAATCTTGCGAATATCGTCCCCCGTGAGGCCTAAGACCGAGAACTTGCGACTCGCTTCACAATATGCGACGAGGGTGATCACGAAAGATTGTGCGATATTAGCTTCCACCACCGAGCCCGTCCTATTTGTTCGTGTAAAAACGATATCAGAAGATGGACGAGACTCAACCACTACTCCCAGATGCCGACAGCGACCAGTTGCCGAAGCTACACGGTGCCAACGTGGTCGACTTCGATCCTGACGGTGACGCGGAAAACCCTCAAGAATGGCCCCGAACTTACAAATGGGGCATCGTGGCCTTGCTTGCATCAACAGCCTTCACTGTGTAAGTCGTATTTGAGGGAGGCTGCCGAAACATCAAGGCCGTACGGTGAACGTAACAACTGACACTCGTCCAGGACATTTACATGCATATCGGTCGTGCCCGTCGCCAACCGCATCGTCAGCGACCTCAACCACGGCCAGTCCAGTAAATCCGCGAGTGTCCTCCTCGTGACGATCTGGGAACTCGGCGAGGCGGCTGGTCCGCTGTTGATTGCACCACTCTCTGAAGTTTACGGACGTTACCCTGTCATGAACGCAGCGAACATTCTATTCATTTCCGCCACGGTTCTTGCGGCATTGTGCCAGAGCACACCGCTATTCATCGCAGCCCGAGCCCTGACCGGTCTGGCCGTCGCTTCTAATGTGTTAAGTCCGGCCATCGTCGGCGACATGTTCATCTCCGAGCAGCGCGGCACGGCGATGAGTTATATCATGCTCGCACCACTGGTGGGGGGAGCCGTTGGGCCGGCAATCGCCGGTGCTATCGCCCAGAGTCTTGGGTGGCGAAAGGTCCTTTGGATGAGCGCCATACTCGCTGGTCTTTGTGAGATCTTGTTTCTGTTTTGTTCGCGCGAGACGTACAAGGTCGCAGTCCTCCGACGACGGGCGGCGAAGCTCAGAGAAGAGACGGGCAATAAGTCGGTGAGGACTGCTTATGACGATGAAAATGAGTCGGACTCGCGGAAGTTTTGGAACTCGATCATGCGCCCGGCCGTGGTATTCAGCGATTCGATCGTCTTGCAGATGCTCGCTATTTATGGGTCGTTGGCGTTCTCGTATTTCTACGTCATGTCGACTACGCTGCCGGATATTCTGGAGGGGTTGTATCATCTTAGCCCTGCTTTGACGGGGTCTTCGTTTATATGTTTCAGTGAGTCACCCAACATTCCTTCCTCTCCGCCAGCTTGATGCATGGCATGACTGACATTCTTGCTACAGGTATTGGTTCCACGGTCAGCCTCGTCATAGTCAATTTGTTGCTGGACAGGATTTACATCAAATTGCGCGAAGCGCACAAGGGGATTGAGCAGCCTGAACACCGTCTCCCGCTGGTCATAGTCGGAGCTTTCAGCATGCCCTTTGTCATCGCGCTGTACGGCTGGATTCCGGCACTCGGACTGCCGCTACCGCTCATGTTGATCTGCCTTGGCACATTGGGAGCTACTATGTTGCTGGCCTTCATGCCACTGATGGCTTACGTCGTGGATGCTTTCAAATTGTATTCGGCGAGCGCGTTGACCGCGCTCATCGTGGTTAGGTGTCTTGTTGGCACGTTTCTGCCATTGATTACGGAACCATTAATCAAGGGCCTGGGTTATGGATGGGGATTCACTGTACTGTGTGCAGCGAGTTTCTGCGTCGCGCCGATTCCGGTCCTGGTGTTCCGGTATGGAGCGAAATGGAGGCAGCGGTCGACTTACACTAAAGAAGAGTAGGGTTCAAAATGATGGATGATTTGCATACGGCGTTGATTTGGGGGTCATCATCCAAAGCGTTGGCCTTCGGTGTTGGCATTTTTAAGACATAGACAGACATGTAAAGACGTATACATAGAACAAGAGCTTAGATGCGACATCTGGAACAAAAATGGCAGGTAGACTTATCGGTTGACTCTGTGCATTGACTGGACATTACTTTACTGTCGGCCTCGACACGAGGAACTACCCGCGGTAGGTAGCTAGGATCCCAGAGGCCGTAAACGAATACCAATACTATGCAACACTTTACATGAAGAAATATAACCCATGAAGAAATCCCATCCCAATGCAATCACCCCTCGCACATCACTTAAGAGTCGTAAGACGAAGAGCAAGTGCCAGAGCAAGTGCCCTTGTACGAGATCTGGCCAACACCGGTGCCGATGATGGAGCCAAGTCCGCTGGTTTGCCAGCAGAGAAGGTAGTCGGAGCTGGTGGAGTCAGAGACCCAGATGGTGGCAGTGCAGTCGGCGTTGTCATCGCAAAGAGCAATGCAGTCGGCGAGCGAAGCGACCGAGGTACCATAGCTTTGTTGCCAGAAGGTGGCGTCGGTGGTGCTTGCATGGCTGTCGCAGTTGACAGTGTAGTCGCAGTCGCACGAGCCGCCACCGGAGACGGTCTCGCCGGCGGAGGCAGGGCAGCTGGCGGCAGCAGCAGCGCTAGTGGTAGTGGTGCTGGTGGTAGTGGTGGTCGTAGCGACCGTGGTGGTGGTTGCAGGCTTGGTGGTTGTCAGAGCGCTGGTGGATTCGCTGCTGGTGGTGGTCCAGTCGAGCCATGTGGAGGCTCCTCCGGTGCTGCTGCTGGAAGCGGCAGTGGTGGTGGTAGTCTTCTTCGTGCTTGTGGTGCTGCTGCTTGACTCCCAGTCAACCCACGTTGGGTCAACGGTGGTGGTGGTGGTAGTAGTGGTCCAGTCCAACCAGGTCTCTTCAGCTGAGGAAGAAGTCGTGGTGGGCTTCTTGGGCTTGCTGCTGGTAGTGGTGGTGGCCTTGGTGGTGGTCCAGTCTACCCAGGTAGGGTCGACGGTGGTGGTGGTCGTGGTCCAGTCTACCCAGGTAGGGTCAACAGTGGTAGTGGTAGTAGTCCAGTCCACCCAGGTCTCTTCAGCCGAGGAAGTCGTGGTAGACTTCTTGGCAGAGGAGGTGCTGGTGGTCGAGGCAGACCAGTCTCCCCATGTTGGGTCGGCGGAGGAGGCGGTGCTCGTGGTCCAGTCGGCCCAAGCTGGGTCGGGAACCCAGGTGGTCTCTCCGTAGTATGTCTCGGTGACAATCTTGCAGACCTCATCGGCGACGACGGAGGATGCCAGGAGGGCAGATGCCAGGATGGCGGTGGTGGATGATCGGACCATGATTACGGTTGTTTTGGGGGATGCTGGTTCAAATGAATGACTAGAGCTCGTATGAGACTCTTGAGGAACCTGTTTGGTAAAGAACGTAAGGACACAAAGGTCGGGTGTGTTGGAGCAGGGCGTCGTGCAAACAGAAAAGAGAACGAAGAACAGGCGAGGGCCGCGGTAGTGTTTTATTTACTGTCAGTCTGGGCAGCCAATTTGCGCGTGCTATACACCAAAACGCCTAACCCACCTGATGGGGGCTAGACAGCGGAGTGACATTTTGGGTTGGTAGTCGAACTTTGCTTGGTCGAGGGTTTCCACTCTAACTTACGGATCTGCTCCCAAGGCTGTCCAATCGTCTTGCTTGAGGGCACAAACGTGAACGGCTTCTCATCAGGCGATTCGGCAGTCAGGGGTCTGCCATGTTCTGCAAGTTGGAACGATGGCTGAAAATCTGGAGAAACATCGAAGAGATTGAACCGCCGCCCCCAGATTGGAGGATTGAAACCTACCGGTATGGCAACCACAGACGAAATTGTCGTGACATTTTAGACTCGCCAAGGTTCGAACAACGAAAGAAGAAGCGGTATGGGGTGCAGCCTGTCTTTCTGTCGCCGGTCGAAAGACTCTTTTCAGGCGTAACGAAGCGTTGCGATGTGCATTGCAGAAATGAAGCCTGTCAGAACGGGGAAGGGGCCTTTGCCGGCACCAGTGACGACTGCTCATGCCCAAAGATGTGGGTTGAACACTGCCATCCTCGGTGGGCTTGAAATTGAAAGGAGAGGCGTCAAGGCTGGGCGAAGTGGTCAGGGGCAAAGAGGCGAGAACGAACTGGTGGAAGAAGCGTGGAAAAGGGAGAGCTGAGGTTGATTAATGCCAAGCGGAAGCAATCTTAACAAGTGGAGGTGATTAGCATGCTAAGAGTGGCCGCTAATACCATAGTAGTAATGCTCTAACATGAAAATAACAACATTAACCACCATCTCCGACTCCCAAAACAACTGCAACTGCATCGAGCAACCAAATTGGGTAACACAGGCACGCACAGGTACACCTAGAATTCCACTGTCTCGGATTTGCGTTTGTCGCTGTCCTCCGTACCGTGCGTAATTACTGCTCGCTAAGAACGGCCTGACCTACGTCCCGGTGACTCCGGTCTGCTCCTCAGATGGAGTACTGTGTAGTAACGAGTACCGAGAACGCGCACACGTGTTGCCCCAACATCATATGACATGCGTCGAAAGATCTTCCCTGCTTTAACATAGGGCAGGCAGGGTGTCATTGCTATTCGACTCTGACTTTTCCTGTGATTTGATGACATCCTTTTGAGATAATCCAGTCAAAGAATCGGCCATCGCAGCCCAAGCCGGTGATTGGGGCCATGTGTTGAAAGGCTATCTCATTTGCTATGATTTGGGAAGTCTTTGAAACTGCTCTGACATGTTATGAGGTGTACAAGTCACTGATTGATATGGATTGAGATAGTTGTAAACGATTGTAGCTGATATGGTCGATTAGCATGGGTACCCTATGTACGCGTGGGATTCCCTGTATTCCAGAATTTGTCTCCGCGTTTGTGTAAGTTAGACGCGTTGGCTGAGATCTCCGCATCATGAATTGACCTCTATCCAACAAATATTCTACGCATCAATTCTCTCTATCACATCCATTGCATTTAGTGTAACGCATCTGTAAGCGCCATCAATACCTCCTCCTAATCTGCTTGCGTTCCTTCTCATCAATTGCGCACGATGCTCCGCCGCAAACCCACCGCCTTGACTATCACATCCGAAGACATTGCCGCATTCGAAGAACAATACGCCCGCAAGCTCGCGTACGCAAGATACCTCAAGACCGGCGAAGACCCCGAAGGTCTCTTCCGCAACGGGCGGCAGCCACGTGAGGACGATGCACAGATGATCAATGATCAAGAGTCGAGCGTGGCGGGAGCAGGCGGCGCAATTGATCCCAATGACGAGCTGAAGCCACTTCCTGGTGACAAGGCAAGAATTGTACGCAGTCGCGAAGAAAGAATTGTCGGAACAAATAATGCGAGATGATCGTTGGAGGTCTGCTGATGAGCTTCGTATCAACATCTGAAACCACTTATACCAAACTTCAGGGAATTGGTACGTTGGCTATCGAAGAAGATACGACTCTGCCACAGCTTGGAAAAATGTTCTTTATGATCAGATCGTCCAGCGACTGTCACAGGATGCGATACGAAAGTCATACCCGACATTGAAAGACATCAACTCAACAGATCGACGAAGGAGATATCAAGTAATTAACATTACCCGCACCGCAACATGACGAGCAACATGAGATCTAATTGATTGTGTTGATGCAAGTGTCTCCTATGCGACGCGCTGTCGCGGATATTGGATGCAACGGATGCCATACACAGGACCAACTGAAGGCTTGTCGCGCAATCAAAAGGAGCTGGGAGCGCTTCTCGTTGGACCAAACATACCTTGGGGTGTTCGGCGGCAGGATCACCTATCAACCCTCTTTCGCGGTCGATGTGTGCATGAGTAAATCCCAGGCGAGCATCTACAGCAAAAAGATTTCTGTCACACCTAGTTATGACATTTGAAGGTCATAACTTGGGTTGAGGTTCACACCCTCTAGCAATCCCTATAAAGTACCGGCAAATCATCCCAGCTTGAACCAAGGCAAAGATCCTGGTATTTTTTCGCGCATGAGCTCATCGGTCTTCTTTGCCAGCTCAACAGATCTTTGAACGATATCGACGGCTCCTACGTCAATTTGTCGAACTTCACCACCACTCATACAACTCATATCCTGCTTACTCGCTCCTTTCTCCCATGTCGCATCAATCATCCATTCGCTGGGGACATCGAACTCCATTGGATTGTTCTCTTTGTTCCTGAGGAGGCTCCCATTGAACCATAACAGCCTATCCCTATGATCAACATGGGCAATGGTGAAGCTGCATACTCTCTTCTCTTCGTGTCCTTGTTGATTGAGCTTCACATGGCCAACTATAGCCGCATAGTGTGGTTCCATTGAGTACGGAGTTTCCGTAAGCTCGAAGCCGAACCACCAGCTCTCCTTGTCCCCGTATCCCTGAGTATAGGTATACGCTTCTCGAACATCTTTGGTGTTCTGCCAAGCGATATGCAGCAGGCCGATGAAGACTCCAAGACGCGACTTGTCAACGGTCACAACGCCGGAGTCGCCTTCTTCGGCATAACCCTCCATGTACACCTTGGAATGTTTGATCGTCTCACTGAGATTTGTATTCTCAAGTTGCTTCCCCCACCAGGCATGTCGTTCTTTGAATGCACCTTGCCATAGCAAGCGATCGTGGAACAGCAAAGTCCCTGTTTCTAGGTATTGCGGATCCTCATCGAAAATTGCCTCCGGAGGCTGGAAAAAGACGTCGTCTGCATCAAGTAATATGGCCTGTTCGAAGGTGCTGCCTAGCACGGCGAAAGCTTTGACAGCCCAACCACCCCAACCCAAATCTAGGGTGCTGTCATTAAAGACAGTGGTCACATCGAAGGTCGAAACGTCTGATTCGAGGCCAGTGATAAAGTCCCTATACTCTTCCGGCAAATCATCTTCGCCGGAGTACGCGATCTGAATGGGCAACCTGGATTTCAGAACCTGTCGCAGACTGCTAACAAGATGGCATGCATATCGAAAACGCTTTTTGCCCGTGGTTATGACCAGCCCTTTAGTGCCGCGCACGAAACTGCTGCGCAGGCTCTTCAATGGAGTTATACTGCTTGAGTTCGGCGACTGAATGAAAGGTAGCATGAACCCAGCCACGTCCTCTATCAATGTTGTCCACTTTTCTTTCTGGTCGGGAGTTCTGTGGGCATTTCCTGTTTGTTCAATCCAACCTCTTATTGTCTTCAATCGCGTTCCCATCTCTCCGAATTGCGACTTATCCACAGGATTTGCGCGGTATTGGTCCGCAACCGCAACAGCAGAGGCATAATGTGCTTCGAAAGCAGCTTTCTCGGCCGGATCTTGCACATACGCGTACAGGTCGAAACTTTGCGCTGGCCATTCAAGAGACCATAGTGACAGAAGGAATAGTATAGCGAAGCCGGCGAAAGCGACGGATTTGTACTTGCCCGCCAGCGTTGCAGGCTGTAGCACCCGCATGATATGTCAATCGAACCACAAGAGGAACCAGACATGATTCAACAAGCATGGCGATTGTTTACTCCTCGAAAGTGCGAACGAGAACCATGCTTGCGCGTCCTTTTGATCGTGCTCGAGGATGACGAATCTTGGGTGGCCCCGTGAGTTCGCAACTGATGGCCCTCTTGCATCTTTACGACTTAGGGCAGCCCCAGCTTTCAAGCTCCAGGCGGTCCGGCCCATGAACCCCGCAAGAAAGTCCTGGCACATCATTTGTTGACCGATTCGCCGAATCCATTTAGCGAGAAGATAAGCATTCCATCGCCTATATTGCACCGTTGCTTGTTTTTCTTAGTGCCTTGTAAGACTTTGTTCTTGTCATCGTCGTCGTCGTCAGAGTACAGGACTTCGACTTGCACCTCGTGACCATGTGACACCCTGTTGAACAAGCAGAGGGTCAACGAGTTGTGCGACACATCCTGGGACGATTACTGTATCCACCTGCGGAGACCCGTCGACCAGATCACAGGCTTACAATGTACACAGGATCCCTTGTTATGGATACAGACTGCCGACGTCAATCGCAGGCCGCAAGATGATGGAGCCTCATTCGCATCGTGCATCAGCAGGTAATGATCAACTGTGTAGTAGCGTGTTAGCTAAAGGTTCTCCCGGACGAACTTCAATGCACTCCCGCTTCGGCAAACTCACTGGGACATCGAGTGTCCCTCATACACAGGACTCAGGCTGGCCTAGCTTGAGGGACTCGCTCTGCCATGTAAACCTGAATAGGAATTACTCTTACCGATGAGCAGACCCTGCCTGGCTTATGATGAACCTCGATCGGAGTATATCGGCATGAGGTCTTAAGCCACCACTAGGGGGAACACTGGCTTGAAACCATGGATCAATCTTCTGCACGGACGCAGCAGTACTGTAGGGTAAGCTTTTGACAATGTGAGTCTTGGACAATTGCTGATACAGTCACGATATGGCTATGAATCTGTGGACGTATGTTGCTCACCCCCAGGATCCTGAGCATGGAGTCTGGGTCCTCGCCCTGACATTCAGACTCGCGCAGTTACAGGCCGACGAGCAATCACGGGGAACATCGACTGCTACAACTTCGCACGTCGAACTTTCGTCAACAATGTCAGATGTCCAATATCACACTTGGGGAGCTGCTATTGATTAATTCGCGACTGAGGATGGTGCCATCTCTCAATGCCACTCGAATGACATTAGAGAGGCTCTATTGAAAGCGTCAATATCAGCAGTAGGGGGTCTTACTTCGTAAATCTCATGCAGACTTGTAGAATATATTGGCGGGGTGTTTTGCTCATAGAACGCCATGCCTGATTGATAGCGTTGTATGAGGACAGCTCGATAGTAGTACAATAACGACCGCTCATTCCGGCTTGTCTTCCTCCACCCGTGGCTGTTTTGAATCCGGTCCTTCACCACTTGACGACTGCTGACCCTGACCCTCTTCTGTTATGGTCTCCATTCTGTCACCATTCTGCTCCTCACGTGCTCTCCGCTCTCGTTCCAGTCGATTTTGTTCTTCCTCCATACTCATGCGCAGAGCCATCGCAAGCTCGGGGTCTGCAGCTGGATCGACTCCGAACTCGAAACCACCTGCGGCAGGGCCACCTGTCTCGACGCCTTCCATACCACCACCTCCTTGGCCCACGTCTCCGCCCACATTGACAATCGGTGTGGTGATTAAGCTGTCGCTGAGCAGGCTGGGTCCAGGAGGGACGACGGCAAGATAGTTGCCTTCGCCGGAAGAGCCGCCAACAGCTTCGACGAACTTCTCCAATATCGATCTCGTGCTCGACTCAATTGCATCACCAAATGCAACGAAATCAACCGAGACGTTGTTCTTCTTGCACTTTTTGGCCAGCTTGACGAGCTCCTTCTCGGTATCGTTCTTATCTCCAAACTTCTGGTCCAGTTCGCTGCAAGTAAGAACAACGATACGTTGCCGTTGGCTCTTGTTTGCTCTGTGCTTGAGTGCCAGCATCGCCACACTGATTGCCGTGCCTAACCGGATATGTCCCTTTATTTTCGTCTCGTGTAGACCTGCCAGGATGGCGCCGTAGTTTGTGGTAGGAGTGTTGAGGACTGTAGGGCCGGTTCCTGCCATGGACATGAGTCCGACAGCGGATTCCGGGTTTGATGAGGTCTTTGCATTGAATATGAGCGATACAGCTTCGGTTTGTGCTGCGAATCGACTCGGTCTGGCAGAGGGTTAGTAGAGTGGCAGGATACTGATTTCTGGTGCCCGTACAGATAATCTCCATTCCTGCTTGCCTCACTGTTGTCCACCACGATCATAGTAGCCTCGAGCACCATGTTGGCGGTGACGAGGGTTGCGTGCCGCTGGGAAGAGTTTCGTCTAGTTGGTGCTTACGAGGTCCAGAGTTTTCTGTGGATGAAAGTGGAATTGCGCAGTGTCTGAGGCCTTTAGATTTTCGAAAGGTCGTGTGTGGTGTACTTAGTATGTTGATGTAGGTCGATGGTTACTCTGAGATGAATGCGGCCCGCAGGCGGACTCAAACGCGTCAATAGCCTCGCAGCCTTGTGACGCAGCCTTGGCAGCAGTGTTACCTTCCTCTGGGGCACGCCCGCTCGTGATCTACTCCAAGCACAACAGCATTGCCTTCAGCAGACTATACAGTCCCCGAAAGAAGGACTCTGCGTTCTTTGGAAAGCGGCTGCTCCATCCGACAACAGAACCGACATGCATCTGCCCTGATCATTCATCCTCGCGCCGCATCGCGGCTCCCTTGACTGCCATGTAAGTCTGCCATCCATCTGCCATGACCATGTTAGTCGAAGCAAGCCTGACATAGCACGAACAGGCCTGTCTTCGCCCTTCTGATTATCTCGAAAGCCGGTTCTCTGATATTTCACCGCACTTTCCCAACGTCCACCCCAGGCGCAACCGCGAATGCCGCAGAATCCCAAACCCAGACCGTCGGCACGTTAGGTCTACCTGGAACCAGCACGCTAACAACGAACGACTACCTCGTCCTCGCCGGTACATTCCACGGCGTCCACGCCATCACACGATCCCTCACACCAAAACTCCCTATCACATCTTCAGCGGCGGGCTCGTCAGGGCGCACTTGGACATACCCCGACCCGACCCTCGCGCCCAGCGGTATCGAATCCCTCGAGTCCTCATTCTTCAGATTGACCGTATTCCAAACGCTTACGGGAACCAAATTCCTTTTGTTCACGGACCCGAGCATGCCAAACACCGACGTGCTCATGAAGGGCATCTACGAGCGCTACGCGGACTTTGTATGCAAGAATCCATTCTGGCAGATGGAAATGCCGATCCGAATAGAGGCTTGGGAGCGCAGCGTGAATCAGTGGCTGACTAGGCGGTGATGATCTGCAGAAGAGGAAAGACTATACAAACAACATAGCTTGTCATAAAGCATTTCCGTGAATATTCAACTCATACTAGGCTTTGGCATGGCATCTGCGTCTCGTATGCCCAACAACCAACGTCGGTCTGAAGTTCGGCGTGGAAGAGCCATTGGCTGGGTGGGCAAGAGCAAGGGAAGGCAAGCAAAGCCGACCAGACAGGCAGATTGGGTGCAGTCCGTTGCTACTACGCGAGCCTTGCAAGACAAAGCGAAAAAGGAGGACGAGGATTTTCCTTCAAGCCTTGCCAGAATACCGAGCCCGCAAAGCCCAGACTGGCCGTCCACCTCAACTTCTTCCGGAGCCCGCACGACACCTGTGCAACAACAGTCAACGTGTCTGAGGTGTCAAAGAAGCGAGAATATCGATCTCGTTCACGACGGAGAACATAGATCAGTCGATTACCACATTCTCATAAATTCGAAACTATTCGAGAAAAGCGCTGAGTACCTGATGGGTATTCCAACAATTCAGCCACTCCAAGGAATACACCCGGGCTGGAGATGGACTCGCGCTACGAGAGTGTGGTGATGTGGTTTCTTCTCACATTTGACGTCAAACCCCATTACGACAAAACAACATCTATGCCTGCTAGTAGGTAGCTGAGGTAGCTAGGTAGCTACCTACCTACTCGAGCATCTTTTGTAAGTATAAATACTCGTACACCAATGCTCCATTTCCTCGTTGGACTCATCGAAGATCCAATATCGTTTAGCTCATTATTTAGCATGATCCATCAGGCCATTGTGACGCCTTGCACTTTCTCTCATGTCCCTGATCTGCTTTCAGAGTTTGCATGGTACTGGTCGTTCATGCGTGCAATTGCTGTCCCATTCATAGCTCGGTAGCCTGCTTTACGGGTCGTCGTCTCCTTAGAGCAAAGTGAGCACCACGCGTACATCGCTCAGTAAAAATGATATACGTAGCCTTAACATTCATTCCACGTAAGCACTTAATATCTCTCAGTTGCACCACTAATGCTGATCGTAATCCCATCTCCTCTTGAGACCGCCAGAGTCAATCACGTTAGCAACACTCTGTTGCCATTGCCGTGATGTCACGAACATGGCGGGCGTCGGGTATCCTGTCATCGCCGCCGATTGCTGGGTCATCGTACCAGCAACGGGTGACGACATATCAGGGAACGACTGCTGTTGTTGCGCAAAGTAGTGCGGTTGCGGCTGCTGCTGTTGTTGTTGCGGTGCGTAGTTCTGCTGCTCGTACCTTGGAAGCGAGCCTGTTGATGTAAAGCTCTGGAGAGTCGGGATTCCAGGTGGTGACGAGCCGGTGCCGCTGCCACCGTACATGGAGGGTGGGGGAGCGAGCTGCGAGGGTGAAATTGCAAATGCAGTGTCGAACTGGTCGATGATAGGTGTCGGATTCCACTGCAGACCCGGGGCTGAGGTCGGCTGGTGATAATATCCACTTACCGGAGTGGACATGCTGGTATAGGGTGTCTGATCGAGATCGAAGTGTTGTGTTGGGTGCAGGGGTGACTGGGGTTTGGACTCGGCGGAATATGTCGAGACTGGAGGTGTCGCGAGATATCCCGTTGGACCCCTGATCTGGTTCATGTTCTGGGGTAGATAGCCTGGTTGGGCCTGTTGGAGGTCGGCCATGCTTAGTTGTTGTTGTTGCTGGGAGAGCTGCTGTTGTTGGTGCATTTGCTTGTCCTGTGACGACTGCGATCCAGGAGAAGGTCGAGAGTGGTCAGATGGTGAACCCAACGGGAAGGACTCCTTCAGTTCGAAAGGCTTGTTGAGATCTGCAGAGAACGCTGCACGAAGTGCGTTAATTTGGTCCTCGGTCTCTGTCATCGGCCATGCAGACACACATCGCTCCAGAATTCGCATGTGCCGGACAAAGTAGTCTTTAGCTTCCGAGTTAAACTCGGGATCGGGCGAGGAAAGGGCGATAAGGTGTAACATGATGCACGTCAGAATGGCGTAAATGGTAAAATTGATGCCCCTTTGCATGCAAAGCAACCCAGTCAAATCGTATTGGGCCAGAACCGCTTCCTGCAGACGACACAAGACTTTTGCAGACTGATAACAGATAGTCATGTGATGTCTCCATTGACTGTCAGCACCAAAAGACTCCGAGGCTTTCAACTGCGGGCGATGGAGCATGACGATGGCGAGTTGGTAGTGGGCATGCATGTTTCCCACAAAATGGGACGGCAAAATTGGAATGGCCCCTTTCTGCGGGAGGACGACCTTCAAGTCTCTTGGCAACTCATCGGGCCAATTCTTGAAGGCGGCGTTGTGCTTCACGAATTCTTGGTCCAAGCCCCAGTCTTTCTTCCTTTTCAGCTTGATCGAAACTTCGGTTATGAGGCGGATGTTGCGAACATTAAGGACGAAGTAAGCGAACTGTCGGGATATGGACCTTTCGAAATCGTCCACATCGGAGCAGGGTGGACTGGGGCTGATGTCGACGGAAGTCGAATCAACACCCAAGTCGGTTCGGCCTGGTTCAAACATCAGTGACAGTAACTATATCTAACGAACGGAGACTCACCTTGAGGGCCTCCGACCATGGTCTCGCATATCAGCAGTGACTGCCATATTCTGGTTTTGATCAAGCATTCGACAGGGTCTGAACCGCACGACTCTCCATCTTCGTGTATCCCATGGTGTTCATCCAACTCGAGGTCCTTCGCCATGGTAACCGCCGTCTTGCAAGTCATCCATGAACGATAATAGTATCCTCTTTTCGGGGCGCTCTCTCGCGCTTTCAGGAGCAGCAACAAGGCTTGCAACGTGCTCAATCGTGGACTGTCGAGGAAATACGCCTCATGCTCTGCAATTGGTAAGCATCATACTTATGGGACTGTCGATGCGTACTTACTGTTGGCGAGCGCTAACCACTGAGCGCCTTGTGCAGGATCATCCGACAGTCGACCAGCATTGGCAAAGATGGCCTCCAAAATGAGGGGAGGTATCGACCCTCTATCGTTCAGCCACTGATCGTAGAATTGCTTCCTGTTCAGGACTGGTACATAAGGATGTACATCTCTGAAGAAGGTCTTGAAAGCCTCTAGGGCTTCCTCATGTGACGGCATGAGGGCTGGAGGAATACGAATCTGTGATCCTGCACCGGTGCTGAAGGCTGCGGCGATCTTCGGCTCTGGCTCTGGCTCCTGAATGGGGGCATCTGAATCCTTGTTGTCGTTCTCAGATCTCAGGTAAGGCGCAATGCCATTCTCGCCGATCCTAAGGTGTCCGAGGTGTTCTGACATTTCCTCAGCTGTCATTTGATCGATCGGCGATGAAGCAGCACGCTCGTCTCGAAGAGGGTCACTGTCCGGTGGAATCTGGCTATATTGCGCACCAGCGTGTTGATAGGCCTGGCTCGAGGTACCGGGGAACTGCTGGGGGTTCGGATAATAGTTGCCATATGACTTTTCCATCATTTCATATGAGGGTCTTTGATAATTGGATGCATAAGCGTCGTATGGAAAGGCGCCGCCCTGTTCCATTTGAAAAGAAGGATTTCCAGGTACATAGTTTTGTGGTTGCGGAACATGCATCCCTTGGGCCGAAGTATAAGATTGTGACTCGGCCGTCTGGTCGAGGGCATTATCGGGCGCGGCATCGCCAGCCTCGCCATCTAGACCTCCTGCTGGAGGTACACAATGTAGCTTAAGTCGAACACAAGCGGCGCATGGCCACGTGTTGGTGGTGGCGGAATCACATTTTATTTTGCGACGACGACAGCCTTCACAAGCCCTCATCACCTTGAGGCGCTTATGTCGGTTATGTTCATCGACAAAGACATAGTTCTTGGGACCTGACGGAGGCCCGGATGTCATCGAATAACTCTGCATGGTGGGAATCGCGTCTGTGTCGGATCACACCACATTTGGTAAGTGCGAAGGCGGACGACAGCTCAATCCAGGAGAATGCCCGCGTGCGGGCGGGCCAAAAGCAATCCAGTCAAAAGGACCTTATGTAAACAGTCGATCGTCTTGGCTTCAAGGTTGTCGTAGATGTGTATACGCTGTTGGCTGGACTTGCTGATGACAGGATATATGGAGGATGATGGATGATTAAGAAGGCGGACCTTGAAAAATCGGTGTGTCGAGGATCAAGAAGATGGGTTCTGGTGGTGGCGCAATTTCACACACACACACACACACACACACACACACACACACACACACACACACACACACACTTGGAACCTCGGCACTAACAAGGATCAAATGCGTCGTGACAAGGTGCCTTTTACTTGAAAGACATTACGACCTGGAGTGTTGAATCACTGTTGATAGCTGGTAAGGTAGGGTGGAAGTCTCGACCATCGAAAAGTGGAAGTGATGCCCCCGCGAAAAGCCCAGAGTGTTGTCAAGGTGGAGAGGTAAGAGTGTCTGACAGCAGATGTTTCCGCTTATGCGCCGTGATTGTGAAGGGGCCACACAGAAACCGATTAAAAAACAACAACTCGAGACCGTTCACGGTGCATTGACCATGGATCGACTTATTGAGGCTGTTGTCTCGATGGCCATCTGCGCGTCATCTAACCGTCGTTCTTTTGTGGATGGAAGTACGGAGCTTTAGATTGATGTCAAAGATTGAGAGGGGGAGAGATCAGGAGGAGGCTTGAGAACCGTCTGTGCCATGTGGTGGGTTGGTGCGGCACAGGTCTCACACAGTTCCAATGTTACAGCTTGATTGAATGTGCCTTTGATTCGGTGAGCAAGATTTGCAAGGGTTCTCTGCAGGACCCAGGTGAGTTGTGTGCCTGGCGTCTGCTTCAGATGCAACATAGGCTTCTTCGTTGATTCGCCCCGAAACGCCACTAGCCGTTGGGATACTCCCTGTGCCAGTGTTCACGGATTTGGGCAGCTTTCTCTGGGCATCATCCAGTGGTTTTCACGATTATTGATTTCTCTGATTGGCGATTACGTGGTCTTTATCGGGACTCCAGTCACCTACCTACGAGATCTATACTAAGTGCAAGTGTAAGCAGAATCGAACCCGCATATGAATTCGTGCACGTCATGTTGCGCACGACCATTGTCTAAGAGAAAGAGGCTACAATGGCGAACATATGGGCTACAAAGGTCGGTCAGAAGCACACCTCCATATCAACGAACAGTGTCCTCAGGATTTGTTGCATGGCTATATCACTCGCTATGAGCCTGGCAGTAAGTAAGCGCATGTACCTGAATGACCGAATCTGAGATGTTTGCCACCTCAAGGTGCCATCTATGGAGTACGAGATACAGCAATTCCGGGGCATCCCCTGCTCATCAGTGGTCAAAAGGCCTGAAAGATAACGCTGGTCCCAAACTGGCCCCCAATAGGCCCTCCACTCGGTTTTCTATCAGGCTTCTATTGGGCTTCCATCTGGCCTTCTTCGGGGCTTCGATCTGCTAATGCCAAATGGTGGCATTCCTGTAGTATCCATACGGAAAAAGATACCATCCTTTTTTGTGTTCATGATGATTTCGACCGCCGACCAAAGCTTGTGCCAGTTCACTTACACTTTGTAGACGTCCAATCGCTGCTGACAGCCTAGCTTTTTACGCACGTTGTCTGTGTCGCTACGGACCGAGTCAGTGACCGAAAACCATGACCAGGCACAATAATTGTAGGTAGGTTCAGCACAGACGATACCTGAGGTTTGGGACTATTCTACGTCACCATTTTAGAGGATTATTGTCGCCGAAAGCCGTCGATATTCGATAGTCGAAGGACCTATATCGTAGGTGATCTTGACAAATCAAGGCGAAAATAATGCATGTGGGAAATCAGAGGGGAAATCGCTGACTGCCCGCTAGATGAAGGTGCCCCCACCACGACTCGATAGGCTGTCGGCACTGGGCAGTGGGCAGCGCGATATTCGACTCGGCAGACGAGATCAGAACCTTACCTCCCCGCTACTGTTGGTACTCTCGGCCATGGGCGATCATCTTTCAGCCACATGGATGAACAAAGTGTGAGACTCCATTGCTTGGAATCTCAAGCTTCGTCCTAAAGTGTTGCGCTGAAGTGTGATAAAAGAAAGTTGGGTTCACGAGGTGTGCCGCCGCCATCGCGCTGCGTGGCTTGCCAAGCGGCCGTGATGAGGCATGACGGTGGGAACATCCAAACTTACCACAGACACGGGTAGGCAGGACTGGGGTAGGCCAGTGAGATGGTGCCGCATGCCAGAGCCCATGAAGAGTCCTATCGCCGGTCGAAGAAAAGCATCAATATGGCCAAAGGTCATTGCCATTGTTGGGCCTTCATGTCGAAGAAGCTGGACGAGGGCCAGAGGGATTGACAAAGTATAGCCCAATATCAAAGTCAAATGCAACAAATTTGCCAAGAGTTGAGAACTAGCCTGATCAGGTCAAGTGCAGTGTGGATGGCGATGGAAGAGCCGAGATGTCAAGGACGAGGCTCTTTCGTCTCCTCAATACCATCCTGTCTCGCAATTACTCGATATACTTAACTCAGGTCCTATCCGAGACGCTTGATTCTATCTGCATAGAGGCTGTCGCTGCAACGCATACGCCATGGAGGACGGAAAGAATGCCAACCCTCTCATCATCAACCCCTCAGACCTCCCCACCCGACGACGACGGACCTCTGCGCGAGATGAACTTTCACATGGCATCGTGACCTATCCTGCACCCACATTTAGCAACGACCCTTTCGAGCGCTCGTCTAGTCCATCTTCTGAGGAGAGCGACAGCGATGTCGAAAATGAGCCCATTGACACCCAAGAAATCTTTGACCTCATTGCCACCATGTCCGATCCCGAACATCCCATCACTCTCGGTTCGCTGGCCGTGGTGTCACTCCCCGATATCGCCATCAAGCCTACACTTCCCAGTCGCAAGAACTCGAACCTGGAAACCGTCACCGTCCTGATCACACCTACGATTCAGCACTGTAGTCTGGCAACCGTTATAGGATTGGGTGTCCGAGTCAGGCTAGAAGAATCTTTGCCTCCGAGATTCAGAGTGGATGTCAGAATCAAGGAGGGCACACACTCGACAGCAGACGAGGTGAACAAGCAATTGGCAGATAAGGAACGAGTGGCTGCGGCGCTGTGGAATCCCACGCTGCAGAGCTTCATCAAGAAGATGTTGGAGACTTGTGAATGAATTATGTAAAACAAAAGAGCTGTATGAATTCCGAATGAAAGCGACTGAGCGTATTTCAACTGCATTGTCGATGTGATGGTTCCTTGAATACATCGTCCGGTGTCGTCTTACCTGCTTGGGTGCCAACAACACTTGGGCTTCGTCTATGTGCGACTCTTCCATGGTGTCTGGCGCAAAATGAAAAAGCAATAACAAAGTGAAGACGCGATGAGTGAATGAGTGAATGTCACATGAGACCCAAAAAAAATTTAAAAAAAAATATAAAAAAAAGATCTTGAGAAGGATCGGAATTGAGCCCTGGGAATTGTTAGAAAGATGCGTCGATGTAGATTGGAAGTTAAGACATACGACCGTGGGACTCGAACCCACAACCTTGAGATAGACTGTTTAAGAGTCTCACGCTCTACCGATTGAGCTAGGAAGGCAGTCAGGCACATCTGTGGGATCGAATGTGAACAAAATTCTATTGGTTTCTTAAATAAAGGCACTATTTCTTATTTCTGCGGGTGACCGTGAAGTGGCGGCTTCGGCTCGGATATCGCCTTCCATAGTTCCGCAGGCTGCCACGTGACTTGAGAAGAACCATACTAGTGGTAATCAAAGGAGGTCCAGGAAGTATGAACAAGGCTCGCCAGGGCAGGTCTGTGCTCTGAGTGTTCGAAGCTTCGGCATCATCAGTCACGCGAGGAGGTACTGGAGGCGCTTACGAGTACAGAGGACATTTGTGGCAGGCTGAAGCGAAACAACTGGATGGGAGACTACCAGCACGGGGTACACACCACAAGCTCAGTAGGGTATGTGGTGACATGCTGGTGTATCATCAATTTATACCTAGCCTTGCAGGCCGGTATATCCGGCGCGGCTGCATCACATGGTGGTTGTGATACAGTAAGCTACCCTAGATACCTTAGATATCAATTATATACAAGACACTCATAGCCCACCACATCCGGGCGAATCTAGTCTCTGGAAATTTACACGAGGTCAAAGGCATTGCCAAGTGTACACTCAGCATTTAGTTTGTATACCTCGTACTTTCTTCTTGAGTGTCGGATCAGGCTGACTGGACGGGCCTGATGAGACTGATGTACATCCCACCATCCCAGAATCGATGGCAGATCCGAGTTGAGTTTGATGTACAATGGCTGTCGGTTTGTGACCTATTGAACTCTGCTTAAATCCGTTCAACGATGACTGTTGCTATACTACTATCAATGGTATCATTGACGACTGCCTGGTACATTATTGATCTGATGTACGATGATGCATTATTACTAGGTATAGTTCCGAACATGACCACCATCGAAAGAAGTAAAAGCCTTGATGCACGTGTCCGGCACCGGAATTGCCTTCTTGGCAACGCGAAAAAACTCTCGCTGGGCGATCCAAACATGTAGTCAATTTGCATCCAATCAAATGTGCACGTGGGTGGGACAGGGACATTGATTTGAATCTCATCCCACCAAATTTTCTCCATTAGTGCTGCCCACTCTGCATCTCCAGCATCAGAAATGCTTTCTAGCTTTGCCGTTAAGCGAACAGACATCTTGTCAACCATCGACTCACACGCCACTCTATCAACCGATCCAGAGTCACATCCGTCAGGAATACCGCCGGTCAACTGCGGTAGCTGCAACCGTGGTGGCTGGCATCCCCCTTCCTCGCTTTCCATGTCCGCCGAACGATGCTCTCGTTGCGAAAACCTTCAGAGCCTTTTGCGAGGAGCTTACGCCTGGCACAGGCCCCCAATTAGCTCCCGAAAGCCTCGTTCTCCGTCCTCTCGCCGCCCCCCTACTAGCTACCTCCACGGTCAAATCCATCAGTGATCTGCTATGAAAAAAAACCTAGTCGTCTCCACCATAGCATCGGACGTCAGTTTTTGCGAGGGGTCTTTCTCCCTTTTCTCATTACCATTTCTCCTTGTCCTTCTGCTCTTCGAGGTTCTTTGAGGTCCAGTCCTTGGGTATCTTTAAGAGTCTTTCATCTGCTCAATTCTACTGCTCAATCGAGTTCTCCAGTCTTCGGGTCTCGCTTCGGCTTGTCGATTGCACATCTCAGTCGAAATCTCGATTTCTTTTGTGGTCTATTGTATCGCTGACGCACCTTATCTCTCCACTTGACGCCCTGTTCCATCACCAGCCTGTGCCGAACGAGTGATATCCCTTCTTCGGCCGCATCTATATCAGCCCCAAGTACCAATTGACGAGGCACGCACACCCCTGATCAAAGACCCTGGCACTTCATCTGGACAAATCATCTTGTTCCACACGGACTCGTGGTTCGACACAAGCATTCTCTGGCATATCTGGATAACAGCCACGAGCCCACCTTTACCCTCCCAGTGGGCCGTCTTTTGTCAAGGGTGGTTCGTAAGACGATCCGCATCCTCCGATACTCAAGCTCTTTGTGGCTGCCACCTGGTCGTTGCTTAGCCGTTTCTACCGGTCTACCCCAGCCGCAGCCAATCGACGGAGCACCTTGGCTGTCGTCAAGATCGTTCCTTATTTTTTCTGCAACTCTGCGCGCCTCTCCGCGTGCGTAAAAGGGCTGTCTCCCTCTGTTTTGGGACAACATCCTCTCTTTGCATCTTCGCAGAGCAAACCCTTTTTCATCACTCTACCTTTCCAAGTCGTTATCCGACCTAACTGCCAGTCATGGCTACCACCAACCGTAGGGTCACCTCGGAGCCTGAGGGTGAGGTCATGAACTATGGACTCAACGTTCCTCATGGCCCTGATGTCACGGGCACGCACCCCATCGCCGTCGACGCCAATCCAGACATGACCAACAATGAGAGGGAAGTCTTCAACTATCTGTTGAGACCTGACGACAGCTATACCGACAATGGTGTTTACTGGGCTGACCTCCCCATCATGCAACGCATCAAATTCATCAACAAGGTCAACAACATAGAATCGAGGAGGGAGCTCGGCGCTTTCTGGACAATGTTCAAGAACGACCCCCTTGCTCCTGTCGGCTTCTACATGCGCAACATGGTTTTGCCCGGTGCTGGTCTTGGTCTCGAAGGTTACGTCCTGTTCTCCATCGGCAACGTCAAGCCCATGTTTCAGGCGGTTTTCAAAGACTGCTGGAAGAGCTACAAAACTTGCAACAAGCAATGGATCTACGCTGTCGACTACCTGGAGATTATTGGTATCATCGTCGGTCAAATTATGGTCGGTGTCATCGGTGATTGGATTGGTCGTCGCTGGGGTCTCATTCAGGACGCCACCATCATGTTCACTGGTCTTATCATGTTGACTTGCTCCTGGGGTGTAACTCGGAACGGTTGGGTCATCTGTTACGCCTGGTCGCTGTTCTTCTACGGTATCGGTGTCGGCGGTGAATACCCCATGACTGCCACGTCCGGAATGGAGAACGCTGTCGGTTCAGGCAAAGTCTCAACCCGAGATGATCGTCTCCACCGTGGCCGCAAAGTCACCAGCGCCTTTTTGATGCAGGGTTGGGGTCAATTCTTCAACCAAGTCATCCTCATCCTCCTCCTTCTGATCTTCCACCACGGTAGCGGAAATCCACCTTACTCCGAGATCTCCGCTCAATGGACCTACCGTATATCGTTTGCCATCCCCGCTGTCGGTACCGCGTGGTTGATCTACTGGCGTACGTTCAAAGTCAAGGCTGCTGCCAACAAGCAATTGAGAATTGCCAAGGCCAAGAACGCGGTAACTGGCTATGACACTCAGTCTCTGTCACTGTGTTTCCGATACTTCGGTGGCCGCATCCTCGCAACTGCTGGCGCTTGGTACATGAACGACGTCTTCTTCTACGGCAACAAGCTGTTCCAGAGCGAGTTTATCACTGTCATTATGCCATCGAACAAGTCAATCATGCCTGGTTGGCTTTACAACTTGATCAACGTCGGTGTCTCCCTCTGCGGTTACTATTTGGCAAGCTTCCTCATCGACAACAAACTCTACGGTCGCAAGCACATGCAAACGCTCGGTTTCCTGATGTGTTTCATCTTCTTCGTTGTCCCGGCCTTCAAATTCAAGTACTACACCTCACCTGCTCATATCAAAGAATTCCAGGCCATGTACTTCTTGTCATCCTTCTTCAATCAATTCGGCCCCAATTCTGTCACCTTCATTGCCGCCGCCGAAGTCTACCCAGTCGCTGTCCGTGCCACTGCTCACGGTTTCTCCGCCGCCTGCGGTAAACTCGGTGCACTGACTGCCGCTGTTGTGTACAACTATCTCACCGTACAGCAAAAGTTCTACTTCGTCCCCTGGTTCGGTCTGGCTGGTGTGTTCTTGAGCGTTGTCTTCCTGCCAGATACCACCGGTCTCGATCTCAAAGAGCAAGAACGTCGCTGGGCATACATCCGTGCCGGTCGCGAGCACGAATACCACGGTGTTGCCGTGCATCCCAAGCATTTGAGCTTGTACGAGCGCCTCCGAGGCGTTGGGAAGGACTACAACGCTGACCTCGACTACAAGCAGCGCATCGAGGAGATGCGTGGTGAATGGGAAATGCGAATGTCCGAGCGCGCCGCCGAGAAGGAGCTTGATCACGAAGACTTTGATGACGATCATCCATCAGAAATACACTCCTTCTTCGCCCGTTCCACCAAGTCTCCTAACCTCCGTGGTGCCGAGAACGAGAAGATTCCTCCAATGAACGGCCAGAACGGTACCAACGGTATCTAAATGACCAAAAAACGACATTTGATACCCCCAGGAGGAGACGATATTTGTACAGGCTAGAGCCGTGCGTCGCTGTCACGGTCTTTCCGCCGAATTTGTGAATTGTGACGACCATGTGCGAACACCTATCCTAAAAATCCAGCAAGCGAGCACACAGAGCACACAATGGTGTTCCAAGTTTGTGGGCCAGGAAAACAAACCCCTGGCCTTTTGTGTGTAACAACCTTTCTCTGTTGATTCATGTTTATCCCTCATTAGATTTAATCTGAATAACGAAAATACCACGATCTTTTCTCTTGAGAACCGCTGTTCTGAACAATGCTTGACGGGGAAAACGGCTTTTCTCCTCATACTATTCATGCTCTCCTCGCCACCCCAACCTCCTGGGTTAAGATCAGGTGCGTCAACGGCGTATCGACCGTGACTTCATTCTGCGTTATGCATACGAGGAGAAACAACTCTAACCTAATCTTGACATGCCTCACGAAGGACACTAGTATTGCCAAAAGCGTATATATGCTTCCGTAGCGACGCCCCTTTCAATGTCCCATGAGTTCATTTCTACATCATCTCGCAGGGGGCGGTGAATGGACAGCACGAGCACGTGGGACGGCGCCGAGGAGAAGCAAAGGCCCGCGGTTCATGCACGATCCCGCTCCGCTTGCCTGAGGAGTTTCCTCTCCGCTCGATACCGATCGGAGAGATGATCCGGCCTTGCTGGGTGCATGGTGACGTTACACGGGGGTTGGCGAAGGGGACCTCGGTACGTAGGGAGGCGTGGATATTTGTAGATTGAGCAAGCCAGTGGTTGCATCAATCGCTGTATCTAGCCATATTTGGCTTTCTGATTCATTTCACTTGTAAACGTGAATTAGCTCTGATAATAACAACCGTTTACCCGCGTCTATGCGCAGGCTCACGGTGATTTCGCTACTCTTCGAAATCCTCCCATTCGCTCTCGACGCCTCGTCTCTCCAAACCACCGACTACATCCCTCGCCGCGTTCAACGTGCCCTGCATTCCTTCCAGGAGGCGAATGAGCTCTGCTTCCATGTCTTCGGTCGACGCACCAGCCCCCATGACTGCGGCGCTGGGAGGAGATGCATGAGGGACATTGACAACTTGCCGCTCACCATTTGCTGTCGCCGTGTTTCCGCCCAAGCCGCGGCCGTTCTCGCCGATTCGTGCTGGGTGTCCAAGATTGAATGGCGCCAGCCCTGGTGTCGTGGTGCTTGAGTTTGCGTTGAGACTGTCAGAGCGTCCACTGAACATCGTACGTCCGCGTGTAGCGTAGAATCTGCCCATAGGCACGTCCTCGTCCATTGTTGCTGGGCCTGGATGATCGTCTTCATCGCGTTCGAGTCCGAATGGATCGACATCAGTAGAAGAAGCACTAACATCACTGTACGCCTCAGAAAGAGCGGTCGACGGACGAGGAATCTCCTGTTCTTCGGCTTGTACAAAGTCGTCAAACGTGACGGGCATGGTCATCTGACGCATCAATGGGGCTGGACGGGTAGGAGTTGGTCGAGACGCTGCCATAGGCTGTGCTGGTGGAGGTGAGTCAATCGTCTCGTCTGTGTCGTTGGTATTCGCTGCTGCCATTGCGCTGGAAAATGACCAGTCCATGGTGGCGTGCTTCTTTGTCTTTTGTCGAGTATCATTAGCAGTGTCGGCCGGGCCAGGAGCATCGTCTTCTGCATTCTCGGGCTCGTTGATCTGAGGGATGACAGCTTCGGACATGGCGCTCGCAAATGACCAGTCCATAGTATCATGACCTGGGCGGGACGACGTGATTTCAGCAGCCTCTTGTAGCTCGGGCACTTTGTGGTTGTTGTTTTTGACTGTCCACTCTTCTTGCGATGTGGCAAAATCGTGTGCTGAGGTGCTTGGGGGGAGTTCTTCGGCCGACGAGGTTCGTCTCGCAGTCAGAGATTGTTTGTTGTTCGGGTCCCGTGGCCCTTTCGAATTTGCTCGCTTATCACGAAGTGTGGAGGCATCCGCAAGTCTGATGGTCTCTTCTCTCAGAGGAGTTCCGGCATATGCAGTTTGAATTTTATCATCAGTTCGTGGTGCTGCTATGGCGTAGTCAGCTTCGTCAAAGTCTCCTAGATCGATTACATTTGACGCAATCGAGCTTGGTCTATCTTCCGCCATATTTCGCAGTGGTAGATCTGAAATTCGTCGTTGTTCAGGGATAGGGATGAAGTCGCGTTTGGTTTCGTATTTGTAGTCAGGTCTGCCGTGATCAAAAAGATTCGAGAGACCGGCTCCTCGCTGTACTCGGGCTTCAAAATTCGCCTTTTGTACTGCCGTCATCTCATTTGGAAGTGAAAGACCTTCAGATCTTCCTGGGCCTCTCGGCGTGGCTTCTCCTTCCGTTCTTTCATTTGTGGTCATGTCTGAAAAGTCGGGGATCTCAAGTACGGCGGAAGCCCGCTTCTCAAAGTCTTGAGTCATGCTGAAATTCCATTCATCGGTATCAAGGTCGGAGTCAAGGTCATCCATTGAAGCAGCAGCTGCACCTCCTGGCATAAACAGGGAAACACGCTGGCCACCGCCAACAACCCAGGTGTAGTACTTTTGTACAAGTTCGGTGAGAATAGAGGTAGGGTGTGTTTCTTCGGTGTCTTTTAGAAAGTCGTGCTGTAAGACTTTTTGCATGCTCGGCCGAGTAGCAACGTCCGGAGTGAGGCTGGAGGAGACTAGTGAACGTAACCCATCACTATGGTCTTGATCTTCAGGGAGAGAGATGGCTTGTTTGAGACGTCTCATTCGAAGTTTGAGTTGCTGGCGTTCTCGCAGATCGCTATTCGGGGGTCGTCCAACCGCGCATTCATAGAGGGTGCAGCCGTATCCCCAGACGTCCACCTACCGAAACGAGTTAGTATATTCCATTGTCGGCAGAGTTGTTGTGCGTTTTCATGCTACTCACCTCATCAGAGTACTCAGGATTGTCCGTCCATTGCTCAGGTGCCATCCAATGTAGAGTTCCTATGAATGTGTTCCGTCGATCGGCCTGGTTGTCTAGGACGTTGGCGACACCAAAATCACACAGCTGAAGTCGCCCTTCTTCGTGAATGAGGACGTTGGCAGCTGGAAATTGGCGAGGGGAATCAGAGAAAGACCTCCCGACCAAAGACTTGTTGATCACGTACCTTTCACATCTCTGTGTAGTATCCCAGCCTCGTGCAAACCTTTCAGCGCTTTGGCTAATTCTCTGGCTACCACTATGAGGTACTTCTCCTCAAGGCGGTCTTTGTTGGCTCTCATCTAAACACCATAGTTCAGTCAAATCCGTTACAAAGCCACATTGACTGTGACACAGTGGGAAGTAGGCTGTGGGAGCCACTGCGAGAGAGGACAAAGAGCTTACTAAGGTTTTCACACTACCCCCGGGACAGTGTTCACAGATCATCCACAACTGACTGTGGACAGGAAAGGCATCGATGAGCTGATTGAGATTCTCTGCACCACTCTCCTGCGCTTGTCGCAAGATGCGTATTTCGCGTTGGAAATCTCTGATCTGTTCGTCCTTCTGTTCACCATACGCTCGAAAATCGGCATCATCGATGTCCAGTACTTTGATCGCGACAACCTGTTGACTAGGGATTTGGCGACCTTTGTACACTCTTCCGAAGCTCCCTTTGCCGATCAGCTCATCAAACGTATAGTCAGGCTCAGGCTGCTTGGCTCTCTTGCACTTTTCGACGACAGCTCGCTGCTGCTCCTGTGCGAGTCGCACGGCTTCTCGACGATGAGCCGTCATAGCAGAAGCTGATTGGGGACGAAGATGGTCCATGTTGAAATTGATTTTTCGGCTTCTGGCCAAAAGAAATAGTGATCTGATCGGTGAACCTTCCTTCAATGGGCCAAAGGTGCGAACTAGCGCCTCAGGGGTGCAGTCTGAGACGTTGGACGGTGCCTCCGGCGAGGATTCGAGGCACGCCAGCGACAACCTACGGTACGCAAAAGCCTCCGCGCTCGGCTCGTCTTCGTTGCCCTTTGGCTCACTGCTGGCCGCCCGGGTCTTCGGGAGACGGAGAGGTGTTGGTGGTGGAGGAGGGGGCGAGACAGAAGAGGGCTCCGGGCCTTTTTGCCAGGAGTTGTCAGCCCGGAGGACGCGGCGTGGAAGTCGGGGGGATGGGTGGTTTCGAGGGGCGCCTATCTCGTCGTTAGTCGATCTCAATTACTGCCTTGGTGTTGAGGAGCCCGTCACTTCGCCGTCATGACAACGGCTCTTTGAGGACGGTGAGAGCGCTGGTAGGGACGCCTATGGACGCCTGTGAATGGTGGGTGGATGACTTACAATGGGGCTTCTTGTCTCCTGCAGACATGGTGGTTAGCGATGATGGAGAGATTAGAGGGAGAGATTGGGTGAAGGCATCTCGAGTACTGCCTCGAATGTGCGACGATATTCTTACTTACCTGGCTGGAATTAGGGGATGGACAGTCGTATGGTGTTGTGTTTCTGAAGTGTGAAAAGGTGCACGCCGACAACACCAAGAGTGCACTCCACCGGCCCACGGAACGCCTTCAATGCAATAAAACCCTGCTGAAACCTGTGGACTATTCGGCCATTGTTGTCAGGTTGCGAGTAATCCTGATATCAAAGTACTGCTGTCGAGGCCCCCTTTTGCGTGAGAGTCTCCTTCAACCACTCGTGCCTTTAGTCTGGAGAGGGAATGCGATGGCATCTTCCCTGAGGATTTTGAGTGAGGTCAACCACCGGGCAGATGTATGGTAGAACAATTTCACGCGTATGGACCGCATTGAATGGCCAGAACTGGAAAGCACCATGCACGATCACAAGCAAGACCGTTGTCTTTTTCTTGGCGGCATATAGCGTTATACCTAATCCATATTAGCGTGCACTGATCACCACAGCCTTGTCATGACATCATTTAGCAGATGAAGACGCGACGAGGCTGAAGGATGTCTTTGTGTTTGAAGGACAGCCAGATTGGCCACAGGAACTTCATGATATTCAGGAGACTATCTAGAAACCCATGCGCCTTCTTGGGACGATAGGCTTCTTGACTACCCCATTGCTGCCTATCTTCTTGACCACGACCCCACTGCTTTTGACCCTCCCAGCCAGCAATTTTTCCTTTTCTTCCTGTTCCTGCAGCCTCTTCTCCTCCTTGAGGCGATCCTCTACCATTTGGCGCTCAATCTCCATTTTACGATTGAATTCGCCCTCGATGATTCGCTTATCCTTCGCACTGTACTCCTTCGATTTCAGGCTGTAGAAGACACCACCAAGGTCCGCCAGCCAGTGTGGGTCAACTGCTGTGACACAGCTCATGTATTCCTTACTGGTAAGGATGAGTTCGTGGTAGACAACATAGTCTGGCGGATCTCCGAGGCCGTAAAGAGCGGAGGTAGGATGGAGTTGTACCGTGACACTGGTGCGCAGATTGATATACTCGCCGACTCCGCGACGGCGGGCGGCCTGGTGATAGTAGCCAGAACATATGCACTTTCGGATGACGTCCCAATCGGTGCCGCAAGAGACAAGTTCCATCTTCTGCTGCCCAACCATAATATCATGCAGTTGTTCACGGATCTCTTTCGCTCGTCTCAATGCTTTGGGATGCAGGAAATGCCGAATACACCATCCATCGCTATATCCGTTGCTCTTCCACTGATTGTAGACATGCAGTAACGTCAAGTGATCCGACTCGTGCACAAAGAACTTCTCCCTTGCAGCATCCGATTCTTCCTGTCTTTCCTTGGGCCTGTAAAAGACTGATGGCACGGAAAGCATACTGACTATTGTGAGCATCTCCTCACTGCATTCGTAATCGGTGGCAGAAGTGATCAACATCTTCGCCAGGGACGGATCCATCGGGAAGGCAGTCATAGTACGACCTATTGTGGTCAACTCGCCAACATGGTCAAGGGCACCGAGAGCCCAGAGATCGAATAATGAAGTCGTAATTGTATCTTGTGGAGGTGGATCCATGAAATCAAAATCCAACAAGTCTTTCACACCAAGTGACTTGAGCAGCAGGACCGTGTTGGCCAGGTTTGTCCGCTGAATCTCGGGGATGGTCTGAATATAGAATTCGTTTTTGAAAGCGCTTTCGGTGTACAGATGGAAGGCTTTGCCAGGGCCGGTACGACCTGCTCTTCCTGCTCTTTGAGAAGCGTTGGCTTGAGAGACAGGAGTGATTTGTAACGTGTCCATTCCCATCCGCGGGTTGTAGACTTTCAATTTGGAGAAGCCGGCGTCGACCACGTACATAATGCCATCCACCGTCAGGGATGTTTCAGCAATGTTGGTAGCAACAATCACCTTACGCACGCCTGGAGGAGCAGGGTCAAAAATTTTGGCCTGGAGATCCGCAGGCATTTGGGAGTAAATCGGAAGCACCATTAGCTTGGGCGGATCGACCAATTGGCGCAACCTCTCCTCTATCAGTTCGCAAGTAACCTCGATATCCTCTTGACCGGTCATGAAAACAAGGATATCTCCTGCCCCGTGCGAAACGTGAATGGCAAGGACTTGCTTGACTGCACTGTCCACATAGTCTTCGCAAGGTGAGCGAGAATACTGGATGTCGACAGGAAATGTGCGACCAGGGATGATGAATTCTGGTGCTCCTCCATAAAAGCGAGAAAAGCGTTCCGAGTTCATGGTGGCCGATGTGACGATGAGCTTCAGGTCCCTGCGGCGGGCAAGGACTTTCTTGATCAGACCCATGAGAACATCAGTATTGAGCGCACGTTCATGAGCTTCGTCCATGATAATGCATGAATATTTGTCTAAATCTTGCTGGGTCAGGGACTCTCTGAGCAGTACACCATCAGTCATATCTGCCGGACGATCAGTGTCATAATCGCGCTAAGGGTGAGGGGGACTTACACTTGATAGCGGTCGCGTCGCTGGTACAGTCCTCAAATCGGATGGCATATCCTACCAGACCACCCAGCTCAACATCCATCTCCTCGCTGACACGTTTGGCAACGCTCATTGCGGCAACCCTTCGGGGTTGAGTACAGCCGATGAGCCCATGTTTCGCATATCCTTCCTCATACAAGAATTGAGTCAGCTGCGTTGTCTTCCCTGAGCCTGTCTGTCCAACTACAATGATGACTTGATTGTCCCGGATGACACGCATGAGCTCTTCTCTGACTGCGAAGGCGGGCAGGTATTCTCTTTGCTCCTTAAGAGTCTTGCTCTTGCTGAATGCGGAGCCCCCAGTATTCTTCTTGAGATGTGTTGCAAACTTGCTTTTACCGGTATCTTCTCCAGGGACCGCGGCAGCGCTGTCACCGTCATCCTCCTTGACGCCCATGAGATTCCCCAATGCGGTGCCTGCGACGTTTGTTGCTTCTTGAGCTTGTTTCTGACGCTCCTTCTGTTGTCTCCTCTCGCGGACTACCTTGCTTCCCTTTCTGGCGAAGACCGCCATGTCACTTTGAGCATCCCGCACAGCAGGAACTGGGTCTAGTTGTTTAGTGAATATAGTCTTACCGTCCAGAAACGGAGGCTTGAGGTCGTGTACCAAGAGATGGACTCGAACCGATTCATCGTCGTCAAAGTCGTTTGCCTGATCACGTCTCTGCGCAACACCCGATGTGAGCATTCGATTTGCTTCCCAAGCATCCACTTCTCTCTGCTTCTGGGCCGCTTTGGCGGTCACACGTTTCCCAAGCTTCTTGTCCGCCAGTGCTTGTTCCCGCTGTTGGTCCGCCCATGCCGTATCAGCACCACCAAAGGGATTATGACTGTCGTCGCCAAAGGTATGACCAAACTCGTCGCCCGCATACCAGTCACGGTCCATAGCGGTAGTATCTTCATCGTTGTACAATGCCTCAGGCCCATCAAACTCTTGCTGGTGAGGCTTGGCTTGGGGTGCGCGACTGTGATTGCGGTCGTTTGGTCTTGCAAATCGAGGCTTTGATGTATGTTGAGATCGGGGCTTCAAAGACGGGCCTAAGTCGTCGTTCGCATCGCGTGGCCCTGGACGGAAGCCTCCGTCTACTCTCCGTCTTTTTGGACTATGGCCGCGCTCCATGATGGCAAGCGTGACTCTCGACTGTCGCAACAGGCGAAACTGACCGGCTGCGTGCAAATGCCTCTAGGAAGTATTGAGATGAAAGTTGTGAATTGCGGACGACACCGAAAAAGTTTACCCGCAGTTTACACGGAAGCCTCGCGCGTTTTGACAGTATTCACAACTCCGCATCTAACATAACTATGTTCAAACAGAATTCAGTATCTGCCCTGAATGTGCAACATGGCGACCGGTCAAGAGACAGCTGTTCGGAAGCAACAAGGTATGGCGGAAAGTGCTGTAGTAAAATGGCTGTAGGCTGATATGCAGCAGATCTCCAGGCGCAGTACAACAATTACAAAACTGCGCTTCAGACACTGGCACAGAAGGTCGGCGAGATTGAGCAAGAGATAGAGGAGCACAAGTATGTCCCATGTTCCTTCGGTGTCCCTTTGATCCCAGATTTCTTCGATAGCAACTCCTTACTAGATCGAGAGACTGATGCTTCGCCCAGACTGGTCACGGAAACCCTGCAGCCACTACCAGGAGAACGTAAATGCTTTCGACTTATCAACGGTGTCCTTGTCGAGAGAACTGTGAAGGATGTCCTTCCTGCACTGAAGACCAACTCGGACGGTCTGAAGCAGGTTCTGGAGGAGCTGTTGAAACAATACAAGAGCAAGCAGGATGAGATGGACAAATGGAAGGTAGGAATCGTCCCCTAAATACTCTCCGTATCGGCTGACCAAAGGTTACAGAAGAAGCACAATATTCAAGTCGTTCAAAACTAGCCTGACAGGTGGTACTTGCTTGAACCATTGCCTGGGTTTAGAGACAGTAACCTGGCTTATCTTCGTGTGAAGATTGAGTGTTCTGACTCTGCCTGAGAGGAGATTGCGGTGCATAAGGTCGAACCTGGCGTACTTTGGAAGGCGGGTGAGGAGGATACCATAGTCATTACTGCTTCGGCGTGTGTGACGCAGTTGCGACGTTGAAGTGAAAGAAGCGCGGTTTAAGGTCATGCCCATCTGCACGATGTAAGTTGCCTGCTTTTTCTCGGTTGTACCTCACCTTTCCCACCCCACCATCACCTCTCCCTTAGGTGACACGCTTGTCGGAACATGGACTGATCTGTCACAACAGTCCACCATCTTCCAACTATTGAAGCCTGCTGCAGAGCGTCGTCAACGTACCGGTGTCCTGCAATGGCACCAACAAGCAGAAATCGGCAGCCGGCGAATAGAGGCGATTATAGGTACGGTCTCAACGAGCAACCTATCGTCGACTTCGCGAATCCGCCCTTGAACCATCGTCCCAAACTTTTCTGCTGCCCAGTGGCTGAATCAAATGCATCTCACCTACCTCGAAGTTTCGTCAACCCGGGTCGGCATTTGATGAACCAACAACTCCGATCTTTCCTCGAATGCGCCGACGATTCCCAATATACGTTCTCAAAATGTGAGGTGTCCCATATTGTCGAGGTGACCACCCGAGCCATCCACAACAATCCTGCGGCAGCGTCACACAGCATGCACATTCAGCAGCAGTGGAACCAGTCGTCCAGCCCTCTTCGGCCTTATCCAGTCGATACAATCACCCCTCCATTCGACTCGAGCTATGAGAACGAAATGGTGCTCGATGATGAACATGAGTTGACCTACAGCACCTACCAGAGCATGTCGACGAGATATTTCATCGCCCAGAACAGCAGCAATGCCTGGCAAATCCCTCCTCACTCAAGGCAGTATCGAGACAACCGTCCAGATCCGAATCAAGGCAGGGGCGGAGTTGACAAGTATATGGAAATACCACCGTTCAAAAGTATGCCTTACACATCGGAAAGTAGTGGAGGAGGCTCATCAGGAGGAGGAAACGCCGCTCGACCGTGGATACCGTCGTGCAGCATGTTGATGTGGTGCAACCAGCACAACAACTTCTATGAGGTACACGTGTTGTCTTAATGAGGGGATTACATACATATCTATGAGGCAGCCAGATGTGGAATCTGCAGGCGGGATGAAAACGAGTGGCGGTTGCCGTCACAGCTTTCAGCAGTTGACATAAGACGGCTAGCGACGATGAACCTTCCGGGGCTGTTCAAGGACATATTTATTGCGCTTCGTTAGCTGCACGGTGGTAGAACGACCAACGTCGTCGAGCCTTCAACGATACTACGGCTTTGTCCCCGCATATCTTCCAGGTCGATGCGTCTTTCTTTGAGTCTAACCGGAAAGCTAGCATGATGTTATTAATGTCCGAAGCTTGATGGCCAGCCGGAAAGTCAGAGTCATATTGGCTGGAACTAGCGTCCACTACACGTAGAGGGGCTCCGTACCTGGAACGGGTGTGTTCCTGGCTACACCCCCATGGACTATTAGTTGTCGAAAGGCATGGTCGGAGCAGAAGTGGACAATTCACGCCGACGAAGAGCTGAGTCAAGGTAGTCAGTACAGTGCTTGCAGCCTACAAATACATAGTAACCAGATGCAGGTTAACCATGTCATGATCTCCAGGCTTCCCAGGGGCTCAGATGGGGGCAACCATGTTCGTTGCTTTAGTTTCGAACGGAAGAGCGCGGACCGCTAGTGTTGTGGTCCTGTTTGTCTTTATTGAGATATATCAAACAGCAGGTGGACTCAAATGGGACGGAGTTGCAACAATACCTAGTTAACTATCTGTGAACAGCATCAACTTGCGACTCGCAACTTGGAAGAGGCTGGGGACTTGGGAAGCACGGACACTCATCATAATGTTAGTGGCCCCGGTACTATGTTAAGCTTGTGCCTGGCCTTTAACTATGGTCATACTAGTACGTCTAGCACGGCCTATGTACGTAGTTTTCCAAAGGGTCTCTTGGGTGCAACTCTTCAATAATGACTTTCTCGACAACCCCAAATAGGAACTGCGCTTATCTCCATTTCCACCTCCATCACTGTCTCTCTTCACCCTTTCGATCTTCGCTATCTTTCTTCATGCAGTCTTTTACCAGTAACTACAAAATCTAAGCGGTCTCCTCCAGAGCTTAGACGAAACTTCAACCATCCTTACCAACCGATCCTGCTTTCAGCATTCCCCAATCGTGCATCTTCACGAACCGGCATCATACTGCACCTAGTCTCAGACGTCTGCCTAGGATAGGCTGCCCCTCGGCGCCACGTTTAAGACAGACTAGGCTAGCCAGCCCATCACGTCCCATTGACCAAGGTAGTGGAAGTCTACTTCTGACGACTACAAGGATCCCCGAAACCCCGAGCCGAATTGGTTGCATGCAACTGCGTCACCCCGGTCTTCTTCCATCACCTTCCGGCATTGATCCTCGTCTCGAAAGCAGTCCAAAAACGCACCAGAAGCAGCCAACAGCGCAGAACAAAGGCCCAGCAGCAGCAGTCGACACCTCACCATAGAACCTTCCTCCCGCGCCAATTGCACACCTAACTAGCTGCTGTCACTACAGCAGCGCCGTGGCGACCTTTGACACCACCTCATTCACTCGCCACCACAACGCCCACGTCTTCTCGATGTCTCGGGATTTGCTATTTTGACCAACGGCGATTGCATGCTGGAGCACACATCAACTCATCTCCAACACCCCAGTTTACCATATTCTTGTAATAGACCCGATCTCCTACAATTCGTCAGCCATTGAATACTCCAAGCGGGCTGCGAAGTACGATTGCCACCACAAGCTTTGGCCCAACTAAAGGCTTGCAGCACGCTACCCTTAGGTGGGAGCTACAGACAGCACCGGTTCTATTGGCGCCGACTTTACTAGCCGGCTAAAAGCATCGATCTTGCATTTATTTAGTCACCCAACGGACCTCACTTCTACGAGACTCTTTGAGCGTTTCTTTCTTTTGAGCGCTCGGATAGTCCGTTACAATCTCTTCTTCTTTCCCACCTCACGTTCGTTTGTGGGAAACTCGGTTTTGCAAGAGGTTGAAAACCTCAAACCCGTCAAGACTTCAATCCGCCCAAGGGCTTGTCCTGCAATATAGGTCACCTGTCGTTCTTTAACAGAGAAACATTGCGGAGGACCCAATCGAAACTCGCAGCACGTCACACAGTCGGCAGCAGCTACCCTCACCCGACACAAACGAGAAGTTGTTATTGACAGGGCTACCCCATCAGTGAAGTAGCGCTCAATCAGGTGCTTGGGCTACTTGTTCTTCTTGGAAAGACACCAGCTGTACTGTGTCGCTCCCGAAATTCGAATTGGACGATTGGGGTTGTATAAGAGGTTTACCAATCCACTTCTGGTATATACGTGAGTTCCATTCCAGGCACTCGGACAGCTTTACTTCGATTCTAATCATGTACAAGGTTGTCGACATGTATTACTTCAAGTTGCTCTCTTTTTTCATCATCTCGGTCTCTACCCTGGTCGCAGCATCTCCCGTGGTCCGGAAAACACTCAACCCTCAACGTCTGAAGATCAGATCGCCTCTTTCAGATGCAGTTTTTGATGCAACAAGCGAATGGCCGACCAACGTTGTCATGACTGGCGGATCTCAAACTTACGGCATGTGGGTTCCTATAGACGGCACTTGGTACGATATGAGCACGATCACATGTCTTGGTCTCCCGGCCTATGCCGAGGGTCCTTGCGATGGCATGACTATCGACCAGATAGGCGTGGTCAGTGGTGACGGTCCTTGCGACTTTCTTGGAAATGATGGTTACAGTGTTTCTATACCTGGCACTGCTGGCGAGGGCTACTTTACGGTCGGACCACCTCAGAACATCATGTCAGCAAAATGTGGATGATCACCATTTATCCGCACTTCGCTAGACCGAGAAACGATTGATGATAAGATTGAGGGCATGACGATAGATTATTCACTGATCAATTTGCACTGCGAAGCTAGCGATTATACGCACGAAGCCTTTTTCGACGTTACTTTCCAGCCATCGAAGAGTCATTCGCCATTCATATCAGCTACGCTCGAATGTCTAGCTATTTGCATTCTCAACCGGCGAAATGAGAATGAGACGTTAACAATAGGCACAATCTCTGCGTCTCTTGCGGCCATCGCAAACTCGTCACGCTGGGGGCCATCTTACTCCGCACGATGCGAGTATGATTTGGGTCAGGAAACGGAACCACGGAACTCCGTCCATGCAAGAACACAATCTTCCAACCTGCAAGCAGTATGCACGATACTGCTGGTCTACCCGATACAGAACGGGGTGTTGCGCACTTATCTGCTTCGAGCAGATGTTGGCGGGCCTGAAGCGGAGTAGGGAGGGGGTTGCGACCGATGATCAAGCGCCCTCAAAGGCTTCGATTTGAGCAGTGCTACACTACACAATTGGAACATACGAATTGAACACCTACCATTTATTGAATATGCAAAAATCTACCCCGTCCATTCTCCTTTTCGTGATTCTTGTTGACTATCCATTTCTCACGAATCACCTACTCCACAGTACATCTTCATATCTCACGCTTATGCATGCTGGGTATAGCGAGATAACCAATATGACTCAACGCGCTTCCAAAATACAATACAGTACACTTCGCTCAAAAAAACTCTCACAAAACAAACCGATAGGTACCAGTCCCACAAGACTATTCTATAACCACAACAACAACAACCTCGAGATCTTGATCCCGATGGTATCGGCACTTATCTCCCCTTCGCGGCCTTCCGTTCCTCATCCCTCACCACCTCCCCAACCACAATCCGGCAAAGCCGCTCCGCAATCTCACTCACGCTCCATCCCCATTCTACGTCTTTTCCGTTCCGGTAGAGCCCACACCCACAGCTATACTCGCACTCCTGCATGAAGCGTTCCAGAACCTGACACTCAGTCAGGCCCATAGTAAACGTAAACACCTCGCCCATCCCACCGTCCGTCTCATCGACGTCCATCGCCGCACCGTTCATGGCAAGGATCTCAGGGCGAATGGCGTGGGTGAGAGGGGCGTGGAATTTCGGACGCAACGATTTGCGGTATATGATGTGCAATGTCCTGAAGTGCGAGTTTGTGAAGTCTCCGGAAAGGGTGAGCGGTTTGGAACTTGAGCGTGAAGGATCGGATGGGTAGGAGGGTGGGAGGAGGTATGATGGTATCCTGCCCTTCTCCTTCTCCTTCTCTTTCTCATTCGCCCTGGCGTTGGACACTGATGCCGACGCTCGTACCGAGGTCGACACGATGGACGATTTCGTTGGCTGCGAGGTTTCCTTCGATGCCTCATGCTCGGGCTTCGGTTGACCTGTCGGTCTGCTTTGAGCGTATGATCGATGGGACGAATTAGTTTGGCCACGCCCAGGTTGAGCCTGGATGGTATGTATCTGTGCTTGTGCATGTTTCGAACCCAGTGTCCAGCCTGTCCATCCCTTGTCGGATCGCTCAGGTTGCGGAGTTGGCGTCAGCGATTCTTCTACAGACACGCTGTCGAGGGTCTCCTCTTGCGCGTTCAAGTCAGCCTGCTCGGGCTGCTCGGAATCCTGATCATCGTCCTCATGAGCTTGTAACTCGCGGTTCAACTGCGCACCCACTGAGCAGAATGTCGACTCATCGCTCACAGTCTTCATGCTGAAACTGCTCTCTAACCCATCGATAGTCACGCCTCGCGAGCGCTGGCTCCAGATCACTCTTCTTGTTTCCGGGTTTTGCAGTCCGAGGACTTCGCCGAAGCTCTGGCGTGAGCCTTTCAGAGCGGAGCGCGGTGTGGGTGGTCGTTGAGGCGAAGATACCGGGATTGCAGGCGATGACGGTGGTTCGAGCTGCACATGTATCGTTTCAGGTGGCGTTGTGACCGCGACTGAAGAGTCATTAAAATTGATGGGGGTTTTGACATGGCCACGCTGTGGCGAGGGAGATGATGGTTGTTCTGAAGAGATAGGGTTGATTGTTGACGACTCGACATCTTCCAGCGCCACACTGGACTCATGAGCAGAGGCCGATCCGATCGTGTCGTCCAGCTGGGTCTGACGTTGCTCATCGTCGTAGAAGTCAGTCGTTTCAGTGTCCTCAGCCCCACTGACATCCTCCTTGGGCGTTCCTAGCATGGCATCTATATCAAATGCACCGCTGTTTCTCCGCTGGCCCAGCCTCTGCCTCTTGATCTCGCCGGCACCGAACTTGATCTTGCTCTCTTGCTCCTGCAAATCCATCAACCCACTCATGTCATCTGTCTTGGTGGATAGAAACGTGCTTTGATCAGCTGGGGCGGCTCGCCTCCAAGTATTTGGAATAAGATTTCGTCGAGGTCTAGTGATGGGTTTACTCTCCAGATCCCGGTACCCGGCCTGGTTAATCTCATTCATCTCTGGATGCTGTGAAGGTGGCTGCGATTCTGGCTGCGGGCTGGAAGAATGCTTCGCTTCAGCGAGCCAAATGTCTTCCTCGTCATCCTCCTCTACGATAGCAGCCGAAAGCAGTGATTCATCCTGTGGATGAGGCACTGTCAGATCGCCATGGGCTTGGGTCTCGTCGTCACTGTCGAGGATGATGACCTGGCTTTCACTCGCATTCTCGATCTGTCGTGAGACTGCTTGTCTCTCGAGTTGCCATTCGTGCTCCCGACGAGCTTGAGTGTCGAGTAGTCTGGCACTTCTTCTGCCGGAAGGAGGCCCTTGAGGCGTCTCGAGGACCTGTTTGGTGGGCTGCACTGCATTTGTTGTCGTGGTGTTCGGGATCCCTACCGGCGTATGCTGTACCAATGTCTCGCCACGCCAGACTCGTGTTTGTTGGTGGGCTCTGCTGACTGCTTGTGACCTGCTAGCTGCATGATGCTCTGCTCCATCTTGATTGTTATCGGCGCTCGCAGGATTGGCCGCACCGACGTGATAATTTGGCGATTGTCGCTTAGCAAGTTCTTCCCCAAGTCTGAGTCCCGCCCTCAGTTCTCTCTTCGTGCCATCATCAAAGCCTTTGTACAGCCTATCCTCGTCAATGTGCCTGCCAACCCGCTCCGGCATTAGTTCTCGCCTATTCTGGTAAGGTTGCTCCGGTGATACTATTTCCTGCAATGCAATTCCTGCGAACAAGGCGGATGCTGATCCACGATGTCGATGGTTTGAAGTTTTCTGAACTGTTCGTCTTGGTGGAGATGGTAGTTTGGGTGATGAGTACAATAGAGGGGTGACCTTTCGAACCACCCCATTGGAGGACGAGGAAGATACGTGCAGCAGGCTTTTGTCGTGCGCCAAAACCGGAGGCGATGAGGGTACTGTGCTGGAAATGTCACTTTCGTCGACATTCAGCGCCGGGTAGGTGATTGTCTCATGGTCCGGTAGCCGGGGGGTTGTGGCCGATGCCTCAATTGTCTCTGGCAACGCTGATGATGCCCCTTCAGCATCCTCCTGTCCAGCCTCGCACAGATTAGACTCCTCAAAGTTTGATGAATTGTGGAGATATTGTTTAGCAGAGGGCAGCGTGTCCAGATCTATCATGGTAAAACCTTCGCTCTCCAGAACGGTATCGAAGTTTTCTGTAGCGTGTGTCGAGCCTTGATCTTGGATAAGATCGTTTCCAACGTCGTCCGAATCGCCATGGTTCGATGCGGAAGGCGAAGGAGTCGGGTAACTCCTCGCGCTGTTAGCGGACACTTTTCGAACATCGCTTGGTTTCTGCATGCGCGTTGCCGTCGGGTGGTCGCCCTTGTCCTGAGGTGCGGACCAGTCGTCGGCATTTGATTTTGTTGACATCGCTCGTGATCGCAGAGAGACTCTGTTCAGGTCGATATTGCGCAGTCCCACAGACGTGTCTTCTGGAGTTCCCTCTTCCTGATGCATGACTGCATCATCGTCTCCAAGATCCGCATCTTGTTGTATCTCGAATGTTGTAGGCTTCCCGGACTGCGTCGCGGAAGTCGGTCTTCGAGATTGGGAAGGTCTTTTCTTCCGCGGCGACTTCTTCTGCTTGAGCCAATCGTCCTCCTCCGCGTCGTCTCCCAGAGGAATAACATCTAAGTTGGTCACACTTTGTCTTCGAGATCGACTAGAATTCCTCGTCTCTCGCACGGGCGTTGTGCTTCTCTTGTTCTTGACTGAAGCAGCAGAGCTTCTACGTCCTCGTCCTGAAGACTTCATCCCATCCGTAGGAGAGCTTTCCTGTCTCAGTGGTATTTTCATGGTTCTGGTCATGGTCATTGGCGCAGTCCCGCCCAAGCTTGAATCTTCTGGCTCTGCCTGCACAGTCACCTTGATTTTCCAAGGACTGCAATTCTGTTCATAGACCGAGCGGAAGGGTGATGAGGAGCGCAGCGCAGTATCACGGTGGCTTGTTCCAGAAGTTCTTCTCGTATGCTTCAATGGCGCACGGCGGTGATTTGATGACGAAGGGCGTTTCGTGATCGCGACAGTATCTGAACTGTTTTCATCGTTGAATGAGGTTGCGAGAGGGTCGGGAGAGCTTGACTCGTCGTGGCGGTAGGATGCAATGACCGAAGATGATCGCAGCATTGTAATGGGGACGGACCCTGTAGAGGAAATTGGCTGGAATGCCCCGAGTTACCTCAACATATCCGTTGATCTCTCTCGCATTGAGTCTTACACAATGCTTCTGATACCGGTTGACGCTTTGGCAGGCATGTACTGATTATATCAATGTCTCAATGATCAGCCTTGAATAGTTCGAATTGCATAAATTACGAGGTACTTCGGTTCTTCTCAAGCGAAGCAATTGTTTCGATTGTTTGTTTACTATGACGTGGATATCCAAGCCGCTGATTGGCTGACACAATGCGTCGCAGCCTTGTGCTTTGCGCTCATTAGATATTAGCAGAATTTTATGGTCCATCACCGCTGCAGAACCTTCTCAAAATGTCGAGAAATCATACGTGGCATAATTGACTGCTGGCCCAGTCGTGGGTGAGAAAACCTCGTATTGACCAACTCCCCATTCTGGATGGTTGATGCCGTCAATCCAGGCTTGCGTTTCGATCACCATGCATCCATACTTGTTGACAAATCCCGTTGCGCCGCTTGTACCATTGTTTCGCTGCTGTTGGCTCTGCTTGACTGGAATCGTTCCATTTTGCCCGTTGCAGGTATAAATCTGCAGTCCTTGCTGGTTCGTGGACACATCCATTTGAATGCCCGTGGTCGTCGACCACAGAGAAAGCACAGGATAGTTGGACGATGTCGGACCAGCATCGGCAGGCCTATCAAGAATGAAGGCATTATCGATCCCTGTACATCCTGCGCCGCATACGCCGGTCGCGTTGCTCACTGCCGTGCCGACAAGCTTCGGCGAAGTGAAGTCCAGGTTTGGCAAAGCCGATACCGATCCCAGCGCGCCAGTGGGAATCTCGATCGAGTCAATGACAATGTACCGATCAGCATACGGCATCCACAGCGTGGTGTCGTTTAAGATAGTTGCCTGTTTGTACGCATTCAAATTCCAATAGATGTGGTTGGCGAGCATGATTGGTGTAGCTTGGTCCAGGGCTGTTGAGACCATCTTGCTGGTGAAGCGTGGACGCAGCTGTCCCTGAGGTCCGCTGGGATATGTCGATAAAGTGAAGGTAGCAGTGGTCAAGACTGTGCCTGGGAATCCTTCGAAAGCTGTGTCGAGTAGCCCGAAAGTAATGCTCGAGTTTGAGGAGGTGACCACAGTCCAATTGCGCTGATCGTAGCCAACAGTGCCACCGTGCAGAGTATCCTCGCCATTGTTCTCGTTGGCGGGTATGTGGTAAGTTTGTCCATTCAGTTGGAATGTACTGTTCCTGATACGATTGGCGTAGCGACCTACGACTGGACCGAAGTAGGTGTGGTTAGTCTCTGTGTCTCTGAGGTATTGGGTCGGGTCGTCGTATCCTGTCACCACATCCTGATAGTTGCCATTGCGGTCCTGAACCAGCAACGAGGTGATGCGTGCACCATAGGGAATGAACTTGGCTGTTATGTTTTGAGCCGTCAAGGTATATACCTGAAAAGGATTGGCTGGACCTGTCGAATTGATGGAGCTGTTCTGGCACAGAGCCGGCACGACGATGCTGGAAGCAAGCACAATCTGGAGGAGATATAACCACATCTTTACTGTGTAATGCGTGATGGCGCTGTATATCTGTGTAAGTAAACAAGCACAGCTACAGCTCATTGCAAAGCGGATTGGACACGGGTTTATTATAGCTTGACCACCTGGACTTACCGAGGACACAAAGCATGGTTACATTCTCACAAGGTTGCTTTGCTACTGGTGCGCATGTCGCTGATGGTCATGATGCTATGGTGGATCTCAATAGCTGGACCTGAAGAGCTTTCATGGGGGAGCATTGGAGCCTTTGCGGGTGTTTGTGGCGGTCAACAAGTGCGGGGGAAGACTAACAAAAGAGGAGAAGAAGCAAAGCCCCGGGGGAGCCCTGGAAGCTTGAGGTCGCCTAAAGCGGCCCTAACTTATGGAGAGCCCTGTCGATCCCGCAAAATGCAATAATACCATGTGACATCTGAGTAGATCATCTCTGCACCACCGGGTTCTTTCCTGCTTAGGCAGTACAAAAACTTGAACCTGGTCTACTCCGGGTCATAGTGGTCCCTCTGTTACAGCCTCGGTCATACACCAGCTGTCTTTCTCGGGTCAACATCCACCAGATGAATGTCGAGATACACTGGCCAATCTGGCGCCAAGTTACTCCGTGATTCTGACAACGGCTTGAGTGCCTCTTCGATAGCCTTCCTGTCCACTTGTCCCTTGGGTTGTGATTCGATTTGTGCCAGCTTGAGCAAGTCCTCCTCCAGCTCCTCTGCCAGCAACCGACTTGGCTGGGGCAAGAATGTTCCTTGTCTTCCTTGATGCGTATGCAGTGTCGCGTAGGGCAAGGCTGGTCGCGTGGCGGCCTTTTCTGCAAGGTCGCTGAGCGCATTCAACCCACTCATGCCGCCAATCGTCCGAGTCGACCTTGTCACATGCACATTTTGACTGGCGGACCGATCCATTTCGGGAGCTTCCAACTCTTCTTCATCGGACGATCCCGTATCGTCAGATCCAGCTCGCTTATCATCGTCATCTTTCCCACGTCTTCTCGTGTTACTCGTCTCGCCCTCTTTGCGTGATGTGGTGAAGAAGTGTCGAGCTGCGATCTGCGCCTGGTGAGATTGGAAGTTGAGCTCTTTCTCGGTAAATAGGGAGTGGATCGAGTACAAGGGCGCAGTTTGGTTCGTTACTGTTCCTCGGCTGCGTTCGGCAGGCGTAGACATTCCGTTGCGAGACGGAGAGCCAAAGTCCTCGTCCGCAACCTTGCGCTTCCTCTTGTTCATGCCTTCGCCGATCCCATTCAGGTCTTCCTGCTCCCGATGTCTGGTGAACCGGGTCTTGCGACTGGTATGATTGCCCCCAGGGCTTGTAGGATTGGTGATGCTAAACTGACTGGGGTGTAAGAGGAGGGCATTGGTATCGGCAATATCCAGCTGCTCTTTTTCCTTCATGAGCCGCTGTCGCTTGTTGGACAATGACTGAAACAATCTTTCTCGCAGGGTGGAGGTCATGTGTTCGCATTCTTCGGCCGCGAGGTGTAGTCGGTAGTCGCATTCGTACTTCAGTCTCTCAAGACGTGCGTTGTGGTTGTTCTAGACATAAGCGTTAAACACTGGAAGCCAACAGCATATGGTCGTTTCCTTACCACTAGTTGTATTAGAGCCAGCTCTTTTGCTTCTTTGGCGTCGTTGACCTCGTGGACGAACTCCGCATACCATTTACCAGCCAGTGAGGACATCTGTGACTGATACGGCGTTCCTGAGGCAGCCACCTCTGCAATTCTGGCTACCTCCTCTGGAGAGTCTTCCAGAGGTTCGGGGTCATAGGGATCAGCTTGGGAAATGAGGTTCATGTCTGTCTGGAGGGCAATGAGTTGTTCTCGGTAATGTTGCTCGCGGTTCGAAGCAAGCTCATTGTAGAGCTCTTGTTGGTGAGCGACATGTTGGTTCCTTCGCTTGTCTCTCTTCGACAAAGGCTGGGTTGGAGGAGTTGGTGAGCGACGGTGTGAGTAGACAGCGTTATCAGGGCCCGCTAAGGGCGAAGTCGGCGACGGCGAGTAAGCCATGACTTGCAGGAAATGGGCGAGATACTTTCAGGACTCTTTCTCAAAGCCCTCGCAAACCAAAGACGAGTATCCTATGCTCTCAATTTGTAGGACGATGCAAATGCTGGTCGCCGGGGAGTTGACGCAGTTTGGCACATCAAGAACTTTCGAAAGTGGCAACTCTGCCGAGATGAGCTACTGTAAAGTGTTTTGCTTTGTTGATGAAGTCAACGGAGTACCGTCCGTTGTAATCAAGATTCTTTACAGTTGCATTGTACGAGGCTTCCGACACCGCAGCCCAATGGGCACGGAACACCATCGTAGCTGGAGTCTGCTTACCATTTCCCTACCGTGGGGCGAGTCTTAGGGACCATTACTTGTGCCAATAAAGCAGCGCGTGCATATGAGGAGGTCGGTATCTCCCAGTTCCTCATAATCCTCGACATGACAAATGCCCTTGAATTAAACCCTCAACCCAAAAGTGATGTGCACCGGAACTTTCCCACCTATACAAAACATGACGCTTTGGTGAAGGTCTCCCCACGGTGAGCAGAGTTCCTATCTATACGCGGAGCCCCCAATACCCCGCCCTCACTGGACCAGTCAGCACTATGGATGGGTACTTGCATACTACTTATAGGTGCTGCAAGGTACGAGTATGTAAAGGGAAAGCACTTCCCACAGGTTCTCCCATCGGTGTTCGCTCTCTACCACTTCCGTGTTGCTGACGCACCTGACGAGTTCCTATTTCAATCATAATATTTCTACCTGACAACAAACCTTGGTTCTTCTTGTTTCCTGCCTGTATTCCATTGTCGTCACAGCCAGACCCCATATCAACGACCCGAAGATGAGTCCAACCATAGTCCATTCCGTCGTCCTCTTCGACGGCAACACTACTCATTCAGATGCCACTGTCACATTTGACCCGGCAAGCGGGAACATCACATCTGTCTCTACTTCAAGCAACGGTCAATTTCCGGAAGGAGCGACCATAATTGACGGGAGCGGCCACACTCTGATACCTGGCCTCATTGATTCGCATATTCATGTCTTTGCTATTCACTTACCTGCTGGTGAGGACGAGTCCGAGATACTACGTTCACCCCTCAGATGCGGTGTGACCACCTTGTGCGACATGCACTCCGATCCGCCCACGGTACGACAGCGATGGCAAGCTATTGCGGACGACCTCGAGCAGGCCAGAAAATCCAATAGTACGGTATCCCTGTCTGATCTCAAGAGCTGTCTCTATGGGGCAACCATCGAAGGCGGGTGGCCGAAACCTATTGTGCTGGGTCATAATCCGTCTGATGAGGTCTGTGCCTAGACACCCATTATGGGTTACTTCTGCAAATGCTTACTGGTTGCAGCTCAAAGCTTTCGTGGAAACCTGGCCCAAAGTGACGGTCGAGAATGCACCAGACTTCGTCAAGAACCACAAAGCAAATGGGGCAAACTACATCAAGCTCATGCAGGAAAACTGCTGTTCACTGGCTCTTCCGACGGATTCTATTCCCGTCGCTACTCTGGAAATGCAAACGGCAGTGGTCAAGGCTGCTCATGCGGAGGATCTGCCTGTGGTTGCTCACGCTTTGAGTGCTGATATGACTGAAGTGGTGCTGAAGGCTGGAGCTGACGGCCTCACACATACCTTCGTCGATCAGCCGCCTCCACAGAATATCATTGACCTCTACAAGCAGACACAAGCTTTTGTCATCCCGACATTGGCCGTTTTGAGCTCCTTGACAAACGAAATGCAGGATTGGAGAGATGAATTCACAGAGATCGCCAGGAAAAAGGGGCTCGTGAATGATTTCGCTCTGCAGACGATGAAGGAAAGTCTGGCCATGAAAGATTCCGCAGCTAAACTAGAGTATGCATTTGAGACGATCAAAAAGCTGAGACAGGAAGGTATCGATGTCGTTGCTGGGACGGATTCGTCGGCTGGGTTGAAAGGCACTGGTCTCGGACCCAGCCTGTGGATGGAAATGCTGCTGTATGTCGAGAAGTGTGGCATGAGTGTAACAGAGGTGCTGCGCTCCGCTACAGCACTGCCTGCGAAGAGGTTCGGCTTCGATGACCGCGGAGTGATCGCCGAGGGTAAGCGGGCTGATCTCGTGCTGGTGAAAGGCAACGTCACCGAGGATCTGCGGGCTCTGTGGGAAGGTGAAGGCATTGTGACCGTGTGGAAGCAGGGTCTCAAGGCTGCTTAGCAGTACTATCCAACGTTGAAGCATCACTTGATCTCACTGCCTGGACAAGTCTCCTTCACTTATATTGACCATGCCCTCATATACCCAACCCAATGTCGGCAGCTCAAGTAAAGACTTGGCTGATCGCTCTGAATACTGCTGTTGCCCCCATCTGATGCCGAATGTGTCTTTCATGAGTGGTGTCGGTACTGACGTCGTGCAACGCCATGAGGATAGGACAGTACGATTATCGGCTGGACTTTGAGCATTGCCATAACGGAGCTGATCACAATGAAAGAACGGCGAACTACCGCTCCCGCACCTGCCTCTGGACCCATCAGCCTTTCAGCAATTTTGGGTCTCAATCACCTAGTGCTTTCGAAACCACCAAATGCGCAGGATTCAAAGGCATCGAGGCCTGCTGCGAAGGACAACGTTGAGCACACTCATTCGAATATCTTGAGAGATGCTGCCTCTATCATCGGTTGTTTCTTGATGCTGAGACCTCCTTCCGCCGACATGCCTGAATATGGCCTGGAGAGAAAATTTTGGAAGCATCCGTTTGTCGTGGTGGGATGTCTGATAGGCGAGTGCTCTAGAGTTCTGGAGCTCCAGATATGTATTGTTGGTGACCGAGCAGTCTGCTTTTGGTATATTTCTATTGACAAATCCTAGGTCAACTCATTCCAGTGGATTCAGGACCGTAGGCAGGTCAGGAATTTTGTGAAGCAGAAGAACCAAATGGCCAGGAGATACATACCGATCAGTCCGAATCCTCCGAGCGACCTCAGCAATCCGAAGCAAGTGCAGGTGATACAGGGTGACCAGTTGCGACATTCGAGTTGGGTCAACATTGAAAAGGTTTATATGATAGGCAAAGACGCTATCGATGTTTCCAGATTCAGTGAACTCACACGACTTACACTTAACTCGTTAAATGACATCCGTCAAGCCTTGAGCATGCCCCGACTTACCAAGTTTTACGGAGAGCCCAGTTCTCCCGAAAAGCAAATCGGCCACCAACGAGAACAGAAAGGTTTCGATGATCGAGAATTCTGGCACGACCCAAGTCACAAAGGATCCAGACACTACCTTCACACGCAATGCAGTGCGAGCGATACAGGTCAGCCATGACACCACTGCTCATAGGTCGACGCGTCCAACACCGCCACCTCCCCACGACCACACGCGATCCTCTCTGCGTGTGAACACGAGTGCTCATATTTCGGGTACCCATCCAACGACAACAGTTGCTGAAGGCTTGCTGCAGAGCGCGCATCTTCCTGCCAACCCACAAACGAAACATATTCGGAAGCCTCAATCATGACCTCGATCTTACCAGGAGAAAACAATACAATTCCATCACAACCCCAGAAGGCGCCGTGAAAGACATTCTCAACGGTAGCAGCTCAGTATGTCTCAGCCGTCAAGCCAATAATGACTGGCCGCCATTCTTCACAGAGCTGCTGACGCAACTCGTGTGCCAAGGTGTACTCTCGATACAACCACAGACTCACGCTGTCGCACCCGAGAATCTCTCGGACAATTTGGGCCCCAATGATACCATTTGAGTCGGTCCCACAACTTTTGGCACATCTAAGAGGTCGACTCAAAAGCTTGAATGCGACATTCGGAAGGGGTTGACCGGCTTGTCGTTTGGTCGATGGGTCGCTGACGGGACGTTCGTTGTCGGGATTACTACCTTCGACCGTGGGGCGTTGAACCGGATCAAAGAAATATGGACTCGTGTCGAGCTGCCATTCGGAGGATACAAAAGTGACATGAGATTAGCAAGGTTGACGTATTCGAATTGGTGATATGTTCTCTGAAACTCTCGGCTCGTGCAAGGCACAACACTGATGCAGAGGAAGACTCTAGTATCACGACCTCGGGAGAAGAGTTTACCTCGTGCACTGAAAGAAGATGGTCCTTTGTATAGCATGAATACTAGTATGTCGCCGTCTGCGCCAGGGACCATCAGCGATGAAGAGGTCGGATTGTCGCACAAGCATAAGTGGCAGAAGGAAGACGTAGAAAGCCTATCAAGCCAGGAGTCTAGCATGAGAACACGAAAGAAAATGACATCGGAATGCATCTCAATTATTTTTGCATTCCACTCGTTGCACTCGTTCTGATACCGTCGAGGTTACTTTCCTTACGAGGATCCTGTCATTTGGTAACCGAGGCTAGCCTTGTTGCTGTACAGTTTCCATTCCTTTTGCTTGCCATCTCTGAATCCTCCTCAATATACCCATTGCCCATTCCTGCGCTTCGAACCTTTCGTTACTCCACAATGTACCCAATGTCCATTCCTCATCAATGAGAATAATGCCTCGTATTAACGGACTCAAAACGAGTGACTGCAATAGTCAGACATAGATACTGTGTCGATAGCCAGATAGCCTCTCAGTCGATACGTTCCTAGCAGAGCTGTCGAACCACTTCATGAGGTGACATCTAGTCCCACATGTCAGGCAGCAATGTACTGTATGTCGACATCGTTTCAGTATCCTCCTGCTGCTGCTGCTGCTGCTGCTATTGTTGCTGTTAGTCAACAGACTTTGTACCGTCAATCAATGAGGCCCCGTCAATTATTGTTTCGTACAAATCTCGACAAATGTACAAGTCGTGCCAACCCCTAGTCGATCATTTCCTCAGGGTCAACAATCCAGACCAATTCCCTGCCTTGGGCCTTGGCCTCTTTCGCCGCCTTCAGACCTTCGTCGAATTCACGCTCCCAAAATGCAATCGACTCTTGGGTATCTCGCTCCGTCCAATTCTTACGCACGAGATCAGCAATATATGACGAGCATACTCCGGCGTCAACGTAGGTTTGCGGTTCGGGCCAGTCGAGATTCTCCGCCCACTCATCGTACTGGTGTTCTCTCCCGTAGTCTGTCATTCCGTCGTCACCGACAGTCGTGTTATCCAATTCTTCTCGGCCAAGAGCTCCGTCGGCAAGTGCAGTCTCGTCGAGAGTAGTATCGTCTGGCACCCTCGCTTGTAGTGGACCAGCATTTGGAGTTGACACTTCGATTTGTGACTCGCGGAATTCACTGTCAGACCCTGGAGGTGAAGACGATCGAGATCGTGCTTGCGCTGTGAGTGAAAGGCGTGATGAGCGGACGGGTTTGTATTTTTGTGCTTCAGATCTTGCTTTCTCAAGTCTGCTTTCCGCGGTATCGGGCGCAGTGCTCTCATTCTGGCTCGCAAAGGTGGTACTTTGGCTGGATGAAGACGACTGAGGTAATTCCGCATGCGACATTCTGGGTGTGCTGGGAGGTGAAGGTACTTCGTCGCGGGAAGTTTGATCCAATGTCATAGTGTCCTCATCATCGTACTCGTCGAGGTCCGGAACTCGAAAATGGCCGGGAGAGGGGTTTGCAAGAGACGGCCGCCAGCTTTCATCGTTGGGATCGACCACACTAGGGTCGAGATGGAATCTGGGATCCGCATTGTCCTGGGTGTTTTGAGCTGTGGTAGGCGAGAAAATACTGGAAATATTGCCGGCAGAGATGCTTGATTCTGAAGAGGCTGACACATCGGAAAACATACTACCATGATATTCTCCAGCATAACCGTATTGTCCATAGACATGTTTTACCGATGTGTTTGGGTTGATACGTACTGATTTGCTGGACCGCCCAATGGTTCCAACATTGTTGCCATTTTGTCTCAAAGCTGATCGGAGAGGAGTTTGCGCAACAGTTTTGCGTGCGGGAGTTGATGGTTGCCCGTCTGGAACATGGATACCATCAAGCTCGTCAGTTTCTCTTTCGACCTCCGGAAAATCGATGCCGAAACCACCTCGTTTGGGTGGTGGCATCTGATCGTCAACAGACGCCAACTTGCGTTTATTTGTACCTGTTGTCTCGATAGGATTGAAGTCTGCCGATTCGCTGTCGTTGTTTTCGCGCATTGCTGCCATTTGTTCGCGACCTCCAATTGTGTTTGCAGTTCGACGTCTCTTGAAATATTCGCGGTTGTAGATTCTGCTATCCAAAATCTGCGACTCTTTAGTAGGCGATTCGGGTTGGTTTGTTCGTGGTGTCGGAGTGGGACTGTCTGGCTGCACTGCCTCATCTTCTGCACTCTGATCATGTTGCGCCTCCTCCGGCGGGCTGCCTTGCTGTACCGATGAAGCAGCAGCCGCTGGCGCTCGCGACCAGTAACCGAACAGCTTCCTTACACTGCCAATGATTCCATTCCCCCTGGATGGAGACGGTGTAGGGGACTCGGGTTGCCTAGCGATCTGGCGGCGTTCGGGCTCAGCGGACTGCGATCGACTTTCTTCGGGGGCTGCTTTCTGTGTCGGTGATATTAGAGAATTGTAGAATGGCGACTCGTTTTGTACATTGTATTTCGGCGGAGCAGTGAGCAGGACGCTTCGGTTGCGGGAGGTAGAGAAGAGGAACTTGGGTTGATCGGGTGTCTGGGCTTTTCGTTGGCGTTTTGACGCGTTGTCAGAAGCATTGTCCTCGGTGTCTCGACGTCGTTTCGCGCTCGCGGGCTCTGGATAACTGGTTAGATTCACATCTGTCTGGGTAGATGCATCCTTGTATATAGGGACAGGCACAGGGGAATTGCGTGGTGGTGGTTGTGGTGCTGGATGGGCCATTGGCTTTCGCTCACGTTTTGGGGGTTTATAGTCCGCAAAGCCCTCGGGTCGGGCACCTCTTCCACGGGTGTGGACCATCCTTGCTGGAATTTGTGTTACTGTTGTTGCGCTGGTCTACCGCAGACGAATTCACATGCAGGTGAAGAAAGTAACAATGATGGGCGAGTTCATTGCTGGCCTCGAAAAAGTTGCTGCCCGTTTGGGAATGGTCGAGTGGACCTTGGCACAGACATCGAAATCCGGGGGAGAAGTACGAGTCCGATTCAGCTTCCAGGTTCCAGGTTCCCCTTCTTATTACTTCTGTCACCCATTGACTTACGGTATAAATCAGCCTCGCCATGACAATGTTGTCTGCGCTATACTCGTAGTCCGCACACGTCTTTTCTTAATCCACGTGACCATGATTATACACAATATTTCGATGTCTGCAGATTCTTTTCCCAGGCGAGACATTTGCAGAAAGGTTGGTCCATATTGCAGCTTGCTTTCTTTCAGATCTTCTTGTATTCGAGTTTTCTTGCCAGCCAACAACCAACTGTCACCCCATTTACATTCCCAGCCTCATCCCTCTTGAAAGCAAGGGTCCAATCACCAGGCGGCTGGGCGTCCATACTCCTCACACATTCGAGGGCCCAAATATCCTCTCCGATATGTTTGATGAAATGTATAGCCCCGGTGCCCAGGAAACCTTCGAATGAACCATAGAGCATACCGCTATGCCCTTCGATCTTGAGCTTCGAGTCGATTTCGTCACAATAAAACGAGCCTAGGAAGGGTGGATAGATCTTAGTGACGTCCTTGCTGGGACTGAGCTTGGTCGCGCGGACTGTGCGATTGTCTTCGATCCGCTCAACGACAATGACATTCCCTTCAAGCGAGACGTTCAGTGAAGGCGATTTCGCATGCGTTGCGTCCGTGAGCTTGACGGTTTCCGGGCCCCGAACGTAGGAAATCTTGATTTGGCCGGGCTTCTTGCTTTCCTCCACAGTCAAGACCATCTGCGCTTCCTCGTCGAAGTACGATGCGAACCACTCCTTTCCTGGTTGGACCACTGCCATTTCTGGTTCCTTCAGGCCAAGACTCTTCTGCAAAACTGAAGTTGCCGCGCCACCAGCATCGCCTTCGTGGTTGAACATGACAATGACCGAAACCCGCTCTTCAGGGGCGTACAATCTGTGAAGTCGATAACCACGCAGTGCACCGCCGTGTCTGACAATTCGTACCCCAAGAACATTAGCTGACGCAAGACCGTTCGCATAGCGGGAAGGAGTGCCATCATCGTAAGTAGGTGGCTGCGCATTTTCCCAAAACCAGCCCTCCTTTGCTGTCCATTGATGGTCCAACGACTTTTCGTAAGCGATCATGTCGTTGAGTGAGGCAACAATACCAGCATCCCCAGCCCACTCGATACGATTAACAGCAGGGAAGTAGCCGACTGATGCATCACCTTCGTATCCTTCACAGCGCGTCGGATGAAGCGAGGTGTCCGCGCCCACGAAAGCACTCTTCATGGAACTTGGTCCAAACACGTACTCGGAAAGCAGGTCGTCCAGTTTCTGACCACTAACAGCTTCGATAACGCGTGCGACGATGACAAAATTAACGTTGCAGTAGCTGTATTCCGTGCCTGGAGTGAAATGCAGCGATTTGGTCCTCTCGATCACTTTGGGAATGTGCTCCTCCATCGAGAATTTCTGGTCCAACTTGGCTCCCCAGAGCACTGTCAACGCCCAGTAATCCCGTATTCCGGAGGCATTGTTCGCGAGATGATGGACCTTCAAGCCCGTCCGCTTGACGAAGTCCGCGCCCAGGATCTCAGATAATGCGTCCTGATACTGTGTCTTCGCATCTGTACCGCGCGCCTTCATCGCAGGAGTCGGGTTGCGCTCGAGGCTAGGCAGTAAAGCGCAGAGCATCTGCTTGGTGATCGAACAGATGGGCAAAAGCGTATCTGAGGTCAATAAAGTCCGTGTATCTAGGTTGGAGTAACCCCAGGCCTGCTGGCCGACAAGTTCGCCATCTTTGAGAACAGCTACAGAGCCGCCAGGGCCGCGATAGGTCGAAGGTAACGTCTCGAGCACCTCGGCCACTATGTCTGCGAAGGAGGTCATCTTGCCCTCGAAATAGTATTCCGTCGAACAAATGTAGGTGATTTTACTTGTGAAGCTTGGTGGCCGTCGTACTCTCAAGGTCACGATAGATGTCAAAAAAGATAGAGGATCGCAAGAAGCCTTACAGGTTCAAGGCGTGCGAAGGGTCAATTCAAAAGCCATGTAAGCTGCCTTATTGATTACTTCCAGAGCATTGCGTTGAGCTTTGCCTCGTACTTAGCACCTTTGAGAAGTTGAGCTACGACTGGAGAGGCACGGATGATCGCTCAAGGCAAGGTTGTCTACGGAGATAGGCGGCATCACCTCTCTTTCTTAATTGGGGTGAACCCTGAGGAGATTCCTCCTACCTTAGTTCATCAAAACCTCTTCTCAGTTTGGACTTTCCGGAACAGTGGTATTGCCCGACAGGGTATTCTCTGCACACGATGATACACCAAGCACAGGAAGCATGCTACGGAAGCCGATATGACAGGATGAAGCCGAGACCCCCACATACGTCGAACATCATGGTATAACTAGATACGGCTTTTAGTGGAAACTACCTCTGGACAAATCCAGTTCTTGTTCAACATGGATTCCTCCGGATCATACCCATGAGGGTGTATTATTTCTGGACCTCCGTCAAAGACACTTCAAGAACGCTTGGCAACGTCGTCGAGGAGTACGCCAGCGGCTAGCTTTCCCAGGTTGTTCGAGGCCAGTGGCGAGTCGCCTGTGAGGACATAGCGATCACGGTGGGTTTCGCCGGTCATTTTCTCATTGATTATAGTGACGCCGAGCTTGCGCAGTTCCTCGCCAACAAGCCAGGACATCTTTCCCGGAATATACCCGATCTCGATGTTGACTCCGGAGTCTAGCGAGTCGGGGAAGACATCAATCTTGTAACCGTCGTAGATGAATTTGCTGCCTTCAGGCTTTCCAATGTTGGCAGCCAACATACACGCTGGTCCATGGCAAAGTGTAATCAAATAACGTTGATTTGCGTCGGCCCATCTTAGAACGTTCCCCACCGTGGGCGACGAAGGTATGCCGTTGAGAGCGCCATGTCCACCAGGAACGAAGACTCCGATGTATGGCGTTTCCTTTGTGAATCCAGTACCCCAAACCTTCTGCAGATCAAGCGGCTGCCGGAGCTTCTTCTTATACTTTTCGTATATTTTTTTGACCGCCTCGTCCTCCTTGGGGAAAGCCCACATCTCGAGTTTGACGGGATCACCGGAGACGGTCGCGATGTCGACCTCGAAACCAGCTGCATCGAGATGGAGTACTGGCAAGAGCATTTCGACAGGCTGGTTACCAGTAGAGAAGAATTCGCCTCCAGCCATCTGGAGATACCTCTCTTGTGTTGCAATCAGGAGGATCTTCCACTTGCCACCGTCATAACGATTTGGATAATCCGCACCGTCAAAGTCAGTCTTCGGAGGCACATATTGCGTGAGGGAATATGGTGAGGGAAACCAGGCGTCAGACTCAGCCTGGTCCGGGGCGGGGGCGCGATCAGATTGTTCAGACATGGCGAGTGCAGATATCGAAAAGTCAACGTAGTTATCTGACAAGTGTCGTCCAGCATTGTGCCCGGAAGGAAGACGTTTATATCAGTTTTCCAACCTGCCGGCGGGTGCTCTGGCCTCCACCGTCCATAGCTTTACCTAGAGAGAACCTTATGACTGACGTCAACTTTGCAGAGAAGCTTCGTTTGTGATTGGTGACATTTCCGGACTTACAAAAGGTCCCGGGGTGTCATCAAGCATCGATCGTGATCTGCTGCGTTAACAAAGTGTAACAGGAATTCTACTTTCTCTCTGTGCTGGCCCGCCTATGAGCACCACCAAATCGTGGAAGCTGTGACCGAGAATGGTTGACACTCGCACGCGCTACCAAAAGTTAGTCAGCTCAATTGCTTATCCTAGACCGCTAGAGGCAGTTGCAGGGTATATATGGGCAGGCGTTCCAGGCGATACATTCTGGCAGAGTGTCTGTCCAAAGCAATCAATCCCGAAAACGTTGAAAATCGTCGAGCGAACCATTCGATGAACAACCAATGTGCCCTTAAGGTTCCATCCTTCCGCTGAGCATGTCCACGATCTGTTGGAACGAATCCAAGAAAGGTAGATTACGAGGATCAATGCTCTGAGAAAAAGGAGCGCCTGGCGGCTTGGCAATACCTGTGCCTTCTAAGTTTGTCAGCCTACGTATATCTCTCTTGATCAACCACTTGTTGCGGTCATCTCTCGTCACCGAGCTTGGCTGGGAAACAATGCATTTCCACCTGTCCCGTAACCACGTGAAGATTTATTGTGACTTCGAAGTCTATAGCAGCTCTACGCTTAATGTAGCTATTCGCTTCCTCCCGCACGAAAGTTGTTCAAGTAGAATCATGCTCATCTTCAAGAGTGCTAGACTCGTTCTGCCCTGGTTGGGTGAGATGCATCCCTTTGGCCAACGTGAAGCTCATGCATGGCCTGGGTAAGCGCCATGGTGGCAACACACGCTCAACAGCACTCACGCCATGTGGCCTGGCTAGGGTTAGTGGTCTGATGTAGCTGGAGGTAGGGGCAACATGTTCTTGCATTAATCGTGGACATTGTCAAACGAGGCTGCACGAGGCTGAAGACCCACATAAGCCCGCCAAGCCCAAATCCCAAAGTGTCAGGTAGTGTTTCCCATTGAAGCTCAACTCTCAAGCATCAATGCCCAAATTCTCCGACATCTCCTGCTAGCTCATCTCGAACGCAGCTACCAATATCGCCATGGAGCACATCTGTTCACGATGCGCGAGACTTGGTCTCAGAGCACGACCAACACTCCCTTCCATCTCGTCGCTTGCCAATGCCAGAAGTTTTTCAACCTCCCAGATCTCCGGCGCCGAAGGTAAATCAAAGCTTCCTTCCTTGATCCTCGTTCCCACAGTCTAACAATTATCTCAGGTGACTCAACTCCGCCGAAACGCCCAGCTGGTTCTCCTCAAGCCCGACCTGCCGGCTCAGCACCACGATTCCAGATCCGAAGGACACCGGTTGAAGACAACCGCCAACAAAATCCCAGCCTAGCATATCCACGCCAACCAAGTTCCGGCTCATCACAGCCACGTCAACCCAATGCCGCAGGTCCTCGAATAACTCCTCTTCCTCCCCGACGCACACCTCCCGGCGCACAGTCCGGAGCCGCAGGCGCAGGCGCCGGCCAAAGACCACCTCCAGGCCAACTCCTTCTTCGACGTTCAGGACCTCCACGAAGCACAAGTCCATCATCCGCGCAACGCACACCTCAGAGTCTAGGCCGAGGCGGACCACCGCCCAACCGCACCGACAAACGCGTTCGCCGCAGCAACCAGCGCGCCGCCAACAAGCAGGCCGAAGAAGAGGAGGATGAAAATGAGCACGAGAACACCGAAGCAATAATAGCCAAGCAAATCGCCACGGTCATCGACCCGTCCCCGAACCCGACAGAGGAAATAACCCACATCCCAGGCAAGGACCTGTCCATCGAGACTTTGAGGGCTGACTGGCCCAACACGCCCCTTTCCAGCACCGGTCTGACAGAAACGGTCCAGCAGCGCATTGAATGGCTGGCACACCGCATCCCGCACGGCTACGACACGCCCGGACAGCTTGCGGATCGTTACGTAAAGGGGTACCTCACGCGCTTCGAGTCTGAGGAGGAGAAGATAGAGGTCATTCGATTGGCCGAGGAGATGGCGCAGAAACGTGCGGACGAGATCACTGAGCGGAAGAACGTCGATATTCAACCCAGGGATATGTCATTCGATGATCTCGCCTCGCGGCCTGAAGAGCGTCAGGGCCTCACTGACACCTACGTAAAGGGCAACTATCCTGAAGTCAAAAAGCAGAAGCTGCCGTTCTTGAACCATATCGCTGGCAATCTAAACAACAACGCGACTTATCATAGTGCAGACACTAAACAGTTCATGGAAACGATCCAGAAACTGATGGCTGATGTGCAGGGAGGACGGGCTCAGAAGGATGCTTGAGTTCTTGACCATGACAGAAAGATTGGGATTGTCTAATTAATTCGCCAATGCTGGGCTCAAACAATGTACAAAATTCAACGTTGCTGTGGTGAAAGACCATACTTTTCCCTTCCATCCCAGAAATACAAAAACATCAAATACGCTCTTGATCATGCCATCTTCAAACTCTGACATCAGCCAGGATATGACTGGGAAAGGCCATCTGGCCGCGGGGCATGAGGTTCTCCAGGACTGTAATGTGTTGAAGGGCACACAGGAAGTTGCGGCAAAGAAACACCTCTGATCGGATTTCGACAAAGCGGGCAGGTATTGTGCCCACTGCCTTCCAGCCATTCAAACAGGCACTACCGGTGAAATCGGTGTTTGCAGTCGAGTCTGTATGTCCATTCGCCTTGACCAATTCCCTCATATTGACAAATGGAGCATTCAGCTGTCTCGTCATCGTTCTTCATGCTGTACGCTGTTATACTCAAAGGACAGGGTCGAAGGAGGTTCTCCTCTGTGTCGAAGATATGGGCTTCTTGCACTTCCAGCATTCGATATTGTTCCAGCGTGAATAGTAGCAGGAGATAGGTAGCCGTCACTCCGTCGCTGTCGACTGCCCATAGTATTCGGAGGACATGCAACTAAGTGAACCAGGTGAATAAGGTAGCAGTCACAGTCATGCCAGTGATGGTTATATTGCCCGGTTTTGGGTCAGGGACGACTCTGGAGACCTCGATGGCGTCGATGGACCTATGGCGTGTGAGACGCTGAATGTCGAGAATTGCGAGAGCGCTCAAGACTGGTGCGACGCTCATGAAGATGCGAGCCAGAGAGGCGTCTGACGTGACTATCTTGTCCATCATAGGGAGTTTTTCCAATTGTTTGAGTATGAGCTCGAGCTTGCTAGAGAGTGCGAACATGCTGAAACCGAGGACGAATTCTGTGCCGTTCTCAATGTGCCCTGTTATGAATGGCGAGACACATAGTTGTGAAAGATGTGACAGGCTGTCTGCTGGTGGGAGGATGTCCATGATGGAGTATTTGGAATACATGTTGTCGAGACCTGAAAACGAATGAAGTAAGGGAATATATCAACGAACGATAAGAAGATGACAATAGCTCTTCAGGTCATACTCGACGTGCGTAGCGACTGTTTTCAGTAACGAATGCAACAGTGCAGGATTGTAAGAGAGATGATTGAAGTTGCAGAATGGAACAAGGAAGAAGTAGGTTTGCTTAACACTCTTGAGGCAAGAGCCAATGCTTATGACTTTCAGGCCGAGGAAGGTGCCATACACACTGCTCGATCATGGACACAGTTACCAATTTGAAGCTGCGAAAAAGACCGGCTATCTGCTTTCCAAACTCTGCATCAGACTGGTGGTACCTTTCCAAGAGTGTCTCCGCGTCCAAGTCCAAACATACTCGCAGAATTCATCCATGGACCGTCCCATTGATCTACTTACCACGCCTCCGTAGCCTGTTCATATTCTTAATCTTCTTGTTCCTCTTCTGCTTCTTTTTCTTCTTGCTAGGCGTGTCGTCCTCCATCAACTCTTCTGGGGGCTCGTCCTCTTCTGGAGCAGTGTTCTTAGCCATTGCCTGCTTCTTAGACGTTGTCTTGCCGGTGTGCAAACACAGCGGGCTGCCATCTTTCCCAAAGACCATCTCGTGACAAACTGGACATCGTCGTTGCGTGCTCACAAATCCTTTCGCGCAGTCATTGTGGAATATATGCCACTTGGGGCAGGGCAGGTAGAGTACTTTCTCCTTGGTCCAGATCAAGTTGTGGCACAGTAGACATTCCGTACCCGATTGCTGCCAGGAAGCCTGCCGAATGTACAGCGCAAGAGTCTTGTTAGGAATGACATCCGCACGAGCAGTCTGCTTCTCCCTCCACCTGAACGATCCGACAACGACCGCCAGGAATTTTAACGTTCGCATCTTTGCGGCCGACCAGGATGAGCTGATTTCGGCAACCAAGGGGCCATGGGGATCCCACTTCACTGCAGTCAAATGTCAGCTCAGTTTTCGGCAATCGGAGGTCTGTTCTGGGATAGTGGTCATGTTGAGTCTGCGTACTTTCGTTTCTTCTGATTGTGAGAATCCATACAATGGATGCCAGAAAGATGAAATAAGGGTAGGCCACGTAGGTGAGTAGGTTGTTAAGTGCTTCTGGGGTGTCCACCTCATTGACATATTTCAGAAAAAGGTACAGCTTCTTCGTCTGTATCACTCGAGACCGCCGCTGGAAGGCGACCTTCTGCTTCGAATTCGCAGTAAAGGGAGCCTGGAAATTTTTGATGGCATGCAGTAAGGCAGTACATAAGAGACGCATATGATCGAGCCTCGCTATCGCATAACCCACAAAGAGACAAAACGCCAGAAAGAACGACATCTTGAGAATACCGCAATCAAATAATGCACCTTAATTGTAGCAGGTAAGACACCAGAACAATGAGGATGCTGGATACCTTGTTACAAGTATATTGAAGTTGTATGCGGTAGAAAGCATGGAATCTGTGGCTCGCAGTCTGCGGTCTGCGGCTGATGAACGCGACTGCCATCTTGCAGTACCCTACCTGCGCGACAAGAGCGACTGCAGTATTCTGTCAATATGTCAATGGGCAACGATATCATCTTCGCGAGGGAGAGGGCGGCCCCGCTCAACGTGGAACAAGGTCAGGTCTCGAGAGTTCAGATATTGTTTGGGATGAGGTTGAAAGAGATGACGGAAGCTTGCTCACACATCTTTATTTGTGTTATCACCTCGTGACTTTTACCCCTTTTTCACCCGATAAACAATGCTGTCCTCTTACTGGTTGTTGTCATTCAGCAGTCCGATGACGGAATCTGCTGAATCACGATATACCTACATGAGTTGCTGCTACGCCGGACATCGACCGTCAACAACGTTGAAACATTCTCTCACACTTTGGCTGGTCCAGGACAGAGTTGATTTTGACACCGATTGCATCCATTAATAGTCATCGAAAACAATGGCTCTTCCTCCAAAATTCTCTGGCCAGTTGTTGGCTTCAGCATCGAATAATGAAGCGAAGCACACCATTGAGCTATTTCTGGACTATGTCTGTCCCTTCAGCGCAAAGATATTCAAGACCTTCTACAAGAGTGTTGTACCCCTGATAGAGAAGAAGTATACAAAGCCCGGCATCCGTGTCATCTTCAGACAACAGATCCAGCCCTGGCATCCGTCTTCGACACTAGTCCATGAGGCTGGAGCCGCAGTCCTGCAAACAGCACCCAAATCATTCTGGGCTTTCTCAGAGAAACTCTTCGAGCATCAGACAGAGTATTTTGACGTTAACGTCGTCGACGAGACCCGCAACAATACCTACAAGAGGCTCGCCAAATTGGCTGGATCGGTGGATGGCATTGATGAGAAAACCGTTTTGGACCTACTTGTGGTACCAGACAAGCCCGATGCGGACGGTAGTCTAAACATTGGTAACAAGGTCACGAACGATGTGAAATTCATGGTCAAGGCAAACAGACTTACTGGTGTACATGTCACTCCAACTGTCCTGTTCAATGGAGTTGAAGAGCGGAGTATCAGTAGTGGCTGGACCGTGGAGCAGTGGGAAGAGTGGTTGCAGAAGAATGCCACGTAAGCAGCGCATGGATTGCATATCATCCGCAAGATACGACAACCTGAAACCAACTGATTCTTTCAGAGAAGCTGGATTTCCTAGCCAAAGACCGCATCTGTGACTTTTCATGTTTCCAGGTCGGAGAGGATGCCTCGAATTGAACTGTGGTGCGACAGGTGTCATAGCTATACTAAACCTGAGTAGACCTCTCCCAAACTTCTGGTGTCTAAATTCCTGGCCCTCAGGCGCTGATTCGTCGAAGACATACAAAATGTTGTATCAAGCACGCTCGCTGAATGCACAATTGAATACATTTTCCGGATTCAACATAGAAGAACGCCGTCCCAATGCTGCCCTGGCCGTGTGCTCTTGAGCGAAAACCTCTTTCTATTGAGCTGGAGGCTGATAGCCGATAAGACGCCTGATACAAATTAGCAAAGAGACGAAGACGTCGGCGAATGGACATACTTGAAGAGAAGGATGTGTGGTTCAGGCTCATGCACCTCGTAGTGTTCCCATCCCAGACTCTGACCAGCCATCAGTATAAGTTTTTTTCGATGGAGCATGTCCACGAACCTGAGTTATGCCCAATCCGCGCCATTCTTCCTCCCACAGCAGCTTCAGAGTACCTTTGGAGTCGTCAAAGTAGTCTCGCGGAATCACCTTTAACATGGCTTTCGGAAGTTGCACATGTCTGTACTCGTATTCGGAATCGGAATATCTGGGCCAGGTCAACTATCTCCCATGACCAAGTCATTGGCTCCATTACCTTGCTGAATAGCCAATCGAGTCGATAAACTCCTCAAGTCGCGCCCTTTCATTCTCATGCAATAATCGGGGCTTCTTATTCCGCCTCGACATGTCGACTCCGTCTGTCATTGTGCTGGATGAGAAGTCGAAGTGTTTCGAGGGGAAAGAGGCGCTGCGACTTCAGTGCCCGCAGAGCAAGATGATATGCAGTGCTTGCTGTAACCAAGTCAGGGCCGGAGGATGGAACTGCGGCGCGTGTAATAGACGGGCGAGTTCGACGGGTCTCGTGCTCTTGATCGCGTAGAGGTAAACAATGTTCGATGGCCTAACGTTCTGATGACGACTCACGTAGAGCAACTGTAGGGGTCTGTAGAGGGCAGTGAACGTGGATGGGCTGTTCAAGCAAGTTAATGAAGTTGTCGAGTGTGCGTGGAAGATGCCGTGTTGTGTTTGTGGAAAAACAGATCGATCGAATCGAATCCAGGGGATCAAAAAGTCCCGCCAACAAGTAAACACACACAAAGCCGGCAAGCGCAGGCGGCGGCGGCGTGAAGCACAACAGTGGCCGACCGCCAAGCGTCGTCATCCGCGCCGCGACTTTCAACGGCCAGCCATGAAGATGCGAGAGCCGAGGGGTTGGACCACGTGATCGTGATCGTGCTTCATCTTTGCCCGGCCTTGCCGGTCAAGATCTCATTCTATTCTTCACGTTGGCCTGCCTCAGTATACCTCAGTATACTTTTTGCAGTGAATGTCCACGCTCTTTAATCCTGACATGCTGGGTTAGCGGATAACCCAGTCAGCATGTACAGTACTAGGTCATGCTCTTGGGCAATTCCCTGGCCATCAACACGGATCGACCCTTTGTTCCCCGCAAAATGCCACAATGCCTGGCTTTCAGACATTTCTGACTGCGCAGGGCTATCCTATTGCCTCTCCCTGTGGTAGCCCCAAGATTCGAGACCCGAAAGTGCATCCGCGGAGCTGCACTGCTCTGGCGTCATGGGACGCCCCAGGCACTGGCAGGCAGGTTCATCTTAGTCGGTCAGTCGGCCGTTGTTCTCCGTACCCAAAGTCAATTCTTATCGGGAATTGTGGTTTCGCCATCTCAACCTGCATATCACAATTCCAAAAAGTGGTGTACTGATCGACAGCCACATTGGGAACTGCCCTTCCTGCTACAGTATCCGATTCCGCTTCATCTGCTTATCTGCGGGAACACCGCAGGTGTCCCTGCAAGGACAAGCCTCGGCCTAGGGAGGCCGTTGCTGCACAGCTACCCATGATAAAGACGTTAGGTGAGTCCCAGTCGAAGGTGATCAGCATCTCCGCCATCACCCTGTCTCAGTCTCGTGTCAACCTCAACCAGTTCTCTGCACCTCTCTCTTTTCTGATGCTCTTCTATTTTACCCCGTCGTTCGTTGTGCCAAACATCTATCATATTAACGAACATGATGACGTCCACTGCTAAAATGACGCCCTCGATCGAAACTCTCTCTCAACCGGTAACTCTTCCATGCGGGCTGACTCTTCCGAATCGCCTCATTAAATGTCCCATGCAAGAGACCTGCGCAGAACCACCCTACTTCGATCCGCCCGTGGAGAAGTTTCGCACACTGTACAAGACCTGGGGTTCTGCCCAATACGGCATGCTTCTGACAGGTCAAGTACAAGTTGACCTACGCTTCCTCTCCGTTGCCGGTGACGTGACTACGCGGCGCGAGTCACTTCTCGAACCTACAATAAGCAAGTGGAAAGAGTGGGCAAAAATTGGCCAAGCAAATGGAACACCAGTCGTCGTGCAAGTGGCCCATCCAGGACGCATGTCTCCCGCCGGCGCAGGAGTACGCCCCTCTGATATGCCCGCCTTATGTCCTTCGGCCGTACCTGTAAAGATGGGCGACGGCTTCTTTGACAAATTGGCGTTAGATAAACTGCTCGGTACGCCGAAAGAGATGTCCGTGGCTGAGATCGATGAAGCTGTGGAGAACTTCGTGACAGCAGCAAACGTCTCGAAAGAGGCAGGTTTTAGTGGCGTGCAAATACACGGTGCGCACGGCTTTCTCGTGTCGCAATTTCTCTCACCATATACGAACAGAAGAACGGACGATTATGGAGGCACTCCCGAAAAGCGAATGAAGTTCTTGAGAAGGCTTGTTGAAGAGATGCGGGCAGTGGCTCCACCACCCTTCGCGTTGGGCGTGAAGCTGAACAGTGGCGACTATATGGATGCCGACGCGGGCGGACTGTCACAAGACGAAGCACTAGAGCAGGTGAGGTGGCTGTTAGAATGCGGAATGGTAGACTTCGTCGAGATCAGCGGAGGCAACGCCGAGAGCACGTCCTGTAAACTACGCGGCAGTTTCAACAAAAAGAGTTTGGACAAGGCGCCCAAGCGGGCGAGCACACTGGCACGCGAAGCATGCTACGCCGAATTCGCCGAGCGTGTTATGGAATTGCACCCGAAGATCCCGGTACAGCTGTCCGGCGGATTCAGAAGCAGAAACGGCATGGCCATTGCCGTGGAAAGCGGCCTGTGCCAGCTGGTTGGGCTGGGACGCAGCGCAGTCCTGGAACCTTCGCTGCCCAGGGAAATCATCTTGAACCCAGAGATCCCAGACGACGAGGCACTCGCGATGTCGCACCAGATCCGCGGCTTGTGGTTCGCTAACTTAATTCCTGCAAAAGTGGTCGGCAGTGGGCTGGGAATACAGTTCTTCTACTGGAACATGCGCAGGCTGGCTTCAGGGTTGGCAAGCGATCCTTACGCGAGTGTGCCGTACGTGGTGTTCAGCAATGCGATGCAGATGGTTCGAGAGGCGCTTAGCGGATCGAGAGACAAGTTGTTTGGGAGGTTTAGAGATCTGGTCGCATGGCAGCGCGTCAAGGCTGATTAGTCATTGACCTTGGGAGAAATTGCATAGATGTATCAAATGTAACCTCCGGTTTAGCGCTTTGCGGACTGCAGGTGAGGGTTGTTTTCAGGCTCGAAGTGATAGAACAAACGGCAGAATGAGTATCATCAGAATGCATCAAACGTCACGAGGATAGCATAAGATGCTGGGAGGCATCATACCTAGGTAGTTAGAGCCTGTCACCAGTCACTACTAGACATAGCCTTGATGGTGAGGCTGAATTATGTAATCGAACCCCAAAGTCACGTGCAGCCCTTCCTGCAGTTTGTAGCGCATTGTCGCGTCTGCGTCTTGTATGCGATTTAGATCAATAGGAAGGATTATTGATGTGCAAAACAGCCCGCCACATTGTACAATGCGTTTGCAGTTGATCTAAGTGGAGTAAACGAGTCTTTCTCACTCCAGTCATACTCATTACAGTTGATGTGGACGCCTCCAGTGTTGCAAACCCCGAATCCCTTCCCCGTGTCGAAAAGTTAAGAGGTTCCCAAAACATGAGTTCGAAGCGCAGAAGCGGCCCTGCAGGCTCGCCCGACGACTTTGCGGACACGCCAGATCCCAAGCGACGCAAGCGTAACGACGTAAGTCCATCACGCCCATTTATTTCCTGACAACCTCCCTACGCCCAACTTCCAACAACCACTGCTGCACTCGACGCCGCGACAACACCCCGCAGCGCAGTGCAGCGCAACCCTCATCAGCCTATACAAAATTATGGGCACGCTCGTACTGCGCATGCCCGGCGCAGAGTGCATCCATCCCGAACCACTGCGTCCACCGCGAGCAGTGCACTCTTAGCCATTTTGCTAACTCCGCTGTTGTCAGCAGGACACGCATTTCCCTGATGTCGAGAGTCCAGAAACCACAACTGAAATCGGACTGAAACTCATCAGCTCGCTCAAAAAGTCTCAAGACAAGAATGGTCGCAATGTCGCCGTCCATTTTATCGATCTGCCCGACAGGGATGAATACCCTGATTACTATCAGGCAACCGCAATGCCGCTATCTTTGAATATGATAGAAGAACGGCTGAAGAAGTTGGAATATGAGAATCTGGAAATATTGGAGTCGGACTTGAAACGGATGGTACAAAATGCTAAGGACTACAACCACTACAAGTCCAACATCTTTGAGGATGCAGAACGTATCCGCAAGGCACTGTCCAATTTCATGCCAAAACACAATCCCGCATATCTACGGTCAGACTATCGAGCATATCCAACGCCCATACCTGATCACCTTGACCAGCAAAATGACACCTCGACTCCCTCAGAACCGTCCGTGCCAACCGAAAAGGTGAAATTAATCTTCTCAAACAAGAGGCGCCAGAGCGAGGCGAGGTCAACTCCTGGCGTACAGAAGACCAACTTGAAAGAGGACCAGTTAAACTTCCTCAAGGAGTTATCAGAGCAAGAAGATGCCATGTAATTTTCCTCTATTATTCCGTGGCCCCGAGTCCGCATGAACTGACGCTACAATGCAGCAATTTCGAGGAGAGGGTTTCGAAGAAAGATTATCCCGACTATTACAAAGTCATCAAGAAGCCCACCTCTATATCAGATGTGCGAGATCTGGTGGAAGGCGATGCAATTCAGGATTGGGATGCACTTGCAAGGGAAGTGCGGCTGATCTGGGATAATGCAAAGGATTACAATCAAGAGGACTCAGACATCTATAGCATGGCCGAGAAGCTCGAGGTACGTGTGTCGCGAAATTACCACTCCCAGCCTTGCTGATCTTTGATAGGGCTGGTCCGAAGATACCATGCAATCGCTCGGTGCAGCACCACGAAGGAACTTCAAGCTATCACTATCTCAGCCAACCAAACCGAAAGCTCTGAAATTGAAGCTGGGGTCATCCACGCCGACGCCGAATATAGCTGGAGGCACGGTAGACAATGACTCGCTCAAACGGCAGAAAGAAGAAATGGGTGAAGCACTGAACAGAGCTCGCCGAGCAAGTTCAAGAGGCACGCAAGTCAATGGCTCCACGCCCGCGCCTTCTGATGCTGCCATCAGTGTTCGACGTAGTGTGTCGGTGGCTGCAGAGCAACCAGACGCCACAATGACCGAAGCCGACGGGACAGGCACTCCTCAACCACAACTATCTTCTAAAACACCTCAGCCTTCTGGATCAGTGTCGGCACCAACGCCTGTAAGGGAAATGGACACTCCGGCACCTGGAGCACCCCTCACGAACGGTGTCCGCAGCCACGAGTCAGCAACACCGCAAACTACTCGTGGAAACGCCTACGATTCGAGCCCAATACCTTTCGAGCGACAGTACCGCGACACAGGGAAAGGTCTGGATTCAGCACTTTTAGGGTCTGTCATCTTCATGACCAACCCGAACACTCCCAATGATCCCAAATGGAACCTCACGCGGCGAGCATCAGCAGCACGAACACAAACGTCTGCGTTTATCACGCTGCCTTACAATTATCGCGACGTTCGCATCATTCCTCTCACGACGCCCGAGTTCAAATCGCGCACGAGACATCGGGTGATTGTCATGCATAATATGCATGTCTTCCGGGAACCAAACTCGACGGTCGCGGGTGCGTACGATTTCCAACTTGCGCCTGGAGAGAATACTCTGTCGGTGGAAGTGTTGGCGGATTTGAAGGACGGTGAGAGGAAGGATTATGCCGGCCCGCAGTTGCAGTTCGATTTTGAGAAGTGTACCATGATTGTCAATATTAGTACGCAGATGGCCTAGTCACTACTGACCGGTCGATTGATTGCGTGTTTAGGGGGAATGAAATCTCCCAGTTCACATTTAATTCTTGTGGAAGCCTTGGTACTGCGAATCAAATTGCATGAGCATTATTCTTTTCGCTGTTCAGGGGATCATGAGTGGTATTGGAGGAGCCGCTTCTTTCGAGATATATGTGGTCACAATGTCAGTGTCCAGGAGAAAATACAAATTAATCCTTGTTTCAAGTCCCATTGCATTTCATTTATATTCCCAGGCCTGATGGTCCAGCATGATAAGAGTAACATCTATACAATACATCGAAGCGGACAGACCACACAGTGTTGAGACATCAGAGCTTCATTACCGCATTTCTAGAGCAGCACAGGATTTCCACCCAGCGCAACAAACAGATGAATCCTCCCCTGCTCCGAGAATCTACTTGCCAGCTTTCGGCCCAGCCACACCAGCACCAATCACGCTCGGCAATTCTTGACTGCCCATGCTATAAAGCATACCTATCGCGCCTGAAATCAAGGCTGTCATGGCAATGCCGAAGCTGGCGAAGAGGATGAAAGGTATGCTGATGTCTTTCCTTTCACATGCCGCACCACCCCACTGTGTGGTCTTCTTCGTGCCGTCCTGGTTCACGTGAGCGATCGTGGTCCCGCAGCGGCACTTGAAGCAGTTGGTATGTGCTCTGTAGCAGTTGCCGCGGCCGGAGCAGAAGTTCGTGGTGTTCTGGCAAGAAGATTGCGAGGAGAAGCACTGTGGGATCACGGATGGTAAAGTGAAGTTGTCGGAGGCGTTTGACGATGCTAGTGTGTCGAACACCAACGCCGCGGTCGATGATGGGAGATCGAGGCGTTCTTCTTCCGTCTCTTGGGCGGCGCGGGCGCGATTGTGATGGCTCTTGGACGGCGCGGAGAGCTTCGATGGGAGGAATAGAAGGGTGGACTCAACGTTTTCGGTGGCGGAGAAGTGCTTGAGGATGCGGATCAGAGATCCAAGCTTCGACTTGGCCTCTGAGGGTTTGCTGGGTAGGAAGCCGTGAAGGGTCATAATGACGGGGGTGTTTGGGATCTCGGAGGCGGCGAGGCATGTTTTCTCCTAGCATGACAGTCAGCTCATACTTTGCTCTGAAAGCTATGAAAACGTACGTCTTCCAGAGGATACGAAAAAACCACTTCCACTCCCTGAGCATTTGGTGTGTTGAGACTGGGAGGTACGATGTACTCGCAGATGTTATCCTTCTCTTGTCGGCTTGGTACAGCTTTGAAGTCTGTAAGAAGGTCTTTCGTCGGCTCCTGAATCCATAGATCAGGCATGGCTGCATCAAGATCATTGATTTTCAAATCCACTCCTGTTATTCTTATGAACAATTTGCCTGGTGCGTCGGTTTTCTTGCCATTCGCGAAAAGCGGTGCCTGGTGACCTCCGTATGCGTCGATGTCTTGCAGTAACATCTCGTTGGTTATTCCAAGGTATCGGTCTTCTGTCAGGGCTCTTCTTCTGGAGATGATTGCGCTCGCCATCTCGGAGTCGATCATCGCCGTTGATGAGGACATCACTTTGCGGTCGACGGTGTATAGATATGCGCCTTGAGCAGCGACATACTGCAGTAGCCCTACGCAGGACAACGCGGCGGTGAGGAATTTCATCATTCCTGTTGCCAGCTCTGGATGAGCTGTAGGATGCTGGCAACTGATTGAATGCGGAGGTGATTGTGAAGAAAGTCAGGTCTGTACGATATGAACTAACGGTAATGCAACGAACCCACCTAAGACTGCAGCTACGTATTGGAGTCGATCTTCACGTGCCCACATCCAAATTCCCATCCATGACATGTAAGAAAGCCACTCTTCGTATCCCTCACTCTTCAATCTTCAATTTCCGATTATGTGCTGGTGATCTTTCTTGCCATGACCCCTTGTCGGCAAAGACTGATTCATCTGAGTTGAATTCCACGACGGTGGCCTCGCGCTTCGTGACCTATGCACTTCACTCCAGGCGGACTAGCCTGGTAAGACGGATCATCAATCCTCGTGAGCGATCATGCCCGTCGCTGATGCATCTCGATGCTCCGCTATCTGTTCCGTCAAGCGCGGACTGTTCGCGTCCCGCTTAAAAATGGAGAGTTCGATATACAAAGAGTGACAGTGAAGCGCAAGTCGAAGTACGTCTTCGAGAGGATACATCTGTACGCAGAGACTTACCCGTGCTTAGAGTTGACATTTCTCGCCTTCTCACTACATTCCTTATCAGCTATTGCGTGGTTAGGACCGTAAGCTATGTCCTGTCTAGGGGAGATAAGCAAAGCGATAGCCGTATCGACGCCGAAAGGTGGAAGAAAGAGCTGGAAGGACAACAGGATGCAGTCGCCACGGGGTCTACGATTGCCGAGCAGGAGGGGATCCCATTCATGCTACCTATATGGCTCCGTCGAAGGCGATCGCCTCTATATACTGCCGATGACCCTGACTGGAAAGCTTTCCAGAAGGCCCAACAGGACAAAAAGTTGATGTCCGAGATGAGAGTGGCCATCATTCAGTTGTTGGAGAAAGAGATAAACAAAGACAAATGGCGACCATCTATACAAGCGATCAATGCAGGCGGCAAGATTCAGACTCGATCCAGTCTGATCCTCGTGCCGCCACTATTCCCGCCCGACATCTACGAAGTCCCTTGTGTCTTCGTGGTTCCTGGTGGACTTAAGGTGGGTTGGCGACGATTGCCACAACACATGGGAAGCAGACTGGATCATATATTCCACCCAGTGGTATTCACAGATGCCTTTTACGTTGCGTTCCAGGTTTTCTGCAAGACCTCTTACCAGATAACACATGCTCGGCTCACTGATCGTTTCAATTCATCGAAATCATCTTCTGCCGATGGCGTACCCCCAGCGGAGATAGGCGAGCTTTCCCAAACCGAGGAGAAAAAGGTCAGCGAAACTGAAAAGACACTTTCTCGTCTGGTGTCCCAGCGGCAGTCGGAGGATGACAAGGCCATTTGGCTGCCGTTTTTGCACGGCGAATACGGAGAACGCCCTGCAATGCGAAACTATCGTGATCTCGTCAAGTCAATGACATACCGCGGTGCTATCGACGAGGCCTGTGGTATGTTTCGTGCGAAATGGATTATTGGCCTTAGCAACATGCAAGCAAAGACAGCCATCAGGGACGGCTGTACCATCGAAGGAACCGTTGACCTCGTCGGTGTGCGAGGTGTGGTACGCCTTTTTGTGTTGGTGGCATACTCTCCGGAAAGCAACGCCATCACTAGTCCACTTGTCATTGTTCGAGCAAACATCGTTCCGCACGCTGCCAGATGGCATGATGAAAAGTATGGAGCACCGGTGGTCAGCACGTCGAGCCGTGAAAAGACAGTAGAACAATCGCCTTGGAAAGATTCAAAAGTTGGGCCCAGAGCTCCTGAGTCAAGGGCTGACACGGAAGGAAAGGAGAAGAAATGAGTTGTGACTAATCGAGAACATTTCGAGCATAGCGAGGAGCCGGATCGAGGAATATCGAAGCGTTCCTTGTCGTGTATTGCACACACTGGGAGGGACCATGCCCATCTCAGGAGATCGGTGGAGTTTTCATTTATGTGAAGCGACTCGGTGAAAGCGGGAGCGAAAGGCCTTGCTTTTATCGTCGGAGATGACACTTCTCCCAACTCCTCACTTCGAAGACTTTGAATAGCCAATCAGCCTTTTGAGTATAGTGTTACACTTTGCCGTTGTTTCTCCCGGATGCTTTTGCTTTCCTCGTCTCGAAATGTGGTGGAGAACCAGTCAAGTCAATACACATATACTCCCACCTATCCATCCAAAACCTTGACAGCCGCCTCAAACACCTTTTTACACTCGTCCTGGCCCTTCTTGACCACATCCTCCATCTGCTTATGCGCCTTCCGCAGCTCATCTTGAATCACCATTTTCCCTAGCTCCATCTTGCGAAATCGTTTTTGCGCATCCCCTCTGGCGTTCCTCACATCCTGACTCGCCCGGTCAAACACTTTCTTAGCTTCCTCGCGGGCCTGGGCTCTCGTCTCCGCCGTCGCAGGCGGCACTGGGACATTAAGCAATAATGGGTTTGTCCCGTCCGGCTGCGGCACCAGACTGTGCGGACTCGCTTGGATTGCGGACGTTATTGGTTTCACGTGCGCCTCCTCCGCACAATAGACCTGCAGCATCCTCCCACCCTTTTGTACCACGCTGGCAATGTCGCCCACCTTGGTACGCTCGTGGTGGGGACGACCACCATGCGTAGCGGCGCCTTTGATATTCAGTTCAACAGGCAACGAGTCGACCATATCAGGTGTGATCCGGCCGGCGTCGCGTGTCTTGAGAAGTGCATCTTTCAGTCGGGCGACGGCTTTGCCGATTCCAGCATTCAATTCGCTGAAGTCGTATGGGTCGACCTCCGCGTCGCGGTTTCGAGTGGCCGCATTGTCGGGGATGTGTTCGGCCTTTTTGGGAGATGTCACCTCCGGGGACTTGCGTGCGGATTTGGAGGACGAGGAGGACTTCTTTAGTAGGTGTGATGTGCTGCTAAAGTGTCGGAGTGGTGCTGGTGCTGCCGAACCAAGAGATGGGTTGCGAAAACGGCATGCTAGGCACACGACTCGGGTTGACAATGGTTTAGGACGTGACAAAGAGAGAAACTGAGAGAGGAGCTTCAGAGGTGCGTCTGTGCTTCTTGAAGCCATCTTGACTGAGTGTCACCCAACTTACAATTGTAAACGTAGCGCACAGCACTCGTACCTGGTACTTTATCGACACCCCAGGAATTTGTTTGAATTGACCTCGACATGGGCCGGAGATTATCCGGCTTACATAACCCAGCGATGTAGAGAGCAATGCTTCCAATCTGAGAAATCCAGACCATTACAGTACAATGCCGGCATTTACCTGCAATCCAGACTCTGGAGTGACCCCCAAATGGCGGCAGGGTCTTTGTGCATCGTGCTCACTTTCAAGCGGAGCAGGATTATCACCATGATTAAGAACATTCTCGCTCTGATTTATGGACTACCGTTTACAATGCATCTGCCCATGTCTATGTCGGCTACGATGCGGATGCAAGACCGCTCGTGTGAGAGTTGATGGACCAGGGGCGTTATGTCCTGGCCTTGTATAGGGTAGCCAGGTCCAGCACCTCGCCAGTTTTGCTCGCGACAAACTCATGCGTCAAATGCGTGTGGTTGTGGAATGTCAGACGACTCCAGCCAAATGTTCTATTGAGGGTGTCCAAGCCAAATCGAGAGTAGTCTTGCAACGGGTATTGGAGGGCATCGAGGCCGTCGTAGTGACCGGCAGCACCATTGGTGATATACCACGGGGCTTCGGGGTTGTTCAGGCCAGCCGAGTCGATGACTCCATTAGCCAGGGGGTTCTGTCTCTCGTAGACGTGCGCGTGGCCCGAGAGAACCAGGTCGACGCCGTACTTGATGTACAAAGGCTCAAAGACATCTTTGCACGTCCAGCAAATCGTGCCGCTCGCGTTTGCATGACTCAGGTACCAAGGACGATGGCCGGCGACGATCACCCAGGGGGTCTCGGTGCGGTTGACGCCGGCAAGGTCGGCTTCGAGCCATTCGGTCTGGGCTTCCAGCGTCGTGTTGAAGGGCCCGCCGTCTTCGCCCTCGACCCCGCCTGGTTCATCGGGAGCGATGAAGCCGTGGCCCAGATCGGTCTCGGTGTCAACCTGGACAAAGTGGGTCATGCCGTGGTGGAAGGAGTACCAGAAATTGCCTGTGCCCCCGGATTCGGCGCTCGGCATACGGAAGTGGTTGCGATAACCGGTAAAGTTGGTCTGGCCGGGAACGCAGATGCTGACGTTGTAAGTTATGTTGTTGGTTTTGTCGGCGTAACCGCCGTTGTCGCAATTGGCTTCATGGTTACCGGGACCGACCATGTATGGCTTCACGGCAGTAACTGGACTCAACTCGTCGTAGAAGTCGTTGAGAATCGACTCGTAGACGTGGTATCCCTCAACGGTGGTCGTGTTGGGTAGAAATCCCTGGATCTCCTCCTTCAACCAGTAGTCGGCGTAAGCAAGGTCACCGGCTGGGGGTGCAACATTAGTGATACCAATTGATTAGAGATGGGGACGCACGTACGATGCCAGAGGAAATCAAATCCACTCTTAAAGTTGTCCAGGGATTGGATGGTGTTGATTTCGCCTGGAGTGAGGGTGTTGTTCACGGAGACGCCGGTGCCGGCATAGGTTGTAAGACCTTGGGCGCCCATGGTGCCCAGGTCAACCACGACTGCAACGGAGAATGCTTCTGGCTGTCCAGCCGGTCGACTAGTGGTGAAATTGTATGGACAGTGTGATTGCATGTGGAGCAGATGTTCTGGGAGGTAATAGTAGAGCGTATCTGGCTCCAGGCCCACGATCTTCACATGGTTATTGTACGTCAAGGAGGTCGCATAGGTGACAGAAACGTTGGACGATGCCGTCATGTTCAGGTCATTGGATACCAGGCCGTAATGGACCGTTGGATTGTCCAACTTCTCGAAGGTGTTCCAGCTGACGTACATTCCAGTGTCACCCGCATAGGCAAGACGAAGCTGCGAGTTGATGGTACTGTTGGTGGCAGCTTGGGAGAGCTGAGTGAAGCCAACAGCCAGCAGACTGGCATGTATGAAGCGTACCATTTTCTCGCTGTCCTCCGCGATGGTCGAGCCCTGAGGATGTAATTTGAGAGTAGGGCATTGGGTACCATGGTCAGAGGATGTTCTGCGACTTTATACTTGTATAGGACAGACATTGAGCCGCTTTTTTAGGTACAGCCAAGCGTTATGAAGCAATACTGGCTGCAAGGCTTGATGACTATCCGCAAATTGTGCAAGGGGCGACCACTGCTTACCGTCCGGGACAGCACGTGCAGGCCGCATCCCTGGACCTCCTCGGAGGCTTGACGTGGGATGCAGCGAGCCTTGCCAATCGTTGTTGTCCGTGCATTCTCACAGCCAATGGAATATATGCGGTGACAGAGAAAGGTACCAACGAGAAGCGCGCCGTTAGTCAAGCTAGCAAGGCTCAGAGCCTAGCATGTAAACGGGAGGTCGCAGAGTTGATGATTGGGGACAGTTCTTTGACGACCCAGCGAGTTCTGTACATCAACAAACCCTCGTGCAAGAGGCTTGTCTATGGCGTGCAGCCTCCTCCCTCACCGGGACAAGAAGCGTAGCAACCGTGATTGAGGCGCTCGATGCTGCGACCACAGTATCGTGGAGTACTCACGCGCTGTTGTCTTCCAGTGAGGATCCTGAGAAGAACTTAACCATGGAGAAGGCCTGGGAACAGTTGGAGAACTGGTGCAGAGCGAATGGTTTGGCCGGTCCAATGGGTCATTGTGTGTTAAGTATCACTGTGGTGGAATCTTTCAGAGCGACGCACGCTGGCCCCAGTCCGAGATTTTGTACTCCATCGGAGGAAATCTTTAAGTCAAGTATACACGAGTGTACAGCTACAATTATATCGAAAGAAGTCCGCGTCGACGCTAGCAGTGTTGTCCCTATAGGCCATCCACCAGTCGCCCCATTTCCGGTTGACAGGGATCCCCCTATTGACACTTTGACTCCCACCAAAGTCGGCCTTGCGTGGCATCGGGGCACAGGAAAAGTTTTCATCTGATAAGATTATCTCCACTCACACATCAAGCCACCCATTCCAACGACCAATCCTCCCTCCTAATCCCTTCCACGATGGCACGCCCAAAATGATACAATACGGGTCGTCGACTCTGGGCATATCTGGGCATGGAGCCTGCAAGTCAAGGGATAGGTTAGATAGCCAAAACGGATTTCTTGGGTAGCGCGTGCTGCGGCTACAGTCCTTCCCGATCTCGGCCATGGCTTTCGAAGGTCGAACTATATGAACAGCCTTGTCCCTCTTCATTGGGTGTACGGCCCAAAGACTGCTCTCTCGTTTACTCTCTCACGCCCGGCTTTCCAGCATGCCGTCGAACGAAGGTGCTCCCTCTGCACTACTGACTCCATTCAAGGTGCTCGTCTTGGGAGGATCATATGGAGGACTCGCAGGGGCTCTTCATCTATTGGATCTATGCAAGGGCAGACCTTCTCGCTTCGCTTCCGAGCCGACTGAATCCAGCAAGTTTGGCAGCTTCCCTGTTGACATCACAATCGTGGATGAGCGCGATGGGTACTGTGAGCCAATCCCGGTTCTGCTGCGTTCGACCGTCGTGGTATTGACCGTACATTGCAGATCATTTGATCGGTTCACCGCTTGCGCTTGCTTCGCGGGAGTTTGCTTCGAAAGCGTGGACAAAGTTCAGCGATCTTCCAGCTTTGAAGGACATCCGCTTCATTCAAGGAAGCGTCAACACCGTTGACTGCAAGAAGAAGCAAGCAGTCATCACCGAGACGCCTACCCAATCGTTATTGGAATTGGACTATGATTTCCTTGTGGCAGCTACCGGTCTTCGAAGGGTCTGGCCAGTCGTGCCCCAGACTCACACTAGGGAAACCTACCTGTCCGAGGCCGGCGACCATATTGAAGCGGTAAGGAGAGCCAAGGAGGGAGTTGTTGTGATCGGTGGAGGTAAGATAAATAGGAGCATCGAGGAGTGAGTGAACTAAGATGCTGCAGGTGCTGTGGGTATCGAAATGGCGGCTGAGCTCAAAATGGTGCTGCCGAGCCAAAAGGTCACCCTCATCCATTCCAGGGACAAGCTGTGCTCCTCTGAACCCCTTCCCGATGAGTTCAAGGATAGATGCCTGCTCACGCTTCGCGAGGGTGGGGTGGAGACAATCATGGGCCAGAGAGTGACTGAGACGAAAACATCGCAGTCCCCTGATGGTGAGACCACGTGGGAACTCACGTTGGCTGACGGGTCGAGAATTCGTGCCAGCCACGTAATCTATGCCATATCAAGGAGTGTCCCTTCGACGACATATCTTCCTGCATCGGCTTTGGATGAAGAGGGCTACGTCAAAGTAACCCCAAGGTAAGCAAGCACGAACCAGAGTCTCCAGGATCGAGACTGACACCACGACAGACTGAACATCTCATCTGACTCACCAAACTCGCTCTATCACTTTGCGCTTGGTGACATGATAAGATGGTCGGGTATCAAGCGCTGTGGCGGGGCGATGCATATGGGGCAATATGCAGCGCATAACATTCACCAGTTGATGCTCAAACAGCTCCATGATATCGAGCCCGAGTTCATGGAATTGAATGAGTTTCCGCCAGTGATGGGGATAGCCATTGGTAAGCAAGGCGTGGCATATTGGAAGGAAGCAGGAACCGCACATGGAGTGAGCGTCCTCGAAACGTTCTTTGGTAATGACTTGGGCAACACAAGTACGTGCATCGTTCGAGACACATTCTCGCTCATTAACACTGACGCTGTGCAGTTTGCTGGAATCATCTTCAACTTGGACACGAAGTCCCCATACCCAAGCCGACACCAGCCGCCCCAGATGCCGCATAATCTTCTCGCATTGGTATGGACCTTGTCATGCAAAGAATCTGGAATGGAATGGCGTAGCACTGCGAGGTCATGCTGTCCATAGCTTCGTTAGTGGACCATCTGGACCGTTGACCGGATCTTCTTTTGGCATCGCCACCGCAGTCGTCTCTTGCCGGAACACTTCCAGGTCGATTGGTTCTTTCCCTAACTCATTGCGCCATTTTGGCGCTCCCTTCAGTAATGGAATCAGTGTTTGCGTGATGATTTTGGATTTTGGGGAATGTATCACTTCTGGGTAAACTCCGATATACCTGTAATCTTGACTCGACTGAGTGCTGCAATGGGCCGTGCCAGCTGGCAGGACAATGACATCTCCAGCCCTAACGTCAATCTCCTGCCCACCACCAGTATCGTTTTTACCACATCCGAGCAAGAGGGTGGATTCGCCTTGAAATACGCCTAAAACCCCCCCATAACTGTTCGTCAGCTTCGCTGCTCGTTCTCAAGCTCAAGCGATACACCAACGACATTCGGCACCATTTTAATAAGCCACAGACTAAAGCTCACCGTAGCATTCGTGCGTGTTGGGATGGAAGTGGCGGGTACTGATGTGCCCCCAAGTGCCTCCCTGGATCCAAGCATGCGACTCGAAGAGTTCTTTGCTTTTGGCCTCGGAAAGCGGCAATGGTAGACAGTCTCGATATATCAATACCGGAAGGTCGCTGTTCGGCGCATGCCTATTGGGCTCGAGATAGTATGTTTCCGGTTGATATACCATGATAGCCGGGAGAAAAGAGTCTCGAAGCCAGGATCGCGGTGTATAACAGCGGAAGATTGAAGTGCAGATAGTCTCTAGGGCGCTCTGCTAGAACCAGCGAGGTTATTGGGTGATAATGTAAGCAACCTCTCCGGCTGGGCAGTCCGGGTAATGCCCAGTGAGAGGCGCCAGTACGGCCTGAGGCCGACCCTGGACTTTCAGAATACAGTAAGGACTTGGTGTACATCTCCTCACAAGAAGCTGCACAAGCTTGAGATAGATTGGGAGCGATTCTAGTCCTCGCACGACTTCCTGAAGCACCTTATTCATGCCCGTCTCAGATGGAAATACTTGTCTTTTCGGAGAGCCCTATTCTTCAAGCAGCGGCAAGGCTCGAATCCCAAGTAGGAAGGTACGGTCGATACCGAACATCGGCGTCATAAGGGTGCAGATCACCGATGCAATTTTTGGGGGACTTTTGCCGCCCTTCGACATGGTGTATCAAAGGTCGGCATTGTCTCTGTGCCCTTCAAGCCAATGCTCGCATATAGACCGGTCTCATCAATCAAGACCGGAGCACTGAAGTCTGTTCCCATCGTGCGCAACAGTCTTTACCGCCACCACAAAATTATTCACAATTACTCAACAGCCAACACAATGACCCCGTCCATCGAAGAGTCCAACTCCAATGCCGCAACACACAAAAAGGTCAATGCCTGGCAACAGCCCGGCCCAGCAGCCTACGACTTCCGCAGCGATACCATAACCACGCCGACAGAGTCAATGCTGAACGCGATCATCAACACGACCCTCTTGGACGACGTCTTCGTCGAAGACCCCACCACCAATGACCTCGAGTCATCCCTAGCCGAATTGTCCGGCCACGAGGCTGCCCTGCTAGTCATGTCCGGCACGATGGGCAATCAGGTCGCACTACGAACACACCTGACGCAACCTCCGCAATCCGTCCTCTGCGACGTACGAGGACACATCGTCAACTACGAAGCCGGCGGTGTGTCCTCGTTGTCCAGCGCCATGATGATCGCCATCTCCCCCAGCAACGGCCACCACCTGACGCTCGAGGACGTCAAAAAGCACGCCATCATCTCCGACAACGTGCACGCCTGTCCCACGCGGGTCATATCTCTCGAGAACACCCTCGATGGGATGATCATGCCGTTAGAAGAAGTCCGGCAGATCTCCGCCTTCGCCCGCGAGCACGGCATCAAAATGCACCTCGACGGCGCGCGGATCTGGGAACTCGTCGCCGCCGACGCAGGCAGTCTCCCCGACTTCACAACCTGCTTCGATAGCGTCAGCCTGTGTTTCTCCAAGGGCCTCGGCGCTCCGATCGGCAGCATCATCGTCGGTTCAAAGTCCTTCATCACCCACGCCAGACGCATACGCAAGATGATCGGCGGTGGCACGAGGCAGGCCGGCGTGATCACTGCGGCCGCCCGTGTCGCCGTCCAAGAGAACTTCGGCACCGGACCTCGCGGTGAGGGAGGCAAGCTGCGCGCCAGTCATGCCCGAGCTCGCAAGATCGCCGACCTGTGGCGCAGTCAAGGCGGCAAGCTCGCGAAGCCGGTCGAGACCAACATGGTCTGGCTGGACATTGAGGACGTCGGCTATTCGGCGGAGCAGTTTGCCGAGCTCGGAGCCACCGAGGGTCTCAAAGTCATTGGCGGCCGACTGGTCGTGCACTACCAGATCACAGACGATGCGGTGGAGCGGTTAGGACGGATCATGGACAAGATGCTGGAGGAACGGAAGAGCAATGGCACGAATGGAAGCACCAACGGTCATTGAAATCTACCCTATCCACTCCAATAGAAGAGGTGAATATTGAAAAGCTTCCTATTCCACCTCAATCGTTGGCGAGCTCAGCTCAGCTGCCTGAAGAACTAAAACTCACAGAGTAGAAGGGGCGTCCCCTGAACCCCTCAGCCCTTGCTTTCAAGACGCGGGTAGTCGTACGCGCAATTCAAGATGACGAACCGACTTTGACCTTGACTCTGACGCTGACGCTACCACATGCCCATCCGCGCCGTACAACAGTGGAGGACCCGTACAAGATCATCCTCCCCATCCTCAGACACTTTTATCCAACCGTTCCTCCCCCCAAGAATCGTGGGACCCCCAGCACCTGTCCAAGATAATCGTATCATGTAAGAAGCACGCGCCTGCTGCTGCGCTGAAGTAGAAGTCGAAGTCGAAGTCGAAGATAATTCGCGGCGCCGCCGAATCTGCAGTGGTGAAAAAAGGCGAAAAAGGGTCAAGGCAGCGGTTGTGAAGAATCCGCACGCTGATGGAGATGATATCTTTTTGAGACGAGCGACAGGAAGCCAAGAAGCGCAAGGTCGTGATAGCAGAAAAAGCTCACAATGCATGCGCAAGCACTCTCGTAGAGGCCCCAACGGAGCAGTAGTAGAACAACCTCTGCAATGGCTGTTCCCCAGCAAGAAAATGAGCCGTCAAGCCGACCATGATAACAAAAGAAAAGATATGTCGTCAGATTCGTTTCAGCGATGGACCATTCGATGGTCCCGTTCTTCCTCGGCCAGCGCGTACCATACCGGCCCTAATGCTCCGGGACAGTCACCATCATAGACCAACAAGACAAGAACGCCATAACATGCTGGAGGTTGTTTTGGTGAGAAAGTGTTTTTTCAACCCGGGACGCCCATTGTACCAGGCTTTGGTTGGAAGCTGTGCCTTCCGGAGCCTCCCACGTGACTGCCGGCGCTGCCTGAGCTGCCAGCTCGTTCCCTTGCGTAAGGGCTGTTGGGTGCGCTAAAATTGAAATCATGATTGGGGCCAGATGTAGCTGATGCCATGTTCTGCACAGGCCGCACAGAACTCTGCTTCTGCCATGCCGTGGTTTGAGACGGGTCGACGTCCACGCGGGTAGCGACAGGGCCGAACGAGTTTGTTGCAGAAGCTGGACTCCGAGCTGGGCCGTCGGGGGCCTGGACTGTCTGCCTCACGACTTGACCTTTTGCGATGTGGCCATACCTCGATAGAATCTCCTTGGTGGTGATTTCTACAGGTCCAACATGAAGGCTGCTATCGGTCAATATAGACTGTAGATCTTCCGGCACCTGAGCACGGTCAGCGAGGGTGTTGTTTCATCGTTAGAGATATCCTTACCTGGCAAAAGTAGTCATTGTATTCGATCAAGGTATTGACGGCTTCGATAGCGAGGAAGCTGTCGTCAACTTGTGGGACGGCTGGCTGTCTTGCGTTTGGTGCTTTTTCTTTGGCATACAGAATGTTTGGCGCAACTACCGTGGCCAGATTGTGGATGTCCATCTTACTGCCGGATTCTTCATCCACTTGTGAAAATGAAGCTGTCCACTTTAAGAAAGAGAACAAGACCTCCATAGTATCACGATGGCTCTTCGGCATTAGACAACAGGTCAAGTGCAGTATTCTCCTCCGGCACTCTTCATCTGCGATCTTTTGCGACGTGATCCAGAGCTTGTGCAACTTGAATGTAAGCAAAGGCTCAGGCATCTCTCTGAGGAATTTCTTGAGCAAAGCGGCAACTTGAACAGGGTTTTCGCGATTGAGGTCTGGTGTTGCGTTCGAATCGATGGCTTCAGAGGCCTCCTTGAGCCGCTTGATGTTACCATTCTTTCGGAACACACCTTCAACTGACATGTCCATCTGCTTCATGGCAGAAACGCAATCATCAACGATGGCAGGGACGCTGAGGGCACCAGGACCGACTCCATTGGTAGATTCGGCGCCTTCGCGCTCGACAAGTGTTTCCAAAGGGACACCAAAGATACCTTTTTTCTTTGCTTTGCCGTCATTCCGGAGCGCACGGCTGACCTTGCCCCAGAAAGTCTGCTTTCTTGTTTCGATCAAACCCAACAAATCTTCCAAGGTGTATTCCTCATCCAAAAGTGGCTGCATTGAAAGAACGGCTACATGCCGCACAATGAAGTATTCAAGAGCAGATAATTCCGAAAAGTATCGTTTGGTACGCAGGGGGTTAGGCTCACCCGCCAACAAGTCGTTGCCGGCAGACGCGGCTCTTTGATGGCCATTGATCAGTCTCGGTTCGTTGCCGCGGTGTCCAATGAGATTCGTGCCTGCATGGCGAAATGCATTAGGTCTTTGCTCTTTTGCTTGCTCAGCAGCCACAATTCTCGGAATGTCGTCCAGCGTCAAACCGTCTTGGTTTCCAAAGGTTAATTCAGGTCGCATCCTGCCATCAAGGTCACGCTCTTCGACTATCTGGAATCCGCCACGGTTTCTTCCATCCTGGCTGTCCCCGCCTTCGGAGCCCGGACGTATCCCGGTTGGTCCATAGAGAATTTTCGACTCGCGCGCCTTTCGGAAAGTTGTGGAAAGCGTGCGTTCATTTCGAGTGGAGCGCAATCTCTTCATTTCACCGACGGTCTGTTCCAAAGAGGACTCTGGCTGACTTGATCTTGATACCCCGGCGTAGGAACGGGAACGGGATCCCATCTTCTGATGTGGATTGAGTTGTTCACCAGTCGGCGATACATGATGACCCTCCGTTGTGTTGTAAGGGCTGAGATTGGGGTCATCAGAAGTGTGTGGCAAAGTGCCGCCAGACTTGAGCACTTCCAGCAGCCTTGCTAAAGCTACCCGCAACAAAAAGACATATTGTTGTAGTTTGGTGACATTCGAGAATCCCGAGACTGTATCCTGAACCCGTCTCGAATGATCCGTGCAGTACACTTTTTCCTCTCTTTCGCTGTAGACTGCATTTGCAAGGTCGTTGGTCAGGTCGCGTTGACATACACTGCAGATAAGGTGTGGTGGCTTTGCGTGCCAACGCCGGCCGTAGATCATGACACACTCGTCGTCGATTGGTTCCAAGCACCCTGAGCAACAGTCGGATTCTTGGCTTGCAAGGCCTGCCACACTTTCTGCTAGGTCCAATGACTTCATCTCCTGCTCTTTGATTGTCTCGAGATCTGCAAGCTCGCCCAGGAAGGCATGGAGACCTTCTGGAGTGCCTCGCTCCCGTTCCAGCTTCAATGCTCCTTGGAGCCCGATTCGGATGAGAAGCTTCAGGTAGTGGGCCAAGCCAGTGACGAGAGACAAAAGTTCCTGAGTGACTCCCAGCTTGCGTACACCTGTCTCCTGAGTCTTGGAGAGGAGCGTGAAGAAAGCGACCACCTTCTTGCAGAGTAGTTTGGCTTCCCTGCCGTAGCCAAGTTCTCGCAATCCTGCGGCTGCCACCAGAGCTGCAAGTGTATCGATTGCTCCAAACAAGATGTCAACATGCCAGATGAACTTGCGCGCCACTATCACTCCATCAACATAGACACCATTGCTGACATGGAGAAGCATATCTGAGATGCAAGAAGCGGACGATTCTTCGAAAGTTGACAGGGTACTCCAAATGCGGTAGACTTTGTCCTCCATCTTCTCTTCGTCTTCCTTGACTAACTCTCTCTCATCCTCGGTGACCGGGGCATTGATGTCTTTCCCTGCTGAAATGGATCCGGATTGTGCTAGCCGCACGTTCCAAAACTTGTGAATCATGTAACATTCCGGATGCCAGTGCTGATTTTGTCCATTCCGAAAAATCTCAACGAATTGTTTGAGGATAGCGGTTTGACAGCCATTACATCGTTGGGCGAACTGTGTGGAGTAATGGTAGTGACAGTAAACTTTGCCGTCGTGTTCGTAGTAACTGTCTTGTGCACCAAAGACTGTTGGACATACAGAGCAGGTAAAATGCTCGATATGGTATTTGCGGTCAAGCGCAGTGATATAGGAGCCACGAAGAGCGCCTCCACATTCGAAGCAGAGCAGGTCTAACCGCCGAAAATAGTCCGTTTCGCAAAGAGGAAATTGTCCGGAACCATCCTCAGCATCGACAGGGAAGAACTTCGAGGCGACAATCTGTCCGCAGTCGGCGCACTTGAAGCAGTCGAGGTGAAATGTGCCACCTAGAGCGCGCACAAATTGACCTGTCAACGGCTCGCCGCATTTTTTGCATGTCCGCATCGACGACCCAGGTGATCTGCCAGTACTGCCATTTGTTCTTGATCTGCTCCTCTCATTACCGCCAGGCCCGCCTAAGGATCTTTTTCTGCCAGTGCGACTGTCGCTGGAATATCTGGCATCGCTATCGTATTGTGCATCGTTAGGATTACCATTTGAGGAATTCGGTGGGTGTCCGTATGCGTTGAATTGGTTATTTCCGTTTGAGGGTGTATGCTGATGTGATGCTTCGTTCTGTGGGCGTGGTGCACCGATTGTGTATCTTATTGTTGCGGCATTGCCCTGGGGCTGCGACTCATCGAGCGGAGCCGCCATATCTCGAAATCACCGCTTTTTCCTTGCATGTATCTGTCCGATTCTGAATGGGTCAACATTCGACGCCAATCACTCTGTGCACACAGCGGTCAGTCGAAATGCCCCTATGTCTTGGTGTTTCCTCCCCTTCCTTTGTACAAAATCGTCAAAGGGCTTCTCTTTGCCAACGCAGACACTATCCATGCAGTATACACAGTGTCCAACTTCGATCGAGATTGAAACGAGGGGAGCGGCAAGCGGTGTGTTTATCAGAGGGATTTCGGTGACCCGGGGCGCAGAATAGTGGCTCAATTTTACAGCGTAAACCACTATTTGGGCGCTTTGAACAATGTCTTGAGGAATTTCATGCAGGGAAACGCGACTGTCAACGAAGGAGTGTCGATCGGGAGGATTGGGTGAGTAGTCTCACGTGGGAGGCGCAGTGCATCGACCTCCGGCGTGCAATCGGCAACGGGACGCGTCCGAACGAAGTTGCAAAAGGTAGGACGACCCTGACGACAGGGACTGCAGACGGTATGATGAAGAATGAAAGGGCAATGCCGTATGTGGTGTCTTGTCAATGTCAGATGAAGTGAATTGCTATTTAGAGCGGCTCTCAATTGGTGTTAGCGCCCTTTTCTTAGCGCTGTCGATCATATCAATTCTCCTACAGATATCCTCAGCCTGACTCCCTGGCACTGTTTGGGCTGGGAAGGGCCTTGGCTGCGGTCTGCCTCCCCTACCAGGCCGAACACCTTGATTTGTCTGGTTGTTGGAAGAAGCATGATACGAGGAGCCACCGCGGTGGTCGACGAGAGCAGCAAGCACAGGAATTCCGGACATTGTCGAAAGATGTCACGTTGCAACCAAGCACGCGCCATGTTAGATGATCCCATATCCATGTTCGCTTCTCATTGTCTCTTCTACATGTGTCTGCTAGAAGATGAAGTCGGGGGACGACTCCAGCAATGAGCAAACAGCCTTCATCTCTTCGAGCTTCTCCCTCCTGTTATGCCTTCAGGACCCGGATTAGGACTACTCCATTCTCGACCTTGACTCTCACATCTTTTACATTGACTACTGTAGGAAACGTGATGGACCGTTCGAAAGGGCCTTGCTGCCGTTCCTTGTGGAGTGCAGGTTGACTGCTTCAATTCCATGGAAGCCATCGAGTCGGTTCAATGTTTGCCCTATTGCGTCTGGTGTTCTGCCACGCACAAACAAGACAGTCTCATACACCCATTCAATCTTGATGTCTAAGATTTTAATTCCAGAAACGTCCAACGATCAGCCAACCGGTCACGTTCTGAAAGTCCGCGTTGCTGCGCTCTTCGGCCGGTGCAAGAGATTCTATCTCATACACGTCGAAGCTCGGAGCAAGTACACCTTCGTGTGAAGGAAGAGCATCGATATTGTACTAGGCATCACCAACATGCTGTAGCTTTGCACGGAGGGAATGTCTGTCCACCAAAGAGATGTGATGAGGGCGGTGGTGGGACGCAGGTGTCATTATCTTGAGTTCCAGTGTTTGGTTGAGCTATGTGTTGATGGTTTGCTTAGTGCGAGATGTGGGTGACCGGACTCTTCCAGACAGCAGAAACCCTCCGGGTGCTTATATATCTTTGTTGTGTGGTCCGACTATCACATACCTCGTAGTCCTCCGTGCTACTCACCTTTAGCCAAGCAGATTATTCGGAAGTCCCAAGAGTCATGGAACTCCGGGCTATGTTCGAACTTACGCTGCGCCGACGGTAGATAGCGCCATTACACGCTTGCTGTATCCCGGCGAAACATGAGTCTCAAATCTCTTCAGGCTGGCCGACGAGCACGTGCGTCTCAGTCTCGCCACCGTTTGCTCAATGACTATCGCCAAGTAGCTGTCGACGAGTTAGGATATTGAAGGCAACTATGCGAATCGCGTCTGGGCATTGGATCATGAGGGTATCCCCGGCTTCTGAGTACGCAACAGAAACGCGGTCACTGGCCAGGTCAATGAAGCCACATCAAACCACTTGCAGGTCATATGACGATGGACTAGCAGTTGTAAGTCCATGGCAGGACCTCGCGTTGAGGAAAAATTGAAGACGTTGAAGAAGAGGCGGAAAATACCGCAATAATTTGAGGAAGCGAGATCCACTAGCAGCTGTATTGATTTCAGAACTAGTTACAGCCTGTTGTAATGACGAAGTATTTCCTATTCCTCTCACAGTGATTGACCACTCCGGCCATCGCATCCTTCACGGGACGCACATATTTGGCAGAGCAAGTGGCTACAAGAACACAGCGTAAGCATCAAAAGCCAGAGCTTTTTCTCGAACACAATCATCCTTTGTGGGCACTTTCACGATCTCCGGAAGAAGGCTTTTGCGGGATTCTGTTCAGGCACAGCATTTGACTTGCAACCACCGTCACACACGTAATCAAGATACATGTTTGGCGTGACATGGAATGTCCTGCCAAGACGTTACGAATCGAACCACTTGCGCATTTTAGCGTTTGGATCTCCTGATGATGTGAGCCTCTGTGCTTCGTACCTCCTCCAATGGCTCTCGACATCTTCTCTTCTGCTGTGGGAATCTTTCATTCTGGGCCTATCACGAGGCCATCTCCTCTTGCGGCTTCTGTCGGCCCACAGTCACTGACGATGGCGCAAGCTTGGGACAAGGGCTCCCCAGGAAAACCGTGCTACACCTCTTCCAAGATATCCGGTGACAGGTCTTTACCGGCGCATGTGGACCGAGCATGACCTCGAGCTACAGGATGTCGAAGCCGGCCATCTGCTTCCTTGCAACGTGGAGAACGGCCCGGTATGTAGCAGCTTGAGGGGTTTCGGTTTGTTGTGTATAAATACCTGGCCATAACGCGCCCTCGTGTCCATTTTCCTTTCCTGCTTCCTCCACATCCAAATCAAACCTAACATTAGACAACCGTTCTCGCACACTTTTCTTTCCAGAGTTGCAAGACTGCGAAACATCTTCGCTAGCAAATACGATACTATCACCAACTGCGCAACCGACGGCACTGCAGGACTGAGAACACATTACGGTTGAGCAAAGAGACATATTTGACGCAATGGCATACGCATATTACTATGATCTGCCACCTCCACTCGTCGACAATCCACACGAGCGACATCATCAACACCAAAACCTCGTACAGTATCTAGGCCATCGCCACACACGGCCCGAAGATCATCCAAACCAGCCGGATGTGGACTTTCGCGACGCGATCAAAGAGTATTTGATCGAAGTGGAAGTACCAGGGATTAAAAAACCCGACGAAGTCACAGTCTCATGGACTGGCCACCGATCACTACTGCTGACTGGCAACACCAAGAGACCTGATTATGGTGCACCATCGAATGCGGAGGTAGAAGAGGATAAAGAGAAACCGGCATCTGGCGGAGTACATTTGTTGGTTGGCGAAAGAAGGATTGGCCCCTGGAGGCGCTACATCAACTTCCCGACCGACGTGGAGAACGTCAATGTGACTCTGGAGGCCGGTGTGTTGAAGGTCCGGGCCCCCAAAAAGGGATTCAAGGATATAAGTGATGCCAAGGTCGACGTCCAGCACGCGTGAGTTTGAAATTCTTTTCTATAACTGGTCTATTTTGGCATGGGGACATGTACTGATTGAACTCTGAATGGAGGGATGATCACGTTGAGCACAAACATGCAACACTTCCCATCTTGCGTGCTTTTGGCAATGGTCTCTAGAGAGCCATTGAGGTGCAGTGCAGCCTCGGGCGCAGCCTCGTCGAGCCGAAATGACATCACGTGTCAGGCTGACTTATTTCGGTTACAACGCAATTAACGATTTCCGTTGTTCTTCTTCATCCTCTTCATCCTGTTCTTCTTGGACTTGTCCTTTTTAGCAGCGTTGCCCCTTGTGTCATTCCACAGGTTCGTGACTAGGAAGTCCTGATCCCTGGCCGGCGATCAATGGCTTTCCCCTTTTGCCTGGTCTTCTACCACAATGTCTCATAGTTGTCAGAAATCGCTCGGAACACCTATATCCAACGCCGTCATTTTTTTAGGCACACTACTGCTTCATCACGAACTTGTTTCTGGGCTGACCCTTGACGCCAGGCTTGAAGCGAAACACGGATCCCTCCAGTCCTGCCTCTTCAGGTCTCTCCGGATTCAACATGGCCGTGGTTACGAACAGCTCGTCAAGGTCTGGGCCACCAAAACATGGACAAGTGACCCTGGACACAGGGAGATCCAGTTTTCGAACGATCTTTCCCTTCGGCGATATCTGCAACAAAGCGTAACCTTCCCATAGTGCGAGCCATACATTGCCCTCCGCATCCACGGCCAGTCCGTCTGGCACAGCTTTGCCTTCGTGTCGGTAGAACACCCTTCGGTTTTCGATCGAGCCGGTCTCGGCGTCAAAGTCGAACGCCCATACTGTCTGGTCCTGCGAGTCCGCAAAGTACATGACCTTGTTATCTGGGCTCCAGCCAAGACCATTCGCAATGGAAACTCCAGTGAGCATCGTGTGGAGGGAAAGGTCTGAGTCTAGGCGGTACAAGGAGCTCTTGCCAACCTCATCTGCTCCAAACATGCCAATCATGGAACCTGCCCAGAACCTTCCGCGTATATCAACGTTGCCGTCGTTCAAGCGCGACTTCTTGCCCAGCACTGGGTCACCCCTCCATATTTCGACGATGGGCTTGAAAGATTTCTCACTCCAATTCCATATGGCAAATCCGTTCTCGGTCCCCAGGATCAATTCATCCGGTCGACCTTCAATCTCGGCGATGACAGTCGATACTTCTGGCAAGGAATGGATTTCTTGGTCAGGCACAGTTACACCGATTTGACTCTTGCTTATTGTCTTGCCAGCTATATCAATCCAGCACAGTTCGTCCGAGCTTGCCAGGTAAACCGGGCCTTCACCCAATAGGTTGCCGGCCTCGATCCATGGTTTTACCTCCTCGATAGAGCCCATCGTACGTTTGTCTGTCGATAATTTCAGGTTCGATGCAGTGGTGACTTGGCGATCTATTGTCCTCTCTGTTCGCAAAGAGACTGACACCTGCCTCAAGCAAGAATGGCCAAACATTAGGGCCTCAACGACGGCCGGAGATGCACGGAGACTATGCCGACTGTGCCCCTTCTGGTGTTGGAGATCTTGGACCAGGAATTGCCGAGTGTGCCGTATAGTGGGTACCGAGTGGGCCATTCCATCACAGTGGGGTATGGAGGCATGCCAGCGAGCCGTGGGGGACTCCTTGGGGTGATTGACCATCTTTGCAGGCCGCGAAGCTTCGAATTCGTAATCCTTGTGGTGAAGATGAACAGGCTGCATGGCTTCAACCACTTCGAAGAGGAGGCCTCAGCCTTGCGAGAGGTTGCCTGCTATTGCCCACCTTGCTGCCACTCAACCACCAGAGCGGACTTCCTACCAGAGGCTGCAGGTTGTACTCCAGATATCCAGATGTGCGACTTCGTTGCAGACAGCCGCGAAGGACCACGATGGACACATCCACAGGCATCCCCACCCTCTGAGCCTGTGCACCTGACCCCTCAACTGAGAAAGAGTACACGGAATAGTTCCGTCACATTGTCATGAACAGTTCCTGAAATGCCTATATTGGGTCGCCTGATCGGCGTCCAGGCCGAAAGAGTTCCAGTCAGTAGCCTACGATTTATTTGCGACATCGTTCACTTCAACCCCCACGCTCCACCCTCTTCTCTTTCGCACTATAGCCCGTCTATGCAAGTACGATGTACTTTTCACATCCCGGTCCAACTCTCCATCAGACGTGCCTCCACGCTTGAATACATGCACACCGGCCAAAAGCTGGAACCCCGAATCTATCGCGGGGGTTAGCTGCAGACCGCGCTACACATTGCATGACCATATGATGGGAACTTTCCTCCCCAGTCTATATTATGCTTGTTTCCTTCCGCCTCCCAGCTTGCTTTCCACTGAATTCACACTCTGAATTATCCTAGTCTCCTTGTAAGAACAGGGAAAGTCTTACCATGGCACCATATTTCGGCCTCAGGGGTCTGCCCCTTGTCATGGCTATAACGCTTGCCTGCTCAACTGGGTTCCTTCTTTTTGGTGGGTTCCTCATACATCCGCGGAATCCTCGATTTCTAACGGAGCACTCCAGGTTATGACAATGGTGTCTTCTCTGGCTTGACGACAGATGCTCGCTTTCTGGAAGTCATGGGTAATCCAAACCCCACTCTCTTAGGATTCATCGTTGCGGTCTACGAACTCGGATGTCTGGTCGGTGCAATCGCTTCGGCCATTTGGGGTGAAGACATGGGTCGAAGGAAATTGACCGCGTTGGGTTCCCTCGTGCTGATCATTGGCACGGTCATACAATGTACTTCCTATGGACAAGGTCAGATGATTGCAGGCAGGATCGTCACTGGTTTGGGTATGGGCGGGATCACAAGTGCTGTTCCTGTGTGGCAGTGCGAGACCACACCGGCTCACTTACGTGGACGTACTATTGCAATGGAATTATCGACGCTCATCGTCGGCATTGTGCTGGCGTACTGGACCGATTACGGGTGCAGCAGCTACACGAACGGGTTTCAATGGCGCTTTCCGATCGCTTTGCAGATCGTTTTCGCGCTGTTTTTGATCGTTTTGTGCTTCCTCCTTCCTGGTGAGTCACACTCGGCAGGCCGACTGTGTGTATGCTGATGTGGACGTACAGAATCACCACGTTGGTTAGCCTCGCATGGTCGAGAGCAAGAAGCCCTTGAAACCATCTGCGTGCTGCGAGATGGTCATCCTGAGGACGACAAAGTCGCATTTGAGTTCAATGAGATCAGAGACGCCATTGCCCTGGAGCAGGAAGAGTCTGGTAGCTGGAAAGACTGCTTCACTGATGGAGGGATCATGGGCTGGCAGCGTGTTGCCATAGCATGTTCTGCGCAAGCCCTTCAGGAATTCACAGGTAAGCAAGCCGGGCACTTCTGATGCTAAAGCAACAATGGACTGACACTTACGCTCAGGCACCAACATAATCACTTATTACGCCCCTTATGTGATGGTCCACTCGGTGGGATTGAGTTCTCATCAGTCGCTGCTCTTGTCTGGTGGCTTGCAATTGTGGTTCTTGGTAGCCTCGTTCATCCCATGGCAAGTCCACGTAACTCAAGTCTCACCTTCATACACCAAGCTAACTCCGTGCCCAGGTTTATCCTCGACAAGGTTGGTCGACGCAAGCTTTTCATCTTCGGCAATGTAGGCATGGGTTCATGCATGCTGATCTCTGGCCTGACAATCATGGCTGGCGGACGCAACAATGGTATCGCCGCAGTTGTCATGTTGTACTTGTTCCAGGTATGCACGAACCGTTTAGATCCCGAGAGACTCGACTAACCTTAATTGTCAGAGTTTCTTTACCTGGGGATGGATGAGCAACATGTGGGCATATCCATCCGAGATTTTGCCTCTTCGTATTCGTCAACGAGGCTCTGCGCTATCCGTGATCTGGCAGTGGCTAATCACCTTCTTGGTCGTGGAGATCACGCCAGTCGGCATTGCCAACATTGGTTGGAAGCTGTACATCGTGTTCTGTATCCTCAACTGGGCCAGTATTCTTGTCGTCTGGTTTTGGTACCCAGAGACCGCTGGCAGAACGTTGGAAAGCATCGACTTTTTGTTTGCCAGCCAGACCAGCTTGCGACAGGTTGTCAAGCTGAGCAAGCGCAAGGATATGGGCGGCATCGCGCATGAGATGCAAGTACAGGTCCACCAGCAGAAGGTTGAGGGGAAACCTGAGCATCAAGAGTCTGCAGCGGCGGACGTTGATGCAAAGAAATAGCATAAGGTGGAGAGGATGTTCCAAGAACTGCAAAAACGGCACCAGTCATCAGGTCTCCCTTTCCGTCGGAGTGATCACCCTGGATATAGTTTAGCGTAACCTGATCCGAGCCGGTATGGCTTTGCTTTTGAGGTACGCCACATGTGGCATGCAACTTCTCAATCCGTCGTTCTGGCCATGAATACCTGCCCTGTATAGGTAGTCGCAGGCGGTTGATAGTTCAGAGTTCACATGGTCCCAAGACATGATGGTACAGCTACCGAGGTTTCGGGTAAAGTAGTCACAATCAGTAAGAGGAAATCTGTTGCAGGACAGCTCTGCGTATGTGTGTCTAAGTAACTAAGTCAGAGAAAAGAGAGGACAAAAATAACTCAAACGGTGACAAAGGTTGAGGGTGACCTCGTCGGCGCACCCTGTGGTGACTGCTCCATCACAGCTCAAGTGACAAAGGTCATGGCATATTGAGCCACTCAGCAGCAGCGTAGGTCCACAGGAATCATCGATTCTTCTCCGAACAACCTAAAGGGCCTTCTTCTCTGTGTCATGGGCAGGCACGTAGTCGTCTGAGCCGTTGACAGCAACTTCGCCCTCTAGAACACGGGAATATTTTCCTTGGGTAGGGATATCTTGCCGATACGCCGAAGGTAGAACAAGCGTGTCCTCGTCGTGGTAGTAAGTACCTTCTCCCAGGCCTGATGGAGGGAAAAACCGATTGACGGCGACAAAGACTATCATGCTGATGAAAAACCCTAAAAAGAACGATATTAGTACCTTGGGAACCCTCGTCATACCGGGGATTGCGTACCAGTGATATATCCAAGACGGCTCAACTTCTCCCAGGAGTTCGGTTCTCCTGTCAAGTTCCTGCAGCTCACTTCGTACCCAAGTCAGCTCATATCTTATTTATGCTGGGCTGGCAGAGAGTCAAAGACTTACTGATATACCCTGGGAGTACGGGAGCAAGGGCGATCAAGAAGGCGGCGTACGCACGCCAATTGACACCGTGCCAGTACCAGTAAATTGACTCCGAATTTCCGCGGTAAAGATCTTCAATTTTGTACTTTCTCTGTCGCACAATCCAGTAATCAGCTACAAGGATGCCGGCACAGGGCCCGTAAAAGATCCCGAAGCTAGAAACAAAATCATGTCAGTTCCGCTCTGTCATACCAGGGAGCCTGAAAATCACGTACCCGCTCAGCGCAGTGATAAATGTGGCAGCGGTCGTGGTGATTTGCCATGGGTTGGTCGCGAGGCCAACTGCGGCAATCATGTATGCTCTGATCACATAGTCAGTCGAGAGACATCTCTCTTTTCCTTGGCAGACTTACCCTCGTCGAATGTTGATCCATTTGGGACTATAAGCTGTCAAGTCCATGGCTGCTGAGACTGAGTTGAGAATAATGTTGACGCAGACTTGAGCATAGGCGCAGGAGACGGATGCAAAAAACCTGTATCCGTCAGAATCAAGACGTCGCCAACGGCGAGAGGCGAGAGATTTTGACTTACACCGCGGCCCTGGAAGAAGCCGAGTTGTTGTAGTGGGCTTGGATATAACGCAAGAGGAGGTAGGGCTGCCAGTAGGCACCACCCAGAACACTCGCTGAAGCCGATGTGACGAGTATACCGAGTGCGACTGCGTGATATTATGTGAGCGCCACAGAATCCCAATCCCTAAAATCGATGATATGGACTCACAAGCAAGATAGACAAAGACAGGACAAGCAATGAGCATGTATGACATTGGGCCTTTGGGACCGTTTTTGGCGAAACGAGTCCAGTCGGAAATGCTCAGAGCAACGACACCGCCGTTGCCCAGAACTGCAGTTGCGCCATACGCCCCAGCCCAAGCTGGAAGTGGGATTAGCAGAATCCTGGTAGTCAAGCCTTCACAACACATACCAGAGCCGCCGTATGCTGTCCCTGGCGTGTAGCTGTCGGCAAAGTATAATCCACCGCCGCCGGCATTATGGACAGACCAGATGAGTAGGCCGAAAATGACCATGACAAAGGCTACGCAAGCAACCTGGAACGGTCGCTGAAGCCTTTCCGGAGGAAACCACATAACTATAAGGAAGATGACATAATAAATGAAGACTGTGCGCAGCTTGTCAGTAAATAGCCTCGCGCCTGAGGAGTTCCTTGTCACGTACAGCCAATCAAATCCTGTAGAGAGTCAGCGTTAATCGATCAAAGAGTTGCCGCCAAGCAAGCAGGACACCGGGCGGATGTGATGAGTCGGTCGAACGTACCTTGAGTTGCAAAGTCCCTTTGGCCAGAGGGTGATCCCAATTGGCCCACCGAAGCGACATAGAACCGATGCAGGTCGACACAGCTTGTCCACCCCAGAATGCCTATATACATGCATCAGAACATCTTCTATCACCCGCTGCAGTTGTGGCAGTAGAAAGCGTAGCTCACCTCAATGCCGTCCCAGATAAAGCCAGGCATCAACCGGAGGCCGACCGCAAACCACACTCCGCGCACGCCCCATGGTGAACGAGAGGCCGCAGTATAACCGATATGATGAGTTGTGCCAGGCCACTAGTACCAAAAACTTAGTATAAATTCGGCACTCAACGGGTTGAGCGATCATGGCCCATAGAAGAATTGTGTATCACTCACGCCGCAGAGAATGGAACAGATGACAAGTATAATGGGCGAGACCACTCCGACCGCAAGGGCCTGCTTCGCGCTCAATCCATACGAGATGATGGCAGATCCAGTCGAGTAGTTGTAAATGGCGAAACCGCCGGTGGCCCAAAAGACGCCATACGCTAGGCCTCCCCAGGTTCGTCGTGTCTTGTCCAGAGGGACCAGATCAGGGCTGGTATACTGGTCGATCGCGTAGGTGCCGTGTGGGTTCGTAACCTCGAATCTTCTCTTGAGGGACGACATTTTGTGCAAGTTGTTACCACACGAGTGTACGTTCAATGAAGAAGAGATGAGATGGGAACATATCAAGATAAGTGATTCCCAAGTCCCCATTTAATGGGTCGCCCGCGGTCGCCCCAGAAGTACCAACGGTCCAGCCAGTCTGACATCAGAGTGGTTGGAAGATAAGGAACGCGGATCTCCGTTCTCGATTCTAAGATTAATGACGCCTTCAATGATTCTAGAGGTGTCTTTATGAACCTTGATAGCGGCTTCATAAACCTTAAAGGGCGGCTTCATAGAAAGCATCTAATGCCGCCCTAGGAGTCGACTAGTGCCCTCGCGCACCTCACAACCGAAGCTGAGACCAATGATGGCCGTCTAATTCGCACCAGTCTTATCAAGCGAAGCTATCCAACAGCGCCAAAATGCCGGCGAGACTCCGGTGATATCAGCGTGATGCCAGCAGGGTCTCCGAAATCCAGTCGAGGCACAGCAGTTGAACCAGTACAGAAGCGGTTGCGGCTTGACATGATGGAACGGTCACCTGCGATGCAGAATCAGAACATTTATTATAGACAAAACCTCGAGCCAGAGAACGGAGGCGAAGGTCGAGATACAGCACTGTTTCGTAGACAGGTTTCAAAGTAACTACCACCATGGCTCTGCTCTACTTGGCCGATGTGCCCTACCGGGAGCTGTGTGACCGAGTTTCAATCGCGGCTATCTCAATATTTGCGGTCTCGATCTTGGTCCAGATCGTGTCCGTCTTCCTTGCGTCGGCTACCTACCGCAACTTTTGTAAGTCTACCCGCGACTGAGGTTCATGTTGCGACTGGAACATGGCTAAGCATCTATGCCATCCCCTCAGGTCGCGAACACACAGGGTTCTACAAGGCGTCTCCCGGGCTCAGGCAGCGCATAATATACATGCGCTTACCGGTGCCATGGCCCAGCGAGACCACCTACTATCTCTTGGACCACACGAACATGCGGAAACTCTTTGCCCGCTCTCCGCAGCTTGACGCTTTCGGGCTCGCTCGCCGTCTCCATTACGCCGTCTGGGGTGTGCCGCCGTAAGTACATCCTACCTTACAAACTGCATGGCTTCGACAGTGACTTATGCAAAGCAGCCTCAAGTACAAGGAGATATTCCGTGAGGGGGCCAAGCAGATACACCGCGAGCTCTCCTCGAAGAAGCTCGGCCCCGTTTCTAAGAGCTTTGAGAGGGTTATCCTCCGAGAGATCGAGACGTTACGCAACGATCTTGGCTCGCAGGGTCGGCTGGTGCCCCTTCACTCAACTTTCTACCGCTTCGCCTACGGCGGCAACATGGAGGCCATCTTCGGACCTGATCTCCCAGTTGAGGAGACGCGCATCGCTGTGCAGTACTTCGCCCTCAGCATCGGTGCTCTAAATACGACTCCATCGCTGCCCCTGTTCCCCACGAGCTGGCGGAACAGGATCGTCCCTACCACGCGGCGGGGGTTAGCGAAGCGTGAATTCCTACACGATGCGCTTACCAAGTGGCGCAGGGACGGTGGTCTCGAGACATGCTCCGACGCTTGGCGTAGCATCATGCAGGTCGTCCTGGACAAAAACGTTGACAGTGTGTCCGCAGATGCCTGGGCCAATATGGTGCTGTTTGGCTTCCAGGGCAACACGCCCGAGCAGCCGGGATGGTTCTGGCTATACATCCTACAGTCTCCCAAGTTGTGGGAAGCCATCAAGGCTGAGGTAGACAGACTGCCTCCAGGCTCGCTCCTTGGAACCGAGTTCCGCAAGGTCACACCCTTGATGCATTCGGCCATTCATGAGACTCTACGCCTGGCCACCGCCATCTTTGCCGGCAGGGAGGCCACCAATGCCGCAACGATACCAGGCTGCGACAAGACCTTTCCGAAGGGTTCTCTCATCCGCATCATGAGCCGTGCGTCGACCTTCGATGCCAAGATTTGGGGCGACAACCCCGAGAGCTTCAAAGGAGATCGCTTCATGAACAACGAGGCGCTTTATTTGGAGGAGTTGGTGTTTGGTGGTGGCGTATCCGGTATCATATTCTCACTCTCCGTACGCTTATCCGTATATGCTAACATCCTGCCATAGCCTGCCCAGGTCGCTTCTTCGCCCAGTCCGAACTAGAACTTCTCGCAGCTCATCTCATCCGGAACTTTGACTTTGATGTAAAAAGTCTCGCCATACATCAGAAACTGCCTCCGGAGTCCAAGTACCTCGAGCTGGGTTCTCCTCTGCAGAACGTCGAGGACACCTGCGAAATCATCGATCTCGACGGTACAAGGCTCGTGGGCAAGTATCCAGGCCTCTTGGATGCCGAAAACTGTGAGTTACAACAGCTCTGCCCTCGAACTAGTGTACGATTAACTATTTCCAGGCATGGAGAGCATAAGTGGGTCGTTATTCCCTCGGAATGAGACCACATGCTGCTTACGGGCCCGCGAGTTGCAAGTAGAATCCTGAGAGAATCATTTGACGAATAACGAGGACGAGGACTCTACATGCAGGATCAAAAGACTCCATTGCATTCGGTTTATCGCATAGTAGTACTGAGGAACGAATCTGAAGATGAAAGTTCATCACATAGGAGCGTTGCCCATCCTGCAATCATATAATTCTATTGGGCTTTACATTCTATTGGCCTTGGTGAAGTGTTATCGGAAACACTTATGCTACATGACATTTTCGCACTGTTGGCCAGTCCGGCTTCTTGATCATGATCAACGCCGCCCTGTTGAGGAGATTCAGGGTGGAACTTGCCGTTATTCTGCGCACGGAGTCTGCGCGCGGAGAAACGGCGCCTCAGGACTGGTAAACGAAAACGATCCGGAGAGTTCCCCGCAATTAGCAGTCATTGGATCTGGCAATGGACTGATAAGAAGATGACACAAACCAATTATCCGTGTGATAAGGACGAGCCGCAACACGGGAAGAAAACAGGAGTGGGGATGGAGGACGGGAGGAAGCTTGTACGGATGGATCACGATAACACCGGCCGCCATTTTGTTGATAAGTATTAAGAACTGGTCGACCAATTTCCAAGCCGTTGGTCAAGCAGAAACATCTCTACAGGATACTTGATCCACCAATCCAATGCCACGCTAGCAGAATAGATGCCGGAGCGCGTAAAGCCGGACACAAGCCATGAAGCCGTCGAAACAACGCTCTCTACGGCCACCCAAAGTGGCTTTGAAAGGTTGATAGCAACATATCAATCTACTCCTTGCTTATTTAGAAGAGCCCAACAGTAGCGTATTCTGTCCCTAATCCCGACGATCGATTCGAGTGGTTGTGACATATCCCCTACCAGAAGCTGTATGCCGCCCACGACCGTCATGGCTTTCCAGCAGCCCCTTCCCCAGATACTAGTAACAGGAACCACAGGACCCCTCGGTGTAAGTGTGCGCCACAGTGGCAGTATTTGCTTCTCCAAGGTGACGCATGCTCCTGATAAACCCTCGGAGCCAGATCCCCATAGGAACCCAAGGAAGGATTTGCTAACGTTTCCTCCTTGCACAGAGCGCCGTCGCTCTCGCTGTAGCCCGTGCTGGGTTTCCCCTTCGCGGCACGTCACGTTCAAAAGAGCGCGCCGCGGCTTGGATCGCCAAGTACCCGGAGGTAGCTATTGAGTGGGTGACGATCGAAGACCACGAGAAAGCAGGCACCTACGACGAGGCAGTTCGAGGATGCAGTGCCGTTGTACACGTCGCAGGCCCTTTCACTCGAATGCACACTAAGGGCGATGATATAATGATTGCACAAACACGGGGTACGCAGAGCATCCTGGACGCGTGCGCCAAGGAGACGAGCGTCAAGAGGCTCGTCTATACCAGCTCGGTTGCAGCCGTGCATGACGACCCTCATCTTGGTACTGGACAGGGTAAGGTGTAAGTTCTGGACTTATTGTCTCGACACGACAGTGAGCTGACAGGTTGCAGCTACACGGAGGCGGACTGGAACCCAACGAGCTGGGAGAAGGGCTCCGCCTCCACCGGTGAGCACATGCTAACAACGAGCTATTGTGAGTTGAGACTGGGACCTCCTCTGTGAAATCCCTAGGTTGATGAGTTATAGGCGCCGGGAAAACATTGGCTGAGAAACTCGTCTGGACATTTATGGAGGAGCAGAAGCCCGGATTTGATACCGTGGTGCTGTGCCCTGCCACAATCTATGGAAAAATACCACAGGCAGTGACGAGGCTGAGCGATTTGGATGTTGCCAATGCGAGTGTGTACCCCCTGTGCCTCTGGCATGCGCCAGCCGTGAACTAACGTGAGGACTACAACAACACAGGACTCTACGCCCACCTTCTGCACGCCAATGAGACGATCCCTAGCGATCCGCACCCGTCCTTCACCAACGTGGATGACGCTGCCGACGCGTATCTGAAGGCTCTCACGTGGCCTAAGCTATCCAATCAGAGGTATCTGATCTCGTCTGGTAGCTATTCATACGCTCGCGTCTTTGCCATCTTGCGCAAAAACTTCCCCAAGCAGGCGCACCGATTCCCGGAGATTGAGAATGAAGGACTGCCCGTGGAGCCGAGCCTTGTCACCGACGCCAGTAAGGCGGAGAGGGAGATGGGCATGCGGTGGACGTCGTTGGAGGAGACAATGGTTCAGACTGGCGGAGCCTTGTTTGCGCTTGAAGAAACGGACAAGTCTTGACGAGCAGAATCGCCGAAGCTTCGGAAGATAACCATGGTGAGCATTCAAGCAATTTGAAAGCATTGATCCGATTGATGTTCACGACACGCTAGCCCAACCAATATGTGACGCCATTTCCTCCCGATGCCTGCGGCCCGATTGGATGGCATGGGTTGAAGCATTCACTGGTTTGGCACCGCAGACCGTGACCGGATGGGCACTGATGTATAGAGCGGAGTAACGCTATCAATGGCTCTCATTCTAAAAATCAAAATCGTCCGAAGCTGGCGGTGCCACCTGCAAAAGCGACCAAAATGGATCGTTCCTGCGGTTTTGAAGTCCTAGCACGCTATCCATCCACCCGGAGTCCAGGTCATCGGCGGGTCGAAACACATCGACGCCAGACATAGATATGAAGTTCAGCGAACCGTCCAGGTCAATGTTGACGTCGGTGCTGTATAGATCAGTGACAGTATTCCCGATCTGAGTGGACGGGAGCTGGTTAGGCTCCTGCGTGATCTGACCACTGGTAGCAGTGAATGAATCGTCCAGGTCAGTATTGACCTCGGTGCTATATTGATCAGCGACAATATTCCCGATCTGGGTGGACGGAAGCTGGCGAGGCTCCTGTGTGATCTGACCACTGGTAGCAGCAGATGAACTGTCCAGCTCAGTGTTCACGTGAATGCTGCACGGATCCGTGACGGCATTCATGTCCTGCGTGTTGTGACCACTGGTGTCAGCAGATAACGGCGAGCTTCGAGGCTGCCTCAGAGAGAGGTGCTTGCGAAGGAAGAGAGAGTAAAGATTATGTATGTGGCGCTCGTCCTCCGAGGCCTCTTCGAGCAGCGTCGCGGTTGTCTTGATGAGCTCGATCACAGAGGAGTCATTGAACAGGTGCGGAAATTTGGGGCCGATGAGCTTCAGAAGAAAGCAAGCCGCGTAGCCGACAGCAACAATGGCAACATCGGGTATGGCCTTGAAGTTTTCCGTGTGTTTGAGCTGGTATGTAGCAACCTCGAGCGTGCTGCGGGCGCACTGGTAACACTGGGCCACGAAGGAGATCTGGTCGACTCGGTCGAAGCTATCGACCGTGTAATGTTGGAGGCCGAAGGATAACGGGACCAGATTGTAGAAAGCACGAAAAAACTGCAGGTCAGAAATGTAGAGGTCCAAGGGGCCCGCTTCTCCGTGTTCGCAGTGGAACTTGTTGAGATTCTGCGTCCAGGTCTGACCCCACTCATCGAGACGCCACTGCAAATCCTTGACCACGACCTGGTAGTTATGACCCGTGGACACGCTGCTGGCTATATCGTCACGCGAATAAATGACATCAATGCAGCGGTAGAGAAGCCGGAGTAATTGTGTAAGGGCCGAAACAAAGACATCTGACAAGAGACATTCGGGCTGACGCCACCACTTGTCGACGTCCCGGATCAAATAAGTCTCGGGAGCCTGCGGGGGCTTGCCAGTCATGGCGCTCATGGACCGATCCATCACGAAGACGCAGAGCCAGGTACGTTCCCTTTCGAGAACCTCGCGGGTGTATACCTGCCTAATTGACGGGTCCATGTTGTCTGGGTACCGCAGAACCGTCTTCCTGTGGAGGCCGATCTCGACGCCGATTCTACCCGTCATCGTCAGCACGCGGTTCCACGTCAGGGGAAACGTGTGCCAACAAACCTTATTGCGATACCAGCGTAAAAGTATGCATTGCACGCCTCGTACGATACCGACTGCTGCGACCAGGTCGCAATGATGATGAAACCCTGGACGGTAGCGGTCGACTTGGACGTGAGCATTGCGTCCAAACCAGCCTTTCGAGCATGCTGGAGAAGAACATGATATAATAGGTCGTTCTTGGAAAACCTTGCAGCCACGGCACATACTGAAATCGTTAGCACAGGACGTGCGTGCAACCGATTGATACATACTCGCTGTGAAGAGAAAGACCGATCTTTGGCGACAGGATTGAGGGGAGCAGGTCCTTTCATCAAGGAGCCCGAGTTGTGGATTCAACCGCTTGAAGAATCTACCGAGTAGTTCTGCTGTTAAATACTCTGAATTTCAAGCAATGCCTGGGGTATTTAGTGATTTACATTTTGAATAGTTGCTCCGCCTGAAGACGGCGAGTTAGCACATCCTGAATCGTGGTAGGTAGCGAAGAAGGGTCTTACCTGTGCTATTGTGATGATCTGATCAGCTAATATGCTCGCTCTCGCCTGGACGTTGCCTTTCGGGAGGAGGTCTACGCTTGTATTAGCAGCTAACGCTGGAGCGACAGGCGCCACATACGTTCACGGATGTCGTCGTGGAAGTATTTGTTGTTTGCAACGCCTATCGCTTGAGAGGAAGAGTTCCATAGACTGCTGGAACTGTTCTCCATTTCAGACTGTGTGTTAGACTCCACCTGATTGGCATTAGAGTCAATTTGCCGGCTGGCCCTGCGGGTCCTCTGTCAGCAAAAAAGGAAGAGAAAGGAGAGGGTACGTGCGCACTCTGCCAAAACTCCAAGAGGAAACAAGGCGCCGTCAACTCTGAAGTGACCCGGATTGTGAACATGCTCTACTGTATTCTCGTCTGCTCGAGTCTCGGTCTCGGCGCCGTTGCCGGCGCCCCTGTGCTCGTATGTGAGGCTGGCACGCGCTGGAGGTGAGTTGGCCTTAGCAGGTAACAGGGACACACTCGGATTTGCCCTGTCATCCCGAAAATCGACGTGGGAAGCGGGCGACACAGTAAACGGCTGGGTTTCACGTAGCTTACCTCGCTTGGCTGGGCGAGACCATTTCCCACGATTTGACTGGACCCAGATACACTGCAGGTCTTAGTACAACGCTATGTTCGTTGGACCCAGGCAGATTACCTCTTTGTTCCTTTTGCAACATTCCTCGCAAGAGTCGGGGTTGTTCGAGACGATACATCGGGCTTTACACTGACAGAAGTGGTGAGCTGCAATCTTACAGCACAGTATTCGAGCACATGTAGTTACCTTTCGACACTTTATAATGGATGGTTAGCGGTGACCGACCCAGTGATGTAGACTGATATCGAACTTACGTTCGCGCACGCTAGAGCGGCTCGTTTCAAGGTTGACGATGCCGTGGAAGGAGGGTCGCCACTATTACCGGCTGGGGAAGGTCGACCGGCAGAAAGGGGTTCATCCGACACGAGGCTCGCCATGCCAGGATGCGTGGAATTGTGTGAAAAAAATGACTATGGTTATGGATGCAAGATGCCGCGCCGGGACTCAGCTTGCAGTCGGCATAAGAGCAGGTGAATTACATCGCCGGAAGCCGGCTTTATAGGGTAAAAGAGAGAGAGCGGTGGGCTTACGTATCCTGCCCGTGCCGTGCCGTACCTGCCTCAATAGGAGATCCCACTTCGTGCACTGCTTACTGTGTCCGCTTGTCAATCAGATAAGAGATTACGAGTGGCGAATGATTGGAACCAAAGACATCAGGTACAAAGGTGGGGGTGCTGTTGCTGTCTCCAACGATTAAGAGCTGCGGATATTTACTTACTTAAGAGGCCGGTCAATTAGAGCCACAGACTCGGATGGAGTCTAACGGCGCCGAAGTTCACCTCTAAGTACGGCAGCTGCCATGTGAACGAGCAGAGGGTCTCAATAGATTATGGTCGAGTGCGAAACAAAATGTGTTCAAGCATGACATGCACCCCGAATGCGCTTGTTGTCTCCCTACGGAGTACTCCGCACAGTTGTGGGTGAAGTGTGGAGGCAATGGCTGCCCACTCAGCCACGTGATCAATGTTCTTGGGGTCATGCTCCACCGTAATACGTCGATCTAGTTGTGCTCCCCCCTGCGCCCTTGATAATCCAACACTGAACTCTTACACCTTCTTCCACAGGTGGACAAATGTACTGTTCATAAGGGCTCTTTTCTCTATACATATGCTGTGCCGCCAGAGCGCATAAAGACCTTGGCAGCTAACGTGGACGTGGACGCGGATGCAGCGTATTGCTGGTATGACTCGATGATATAGTTGTTTGATAGTCGGCGAGAGTCTCGGAAGTCCGCCGGGTGGGAAACTCTGTGTCCTCCAGACTATCCTTCAAGAAGAGCCCCCACGATTGTACAACATCCTGACTCTAGAATCCGTCGGCAAGGCAGATCAGGACAAGATAGTGTGTGTCTTCAGGGCGCCAATCTGTAGAGTATTTTCGTGTGACCTTCACAACTTTAATATCTGCTTCGTCTTGGTATTTGTTCCAATCATATCAAGTGGAGAGCACAAGGCTGCAGGCTCCTTTTCCACGAAGCGGGTGAACTGCTATCACACCTTGGCACTTAGTGAAAGGCACGAGAGCCAAAAATCCAACGACCAAAAATCTATGTCACAAAGTTTGAAGTTACCTGATCATTGGGGGTTGAGTGACCATCATTCACCCGTGTCTATCAATCCTGATGCGATTCACAATCTCGGCGTTCGAAGACGAGCCAGGTCTTGGTATCAATTGTGACCCCAATATGCTATCCTGCCTCAAGGGGGCCAAAGCCTAGACAACAAGAAGAGTGGCGTGAGATTTCTGATTTGCGCCAATATCATGTCTCAATACCTGTTTCCAACGGATTTGAAATTACCGACGAGCCACCAATGCTGCTTTCCATCTGCGGTCAGTACCTCGGACCCTTCTCACTCTCGCAGTATTTCTGTGAAGGAAGTGCAGTGCCAATCGAGCTCTTCTCACTTCTGCGATACTCCTCAGTCCTGTGAAGCCTGTCCAACACCCTAGTAGTCCCGGTGGTCATCGAAGTCTTTGTAGTCGACGCGACATCGCGAGCATACACGCATGCCACAGCGATCGCAACGCCACAAGAACTCACCCGCACGCCAGTGACAATCTGCGCAGGTCACCTCTGCAGCAGTACTCGACGTAAACGTAAACAAGTCCGTTCGCGTCCAGTTGTTATGTCGGCAGCCACCCTCCGCTCGTAGCGCCTCAGCAACCTGTTGGACCTGCACCGCATTCGCCATGCCGTCGGCTAGACGATCAGCCACTTCTGCTGCACGATCCAAGAGGCGGTCGTTGTGCCATCGTTCGCACGTGCACTCTTTCCAAATAACACTGCATTCATAGCAGAACTCAGACCCGCATGGACACCTGTTTTCACATGTAGTTAGTATTTTGTGTCTGCGCCAAAAGGGAGAAATTAGGCTGAGAACATACAACATGTGGTTGCAGCCGTAAGAAATGACAACGACACGGTGACAGCCTGGACATGTAGCAGCCTGATTTTTGGTCCGCCATTCGTCAAACGCCTCGTCATGGACCGCGGTGCAATCTGGACTCTCGTGGTACTGTGTCTTGCACTCTGCACAGGTTTTGTTTTGGCAGATCGGGCATGCCGCCATGCGCTCTAGGACTTGGTCTGGTGGAATGAATGTCGAGCAGCTTCGTTCGTGGCAGTAGGTCCGATTCGGGGTCTCGTACTCCACGATTTTCGCCTTCAGGTCGGTAATCATCTTGGATCCCAATACAGAAGCAATTGCGGGATTGTCCATTGGAATCTTCGGTAGCTGTTCGCAGCATCGCACAGGATGACCGCCTTCGTTTTTGATGGCCAGGTCGAAACACCGCCTCAAGCACTCGTGGCACCAGAAGTGACTACAGTTCTCCAGGATAACTCCTTGGTTGATTGGGGTTTCTTCCATACATGCATAGCATTGCTTGGGCGGCTCCTCGGCAATTTTGAGCTGATCAATGTACTCCTCGAGTTGTGTACTTCCGTCGGGATTGACCGTGACGGCTGGATGGCTTGGTATGGCAGTGTCGCTAGACGCAGCTTGGCGACGACATCCTCTGCTTGCTGAATCGTTCGGAGCTAGGAGTGGGAGATCAGCGAGCATGGCTCGATACATGCTATGCTGCATGCGCTGAGATGCTTGACGACTCTCCAGTACATCCAACTCTTCCAACTGCAGGCGAAGTACAAGGGCTTGATTTTCCAATATCGCGGCAGTCGCGGGTACTACAGCAAGGCGAATGGCAACATTGATGCTTTCGAGCTCCTGGCGAAAAGCATCTCGGGCAGCAGCGGTGTCCCACTCTCCTGCGTCCATGACTCCTGTTCCGCGTCAGCATGATCTCGGATGACTGGAATGTGAGGGGAATACGTGGTTGACCAGATTCACTGTCCGACCCTTCTCAGCTCTTTGAGCGATCCCTTTCATACCAATCGATGTCACAATGCTGAGATCACAGCGTGAGCGCCACGAGATGAAGCAAGAAAACCCCTGATAGCTTGACGCTCAGGATCTGTTGATGTCAGCGCAACAAGTAAAGCCCTGTATTGATGAATGAAAGTGTTAAATTGTGAAAGGTGCAGGTGAGGGAATGCGCTGAGCTGTAGACGCCCTGGGTTTCGCCGCACCCATTGAGAGTGACTTCACTGCAACTCATTCTCACAGAGCATTTCAGACTTCTTTCACCTTCCATTAATGCTCCGGCTTTGTACAACTACTGATCAGGGTGTTAAGCGCAACAATTCTTCTGAGCCGTATGACGATAAGAGTTTGCCAGGGCTTTAGAAGCCGCTGAAGCTGAGGCTCCGTCCATCATGTACAGCTTTAGCTCGTTACTACGTTAACAACGGCCTTGGGAGTACTCGACGTGAGGTCGATAAGCCACAATGGAAAAGTCGAAGGAAAGGGTAAGTTATCTTATCGTGGTTATCTTATCTGCACGTGAAGCTTAGTCATCCCATCCTCGAATTTCGCTTCCGGGTGGCACGATTAATTGAAGATCGGAAGCGGCACCAAAATTTTGGAGGCGCAGGACGATTGAAACAACTGGGTAGTAAACACAGCAGCCTGGTCTACCTCTCTACTCTTGTTGGGCTGATCAGTATTCTCACAGCGACATACTTTGCTGTCGGTCTGACTTCTTACTGTCTGTACTCTTCAGCCCTTCTCGTACGACCCGAACATGGCAGCAACCAACGGCACCAACGGTGTCCCTCACGAGAAACCCTCGCTGCCCTCGGTCTATATCGTTGCCGCTGCCAGGACGCCGGTGGGCATGTTTCTTGGGTAAGGGCAGCGTCGTTCCTTCCATGTCATGCAGTGCACTGATGGATTGCAGTTCCCTATCCTCACTCACCGCCCCTCAACTCGGTTCCCATGCTATCAAATGTATGCCTCTCTCACCGACCTCCGCCCGGAGGCGCCCTATTGACACCGAATACAGCCGCCCTTGAAAGAGTACCCGAGATCAAGCCACAAGATGTACAGGAAGTATTCTTTGGAAATGTCCTCTCTGCAAAGTAAGGTCATTCCTCTGTACTTAGAGGCACGCGAGATCTAATCATCAACAGCCTTGGTCAGAATCCTGCACGGCAATGCGCCCTCGGAGCCGGTCTTGACAATTCGACCGTCTGCACTACGGTCAACAAGGTTTGCGCGTCAAGCGTGAAGGCTATCGTCCTGGGTGCTCAGACTATCATGACCGGCAACGCCGACATTGTTGTGGCTGGTGGTGCCGAGTCCATGTCGAATTGCCCTCACTATCTTCCCAACATGCGCACCGGAGCCAAGTTCGGCAATCAGACTTTGGTTGACGGTGTTCTAAAAGATGGTCTCTCTGATGCATATGGCAAGCAGGAGCACATGGGGCTGCAAGGAGAGGAATGTGCACGGGATCACGATTTCAATCGGGAGCAACAGGACGACTACGCTATACAGTCGTACCAGCGGGCGCAGGATGCTCAAAAGCACGGACTTTTTGATTTCGAGATTGCGCCAGTCCAGCTTCCTGGCGCACGTGGGAAGCCTGGCGTAACAGTGGACAAGGACGATGAGCCCAAGAACCTGAACGCGGACAAGCTGCGATCGATAAAGCCAGCCTTTATTCCTGAGACAGGCACAGTGACAGCACCAAACGCCTCACCCTTGAGCGACGGAGGTGCCGCGGTTGTGTTGGTCTCGGAGGCCAAGTTGAAGGAGCTGAACATCAAGCCACTAGCAAAGATTCTGGGCTGGGGAGATGCTGCACACCAACCTAACAAATTCACGACAGCGCCGGCCCTTGCGATTCCAAAGGCTTTGAAGCATGCCGGCATTAGTCAAGATCAGGTCGATTTCTTCGAGATTAACGAGGCATTCAGCGTGGTGGCGCTTGCCAATATGAAGCTTCTGGGATTGACCGCGGACAAGGTCAACGTCCACGGAGGTGCTGTGGCTATTGGGCACCCTCTCGGTGCTTCAGGTGCTCGGATCGTCGCAACATTGCTCGGTGTTCTCAGGGCAGAGAAGGGCAAGATTGGATGCGTAGGCATCTGCAATGGTGGAGGTGGAGCAAGTGCTCTGGTCGTTGAGTCTTTGATGTAAAGCAAGAACCATGGAGCCTGGAATGGGAATCCACCGGCAGAGGTGATTGGGCAAAAAGGCGTACCAAAAGGGTCGGGCCAGGCACATACGCCTAGTGGGTGCTGTTTGCTCATTCGAGTGCAGTGCATCCACCATATTCAATCAAATCGTCGACATATGTAAATAGTTAGTCCGACCACATTTCGGGACATTCTTGGTCCGAACAAGGCTGGAAACCTGGAAATGTCAGAGTAGAAACTGCGGAGAAGTTGGACGTGCAGCCACCTCCGCATCTGCCCACTGGCCATTGATTTGCCGACTGTGACCTCCTCCTGAGTCTTCTTGTCACCTTTGTGGATGGAAGCTTCACGGTTCTACAAAATTTGTGCGACGTTCCTGGCCACTCTTAGCCTAATATGATGCATCAGAGCCTCCGCATCGTCGATCACATTGCTACGCCGTGGTTGGAAGGTGCCTCTTTGCAAAATGACTTCAACAGAGACGGATGTTTGGGTTTTATGGAGGAACTTCGCCCCGCCACCGGAATGTGTGCACATGGAGGTATAGAGCTTGACATGGTTTGCGAGACATGGAAATGTCGGCAACTGCTGGGAGTCGTTCCCAAGCATACAAGACTGCTCGTTTTCCTCCGAGCTTGACTCCTCTCCTTACTCGTCGTGTGCTCAGTCCCTGAGGAGCTAAGCGGACAGCCATGAAGCTTATCTTTGCGTCTCTATTCGGTCTTCTGGCGGTGCAGCTTGCTGCATCCGCCGTGCCTAGCCATAATATCGCTGGTCTAAGGATCATTGAACATCCTGACCCAAAGAAGAGAGCACTCCTGCAAAACCTGGTTCGATCGTCTTTAGCAGTGGCTAATAGTGAGTACTGATGTTGCCAGGTGACATGGGATCAGACATCCCTGTTCGTCCGTGGTGAGCGGATCATGATATGGAGTGGTGAGGTCCACCCATTCCGGTACGACGTATTCCGCAAGCACATTATATCTTCGTGACGCGTTAACCCTCGCGATCGGCAGTCTTCCCGTACCGTCCTTATGGTTTGATATCTTCCAGAAAGTCAAAGCACTCGGATTCAACTGCGTGTCCTTCTACGTCGACTGGGCCTTGGTGGAAGGAAAGCCTGGAAACTATTCTGCGGAGGGAGTATTTGCCTTGGAGCCATTCTTTGATGCGGCCAGTGAAGCTGGAATCTACCTCCTTGCACGACCTGGTCCTTATATCAACGCAGAAGCATCGGGTGGAGGCTTCCCAGGCTGGCTGCAGAGGATCAAAGGCAGGCTGAGGACCACAGATACTGACTACCTGAACGCAACGCAGAAGTATGTCATGGGACCTCAAAGCGTTAGCCATACTTACAGTTTCACATAGTTATGCCAGCCATGTGGCTGCCACTATTGCAAAGGGGCAAATCACCAATGGCGGACCTATCATCCTGTATCAGCCAGAGAACGAGTACTCAGGCTTCTGCTGCGGTCTCACCGGACCAGACGGCCAATATATGCAAGATGTCATGGACCAAGCTCGAGCGGCAGGGGTTGTGATCCCTTTTCTGAGCAACGACAATGCTCCTCATGGTTTCAACGTACCCGGAAGTGGTGTGGGATCTGTTGACATCTATGGGCACGATGGCTATCCCCTTGGGTTTAACTGCGCAAACCCAACTGTTTGGCCAGCGGGGAATCTTCCCACCACCTGGTGGCAGCTCCACCTCCAGCAGAGCCCGACCACCCCTTATAGTATCACGGAGGTAAGCCTCACACCTGCTGCCTGAAGCCTTTGTTGCTGACTTTATGTAGTTCCAGGCAGGATCTTTCGATCCCTGGGGCGGACCAGGTTTTGCGAAGTGCGGCGCATTAATCAACAGTGAGTTCGAACGAGTCTTCTACAAGAATGACCTCAGCTTCAGCGTCAAGATTTTGAACCTCTACATGACATACGGTGGTACGAACTGGGGCAACCTTGGCCATCCTGGTGGCTACACATCCTACGACTACGCAGCTCCCATTGCCGAAGGGCGTCAAGTCTACCGCGAGAAGTATAGTCAGCTGAAGTTGTTGGGCAACTTTATCAAGGTTTCACCCGCATATTTCGACGCAACCTCTATGCCTAACTCCACGACTCTCTACACAAACACAGCCGACTTGACTGTTACGCCAGTCAAGGCCAATAGCAGCGCCACCACATTCTATGTTTTGAGACATACAAACTATACAAGTCAGAACTCGACCTCGTACAGGCTGAATCTACCTACAAGCGCTGGCGACCTGTCAATTCCACAACTTGGAGGCACATTGACACTGAATGGGAGAGATTCAAAGATCCATGTCACGGACTACGACGTCAACGGAACCAATATTCTCTACTCTACGGCAGAAATATTCACCTGGAAGGACTTTGGTCCACGAAAGGTCCTTCTGGTATATGGTGGACCAGGTGAGCATCACGAGATATCGGTATCGTCGAATGTGTCGCCCACCCTGCTCGAGGGATCTCAGTCAGGCCTGACTTTCCGAAATGGAAGCAGTGTTGTCGTTGGGTGGGACACTTCTTCTGAACGGCGCATTGTGCAAGTGGGTGACTTGGAGATTTATATACTTGGTCAGTGTAAAGTCAGCAATGGTTGGATTGGGCTAACTCGTCACAGACAGGAACTCCGCTTACAACTACTGGGTACCTGAATTATCGAACAGTGTCTCCAATACTAGCTTCAGTTCTCAGGAGAGCACTGCAGCCTCCATCATCGTCCAAGCAGGTTATCTTGTTAGGGCAGCTTTGCTCAATGGTACTGAGTTACATCTATCGGCAGACTTCAACGACACGACATTCGTTGAAGTCATCGGCGCACCGAGTTCCGCAAAGACTCTCTTCATCAATGGTCAGGAGCTGGGATATACTACAAGCAGCGTCGGAGACTGGACCGACACGGTAAACGTGCCTTCTCAAAATATGACTCCCCCGAGCCTCAACAGTTCGGAGTGGAAGTACATTGACAGTCTTCCTGAAATCCAACCGACCTACAACGACTCACTATGGCCTACCGCAGACCATCCTACGACTAATAACACTTTGCGCAATTTGACGACCCCCATGTCGCTTTACGCCGCTGATTATGGGTTTCACACTGGCTCTCTGCTCTATCGCGGACACTTTGTTGCTCAGGGCAATGAATCAAGCATCTACCTCAATACCCAAGGAGGCTGGGCCTTTGGGAGTTCGGTTTGGCTGAACCAGACCTTCCTTGGTTCCTGGGCGGGGGTCAGCACGCAGAACAATACCAATGCTACGTACAAACTCACCCACCTCCAAGCAGGACAGCCGTACGTCTTCACAGTCCTCATCGACCACATGGGGCTTGAGGAGAACCCCACCGTCGGTGGTGACTTGATGAAGACTCCTCGTGGCATTCTGAACTATGCCCTTGCCGGACGAGACGACACTGCCATCACGTGGAAATTGACCGGCAATCTGGGCGGCGAGGACTACCGTGATACGGTTCGTGGTCCTCTAAATGAAGGAGCCATGTATGCGGAACGTCAGGGTTGGCACTTACCTAACCCACCTAGCCAAAACTGGACATCACGCACCCCATATGTTGGTATCTCCCAGCCCGGAGTGGGCTTCTTCAGTACTCAATTTGACCTCAATATCCCGTCGGGCTGGGATGTGCCAATGTCGTTCTCGTTCAGCAACATTACTCAGCCTCCAGCCGAGTACAGGGTGCAGTTGTTCGTCAACGGATTTCAGTACGGAAAGTACATCAACCACATCGGTCCGCAGACGAGTTACCCTGTGCCTCCAGGCGTGTTGAACTACCAAGGCACGAACTGGTTGGCGCTGACGCTGTGGGCGCATCAGCCCGCGGGAGCCAAGCTGGAGGGGTTTCAGCTTGTATACGACACGCCGGTCAGGTCGGCATTGGCGAATATTGAATTTGTGGGACAAGCAGGATATGAGCCACGGCAAGGAGCATATTGACGGCACCGTTTCTTGACACAGTGAATGCTCCATTTACGCCTTAATTTCTTCCGATGAAATGATTAATGCATGCACATAAGCCCCATAATTCAGAACATATATCCTAAGTCATTGTTCCGTAAGTCAAGCCGGACAGGCTGACCAGGAGAAGGGATGCATTATGTAAGCGAAGGTGTCTTGCGACGTAGTGCGGGCTGCAGGACATTTTTTTGTCAAACTCCAACTCCGCAAAATTCAAGTTGTTAAGAGATCTCGACTTTCCGAGCCACGCGCACCCACGGTCCAGAAGGCCACGTATCCAACATGGACGACCTTTACGATGAGTATGGAATTACCAAACGCATTGGCGATGTTCAGCAGCTAATCTGATTGTGCAGGTTTGGCAATTTCATCGGTGAAGCAGTCTCAGACGAGGAGGGCACACAAGATGGCGGCGCCGGCCAGAATTACGTATACGATGAGGACTCGGACGCCGAGCAACAGCCCCATGAAGATGGCGCGATGGAAGTAGACGACGAGGTACCCTCGAATGCTGTCATATTACACGAAGACAAGCAGTACTACCCCACCGCGCAACAAGTGTATGGCGAAGATGTTGAGACTATGGTCCAGGAGGAGGATGCACAACCGCTGACCCAGCCGATCATTGCGCCTGTCACGCAGAAGAAATTTCAAGTCCAGGAAGCAGACTTGCCGCCTGTATACTACTCGCGCGAGTTTATGACAGATCTTCTCAATTTCCCGGAAGGTATCAGGAACATCGCAGTGGCTGGACATCTACACCACGGGAAAACAGCCTTCGTGGATATGTTGGTGATGCAAACACATTCTCTACAGGAACGGCTCGATAAGAGAATAGGCAAGAGAAGGGACGAGCAATTGAGATATACCGACACACATTTCCTCGAACGAGAGCGCGGAGTTTCTATCAAGGCTGCACCCATCAGTCTTGTTATGCAAGGAACGAGAGGGAAGTCACATATTCTCAATGTCATCGACACTCCGGGTCATGTGAATTTTGTGGACGAAGTTTCATCGAGCTTGAGACTGGTTGACGGTGTCGTTCTGGTCGTCGATGTGGTTGAAGGCGTCCAGGTCAACACTGAGCAGGTGATCAAGCATGCGGTTTTGGAAGATCTGCCCATCGTGCTCGTCATCAACAAGATGGATCGACTGATCCTTGAGTTGAAGATTCCACCGACGGACGCTTATTTCAAACTGAAGCACGTGGTCGAAGAAGTTAACACCATCATCGAGAACACAATACCCGGAAGAGGCGACAAGAGGAGGTTGTCGCCCGAGAAGGGCAATGTCGCATTCGCCTGCACCTCAATGGAATGGGTCTTTACTCTGCCGTCATTTGCAAGGATGTACGCGGAGACTTATTCCAAGGTCGACGCTACCGAATTCTCGAAGAGGCTATGGGGCGATATCTTCTTCAACCCCCAAAGTCGGAAATTTTCGAGGAAGGGGATGGAAGAAGGTTCGAAACGCGCTTTTGTCAACTTCGTGCTTGAACCTATTTACAAGCTGTATTCACATACCATCAGTGAGAGTCCCGAAGACCTTGCTGCGACGCTCAACAATCTGGGCATCACTCTCAAACCGACTCAGCTCAAGACGGACGCAAAGATTTTGCTCAAATTGGTATGTGCACAGTTCTTTGGACCTGCAAGTGGATTTGTCGACATGGTCGTGCAACATGTGCCATCACCTGTCGAAGGCGCCAAGCGAATGCTCGACAACTATTACACCGGTCGACAGGACTCATCAATAGGCGAATCCATGATAAAATGTGATTCTGACGGCCCACTGGTCGTGGAAGTTACGAAGCTTTTCAGCTCGCCGGATGCAAAGTCATTCAACGCTTTTGGTCGAATCATGTCTGGTACAGCCTCACCTGATCAGGTAGTACGTGTTCTGGGTGAGTCTTACAGTCTTGAAGATGAGGAAGATTCGACGACCGCGACAGTTACGGCGACATATCTGGGATGCTCTCGATATAACATACCAGTGTCGGGAGTCCCGGCAGGTAACCTTGTTCTTCTTGCGGGCATCGACAACTCGATCGTCAAAACTGCTACTGTCATTGCGGAGAAATTCCCCAACAACGAAGATGCCTACATCTTCAGGCCTGTCCGGCACTTTACTGAGTCTGTCTTCAAAGTCGCTGTAGAACCAGTCAACCCGTCTGAGCTGCCAAAAATGCTGGAAGGTCTGCGCAAGATCAATAAGACCTATCCCCTCATTACTACCAAGGTGGAGGAGTCAGGCGAACACGTTGTCCTCGGTACGGGCGAGCTGTACATGGACTGCGTGCTGCATGATCTGCGGACATTGTATGCAGAAATGGACATCAAGGTCTCCGATCCAGTGACCAGATTCTGCGAGACTGTTACCGAGACCAGTGCAATCATGTGCTATGCTTTGACGCCGAACAAGAAGAACAAGTTGACCATGATCGCAGAACCTCTGGATGACGGTATCGCAGAAGATATCGAGGCAGGTGTGGTCAAGATCCGTGATCCCATTCGCCAAGTCGCCAAGTTCTTCGAGGAGAAGTACGAATGGGACAAATTGGCGGCAAGATCCATCTGGGCTTTTGGTCCTGATGAGATGGGGCCAAACATTCTTTGTGACGATACTTTGCCCTCAAACACTGACAAGAAGCTGCTCAAGTCAGTGCAAGAGAGCATCAAGCAGGGTTTCTCATGGGGCACGCGTGAAGGCCCACTTTGTGAGGAACCAATCCGCAATACCAAGTTCCGGGTTACCGGCGCCGACCTAGCAGCCGAACCCATCTATCGCGGCGGTGGACAGATCATTCCCACCGCTCGCCGAGCGGTCTACAGCTCTTTCTTGATGGCGGGCCCACGACTCATGGAGCCCATCTACAGCGTGCACATGACCGGGCCTGCGGACTCGATTTCAGGGCTGTACACCGTCCTGATGAAAAGACGTGGACATGTCATTTCTGATGGACCTGTTGCGGGGACACCGCTATATGCGGCCAAGGCTCTCTTGCCGGTCATTGACAGTTTCGGCTTCGAAACCGATCTGAGGATTCATAGTCAAGGTGCGGCTAGCGTTTCGCTCGTATTCGACAGATGGGATGTCGTTCCTGGAGATCCTTTGGACAAGAGTATCAAGATCCGGCCACTGGAGATGGCTGGGCCTCAGCAGGCGGCTAGGGATTTCGTGCTCAAGACGAGGAGAAGGAAGGGGTTGAGTGAAGATGTTGATGTCAAGAGGTTCTTGGAGCCGGAGCTCCTGGCTGGATTGAGGGAGAGTGGTGTTTTGGATTGAACGAATTTCGATGTTGATCTATTACATGATTCTACAACAGAGGCATCTCTGCTGAGAGCAAAAGGAACCTCCATATGGCACGTCAACTCTAGGATGTGGATTGCAAACGGCACAGAATTCGACCACACTCGGGAGCTGATCCTCATATGAAGTTGAGCTCCGACTGTAACTCATCCATAAGAGATCAAGAGGATGGATATTCAGTCTTATCGACCGGATCCAGACGGTGGTCCTGTACCCGCTCAGCGGCCAGCTTGGGCGCACAAGACCACAATGGCAGAGTCGTTGCGGACAAGTCTTCCTTCGCGGACAACACCAGGCGACGCATCGGGTCATGGCATTCCGCAAACGCTGATGGGTTGAGATCACAACGCCGAGAAGGGCAATGAGACTGGACGGTGGCCAGACAAGATCAGGGGCTGCGAAGTCGTATATAGGCACGATAGGAGGTACAAAAGCGCGGTGACATGAATTCTGAAGAACTTCAAGTGATGTTGTACCTCCGGCCATAAGCGCCATTGACAGTCTTGGCACTCTTAGTCATCCAATTAATTTAGTCTCTCTTCGCCGCTCAGTTGGTGGGGAGCCGAAAACTGCGAAAAAATAAAAAAGATCCAACTTTAAGACAGAGGTCGGGATTCCACCATCCTCCTGCGCCTTTCCCCTAACACTCCTCTATACCTCTCAAAAAGATCTTGTCAACTTGCAATTATGTCGGACGAGGTCTACGATGGTGCCATTGGCATCGATCTAGGTACGAAACATCGTCCAAACTCTCACCGCTGTGTGCGCCATCTAACGCAATGAAATAGGAACTACCTACTCGTGTGTTGCCAACTATGAGGGCAGCAATGTCGAAATCAGTACGTTCTTCCTATTCACGACTTCGAAGCTCGTTAAAACAGCATACTAATGCCAACATAGTTGCCAACGAGCAGGGTTCCTTCACCACTCCCTCTTTCGTCTCCTTCACCGATGAAGAGCGTCTCATTGGCGAGGCCGCAAAGAACCAGGCCGCAATGAACCCCGCGAACACAGTCTTCGACGTCAAGTCAGTCTACATAGTACGGAAATGAATGGCGGAAGCATGCTAAACATGGCGCAGGCGATTGATCGGACGACGATTCGATGACCCCACCGTCAAGAAGGATGTCGAGTCCTGGCCTTTCAAGGTCGTCGACCAGGGCGGCAACCCTATGGTCCAGGTCGAATACCTCAAGGAGACCAAGACTTTCTCGCCACAAGAGATCTCGGCCATGGTCCTCATGAAGGTATGTGATATTTTTGTGTCGCATGCACAGACACTGACGACCCGCCATAGATGAAGGAAGTTGCCGAGACGAAGTTGGGCAAGAAGGTTGAGAAGGCTGTCATCACCGTACCAGCTTACTTCAACGACAACCAGAGACAAGCCACCAAAGATGCTGGCGCCATTTCTGGTCTCAACGTCCTCCGTATCATCAACGAACCCACCGCTGCCGCTATCGCCTACGGTCTCGGATCCGGAAAGTCCGACAAGGAACGAAACGTCATGATCTACGATCTTGGTGGTGGTACTTTCGATGTCTCCCTTCTGAACATCCAGGGAGGTGTCTTCACCGTCAAGGCCACTGCTGGTGACACCCATTTGGGTGGCCAGGATTTCGACACCAACCTTCTGGACCACTTCAAGAAGGAGTTCCAGAGAAAGACCAAGAAAGATCTCTCTGGTGACGCCCGTGCGCTCCGAAGACTGCGGACTGCTTGCGAGCGTGCGAAGAGAACTCTGTCAAACGGTACCCAGACCACGATCGAGATCGACTCGCTGTTCGATGGCGAGGACTTTAACGCCCAGATCACCCGTGCTCGATTCGAGGATCTTAACGCAAAGGCTTTCAACGGCACTCTTGACCCAGTCCAACAGGTCCTAAAGGATGCCAGCATTGACAAGTCCAAGGTCGACGAGATCGTGCTTGTTGGTGGCTCTACCCGTATTCCCCGCATCCAGAAACTCCTCAGCGATTTCTTCGACGGCAAGAAGTTGGAGAAGGTAAGTCTTGTCCGGTCAACTGTTTCATTCTCAAGCTAACGATACCAACAGAGCATCAACCCTGACGAGGCTGTCGCCTACGGTGCCGCTGTCCAGGCTGGTATTCTTTCCGGCAAGGCTACCTCCGCTGAGACTTCCGACCTTCTGCTGCTCGATGTCGTCCCGTTGTCCCTTGGTGTGGCCATGGAAGGCAACATCTTTGCTCCTGTCGTCCCCCGTGGAAACACAGTGCCTACCATTAAGAAACGGTATGAGGCTCCCATCCCCCCAATATTGTTATGTTTCCCCTTCATATGTTTTTGATATTTCTCGACACCTGGATCGACGACTTCCACCATGATAACTTGGAGCTTGCCTGGGACAATTCAGTGCCACAACCTCGTTGCCTCTTCGGACCTTTCCTGGGACAATCAAGGAACTCGACCTCGTTACCTCTTGGATGTTCGCCTGGGGCAATCTAGGATTCGACCTCGTTACCTCTCGGATCCTCGCCTGGACAATCAAGTATCACGATCTCGTTACCTCTCGGGTCCTCGCCTGGGACAATCAGGTAAACCGATGGCGGCCCTGAACAACCTTTCGAAGCAGAACTCCTTGACCTGGTATGGGGATCCAGTTTCTCACTATGGACCCTGGACTGGATTCAGCATCTCATTATGGTCCCTGGAACGGATCCAACAGTTTTGCATTTCATGTTTCTCGACGCATTTGATTCTCCAGCATCAACATTTGCTAATACAAACTACAGAACCTTCACTACCGTGGTCGACAATCAAGTACATTGGGTCCCCTCCCTCCCCTCTCCTCATCTCTCGCTAACTTGATAATAGCAAACCGTCCAGTTCCCAGTCTTCCAAGGTGAACGTACCAACTGTGAAGACAATACTTCTCTGGGCGAGTTCACATTGGCACCAATCCCTCCAATGAAAGCCGGCGATGCTGCTCTCGAGGTCGTCTTCGAGGTCGACGTCAACGGTATCCTCAAGGTCACCGCCACCGAGAAGTCATCTGGCCGAAGTGCCAACATTACCATCTCCAACGCCGTCGGCAAACTGTCTACCGCCGAGATCGAGAAGATGGTCGAGGACGCTGACAAGTTCAAGACCTCCGACGAAGCTTTCACCAAGAAATTCGAAGCTAAGCAACAACTCGAGTCATACATTGGCCGTGTCGAGGAACTGATCTCCGACCCTGGCTTGTCAATGAAGATGAAGCGCGGAAACAAGTCCAAGATTGAGGAGGCTCTGTCTGATGCCATGCAACAGCTGGAGATTGAGGAGTCGAGCCCCGAGGATCTGAAGAAGAAGGAGTTGGCTTTGAAGAGAGCCATGACCAAGGCTATGGCCACGAGGTAGATGGGCTAAGCTGCAAAGTTGCAGGTTATCCACCAAAAATTGCTTGAAGACAGGACCACCCTTGGTGCGAGCTCTTTCACGTTTACGAATATGCATGGCATTTGCACACATGTGGCCGGCGTCATTTCGGATAGTCCTTGAGCTACTTGCTGGGTGGTCCCGTCCAAACGAGTGAGATGGGCGAAGAAAAGTTGTTACCTTGTGTTAAATAGAGTGACGAGTTTCTTCACGAGAATGCAGAATGAAGAATGGTGTTCCACCCGTTCAATCTGGTTCACTTTTAAGACAAGGCTGAAAGGGCGTTCCCCTGAAATAGAATGCATCATACACGTGACCTGTGTTCAATCACTCCCGCTTTTTTGGACGCGCCAGAGACGCGTTTCGGTACCTTTCGCACGGACACCCCTCCACATTTCAACCCTTGTGCCATTATTTTACCCCCATTGTGTTTTGGAGACTTCTACTCGTACTGTGAACAGAAGTTCATGCACGCAGCATCTTGCCTGTAGCTTTCGAGCAGAGATGACCTCTTCGTCGCGACGAGTGTCGCAGATACCCGCTCCGAACGTCAATCTATTCTGTACCCAATGCGACATCCAGATTGGCGTCTTTACGAACGAATGGACCCGTCTCACCTCAACCTATGTCTACGCTACCCATGTTGGCAAACACTTCGGAACAGAAGTCGCCAACAAGACTCAAGTAGTGCCTAATGGAGTGCTACAAAAAGCCGTGGAAGGATGCACAACTGCAGAGGTGTTTTGCAAGAACTGCTCAGCGGGAGTCGGTCAATACTGTAAAGCTGCGCCAACCGCAGAGCAGAGGCGTCTGATGTATGGCTACCACTGGTGTGACAAGCGAGGTCTGAACGCTGATGGATGATAGTGACCAATACTTTTACAAACTATCAAAGACATATTTGAAGGACAACGCAACGAACACTATTTCCGATCCCATCTTTGGCTTCTCCGGGAACATCGTCCGCAACACTTCGAGATCCAGCGTGGCTCCTCGCCAAAGCCTTCCTTCTCTCCCGAGGTGGTCGGAAACTCCCATGCACAATGATGATATGCCTTCGGCATCTCAGTCAATTTCCGAGTCTCAATCTCGATCTCATCAACCATCCCCATTGCAGACCGCATCCTATCCTGACCCGTCGGCCGGGATGCAATTAGAGGTGTACGAGTCCAAACTCAAGATGCAGGACGACAAGATCGCGGTGCAGGAACAAACATTGCGACAACAAGACACCCAGATTCGGTTACTTACAAGTCTTCTCGAAACACTTCAGAGCACAGTTGAGGATCTGAAGATGTCGATGCGGGAGATACAATCTCAGCATACGGGGGAGCACTACGATGCTAGGCAGAATGCTGCAATGCGTAAGGACATTAGACGATCGCGAGCCAATACCGCGGAAGTGGAAAGAATTCTCGCTCAGAACGATGCGATGAAGGCGCAACTAGAGGGCCTGGATTCGGCCACAGAAGGGTTGACAGGCAGCTCAAAGCATGCCAGCATGCTGGGCAAGCGTAAGCGCTATGACGATACCGCCAGGTCAGGAGCATCCAAGTCGAACCGTTCGGCTGTGCATGGCTTGCCTTCTTTTCAGGGAGCGTCGTCGTTCATACAGATACCGACCCCTCGTTCGAGCAACCCGTCGGACAGTCAGTCACAGAGCGCGTCCACCTCTTCACGAGATTTGACTCCTGATGAGCAACCCAATGTAGCTCCACAACAATCATTCCAACCAGATGACGAACCACAACAACACCTGGACTCACTCGAAAATTCAGTGCCGCAGCAAGGTGAAGGTGACAGTAGTATACAGGATGCAGAAGATGCACTAGAGGTCAAGGAAACCGCACAGTCCTCGGCTGGAGACGAATCTGCCATATCCGCAATGGAGCATCTGCCGGGATCAAGACAGAGCGAAGATACATTCCTGCCAGGCTCCACGCCGATAACCTACGAGAAGCCATCTTTTAACAACGACGACGATGGAGAACACATCGATGCGCCCCAGGCAGAAAGCGACATGGACATGCAAACCGAGATTGATACAGCCAGAGCCATACCGGCTCGTTTTGAAAGCATATCCTCGCCACCAGCAGACAATGTCGAGTTCAGTGACGAAGAGCAAGAGGAGGTAACCAGTAAACGAAGCCATGGTTCACGGAAGACACATAATCGTGAAGAACCGATAGTCGTTCGTACCGTTACTGGTGAGGAACCTTCACATCAGCCAGAACCAAGGACCCGTCGCCAGACTAGGAGGTCGAGTGCTGCAGCCAGAGCTACGGAAACGGCCAAGAAAGGGCGAGATGCAGCTCCTGAGCCTGCCACATTTGCTCGAGTCATTCCTCGCAGACTAGAAAAGGATGGCTTCGCCAGAGTTGTCACTCCCGCGTCGGTAGAAGCTACGATGAGAGGCCACAAGCCGAAAGCGCTGCAGCCTGTTACACAGATACTATTCAAAGAACTCGATGAGCTTGGGCTCCAGGAATGGAAGCATAAGGACAGGAAATGTGCCGAGTATCGCAAGGTCGTCGGTGAAGCACGGAAACGCAAGCGAGAAGAAAACAAATTGGCGAAACTGGTGAACTCTGGCGCCGACGTTGACGTAGCAGCAGCTACTGCGGGAAGGCCAGACCTTCCAAGTCCATCCGACCTCATACAACGCAGCCTTGGAACTCTGGACGACGCGTTCCAGGCTGCCACGGCAGCTTTATTGGACGGCAGTACTGGACAGCTCAAAGCGACCAGGGCAGTGCCCTTGCCTGGGCACAACACCTTCAGCGTGCGGGTTAGCAATGATCAGCCGACCGCTAACGATGTCATGGACGAGTCTGTTTCATCAGAGGACAGCAAATTGGCTCGCCGCAGACAGCGTGAGGCAGAGATCAGGCGGCGTGACCAGCTTGCAATGGAGGCGATGGATATGAGCGACTAGGGCTTTCTGTGTGCTGCAACAATGGCATTTGTTAGCATGCAGTATGTGCTGTATATCGGTTCAAGTAGCATGCATTATTTTGTCGTACGAATCATTCGATGCATGTGTACGAAGGAATGCAGCAGCAGGACTTGATTGCTTTTGTTTGCTCGAGACTTCATGACGTCTAGGCAGGACGTCAAGATGTCTTTCTCCAATGATGATGGTAGCCCATGTCGGTAGATTCGTTGCCTTCCAATAGGCACCCAAGCCCGCTAAATTAACTCAGGCACGCGGAGGCGGAAAGGCGCGACGCCATTAGCTGTTCCGGCCCTGAATGTTTGCTTGTCGGCTGTCAGCCAGGGTTACATGCACGCCCAGGCGAGGCTATGCAGCCCCCGGCACTTGTTGGCGGGGGAAGTTCTTTTCGAGACCGCAGGGTCGAAGTCGACTTCATCATTCCTCTGCTACCTCGATTCTCGTGTTCATTCCCTTATTGTGCGGCTTTGATAGCGTTCCTTGTTTCCATTGCATAACATACCTCAACAGGGCGGCCAGGACAACTCTGGGACGCGTCGACTTCTGTCATTTCTGCCTGGTAAGTCACCGGGTCAAGTCCACGAGGCAGTCACTGACATCCACGACACAGACGACCTTTGTCGCTCTTTCCGGGTCACTGTACTTGGTAGGCTACCTCTCTCTCCTTGACAAGATCGTGCGATCACTGCATCCATGTTTGCAACTCACTGTCAACTTTGACGTTGGTACATTTATTCCCTCTGATCCAAGTCGAATTGAAAGAGATGGCTGCGTATATGAGTATATATGAGACGGGTTCACTCTAGCGAGAATATTGCACTATCAACTGGAAAGCAAGTTGAATTGCAGTTAGCACCTGGAATCTACGTCGCTTCCCTGAGCAGGGACAAGGGACTTTTGTGGTCGTGATGCTGATCTATACAATGGTAGAATATCTGTTTTTCGACGCACCCATCACGCGGGCAGAGCACAAGGTACGTGACCGCTTTCAGCCCCTGGATCATATGATTATGAGTCGTTGCTTGGGCGCGGCCTGTGAGGTGCGGCTTCACTGAGACTGAATCGTGAGGCTCTGCTACATTGTTGTTTATTCCTCCCTTTGTGCTCATGTCTTCACCACCATGTCAACAAAATGGACGTTGCTAACGACAACGAAGACATCCACGTAAACAATTGGGACGAGGATGGACCACCTCTACCTACAGACAAAACAGACGTGAATCCCGATGAGTACTATGAGAACAGACTAGGCGACCTCGATCCCTTCACACCTGTGAGTATTTAGCCCAGGGCTCGGACCGTCACTGACTCAATTAATAGCGAAGCTTTTCAGATGAAAGCCAACAAGGACAATCACCCATATCCGAGACGCAGTCGTGGGAAACGGTGGATACGGTCATAATGGAAGCTTCTCAGCCAACTCAGTTGACGCAACAGGTTGAAGACCCAAGACGTTTAGGCAGAAATTTGTCCAATATCTCCGATGACGATGCTACCGATGTGATCTGCATACTCCATCCATGCTCGCCGGCAGCATTCGATGGTATCAGAGCGAATTTGTCGACTGGGCCGCAACACATCCTGCAGAATGACGACTTGAAAGGCATGAGCGAAGATGATATCCTTTTTGGACCACAGTACAATGTTCCTCGTGACATAGCTTTGCGAATGTCCTCCCAGGTCAAGGATCCTCAAGATGGCTTTCGCTTCGGTCGATCCAGCGCTCAATGCGATGTTCTGCTGACATCTCACGAAAACGACAACCTTGTGAGCAAGGTCCACTTCAAGATATTCGTCAATAGCCAAGGCAGCCTCATGCTGCAGGATTTGTCTACGAATGGAACTCTGGTTGATGATCAGCATATCAAGGTCAGAGACCGCCGTGGCAAGAAGCCCACGAAGCCCGCAACCATCGCTCTGACCAATGGTGCAATCATCTCCGTGATCAGTGGGCGTGCCCGAGATGAAATCAAGTTGATGGTTCGGAGACCTGCTCGTGGTGACAATGAAGACACCTATGAGAGGAATCTACGAGCATATATTGCTGCGAGAGGGGAATTAGCTCAGTTCGCTTCTATGAGAGAAAGCTCGTATGGCAACCACTGGAATGGAGGTAGCCTGTACAACTTTACTGGTCTGCTCGGAAAGGGAGCTTTCGCCACGGTCTACAGAATCCAAACTAAGAAAGAGGGCAACATTTACGCAGCAAAAGAATTGGACAAACGTCGATTCATCAAGAACGGCGTGCTCGACATGAAATTCGACAGCGAGCTCAATATCATGAAAACACTCAAGCATCCCAATATTGTCAACTACGTTGACTGTCAAACATACGATCACTGGATCTACATCTTGATGGAGTATGTCCCATACGGCGAACTATCACAAGAGTTGAGGAAATTGGGAAAGATCCCGGAATTCAATGTCCAGCAGATTACACGCCAGATACTGCACGCTCTGGACTATCTCCATCGGAGAAACATAACACATCGTGACATCAAACCTGATAACATCCTGATAGCCTCCCGATCTCCGCTGATTGTCAAACTGTCTGACTTTGGTCTGTCGAAGTGCGTCACTACGGACCAGGAAACTTTTCTCAAAACGTTCTGTGGGACACTACTCTATTGCGCACCGGAGGTTTATCCCGACTACGCGACTTATGCCCAAAACTCGGCGCTCAAGCGACGACGTTTGGGTGAGCCCGTACCGAGGCCGACACCATCTCCCTATGATCAGTCGGTCGATATGTGGTCATTCGGTGCTGTGATATTCCATATGCTCTGCGGCAAACCTCCTATTACTGGTAGAGGTGATGATCGCGGCGCACAGATGCTCAGCAACATCATGACCAAGGAAGTCGACTTTGAGCCGCTCAGACAAGCCAGTGTGTCAGAGACCGCGATTGACCTCATTGGAAGACTGCTCAACCGAAATCCCGCGCTTCGTCCGAAAGAGTCCGAGTGTCTGCAGCACTCCTGGCTACGCGATGTACCTGATAATTGTGATTATGGTCAAGTGGAGGAGCATTTAGCGGCAGACAGAGAGTTGCACATTGTCGACGACGTGGACGAAGATGTGCTCGACGAAGAGCTGATCAACAACCTCAACCAACTCACTCAGCCGCCCTCGTCAGGGCAAAGTCCCGACCGACCGATTAAGCGAGCCAGGACATTCGTGGGCATCACCCAAGTTGCGGAAAATATTGCGTATCCTACCATACCGGAGCCCGAAGAGAGTCTCTTGCCGCTGGCACCGACACTTCCAGCACAACGCTTGTTCGGAGAGATATCTCAATCAGTGCTGCGCAGTTCGGGTCTCTTCGGCAAAGCGCTCCCCCCCACGACGACGGCCGATGTTCACGATATACAAAATCGGGTTGAACAGATAAGCGTGAATGACTTTGGCCGCCAAGAATCAAAGGGAAGTGAAGGAAGCGCAAATTTTTCTGAACAGCTGAAGCACTTCCCCCAAGTACCTGGAGTACATGTGAATCTTACATCAGCGGCCAGTCTGATGGGTGCAGAGCATCAAATTGGTCAACTCAATATGGGTTCACCTGAAGCCGACAATTCGGACCCTGCTACGCCCGAAACTACCAACCCTGTCACTCCTCAGACCCGAGAACTGTCACCATCCAGCAGTATCAGCCAGCATGTAGACATGGGAACTGGTGAGCCTATGCACCCCATCGAAGAGCCAGTCTTCACGCGACGAATCGATCTTGGACTGATCGCGGATCCCGTCAACTTTGAGGCTGAAATTGAAGCACGAGACATTTCGCGGGCGGGAAAACTTCGCAGCAAGGCCGACACATTTCATGGGAATGCCAATACAAAAAGCCGGCCCCCATCCATTGAGCTTGCCGTTACAATAGAGGCCAAGACTGGCCAGGCGGTGAGGAATCTTGCTGAAACAGATCGGTTCATCCGGGCAGTTCGCAAATCGGACGGTGAAATGGACACTACGGCGTTCATCAAACCTCCAAAGCGGTTTGGCAAGCTCACTAGCCTACCTGGATCACTCGCCAATGTCACAATGAATCTGGAAAGCCGACTTATGTTGTGGGGTAGGGGCATTGACTGCACGGTTCGATATCCCGACACTCTCGACACTCGGATACCCAAGTATGCCATGAAGATTCAATTCTGGGCACCTCGAATGGACAATCATGTCGAGCATGGCGGAGATTGGACAGAGGTACCTGGAGTACGCACGATTCTAGCCACGTCGGCGAGCGGATGCATTCGAGTTAACGGTGTAGAACTACGCAAAGAATCGCCAAGTGGTGACGCTGCTCTCTTTGGCAAGCTATACACCGGCGATATCATCACGATCTTCGAGTCGCCAAATGGAGAAGAGTTTCTCAAATTCCGTGTGGAGATCACATTTGGTGATAGTGCGCGAATTCGACCAGAGAAGGAGGCAGGGTTCATCGTGCAAGAGGAGAGACATCACCACCAGCGCATGAAGGAGAGAGAAAGTATGAGGATGAGTAAGACCAATATCGAGCAGGAGGCTGCTTGAGTAATGAAGGTTGGCACGAAAATGTTCTTTGAGCTGGAGGCGTACTATCGAATGGGTTTGTATAACTTAGCTATGGTTGGGTCCTAGGATAGTGAAAGCATGGCTTCATGACAAGCAGTTTACGTGTACATCAACAAGCGATACAGCAATGAAATTCTTCACGTATGCTTTCCCGTCCCGCAAGCTGTTTTGACGCACTCATTTGCAGGAGCTGTTGTCGAATATTGTGAGAATTAATCAGTTACTAGTGGACGCCCTTTAATCAATCACTATCTCGTCGATTTATGAAGGGCGCGCAGAAGCGCGTCAAATGTCGTCATTGTCATTTATAATAGCACAGATGGCACCTCTTCGACTCAACGTCTTTACGCTGTTACTTGCTCGATATACATATACATGTCCACGTTGCTAGGTAGGTTACCATGTGAGTGAATTCTCTTCCTTGACCGAACTTGAATCTGTCTGCGCCCATTTCCCATAATGTCTAGCAACGCTCAATCACAACTATCAACACTATCAAGCCGAGCGCAGGCACACGCCCATCCTGGCGCGATTGGAAGTCCACTCTGGGACGTTGTCAACGACCTATGGCACCCGCAGGACAATCCGAATGGCTATGTCAATCTCGGAATTGCAGAAAACCTGCTCATGCATCACGAACTGGAGAAGCACATCGCGCAGAATTTCAAGTTACCTTTGCACGCCTTTACCTACGGCAACGGACCGTTGGGGTCGAAGAGGCTAAAAACCGCTGTTGCGAGGTTTCTCAATCGTCGTCTCGAGCCTGTTACGCAGCTGGAAGCTCAACATATAGTCATCACCAATGGTACCTCTCACTCCATCGAACATACCTCGTGGGCGTTTTGTAATCCGGGAGACGGATTCCTGCTAGGCCAACCTTACTATGGTGCCTTTCTTCCTGATATTGCGCTACGGCCAGGCGTAGAGGTGGTGAAGGTGCCGCTCAAACATATCGGTCCTATGAACCTGGAAGCTGTCGAGGAGTATGAATCAGTCTTATTGGCAGCTAAAGACCGCGGTGTCACTGTTCGCGCGCTGATGTTGTGCAATCCGCACAATCCTCTGGGTCGATGCTACTCGCGCGAGGTTATTATCGCATATATGCGACTCTGCCAGAGATACCAGATCCATCTGGTCAGCGACGAGATCTACGCCTTTTCCGTGTGGAAGAATGAGCGCGATGCAGCGCCGGCTCCTGTGGACTTCGTCTCAGCGTTGTCGATTCCTTTGGACAGCATCATGGATCCGGCACTTCTGCATGTCCTGTGGGGAGTGAGCAAAGATTTCGGCGCGAATGGTCTGCGTGTCGGGTTCGTCATATCCCAGCACAATGCGGCGTTCAGGCAAGCATTGTTGTCTGTTGCCATATATTCTTACGCATCTTCGGTCTCGGAGCACATTGTCGCCAATATATTGGAGGATGACGCCTGGGTTGACGAATATATCCGCACAAATCAGGCTAGACTTGCAGAGTCGTATGCCTTTGTCGTGGACTTTCTTCGGAAACACGACATCACGTACACACCTGGTGCGAATGCGGCTTTCTTCATCGTACCTGATCTGGGCAAGGCGTATCTTGAGCGCCATGGAAATCGGAAAGGGTCGGACGCGGACAATATCACGGGCGAGATCATGCAGCTGTTGATGAAGAACAAGGTCTTCCTGACAAGTGGACCGTATTTTGGCGCCCAATCTCCCGGCTTGTTCAGGTTGGTGTTCAGTCAGCCGAGAGAGGTATTGGACGAGGGTCTCAAAAGAATGCTGGCTGCGATTTCTTAGCGAAACAGAACGGCATTGATGTTCGATCATGGTTGACGTTCCCACTTGCAATTGGAGATATGCTGAAGATACGCAAGGTACTGGTGACTATCGGATTTGGAATTCTGGAACTCTCGGCCGCAATCCGCCTTTGAAATGACGATATCTGACCGAACGAAGCACCGGAGCATTGCATGATCTTGCATCGAGTACGACTTGAGACAGGTTTGGAAATGCACTCTCTATTCACTTTCACCGGCCCTGCCGACTCACCAGGAAGGAGGAAAGCGCGACGACCAAAGAGTGTGCCTTCGGATACAACCATATGCAAGTCACAGAAAACATTACCATGTCCAGGGTCGGAGGTGCTTTGGCAGCGAGCAGGATGTTTGACATTACCGGTGAAAATGAGAGACAGATGGTGACACTGAAACCCAAGGTAAGACCGAGTGCTGAGTGTAAAGCGATGAAACGGAGGGAAGTCGAGGTTGGTCACTTGCATAGCGATGTCGGAATATCGCTTTCGCCTATATAAAGTCTCCCTCTCCCACTCCATGGAACTTCTTCCTCTCTGCATGATCTGGTCACCTCTCGGATCCTCGTCTGGGACAATCAAGGAACACAAACTCGTTATATATATACCTCTCGGATCCTTGCTTCAAGTTGCTTGGTACAACAATGAACACGATCTCGTTACCTCTGGGGTCCTGGACTGGGACAATCAAAGAACACGCTGGCGGTTTTGAGCAAGCCTATCGAAGCAGAACTGTCTTGTGCGGACATGTATTCCGCAACCCGCTTCTCTCCATCAGCAGCTACTGGTCATTCTCGACAGGACGTATCTCTCATCCCCATCGGCATGCCGCATATCCTCTTTGCTCAGAACGTGTCACACGTTATGGCCGTCCCTTCAAAGCCATTTCAATCAGAACTTGCTGGCCTTACCTGGAGATACATTACGCAACCGGCACACAAGAACGGACTGTTCAAGCAAGTCTCTTTGCTGAGGAGGAAGACATGGATCAGATCCATTCGACAGCCGAACTGTCAACAGATGCCTACCACCACGAAGCCGTTGACAACCCTAGCCCAGCAGAGATCGATACGCGCAGCACTTCTGTTCTTTCTCCTCAATAATACTCCCCCATACCTTTATTATTATGTTGTTGTACCTTCCACCCCAAAAGCGACACGGTCGAAACTGCCCACTGGACCCAACCCACAGCAACGGCACGCCATTGCATGGCAACGAGGATCAAGTCCAGACGTCGGAGTGACTGGTCGCAAGGCCTTCTGGGGGCTGTCGGCGAAAGCAGCACGCCACAGGGATTCTGCAGTCGCCCTTCTTACGAAAACGTCTATATATAAATGCAGTGATGAAGGGTTGGAGCGATCGGAAGGTTCAGTGCTTCACTACCGTGCACAGGAACCAGAATGGCAAGCATCACATGGCACTCATCGCCCAGAAACAGACCGGGTAACTTCGCCATCGACGTCGGCATTCTCTGCCACTGCCCCAGACGTCTCTTTGACTTTCAGTCCTGGCCCCCTAGAGCAATGAATGGGAACGAGCCACCGGCCGTGAACTTCTTCGAATCCTATCCAACAGACATTCAGAAAAACGGGCAATATATGCCTAGTGGATCCAATCCATGGACCACCTGCCGTGTGGAAGGGCTTCCTCGCACCTAATTCCATGGATCTGGGTCCGACACGAACGCAGAGGGTGTTGTTGAATACCGCTTTGTTGCCTACGACGATCTTGGAGGCAGGGCTTCTGTGATCCCCAGATACATGGGTGAGGCTCTTGAGAAAGGATACAAGATTACCTTTAGAGGCTTGCCTGCATGGTGCTCAATCCCCGCCGCTATTGGTGTTAAAATCCTGATGTTGAAAAGACTCATGTTTGAATGATTGGGCGAGATCAAGTATTTCCAATCGATTCCGTCTCCTAGGCCCAACAACTGACAGCCCATGTACATGCTGAAACGACGAAAGACGATATCTGGACGCTTCTGGCTCGTGCGTACTATCACATCAGAACCCGAGTCCTGTCCACTATGCGACTGTCCATGATGCGTTTGTGATGGAGAATCGTGCGCAGTTCCTAGCCCTGAAGCCGCCTTCAGATTTGGTTTTAGGGCATGAAAAGCCGCGATAAGGTCTACGGGATAGACTCCTGCTGCCCTTGGCCAAGAGATACTTTCGGATATTAGTTATGAAACAGACACTGGACAGAGTATTAGAACGGAATCCCGAGGGGGACAGACCATAGCGTTGCTAAAGCTGCAGGTGAAGGCCCTCCAAGCAGAAAAGGAAAATCTGGAAGCAGTTTACTTACCACCATTGAGCGACTCGGATGACTCGAATGATGATAGTGGCTTGCCAGGTCTCTCTTACTCCGAATCTGAGTCTGCCACTGTCCGCAAGGACCAGGCGGACAAATTCGAGAAGTCACGGAAGTCAAGTAAGGACAAATCGTTGTCGGAAGAGATTGTTCTGTCAGATGACGAAAGTGGTTCGACGGACCGGTCTACCGGATCTTCCAGTGAATCTGACGAAGTGCACGCGCCCAGGAAATCGAGATATCCTGCCGGTTTTAAGGGCGAGAGATGGGATCAGTGGAAGGATCGGCAGGTCAATTTGCAGAAGCTCCTCAACCTGGATCGATTTCACGAGACTGAATTTTGTTTTGCAGGCTTTTGGGCAAGGGGACATGATATGCCGGTGTACTGTTTATCCTGGCACGGCAGCTGGGAAACCCCACGAGGTGTGCCCACAATGCTCTCATCGAAGGTACATACGGCGATCTGGGGCTCACACCAATCAAACCGAATCAATCACTACCGAAAACAAGAAGAGAACACGAAAGTACAACGCCGAGTACTGTCAGGAACAGCGGGCCGACGACACCATCGAAAGCTTTGGGTCGTGTATGGCGGGGAGTTTGTGATATTGCGCATCTACTACGGCTCCGACAAGACGTTGAGTTCTGATATCGACCAGGAGATCCGACTTAGATTTTCCACTTCCAAATTCGCTGGTCTTTTCCACCGCGTGATCTGCGACGAAGGTCATAAATTGAAGAACTGCCGGACCAGAAATGCTACGGCCATCGACAAGTTATATGCACCAAAGAAGTGGATTGTCACCGCGACTCCGATGATCAACTCGGTTGCCGATCTTCTGGGATACCTATATCTCTTTTGGAATCCGGCCTGGAAGCTCCTGATGGACCGCCTAGATGGCTGGGAGATTCCCACTACGGCAGAAGAGCTGTACAAGGAGGAAACTTTGGTCACTTTTCGGGAGAAATGCCCCAACTACCAGGCAAAGTTCGGTGAGGTACCTCTGTTCATGTTCGACCCTCAACCGTATGCGGCTTTGATCAACTCAGGCAAGATGTCCGTGGCAAAGACGGCCAGTCGAGTTCTGCACGCCCTGCTGTCACGACTCCAACTCCGTTGGACCATGGCCAGCAAGATTCAGTTGGGCAACGACCTCACCTACCAACCAGGTATCAACGTGATTTTCCAATCACCGATCCTATGTCTGCCTTCGTGGTCTTATGGTCACCAAATGAAACCTTGGCTACCAGAACTTTGACAACCACGAGGTGACCTGAAGGCGTCAAAGCTAGTACCCGTGAGAAGGCTACTATCTATCGTGAGAACTCCCGGGACAAGAATGGCAACGATAAAAAGCGCTACAGAGCCAAGGCGAAGGAGGAGAAGAGGTTCTAGGTCGAGCCTTGTGGTGTCACTTACTACAGTCAGTCGAATTGCTGCCTTCTTAGAGAAAACCAAGCCAGTGACCCTCCCATCGAAATAGGCCTCGAAGAAAATATCCAGGACAAGGAGTCCATTGTTGGTGTGTGGGTGGGAACGTCTCGGGGCACCAAAATCGCCGAGACACTTGAGCTTGCTACCTCTGAGGTCTTGACCTTGCATAACGTGTCACTCGATATGGCGGTCCTAAGCAAGCCACTTGAGTCGAAACTCGTCGACCTAGTATGGACCTATATCAGTCAACCCGTTCATAAGACGGTTTGTTCAAGCAAGTCTTCGCCGAATCTCGACATGTTCGGACCTTAACAAAGTGCTCCGGGACTAAATCCCACCGACTATCGATTACTTCCTCGACACGTCGTCAGATGGCCTGGGAAGATGGGCGGTGTATGTGCTTGTGTTGCTAAAAGAGGACACATTCCCCTACTTTACATCGTTCAGGAACTGGAACCAGGTATAGCGGCTGTTACGGTGGCGAACCATATGACATCGGTGGTCTCAACATTCTGAAATGCCGCAATATGTCGGCGAGGCTCTATCCGAGGGATACAAGATTGTCCACAAGGACCTAACGGTGTGGTGCGCAATTCCTCAGCCAGCCGACGTGCCACGGACGATATTGCTCTTTGTTGCTATTGAGGCCACGCTGAGTTTTGTTTTCTGGCCGATGAAGAGTCGCACCAAAGATTGTAAGGTGGAAGCTTGCTCTAGCGTTGAAGTTGGGAGGTCGTCGGCTTTAACTGGCGTACTTGGGCAATATATATCACGAGTTCTTCGTATACATTATTCAAGGACTCCGATTCGTAGTCGACCCTTGACACGTGCGTGTGCCTAGCCGACTTTGCCGGTAATTAGCGGATCCATTGCAATAATGCCGGCGGACACGAGGAAAAGGGGAATATGTCTGACACAATGCGCTCGAAACTTTTGGCCTGTAGCATGACTCGATCACAACCGATGGTCTCTTGACTCGTGAAGGGATGAGAGGAAACTAAATAATCCACCTCCTACAGTCAGCCCGAACTTGTGATCGTTGCCATAAGGCCATCATGCTGGACGAGACCCCAGGAGTCGGAGGGAGTGAGAGATATGTCCATCTAAGCTCCAGGCGCCCTCCATGTCAGACGAGATAATTCTTCTGTGGAACCGCAGGCTGGGTGCTACAGCCTACCGGCTTTCTGAGGAATGTCACTGCAGATTGGAAAGTCTACTGCGTGTTCTTTTCACAGCATCCAAGTTACCAGTTTGGCACTCTGGCCTGTCACCACACTCTGCGTGTATGGACATACCGCTCGTCTCTTTAGCTCGACCCAAGAGGCGCGCAAGTGATGCCTTCAGCCTCGAGCCTGGATGTTAGAGGTATGTCATCTTCATCTCCTGCAAGACTCGATTTCGACCCTAACACTCTCAGACTTCGATGTAACTCTACTACCACTCGAACTCTTGCACGCTGAGCTGTCAAGAAGACAAGATGAGAAACCGGTCTGTGGCTCGACTGGGAACCATGGCACCTATAACACAGGCCTACATGTACTGGCCATCTTCATCATCCTCGGATTGAGCACGCTTGGTAAGTCCGATGAATGATCAGCACTTACAGTAATTGACCTGGGTAGCATGTTCCTTTCCGATTATAGCACGACGTTTCCCCAACCTTCCTATCCCGCACCGATTTCTCTTCCTGTCGAGACATTTCGGCACAGGCGTCTTGATTGCGACTGCCTTTGTTCACCTACTCCCGACTGCCTTCATATCGATGACCGACCCATGTCTACCCGACTTCTGGAGCAGACACTACAGGCCGATGCCTGGCTTCATTGCCATGCTAGCCGTGTTTGTGGTGGTTGCAATAGAAATGGTATTCGCCAGCAAAGGAGCAGGACACAGTCACAGCACTGAATGGGAGGGAACAGGCGATGCACGCAGACCTGTAAACATGCGCGGAGGCGAGTCGTCGCATGAAAATGGTCATATCTCCCTGAATCAGCTAGGGACGCCGATCACCCCATATACCGACAGCGGACCCAGACCTCGAAACTCAACATCTGATCATTCGGACTCGGAGGACGATCTTGACGAATTGGATCCCATGGCAGACGAGTCCGCGACACTCAATCACCCGCATAAGCGCAAGATATCCGAGTTTGACGACCACCAGCTCAGACGACATGCAACACCATCTGACGAGAACCCCCAGAGACTGTTTCTGCAGTGTCTCCTACTCGAAGCGGGCATCCTCTTCCACAGCATTTTCATCGGCATGGCAGTGTCAGTGGCCACAGGAACACAATTTGTCGTCCTATTGATTGCGATTTGCTTCCACCAAACATTTGAAGGCTTTGCGTTGGGGGCAAGAATCGCAGCTCTGATACCGAAGCTGTTTGACGCCAGCAGTCCGAAGCCATGGCTCATGGCACTTGCTTATGGAGCTACCACGCCCATCGGCCAAGCACTGGGGATCTGGATAAGAGAACTATACGATCCTGCGTCAAAAGTGGGATTGCTGATGGTGGGAATCACCAATGCTATCAGTAGTGGTCTGTTATTGTTCGCTGGGCTTGTACAGCTTATTGCAGAGGACTTTCTCAGCGAAAGGAGTTACGACAGTTTGAAAGGCTGGAGAAGGATTGAAGCTTGCCTTGCCGTCGGACTGGGCGCTCTTCTCATGGCTATAGTCGGAGCTTTTGCATAGAACAGAGGGACTACGATTACGAATGTGCAAGGGCTGACTATACGCTGGCAATGACATGATATATCAACCCTTCTCTCGTGTGTTCTTGATGTGAGTTGCCCGACGCGAAGAGCCTGTATTCCAGATACGGCAGTCGCTAGCCTCCAGCAACGGATCGAGGACGTCCAAGAGCCAGGCTATGCTTATCTGGTGTTGGCTGAGATCAGCCAAGGCGTAGTAGCAAGTCTCGTAATCGTACGTGCTTCCCTACATGACTTGCTGTCGTTGGCATATTTTCCTTTACAGTATACTGTGCAGCCGAGGCTCGTTTTGTCAGCACGGGTGCTTAGGACGTTACCCGCGTACCTAGGTATGGAGTACCAAACAGGTAGTACTCCTTGTGGCCTCCCTCTGCAAAGCGTATATATACCCCAGAGCTTACGTCTAGTGATCTACTTCCAGAGTTGTCTTCCAGCGACGCAAGTCACCTTAATTGCCTCTCTTGAAAGAGTAACAGAAGGTCTATGAAACATGGCCACCATCAAATCCAACACCTTCATATCCCCTACCACGAACAAACAATTCACATATCTCTCTGCAGGTCCGACCGACGGACCTTTGATATTTTTGTTGCATGGCTGGCCCGCCATAGGATTGACATGGAAGCCGCAACTCCTCGCCTGGTCAAGTCTCGGCTTCCACGTCGTTGCCCCAGACCTGCCCGGCTACGGCGGGACATGGACGTCCAAGGACCCCAAGGATTTCGCGCTCGAAAAACTCGTGCCTCAAATCCTCGAAATGTTTCACTCTCTGGGACGTGAACAGGCGATATGGGTAGGACACGACTGGGGATGCGGACCACTCTGGGCCATCGCTTCGCATCATCCAGAAGTCTGTCAGGCGGTCGTCGGCATCTCTGTCCCCTACCGCACGCTTGAAATGGGGTTAGAGCATCTGATCAGCTTGATTGACCGTCAGGTCTACCCCGAGGATGAATACCCCTGGGGTCAATGGGACTATCAAGTGTTTTACGAGCGTGAACCGCAGGCCGTGGATCGACAGTTTGAGAGCGAGCATGTGGAGAAGTACATTAAACTCGTTTACAGTCGGGGAAGTGCGGCAGCTGGGAAAGCGCCCGCGCGGACGGCGAGGGTGAGTAAAGATGATGGATGGTTTGGTGGACCGGCGGCAGCGACACAAGTTCCTGATCTGCCGTTAGAACGCACAGTACTGGACGAAGAGATTCTTCAGGCACTCGTAGCGAGTGCGAGGAAGAATGGCTGGCACGGGGCGACGGCGTGGTACTTGAATCACAAGGCCAATGCTGAGTATACGGCGAAGAGTGTGAATGGAGGGGTGTTGAAGGTGCCGATTTTGTTTGTGCATACTGAGTATGATGCTGTTTGTCAGACGGTGCATAATCCACGGTTCATGGTCGAGATGAGAGGCAAGTGTGAACGGTTGTGCGAGGTGGTGGTGAAAGCAGGACATTGGGGAGCGTTGGAGTGCAAGGAGGAGGTCAATGCTGCCGTTGTGGAATGGATTACGAAGGAGGTGACTGATTGTTGGCCGGGGCCGGTGCTGAAGAGTAGGATTTAGTCATGGGAGAGGGTAGGACCTGGGGAGAATGATATGCTGTATGACGGGTGAGGGGACGAGTGAGATGGACTGAGATCGAGGACAGTGATAGCATATGGAGCATCATTATGGGATAGATTTCCATTCCATCTTAGCCTTCTTTGATGGTCCGTTGGATCAGCATCATCGTGAGATATCAGCAGACCTAGTGACATTATCTCTGGGGCATTCAATGAGTGGTTCAACATGTTCATTACACTTGCAGACTCTTCACGTTCGCTTTACCAATCCATATATCCAGATAGACTTCTGTGTGGAATGTACAGAGGCCATTGTCACGCAGCAAACCGCCATGCTATTGCTCAATCATACCGTGTCAGTCCGTTCAGGGATTGTCACTTCTTTGACGTCTTGGGAGGTGGAGGAAAGTACATCTGAGGTGCAGTTGGAACGGGACTATGTCCGATCTCGGGAGATTTCCCAGCTTGGACATCACTGCCCACTCGATCAATGAAACCAGGACTCAAGGGGCTCCTTTGCCGATCTGGACTTGTCATTGCAAAAGTCGGCGAATTCGGTCGTCTTGGTGCACTGAAATGGTTCCGAAGAGGTAGATCCTTCGTGCCTCCAAGGGTGTTGAATGCCTGCGTCCGAGGCGTCATCGGATGCAATGATCCTTGAATACCCGGAGTCTCAGGCATGGGATATCCGGTATGCTCGCCCGTGGTCGGATCCTCGACAGACTCAAACTTCGCCCACTTCTCGGCCTTGAGACGCCGTTTCTCGGCATACTCGGCACGCTGCTGCTTGGACGGGAAGCATGACCATACAGCAAAGCCGAAGTATACGATAAACACACCCAGCATGGCGCATGTGCAGGCAAAACTCGCCTTCGCTTGTTTGCAGTAGCCGACCAGACTCTTGTTCTTTGTGACACTGCACGATTTTGTGATGTACCACGGCGGACCTCTCTGTGGGTGTTCAGGATCCGTGGTGTCACTGCTAGATTGGTAATCGACTGATACCGTGTAGAGGGCGATGAGTAGGGCATGAACCAGAACGGACAGAACGGGCGGAAACACATGTAGTATGTACATGACGGATTTGACGAGTAGGATGAACATGGAGAGGACCGAGATAACGATATTGTAGTTTGTTATACTGTTGCCAGCGGTTAGCTCCATAGCGACAGACTGCTTGTATAGCCTTACAATTGCGACCAGACTTTGGGAGTCGTGTATGGTCTGTAATTCGCAGCGGCATACAGCCCCGTGGATGGGCTCGAGTTGAAGCCGTTATCTGCTCCATCCTGCCATAATTTGGTGCGATATAGATTTGGTGAAGCAATACCGAACAGGGCGAGGAGGGCAACAGTCAATGGTGATTCCAGGCCGATGAGGATGTAGAAGGGCCACTTGTTGGGCTTCCAGCGTCTGGATAGGAAGTACATGTTGGCGGATATCTTGTCACACAGGCAGGTTGAGGCTGTCGCTGAGGGGTGATGCTCAATGATATAGCTGCATGCTCAACCTCGAAGTCGGATATGATACAGCGTCTCTGCTCGCGAAGATGCAGAGCGCTCGGGTGATTTCAATTCATGACAAGGAAAGGAGAGGAAGCCGACTTCCAGCACATCGCCAGGTCATCGAGTCGCCCATTGCGAGGGTTCGCTCGTGCCAGTTAGTGCTTACATGCAAGGCCGGCGCTTAGAAAGAGGATGTTGGCGAATGAGGAGTGGAAGGGATGGTATGGGGAAGTCCAATGAGGAGAGTGTGAACAAGGAAGCACACTTTGTATGAGGGTCACTGGGGATGATGATTGGTTTAGGGGATTGTGATAGCTGGATGGCCATCGAATCGTCTCTGGGCACCAACTCCCCGCAGTCTGATCCGATATACCAATGATAAAGTTGATAACTAAGCAGCAGCCTGGATGCGCCGAGGTGCTGCATCTTGTCGCTGTCCTGATTCAGGGTCTGCCACTTATTTCCTGGAACATCCTTAATCCGAGACAGCCACGTGACTATCAGGTTTACCCCTTTTCTCTGGTGTTCATACTACTGTGGTGACTCCTGCAGGTGCTTCTTCTCCCTTGCTCCTGTTTTAGTTCTTCCAGCTTCAGCTTGATTCAGCCTTTTCCCTCACATGTTCAACAACTCTCGTTGTTCTACAACTGTTTTCTACAATTACCCCGAGGTAGGATATAAATGCTCGTACTACCACCCGTCACCCAACCACCTCTGACGACAACCCTCATGCGAGTCATCATGTCAAATCTCTGTCAAGTTCTTTCTGAAGGAGGTGACACCAGCTCCAAATCTAGAGCCCCCCATTCCCCATTCACTATGGAGTAATACCTGAATTCCTGTTTGATCCTCGTCGCGTCTTCCCTCTTTAGGTCTTCCGAAACACCATGCGGTCCATCCCCCCTGCCTTTCGTGCCACTCAACGCGCCATCGCTATGGATTCCATTGGAGCCTTACTGTCTCTGCCCTTCGTCGAATCCCACAGCCTCACCAAGTCTTCCCACTTTGTCTTACCACACGCGCTGGCGATACTTCCTGTGTGTCTCGATTTCTTCGGGTCTGCTGCCGGCCACAGACTCATGGAAACATCTTCTCTTATCTTTTTACAGCCTTTCAGTCCTCTTCCGCAGAAGTTCTGACACCTCATTGTCGTTGGGCAAACATCTTCCCTTTTATGCTAGACTCGCATCCAATTTCCTTCGAGCTCCGATAGTCAGACGCTAACCTCACGGATGCGATGATCCTCAATATCACTCTCGAGGCCTCCCATGTATAGTGCCGCACGCAAAGGGATCCATCACAACCTCAGTGACCATAAGCCAACGTCTCTTGTCATCTCTACGACTCTATCCTCCTCGCCAGTCCTGCACCTTCTACCCTCCACATCTGATTGTTCACCCTGTCGCCATGAAGCCAGGCAGAATGTTCCGACACAACTTCCTTCGACACAGACGAGAGGCACAACCTGATGATATTAGCGACTTACCGTCGAGCATTGGAATCCCTACTGCAAGCTCAATCGGTGCGACAATCGCTACAGCAACAGCAGATTCTACCGCTTCACTGGCCACGGCCACAGCGCCATCAGGCTTCACCACAATCACAGAGACCGATACACTAGCTCAGTCCATAACAGGCGAGAACACTATCTCGACGACGGTCACCACGAAGACCAGAACCATTACTGATTCGTCCGGATATGCCTCCATCACATCAGCAGCAGCCGCTTCATCGTCCACTACTGTGCACCCTACCACATCTACCACCTCCTCGGCCACTGCAACCAGCACAGCAGCTGCTGCGAAAGCCTCCTCGAACCTCAATACACTCATTCCAGCCATTGTAGTACCGATAGTGGGCGTGCTGGTGGCCTCCCTCGCCCTATTTTGGTTCATCATGCGGCGGAGAGCCAAGAAAGAATTGCAGAGTCAGCCCGAGTTTGTTATGGCTGGGAAAGGAGAAAAACTGAGTAGTCGTTCCAACAGCGGCAGATCCACGACTTCAGACGAATGGCACCATGAGAGAAAGTCCCCAAATGTCAAAGAGAGCGCACTATCATCCAACCAGTCGCCCTCCGTCACTAATACCGAGTGGCCACCCTCACAGGTTGGGATCGCTTCACCTGTGCTCGCCCAAGAGAAGGCGCCTGCAGTATCGAGTCCGCATTCAAGACTCGTGTCACCCTCACAGGGTCGTCCTTACATAAATTTCAACAGCCCTCAGCCGAGACCTATCACGTCTGGACGTATGGGACCGACAAGAGATCCGGCACAAAACCCTGACCGAAGTCACTATAACGCCGACCAAAAAGGTCTACCACCACCACCATCACGATCCGGTCGTGGGCCTGCCACAAGAACAGCTCACAGTCCCATATCTCGGAGCGGTCCAAGCCCTATACCACTACGACCTAGCCCTAGCAAACCACCCGAACGTAGGCCAAGCGACTCAAGGCCAGGTGCAGAGCCTGCTTTCCGTTTTCGCGGCCCTTCCCCCAGTATGAATCACAATGCACGTGCTCAAGCTCCGCCACGTTTAGGGCCTGCGCCAGGTGCCTACAATGGCGCATCATCAATATCTCAATACTCACCGATTGTCAAGGCGACTACAACTCTCCACAAAGGACCTGGGCCTTACAAACGAGTGATACCACCACCTCTCCAGACCTCGAATAACTCAAACGCACAAAGAATGAAATCACCGAAATCTGCCAGTCCTGCGAGCACCCCTCTGACGGAGGAAAACCTTCGCATTGCACGCTTGGGAAGTTCTTCTCGTCTTGGGCGTACAGCTCCGGAGCCGAGCCCCTCCAGCACCTCCCCGAAACTACCTCCTCCTGCGACACGTTCACAACTAATACCACGAGAAAGTCCAGGTGGGATACCGGACAACTTTTACCCGGGCGGCTTCCTAAGTCATAGTCGAGAAGTCTCCAAAACTCGACATGCCGAAAACCGAGCCAGTATGGTTTCTGACCCTGACGAGTACGAAGACATTGCGGCCAAGTCGGACGTCAGTAGTCTGAACGAGTTTGAGCGATTCGACTTTGGACCAGAAGCCGGCAACCGAGGAGGCAGTGGTGCTCCCGCATCGATAAATTACTTTGCGGCTCACAACAATCCTGCCGGTAGTGGAGGGAGTCCCTTCGGTAATGGTACGACTTACGAACGGTGGTGAACGAGGACTTGACCTCGAAGCACCCACCTTGTCGATGCTGGCTGTGCCTCATCGATCGGTGCAATTAACACCAACTATTGCATGATGTTTTACGCTCGTTCGTTATGTTTTCCTTATTGTGTTTGGCGATGCAAGCTAGCATTGAAGGCGATCTATTGGTGCTTGTTTTCTAATGATACCCCCATCTCAAGCCAAGCCTATTGACCGCTGGCAAGCAAGCGAAAAATCTGGTGTACTCTTATGAAAGTGAGAAAGCGAAGCCAAGAGAAGGATGAATGTAATGTCGGACGCCGTGAAGTACACATGGCATGTACCAACTCTATAGGTGTAGCATAGTGAGATAGCTACCACTCGCTGGTACAGTGAAAGGAACACCTCAAGATACTGGCTAATTGAGTACCCTCAGCCTTCTCTACTCGGTGTGTCCCGTTCTCACTCGTGTGCATGGGCTTTTTCCGAGTTTCCTGAGTTTTTCGAGCTGTCACTATGCACTGTGCAGTCTCGACAGCTCGCGTGTGATCGCATGAGTCGCGAACGCGTCGGCACGGACCTCAACTGTAGGTCTCCACGGCCCAGCCCTCGAAAAGTCCCTCGTACGAATACCACGTAGTAGGATTGCCCGATAAGTCAGTACAGACCCAACCGCTGTCTGCAGGCACGTTCACTCCACCACCCGCATGTAGAGATGCAAAGGCTGCGTGAAGGACTGGTATGTAGAGAGTGAGGACTAGCTTTTTAGAGTAGGAGGTATGCATTCATTTTCAATTCTCATGCTAAAAATCGTATTTCCAAAACCATAAATTCATCATTTTCGCTAGTAACAAAATCCCTGGCGGGTGTAAAATGCGATTCATAATCTTCGTTCCGGTCGTGACGTTCAGCACCCTTTTGCCGTGGCCCTTTGTTATCCCGATGAAATTGCACTTTCAAACATCCAGCAGCAAGGGTCACGATCAGCTTACGCCGATGGGATGATGTCGACATGGACGACGATCCAGCGCCGTCTCACCTCAACCCGCGTGCGCGAAGCGTGACCGACGAGTCTTGCTGCACGTTCTGGGACGAATGTCTGTAACAAGTACTGCGTAAGGCTTCATGGTTTGTACAAGCGATGTCGTGCAAAGGATCATTCTTCCATGGATCCGCGGTGCCTGAACAGGTGTCTCCGCAAGTGTCTATGCGACTGCATTTGTCTCTTGACTTTATCCAAGTCTTGGGTCGCAGGGGCGCGCTTCTTCTCGTCGTTGGTGACTTCCTCGTACGTCAAGGCCGTGACGGTGACGTAGTGCGTGCTCACATCGTCACTGCTGTCGTCTGTCTCGGCCACGACGGTGGTGGAGGGTGTAGTTTCCGCGACGGAAGAGTCAGTGCCCGTGCCTGTTACGCTGACCGTGGCGGTGGCAGTGACGGTGGCTTCGGCGACGAGGCCCTCTGATACGGCTGCGTTGACCGCAGAGGTCGCGGTGGCGACTACATCAGATACAGCCGCCTCGACCGCGGAGGTCACTGTGGCGACCACATCTTTGGCTGTGCCGAATGTCTTGGTCTTGCGGCCGTTGCCGCCGCGGCTGAAGCCTGATGTAGGCACGGCGCTGGCCGTGGCTGCTGAGGATACACCGAAACTCCAGGCGCTGCTGCTACCGCTGCTGACGGGGACGGTGGCGGTAGCTGCCGCCGAAGAAGATTGGGGACTGGCCGATGATGTGGTGTTGCTTGCGCCATTGGATTGATAGACCTTGAGCGAGTTGACGGACCAGTATGCATCGACAAAGGCCGAGGGATTGTTCTGCACAAAGTCCTGGCACGTCGATGCCTTGCTGCTGCACGTGGCGTCTGTGGTCCAGACGTTGCCGGCCCAGTCGCCGCAGAAGGTGGTGTCGAAGACGATCTGATGGTCCTCGAAGAAGTCGTCGATGTCGCAGCCGCCTTGGAACTGGGACAGGGGAGTTCCCCAGCCGCTCGGATCGGGACTGCCGGATGAGATGTCCGAGGGGATGGAAGAGCGAGGGAAGAACCAGATGGTGATGGCTGAGCTGGTCCACTCGGTCGCATAGACGCCACCTTCGCCGTTGTTGAAGCCGGTGCCGTAGGTGTCGGCGGCGGACGTCAGGACCTGACAGCCTGCGTTGGTTGCCTGGCCGGAGGCATCGACGTTGCAGTTGGGAGTAGTTATGGAGCCGGAGAAATCTCCGTTATTGGTGATGCTGCAGCCAGACCCTGTATGCAGGGCCATTGAGTCTCCGACCTGTGAATTTACGCCTTCAATTATGTCGATCTCTCCTGAGTTAGGCCAGTTGGGTCCGACCGTCCAAAAGGCAGGCCATGTCCCGCAGACACCGCCAGGCATGTGTTCGAGATCGAGTAGGATGAGGGCGTGGGTGTAGGATTTTGTGCTGGTGAGACGGACGCTCGACCGGCCTGAACCCGAGGCCACGTTGGTATGGTCGACACCCATGTATATCGCCGAACCGTTGGTGCTGATCAAGCCATCACTCTGGGCGGTGCTCTGGTCGACATAGTTCACGTAGCCGTTCGTGGGGTCTGTACCCTATATATGCGTTAGTATTGGTGCTTGCTTGGTGGCCATAGTCTGTATCATACGGTGAAGAAATCAAACATCGAGAAGAATGAATCGCCGCTGTAGTCATCTTCGAGCACATAACCAGCTGTGCTGAGGGAGACGAGCCCTGCAAGGGTAAAGAGTGTTGATGAATGCATGTTCGCTATGGTTCAGTTGATGAAAGAGTGACAGAAAGACAACCACGACAAGATGCACTGCACTTTGTAAAGGAATGGACGCAGATATGCTGATATCACACCGAAGCTGATGAAGGACCGCCAGCTCAGCAGACCGTTGCGGCCATGAAGCAGAAATATGTACTCGTATATGGAGCATAGGGTCACCGGGTCCATGGGAAAGGGGTGGAGATGAGCCCGGGCCAGATCGTATCCAAGGTCTTAGACAAGGCCGGAAAGAGACTTACAACGCGTCCGTGATATCGGCAAGATAGTGAGGGAGTGAAGAGGGAGCGAATGGAAAGCGTTCAACGCATGTCATCAAGGCTGGGAGACGCGTGTGAAGGCTTGTTGGCGCACTGATGTACTCCGTACCTTGGATGTACTCCATAGGAGTAAGGGGGTACATTCATTGAGATGGCGTTTGCGGGCCGCCGAATGCTGCCGAGCATAGTTTGATCTCTTCGAGATTCCCGCAGAGGGCTAAACAAGGAGAAAGATGAGAAAGTACTATGTACTCGGTTAGTAGTTCCCATATGCTGAATGGTTGATGGAGCGCTGATTAAGGGCCCAGAAGCACAAGCAAGTGCAGATCTGGATGCTCGTCTTAAGGCTAGAACCGGTGGTAGAAGAAAGTGGGAAAGACTCAATGTCGAAAATGGGTTCAACTTGTGAAACGTGGCTGGGGATGTGGTCAGTGCATCAAGGCTCCGTATGCCTGAAACGCCATGGGCATCTTATCGATAATGCCGATAGGCGGATCTGGTGACAAGAAGTTCTTGACTTGCAGAATCTGAAGCTTTGACCTGCAGTCGTGGGAGTGGAAAGGAGGCGGCAAAAAAATCAAGAAGGGGGAGGAAGCTTCAAACGCGTCGAGCGTGTATCAGAACGTTGGCGTGTAGCCAATAAGCGACCAAGGCTTTAGGGTCACGTGAAAGGCTAGGGGTTGGTGCGGGACAAGCCGTTTCGAGTCCCAAAGTGGATGATAGAGTCTGCAAGGAACATGGCAAGGACTTAGTTGTGCCCTGATTCCAGCCTAGCTGATCAATATCAGGATAAGGCTGTCAGCTGCGTATTGTCATGGAGTATGTAGTTCTTGGACCCTGTGGAAATCATAGACCGAGCTGTGCGGCAGATCAATGCACATTCGCCTGTGAACAGAGCTGGGAAGCTTCCGATAAGACCGAGAAAAGAGTACCGCAAGTGGACTTCCAAGACCTGAGACCAACGCAGGAACACAACCTGCGACCAAGGAAAACTCTCATCAGTGCATGAAGCCAAGAAGCAACGGATACGTGAGGCAAATCCACGGCTCAACCGGTACGGTGGCTGATTATTGAAGAACGAGTCTATGTAAGTATTCTTCATTACATTCGTTCGCTTGCTATACGCACGCTGGACAGACCAATTCCGGTGTCCCACCCTGCTCTCCACGGCCTTGTCCCAAGCACGCTTGATGGTACAGATGCCGACATGAAAAGATCACCAGAGGTCCCAAGTCCTCCTGCTCGGGCACATCTTCCGCAATTGAGGCGTTATCGTCATCGTCACCACTATTCTCGGTCGACCCACGCGAACTCACTCCCACAGCAGCTTTGCCCTTTCCGCGCTCACCGTCATCTTCTTCAAGCTGGCTATCTTGCACCGCCTGTCTTCGCCTCGCCAGTCTAACGTGCTCCTTCCGCTGCCACTCTTCCCATACTCTCTGACCGATTCCTGGTCCCCAGACGCGCCGGCGACATACTTCACACACCTGTCCTCGGGGCCTCCACCCATGCTGCCTAAGAGCACTCACATCGTCAAGCTGCACAAAGACATCCTTGTCAAGCATTGCATTCGAGAGCGCCAGGATCGACTGCTCGTATGCATATGCCGAAAAGATGGACGCGATCACGTTGCGCAGCTCTGACAGTGAAGGGCTTGCTTGCGCCGCCTGAGTAAGGAACGCCCGCAGAATTCGTAGAAAAACCATGTCCTGACTACCAGCCCCATCCCTCATCGAAGTCGTGCTGGTCAGCAACACCGTAAAGACTTGCTGAACCGTATTGCGCAGCGAAGTCGTGACTTCGGCCTGTGTCTCGTCCGCCTGCTCACTGGTTGACCGTGTTGAAGTGACAGACGAATCTCGCGCTATTGACACCACAGACAAGATCAGGTCTAGCCAAAGAGTCTCTTCGAAGGACAAGGGCCGTGCCGCACTTGCTGCACGTTTCGGTGACTTGGAGACGGTAGGCTTTGGTGCATTCTTCATCTGTCCTTGGCACAGCCAGACGCCGACGAGCGCATACTTTTTGATCGACTCAAGCACGCCTGTAGCGCTGTGCTTGATGGACGCGTCGTCGGGCTGATCGGGAAATTCGGATGTAAGCGCGTGGAGCGTGGAGCTGAGGAAGGAAAGATGCCTATTCAGTCGATCCATGGCTTCTTTGACATGTCCTTGCCGAACTTGTAGAATGACAACAGCATCGATGATGCCGCTATCTTCGATGGTTGGCAGGACCTCCTCAAGTCTGATATCGCCTTCTTTCACATTCTCGACATAGTCCTTCACATGTGCAGGGTCGAACTCGCATAGAAGCCGGACATACAGCTCCACGAGCTCGTTATCATAGTTCTGGTGCCGGTGCGCTTGTTCCTCGGGCTCCAACAACGTTTTGAGGTACTCGTACCCACCGTAAGAGTCGTTAGCAAGGGCTTGAAGACATAGGCGGTGCATGTCCGCTGCAACAGCGTCGAGTGTCATTGCGGTCGTCGAAATGTCGATGTTGATAAGATCCGGGATGTGCTCCTCGATGGTCTTCCTGACTTCGTGCCTTTGTTGCTCGGTGAGAGACGATCCAGGGCGCAGGCAAGCAAGTATGGCTGGGAATACCTCTTGCTGATCCTCGTCATCAAGAAAAAAAGTGTGGATCATCTCGGAGTAACGGCCTTCCTGTTTGAAGACAGATTTGAGGACGCGATAGAACCTGGCCTGCTGAAGGAGTGGGACCAGACTGAGTATGCTCGGTGGCTGAAAGACCGACAAGAGATATTCCATGCTCAGCTGAGCATCTTCTTGCATATCGTCCTCCGGATACTGACAAAGTCGGTTGAAAATCTCTTGCAGAACCGTACCCGAGAGCACGATGTATTGGGGATATTTAGCCAAATTTCTTGCAATGAACATGTCCAGATAGATGGTCTCATCCGGGTCGAAATCAGTGGACATTACTTCAAGCAATATTCGTACGATATACTGGCGTGTATAGATGTGCGTATTCAAGGGTGTCCGTTGACCTAGGCTGGCTGTTGAGTCAGCGTCGCTGCTGTTCAGAAAGTTGTCCTCGAAGGCTTCGTTCATGGCCGCAATAAACGCTCCTGCCTCAAAATGCAGTACCCGAGACAGATTTTCGAAAGAGTCGGCAGACTTTCTTCTAACTGATGATTTGGGTGTCGTCGACACCCCATTCGACGTTGACTTCCCAGAGAAGAAATAGTCATACACCTGATTTTGGGCCAGCCTAGACTCATCGCCTTCCATAACTGTACCCGTTGGGTATATGCGACTCGTCAAGATGAACGAAATGTAGGGGAAGATCTTTTGCGCTATGCTATAGTGATCACTCGCATCGCCGTTTTGTTGTTTCGAATTGTCATCGTCGGCATCGGCAAAGTCAAGGAGTAGGCTCAACGGTGTTTCGAAGTCGCGCAATGCCATCGTCCACACATAAATGTATGCGTCATACAGCTTGTAACGCTTGCAGAGACTTGTCACTTGGTCGAGATCCATTGTTGACGTGTCCAGCATACAGATGATTTCTTCTAGAGTTGATGGCGTATGTGTTATGACAAAGTGATCGATCAAAGTCTTCAGTGCAGGTGGCGGTATGGACAACACCGTTTGATCAAGGATGTATGGTTCCAGGATGTTCACAAAAAGCGGTCCGTGGTCATTGTCATCGTACCAAGCGAAGACTTCTTCGAAAAGGAAGTCTTGATCTTCCATGACCAGACAGGCCTTGATGCATGCGTCGGCCAATTCAATCATCTGAGGCTTCTCGATGGGCTCATTGCCTGCTTGCTGATTCTTCCCAAATGCGTATTTCAGCGAAGCTGTCATCATTTCGGTTAGCTTGTCGCGAACCATGTCGGAACGAATATTGTCTTCCTCAGGAAGACCAATCGTCGCTTTCTCGCCTTGACCCAAATAATACTTGGTTGCAAGTCGAATTGCGCCAATGAAGTCTCCAATGTTCATCAAGGCCAGAAGGCGGTCGGCCCAATTTGTCAAGGCGCCTGTCCAGATGTCATTTACACCAAGCAGGAACAACCTGCCTTTGTATGCTCGAAAGCTCATGTGAAAAGCATCCGCCACTACTCCATGCATGGAGGCGTCTTCTTCGTCAAGCGACTCAATGATAGCCTGCAGTTGTTGCGAATAGAGGTCCGCATGGTAGACATTCTTACTCAACAAATCGAACGCCTCTGTCACATGCATCGTAAGATCTTCGATTATGAGCAATTGCTGGGTAATGGTCAAGACTGCCATAACAGACTTGTTCAACCACTGTACAGCAACAATTGCCTCGTCGGACTGAAACCTGCTGCGCGCCAGGAACTGCAGTTCTGGTGGCTTCTCCTTGCCCATATCATCCTCGGATTGTACTTCATGAACTTCCAGTACGGTAAGAACATTCGACCAGGCATAAACGAGCTTCGTCTTGGAAATCTCGGACTCTTGTGACTTGAGCTTGATGGCCGGAAACCAAGCAAGTGCGGCAGTCATGGCACTGTGAGCGGCCACGTCCCTGGGCCTAGCAGCCTTGTGCTGTGTCTGGGCAACAGGCGTGGTAGACACTATTACCAGCAAGTATGGAGTCATCATCGCTACTAATCCCATGGTGTCGGTTTTCTGCTCGATGTTCCCCAATGGCAGCGGAGAAAAGGCCAAGACTGAGCTTTTCTTCAAAGGCTTTGTCGAACGAGACACCAACTCTGGGTATCTTCCCAGTATGCGCGTGGTGCGAACAGCACGGCCAACAGCTCCCATTCCTCGAGTTGCGAGATGAGAGAATGCCATTCCCTTGTCGTCGGCGGAGACGAGTGCCGTGTGCCGATAGCCCAGAAATCCCACATGCACGACAGCACTACCCAATATGTGCCCATCACCCTTCCTTGCCTGCGGTTGTGAATTATCGATAGGCTGAATATGAAGGAATGGGCGTGCAGTGCGGGCCAACTCCCATGTGAAGATGTGACCTGTAGCATGCCCTACCGCGACCGTCGTATGGTCGGCAGATACTGCCAGAGCCGTGACGGCGCCACTCTCTGCCGCCTTTGTTCCACTGCCGATGATGGCTTTGTGATTCTGCTGATGGTCAAAGACCAACACGATGCCCTTGGAGGTCCCTACAACGACCTGGTCTGCAACGGCTAGACATGTCGGACTGCCAAAGTTTCTCCTTCCAATTTCCGAGAACGCCTGGCCTGTGATCTTTCTGTATTTAGTCCACCTTATAACGTCCCATGGACTAGTGGTATCATCTGGTTCGGACGGTGTCTGGAGACCCAAGCTCGCAATCGAGGACCGACGGGAATGTGACCCAAGAAAAGCAGGTGAGCTGGACCGAAGCGGTGACAAATTATAGCTGGATAGACGAGACTGGAATCTCAGATCGAAAGGTCGGTGCACGGCTGAGGGGCTGCCTCTTCTGGATGGGCCGCGGAATGAGGCGGTTTCACTGCGAGGTGATGATAGAAGCGAGTCTCGAATCGACGGGGTATCATCTGGGGTTGAGATGGATCCATCTGCACTCAAAATATTGTCTTCGTTGTGTAGATGTGCGAGAGGGTCTCCGCCGTTGGAGGGCAATGGACTCGAGTTTTCCTCGGCTTGTATGTGACTGTCCCTCTTCTCCCTGGATTCGTCTTGCCTGGGCGAGAAGTAACTATCGTCCGCGGCATCGTGTGCTGGAGGCACTACATCCGGAACGTCTGCATCTATGTCGTCCAGTGCCTCGCCCTCGTAATGCTCGCCGGTATCATGCTGGTCTTCATCACGAAGGATTTTCTCGCCCGCATCTGGGGTCGAGCTCATCGAGGAATTCTTGTCGAGATCATCGCATCAATGAGCGTTCGTCTTTTGACATGCAAGTGTGGCTGGAATGTCTTTGCTGTACACGGTCGATCTCGAATTGCGTGCGTAGGAAGTTGGCGGAGGTGTTGCACAGATCCTTGTCAGGCTGCACGCAAGCAAGTTGCTTGGGGTGAAGGATCAGAGGGCGTGCAATAACACGGATACGTGGAGAAACACAATGGACGCTTGCAGATGATATTAGGGAAGCTAGATGAGGATGTTTACAGGTGACATTTCGCGATTATGGATTGCGCAGCCAATGTTTTGTATGCAATGCATTCACCCAGTGGCAGCATGTGGAGTTCATAGGTAGCAGCAGGCCCTGTTATTGTGCTTGACCGTACATGTTTCTCTCGGGAGGAGTATACTACTGCGTATCACTTTGATTTCCGTGATAATTCAATGATATTCCCGCCAAATAGCCGAGGCGGAACGTCAGTTGCTGGTGGAAAACTCGGAGCAGCAATCCGTGCCCAACCTAAGCTGCGCCGCGCCTACGCATTGCCCATCCAAGCACCAGTTATCACTGCACCTCGGCATCGCCCTTCTGCCAGCCACTGCTGCTTGCGATTGCGCGTGCTTTCATCTCGAATCATATGTCAGCCCAAAGGAAACCCACCTCCACCATTCCATCTTTTTCTCCGCAATCACCTTCTCCTCTGCTTCACCAACCTGACCTCACCTGCTGCTCATCATAGGATCCCCTGGTCTTTGGATACATTGCGGTCGAGATCCGATTCTAGCTGACACCTTCCGCGCATCAAGATCGCCAAAAGACGAAAGAGAATGGTTGAGATAATATGACGACAGTCTCGCCGCCCAAGCCTTGGGAGCGCGCTGGTACTGCAGGTAAAGCTGCTTCAAGCCTTCTCAGAACATCATACTGACACCAGCGCAGTGCCCTCTGGGACGATCACACCCACAACCTCATCAATCATGACTGCGCCACCCTCACTTCCTTCATCAGACCCCTCTGGTGCCAACCCAGCGCTTCCCGACAGACCCTCAACATTAAACAATGTAGTCAACCAGACTGCTTCCAATTACGCGAACCAGAACCGGTTCGGTACGGGAATGAACACGGGCATCGGTACCGGCATTGGCACTGGCATCGGTTCGACACCATATTCCTCTCCGTACTCCTCATATTCATCACCATATAACCGCTTTGGCGGCGGGGGCATGTATGGTGGAGGGATGGGTGGAGGGGTGGGTGGAGGGATGTATGGCGGAGGTTTTGGAGGATATGGTGGCGGCATGGGCGGTGGCATGTACGGCAGCGGCATGTATGGAGGAGGGTATGGCAACTACCCTGGCATGCCTGGCGACCCAAATCAACAACAGAGCCTTACGCAAACGTGGAATCAAAGCACAGCAGCGACATTTCAGATTATGGAGAGCATCGTTGGCGCTTTTGGTGGATTCGCGCAGATGCTAGAGAGCGCGTACATGACGACTCATTCCTCCTTTTTCGGTAAGCATTGCATACAGCATAATGCTCAAAACTTGTGCTGATTATGTTGCAGCGATGGTCTCAATGGCCGAACAACTGGGTAATCTACGGCAGACACTCGGCTCCGTATTAGGGATATTCACCTTGCTGCGCTGGATGCGCACTCTTCTGGCCAAAGTCACAGGCCGCCCACCACCAGCCGATGCCACGGCACTGACCCCAGCAAACTTCTCAGCTTTCCTGTCCGGCGGATCTAGCGTGCCTGCCACCCTACCCGATGGCAGCCCCGCCCCTGCTCGCCCCTCGAAGAAACCCTTTATCATGTTCGCCATCGCCGTCTTCGGCCTACCCTATCTCATGGGCAAACTCATCCGCGCCATGGCTCGAACGCAAGAAGAAGAAATGCGACGCCAGCAAGAACAAATGGCGCTATCACAAACAAATCCCAATGGGGAACAAGTCCCCATTGACCCCCGGAAACTCGACTTCTGCAGAGTTCTCTACGACTACATTCCCGCCCCAAATTCCGGTGGCATGGACTTGGAAGTCAAAAAGGGCGACTTTGTGGCCGTCCTTTCCAAAACAGACCCCATGGGCAACGCTTCCGAATGGTGGCGCTGTCGAGCACGGGACGGGAAACAGGGATACCTGCCCAGCCCGTATCTAGAACCTATCCAAACACCTGCACAACGACAGGCACAGATTACCGAAGGTGTCGCAGCCTCGGCGCCGGGCAGTCGGTCCGCAACCATGAGCGGGACGGAACCAATGAACGCCGCGAAGAAGTTGCTCGAGGAAGGCGATAGGACCAAGAGTATGAGCTCCATGTACCCTGGGTTGGCCGGTTTGAACACCCAAACTGCCACGGCCATACCAGCCGGTGCCAAAGGTCCGGAAGTCAAGGGCAAACCAGGCGACATTTCAGCCGAGAGTTTCCAGAAGAGCGCGTTTTATTCTTGAAATGACCACGGTGTAAATATTTCTCGATCATGTGGGATTTTATAATTGAGCGATTTTTCTCTGTTTAATCTGCCTCTATTGCTTTGCTAAAGGCGCAGAAAGGCTTGCCTGGTTCTGTGCAGCATGCGCTGCGTAGCAGGCGGCTGTGACGGCGCGCGAAGGGAAAGAGTCGAAAAGTTGACAGCAAGGGTGATGGATCGCTGCTGATGAGGAGAAGAACTACATATGACCATCTCATACGAACTTGAGGGTCGGGTCGGGTCGGACACTCATCACAGATACCTAGGTAGATATGGGCAAGATATGGTCAGGCAGGAAGATGTATAAGCGACAAGGTATAGCCACAATAATATATTGAAGGGAAGCAAGGCATTGTACCTCGACTCAAACCCCCATCTATGCCATCGTAGCCAGTACCCCAAAAGAATGCAAAGATCCGAGCCCCTTTCCTTTTCCTTTCGTTTTCCTAGCATTTAAACAAGCAAAGCAGACAAAAGACATTCGCAGATCGTAAAATCCTGTCAAAGATATCGCGTGATGATCCAGAAAGTTATGAAAGGAGTGATTTCGAACGCTTCTGCAGACCCAAAGAACATAATATAAAACGTAGCGTCATTAGCAGTAAGCAAATCGAATGAACAATCAGCAAAGAATCGCGGTGAAGCAAAAGCAAGCAGAACCAGTCGGCAAACAATAGTGGTAAAGCAAACCAAAATAGTAAGCAGCAAGGAGCGTTTCAAAACAATGCTGCAGTCCAAGCTTGATGCAAGATGTGGAACAGCGAAGTGTAATGGAACCGAACGAAGAAGGAGCTCCAGTCATGGTCGTCGTTTTCGAGCTCTTGGTCCGTTGTGCAAGCATTCTCGCCTGGGTCCCTTGTGCTGTGGTCCATGTTGAGGCCGGTCAGGCTGCTCAGTTCGTATTGTAGTCCGAAGTCTGTTATGGAAGACTTTTGTGGGCGGTTGTCTGTCGTCTCAGCGCCTCACGCGTTGGCGGCGTGGAGGAGTTCGACTGGCTGTCTCATTCTCCGAGCTATCACTATCAGGCGTATCAGTCCCGTCGTCGCTACTGTCGTCATCACTTGAGGACATTCCGCCCCTGTCGGACCGACGACGAGCACCGTTGACGATGAGTGGACCTGTCGAGGGCGATAGAGACCCGCTGTCACTTGCTCTGCCACTGCCCTCTCGAGCTTGTCGACCACGTTGCGCAGCTTGGTGCTTGCTAGTGGTGATGGGTTTCGTCGTGGCCTTTTCCTTCTGCGAAGCCATGGCGGCCGCTGGCATCCTAGTGTCCCTTGGCAGCAGGACCAAGTTCTCAAAGTCGCCTTTTGTTTGCTTGACGCTGATCTTGCGGTCAGATAAGTACGCGCCATCTAGGTTGCGGACGGCGTGAAGGGATTCCGCTGGAGTTCTGTATCGCCCCCTGGCCGTTCCTTTGACTTTGCCTGGATTGCGGCTGTCCGGGTGGATTTCAAGGTAGATAAGCGAACCATAGCGTTTGAGCAGGTTCCTTAACTGTGGTTCCGATTGGTTGTGTGGGAGGCCCGATATGAAAATCGTGCTGCCATCGTTGATTGTGCGTGATGTAGCCGCGGCAGCTTGTGTTCCAGCTGGGGTCCCTGGATGATAGCCGTTGGTTGCGACCGGGGTGCCTGGGACGGTGGGTGATACGTGCAGAGACGTACTGGTGGACGTGTGGTAGGGTGATACTGTTTGGTAAGAGTATGCTACTGGAGCGGCTCGACCTTGCTGCCTGGTGTCTATGGTCGTGGGAGCGTAAGGCAACACCGCTGGACGTGCAGTGACGGGACCTTGTCTCATAAAAGGAACGTTGTAGACTTTAGAAGCAGGGGGAAGGGTTTCTGCATACCCAGATGGACTAGACCGTCATCAGTAGACAGTCTTCCGTCCGTAGGAATGTGGGAACATACCGCTCAGAACAAGATTGACCGGACGCCAGAGCTGCTGCCGGTCCCGGACAAGAGACCTTTGCGGAGACTCTAGACTCGAGTCTGGCACCAGAAGTTCTCTTTGGGCCTTCCAGGGTCTTCAACACTCCAGGTTTCTCAAGCACGGCCAGCGAGACACAAACGCCCTGGCCATTCCATCCCTGATTACAGAATTTCTCTGGCATGGTGGTCAGCATGAGGCCTTTGTTGCTGAACAGCAACTTACCATAGACCTGATTAGCAGCAACACGTCCTTTGATGGTGCAGTGTCCCAGTTGGCTCCCGTCCTGAAGCTCAAAAACTTCAGCCTTCAAGCTTTGTTCGCCGCCCAAGCTGCGTGTCATGTCTTTGAGCTCCTGCCACCGGCAATGGCGAGGAATCTAGGGTTATGTTAGCCTCGACGTGCATTCCCACACATAAATGGGACTCATACATCCTTGACCAAGATAATATACTGGTCTTCATCGCTGCTGGAATCGCGGTTGCGAGGACGTTCTCGAGGCATTTTCCCCATGTTGAAAGAAGGTCAAACCAGCGGCCTGAACGAAGATTGACTAGTGGTCGAATCTGGAAATGCTGTTTCTTCTTGTCCGATCAACTTGGTGATTCCAGTGAGGCCAGTGGATTTGACACTCTTGCTGACAGATCTGCTCACTACAGTTGTGAGGAAAAAGGATGTGAAAGTCTGCTTTTATAGACTTAATCTGATGCATACGGGAGGATGATTGCTTATTGAACATGAGATCGTTTGTTTCTTGCGGGGAAACGGGACGTATCCTCTTGCCTGGGTGGGTGGCGCCAGAGACAAGGCTATGACCGGTTGGCTTTGCAAGGGTGAAGTTGTTTTAGATCTTGGATGTCATTCAAACCTCGGTACCGGACCGTGTCGTTCGAACTGCAGATATGCGGCAGTCGACCACTCGATTGATACGTGATGAGATGTCGTGAGAACTACCGCCTTTCTTTACAACAAGGCAAGCAGGTTGAAGTTCGAGCACGGCTTTATATGCTCGCAGTCGCTTCTTTCTCTTCCTCAACAGAGGTACACAATAGCCATTAGACCGGGATGCTGTGCCTACCTCAGTGTATGATTGAAGACCTCTCATGGGCGCCCGAGTCCTTGGGCCTCTCATGGTGGAGACTGCGAATAGCCTGCTCCTGTCCAATGAACCTCGCCGTGTAAAGCGCTGGGAGGATCAGAGTTGCTATGAACCCATGCTCACCGAGAATCTGATATATCACCTGCATATGCAGCGGAGGGTTGACCATTAACGCATGTACATACGATGAACGATAGTACTATGCCCTGAAAGGTACCCCTGGTAGTAGTCCAAGCTCGAAAGGGAAGTGGGAAGGCTTGATCGGGTCTCGTTCGGAATCATGACCCTTGTAGAACGTTGCCATCGACTATAAATGTGCCGAACTCGCTAATCTTGGTTTAGTCTGCAGTGTCGCCATAAACCAGCGCCGAGTAGATTGCGACATGTGGATCGAGAGACTGCAGGACTTACTGAGACTTGCGCAGATAGTGAATCTAACAAGGTGTGAAATTGCGTCCACTAGAATGGCGGAGGAGAGACAATTTGGGAAACGCTCCGGCCGGCTGAGAAGCAGAGAGAGTGCCACTTGGCGAGCTTCGACGTCTGTTTGCTGCTTGTGGGGGGGAGTCTAACGACGTGATTGATGGATCAAGCCATGCAAGGCCAGTTCACACAGGTGTTCGCACTGAGCCATTGGGGGCCACCAGAACTGGTATGGCCGGCTCTCGTATAACTTGCTTGTCTTCGCAACAATGAAAGGGGTTATCAGGCAGGAATGTTCAGAATGCTAGATGTTTGTTCCTACCAGGACCCTGGACGTTTTGCCCAAGGCGCTTTTGGCATGTCTCTTTCGATTAGAACATGGGGAAGTAATGCTAATGGTGTGTGCCCAGACATTCATCGAATGACCAATGCCGGACATTGTGACAGGCATTTCGAAGCCACCAGCATCCGACCGCGCCTGATGTGTTCAAGCCATGTTCCTTATATCCGGAAAAAATAGCCAGGGAAAAGTCATTCGGTCGTGGAATGGTCTTGCAGATGTGGCTTGTCGTGGGGATCCGCGAGACGAAGCTCATGTAGAATGGTCATTTCGGGGGCCCCTGCGGCGTAGTGAAGTTCGGTACCAGAACTCGACATCCGCGAAAAGAGAAATTAGCGAGTCAGGACCGGAAGATCGAGTCAGTGGCTTACAGGGAAGCTTCAGGCGGGAACGGGAAAGAGTCGTGCTGTATTGACAGAGCGCGCAGGAAAGCCCACATTATTTGAGGTATTTGATGAATGGATTGGTACGTGGATGGTTTGTCGTCGGTGAAAAGGGTCCCTTGTTGATACTTGGTGACACCCGCGTTATCCCCGGTGGCCGCCTGCATGACAGTTGCTTCATCAGATTCGTGAAAGGTCCGAATCTCGGTACGCATCATCACACAGAGATTTGATCTGGTGAAGCAAGATAATCAGCCTGGTCAAGATCCGAACGAACCGATCAACACGGAGATCCGAAATCTGGGTACAGCCGGCAAAGCCCAGCCCACCATTAAGATATGCCAGATCTGACCAAGTGGTGGCAGCGGGTACTTGCACGAACACGAAGAGGTGGTGACAGAGTTTGTGACTGTGAGATGGAGGTTTATTTGCACATATTCCCTACAGTCCCATTCGTCCATCGGTTTTTCTGGAGGATCGTCGATGTGCACGGTGTCACGCTCTGCACTGTCACGAGCGGTAGAAAACAAGAGTCAAGGGCGAGGCGAGACAAGCCACAAGATACAAGCTGCAAACCACCTCGAGGTGTCCAACTTTCAGGGACGGGGAAGGCCTAAGGAGCCTTAGGCTGCTGCAATTCAAACAGCGCTGTGGGTGTACGGTAAGAATGTGTCGAGGTGTAAGTGAGATGTAATATCGAGAAGTAATATAGGTGCAGTCCACAGGCGGCAGGCGCCAACACCGCCCATCTGCCGAGGTCTTGTTTAACTGCTCGCGACTCCAGTCCGATCCGGAAGGAGGGCGATGCCGCCCTTGCTCACTCCCAACTCCTGCGACCATTCATCATATACTGTAGCATAGAGCTGCACAAAAGCAGCGTCGCAGGATCGGTTTGGTCCGCTCTAGCATCAAGCATCAACTACCTTACTCGATATCGGATTTTTGAGAAGCCCCTACTTTCATCTCGCATGTTTGTTCCCGACCTCATGATGTCGTCCTCCGGTTGCTCAGTCTCGCTCAAGGCTTGATGATGTAATTCACCCTACCCGACGACACACTGAGTGATGCCATCTACGCGCCGACTGCCTACCTCAATCTAGGACACCAGGCTAGATTCCTGTGCATGAGCTCTATGCCTCTGTTGCGGGACGGAGGAATTAGATTGAGGGCATTTTCCAATAACTCGACGTGAACACACCACAACGACCCTTGCACAACTTGACGCAGCTGAGGTCTAGAACACCGCCACTGTTACGCAGCCTCACACTCCTCCGAAGGAGTGATCCGGGGTATGCCCAGCGTGATCCGCATGAATACCTCATGAGATGAATGCCGAACATATGAGCAAATGAAACGCTGCGGGTAGCCAAGTCACGACACCGTGGACATGGCGGCATACTCAAGGTGGGAGGCGTTGACAATGTATCCTTGGTGGTGTTGGTAGCGACATGGTCCTCAACCTAGAGTCTGCGCTGCCGGAGGCTCCCTCGGAAGCCGTTACTCCTTATAGAATGAGGGGGCGTCAAGATTCACAGCAAGGACCAGGCGGACTGTCGACATAGATGCCCTCTGAAGGATAATATATATCTCATGGCTCTGTGGGTACAAGGCTTCAGTGCCTCCCCTCGAAGTGGGCTCGACACTGGAGTCCAGGACGGACACGAGAAGATCGCGATCGAATGGTCCATGTTAAGAGTCCATGTAGCCTACAGCCTATAGATCGTTCGCTGCCATGGCCTGGAACATTTTGTCGTTACACCACGCCATGGGCGTCCGGAAATAATAGTCTCCCTGAATCACCTCCACCGCTTTGCCTACACAATCCTTACCAGCGAACGCCGTGCCGTTCGAGTCCTTCATATCTTTACCGTCCACAAGCTTGAGGACCACGTCCACAATAGCAGAAGGGGGTGTGAAAAGCGACGAGTCAAATCCGGCCCACTCTTCTTTGGTGACCAGATTGGTTGGGACAGGGGCTGGCAAGACGGTGTTGACCCGGATCCCAAAACGTTGTTTGTACATCTTTGCTATGCTCCAGCAGAATCCCAAGACTCCAAATTTGGAGGCCGCGTACATGGGCGCCGAGTCGAGCGGGTAGACGCTGCCTGCGCTCCCCGTCATGACCAGGTTGGTACCTTGACCTTTGCTGGGGGACAGTTGGAAATAGTGGCTGGCCAGATAGCTCTGGTTGATGACGGATTTGAGGTTCAGGTCCACGGTCAACTGATTCACCTCGGGAGGCGCTTTTGTGTCTTTCGCGACGGCGTACAAATCGCCAGTCTCCTTGATCCCAGCATTGGCATAGACGAAATCTAGACGACCCTCAATGTCGAAGATCTTCTCAAATGCTGATGAGAGAGAGGCGTAACTGGTAACGTCGGTCTTGTGGAAGGTCACTGTCGACCCGAGACGCTGTACAACTTCTTTGCCACGTTCTTCGCTGACGTCGAGTATGTGAACGTTCCAGCCGCCCCTTTTCGTCAACTGCGTGGTCGCCTCCAAGCCCATGCCGCTACCTATATATAACATTCAACAGTGAGTCATTCATCCCATGTGCAGATGAAAAGTTATCTTGGGCTTCACGAACCTCCGCCCGATATCACCGCAACCCTTGGCGTGTCTGTCATGGTGGGTTTTCTTTCTCCAAAATTGAGCACTGATGGTGCTGTACCAAGTGAACCAAGTGTCGATAGAGACTCTTTTCTGGCACTTCAAGTGTTTTTGTTTAGATCGGATCGACGGATCAATTATTTGTCTACAGGTCCATGCCATGTACACTAATAAAAGGGCCAGAAGGCTCCCCGAGGCCCGACTGTTCGAATCCGATCCATACCCCACCGGTTGTAAGCCCAGCACCAATGACCCACATTCTGATGTCCACGGAGACTCTCGCCAATATTGGTACGTCCACGGCCATCATCAGCTCCAACAAAATGGTATCCCCGGCCTCGGAGTTCTGGCGTCTAGTCGTTTGTCCAGGGGAAAGCCGCCAAGGCGAGGGCTTATGGCGCCTGCCTGCAGGATGCCCGTCCCCATTGACTTCGTTCCCCTTTCCCTTCCAGAAACAAAGGGTAAGACACCCTTATCATGGCTGTCACTTCGCGGCTGTGAACTGGAGTCAAAAGTGGACGAAATTTACAAAACTACGATTGCGCACTAAGGTTTTTGTAGTGCATGGACACAACGGGACAGTCCCGGAAAATCATGTAAAGATTACACTCTCGTGTATCTGTTTCATCTGTTGTTTCATCTGTATACTTCACGACTCTAAGATTCAAGTAGAGCTTCACTTCCCATCACGACTTTCACAGATATTCGTGTCTCCCACCAGCAAGTCCATAGCATGAATGCTTTCATGAGGTGTCTTGTTGATAGGGCAACGGCTCTCTAGGCCTGATGTAGGCGTCCAGGCCCTCCTGTGGCACAATCCAGCCAGGTTTGAACTTCCATTGGGAAGGGTCAACTAATTCAATCTCGAATCTCCTGAAGAATTCTGGAATGAACTTGGTCATCTCCAAAAGGGCGATGTGCCTGCCAATGCACATGCGGTTGCCGGCACCAAAGTGAAAGCTCATGGCATCCATTCGATAGATTGCCTCTGTGGTATTGTCGATCCATCGTTCTGGGCGAAACTTGTCGGCGTCCTCGCCAAAGACTCCCCGGTCTTGATGAATCGTCCACGCATTGCACCCGATGACGGTCCCCTCGGGGATGTACTGACCACATAAAGAAACACCTCCTGGAGGGACCACACGGGGAAGTATCTCTCCCAGGGCCGGGTGGCATCGCAGGCACTCCTTGATGACCGCTTGGAGATATTTCATGCTGTTGCCCTCCTGCCATGTGATTGGCTTGGTGGAGTCTGCCATGCCCTCACGAGCCTTGAGGACGTCCTTGAGCTCGTCCATGAACTTCTGGAAGACCTGTGGATGCGTCATCATGGAGTAAACAACCTGCCTCAGTGCGATGCCCGTGGTGTCTGAGCCTGCAGCCACGTTGGTGTTGATCAGCTCGTAGAGTTGCGGTTCGTCGATGATTTCCGGCCACTTCTTAGCCGAGGCAACGAAGCGAGTGGTGAAGTCGATGTTCTTCGAGTCTGGATGTGCCATGTGGTCCTGGATCTGCTTGACGGTGAAAAGCACAACATTGGTCGTCGCTTGGCGGATACGTAACAAAGGATTCTTGATCCGGAACCAGTAATCAATTGCAGGGAGTTGCCCGATAGTTCCGATGTACTCCATAGCCTTGCCAGTGTGGTGCATCATGTTGTCCAAGTCTGTGCCTGACTTCAAGAAGCCAAACTGTTTGCTGAAGGTCAGCTCACCGATGATGTCAAATGCGTACATTTGGAGCCATTTATCCAGCGGACAGGTCGCACCAGTCTCTGCGAAACGTTTATTGACCTGATACATGAACGTCCGGGAAGTCGAATCCACTAGGGGCTCGAAGTCCTTAATCGTGGTCATCGCATAGGCATGGGCGATGGCTCTTTTGAGCTTCGAGTGCCGCTCCTCATCCAAAACTGCCGAAATATTCTCGACCATAATTCCTTCCTTGCTGAACTGATTTTGGCAGAGGTAATGATCACTCTACAGTGGCCGTCAGTACAACGAGACCGACTAAGCTGAAAGTTGTCATGCGCGGCTCCACGTACCTTTTTAAAGACTCGTTTCCAGCCGTAAATGACGCGAATAGACTCTGGATCCGAGCAAGAGACATAGTTCGGACCCATTCGTAGCAGAGGTGAGTCGTATTTCTGATGGAGCTGGTATTCGGACGTTGACTGCCCGCTACAGACATGGACAAAGTTCCACAGGTCCGAGATGGAAGCCCAGAAAGGGCCTGGAATCTGGTTTAGTCCTTTCTGATATTTGTTGCGCAGGCAATAGACGACGACAAGAGCGCAGATGATGAGAGGCGCGTACGCCCTTGCGACGCCTGCCAGCTCGCCTAGCAAAGCCATGATGATTAGAGTTTATTTCCAGGCTGACGACAAGTCTGGATCAGTGTCTACGACTGATATCACAAAAAGATTCATTCTGTGCCGTGGCGCCTTTAAGGAACCAAAGCGCCTTACTACGAGGAAGTGTCCTGCACGGCATGCCTCATCCTCCGGAGTAATTTGGCGTTCCCGATCTCCGAGCGGACCATCCTAAGATTCTTCTTGGGGTAAACAGTGAAAGGAGGCAACCTCGGAAAGGCTGAGTGCAACCTTGTGGAGCTTTCTCCGGACCATTTACAGTCGAGCCATATTCAGGGCTGGTACCGGTGGTCTAGACCCCCCTGTCGTACATCGAGCCATCACCGTGGAGATACATTATGATTGGTCATTTCCAGGTCGCTAAAGTCGCCCACCTCCGCAGGAGTTCCGCCCCATTTCCCCGTGGAGAACTCCCCCGCCTGATAGCGCAGGATCTGGGGGATGGACTGTCACGCACACACAAAACACAGACGTTGCACCTCCGTTGAGGACCCAAATCCCATACTTTTTTTAATAGTCAATGGGCATTCCTCATTCCTGTGATATCAAACTGGATATGATCGGCCCTTCGTCTACATAGGAACACTGTTCCTTTGATTGGAACGCTCTTCTTTGCCTCTTCTTCTCCCCATCATATTTGAGATTCCAATTCGCGCAGGTCATCACCACCACTCTCAGGCACTGAGGCTATACCCAGCAGAATACATCGGAGAGTGTGCAGGGTCAACTCAACATGGCTGGGGTACGAGAAGTTGACAGTAGGGCTCACTACCGCCCCTACACGGTCTTTGTCATTCTGTTCATGGCCATGGGCTCCGTCACCTTTGGCTTCTCAGCCGCGAACATCGGTATCACTCTCGGCCAGCCGTCCTACATCAAATACATGGGGCTCGCCACGGCGAAGAATGCTAGCGCCCTGATCGGCGGCATGAACGGCGCCTTCTACGGTGGTGGCTTTTTCGGCTCCTGCTTCCATGGCTGGGTTGCCAATAAATATGGCCGCAAGTGGTCCATCGCTATCGGCTGTATGTTTGTGCTCGTCTCAGGGGGCATTTTGACTGGATCCGCAAATGTGGCCATGTTTATCGCATTTCGATTCTTCAACGGATGGGGGTAAGCTTTCTTGATATATGTCCATTTCCATGCACAAGCTGTTCCGCCCCTCTCCATTTGACAGTCCTGGGTTGACGTTCGGTGTTTTTGATACAGGTGCTTCCAGCTACTGGCAGGCGTTCCTCTGTGGATCACCGAAGTTGTCCCTCCCAAGGCTCGCGGCATGCTCGCAGACATCCACGCCGTTGGATTGAACACCGGCTACACTGTCTCCGCCTATGCTGGCGTCGGCTTCTTTTATACCCATTCGGCTTCGGCATGGCGGCCACCGATCGCCTTACAAATGGTGCCACCCTTGATCGTGCTCAGCGGCATTTACTGGATTCCCGAATCCCCACGGTGGCTGCTGACCAGGGGCCGAGATCAGGAGGCGTGGACCATCGTGCGTCGGCTACACGTCAGCCTCAAGGATAAAGACGACAGCTTTGCCCAGGCGGAGTTCCGACAGATGAAGGCTCAGATCGAATTCGAATCTACCCTCGAGAGTGGTTATCTTCACATCTGGAAGCGCCCTTCATACCGAAAGCGAGCCTTCATGACGGTGTATTTGACCTTCTCCATGTTTACGACTGGCATCTTGGTGGTGAACAGTAAGCCTGGACCCCTTCTTCTCCCCCAACAGGAAATCAACCCATCTCTAGTATGACTGTTGTATTACCTCAAGTTACTGACTACCAAATCTTCGCAGCATATGGTGCTACCATCTATAAAAGCTTGGGGTACGACGACGCAATTGGTTTACAATTCCAAGCAGGTAAGTCCAAGTCCACAAAGACTAACTACCCGATCATTAGCACCAGACTCCAGAAAAAGGCTCACAAGTTCAACAGGATATGTATTGTGCTGTCTGGTATTCAACATCATCGCCATGACATTTGTCGATCGGGTCCCGAGAAATAAGCTGATTTCGTTCGGTTTCTTCTGCGTCATGACCTGTCTCATCGTCGAAACGGCCCTCCAAAAATACTACATTGGCACCACGGACAAGGCCGGCCTGATTGGCGCAGTGGTAGTCATCTTCGCCTTTGCCACATCTTTCTCCCTTTTCATGGATGGACCCTGTTACTTCTACATCGCCGAGATCTGGCCCACTCACCTACGAGCCTATGGATACACGCTGGGCATCGGGGCGTTGGCGGTCACGAACATCATCTGGCTAGAGGCCGCGCCGACGGCCTTCGCGAACATTGGGTGGCGATACTACATCTTCTTCATCATTTTCTGCGCCATTGCGTGCGTCACATCATTCTTGGTTTTCCCAGACACGTTGCACAAGCCCCTGGAAGAGATCGCAGCCATGTTCGGTGATGACGATCTCGTCATGTTGTACCAGCGCGACCTCGTGGCGGCAGGCAGCGACAGCGGCACCTCCGAGAAGCACAATGAGAACGAACCTGAGAATGTTGACCTGGGAGCGATTCCCAAGCCTCCAACCCAAATTCACGCGACTAGTAAGCATGTCGAGGAGGTTTGAAGACCCTGGGGAAGGAGACACTTGCTGAGATTGTGGTACAGGACACATTGAAGGGGATGCTGCTGTCTGAAAAGGTCGGGGAACAACTATTTCCCATGCATCGATTATGTCCCTCAGTGCTGTTGAGTGGAGAATGAGAGTAGTAGTTCCTTTAGAACATGGCTATCTCCTGACAGTTCGCAAGCCAGTTCAACCTCGCTGTCAGAGTCGTGGATCGATATCTTGATCAATATACTTTGTGCTCTATACATTATCTTTGATAGGCATTCGGAATTGATCGTTCCAGTCACAGCCTTTGTTACCGATCCAGCTAGTCTAGCCCGCATTCGTCGTTTGTGTCACCCTCCTGCTCTGCATCAAGACGTTTCCGATCATTATGCTGGTTGTGGGGAAAATGGATGAATCGTGGGTGATGTATGATGTATGACGCGGCGGTGGCTGCCGCAAAATGGGGGGAAGTATGGAGATTCTTTGAAGTTCACATGCGTGAGCATGTATATATATTCCTGCCCATTGACCTCATCTCTGATGAGGACTTCAAAAGAGATTTTAACTAGATCTTGCCCCTATCCAAAAACTTCTTAGGGACATCCACAGTAGTTGCGCGCAGAAACTCGACCACATTTTTTCCCAAGGTGTCGTAAGTCGAGGTGGAGGAGTAACCACGCTCCAAATGATCGTGGAGCAAGAAATGCACGCACTTCAAATGAGGCAACTCGAACCGGTCGATGGGTTTTCCCTTGTACTCTACCCGTAGCATTTCCTTGATCTTGTCCGTGGACAACAAAGTACGAAGCCAATCCCACTCATCATCGTGACGAACGAACAAGCCGACATTAGCATCTGTGGCTTTGTCGCCACTGCGGCCCATGACAACGTGACCTAGCGGCGCCCGGACGGTCTCGAATTGAGAAAGATCTATCGGGTCGCTAGTCTCGTAGGATTTTTGCTGACGAGGATGCGTGACGGTGTTCTTGGGCGCATCGATGTCAATGATCCGACTGTCATCGTATAAGAGGTGGACGCGGTGGTTGATTGAAGATTGCGGGAACAAGGCCACGTAGTATTCTTGGAATGGTTTCGGAACGATCTGGCGGAGGTCATTGCTGAGTGAGGCACCCTGTTCGTGAATAACAACACACTGATTAGCATTTTCTTTCCAAGATGATCCTCCATGGGGAAGCTGTCTTACCGGAGCGCTTTCAAGTATGCAAACCATGGTCTTACGTCCGAAGCTGTGGGGATTCTCCATGTCGAACATTTCATAGTCTCGGCCTTGGGCGAATATCTTGAAATCCACGGTCGCTGCGTCTTGATTCGGTGCATCCACGGGCGAGGTACCGTTTAGGTGGAACTTCAACAAAGACAGCTTCTCGGCCATATCGCCCAAGGATTCCCGCACATGTTCTTCGGTCCACCGTGCCTTCTCTTCCATGTCTAGACCGACAAAAAAGACGTGGTACTCCGCCTGCCAGCCCGCATTGGCGGTGATACCGACCTTAGTGGTAGGAGGAGGTGGAAGACCCTTGACACCCCAGAACCTTACTCTGTTCTCTTCGAGCTCCTCCACCTGGACATTCTCAATGTCGGCGGTCACATCAGAGTTGTAGTACAAGGGACCTTGGATTTCATAGATGAGCTGCGAAGTCACCAGGCCCACGTCCACTAGTCCTCCTGTGTCTTTCTCCTTGGTGACGACACATTCTCCGTTGTAGTCGACCTCGGCAATGGGAAAGCCCATGTCGAGATGTTTGTTGGCGCGCAGCATCTTCTTGAACCCGGAGTAATTGGCACCAGTTACATAACCAGAGCATTCGATCAAGTCTGCCAGTTTCGAGTTAGCTCTATCAATGATGCGTAAATAATGAGGAAATGGATACAACATACGACCAGCAACTAGAGCTCCAGCCAGCTCATGGATGTTATCGGCATTCCAGCCATGCCACCAGCTGTTTGAAGTCAGAGTCGGCGATACTGATATGTAACAACGGAAGGGGTCTCTCCAAAGACTTACGCAGCAGCGCCGACAGTTGGGGCAGCATCGGCCACACGGCCGCAGATGACGATGTCCGCTCCTTGTCGAAATGCCTCCGCGATGCCGAGACCGCCGAGGTAGGCTTGGGCAGATATAGGCTCGAATCCCCATGCATCCAGATTGATATCTTTGCCGCGATTGAGACTGCGAAACTTCTCGCCATTAGCAGAAAGTTCCTTGATCCTGTCGATGACATCGTCGCCTTCAACCCAAGCCACGTTCATAGGGTGGCCTACATTCTCGCACATTTGCTTGACCAAATGGGCGAGAATCTCTGTGTCACAGGATCCAGCATTGACGGCGAGCTTGATCTTGTTGCGTTTGAGATCAGGGATAGCCGGTTCAAAACAGTCGAGAAAGTTGACTGAGAATTGAGCATCCTGGAGCTGGTCGGCGAGGGCCGATTGCTTTGGGTCTTGGCTCTTGCCAGTGGCAAGACGTCGGTGCTTTCCCACGCCGTGCTCGGTCATGGTCATCTCTGCAAGCCAGTCGCCGACAATGACATCGACCTCGGCGGTACGTGCCATGCGGGGAATAGCATGCCGTCTATCAGAAAATCCTCCCGAAGCGCCTCCAATCCGGATGGGGCGATTGTGTGTCAATCCTGGAGACATGTTGAAGCTGTTCTTGATTCGCTAGTGGACTTTGCCTTCTCTGTCACTCGTCTGGGTTTAGTGACAAGCAAGCAGATGGAACAGTCACATAATAGTGCAGGGGATATACTATAATCAGCTTCACGAGGACATGCCGACCTCGAGATCTTTCTTTAGTTAACAGAGACAAGTCCTGTCGGCGAAACTTGCAGAGCATCACTTAAATGGAATGACTGTGGGTTCCTTGGAACGTTCCCGGAGGAAAGTGGATCCGGAGATGCGGTTTGACTGGAGATGTGAACAAATCCGGGGAATGACTTCGGGGAATATCTCCGGCTATAGCGGGGTTGGGCTTCTTTGCACTCAGTCCGGAGACGGGGATGCCAAACCCTCACGGCAAACTCATTGCCAGCGACTTCGCTTGACGACAGCCTCTTCGACGCCTCGGAATTGTTGCTTGGTGCCTCGCTGGGCTTCATTTCCCACCAGATGATCGGCGTGTGGCGCGCTGATAATGCTGATACCAATCGTGCCGTGCTCATGGCATGCCATGCCTGACAGGCCGGATAAAGTAGGCACCGTAGACGCCCTAGATTGACCCTGACTGCATCTCTTGTCCCCATGTACGTTCGAACGCAGGGGTTGAGGCTCGATTGCCTGACAACCGCAGGCCGAACCAGTTGACATGTAATTTGATACTCAGCACAATCCTAGCTGACTTCCAGTTGAAGCAACTCTATCCATTTCTAAGCCGTAATACTGTCCCATGACAATTTGTAATACTACACTGGCGTGTGTGGTGCCGATATTGGTATTGGGAGGTTTCTCAGAAGCTGCGATGCATCCCCCGTGGTCTTTTTTCTCCAGCTTGTTTCCACCTTCGCATCTGCCATTCTCTCCTCACGGCCGAGATCACCTCATAGCCGCGCATGGCGCTCTTAAAAGATTGAGCCATCTCTCCTAAGGCTTGTACGCAAATGCTGAGACCTTCTTGCGCCTGTCTTCCCCTTTCACCAGGAAACATGCAGGTATCATATGCATGCACCACTCCAGCGATCGTGGTGTTGTGGACAGATTGAAGATGAACATAGCGCCAGCTTTGGCGCCGCCGAAAGATGCGCAGCAAGCGGGTGATGGCGACCGCGGAGCGTGTGCACGTCTGACAAGCGTCCAGGGTGGCCTCGCTCTGCGCTCTGGGAGACGCCATGTCGCTGACAAAGGGCCGGTGCAGAAGAATTATTACAGCATGATACTGAATATGAAGCTGGATGACGACCGGCATCGGATCTTCTTTCTGCTTGTCCGGAATTGAATCTGACGTAGTGTCTACCTGCAGAGCCGGAGGCAGCGTTGCGTACCAGTCTTCCAACTCTGCAGACATGGATTGGGCAAAGGTCCGAACGTCGTCGATCGGTGAATGCACTCCAGTATACCTTTTGCTATCAGTCTTCCAAACACCGAATGATGATAAACCGTTGAACATACAGAAGGGCGGCGATGGTTCCCATCTTCATCGCTAGTTGAGCAAAACATGCTGGAATCAAACCCAATAGGTCGCCGCCGGGACGTGATAGTGGTCGAACTGACTCTCCAGCAACACCATATGCCGTCCATTTGTAAACGCCCGTTGAGGTGGGACTTGACACGTTATGTTTTATACTTGACAACAGAGACGGGCGGCCACTATAAAAGCCCCAGAATCTGTGTTAACATTCAGCAGTCAGTTTGGCCGGAGGGCTTAAATGTTTCGAAGTTCCCGGGGGAGACGAAAGACAACATACACTGAGGCAGTGAAAGCAGCCCAAAAGAAATTCTTCCGTCGGATGGTAACCTCTCTAGCCGAGAGGGCGTTGCTAAGGTACCTGGAGTCCACCTCTGAGCTGACATGAATTCCAAGATCGGTCACAACTTGGGCCATCATTCCTGCCACACATTGAGTAAGCAATGGACTGTATCGGCCAATCTTCCTTCGAAAGGATACGTACCCGCATATACCCAGCCTAATTCGTTCAAAGGTTAGGACCAGGAGCCAGAGAATCATGGGAATACTGTCGAGGGTACTTACCACGGGAATCCTGTCCTTGGGCGGCTTCGAAGCCTGAAAGGTTGAGAATTGCCTGGGCAGTGGCAATTGTAGGGCTATCCAGCTCAATATCGAGATAGGTTTTTGCTCGCGTGGCGAAAAAAGTCGACGAGTTCGAGTTGATCTTTTCATCATCGGGTCCTGCGTACATGGCTCCCACGGCAAGCCTGAAGTATTTGAAGAGATAAAGTCAGATGAGTCTTCAAAGTACACTGCGCGAGTCACGTACATTGCATTCTCCAGGGCTGGAGAATAGAAGGAGGTTTCTTGGTCGTTCATGAAGGCCTCGCGTTCCCGAAAGAAGAGGTCTCGCTCCATTTCTTGCATTATCGGATGATGCCAGGCGAAGTACAGGTTCAGTAAATGGTTTTCGAGGACGGGATCGGGCTCCCAGTCATATCCTGTCTGCCTGAGAACCTCTTCAGCGTCTTTTCTGGGGTTCCGCACAGTTGGTTGAAATACAGAGGCAATCTCATCACCCATCATATGCAAATTACTCGTGACACCATAGTATCTTAGCTGTCCGTTGTCTGTAATTTTGAGGGAGCCATATCGACAGGTCAATTTCGTTGTAAGCTCGTCATCGACACTATCTTCAAAGATATTGTTGGGAGGATCTTGGTTATTTGAGAACGTCCTGACACGTTCGGTACTGGTCGTCGCATCATCGCGCCACGGCGGCTGTCGAGGAGTGGTGTTGAGGAAGTCGACGAAAGTGTTCCGTTCGTTCGACAGCGACTCCATCACTGCGGCGCTAATGGCTGCATTGTCGACTTCATCTAGTAGATCTTGATCCAGCGTTTCGAGAGGGTTGACCGAGTAGCAGTCGCCAATAGCATTGGGTCGCCCGGGAAGCTGAAAATCTCGCGTTTGGTCTCCTCCCCATGCATCGCCTGTCTCAGTATCGTTGAAATTGAAGTCCATCCCGGTATCGAAGCTTGAGTAGTGGTAGTGGTCTATGTAAATCTGTTAGAGTGCATGAGGATAACGTGGACGATCAGACAACCCTGGACTTCATGATCTAGACTCGATGGCTGATCCTTAGCCGCGATGCCAGCGTGCGCAGACAATATCTCCCGGGTTTCTGGTGGTAAATGAATGCTATCCACGACAGGAAGAGCCCCCAGCGTAGAGTTATCCTGTGCCTGCACATTGAAGCTCCGCCTAAGGCAGGTCAATGACATTGCAACCGGGCAGCATCGATAGGCTCACCTCCTCCGATCTTGACCAGGAATACATTCGGCGTGGTAAAGCTGACAGTTAGAGCATATTGGTTTTTCTCCATCGCACTAAGAGTCCGGTCAGATCGAGAAGGACGTCACAATTCAGGCCAGTAGCTTAAGGACAATGCCACGCACTTTGATCTTTTTCCGCCGGCACATGGTACAGGCTACGGTCGCCGCTCGCCGCTCCGTCTTTTCGGGCTGCCTGACTCCCTCTTGCATTGCAGTAGTCATGGAATAACTCGCAGTAGTCTGGGTGAGATGTGACAATTGACTCAATTGAAGTGGGCATTGGGGGTCCAACGAACGGAGCATGGACTAGCGGACAAAGATGAATGAAAAATAGAGAGCACACGCGATATCGATGTTCTCGCGGGGGCAGGACTAAGTTGGGGCGCCCCGCGTGCGGGGTAGAGTTGTTCCAGCCCCGAATGGACCACGAGTACAAGGTGTGGGGTTCCGACCTGTTCAGACTCACTGTAACAGTAGGCAACTCCAGCACTGCACTCAGATGCACTCCTGTACTATATTAGTTAGCTGTCTTCCAGGAGCCCTTCCGTAACTGACAGAGTTTCTTTTCAATTCCTCACGCCTGTGGAAATGTCTCTGGATATATAGCAGATACACTCGGTCATTGGCAAATGAAGTACCGCAGCGAACTTCTAGAAGGCGTTGAACGCCGAGGGAATTTATGTTCTGCTTCTACTGTTGCCCGCACATATCCTTGCCTTGGCAAACAACTATGTGTTCAGACTACTTATAATTCATGTTGATCATGAGCGTTTTTGGCTCCGTATATGCCCGTAAAGCGTGAATGCCGCATTCACGTCCTAGTCCGCTCTCCTTGGAACCTCCAAATGGTGCTGATACGGAGAACAATGAAATACAATTGATGCCAACCATGCCACTTTCGAACTCACTCCCGATCCGCAAGGCACGGTTAATATCTTGGGTAAACACGCCGGCCATGAGACCATATTTCGTATTATTGGACAAGGCGAGGACCTCCTCTTCAGTTTTGAAAGTTCGAACCACAGAGACAGGCCCAAATACTTCATCTTGATGGATTTCTGAATTTATGTCGATGTTGGTGAACACAGTTGGCTCGACAAAATATCCGGTGTCGCCAATCCGCTTGCCACCGGTGATCATCTCACCTGCCTTGCTGTCTTTGGCTCGCTGAATGAAGCCCATGACACGGTCAAACTGTAGCTCATCTGCGAGAGGGCCAATCTGAGTTCCGTCTTTCTCAGGATCTCCAATCGTTTTGGATCGAGAGATGATAGCGTCCTTATACGCTTGGATGAATCTCTCATATATACCTTCCTGCACATACACACGAGAAGCGGCAATGCACACCTGACCCGTGTTGGCGGTGATCATGTTGGCACACCATTCCACAGCATTCTCGAGGTTGGCGTCATCAAATACCACAGCAGGAGACTTTCCTCCCAGCTCGAGCGTTACTCTCTTGAGGTTACTTTTGGCTGCAAGCTCCTGAACTTTCTTTCCAGTCCCGATGGACCCAGTAAAACTAATCTTAGCAATTCTCATGTGTGAGGCCAGGAGAGCCCCGGTCGACCCATCCCCAGAGAGAACCTGCAGCACCCCAGGCGGAAAGCCGGCCTCCCGAACCAGTGCTCCTATCGCCATAGATGAGAATGGCGCCTTTTCGGATGGCTTTAGGATGAAGCAGTTCCCAGTAGCCAGCGCTGGTGCAGCCTTCATGCCAAAGTTTCCCGCAGGTCCGTTCCATGGCGTAATGCCCGCGGTAACACCCAGAGGCTCATTCCGGACGATTTTGATATATCCATCCTCTTGGGGAAAGGACTCGCCCGGGAACTTGTCAATCCAACCCTCATAATATCGGAACTGTTGCGAAGACATGCCAACCTCAAACTTTCCCCAGGCACCGTAAGGGGCGCCCATTGTGATGCGGGACAGCTCGGCCAGTTCCGAATTATGTTTGTCCAGTAGATCGGCAAATTTGAGCATGATAGCACGCCTCTCGACCGCTTTCATCGCTTTCCATGCCGGGAGAGCCTTCTCGGCCGCGGCCACAGCGATATCAACGTCTTCCTCTCCAGCCAAAGGAACATCATCGGCAACTAGGTCCCCATTTTTGGGGTTGTAGATAGAGAATTTCTTGCTGCTTTTACTGTCAACATACTCGTTGTTGATGAAGAGCTGCTTAGGGAGATTTGCCTTGGAGAAATTGAAAGACATGGCTCTAGTGGTTGGATAGAACTGTCGCCAGTGCCTTCTGCTATAAACTGAGTTAGCAAACAACTCAATAAGAAAGAATATAGTCAATACGCCATGAGCCGGCATTGTGTCACACTAGCAAAGAGGCTGTGAGGCGTCTCCGAAGCGTCTCCGAATGGAGCCTCGTCGTTTAGACGAGGTACATATGTCCGAGAAACGACTTCCGTGGAACAAGACCACAATGCACCATTCTCACGCAGCCTCGACCTCGAGCCAGAAATTTAGAAATCCAATGCCGAGGTAATTGACAGGTCTTAGTGCTGACCAAGGAGTAAGTGTCTCTCATACACAATTAGTCTCAAACATTTGCCTGTGGACAGCGAGAGATGCAAAGCTGCTCTTGTATGGCAATAAACGTAAGCCTTCACCAGCAATAAAGTAGCTCACGATGGCGACCTCGCGACTTCTAAAGCCCCTTGTAATTGGCAACATGCACCTCAAACACCGCATGGCCATGGCGCCTCTGACGCGGTTTCGGGCATCGGATCGCCACGTACCCACAGATATGATGGTTGAATACTATGGCCAGCGGGCCTCAGTTCCAGGCACTCTTCTCATTACTGAAGGCACCTTTATCTCTCCTCGAGCAGGTGGCTACAGCAATGTCCCGGGGATCTATACCAAGGAACAGATCCGAGCGTGGCGGAAGATCACGGACGCTGTCCACGAGAAAGGGTCATATATATTCTGTCAGCTCTGGTCCCTAGGTCGAGCGGCAGATGACGAAGTGACGAGCAGGGAAGGAATTGGAATCCTGGGCCCCAGTCCCCTTCGAATCTCTCTACAATCCCCGATTCCGCGCCAAATGGAGTTGAGCAATATCAGAACGGCGGTCGAGGACTACGCACGAGCCTCCCAGAATGCCATTGAAGCCGGCTTCGATGGAGTTGAGTTACACGGCGCGAATGGATATATAATTGATCAGTTTCTCCAAACCAACTCAAACGAAAGGACAGACGAATATGGAGGGAGCATCGTAAATCGGTCTCGATTTGGGCTCGAGGCAGTCAAGGCTGTCGTTGACAAGATTGGTGCAGAGAGAACAGGCATTCGATTAAGTCCTTGGAGTACCTTCAATGGTATGAGAATGGACAACCCAATACCTCAATTCAGCCACTTCATCAAAGAGCTCAACACATTCAACCTCGCTTACCTGCATTTGGTCGAGTCACGAATTGCTGGGAATGAAGACGTTGAAAAGGCCGACCATCTGGATTTCGCCGTGCAGAACTGGGATGGACCCGTTCTCATCGCCGGAGGGTACAACGCCGCATCAGCACAACAGCTGGTTGATGTGGCCAGGCCGGATAAAGATGTCGTGGTGATTCTGGGACGATATTTCATCTCAACTCCCGACTTGCCCTTCCGCGTCCGCCATGGCATAAACCTCAATCCCTACAATCGAGAGACTTTCTATACTCCCAAGTCTGCCGAGGGTTACGTCGATTATGGGTTTTCCAAAGAATTTCTTAATCAGGTATCCACAGCATTGGCGTAGAAGTCCATCAAATTCAGCGTTGAAGTTGAGTCCAGGTCTGAGGGACAATACCTCCACCTATGGCGTCTTTTGAGCGTGTTTTGTAATATAAAGGTGATCGATTTTGGAGACAGATGGCCTTTCTGACTTGGCCCCGGGTTATGACCCGCGGAGCATCCGAAAACCTTCTGCGGAATCAGAGCTCCTCTGTACTTGGTCAAGGGAAAGAAATGTCCCGTCTTCTAACAAAGAAGTTGTCATCATCATTACAGACATGGCAAGAGCCGTTTGCCAGAAGTGGCTCAGAAATATAAAAAAATCCACGTCGAATCATGTTCGCCGTGGAACCGATCATTTGTACTCACCTCTGGAGTGTAGCCATACTCCCGCTCCCCTAATTATGACCAGTCCTCTCCTTGGTCCTTCCTTTTGCGAGAGGCAGGATGTATTCGCAAGCTAACCAAGAGGAAGCTTAAATCAGCACTGAAGAGATGCCCTCTGCGACTCACGCAGTGGTGAAACGACACCGGGACACGATCTGACTTCCACAAAAGGTGCAAGAAACCCTTGTCCTATCGACACAGGGGAGCGTTGCTTTCTGATACCACGATGCTTGTCTTACCAGTCTTTCTCTTTACGTTTCAAACTCCGCGCTACTCTACATGTCGAAGTGATTTCTCCCAAAATGACCTGACGGAATCCGAGAGGGTCTCTGAAGTCGAGAGCAATGTACACATCATCTTGGACATCGTTCGAGACGTTAGGATTTCACGGGCAGCCAAGAGTAGTGTCGCGAAATGTTCATTTTGGGGCTAATGTTTGTGACTATCCCCACAAAAGCATAATACTTGTACTGTGCCTTGCAGAACTTCGTAAATTGTCAAGTTTGCCGAGGGCCACTGACCGCCACTTTGTATCCCGGGGAAAGCAACGTCGGCAGCGGAGGTACATTGTCGAAACCTCGCCACATCCCCGGCCGCAATTCCGAGGCGAGGAAACCAATTTATTAGCCTTGGAGCGAGTCGCTGCACAGTTCTTCGGCGCAAGCAAGTACTGGAGTTTTCTTTTGACGCTCTCTTTCAAGTTTTGAAAATCGTCACAGGGTTGGTTATACAGTCAGATTAAGCATATTGTTTCCTGTGGAGCGAGGTCTTCACTTTACTCGGTATGGCGAAACCGGAGATTATCGTTATCGGCACTGGACCTGCCGGCATTGCTCTTGCACATACACTGAAGCATAAACTTGGTTACAACAATTTCACCGTACGTGAGGCCCCAAAATCACCCTGTGGGAGTACTCAAAGTGTTCGACGGTCCCTGACTTGGATAAAATCCTAGGTCTATGAAAAGCTTGATGGTGTTGGAGGAACGTGGAGAACAAACACATATCCTGGCGTGTAGGTGCCCGTGATGTACCGACTTTCACCGCATTTCGGAACTGATTGAGTCGAAGAGGATGCGATGTTCCCACTATTCTCTACTCCTTTTCCTTCAACTTGAACCCCAACTGGTCCAAAGAACTATGTGACGGCGCGGAGATCTTGGAGTGTCAGTTCACCTTCCTCGATACTGTATCAATTGTGCAAAACTCTACAGTATGTGGACAAGATGGTCAGGCTAACACAAGTGTGAGGGTCTAGATATCGATGCGACGGTGAACAAGTTCGATTTGCGCAAGCACATGCACTTCTCGATCGAGTGCCTGGGCGCGAAATGGAACACAAAGTCTTCGCAATGGAGTGTGCATTTCCGCGATCTCCTCACCAATGTGGAATATACACGGACGGCGGACATCTTCATCTCGGCCGTGGGTGGCATTTCATATCCGAGAGACGTCAGATTCCCTGGCATGGAAAAATTTGAGGGCGAGATGTTCCACACTGCTCGATGGAACCACAACTACGACTACACCGGAAAGCGGATGGCCGTCATTGGGAATGGCTGTAGTGCGGCTCAGGTGGTGCCGGCCGTCGTCGACAAGGTGGGCTACCTAAAGCAATACGCTAGAAGTGCCCAATGGTACCACGAGAGACCGAATCGAAATTTCACCGCGTCCGAGAAATGGTGCTTCAAGTACATTCCGTTGTGGGAGAGATACAACCGTCTTTCACTCTTCCTCCAGAATGATGACCTCGTCGCGACTTATATGCCCGGTGCAACAGCGACCAGAAAAAGAGCCAAGGTTGAGGATCATGCAAAGAAATACATCTTTGCCACTGCCCCGGCCAAATATCATCAAATCCTGGTGCCAGATTTTCCTCTGGGTAAGATATATATCCCTTCCACTCAAGAGCCTCTCACCACAAGGAATATCTTTGACTAACGACTCAATTTCATCCGATCAGGCTGCAAACGTCGGATATTTGACCCCAACTATCTGGAAGCGCTACGCAAGCCGAATCTAGACCTCGTCCCTCTGGGTATCAAGGCAATCGACGAGACAGGTATCATCGACGAATCCGGTGTAAAAGCCGAATTTGATGTCATCGTTCTGGCCACGGGCTTTCAAGTCCAGCAGTTCCTAGCCCCCATGGAAGTGACTGGAAAGGGAGGCTCCACTTTGCTTCAGCAGTGGAAGGAATCTCGCGGTGCTCAAGCCTACATGGGAACTTTCATTCACAATCTTCCCAACTTTGCCCTTCTGTAAGAACACCTCCTCATTCTTCCTAAACGAGACACGCTCTCACCTCCCGATACCCATTACTTCGTTCATTGCAACGGCAACACTGACCGAAGACAATCAGGTTCGGACCAAACACCTTCCCGGCACATAATTCGGCACTTTTTGCCTGCGAGGTGCAAGTGGAATATGTTGCAAGGGAGATGATTGCGCCGATTATCGATGGCCGTGCCTCGGTCATTGAAGTGACCGCAGCGGCTGAGAATCAGTGGGTGAATGACATTCATCATCAACTGACAGGATCGGTCTTCCAGGCAGGCTGTTCGAACTGGTACATCAACGAATTCGGTCGCAATGCCGCCTCTTGGCCTGGGTACGCCTCGACGTACTGGAAAGAGACCTTGAAGCCCAGATGGGGCGTGCTAGTCAAGACTGGTGGTTCCAATACCTGGTTGCTGAACAGAACCACTAGGGTTCTTCGGACGACTAGCGTGTTGACATACTGCGCCACTTTTCTGATCTTCTTTGCGGCATACTCGAGACGCAAGCAGTATAACCTTCTGCCCCTTTTCCAAAGAGTTGTGGAGGCCGTGAAGTCGAGATTCTAGACGGCGAATTGTGCTGTTGTGTCTTGCCTCGGGTTTCAAGGTGTGGAAACGGGCTGTCCTGAGGCTGGCTTTGTTGGAAGATGATCATATATCTTATACAAGACGAACGGCGGACTCGCATGAACAGGCAATCAGACCACACTCGTCATCATATTGTAAACGTCGATGCTATACATAGATACGTACTTGGACAGCGCCGACCTCTGGAGAAAGGAGAATGGTCACAAACTTCCGCAACGTGTATGCAGTGTAGACGTTAATCTACGAAAACCGTTTCGTGGTAGTAAATGACAATATCGCAGCGGAGTCGTCAAGGTGTCCAGGTGTGCTCGGGAGTGCGGCTCCCCATTTCTCTCCGACGACTCATTGAAAACACCAATAACAGTAGTGGAGGTTCTTTACGAGTCGGCTCAGGCGGCTTGCCATCTCCCGATAGACACCGTGAAATCTTGCTGTGGTGGAAATGCAACACACGCTGGTGGGAGTGGGCATTGATTGACTGGCTGTTTGCTTGTTTCCTGGTCTTGAGATATCGAAGTTTTGAAGGTGCGCCCAGCAAAACCCGCGGCAGTCCGGGGTATCGAGGCTTTCTCTGGGCGTACTCGTAAGGGAGTTACATAAATTACCTCCATGAGTCATTGTAATCATCAATCGATTCAGCGCCCAGAGGAAAAAATTATAAATTACCGCGGTCCTTTTGGTGGGTAATTGAAGGAAATACCACTTCTGGGCGCTCGACAACTTCGCCGAGAAGGCCCTTAGTCAATCAACGCCTTTGATGTCGTGCCCATTCACCTAGATAGGTGCCACATACCGTAGATCATTCCTCCAGTGACGCGAACATTCCGATGCGCAACCTTTCGCTAGATGTCAGGGCGAATGGCTCTAACTCCAATGGGTGAGGTCGACCTACTATTATAGTAATTAAAACATCGGCAAGTCGGCACATTTCACAAGAAATCAACAGAAGGTGAAACGTGGAGGAGAAATAGTCGTACTGTGCACAGTAGTCCTTGAAAACTATTGAGGGTCCTTTCGTTGTCCCATATCTTGTACGGTCTCCTAGAGGAAACAATTCCTTCCAGCCTCAGACATACAATGTTCCTGCCATTGTTCCTTGCCTGGAGCCTGGTCATTATGCAATAAGATATAAAGAAATTCGTTTCTTCGTAACATGTCAGTCGTAGATCTTGGCCGTTCGGAGCATAACATATCATGTTGCACCATCTCTTGTGTATCTGTGGAACTTGGCATCCGGTCCGCAGATGTCGTTTGCAGGTGAAGGGGCCATAGCCCGGTACCCGACGACCCATCCTCTTGGGTCTCCCCGTTACACTGCCGTATGTTGTCGCTGTCATCAAGCCCAGGTCGTCCTCTTTCTGACCCTAGGCCTTTCTGAGTCTTGTTCTGCGTCATGGCCAATGAACACTCTGTGGAAAAACTCTATGTGACGCGTTTGCGTGTTACAAGAGGTGTCCTTTGTTCTCGTGGCGTGTTACTAAGATCGCCTCATCTTCAGATCCGATCGTGCAATGTGATTTCCGAAAATCCGGATGCTTCGTGGGTATTGTGTAATGTTGATGGAAAGTGTAAAACTTTGGTTCGAAGTAACAACTGGTTCAACGCAGGTATGACTTGCCGAAGCCGACTGCGTTGGCGCATCTCGTGCAATAGTAAGAATTGACGCCGAATCTGACCACTCCACTAGGGCCTGCATGTGAAGAGGTGTCGATGCTCAGGGATCGTTGACATCGCGAACAGCGGACGATGTCGAGGGAGGATTCTGGCGAGGCAGAAGCGCTTCTTGATATCAAATCGAGACTGTCATCGCTCTTATTTGACTTGGACATTGTAGTCATGTTGACGGGCCTGGCACCAGTGGCAGCCTGCGTCTGGAGTTGCAGTATGGAAGGCGAGGAAGACATTGTATGTCGAATAGCAATGTATTATCCAGAGTATACAGAGTTTTGCTGATCGAAGTTAAGGTAGGGATGGAGGAGAAAGTATGAGGAGGAGTAGCAGCGATGGGAGTAATATGGAAGAGCTGTAAGTACGTGTGCACGGAGCAGATAACCGGTTGTGTGTAGTGGTGTACGAAGCGTGTTGAAGATCGTCGTGAATGTAGGAGGAACTATCCGGGAAGCAAGGAGATGTGAAGGATTATTGTCGGGAAGCAAGATGAATGGAAACAGTCTAATCACGGCTATGGATAACGCCGGTATGCATGCATGACCCGAAAACCTGAAAATAACAGGCACTTGGTACGAGTTTGGTATGCCAAACAGTCAAATTATGGGTAAGAGAGAAGGGCATCTCGATCTCACAAACATGGCATTTTGCGAAAGGGCGTCGATGAAAGGCTAGATTCCCGATCGTTATTGCTAGTAAAGGTCCATCTACGCGCGGCAGCCCAAACGTCCCGGATTTTCCCAGACTACCGTGCTTCTTCTCCAATCACTTGTCCCATCTTCTCCTCCATGATCCGTGTGGTCGCTCCAGAGACCTCAACTAGCACTTTCGGTGTTTCGACCCTGCTCTTCTCATTCGTCTGCGCCACATTGATCTGCCAGGTTACGATCTTCATCATCGTGGCATGCGTGGTCATCGTACGACGTTTCTGTCGTCAATCTACGAATTAGCTTGTTTTATTCACTTGCCTGTGGCTTGAGGCCGGATCGACATACTTTTTTACTGGGTCGCAAGAACGGTCCAGTCCAGGCAGACCTTGATTTCAATGCCTCAGCCACACTACTGACGGTGACAGCGAGTTGAAATGGTGTCGTTTGAGATTGGTATCATGTTAACACGGAACGGTCTCACAAGTCATAACATGCCACTCAGCGACGATGACTTAATGGGTGTGGTAATTCACAAGGTATTGTTCCCGGCCGGATTTGGCATTGGCTGGTTATGTGCTGGATTGACATTGGACTGTTCTTTCAGGTCCGAAAGCTCCTTCTAGTAATGTCACCATCCGAAGCATTTGTGCCGAGATCCCTCCAAATCACAAGAGAGTGATCCATGGCCCAATGGAATCTTGCTGCCTGCGTGAATGTCCTGGATGAACACATCCGGCCGGGACGTGCTCGAATCTCCAATCTTTAAACGGCGCCCGGACAGAACATCCTGTATCCTCCCCACTTCACATGTAAGTGCCGAACGAACCGTTTGCGTTTCGATTATATTATTGACAGGGAGGAAAGCCATGAAACGCATCTAGGTTGTGCAGCCGTTTTCCCTGCATGCTAGCTGTCAAAACTTGAAGGAGTATGTTCGGAGAAAGTGAATGGATGCTAGGCTATATGGAATGCCGACCTTTCCAGACCATCAATTGCTGACATACTGTCAAGTTATCAAAGTGCAATGATTGAGGATCATTCCCCCAGGCACGTCGCTGCATGCAAATGTGGCGATCGTGGCGATGGCAAATCTTTACTGTGTGGTTCTTCATTGCTTGATATGAACTGTATTCATGCGGCAATGCCTATACACTTCCAAGCAAGGCCATCTGTCTCTGTATGCGGCTTATTCATCTGCTGATGGCGCAGTCAGCAAGTCTTTTGCATCTTCGATTTGCCCTCCATCTTTGTGTGGCCCGTGAGAAGTTGACCACGTCTGACAGGGAATCTCTCATCAGATTCTGCGGTGAAACGAGGCGTCAGACAATCATGCTGGACTGACATGACGTCAAGCCTATCTATATCATGGCATCAATTATCCGGCCCACGTGTCTGGAGCAGGGCAACTATCAAACCGTTTCTCGTTTCTCGGATCGTTGCCATGGATGATCCGGAGAATCCAACTTTCTGAACATGCCTAATCAGGCTTGCCAGGCATCAAATCTTTCTGAACCTGCAAATATCCTCATTCTCTCTTTACCATTTCCCCAGATCGATATCGACATCGTAACGCACCGACACACAGGAACCGTGCCCCACCGATTAATATTCCAATAGGTGCTCTGACGTTCCTGAGTTCACCGTCATCGATTGCCCGGCCCGAAAAGATAGCGGCCCCGCCAGTCAATTACCTTTAGCAGATACGATTTCATCCGTATCGCAAAGCGCGACCCTCTTTTCACCTTCACCTCGTCCTTTGAAAGAAGCTCCTTCGAACACCTGCGAGCTTCAGCAATTGGCACCACCTCGTCCTCCTACAGATCTCAACGCAAAGTAGTCAAGAAAGGGCAAACATAAACAAGAAAGCTGGGCAAAAATGGGCAAACAACCCAACCTGTACAGTTTTCCTACTGTCGACGAGGTCGCCGCACACCTCCGGACCTACGTTCTCTCCTGCCAAAGAGCTGCTTTTCAACGCCATGATGTCTTCAAAGTCGCGGTCTCCGGCGGTAGCCTTCCTGCGACTCTAGCGAAAGCGCTGCTCGTCGCCGGCGCAAATGAAGACCCCTCGTCCTCACCGCAATTCTCCAAATGGGAAATATTTTTCGCCGACGAGCGCGCGGTGCCCCTCGACCACGAAGATAGCAACTATGGCCTGTTGAAGAAAGATTTGCTAGATAAGATCCCTGAAGAGCAAGGCACACCAACCGTCCACCCTATCAACGTCAAGAACCTCGAAGACACACAAGAATTAGCGGACCAGTACCAAGAAGCGCTCATGTCGAGTTTCGCCAGCAAGGATTCGGTCAAGATACCGGTTTTCGACTTGATACTTTTGGGTTGCGGTCCGGACGGACATACCTGCAGTTTATTCCCGGGCCACGAACTCCTTCGTGAGTCGGACGCCTGGGTCGCAGCCATCGAAGACAGCCCGAAACCGCCTGCGCGACGAATCACCTTGACCCTGCCCGTCGTTACCCACGCACATCATGTTGCATTTGTTGCGACCGGTGGCGGCAAGAAAGACATCCTCAAGAAGATCCTCGAGGCTGATGACGAGGGCCGAAGCTTGCCTTGCGGACTTGTCAATGAGGGAGGTGGAGAGAAAGTCAGCTGGTTCACAGATAGCGCTGCCGTCGAAGGCGTGTCGTTTCCGCGGAGAGGAAGTCTGTGAGATTCATGTCGACCAGAGGGGAATAACAAGAATCACATTTAGATCCGAGAGCGACGCCGCATACACCCCACCTCCTCTCGATCATGGCTTTTGAGCAGTCATGTCGCACGCACAGTGCAGGAGACGAGAGTGCGAATGAGTCCCTGCAGGAACTTTGGCTTGATGCACATTCGTTCTAGCTAGGCGTACAGGAAGCGAAGCGGCTTGGGTTGGGATGATCACCTGACCGCCAGACGAGATACCATCGCTCGCTGAGATTTCTTTTCTAGATACCAGTACGAGTACTTCGGACAAACATATGTCCTCCCTTCGTCCCTTCGTTGTGCACAGAAGGACCGCGTTTGAAGATATAGAGAAGAATTAAGGCAGAATACCATGCAAATTTTGGTCTATACGATCTGATCCGTCCCTGCATTATATCATTTGAGTTCCTCCCAGGTAAACGCCACGCTAATAGCCCAGAACGTGGTCAAAGGTATCATCGAAGACAAACAGGTACTGTACATCCACATCCACATACATTTTTCATACAACCAACACATACGACAGCAGAGCCAGCAATGCCGCAGCACCACCACTGGCGCTTATTGATCCATAGCCCTTCCGCGTGGCAGCACTCTTCTTGACACTACCGACCTTGATATCAGTCGCCGCAAAGCCCGATCCACACGCAACATCGACCTGCGCGGCACATCCCAAATACGTACTCGCCAAAGGCTGGTTCGTGGCCTGGGCATACCCGGCGAATATACTCATCGTATCCTTCAGACATTGTGAGCACGTCGGGGACGCGCCAGCCGGCATATTCAGCCCGAGCGCCGTGTAGTAAGGGTACGCATCGGCGTCGTTTGTCGTGTTGGTCACAGCCTCGGCGAAACAGTACGCCCCACTGGTCGAGTCCTGCAGACATGTGGCGCGGTAGAGCGGCTCGTACGCCAGAAGCCCCGCGTAGGCCTGCGAGACGAGCGGGTTCTGCAACTTGTAGTCCGCGCCGCAGTTGGCGTCAGCGATCAATTCGGATGCCAGGTTGGCCATGAGCGGGCTGCAGATCGCGAGTGGCGCGTTGCAGGCCGAGTCCAGGGTTTGGGTGAGAAGGGTGGTCGAGCGTTCGGCGCGGAAGAATGAGTTTGAATTTTGGAGGAGTAGTGAGACGGGCACGCAGGACTGGAAAGTCGAGTTGCTGAGAAAGGTCGAGAAGAAGGTCGGACAGGACGAAACGGTGAAGTTGCTTCCTATTGAGGTGTCGAACGGAGAGGGGAGAGGTGTGGTGACGACGGTAACGGAGGGACTGATTGAGGTTGAGACTGCTGTGGGGGAGACGGTCGTTGAGGTGTCTGTGGCAATAGCCAACGAGGTTGCAGCGGCAGAAGAAGAGGAGGAGGTGGTGGAGGATGTCGAAGCTGCGCTGGAGTCCGATGTTGACGTGGCTTCCGACACGCTTGTGGGTACGACACTGTCTTGCCGCCGCTGGATGTGTATGTCCCGTATCAAAGGTGGCTCGGTCATGTCAATGTGTATCTCCCCCCGTACGGCCAACTCTTGGAAGTAGGATGATTCGTAGACAAGAGCGTCGACTTCCATTTCGTACGCTAACGTTGATGCTAGCATTGATATGAATAACAGCAGCAAAGAAAGTACTGAAGATGGTGCTCCATAAGATCTGGCATGGATTCTCCGCCTGCCTGGTCGGGGTCTGTTCGCTGCTGATATAGACATTATTTCTGGTGTAGTGATGTATTATTCCGGCCGCCGGTTGTCGAAGAAGATGATCGACCTCAACATGAGGAAAGGTAGCGCATGAGGTTCCACCAGAGATCGCGGCTTCGTAGCAGATCGTGAAGGCGATTCGCGTGGTCCGGTTGCGGTTTTCAACGTTACCTCAACCAAGCTGTATGACTGTCGAGGTCTGGCCGTGGACGTTCAAGTGTCTTTGAAGGATGTGCAGTCGATCATGCCCAATATACCATAGTATTTTCCTGGAGACGATTGCAGCACGTGTTTGACCCGGTGCTGATCCTGGTGATCTTCACTCTCCACACAGGGTGGATTCCTTCACAGTAGTCCGCGGGTTTCAGTTTGAACGATGTTGATATTAGTCCTTCTCGCGGTAACCGAGCTGCAAGACGGATCGATCAGATGTAGGTGATGTTAGGAACTCAAAGAAATACAATGGAGAGGAAAGAAGCACTGAAATGAAGGTTCATTGCGTTCGCAGCTCGAAGTGGTCTTTTCAGCGGGCACAGTCGATGGTTTTCCAAAGAGTCCATTGTTTGCAGCACCAGCATGCTGAACTACTGGTAACTTACCGAAAGCATCTGGCGGCACCTTTTCCAGTCAGCGTTAGTAGAAGGAGAACAAAGGAATGTGGCATGGGTGTTAGTCCTGATAGTTGGTAGGTATTCTCCACAGGGCGCCGCATGGCATGAAAGGAGCAACCGCCAAATTCCTGCTGTTCAGGGTTAAGCGGCCAGCCTCGCGCGCCTAGGGGTTACTTTGTGGCGTCCGAGTCAATCGAACTGAGAGCTCCAAAAGACCATAAACATGAATTCGTTGTCGAGACCAATCTCATACTCCACATCTTTTAACCAATATTTTGGAGGTTGTCAAATTGTCAGATCTCAAGCCTTGAACAGCTGACATTAAGCTGTCAAAATACCTCTGACTTGTCCATCATCGGACAGCCATGTGGCTGATGCACCAACAATGGCAGAGGCACTCGGCTGGCTGCTAGCAAGACACCGGACGCAACGTGGAATGTCGATCTCGAAGCGAACTTGGTGATTGAAGACCCTGTCTGAGGCCGATTTCGCCTACCAAGAAGGCACTTCTAGAGGATTATTGTAGGGTGGTCACGGTAGACGAAAACAGGTTGGATGATTTTACAAGGCGAGGCGAGAGGCCCGAAGCAGAAAAGGTGCAAACAAGGTTGCCAAGTTTCCAATAGTTCGAAAGGAAGAAGCCACTTCCCGAGGAAATGAGAATCAGGGGTAAAAAGAATAAACCAGCGGGACACCACACATATTGGACACCAAAATCACATCACTCAGTGAGTCAGCGAACGGACAACTTGCTTGCCTCGTTCGCCCATACGGTACTAGAAAGCTCAGAGCGAAGAGGGAGAAATGGGATACACAGAGTACGCACGCGTCAATCACAGGAATCTTCCATTATCAGGTCATCAACTGTCGTTAATCATTATTGGTGGTCGTTGTAATGAGGCCTTCCATAATCCTACCCATTTGACAGGCTCTCGTCATCATTCGTCCAGCAGATATCATCACCTTTATTGCTTCCTAATCCATGCAATACCACATGGTGACTTCGTCAACTACGCCTGGTTGTCCTGTTGCTGAGAGTATTCAGAGGCTCCATGATGCCTCCAACCTCTTGTTGTTGCTCACGAGATTTGGCTTCCTTCTCCTGCAAGGATCTCTTGAAGCCCATGTTCGCCCACCCTCCCAGACGACTAAAGAACACTCGGCCAGCAGGATGCTTCCTGATTCGGTCGAGAAGACTCGCAACAGCGGTCCTGACTCTTGTATCTTCATGCCAAAGGCCGAGTCCAATGTAGAAAAGTCCCGCTTCAGATAGTGGTGCCGTTTCCAGCAGCTCCAGGATGCTCTCATAGTCAGTGCAGTACGCGTCAAGAGCGAGGTAGAGCGCGCCAGCTTCGGTTGGTGTGAGACGCAAAACACGAAGCTTGGACAAAGAATGATAGAGGTCAATGTAAGGCTTGCTAGGTTCTCGTGCAAGCATCTTGGTCATGCTCACGGGCGAAGTGGGTGATGGAAGGTCTTGCGACTGACTGGCCAGATCTAGAATGAAGGAATGATAGGACCGAGTATTCCTCCATCCTTCAATTCTGGCCGCCGACGCCGATAGTTCTCGCATTTTTGCCTCGTCGCTAGGCCATACATAGCCATGGCCCTTGAGATTTTGACTGGAGGTCTTCATTGACATTGGTCGAGGGCGAGCAATGGCTGTCAGAGGGGACTGCACTTTGTCCACCTCGGTCGGAGGAATCACCGAGAGAGGACTCGCTCCATACACCGTCTCCTCGAAAGCCGCTGCAATGCGTGTGAACTTGGTGATGTAAGCTCGAAATTTGGCCCTGACGATCGATTCTCCTGCACGTGAGGCTATGCTGCGCGTGATTTCTTCCATGAAAAGGTTATCTCGGGTGGCATCCGTGTGAGCTGGATCTTTCTGATTGAGCACAGTATGGCCGTGCTGTTGGAAATATGTCGTGCCCTCCGTGGCAGGAGCCGGTTCGATACAAGACGAGATTTTCATCCTTCCTGACGGGAGGTCACACATCAAGTCCCACCATTCGGGATGATACGAAAACGCGGGATTCGTGACCCCAGCAATGAAACCAGGTACCTTCAAAAGCTCGTCAATCTTGGTCAGATCGGTGTATGGAAAAGCGTGCCGCGTGAATCCACGCAGGACACCACCAGAAGCCAATGCACAGGCTGCAAGAACAGCCTCGGCCACCTCGCCAGAAGGGCGGTTGTGACCGAGAAATATCACTCGTTTCTGCGTGAGCATGGCATTAATCAGAACCACGACTGGATGAGTGTATGCTCCCGAAGTGGTAAGGTGAGGATGCAGTGCAAACGGTTGAGGTTGTGACATGTGCGGATTGCCGAAAATTTGGACCAGCTTGATGAGGGAAAAGTCACCCACCGTCTCGGGAGACAATGCGGTGGGTATCTTCACTGGTATCGGGATGCCATTGTATACTATCTTCGACTCAAATTCGTGAGTGTCCCGAGGCACAGTATACTTTGGTTCTGACCTTCCTGGTGAACCCGGCGGGTCAAGCCTGTTGGCAGAAGCATCATCGGCCAAACGCTGGGAGATCATCTGTTCGAATTTCTCAGCGAACATATCTTTGGTGTCACTCGCCTGAAGGATGTGGCGCTCGAGCGATGATAGTCGCGGCATCAGAGACAGATCCATAGCGTTGAGAGAGTTGTATAACAGCTCCAGCGTGTCTGGGGTGGGCGACTTGAAGTAGTCCTCCAAAGCCAGGAGCAGCAGGGGCTTGTATATGTGCAGGAAGGAGTGCCTTGTACAGATAGCCATGGCCTTGACGACAGCACCTCTCTTGACCGTACTGTCTTGCTTGGTATTGACCAAATTCAAGACGTACATCAATGGTGGGTTGTCGATGCTCCCTGCGTCACTCTCATCACTGCTCGAGTCTCCGTCATAGTCCTCCCCTTCCGCGACCCCACTGGCGTGTCTTCTGGCCGCCCTGCGCTTTCTTCTGGCCTCTTTTTCGGCCTCCTCTTCTTCATTTGTGCCTGCGTCTTTGTGGAGGAAGAACATCGTCCAGTCCTGCTGCCGAACATGTGTCTGATCGGGCAGCATCAATTCGGCCAACATGTTCTCATCTGGACTAATGGCACCAGGGAACTGATGCTCCATGATGGGACCTCTGTCAATGTCGAAGGATGCGACCAGAATATATTCCACATGAGGCTCGGCTGATTGTAGGGGATATTGTGACTTGAGACGTTTCTGAGGACGATATGGACCATCTTCAGGCACTGGAGATATCCTTTGCGAGGAACGTTGGGAAATATGGGAGCCCCTTGGTGATGGCGGTGCTAACGAGCTCTGCGACGAGACTTTATAGTGTGAAGCCGTGTGTGATATGGACGACTTGTGGGATCCTGTGGTGGATGATATAGACCTTCGATCATGGACGCCATTGCCATGATGTGGGCGATATGCGATTTCCGCCATCGACTTCGCGGCTGTAGTGGTTGCTATCATGGGGTCGTCTTTGTGACAATATGCACTTTAGCCTTGCGCCTGAGGAGGGTTGTGCTGCTTGAGCACGTGGGAGTGTATGCGACGCTGGTGCGCAGACTCACTGAGTGGTGTTCCTCTTCTTCAGCCTGTCGATGCCAATCTCAAGCAATGTGTATCGCCAATAGATATGACCGACTCATTGCCAATCTGTGAAGGGGCACCTTGTACCTGCGCCCTTGAGTTCAGTGCACGGCGATCCCTGCTATCGGGCGGCCCCTGAGATCTGCGTTTTAAGCTTGTTTAGCGCCCGCCGGAAAGATTCCAGGTCAGGTCTGTGCCCTCGTGGCCTTGGAGTCGCCTAACCTTCCCCTCGGAATCCGAGGCAGTTCCGCTGCCCTGCCAACGTCCCTGGGGTGTAAATAATGTGATTGCGCGGAACGACAGTAACAAAGAGACAAGCAGGAGAATACCAGACTCATAGATGCAAAAACACCGCGGCTATAATATCGGACAGGTCATTGACTCAAGAGTCTTCCGGACAACGACAACGATAAATACGGACCGACTGTCTGGACGGCGTGTTGTAACCAGCACAACAACACACACCGACTAGCCTGAAGACACCGATAATGGTAAGTCAACATCATGATCGACAGTAATGGGTCTGTGTGTCCTCACACTTATAAGCAGGCACAGTCATACAAACCAACCTTCAACTCCCCTCGTTCCTCCCCTTTCCGCCGTCCAGCCTCACCAGGATCACCCACCGTCGTTACCAACCGACCCAATACACCACCAACGAACCGAAGCGGCGCCTCACCAATGAATTCCCCATCCAAGCTGAAACACGCCTACACGGTGTCCGAAGAAGAGGAAGAAGACATAATCATATCTACACCCTCTAGACCCGAGCCCGGTTCATCCTTTCGGCGTGCGCAAACCGAACCACCACCATCCCCCACAAGCCACCGACTGTCCTCCCCAACCAGACCCTCCAACACAATGGCACCGGCATCAAGAGAACCACGACGCCTGGTCTCCAACGGCCTATCCTCAAACGACAACCTCTCCAAACTCCCACCCCAACTCCTTCATAACATGCGCGAGTCCTTCTCTGTCCTGGACTCAAACTCCAACGGCACCATTGACGCTGCCTCGGTCGCCGAAACACTTCAATCGCTAGGCCTCCAAGAAAGCAACCTCACTCAATTCTTCCCACCAGGTCAGGCCCAACAGCTTTCCCTTCCGCAGTACCTAAACCAACTCGCCAACATCCTCGTCGGCCTGTCCCCACAACAAGAGCTACTTAACGCCTTTTCCGCCTTTGACGACGACGACAGCGGTCAAATCGACATCGCGGAACTACGCTCCGCCCTGCTCAATACGGCCCCCGACCCAGGCGAGCGGTCTCTGTCCCAGAAAGACATCGATCGCGCTATGGAGGGGTTCACTGGCCGCCGGATCCTGGGCAAGAACGTGATCGGTATAGCTGGCGTACGTGGTCTGAACACACCCGCCCCCAAGAAAGGAGGAGACGTGTTCCGATACCAGGAATTCGTGGCGAATCTGACGGGCGGGCCTGCAACGGAAGCAGCTCAGGCTCAGGGCGTGCCGGCGCGGTAGTAGGGCTGTTGAGGTGGTTAACTTTCGAAACGAATGAAGAATCCAGGTCGGAGTGACTTCCTGGGTTTTCTAACGACAATAAGCATGTTTGTACAATCACATCTGGTGGGCGGGCGTTTCTCTTACTTCTATAAAAAATGAGAATGAACTTGATAATATAGATTCAAGCAATATGTCTTATATATACTACACGCTGTTCTTATATACGTTTCAGCTGCCAGGCAGCACAAACCCCAGCTCATCCCTATTGTCATCCGTCAACCGTCCCCATTCAAGCAACAGCCTGAAAAAGTACAACTCCATATCTTCTTTCCTAAGCACCCTCCCCGCCCACTCCCGTCCAGCCTCAGCAATCATCTCACCCTCCTTGAGATGCGGGTTCCAGCGGATTTGATGTCCAGTCATCGTCCCATTCACACCCGCAAAGTAAGCAAGTGTGCTCCACATCCCATGCAACCTCAAATCCTGGGGCACGAAATGCAACCACGCAGTAAGTCGACTGTCGTACCATTCCCTAAACAGCGCCGTCTTGAACGGCAATGACCTCGACTGCAGAAACGGTAAAAAACGGCCCGAAAAGCCCGCCCCATCCATATCGAACAAGAATCGATGTCGCCAGTGGGCTTGGAAATCCGAGGGCCCGACCAGTCCAAACTCGCCTTCTTGGTCGGTGCAATCATGCAGACCGACACCGCCGCAGCGGGCAATGGAATCCACAATCGCAATGTCAGTCTTGAGTCCCAACTCCTTGGCCGCGGGGCCAGGCAGGATCTGGTACTTGTATTTTGCGTAGTTGTCGGGATTGGGTAGGAGGACGGCAAATCGATCGTGGGACGCCGTAGTGAGGTTATCGGCCATATGTACAAGCCTTTGCCGAGTCATGCCGCGCCAGGCGTGGTTGCCCGAAGCGACGCCCTCTGAGGTTGCTCCGCGCCAGAACAGGACGTTTTCCTTTTCTTCGAAAGGCGCGTCGGGATACCCCGGCTGGTAACCCTCTTCACCAGGAGTGCCTTTCTCCTCGCTAGGAGCATAGACGACTTTGTCCATGTAGTTCCAGGCTGACGGGTACAAAATGTCATTATAACCATGGGGCTTTGACTGAGAAAACACCGGCATCAGCTGATACGACGTCTTGAAGGCTGCAGGCGACATATAGAAGCCGTGAAGTTGTGCCAGGTCCGGCTGATGGCAGATGTCTGCGGCGTCTGTCCAGTTGGCCAGGAACTGCCCAAGCGAATGTGGAGCGACACACGCGCCGCAAATGTGTGACCGGGACGAAATATGAGGATATCTCCGAGCAAGCGACGAGGGTTTGCATCCTATAGAGCCAAACTTTCGGAATGTGTTTCGAAATGCCGAGTCGTGGAATATTGATTCAGTGAATTCTTGCTCTGGAATTGGCAACCATCCGGCCGCGCGGTCGTTGGACCAACTTCCACCACCACTTTTGTCTAACGAACGGCCTTGCTCTCGCAGGTGCTGGAGATCTTTGTATGGCACCGCCACCCTCGACTCGTCATTGAGATTGAATGCCAAATCCATATCAGGCAGATATTGGGCAAAACTGTTGATGAGTATCGCAACACCTTCGAGCATCCATCGATGCGTAGGGAGCACATTTTCCTGAACTGCCGCGTTTCCATTACGAATCGTGATCCCTGATATCTCGTTCCACGGATTGGATACCATTTCCCAGGTATGTCGCCTGAGGTCGGCAGGCGGTATCGTGCGAAAAGGCAGCAGGTCTTCATAGATTTGGTCGAATTCGTCGACGATTAGCGCGGATCTATTTTGTGCGTACTCAAGCCATTTATCGAATCTGGGAGGAGGATTGCGCCCGTGCTTTTCTTTGTACTGGTTGACGGTATCGGCCAGCGAACCAGTGTTTCCTACTGTTTCAAGGTACTGCTGGTGGTGGAGTTGTGCGTCGTAGATGAGCATGTCAATGGGGTGAAAATGAACATAGTCTCTTTTGCCCCAGGGAGGTAATAGCAGGATACCGAACACAATAAATAGTAGTGCCTGGCGAGAAAGCGGTATCGGACTCTTCTCGCGCAGTGCTTGTTGAATGTGGCGATATACCCTCCACCCAACAGCCACAAGAATGAAAGACCAGGTCGATGTTGAGGTTGGTGTCGGAGGAAATGGGTTTTTGTGAGACCAAATAAACTCGAATCCGGGTATCATAGTCATTAACGCCGTAAAGTAGACCGACATATCCAAAGTGCCGTGAGTCGTAATACAATGCAGTGTCGTAATGCATAAGAGACAGAAAAGGAGAACGTTTCCCGAAATGGCGAATAAGGTGCTAGAATCCAACGTCGGTTCCAGTAATAACAACCATGTCCTGTAATCCGGCTTGAAAGTATACACAATCGTGGCCACGACCGACCATATTAACACCGTGGCAAACATTGCTGAACTCCATAGCACCACACATCTCCGACCTGAAAGTCCGCGACCATCGGCCTTTGGTGCCGTCTCATAAATGATGATGGCAAGGCATAAATCCAAGAGCAGCGCCACAACCTGCATTGTCGGGACTGTCCGTTGTTCACCAGTCACAAGAGGACATATGAAGGTGGAGTTAGAAGAAACCCAGAGTCCTTGAACGAGATAGCAGCCGTATGACACGAGAAACAGTGGGAGTAGATATCTCGTCCGGGGCCCATGTACCCTTTTGCCAATCATCATACGCAAGGATTCGTATACACTGCTGTCGGGACGCTCTTCATACTTCAGTGCTAGCGAGCGTTGGGATCGAACTGCATCGTACAATGCGAGCGTGAACGGGAGGAATACCGCCACGCTGTCGATCGTGCATTCTGGTGCTCCTGAAATTCGACGGTACAACTCAATGCGCACCGATAGAACCGCAATCGTCGCCGAGAGTAATGAGACCTTGACCTTCCTATTATCTCGGCCATCCGCCTCTTCAGGTCCTAACCTTTCTATTGCGCGTCCAAGTTCTTCCAAAGGTAGGGCTGCATAACGGCCCTTGTTGGACTCAGGCGATTGATATAGTCTAGGTATGGCCTTGCTTGCACTCGGTAAAGCGAACGAACCGGCCAGTAAGGCAAAAACGACGAGGTGGATAGGTCGATCTGAGACAGTCAGGGGTGCTGAGAATAATCATTGGGGACGATCGCAAGAGGCATACCGTGGGCAGTGGAAATTGGGAAGAGGTACGCGATCCAACCTGCAGTCAGCAATGACATGCTTCAAGGATCAGTAAGAACTCCAATGATTATACGGGAGACTCGCACTCACCATAAGCACACGTTGTCAATGATGGTCATCGTTGTGACCTACTCGGGCGAGCAGTAGACCAGTCAGGTGTGGCTATGATCGCTTGCCAGGATGGAGAGCTAAAGCGTTTCCCTTTCCTCCGAACGTGCGGCATCACGGAGTCCCCTGGGAGGTTCTCGTCAGGAAGTTCTTTTCGGGCCCATCTGTATGCATAAAGCAGATCATTGTCATGGCATGTCAAACGCAGGTAGAAACTTGGAAGGCGCCCAGACCCATTTGGTGCTACCGATGAAGATCCGCCGACGAGGCTGTGGCTGGGCGATTAAGTCTAGATAAGGCTCCGCTGGGGAACATTTCTCCACCTCCGGCGCTGTAGGGAAACTGCGCCGAATAAATTTTTGGAGAAGCGCCTCTAACTTAGATATTTTTCTAAAGAAATATACAAAGTCGTTAGCACAACGACACTTTTGTCAGTACCTGGTATCTGAGGCGGAGGGAGGCCGGGCGACTACGAGAATGCCTCGCAAAGCGATTGACTCGCGCATCCCTGCGCTTATCCGCAATGGCATACAGGAAAAGAAGCGCAGTTTTATCGTCGTTGTCGGCGACAGAGCCAAAGATGTCATTGTACATCTGCACTATATCATGTCCTCGGTCGACGTCAAGCAGAACAAGTCGGTTCTATGGGCTTACAAGAAAGATCTTCTAGGATTCACTAGTCACCGGAAGAAGCGAGAGGCAAAGATCAAAAAGGAAATCAAGAGAGGCATACGAGATGCCAATACGGAGGATCCATTCGAACTCTTCGTTACACTGCACAATATCCGATATGTTTACTACAAAGAGACCGAGAAGATCCTGGGTAACACATATGGCATGTGTATCTTGCAAGACTTCGAAGCCATCACCCCGAATCTCCTGGCCCGCACCATCGAGACGGTCGAAGGCGGCGGGCTGGTACTTCTTTTGCTGAAAGGCATGAAAAGCCTGAAGCAACTCTACACAATGTCTATGGACGTCCACTCCAGATATCGAACCGAAGCGCATGACGACGTTGTTGCCAGATTCAATGAACGATTCATACTGTCCCTCGGAGCCTGCGAGTCCTGTCTGGTCGTGGACGATGAGCTGAACGTCCTACCCATATCTGGAGGGAAGAATGTGCAGGCTCTACCGCCACCAGCTTCCGCAGATGACAGTGAACTGCCGAGCAAGAAAGAGTTGAAAGAGATCAAAGACAGCTTGGCCGACAGTCAGCCTGTGGGATCTCTGGTCACTCTCGCAAAGACTGTTGATCAGGCCAAGGCACTCCTCACATTTGTTGATGCCATATCAGAGAAGACATTGCGAAGTACAGTAACCCTGACGGCCGCGAGAGGTCGCGGAAAATCAGCGGCACTGGGCGTCGCCGTGGCTGCCGCGGTGGCCCACGGTTATAGCAACATCTTCATCACATCTCCAAGTCCAGAAAACTTGAAGACTCTTTTTGAATTCGTTGTCAAAGGTTTCGATGCTCTCGAATACATGGACCATGTCGACTATACCATTCTGCAGTCAACAAATCCCGACTACAACAAGGCCATAGTGCGCATCAATGTCCATCGTGCGCATCGGCAAACAATCCAATACATCCAGCCGCAAGATGCGCACGTTCTAGGACAGGCCGAGTTGGTCGTGATTGATGAGGCTGCTGCGATACCTCTACCCCTTGTTAGGAAGCTGATGGGACCATACCTTGTATTCATGGCCTCGACCATCAATGGTTACGAAGGCACAGGTCGATCACTCTCACTGAAGCTGATTCAACAACTACGTGAACAATCCAGCGGCGGGGTCAAGACAAACGGCGATGATCTCGAAGTCGCTGATAAGGAGACCGGGAAAGCAACCAAAGATGGACAGAAGGTCTATACTGGGGGACGATCTCTGAGAGAGATCACATTATCAGAACCAATCCGATATGCACCTGGAGACGGCGTTGAGAAATGGTTAAATCGACTGCTATGCCTCGACGCTACACTGCCCAAATCAAAGATGAACACCCAGGGTACACCACATCCTTCAACATGCGAACTGGTCCATGTTAATCGCGATACTCTATTCTCATTCCACCCCGTCTCAGAAAAGTTCTTACAGCAAATGATGGCACTGTATGTTGCCTCTCACTACAAAAACTCGCCTAACGATTTACAATTAATGTCCGACGCTCCTGCGCATCAACTCTTCGTTCTCATTCCTCCTATCCCCGAAGATGCCAACAAACTCCCGGAACCTCTTTGTGTCATTCAAGTCGCCCTCGAAGGTCGCATCAGTAAAAAATCCGTGCTGAACAGCTTATCCCGCGGCCAGCGAGCCGGTGGTGACCTGATCCCCTGGCTGGTGAGCCAGCAATTCCAGGACTCGGAGTTTGCTGGTCTATCAGGGAGTCGCGTTGTTCGCATCGCCACAAACCCAGAGTACTTGAATATGGGCTATGGTTCGCGAGCTTTGCAGTTGCTGCAAGACTTCTACGAGGGCAAATTCACCTCGTTGTCCGAAAAGGACGAGGCCACAATCGAAGATATGGCGCACATGCCGCGTGTGACGGATGCCGAACTTGAGGAATCAGAGCTCCTCGATGACAACATCAAAGTTCGTGATATCAGACAGATGCCGCCGCTGTTCAGCAAGCTCTCGGAGCGCCGTCCAGACCCACTGGACTACCTAGGTGTCTCGTTCGGCTTGACACAACCACTCCACAAATTCTGGAAACGAGCGTCCTTCGCTCCTGTCTATCTCCGCCAAACCGCGAACGAGCTGACAGGTGAACATTCATGCGTAATGCTCAAACCTCTGTCCACAAGCACCAGTACCGATAGCTTCTGGCTGAGCGCCTACTCGCAGGACTTCCACAAACGCTTTCTCACCCTTCTTTCGTACCAATTCCACACATTCGCCTCCGTCCAAGCCCTTTCCATATCAGAATCCGCCTCTCGCGCCACCAAAGCCTCTCCCGACGACACCGCTAGCACCACTGGCGTTGCAACTCTATCAAAGTCTGACCTCGACGCGATCTTCTCCCCCTTTGACCTCGCCCGCCTCGAATCCTACGCCAACAACATGCTCGACTATCACGTCATCCTCGACATGATGCCCGCGGTCGCCATGCTGTTTTTCACGGGCCGTCTGAAGCAGGCACCTTGCAACGTCAGCCTCTCCGGCGTCCAGCAAAGCATCCTCCTCGCAATCGGACTTCAACGAAAAGATCTGAACGATGTCGAGAAGGAACTCAACCTGCCCAGCAACCAGCTTCTCGCGATGTTCGTCAAGGTGGTTCGGAAAGTCAGTACGGCGTTCAGGGCCATCATCTCCGGCGCTGTAGAAGCCAGTCTTCCGGAAAAGAAGGATGTCGACCTCGGCCTGAACGGTACCGCAGCACCGAGAGCTGGCAGCCGTGTGCAGACTGATCCCAACGATGCAGTGGATGACGACCTCGAGGAAGATGCCGAGCAAGTGAACCCCTACCTCAAGGAAAAACAGCGGGCTCTCATTGATGCACTGCCGCTTGATAGGTAAGGTTGACCTACTGCCGTGTTCTGGCACAGCTGTAACTAATCAAGTCTTTCTATTGTATAGGTTTGAAATCACCGCCGTCACTGCAGATGATGAAGCCTGGGAAGATGCCGAGCGACAGGTTCGGGACGCTGGGGCGGATTCCGGCCGCAGCACGGTCGTGAGCGTCAAGAGTCAGAAGAAGCGCAAAGTGGACGAGGTCAACGGGGACGAGAATGCTGAGGTTGATGGTGCTGACAAGAAGAAGAGGAAGGATAAAGAGAAGAAGCATGAGTCCAGGAATGGGGAGAAGCACCGGTCCAAGGACAAGGGCAAGGATAAGTCGCATAAAGCGAAAAAGGCGTCATGACTTAGAAACCATGCTGTAACTCTCAACATGAACCATAGCTCAATCCAATGAAGCATTCACAACACCACTGCTGCCTAAACTTTAAGTTTCATCTGGATTGTCGCTGAATCTCAATTCAATCATTCTGTGTAAGTCGCACCTTCGGCATTGGCAGTACCGGAGAAACCAGTGTCTCATGGCATATCATATTGTACTGTCACAAGACGCACCCTCAATCACTCTGCCGAGCAGGTGTGCCTAGGGCTCACGATCCGCTCTTCTTCTACGACACCCCTTTGGCCTCAAGCACCTCCCGCCAAACCCTGCACACCTCGTCATCATAAATCCCGACCAAAATCTCTTCGAACCACCCCTCGAACTCCGGCTCAGCAAGACACTCCTTGAGCAACTCAGCCATTTGTCGTGGAGGACACCTCCAAACGCCACACCCCAGCGCCGCCAACACCAACACACTCTTCCCATGGCGTGCCGCCATACGTAGAATCATTCTAAACCGTTCCCGTATCGTATGCACGTCCTTGTCGAGCTTGAAGCGCAGTTCCCCGGTCTTGCTATCCTTCACTTGCGGTGGACAAGCCAGGGCCGCCACACTGACCACGCTCACACTTGTCCAATCCTTTCGTGGCAGGATTTGGCATTCTTTCATCAACTCGTCCCGAAAGATCACCACATGCGGACTGAATATCCCCGCGCACTGGGTTCCTCCTCTACTGACTCTGTGATATATTGGTACGGCATTTCGCCAAGGGTATTTGTGTGTCCACCGCTCGAGCGTCGGCCACAGCGTGGACGAGTAGCAGAGCGCGTCCTCCTGAGTCGTGCCGTACCGATGTCGCCAGCCTCCAGCTATTACCATGTCAGAAGCACAGTTAAGCACAGCCAGCTTGCCCTCGCGTGCGTACTCGGGTCGGGATTTTGCAAGCTGTCGAGTCAAGGAGAACGTATCTCCGTAGCGAACCTTGATCTGTGGAAGAATGTATCCGGGACACGCGTCTCTTTCGAGTGGTCCAAGTTGTTTCGAAAAGAATGTCGATTCTGGGTTGTCGCTTAGACCCATTGTCGTGAGAACGCCGTCGATCATGGTCAGCGTCTGGTCCGCCATTCTCTTCCGCTTTACCTTGAGCGGTGGCTCTCCGAATGAGGCACGACCCTGGTAGCGTTCTGGGGGCAAGTTGTCGTATGCTCGGGGTCTGAGAGAGCGAGACATGATGATTCCTTCCAGTAACAGCAGTGTAAGTTGTTGTGTATTCGAGATAGGGGCCTAGGGCTTGTTCAGAGTGCTATGGTATGAAAATGCAGATGCTGATGCTGATAGAGAAGAGCAGAAGAGCAGAAGACAGAACGACACATCGACTTTATCAGGCATAAGACATTGCCTGGTGAGGACCTGTGGTGGTAGTCTCAAGGTTTTGCCCAATGACTCCTTCCAAGGAGGTTCAGGATTTTCATTGGTAGACCGTGTATTCCGTGCACCTCCCAGTGCAAGAGCAAGCTTCATAACCACTAAACGCAGAGATTGTCCCAATGGTATGCAGAATCTTCAAAGTCATCTTCACGTCTCGCTTCAGCTCATTCATGTCCGATGCCGCGTGCCTTGCACACCCAAGAGCAGCTCATAATTTTTCGATATAGAATCAATCAGGATACCAATCTTCGTCACTCGTGTCGCCTGAGTTGCGAGATGATCTCTTAGCACGCTGTTTCGGCTTCGAAGTACTTCGAGAAGAGGATGTGGTGCTCGAGACCGACTGAGATAATGGTGAGGGTGTCGGGAGTGATTCAACTCGCGCACGCTTCTTGGACTTCTCTTTGCTGTTTTTGCCGCTGCTTCTGGTTTTTCTTTTGCCACTACCTCTTTTCTCCTGGATGGCATTTTTGAGATGCTTATTCACCAGAGTGATTTTTGGAATAGCTGGTGCGGATTCTTCTTCTTCATCGTCATCCTGATCATCCTCGTCGTCGTCGAGAAAACTTCGCATAGGCTGTTCAGTTTCCGCGTCCACGCTTGGTTGCCATCCCATCACCATCATAGAACCAGTCTGCGCCCTTCACCTTGGACCCATCCTTTTCATCCCAGAAGCCGTGTATAACTGTGGTCCGCTCACCATCGTTCGGATCACACAGTGCTTCGTATTTTCCAAAACGCCAGGTAGCGTCAAGTCCTTTTTGTGGTTTGATCCAGGAATGCACGTACTTGTGCAGAGCTTCATCCATAGACCGGCGTTGTGCAAGTGTTGATTGGCGCGCATATCGATAACCGAAACCCTTGTAGAAAAAGACTTTCTCGCTGGAGAAGTCGGCTGGATTGAACCCCCCCGGAACGTGAAGAGCCACTATGCACTTACTCTTCGATCGGTTGGAGTCTTGATCTTCTTGAGCTACACCTCCGATCGGTGGGACGACAGGCTGTCTGATAGGAACAGGATCCTTGTCAGCCGATGGCACAGCTCGGGTTGCATCTGGATATGATGGTAGACTTCTCAGCTTCTTGCTTGGAGGTAGTTGCCTATCCTCCTCAGCAACTTCCGGGCTCGAAGACCGTTTGAGACCTTTCGAATTTGCTGCCTCTGGAGCAGGGGCCGCTGCAGTGTGCAGATTCACCATTGCTTCGTTCCCATTGGATTCAACCCCGAGAACTGTGGCAAAATCAGTCCGGTCTATCTCAACATCCTCGGGGCCAAAGCCCATGGAGTCTGTGGCATCTGGGTCGCTAATCTGGCAGACCTCAATCAATTCGCTGGGCGTGTCTTGATCAGGTATTGGCGAAGGTGATCTCGACAGACCAGTTCGTTCGTTGACTTCCAACGCGAGCGCCATGAACAGATCATGACGCTCCTTCTCGGCGTCAATGCGTTTCTGGGTGTTGTCTTTCTGTTGGCGTGTAGCGAATTTCTCATAAAGTTTCTGCAACTTCTCAAGATTGTGGCGGGACCATTGAACCTCGAAAAGAGCGTAAAGAAAGAGACTTCGGCCTGTTGGGTTTGAATCCGTGCGGTCCATCACTGCATGCCAATCTTCTTTCGAGATAACCCCTTCGCAGTCGTGCAAGACCTCCTGCAGAATCGCGTCACCATCATCCAAATCACCAGCTGCTCGCTGGCGAACACGATCCTCTGAGACACCGGCTTCTTTGAGTTCTCCTGCTGTGACTGCCCAAAGTTCAGACTCCTTGTAGGCCCTGGACACGAAGACTGGCACTTTCATGGGGTCGAGCCCCTTCCTCGGCCTGGCCCTCATCATGGGCGGGTGTCCGGGGTTCGCCAACCTCTTCGATTGCGAAACGCCTCTTGTATGAGACCGTGTACCATTTCCTGGAATGGTTTCCGGGTCATAGCCAATTCGGAGTGCTTCAAACCAGACCTTTTGCAGGATTTCAAACACATGATCAAGAACCTCTCTTCGTTTCGATTCATCCTGGATTGTTGATGCAAACTGAGCCCAGTCCTTGACATGTTCCATGATCTGAATGTTGAAAGGAAGGCTGCTATCCGGAAGCAAACGGGTACGGCTGAATCGTTGGCGATGAGGTGATGCATAGAAGGGCGATGAGGCAGGTGGAAAACGGTAGGTGCCAGATGGTGGTGACTCGAGGTCAATATGCTGACCATTGAAATCGGGTATGTTGAAACGACCAGCTACCAGATCTTGTTGTATCAGGGCGAGAGTGCCTCCGCTAGTGCTTGCCGCAGCCTCTTCCGGAGGAGTGCTCTCGAAGCTTTTTGCGGCGGTAGTGAGTGTACCTGTCAGAGGACTGTATTCGTCGCCACAGCTTTTCGGCGGACTGGGATTTCCATTCACGGTCGCTTCGTCTGCATTCCCGTCCAGATCGATCAGACTTTCTCCGAGCAATACCTGCTGTAGTTGCAATTGTTCCGGATTCTGACCTCTTATAGATTGCGCTGAGGCCATGACGTGGGACTCTTCAAGGCCTGTAGATCGGCAGAGATTTTTAGGTTGAGCCTGCGTGGGAGTCGTCTCAAGGGTCGACCTGGGGTCGGACGTCGAAGAAAATCCTTCTGCAGGTGTTGGTCGAGGGGGTCCCAAGACAAACTTGGATAAGGCATCGAGAGGCATAGCCATGGCTGCGACAGCTAGGCTAAATAAAGGCGCGGAAGCCTCGAAAGCATGGTCAAACAAACAGAAACTGCCGTCGGCGGCGAAGTCTCCAGAGAACGTAGGCTTCGTTTGGGTCTATCAGACAAAATAGAAGCGAGGAGGTCTTTTGAGGCTCCTTAGGGACGAGGTTCCTTCGTCGGTGAAGGAATATAGATCGATGAAAGCAAGGAGGAGAGTTGTGGGAGGAGTCGTAGAGAAAGAGTAAAGAAGAACTGAGAGGTACAATCGAAAGGACAGTGAAGTGAAGGAAATCAATAAAGGGTTGGTAAAGTCAAGGTTTTGAGATCTGCTTGGGAGCGCAGCTGCCGTGACAGTTTCGACGACTAGCACAGATCAAGTAGGACAATAGCAGGCTGCTTCATTATTCATAATGTGACAGCAAAAGTCGTGCCTTTGCTGCTCAGAGTTCGTCGTGATCTGTGGTCGGACTAGCCTCAGGCTCTGGTTCGGCAACAGTCTCAGCAGCTTCGACCGGTTCAGATCCGGACGAGTCTGATGCGACTCCTCCCAAAGATGGTGGTAATTTCGATTTGGATCCTTCTCCGAGTTTGATGGCATCAATGAAGCTTTCGAGACCAGGTATATCATATGCCTCAGTCGAGTATCTTCTCCACCACCCTCTCTTCATGTTTATGGCAATCACTTCAAGTGTACCCGCAGGACTGAGACCCAGCTCTTGTCTTATCGTGGTGGAGGTGGGGTTGTCGTCTGGCACGGCATAAGTAGGTATCATGCTTGCCTTGCGTTTGTCGTACTTGTGTGCAATTTCGGCCAGAGAAGCGAGCGCGGAAGTCGCATCTTGTGATGGTACTGGGGGACCTAGTGCTGTTGGGACCAACACCAAAAGACAATTGCCGCTCTTTGGATCAAGGCAGGCAGACTCTACTTCGGCAGCAGTAGGAAGTGTAGAAATTGGAGGAGCCACATCAGGTACAACCATTGGTTTCTCTTCGTGATCAACAATGGGCAGAGGTGAGTCGGTGGGAAGGTCGTCGTCCAGCACAATAGTCCCAGAGCTTGCAAGGAAGTCGTCAAAATCAGAGGATTTGTGAGCCTCGGAAGCTCTCGAGAAGCCAGCTGAAGCGGAAGGGGAAGGAGTCGACTTTGATTTCTTCGACTTGGCTGCTTTGGCTTCTTTCGGGGCTGGATCCGGATTTGGAGGAGCAACTTGACTGAAGAAGCTCAGCAAAGAGTCTCGATTGATCTCTCCATTGTAGGTAATAGATTCTTCGCCAGTGGCAGTGACCAATTGAACTGACGGGAGTCTGGTAACACCGTATTTCTCCGCAGTAGCCTTGTCTTTGACTTGTGCAAAGGCGATGGACCCGAGAAAATCGACCGCCAGACTTTTGACCAAGGGGCTTGTCGTGCTTTTGTCGGTAAAGACAATTGCCTTTGCAGATGAAGCCGGATCATTGAGCCACTTTTGGAAAGCGTCGCCTTGTAATCTCCTGACATGATTCGGAAGCTTGTCCTTGACAGCCTCAACTATTCCTTTGGCTGTTCTCGGTCCCTGGTAGTCTTCAACTATGGGTCGACCAGGCTTGTTTCCAGGTTTAACGATTTTTAATGTTGGGAAGCCCTGAACGCCCATTTGTCCGCAGAATGGTTTGTTTGCCTCCTCATCACAGTCGATGGCAGCCACCTTGGCCAATCCGGCGAGGTTCTTTGCAGCTTTCTCATAGGCAGGTTTGAGATTCTGGCAGTGTCCGCACCAAGGCGCATAAAACTCGACGATCTAGGTGAGCAGTCAGTGGTCTACTCGGAATCGTACTTTGGATTTACTCAACATACAGATGTGTGATTAGACTTGGCAATCAGGGTGTCATATGTCTTTGCATTGAGTTGAAGGACGGGGGAGTTCTGGCTGTAAATTGCATTGACGTTGATCCAGCAAGTCGAGGCTAGGACGAGCAAGGTGAGGAGGGATGAGAGAGCCATTTTGAAGCAAGATCCGGAACGAACACACGAACAGAAACAAGACGTGCTAAGGTACAAGATGATGGTGCAGGAGTTGAGAGGCCATAAAGATGACGGTACTCACTTGTCCTGCGGTGACACGGGGGAATAATGATCACCTTTGAACACGCTGGCTGGAAGCCGGCAGAAATGTGAAGGGGGGCACTTAATTATCGGGAATCTGGGGAAGGTGACGAAGTGTCCGACAAGGTTAATCTGCCAAACCCCAATAATTTACACCCTTGCTGGCCAGGTACAGTATTCGAGCCGCAGCGGCCACCTCCACAGGGACAACCTGCATCAATATACATTTCATGGCACCCCCAGACTGTCGAAGTTGCCAGGTGGTGAACGATGTCTGTGGTAAGTACATATCGAATCCCTCGTTTCTCCAGACTCCAATTTGGGGTATGTCATCGGCGGTCAGATTCACAAGGTTAATCTACCTACAGTAGGTACAATCCAAGGGGCCAAACAGTACCTACGCGTAACGCAATATCGGAGATCGCTTTACTGATGATGCACTAGCTTGCTTGATAGGCACGGTGTTTTCCATCTCTGCGGTCTCGGCGTCTTGCGATGGCCTGAGTATTCCACGCCCTCTGACTCGATCGGGCTGTCTCTTGCGGGTTGATGTTGATGATGATCAGCAACGGTATGACTCCGTAGTGATTTTGGAATCATGACACAGGGAGGCGAGTCCAATCATCCGTATTGATTCATCCTTGCAAGGTTGCGCCAGAACCACAGGTAGTCGATGATGCGTAAGCATGCGCCATGCTAACAATGCCACCAACCGAATATGGCTCAAATCCAGCGTTTCGAGGCTTGTCAGTTTTCCACAGTGACCATCCCCATACCCGTTCCACGCCAGTCAGTGGAGGGACTTTTGCCGTTACATGACTCGGTAGGGCTACTAAAAATTGGCCCTAACAGCATCTTAAGGTCTAGGCTGGCATGCAATCCATAAATTTGACCAGACATATTTGGCATGTTTCATCGTCTTAAGATCTTTAATCCACCTACCTGTTTCCGCTGCTACACAGCATCCTCCTTGAACTTTTACGACGAGACTTTCTTTGAACACGGTCCTTTTTTGCCCTTTTATCCAAACGATATGGCAACATGGTCCAGGGTCGAGCCAAGAGGCCTCATCAGAAGGTCAAAACTGGATGCATGACTTGCAGGTAAGTTCCCGCCGATGGAAACCGCATTCGTTTGACTGACAATGTCGCCAGAAAACGGCGCATAAAGTGCGATGAGGGGAAACCAGCTTGTCGGCAATGTACAGATTCTTTGCGGAGATGCGAAGGCTACCATCCTCCTCAGACATGGCTCTTTAAATCGCGTCCGAGCCCTGAAGGATCCGAGACGAGCGCCGCTCTTATTCCTGTCGTTTCTCACATGGCACCCATAGGTGATGCCAACGACAAACGCTCCTTCCAGTTCTGGGTTGAACAAGCCGCACCCATCTTCTCTTGCTACTTTGGTGAGTCCTTCCTGTCTATACGTGCTTACTTGACTTATGTCTCCTGTAGGCCACACTTTCTGGACTCAGCTCTTGCCGAAAATCGGCTTTGTGCAGCCCGCCGTCAAACACATGCTTATTGCCACTTCAAACGTGGTAGAGTTCGCTGCTCTGGATGGCCTGCCACTGGATAACAATGCAGCGTATCAATCTCATTACACCCAAGCTATCCAGGCGACGTGTTCTTCTCCGCAGGTGGAAAACGTGCTCATGGCCTGTCTACTGTTTGCCTGTTGCGAATTCATGAAGGGTTCAGCGGCTGGTGGCCTTCACCACATCCGATCAGGCATCAATATCATTGAGGAATGGTATGGCTCATTGTCCAATCCGAATGTCAAGATTTCCGAGTCCGCGCGGCTCATCATTGGAGCCATTGCTCCTATCTTCATGTCCTATCTTGACAAGTCGCCGACGTATGGAATGGGAGACGTCACTGTCAAGAAGTCAACTAATATCGCCGTGATTGCTCCCAGCCACGAGTTGCCCTTCATCCCTCCTTTCACTCACATACATCCAGCACATCATGCTCTTGATGGTGTCGCGCATCACATTGCGAGACTGATGGACTGGAGAAGTGTTGGACATACGCCTTCGCCGCAACGAAAGATACAACACTTGTTGGACACCTGGCGCATGACTTTCGATGGATATGTCGAGAGCCTGACACCCGCCAGAAAAGAACGTTACGCTGTGGCAGTGCCCCTGTTACGCGTCTATCACACCATGTTCAGTGTCATGTTTCGCGCGTCATCCAGCAACTCCGAGGTCATCTATCACCAGTTTCTGGGAGAGTTTCAATGGATTGTGAGCATATACGACGAGTTTGCAGTACGTTGGACAGGCAATGGCCCTCCCAAGTTCTCTTCCGGAGACGCCGGAAGCCTCGACTATCACATGGGATTTATACCTCCCCTCTTCTTCACGGCCACGAAATGCCGCGACCCTGCCACAAGAATGGCCGCCCTCAACCAGTTGGGCTCACTGCGAGTCGAGGAGAACAATTGGACAAGTTGTACCGCGTACATGATTGCCAGGAAAATCATCCAAATCGAAAACAGAATGGCCATCATCAGCGACCGTGTAGGCCGCAACGACAAGCGTGACCTCATCCGGCCTGTCGAGGCTTCCATTACAGACAAACGGAAAACCCAAGCCACACTCGACTATGCTGTTTTTCCTTATGGAGGGGATGCCGACCCTTTGCTACATGAAACGGTCGACCTATTGGATTGTACTTCTTTACTTTCATCCTCCAAGGTGCAATGGGTACGTACCACTTTCACACATGACATAGAACCACTAGCTAACGCTTCCAGCCGTTGAGCAGGATTTTACGCATAGGAGGTTATCAAGGTGGAGGTGTGAATCCAACGCCGACCGATTGCTGTTGCGGCATCCACTCTCCAAAGAGTGTCTTCACCCATCAGCCGAAGACATGATGATCATGCATAATCGAGGCCGATCGCCTGTTACTTCCGATGAGCGTACACCAGAGAAGTTCCGGAAACGACCTGAATCCAGGTTGGTCGAGCACCATTGCCATCGTGATGCGCTAGGCTACCAGTTGGAACATATGACTCTCGGTCGTATACTCCATCACCATGGGCGCATGGCGGCCTGCTCCGTCCCAACCTGTATGGGCGCGTTCTGATCACAGCACCGCCGGAGGCTCTGGCTCTAGGACTCTTCACCAAGACGATCCTCAGTCATTACCGTACCAACCTGGTACGAGTTTGATCATCAGATGGGCTGGAACCACACAGAAGACGTCATATGGAGGAGTGTCTCTGTACGTGGACCTCAGCCGGTGGTCTCCGGCACGATCCACGTTCTATGTATGTGGCAGAATGGCCACACGTTGCGCACCAAGGGTCGAGGGTGGAGATCGACCATTGCCATGTCACTTAATAACTTGAAGGCATGTTCGTGAAACTCGTCCATCATACGAGTGAGATGGAGATTCTGGAAAGGAACAGGTGACCTAATGCCACTGTCCAGAATACTACTGTATGTACTCCACGAATCTCTTCTGAAGCTGGTGCTTGATGATCTCAGTACCTGCTTCATTCAACAGCTGTGCAGACGATCACTTCCTTCAGGTCACAAGGTCATGCTCAAATGCCGGTTCTTGAAGGGTGAGATGACGTGGTGAAAGCGGATCCCCAAGATTCAGCCGCACATCGCGTACACATTCCGGGGTCCTCCGCACACAACGACAGCGTCAGCCGTTGACAGGGTGGAGGTCATCACTTCTATCGCATGTTCCAACTGGGTTCAACTCAAGCCACCTGCTGTCGTGAGCCTGTTCGACCTTCTACTTGTACAGTATCGCTGATGGACTCCCTGTCAGACGATGCCAATTTTCTGGAAAGGGGCTCGAGATATTGCCCATATGTCAGCCCTGCTCAGACGAAGGCGCGACACTGGACGTTTGCAGTTTCCAGAAAAGGTGGCACCGTCTGGCCGCTGTGGCTGGTCAGGTTCAAGTACTAGTAGTTATGTACCATTCTTGTTGTCATTCCGGAGTCCTTCAAAAAACAACGATACTTTGATAGTTTAGAGTAGCGGTTGCTAGGCACAAATAAAACATCAAATTGGCTGTTCAAAAAACAACGATACTGTATATTGTTGGCTTTTGGCAGGGTGGAGGCCATCAGCTCTACTGTACAGTGCTTCTGTCTCGCTGCTAAGGCTCCGCTGTTGCGGACCAGCTTGACTTCGAACTTGTGTCTTCAATGTACGGCGTACCCTGTCAGACGGTGCCAATTTCTCTGGAAAACAGGCTCGGCGGATAGGCTGTTTCCATGGTTCGTGATCCGCAATTGTCATGTGAAATCAGAAGATCTTCGTGCCTGCTCGTCTCTGAGATACGGTTGGAATCGTTCAGGGCGAGCACCTGCCAGGAATGGAAGCAACCAAAAAGACCTTGTTATGCGCGTGTAGACTAAGCAGAGTCTAGGCACATAGCTGAAACATTCACTCTGAAACAAAAGCTATGTGTCTGCAAGACCTGATGAGCAAGGCAAGATCATTTGGGACCGTATACTACATAGTAATACTACTGTGGTCCTTGTGTATTGGAGAAGGGACAGCAAATGCAGTCATGCAAACTCATGCAACGTTCATGAGCGACTTAGCAGGGATGGAAGGATACTAGTAGGTGACTGCGATAGTATACTTACTTTACATTAGCATGAGGCCGTGGTAAAAGCGGCGATGAAGCAGTTTTAGCAATGGGATTGTGCCTCCAAACGGCGTGTATGACAATCCTCAGTCTTGCTTCGCATTACTTTCACACCCTCTCTATGTTGCTGACTTCTATTCTTCTAAATCATCAATCATTGGACTTTTCATCTCTTTCTCAAACAGTCCATCTCTCACCTTGATGATACATCTCGAATCTTCCCTGATATTGCCTCAGGAAGGTGGTTCATTTCTATTGCCTATGTGAAACCACTTATGGATGATTGATTCCATTCAGCATTGAGCAACAACCATCACCGTTTCCTGTCGCTCGTCACGGCTCCTACCAAACCTTCGTGATCAGTGCAATCCAGGAAGAGTCTGGTCCAACCACCTTTCCGTCAATCCGTCGTCGCCTCTTCCAAAATCGTTCGATGGCCTCTTTTCACTTCGTCGTCATCTCCGAACTACATAGTAGTACTAGTATTTCTCCTTCTCTCTTTGGTCATCCATCCTCTTCGGTCTTTCAGGCTGCTCCTCTTCCTTCATCATCTCCCCTCCATCGCCGTCTGAGAACTTCAGTTGTGCCAAATGCTTGCGTTGCCACTGTACGTTTGGAGAGGCGAGATTTTTCAAGAGATGGAATTTGTACTTGTACCTCAGGATCCTGCGAAACAATAAAGCTTAGATTGCTTACCCGGGGTCATCAAAGATCCTTTGGAGTTCACTTCTGACATGTTTTGCATGCGGTGATCCTTTGGCAGGTTTTTCCCCGTGGGTACGGTACATTCCACTTCACTGAATGCTGACTCTGGTTCTTGCCCTTAGAAATCCCAAGACGGCCTCCGATGCATGGTCCCCCAAAGAGCGAGTCACGATTGATATCAGTGCCACTCAAGCAATCATTCAGGCATACTGATTCTGGAGCGTCTGTCACTTCCATGATGATCAATCTCCTTTTGCGCTGAGCTCCACATTACACCGAAACGACTCGCAGCTGTTGAGACCACTGTTAGCATCAACCAGGCCGAAACACGGCAGCGTCTGACGATGTCACTGCCCATCGGGAAACAAAAGAACAACTCGCAGATGTCAGTACGCCTAGATCACAATCGGTACCAACAGTGGGCGAAAGCATTGTTCGTGGTCGACGTCGTCTGGCTCTGTCCGAAGGCTCTGTCGCCACCCAACCTTGTGGAGATCAGTTCATGACAGGCACCTGACCACTCTCGAAAGTCTAAAGGTCTGGTCCTGTCATCTCGAAGCTGGCAAGAGACCGTCCATTACAATACTAATGTTATGAACTCGTCCTGTCCATCTCCGCATACTATACCGCAGTATTTCCCCGCCTTATTAACGCTAGGCCCAATACCGCGAAACTGCTGCCTCATTTCTGACAGCCTCGGCTCAGTACGCTATTCCTTTCTCGGTGATCTTCTCAGTCCGTCGACGAATTCGGAGTTGTACACTGGAAAAATCATTTTCCGTTCGGCGTGGCGAGCTTCAACGAAGGCTGATGTAAGGGCGTTGGGTATGGAGCCCACTAAAGTGTAAGGTTGGATTGCGCCCCTCTATGAAGCACTTATACCAGGTGAATTTGTCTCTCCGCGAATGGATTGGCACTTTCATCCATATCTTGCTACCCGCTTATTGTAGGTGCTGGCTTATGATCGACGGGTGGACACGAGCTTGAAGGGGCCGTAAGCAGGCTGCTCCAGTTCTTATCGATACTGGGAAAGACGAGCCGAAGGCGAGGCAGTGTCGAGCGATGAGGCAACATAAGTTCAAGCCCTGCGAGACATGCTTCCAGCCAATCCGCTGGCCGAATATAATGCAGACGCCGTTTCCAAGCCATAATCGTAGAGACTGAGGTGAACCTGGAATATACAACAACTGAAGACTACTTATTACGCGCCAAGTGCTCCAGGTGAAGCCCCCGAAGATACTAGTATAGTATCACTTATTAGCACGATATTAAGAATAGTACGCACGACGAATAGAACGACTAATATAAACGCCCTGATAAAGACTTTCACGATATTAATTTTATGATATCGATTATTTAGTATCATTATAATTTATATCTCTACGAACTATTATATAATACTATAGTATTACTATACTCTAGTAATTTAAAAACGTTAATAATATTAAATTTATACTCGATTTATATTCGATTTATACTAGTACTTAATTTATACTAGATTTACTATATATTATATTTATATGGGAATAAATCTGAATCGGATTCTTCTACAGAATATAGTGATTTCGGAATGTATAGTTAAAATTTTAAGGCTATTATTACAGAAAGGTATTTCTTTTACCCGGATCGGATCCTCTGCCTTAGATAGAGTACTAGTATCTAGAAGAATAGAATTTGAAATTCCGGTCACTCGTCGAATCTTGGTGGGACCGTTGTTCAGGGCGAGCTTATTACGCGATTCGCAACGCGCGTGACAGTGCTAAGAACAGCGCAGAAGAGTAGCCGATGACCATGATCTAAATGGCTAACGAAACCGATAAAGCTGCCCTCATAAACGCAGTACTACTTACTATAGTACTATAGATCGAATGTAAATTCAAATTAGCTTTTACAATAATACTTACCTAGCTCCTTTCCAGAAAAAAATTGGTATCGTCTGACCGCTGTACCTGGTTGGGTTCAAAGTAGGCACTAGTACTCATGTATGCCTCCTGACGAGAAGCCTTCCCGGACGTCAACCGCCTCCACGAATGCTCGCCGAATAAAAGCCCAGTCCGGAAGTCTCCTTTAGAGGGCGGCTCAGAATCCAGTCGTATACTAGTACCTATACAGCTATCCGCTAGCGAGTCTCAGCAACTTACGGGGGAGTCTTTTACAGAATCGACTGTCCCAGGCAGACATTGAGCTGAACGCGGAGGACTCTCGCAGGCGACCGGCCCCTGCATCCAGCAAACTCCTCGACCCTCCTATTCCCAACCAGAATATATAGTACAATCGACAGGAGAATAGCCAAAGATCTGATACTAAGTACATAGTACTATCGCATCTAGGGCTGGCACCTCACAAAGTCAAAATACCAATGATATCCTGATAAAGTACTCGAAATCGTAGTACTAAGGGCAACCTGCGTCCCAATTAGCGGGGGTATATCGCCGCTTCTAAAAGAAAGATCAAATTCGGTTTCAATGCCCTCCCAGAACGCTGCCTCGAGTGTTAGCTGCTGACAATTAGGAGGCCTCGGCCCTACCGTACGACTGCTACTAGCTTTAAGTCAAGCTGGGCCATGAACTTATACATGTATCTTAGATGTACTCCTTGTCAGACGGTGCCAGTTTTTGGGAAATATGCTCGCTAGGGTACGTAGATGGTGTTCAACCGCTCATTTTCTTATCAGACGGTCGAAGGTGAGCTTGCATAGCAAGTCCTTCGGTCGAGAGGTCAGCAACTGATCCGACATCTCCATAGATGCGTGCATATCCGCGGCGGGTCGTGTCCGATACCTCGAATATACGGAGTGTAACAGAATTCTCATTTCGGACAGAGCGAGGCTATCGAGCATTTGCCCATTAGCACTCAAGCAATTGCTCCAAAAAAAATTGGTGGAAAACACTCACAATTTGCCGATGCATGAACGGGCGCCGGACCCAAATGCGAACATCAAGCGCTGTCTGTCGACGCTGCCTTTCTCTTCGAGCCATCTCTCGGGAAGGAATTTGTCTGGTTCAGGGAAGACGGACTGGTCAAGCCGGTGTACTGTGTATGACTGAGCGCTGACAATGGTATGAGCCGGAATGTAGTACCCGTCAATGACTCGGCCGCCTTGAGGCACGTAACGTGGTAGAGGCAGGGTGCCGGGAGCCCAGAGCCTCATGGTCTCCTCAATAACGGCGTTGAGATATGGCTGTTGATTGAGCCTGCCCCCATGCTCCGGGTCACATGTCTGTAGCTCCTCGATGAGTCGCTGCATGCGCTCAGCGTTGTGCGATTGCGATAACTCCCACATGAGAAAGCATAGCGCATCACCTGTGGTGTCGATACCTGCGCCAATGTGATCGAGGCACTCGGCGACCATGTCCTCCATGCCCATCTCGGGATGTTGGAGCAGGCGAGTTGCGAGTGTGAAGTCTGAATGAGGGGATGCCCGCATCGAGGACCAGGCATAATGAAAGAGGAATTTGCCGCCTTTCGAGGGTCGCTTGGGAGTCAACGACTTGTAAGCAGCTTCGAGCCAAGGGTAGTGGTGACGGAGCACCAGTGCTATGGTCTGGTCAGCCTACTGAACGAATGCTGATAGGTAAGTAGGGTGTTCACTTACCAGACCGGCTGTCATGGTACGAAAGGTTTCGGACCATGTCATGATCACTACCACCCTCGACAGATTTCGTGCCGTATGGGTGGAAGATCATGGCACTCACACAGTCAAGGGCGTAGCAGTGCAAGTAGAGCTGCGAAATGTCAGTCCGCCAGAGAAAACACGTTCTTGAGTTAAACACCCACGTATATGTCTGTACTTTCGCTTTCACCACAGACTTTTGCAAATGCTTCACCACGCTCACGTAGGGGTTCCTGGATGCTGGGATGCAGGACAGCCGTATTCGTGTACCGATCCGCAAGCCGCTTTTTCTTCTCGTTGTGCTGTAGAGAAATGTAAGACCATACTCGTGCTTCCTAGGGAGGATAGGACTCACCTCCTTCTTGTCTAAGGCAGTGAAGAGATTTCTGTGATCGTTTTGTTTGAAAAGAGAATATAACTCCGTCTTCGCATAACCACCGGCAGAGGTGTAGATCTCTTTCAAGGCCGCTGCGCTGGCAAAGGATACCTCATTGGGTGCCAATCGTACCACGCAACCATATCTTAGGTGCAGATTGTGTATCCAGAGACGCTTCGTGCCGTTGAAATCGTGATATACCATAAAGAGGTGCGATATATTGGTGTACCATGGGCCGGGGACTTTGCTTAGTGGTGAGAGAAACAGGCGATATGCCAAGAAGCTGAGACATGATAGAATGGCAACTGCGACGAGCAGCGATAGCGCTGAACGGTGTACTGATAGTACTACTGCCGAATAAGACACCCAAACCCAATTCGGAAGTGAGGTAAGTGTCATTGTCCGACAGTGATTTTCAATAAAGGTGATATGACTGAACTACAGTAGTCAAGTAGAATCCCAGGCCAGTCGAGTCGTTGCGAAAGAACGGAGAGTAACCGTGGTCTGTGTGGTTGAGCGTCTCAGTCCTCAATGCCAACGTCCGCATTTACTGTGGCCATGTTTTCGAAGAATGGCGAAGACGAAAGTCGATTTTGTGAAAAGAGAATTGTAAGAGACAACTGAAGTCCTATCCCAGCCTTGCATCGGATTTGACCGCCCAACTAGGGCGATAACTACATACTAGTAGTGCTTAGTGTCGATATGACAGACTATCAAACCTGAACTTTCTTCCTACTCTCACCCGTTCGACCAGAAACAGATCAATAGCTGCAGTGGTGTTAGTAAGCTGGCAGAGAGTCGAACCAAGCGACCTTGTTGGCCGATGCTACTGGTATAGGACCCTATCCGTTTCCGACGGGATGGATCACCGGATCCACGCCCGTTGCATTCTAGGACGGGAGATTGTTTCCGTTCGGATCCCCAGTCTTGATGAAATCGGCCCAGTAGCCGTTCATCTTGGCCGCGATCTCGTAGTCCTCGGCTGTCCAGGGAGAGTCTGTGTCATAGAGGTTGTTCAAAACGTAATTGATCTCAGACTCGTGGTAGGCGCCCCTAGTCTGATTTGGCGGAGCATGATCCCAGAAATACGTGTACACCGGGCTGGAAGCAGCAGGATGCCAAAGGTTTGCCCAGAGCCAGGTGCCAACTTTAGACCGGTCAGTGAACTGCGAGTCGTAGGCACCTGTTGCGGAAGTCGAATTGTCTGTTGGGTAGAGAGCGAGAAACTCGGAGGTCCAATTGCCTGTATCGCTGTCGTATGTTTCATTAAGGAATGAGTAGTACTCAGTTACTTTCTCGACCTGACCATAATTGGCGCCGCTTTCATCCTTTGTGTTTCCAGTGATGATCGGGATGTCATTTGCTGGGCCCTTTTGTAACGACTCGAGGTAGGTAGGTGCTCGGCATGGCATAACTGTCCAGTGTTGCCGAAAACGAAAACTCACTATCCATGAATGAAGTGGTAAGGTTGTCCATCGGTAATGCCCGTAGCTCTTCGAGGCTGCTGACATTTAGACTGGCCACGTATTCCTCGCCAGTCTCCAGAGCGGTCTCCAATGTTTGATATCCTTCGGCAAGAGATGTCGCAAGAGGGTCGTGTGGATCCCGCACTCCAGATTCGATGATGGCCCCAACAATCAAACCCTTGGTGAGAGGACTGTTCACGATATGGTACGTTGCAGCGGATCCTGCCGACTGGCCCATGACGGTGATGTGATCAGGGTCTCCACCAAAGGCTGCAATGTTCGCGTGAATCCATTTCAAGGCGGCGAACTGATCTAACATCCCCCACTTGCCCGAGCTATTGTGGCCGGTCTCCTCCAAGACTTCATCCGAGAGCCAAGGGTGCGCCAACCACCCGAAAGAGCCGGTCCGGTAATTGTAGTTGACATAGACGATGCCCTTGTCCGCCATACCGCCACCGTCGAAGAGAGCGTCCGCGGCAGTAGATTCCGCTGGATAACTCCACATGACCACGGGAAGCTTCGCATCGCTGGAATTGGCGGCACTCCAGATGTTGAGATTCAAGCAATCCTCACTGATGTTGTAGCCATTGTCGCCGGTTGTTGCAGAAGGGCAGATAGGTCCAAAATCTTTCGCTAGTAAGGTCTGATTCCACGATTCGGCTGGTTGAGGCGATCTGAATCGATTCTGAGCTGCCGTTGATGCTGCGAAGGGTATGCCCTTCCATACTGTGATATGCTCCCAATTTGTCAAGTTCCCGCTGGGGGTACTATTGAAAGCAGGATAACCTTGTATGGGGCCGTGATTGGTCTCAACGACGGTGTTGTATAGTGCGGCATTACAGAATTCCGAGACCACAACAAGCGGGAAAAGAACAGATCTAGGGTTGATTCGGGATTGCATCTTCACGTTTGCTTGACTTCAAAGAGGCAGCTTACATGGCTAGCAGTTTTTGCAACGGGCAAAATGAGTACCATATGTACGGAATGTCGAGGTTACACTGGGTTGGTGCTTTCGCAAGAGACTTACGAGGCAATGTTCCTCGAAGTCTTGTTACTTGGAAAGGTATGGCGGATCGACGTACGAGTCGGCGGGACCCAAAGGACCATACGTCAGGACCCGAAGAGATTGACTTTTATCAGCCTCAGATCTGACGAAGACAGCTTCTTATGCGGAAGGTTGGAGGTGCAAAAGATAGGTGGATAGAGTTACCCCCACTCCATGTACAGAAGACACGTAACGTTCTGGCAGGCTTGGTCCGAAGAAGAACCTTGTCTACTGAAATAACTTTATACATGGCTCGACACCATCAAACCTCTGTTATAGGCACAAACGTTGCCTATGAGATAGGCATGCAGTGACCATCATCTGCCCTCGGTCAGCCTGCGTGACAAAGCCTCAAAGGCAGGTGGCATGCTCGGCCCATACACCGAGGTACTCGAACGTGTTCTGCTGAGGCTGAGGAAGTCAGCTGTCGGGCTTGATGCAGACGCTGATAGAGACCCGTCTGCACCATGGCTGCTGCCTTCATCCTTGCTGGCTCCTTTCTCGTCTGGGCTGCGTAGACGCTCCTCTTCCTGCTTCTCTCCCTCTGCGCGAGCCCTTCGGCATCGATGATTTGTAGCCAGAATAACGAGAAGGTGTCCAACAATGAACCATGCAAATAATACCGGCAAGGTTCGATAGAGTCGGTTGTAGCATCCACCGGATGTGATCTGAATGAAGGTCTCATACCAATTGTGCGCAGGTAGGGCGTACCCATACTTGTAGAATGATGGCGCCAGATCGAAATTCGCCAGCGAGCTAGTGATGTTCATAATGATCCAGGTCAGCACGAAGAACGGCATATACTGCATGGGAATGAGGACGGAGGCAGTGTCGAGTAACATGAAGTTGATGTACATGAACAGCCAACCGAGCATCCAGATCAGCATAAACTGACCACCAGTCAAAGCCCAGCTTTCTTTGTAGGCCCAGATGTATCCTGTCCAACATAGCGACCCCACGAATGTGTACGCAGTTGCAAACACATGGCGAATGAGCCCATTCATAAGAGTAGTTAATCGACTGAACAGATTCAAGCTGCTACTCACTCCGTTGATGGCCATGACGAAGAAGAACTGCTGAACAATGGACAAGGCCACAGATGCGGTGTTGTAAAGGACTCGAGTGCCTTGCTCCGTAGGTTTCAGGTTGATTGACGTGGCCGTGAATGGGTTCAAGAAGGCGTCGATGGCAGCAGAATCGGATTGATTGACTGAGCTGAAAGCGCGTGTGCCGTTGATCTGCGTGTATACCGTACGAGTAGCGGCTACCAACTCCTCGAGGTCGGGGTTCACGTAGCCTTCCATCGTCGTTGGATATCTTGCTTCATTATAGACGTAGCGGATGGTGTTGGATGAGTTGTATGACGCCGCCGCAGCCCCTCCTGGTCATGCAGCCGAGAGGCGTTCCGAGGCTCCAGGCAATGTGTATATTGCAGCCCAGAAATGACCACTGCAGACAGCTTTTTCGACCGTTTGGTAGTCGGGATATTCAGATGCCCGGTGGAAATCCAACGTGACAAAGGTGCTGGCCCGAAGTTGTTGGTATGCTTCGAGCATGGATTCGCCAACAACTCCGCCATCGTAGTCGATGGCCAGTACTTCGAGGTTGTGAGTCTTGTAAGCATCTTTGAACTGTGACCCATAAAGAAGAGACATGTTAGTCAGGAAGAGCAGTTGCAGCAGCACGAAGCTCAGGGTGGCTCCTGTCAGCAGAGCTTTGCGGTGAGTAGCCCATGCCGACGGGAATAGCGACTCAGGGTTCGTCTTTTGATGCATGGTAGCCATCTTGCCTGCGGATGAGAAAATGCGGGAATTGAGTCCCGGCGTTGGCGGTGATAGTGGACGACTGGCCCTTTCGACTTCACACAAAGATCCCTTTCAGATTGTCAGTATATCGGTGTTAGAACTAGCCCAGTACAATAAGCCAGTAGCGCCATAAATTCTGAACCATCAAGGTTCGGCGAAGCCATTGAGTCCGAGTACTTATATCTGTGCGGTAGCGACGTCAAATATTGAGTAATGGGCATGTATACCTGAGGTAGATGTGCACGGTGTGCTTGGTGGTGGCTACGGCTGGACTTTTCGGCATGTATTATCTCTCAAATTCTCAATTGCTCGGAGTTGCACTGACCGACCGGTCGGATCAAGCTGGTTCCGATCGTGGAGTGAGGCGCACGTCAGCTGTACATCATCTGAACTTTCTTTTGACGCTTTGCGAGACGCATCGGCAGCAGGTCGAAATACTTTATTAGTGCTGCTAGTCCGTCAGGTACGTGGCGCCGTCTCATGATATTCTCAACACTGGTTCTAGATGAGATACACGATATACTCTTCATTCCAATCCTTTGATACTTAAGAAAAGATTCAGATTTAAGCATCAGGATGCCCGTGCACCATTCTAGGCTTTCACCTCTGTAATAGCAACGCCGTCCTTCGTGGTGAAAGGTTAGCAGAATATCTTTTGGATCAGGTGGGCGACTAGTTAACAGTCGGAAGGGCCACTCACTTTGTGGCTAGGGTGGCGCCCGGTGAATTCGTGGAGTTCAGTCTCGTATTCCAGGCTGGGATCTCCAGCTACGTTCTCGATAGCCGTGACCGCTGCTTCTTCAGATTTCGCTCGTACGGCCTGCAACAATTCGGCACGATCCAGATCAACACGCGCTCCACTCTGTTCGATCTTCTTGCGCTTATCTGCAGTATCTGCTTGCAAATAGGCTAGATATTCCAACGTTGGGCCCCTTCCTATGTTGTCTGCCACAATCGTTGACACGCCACGTTTGAGCAGGCCAAGCCGTTCAACTAACCACAGATCCGGCAGGTAGCGGTCCTTGAAGTGGTCCAAGAAGAGCAGCTCAACGTGGTCGATGATCTTGTCGTGAACCAGTCTTACCAGTGTCAGGTGTGCAGGTGCAACGATAATGCGCACAATGTCACCCAAACCTGCAAGTTCAACCAACTTGCCTGCCACAGCCGCATAGTCAGAGTTGATCTCGAGACTCAAATACTGTTTGCCGCCAGCACGGCGCAGAGCGTCGCCGAAGCGGATGGCTGAGTAACCGACATAACCACCTAACTCGACCATCACCGAAGGCCTGCGCTTGCGATCAGGGATGATATCAGATCGCCTTTGGTCGGACCGATGTTCATGAGATGGTGCCTTGTTCTGGCGAACTCATCGATGGCGGCTAGGATCTTGTCTGGTTGCCCTTTGAAACTATCGAAATTGGGTTGGTCAAGAAATATTCTAGAAGCTCTTGTTCTCGATTGTCCTGCAAGATGAAGTTAAGATGGCTATTCCAATAGTCCATTCCCACATAGACGACGTGGACACGAGTCACATGGCTCAGTCGACAAGGCTCTTCATAATGGCTTCTTTACTTACGCCGTGGATTGCGCCGGGCCGGGGTCCAACACTTGCCATATTTCGATATTTCCGACCTCTTCTTGCTCTTCGGATGGCTTTGTGTAATTACGATGATGGGAAGTGAGGAAGCGTGCAAATCCAGATTCCTTGCTCGGTCATGAAGCGCAAAGATATATCGCATGGGACGCGTGTGCACTTGGTATGGCGCCTCGTTGACCGAATATCCTTTCCTTTCTCGGCTGTCCGGCTCCAATTAGTGGCTCAACCGGGCCGAAAGTAAGTATATGGTGGGGCGGCATTGACCTTTTCTCTGTGGGGTGAGCATGTTACTCATCTTGACATCAAATGGCGACATGACCTGGCATCGGCAGTTTCTTTCAAGTCTGGCACGGGGAGCAGTCGCCCTTCCTAGACGGCGCTTGACCATGTTGAGCAGGCGGCTTGTTCCAATCGGATACACGATTTGTGGAAAATAGACTCCATCTGCAGCCAGACGAAACGTCGAGGAGGCGACGTAGCAGTACCAGCTGGGCGGAAGTATTCATACAAAAGTAGTAGCCATGCCCAGGGGGCGATGCTAGGTGCAACAGCCAGTACATACCGAAATCAAATTCTTTGGGTTCTGGGGAGTGCCGGGATGCTGAACACGTCGAGAAACATAATTCAAAGGGTCGCCACTCAGGCGAGAGTCCATTCCGCGTAAGACCTGTGCATCCTCACCTTCGATCTGAGGGTTGCAGGAAGAAATGAAGTACCACGTATATGATACTCGTCGGCGCGGAAAAGTAGTTGATGTCCCTGCAAGACCTGGGTACGCGTTTCGAATGCAAAGTATCCCTGTCCGCTGACGGGATGTACGGTAGTGATCAGATCTCCGACAACATGGTCTTTCGAATGGCCACTCTCATCAGTATATGATGGCTGCTTCGATCTTCCTATCGCTTGGCTCGAGGACTTGCATCATAAGCCTACGGCAAATACGATGATCGGTCCCTGAAGACAACGGGGGAGATCTCCTCCGTGATATATGAAGATGGGAGCCAGTCAAGGCACTATGGGCGAGACCGACACCGCCTTTGTAATATCACATAATCAATTCTTCCTGACTTTCGCGGCTTGACTTGCCGCTAAGGAAGGGTTTGGAGTTCAGCATCGACAACGCCGTGCGGTACCATTCAATATTTCTCTTCCCTACGAATTGTCCACAGCCTGCACAATAGCCCCAGAAGCTCCCTGATCCAATCCATCAAGCGTGCTCATATCCTCTGCCGAGATATCGAACCCATATACATCGGCATTCTGCTTTATCCGCTCAGGATTGTCACTCTTCGGCAGCGGCACCCAATTCTTTTGCAAGCAATATCGAATCAAGACCTGCGCTGTGGATCTGTCGTACTTCTTCGCCAACGACACTAAAGTCGGGTCATTGGCCTTGTAATTGCGGACGAGGGGCGAGTAGGCTTCGATAACAATGCCATGTTTCTCGCAGTACTCGACTGCTTTGCGCTGCTGGCACCACGGGTGTAACTAAACCAAACGTTAACGTTGTGTCCATTGTCAGGGCCTGGGCGCACATACCTCAATCTGATTGACATGCGGCGGCCAGACCTTCGCATAGCCCTTCATCTCTTCGATATGACCGGCACCAAAGTTGCTCACGCCAATACTCTTCGCCTTGCCCTCCTCGTACAACTTCTCGAGCGCCAGCCACATCTCTTTCCGCGCGCTGCTGCCTGCATTTGGGCTGTGTATTAAGAACAAATCGACGTATCCTTTATCTCCCGCGTCGATCTTGTTCACGCTTTCCACCGACTTCTGGTATGATTTTTCTACACTGCCGCCGACGGAGAGGATTTTGGTGGTGACGAAGATCTCGGAGCGAGGGAGATCGGACTTGCGGACAGCCTCACCTACTTCGGTTTCGTTCGCATAGAATTGTGCTGTGTCGATGTGGCGGTAGCCGGCTTGTAAGGCGGACAGACATGATTGCACACAGACTGATGCTGAGGATTGGTAGACTCCGAAACCGAGGCGGGGGATGTGTATGGAGGAGTTGGGGAGAGGGAGGGTGTCTTTGATTGTGAGGATAGACATTTTGCGGCAACAGAGGAGAAATCTGTGGTTTACGAGCTGCGATCTGCGTAGGTAAGTGAGTGGTAGAACAGAAAGTCTCATTGATTTGGTGTTGTTGATCGTCTTGAACAATTTTCGATGATGCAATGACGCGATCGTAAAAAGGCGCCACCAGATGCGGATAGCGGGATCGTCAATTTCGGTCTTGACATCTCAACATGTAAAAGTAAGTTACCCCGCCATATCGATGCAAGGTACCAGCAGCCTTTCCAACATCAGCGATATCTGGCTTCTTGAGGCTGTTGGCGACTTTCAAGCAATATAGTCTGGTCTTTGCATCAAGAACGAGTTTACCGCCTGCAGCGTTGCTCTTGATGGATTGGCGTCTGGTTTCGCAGAGCTTATCCAGGCCAACCGCTGTTTGACGAGCTGTTTATTCACCTCGACAGTGCTTCCTATGCCGAGGTCGTCTTTGAGTTGCCCTGGTCCGATCAGTCGGTGTCCAGGCGTTGGAGGGGGAGTAATTTATCTCACCTTCATCGTCGTAGAACAGGCAAAGTAGCGCGACTGCAACACCAACGCTGAGATCCTTGCCTGTCGCACACGTCACCAGAATTTGGCTTTCTCGGATTTTCTGAAGCTGATTCTTAGTAGTGTCCACAAGAGCGGGCAGCCGCTCTCGAAGGTCCTTGCTTCCCAACTTGTGGTCACGACATTGCAAGTTGCGGATACCTGGAAGGTCTCCACCACTGTTGCCACCACAGTTGATGATAAGATCGAAGCTTCCAAGCTGGCTGAGCTGTCCGATACCAATGTGAAGGTTTGTAGTTGGTGGGATCTTGACACCTTCTCCTGTAACATTGGTGCCTGGTTTCTCCTCCTCCGACAGCTGCTGGATCAGGTCTGGGAGATCGTCTTCCGGTGCAGCCATCAACTTCTCGCGATGTTTCCAGAAGATCTGTGCTGTAAGTCCATGAGACCATCCTTCGCTATCATCTCCAGCTCCCTGGATATAACCTCCTTCAGAGATTTCAGCGCCACGAACCCGCCGCGATGCAGAGCAGAGCACCAGCAGGTGATTCCCTACCGAGGGTAGCAGATCCTCGGAGTCAACGTCGAAATAGCCATTTATCGCCCAGTTCAACTGGATCGGCCGCTTTAACTCAGTGCGCAGCTTCTCAAGATCCAGCTGAAGACTACAGAATGCTGATGTGAATTTGTCGAGCCTTGCGTCGATCTGTGAGACTTCAGATTCACCTAATTCGTTCGGTGGAGGCGGCACTTGCACAGCATGCATGGAAAGCGCTTCCGGATACAACGCTCTGTTGATGACCGCCACCCATATTGGTACCGTCTTGCTGAAAGCGTCTGGTAAATTCTTGCCTCGCCGAGTCGAATCGACAATTACAGCACCCCCATACTTAGCCAGAATTGAAAACAGCTGAAGATTGAGCCGGCGGAGCGAGAAATCCCACATGGAATGATGGCCATCCGTGCTCTTAAAGTAAGCACTCCCGACTTTATCAGCAGGATCAATATACCAACTCCCACACCGTTCGTTCGCCACGAGTGGTAAGCCGCAGTGTCCAGACACCTCCTTCGCAAAGTGTGCATCAGATAAGATCGAGTGGAGGCGATGTGGTATCGAAAGAGCCGATCTGCGGATCGATCTAAGGTTGGCATAAAGGGAAGGATTGTGACTCGAATCATTCAATACCAGCTCTGCCAGTCTTGTCGGAAAGTCCGCGGAAGTCATCGTCTGCTAAAAATACAAGAACCTTCCTCCGTTCGCGTTGAGGGAAATATGTTGATGACTGGATTCACATCGAGATGCGTCGTCGATCGTTGGCGATAGAACACCAATCGATATCAGCAGCCGACCATCCCAACCGCCAATTTACCACTGCATGCCTCAACTTCTTGTCCTCATGATCTAATTCTGCTACCCAAGTTCGTAAACAAGATTCGACTGGGACCCGCGAAATTCTGAAAATGCCAAGCCCGATATCGATTGGCCTAGTGACCCTGTCGTACGCAGAGCCAGCCTTACCCGTGGAGACCGCCGAAAGCTGACAGCGCAAAGTCCACAACGACGCATGGAAAGTGTTTTCGACAATTCATGCACATCTTCATGTTGAAAGTCATGCCGCCGGCACTGGAGCTTGTAATGATCCTGTTGCTGGCACCATTGATGCACCATTCGTGTTCATCATCGTAACCGCGTCGTCATTAATGGGGTGTATGCTGTACTGCGTCGCTGTAAAATCTTCGCCATCAAACAGCAGAAAGTTCTGCAACGGAGGCTCCTTTTGTCCCAGAACATTGATGACATCCTGCGCCAGATATCCGCCCAGAAATGCAACCACTGGGCTGATCTCCGATCCCAGATTCTGAAGAAAGCTGCGGAGAAACTCGGCTTTCAACGTCTCCTTCGGCAGTTGGAGCTCCAGGTGCTTCTGTTCGGCAAGCTTGGTAAACAGTTCCAGGTCAACTCTATTGGGTCCTGGAAGACGTCCTTCGGTTTGAGACTGGAAATCGAACAATGCTCGCAGGCATGAGAGAAGCGGTGTTACGCGCATAAGGGTCCGGCGAGTGTTTCTGATTCTTGACGGCAGAGGTGACAGATTGGCGAGCTGAAAGAGCGAATAGTTTTCTTGGTATGTGACAATATCTGTGACCTTGTCGCTTTCCCGCTTCGTATCGACTCCTATTACGCCTCTTGTAGACGTCTCCATATCACCCACCTTGGCCGGTTTGTTGCTTTGTGGTTTTTCGACGATGTATTGGTGAACCAGGAGATCGGCAAAAATGTAGCCATACATACCATGCGTGTCGGCTGTGTAGAACTTGCGGCCAAATGTACGGCATGCTAGATTGATGGTCGTAATGATCTCCTGCATCAGGCCCGTCGCAATGACAATGTCAAAGCTCTGAAAATATTCTGGATCTTTCATCACAACTGGGATGGGATCGGTATAGATTTCCACCCGAGGGTTGAGCTTTTGCAGTTCTGGAAGAGCGGCCTCTGCGCGATTCTGACCGACCTGAGACTCATTGAGGAAAAACTGAGTTCCAAGGTCTTCATCGGAGACTGTCTCATGGTCGAGCACTGTCAAGGTTCCAATGCCTGCTAGCACGAGGTTTTTTGCGATCTCAGCACCAAGACCTTTGATCCCTATGAGGAGCAGATTTGCGGACCGCAACTTCTCTTGAACCGCCATCCCCCATAGGCGTATTTGTCTATCGTATAGGGCGATCTCATCGGCGGATATTGTTGGTTGGGCAGCCATCGCAAACATATCGGTTTGTACGCCATTGACGGGCATGGGAACATTCGCGAAAGACGACCCATCGGCGATGGGTGCGTACCCGTTGAGGTTTTCAGCTGTTGGCATGGTGGGGATGAAGGCTCCGTTCATAGACAATGCCGCTGGATCTGAGACTGCGGTGAGCGAAGGGTCATGAACATTGTTGCTGTCCATGGCGCATTCGGATGCGCAGATCGGAGAATTGGATGGTGGAAGGATGGGAAAGGTTTCAAGTCTCAGCGAACAGTCGAACCCAACCGAGTTGTAGTGAAGTGAGGGTAAAGTGAGTTTTAATTGTTGAAGAGGTTGTTGACACGAAGTAATTGTGTTGCGGATGACCTCAAGATGAAGATGAGTGTTTGCTCTTGTCGCGACGCCAATAAATTGATAGGTCTTTACTACTGCCCGGGCTTGAGGTGCCAGCAACTTACTTACTTTCTTGCCCTGCAGGGGCCTCCAGGCGAAGCGAGCGTCTTTGACTGGCAGGCTGTTAGCGGCTATTTTAACTATTTCTCCGGCTCCTCCCTGTCATTCGCAGCTAATCAGCTGCTAATGCCGTCACCGGCACACGGCCTGTTTCGAGAGGCTAAGGCCTGGATTTGCAAAACGTGGGGCAAACCGCTTAACGGAACGTCCTTCGCCCTCTCTGACTGGCAATCTTCATCCCATTGCCATTTCTACTACAGTATCAGATTGGTGTATTGACAAATAACTCATGACAGTCCTGTCAGACTCTATATGTTCTCACTCTCGAGACTGTATAATTTCGCATGCCGGTCAAATCTCCCCAGTCACACCATCGTGCCTGATTTGAGGCGCTTTGTTCAAGGATGGTATGACTGCGGCATGCCCACTTCTGTCCAGTTGTGGTCCTCAATTCTGACCTTGCCCAGGCCGACCGAACCGATGAAAGACCATGGTCAGACGTCTCAGCAAGGCTGCAGAACCTGCGAAACCTCCTGAGTTCCGAACGACATCTAGGCGCCGACCAGCAACAGGCGTTTGAGGCTTTCGATCGAGAAATGGACCACCAAATGGCTGCCGATCGCTCAGCTGCCCGAGAACGACGGAGAAGAGATTTAGAGACACATTCCCAGGAACAAGACGTCGCAAGGGTTGCAGAAAACTTGCCACAAAGCAGCAGTGCGGCAAGCCTTGTTCGAGCCAGAAGGAGGGCTTTCAGACCTAGTGAGCGCCTGCAGAGATATCAGAGAGAAAGACTCGGGCAAACCAGTAGAGCAGCTGAAGCATATATCACCCCTTTTCGTCTGTCCGACTCGTCGGCGCGGTCAAGCAATGACCGTGGGGACCGTCTGAGTTCAAAACGGAGAAAGTTGGACGATGGAACGTATGAGGATGAGCCTCGGACCTTCACCTACGGCCACTACGGGCAGGTTACACCAGGTCAACTTCGGATGGAAGTTGTCACTTGCGATGGTGGTGAATACTCGGATCCCCACGTGCCCATCAATTCATACCCTCAGAATGTCCTTCTAGACGACGCCAGTGTATACTGCACCAAAACCAACAGGTGCAATCTACTGTTCAAGCATGTCGGTGGAATGCCATTTACTTTGACTAAGATCGTCGTGAAGGCGCCGAGGGCTGGCTTCGATGCTCCGATCCAGGAAGGATTGGTTTTCATCGCCATGGACGACGACAGCCTCCTGGAAAAGACATCACAGTACGATATACGTTGGTCTCCCAGAAGTCATCGCTTCCGGCACAGACCAGACTTCCACAGGCCCTCGCTCGAATACATGAACTCAACTAGATCTCCGCTCCGATCCATCGACCGCTCCAGGTATCTCAACAACCCAACTGACCTGGGTGATGACCTCGAACCAGATACCGCACTTGTCCCTGGCTTCGATGTCTCGATTGCGGATCCCTCCGACGAGGAAGATGCAGGAGACAGTCCACCGTCACCGCGACCATGGCATCACGATGACGAATATTCGCTCCGCTCGTATGTCGACCGATATCGACCGCTATCCTTTCCCGACGAACCTAACGACAGTACGTGGGACCTTTCCAGTGATTCCGAAGGATATGAGCCAAGTATCCTACATATGGATGACAGCATGCCGGGAGAAAATGAAACTAGCCAAAGACATCCAGCTGAATCAGACAGTACCCTGGCTCACCAAAACCGCATGCTTGATCTTATGCGAGCTCAGCAAGCCATCAACAATGACTCTTCATTTGGACGTCGCGAACGGAGGACACAACAGGCTGACGAGGCGGCTCTCAATCGGCCATTGACCCCCGGCGATACCGTCGTGCAAGAAAGCGGGTTGCGATACGGTTTACCTCTTGAACTTGCTTCCGTCTCGGAGAACAACGCCCGCAGGCTTCGAGAGTGTTACGATCAGACGGCCACCAAAAGTGCTAGAGGCGATACCGGCCCAAGTTCTTCCAACAGGTCGAACACGATCAATCCGCATGCACGATTCTTCATCAGCAGAACCAAATCCAGTGCTGCCATAAAGTTTGATCCCCCAGTGTAAGTCGAGCAACCTCGGAACTGACTTGAGGGTAGCTGGGCTAACCAATGTTCGCAGTTCTGGTCGTTATATTTTGGTTAAACTTTGGGCTCAATGCCCGAATGCGAACATTGATGTCCAAGCTATTCTGGCACATGGTTATGGAGGGCCTCGGTTCTTTCCGAGTACGGAAACGAGATGATGCGAGGATCACTTTACGACGTTATGATGTTTTGGTTTTCGAAGCCGTTGGTAAGCCAGCAGCAGGGTATAAGACTGAGGATGAAACATTTTTTTGACAAAATACCCACAATGTCCAGCCATTTATCCACGAGACTACCCTATTGAATAATGCTCTAATGACCTGGTGTCTGAAGCCCACAATTATATTCCACGCTGTTATATCTCAATCTGACCTAATGCCGCCTTGCTAGTTCTCCCAGATCTCGCCTTCGACTTGCATATAAGACTCCCCCCAACCCGTCCTCCCCGTGTGTTCAAATCAATACGACTTTTCGATTCTCTCCAAGTCGCTCATAGTGTATTCGTACACTTTCGCCTCGGCCCCTTGCTCCCTCAACTTCTTGAGATCTTTATTCACCGCTGCTGAATCCGAATTACCACCAACGAGATATACCCCAATGTCAGGCTGTGCCTTCGCAAAGCGATCGTTCGTCGCTGCGAAGAGCACCCTCTCACCTGCCTCTTCAGAACTGTACCCTATGATATTCATGAGGAAATACTGTAGGATCCAAGTGTACAGGAGTGTTGCAATCCATCCCGCTTCAATTCTGAGCTGCGTCTTGACGATACCGGGAAAGATGTGGATGAAGACAATGTTCTTGTTTTCAGGCTGTTTGGACGTTTGCTCGAAGAAGAGCGTCGTCATGCTAGCTGCTTGGCCTCCGGCGGCGACGAAACTGTAGTTCTTCGCCGAGGTCATGCCCAGATCGTTGAGGTCAAGCGCACCTTCACCGCCGCCAGCGAGGACTGAGATGACGCGTGGTGCGGATGACTGTCGAAGAAGAGGAAGAAGTTTGACCAGGAATGCCATTCGAGCGTGGTAGCGGATGGCTGTGATTTTGTCCAGGCCCTCGGCGGTGTAATCTGGTGCCGAGTTGAAGTTGAGGAAGCCGGCGGACATGATGAGGTAGTCGACTCGTGATGCTTTCGATGCGATCTCATCCGCTGCCTTCTGTGCCTCTCGCACCAGGGTAAGATCATTTGCGATGATTGGGATGATTGTGGCGGACGTGTTTAATGTCTTGAGTTCCGAGATTTGTTTCTCTAGTCGGCTGGGATCTCGACCAACTAGGTAGACCGTTGGGCTGCTTGTGTATTTCAGGAGTGCTTGTAATGCTGAGCGGCCGATGCCGCCGGTGCCTCCCACAAAGACAGCGACGGGATTGGAACTTGGGGTCTTGATCGACTCATTGTTGAGTTTGATGTCTTTGACGGCCACCATGTTGTGCTATAGCCTTTGGTGAACGTGAATCTGCTATATGAAGATCAGTGGGGCTCTGATGGGTTCTGGTGTCGAGGAATGAGTATGGATGGTAGCTTTGGGAGGCGTGGATCAAGTATATGAAGACCAGTGGGGCTCTGAGGGTTCTTGAGTTGAGATGTATGAATGGTAGTTTTGGGGATCATGGAGATATGGTCTTATATCAACAAGAGTCTGGCGTAAGTCAAGTGGTCAGTATGAGAAATAACAATACCACCAATTCGACTCTGTACGGTGAGTTTTCGACCCGGTCCCGACTGTGGTTGACTCAGCATAGAATTGCTGGTGCGGAGAATAGAGCAGAGGCCCCTGGAGATAACAATCGCGGGTGGTGATCAGCCACCCCATCATCACACCACGCAGGAGCTGATTAATGGGAAGGGTTATGAGAGTTTCGGCCTTGCAGGACGAAACGCCGAGGAATGTGTTTATTATTCACAAGGTTCGCGCAACCCAGCCGTGCCAGCTTGGTGATATTATTATTATCATAAATTGGCTCTTGTATTGTTCCGTCTCTGTTGAATAAACAACAAACAAGTCACTGAAACCACGCAATGTAGAGCACATTGAGGGAGATCTAGGTTCCCTCTTGTTCAGTCTTGCTGCTCCATAGTCGATAGTGGCTTTCGCTCGGTAGATCGCCGTTGACGCTCCACAGCGGACGATCTCAGACGGTATGGAGTACCTCATAGGACAGAAGGACAAACGTCGGGTGCTGGATTTCACAACAATTCTGCTATACGAATTCCAGAAGAAGCCCTTGGTCTCTCCTCGTCTCACAGCGAAGCCACGCGGGAATCCGTGGAAGTAGTACCGCGTGAACAATTTTAAATTTGACCCCCGGCCGCGAGATGCCAGCTCTCCCATGGCTGATCGAAAGTGCCTCATCCATTACTGGAGGAGCAAGTTCAGATACAAGGGCCAGGTAAACAGTCTTTTTAGACGAGGTCAATTGTTCACAAACTCTTTACGTGCAAGGAATGCTGGATGTGCAGTTGCTTTCTGTGGCCGATGAGATCAGCTCAACTGAAAGGAGCCCCTATGATTCACCGTATGATTGCTTCGTCAGAACATGCAGCACATGCACGCAGTGCATTCCAGCGTTATTTTGTGGTGTCGAGTAGCTGCTTTTTGCTCTAAAAACCTTTGACATTCTCACCAAAATGCCATATTTTGCTGAAGGTACTGGGATTCCGATCCGCAGTATCAATGCGGGGACTGCTTCTGCGTCTGCTTCATCAGAACCGCAAGTCCCAGATCGAGTTCGCATCAAGAACCGGCGGAAAAGATATTTGGATACACACCCCGAATATTTCGGTCCGCAGCTTGAGTTGGCAGGTGCGGCTGCCTCTCGAGGAGACTGCTGAACTCCGACTCAGTAGGTTTATTAACATTCCATGCAGATCCATTGATGTATGACCGGCTGGTAAGGCGATTCCAGACCGCCGCAGAACGTGAGGCCGAAGGTCGACAAAAAGGTTACTCTGGCATACTAGAGGCCGACATTTACCGTAGCGAAGCGAAACTGGACGCACTCCGCAACCCTGACCCGAACAGCATGTTCACGTACAAGCGAGGCCCGAATGGCGAGATCTTTGCAGAAGAGCAAGACGAAGTACCCGCAAATAAAGAGGAGGGATTGGCGCGGTGGCGGTGGGAGATGGAGACGCGGTTTTTAAGAGGTGGAGATGAGGACTTTGACTACGGCACTGTCGACAAGAATCCAGACTATGATGACCGGATGACTGAGGAACGGGATGCCGAAGACAGATACTTTGAGGCGGAAGAGCCTGAATTTGTGGACGATCATGAAGGGGCGACAAAGAGGAAGAGCACGGAGCTGCAGGGAGAGACTGGTGTCCAGGATTTCTGATCGTCTGCGCTATCAATTGGGCCGAGTCGAAGCCCCTCAACTGGGATCGGCCCACATCGACCTGAAATTCCCGAGCAGCACCAGCGTCCGGGATGGCGTGGTGGGAGACCCTCAGCTGCACCCCAGGAAAGAATGCTGCACGACTGCAGCCGTCTTCGACCGCGCATGGGTCCTGTAATGGTTGCCCTGGAAGATCTCCCATCTTCATTTGACAACCTGAAGCCCCTCGGACTGGTGAGGTGTGATTGCTTGTCAGTGTTGAAGCATGCTGGCCCTCGAAAGACCCTCAAGCGGTCAGCATGTCGAGTGGGTCCATCAAGCCCCTCATGCTACTGGCACACCTGACATGAGGCATCCGTCGAAAAACTTGCTCGCCCTCAGTCTTCGCCATGAAGTCCTGCCATTCTTTGGTCGCGATCCATTCCTCCCGCGCCCGCTTGTCACGAAACTTGATGGTCATGACACTGTCGTGGACCTCTTCCCGCGAAGGTTTCGGGTCCTTCTGGGAGAACGCTGGCGCATCAGGGATTTCAACGGGATATGTCTGAAGATCTGTGACAAGCGGTGAAAGAGCGGCATGCATCTCAAGTCTCGCCAGCATCGAATCCAACCTGTGGGTAGGTTGGTCCACAATTTTCCCCCGACGTACCAGGTCCGGGTCCGCTGGTTGGATGTTGCGCTTCATTTGAGAAGCAAAGAAGAAGAACATGCAAGTAAGCGGACGTTCGTAGTCACGGGCTTTTCGCTCGTCGCGCTGAACTTTGGTTTGACTGCTCTCTGCTTGCTCAGCCAGACTTGTCCTCTGAAAGCGCATGGTGAACGAAGATATAAGCTTCAAAGCTGGCTGTGAGGCAGGCAGGTATGGGCTTTATGTATTGATATAAGCCTGTGGCACAGGAGGACGGGAACAACAATGCGGCAGTTACGAAGAGACGTGGTTGCGGCGGGTACTCCAGTCATCTGGCATGGTTATGATCCGTCCCCCCGCACTTCCCTTGCGTTCACACGCAACAGCACTGATAGGATTGGACCGAGAGCTTACATGATGACTCTCTGGTCAGCATCAAAGGGTTCGTCTTGGAGATGGAGAGAGATTCCTGACTATTGGTGGCCAGCCGTGTTCCTCGTCTTGAGAGACATTCATATGCAGCGCATGCAGTCCCATTTGTGCAACAATTGGTTGTCGATCACGGCCATGCTTCGCTTGGGAAATATATCATATCCGTATATTTGAGGCATGCATGCTGCACTGAAGACTTTTTGTGGACCTCAAAATCCTCCCAACAGGTGGCCTTCGCATATAACGTCCTCTCGTGAGTCGTGTCTGGTCTCTCCTGCATTGTCGATATGTTCTTGTTGACGACGTGGCAACGTGCTTTTTACCCCGCGAAACTGAAGATCTCGGGGTAGCTTCTTACCGATGGGGTGGAGACAGCCCACCTGGAGCTGCGGCTACTGGACTTCCGCTGCGATTCTGTCCTTGAACAACCGAGGATCTTTACACCCAAGGTGCCTACTGCAGGAACGCTGACACCCTACACTTTCTTCAATGTGTGTGCGAGTTCGAAGCTTTTTGTGAGAAAGGCTCCATATGTCTTCTGCTGCAGGTGCGTGACCTGCTAGACGCCTCTCAAAACCTCACACGGGTATAATGCCCTTGCAATGCGGGCAATCTTCAGGCCGCGAACCGCGAGATGGCCCCCTCCTCCCTCCTCGGTCTCTCGAACATGGTGCAGATTCCTCACAAAAGCGAGCCTCCGAGGGCCTTCCAACCCTCCCCTTCTCGAAGAAACAGTGGGCGAGAACTTCGCCAGAATAGTCTCCGCCCATGGCGACCGGAATGCCGTCATATCCAGACATCAAAACAAACGCCTGACATACAGTCAACTTGACCTCGACAGCAATGCTCTAGCTCGAGGACTGCAAAGCTTGGGAGTCAAAAAGGGAGATCGCGTATGTGTGTCGTTGGGCAACAATCTGGAATTTGCGACCATTACATATGCTTTGTTCAAGCTAGGAGCAATCTTGGTCCCTCTGAACCCAGCGTTCACCGGTGCTCAGATCATTTCAGCCTTGAACCACTTGTCCGCCACTCACCTGGTTATTGGAACAGAGACAAACCTTCCTTATAAGTCGCCGCGATCAAATATCCCCATTCTCGAAAAGATCGTGCCGGACCTGTCAAGTTCAGCACTGTCCTCCGAAGCGATACCTTCTCTAAAGCACATCGTCCTCGTGGACAACTCCACAGGCCGTGTAGATCCAGGTGCACTTCGCGTCACGACACCATGGTCTTGGGTGTCCCAGGATGCGGACACGAGTCCTCCGAAGCCTTCCTCTCCACTGTCAAACAACGAGGTCGTAAATATACAATTCACGTCTGGAACCACGTCTATGCCCAAAGCTGCGTGTCTATCACATCGCTCGATTCTCAATAACGGCAACCAGATAGGTGATCGCATGCTTCTTTCTTCGGAAGACGTCGTGGTCTGCCCTCCACCTCTTTTTCATTGCTTTGGATGCATACTCGGGTACATGGCAACCGCAACCCATGGTTCTGCAATAGTATTTCCAACAGAGGCTTTCGACCCTTTAGCCTCCCTCAAAGCGGTGCAAGAAGAAAAAGCCACAGCTCTCTATGGAGTACCAACCATGTTTCTTGCACAGCTTGAGCTCATTGACGACGAGGTGGTCTCACAATCGGGTTTCGAATATCTACGAACAGGTATCGCCGCTGGATCATCGATCCCGGCCGAATTGATGAGGAAATTGCACAGAGTGCTCAACCTTACGCAATTGACTATCTGTTATGGCATGACCGAGACCTCACCTGTTTCTGCCATGACGACAACCGACGATCCGATCGAAAAGCGCATCAACACGGTCGGCCGACTCCTCCCACACGTGGAAGCCAAGGTGGTAGACCCGTTTGACCACAACAGAATCCTGGAAGTAGGTGAACGCGGCGAACTCGCCGTAAGCGGATACTTGGTCATGAAGGAGTACTGGGGCCAACCGGAACGAACCACCGAGGTGATGAGAGCAGATGAACAGGGTAAGATATGGATGCACACGGGCGACGAAGCTTCGATAGATGAAGATGGGTACGTTAGTATCACAGGCCGAATCAAGGACTTGATCATCCGTGGCGGAGAGAACATTCACCCTCTTGAGGTGGAGAATTGTCTCTTCGCCCATCCCAAGATCGCGGAGGTCAGTGTGGTAGGGCTTCCGGACGAGAAGTACGGTGAGGTCGTTGCTGCGTTCGTCGTGAGAAGGCATCATCTGCCAAAGGGCGAAGAACCTGTGACGGTGGAGGATGTGAGGAGTTGGGTCAAAGAGCATATGAGCCATCATCTCGTGCCCAAGTATGTGTTCTTTGTGGCTGATTACCCGAAGACAGCAAGTGGGAAAATCCGTGAGTTTGCCGCTGCCTTGTGTGGTTTGGTGAGTGCGTTGCTGACCTTGCTTGTTTGCAGAGAAGTTCAAGTTAAGGGAGACGGGAGTGGAGTTGCTGAAACAGATGGCCCAGCAGAAGTGAAGCTGACGGCATTTTTGGGACCAAGTCAACAATGGAAATGTGCGAATTGGATGTCATCTTGGATGGTAATGATGCAGAGTCGCGTTGACAAAATCAAGCTCAAGCCTCAGAGCGTCTCAATGATCTTTTCGATTTCATGACGACCTCCTGTCTCTGCTACCTTCTCGCCGACTTCTGTGACGATGCGAGTCCCCGTTTCCATGCCTTGACCGGGTCACCTTGGCTTCTTCGCGGCTCCCTTCTCGATCTCTCCTACTGGTGCTGTCGTCCTCCGTAGGTCGTCGCCGGTCACGATCATGGCGATCTCGATCTCCTTCTCTGTCTCGGTGCCTGTGTGATTTCTCGTCGTTTTCGTCCTCATCTTCACGACGATGTCGACGAGGTCTTTCGTCTTTCCTGTCGTCTTCCTCATCTCTTCGTCGGTGCCTGTGTCTCTTTGCTTCCTGGTCCTCGTCCTGATCGTCCCTTCCCTTAAGAGGATGCCGTTCACCATCATCGTCATGGCCCTCCCTCCGCCGGTGTCTGTGTTTGTCCTTCGACCGCCTTTCCTTTTCTTCCTGCCTCTGTTTCGCACGTTCGACTTCTTCCCGTTTCTCGTTGATCAAGTATTCGCGCATAGGATCATCAACTTCCCCATCCTGCTTGATGGCGAGCATTTCCTCCAACTCTTGCTCTTCCTTCAACATCGGCCGCCTCCTCTTTCTCTTGTGCCTTGACTCCTCATCTTCATCTTCTGTGTCATCACTGCCCCTCTTTCCATTGCCATTCAATTCCAGTTCGGCTTGCTGCTCCAATCGGTCAATGCGATGCGTGTCTTCATCTTCGTCATCTTTCTTCTTGTATCTTGTATGGTCGACTCTCAGCAGCCTCCCTACAACGTCGGCGCCAGTCAAGTTGTCCACCGCCAGATCACAACTGCGCTGATCTTCGTACTTGAGAAAAGCGAATCCTTTGCTCTTGCCCGTCTCTTTGTCACGGATCAGGTTCAGATGCGTGGGGTTGCCGAATTGTGAGAATATGGTGACTACGTCACCTTCGGTCAAGTCTGGATTCAAACCGCCAACGTAGATATATGCCGTGTCCCGGTAGTCGGCGTGCCATGAGGCAGAGGGTGGTGTCGCATTTTCAAGTTCGCGCTTGTTCAGTTGCTGGGTTTGACGGATCGCATTCATGGTGAATACCTGAATTTCAGTTCTCCAGAGAAATGTTATAATTGCGAACGCATTATCCCGCAGCAGCCTTGTGTTTTCCGCCCAGCGACAGAACTATATTCAATTCAAAAGATTCTCGCGAGATGTAGCAATGACGCTGAAAATGTATGGAGACTGGAAATTTCAGGGTTCCCATCTGCGGAGAAATACGCGAAATCCATCTCCAAATCGCCTGCCCTGCGCGTCAACAATGTCGAAGAGACGCATGTATGTTCACAAGCAATAAGGAAACTGACGATACATTACTTTCAAGAACAACCCATGCAGACATACCTCGTTCCAGCGCGGCCGTATCAGTCATGCTAACGGCATCCCAACCAGCCTCAGGCTATAACACATCTCTTCCCACGAGTCGTACACTACCGAGGAGACCACTTAGCAAGGATGGTGACAAACAGGCCATATGGGTGCCCATGCTCAACAGCGCCTCCAAAGGCAAAGACCTGATAGAGAAACAACTCATCGTGCTAGGTGGCACACCAGATCAACAGCGCGAATTTCTCGAACAATCAAATCCTCCTGAAATCCGCCCTCGATATGCGAACAACGATAGACGAAGACAGCCCCGGACAGCACCCATATCGAACCGTTACGCTTTGGGATATACGTACCACGACGTCCTGGACGCGGATCAAGAAGATGTCCTCGCAAGAATGAATGTCTACACTTTAGCCAACTCAACCGCCAACTTCGCACCACTGCTGAAGCCACTGTTCACGCCGAAGACAGTCAAAGACACATTGATCACCATATTATTAGACTGGCAAGATCCGCTCCGATGGGCCCGACAATTGAGACAATGGATTCGCCTGCTCAGATCCGTCATACTAAGTCTAGACGAGCAGACCAAGATCGAAATGGAGGAGGTCATGACGGCGTGGAAAGAAAAGAGAGTCGGACCTGATGCCCCCACAGGCTTGACAGCGGAGCAAAAGTCAATGGCAGTAACAGTCCCATTGGGCCCAGGTGAATGGGACGAAGGGCTAGGAATACCACTCGGTGTGGTCTGCGTGCAGGCGGAGAAGATCGAGAATCTAGAGCGGGATCAGGGGTGGGGAGAAGACCAATTCGACTTCTTGATGCAGTGGCTGCGATGTGTCCTGCTCAAGCATGGCGCTTCTCTAGTATACACATCCACATTCGATCCCAATAACGTCCGTACACTTGTCCATTCGAGTCTCAGCATCCACTCTCTCCTCAAGCGCGAAGTCGCCAAACACAACATCGTCGATCGAGACAAGATCCTCATTCCACCGAATTGGGACTCCTGGGGCAAGATCCGAATCCTGAAAGACGGCTTCGACCCGGAAGCCGTAGGCACTGCATGGGCCGTCGAGATTCAGAGTCCCGCAGAACAGACGCTTGATTTTGCAACTACGAAAGGTCAAAAAGCAGTGCAGACCGAGACCGAGACCGAAGCAGAAGCAGAGTCTCAATCAGCAGTACTAGTCTACGAATCCACGCTGCGCACGCCCGCCGACTCAAGACCAGCGTTCCAGCCGCGCACGCACGACGAGTCCGTAACAGTACCTCCCGTCCAGGAATTTCTACAAGCGCAATACGAGACGCTCGAGAAACTCAAGGCGGAAGACGAAAAGGCCGAGCGCAAGTCTCGCAAAGGGGCCCCTGCTCCAACTGGTGCTGGCACAGTCGACGCCGACGATGATAACATCAAAGGCGTATCCAACGCCAGAATGGCAGAGCATATCGGACCGTACCAGATCAATGTCAATGGCATTGACTTTGACGCAGAAGAGGCGACGAGACGACTCAGGGAGCGCGAACAGGAGCGCGCTGCGGCTGCAACGGCTGAAAGAAGTCGTCCTTCTGTCGCGGCAATCTCGGGCACCGGCACTGGTACGCCCATGCGTCGGCAGGCCAGCGATGTTGGTGGTGCTGCTGCAGGAGGAAAGGGCGGTGTACAAACTCCATCGTCTGCTGCCGGTTCTGGGAAACAGAGTAATCAGGCTGTGGCGGACTTCTTTGCCAATCTGATCAAGAAGGATAAACGGGGTGGTGTGAGTGCCAGTGCTAGTCCAACTAGAGCTGGGAGCGGGAGTCCTCTTGTGCGCGGGCCAAGTACACCTGGAGCGGGTGGAGAGCAGAGGGGACGACAGCCGTGACGGGACAAGACGGTGCCTGGTGACACTCGACACCTTAGCACCCGTTTTGTGAGCAAGTCCTGTGCGTTTGTGTGAGTTGGTGGATAGCCATTTGAGCGTTCGAGCGTGTCACTGTCGTGCAAGCAAGGTGTTTAGCAGGGTATTAAAAGGGTTCTATCAGAACAAAACACCAGTCGTCCGTTGAGCCAAAGCCAAGTTCCTGGCGCAGTACGATGTGTGAGCAGTGATGTTCATTCTGATCGTTCTATCTTCTAGCCGTCGCACCCCTGTGTCTCTATGTGCAGGTTTCAACGAGTTTTCTCACCTCGGTTCCCTTTTGAGGCGGCTGTCTACTCCTCACCTCACCTCACCTCACCTCCCCATCGTTGGTCCTAGACTAGGCAGGGTCTAATCCTGCACTCCCCCGTCCGGCGTCCACCCAGGAACCTCAACCGGCCTCACCACATCCTCCTCCTTCACCCGTGAGATCAAATTATCCCTCAATCGTCCAATCTCTTGATCCGAAAACCCACACTGATTTCTAAGATAATTCTCCACGCCGCCAAATTCACCCAGCAAGACGACCTTCAAGAAAGCACGCATATTACCTGCCCTGCTCCCGCAGATCCGCGCAGCCTCTTCACGCGATATCCCGGGCCTTTCACTCTGCGCATTGCCACCACCACCCTGACCCAATCCGCCAGCCGAAATCCGCTCAATGAACTGTTGCCTCCATTCTCCCAATCCGGTCTCTGTAAGCGCATACTCCCAGCAAATCACCTCCTCTTCCACACCCACAAGCTTCATGATCATACCACCAAACACTCCCGTCCTGTCTTTGCCCGCGGTACAATGAAACACCAGGGGTCCATCAGGCCGTTCAAGTAGATGTCGGAACATGATCGTGTACGCCCCGGCTCCGTGCGTCGCGATATCGCGGTATGCCTTGACAAAGCCCTCGCTGTACGCGAAGCCTGCTGTCTCATCGTGGCTGTGCACAGTCGTGTACCATTGCAATTTCCTCGCAAGGGCCACCGGACCGTAATCTTCGGACTGGTATACCGGGGTAAAATGTCGTGTTAAACTGGGGTACTTGTCTACGCAACCCGTAGTGGGGTCGGCGAGGGGGTAGACTTTTTTCCCTGTGGCGGCGACGGTGGCGGCAAGCCGTTGAATTTCAGGCCCCGAGCGCAGATCGTACATGTCGTGCACATCTAGCTTCTGTGTCAAGTACTCTGCACCTTCGGGTGTGAGGTGCGTTGGATGTGCGCAGCGGTACAACAGCCCGCGGCGGAGTGTGTATGTCGAGCCATCCTGAGTGGACGAGGCTGTGGAGGGTGGTTGGCACTGGTAGCCTCCTAGATCTCTGAAGTTGGGGACGCCTTGGATGTGGATGAAGGGTGGGGTGGGTAGGTGTCCTGGGAAAGCAATGTTGAAGTCCTTTGGTTCCGGGGTTGTTTCGCGCTCGGCGCGGGCCTCTCTTTCGTCCGCTTCGATTTCTTGCTCGGTCAAGGGAGCGCCATTTTCGGGTGAGAAGCCGGCCTGGGTTGGTGGGCGGACGTCCATGTAGGGCTGATATGGTTTTTCAGCGTTTGGTATGTGATGCTCCTCAGGATGCGTGGCCATATGAATGAATACAAGCCGGTGTGAATGGTCCAAATTGTCTTTGGCGGCAATCAATATGGGCAATATTTCTCAAGAAGGGGCTCTGCCGAGGTGGAAATAGTGTTTCAACGACCCTGTACTCGTTCGCGCGCATCAAACAATGGGTTGACTGAGGAAAGTTGCACCAGATGTGTTTGACAGACTGTTTCCATGACCAGTGTGTAGAAACTTGTATTTCTGTTTAATACCGAGGTCGGTCTCGCTTGTTGTCCTCAGGAGTAAATTCAGCAAGGGACATGGGGTTTGTTCAATCACGTCAACGATGGGAACGGCGTGTTCCCGCACTGTCCGGCCCCGGTCTCGCCCGCCCGTCGCTCCCATGCCGATGCATCCGAGGCTGATATATTTCCACTTCAGACCTTATAGACACAAAGATGGATGGCCGCGCAGAATGGCCACCATGAGTGCTTACAAGTAATTCCTCCTGGCTATTCGCCTTTAGCTGGTTACCGTCAACCTGCGCCATTGTTGGTGTTTCCATGACAGCGCCTCTCCCAATCCAATTCCCAGCCAGAAGGCCCCTAGACATACCTCCCACGTCTCCTCACATCAGTATAGGAAGCACGATGCTGATGAAACGGTCCGCTTTCTGGCGGCTGGCCAGTTTCAGACGAGCCAATGTACATCACAGTTCAATCGAAAGGAAGACCTCCATTCCGGTCGAGGACAGTGCAAGCACTTCATAGGTTGATATTCTGCTCAATGAGAAAATCCATATGAATCCTGCTTGCTCGGTATTCAATGAAATGATCTGCCCTCCTTTTTCAGGTGCAGTCACCACTGATTAGAAAGTCGCTATTCTACTCCACCAAGCCCACTGTTCAGCAACAAGAATGGATGACCGCTCCTCGCTCCAGGATCGTCCCCAAATTCCATCATCGTATGGTACCTTCACATCGGGTTCGTCTTCAGCCTTGATACATGGCCTGCATGCGACCGCAGCACAAAGAAACTCAATCGTCTTCCCCAAGCCACGATTATGCCACTTCTTGGTTGTGACCATTCAAGTCATCCACACTCTGGCTTTGTTCCCGTTGCATACGAGCCTCGATCTCCCGGAGTTGCGACTCGCGTGCCAACAGTTCCTGTCTCTTCTCGTTGATCTCACGCTGGACCTTGACTTCAATTTCCCGGAGTTTCTCCTCTTCACGTCGGAGTTGTTCTTCCTTCAGGCGCACTGACTGGTTAGCAAGGTCTTCAGGGTTGATTGACGAATCTTGTCCTCTGTGACAGAGTTAGTCAAAAAAGCATCGCCACCAATAAGATACTGATAACGTACGAAACACCTCCATCCACGCTCTTGCTCAATTTCTCCGTTCGGTAATTCTCGTACAAGAAGTCGTGGGTGATCTCTTTGAGATCAGCAAGATGAGAATGCAAAAGAGCGCTGCGAATGGCAAGGAAATCCGAATGCCGAGGGTTGTCGACCTCCACGATTCCCCATGGATATTGTCGTGCACGAACTCTTCTGCCTCCAATCTCGAGAACGTCCTCGGATCCAACGATGGCGAACGGCATCAAGCCACGTAGCTCAGCATTTTCCTCAACGGTATCCTCGTCATCCTCTTCGATGTCGTAAGGGAAGTTGTAGACAGGGATACGGTAATGTTCAATGTCCTCCATGACCAGTTTCTTTGACTCGGCCAGCTCAGCAGGGGTCAAGGAATCAGCCTTGCCAATGACGGGAATGACATTGACACGAGGAGAGAGACGTTTCATCAATTCGATGTCGAGCTCTCGCAAGCCGTGACCGGTTGGGGTGATGAAGTAGAGAAGTGCATGAACACGATTGTCCCTGAAACGAGGGTTTCTCTTGATACGAGATTCCTCCGCCAGGATATCGTCATATTGTCGTTCGAGGTAGCCGACAATCTCGCCAAAGGCGGATTCGTTGTCAATCTGGTCACCGAAGCCCGGAGTGTCCACAATGGTCAATGAGACTCTTGTACCCTCCTCGTCCAATTCAAGCTCTAGAACCGTGTCAGAACGTCCTTGATCGCATCTTCAATGCATATCCACCTACCAACCGTGACAGGCTTGATCCTCACTCCTTCTTCGAGGTGAGCATTGGCTGCATCGTCGGCGTCTTTGGATTGAAGTACTCGTTTCCCGCAGAGGGTATTGACAAAGGTAGTCCGGCCTGGCGTTGAAAGTCAGTCGACACCCGGGTGTGAGACTCGCTTGGATGAACATACCAGTTCCACTTGCACCACAAACCATGAGACAGAACTGAATACCCTTCTTGACATTCTTCTTTCTCCGTATCTGTGCCCGCGTGCGCATTCTGTTAGTTTCGAACATTGCGGAACGTCTTGGACAAAGCAGTTGACAAGGAAATGTGCAGGGAGTGGACTGGGTTAATGTCGAGGAGATCGTGGCAGGTGAGTGCGTACCGCATTCATTGGTGAAGACATTCTGGACTTTGTTTAGAGGACTGTACGCAAACGCTGGCAGAATAGACTGGTTCGTTTATGTGTATCGCCGCGGCGACAGGCAATGAGTGGTATAAAGAATGAGTTGCGCAGAAGAATGGGAGGATGTGATGGTGAGGATGGTGGACGTCGCGCAGGTTGAGGTGGTGTCTCTCAATCCAAAAAATTAGGGGTAACTTGACTTTAGACGTGTCGGGCGATCTACTTGACTTCCCGGGGTTGCGCTTTCCCTCTTTGGGCGCCACTAGCCTAGTGAGCCCTTAGCCCTGAGAGGCTCCTCCGAGCCTCACTGCAGTCCAGGTCTTAGCGGCCGCAGTCACCACAGCGCCCGCCAGCGACATCTCACATGGACCTGTTAACGTTATCGAGTGCAACAGACATGAGTTGATGCACATCCTGCTGCCATCTTCCAATTTCCAATGCGCATGTCCACCACGGATCCCTCATTCCTCAGGATCTGACTGAACCAGGAAGCAGGCACCTACCCACCAAGGTAGGTTTTCGATCTTCTCGTATTGACCTCTTTCGTATTCCACAGCCTCTCTGCTTGCACCTCGTTGCCAAACCATCTACAACCATGTCACACCAACGCCCTAGGAACTCGCGGCGGCAGCATTCTGTCGACTACCCTAAATATCCTTCCATGTCCTCGAATACGCAGACACCACAACCATCCTCAAATCCTACTCCTTTACCAGCACCCATGCCAGTCCCTCCCACACATCCAGCCATTCTGGCCTCGGATTATGAGTCCGACAATCAAGGCTATCAGTCAGATTATCCCTCACAACCACCACCACCAACTCGTACCAACGAAGAATTGAACCTGTCCGTCCTCAAACGCCATAATCCAGAAATATCTTCCATCCTCTCAGTCGCTCCCTATGCCGTGGTTTACGAGTTCTCACCCATGCCACAACCTGAATGGACAAAGACGGGAGTGGAAGGCTCGTTGTTCATCTGCGAGCTTGTTCCTGGAAGCTACGGCGAGGACAGATATTCCGCAATCGTTTTAAACCGGAGAGGTCTGGACAACTTCGAAGCTGAACTCAGAGAAGGCGAGAATGCGGGTGTAGAAATAACAGGAGACTATGTGATTATAAGTTTCAAAGAGGGGCACGAGCAGAAGATCTATGGCGTATATATCTTCCATGAGCCAGGATCGTCAACGGAGCATGCGCAGCAATTGAACGGCGAGCTTATGAAGTCCCTGGCGGATCATGCTGGAGCCAGCAAACAGGCCGCCGAGGCTGCGGCATCTGCTGCCATCGCTCAACATACCAATGGTCACATACAGGAAGCTGAACAGGCACTCCATAATCAGCAAGGAGAGGCTCCTGGTCCCGGTCAACAGATCAGTCTACAACAGTTGTTCGGTCAACAAAGAGCTGCCGATGCGAGCTGGAGTGTAAGAGCTCACAATCTCGAGGGCAGTCAACAACAAGCCTCCCTGGCGCCTTTGGGCGGCCCACCAAGTCATCCCACGCCACAACCAGCGCCTCAAGGAGCTGACGTGCTCGGCGACCTCTTCAGAAGAGCAGGTCTCACAGCAAAGTAGTCACAATTCCAGAAAAGGACAGTGTCATGACTCCAGAATCTCTTCCAACCAATCTCCCACCCGTTCCGCCACGATCTGATTCTGCTCCAAACACCATGCGTGTACCAACCCATGCGTCTCATCAATCAGAATGTTTGGTCTTTGTTTTCCTTCCTGACCACCTTGCCCAGCTGCCATCCCTCTTCTCTTAACAATCTCCTCTCGTGTCGTACTCGCAACCCAATGATCTTCCTTCGCAAACCACATATAAAGCAGTGGACTCGTCGTGTTCGTATCTTCCTCAGCTTCAGCCTCAACGGCTCCCCAAACTTCGTCTCCCCACTGATCCGCCCTGATTTCTTTCAACTCTGCTCCCGCCATCACAAGAGCCTGCTTCACTCCGTTTGGACTTCTGAGAAACGCGAGCGTAGTTTTCAATCCGTGACTGCCTGCCGGCATGCCTGTTGCCCGCTGGACCAATCCTTCCAACCACTTGTCCGGCATCCTCAACAGGACCGAATGTAACAGTCCATGCGCCAAAGAGGGGACCAAAGCCGAAAGACCCGGCAGCCCTGTAAGCAACGGCGTCGCAAGCACTCCCGAAGGCGACTTGTGCAGATCGACAATCGTAGGCGTAAGCAATATACATGATGTGACTGTCCATGTCGAAGTCAACTTGCCTCCGTCCGCTGGCGATACGCTGCTTTGATGGTGTGGGTGCTGGTGCCGCTCATGCAACAACCTCACGATCTCCAAAGCGATGTAAGTCCCAACACTGTGACCCATCAATACCACTTTCACCGGACGATTCGCTTGGGACAAACTTGAAGCCAACGCCTCGATACGCGCGTAACTGAGTTCGATCTGCTCGTGAAGCGTGTATATGCGATTGCGACCATTACCATCACCACCGCCACCATCGACCTGCCGAGTTGCTTGCGGATGGAGTATCTCCTCGTCTAGCTCATCGTCATCGCTTCTGGCGGTTTCAAAACCACCTAGACTATACCCAGCGACGACGACAGGTCTCTCAGCTTGATCTTGTCGCTTCTTTAGCCGCTCGACAAGCAGTGATATAAACGGGTGGTAGTATTCGATCAGCCCTGGATTTCCCGTGATGAAGAAGACCAACGTTACCGTCACCGCGGCTGCGTGCTCGTGCTTGCGTGCTGATGCGCCATTGTCAGTGGCAGTACTATACGTTGTCAGGGACGATGAGACATGAAGAAAAGTATCCGCCGACACCTTTGAAGTTAGGGGCATTGTTCGCCCTTTGGTGGCTAAAGCTGAGGTTCAAAGATGCGGATAGTCATCGGCTGGGCGTGATTCGCATAGCACTACCAGTCAGGAATGCCTGCTGCCAATCAATTGGGACCGACAAGGAAAATCTTTGGGGGTGTGTACGTGTGGCGACCACTAACTGGCAGATTTGGGGGATAGTTGTATGTGAGCCGCTTTACGGACAGTCCATGGCCTTCCAGACCACCTCCCTCAGCTGGGGAAATATGCGCCGCAGAGGAATTATGATAGTAAGTCTCGCTTATATTACCAGGTAAGCTCCGTTCGGTCCAAGCCCCAGAGGGCGATGCGTGGACTCCTATCTGCCTCCCACGACCTGAGAACTATCCTATCCTCGCGCATCGAACATGAAGACACCGACCACCCCTCCGGACGTGGTGCAGGCTACTCCCCACCCCATGCAGATTGATCTCTCAGCAGATGAACTCCAACTTCGAGCTCAAGGCCATGTCAGCGAGCTGCCACGCCAATTCGGGGCATTCGCAACCCTGTCCCTGGCGTTCAGCATAACCAACTCCTGGGTTGGCTTTTCTGCAGTGTTCGCGACTCCCTTGCTCGCTGGCGGTGGGCCAACAGTTTTTTTCGGCTTGATTGTGGCGACCATAGCATGCTCCTTCATCACGGCCGGTTTGGCGGAGCTGGCATCGGCCTTTCCCTCCAGCGGCGGACAGTATCAGTATGTCCTCTTAATCTCGCTGCCGTTGCTCATCGCCTGACCTTTTTGCTCAGCTTTGCTTTCATGGTTTCCTCCCCAAAGTATCGAGCGGCAACCGCATTCACGGTTGGCTGGCTAAGTGTGATTGCTTGGTGGTTCATCACGGCTACGGCAGGTATCTTCTGCGCCCAGCTTGTGGGAAATATTGCCTCATTCCTCCGTCCTGACTATGTGTGGACCCAATGGCAGATTTACCTGATCTATCTTCTGCTATGTACTACCGCTGTCGCCGTCGTTGTTTGGCTACCTCGCCAGATGCCAATGCTCCAGATGGTGTTTTTCATGGCATCGCTCGTCGGATTTGTGGTTTTCTTCATCACTGTGTTGGCTACCAGTAAGGATCATAAGCAAAGAGCTTCTACAGTGTTTACCAAGTGGGATAATCAGACTGGATGGAGTGATGGCACGGCATTCCTGCTTGGTGTCGGCACTTGCATGTATGCCTATCTGGCAGTGGACTCGTGAGTCTTTCCAAGAGTCTTTCAGCTGTCCAGCGATAAAAATGGTCGAATGGGAGAGTACTGACTATTGTGTCTATCCCAGAGTAACACATCTTGCTGAAGAAATGCCAAATCCCGGGACAGGCGTCCCCCGAGCAATGTGCCTGACTATCCTTATTGGCATGCTCACCGTGTTCATGTGGACTCTCGCTTTTTTGTTCTCTACGTCCGATCTGGACGAGGTGTCTATGTCGCACCTTCCTATCTTGACGGTCTACTATCAAGCTTTGCGATCTAAAGCCGGAGCAGCATTCTTCGCCGTCTGGTTATTATTTATCTGTGAGTGTCTCCCCATTTCTAGGGTAGATGGTAAAGACTTCGGACCAAATAGCTCTTGGAGCAGTGGTGGCCTAACACGAAGCTATATATTAACGACTCCTGTACAGACTACGGCGCAACTATCGGTTGTTTTCTCTCTGCCGGCCGGCAGACTTGGTCATTTGCAAGAGACAATGGATTACCGTACAGCAAAGTCTTTGCAAAAACACATCCGACACTACAGGTCCCAGTAAACGCTACCGTTGCGACGCTGGTATTCTGCGTGTTTTACGGATTAATCTATATTGGATCGACCACGGCATACAACAGCTTCGTTAATCTCTCAATTTTAGGTCTGAATATTACCTACGCTATACCGCAGGCGGTGGTTGTTATTCGAGGTCGAGACAAAGTCTTGCCAAAGCGACAATTCGACCTCGGACCAGTCCTTGGTCCTATCTGTAACATCTTCGTAAGTATTCTTCGTCTTGAAAGGCTGTGTCGTTGAATCACGAGCCTTTCGCATTGTCCCCGTTTTTACCGATGCAGCTTACTGACGATTCGCAGTCCACCATCTGGATGCTTGTATTTACAGTGCTGTTCTGCTTTCCAGTCTTCTTGCCCGTCACCTTGCAGAACATGAATTACCTCAGCGTTGTTGTTGCTGCGGTGTGTTTGTTCATTCTTATCCTCTGGTGGGGTGGAAAGAGGAAGACATTCGAGGGCCCCCATGTCGAACTTGCCGCAAGCGTTTGTCTCTAGAGATGAGTATGTGAGGGGAAAGAAGAGCCAGCAGGAACCACACATGGTTTGAAAGCCTGGATAGGCGTAACAGATGTCAGATTATCAAGCATGACATTTGTACATGATCACCAGCTATGGCTTCAATGTTGAGAGACAATTTTCTTCCATAGAACCTGCCGACGGAATCTTGATGTCGTGACATTTCCTGCTTGCCACTGGCCGACGTTTGACGTGGAAAAAGGCAGTGATGTAGAAACACAGGCTACGGAGCAGTCGGTCAGGATTGAATTCAAGGGGGTCCTGACCACTCGGTACATTTCTCTGCGTCGTCGTCGTCCTACGGAAGATTGAAAGCCTGGAACTTACGGATGTGGATCATGGTCAGAACGGAGGAGGTCTTGCCCAGGTCTTGATCGATTGTTCAGTCTTCTTTTGATTCTTACTCAAACATTATCAACCTCTCTGTGAGCCTTCGTCATTCGTTCCACATCATCTTGTTCCTTGCTCAGCTCATATGCTGCACTCCGTTGACATCATCCGCCTCATCGCCTCGTGAAACAGATCGCTGCATGGGTATCTCTGATGGCATAAAAGTGGGAACAGCAATAAAAAAAACCGAAATCAATAACTCCTCCCCCTGGATTTGTGACCGGCTGACTCTCCTTCATTCTCATGTCTGTCTCCTGTCATTGAGCCATCACTTAACTCGCCCATTACACATCCGATCTTTCTCCTCAAGCATCTTTCATGTTCACATCTCCTTCGATACTGCGTGCTCGACGCTTGGTGTGGGGCTGCTGCACAAAATCCTGGTATGTCGTGTCGTATGATGACCGCACTCCTGCTGCCGCTGGAGGAACTTGAGCTGGCCGAAGAGCATCCGGAGGAGCATTGAGATCTTCTCTGCTGAAAGGCAATCCGGCATATGCATAGGAGCTTCTAGCTGCGCCATTGCCGCGGAACGAAGGAAGTGGTGCCGTGGAAGACGGTAAGTTCGTTGAGTACGCAGCATGAAAATTCGCTTGTTGCTGCTTGCGTTGTTCAGCTTCTTCCGCTACATGCTTAGCTCTCCAAGCAGCAGGGTCGTCACGGAGTAGACACTGATCGCGATACTCCTCTTCGGCAGCCTTCTGATCCTCGTCATTCAACTGCTCGTCATCTTCTTTGTGGAAGGTTTCCGTCAGATCGATGTTGCGAACGAAATCCATTTTGTCGATAATGGCATCAAGCACCTTAGGATCCTTGCCCAAGCAGCGCTGGAAGTCCTTTGGCGCGACATCTTTAGCCAGAAAGAGGTATTCCTTCATCTGCTTAGATGCATGTCGCGTTGGCTTCTTCTGATCCACAACACGTCCGAACAACTGCGTTTTGAAAATAGCTTGATTAAAAAGCTTGTCCTCAAACGTACCACCAGATTGAAAGCGATACACGAAAACAGGTCTTGTCTGATTCAACCGATAGGCTCTGCCTATTGCCTGTTCTTCCCATGATGGGTTGAAGCCGAAATCAAAGATGATTACACGGTTGGCACCTTGGAGATTTAGCCCAAGACCTCCGGCTCTCGTCGAAATAAGAAAGACTTGTTGTTGACCATCTTGATTGAACGCCTTGGTCGCGGCCTGCCGTGACGCCATCTTCGTCTCCCCAGACAATCGACAGTAAAGGCAATTGAGTGACTTCAGCATTCTCTCTAAGTAGTCCAATGTCGGGATGGATTGTGTAAAGATCAGTGTCTTGTCACCCACCGCCATGGCTTGCTTCACAATTTGCTGCACAGCGAGAGTCCGATACGACAAGGCTGGGTCGTCCATCAGATTGGCGTCATCCGCTGCCTCGAAGATTTGCGAAATTCTCTGCAAAGCCTCGGCCATTGGTCCCGTGGTCTCAATCTCAACGTCCTCTGCGATTTCGTCCGGAGTGGCTGGGTGATGGTCAAATTTTCGAACGATGGTTTTATCAGCGCCTTCATCCCCACTCGTGGATTGATCCGCACCCTTTTGCTCGGCATTCTCCCGTTCCTCTTTCGCACGTTGTTTCAACTTCAGGATCACACAAGAAGGGTGATGACACAGCCAAGATAAAATATTGAGATGGTACCAAATTCTGGCATTCTGTGATCTGACATTCACTCCATGCATAGACTGTAGCACCCGTTGAAGATAGACGTTGTAGGCCTGCTTTTGAAGATCCGTGAGTGGCACTGTTATGATAAACTCCGTTTTAGGAGGCATGTCTTTTGCGATCGCAGAGATGTCAGCTCGATCGATCTTTGGAGCCAGGTCGCGTTTGAGGACGTGAAGTTTTCGAAGAGATATCCGCCTCTCCAATGCAGTGCTCTCGGCGTATAGACCTTCGTTGATAGGCTCCGAGTACTTTGAACGAAATTGAACCATATCTCCAAGATAGCCCGGAGCTATCCAGTCGACCATAGTATGGTACTCTTCAAGATGATTGTTGAGTGGCGATCCCGTCAAGGCGATACGACTGGTAGTCTTGAACCTCTTCGCAACTGCATTGATCTTTGAGTGAGCATTCTTGAGTTTATGAGCTTCGTCTGCAACCACGAGATTTGGCTCTTCCAGGAGGATTTCCTCGATTTGAGCCGATAGCTTTCCGTCAGCACTGGCTTTGATCCAGGTCCTGAATTTGTCGTAGCTGACGAGTAATACGCCACCTTCTCGTTTCCATTCTTGAAGTTCGTCAAGCAGTTCCTTTGACTTTTCGAGTCTACGGATTGGCCCCAAGATGTCCGGTTTAGGAGTCCACATCAATAATTCGTCGAACCAATTTTCAACTAAGGAAGCAGGGCAAAGGATGAGTGTTTTGGTCTTCCTAAGACGGCTTGGGACGTGTTTTCGTTTGTCGACATCCTGGCTCTGGCTGCAAAGCGATATCGTGACAAGAAGAGAGATGACCTGCATGGTCTTGCCGAGGCCCATAGTGTGCGCCAATATGCACCCTTGTTGTTTTGGGTCCTCCACAATCTCTCGCCACATGAATTGGATGCCATGCACTTGGTGCGGTTTTGCGCGCTGCGCGATGTGCGGATGGAGGTAAACATATGGTTCCATGGTGTTGATGGGCTCTACTACTGTTTCGCCAGAGGCAGCGTTCATGTGTGCAAATTTCTGAGCCATTGCTTTTCGACGGTCCTCTTGCAGTTGCATGCGCAGTTGGTCACTGATCTGTAACGAACGAGCTTGCTGACTCTCCTCAACTTTTCGTTTGCGTTTCTTATGAGCAGAGGGTGGTTCGTCAAGTTCCACTAAACTGGCTGACGTATCGTCGGTCATTGGAAGATCAGTGTCATCAAATATCTCCTCATCAGACGTAACATCCTGTCTTTTCCGCTTCTTTGTGCCTTGGTTTGGTGCTTGACTTTCATGTTTGACCAACACCGCTATAAGGTTGATCAAGAGCTCAAAGAAAAATTCAAGGGCATCTCCCATCTGTGCGTAGGCTTCATCGCGGTGTTTGTCTGTCATATTGGCATCATCCACCATGTTCTGGCCACAAACAAATGCCGCATAAAGGCGAACCAAGAGATGGGCGCTGGACTGTTGTTTGGCTTTGACGTTTTCGATCAAACAATCGTCTGCCGTCAAAGCAGAAAGTCCATTGAGCAAAAGATCCTTACGGTTGTCGGAGGTGCGCCGGGTCTGTACGAGCAAGCTCAAGTCATTGACCGTGGCGATATCGAGCTCAAAGAGAGCTTTGGCAAGTGCTCGGCGCTTTTCCGGAACAGGGCTATCAGCAAGCTCCTCGATAACTGACCAGTCTATACGTCGCATGCCTTCGACGTCTTCGAAATGTGGCAACCCAGAGTCGTCTTCAGAAGAAAGTTGTGGAATGGTTTGAATGGATGACGACTGCGAAGCCGTGCTTTGCTTTCTTCTCTTGGGGACAGGATGAGGAGCTTTACGGGCCGTTGGATTGAGCTCCGGCGTATGCACAGAAAAATCCGTACTATCCTCAATAGAGCTTTGAGCAGGACTTGAGACCGTTAGATCCACGGGTTGTACTTTCGTGCGCCCCTGCTTTTTGTATTTCGATTGAGGTAGACGGCGCGAGCGATCGAAATCAGAGATATCAGAGGAGTCGTCAGCCTTAGGCGCAGCCGTATGTCCAGGTGTAATAAGCTCCTGCTTGAGAGCAGGAGTCTTCGCGGGAGTTTTGGGCTTAGCGGGTGTTGCGGACTTGACAGGTCTACTGCTAGGTCTTGGAGAGACTCTCTTCCTTCGGGCAGGTGTGATAATCTCATGCTCGCTACTTTCGGCATCAGCATCGTCCGCGTATGTGTCGAGTGGTGTTTCCACCACTTCCGATGGAGGAGTTGGCACTGGGGTTGGCGAAGCATGCGTGGTACTCAGTTGTGTATCGACCGCCTTCGTGACAACGGCGAGTACAGGATTCCACTCATCCAAGTCAGGCTCGTAGTGGATTGAGCCTACGTCGGAAGAGTCGTCCACCACAAAATTGTTTTCCTCCTCTTCGTCGCTCATCGGTTCCGAGTCTGACTCGATTAATTCCTCACCTTCCTCGAGTACCTGCTGGCCATGTGGACGACTAGCCTTCAATGCTCTTTGGGTAGGGCGCTCTGGAGGTGTGTCTTGGAGCATGACTTCTTGGTAGTAAGTGAACTCTTCATGTGAAAAGACTGCCGTTTCGATACTCTGACATTGCTTCCTCAGCTCGGTCTCATTGTGCCAGATGTCATCAGCCACAGCACGCTTGATCTTCTCAATCATCTTCTGATACCGAGCTTTTTCGAATTCGATGTGCTTCAGAACTTGCTGTCGGTCCTTCTTTAGAGCGGCTCTCATCCACATACGATAAGCTTTCAGCTGCACTTTCGCAAGTCTCGTCTCACGCCATTCTTGTCTCATTTCCTGAATAGTGTTGATGATTGTAGAGTCAATCTCGGCAGGAGACATATGCTTCAAGGTCTGGTTCCTCTCGGCTTCTTCTTCCTCAATTTCTCGCCAAGTGTCTTCATCGTAATCCCCTTCATCCCCAGAGTCGCCATAGATGGGAAGCCCGTCGTCAGACTCCTCGACTGGATATCTGTCCAGTAAATAGTCCAATTCCATCGTACCAGAGTTCTGGCCTGCTTGCATTGACTCCTTAACGGGAACTGAGGTTCGTGTACGCTTTGTTTTGTAGGGAGTCGAAAGATTGAAGCTTTTGCTCTGAACCCCTCTGGTCTCGGGATAGTCCTCTGTCCGGAATACTCTCGCGCGAGCCCCATCACGTGGAAACAGAGTGAAATATCGCTCGGAGTATGGCTTCTTCGCAACCCGGTCGTCGTAGGGAACTGTGACCTTTAGGCCGCTTTGATGCAACGTATAGGTGCCCTGAATGAGGAATTTCTTCATCAGGCGTCCGACGTTGCGCCGCTGACCACTGGGAAACAAACCTCCAGACACAAAGTTGCTCGATTCATCGATTGGAGGTCGATAAATCACGTCATCGAAGTCTGTGGTGAGTCGAAAATAGAAAACTTCTTGAACAGGCACGGCTGACTGCGAGAGATAGGAGCCGTCAATTGATTCAGCTGGCGCAGTGTCCTGTAATTGCGAGACTAGTGTTGGTGCGATCTTCTTTTTTGGTTTGACAACGGCATTTGCGTGGCCTGTTTGTTGCGGTTTGCCAGAAGATGGTTCACCCAAAGTATGTACACCATTGACACTGTTGACACCATCTTGCAGCATCATTGCCCTATCAGAGGGAGCCGTGACAGCAACGGTGGGATGAGGAGCGGGCCGAACGGAGCGTATCGGCGATGGGTGTTGGGGTGGGATTGTCTGAGTCATTCCAGGGACAACAGCCGAGTTGAAAGAAGGCGAATGGGTCTGCTGCCTGGCATCGATGGTCGGCAGGATACCTAGACCAACGTTTGGAGACTGCGCCACGAGCGATGCTCGAGACTGCGTAATCTGTGGGGTCGTATAGGATTGCATCCGGGCGATGCTGTCTGCTTGAAACGCCATTTGCTGATAGCTTCGCGAGTGAAGCCTAAAGTATTCAATGGCTCTCATGACAGCCCGTCGCTGACCAAAGGAGGAAAGCCCCAGGTCGTCCTTCAGCGCAGCCATGTCCAGTGCCAGAAGATTGTCGCCGTCGAGGTGGTTTTCCCGAAAGGTGTTTTCGAGGACATGACGGTCTGGTATCAATTGTGGGCGATCGCCTGACGACCAACTCGGTGTAGGATTGTGACATAGTTCCTGGACGACTTGATCGATAGACCAGCCTCGAGGATCTTCATCCTCGTTCGAGAGATCCATGGCTGTCGACGGAGCATTGGTTGAATGGTGTGAAATAGGCAACGAGATCGGTACTGTCGAACGTCATGCGTGGATGTTGAAAGGAAGGTGACTTTTAGTTGGTGAACCCAGATTGAAATTTGGAGACGAGAAGAAAAGGGCGCAGTTGCTCTGGAACCGAGGCGGAAAGAAGAGAAGACAATTCGCTTGCTGGAAAAAGGACGAGGATGAGCAGGCAGTGAGAGACACAGGCCTGGTCTGCGGGCAGTGCAAGAAAAGACGAAGCGCTTGAAACCACCCCCAACCAAAGCGTCCCCTAGAAATGGTGCAGCAAGCAATTCACCTCCTCACATGGTCGAAAGCATGGAAGCCATCACGCTGCGGCTATTGTAAAGGCAGTTCGCCGCCCTCATCGCCGTTGGTGAGGCAGAGAGAAGGAAAGGTTTGATATGGAATTGAGTGGTTGAGTAAGTGGTTCAAGTTAAAAAGAAGGTGGAGTCAAGTTTTGAGTCAATCACTTTCCACAAACACGAAACACTTTTCCGCCCGCGAACCACTTTACGCGTCAATCCGGGAAGGCAACTAAGCCGAGCCGCTGACTAAACACCCATGTCGTGATAGAACATCGCAAAAAGCTTTCCGTCGAAATCACTTCTTCACCATTGCTCAGTACGGCTGCTCATACGGATACGACTACGAGGGTATTCATTCCAGCACTGCACTGATTTCAGCCATTACATAGGCAACCTGTCTGGTAGCGGTAGCCGCGGAAAGCATGGCGGACAAAATCTACTCGGAGTATCCCCCACCATTGAGCCCAGAGCAGGAGGACTACCTGGTCCAAACGGTCAAGAATTGGACTATAGAGCATGGTCTTTGCGTGAGACCTTCGACAGCAATAGTGTCAGAAGAGGCAAACCCGAAAAATGTTTTGGCCACAAATGCACCCGTCACACTATTCCCAAGTCCATTCCCGAAGTCCTGCTTCGAACAAGCTCGAAGTCTCCAGCAGGTCTACAACGAGCTTTATGCTGCCATTGCCAGCGACGAACAATGGCTCGAAGAAATCATGAAGGAGTACGTCCCTGTTGAGGACTGCCCTCAAATGCAAATCATCTGCTAACCATGGCCTAAGGCTGATAGAAGTTGATGACTTTCTCGCCAACCTCTGGAAGATCCATCTCTCCGTCAAAGAAGAAGGATACGTACAAGACCTCACGCTTGGCATGTTTCGCTCCGACTACATGCTGCATACCCCAGAAGACAGCCCTCCATCGCTCAAGCAAGTCGAATTCAACACCATCTCCTCATCTTTCGGAGGTCTCGCTTGCCTCGTCGCAGAAATGCATACTCACCTTGCCACGTTCCCCAGCCCTGAACACCCCGCCGCATACCCGTCGCATCCATTGTTCGGCGACTCCAACGATACCAGCTCAATCAAATCCAAGGGACACCCACCTCATAATACCGCAGTGCCGACATTAACAGCCAGCCTGGCCGCTGCTCACGCAGCGTACGGCCCCTCCAGATCCCAACCACAACTACCGACCTGCATCCTATTTCTCGTCCAGGACACCGAGCGTAACGTTTTTGACCAATTGGCTCTCTCCACCCACTTATACGACCATCACAAGATCCCCTCTTTCCGCCTCCCAGCAAGTAGAATGCTCGCCTACACATCCATCCCCTCGAAAGAGTCAAACCCGTCACGACCCTTAATCTACACACCGCCATACTCCTCATCGACCCAGTATGAAGTAACAGTTGTCTATTTCCGCGCCCTCTACACACCCACAGACTACGATACCCCTACCTCGTGGGCAGCAAGACACCACCTCGAGCGCAGCGCAGCCATAAAATGCCCCAGCGTCCTCCTCCAACTTTCGGGCTCCAAGAAGGTTCAACAAGTCCTCACCGCACGACCTCCTGACACCGACCATCTGAAAGCCTTCCTCCCACACCATTCTGACGAAAAACTGGAAAGTATGCGCACGACGTTCGCGCCGCAATATTCCCTCTCGACGACCAATACGGCTGACGAGCCTGAGGGGATCCGCCTGGCACTAGATGAAAAGACAGCCGCAAACCACGTTCTCAAGCCGCAGCGCGAAGGCGGTGGGAACAACATTTACCGCACCAATATCCCGCCCTTCTTGAGTTCAATTCCCAAAGAACAATGGAAGCAGTACATCCTGATGGAATTGATCCATCCGCCCACCGAAGCCAAGAACACGGCATTACGAAGTGACGGTCAGGTCGCTAGTGGGAACGTCATTTCCGAGTTAGGTATATTCGGCACATGCTTGTGGAAGAACACCTCCGGCAGCACGAAGCCGGAGATCCTGCATAACACGGAGGGCGGCTACCTGCTGCGCACGAAGGGGAAAGAGAGCGACGAGGGCGGCGTCGCCGCAGGATTCAGCTCCTTAGACAGTGTCATCTTGTACGAATAGACCCACCATGAACAGTCCACGGAATTGTATAGAAGTGGAATAAGTTAGCTCTGATCGCTTTACTTCTGAAATGAAATATGTCCTCTTGATCATGCTGACCCTGGAGATCTGTCGCTCAGCTAGCCCTTCGGTCGCCTCTCGCGTTCATTCGGACGTGGCTGCACATTCCGCCGTGGCTGCCGACCCTCTTTCAGCGTTGGACCCTTGGCATTACCGACCATATACCTCTTCGGTATCGCCATGACCCGCGTCACCAATCTTCCCGGCATGCTCAAGAGATACAAGAAGGATTGCGTGGGAACAACCACGACCGCAGATATCCAGTTCGCCAGCGTCACAGCATATTTATCTGATTTGCGATCGGCATTTCGCTGCGCGGCCGCCGCCAATGATACCACATCGTGTAGACGGGCTTCGAGATCCTGTAATCTAGCTTCGAATTGCACCGCTGATATAGTTGTTCTCTTCTCGTATCGGCGCATCGCTCTGTTCAAGGCGTCAAGCTCGGGCTGTATGGCTTTCTTGACATCAGCAGTAGCCGAAGCGGAAGCCTTTTGAGCGAGCGCTTCGCTGTTTGCCGGTGTTTCGTTCGCAGCATTGCCAGCGATTCGATTCGCGACATGCGCTTCTAACTCCTCCAGCCTGCTGGAGACATCTCTAAGTTGTTGAGGGTCACCTGGTTTAGCTTCGGGCAGCAATTCCACGTTGATCTTTCGTTGAACAAAAAGAGTCCTCCTCTGGACCATCTTAATTAGATGTGAGAGAGGTCGAATTTCGGCAACTAGCATGAATATGGTCAAGTTGTAGTCGGAAACCAGTCCCTCGGAAGGGCGACTCAATTGTGACCTGATGGCATGCAGAAGCCAAGCGCCTAGCAAGGGAAAAGTGAAACAGCAAAGTAGCGCTGTAAGCTCATAGAACCGAAGTTCTTTTTGGGCGGACTGTCTTTCCGATCGGAGGGCATCTGAGCGATCTGTGGTACCATCACCTTTGTCGGCCTTCGATTCCGAATCAGCATCTTCTTCTGTCTCATCCACTGGCGAAAACACGCTAGCAGTAGGACTGTTTGGTTCTGCTGGTATCTGGCTCTGGGCCGCTCGATACCAATCCCTGTTACGCGGTTAGGACGAGTAAATATCTTAAGGAGGGAGAATAAACTCACCACGGCGACCTGAGTGCCCAATTCATGAAGATTGCAGCCAGACCCAGCAGTGTGACATCAGTGACGATGGCACTGCCATTCTTGAAGAACAGGCCCCCAACAGCCGGAAGCAGAGCGAGACCCAAAGGTAGCGATTGCCAGTGAGAACTTTCATCATGGATGTCGTCGAGGTCGTCTGCTCCTCTTGGACGGGGCAACAATATGTCGTCGACCGTAGTCGATGATCTCAACGACTTTCGCGTATCAGAGAGCGACTCTGACAGAAAAGAGCTTGAACGACGACCCTGCCGTGCATTTTCCTCGGCGAACGTCGACGTCCGTCCAAATGCTCGCTGCCTTAGTCCTGGGGAGGGACTGATTGTGCGTCCAGTTTGTATAGACTCAGGGACTGTGACGGGAGGCGGCTTTTCGGGAGCCTTTTCAGAAGCCATGGTGATGGATGTGCTTCACACAGTTTGTCGTTGATGAAGTGGTTGAGATACGATGAATCCGGTACTGTCAAAAAGGAGATAGTGGTGGTACTTGGTTGCTCGGAGATAAATCCCGTGCCGCGACGCGTTACGACATTTTTAGACGGCAAACAGGAAATGCTTCAAACGTCATTCGGTGTGGTGGCTTAAAAGATGGGCTGGATGTGATCGAATCTTCGTTACAAAGAAAAGCCAAACTTGGATAAGAGAAACTGGACCGAGGAATGAGCAAGACTTCAAAAGAAGAGTGTGCTCGACGATGCTATTGAGGAAGCGACGAGTTGACGAGTTGATGTTGACGAGTTCTGACTGATGTCAACACAGACCAGGGATTGAGAGAGCTTGGCACGGGGAAAGGGAGACAGGCACAAGGTACAGGCGCAGGGACGGGGACGGGGATTTGGGGGCCAGGCACAGGCACAGGCTAACGTAACTTTGTGAGGTACTGTACAGGCATGGAGAAATCGGCCGGGGTCGCTAACGTAGGCACGCCGGTCACCTAAACTCGTGCCGCCTCAATTTCGCAGCGCCAACGACTCACCTCCCATCCGACTCTATCAATTCCTTATTGATGCGACGTCTGACAGCATCACTGATTCACATCAAGACCTTCCGCTACGTACCAATCTCCCGCTGTCAAGGCTATGCACTGCCTCTTAGCACCTACTGTACAACAAATTGCTTCGTACGCAGGTAGGACTTGACAGAAGTCAAAAAGGAAGCAGTACGGGGAGTTTGCCAACACATGGATACCCAACGCATGCCACAGACATGTCGACGATCCTGTGGGTGATGTTTGCGCCATCTGGCCTCGATCGTCCACAATTTCAAAAGGACTTCGACTTCACCACACGGCTACATACCCGAAAGCTTGAATACTGTATATGTTAGTAACGCCTACTTATTTCTTCTTCGCCATGGTAAGCTAATCGGGCGATCATCCTATGGCGATTTTCAGCCGCCCTTCTCCGACATGAGTGAGTGCAAGTCGTTGCGCTCGACTGGGCCCAATCACGAGACCTCGGCATCTCGGCTACGATTTCTCCCTTCTTGTGTAGATAAGCCGGAGTGAACTCATCTTGGAAGTGTATGTTTCCAGGATTGCAGAGTCCGACTTTTAAGAAGACGTCGAGACTAAAGCAACGAGTTTCAATGGAATCTACCCACTATGAATTCATTTCAATCACCAAACCCTTCAGTTCGCTCGTCTCAACACACTCGAAGGAGGAGACCTTGTGATAGATGTCATTTAGTCAAAGAAAAGTGTCGCTGGCCTACGGACGATGGTGATGTATGTGAGAGATGTTCACGCTTGAGGTTCGTCTGTCACACCCATCGTCCGGTCGCGCGAGCGGGGAGGAAGGCGCGATCGGCAACTGGGAATCGTCTACCACTGCGGCGGACAAGTCAATCTGTTTTGTCTGCCACATCACCATATGAGCAGTCTGTGCTTCCTGGATCATCCGAGGGCTCGCACTCGCCCACGACATCAGCCTCTCCCAGCGAGCAGTCGGACATGTTTTCAGCCGGTCAAATAGTCACCTCGTGCGCGCCACGAAAGCAGATCGACCTCCTTCACGGCATTACATTCTTCCCAGAATTGAGTGATGTTGAATTTCACCTTCTACACCTCATACTCCACAAACAAACCGATGTCGACAAGTATCTCATCGGCTCCAGCTTTCGCGATCAACACCAGCAAGCATTCATCGATCACCTGGCAATACCTTTTGTGCGGGATGCATTCATCGCTTGTGCCCCGCTCCTAATCGAACGCCGGGGCATTCATCAACTCGCCAAAGCTCAGCTCACTGACGTGAGCAACAAGAGAGCTGCGGCGGCGATCGCTTCGCTCCGCCAGCTACAAGTCCATGATGACCACGATTTATCAACTGTCCTAATACTGGGCGTGGCATTGGTGACATTTGCGACGCATCATGGCGGTGAGCTGTTGCTCTGCCGTCATATCTTGGGCCTCGTCAAACCTCTGTATGACACCGGCTCGAGTTATTCGTTGACCCAGCGACTGGGTGCTGACGGTATCTCCTTCCTCGTTTGCCTGCTCGGCACTGAGACAATGGACTGCCTCATTCGATGCGAGGTTCCAACCATGAAGGTCCGTCCGGGTGACCTCGACGATGCCGTCGATCGATTCATTGGCATTTCGGCGCCGTTGCTGACCTATTTTCACGAACTATGCGCAGTGACCAAGAAAATATGCGACTCCGGGTATCGGCGTAGCGACGGGGTTGTGGTTGAAGTTGTCGAAAAAGCTCTCACAGAGATCGGTGATGCCGTTACAATGTGGGAACCCAGAGTGTTAGCTTGTTCTCTCACGGATCAATACACCCCGACAGAGGTGGTGTTGATGTTCGCCCAGGCCAAAGTCCTTCGCTTAACAGCCCTTCTCGTATTGCACAGATTACGCTACGCCTTCGGCACCCAAGATGGCGTGGCTCTTGCAATGGCCAATGCTATTCTGGACGAGCTCAATATGGTCGTCAATCTCACCGGGCAGACTATTCCTTTTGTGGACTTCGCCTATCTGATATCGTGCTTCGAGATCACCAAACCTTGGGAGAGGCGGGCTGTCCTGGAAAAGTCACACCTGATCGTAGACTTTTCGTTTAGGTGGCGCGAACAGATCAAGACATGGATTGTTTCATTTTGGGCCGTTAAAGACAGCGACGCTGGTCGTTCCATGCACTGGGAAGACATCCATGCGTACCTGCCAGACAGCGAGAGTCCGCGTGCTCACATTCAACGAAATGCATCACATTAGCATGACTTGTTCATTGCTAATCTTCTCTACACACAATACCGATCGGAACAATCGCCAACATAACCGAATATGGCGCCACAAATCGAACATGTCCGCCTATTCGACCCGCTTCCGCCTGATTACCCTTTCACAACACAGCTCCATTGGCACATATCTGTCGCTTCAAATGTCACGATGCGTTGGTTGCTGGGAAGCCATCTTCCTGTACCGTGTTGCAGTAGCAATTCTAGCCTTCTTTCCCCAGATAAGGAGCGGCACAGGTAACATCGAAAGGGCGAAGCAAAGCACAGCTATAAGGACATGAACGTTTTGAACCCCCATCCCGTTGATCCACGGAGTGAGGGCGAATAGGATAATCACCGAGAAGATGTTGCGCGTGAACACGACACCCACCAACGCATTGCCGATAATCTGATATCGAGATGATGGTCAGTCGAATTGTCGGCCATGAAGACAAGGGAAGCTTGACAGGGCTGGGCTTGAGTACTCACATTCTGATAGCAGTCCATGGCGTAGGAGAGAGCGATGTCGCCAACCATGGAGAAACCGAAACCGAAAAGTCCGTACCCGACAGCAAGAACGGGCCAAGCTGCACTCTAAGCCACGTATCGTCAGCAAACCCATTATTATTGGCCGAGGGCAGAACAGAATAAGAACAATCATCAGAGTGAGTAAAACCATCGCAGAACCCATTACGTACATGGGCCAACCCCACACCAAACATCAAAATGCCTGCTGGGGTTATGAGTGCACCGACTAGGGCAAGCCAGAGACGCATTTCCGGCTCGTAAATACCGCTATTGCGTTTCGACAGCCAGAGGATGGATTTGTCGTTCAGATATCCGCCAACAAAGGTTCCGGGAATCACTCCAACGAAAGGGGCAACATTCATCAACCCAACGCCAGCAGCAGAGAAGTTGTATGGTGGATAGAAAAGGTATGTTGCTTGGACAGAAGTCATCGTGGCAAACCAGGCCAGGAGGCTGCCATAGGTCATAGCGGTGTAGGCGATGGCTGGAAAGGTGAACAGAACCACGATAGGCTGATAGATGTCATGCAGGATCGAGCCATCTGTTTTGGTGATTAGAGGAAGACGCTCCCAGAATGTCTTCATCCTGATTGTCGGGTCAATGTGGAGATGACTTTCGAGGCGAGTCGGCTCTACCGCTGACCCCAACTCGGCCGGCTTGGAGTCTCCCGGGTTCGGTTGCTCAATGCTGCCACCTCTTGGATTTTCCTGGACCGGTCTTTGTTTGGCCCCGTTGTGGCCAACAAGGACGCTGACGTACTTGGTCTCTTCGAATAAGAAAATAAGGGCGACCAAGTTTATCGCGAAGAAGATGGTGCACCACCAGAACATCCACCTCCACCCTTGGCTAACGACGACATAGCCTGAGGCTACTGGTCCCAGGAAGGCACCGATGCTGGTGGCGAGCATGTAGTACGCATTCATGGCGGCGTGATTGTGCACAAAAAACAGATCAGCAATTGTCATCTGCACAATCGTTTCACTGATCGCACCGCCTAGACCAGAGATCAAGTTGCTCCCGATGAGATCGCCTCTGGTTTCTGTCTTTGCAAACCAAATGACCGAGGCCAGTTGAAGGGCTGTACTGAACAAGTACATTGGGCGCCGGCCATACTTGTTGACGAGAGGTACAAAGAAGATGCAACCGATAGCGAGGCCGGCATAGTTGGTGGCCGCTGCACCGTTCAGCAGGTCAACCGAAAAGCCCAACTCGATCTCATAATCTTCCCAAGCGGTGAATCCAATGTCCAGCTCCACAAAAGTCATCAGGACATAAAAGCAAACAAGCCCGTAATTAAGTGCTTTTCTCCATGACGCCCAATTCAGAGGATCATTTGGATCCGAAGTTGGGACGGGATGGAGAAGAACCTTGGTGTTGGCCGCCTGCACTTTGGGTCGACATGAGATCAGGACCAGTTCTGCGTTGTCAAGGAGGTATGGCTTGTGTGCTTACAGTCTTCCAAGGTCAAAGTTCCCGGCGCCCAGAACGAAGGATCCCGATGATCAATCGTAGATTCTTCCATGGCGCGATCTTGTCACTGTCGTGGTTAAACTCAAGCACTAGGGAAGCAGGCAAATTCAGTCCAATCGCAATTCTATGAAGTGAGTGCACAGGCCGAATGTCTGGGATGAAAGTAAAGGACTTCCATTTGCAGCGGGCGACATGCTTCCTATATTCTGAAGTTGAGCAGCCGGGAAAGGCATTCATCCTTGGGGCGACTGCTGCCGATAAAGCCTCCCCAATTAGGAAAGCCCACCTCACAATGCCCCTGTACAGATGGCATTTGCATTGACACGATTCGTTTAGTTGGCTGATGGACATTGTGGCCAGGGTCGACTACCTTATCTACTATCGGAGAGGTGGAAAAGGACCAGTCAAATTGATCAGAACACGCCGGCTTGGCGTCGAGATCATCTGGAAAGAGTGGGTGTGAGATTGTCCGATCAACTGATGCCATTCCTTTAGGTGGGATTTCGATCTGGCCGGCTCTGTTGACGTGCGCTGGGCTGATTTAGTTGTCAGTGCGGCTTGCTAGAGACCCAATCAACTCAAAATACGCCAATCTTCGCATTATCAAGTGGACTCTGTGGATGAGATCGAAAAGACTCGAACGCGGCAGCGAAGAATTAGTAAGAATGTGGAATCATTCCCCCTTCATTTGATGCCTCGTAAGCTCGAGGCACCTGACTCGGGCGATGTTGCACCTGGGCTATCGCATGACGTCGCCCTGGTATCGACGATCCAATGAACTTGACCCAAATACACCGGCTTGGCATCACAATGTGGACCGCAGTGTACATAAGGAGACGAGACAAAGTCTCAACCGCCGTGCAAGATCAAACCTCCTCTTCATGGACCGTCGTTTTAGGAATGAGTAGCCGCTGTGCCACCTGGGTCGGGCTCCCGGTCCCAGGTTGAGCTGGAATAGATGCATTCAGCCTCAACTTCAACGAACATAAAAGCACAATGCACTTAGCTGCACAATATATATCACAGGTGAGACAGCAGAACATACGCTCACATATATACCGACAGGTCCATCGATATTACCTCTTGTCGCGTTTCGCCACTCCCAATCGTCTCTTCTGCACGTCTGCTAGTTCTTTCGACGAGATGGAAGGATCAATACCTGCGAGCGTCATTGCCGAGTTAGCAGGTCAGGCTGAGGCAGATCCTCAACTTCCTCGGCAGAATCCTTCAGTGTCTTTCTGGCAGCTTCCACCCCATCCCACACTCTCGGAGGTGCAGTCCGAGGAGTTACCTGAGGCCACAGATTATGCCATATTAGGATCAGGTGTAACAGGCTGCAGTATCACTAAGACGCTTCTTGAGGCGTCCGCCCAATCATCCAAAGCAAGTTCTGTGACTGTTTTCGAAGCACGCACTCTCACCAGCGGTGCCACTGGCCGGAATGGGGGAGTACTAGCATCTTTCGTGCCGGGAGACTACAAATTACTCTCGGAGCGGTTCGGTCACGATGAAGCAGTCAAGATTGCAAGATTCGCTAACCAGACGCTTGAGAAGATGCACCAGATCGCCAATTCTTCAGAGGACCTAAGAGAAGCTAGCGAGGTAAGAAGAACTCAGGACGTGCTTTGCTTCGAGGACGACGATGCTTTCCTGCAAGCCCAAGAATCCCAAAGCCTCTACGAGGAGCACGTGCCGGAAGAACGGAACACAGTCCAGTATTTAACTGCACAGGAGGCCGCATCGGTAGGTCAGCATTCTCGGCGGACTTGATTCGTCGTCATTGACAAGACTTGACAGAAGTACAACGTCAAAGCGGCTGCTGGTGCCATGATCATTCAGGCCGGTGCGTTCTGGCCATACCGGCTCATCACCAGACTTTGGGCTCACCTGTACGCCAAGCACCGTTCACGACTGTCGATTGAGACGAACACGCCCGTCACGGAGATATCGTACGATCCAGCCACAAACAGCACGCATCCATATGTTCTCCACACTCCACGAGGCCTTGTTCGCGCGTCCAAAATCATTCATGCCACCAACGGGTATACCGGACACTTGGTGCCGGGCTTGCGCGGCAAGATCTACCCTCTTCGCGGCACCATGTCGACGCAAAAAGCACCTCCAGAGTTTGGCCGGCACGGCCACGGGCGCTCCTGGGGCGTTGTCTCTAGCGGTAACTACGATGGCACGACTGGTCTCCTCGAGACAGGACTCTACTACGGGAACCAGAATCCGAAAACTGGGGACATCTTCTTTGGTGGCGAGAAGGTGAAAATCAATGAGGCGCTTGTTAGCGATGACACGATTGTAGCCCCTTCCTCTCTCGAAAATATCTGCACCGTGCTTCCGAGGTATTTCATCAATGGGTGGAAGGAAGGCGAGGAGCCAGAGGTCAGAAGAGTGTGGTCAGGGATAATGGGATTCACTGCGGATCGCCTGCCCCTGGTCGGGAGTCTGCCAGTGAGTATCACAAAGCGTGGAGAAGAACACGGAGAGTGGATAGCGGCTGGGTTCAACGGGTATGGCATGCCTCTGTGTTGGTCGTGTGGTGAAGCCGTCGCGAAAAGACTGCTTGGCCAGGATGACAGTGACATTGGCTTGCCCCAGGTTTTCCTCGCTACGGAGGCACGTCTGCATGATCATCAGCGTATGGCGACTCTCCCGGCGTTGGAAATGTTGTTCGGTGGACACCCTTAGCTTTTGCCGACCGGGTACTCTATTCAACACCGCTTTCGGTAAGATGTCTCTGAGATATTTCAAGAGCATTACAGCACTCCTCTCATCTGGTGGGATGCACCACTGAAAGGCAAGGAAAGCAGTCTGCGCAGGGAGTCTTGTGAAACACTCACTGGTGGGTGGCAGATGCACCCATCAGCAGAGCCTCGCAACTTCATGTAATGTATACTTTCTCTCTTCTCAAAAAGTTTTCACCACATTCAGTCAAATGCTCAAGATCTCGAAGCCCTTGCTCACGATGCATCACTCCTTTTACTCTGTCCTTGTCGCTGTCCTCGCACTCCTTTCGTGCCTCTCATCCATACCTCCACTGATCGTGCACATCAGAGCCAAGAACCTGGCGACAACCGTCCTCATCCTCAGCTTTGCCATCCCGAACCTCCAAAACTTCCTCAACGCACTGATATGGCCCTCTGCAGATACACAATTGTGGTGGAACGGCAAGATCCTCTGTGACATCGAGGCCAAACTCTACTTGGGGGCGTATGTGGCAGTGGACGGTGCGCTGGCATGTATGTTTCGACACATGGCAAACATATTCGACCCCGAGCGCTTGACAGTGTCAATCACGCCTAGCCTACGAGAACGCAGGATCAACCTTGCCATTGAGCTCTTCAATTGCATTCTCGCTCCAGCGTTTGTCATGGGCACGCATTACTTGATCCAGCAGAAGAGATACTATATCCGCCCAATTTCGGGTTGTACGCCGTCGGTGGACTGGTCATGGCTCTCTGTTCTGCTGATGTCCTTGTGGCCGTTACTGCTTTGCCTTGCTGCCACCGTTTACTGTGCCATTGCCACGCTGCGTCTCTGGCGGCATAGGAAGGAGATGTCTGATGTCCTTGGTGGGAGAAGGTCTGGAGATATCCGCCTATACGCCCTCGCTTGTGTGATTTTGGTGGTATACTTTCCATTCACGCTTGTCGCTTTCGCGGGGACGCTGTTCAGACGCATGCATAAATATTCGTGGGGTTACATTCATCCTCCTGGTTGGGCGGACGATATCGTCTACCAAGTCCAAGGGGTGCAGCCTAGTTTCGATCGATGGGCACAGATCGTCACGGGATACATCATATTCGGATTCTTGGGACTTGGGCACGATGCAAAGCAGATGTACAGATCGTGGCTGGTCCGATTGAAGTCTCGCTTGGCAAAGCGCAGTCACGGGAACGAGCCCACTGGGAGAAATATTTCTTTGTCCATACACGATGGCGAGTCGGCGTTGGAGCATGGATCACTTACGGTGGTGACAGACAACGCTGAGGCTGCAGGGGCAAAAGCAGTAGTTCAGAACAACTCTCCACCCACCCGGCCCGCTGGCTGATGCGTGTTGAGCGTGGAAATGCACAGTCTGTACATGAGCTGTCAGGTACTTCGGAGATTTGGTGAAAATGGTGCATATTATTTCTTCAAAAGCACTCCCTTGTCGGCGTCGCCGTACCGCTACCGGCAAATAAGAACATGAGTGGCGATGGTACAGGACGCGAGGAACCTCGACTCATCAAGAGATACGTCTCCCCATGTCGCGAATTGTGACTATACATATCAATCCATCTCCTTCAACCCTCAGGGTCCGATTCCAGTAACACTGTCTGTCTCAATATCGTCCTCTTTAGGTTGCTGTCTCTTCAGGACCTCCACTTTGGTCTGTACCACGTTCAAGGCGCTTTGTTTCTTGCCATCCGAGTCCTCGAATGTGCGCATTGTGGCATCACCTTCAAGATAAACTAGTGTTCTATGATGGCGCATTGTTAGCTGGAACCACGGCTTGACGGGAATTCAAGCACATACCCCTTGTTCAAGCCCAACACATAATCTCTGCCAGGTCCCTCCGGTGCGAAGCTTGCGACGCGGAACCACGATGTTTGTCTGTTGTCCTTGGGACCATAACTTGTACCAACGACGTATCTGACTATTTGTCCCTTGCCGGTCTCAACCAGCTCGGGGTCCGCACCAAGGCGACCGACCAGCGTTAGGCGGGCGAGCTGAGAAGGTCGACTGGTCGAGAATGCGCGGTGAGAGAGGACGGAAGCGGCGGACCGTCTTGCGGGCGACACGAGGAAAGACATGATGTTGAAGGAGGGAATAGGAGGGAATTCCTGGGGGGGCTGGTGCAGGCCGGTTGCGGTATGTAGAATGCGCGAAGGGTTCAGCGCAAGTCGTTGTCTCAGTGGCAGTGTAGTGTGATGAAGCCGAAATGAGAAACCACTCTTGAGATTCTGATTGTCCGGTCGAAATGTAAACACCACGTATATCAATCAATCAAGTCCCTGCATGCTGCCTGCGCCGCGCAAAAACGCGGTTTGCGACATGGCGCGACGACGCCAGGAGATTTCCCAATCCGGCAAAGTGGGTGCATGAAATGACATGGCACTAGTGGTCTTTTGAAGGGCCACTTTCACTTCACTTCTACGTCTTCCTAAACCTCGAAACACCGGCCCGCTCCCTACAAGCGACTTGGCACCCTCGACAGATGTCAAGACTTCGCTTCGACATGAGGGCCAGAATATCGTTCTTCCCTAGCATGTGGCAACCTGACTGAACACCACCTGCATCTTGTACAGTATATGTAAGTAATGACCGGACACTGGGCACCCCTTGGGCGGCTCATTATATCTACGATAATCGTGCAAGCTATTCTCAACGAGAAGCTGCTCAGTCAATATGTTGGAGTATGTGCTCTGCCATTTCTACCTTCAGTAGGACGCACCCGGATGGGTGAGGCATACCCTTTGCTCCCACGACAAAGAGAGGAATTCAACCTTTGCATCCGGAAAGAGTTACAAAGAAATCTCTCGCGACTGAGTCGCCCTCGATTCTTTGGCCTCAAGCCTTAAAGCCTGACAATGGATATACAATCAGTGCGAGTCTCTGTAAGTACCGTCTCTTCTCATTGACCCAGTTCTCAGCTATATACGAGATCAAATGTCGTCCAGCAGTACTATGTCGCCTATTGCATGGCTTGTCGTCGCTATCTTTGCAGCTATTGTTCTTATCATCTGCCTGGTCTACCTTTTCGCCCTGAAAGTCCGACGTGACAAGAAATTGCAAGCCCGGACAGCCGAAAACGACGAGATCTTTGGACCAATCATTGCCAATCCTGTCAGAAGTTGAACTTCAGGACCTACAAGAAGCGAGGTATAGTTGTCCCAGCGAGAAGAACTTGGCATACACCATTCAATTCACCCCCTCACGAATCGATCTTACTGCGGCTGGGGAGACGTGCTGCTCAAACTACGACCGAAAGCGGCAGCCAACTTTGTTCTTTGTCCACTTTCCACGCAGCGCTTTTCTTAGCCAATCTTTGTTCAATACTCCGGTCAATTTCCAGTCTTTATAGCCTCGATTCAACAACTGTCTTTATCCACACCCGCCTGTGGTCATCGAGTAACCCAGGGGTCTCCAAATTCGAAATACCCTCGACCGTTGCCACTTTCGAAAGGTCACTCACTTTCAAAATGATACCACTAGCAGCAGTAATAGTTCTTGGCATCGTTGTCGCAGTGTCGGGGATAACATTCGTCATTGCAATGTTCAACGAAGCCAAAAGACTAAAGAACATGGACGCCGACATGATCCTGCCTGTAACAGAAAGCGCTGCAGAGCCCGCAGCGGCGCCAGTGCGCCCAATGCGGCAGGATCCCCTCGCCCGCTCTGGAACTCCCGAGGCCGAATACCCGCCTTCACTACCTGACGACGATCTCGAGAGCCTTGCCGAAGCCGAGACCCCGCCACCACTTCCAACTCCCGTCAGAGATAGCACAAACGAGATTATTCACTTATACACCAATGAAGCCCGCACGATACTCTCCGGCGCAAGGACAGCTCCCGCTACGATGACTGCTTTCGCCCAGGCGGACTCCAAGTGGGGATATATCGGATTGAAGCGTGCGCAGAGTAATCTCTATGAAGGGGCATGAACATGTTCAATTTTGCAACAATTGTCGTACAAGTATGGAGAACAGGCATTGTCTATCCCACAAAATGCTGACAGACGGTCAATGTTCAGTCAAGTCGGACAACTTTGACGACCACTATTGTGGCGACAGGCCACGATATCAACACTCTCCAACCTCAGATCCAACCTCTGGGTACCTGTGCCTCAGTATCATATCCAACATCACCATCCTCAGGCTCAAAAAAGACCGCCTCTTCAGGTTTGGCCACATGACTCTTCACCCGCGGCGCAGCTTCAAGTGATGGTTTCTGTTTCGGCACGTCAAGCACTGTGGTCGAGGTCTTCTGCTTTCTCTTCGGCGCAGGTGCAGGTTGGAGGAAGAATGGCTTGGCTTCTGCAAAGCTCGCGTGCTGCAGACCAACTGGTTGCACCGAGTCTTGAGGACCACTCTTGACACTGGTGGGCACGTCTCGAGCCGAGGCTTCTTCGTTTGTGGTCGTCTTCTGCACCACGACCTGGCCGTTATATGTTATCGTTGTCCGGACATGGCCTTCATTTGTTATTGTTGTTTGAACCTTGCTTTTACTGGTCCCGCTCTTCGACTTTCGACTTTGCTTGTCACTGGTTGCGACCGTTTGACCCTCGTCACCAGCGGTCATTGCCGGCTGAGCTGTGCCGGTTGCTCCAACGATAAACTTCCCATCCACTCCACGGAAGACCAGTGGCAATGGTCTCGCGCGTGTTGTCGATCGTGCTGGCAAGGCAGGAACGGCTGGAGGCGGTGGACGCATGTTTTGGAGTTCGATTGATGTTGAGAAGTCGGTGGTTTCGAATCTGGACTTCCCCTGTATCTGCCGCCTCCGCAATCGCCGATACCAGATATATTGTACTGCTGCACAGGGCAGTAGAAGGAGGAGAATGGCGAGGAATATGAAAAGTGGGATTGCTGATTTGGTGGATGCCATAAGATAGTCTTGAGAGTTTTGGTTTTTTTGATTCTTATTCTTGTGATGAGCAACTTCCGCTTTACGCGTTTGCAGGTCTGTGGATCGTCATCTCGTGCAGTGAAATTTCTACTTGTACCGGTATATGCAGGCGTCCTTACTGTTTACATGTTGACTGCCTTGTTCGCTGCTGTTGTCACTGTTTTTCATCGGACAAAGACGTCTAGGAAGAATCAAATCCGCCTTTCTCAGCGCAGACATTGTGTGAGACGATTGCCTTTGACCTTTACAAAGAGGCATTCTCTCCTTTGTTTTGAACATCGTAAACCATGGTCTCCAACCATACTCATTTATACATGGCCGGGATTGCCTGGACATCCGTTGGATGTTCTGGAGCCCTGAAGTGTCAATGAGGTACGATATCTATGAAACAGGAAAAGACATTTTGGATTGGGATCATGAAGTAGATTTTGATACTCTCTTGTATTGCACAACTATTCAAAATCAAATTGACATATACCCGATGGGCTTCCGGGGTGGGAGTGGAACAACCTTGCTAGGCACGAGATGCTTACTTCTCACCTTGTTTGCACAACAGGCCGTGGTAGACCCTGGTAGAGTCAGACGCGTCCGCTCCGGTTGATCAAGCATGAGCTCGACCCTGCCAGGTATGAAGTCGGTAGACCATGCCGCCTTACCTTCAATCCATTCAGCCCAAGTTGCTCCATTGAAAAAAACCTGCGTGTACATCGGTTCCATGGTCTGAACTGACACGACGCTTCCATTGTTGTCAAGCTGGGCGAAATGAATATCTTTTCGCAAGTAAGGAACCTTCTCTCCCAAGAGGTTGATGTTGACCTCAAGGTGCATGAGTTCCTGCAGGCCACCCATGATCATCATTTCAGCCACATAGCCCAGTTCCGCCCACTCCATAGAGCCATATCGTGGTTCCCGTAGATGACCTCGTGGCAATTTTGTCCATTTCGGGCATCGGCGATCATACTCGAGCTCTGAAGCCTTCCGATAAGACCAAACAGCATGAGCTAATTCATGAACCAGTGTCAGCGCCAATGAGAGAAGCTGGCTGTATTTGTCACTCACATCCATTGTATCCCAGTCTGGACTGCGCAAGAATTCTATCCACTGCGTGCTCAGTGCAGTATGCGGACAGTCCACTTTGAGAGGGGATTTGTGGTCGTGATGGTGTTGCAGGTCAGAGATGGCGCACACATTTTGGCCTTCGCGAGCTGCATCAGTTTCCAAGACCATGGGACAATCGTTGGATACCACTGTGATCCGGTATGGGGTGCACATTCGCAGTAGATCCTGCTCGAAGCTTTTGAGTTTCTCGGGCGTCTCTCTCCAGCCAGCCTCGTCGAGTGCCTTGAAAACTTGGCCACCTTCGGTGAGTGAGAAGTGTGCAAAGGGAGCATATCTGATTCTTGCCATGACCGGTGTTGAGGTCTTTAAGAACAGTGTGGCCAGTCGCAGGGCAGGCATCATTCTCTCGTACATCTCTGGGGAGTAGTTGTATTCTGCGCGGTCCAGTTCAGGCACTGAGAGAAAGTCGTCATACACAGCCAGTCGAAAGGCCTCTGAGCGCCAGATAGGATGGATGTCAAACCCTGCTAGATCATCAGCCCAAGGAGCATTGTTTGTAGAGGACGTGTGAGGATGATACTCATGCCGTTGTGCTGCCGGAGCCTGAGGCTGACAACCTGGTTGTGTGTTTTGCGAATGTTCATGTTTGAAGGAGGATATCAACTTCTCGGTTTGAGGTTGGAGTTCTGATGGTGGCAATGAGACGCAAGGTGGAGCCTGCTCTTCGAGTCTGAAACCTTGAGTAGTCGACATCTCGAATCTCGCAGTGCTTCAGACCTTGCGTAAGTGTATGCTTCGAGGACAGAAGGTCTCTTCGAGTCCGGATACATATTTATGACCCTGACCGGAGAAGAACAATGGGACAAGGGCTCATTATGCTTGCTCGGACTAGGCCATTGTGGCCATCAATGGGGTTTGTGGCCTCTTGCACTTCAACAAAGAACAGCCTTCAGAATCTTAGCCAGCGAAGCCACTGGACAAAGAAGACAAAGGCCCAGGTCTGAGGCGAAGTTGTTGAGACTGCTAGTGATACAAGACATGACTGAGGGCTGTGCAAAGGGTGCAAAGCGATACAGCCTGGCAATCACCAACTCCTTCGCACTGTATCCCGTGACCATGATTCGTATCCAGGAGCACGCAGTGGGTGATATAGCTCCAAAGTGGGTCCCTGCATCGTCCGGGTTCACGTGGGCTAACATAGATGGTATTCACGATGGCCATGTTTCAAGATGTCTGCGAGCAACATAAGCTGTGGCAGCCCCAAGTCATCTCTTAGCGTTGGCCCGCGCGACATAAACCGGTCCAGTCTCCTAATCCAATCGTGTAGTCTTGTCTCATGGCCAAAGTAAGGCCTAGGTAGAAGATCCTGGACCTCGAACCAACAAGCTCCGATATACAGATATCTGTCGCTGTCGCCACAGACAGGTACTGGTCGCAATATGAACGGCAGAACACTCCCAGCAGCGAGGACCACCCAGTCCCCGTCCATCGCCCAGTGCGGTGCGCAAACGTCGAATGGACCGGGCGCAGTTACGTCGCCTGTAAACCCTCGAACAAGATAGGTACCAGACTGAATGAGCTGCTGCAACTGTTCGTCAACATCCTGGAGATAGGTCCCCCCGGTATACGCTGACTGGATCTCTGAGGCCTGTCGAGGGGGGGATACAAAGTGCCCAGCTTCGAAGCTTTGATGACGAGCTCGTCCAGATGATCCAAGTCTTGCATATCAGCAGCTCCTACCCAGTCGAAGATAGGAGCCTCGATTGTTCTGGCGGTGCGACGCTCCCGGCTGTCAGACTCGTCACGTTTGGCAACTCCTGTGAAGATCAAGTACTCTTGGTACCCATCTTCAAAACTCTGCTCTCTGATGCCAGTTTCGCCGATACCGATGCAGACAGCATCTGTGTCCTGACGCCAGTCTATAGCCCACGTAGGAACGTCGCCTTGAGGAGCCCGCCGGCGTAACATCTCAAGGCACCCCAGGCTTTGGGACACGTTGACAAGATATTTCGTCAGGTCCCTGCGAAAAGGTTATTGATGAAGCTCGATAGTGGTGCGTCTCCGGTGGGATCTTGGTGACCTATGAATCCAGTAGAGAAGGGAAAAAAATCACTGATAGACCTGACTAATGCCTTGAGTATAGTCGATCCTTAAAGTATCAAAATGCCCTCCGGCGATATTTTGTGCCATGCCGACCAATGCATACACTCTGTCTCTTTCATCGGAGCAGTCGAATACCTTGTTCCCTAGTAGCACAGCCAGGATCGAGTTCATGGTATCATTAGCTATCTTCCTTCGTTCCCAGACCTCCATTGAAGACATTTTTTCCTTCGACGCTGACATTGCACTTATGTTGAAGGTGGAATAAGTGCGTTGAAAAGTCTCAATTCGAGTTCGAACGACCGGCGAGTCGTGTTTCTTGGCAATGTTCATGAACGAGTGGAAGGCATATTTGAGAGGGCCGGACTGAAACATGACCTCACGAGCAGCGAAGATCTCTTGCCTGATCCAGGTCCGTTCGAAGAATGGAACCTGCGCAAGGGAGAGTATGGCTGTGTTCTGCGCAGTTGGTGATCCAGGTTTTGGCTCGACATCGACAGGGGAACTCTGTGGCACGGTGGTTATGCCAGTAGTAGGCGGCATGCCCAGCCACGCAACTACTCGGCAAGCTTTTGAGAAAATGAGCATCATGACCTGAACCTGATTTGACTTCTCGGCGGGGTTCTCTTGATCGATGCATAGAGCATCGCACCAGAGCCATCGTGGCTCAGCTGTTTGGCGAAGGTATTGCAATGCATCCGCCATTAATGGTGGTATATATGCGATTTTCCCATTGACTTCGATTTCGGCCGTTCGAACTGGATAACCCCAAGAATAAGACAAAGCCTCGTATTGTTGATATCGTCCCTCCCTATGGATATCCAGACCGTCGAAAGGAGTCAGATCGCCGACAAACATTTCTGCGACAAGACGATGTCCAAGGCTGCCTGGTAGGAGTTTGATGAGCCGAGTCTGCCATGGTAACAACGGGCGAGAGAGAGCAGCGTATACTGAGACGGGTTTCCGTCCTTGATTCTCGATGTCACTGGCCATCGTGGGCGTAATAAGCAGAGATCTTACTGATAAGGACTTGGACAAGATAGACCCCAGCGTGCTGATGTTCATGTTGCGAGAGGCATTGTGATGATAAGCACTAGTAGATTCACGCCTGAGGTCCAATACTCTGAAGTACCTAGCGAGTCAGTCGGCCAGTGTAGCTAATCGTGGTTCGATGGCAATGAAGTCCATATGATACGCATCCGGCGTCTTTGACCTGCCTTGATTACCAGGTACGTTTGGTTACCAAGTGTAGGTATTCGGGCCACATGTTCCGTTTCTTCGTGGGCCCAGGTAGTGGCTACTGAGTGCCTAGGAACCACTCAGGCTCGCCAGGTACGAAGCGCCGACTACTTGTGAGTAAGTAAGTGATGCGGTGTGGGTGCTGCATAAGAGTGGAAGTGAGATGTAATGTAGGAAGTGATAACCTTAGAAGTCAATTACTGTAGTTGTCAAGATCTCCACAAATGGCAGGCGCCAACAGCAGACGGCCTACGGAGACAGTACTTGGCTACGTTGTGACCCTGAATAATGGCCTAACTTAGGTGCGTACCGTACAAGCCTGTTTCCAGAAAAAGTGACACTGTCTGACGGTACCTAAGGTAGGTAGTTGCTCGTCAGCGTTGAACAGATACCATTCCTTGTTGTCATGGCCGAGTCTTTCGCACACAACGATATAGCATCAGCTCTTGACAGTGGGGAGGTCGTCAGCTGTACTGTACAGTCCTACTAGCCTGAAGTCAGAGTACGCGCTGTCGCGAACTTGCTGGACCATGAACTTATGTCGTTGATGTATTCCCCGTCAGACGGTGTGCCACTTTTTCTGGAAATAGGCTTGCGTAGTAGTAGCATGAGCTGGGGGTCAAATGTATCTCGTCTTAGCGGTAGCTCGAGGCGCCTCCGGCAGGTCCCAATCGACGATCAGTTGAGCCTCTCGAATCTCGTACCGTCATGAGCAATCTTACACCGCATAAGTCTGTCAATACTTTCTGGCAATCGGTAGTAGATGGACTGCGAGACCATACGCCCGACGACGTTGTCTGCGACTGCTATAGCGATAGCTTTGCCAGCCTCTTATCTTAGGCAGTCAGTCGTACTAGCTGGACATGACATTCGACGGTCGCCGTCTTGTGCCCTCCAGTTGGCTGAAGCTGCACGGACGAAGACTGGAACAGAGGTTTCTGCCTTTTCGTGAGTTTCTCAACACTTTCATACTGCAACAGCAGACAATCCTGCCGAAGATCTGTGCCATGAACGCACCGAGAATGGCCACTTCGCTCAACACGATCTGCTCAGGCAGATACCTGCTCTGCGCGGTGATATTGCCATCCCTGACTATTGCTTCTCAGATGCGCCGCCGCCTGACTCTGGCACGCCGCGCCGGTCGCTTTGAGTAAGACAAAGAAAGGGTTTGCTGACAAAACCAGTCATCCCAGCCTGATCTCATCCACCGCTTCTTCCTTGTACCGTTGGAACAATGATGATGACGATGGTCAAAGCGTGCAGACAAATAATTGATATGGCCAGGCTTGGACAATTCCACCTCTGCACCATACCCCTTACCACAATGTTCTTTGCCGATTTGTTGACAAGAAAGTTGTCAGGCTATACTAGCCTCGACGTAGTGCGTCTCTCTCGGGGGAACCAATGTCGCTGCATTGCTGCATTATGTGCTGTAGTCAAGGACTAGTGCAAAAGTCGTAGATGGTTCCTCCTGCCTCGCGCATCATGGCAGACAGGACCTGTGTTGAGTACCTCCTTCCTCGTTTCGCGGTCGCGAGTAGAGACCACTCTCCCTCTCTTGCCCTCCACGACTCACACATCATCCTTCTCACATCAAGTCACTTTGCCAGACAGTCTCCATCTACCATTTTTTTTGGATCTCTCTGTGAGCTCCAGACTCTTCAAAATCTCCTCATCCTCAATATACCCTACATTCTCAAGCTCAGCCATCCTAACTCGCAGTATGACCTTCCCAAGTCTCCGACGAAAGACGACAGACACGACGCCCAGTGTCCACGATGACAAGAAACCAGCCTCAGCAAGCTTCAGAGCTCGGTCTGCCACTCTCCCGGCACTGTCTCCTCGTAAGAGTCTGTCAGCTCTCTTAGACAATGCTAGAGGGGGACGACCAGCAAGGTTCGCTGACCACGACGGAAGCCCCTTGCAAATGCTGACAATCTCCATAGTCCTTCTCGAAACAACCCTCGTCCAGATGCCTCCGAAGAAAACAACCATCTAGAGCACGAGTCGTCCAATACTGAGCCAGACCTGCAAAGACGTCGAACCTCTTCGCCCGATAAACCCAAACGCTTTCGTCGATCTCCAAGTCCTCATCCTCTGAAAGGGTCCGTATCCTCAAGATTGTCCAAGATCAACGGAACTGGGCTGAATAGAAGGCGATCCGAATCTTCCATGAAGGGTGAAGCTCCGTCAAAGACCTTTCTTGAGACATTGGCGAATGTTATCCGGTCTCCAGCGTCCCTGTTCTACAAAGAGCACAAGCAAACACTGCGAGCAGATGACACAGATCTCTTGACAGGCAAGAAAGCTTCTGCATCAGAAGAATCGAACCCTTCGACGGATAAGACGGCCTCTGCATCTGAAGCATCGAATCCCTCGACAGACAAATCTGCACCAGACGATGACACAAGTCCGAAGAAGTCCGTGAGGTTCAGACCCGGCAATGCTATTATCGAACCTGAGGCAAAGTCTTCTCCCATAAACATCCCTAAGCCGACACCACCTTTGCCCCAGGTCGAACCTGCAACTACACCCCCTCTACAGTGTTTGAAGAAGCTCGAAGATCCAGTACCAACTGGTCGGCCTCCCCAAACCCATATCATGAGATCGTCGGAAGACTTCCGGAAAGCATTGGCAGATACCAAGCAGTCTGATATACTGGACAATATGAAAGAGCCACTGAACGGCACTCGTCCCTCGAAGCTCCCAGCTCCTCCTCACGAAGCGAACATACCCATCGAGGATCCTTTCGACGATGCCGCACAAGAAGCAGATTCCGAGAGCAGTTGTACCATGCTCAAGAAGTACGACGACAGATTCCAGAGCAGAAAATCTCAGAAGGCCCTATCATCAACAGATGCGGTCATTGATAGTAATCTCGTCTACAACGACGGAGCTGCACAAGAGTCTGGGTCGTCCGGACCTCCTGAATCTGTCGACCTTTACCAGAAGCAATTGAAAGCCGTTATGTTGAAAGGCCGGAGGCATCGCGTCTCAGCACCTGTTTGTGCTGACCTACGCTGTCAGATCGACGCAGAGGATGGATGCGAGATTGAGCAGACATCCCCAGTCACTCCTAACACAGTGATCGATCGAGCTGCGTCCGACCCAGAGCCGCGAAATGCGAACATGCCAATACCGTCTCTGACTGCCTACGGCCAGCTGCTGGAAAATCGTCGTTCTTTTCTTTCTCGTGGGCGTCGTTCATATCATTCCGCAGACTCAGACATATCCAGCCTTGATGTCGACAATTGTTCTAACGCATCGCTGTACCCTACTGAGACAGTGAAGGTGGGATCCAAAGCATACTCAATGACCCTTCCCATCACTGACGTTTTACCAGTCTTTTGGCCCTTATGGCGAAACGCTTGGATCAGGCAAGCCACCCATGCATCGTGCTGCTGTGGAATACATGCAGGTCTCTGGTAAAACCTCAAAATATGTGGCCTCGGAAGGCTCTCCACAGGACAGCCAGCTTGAGATTAGCATCACTCCGGCAGAGCCCACCTTCGGTGATGGGTTGCCGCAAGGAAGAGAGGTAAGGAGTCACTTTATACCCCCGAGGTCTTTACGTACCACGAATGCGCATGCTGACCATGCCCAGAACGAGGAATCGCATGCCGGTAAATTTGATGTTCAAGGGATTGAAAGTCTGGCGGGCCCAGGCCCAGCTGTGCTGGCTTCCCCCTTGGAAAAAGGCGCCCAGCCTCGGAGTGTTTCTCTGGGACTGCCTACCACTCCGGCGTATCGAGTCCTTTCGTATCCGTACAAGGATCAGTATGGGTGGACTCCATTCGACGATTATCAGTTTGTCTATGCAGCGAGAGTAGCTCTGGCCAAGTGGGAGAACGACTTCCGTGCAATTCTCACCACAAAGGGGGGATTTCGTTGTTTTTGGGATACCTGCGATCTGCCAAAGTGGAGTGCTCCATCCGAGGACACGAATGCGCTCACTCTTTGGGAGGTTGACGATCTGTTGAACTCTATCTACGAACATCCTCTCCTGCCGGAACCGGTACCAACTCTGATTTACGGAGATTTCAAAGCGCGTATCCTCCGTACCTCCCTGGAACGGGCTGGAGTGAAAGAACTTTCCCTGCATCCTCTTGACGAGATGACCGAAATCAGCGATGACAGTCTTAGCGATGAGGAAGGATCAAGCTTTCTCTCGACTGGCAATTTCAGAGACGTTCTGGAAGATGATGCAGACGGTGTTTCAAAGTACACGGTACTCCGTCCGGCCAACACTGGGTCCGTTCCAGTGCTTACCGAGAAAGAGAGAATGGTAAAGGTGGCCAGAGTACTGCAGAATTTCCGACCCAGGAAGGAGAAGATATTGCACCATGATGACACCAAGATCATCGAAAAGGCGGTGGAGGGCATGTCACTTACACCGGAACGCCCTTGGTCGGCCTTCGAGGTTGATGATCCGAAAAGAATGCTCTTCTCGGTCGCAAACGGTGAATTGAAGCGTGTGTCTGGACCTGCGCAGGATGGATCAATCAGAGCATTCACCTCCAGCTGGTGTCGGCACTGTGGACGATCGTATGAGCTCATGCGAAGCGGCAAATTGACAGGACCCAAGAAGCGCAATGGAGATGGTTCAGACGGTTTGGACGAGAATGTGGTGTCTGAATGCTGTGGGATCTCGAGCGAAGGTTCGGATGAGGACGAAAAGTACTGCCAAGGCATTGTCTGAAGCAGACGAGTGTGGCGTTGCTGGCTACTGACAGTGGCGTGAGGACAGCAGGGCTATTTGAACCAAAAGTGTATAGCTTAACAGATTGCTGGACACAGGATTTGACCGGAAACAGGAAACTCCTCGATCAGCTGGACTGACTCAGAGAGAATTATTGACGAGCATTGGTAGAGCTTGACAAGCATGTATACAGATAGCATGGATAGCAGAACATTCAAGGAGGTCCGGTACCATCCACACCCGTTGCTTCTGAAGCATTCTTGAACTCCTTGTGCTTCTTGACGTTTCCTTCCAAACCGAATAAGATAGAAGGGTCTCCTGGGACGACCATTTCGAAGGTCTCGCGAATGACCGCGTAGTCGTAATAACCACAACGAGCTATAGGTTGGGTTTTGCTGATGTCGATTTTGCCATGGGTCAAGACACTTTCGTCGATGTGAATGCCGACCACTTTGCCTATGACAACATCGACGGTTCCCATGGGTGGGTTTCCAGGTAGACGCACGGTAGTATAGTATTCGCACTCGAAACGCACGGGACTCTGTGCCACCATGGGTACAGGAGTTTTGAGCACTTTGGACCACGTTTTCTCTAGCCCGGCGCGCTCGAATTCGTCGACACCATACGGTAAATACTCTGCACACTTGTTGACGGCTTCGCGGAGGTCCCAAGTGGCGATTTGCCAGCAGAAGACGCCTGTTGCTTCGGCATTGCGGACCGTGTCCTTTTGTTGGTTGCTGGGGGTTTGGTTGGCAGAGAACATTACGTAGGGAGGGTCGAAAGTTAGATTGTTGAATTGGGAGTAGGGTGCTAGATTTGCCGCACGTTCGGGACCAACGACCCCATTTGTGGTTGCGGCTTCCTTGGAGCGCGGAGGAGATACTGTGCTTATCCAGCCTATTGGTCTGGGGACGACGCAGGCCTGTTTGAGGTTAGGCAATTGATAGAAATAGATGTCTTGAAATTATGCTTCTAGGTACGCAGAGGGGAGGACAGCGGGTATATGGTATACACACCTTGAACGGGTCATGTGGTAGGTTGTGCTCGGTCTTGCCAGGTTCGTAGAACATGATTGTGCTTGATAGTTGTAGCGCCGTACAGTAGCTTAGTTGGTGACAAAACGTCAATATTGTATCAAGGTGGGAGTGTTGCGTCGAGGGAGGAGAGTCTTCCTTCGTGGTGATATATATACAGGTAATATAACGATCGGGTCAAGACTTAGCCGCGCAGCAAGTGCTTCAACTCGCACTTTAGGTTCTAGATACAGATCTCGCCGAGGTTCTGGAAGATGGAAGTTGAAGTCGGCATTGAGTTGTGGGGGCCCTGTACCCCGCAGAATCCGGATACCGGTGCCGGAATGGCCGAAGCCATAGGGGTATTTGGGTGGCAGGACCCTGAAAATGGAAAAGGCCGAGCAACTCGATGGGGGTATACTAGTATCAGGAGTACTTTTTGTTTGTGTCGAGATGACCATTTCGATAACGTTGTCTAAAACCCAGACTGATCTTTTCACACGCCAACGCGGCGGAGCGCGTTGTCGAACATGTCGCCAAAGACATACTTACTTTTCCCACTCAAGGGCTGTGGGTTCATTACCTTCGCGATCTAAGCTGCCACCATTTTCAGTATTTAGATTGGAACTGGTCGCGTCGTCGCCCTCAATGGAGATGCGGTTTCTCGTCTCTTCGCGCATGTCCTTGTTCTTCTTCTCCATGCCCTTGCGGTCAAAGGACTGGGTACTGAGAGAAGAGGAGCCATCTTCTTCATCAGATCCGGCTTGTGCAGCGTTGAGAGATACGTCGCGATGGTGGACTGTGACAGACCAGCCGTTAGTCGCGAGTTTCTCAGGCAACTTCTCTGCAAACGTCACGCTACGGTGCTTGCCACGTCCGCACGCGAGTCCTACAACCAGCGTGGTTGGAGCAGAGTGATCTTTCTCGTATGCTCGCTTCATCTCGGCCATCTTGGATTGCACTTCGCCGGTGATCTCGTCTAGCCATTCCGGAGCAAGCTCTTCGGCCATGACTGCCTCGCGCAGTTTGGAATTTAGGCCGGTGTGCTCTTTGCGTAACTTAGCGGATGGTATCGAGATGTCGGAGATTGAGAAGTCGAGGTGTTCGTCGCCGGGTGACTCTTCGAGCCGGCCGAATGTGCTGCCATATGAGACTATGGACAGCTTGAGGGAGGGAGATTTGTCCCCTGTATTGCCCGGTGGGTTCTTGTCGTTGTCGTTGGCCTTGCCATTATCCTCGTCGGGTTCGTCGTAGTCCTTGATGTCATCCATGTTATGTTCATGAAAGTTGTCGATGGCCGTCAGTGCATTATCCTTCAGTGAGTCCGCGTTGGTCTCGTTTCTGTCAATGATAATATCACGCACTTGACCTTTGGCGTCCTCAATGGAGTCACTCATCAGTCGAGCGATTCACTCGAAATGAGTCTTAAGCCTTGAATGAATGTTGTGGCCGTTGTCGGCAATGTACCTCCAGAAAGAACGACACCGTGAGATCTCCCTTCCTCATCACAACAGCCCTACTCCGTATGCCCGGAGTGAATCCTCTGGGCACAAATGACGAAAGTACCAAAAACAAAGGCCACTATCGGATAAGAAAGGGCATGACTTCCGGGCGAATCTCGTGATTTCTTGTACCTGACACGTGACTGGTTTTAATGATGAACAATGCTGACTGATTCTTACGAAACCCAGACCTTCACGGCATTCTAAGAATTTCCCGTCGCCACTTTTCCCTGCGGCTTCATTCCGAGGGGGTTTGTCCGTTTTGTTCATTGATGAAGCCATTGAGACAAAACTTGATAAGCTGCCACTTCCCCAGATCTCATAATGCTGATATAGATCTTCTGCTTCTTCTAGCGGATTCGACACGATCCCAAGGTATAAGTACACTCACTTTCATTCCCTCTATGAAGCGCATCCTTTCCATCCTCATCACCATCACAACAGCACTGCTCATCGCATACTACACAAACAGCCAGTCCAACCTGGCTCTCCCAAGGGCAGTCCTCCAACAAGCAAGACCACTTCTGCAAAACCTCTTCCACCGCGCACCACCAGCCACATCGAGCGCACATTTCTCCGGTCTTCCCTTGATCCCTACTTCTCACCTCGCAACGGCCGCCAACATGACGACCCCCCGATCTATCAAGTTCTCCTTCCTTGCTCGCGAACAGTCTGAAGGTGCCGGCGCCGTGGTCCGTCGCTCAATCGGCACCCCCAAACTCAAGAACTTCACTCCCTTCCTAATGCTCGACCACTTCCGCGTTCCTCCCGGCGCAGGCTTCCCCGACCACCCGCACCGCGGCCAAGAAACAATCACATACCTCCTCCAAGGCGGCGTGGACCACGAGGACTTCGCTGGCAACAAGGGCACCATCGGCCCCGGTGATTTACAATTCATGACGGCCGGTCGCGGCATCATGCACGCCGAAATGCCCGTGCAATCTGAAGATATCAATGTTGGCATGCAACTGTGGGTCGATCTGCCCGCGAACCTGAAGAGCTGTGAACCACGGTACCGCGATTTACGGGCTGAGGAAATACCTGTGGCCAAGACGGATGATGGAAAAGTCATGGTTAAAGTCATCAGTGGTCGCAGCCAGGGCGTCGAGAGCCTGAAGGATCTTGCGTACACACCTGTGTGGTTTCTGGATGTGAGTGTCCAGCCTGGCGGTACGATCACACAGGAGATACCGAAGGGGTGGAACGCGTTTGCATATACGCTCGAGGGGCTTGTAACGTTCAACGACAAAGAAACGGTCACACCGTATCATAATGTCGTTTTTGAGTCCGACGGGGACGTGGTGACTGCGCAAGTCGAGGACGGTGCGGACCAAGCTGCGAGATTTATTCTGATCGCGGGACAGCCACTGGACCAGCCGGTTGTGCAGTATGGGCCTTTCGTCACGACGAGTAAAGAGGAAGTTTACAAAGCGTTGATGGACTTTCAGACGAGTAGCAATGGGTTTGAACGCGCAGCGAACTGGGAAAGTGAGATTGGAAAGACTATGGGACGAGTGAGATAGACTTGCACGTCGTTGAGAGACTTTGGTTGTTATAGCATGGCGTAAGGTACGGGGTTTCTAGATACCTTGATTAGCAAAAGGGTTTTAACAGCATGGAGTTCGAAGAAATGAAGAGAATCTGGTAGATATGCATAACGATGTATTCATTCAGACGATGTCCATGCTACGCGCATCGCTTTTCTCGTGGTCTAAAACACTTTTGCCCACCAGTGGGCTATGCTAAAGACAGAATAGTAGAAGGCCTTCACCGCTCCAAGGCCTTTGTGGCTTCAGGCTTCAGAGGATCACGATCGTCTCTCTATTCCTCATCGCCATCCTCCTTACCCTCCGTCTCCGCGATGCCAGTCATACCATCGTCCTCGTCGTCCTCGAACGTGCTCAAAGGCACCTCATAGAGTCGAATGACAGGCTTATTAGGATCCTTGACAAGCACATACTTTTTGTCGGCTTCGTCGCCCGCGCTCAACTGCTTCACCAGATCAACAATGGTGCGCACAATACCCCAGCCATTGCTGAAGCCCAAGTTCATTTGGCTGGCGAACTCGCGGGGCTTGTATCCTACAACGCCCAGAATGACGTGGTTGGCAGCGGACTTGGGGTTCACACGCGACACGAAGCCCAATTTCATCTGGTCTGCTTTGGCGAGGATGGCCTGTGTGGTCCACCGGGCCAGTTTGCAGGAGTTGTTCTTCATCTCGGTTGCCACGACCGCACCGCGCTGCGATGTGAGTTTGGTGCGCCAGTCGAGAGCACCACCCGCACCTTGAGCTTTGTGGTCGAATTCGTTGAGTGCCTTGAGCACAAGGAACTGGTCGTCGCCTGAAAGGTTGTTCTTGGTCGCGGCGTCGAGCTCGGTGCGCACAATCAAGTGGACTGGCTCGTCATCTTTTTCCAGGCTGAGATCAAACCGCCGGTATTTGTAGCCCTTGGAGGCCAGTGCGTCGGTTTCCTCGCTCGCGCTGTAGAATGGATTGGGTTTGGGGTATTCGAATTTGTTGTTTTGTGACTCGACTACTGTCTGGAGAGCAAAGTTGTGGTTGATCATGGTGGCTTCCATGGCGAGATTGTGAGGGGTGTTGATGCTGTCGGCCTTGACGCCTGTTTGTTGCTGCGTATTGGCCGTGTCGGCTTCCATGGGTGCGTCGGCGGCGTTCTCGTTGACAGTCACCAGATCGATGCTGCTGTCTGGTCTCTTGTCGAGGAAAATCTTGTTGCCATTTTTCAAAATCACAATGTCCCAACTGTATACGGACCGAGTGGCGCACATGAGCATGGAGAGGATGTCGGAGGTGGCGAAGATACTGGCTTCGTCTTTTTCGGCGAGTTCTTGGATCACAGGATCAGCGGAGGTTGTGACATTGTAGGCCGCACGCTCAAGGGACATTAGTTTGCGCTCTGTGTTTTTGATAGGAGGTTTATCGTAGGCACGATCGTAGTAGTACAGGAAGCCGTAGTTGTCGACATCTTCGCCCTCTGAGGTTTCGAGGTTCAGCTTGTGCAGGCGGTTGAAATCGATTTCTTCCTTCATGATCCATTCGGGTCGAATGTTCACGGACGCATCGCGGTTGCGCTGCGGCTTGTCATAGTCTCTCCAGCCGAAGCGTCGTCCACCACGGCCACCTCGCCCACCTCGGTTGTCGTAGAAGTTTCCTCCTTGTTGTTGACCGCCTCGCTGGCCTTGTCCAACGCGTTGGAATGTGCCTCTGCCACCACGTTGGGCTTGTCCTCGTTGACCACGACCTCGGAAGACTGCTATTCCACCGCGACCGAATCCCCGCTTCGTTGTTGTCCTGGTGTTGTCGACAACGGAGAAAGAAGACTCGTCTTCTGCGACTTGAACGGCAAAGAGTGATGATGTGCCTGCTCCGTAAATTTGTTGATCTATATTTCTTGTCAGTCGGTCGTCTTCGAAGAAAACGGTGAGTGAAGAAGGACTGACCTCTAAAGTTTCTGCCATATTGTCTGCCACCTCTTTCTCTTCCTTCTTTGCCTTCCGATGTCCAGTCGGCCATGCGACCTAGTTTATCGCTCTTGGAGAATGGGGCGTATGGGACGCCATCGAGTGTGGTGGCAGAATCGACTTCTGGGCCCCATTCGTCGTTGACATTAAGGCTGCCAATGGCTTCGGCAAAACTGATACCTGGCATAATGTCTGTCGTATGTAATTTGAAGAAAAGAAGATGAACTGCCTGGACAACTGGCGCAGTCGTTGCAGGCGACTTGGTCGAGAGCGCTGAAGTGGGATCGAGGCAACTCTTGGCATGGATTTTTTGCCTTTCTGCGATACAATTTTGGTGCGATCTACCATTAATGTTGCCGCCGTGTCTATGGCCAGGAGATTACTCAACGCTCATCTATTGCAAGGTATAAACTAACACTTATCCATCACCATTCTACTATTGCAGATATCCCAAACATCAAGTCGTCATCATAGCCGACGCTGAGAAACCCGAGACAGTTCGGGACCAGGAAAAGGCCTCTCCCACACTCACCAATACTTCCTCTTTCATGAGTACATTTCCTCGATTTCTGCCGTATAGTCTGTTCCGAGTTGATCGTAAGTCTCGGGTTTCATGGCGAATATACTTGAAAGAGCATCACGAAGTTCAAAGTCTTCCATGACTGCTCCAAAGCCATAGCACCGTACTTTGCCCCTGATTGACTCGATCATTCCTATGACATCTTCTCGGGTGAGGCTGCCATAATTCCTGTGACCTTTGAGTGACTGCAACGCCATGATTGGGGTGACCTGTCCGCTTGGGATTGCGTTGCCTTTCAATGTCTGACTGAGGTTGAGCAGATTGCTGAGAATTTGGACCGATTCGGCATCCGGCACCTTGTGTTCGTAGGTTGGGACCAAACCTCCTCCTTGAGCCGGCACACTGGAAATATGACTTGGTGGCGGGCATGAAGCCATCAGAGCATGACCGGAGAATAATGCCTCTTCTTCGTTGTTCGGTGAATCCATTGACCTCCGCACTAGGTATTCCTCGTGATCTCGACACGTTTGCTCAAGTCTGGAAAACATTAGCTTTGCCAGGTTGTGTTGAAACTGAGAAACCTTACTTCAAGATGAAGTCGATACCCAGTTGGGGATCTTTTTCAAAGATGCCCATACCCTGCATTGTCATGCCTGGCATATCCGGGATTCCTCGAGGTTCTTGCTTGATCGAGAACTCTTGGATGTCCGGACCTTGAGGAGAATGACTGTGATGGGTTGTCCCTGGGGAATGACCCGAAGCACTCAGGCCACCACCATTGAGGTAAGTTTGAGGAGAATAGCCAGAAGGTACTGATCCTGGACCAGGTACGCCTTGTTGATACCCTCTAGGCCTCCCAGCCATTGTACTTGGACTTAACGTAGCCAACGATGGTGGGCTCAAAGAGTCTTCTTCTCGTTTGGGTCTCATGGCAAAGACAGCTTTGCGGTTCTCAAGCTCGTTTTCAAAAGGAATGCCTCGAGATGTCAGGATCTCCCTCAGTGCCAGGTTTTCACGTTGCTGGTTCTCGATGATCAGCTTTTGTTGTTGGATAGTAGCGTCCCGGCCGTTCTGCTCCATCAGGAAGACTTCTCGTAATCGTGAGAGTTCCAGTTCAAGTGCCTTGATGTAATTCTCTTTTCTTTCCCGATGCGTTCTGTATATAGCAACGTCAGACACGTGTTTGACGACAAATCAACTCAAATAAAGTCCTACCTTTGAGCTTGCCGATTGAGCTCCTGACGGCGTGTTTGTGCTGGTTTACTGTCTGGTTTGGGTCCTCTCCGCTTCGCTGGCTGGCCATCTGCCATGTGTTAATTACCTTCTCCCAAGGAAGTCCATGTGATGTTGCGTACCTCTGGTAATCTTCTTTTGAATACCGCTGAAACCCTTCAAAAAGCCCATCATGGGCGTTCTTGTGTCACCAGGACCATCGTCTAAGGGTTTTGTAAGTCGATTAGTACAACAAACATTGGATTGAAGTGAAAAAAAGTAGTGACTGCTGATTTAAATTGTGTCGATACTGAAGAAGGCAACGGTCCAAAATTTCAGATGTACCAAGCACCTGTCCAGGTATAGTGACAGATCACCGCTTCTCGCCGACTTTACATGGCAAAGCAAGCTTGCAGGGAAGCGCTGGTACAAAGGCAGGACAGGGCGCAACTACTCACCGTATCCTGTGCTAGAAGCATAATCTTGACCATTCCATCTTGGATCCATCTCGTCGGGAGACGGTTGTTGCATACTGGGATGCATATGCTGATGTGATGCCATGAAATCAAATAAACGATGGACTTTCAATTCTCGCTGGATATGGACGGTCCTTGACAAGTGATCCAAGAATGACCACTATCTCTTCCTAGTCTGGTCGAATGAAGCGCTTGGTTGTATGAGGAGAAGCGGTAGAAGGGAAAACAGCGCTCGGCAACAGAACGAGCCGGTGAAGCTGGATACCGCAAGGAAGTTGACGTGGTCCAACCCAATAAATTTGTAAAAGGCAGGATTGCGCAAAGACAGGGTTGGGCAAGAAGCCAGCTAGAATTGTATCATGAGACCAGCCATGAGACCGTGTAAAAGTGTGTAGAGGTCAACTTTGGTGCAGAGGGATGCTCCGGAGATATGACGACGAGGGACGTGCGCAACACAATATTTGAGAGCGGGACAAGATTGCTGATCGTGGTAGGGTCGCTTGTGCAACAGGAACGTCGCAGCTTTCTGTCGGCAGAGCTATGAATCGATCCGGGAGCGGAACGGATGCGATGGCTGTGCTTGCGTTGGTGTTGAGGGACCCTCGTGTTCGTAAACTAAGGTGGATAATCTATGTGTCGTCTGTGGATAATAAAGGCGCCCTGATTCTGTCCAAAGGTGAAGATGTTGATGGCCTTGTTGCGACAGAGTAGGTAAGCAAGGTCGTGCTTGGAAGGTGGCTGAGTTCGAGCTGAAATGCGAAATACTGGAAGTCAAATCGCAATGGTGCCAATCAGACGAGTAGTGAAGGAATAGGGTAGGAGCGGGTTGTCGGAGCCTCTTCAGGAACAACGGCTGATGGACGATGCCCCAAGTTTGGTCTTTGTGCGGTGCTGTAGGTAGCCGGGCAAGGGTTAATCGACGATTTGCGCTGGACAGGGATTGGGCGGGTGGTCTATCTCGGAGGTTGAGTAGTGTTGCACATGAGAAACGAAAGGAAAAAGTGTCGACTTGATTGTGTGACCTGATGGCTGACTTGGTGGGTAAACAAGTACAAAAAGAGACACTGTATGAAAAAGATCAGTGCGTGACGAACAGACAATCATTGATTGCATACTGTGTAACGATGTTGACCAGGAAGAGAGGGTGGCATTTCAGTAGTGTGGGGAGGTTCGGTGAAGGCAATAGAGGGGAAATCCTTGCAAATCCCTGGCAAAAGTCGAAGAGGTGTGCATGTTTCGCATGGCACGCATTGGCCATGTCCACAAGTGATTCAATAGAAAGAGTTTTATCAGTCCCAAGACTCCCGACTCCCCGAATGCCCGAGTCCAGACCGCGAGAACAAAGAAATATAAGGGCACTGACCTTCCTTTCCGGGCTCTTCGAACCCTAGAGCCAAGTCTTGGAATAATGACTAAGAAAGAGGTCCTGGCCCCTACTGTAAAGACTCGGGGCTGGTGTTCCCGTTTCTTCCGGTTGGCAGCATTTCCATGTTCTTTTCTTCCCATTTTGCGCAATCGAACTGGTATCAGGTACATTTGTTTTGAATGATCGAGGACCTGCGGCAGGCACAGAAACCCGCGATGAAGAAACTGCCATCTGGGTGAAATGAGGATAGACAAAGGATGAATGATGATGGCCATTCGCATTGCCGTCCAAAACAACGGAATCCATGACTTTCAAGAATCTGTTGACCTGTTCATTAGCTTTTTGTCCCTTTCACACACTTACTTTATCAAAGGCCATTTGGCTTATCACTGAGGTCCTTACACCGAATATTTTATGCGGTCAGCTTGACAATGTCTCGCAATGGACCTGTTGCCCAGTTTCCTGCAGCCTCACTGCGCCCCGAATCGTCGCCACTTCGAGTCATTGCATCTCCTGAGTACCGAGATTCTTCTCTCCCAAGTGTTGTCCTTTGTTCCGGTGTGGCGGGTTCTTTCAATCGTCCACAAGTGTCATTCGCGACGATGTCCTCCGGGTGAGCCTTATCTCTGGCATATTTCGCGGATTCTGTACCGCTAAGGCCTCGATCCTGCTACATGCCTTGTGTCCCAGCGGATTAGGTGGGTTCGTTTCCTTGGCTGGGTTCTGCGGCTCGTGAACATCAAGAAGGGGAGGCATGCATCAGAAAAGACTCGGATGAGTCTTTCCGGACTCGACCCGATCAGTGGCATATCTGGCTCGTCATGTGCGGAAGACTGACTTCTCCAAGCCATGGTCATGTAAGAGACGCCTTTCATTGCGGCTGGACACATCCGCCATTCATTTTGCATTCAACAGGTTGAACATGAAAGACTAGGTGGGACAGAATGACGTGGAGTCGGCATCCTGCGTTTGAAGGTCGATGAAGCGCCAGTCAGCGCTCTATCAAGCGATCAAGAGATAGCTGAAGAATGCACAAGAAAGCCAATGAAGGATTGAAGGTGAGAAATTCAGGCCTTACTTACTGCTACGCTCGATAGAAATAATGTAAAGGAAGGTTGCCACTTAAGTACAAAGTAGAGCACACAAGAGATTCAGAGGCAGCCAGTAGCAAAGTCTGCCAGTAGCAGGACTGATCGACTATTGAAGGAGAGACTCCCCTTGCTGTGATCCGGATATCCATTTGCATATTCCCAGGCCTGTTATTGCAAGTCTGTGAGGTGCCCTGTCTTCAGTGGGATATTGGAAGACGGACATGATTGGCGGCATCGGCAGCCACTTTACGCGCCATTCTCGATCGGGTTTTCGAATTTGGAATATTGCACGCGTTCTCGATAAGCGAGACAGCACTTTGCATCACATCACTGTGTGTCCACCATTCCTTGCACATTCACACGAATCATTAACGCCCATGTATTCCGTATGAAGCTCAGTCAGCCATTTCCGACGCGCTGCCTGCGACACACTGGGCTGTCGTGCATCTTGGACACCTAAGAAGATGGACATGACGACAAGCCTGATCTACTTGCGAATTCCTCCAAATGTATCCTACTGAATGTGAAGTTCTGGCTCATGTCACCGCGGCCAGTGGTGCGCGAGACGACAAGCTATACACTTCTATCGCCCAGGGTATCCTCGATTTCCAACCAGTGTCAATAACAAAGGTATCTGAGGTCGATTTCATTTTCACTTCTTCCCCTTCTACAGCAGCACAGACACGAGTGGACAGAGGTGGTTCCTCCGTCAATACCAGGTATGACCCTAGCTGTCGCAAGCGAATTGTTTCAACATTTGCAACATTCATTGTCCTGTCTATGAACATACGGGTTCGCCTCAATCAATTCCAAGTTGCTTCGTATGTCTGGGTTCAGTCTACTTACCGTGAATCAGAACACACCCTTCCGTACATTCAGAGATACCTCGTCCAAGGACCGCACCAGCAGCAACTTTTGTAAGGGAGAATTTTGAACTATCAAGCCCCAAAGGTCGCAGACGTGCGCATTCCCAGACCTCTTCCTCCAACAGCTCCGATCCTGTGTTCCAGGCCAGCACGTCGCGGTCTCCTCAGCATGATATCGGCACCCGGATCATTGGCTCTGTACTGCCGGAGTCGTCCGAGAATAGTCTCGTTGCAACTCACAGACACTTCAGGAAGAGGCTACGTCTTACAGGCCCTGAAAATGAGCAACCCATTATGATCGATCACAACGACGCGGAGCCGACTGACCCAGCAACACCGAGAGATAGGGAACAAACAGCACCAACATCAACCACCAAGGTCGGTCACCGGACAGATAGTCCTTCTGTGCCATCCACAGTATCTCCTTCACAGCCTCTGTACTGGACCAAGATCGCACGACGTTCATCGACGCCCAAACCTCGTCGTTCCCGATCCCAGCCCGCGATCGATGTGACCACCCCAGCGCGTCACAGTCGACCGGCCAGCCAGCCCAAAACCAGTCAGCACACGTCTCTTGGCTCGCTAATATCGCAACTTCCCAACGAAGTCCGCGGACCCAATCCCAAAGGCGGCCAAGCAAGATACAAAACCCATCTGACAACAACATTGCAAAAGCTCGCTGTTAGAGTCCCACTCTCGAAACACTTCCGCCCAGCCTTTGTCGCGCGCGATGTCAATGTATTGGAGCGCGGCTTCTGGGAGTTCTCAGTGCAGATTGTCAATGATCTTGGCACGAGGAGAAGCAGGCGTACATCTGCCGACCACAGCGTCGATAGGCCTCCTGCGGCACAATGGGCCGAAAAGGAGTTTATTCAATTCTGGCAGAATGTCAGCCGCTTTGTGTCAGAAGGCAAGGCTGGATGGGGTACGGCGATGGTCAAAGAGGCAGCGGAAGATGGCACGATATGGAACATTAGGATATTTACGTGGGGCGAAGTTCTGGGACATATTTGGCTTGTTCTTTGGGTTTTATCTGATAAGGCGACTGGGCAGATTTATATGCATTGGGTCGCGGGCGATGGTTCTGTCATTGTTAAGATGTCGGGTGCGAAGCATAAGGATCACAGAACTTGGATTAAAAAGGGTCCAGCCAAGGGCGAGGGAGGCGTTTGGGGGATTGCAGAGGATTTGCCTGCCATCTGAGTACCACAGTATCGAAGTCATGCGATGTTTTACTTTTGCGAATACCCAAGATACCCCGACTATGGTCATCACTTTGCCTTGTCCCAAATATCAAGATGATCGTCGTGCTGTAACCCGCCGAACCATGTAAAATGTCAGAACTCTGCACGCTTGCTTCCGCTCAATTCATGCAAATGATTCCGCCTGTTATGATGCCCTCTAATCCGTCTCTGGCGCCCGTGAACCCACCATCCAATCCTCCAGGGCAAGCCATTCACTCCACGACCGTTCCGCAGCTTCAATTTCTCCGTCTGTCGGATCGAAAAGCGGCCGCATAAAGGGAACGGTTTCCAGAGGCGGTATGTCGTAATCTCGCTTGACGGATGCCCAACCTCCACTCTTGGCCGCGAAGAGGTAATTGCGCCTTTCTGCCTCTCGTTGAGGCCCAACGCCAGCCCTCCAGTCATCTCCAAAGAATCCATGAAGTACTTGGGGCACATCCATACCCGTGACGACCAGCCTTCGTATGTAGGGGATGAGCGAGACTGCTGAGGCGGCGGCAGCTGCTTCGGAACTGCTAACTCGTGACGGGCCTTCTCTGTCAAGCCTCGCTTTCCCGCTGCGAGACCCAGTCGTGCTGAACACGGGGTTCGGCTGTCTTTGGAAAGGGAGCAAGATGTTGACAAAGGCTGCAAACGTCTGCACCAGCGGCTCGTGCTGTGCGTGATCGATAAAGTAGCGCTGACAACTCTGGTGCCTGGGGTACCACGATATAATGTCAAATTGAGGTTCAGGCCCTTTTCCGTGACTCGACGACTCAGACGGGCTGTTGATGCCTGTGAACCTGGCGTCGCGCAGGGACCTTGAGGAAGAACCGAAATTGTCTTCTGATGAGGAGGAGGAAAATGCCATTGCTGAAGAGCGACAAGCTTCTAATAAAGCTTTATAAGGCTGTAAGATCTGTACTGGGGCAAGGTCACATAGTTTCAATGACCAACAAGCTACCGACCACGAGAACACGATTCGGTATGAGGGACCAGACTGCTGTAGTCGTAAGCCAGCATTATGAGCAATGCGGCATCCCTCCTGTATCCGAATCTCAGCAGCTCTGGGGAGTGAGTGTGATAACTCGCGTGCCTCTAATGCTACAACCCGAGACCACCGGAATTGTCTCCGAACGCGGTGAAAGGGTTGGTACAGTGCTGTACCTGGTGACCAGCTTGTGTGATGTGATGTGTCTTATTGGTGCATTGTGTAGAGTCCAATGTTACTGCGTCTGGTGGTCAGCGAGGTCGAACACAGAGATACAGAAAAGACTAGAGCTCCTCGACTGCATCGATTGAGGAAGTTGCTGCTACTGTGACAATTAGGTTACAGAGTGGCATCGAAGTGTTGGGGGTTCCAAGCTTTAACGTGGCAAGAAAGGTACCTTTGGCGTGCTTGGGCAAGTTTCATCGACGATCTCGCGTGCCCCTAAGTCAGTTGATTATTGCCAATTCATTTCGGGGGCGGTTGCGGCAGTGCGAGCAAACCACCGGCCACTGCCGACTATGAGCCGTACACTAACCGTGACTGACTTAGGCCAACGGTCAAGCATCCGAAACCTTCCATACATTTTCTCATGATCAGACCCTTAGCAACACGTCATTACTCAGTAGGATGAACGCAAGCCTGAGGCTGCTGTAGCTTGTCGGTTTAAATTGTGCGCTCTCGTTGAGGCTGATGTTCCCACTCCCAAGTGAATTCCTCGAACACCCTGATCACCGAACGCCCCCTAAGCCCATCGAGGAGATAGCTGGGGATCCAACAGCCCACGACTCCAAGCACGGGGCAGTCCTCACAACACCATGGCTCCAAACAGTTTCTCACTGTCCACTCGGCTAACTCTCGCAAATGGCCTCTCAATCCCCCAGATCCACCTAGGCGTCTATCTCATGTCAGGCAAAGAGGCTTCGTCGGCCGTCAAATGGGCACTGCAAGCAGGATATCGAGGTATTGATAGCGCCCAGATGTACAGAAATGAGAAGGACTGTGGCCAGGCCATCCTTTCTTTCCTGAGCGACCAGAACCTCAACGCCGCTGGTCTGAAGCGCGAAGACATCTTCTTCACCTCGAAACTTGCATCAAACGCCAGCTACGAGGCTGCTCGACGGTCCATCAAACAGTCCGTCCAAGTAAGCGGGCTTGGGTATATCGACCTGTTTCTGCTGCACAGTCCTTATGGCGGGAAGAGCGCTCGCCTGTCTAGTTGGAGGGCCGTTGAGGACGCTATTCAGGATGGCGAGATTCGAATTGGAGGAGTCAGTAACTTTGGGGTCAAACATCTTGACGAGCTTGCTGCTTCGAAGCCCCGAATCATGCCCGCCATCAATCAAATTGAAGTTCATCCATTCAACACCCGGACCGATATTGTCGAGGCGTGTCGAAAACATGGCATAATCGTCGAAGCGTACGCCCCTCTCGCAAGGGCCCTTCGCATGAAGCACCCAACCATTGCGTCACTTTCAAAGAAGTACAATTGCACCCCTGCGCAACTGATGGTAAGATGGAGTCTACAACATGGTTATATCCCTCTTCCGAAGAGCGTCTCCAAGGAACGGATCACCTCGAATGGTGAGATCAGCCACTTCGAGATTGCAGGTGATGACATGCAGAAGATGGATGCGCTCGATGAATATCTGGTAAGTACAACAATCGTTGAATGCTCAAACAAGGGTTTTTGACTGATATCGGCAGGTGACCGACTGGGATCCAGTTGATGCGGACTAGTCTGGTCATGATGAACAGGTTGTGCCAGGAGATGCACGAATCTGGCGAGGCTTTTGGGCTATCGAAATCTCTGCCATTCCAAGTCTTGCATGTCACTGCATGAGTACTCGGCTTTTGTCCACTTGAACACGTTGAGTGGACTCTAGGAGTTTTGCACGCTTCGCGGCTGGCCGGCCATATCGATGCAGGAAGATTTCCTGTCGAGGACTCCGTATCGACACCTGTCGGAACGGCGACACTTCCTCGTGATATTGCATGAAGACCGGCTTCGACGTTGCGAGCGTTCACTTATTGACAATCTCTGAACGTCCGATCAGACCTTCTACTGATCTGGGGCCAGCAAATAGTCTTTGCAGGAGATATATGCATCTTCAATAAGACACAATGATACTGTACCTGCAAAACTTTCGGCAGATAGGATGGTCCTTTAATCATGACCTGTAATGTCGGTAGACGAGGGTCTTCCACCGGCAGCGTTGGACAACTAAACGCATACGCATCGCAAATTTGGTTTCCGTTCTGGAAGTGCCTCACAAATGCAGGGCCAGCCTCCGGATGGAGAGGTCCTTCTTTTTGCTTTCGATTGTGCCATCTTGCAAATATCACAACACTCACGAGGGTAACACGCTTTTTGACCGTGTGTCGTTGCATCAATGTTGTCTGATGTCATCCTGAGAGGGGCCAGATTATGGAATCAACAAGCAGGAACATAAGGCTCTTACTATGCGTCGTACGCATACAATCGTACAATCTTCCAGAGCGGATCGCAATGCCCTTCAGCTTACTTCGACGACTGGATGTGTGAGACACCACGTGGATTTGGCCCCCATTTCTTCAAGCCACTTCGGTTGCAGATTGAATACCAGGACGATTTTCGACCGTTCTCCTCATGTTTGGCCCCTTTCGATATTCTGTCTTCCAGCGAGCAATCTACCCCCGGCGAATCCATCACAACAGAGTGCTTACCTTCCACGTCGACGGGCAGCTATGCAGGAATAGGTGAATTGGAATGCGCGGTAAGGTTAGGAAGATCATCCCCTGACTCTCGCTGGAAGACGCACCGACAACACCCCAGTCGCGCCAGTCACCTCGGGTAGGGATCCGCAACCATGCAGGTATTTCTGCGAGCATCCCGGCATGTCGTCTCGAGGGTTGGGAGGGGTCTTATTAGGCTGCTGACTCAGGTCGTTCGAACCCCTGTGACTGGGACATGTCCAGCCACCTCTTGCTTCCGAAGGTTCGACCGTCAACGGCAGGTGTAGCACGTGTACATTCTAAATGATTAGTCGGCTCATGTACCTTCACCGGACCCGTGTTGGTCGGTTCTTGGACAGAAACGAGCATTATCGAGTCACTTTTCGTCCCGGAAATCCGAGCAAAATGAGATACCTGGGCCCTTCAGGAATCAGGTCTTGTACCTCGTCAACGCAGGGCCGACAGGGTTCTCTTCAGCGCGGATACCCATGCCCGGGACTGAAAACGTGCCGCTACTGTGGTACTCATATTGGCGGTTCCTCGAATTTGGCGGCCCAGCGAGGCGGCGGTGGCAGTTCGTCTAACCAAAGTCAAAGCACCACTTTGGTAATGAACACCAAACCCGCAGAATCCTTCCGCCATTGCTCGATCATAAGAGGCTCATATTCAAATCATTCAACGGAATCACAGCCATTGTCTAGCCTGGAGCTCACACAATTGGTCCAAGCAGTTGCCTCTTCCCTGCCTTGTGGAGCATTGCTTGTATTGCCGATAAGGACGCTTAAGTCCTACCCCTCCGCACGGCGCACGGTCCATATCAATTCAACTTCCGACTCCAAAGCCTGCCCTACGGGAAATCCGCGCCGATCGTTTGTGAATCCTTTGCTGGGGTACTCCGTACAAATCGACTCCTCCTTCAGTTTCGCTCTCCGGCTCTGTCTGATCGTGCAGGCACTTAGACAGGACGACGTCTGTGAAGTCTTCATGAAGGGAGACAGTCAGTACGATTGAGCAGCTGCAAGATGCTACGACGCGCGACAAATCGGTAGCATAGTAGCATACCCTCGTCCTCGGTCAGCCTGTCGAACCACCGTCTGCTATAGTCACCCTACACCTGTCTTGATTCCGGTCTTATTGCCGCAATCTCCAGCACAGACGTACTACTCTGACCAGCTGCATACATCTGGACTAAGGAAAGAAACAATTCCAGAGCTGCGGAACGTGGGAAGACGCTGCTTGGTACCCATATACCTCGTGGATCCTCGCGGGCCGTGACGTGCAGCCTTGTGTATCAAAAGAACATTTTTATTCAAAGACCGCGACATATACATTCTGGACCGGTGCCATGGACTTCTCGTACTTCACGGCTGCCCCCCAACCATATCAATTCTTTGGTCTACCTCAGACGCCGGGTGCCAGCCACACGCCTCAGCTTGACGATTTCAACCCTCTATCGTCGACCGTGAGTTTCCACTTATGCCTCGGGGTTTGGTTCACTTTCTCACGATGTGTACAGGAACAGTACGATGCGGCCTTCGCGGCCTTCCAGCAAAACTACCACTATGACCCATCCACTTTCCTTGCGCAACCACAGCGGCCGGCCGTCACGCCGGGAGCCATGTCCCCTCCCCCTCTAGAGAGACACGAATCGATGCTCTCGATGCCGGATATGGACCTTAAGAGTCTGACGGCTGCAGTCACGACCACGGAAGTGATGCCGGATGAGCCGGCTTTGGGAAGAAGCAGCAGTGAAGAGAAGGATTCGATGACCCCACAACAGAGTCGAAGGAAGGCTCAGAACCGGGCAGCGTAAGATTTATACCCGAGACAGTATTGGGGCAACGTGCACATGCTAATCGTTTGAGGTGGTACAGGCAACGGGCGTTTCGCGAACGAAAAGAAAGACACGTCAAAGATCTCGAGGCCAAACTCACGAACCTGCAACACCAGAGTTTGAGTCTGAACGGCGAGAACGAGCGGCTGCGCCGGGAACTCGCCAAGGTCGCGACAGAGAATGAAATACTGCGCGCCACGTCGGGTTCTGCCTCGAATGGGCCAACCCCATTCCTCGAGGAGCCAGATGAACTTGTCGGCCCATTGGGCTATGTTCCCACGGATTTACCGGCGAAGGGCCGATCGCCAGCGGGCACGACAACAAGTAGTAGTAGCGCGACAGGGGAGCACGGTACGTCCAAGTACGCGCATTTCGGCACACTGAAAACGATCACTGTGGATGATGATACGGGGGAACAGCTTTTGGGCCCGGGCGCGACATGGGATTATATCCAGGCGCATGAACTGTTTCGGAAAGGTCTTGTTGACGTGGGCGATGTTTGTGAACGCTTGAAGAAGATGGCTAGGTGTGATGGGCAGGGGCCTATCTTCTTGGAAAGTGATGTACGGCAGGCTATATCGGAGAGTGCGGTCGCTGGCGGGAGGGATGAACTTATTTGAGACAGACTCAATTGAGTCTCGAGTGGATTGCTGGATTCACAGTGTGGCACATTTTTTTGGTTGGATTCAGCGTTGGCGTTTAGCGTTTTGGGATGGATGGAGGACATGTATCGACGTGGTGAACGAGAACTAAGGATCTACGGGTCGGTTACGGACTGGATGATGATAGTAGGTACGAGATTCACGGTATAGGCTGGAGGTTCTGCTGTTGCGAAATACCGACTTCAGATATGAATGGGCTTTGGCGGGATTCGAACAGATGATCATACCACTGTACCTAGTTAGGCAGCTATCTATACTATAGCGCGACAAGACTTGTCGTCTGATCGACATTCCTCACTTAGATCGCCCAGTTGCCCGTCTGTCGTATTGAGGACTATCTGTTTCTGTTTTGTTCTGGACGTTCCTGGACGTGGACAGCCAATTCGACGTACCCTACAATCTAGATGTGCCTGTGGAGAGTCCGAAACTGCTAGTGGGTTATCTTGCCGGCCAGCCTTCTGTGAAGCTGTGCGATCTAGCAGGGCTGACCATAGCCGCATCCATGGCATGTATCATATGCCCGCTTACATCTCCGTATCGGAGGCCTTTTGTGATTACGTACGATCCTGCCGACAGTAGCAGTATGTATCCGTACATGTGAAGGTGGCCGGCACGCTCGCTCGCACGCAGTCTAATTCAAGACACATGTACTTCGTAGCGAGGATCCGTCCATGTCGTTGAGGCATGCCGACGAGACAGAACCGTAGTATGTCCCAAACATAAGGTATCCGGGCCGGTAATCGGCGTTAGAAGTACAAGTACGCTTGGTACTTCTGCCATAGGGGTTTCCGAGACATCATCGGACGAGAACCTCACTTGGAAGATGGGGTTCTCGTGGCCGCCCAGCTCGTACGATCATGCGGCGACTGAGCAGGTCGAGTCCTGATCGGGCTTGCTGCTTCACAGGCCTTGTTCTGTCCTGGTATGAGGCCCGGAGCTGTGCGTGAGGGTCAAGTCCCGCTCAGATGCCTGCCGGTTTGAAGCCAGTTGTTCTCGCGTCATGGTCGTTGCGCACAAAGCTGCTCAAGTAGTGGCTATGGCTGATGAGAAGGTCGCTAATCCCAATCATCGTCGTCGTCATCCTCCACGGTAGGCTGGTTGCCACCGCCAATTTCCTCATCGCTGTCTTTCCGTTTCAGCCTGACGTCGTTTTCTGTGATGGCGCCGACTTCGAGAAGCAGCCGTTCAATATCTCTCATGCTGGTCCGTGGACCGTTCAAATGAGCCAGAGTCACGACTTGCCTTTTGATATCTCCATCTTTGTACACCAGGATAGTCGGCGTGTTTCGTTCAGGGTATCCCTCGATACATAAGTCGGCCCTGATCTGGCAGAACTTGACATCTCCAAATTTGACTGCAGCCTGTCTCCACAGTTCGGTGAGGATTCTGGATTCGACATTCGTGCCCAGCGAGGAAGTCAAGTTGACTAGGACGAAGGCTTTAGAACTCTCGTCCGTGACGTCCCGCGCATAATCGGGCTTCTGCAGACCGTAGACCTGGCCGTAGATGCTCTGCTTCTCGAGACTGGAGAGTTCGGCTAGACGGCGCTTCCGGTACTGCTCTAGAAAAGCCTCATCTTCTTCGTCTTCCAGTTCGGCGAGCTCGTCTAGGTCTTTGTCTTCGAGGCGGTTGTCGTGAGCTCTTTGAACTGCCTCAAGGAGTGCTTCCTGGATCATGGGTTCTGGGTCCTTTGGCTTTTCTGGTATTATGCCGTGCTTGCGTAAGATGTCGTTCCATTCTGTATCAGCGTTGGGGTCGTCGACAGGGACGTTGACTGGCATATCTGGCATGTTCATCCTGAATATCGAGACCGAAGATTTGGTTCGTGAATAAAGGGTTTTCTAGCCAACAGGCGACAGCAACGATCCAAGTGAAGAAGACGGTCATCTAAAAGTGAGAATGATTATGTCTGACATTTGTACTCTGCTTCATTTACAGGCTACATAGCCAGGTCAGACCACACCACGTCGGGTTTGCGGACAAAATGAGCCTCCTTCAGCCACTGTGGCTTGTCACGCTCGCACCGCGACGCTGCGTATGAATCGGGAGGACACTTTGTAGACACCCCCCAACTGCTTTCGGAGGGCACGACTCGACAATTGACACTTTTTCCCCTGCCCTCTCTACCAGCGCGTCCACATTGTTTTCCGCAGTATTCCTCACCCTTGTACTCTTCCTACCGAGATGGTCTTGCGTTAGTGCGCGACAAATAACGCCCGATCCCCTTTCGTCGTGCTCAAGGGCATCCTCGTCACCCTGAAACCCCCGGTTGTCAATAATACTGCTCGCGCAGCAGACACACCACCACGATGAGTTACGCGAAGAAAGACGAGGATGCCGACCACTCCGGCTTCAAGCTGGACCGGACATCTGTGTTCCAAGATGGTAAGAATTCTGTGTCCTGCGATGTTGTGAGCACAGAAGATCGACTGACCGTTCTTTCAGCTCGACTCTTCAATTCATCCCCCATTTCACCACGAAGATGTCGGACATTGCTCACCAAGATCGGTGTCCTCCTCTTCACCGGCGAGAAATTCCCTACAACCGAAGCTACAAATCTGTTTTTTGGTATCTCTAAACTTTTCCAGAACAAGGATCCCTCCCTGCGACAAATGGTGTATTTGATACTGAAAGAACTTGCACATACCGCCGAAGATGTCATAATGTCGACAAGTATAATCATGAAGGATATGACTGTGGGCAGTGAGATCATCTACAAGGCCAACTCCATCAGAGCTCTTTGCAGAATCATAGACGCAACCACCGTTCAGGGTATCGAACGACTGATCAAGACCGCCATTGTCGACAAATCCCCCGCAGTCTCCTCAGCAGCACTGGTATCCTCGTATCACCTTCTTCCGATCGCTAGAGATGTGGTTAGGAGGTGGCAGAGCGAAACACAAGAGGCAGCATCGTCATCCAAGTCTGGTGGAGGCTTCTTGAGCTTTGGTGCCAGCAATCAGCACTCTCTCGCGGCTGCCAACACGAACTACATGAATCAATACCATGCTATCGGCCTTCTGTATCAGATGCGGTCGCATGATCGTATGGCTTTGGTTAAAATGGTGCAGCAATATGGCGCAGCTGGAGCCGTTAAGAGTCCTGCAGGTGTCATGATGCTTGTCCGCCTGGCTGCCAGACTTATCGAAGAAGATCCCAGCCTCCGAAAACCTATGATGCAGATGTTGGATACCTGGTTACGGCATAAGAGCGAGATGGTCAACTTCGAAGCTGCCAAAGCCATCTGCAATGTGCCCGACGTGACCGATGCCGAAGCCGCACAAGCTATTCACGTCCTCCAGTCTTTCCTGACCTCCCCAAGAGCGGTCACCAAGTTCGCCGCTATCCGTATCCTCCATGCCTTCGCTTCTTTCAAGCCACAAGCTGTCCATTCTGCGAACCCTGATATCGAAGCATTGATTTCGAACAGCAACAGATCCATTGCCACTTTCGCCATCACCACCCTTCTCAAAACAGGTAACGAGGCTAGTGTTGACCGACTGATGAAACAGATCTCTGGTTTCATGACCGAGATCACCGATGAATTCAAGATCACCATTGTGGAAGCGATCCGCACACTGTGCATGAAATTCCCCAGCAAACAAGCTGGTATGCTGACCTTCTTGAGTGGTATTCTCCGTGATGAAGGTGGCTATGAATTCAAGCGAGCCGTGGTGGAGAGTATGTTTGACTTGATCAAATTTGTACCAGGCAGCAAAGAGGAGACCTTGTCACATTTGTGCGAGTTTATTGAGGACTGCGAATTCACGAAACTTGCTGTCCGCATTTTGCATCTCATCGGTGTTGAAGGACCGAAGACACCCCAGCCAACGAAATACATCCGGTACATCTACAACCGAGTTGTGTTGGAAAATGCTCTTGTACGAGCCGCGGCCGTTACTGCTCTTGCCAAATTTGGTGTTGGTCAGAAGGATCCTGAGGTGAAGAAGAGCGTGCAAGTTTTGTTGACCAGATGTTTGGACGATACCGACGATGAGGTTCGAGATAGAGCGGCCTTGAACCTACGCTTGATGCAAGAAGACGACGACATTGCGGAGCGGTTTATCAAGAACGACTCGATGTTTTCATTGTCGACTTTCGAACACAAACTCGTCATGTATGTCACGTCGGACGACAAATCAGTTTTCAGCAAGGCCTTTGATGTCAGCTCAGTTCCTGTTGTCTCGCATGAGCAAGCGCTGGCTGAGGAACGGACGAAGAAGCTCACAACGGCAACTCCAACACTCAAAGCCCCAAGCACCGGGCCCACGAAGCCCAAAGCCAACGGCGTGGCAGAAGGACCATCTGCGGCTGCGGCAGCTCAGAAATATACAGAGATTTTCTCAAGGATACCAGAACTCGCTGCTTATGGACCTGTGCTCAAGTCCAGTAATGTGGTCGAGCTCACTGAAAGTGAGACTGAGTATGTGGTGTCGGCAGTCAAACACATCTTCAAAGAACACGTTGTCGTTCAGTATGACATCAAGAACACACTCGATCAGACGGTGCTTGAGAATGTGACGGTCCTGGCTACCCCGTCGGAAGAAGAGGAGCCAACCCTGGAGGAGGATTTCATCATCCCTGCGACAGCCCTCAAGACCAACGAGCCTGGTGTGCTGTATGTGGCTTTCAAGAAACTTGGTGGCCAAGAGTCCTTCCCCATCACCACATTCGGCAACGTCCTCAAATTTACCAGCAAAGAAGTTGATCCGACCACAGGAGAGGCCGAGGAAGGCGGTTACGAGGATGAATACGAGGTCGAAAACCTGGAGCTTACCGGCGCGGACTTTGTCTCGCCCGCTTTCGCAGGAAGCTTCGATCACATCTGGGAGGGAACAGGTGCAAATGGTGACGAGTCAAGCGATACCTTGCAATTATCCACAGTGAAGAGTCTAGCAGGTCAGTATTTACCGTTTTTTTTCGTGGCATGCAGCTAATTTGTTTATTTGACAGATGCGACGGAACAACTTACCCAGATGCTCAGTCTACAGCCGCTCGAAGGCACAGATGTGGTCTTGTCCCAAACCACGCACACGCTCAAGCTCTATGGAAAGTCGATCACAGGAGGACGTGTTGCTGCGTTGGTCAAGATGGCCTTTTCCGCGAAGTCAGGAGTTACTACTAAGGTCTCTGTGCGGACAGACGAGACGGGCTTGTCTGGAGCACTTCTTGCGGTCTTGTTATGAGTACCCTAACTGCTTGTTGGGGATTTGTCCTGTGATGATGGACCGGATCGGAAAATAGAGACAGATTCGTTTCGAAGTGTGTATGTATGGGCTGGCTTGTTGAGAGTCAGCAGTGCCAGCAGCAAGTCAGGCAGTTGGTAAATGAAGAAAATGGCACACGTGTCTGAGAAGATAATCTTGATGATTCGTAAGAGCTTGCTTTCGATACGACTATGTTGATCGACCTCATTGATGGCGCATTGGTGCTGTCACTTGACACCCTGGCTATGGTGCTGGCCTACTCCTCCAGGTGCACTCTGTAGAGCCCCATGAAGAGGTCCGTCTTCTACCGACCGCCCTCTTTCTCTCCCGAGACCTTGTTCATTCCTAATCACGCGGAGCAATCCAGTTGGTGGCGAACGCACTCGTATTAGCAGGGCGTGCTTGCTTGGGCCTGCGAGGCCACCATGGGCGTTCTTTCGGGGCTAGCTTCAGCCACGGTGAAGGACTAGTCTCTCCACAGGTCACAGGACTGATAAGGTCCATCGTCCGAAGCACATCAATTTGGTGCAGTATTTCTTCGGGCCAGACATGCATGGCCCTGTGATCAATCAAGTCTTCTTCTTCCCACGTCCCTTCTTCGCACTGGGCGTCACAGGAGCCGAGGAATTCTCGGTGCCCGAGGAAAAAGACATTGCGGCCAGCGTTGCGTCGTCAATCGCTGCCGTCGTCGTCATTGGCGTTTCGACCTCGATCGTCGACTTTCCTTCGCTCCTCGCAACACCTAATACCTCGATGTTCTCCGCCAGCCAAGCCTGTAACTCCTTCTTCTGCAAATACCCATGCGTATTGAACCACTGTGTAAACGAGCCTTCGACTTCCTTGTTCTCCCATTTCTTGCCCGAGGGCGCCTGGTACGCGACTTTCAATTTGTATAGTGGCTTGTACTTTTGTGACGAAGATTTCAGGGTCAACTTTGTAAGGTGGTGTTAGTTGTAGGTTTCGATGACGGACTGGCTGTAACAACAAACCTTCTGTCCTCCCTCTCTAGTGCCAACGAAGATGGTCCCGGCCTCGACCGCCCAGATCCAGTACGTCAATGCGCCATTGAGAACGAAATATGCTATACAGGCAGGGCCGGTGTACGCTTTGGTTGCATCCCAGCCGAGTTTCCAGTCTGCGTAGAATAGGATGGCGGCGATGATGACTGCGGTGTAACCTAGGATTAGACGAACATTGGTTGTATAGTGCTGTTGTTTGAATGTGTAGGGTTTCGGGAGGCTTGTGAGGTAAGGTGCTATTGCGTCGTCGGTGGCATTTTTCAGATCTGTTTGCACAGCACGCTGGTCAGGTCGGATGTTGGCTGGTAGGCTTGGAGTGGTGCTTCTTACCATTCGCGGAGTAGAGGGAGACTTTCTGCGGAGGGGAGGACATGTTCTGGACGTGGATTGGAGGCAGATCACCTCTTACTCGGGAATTCGTGTTCAGGGAGTTTCGAACAGACCGCCTCTACCATCGCTTGTATGCTTTGGCGGAACACGTTGAACACGAGTCAGATGCTCTCACCAAGGACAGATGTTCGCAGCGCGTCCCGGTAGAGACACTTGGCGGCATGCACCCCGAAGATCAACCGGCCTAAGCATTGACTTAGCAGCGCCTGCAGTGCTTAGCATACCAGGTATCTTTGCTGAGCTGTCCACAGCGTCTATAGCTGGTTCTTTGGCTGCCAACTTCCTCTCAATAAGGGATGCAAAGTTGCTGTTTGTGTCAACGAGGACCAGGTGAGGTGAGCTGCCTAGACCGTGCTCATTGCCTTCAACTTATCTCGAGGCAAGGATTTCTGCTCCCTTGATGTATCTCGGGTTCATGCACTCTCGGGGTACAGCCAGGGGGGCACGTTTGGATCTGCTGCTGGGCTTTACCCAGTCAATTGCGAGTAGATGCGCCGAGAGCATGAAACTCAAAGCAGGGCTCGCGAAATCGGAGGTTTTGGGAAAAGAGCAGCACGATACGGAGTACACTTTAGGGTATTGAGAGCATGAGCCTATCGCGCTGGGTGTGCTACTGAAGTTTCGGAAATGGGCACATCAGGCGCCCAGTGTCCCGTTGCTAGGGGTTGGGCTCCAGGCGCTTGATCCCCGTAATGACGTCCAAGATAGCAAAGATCTAAGCGAACCAGGCTCGATGACTAACCCCGAAACACATGCAGAGACAATCTTTAGCCCCATACTGGTCCCTTTGATCTATACTGATATAGGGCGTCCCGCAAGACGACCAAATCTTCCTTTTTGCCAAGTGATAATGGTGACCATTTAATAAGTCCACATGCCCACGCGGCTGGAACCGCCGCCTCCATGTCGCCGTCTTCTTCCTCTTGCCTGATCTCAACCGTGCTCCCAACATGGACATTGAGAGCGCGCCTTCTTCACCCACGAGGCATGGAGCAAATAACACCACGACCACGGAGAAGAACGCGCTAGGGGCCGAAACAACTAGAGAATCGTCAAAGCATGGTGGCCATCCAGCTTCTCTGCAAGAAGAGGATGTCCTCGAATACCGCTCTCGTCACAAGTACATGATCTCACGACCACGAGCCCTTCAATATACCTATAAATCACAAGTCTACACTTCCGAAGGCGATCTCACCGAACAATCTGGCGAAGAGGCTGCTAAAGAGGCAGGCATCGACAAAGCCAGGGAGCGTCTTGATCTGTTCATTGACCTGATCTGGGTTGGCATTATCAGCAACCTTTCCGAAGTCTTTTCCTCGGACGCCTTTGGGTCGGAAGGTGCAAGTTCTTCAAAAGCATTCTTGTTCTTTGCCGTCGTCTTTCTTCCCAGCTGGCGTGTCTGGAATGGCATCCGTGAAATCCTCAACAATTATTACATGTACGTCTATCGTGCTCTCAGGGGTAGTCTTGTGCTGACATAGCGCAGGGACGACGTGTTACAACGCACCTACATTTTCCTACTGCTCGTTTTGTCAATTTTCTTTGGCAATAACCTAGCCTACATCACAGAGTTTCCCGAGCGAGCAAAGATTCTGACCATCTCACTGTATCTCTTCATCCGATCTAGTCTGGTTCTCATCGAATGTGTCTACGCCATCTTCATCCCCTGGCTGCGACGACTGGTCTTGTTGACGTCTCTTCTTTACCTACCAAGCATCGGACTGTGGACTGCGGGCATTTATCTCGATGGTGCCAAAGCACTAGGCCCCATTTTTGCTGCTGTAGTCATGGACTATACCGTCCCCATCATCCTAGACTCCACCAAGACAAGAGACGCGCTTCTCTCTGGATATGGCAAGGCCATAGATCCTCACCACTTCACCTCTCGAATGGGAAGCTTCTTCATCATCACCCTTGGCGAAGGTGTCTTGCAACTCGTCAAAGACGGGCCACTTGGTATTGGAGTCACCCGAACATGTGGACTCGCTGTTTGGAGTCTGTGTATATATTTCCTTCTTGCCCAGATCTATTTCAACCGGGACGGCAGTCGCGTATATATTCCGGCCGTGCTCCAGAAGGGCTGGAGGACATGGCTGTGGTTGACGTAAGTTTTCTCTTTCGGATCTGCGCACGACCTGGAACCATACTAACGATCCGCTGTCCAGGTACCACATTCCGACTTTCATGTCGACACTTACCTTGTCCGCTGGCATTATGTTTATTATCCAGCAAAGCGCGGCCAAATTCGACGCGGAAACCGGAGATTCTGACACGGAGACCCTATCAGAAGAGGAAATCATACAATTGACTCGAAACGCCATCTGGACAGTCTCCATCTCATTAGCGATTGTTATGATGGCTATGTTTGGCATGGCCCTACTCAACCAACCTCGAGACCAGGCCAAAAGCTTGCGCGTCAATAACCGCTACCTGCGGTTGGCTGGGCGGCCATTGTACGCTGTGATCGTCCTTGCCATCGCCAGCGACAAAAACATTGGCACCGAGACGTACTTGGGAACGTGCTCGTTACTAATGGTATGTTTGTCTATTTGGGAATACTCTGCGTCAATGGAGAAAACGGGAGGCTTCCTTGAGCGTAAGAAGTCGCCGTCATCGAGCAGAGTGACCAGCCATGAATGATTGGAGCTATGGCCCCGGGAGAACAACTCTAGCCAATACAATGTGAACATTTGACCTGAAAAGCCTCGCAGTCGATAGATCGCATGACTTGACAGGTTCTTCATCAGGAGAATGAGCCGTCTAAATGCTCCTTTTACCGAACAATATCCGCTCATGAGCTTTGGGTTGGATGTAGTGTGCTTAACTATCAGAGTGGTTGAAATCAGATGCAAGGTGTGCGGTGAGAAATCCAGACCATGATAGATCTCTTGAGATCCCAGCGCGTGGCTTAGCAAGGTGGCTGTTGAAGTCCATCTTTACCCCAGGGTAGCTTAGATCGCTTACCTCGCTTAGGATGTAATGGGTCGTTAAATGAAGCGACAAACAGCGATTGGCTCGCATTGGATTCTGCTTATCATATCAAACTCTGGAGGTCTAGAGAAGGTCGACTAGACTTACATCATAACAAACCTTTTGAATTGGTAGGAGATACAATTCTACAGCTTAGAAATAGCCCTTGAATACACTATGCTCATGACGATGTCAGAAAGGTTGTCGGGGCCACGAACGGCCTATATAAAGACCTACTTCCAACCGTGAATACCATACTCAAATTCCAGACTATTTAACAGACAAACATCTAATCGATAACGCATCACCAAACTTATTCTCAGCAACCAGAGGTTTCAAAAAAGACATGGCCTCAACCGCCGACAAAAGCAAGCCGTACATCCCTCACAACAGCGGCGCCAGTGACGGCTGGTCTACCGACGATGAAGCAACAGCAACATGCTTCTGTGGCGCCGTTCAATTGGCATTCGTGAGTGGACCCGTATCCTATAGGTCATTCTATGATGTTGACTATTCAATCCACAGCCAACCTCGGGCCCAGGACTTGTAACGACCTTCGTGTGCAATTGCACCGATTGCCGCAAGATCACGGCCTCGATGTTCGCATCCAATTTCACCATTGACGACAAATACCTGAAACATGTCCGTGGTCAGGACAATCTGAGCAGCTACGGGCAGAAGGAGACCATCGCGTCAGGTCACAAGATGACCAATTACTTCTGCAAAACGTGCGGGACGCTGATGTACCGCGTTGGTGCGCAATTTCCGGGCATGAGTATTATGAGGATTGGAACGGTGGACGACTTCAACTTGCATGAGACGAAATTGAGGCCGCAGCGGGAGATATTCGTCAAGGATCGCGTTGAGTGGTTGCCGGGAGTCGAGGGGTCTGAGAAGTTCGAGGGAATGTGGTGATTTACGGACGAGAGTCGATTTCATGGTCCCTTTGGTGTAAGTTGAATTAGCTGTTATCAATGTCATGTTCACGAAATTGAAAGTCGAGGTTGGTTCTTATCTGCTTTCTCTATCATTCGCAGGGAGGATTTTAACAGGAAGCTCAGCCGAGAGGTAATGCTGACATAATCGACCAACATCCTCTTTTGCCGGTGCAGGTCAAGATATCAGACATCAACACAACTTCATCACCATCTTGACCTCTTCACGCATCTCTTGGCGAGACTCATTCACTGAAGTGTCCTTGGACTCGTGACACCTTCAACTCCTCACGTGGTGTATATTAATCACAGGGTTCATATATTAAATCCGCAGACTACTGCTCAACAATCTCCCTTCCAGTATCTGACCGCTTATTCTCCTCTACTATGTTACTGAGTTAAAGTCGGAGAGACGAGTGCGTTCCGCCCCTGCTCGGCGATCTCCCTTCCAGTATTCGACCTCTTATACTCCTCTACCGTGTTACTGAGTTAAAGTCGAAGAGACGAGTTTCGAATGCAGACATATCAATCATGAAAAAATTCCTCGCGGGCTTTCTCGAGCCCTTTCGAGGGTTCGAGTTTTTCCTTTTTTGAAAGCCTTTTTTGGTTGCTTTTACTCAAACGAGTGGTAATCTTGCTTGAGATGATGGGGAATTTTGTGGGCAGGTGTGGCAGTATCGAGGGATGCACAGGTATATCACGGGAAGCTGACTGCATATGAAACAAGTGAGGAACCGAGCAGTGGCGTTGAGTCCCAATCACTCAAGTCACCCGTCTGGCTAGGACGGTCATGCTCAGATTGGGTACGGAACATCACCACTATTCTGCTCGTTTGCCCAGTATCATTCGAGTCGCAACATGTCACGTCGAATTATCATCTGTGACGACCTCAGGCCTATATAATCCCCTAATGAGTTGCACCATCCTCTCCATCTCCCTCATATCCTTCCACTCTCGGATCTGCCACATCAACTGATCAATCCAAGCAGCGTCATTTCTAGTATTCAGCAAGTGAACACTCAAGTTCGACAGCCTCCAAAGTCCAAGATGCCGCTCCACACCTTGGACGACTTCCGCGACGAGAACGGCCCATTCATGCATGGCGCCCACAATCAAGCTCAAGATCGTCCTGCTCGCAACCCTTTTGCAGGTACAGGCCAGAGACTAGACGAGCTTGCACCACCCATACGCTAACGCCCTGCAGAACGTGGTCGTCGACCTCGAAATGGCGCGCGAAGAGCCCGAGCACGTAGTCCCAGTTGCGACACTTGCGGCTACGGCGGTGGCGGTAGCGACGATGATGATCGAGAAGAACACCAAGAACTCGTCCTACTGCTCCAGGATGACGAGGCGGAGGACACACAATACGACCTGATGCATTTGGTTGCGTGGAACGGACTTGGAGGCGAGGGACGAGCCGGAGAGCCGTTGATGATCATGGAAATTGGTGGTGGTGATCTACACCCTACCTTCGAACACGTTCAGGACCCTGCTGAAGCTGCTTTGGCAGGTCCAGATCGACGAGGCGAGCGTCAGGAAATGCGAGGTGCGGGTGAAGATGGGTTGATGTTCAGACGTCGCCGTGGCGGTATAAGTGGGCCTACGATGCGTGACGGAGGCGAGGGTGAAGGTCAAGCAGATCCATATGGTATGGGCATTGGACCGGCAAGTGACTGGGTGGATGGACAGCGTCGTTATGCTCATGGTCGTAGTCGTGATCGTGGTCACGGCCGTGATGATTATGGGAGGGCTTTGGAATTGTTTCGTCGAGCATTGAGGTATCAAGGCTGATGTGTGCAACTGGCGATCGTGGTCATTGGGGCTGAATGCGACATTGAGGGCTACTGACATGACGGTCATGGAGATGGACAATAGCACTTTTAAGTTCAACTTGGAAGGCTGTCTGGGCTTAGGTGATCAAACACGATTACTTACTGCAGAGTCCGTGGCGGAAAGATGTTGCTGGACTGATACAAGGACTGTGATTCACTGGAATGGACATGATGATTGGATGTATCTTAGGTATCCAGGGTTCGATGCCCAAGATACATTTCCGTCACGTAGATACGGAGTCCAATGAGATGCACAGGCTGCTTCGTATGATCATGATCCTTTCCACCAAGTTCTTCTCCCAAATGTCTTCCTCCAATGTGTCCATATGCCTCCTCCATAAAGTCCCTCCTCCACCAGTTACCATGTCCATCCGTCTACATCACGCTTCACACCGTGCTGTACTCGAACAATTGTCGTCCCATTGAGAAAACTAAAGAGTGCTGTAATCATACGTTGTAGTCGTAATGAGAAAAACCGAAACTCCTCAAGAAAACCGAAAGTCGCAATGAGAAACCGAGAGTAGTAAAAACAACCGAAAGTCGTGTAAAACCGAGAGTGCCGTATTCATACAGTAGTCATCATAATCGTAGAAACCGAAGATGATGTCTGACGTGTTGTTGCAGACCGCACCGTAATGACACTTGAATAACAAAGGAAAGGTCGGAGTCGTTACATGTCTCTAGTGGTTGAGACTGTACTTTGCGTATGCAATGCCGGCATACAGCATGCAGGCAGAGACGACGGGGAATCTTGCCGCCATGAATGCACCAGCGGTGGCACTGACAAGTACGGAGGTCGGTGAGAGTTTTGGAAAATGCAACGGTACAGTTGTTGTTGTTGTTGTTGTCTTGTCGTCGTTGCAAGCTTGGCCGTTTGCTGCTGTAGTAGTGGACAGGGCGAGTTTGTCGTTGGACTTGACGGCGATCGAATCGGCTGCAAGCTCTGCAACACCAGCTGAGCCCTCTGGCAAGATTGCCGACTCCTCCTCTGCTTTCTCTGCCTCGGAGGTGAGATCCTCCATGAGGGTCGAGTCGTCCACAGCACTGACTTCATCGCCCATCGAGTAGGGATCTGGTTTGGCGGCACGTTCGGACTCAATGTCACGGCTGGAGTTTTGGGAGTCTGCAGTATGATCACCACCGTTGTTCGACGCCTCACAGACTGGGTCTTCAATCGGTGCTTCAACGCTGTCCTGAAGTGCTGGATCAGTGGTCACAGGTCCTTGTGTATTGGTTTCGCCTGCCACACTCGCTTCAGCAGGGACAATGTCTTCGACACGAGCACCTTCTTCATCACTGGTTGTGGTAGCGGCATCATCGCCCTCTGCTACAACAACTCCATCGCCCGATTCCTGTTCTGAGACAAGAGGTTGGTGTTCTTCTTGGTCTTCGCCTGCAGAATGTTCATCTTCGTGAGACGACTTGTGAGAGACCAACCAAGGGAAGACGTGGGAAAGGCCAGTCCCTGTCTGGGGAAGTGTGAATCCAAATGAACTCGGAGCGGCGATGGCAGCAACTTCTCCTTCAGGTTCTTTGGCGACGACAGGTTCTTGTGATGGCTCTTGAGAAGCCATCCACACGAAGACGTGAGACAGCCCAGTTCCAGTCTGAGGGAGGGTGAACCCAGACGAATTTGCAGAGGTTGAGGTGCCAATTTCGTGTCCTGGCTCTTTGACTGTGACTGGTTCTTGTGGATCAACTTCTGGAGACGCACTGCCTTCGGCTGTGATAGTGTCGTTGGCAACGCCGCCTTCTTCCCCACCACCCACGGTAGCAACATCGTTGTCTTTTGTCAGAACAACTTTGTGCTCTGGTTCCTGATCAGAGGCAATAGGCGGCACAGACTCTTCGACATTTGAGTCAGACTGACCCTCCAGATGCTCATCTTCCTGCGATGATGATTCAGCGCTAGAGAACACGTAGACCTCTGAAGGTGCAGCCCCAGTTTCAGGGAAGGTGAACTCATATGAGGCTGGGGAGGTTGAATCTTCATGTTCGTGTACGGTTTCGGCATTACTGGACGGCGCAGACTCGTCGGAAGACTCGTGGAGTGTTGAAGAAACATCAGAGTGACCAGGAACCAGAGTCTGTTGCTGGGAGCGGAGAGACGAGTACCATTCCAAGGTGATCTTTGGAATAGGCATCTTCCCAGTCCTCTCGTATTCGACAAACGTCTCCGGAGATTCTTGGACGGCATCGTGCCAATTCGTGACCGCTCGCCGCCATGAATCGAGCTTCTCAAACGATTCGTCGGCACCCGCACGCTTCAAGGCTTTACGGACTTTCTTGAGATAACGGAGAACGCCGCGAATGTTTTGCATGAATTGTCCAGGGCCTTCCGAGACAATCTCCGGCATTTCTGGAAGGTCTTTGGGGACGATTGGAAGTGTCGAGAGTACTTGTTGGCTTCTATGGCGAAGCTGTGCCACATCATTGCGGAGTACCAAGGCGTCCATGTTGACGTTGATAAGTGTTTGATTTTGGGGTGTTGTTAAAAGCGTAGTCTTCAAGATGAGGGCTATGAGGCGGTGAGAGACTGGTTCGAATGTTGCTTGATAGTGGTAAGGATCTGCTGAAAGTTGTAGAGGTTATGGGAGAATATGAAGGAAGGATGGTTTGGGGGAGAAAGCTGATGGTCTTAAGATGCAAAACATACAACTGCCTGACGCGAATGTTGATCTTGGTGAATACATTAGCAGTACGACAAGGCAGTGGACTGTGAAGCGATGCCATAGTTGGAGCAGCGCGCAGTCTTCACCTTGTGATGCCTGCACAAGATGTGAAGCTGCACCCGAGCCCCTCTCGCGCGCAATGAGAGAGGTCGTTTGGGAGCGAGTCCATGCTTTTCAACAAACCTGCAGCAAGAACATGGAGACTGCATCTGTATATGATGGCGCTTTGCAGGCCATAAAACTGCGCGGTACTGCTCAGATGTATACAGCTGGCAATAAGAAGGACGGACGCAGGCTGCGATGCCACAACGGTAGGTAGATGGAGCTTGGACCAGCATGCCAGCCAGTTTAGGAGGAATGATGCTGACTCTGAAATACCATTTTGATGCGAGGCCCCTTCAGCGTCTTTCAATTGAGCAAAACGATCTCCACACTCAACCTCGCTGATCAGACACCTGTTTTAGCGATGACGCCGAACCGAAAATGTCGGAGACCAACGACTCACCTTAATTTAGGGTATCCGAACTCGGGTGATCCTCGGTTGTGGACTGATGTTGCTATTGTGGGAGACGGGTGATATAGAGTCGTAAAGACAACGTGTTATGAAGGCTCTGGACATGCAGTTGCGTGGCCGATGCGTCGAGGATATACCTATACATCCTATAGGTCGAGAGATCGGAGGGTGTCTGTCCGAACCCTGCAATTGATATGAATTGGAAAAGGCTGTACACGGTGAGCAGCATGACGGCAAGCAGACAATAGACAAGGTGCATGAAAGGAATTTTCAATTTGAAAACGTTCAAGCTGTTTGTCAACTCAAACAGATAAAATTGTTTGTGGTTGTTATGTACACCTTCTTTCTGGAACAACATCAATCAATCCTCCGAAGCAGCGGCACCTGTGATAATTTCTACCAGTTCTCCGGTGATGACAGCTTGTCGGGTTCTGTTGTACAAGATGGTGAACTTTGAGATCATGTCTCCAGCGTTCTTTGAGGCGTTCTGCAATCTAGTCAGTATCGTGATGGACGGAAACGGTAGATCGATACTTACATCCATAGCATTCTGTCGGGCGGACTGTTCGCAGGCATGTCCCTCGGCAAGAGCCCAGTACAGAGAGTTGGCCAGAGAGTATTCCCGGAGGTTGGCGAGAACTTCGTCATCAATTTCAAAGGCGGCGAAGTTGGGTGATTGTGTAATAGCCTCCTCGGAGAATGCTTCGATAATAACCGGTTCGTAGCTCTGCGCGTTGATGAACTTGTTGTAGACGATCTTGATGCTGGCATAGTCTTCGGGCAGGAGAACCAACTGATCGGCGATAGCCTGAGCATCCGCAAAGGTTGGGACGTTTTTTCCAACACCAGCGAAATTCATAACAACATTTTTGGAGTTGGAACGACCAAGCTGAGCCTTGCACTTTTCACCGATAATGGCAATGTCGAGGTTGGGGTCCTTTTCGAGCAGGCGACGGGTGTATCGTGACATGCCGGAATGGATACCACCGCAAAGACCCTTGTCGGAGCTTGCAATAACCATGAGAGTTTTCTTCTCCTCCAATGGCTTCGTCTCAGCTTCCTCAAAAACCTTGTTGGATGTTTGTCCATATTTTCGAGATTCCTGCATGGCCCTTGTGGCGCGAGTGAGCTTTGTTGAGGCGACAATCTTCATGGTCTTTGTGATTTTTTCGATGTTTCGGATGGACTTGAGGCGACCTAAGGATTGTTAGTATGCGAGGGGCTGTAGCGCAAAGGTGTCCCTGACCTTCGATTTCTCGTAGTGTGGCATATCCGGCAGCTTGAGGAACAACGGTTCTTGTGAAGGGTTAGCATATCCTTCTAGGAGTTATTGTCTTCCCACTGTCTAAGGGTGGTCAGAGAATTGAAGAGGAGCTCACCTGGCGAGCGCGGCATTGCCAGCGCTGAGGGCTGGTCTCACAGCTCGTGACAGCATCTTGACTTGATAGACTGACCACGAGGCCGTGATTGAGGAATTGATTGATGGCTGGAGGGGAGAGTCCTTGTTCAATAGAAGCTCCAAACACTTTGCAGTGAGGTTCCGATGAGAGCTTCCGCAGTTTGATCACGTGGAGCTAATCCTGATTGGGTATAGTCCCTCATAGCATATTTGAAGGGAAGCACGGAGACAGTGAGTGGGCCGAGCAGAAGCAGCGCAGCCCACGCCTGCAAAGCCTCAACACACTTCTTCCTTTCTCGACTTGCCATTCACTTCTTTACTCTCCTGTCTTTCCTTTGTTTTGCCTGCTACTCATTTCGTCTCGTACTTCACCACTAACGCTACCTACCACCTCCATTGGTCTCTGTGATTTTCGAAGACTTTGACTTTCCGCCTTCACCACAATTGCGGTCCGAGTCGCGTTCGGCAGGTCGATTCAATCCCTTGCTTGTCGGGCACCTTTCAACACCACTCGTCTCCTAAACCATCGACCTCTCCTGCGCAGTTTGACTCGAGGATTTCACGGTATATCCTTTGGCACGCGCACAATGGCCTCTTCAGACGATGATATGCCCCTTGCGGGCTCAAGGAGAACCAATGGCACAAACGGAGGTACGTTCTTATCAAAGGCTGTTGACACGTTTGCAGCCTGTTTGCACACCTCACGACTTGGTATAAAGTTTATGGCATACTGACTTACCCATTACAGTTACCTCAACTCTATCTTCCGCAAACATTTCCTCCTCTGTTGATGCTGCGATGGACAGGCAGATACCTCCGAATGGGGAAGTGATGCCTGGGATCTCTTTGGCCAATGGCGATGTGAAAGTGGAGGATGCGACCATGACCGACGGCCACGAGCATCTGACCAATGGTGCTTCGGCCAACAAGCGCAAGGGCAGAGAAAGCAACACGCGACCATCATACGCCGAAGCTGAAAGCAGTGACGATGATGTGCCACTGGTATGTGGTCCATACGAATGGTGAAGCAAATCTGGCTGACGCGTTTGCAGAGTAAGAAGAGGAAAACCACAACGAAGGCCGCTGAAGACTCAGATTCCGATGATGCACCACTGATAGCCAAGGCCAAGGCCAACGGCAAAACGGTCACGAAGCCTCCACGGGCCACTGCAGCACAAATTGGCGAGTCCTCGGATTCCGACGTTCCCCTGTCGAAGAAACTAGCAAAGGAAAAACAGAAGATCGAGCAATCTGCAGAGAAAGAGGCGAAGGTGATCCGAAATAAGGAGAAGAAAGAGGCTGATAAACCCGCAAAGAAGCCTGCCACCGCAAAGAAAGTGAAAAAGGAGGAGTCAAGTGACGATGACAAACCCCTGGCGAAACGAGCACCGGCAGCCACTGCGAAGAAGGTCAAATCTGAATCATCCACTCCAGCAAAGAAATCCAAAACGGTGAAGAAAGAGGAAACCGCAGACCCCGAGGATGAAGATGACGAGGATGAAGAGGTGAAATGGTGGCAAGACCCTACCAATGGCGATGGTACCAACAAGTGGGAGACCTTGGAACACAGCGGTGTCATCTTCCCACCACCTTACGAACCGCTTCCGAAGAATGTCAAGTTGAAATACAACGGCGTTCCCGTAACTCTTCACCCAGAAGCCGAAGAAGTCGCTGGCTTTTTCGGTTCTATGCTCAATTCAACCCACAACGTGGAAAACCCTGTTTTCCAGAAGAACTTCTTCACCGACTTCAAGGAGTATCTGAAGAAGACTGGGGGTGCAAAAGACAAGGACGGTAACAAAGTGGAGATCAAGGAGTTCAGCAAATGCGACTTCAAACCGATCTTTGAGTACTACGATGCACAAAGAGAGGCGAAGAAAGCATTGCCCGCCGCCGAAAAGAAGGCAATCAAAGCCGCAAAGGACGAGGCAGAAGCGCCTTACATGTATTGCATCTGGGACGGCAAGAAACAAAAGGTTGGCAACTTCCGCGTGGAACCTCCGGGACTCTTTCGTGGCCGAGGCGAGCATCCAAAAACTGGAAAGGTCAAGTCGAGGGTTGACCCTGAACAAGTAACGATCAACATCGGTAAAGAGGCTACCGTGCCCCCTCCTCCTGAGGGTCACAAATGGAAACAGGTCAAGCATGATAAGCAAGGCACTTGGCTTGCTATGTGGCAAGAAAACATCAACGGCAATTTCAAATATGTCATGCTTGCCGCCAGTTCAGATGTCAAGGGTCAAAGCGACTATAAGAAATTTGAGAAGGCTCGGGAGCTCAAAAAACACATCGATCGCATCCGCAAGGACTACAGAAAAGACTTGAAGTCCGAGCTCATGGCTGATCGGCAAAAGGCTACAGCCATGTATCTTATTGATCAATTTGCTCTTCGTGCCGGCAATGAGAAGGGTGATGATGAGGCCGAAACAGTGGGTTGTTGCTCTCTGAAATATGAGCACATCACGTTGCGCGCGCCCGCCACAGTCGTCTTTGACTTCCTGGGTAAAGACAGCATCCGATTCCACGAGGAGTTTGAGGTCGACCCGCAAGTTTTCAAAAATCTCAAGATCTTCAAGAAACCTCCCAAGAAAGACGGCGACGACATCTTCGACCGTCTCACTACAACTCAACTGAACAACCATCTCAAAAATTACATGCCTGGTCTGACAGCTAAGGTATTCCGTACTTACAACGCTTCTTACACCATGTCTAAACTCCTGACTGAAATGAAGTCTGAAGGCAATATCATGGAGAAGATCAAAGACTATAACGATGCAAACCGCAAAGTCGCCATCCTCTGTAATCACAAGCGAACTGTGGCGGCATCTCATGCCGGACAGATGGAGAAGCTAGGAGACAGACTAAAAGGTCTGAAATACCAACAATGGCGTCTCAAACAAATGATGCTCGAACTCGACCCGAAGATCAAGAAGAAGCGGGGTGCCCAGTACTTCGAACTGCCGGATGACTTGGACGAGGCATGGATTCAGGAACACCAAGCTTACCTGGTCGATGAACAGAAGACCAAGATCACCAAGAAGTTCGAGAAGGAGAATGAGAAGCTCAAAGAGGAAGGTCAGAAACAGATGAAGCAGTCAGAACTCAACGAACGTCTTGAAGTTGTCAAAGAGCTCGAAAAGAAATACAAAAAGGAGAACAAGACCAAGAAGGTCGAGCCGGAGGGCAAATCTCCTTCAGTCGAGAAGCTGGAGGAGAACGTCAAGAAATTTGACACAAGAATCGCCAACATGTCTATCCAGGCGGAGGATAGAGAGAACAATAAAGAGGTGGCATTGGGGACATCCAAAATTGTAAGTTGCGATACTTGGTCCGTACGGTCGCAATTGCTAACAAGCCTCAGAACTACATCGATCCTCGTTTGACCGTGGTCTTCAGCAAGAAATTCGATGTGCCCATCGAAAAGTTCTTCTCCAAAACGCTACGGGAGAAGTTCGAATGGGCTATCAAGTCCGTGGACGAGAACTGGGTCTTTTAAGCTCTCGCGCACAGGGGACAGGGACGCTTTTGCGTCGTCGTCACCACGACGCCAACGACGCAAAAGCCTCATCGTCACTACAGCTCAGCCTATTGAGGCAGGGACGCTTTTGCGTTCTCGTCGCCAAATCCTCAGACAGCGACGCAAAGACTTCATCGCTACCATTGCCACAAGCAAGAATGACCTCTTAAGCGAGACGGCAACGCAAAAGCCTTGTCGCTAGCAATATTGATCCTGGCTCAGGCAGCGTCTTGTACGAATAGCACGAGTATCCCGCCCTGGGAGAGAGCTTGTCGTCGGTGCTGCCGCACATCAATGTTGGGCTGTAAATCCTGCCATCTGCTTTACAAGGTGTGGGATGCCATCATCATTTATGGGGAAATGGACACTGGACCAGTCATTACGAACCAAGGATTGTGGAGGACGCCTTTGCACATAACCTAGATTTGCCTATTCTTAGCACAGCATTACAGGGGCATACTAGAATGGTAGACATATCGAGCTCATTGCTACCGAACAAACTTGAACACTCCGAATTACATCCTGCAGCATACCTCTTTCGATTCAGCTTAACAGTTAATATTCGACCCAGAGACCGCCATCAGGCATTCGGCATATGTTTTCGACAACAAGGAGTCTAGAACAGTGCCACTCGGCAGGCTTTCATCATGTCTGGACTATGCTACGCTGGCACAGGTGAGTTCCAGGTTGTCGTTAAGGTAATGATTAACCTTCCAATACACTCGCTCTCAAGGTACAGTCAGATTACAACTCAGTGGGCGACGAATGTATTTCTATACCCCTGATCAGTTGCAGCGACCCCTGTGAGGGAACGTCCACCATGCCTTCCACCAGATTGACGTTTTGCGCCTTCCGCTCGTGGAGCCTGGTCTCAGATCCCCTCTGAGACAACTCTTCTATTCCCCTTACCAAGGTTGTCGAAGCGTATTTCTTGCAACGTATTTACGTTAGAAAGAATCTCCGTTGCAACTATCCGCGCTGCATCAAGTATTGCATGTTTTACCATCATTGATTTCGAAATGTCATCTGATGAGAACCACGAACACTCTATTAACAACACGACACCGATCAGTCATCGTGGAGCAGTCTTTCTCTGGCCCCCCTCTGAGGAGGTGACAACTTGCAAAACAACCCAAGGGTCTCGCACAATGGAATCGTTTCCCTCAGAGTGAGTGGGTCAATCCCATACCGCTATGAAAACATGTCTGATCAAGTGGGCAGCAGGGACGAGCACATGGCAGATGCTGCCGTAACCATGTCCGACGGAGCCGAAAAGAGAAAACTGCCCGCGGACGACTAGGAGGACGCCAGGCAGTCTTATTACGTGACTCAGAACGATCACCTGGACAAAATGCACACGACAAAAGCGATCATTCGCAGGTACGCAGGCCGACTTTTACACCTCTACCCACGCCGAAATGCTTCCTTCGACGAGCATGCAGATGCACAGATATACCGCGTCGATGCCAGGAGTAACGAAGATGAACATTCGGACGATCACGTCCACCAACGTGTCAAAGCCAGCAAGGAGAACTATGAAAATTTCAACATCACACTTCCCACGAATGAGATTGATGCCCTCGATTGGGCATACGACATATCGAGTGACTGCCACTACGAAGCTGAAGATCCCGAACAAGAGCTTTCAGTGACCCAAGAGAGTGTCGAAAAGACCATCGAGAAGTACCCAGAGGTAGTAACACGGAACAGTGATCGGGACAATCATGTCCGCAAACGTGTCGAGCCCAGCCGGAAAACCTAGGAGAATTTCTTAACTTCCAAAGGCAAGGGAAAGAGACGCAGAGAAGAATCCAACGACGAGCAAGCGGCAGAGTCGAGCAAGAAATCCAAGCCGGGCACGAAGGCATGGTTTTATGGCTGATACGGTGGCAGACAATGACATTGATCTCCTCGATTGCCAGTATGAATGATGTGACGAAGACAACTAGATGGCTGCCAGTCAGTGATTCCATTGAGTGTCGAAACGACTGTTGAAAAGTATTCGGAGGATCCAAACAGGAGGACGTGAGAGGGAACATCCACTGTCGGCAGGCCAAGGTTGCGGACATCGACACGGACGTCCAGGAACTGGTGGGCAACCCGGTTTACGAAGCTGACATGGACGATATCGAATTGGCTTGCGATTTCGGTTTTATCAAACGAAAGCGACACTAGCTGTGGCTCTGCTCAAGGATGGTGACTTGTTGGTGAGGAACACCCCCCTTCATGCTTGATAATGGTTGCCTTGACTTGTTCACTCATGTGGTACGTTTGACGATGAATCTTTTTGCATCGGACGGGAAGTTGGCTCTGTTCGGCTTCTCCAAGATGGAGGCCATTGGAAAAAGGGGAGGATGATCCCGTAATCGACGAGGCTGTGTGCGAGGCGCATTTCAAGACTCAAGCCTGCAAGATCTTGTAACGTCACTGATGAAGCCAGCAGATGATGTGTGATTCAGACAACATGTCTATTGCTTGGAAATCCCTTTGCCATGATCTATAACTCATCCTTTACTCGTACATCCGGGGCCGGCCTGCCACTGTCTTTCAGCAGATCGACGCCCTTCTTGTTCCGCCACTTCTCCCAAACAGCCCAGAACTCCTTTTCCATGCCACTCTCCATCTGATCAGGCAAGATGACATGGTACTCGACGTGCAGGCTTCCAAACTCTTCTCCATCATCGTGCTCATGGACATGACCGGCATGGAACTTGGGCATGCCCTCACCTTTGATGCTTTCGACCTGTCCCGGCTGAACGACCTCACCGCGCTGTCTGGAAAGTTGCACGACATGCCCATCCAGATGCGTCAGGTTACGCGTCCATCCTCCCATCCAAGCCTCCCGCAGACTCAGCACCTCCTTCCAATACAAGTCATCATCCTTGCGACGGAAAAACACGCCGTCGGTCCGCGCTTGCTCGTCTTCACTGATCACGGGCTCCGACTCCATTACATACACGTACAAATTGCCCGCAACATGATCCGGATGTTCATCGGCCTCGCTCTCAAACACGAGCCGATGCCCCTTTGGCATCCCGCGCTCAACACTGGCCGTCAACGTCGTTGGGCCTCTCGTGACTTTATTCCCCCCACAGACCTTGCACTTGTGTTTTATTGTTTTCCCTTTTCCACCGCAACTGTCACACGCCATCTGGACTTGTTGATATATCCCTGGCGCGAGCATGTGTTTCTGGATAATCATGCCTCTACCCTGACATTTATCGCACGTCTCGACCACGCCATCTGCGCTGCCCGACCCTTCGCACTCGTCGCAGATCTGTTGTTTCTCGATCGTGAACTCCGTGTCGCGACCCGTGTAGAAGTCGTGCAGGGGTACATGTAGCCTGACTTCGAGGTCGGGTCCGCGTCTGACACCAGAGCCTTGTCCGCCACCGAAATGTCCTCCGCCGCCGAAGAATCTAGAAAACAAATCGAAGGGGTCGTGATGCTGGCCTCCTCCGCCGCCGCCTCGTTTGTGGTTCTCGAGACCCTCGTGGCCGTATTGGTCGTAGATTTTGCGGGTGGTGGCGTCGGAGAGCGTCTCGTAGGCGTTTGTCACTTGGAGGAATTTGCTCTCATCGCCTGTAGCTTTGTCCGGGTGGTACTTCTTTGAGAGCGTGCGGTAGGCCTTTTTCAGATCGCGTTCTGACGCGGATTTGTCCAGACCTAGGATTTTGTAGAGGTCTTCTCCCGCGGCGAGGGCGCATGTTACTAGGACGAGCAGGGGGAGGAGATGTGAGAGGATTTGGAAGAGGAGCATGATGAGAGAGAAGTTGGGGGCGCTTGCCCTGGGACGGGTGACTCGTGCTCGAGCCCGCCCACGAGGATGTTTGTACGGTCCGGTCGGAGTTTACACGACGCTCGGCATGGTGAGGAGAGTCGGACGATATTGACGATCGAAAGCCGTCACTCTAGATTGGTATTATATCAAAGAGTTGAGGTGGAAGATAGTTGGTATCTGGAATGTCTCCAAATGCTTGCTATCGAGACATGCTGGCAACATGTCCATTTCCACTACGGCATTTGGCCGCTTTATTCGCCGTAGGGTGAATCCTACGGTGGCGTATAGAGAGGTCGGTCGCTATTCAATGTCGACCCTTTCACGTCCACTGCATGTTCTCACCCATCCCACTTATTGACCTCTTCACAGCACCGCAAAGACTCTTTCAGCTTTCGATCTACAAGCAGATCCTGAATCTGGGCCGATTCGCAGATAGAAGGAGGGAGGATCAAGATGAGAAAGACACGTCAGATTTGCTACTTCAGCTTTGTGCATGAGCATTCTTCTAGCAGCTCCCGTTAGCTCTCAGGCCTACGTTCGTCGTATCTCGCCCTCATTGCATCATGATACATTGGTAGACATGAGTTTCTTGCAAAATGGACGGGGGCTCTCATGGGCAACTGCTTAATAGAATGGCGCCCGACTACATGTGGCCCGGGCCAGGTGATGATCGAGATGTGCCTTATTGCATGATGGTCGCGCGCTGCCAACTCCACCTGAATTCTTCTGGCGGTAGTATTGAGCAGAACTATCCAAACTTCGGCGAAACGGACCGTCGGTGCTGGTGCACACGACGGCCGTGATGAAGGAGGTGCCACGGAGTTACGACCTCTCCAACCACGGCAACGAAGCGTTTCAGTCAGGTATGTCGTCCCTGTCCATCCACCAACCTCCAGTATTGGTGTGCCGACGATTAACCCTGAGCTGCTCCTATCCGCGTCGCACAAGCAGAAAAATCGCACCGATTGGGATCTTGCGGGATCTTCGATGCAGGTGACGGTGTCTTGGAAGCGAGTAACTGCCGTCTGTGCTGCCCCAACTCCACGCCATTCCCTGTTATACGGGAAGGAGTTAGTGGCGAGAAAAAAAGAAGATGGTGTGTTCTTTTGCATCATATTTGAGTATGGTGACCTTGACCGCCTCTGGGTGGATCGATCGATCGATCACATTCGTGCCCCTGCGGTGGTTGTGTGCGTCAAGACGCGAAAGAGAGCGTACACGTACACGCACATAGAAATCTGTCACTGGTGTGCAAGACATCCTCTGATGCTTTTGAGTTCAAGAAATTCTTGCACGAGTCGTCTCAAGCATATATTCGAGGTGGTGTCGTCCCCTCATTCTCTTCACTCACCGACATCCACAAGAATCAGCAAACATGTATGCATCTACCTTCATCTTTTTCTCAGCTGCGGCCACTCTTTTGGGCCAGGCTACCGCGCTCCCACGCATCCACTATGTCTGGACGCAACAAACCACCGAGATTCTTGACGATGGGGACAGCGAGTACTGCAACACCGCAGCCGGTGACATCTGTCTCCTAACACCACATCGCATGCCCATGGTGTTGAACGACAACGTGCCATTTGACATTGACACTGACATTGACACGATTGACAGTCGTTCCACTGGTCCTGGTGGTGATACCGCTTATCCTGTACCTGCAACTGCAGCTGACGTCAAAGTCGAACTTCCCACAGTCGTGTATCCACATGACACAGGTCCGACCCCTACAGCCAAAGCTGGTGTGGCCAACAAGGTAGCGTGTCCTTCGACGTTCTCGACTTCGACGCTACTCAACCTTCAGCCACGGTATGCCAAACGTGATGTCGACGTCGCAGACATCCCCAAGAGCATCAAGTCAGAAGAGTCGCACGGGCCGTCCCCCGGTCAGACGCCAGCGCCGCAGGCCATTCTGGAGTGTGGATCTATCTCGCACCCCTGCCCTCCCGGGTACGATATCGAGCTTCTGGGTGGAGGCGACATGTGTCTCTGCAGGCCGTCGGTAACAACTACCGTGGAGTTACCGTACTCGATGTAGATCTCTGAATTCATAAAAGGCCGAGTGATGGTACTATGACCCCTAAGGTCTGCGGTCGGTGCATAGCTGACAAATTTTGTACCGTAGCACGAGGTGGTTTTGCTATTGTGTGAGGTATGCATGTTCGGGCCATGAGACGAGAATGCCAGATGGTATCGGTTCTGGCTGCTGTTTCGAGAGTATTTCGGGTGCATTGGCTTCAGACTTGGAGAGTTCTCAGCGGGTTAAGATGGATTGGATTGATGATGTTCTCGGCATATAGGACGGTCGCTTCGAATAGGAGGATTTGCTTTTTCTATTTCGGTGTTGTCAGTCAGGTGGACCAGCAAGCACACATAATCATCAATGCATCCTTGCAGAAGCTTCGTGACAACGCTGGCGGATCATGGTTTCGTTAACGTTTCCCGTGATCAGTAGAATTCTGCTCCACATGAGACTGACACTTTCTGATTCACATGGTACATAGATTGAATGCTGGTTCAGTGTCCCCATGAACGGCTACTCCTTGGCAGGAGCAACATCCGACTGAGCACTATCAGTGAATGGCTCGTTCAGGTTCTTGTTCGGCCTGTCGACCAGCTCCTGTATACGCTTCTGACTTTGTGCCCATATTCCTTGAGGTCCGTCTATATGCGTGATGATGGTGTTGAGTTCCAAAGTCCCGACTTTGGTAATAGCCCGGCGCAGGTAGGCGACGACGAGAGCAACCTTCTCCCAGTCCACATCCTCCTTGCCTTGAAATAGGTTTCGCCAGATCGCACCAGCGAGGACCGCATCACCCTTGACCATAGCTTCGTCGTTAGCAGCTAGCACGCCGCGCCACTGCAGGAACAGATCCTTGAGATATTTATTTCTCACGCCTTTTGCCGCGAGGTTATGTAACAAAACCATCCTATCCTCCGCTGCGTTGGAGAAGTGCTCGATCATATAACGATGATACTCGTTGAATTCCGCAGCTTCAAGTGCACGTAATCGGACCACGAGCACGTACATGTGCAGGAAGGTGACCTGGGACCACGTGGAGAATGTTGGCAGCAGGCCTATCGTGTTAAACCACCATGTGTCCTTGATGGGGTGGCCGAGATCAGCCCCGTCGGCGGCTTTCGGGGGTCCTTTGCCTGTGAGAACGTTCATCCGCTCTTCGTCTGGAATGGTATAGTCTGCTTGTGCTGCACAGGATTTGAATAGTGCCTCTGTTTCTCCGTAGGTGATGTAGGATTGAGTTACAGCTTTTGGGGTATTATTGCGCAGTCCCTGTGCCAGGCGAGCGCCGAGGCCGGAACTGGGAGCACCGAGGGCGGATTGAATTTGTTTCTGCATATTCGAGACGCTGGGTGTTCTTTGCGTAGAAGCTGGTTTCGGGGTTGCTTGTGATTGAGGAGACTCTGTTATAGGGTCTTCGGGATATCCAGCTGTAACATTAGAGGTCGCCGTGCCGATGGTGGTGGGAGCTGCGACTCGAAGATTAGGTCGTTTGGAAGCGGAGGCTTGAGGAGATGACTCTTGCTTCCATTGTGCAGCAGTTGCACCGAGCTGCCGCCGGTTGGAGGACTTCGACAGTTGAAGGGTCTATCGAAAAGATTAGTCGAGGAAGTTGTGGCAATGAATGGTCAAATTGCTTACCTGGGGCCGAACATTCTGTCGGAGGGTTCGCAGACAGTGTGAGCAGATATTTGAGGAGGCCATCTTGTTCTACAGACAGTGCGTTGCGACGTGGAAGCTGTGAAGTGTTAAGTGCCCATCTTTTTGAAGCATAACTCGACTTCGCGTGAGCGCGTCATGGAAAAATAAAATGTCGGTGTCGGACATGATTCCATTGGGGAGATCTGTGCGGATCTTGCTGCGCTGCGGTGTGTCTGACATGCTCAATTTCAGAACATATCATTGGCACATCTGGCGGCCTCAATGCTTGCCATGTTTGCTGTGTTTTCCGCTCTTGACCCTTTTATTAGCCGTTTCAGCGATATCGACAAGTCTAAAAATGGAGCTGCTGACAGAAGTTGATGCCCCTGCCATGAAAGCTGAAGCTCAAATGTCAACAAGCCTGCAAGTGCTTACTGAAGCTTGTTCTCAACATCCTCCGACCTTCCATTGGCTCGACCTCGACTGTACGCCTCGTTGCGCCTCCCACGGTTCGTTCGGGCTTGCCTGAAGGATTACCGCTGATGAGCTGTTGCTGCTTCGCTGTACTCGTATTCAGGGTCCTCTTTGGATGTTCAAGCACTTCAATATGGCACACTTAGAGGAACGATGCTGCGCAAAACATACCGACAGTATAGGCGATCCAGCAGAGTGTCACGACTGATTACTGTATATACAGCATTTCTGATTTCATTCCCTTCACAAACTTCGTGGCTGAAGTGGTTGTCTCGCCCCAACTGGACCCTTGACTTTGGGATAGTGCTTACGGCTTCAGCAGATTGCTTGCATATGGCAGGAGTACGGAGTACATCCGCCCCCGAAAGCTGACAGAGGATTTCCGTATAACATTGCGGCCTCCTCCTCTGAGGCCTCCATCAACTTTAGTATTTGGGTGTTGGATTTTCTTCTTGTGCAGTCTTCACTCATCTCATCACAGTTTTCCAACCATGGCGTCCTTCATCTTGCCTGTTGCATTATCTCTCCTTGTCAAATCCGCCATTGCGTATCCTCCCTTGGTCACAGGCACTGCGCTGCCTCCGCAGATCACTCAACAGGCTGGGGGCGGTCTGCCAAACGCTCCCGGTACCCCTCATCTCTCAAACAATGCCATCAACAACTTCCAACTTGCCAACTTCCTTGAAAACCTGGAGTCGGCTTTCTTCCAAGAAGGTCTGTCGAATTTCACACAGTGGGGTAGTGGTGGTCAGACAAACGGAGTGAACAACATGGCTGTGGTCTCGCAGATTGCGGCACAAGAAGAAGTACATGTGGCTTCGATCGTTGGCTTGTTGAAGGGTAATGGGGCTTCCGACGTCCTGCCTTGCCAGTACAGCTTTCCTGTCACAGATGTGACGAGCTTCTTCGCCCTCGGCAATATCATCACCACCGTGGGAATCGGGGCCTTGATTGGGCTGCAAGCTGGCCTCTCGACCACCGACCCAGGACTCGAGTCAACCGTCGGCTCGATTCTTCCCGTTGAGTCTCGCCATGACGCCTTTTTCCGTATCACTGCCGGCGAGATTCCCAATCCAACCACCTTCGAGACGCCAATCAGCGGCATCTGGGCCTATAATCTGGCACTCGATTTCACAATCGGGGGTTCATGCCCAAATCTTCCTCTGTCAATCACATCCTTACCTGTATTCCCTGACCTGGGAATTGTCGGCTATGGAGCGCCGTCCTTCGCTACTCCCAACGCTCCTGGCAAGCTGATTTTCAGAGTCGGACAGCCAAGCATGCTCCCGGCAGGCTGGAGTTCGGGAGCTCTCTACATTGCCTGGGTCAACCAGAACAACGTTCCTGCCTATACTCCGGTAACAATTGACGCAAGTGGTGACTTGGAGGCTGACGTACAACCTGGCATGTTTGGCATGGCATTTGCTGCTCTTACAAACCAGAACACGGCGACCAATATCAACGACTTGACCACTGCAACCTTGGCCGGCCCGATCCCGATCCCTCTCACCTGAGATACTTGCTCACAGGCGTATTGAAGCGATGGTCTGGGGGCCGAGTTGTGCCAGGTAGGGATGGCGTAGGGGTGTTTGGGACTTTCATTGGCATGTTTGATAACGCGGAGGGGTATTGTCATGTAAGAAGGCGACTCAGGTAGCGGGAAGCACTATGGTTGAGAGTTTACTTGCTGAATCATCAGAAGTCCCTTCATATCACTCGTACGGCGTACCGTCGACATTTCCTTTCGATGGTAAGTAACTTCCCTATCTGGGAAGAATGACATCACCCTACTGTGACACCAGCATCTGTACTCGACTTGAAGCTTGAGTTCTGCCTTCCTCCCTGCAGGTTGTAATGTGGTTGCCATTACTTCGAGATGACTTCGGTGCAGATACTCGTATTCGCAAGTGATCCTTCCCAGACACCATCAAGCCAGAGGAACCAGCATGCTTCTGCATGTCGGCGATCGAAATGCTGCCACAACATTCCCAGGCGGGCTTTATCACTGGTGAAGAGGACGGCAGGCGACTAGGTTCAAGCCTCGATCCGTAAGAGGTACCTCGTACTCTCGTACCCTCGCCTTGGCGGATGAACCGCAATACCGAATCAATTCCCTCAAGGCACTTCATTCCCAGGAATCTACACCTCTACTCTGCGCAAGCATCGACCGATGGTGATGCTGCGGCATGCTGGGCTATATCCGGACACTGACGTCGTTCCTAGCTTTCCGGTGCACCTTTGGTGCAAGAAGTCTCTAGGTTTTAGGCTGTAAGGGAAGTCTGAATGTCCCGTGCTTTAGTAACCACTGTTTGATGCAGTGTTACAAGGAATACAAGTAAGTACCAGCCCCTATCCTGGTAACATTGCACGTTTTATCAAGCACAACAAGGCGACGGTGCACGAGGTCACAAAGGAATACAATGTGCTTTCCGGCGAACTTGCATTTTTACCGCTGCACTATGAAGACATCACACATGGCGGACTACAGTCTTTAGTTTCAACTGTGACCCAGCACATGTCATGACTATATCCAAGCCAGTGCAGCCCAAAGTTTATTATCGTGAACCTCACTTCGAGTCAAGAGCCCGAGGCAGTCTGCTTGGGATTCTAAGTATCCTGGGTGTCCAGGAGAAAGCCCTAACTATTGGACTGTGTTCAGCTTCTTCTCAAGATGCAAGGACCATACCATCTCGATACAATGTGGCAGACGACTCTTGTCGATGCCAATGCCTCTATACACTCTGCCAACTACCTGATGGGGTATGACTCCTGGGAGATACCGGGACCCTCGGACGCGGCTGACCTCCTGGGCACATCCAGATCTCTACACAGCGACAGCATGCATGTGCAGGAGGTACTGGTCAAGCAGTCACCACGGTCGGAGAAACGGCGGGCACAGAACAGGAAAGCTCAACAAACGTTCCGTGCCCGCAAGCGACAGGAGCTCGATCAGGTCAAAGAGACGTTGAGACAGAAGGAACTATCGTTCAAGCAGCTCGAAGCCGCGTACCGGAAGCTGTACCTCATCTGCACCGCCCTCAAACAGACAGAAGGACGAAGCTCGCAGTCCATAGCCGCACTGGACCGACTGCTTCTCCAAGAAGCAACCAAGCTTGAATTTCCACCGAGGCTGCAACGGAGTGAGACTGGCGAGTCAGACTCATCATCGTCGCCATCAATGGACTGTAGTAGTTCACGACCATGCTCGCTCACGACACAGTCCTCCATGTCTGACGACGACGGTATACTGTCTCCCAAGCAGACTACCTATGCGTTTGGAGATTCGCTGTGAGGGTATCATCTCGCCGACATGATCTGACGGTACACTGGTACAGCACATGCCTGTCTAACTTTCGAGGGTCTCTGTGCACGTGCTGTTTCGGTAAATGAGGATTTGAGGCTGTTCAGAAGCATCCAAGACAGGAGTCGATCTTCGTGACGCAAGTTTTGACTTGGATGCTGTTTGACCGGCATCCAATTCATCCACAATGCCGTGGATCTGGTTGAGACATAGATGTCAATATTAAACCCGACTCACTTCGTTACGCAGACCGATTGCTTGTCATGGTGCGGGCCTGATGCAGGAGACTTTGAGTTGATGACCCCAGACCACCCCTCGACGATCGCCTCAGCTTTCCTGGCTGGTGGTGTGAGGACTGATATAATACCGAACATTTCTGCCTCACCCACACAAAAGTAGGGTTTATGCATTGAACCAGCACATTTTTGCCTAACAATACCAGACAAAGCCATCCGCTTCTTGGTCAAACGGTCTAACCGTATGGATTTCACAGTTAATGGGGCTTTGGATGAAGGATTGTATTCGTAGAATCGTAGTTGTAGTATCGCAAAAAACCCTGTCCTCAAGGATGGTTTCACTTACCAACCAACCAGATGAACACAAGTTCAATCTGCTCGGTGGAAAAAGTTTTTGCCACTTTGAATCGTCAATCGTCGGTCCGTGAGGCAGCTCTTGCAGATGGACGGTGTTCGGGTGATCATGTCCACGACTTCTCTTTGCAACAAGACGCGAAAGACGACACTTGGGCAAAGGAATCTGGTGCATGATTTATTGCGCAGGAAGCTTTCAGAATGTGAGACATCACGAGACTGCAGGTCAGCTGTGCGGATACCTACCGTGCTCGATCGCAAGTGCGTTGATGACATCTCCCTTGCAGCCAGGAGAGCGCAGTCTGCTCTGACGCCGTTTCCATAACTTCGGGACGGCTTGAAGTTACGCACCACCTTTCTCGTGTTTGCTTGCTCTTTCATGCCTCCTCATTCAGCCGAGCGTCTGTCAATGGGACGGCACGTGTACGGTGTTTGCGACATTGAGGGGTGCGAGATGGTCTGGCTGATCTGGGCAGGTGAGGTGAAGCTTTCAAGTTGAGCAACGGAAGCACCTCGGCATAATTCCTCGAGCCAACAGTACCCTTCCTGTTCTTCACCTTTTTCTCCCTTTCTCCTTTATCGCCATTCCATCACTCCAACGTCAGTGAGCGTATCCTGCTGAGAGTTCTCTGCTTGTAAGTTGACCGCTGAGGCTCATGTCTTTTCTCTTCGTACCAGGCTGCTCCCGTGTTATATTGGACTGTTTGGAATGATCAGGCTGCCTCTTTCTGTAAGTCGCAGACGTCTCTTTCAATCTAACAAGGGCTTGATAAGCTAGACAGGCTTTAGCGAAAGATACTACTCTGTCCTCTAGACGCGTGTCTACAACAGCGCGCGCGGGGAGACCGTCAGAATCATGTTACTGCAACGTACTTCCTTCAGCGTCCAAGAAACCTCGGGTTCTCTCCCAATCTATGTTCATATAAAGCTCAAACGTATTGACCTCAACTTGACATGTCAAGCTTCAGCAAGGGCCTGCCATACCTCCGTGCGACATCCGATCTCTAAGACTTCATATCTCGCAGCTGTTCACCGTTGGTGGCGTTGGATGAGGCTGACATCATACTGACTGAAATACCAACACGCACGGTGCCATTGCCAGTAGAGAGCGAGCATCCCCTGTCTGGCCATCGAGGATATGTCTGACTTCGTTTTCATCGACGGCCTGGAAAAATCTAGCGAGGCAATAGCCCGCGCCAAACGACACGTGGCCGTGAAGGCTCACCAGAAAAGACTGCAGGGCCGTGGCCAAAACCACCGATATCCCTTACACGTTGACGCCGCTGAACGACCGGACGAAAGACCAGACGAACGGCCAGACGAACGGCCAGACGAACGACCAGACGAACGACCAGAGGAAGAGGCAGACACAGAAATTCAGCTCTCTTCTAGCCATTCTCCATCAGAAGATGCACGACTGCCCCCAGCCACCAGGCTCCTGCCTCAAACTCCAGAGCAGTCGACCAACTGGGAGGTGGATCTTGTGCCGCGACCAGGCATCAGCAATCCACTTCTCCTTCGAGCCAATTCTGATGACTCAAGCATTGAATTTGTTGTGACTCAATCTTTGTGCTGGATGAAAAGCCAGTACACGTCCTCATGGTCTACACGCGTTGGAGACAATCCCGACGTCTTTGATGGTGACAATAGCCTCGAGTTCTTCAGGGAAGCCTTTTACGTCTCCTCAGATCTCCTGGCCCTAGGGCACAAGGACGCAGCTGACGAAGTCCTCAAACAAACCCTCAATTCCCTCCCACAGCATCTCCTTAAAGGCCATCCGGAATTGCTCTTTTCTCTCATTGAGTTCGCTTATGGCGCTAACATGCCACCAGAGCTCTCCTGGCTTTCCACAAAAATAAGAGACTACGTCGCCTACAGGACTCGGAGAGTATTCGGGAAGACTCACCCACTTACTGCCCTGCTGGAGCATAAGTTAGACCTGGATAGACACCAGCTTCAGGAACCATGTGACTCAGCGGGGTTTCACTTGCATTACGGGCTGCTTGTCTGACACTTTCGGGCAAGATGCCTTTCAGACACTGATACATCAGTTCGCAACGTCGCAGTTTCTTGCCCGAACGCATCATACAAGCGAGAGTCAACAGCTTATGGCCCATGTACGCGAAAGATGGACCAATGGATATGGAGCAGACTCCGTTCTTTCCCGCCTTGCAAGCCTGGAGGCCAATCTTATGCTGTTGCGTCAGTCTCCCGAACATGCATCCCACCTACAGGCTCAAGTCAAAGAAGCTATATTGAGTTTCGAAGTCGTGGCTGGTGCCTACAGCAACAGATTCGATGACAAGCTGGCACTGGCTGGATGGTTCATGCAAAACTCACGCTAAACTTTTGCTCTTCATTGCTATGAAAAGTCAAGATCCGGCTCCGATTTCACTACCTCGGACTCCTCACCCGCGCTTTCTGACAGCGTCTCTGGAATTGTTCTGGCTGCTCTAAAGGGCACGACATCGGGCAATACAGTGGGCTCCGTTGTACGGCCACGAGCCCCAATGGGCGGATAGAAACCGTGACAAGGCGACAGCAATGACTCAGTGTTCACCTGCGAGTATGTCGAGGTCTTCAGTGGGAGTGATCGCATTTGCATCTGGGATTGCTGGCGTTGGAAGGGTTTTTTGACTTACCTGTGGTCTGACCGGTTGCACTCGCTGTGTGATACGAGTCAAATTCGATGGAGAGGACCTACGGAAGACTACAGCATTGACATCCTTGCGACACGAGGCTCAAGCACCAGGTGTCCCCACTCTTTGCGAATGGTAGGACAGATCTGTCATCCTACATTTGGAGAACGTCCAAAAGCATCTTTTATCTTGCGCAAGACTGGAGCTCTTCCAGAAACTCTCCAAGGACCGCGAGTTTGCAAGATGAATCCCTGCTACCTCAACAGACTCTCGTAGACTGAATGGCTGAATGGACTGCATCCACGGAATGAAAAGCTGTTGAGGGTGATGATTTTGGTCTGTACGACATGGGTCTGGCCAGAGACGAGACGGCTCCTTCCCGATGTCAGGGACCGAAGGGGATTCTCCGCAACCTTCTGCTACTTCCCGATGTCAATTTCAGGTCAGACCAAGTCATGGAGAGACTTCTAGCAACCTTTTCACATTGCCAGGGTGGTTATATCACGAGAAAATAGCGGCGTTGCTCGATGTTAGCCGGAGAGAGACCCGTATAGCGTCGGTCGACTGCATCCCGCGAGGCCTCAAGATACGAGGATATCGTGGCTCTGTGCCCGCAAGAGACTTGAACACGTCAACAACGTGAACATGACGACCTTGAGAGAGACTTTTTGGAATCAGTCTGCTCCACCTCCGGAGGGCGACCTCCACGCGAAATTATGCTCCGTCCTGACTTCAACTAGATGGGCACCACTGTCGAAAGTCAGTTTGCTAAGGGACGCTGCAGAAAACCCGATCCGACAGTGGAGGGATGCGGTGAGGGCAGCGGGCAGCCACGAGCATCTCGTATAAAGTCCCGTGGTGAGGAGGTGAGGTCAAATTCATCACGCCATCTACTCGCTTCAGACTTGGTCGTGGCAGGTTTTTAATCATGGGAGTTCACACATTCATTCTTTTCGCCGGTTTTGCTCGCCTGGTGCTGAGCCAAGGGGTGCCCGGTACCAGTCCTTTATGTAGACGAGGTTTACGCTATCTGACAGCTTTCTAGTGGTTCATGATCGGATCATCCGCCGCTGCGAGAATGGAAGCCATCCCATATTCTCCCCTTATGGCAACGAGACATCGCCTTATGCCACGAATTCGGCCTCTGGCACGGTCGAAGTGCTAACACTGTCTCTTCCTACTGGATTTCCACCCAAGCTCACCCCTTGCACTGGGTATGGTGACTTCCCGTGCAATCCAACAGGTGGATATCCATATGCCTTTCCTACAGCCACAGGAACGTCAAATTCTCCCTGGGCACCGTCCAGCATGAACGGTACTGGAACCAATACCACGCAGTCGTCCCTTGTCGGTCCTGAGCAGACGTTCACTACTTCAGCCTCGTCGAATGCGTCCGTCTTCACAAGCACCGATCAAAGTTACACCTCAACAAGCTCGACATACATCAGTGCAACGTCCACGGCCGCGAGCAGCACATCTACAGTGAGCGCCACCGAGTCGAGCACAACGACGCCCAATGCTACCACCACGACAGGGTCTACTAATAACACCGCTATGATGACTATGTCCATGAATGCCACTCGAACCATTTATGCCACTTATACTCAGACGGTACTGGCCTCAAATTCCTCATGCCCATATCTTTCAGGTTCAAGCTGCGTGTCGTCCAACGGTACTTCTTCGACACCAGTCCTGGGTCAGGGGACTGGGACTCCTCACTGGACGAATACATCAACCAGTGCATCCGAAACTTCCTCTCAAAGCGAGACGAGTGTGCTGGCAACCCTGACCGTCGACATCACTCCCACACCAGAGGAGTTCACCATCACAGCCACCTTCAATATCCCTGGGGAGCAGACAACTCCTCCGACTTCCGCAAACGAGACGACATCATCTGCCGCGAATGAGACGAGTATCCTCACATCTTCAGCATCTGGGACCATCACAATGACCGTTGTCGTTGGTGAAAACACCACTGCTGCTACACCCTCGACGATGCCGACACCGCCTAACGCAGGCTCGATGACATCTACCGGCTCCAGTGCTGTTGGCGCTGTCTCAGAAGGGGTTTCTTCGACCACATACCAATCAGCGTCAGCTTCTGCAGGAAGAAACTCCTCAACCAACAGCACTGCTAGTTCATCCGCCTCTTCAAGCGCGACGATAGCGTTCGCTTCAATCACAGGGACTGCCAGTGCGTCTGGATCCTCCTCAAACATGACTTCCAACTCGACCTCCCCAATCCAATCACCGTACTGGACCAATAGCACCTCAGCGATACCGAGCACCACTCTTGGTCCCACAGCCTCGGCTTGGCTTGATTGGAACATGACCGTCATCATGAGCATTTTGTCAGGATATAATGTCTCTCTTCCCGGTATAGGCCCGCAAGCGAGTAGCAACGCGTCTCTCGTCAGTCCGACCAACACTACCGGAAGTCAAGGTACGAGGACGACACCCAGTGCGAACTCCACATCCTTGACTCAAATGGTGTCCACCGGTAGTGGTAGCAACAACGCGAACTACACTGCAACTGGGACAGGCGCAACAACTTTCACGACATCATTTGTCTCGGCGTCGGACGGAGATAACAACAACACTACCAGTTCATCGCCGTGGCATACAGTCATCCAGCCTCGTCGAGTCCCAGCCAAGCAGGGAAGTAGGCTGGCTCGACGCTCCGAAGCACGTAATCTCAGACAAGGCGAGAACGACGCAAAGAGTCAATACGATACGAGTGGTGGACACGAGAGTGCAGTCATTCGCGAGCGTAACGGTTGGGTAAGTTGAGCCCCTCATTGGTTATGCTACACGAGTCGGCCCCAGCTGACATACGTGTTATATGTAGGTACGAGCACAAATGGATCGCATTCGCTTGATCTTCCAATGATCTCATCGAATTTCCTGTCTCGACGGAGGTGGATTGCTGGAGATAAACAACTCCTTGCAACATCAAGGGTAATGGTCTAATATCGGAAGGATCGGGGTCTCATCAGCCAGGTGCTTGATCTGGTGAGATGATTTGAATTCTATCATGTCTCCATCAGCTTCTCGAATATAATCAATCCTCCTTTGCATGATGCTTGCGTTCCTGTCCAGTGTATGCCTGACGTGCCCAGGATGCAGTCTTTCATCTGCAATGATTCTTCGTACATTGTAGGCTTGGATGGCATGGGACGACTGGGAAGGTTCTCAGACGTAGTGCGGTTCGCACTGGGCCCGATGGCTGCTACCGGAAGATCCAAGACTGGTGTCGAGGTGATGGCCACTGGGTCGTGTGCACCTGCACCTTGCAGCATGACAGCGCGTAATGATGGGTTGGACTTGTGTCCTGCTGGACTCTCATACAATGATAGACTGCTATGCATTGACTTTCAATGTAATGGACCTTGTTATGGAGAGGAAAGGAAGTCCTAAGCCCGCCCGTTCTAGCGACACATTCTGGATGCTAAATGGCGTTCGCTTGGAGACCATGATCTTGCTTGCTGAAGATCCTGCATTGCATGGAATTCGCTTTTGTTGATTGTGACAATGGTTGATTGTTTATTCAGATTCGATGGGTGTCAATGGTGACTGTGGTGCGCTACTAATGCCGGAAGTCGCAGGTGTGGCAGATGCATCTGCAGGAGGAGTCGCAGTCTGCGCAGTGGACAAAGATTGTTGCGTCCATTCAGCAATTGAAGTTGCTGGTCCTCCGATAATTGACACAGTCTGCAGTTCAGTATCTTTACCCAGTACTGTTCCCTGGTATCGTGATTCTTCGCCAGTCTTGCTATGTTTCTTCTTCAGGGCTGTTCACCAGTCAGTCACTTTCCCGTCACCTCAAAATCCAAACAAACTAACCAGTCAAGTAATCCTCTTGATCGTCAAGGCCAGCTGCAATCTCCTCGACGTTCGCATCATCACCAAATCCTGCGACTCTTCGAATTTCCTTATTGACCGGCCCTTGAGCCCAGTTTACGAATCCTTGTACTCCGCGCAAGTCCTCAAAAGGAACCATTGCGCCCTCGATCTCAACCTCATCTCTCAGAGTTTCCTCCGCTGCACTCATCTGCGGTACCAGCGCGCCGGCCTGAGTCAAAGCGACCCTCACATCCTGAATAGTCGGAACAAAAGTGTTGTGTGTGTTGAAGGCATTTTGAGCAGTTGAAGAGGCCAATAGCAGGAAATACCTAGCAGCCAGATCTGTCGCTGTGTCGATAACAACCGGTCGAGCGTGCCCGAAACCTGCTGCTCTCAAGATCTGAAGGACTGCTGGCCGCAACAGAGCGGTGTGCAGATCTGCTGAAGTCATTGCTCCCAGTCGTTGCTTCTAAGGATCTGGAGAGTTCCTTCAGTGATAGTCGGAGGCGGACATCGCATCGAACAGAAGTGAAGAAAGAAGCAAGTCAAATATTGCACCACCGGCAGTCACGATGGCCGGTAGAAATTCCACGCCACGGGCCAGGCGCAACGTGTTTCCTCCTGGGTCAAAGCATGTACCACTGCCTGATGTCCCGCACGCTACGTGTGTGACCCTCAAGTTGTCGCCGCAGAGATTGTCCTTGTTCCCAGCGACGTCTCGGAAGTGGGAACCTCACAAACTAGCATCTATGAAGGACGGAAAGAAGGAGGAGGAGATGAACACCAACGACCAGAATTTCGAAGATGCCGAAGAGAACCCTCCCGCCCATGGAACAACGCCTGAACCCACCAATCAGGACAATCCCCATGCAGGGGCGCGTCAGGCGAGACAGGCGAAGACAAATGCCCAAGCGCCGAAGTCTAGGCTCCATTCCCCGGCGCAGAACCGCAGACATCGCGCCAAATCCATCCTCAAGCCAGACACTTCGAAAGCAAGAGTTTCCAAACGTCAAACACGAGCATCAACCTTCAAACCCACACCCAAGGCTGTAACCGTCGCGTTCGAGTCAGAGATACGGGTCATCGAGTCCCCTAGTCATTCGAATGACGAGAATGAGACGCCCTCGCCGCCCAGCCTAAACGTATCCGGTAACGTGAAGACGGACGAGCAAGAGGCCGAGGAAAGCGACGACGACATGGTCAATAATCCTCCTGCCGCGCCCGCACGACCACAGCTCAAATTAAAGCTCAGTAAAGCAGTGGTGCCTCAAGATGGAGGAATACAACCGCTGCAAACTCCCCTTGCCACGAGCGCAATCCGAACGCCCTCCATCAAGCTCAAGATTGGCACGCCACAACTCAGCACCGCTCCAAATGTCCCTAAACCGAAGAAGGCAGATACGATCACGAGTACCCCAGGGTCCTCGACGAAGAAACGGAAGAAGCCTATAAAGGCGGACGATTCTGAAGATGAGCTGGATGGGCCCACGAAGCCTCCTGTGATACGGAAGCTCACGTTGACCACACAACCCGGCCAACGTGCATCGACTGCAAAGGCTCCTCCTACACAACCGGTGCCAATAAGCGTCAAATTAAAACAGAAAGGGAAGATCCCCAAACGACAAATAGGTGTGGGTTATGATTCGGAACTTGACGAGAGGGAACCCGATCCCATGGTCCATGAAGGGTTTGTACTGCGCATGCAACCTGGCCCAGACTGTGACTATCTGCGGAAGGCCATCGAGGAAGGAACCGTCTTCAACCGAAGCAAAGGAGGTGCTGATGTCAGGATGAGAATGCTTGACACAATGGGAAGAAGGGGGATTTTGATTATAAAAGGAAATCAATACGCTACGTCGCTGGTCGACCTTCCTTGCGTTATTGAGGGTATGAAGTCTTGGGACAAGAAGGGCTGGATCAAAAGTATAGACATCAGTCAGATCCTACTGGTCCTGGGTCGTTGCAACACGGATGAAGAGGCCAGAAATTATCCTCTTCCTCCAGATGTCGATCCGAAGAATTACCAATACGCGCATGGCTTGACCGCCCCGATGAAATGGGTGCGGAAGCGCCGCTTTGCCAGAACAAAGCGTACAAGAGTTGACGATATTGAGTCTGTCGAAAGAAGGGTGAAAGCTCTGCTTGAGGCAGACAAGGCTGCGAGTCAAGTTCGGTATCAGTTGCTGGACCACGATCCACGCCTCGATGAAGAAAGATACAGCTCCGGCTTGGATGATGAGGATGCCGAAGGTGAAGAAGATGATGATGTCGATGGCTATTTCTCGATGCAGAACGGCAATTACGCACCGGCCGTTGAAACGCCGATGTTTACCGAAACCCCAGTTGAAGACATCGGCCAGGATGAGGTTGACGAGTTTGAGCGGATGTTCGTCGGAGACGATGAAGGACCATCAGCCGAAACCGCGTCTCAGGCACACAACACTTTGCACATTCCCAACGCCGGTGATTCATCGTTTGCGGTCACCAGCACGTCCGCCTCACCGTCAGCCACTGCAGCGCATACTCCGGCTTCGGCTGCCGAGCAGTCGTCTGATGAAGATGATGACGACGAGGGCGGCGAAGACGATGAAGACCTTGACGATGCCGAGAAGCAAGGTGATGAGAATTTGCAACAAGTCAAGGATAGAATTGAAGACATGCAGCAAAAGATTGCAGAGCAAACGGAATTACTGAAAAAGACTCAGAATGCTATTCTGAAAAAGAAGCTGGCTCGCAAGATCCAGGATCTCAAGGATGACGTGTCAATGATGAAGAAGAATGCCGGCCTTGGAGGAGATGAGGACGATGATTAGGCACCGATATGATATTTATCTCGATATCAAGGCATCATATCTACAGCATGCATGGAAGGAGATTGAGTAATGGGAAATGGACGAGGGTCCAGGTACGGAATAGTGCTTCACTGTAGGTGAGTCATTGCTGAGACTGCTGCATACCTGATGTGCATGAAAATGAAAGACATTCGAACTTGATGTTGAATACGAATAGTGTTTGACTCAAGGTTCTCAAGACGCTCAATGTGTATAAATACCCCCTTCCAGCCCTGCTTTTGATGTTTCTTTCCCATCAACGACAAGATCTTTTCGAGCAGGACTTGTTCATTCCTTTCAAGCAGAACCCGATGACACAAGTCGACAAAGAGGTTCAATCACACACATATATATATATTCATTGGGATATCCTACAAGGATGGGCTGGACAATCGTCCAGAGGGGCGGTCCATACCTTGTGTTCAATATGGTTGATTCCACTGAGGTATGGCTGGCTTACACAACGTTCGACGTCCATGTTTTCTTGCTCGCTCCGAATGAGCTTCATCGCTCAGCCTGGCGAGATCACTATTACAAGAACAACCAATACTTCTTCCACTCATTGCATAGGGTGGTCGGTTTGTCCTGGTGGATGTCATTGTCGTCATGGCAGATTACTTATTTATATATACTGTGGCTTCCGGGTCTGGTCCTGCGCACCCCGCGCAATGCTGCAATCCTCCAAAGCGAACTGCTTCCTTCTGGGTGTTGCGTCAGCATTTGCTCGCACTTCACAATCATCCTCATCACTTCATTGAGTGGAGCATTTCGTCCCACCAGGGGGTGGGGTGGCAGATACGGCGCATTCTGAACATGCAGCATCGGGCGGGAGAGTTAGCCACCACACATGCTGGCGCATACATCATTCGATTGATCATGCAAGTCCAGAAGATGAAAGCCAGGCATGAAAAGCACCGGAAGAATGACGCAGAACGTTTGATTATCTGGAGCGAAGATAAAGCTCGTTTAGCCTTATCTTCAGCCGGGGGTCAGCACACTGCGGTAGCTGTAGCCAGCAAGCAGAGGGCGACAGGTATACCTGTGGGGGCTCATTCGCATGAAGCAGCATGCTGAAAGAGTCTCAAAACAAACAGCAGCAACAGCGAACCTTGCTAAGCAGGAATCAAAAGCAGCGAGGGCTGCGCCCCCACCCGCCCCTTGTGGTACATGTGTCATTGACCTTGCGATCAACCAGACTATCCACGGCATCAGCCAGTGGATACGAAGATTCGGAGCAGCAGGAGCCCAAGGCGCAGACCTGCCAAAGGACAAGCAGTCAAATGGTGCCTCGGGGGGGCTCAAGAGGCAATCCGGCAAAATGTTCTCATTGTCTGGTATCAGGAATGGGGCACTGCGTTCCAGGACGATGCTTTGTACATCCACACTCTGGTTTGTCTCTGATTACCAGCCTCGAAAAAAGCTAACCATGACTTAGGACAAGGATCGTGCTGCCTCTGTTGGTCAACACCGCGAGAACTACATTGAAGTAAGTTTTCTCGACTCCGGCATCGAAAAAAACTAACCTGGCTTAGTTCTTCAGAAGATTCGTCTGTGATGCCAACGACGTGGAAAATTAGGAGGTACAATCATATTCTTTAATCTTTGGCTCGATTTTTACTGACCTGGACTCTAGTTTAATATCGAAGTGGTCATCAAGATGATGGAGAAGAAGAACTAGGTTTTTCCTCTCTAAGGCTCGAAAAAAAAGACCTACTCATACTACTTGGTGCTGGAGACATGATTGAAGCGGAACGATACGTTTTTTACGACCAGACGGTCGAAAAAACCTGTCCAAAGGACAATTGAATACACAATTTGGCTGACACTCTTTTTTTCCGACCTTGCTTCTTTTTATGTTTTTACTAAGTCCATAGATTCATGTAGTTCGATTATCTCTATGCACCACTAAAGAATAAATACCCTAGCCTAGAGAAAAAAGAGGTAGGTACGTCCCCGTCCTTTAGGACGACGACGTAGGACGGGGGAAGACTCGGGTAGATTTTTTCTAGGCTGGACTCGAGATATCCTAACCTAGCCTTGAAATATTATGGCCCCTACAATTCTAGAGTTACTGCCTGGCCAAGAGCCTCTTCTAACCAAGGGAGAATAATATCCTGATACTCTTTAAAATCGAGCACTTCCCATGTCTGCCAGTCTTCCCCTTCCCACCCTTCCCACTGTACTATATCTCGCTCGTCGAATTCTCAGTTCGTTATCCTTCTCGAGCGAGGGCTCCCGTGCGAGGACTGCCTCAATATTACCGAACTATTGCCCTTTCTTTTCGTGATACGCGAGGACTAATTCGAGGGTACCGGGTACAATGTGACGAGGTGGCTCCCATGTACTTTCGGACTTATCGTGTCCGGCCCAATGTACATAATTCGTATTCGTCCCCTTGTTTTCGATGACCAATAATAGCCTCTACTTCGAACGATCTTAGAGACGTACTTATCGGGGTAGGGTTCGAAATATTCGATAAGGTCGTCGAATCTCTCCTGCAGAATAGCAAAAATTGCCGGCTCCGAGTCTCGGAGTCGCGTGGACGTTACAATAATTGGAAAGTTGCTGATGCGGTTCACCATGGATCCTTTGGTGCTTCCTAGCAATTGAGAGCGCTAGCATCGGACATCAACGTGTTTCGATTCACTTCAGCAAGATGTTGCTGCTGTCGGTGCGATTGTCTGCGGAAAGCATAGGGTGCATTGCTTTTGGCGGGAGCAGAATTACCCAGAAATTTGCAATTGGTCGCAGGACAACTGCTTCGCTTTACGATGGTACCTTCGGACTTTCCTCGAATCGCTGCCTATACCATCCTTGGCAGCACCACCGAAACCACATCCGATGGAAGGCTCTGTCTGGCGACTAGCGGCGGAACTCGCGTTCTTGCCATCGCTATTTCACCACTCGAAAAGCTGATGGAGCTTCAAACGCTTTTGAAAATACCATCAGTGAGGCGGAATCATGGCGTTTACGTCGACATTCTCTACAACAGCTCTCACCAAGAAGTACGGTGTCTACGTCGGAAGTACTGTTCTGGCTCACAATCACAAAGACTTGATTAGCAGCCTCGCACAGGAGGTGCCCAATCTACTTCTTCACCAACGGAGTAAGCCTCCTTGGGTTTACTCTACAGTGGCCTGGTGCGTTACGGCGAGATACTATCGCTCCAGCTATCGAGTCTGATGAGCTGAGCTCCCTCTTGTGCCTACACTGTATCGCTAAGCGAAGTAGAGGCACAAGGACGCGCGGCACGTGGCGTGGTCCTCTGCGCCGCACCGGCATTGTGGTTGGGAGTACCATTTCATTCCCGCGGCGGAACTCGGTCACCCTTTCGATAGCATCTGGTGGGCGATCATGAACAAAACCGCCATCATGATTGACCTGTGGGCCTATGACTGCAGTTCAGATCGACCGTTCGGCCAGAGAGCCGCCAATGCCCGCGTCGACAACAAACGGACAGGATGCAGATGTCAGCATAGCGCAAACAAAAGCCTCCTGGAGGACGTTAGCTCCTTGGGCCAGGCTTTGTCGAATCCAGAAGATCCGACGAGCTTTGCAAATACTTGTTCGGGCACTGCAGAGCAGCTGATACATGTCTTGACCATCTTCTCCGAATGCGCTCTAGTTCCCACCGCAATGGCGGAGTCTCTGGGACGTCGAGCTCCAAGAGAGCTGCCCGGATATTCTGGCGATGCGTCAGTCTCCTTCACGACCTCATGCTATGGAAGTCAAGTGAAAGGTCATATCAAAGCGTCAGTCTAGCCGAAGCCATATTCAACATCCGCTCTTGCGTCCATGCACATCGCTCCGAAGTCGACCTTCTCGTGCAGAAGATAGTCGCCGCAACGCCTTCAGTCGTGCAGTGCCTTCTAGGAGCGATCAGCACCGGATTTCGATGTATTCAACGGTGCTGTTAAAGTACGCAACACATTGCGCCGACCTTGGTATCAACTTTCCTATCACAGGGAGCGGTCACGAGTACATCGCTTCGAGAAATGCTCAGCAAGCAGAGAAGAGAGGCAGCTACTATTTCAACAATACTTTGACAGACTACGATCAAAGACAAAATTATGCGCTCATAATAATCAAGAGACTGTGGGTTCGATCCGTGAGTACTAGATCATTGCCTTTATAGCTTCGTCTAACGTTCTCTAGCCACCGACCTAATGAATACATTTTCTTGCTACCTAGATATAAGATAGTCAATGAGTCGACTAAGTAAAAAAAAAAGGTAAGCAAAGACGCGCAATGGGCCACAGCGACAAAAAGATGGGCGAAACTACAACGGCCATAAAGATTGTCGATCAAACGGTATGACATGTCTTGTCCTGGATTGAATTATTTAAAATCTTCACTCAAACCGTTCCTTCGTTTCGTGGCACCATTTACGAGCACCGCAGTACCCGTATTGCACTCTCCTCATAAGTAAAGGAGAAGGCGGTGAAGCCAGCCATACCCTGCACATGACCAAAACTCCCAATCCCAGTTCTGATGGTCCTCATACCCAAAGTAGCAGTGTTCTAATGGTGGAATAATCGAGTAGATTGGTCGATGAAGCTGATATCAAGATTGTCCGCTGTATCAAGTACCGCTGAGTCATTCTGGCTGCCAAGCGGCGCTGCGATGTACTTGACTCCAGACCGTGCGGCTCGGTACACATTGTCGACGAAGGGAAACTGCCAAAAAGTCAGAACTTGAACACGGTCAAGCGAAATAGGCACTTACAAAGGCATCACTAGAGACGGCGACTTGGCTCAACTTGGCCAACCAGTCCCGTCTCTCTTCTGGTGAGAAAGGTTTAGGCACGGTGCCTTCCGCAAAGTTGCGCTCGTAGTCTTGCTGCTCGAACTCGCTCTGAGGTGGGACTTGACCTGAACATAACATGTCGATGGCATTGGACTTTTCGGCTCGCTTGACGCCCTTGGCCCACTGTATCGACAGCGTACGTTCGTGGAAGCGCATCCACCAGTTGTCCGCCTTGTCTCCGGCTAATCGCGTGCAGTGGATGCGACTTTGTTGACCAGCACCCAGGCCAATCACCTGGCCGTTCAGGGCATAGCAGACTGAGTTTGATTGAGTGTACTTGACGGCGATAGTTGCAACTGTGAGGTCTCGGAGAGCCGAGTCGGAGAGTTTAGGGTGGTTCTTTGGGCGGATGACCGACCTGAATGTCTCGTTAGGCAGGATCTTGACATCATTTCGTCCTTGCGTCAACTGGACGCCATAAACAGTCCGTGTCTCCTGGGCGGGAGGCTCGTATGCCTCATCCATTTGCAGCACCAAGTATTTGCCGCCTTTCTTTTTCTTCAAAATCTCTAATGCTTCGGGGTCATATTCTGGCGCGATCACACCATCCGAAACCTCCCGCGAGATGATCTTGGCCGTGGGAACATCGACCTTGTCGGAGAGAGCAATGACATCGCCGAAGCTTGACATGCGATCTGCACCTCGTGCACGAGCATATGCCTGGGCTAGACTTGAGGTTTGGATACCGTCAATGTCATCGACCATGTATACTCTGCGTTCTTTCTCGTTCAGAGGCACGCCGATGGCAGCACCTGCGGGAGAGACGTGTTTGAAACTGGCTGCTGCTGGTAGACCAAGGGCTTGCTTCAGCTCTTTCACCAGGGGCCAAGCATTCAAGCAATCGAGCAGGTTGATGTAGCCTGGCGAGCCACCGAGAACTTTGAAAGGAAGGTTGCCATTGCGAACGTATGCAGCGGCAGGCTTCTGATGCGGGTTGGCGCCATATCGGAGAGAAAGTTGCTGAACGCCATTCCCGGCATACTGCTTTCTGAAGAAATCCGAGATGGCACCGTCGTAGTCGGCGGTATGTTCGAAAGCCTTGAGAGCATACTGTTGACGAGTTTCTTGTGTGATGTCGCCCTGATCGAGCTCCTGGAGAAAGTTGTGATAGTCGGCAGGGTCGCTAAGGATGGTCACTCGGGTGTGGTTCTTTGCTGCAGCTCGGATGAGAGTGACGCCTCCGATGTCGATCTCCTCGACAGCTTCAGGAATGGTGACGTTGATCTTAGCAACCGTGTCCTTGAAGGGGTATAAGTTGCAAACGACAAAGTCGACCTTGTTGATGTTCTGGTCGGCAAGATCCTTCTCGTCCGAAGCAAGATCTCGCGCCAAGATACCAGCATGGACAGCAGGATGAAGGGTTTTGACTCTGCCCGACAACATCTCAGGGGCCTTGGTGATAGCCGAGACATCTCTGAATAGATATCAGCGTACTGGAGGAGATAAGGAGTATGGTGCAATTTACTCGACGGGAAAACCAGCTTCTCGAATCAATTTAGCCGTTCCGCCCGAAGCTAGCAGACGGACATTGTTCTTTATAAGACCTTTGGCGAGATCCAGAAGACCAGTCTTGTCGTAGACGGACAGAATCGCTAAAGCGGTTAGTCCAATGTGCTTACGGAAGGGGAGTACGTATTAAAATAATGTGGCGAGTATGACATACCAATCTTTGAAGAGGCCATGATGCCGGTCGATATCAAGGGGAGGTTGCTTCAACGGTCAAGGTCGGTTTGTATGAGAAGGAAAGGGAGGAAATAATCACGAAGCTTGTGTCATGTATAGAGGTCGATAACTTCAGGATTCTGTCTAGAGAGGAAATTGTCGTCGCTATGGCTGTATGTTCGTGACAAAAAATGTTCTTGATTGATGAAACTGGTGGGGGAAAAACTTGCAGCAGAGCAAGGAGAAACTGATGATCCGATCCGACCTCGGAAGCCAAGTCCGGTCAAAGTGAGGCTATGTCTCTCTGGGATTAGTGCCATGGCTTAGCAGTGTTGTTGTTTATCCTGCAGAATCGGAATCAGCCTCGCAGCGGGAAAAGGGTGCCATCTCTCCTCCGGTCAAGGAATCCATTTTGCGATGCTGCAGTACAGATGGGCGTTGGTGGACCACTCTCGCCTTGATGTGGACGGGCCAAGCTGATGGCATGTCGAATATGTGATGCAGCCAGTACGACTCGGACGGAAACCCACTGCGCTGATGAAGGGCCCAGGCAGCTCATCAGAAGGTACCTACCTGGTAGACACATTCTTCTGAGCCAAGGTCTGTCCCTCCATTTCGCTTGAACTAACAATCAACCGGTGCTCAAGCGGAGAATGGTTGGCTGTCGAGGTTCCCCGGGTCTTGAAAGGTGTCTCTAATGTCGACGGTGGACGGATCGCCCCGAAAGCTACCGTTCATTATCGTTCATCACCAGTCATTCTCACTTCACTTTCATCATTTCCCCCATTCTTTGACTCACACAGCCAGGCATCCATTGTCTCACTTCATCTTTGCGAGTTTTGCGATCGATTCATTAGCTGCTATTGATCCACAATAGCTTCATTCATTATCATTGTTCCCTGAGCAGCCCATTCGTGCCTTCGCATGTGGCTTCTTCATGTCCTGGTCAGGTGACTGGTTGCTTCCTGCCTTTTCCTCAGGTATATCTACTACCTTTCTTCGACCCATTCCTCGTGTACATCACATCCAATCCGAGTTGGAAGTACAACCTCTCCGACCTTCGATACACGATACCTGTTACCTCTTTTGGTCTATCCGACACACTTTTCTCGACTGTACTTATTGTGCCCAGACACGAGTACCGGCCTTCAGCATCATCGACACAGTAACGTACTCCAACCCAGCAGGAACCGGTAGACATGATGTCTGCACCAACATGGAATCGACATCTGCCTTACCGGAACCGCCGACATAAACTACGACCAGTCCAACATCTCAACGGTCAACCTACCTCTACTCCACCAGCGACTCCTCATACTCCAGTACCACAGCGAGCTGACCCAGAATCACCTTTCACGACCAGCGCCACACCAAGTCGACGATATGTTCGACCTTGCAAGCCCTTTCCTTTCTTCCAACTTCCTGGAGAAATCAGGAACAAAATCTATGACCTTGTCGTCTCCGAAACTCGAATCGTCATTTCGGCCAGCCATCCTCAAAAAGAGCTGGACCAGCTCAAGACACAACAACCACTAAAGAAGCACAAACGGCCCCGTTGTCGACTCTCGGGCAAATTCGTTGGAGATGCTGCACCCAGAGCTCTAATGTTCACTTGTCGTCAGATGAATCAGGAGGCGGTCGAGTTCATCTATGCCAGGACCACCTTCTGCTTTGATCGATTCGTGGTCATCAACAAATTCCTCAATGTCATCCCAAAAGCCGGCGCCAGGAGTATCGAGAGTCTGCAGATCACTCATACGGGGTATAGTGAGCCTCAATGGATGGATAACCGGGTCTGGAAATTCCGCCATGATGCCAAATGGAAGATGACACTGGAGAGAGTCAAAGAAGAAATGACAAGTTTGTCTCGGCTCAAACTCGACTTGACCTTCTTCGACTGGCCGTGCCGACTCGAGACGAGCGAGAAGTGGGCTAGACCCTTACTTCACCTTGCAGGGGACGGTCTCGATTGGGTGGATATTACCTTGAATCACGACAGATTCCATGTTGTGAAAAATGCCGCAACTGCAAAGGAACTCGAGAATCGAATGATGACGACAGAGGGCAAGAAGAACAAGATCAAGGAGGCCAAGCTGCAAGCCATCCTCGAGAAAAAGAGGAAAGAGGAAGCGCAAAGGAAGGCGACAAAGGTACTGACCATCAAGATGCCTTTGACGGACAAACTCAAGGTGAGCAATGTGCCGCTGAAGAAAAAGGGCAAGGGTCTGGAGCATTATTCATGGGCTCAACCTTCTGTTGCATATTGCTAGAGACGTTTCAACGAGGGAGCTGACGTTGGAGTATGAGATGCAACACTTTGAGCAGTACCCTAATGGCGACAGACGTTTGAGGGCTAGCATCATTACGGGATCAACAATTGATCCTAATCAACGCATTGTAAGAGTACTTAAAACAGATATCCACTACTCGTTCTGCGCATAGCATCAGAGTTGAGACATAGATCCAATGACATTGATAATCAATAGCTCGAAGCAGCCCAGGCTGGAGCGGGCTTTTCATCACTGAAGCTCATGTTTCTTTTGGTCAACGAGGTGCTATACTGGTAGAGTAATATCATCCAAGTGCCAGTTCCTCAAAGTCTTGATCGCCGTCGAGGGTTGGAAGAACTGATTCACCGCATATATCGTACTGCCCGTCGCAAAATTGTCGGTCGTATAAGCACCCTGGGCCTGAAGACCTGGATTTATCGGCACAAGACCCACATACCCTGCGCTGTTCCAGTTATCTCTCGTCGCGAGCACCATCGTCCATTCAAGTCCTGGGACTAGAGTGGTAATCTCGAGACGTGTTACAACGGGTCATTGTTCATGTTCGAAGCTCAGACTCACGACTCGTAAGTGCTCGAAACACCATTATGCCTACCTAGGTACATTATCCCCGTTAGCAATGAGCAACGCAATGCCACGCAGCAACAGCGGGACGGTCTCAGTCGGCATTGCATTCTTGGTGTCAGAGGTATTGTCGGCCGAGTGCGGCCAGAACATTCTCCGTGCCCGGCAAACCTTCCGTAGATGAATTGCTGTGAAAACAGGTGCTGGGGCCTGGTGCCCATGCCAGTCAATCAGAGTTGGTAAAGCTTTAAGACCGCTTTGGCATTGACAACATCATCACACCCTGATCGTCGCGTGGAGACTCTCCCAGACAAATAACTACTAATCGTCCTAAGATCACGGTGGTCCGCGATGAAGTCCTATAAGGCGACAATTTGACCACAAAATGATCCCAACACGATCTTACAAGAGCCACGGCATCTCCCAGCCCAAATCATGGCAAACGGCCTAGACTCTTGAGATGAGGTGATGAGCGGTCCCGGACCCTTATTTTGATCGCCCGGAAGCTCCCTTTTGGCGGGGCACGACAGACACTCGAATATATATCCCTACATGCATCTATTTGCTTCGTCTACTGACTTCTTATTATGGTGATGTGCCATTTTGTGCACTGCATACCCGAGGTATTGAGGATATGCCGGTTGTTCGAACAAGGGGCATCATCATATTCATAACCTGACCATCATGCTAAATTATCTATGTATAGAAACAACCATCGACTTTCGAGGCATGCCGAGCAATGGAAACGACCCCGATCTTCCACCATGGCCTGCAGGGCGCCTGCAACCGAAATGCAGATTATCACAGAATACATCCAGTCAGCAAGAAGCAGTCAAACCCGACCCTGTTGGATGCAGGTGTTATCGTTGTTGATTCGTTATCAATGGGCGCTTCGATAATTCGTCTCCTCCAATCATTGCTCTTCAACCCACTTCGTCACCCGCTCGGCTTCCCATCAGCTGCATCGTCTGCATCGTCTGCATCTTCTCTTTCCTTCATTCTCATCCAACCGCCCATTCACCATGCATCTAGACATGTCAAGCGCCCAAAGAGTCTCCATCTCGGAGACCTTTTCGATAATGCATCGAATCTCAGGTAGGTACCGATTCAAAGAACAGCATTACTTACATCCATATCTCCTCCTCAACACTTCCATCATCTTTCAACATCTACTCCTCCCTCCGTTCACCCCGTCCTTATATTCTTGCAGCTCGCGCAGGCTTCGCTGAGCGATTGACCTACCAAGTCTTCCTCGTGCACAGCCCCAGGTTTTCTGCTGTCATCCATCCCACTTGATTGCAAACCTGACCGCAAGGCCGACCTCAAAGCGCCAGTTGCCACAAGACTTGTTTTACTCTCTGGCAGACCACTCACCCGGAGAGTCAAACCACTACTTTGCAGATCAATCAGAGTGGCCACTGGTCTCGACCATTTGCATTTTGCCGATTGACCCAGTCACATTTCCCCAAGCGCCTCGGGTCAGCACATTATTCCAGGAGGTCAGCCGGTTGACCGACCTACTTCACCACTTTGTTCTGCTCTCTACGCAGATTTCTCCTCATCACTGTCCTTTACAAACGACCCAGAGCTGGACTCGATTACCATAACGACGACGAACAAAGCTTTTGCCTCGAGGGCGTCGACTCCGTATATATCTCAACCCTTTAGTCCCTCTTGCCGTCTCACGTCAGCACAAGCGGCTTGTCGGGATTCGTGAATACTTCGGGAATCCCTGTCCGACGTTGCACGCCCTAGAGAAGCTGAAAGACCTTACTAAACAGTCATGGCACCATCGAACTTCGAGCCGGTGTCGCCCCTTGACATGACTGCTAAATCCAAACCGTCTCGCACGTCTGGACCCGCCATTGAAGACTTCAGCGAGAAAACAGATGTCAAAGCGACAACCCGATCACTGCGGACAAACTCGACAGCATCATCTCGATCCACGAACCCGGTGCGCAAAACTCGCTTCGCCGAAGCGACGTCTGTTTTCTCCCCCGCCACTGGTCCCGGCGAGCATCAATCTCCGTTTGCAGACCCCAACATGGACACCATCAACGCTGCCCCCAAGCCTGCAGACATGGGCTTTGGCTATATCTCAGACAACCAACCCGTTGAACAATATGTCACAATCAAAACCGATCCCAACGGGTTCGCTGGCGTGCCACTCAAATCCGCACTCAAAACGCCCGGCACATCAAATCGACTGCTTAACCCTCTCAGCCCAACATTCCGTGAGGAACAGGTCTTGGAGAAGGAAGAAATGAAGACCGATGAGCAACAGGCCAACGATCTGGTACGTTTACCACCTCACTTCGCTCCCCAATGACTAACCTTGCATTCGTACAGAAAGTCAAAACCCGCGTCCGCATGGCTAAATTGGTCCTCCGTGGCGTCAACTTCTCCTGCTCACTCATTGTTCTCGCCATGCTCAGCACCGTCCTGACGATCTTCCACGCGACCAAAGCGATTCCACCGCGCAACAATCTGACAGCATGGGCGCCCAAACAACAGATATGGCCACAGATTGTTGTGTTGTCCATCTCCTGCGTCTCACTCCTGTTCTCAGTGATCGTCCTCGTTGCATACTGCAGAGGCGGTCACAACCGCGCGCAAAAGGTCGCAGTCTACTACACCATGTTCGGAGTCGGGTGGTTCATGTTCAGCGTCATCATGTGGCTTGTCGGGGCCGCCGTCCTGCACGGCAGCAAAGCCAACGGCGGCGGCGTTGACATGTGGGGTTGGTCGTGCAAGGACAACAAGCGCAAGCAATTGTTCCAAGACGATGTGCACTACGCGCTGGTCTGTAGATTGCAGGACTGGAGTCTGGTGTGCTGCGTCATCGAAGTCGTGGTCGAGGTCATCGTCATTGCGATCTATGGCATTGTCTTCTACCGCTTCTGGAGCAAGAACAGGCTGCGAAAGAGCATGAATGCCCGAGACCGCGCACGCACGGACTTATACCTTGCACAACTGAGGACTCAATCTGCACCAAATACGCCCGGATTTGCGAGTATGACACAGCAGACGCCACGGACGCCGGGATTTCCGTCGCAGCACTCGATTCACTCGCCTGGCGGTAAAGATGTTGAGGCGGGTGTCTATCCGTACTCGCAGGCACAAGAAGCAGCACGCCAGCCTTCGCCTCAATTTGTGGCCGTGTCGCCGCAGTCCAACTCCAACACGACGAGTTCGCCGTTCAGGTTGCAGGCTCCGCCGATACGAGTCCACAACGCGACACCTAAGTTGTCGGCGTCCGAGGGATTTCAACGACATGATATGTCGGCGTCACCTCCTCCGCCACCAATGTCCCCACCGCCCGAGGATAGAGTACACCAGCACTTTGGCGCCGCACCAGGCGAGCAGACGTATGATGCTGTGCCGATTCCGGGCGCGTATGTCCCGCCTTCACAGCTGGAGCGGAGTCAGAGTCCGCCTGGTCAGGCTTATTGAGTCTTTGGAAACGGAAAACACTCCAAGTTTGGGATCTTCTCTGGAAGGGCGCTGGCACGGTCACATGGGTAAAGGAGTTGATCATGTCATGGGGTAGGATTGAGTAGGCTTGTGCCCCATCGTTTATACTACTTCTCTTACACTCAGATGTTATAGCCATGGATACTGTAGCCTGGTTTTTCAAACCTAATTCCTTTTGGCAATTAAATCATTGTTTCTGCGGAGAAGAGAACAGCTAATAGGTATCTTGATTGAGGTTGTCAAATCACCTCCAGTAAGGCAACTGGGGCTATTATAGGTGCCAAATCAGCCTGGAGTCTGCGCAGCTCTAGCCTCTCGTCGCCCAAAACTCCAGACTCCATGCTCGGTGATAGAGCAAGTTTCTACATGAGCCCACCATATGGATCATCCTGTCGCTGCCAATAGTCCCGCTTCTCTTGGTGACGCTTTACTTGTCCGCTGCCGCCTTGTGTCACCCAGAATCCCAGGAAGGAATGTGATTTACTCGAGACACGCTTATTCGCAGGCCTTGAATTCCTTGACGGCGAAACAGACGGAGATTTTGGAGCGGCGTTACCTCGAGAGAACATTTCTTTGACTTGCGTGGTGCGAGTCATATGTGCTGCGTAGTCGAGTTCTTGGACGCCGATAGCAGGGTTGGTGGCGGCGCCACGGGCGTAGTTGAGGATCGCGTCGACGTCGTAGCTGATGGTCTCTGAGTCCAGGATACGAGCGAAGATAAGCTCTTCGAGCGCGGCGCGAAGCCAGTCATCTTCTGGACCGTATGTGGGCGTTGCGTAGAGCAGGGTAGAGACCTTTGTGGCGAGTTTTTGTGAGGTGCTTGGGTGCGTGGACAGGGCGATGCGTAGGACCAGGCGGTGGGGTTTGCCCTCTAGTGAGGATGTTATGTCTGTTGTTGCTTCACTTGTAGGGGCATTGGATTCTTCTTCTGGGTGAGAGATAGGGACCGGGTATTGTTGTTGGCGGAGTTGATGGTTGTGCATGTCGAATAGGGTCGATTCAAAGACTGGTTGTTGAGGTTGGGCTGGAGACTGCCATCGTTGGAGGAAGCGCGACTTCTTTGGCTTGGATTGTGGTTGTTGTGTCGTTTGTAAGTCTTTCGATGGAGAGACGAGAATTGACCAGTGTATTGGACCTGGACCGGATGGGTCTTGTGAGGGAGTTGGGGGCGCGAAGCCCAATATGGATATTTGGGACATCCCGGGAGTCTTTATGCTGGAAACTTCGGTGGATGGTATTTTCGAATCGAAACACAGGTGTACGGTGGAAAGACGCTGTAGCAGCTGTGAACGGGATCTTCTGTTCTTGATATGCTGTCTATGTTCTTCTAGTTCAGGCAGCCCTGTGGTCGCTTGGAAGTATTGAGTAGTTTGTTGGATGAATCTCACCAATCAGCAATTGAATGCTGATGTGAGAATGGGTATGAATATGTGATCAAGAGAGTCTGTGAAGATGTTGAGTCAGACCGTGAACTCCTGCCGCGTTGAGCTGATATTGTTTGTCCAACAATATCCTGCCGTGAATGCTGTTATGCCTGCTCGGCCCCAGCCTTGGTCCCTGAGAGGAAGTAGTCTTTTTCAAACTGAGTAATCGAGGCTGACGAAGTGAGTTCTTCCAGGAGTGAATGATTTTGGTTCGCAACACTTGATGTGGGAGGCAATATGGTTCAAGGATGATTGTTGATCGCTAGACAATGCGAATATACCAGACAACGAGATGAAATCAGGTGATGATGGAAGCAGAATCAGTTGACGCAATGATGGCAACAGAGGGATTGACATATATGTCCAGCGATTGCGTTGTCTCAAACTTACCCATTTGCGTCCATATCTTGCACGTCAGTACGGATATATAGCATTGCACAATCACTCTCGCCTAATCGACAAGGCGCGAATCAATTGACGCAGCAAATTTAATCATTGTAACGCATCGACAGCGAAATGGCTCATGCAAGAAGCAGGAACAGGATGGAAGTCCGGACTTTTGCTTCCGGAAAAATAATTTGGCTCTTCGAGGATTGATTCGTTGGTGCTTTAGGGGTCGTCAGAATCGGACTCGATTGCCAATCACGTTTCAGGCCTTGGTCAACCCCAATCTGACATCTCCGAGTCATCGCCGAATAGCATCGTCCTCGATTGATATGGTCAAAGACATGAATCGTACTCATCGAAAAGAACTCCGTATAGGAAGCACCGGGATAGAACTTGTCATAAAAGAGGGGCCTGTAGAACCGACAGCAGACTGATCGAATAGACACCTTTCGATTGACAGGTGGCTACAGGCATTGTGTGAGACGAATCGAACATTTTTTCGGACGCAGTATTGAATATTGCACAACGGCAGGACGCAGAAGGTGCAACAAACTCCACGAAAGGAGCAAAAAGACCCGACGAACTTCATACTTTTCATATCGGAGTGTATGGTTGTTGTTGTACAACGAAGGTGATACCTCTGGTAATACACGAATGCCTCATCCTTCCCCACTGCCATGCGCCGCTTCGTCTGAAAGAGCTTCAACTCCGTCGCAAATGCCCAAAATTCAAATTCCTCGCTCGATTGTCGTTGACTCGGCAAGGTGAAGCGTGGTAACAGTGAAATCTTCTGACAAATCTGCCACAGCTTTGTACAGCATGATGACCAAGTCGTCGTGTTGTTGCAGTTCTGGTGCGCATTGCTGCCAGACGACTGGATCCTTATACCTTTGGTCTGTAGGTGCCGTCTCTCTTCCTGTTAAAAGCCCTCTGGTCTTTCAACCAATTCCTATAGCCGGCTACACTTCCGATCTTCTCGCCGTAGAAGTCCGGCACCGGATTGTTGGTACTTGCTCCGCTGGGGTTCACCCGGTGTTTCTTTATCCTTTCGAAAAATGCTCGCTCTTTTATGGTGAACTCTGGGAGACGGGCACGATGGAGCAATCTCCACAGCGTGTTGCCGAATGCCGGACCGATAAGCCATCCAAAGAACGTCGCTCCGAACGTTGCGAGACCCATGCTAATAAAAGGATCGGTGGGAACGAGCTTTGTGATGTTATCCGCAAGGTCTGGGAGTTCGGAGAAAGCAGCAATGGCTCCACCAGTTGAGACCACCGCTGTCAGGATGGAGGATGTCAGGGCGTATCTCCGTCGAGACTGACGGAGGCGGAAGAAGGAATTCCAGTCGAGCGCGGTCGTGGTGTTTTGGGTAGGAATTGCGGAAGTCGATGCATTGCGCGTCCGACATAGTGAAGGAGTGAAGAAGGATGATGGTGTACTGGTAGGAGTGGAAGGTTGATTGAGTGCCACTACTGGTGAGTGCTTGGATGGTACCAGTCGGTGACTGCTTCGTGGAATCAGTGCGGCTGATGAAATGTCTCGTTGCGATTTCGTCGAGACATTTTTGGAAGAAGCCAGCATTGGCCGTGACTGAGCAAGCTGCAGACCCAGTCGGCTGGTCCTTGAGGACATTGTAACGGTGGCTCAGAGCAATCAGAAGGAAATATCGTAGTGTATCTGTGCCCAAAAATATCCTCAGCTGAAGTTGTATGTCGCAGACTGCGGATGACAAGTTGTAGGTCCAGCTGCCAATTGAGGATGAATTTGCGAGAAAGCTGTTATCGGGTAAACCACGGAGTATGATAGGCGTCGAGGTCGTCCACCAAGCACGTGCAATGGAGAGGGGCTTCAGGCTGTGGGCACTTGGGCTTGGGCGACCACGACTGACAGGTTGCTTGTCGATAGGCAGGGTGCGCGGGCCAGGGTAAGACTTTAGAGTGAGAGTCGAGACCAGACCTTCCTCACATGCAGCCTGCAGGTGCCCGAAAGCCATCAACGTCGCCGGGAGTTGGACTTTTGGATGCCTGTACTGTAAGCTTTGGGCCTCTGGCTGGATCCCGTCCGCTCATGATCCATCATCCATGTGGAAATCGCGGCAGTCAACTTTTCAGCTGGTGTGCCGCTAACTTATCACCTTGATCCGGGCTCCTCCTCCTTCTGACTGGACGGTTTGGCTCTACCCATTCGCTGCCTACACAATCTCGAGCCTGCGCCCAAAGCCAAAATTCGCCCATCCCTCGCATCGCATACAGCAAGGGTCTTCCAGACTTCAGTCCATGTCTTCTGCCGTATCCTCCCCCGACAGCGCCGTTCTAGATCCACACGTGGTATCTATCCCGTCTTCGCGACTCTTCACTCTACTTAGACCCTTCGCTTCTGCCCATCCGACCTTATCAATCCTCGACACTTCCTTGCCACGAAATGAGGCTTCTCCATATCAGGCGCAGGTGTTTCTTCTGCTGCCCAGCCTTCACCGTGTGCTGATGTGGTTGCGCCGCGACACTCGGTGATACCCGATCCGAAGCCATGCCGCGACCGAAGAAATCGGAGGAGGATGGGAGGGAAGTCAAGAAACGCTCAAGAAATGGATGCTGGTGAGTTCGGTGCTGCAAGAGATGAGAATCGCTGCTTATACATATGTTCAGGCCTTGTAAGTCCAGAAAGGTCAAGTGGTAGGTGACAGTCTGATCCGCGACTCTATCGAGACCGTTTGCTGACAGACTGTAGTGGAGAAGAGAAACCCTCATGTATCAATTGTCAACGACAAGGCGAGACATGCGACTACAGTATACGGCTGAACTGGGACGGTCGAAGCAAGAAGAAAGACGATGGGAAGCCAGGATCTCAAATCATCTCTTTTGCGAGTCCGCAGCATATGCCGCCGTCGCTCCCAAATGGCTATAGCAATGGCTCCTCAAACCACAGTCCCATTGAGGAACTTACACCTCAACCCTCGCACGTCCAGCCTCAAATGACTGCCAATTTCACTGTGAACCAACACCCAGAGTCTGCGCTTCCTCCGATTGCCGATTTCGCAAATAATCTGCAAGTCCCGCCGACCGAATTCAATCCAGCCCTTCTACCTCCACCACCAATCCTCAGAACTCCACAATGGAATGAGAACGTGGCCAACAACAATATACCCGAGCCTGCAGTCATGCCTCATTTGAGACATTCGACATCCTTTCCGGCATATCCGTCGCCCTCGGATTCAGGCTTTGGGAGTCCGAACCTCAATAACGGAATGTATCAATTCAACGGCCATTCGACACAAATGCCTCCACCCATGCCAACGTCCAACCCACTGATGTATCAGGAATCCCTCAACTCGCCGTACAATAGCGCAAAGCGAATGAGACTCAGTCCTCGCACCGACAGTTTCGGCAGACCTACTTCCCATTTCCAACGGGCCTCATCATATGGCCCGAATGACCATGAAGAGCACGCCCGTGTTCAATTCAACCCGAACACACCCACTTTCTTCCCGACTCATCTTCAAAATCCCTTGACGCCAGCTACCTCTGCGACATCACAGGTATCACAGGATAATGACGATCGGCGGATCTCTGTGAGCTCTTTACTATCAGAGGATCCTGATACCGACGACGCGAAACCTGTCGACAATTATCAACATACCCATTTCACGCAGGAGGAGATTCCGCGACGCGGGTCGCTTCATCAACGGATGGTTTCGTACACTGCAACCGAAACATACGGTCAAGATCGTGGCAATCCTGACCTTGATATCCCTCGGAATAATGATACCATGGCCATTTCCGGCATGTCGCCTTCCGAACACAGTGACTTCGAGAATTGGTTGCACGACACCGATCTTGGAGTGCCCGAATTTGGCTTTGGACTTGTGAGTCGAGAAACGGTGTTTGGCAAGGGAGGCTATTATGCTTCACCAGTCCCAATCAAGATACCTCGGAAACTGGAGCCTCTGCCTCGAGCACTTTCAGAGAATCCGATGAATCTTTTGTACTTCCATCACTTCCTCAACCACACGGCCAGGATATTGGTTCCGCATGATTGTCCTGAGAATCCCTTCAAGACAATCTTGCCCAAAAGTAGGTTGCGATCATGTCTGAATAATGGGTCCTGGCTAACTTGTCACAGTGGCGGTGGAAAATGCGAACTTGCTGAATTTACTGCTCGCATATTCAGCTTCGCATCGAGCGAGGCTGTTGAATCATCCCGAACCTGCCAACCGAATTGCTCTTTGGGTTCGAGACGTTTTCCCGTCATTGCGACAGACGCTGGATAATGTATCCAACACGGAAGTCTCCAATGCCAATCTGGCAACAGCAATCATGCTGGCTTCTCTTGAGATCATTTCGCCTTCGAGTTTCGGAGTTTCTATACCTTGGCAGAATCATCTCAGCATTGCTCGAAGCATCATTCGAGCTCGTGGCGGCCCCAACTCTATCTCACGCAAAGATCCAGTGATGTACTTCTTGACTAGATGGTTGGCTTATCTCGATGTCATGGGTTCATTGTCCGGTCGCCGCAATGAGGAGCCCTTGTTTGCTGGCAATTACTGGTCCAGCTCACACGATGAGAGCACGTCAGCCAAGGAACTATCTTTGACTGATGAGGACGACACAGATGATGAAGACGACTATACGATTGACTGTTTGCTGGGCTTCACTACTCGATGTGTTTCGATACTGGCGCAAGTGGCGCTTTTGGCCAGACAGTGTGAATCGAACAGGATTGATGCTACTGGACGCATCAACGAAGCTTGGAAACCTTCGCCAGATATCCTCAAGAAGGCCGAAAAGCTGCGTAAGGATCTTGAACACGCTCGCAACCATGAACAAATTTCATGCTCTCACCCCAGCCCCACGCTGACTAAAGCTCACTTGGTCGGCTCAAGGCGCAACTCTGCCTATATCGAAATGACGGACAAAGACGTGGAAGAATCTCTGGCGACCAATTCCGTTTTCCATTGGGCTGGACTGATACACTTGCTTCGTCGGATCCACAATCTTCCTCGCAGCGACCCACAGGTGCAAGCGGCTGTCCATGAGATAGTCAAAGTGCTACAGTCTCTACGTGCCGGGGGCAGTGCGGAGGCGTGTTTGCTCTTCCCAATGTTTACAGCCGGCGTTGAAGCAGAGGATTCGCTGGACCGGGCTGAAGTCTTGAGCAGGATCAAAGGCGTCGAGGGGCTGGGTATGTGCCAGGTCAGTCGTGCTCGGAAGATAATGGAAGAAGTTTGGAGGACAGGAGACAGCTGGGAGAACTTGGTGACTGGAGAGTTCTTTGGATGATGGTGATGCAGAATACCTCATTATGGTGGATCACCCACACATTTCTTTCACAGTGGACTTACTTGCATATATTGAGCGTTGGAGTTGGGGTTGTTGTCGCTATGTCAGGTACATACAAACATTAGCATAATTTAATGCTTCCACTTTCAGAAGAGACTGGATATGCATATTCCTCTGTTAAATGCGATCATGACACGGAAGATCCGTGCCCTGATGCCTTGAAGAGCCGCAGTAGATCTTTTATTTGCGTCAAGCACTTGTGTTCAGGAATTTGCCGAGCGATGCGACTGATTTCGGCTACAACCTCATCATGAGTGGCTGGAGCCTCACTACGTCAGCATATGAGCGCATCCAGCACTTTCTATCTTTCAATCTATCTGGCTTCTATTTTTCTTCCTTACCAGGTAATCTTCAGCCTGTATCTACTCACGCTTGGCAAATAGCATTTTGGCGGCTTCTAGAGATCACTTCTCTGTCCGTCTACTTTGCATCTGGTCGGCCGGCGCTCTAGACGGAGTCACACCGCGCTTGTTTCTTTTTTTATACTTTCCAGCGTCAACATTATTTGTGCTTCGGGGATATCTTGCAGAAGTCGTGCGACAACAGCGAACATGGCATCTTCCCCTCCCTCTCCCCACAGCGCGACGGCCATGGACAAACTCATCGATCAACACCCTCTTCAACGCCTCGAGTCGCCGTCGCGCGGAATCTCGGCGCTCGTCCACGTCTTGGGCCTGGCGAGCTTCGGGTACTCGTACAACTACCTTATCGCCAACCCGAACCAGATCAACCAAGCGTATGGCTGGCACTTCCAGTACCTGACGATCATCGGATTAAGTCTCGCGACATTGACATTCCTATTGGCATTGCTTGCAGACTTTACGCGCTCGCCACGGGTGTTTGCGCTCAAAAATCTGGTGTCCATGTGCTCCGCGCCCATGGAGGTGCTCATCAGTTCTCTCTACTGGGGTTTACGGGCGATCGATCCTGCGCTCGTTGTCCCGCCGGAACTTGAGCTGCCGGTCAGCGCGGATGTGAGTTTCCATTTGGCGCCCAGTGTGTTGTTGTTGGTGGATCTGTTGTTGCTGAGTCCGCCTTGGGCGATTACTGTCCTGCCGGCCGTTGGGCTGAGCGTGGTGATTGCGATGGGGTATTGGTGGTGGATCGAGCTTTGTTACAGTTATAATGGCTTCTATCCTTACCCTTTATTTGCGATGCTGGATTCGACGCAACGGGTTGGACTTTTCGTGGGGAGTGCGCTGGTTATGGCTGCGAATACGATGGTTTTGAAGTGGCTTTACGGGAAAGTCAATGGGTTTGGGAGGAAGGCTGTGAGTAGGCCGGGGAAGGTTAATTAGAGGCGAGATCTTCTGAATGGGAAGGTGGTGACAGACGGTCAGTAAGGAGGCCAACGCACGAGAGGGGATAGAGGATGCAGAGGATACGAACAACGTAAGGTGGTGGTCCGACGGCGGAAGAAGGATACTCGTACGAGGGAGGCATTGAGTGATGTCTTAAGAAGGTATCAAGGTCATAGACTATGGTAACCCTCTCACATATCGGCAAGTTGCAAGTGCCGGTTGCTTGTCTGGGGTAAGTGAGTCGCAGATCAGACATAGCCGAACAAAAGGACAGTGCAGGCAGATCCATACCAAGCCCGGAAGGTCATGTCAAATGCTATCCGAAGAAAAAAGGTCGGTGAAACTTGGGGTAGATCCATTCCATGCGCGGAAGGTCAGAACAATGCAGATTTGTCATAAAAAGAGTCCAAATACGAACATCCGAAGCATTCTGGTCCTGTCTCCCCTGGATGTCGTCGATTTTGTGGCAGTGATGTCCCGGACGATCTTTTTTGTTGTATGTCGCGAAAATAGCATGTATGAATCATCCTCCGGCCGAAATGCTGAGTTTCAGATCCGTCATGCCCACGCCAGACATTTTGTCTTCGTACCGGCAGCCGTACCAAAAGCTTCATGGCGTGTCCCAGACCGGATGGGCTTCAAGCGTTGCCTAGCGTGACGTGCGCAAGACCCATGGTATCCGGCGTTTCAGCGCTTGCCGGAGGGCTATACTGTGGTCCGCGACATCGACGTCGACCAATGCTGATTTGAGGGTGGTTGTTTCGGGTTGCGCAAAGCCTCTATCAACGTCTCGTCCGATTTTGCGGACTCGACGGTGCGGAGAAGCGGAACGTGAGAGGCAGTAACTTTTTGCGAAACTTTGAATCGGGCGATCAACATCCGCAAATATGCTGTCTGCACACGATGTGAACAATGAGAATGTCGGAGAAACGTCAATGCACCTGTCCTTTGACGGCGCGCCTGGGATGCCTATCATGCAAGATCTACACCGCCGAAGCGATTGAACGTGATTATCTCAGGTCCTGGTGAATGTTGTTTCGATAGTTTGGTCTTTCTTCGGACCACGGACTTCATGTGTCATGCTCCAGGAGGTCAAGGTGATCGACTCAGGGGACTTTGGCGTTACATTGAAAGTGTATAGGCTGCTGTAAAAGTCATGGACACATACGTGACCCCCTGATCCATGGAGAGCGATGTCGTGGCTTTGAGTAGAGACATCTTCACCGAACGGGGCAATGTCAACGTTGTGAAACAGATAGTCGATCTCGTTGGTGCCGGGCTTGGTGAACCAGACACTGATCTTATGGACACCCTCCGTCCTTTGCAGCCGCCATATGTACTTGCGCGAGAAGGGAAATTTGGGAAAATTGGCGTCCTGGTTTGAGATGGAAGGAGTCAGCTCGAACTCGCCTTGTTCGTGGTAGAGGAGCTCGTCATCGGCGAGCTGAAGCTTTCCACTGTCATCAATGACGGGGCTAGGTTGTCTTCTTGTAAAAGTGGCCTTGCCTGTGCAGCGACCTGATGGTTCTGCTGCATTCGCACTCTGTAAGCTACGATGAAGAACCCAGGTACCGTGCAGGGTTTCAAACAGGCGAGCAGTGATCGTGGACATGGACGATCCCCCTTCGTAATCCGTCTGCTTGATCATAGTCCCTGCACCTGTCGACTCGGCGCCGCAAACCTAGATAGACGGATGTGCGGACTGAATTCAGCTTGGACAGGGTCGAAGTGAAGTGATTGCTTCAGAAAGAAAGTCAAGATACGGCCTGACTCGGTAAATGCATCGGGAGAGATTGCTTGTGATACGGATTCCAGCTCGGATTCTGGCCCGGAACAAGTGTCCGCAGTCGCCAGGCGCCGGCCAGGGGCTTAACCGTAGAGAGGTTTAGTTATCGGCGCCGGTTTAAGCATTGTGGCTTGCAGTTATCGAGCATACTGTACGTCACTCCCACCATCACTCACTCGCCACGCCTCGCCCTCTTCATCTTTGCCTTTTTCCATTCAAATAAAATTTATTGATGGGAGCTACTACATCATGATCTGCCAGTTCTCCACGATGGAGCACTCTTTCGTTTGTTGTTTCTCTCGATCCACCTAGAAAAGTTTCCGAGTGCGATATGGCAGATTATGACCAGAGTCAGCCAGACTCCCAGCAACAGGATAGTAGGGATGTCTCGCCCATATCTTCGAAACGTCGCAAACGCGCCGTCAGGGCTTGTGACGAGTGTCGATTTAGAAAAGTGAGATGCGACGGTCTGTCACCTTGTGAGCCGTAAGTATTTCAGGCTATTCACTCTCTTTGCCAACAGTATGCTGACAAGCTCTGTCCCCGACCACAGTTGCAAGCTCAGCGGGAGATGTAAGTGTATACTTCGTGATTCCTTCAAGGCCATCTACACAATGAACAGGCCTGACCAGCTGACCAACAATGCTCAACAGTTTGTGTATACAGTGCAAATGTCTCACGAAATGTGGATCCACGACTGAGAGCCAGAGTACTCGAGGACCGTCTGCGAGTCGTGCGCGCAAAAATCGAGCAGGTCAAGGATGGGAAGCTTTCCTGGGAAGATGCCGACCTTGACACAATTCTCAATCCACGTGATGGGAGCCTGTTGCCGCCCGAGGAGAACCCGGATAGCAATGACGCTCACGAAGACGATCCGGGCAACGACACCCTGGACAGCATGATGAGCCGATATGGACGTGAGGAGACCGGCGACCCTTGGGCAGCGAAGTTCTATGGAGCGCCGTCAGGAGCGGCATTCATCCACCGAATGCAAGAATGCTTCGGTGATGGAGATAGCCCAACTACAGAAGCTTCCGGATCTCATCCTTCAGTCATCTCCAATTTGTTCGATGCGCCACTACCCTTCCACGAACATGCCGACGATCGTTCGCCTGTGGAATCTCTTCTTCCACATCGCGAAACAGCAGATGCCTTGGTCAACGTCGTCTTAGCACGCGCATATCCGATATTTCTGTTTTTACGTGAACCAACTTTTCACGAGATGCTGGATCGCACTTATACGCGCGAGCCACTTCAATATGAGCCGGAAGATCGGGCATACCTTCCGCTGTTTCTACTCATCATGGGACTTGGATATTTGTTCAGTCAGTCAGAACATCAGAAGTATGGATGTCGGCGAGCCGTTAGCCAAGCGTAAGCGATGCAACAACCATCACCCCGGCCCCATTTTGCTGATGCATAGGACATAGGATGAAGTATTACATGACTGCACGCAGGATGGTCGATATTACTGCATGTCGAAGTTTACGGTCTATGCAGATTCTGCTGTGTTTTGGTTTGTTTCTCATCTCAACTGCTCGAATCGCTTCGGCCCATGCTTTCATCAGCTTGGCATGTTCATCGGCATTGCGATTAGGACTGCACCACAGATCAACTCACGACGCCAACATCTCGAAGCAAGATCGTGATACCAGGAGAAATGTCTTTTGGACAACGATCAAGCTGGACATGTATGTCAGCGCAGTCTTGGGATTACCAGCATTCTTGGACGTGCGGGACGTCGATCCTGCGATCGACTTGACTGTGGCAGAGGTCCTCGAGGAAGTTAACTCTGGTCTTCCTGATCGCGACGCTGTTCTCCTTGGCGGCGCCGCCAAACATCTCGAAATCATGCGAACCATTTCCAAGGCTATAAAGACGCTCTTCCCAATGCCGACATTCGAAAATGAGGCTTCGGGGAACGGCAACATCTCAGTAAGCATACGAAGTCTTGAAGAGATCGAGGCACAGTTCCGAACATGGGGAGAAAGCACTTCAAGCCTTCTTGAAAAAGGGGATGATGGTTCTGCGGAATTCATACGGTGAATCAAGCTCAATTTTTCCGCATCCTACTGCTTTGCTAAACCGAAACGCGTAGTATGAAGTATGAACTGGAGATTACTTCGTTCTTCGGTAAACTTGTCCTCTATCGTCCGTTTCTACATTACCTTGCGAAATCATCAAATGGCCGCCCGACATCTCAAAGGGCTTCACAACGCGCACTTGCATGCGTCAGAATTGCCTCAACCGCCATATCGAGGTCGGAGACGATACAAGAGCTTGGACTTCTACGGCCAGCATCCTGGACATCTATCTACACCATATTTCTCTCCGTGGTGTGTCTCATCTTCTTGATTGCCACGAGAGAGGGCACACAACATCCCGTAGAAGCATGGCGCAAGGCTGAAAGTGGTATTCGCTTGATAGCGGCCACCAAATGCCACGAGACGTGTTCCACGCAGTGTCTCGAGATATTGAAGGTAAGAGCTCTCTCTGTTGTAGGGCTTGCAGTGCACTCACTCATTGTGCTTATTTCCAGCAACTGGTTCAACATCTCTCTCATACGGTAGATTTCGACATAAAACGCATTGAGGCAGAGACCAGTCCGGTCTGCCAAGCCAGTGTTGCTTTCGACGATCGACCCGGGAAAGAGGTACGACCGAAACATTCCCAAGGGAGCGACGGTTCCTACTACCGGGCCGAAGGATCCAAGCACCGTGACAAGAAGAGGGCTGGCGACAACGCTGTGCTGATGGCATCCACGGCGCTTCCGTTGCAGACGCAAGCTCCAACAAGCGAGATGCTGGAAGATGAGTCGTTGTACGACCCAACTATGGCACTTCCACCGTTGAGCTTTCCACCTGTTGGCAGTGCTGTCTGGAGCGCAACTACTCAGGGCTTCCAACAGCAGGCACAGAATTCGACGATTACTGACGAAATGGTTGATCTGCCTGCCGTGCAGCAATTTATTTGGCCTCATCAAGTTGGAGAAAAGTATTTCAACGACGTCATCCGCTTCGGCGATTTCAAGTCCGGCTAGTACTGGGAACTGTATCGTCCAAGGAAAACCCAGCTGCTCGAGGGTCAGCCACATCCTCTCCCGAACATCTTGTCCTCACTTCGCGGAACGAATATTCTACGGCATAAAAATGACGATGAGCTATCTTGATCGACCGCATTGCTGTCTGGTGTCTGGTGGTCAAGCCTTGTGGAGGATCACCACGATGTACTTCACCCTCAAGGTTCTCCCTTCAAAGGCGTGTGATTGTGGCTACCCTCATTGACGCGAATCAACGCATCCACGCCAGCCGCAGTGGCCTTGTTTCACGGTCCCACTGTAGCCTTACGCCTGCACCATCGACAACAATGTCCCTTTTCCAGGTCATTCTGCCACCACTGTACGAGGTTCTGCAGCAGAAGCTGGCGGGTGTGCAGGCATCCTTTCACATACTGGGACTTTGCTTTCCTAAAAGCAAAACCGGATTGGAACTTGCCGTGTCTGCACGACGAACAAATCGACAATACTGTCGCTTGGGCAAGCATGATCAGCCAGGGCGTGCCTGCACTAGCGGACACCATGAGATGATATGATAGCGCAAATGCAGCAGAAATGGCCATCGCATTCATCTGGGTACCTGGTTTTAGCGAATGAACGGCCTCTCTGACCCGATACTGCTTTCTCACAGTACCTCGCTTAGCAGCACCCTACCAAACTGCATGCTTTCGTCGGTGCCGGATGGTAGGTATGACAGAAAGTACGGACTATGATGGCGAAAAATGTGGTCAAGCCTCTTTCGATTGTGCTTTTGCCTGGGATCACCCGCCGGGCCGACAGAGCAACACTGCCGTCGGTACTCGGCTGTAGACACCGGCACGGTCAGCAGCCACTTAGTTTTGCGTACGGAACATTCCGATAACATTTCCATATCAACCATCACCTCAGATGAGGCGAGAATACTTACGTCACTCAAAACCTTGCGCTTTGTCCCTGCATAGATGTACGTATACAGAAAGTCACAGTCTCGATCACATGTCACCCGCCCGACGCCGAATGTTGCCATAGGACGCAGATTAGACAGTCCGGCCATGTTCATGTCGAATCTGTGCATCGGCATTATCGTCAAGGACATGACTCGTGCACCGACTACACGATTCGTGTAGTCTACCCAAGCCTGTCCTCATGACCCGTGAATGTTCTCGAACAGGCTAGGCGGATCGAACTCACACCGTACACGTCAGACACAATGTCGCTGTTGCCTTCCCACTGTCCAGTTGTCCCAATCTCTACCAAGGGTTCACGTCTCGCTAGACCGAGGAAACGACTCGAACATGGCGCCTGCACTGTGCTAATCCAGGAAGCATGCAGTCTAGCCGACATCGCTGATGGCGATCATTCGAGACATGGAATGAACGTGGCGGTCGCTTCGTGCTTGAAGGACCAATCGTGAGAGGCAAGCTCAGACATCGGAGGTACTCAGCACTACCGCGCTTCTCCAATGACTTTGTACTTGAGTCAGGCGGTTTGGGAAGCTCTGTGAATGGTGTGTTCATCGACTGCTCCGACGTCAATCTCAGTGACAAGGAGCTGATACATGGCAAAGAGATATTTCTGCTTCGCGTCTGTCGTGTGGGCTTCGAACCAAGCATCCTGTCTTTGATTCTGGTGAAAGCGATCACATCTTGCATGGCGCATCATGGTCTTGAAGTCCATGAAAGGATAGGTATCGCCGAGGAGGTTGCCCAAGTCGATTGTACGACGCCAGGGGTCGTTCTCAGAATTGTCGTTCTGTGAAGATGAACGTATAATAGTAAGACCATGAAACTCAGATTTGTTGTACAGTCAACAAGGTGCGGCGCCTTGTCAGAGTAAAAATGTTTGCTCGCTTGTGATTGGACCTACAACGACAGGAAAGAGAATGAGAAGGTTGAGTTCTGTCTCACAGCTTGTGACCTTTTCCCGCACTCACTCCAAACTCTTCTCTACTTCACATTTGGGGTCAAAGTACGGTTTGACTGAATGAAATGCGGAGTAGGTTTGCAGCAGGGTCCATTTCCACCAACGTGAAAAATGTTGCGAAAATGGCCCGCTAACTTACCCTATTACAATGAGGCCATTACCGCGAAATGATGTGATTTTGGCATGCTTGTAGAGTGACTCTCAGGATCTTGGATATACTGGTCAGCGATAACCTGTCGGTATTCGGAGAGCGCCTGAGTTGGGACTCCAGCTCTCAGCCCAAGCAGCCCTCGTGGTACTTTTCACGACTTTCTCGCACTTGTATCGAAGACGGAGCGATTTCTCGCTTGTTCTCTCGCTCACGATGGCGCAAAAGGCCGTTCCGGGACTAATCATGGTGCCAATGTCACTGAAGCCTGAGCTTTCCGTTCAGGAATGCGATGAGTGGTACAACAATGAGCACGTTCCGATACGAATGCGACTACCCTACTTTGAGCGTGGGTATCGATACCACTCTATCGAGAATGGTGTCAAAGGATGCGTCGAGAGTGGACTGCCAGAGTGGCTGGCAACGTACGACATTCTCGACATGTGGGAACTGACGAAGGAGCCTTACACGCGTCTGCTAAGCCCCAGTGTGCAATCGATGCGAGAACACCAAGTCATCAACAAGGTAACGGCATGGCGCAAGTATTACGATCTCGTGTCGACGTATGAAGCTCCTGAGTTCGTCTCACGGGAAGAGCAGCTACGGCAGGGCGACGCGGATAAGGCATACGGGGGAACACTCATCGTCGTCGGCGTTCGACTGAGGCTTGACTCCCCAGACGCCGAAGCAGAATGGGATCGCTGGTACGAGGAAGACCACCTCCCACCGTTGAGAAAGGTCCCTGGATGGGTGCGGACGAGACGGTATCGCACATCTGTGATTGAGGATGTTCCTCCCGATGCCGCCGAGGGGTGCTCCACGACCGAATACCTGACCTTGAACGAGTTTGCGCCAGGCGCCGCGATAGGTGGACCTGAGCACCAGATTGCTATCAAGTCAGAGAGTCGAAGCAGTGTTGTCTCCCGGAAATGGAGACATTCATATGAGTTACACTATCTCCAGTCTTCGGCGTCACGAGATCTTGCGGCTTTGCGGCGAGACGAAGTTGAAGAATTTGTGAGTCCCGATGGGCTGACTACGACATTGTCGGGTCTGTGGCCCATCATTTCCAGCTATATCACGACACGAGACAAAAGCCCTATCAAGTACAAGTTGGAAGGCGTTACGACCGAGAGAGCCCCTTCGCCAGTCATTGTCCTGTGCACATGGGCAGGTCTCTCCTGGAACCATTGGGACGGGTTTGTGAGCGCGCTGCAGCAAAGGTCCACAGAGATCGATTGTCGAATCTTGCGTCTCGAGCTCCCAGTCCGCGTACCCAACGTCAGCGAGCACGCACTTGACAGATTGGAGGCCTTGGAACATACAGCAAATGACCTGGAAGACTGCTCCAAGGCACTAATGATTGGCAAAGCAGCCTTGCTCCTCATTCAAGGGCTGGGAGGCCAGACGGCCGACGGGTCCGCTGCCAGAGTCACCAGGATCATCAACACAGAAAGCATTCCGGGAGCACTGTCACAGTTTTGTGTCACAGGGGCCATCAGCGTGTCTCATTCGAGACGGGACCTTGAACAGCAGATGAGGTCTCTAGAAGTGCTAGCAGCAAAATGTGCATGTCTTGCCGATATGACTGAAAGTGCAATCAGTAACGTCGAGAGCTTGTAAACTCGCAATATATTGTCACCTGCGCAAACTTTGCATCAAGCTACCTGATTTTTTCATCATCGCAGTCAAGAAGTGATCAAGCGTTTGAAATCGGCGGAGCAGACCTCAATGACATTGCCCCAGGGATCTTGCACATATAAAGCCGTCTCGCCGTTTGGTAGCGTCACAGATTTACCAACGCGCTTTCCTCCAGCGGTCTGTACCTTTTGCGCCAGTGTCTCGGGCTCCGCTGCGGTCACGGCGATATGAAAGAAGCCCCCACGCGTCCATGCTTGGGCGTCGAAGCGTGCCGGACACGCTACCGTGCCGCCGTGGTGTGGTGGATCCACGAATTGAAAGATCTCAAACCCAATCTGATTCTCGAAGCCTAGGTAGGCGACCTTGACCTCGTGAAGGTCTGATCCGTAGACTGACGACGGAAGAGTGAGAGCCTGAGACTTCTTGGGGACTTCGGCGAGTACTCGTCGGACTCTCCAAACTCACCTCGAAAGACGATACCATTGGGATCTTGTTTTCTGTTCATATGGGCAGGGGCGATTATCTGATGTAGACCGAGCGTGTCCGTGTACCATTTGACCGCGGCATCGAGATCATCTACGGCGACGCCGACATGGTTGAACTTGCATTTGATATCTTGAGGTGACATGGGGAGGTTCTGGAGGTTACTAGTAGCCTGGGTTTCCCGTGTCAACGCTTGCTGCCAATACGTAGACAACATGAGAGAGTTTTGCTGGACGAAACACTTTAAGCCGACGTTGCTGCCCACCTTGGCTGTCATGTTGGTAGCGTAGGACGCCTTCACGCTCGCGCCAATGGGGGATACTGAAACCTTGGCTCATGCTGGTCCCAACAGGGAGCGGCTGGTAGAGAGTTAGGCACATGCCGGACTCAAGTTGAGAAGCATTGAAATCCCGGTCCTCTGCGGTAGAAGGTGGCGGTACTTTGGTGCGATCGCCTGGAAATGGCCATTTACCTTGTGATGGTGACATTCCCGGCAAGCGAAGACGGCGAGACTTCGCATGAACTTTCAAAATTTCCAGTGGACGAATTGGCAAGTTTTCGGAGGCTGTGGAGAGAGCCCGGGGGAATGACCATTCTGGCCACCGAACAGTTTTCTCCGGGCTCCCCAGCGCCCGAAAGTGGGGAGCTTTCCGGGTAGTCAATTTAGTGGTTCTGACATTGGCGACCAGGGCACTTGAGTACTGGCCGATGTTTTGGGGAATCATTATGACTGCCCTTGCCCATATGCACGCTCGATCAAAGGCAACAGTTGTGGATACTATTGTTCGACACAAAATATCCAGTCGAAGACCGAATCATTCATTCTTACGACATACATCGAAACCCATACGACTAGGCACAAGTCATTGCAACTTGCACTCGCCAAAGTCTTGGTCTACACATCCCTGATCCTCTTCATCGTCTTGAATCCGGTAACTAAGGCAACGAGTGTTTCCAACAATGCCAGGCAAAACCATGAAAGCTTTCCGGTTGCTAGAATGGGGCAAGCCAGGCCAGTACTGCGAGGTGCCCGTCCCATCACCCAAGCCAGGTGAGGTCCTCATCCGCATGAAGGCAGCTGGCCTCTGCCGCTCAGATCTAGACATGGTCGACTCGCAACCAGGTTCGGATCCATACGCGACGGCGGTCGATGTACCATACACCCTGGGTCACGAAAACGCAGGAGTCATCGAGGTGTTGGGTGAAGGCGTCACGGATCTCAAAGTCGGTGAAGGTGTCGCCGTCCGCCACATGCCTCACTGTTCCCACTGCGAGTTCTGCATCCGTGGCATCGAGCAACATTGCGAGACTTACAAGAGAGGCGCCATCGAAATCACTCGCGGCACAGGATTCGACGGTGGTCTTGCCGAGTTCATGATATGTCCTCGCGACCAGCTCGTCAGTATCGGAAATGAGGATCCCATCCAATATGCCCCTCTGATGGATGCCGGCGTCACAGCTTACCACGCCGTGGGCACGATTAAGGATCGACTCAGGCCTGGTTCGTCGACTCTGGTGATCGGTTGCGGTGGCTTGGGAGTCTACGCGATCCAGTTTCTCCTTCTCTTGATGGGCGTCAGGGTGTATGCAGTTGACATCAGTGAACACCGTCTGAATCTCGCCAATGAGTTAGGAGCAAAGCGCTCGTTTAAGGCTGGACCCAATGCTTACAAGGAGATTCTGGAAGAGACCAACGGAAAAGGCATTGATGGGATCATTGACTTCGTCGGCAGCAACGCAAGTCTGGATTTGGCGATGAAGGTTTCCAGGCCTCAGGGTCGGGTCGTCCTCGTGGGGATGGACATGGGCACCGTCGAAGTTGGTTGGAACAAGATTGCCACGAGCTGTGAATTTGCCATCAGTCTGGGCTCGACTCGCAGGGATTGCGAAGAAGTGTGCTATCTTGCCGGGGCGGGAAAACTCAAGATCGACATTGACAGATTCCCCTTCGACAAGGTTCCCGAGGCATACCAGGCGCTTCGAGACGGTAAACTCACAGGAAGAGCTGTGATCAAATTTGACTAAGCCGCAAATATCATAAGGAAAATAGTATACAAGGTTACAACATCATGGAGACTATCTTCGTCTCAATCAAGCCATGTATCCACCAGAGAGTATATCACCAAAGTATTGAGATAGATCAGGATTCGCTGCACTCAGATCTCCAACGTAGAAGTCCGGCGACAACTCTGCTTCTGTGCCTGTACTTGCAAATAGAGGAAGATCTCCCTGTGTCCCGATCCCGTTGCTACTGGGCATCGGCTGATTCATGACTGGCATTTGCGCCATCGTCGTAGTGTTTGATGCGAGGAAAGCATCAACGTCGTTTGAATTCGGTCCCGGTGCTGAAGCATTGCTAAATAAATTTGCAGCCATTTGTTCGAATTGTGCCGAGGCGTCACGGAACAGGTTATTTGCCTTGCCAGGAACCGTCGGCCAAGGACCTCTCTGGCCGTTGGCTGTGTCGTTCTGAAGTTGACCAATGCCCACTATAAGCGATTCTGCGTCAGTCTGTGCCAGTATAGTACAATGCTTGAGACAAGGTTCGTGTCTACCTTCATGTTGAATTTGTCCCCATCTTACTTCACCAGTGGCTGCCATTGCGGCAGGATCTTTGAACGACTTCCTCCTTGCAGCCGATGGTCTTCGGGCTCGGCTTCCGGAATCGGGCTTTCGTCCATCGGATTGGAGGTTGCGAATCTCACTTTCAACGACCTCGAGGTTCTTCTGCAATGTAGTCGACATATTCCAGTACTTTACGAATTTATTGTATGTCATGCTTAGCAAGTCCAGCTTCGAACTGGTGTAGTCTCTGTCTGACTTGTCGAGTGGTGCTAGTTCTCGATACAGTAATTGCACAGCACCAGCAAGCCAAATTGTGTTGGCGATGAAGGGATTGACGAATTTGTATTGCTCTTCATAACTCCGGCCGACTAGGGACACGATTTCGTCGGAGGACTCAGAGTATTGCTCCAGAGCTTGTGTCCTTGCCGTGCGGCGGCGCGGGTCCTTCTTGGAGAGTCCTCTCAGGTCGTTGTTGAAGAGGTAGTACTTGGAGATCATCAACTTCGTCAATTGTGCCATAGAATGGATGCTGTAGATGGCGCTGTCCTGAAGTCGACTTTTCAGGGCCATTTGAGGGTCGAGTTCGCGGGTACCGAAGCTGAGATACTGGTTCCTATATTTCGAAGACCGTGGGAGCGCCATAGTCGTGCATTGAAGGGTGTTGTAGATCATGAGGAGCCGATTGAGCGACTCCTTGCATGGTGGTGGTTTTCGAAGACTGTCGTCAGTAGAAGAATTGAATTGGTTGTCGCCAGAATGGCATACGGGAGATGGGTCTTTGTCCACTCCAATTGGACTGGTGATTTTCTGTGCGTCTTTCATCAGGGAATTAACCACGATAAACCAGGCTTTGGAAGATTTGTTGCCCGAGGCTTCGAGAAATTTGTATCTCTCAACGAGGTCTTGCCTGAGAATGCAGCTCTTTTGCGGTTCACCACGATACCAGTTTTCATCCTCGGCAGGAAGAAAGGTCTCGTTCTGAGACCAATCAATCCCAGTTGGACAACGACGGATGACGCTTGCAAAGACGTCCATTTCCCAGATAGCCCACCACGCTCGACGACGTTCTTCTTCCTCGCACCACACATCCGGATCGATCTTGTCATCTTCGCGCTTGTTCGCATCGATGAGATGCATGTTGAGTTCGTAGGCGCTGCCGACTGCCACTCGAAGGTATCTCCAAGCTCTTCCGCGAACTCCTTGAATCAGCAACCAATGGGTAAGAAGAATTACTGCCTGTAGCAGGGGTAGGGAAACTGGAGAATCTTCACATTCGTAGAACGACTGGTCAACAAGTTTCAGGGCCTGATCGACCAGGTGAGAGCTGGAAAGGTTGTGTTGCCGCTGCTGGAGACTCGGATCGTCCTCCTCGTCTTGATTTTTGGTGGCAAAGAGCAGAATTGCTGCAAGAAGAGCTTTGCATTGATTTGAGGTCTCGACCGAATGGAGCAACGAGCGAAGGTCTCCTGGACGAAAGAGCTGAAACGAGGTGAAGTTCTCAAAAAATTTATCGATGCTATGGCTCGGCAATCAGCGCTGTTACTTGACACCCAATACGGCAGAGAAGACATACAAATGATTTAAAAGTGCCGGGTTGAAGCCCAGTGCATAACAGCTGGACGTGACATAGCTTCCATGTTGACTGTGTCTGTTGCTCCCTGGACTGTCGTCCTTCCTTTTTTCCGGCGAGCACGATTCGTGCGACGGATGAATAATGAAGCCAAGAGTCTGAATATCCGTCGCTCGTCGGCCAGGTGACTCGGGTGCCTCAGAGACGTCCTGAGAGGTAGGAGGTCCGGTTTTTGACGTGTCCGAATGACTTTGCTGAGGAGGTGATGGTAACTGACCCGCATGCTGCTGTGATTGCTCTTTGTCGACATCACTAGCTATAAGACGCCTGCCGTTAGTTGTTTGGAGATTTTGCATGGGTAGGAATGTCGCTTACCTCGATTCTTCCGTTTTCGAGGATTCTGGGTCGATCCAATCTTGGGGCCCGGTCGCAAAGGTCTCTCCGGGTACTCGCATTGTTGTAGCGATTGCTGGCAAAGAGAACATTGCGGCAGCTCTCTCCCGCATCTCACCTTGCGCTTCCGACAAACATGGCACGCGATTGTTGACCGCAGTTGGCTTCCATCTTCGTCAGAAAAGTTGTTCTCAGACATGGTCGCGCCCTGTTTGGCGTGGATAGGGGATCAAGGCTAATGTGTTCCCAAGTCCGCAAGCAAAGGTCACTGCTTTCACGCTCTCGTCGCTCTTGTCTAGTCAGAACCTGAAAAGACTGTGCGCGTGAATTGATTTTTGCGGGGACTCCAGCATGGAGAATCAAGTGTTTGTGCAAACATGGCGGGGGTAAATCCGAGTAGAGCACATGCTGACATTGCTGAGGAGTGCAAGAGTCTGGTCAATTTCCAGGTGTTGGCCGCCCTCCATGTCACCAAGTGTGCTCGGCACTAGTCCACTTTGTGCATCATGGGCCTCGCATTGAGTCGATTGCCAGAAAATCATCCACTACAAAATAGGTGTACATTGGTTGATTGGCAAAGGAACCAACACTAATGATACTAATGATTCAGAGTCCTGTGATCCAAGATCTTGCAGGTGAAGTACGTGGAGCAAGTCTGGACTGAACTCTGGAGTGTAACGTTCGGGTGAATCATGATGGCATTGTGGATCTTTTCCCTCTTAGATATGGCCTTTTGCGCTATTAGGCGAGACTAGGCTCAATATGGCACCGTCTGAGTGGAAATATGGGGTAACTTTCCCCGCTCTCGCGGACGCTAATAATTCGACCGACGACGTTGTCGAAGCTGACAGGCGCACTGAGTTCGGACGCACTTCGCACGTTGCACAGGCCATTCCAATCAGGGCTTTTCCTAGTCACCACCGGACTGTTGCTTGCTTGTCATGATGTGAAGCGACCCGGTGTGCTCTGCTGTTTTACTAGAGTAGCCTGACGATGGTCAGAGAAAGCCACCTACCACTGTAGATGATGCAATGCACACAGCTCGGATACTGCAGCGAGATCTTCTCTTGCGCCTCCCAACATTCAATCATCTTAGTCCTTCTCGGTCTCGCTGATCAAGCCTCTGAACTATCCTGTCCTATCACACTTCGGTAGAAGTCTCTAGCCCCCTTGCTCCACAGGAGCCCCGACCAAAAGTCTGCCTGGACATTTTGCTCAATCATATTGAGCCAAGAACTCCATCGCACCTGTCAACTCTCTTTTGATGACTTCCTCATGCTGCTTGCTTCGAGGTGTGATCTTGACCTCGTACTCCTCTGGCCGCACCAGGTTTGACGAAGTGTACGCGTTCACATCGAGAGGTCTATCAGGTAATTCCTCGAATTCAAAAGCCCAAAGCAATTTTGCTGTGACGCGCCACATACTTCTCTCAGCCAGGTGGATGCCTGGACACATCCTTCGGCCTGCTCCGTATCCGTAATGATGTAACTCAAAAAGTCAGCATTGAAGTGTTCTGTCAGTGGGAACTACAAAGAAAGACTTATCTCGGCCCTGCCAGTCAGGTCCAACGGCGTAATCATTTGCAAGCTTCGTGTGATCCTTGAATCGGTCCGGATTGAAGCGGTCGTGGTCCGGATATTCGTCGTCGCTCTGATGGATTGCCCAGGCAGCCAGCCAGACCACGCTATCTTTGGGGATGAACATGCCCTCGTACCAATCACCTACTAAGACTCAATTAAGGATCCTTGTTATACTGGCCGGTACGTACCTTTTGCGAGTCGATGTGGGATCCCGAGGTCGGATCTCGAGGAAAATGTTAGTACCGGGAACAATAAGATTATCTGAGAACGACTTACGTCGGACGCCATCGCAGCGCTTCCTTGACGATACAGTTGATGTAGGGAAGGCGGTCAAAGTCAGAGAACAAGGGCGTTCTTTCCTTTCCACAAACTTCATCGAGTTCTTTCCTCGCCTTTGCCTGGACCTCTGGGAATTTGGTCACAGCAAGAATGATAGTCAGAAGCATATTGGCAGTGGCTACCATTCCGTCAGCGTGGAGTTCTCACCTTTGGCGGCTGCATTCGTTCCTGGAACACTCACTATCTGCCCCGGCTTCCAGCATCTCGCCACCAAGATTGTTGAATGAGTATTGTGACATAGGCCACCCAATTTTCTCGTACTCTGACAGTTTCAAATCGATCATCGAGTCACGCACGTCTCCTCTTTGTCGTCGGTCTTCAACCATTTGCCGAGCTTTGGTCCACGTTGTATCCATCAGACCTCGGACGTGGTAGGCTCGCTTTTTCCAGGCTCCAGGGAGGTACCACAGCCATGGCAACTGCTCCACTGGTGGGTTCGCGCCAGGTTCAATCGCACCAAGCCACTGAGAGAACGTATAAGCCTCGAAGCATCATTGGTGTGGACCATGGGCTTACCTGATCGACAAATTCGTAGAAGTCCTTGTAAAAGAACGACTGGAAGTCCTTGGCTCGGAACCCCCAAACGAGGATAGCTGCTACCGACGAGGCGTACAGCCTTGCGTAGTCGAAAGCCTTATTCGGGTGTTTGACAAGGTTGTTCATGAACAATATCGACCTGAAAGGGTCCCCATTTAGCAAGACTCCTCACTCTCTGTCCCAGCGTTGAGATGCCCTACTCTGCCTCTTGAACTCTGAAATGTTTCTTGTCCAGATTTTGGGGGTTCAGGTTCCTCGTGATTACAGATCGCTTTTCTCTCCATTCAGGTGTAGCTTGTTCAAAGGTCATGTGGCAGCCACGGCTCATAAATATGGGCACCTCAAGATGCGGTCTCTCTGAATAGATACTTCCTTTCTTGTCGAGGAGTTGATATATGGCTTTGCGATCGGCCAGCACAATCATGGTAGAATTGAACACCTTCAAGGAATATATTTTTCCATATTCTCTTGCCCATTCATGAAACCTGTAGATGATCAGTCAGCCCCAGAGAATTCCTTGTACGGTGCAAAAGGCTAGAACAGACTTCTTCCCAAGTCCAGTGAGTGGGATCTGGTGAGCATTCCCAAGAACCGGCACTGTCGGTGGTCCAGGTGGAAGTCTGGGGTCTCGTCGACCAATTTGTAACACCCTCCATACTCCAACCGCTAGGAGTACAACAACTCCAATAAGGACATTGGTGTACATCTTGCCGGTTGCGCTGTGGTAAGAGGACGGTTGTGATGCAAGATACTCACTGTTACACCAGCCGACAGCGAATTGAGATGTCTTTATCCTGGCATACTTCAGCCAGGAACAACGGCACACGACGGCACAAATTGTTTACCCCGCAAAGGCCACTTTGTCTCAGCCCAATAGCACGAAGGGCAATGAAATGTCGTGCGTGGTTACTGCGAGGAGGCCGAAGTGGGCTCGCCGGAAAGACTTCGGTGGGGACACAACAAGACCGACGTGCCCTGATTCACGGACGCACAGGCACAAAAGATACCGCCGAAGTGGAAGCGGATGGCGTTCAGCGCAGCTCAGATCTGCAGGCAACTTGATTGCTTCGTTCTACACTACCAGCCCTCGCCTAAAATCACTCAATTTGTCTCAAGACAAATCAAGAGGTTTGACTGGGGGAACAGGTCCGGTACATGCTTCCCCAGTCGCTGCAGACGTCTTGCCACTATCACACAAAATCATCTGACCGTTGATACATGTGGAGAGTTTCGACGTTAGAAACAGCTGGACGTCGGCAACTTCCTCTGGGTCCTGCAGTCGATTGTAGTAGTACTCTGGTGCCTTCAACAGCCCTGCTCGTTCAAAGAACCACATATGGTTCTTTTGTAATTGGTCCGCATCCTCGGTGTTTTTGTACTCGCCCTGCTCCGCTTTTTGTGAGTTCGACAAAATGCCACTCTTGGTAAAACCTGGAGCCACGCCATTGACGCGGATGTTACTAGATGATAGATGGACAGATGCACCACTGATCATGCCATGTAATGCCGTTTTGGCGACAGCTACCCAAAAAGGTCAATCCAGGGTCTGTTATTCGTGTACCAACCGTCGCAACTTACCATAGGGAAGATCGGAGTACGAACCAAGATAGCCAGCACAAGATCCGGTGATCACGAACGCTCCTCCAGGCTGTGGCTTCTCTTCAGACGTGACCGCCATGGCCTGACTGCCGTATTTGATGCCAATGAACGCTCCTCGCGTCATGACATTTACTTGCCGGTCATAGTGAACCAGCTCTGTGTCATTAAGGTTCCTAGCAACACAGATATCTTAGTAATGATAAGGATATTGAGAATGAGGGCACAAACCTGTAATTTGCGAACCCAGCATTTGCAATGTAGAAGTCAAATCGCCCATGCTTCTTGGTAATCTCCTTGACGATTTCAACGGTCTGATCCTCGGAAGAAACGTCGAGCTTTCGTCCCTCGATGATTGAGGTGTATCCAGCTTTTTTGCATTCCTCTTGCAGAGAAGGTATAGCGTTAATGTTCAAGTCGCATGCATAGATGGCTTTCGCCCCAGCAGCAGCGAATTTCTTAACGCATTCTCGGCCAATGCCATATGCTGTGCCAGCTCCAGTGATTAAGCCAACTTGACCTTTGAGCAAGTCGGTGACTGGAAAGTTAGATTGACCATTCATTTTGAGATATGATGTTGAGGTGCTAGTGACAGGCACGAAAAGACTCCCCCAGATATGTTGTTGGAGGGCATGGCCGTCTGGAAGGGTCCTAAACCTTGTCACTCTACCCTTCGGAGCCGCTTCACTGGTCTCGGAACATGCTTTCAGAGTGCACCGCATATTCGGACAGCAAAACATTACGGAAAATATGCCGCCTTGACTGCGGGGTGCATGCATTGATCCAAAGTATCTCCGTCCGCGATCATCCACATCTCGAGTGCCGCGCATGTGTCAAATGCAGTTCACAATGTCACTGACAGTTCGAAGAGAGCTCTAAATGCCTCGAGAAAGAACCTGAAATACAAGCGTGCGTTCACAAGAGCTATATGTCGTACAGCACTCTGAGAACGTAGATCCAATACGATGTGCTCATTTACAAGAACTTATGTACTGCTTCTCATTCGGCGAGTGCTACTCTGAGGAAGTGACATCTAGCCCGTACCGAATGCCTTCTTCGTGTCATTGCCCTGTGCCCAAATCCTCTTCAACCGCATCCGCGCGATCTTCCATCCTTGTGCAGTTCGTTGAAATTCGAAACGGTATGGTCCACCAAAGGCGTAATGGATTTCTGGTTTTGCTGTCTCTGGCGTTGCGCAGAACCACAGGTATGCGGTACCTGTCGCCTTGTCAGAACCGTCCACTTTGAACTCCATGTTGGTCATTGTGTGCTGAAGGCCCTCAAACTGTGTCTCTACACTGGCTGCTTTCAGGATGGCTTCTCTGCCAACGATATCGCCCCAAGATTCGAAAGTCATAACGGGTCCGTCCTCGATATAGGTTCCTGAGTAACCCTCCCAGTCGTGGGCGTCAGCCGTGTTGCAATATGTGTTCAATAGTGTCTGGAGGGCATCCTTGTCTTCCAGGATCTGGAGGCGTTTCTGGAGTTGTTCGATGAGCTTGCTTTGGTCGGCCATTTTAAGGTCGATTTCGTTCACGGAAGTTTCTTTGAGCTGCTTTTTGGTACTGTGCGGTTTTTTTAGAACCAAGTCCTTACTGATCGAAGCATGGAGATGCAGACCAGAGCGTTTACTACTATGTACCTAGCCTTTTCTTTGCGCCCAGTCTTGTTGCACTTGGAGACACACGTCCTGGGTGGGTCGTAGCATGATGCTCCACCGACGAATCCCGGATCAAGGCGAAGCTACCCCGTGGGTTGAAAAGAACGGGCTCGAATCTGCCTTTCCTTCAACTTCCCCTCATAATCCGGAATTTTGACTATTGCACCGAGGTCGATCCGTCTGGGGTCCTGCAAGAATTGCTCCGTGGCTTTTCGATGACCCGGGTGAAGTCTGATGCGCAATGACACAGCCGTGCACACCGTGCATAACGCACAATGGCTCCCACAACCGACGGGCACTCTCCCGTGCCAGGTGCTTGCCGGAGAAACCACTTTCCGTACAGTTGGAGCCCATTTATTGGGGAGTTTGGGGACAGTCTCGGATATTCGCCAACAGGGAAATAGTCCTAGTGCCGACAGGGCAAAATGTTCAATATGGGGTTGGAATTACGAGTCATGTACATGATAAAGTGACAACAAATAAATGATGGCAATCGAGTATTAGCATCGCTGCAGATATTCAAGACGTCCTTTTCATATATCATCCTCTTTTTCATGATGGAAGGCAAAGTGTTCGCCGTGACTGGTGCTGGCTCAGGCATCGGAAGAGCTACGGCAGTCAGACTCGCTGAGTTGGGAGCCAAGGGCATTGCTATCAGCGATGTTGACCAGGCGGGCTTAGAGGAGACACGAGAAATATGTAAGATACATCTCATCACTGACTATATTTTGGGGGAAAGTCGTACATGGCTGACGGTTCAAAGGTAGCAAATATTCGGCAAAGATTACGATCACAAAGGTCGATGTCAGCAACGCACAGCAGGTGGAATCGTGGATCAAAGATACAGTTTCCGCGTTCGGCAAGCTTGATGGTGCTGCAAATATAGCTGGCATTGCTGGCGGAGATGGTCAGAGCACAGAAGCCATAGTGAGCAGCAACATAATGCCCCTTTTACACTATCCAGTGTCTAATTTCACGGACTAGGATCAAACAGCATGGGAGAAGATGCTTGCGGTCAACTTGACTGGAGTCATGATCTGCATGAAGGCCCAAATCCCACACTTGACGAGGCCAGGTGGTAGTATTGTGAATGTCTCGAGCACATCAGGCCTTAGAGGGCTTGCAAACAATGCTGCCTACGCCTCAAGCAAATTCGGAGTTATTGGCTTGACGGAATCAACCGCAGCAGAATACGGGAAGAAGGGCCTCAGAGTGAATGCCATCTTACCGTAGGTACACCTTTGATGTAAGACCAATACTGAAGCTAACTATTCTGATCCAGAGGACCAATTGACACCAAGATCTTTCGCGAGGGTGAGGCAAAAGGTCTATTCAACGCCGATATCGTCAGTGGTGGCACATTAATGGGTAGGATGGGTCAAGCAGAGGAGGTGGCTAAAGTGTTGGTCTTCCTATTGAGTGACGATGCATCATATGTGACTGGAGGTGAGTTACATGGATCTCTTAGAGGCTTGGATACTGACATCGACGACAGCGCACTGGACCGTAGATGGAGGATACTCGGCTTGCGGCTTCTACCGGGCTGGATGATTCGATAGATCCAGCAGAAGCAGGATGTAACAGCCAGTATGAACTGCGAGCACATAACATGTCCTCGAAAAGGCTCCCCTATGTTTTCCCACATGCATCTATAGGTATCATTGAAACTATAGGCTGCCTTGGACTAACTTGAGCTCCACAATATGCCAGGGAACAACGAAAACAGCGTAGTAGTCCTTGAGGCCATCAATACATTCTTTGAACGTCGGCCTCTTTTCAAAGTCTTCGTGGTGAGCCTGAGGATACGCATTAATACATGGCAATCCGTAGCTGTGGGATCATGTTGGGTGACTTACATCGACAGATTTCCAGTTGATCAAGAGCAATTGGTCTTGAGGATTCTCGATCAGCGGGCTGATGAAGTGACCATCACAGCCGGGGTCTTCATTGAGTATCGGCACTACAATTTTTCGAAATTGGGAATAGTATCCAGAGACACCGCCCTCGACGACTTTCGTCAGAGCCACCTCGATAGCTGGTGAAGCCAGAGTTCGTAACAGGTGAGCCTTGTCATCCAGGCCGGTAGTATCAATCAGAGCGTGGTTCAACCACTCTATTTTCCTGCCATTCATGGCAGGCTGGATGACTTTGTTGAATTCTGTGTATTCTGAGCTGGTGAAAAATGCATGGCTCAAGGCAAGGCTCTCCCAAAGGACGAGAGCGACTTGGGTATGACGATCTTCATGCTTTTTGCCCCTCCATATTGCTTTCAGTCCTTTGGCTCTGTGGCAGTCAGCAATCTCGATATTCTGCATAACAGCTCAAATATGCCTACTCTTCCAAGATACTGAACGCCGGAGCCAGGTCTTGGTTGATTTCATCGTCAGTATGCACCGGGCGATGCGGCACCATAATCAACTGGAGCGCTTGTTTCGTAGACGCCATCCTGAAATCTTTCTTCGTTGGCAAAGATTAGATCTTGACAAATTGTACGAGCGGTGAGGTATGTAAACACTTCTAGACGACGAGAAGGCTGCGTCCACGAGCCGAGGATGTAGAGGTAGAAGTGGCACTTTGCCTCATGGGGCATGGGGTGGTCACCCCAGGAAGTCCAGCGCAACCGGGGCACAACCGGATCATTTTCGGGTGCAATGGAAGGATCCAGGGGTAACTTACGGAGTAGTTAGACCCTGAAGCCTCATCCAGCTGGAATTATTCCATTCGGCTCCGCACGAGGACCAGAAGTCGAATGCTTCTCCGCAGGGATAAGAAGCAGTAATAAGATATCGACGGCCAGTATCTTTTTGGAAAACTATACTGCGGAAAAAGTACTTCAACAATGTCAGTAAAAGGCAAAGTCGCTATTGTCACAGGCGCTGGCCTGGGGTTGGGCAGATTGTACGCCCTTGCTCTTGCTGCACGAGGAGCAAAGGTTCTGGTAAACGATTATGGTGGCAGCCTGGAAGGAAAGGCGGGCACTATCACGAGAGCCCAGTCTGTTGTTGACGAGATAAAGGCCTTGGGAGGGACCGCAGTGGCTCACAACGGAGATGTCTCCAGGGACGCAAAGGATATCGTGCAAGCAGCGGTCGAAGCATTCGGCAGGGTCGACATATTGATCAACAATGCAGGAATCACTGGCAAAATCTCTCCGCACGATGATGTTGACGGTGCAGCATTCATGCGTGTACTCGAAATCTCCGTCCTAGGTACATCGCTGGTGACAAGCGCGGCGTACTCAGTTATGGCAAAGCAGCACTACGGGAGAATCGTCAACGTGTCTTCTAATGCGATCTACGGCTTCGGTGCAGGGGGTGACTGTGCGTACGGTGCAGCCAAAGGAGCTGTTTTCGCCATATCCAGAGAATTGGGCAGATGGTCGGAGAGGGACGGAATCAAGATCAACTGCATCATGCCGTCGGCAGCGTCAAGGATGACAGACCTCTCCGAGGGCACGAAGAAGCTCACTGAGACATACTTTCCACCAGAGGTAAGTGATTTGGCCATCATCCTGGGCAAACCTGAGATACTGACGACTAAAAAAAGGGAGTCGTGCCATTCGTAGTCGCGCTCTGCGCGGAAGAATGCCCAACTTCTGGCGAGGTTTTCACAGCTAGTGCCAATCGAGCTGCTAGAGAGACGCTGGCCACATTCCCAGGTGTCAACTCTGACAAGCCAGAGGAGTATTTAAAACAGTGGGACAAGGTGATGGGCAAGGGAGATACTCCGCATCTGGCTGACAGCACGATGGACCAAGTCAAGTATATCGTCCGCCAAGCACACGGCGTAGAGATGGAAGATATAGCCGAATTTGGCATTGCTGGGAAATGAAACGGGTGCTTGAACCTATCTACTATTCTAACCTGTTTACGGTAGTCCCCAAGGTTCCTCCAGGCCGCATTTTCAGCGTATGTGATGTTGGCTGTGAGACGGGGCTTTGGGAACAGATCATATCCTAGGACCTAAGTCTATGGGCACGTGAACGGGCGGACTCGGGCACTGCCAATTCGGTGAGTTGAAGTCTCATTGCCTCAACGCTTAGAAAGCGACCCAAGATGACAGCAACACTTCTGGGTCAAGTGGACGGAAGACTTGCCGCTAGCGACCACCCGACCTCAGTATGAGCACCAGTTGCAAAGCTGGGTCGACCATGGTGGGCGGCCGACCCTCACTCCAGAAGTTCCGGAATTGCTGCGAAAATATGCAGTGCAAGTGCTGCCTGGAAAATTGGGATCATCATCTCGGCAGGTACTGTACACCCTCTTCGTAGGGATTTCGCGTAGGTATGGTCAAGGGACTCCAGGTGCCTGGGTCCCCCGAACTTTCAAACCCTTTGGGGGATATCCGGCAGGCCCGGGCATCCCCCACGCCTAAGTGCGGGGTCTCTGGTAAGAATGATCGTCCTTGGGCAGTTCTCTTTGTCCGGACGATCTAAACCAGGTACGGTATTCGTCCGAAGTGGTTTCTCTTCAGAGCAGTCCTCATGCAATTGTGCTTGACGAGATTTCCCACGCCCTTCGCGAATGCCTTGTCTTACTGCAAGTCCCGCAACAAGATGCACCCTTCGGTTGCGTGACCTGCTGATGCGACAACAAGTTCCCCTCGATGCGCAACAACCCGTTCACATGTTTGCATATCTCCACAGATACATAGATATTTATGTCTGAAGTCACTTGATTCGAGGTGGGTCCTCCATAGGTTTTTCTATGTTCACGGTCTTAGCATGGATGTCTACCATCATCTCTGAATACCTGTGGGCCTGATTACTCTGACATGAAAGGACCAACCACAGAAGTTTCTGATATCGTACAGTATTACTGAAAGTTTCTCTGGTGCCCACTACACACCCGGGCGAAGCACTGTTTTGTCCCTCTTCCCCGAACCTCCGTGGTCACATATCTTCTCTCATACCTCCATCGATAGAGCTCTCACCTCGACTACAGTTATACAGTAGAGCGAAAGCTGTTCAAGGGCGTCTGCCTGCATCATCGATCTCAGCAACGTCCCTTTCGGCGTGCATCACGCCTGCACCTTTCAGTTCTTCCTCCATGGCCTGCTCGAAGTCCAAGGCCACGGCATCGCCAAATTTGGCACCCAGGTCTTCCAAGGAGAGCCCTGCAGTCTTCAATCGCAGTCAGTACACCGGTCTTGCCGTCAGCGGAGATAGTCATGGACAACCTACTTCTGGCAGGTAGAACATGCATGGTATGGTCAGCGCAACGGTAACAGCGACGAAGACCATGTAGTACTTCCATCCGATCGACGCAAAGGCTTGAGCTGCTGGCGCCGAAGCCCAAATCGAACAAATGTAGAACCCACAGTAAGAAATGGCGGCACCTTTGCTACGCAAGTGCGTGGGCCAAATCTCGCAACCGTAGACATAGCCCGTACATTCCAAAGTGCATGTGTAGAACCAGGCAATAATGAAGTAGATGGCGACGGCAGCTTTTGTGCCCGCAAGACTGGACCCATCAAGGAATTCTGCTTGGAGAGCAGCTTCCACGGCCAGCAAGATAGCCATGCCGAACCCACCACCAACTGAGACAGGCGAGAGTCAGCATTAAGGACGCCTTACTCGCAACCCTCACCAACACAGACGACTTACCAATAAGTGGAACCCGCCCGATACGGTCAATGAGGTAAATGTTGAAAAAGCAGCCGATAAACAAGCAAACGGTCCATACCAGGCTGAGGACGAGCTGCAACACAGTTGAATAGCCAAGATCCCCGAAAAGAACTGGGGTTAGGTTGGCGAGGACGGTAATACCAGTCGACTGACCCATGGACCACACCAGAAGAGTGCAAATCATGCGCTTTCTCAAAGACGGAACTTTGATGATATGCAGCCAGTCGCTGGGCATGGACCGGTCAATTTCCACTTGTGCCACAATTTGATGGTATTCGGCGTGAGCCATTTTACCCTCAGGATCATCCCGTGTGATGTGAATGCTGTCGAGGATTTTGCGGGCCTCTTCAGGCCGGCCGTGCTCCACAAGCCATCTCGGAGACTCGGGGAGAGTGATCAAAGATAAAAGAAGCGCGACCGCAACCGCAGTAGCTATGATGAAGTTGAGTCGCCACTGATAGCTTGCATCAACGAAGTGAAAGCCCAAGGCAGCGCATGAGGAGAGGATGTATCCGAACACAATGAAGTTGCCTTGGAGACCGACCAGCAGACCACGGCTGTGCGCTGGGGCTATCTCACTTAGATACACAGGTGTGTTGCTTATGACCATTCCGGCGCCGCAACCAGCTAGGTAGCGGCCAACCAGGAACATGGCAATGTGTACAGCTCCTGCTTGGAGAGCGTTTCCGATCATGAGGAAGCATGCGGCGACGGCTGTGGAGCTCTTTCGACCCCATTTCTGTGCGATCCATGATTGAAGGAACGCGCCGATGAGAGCGAAGCCAAAGAACCTGCGCAGCGACATGTATCAGGAGGATAATCATACGCGAGTGTGGGTAGATGGGTACTTACCCAGAGATGATGGCGTCAGTGATCGAGGAAGCGTTCGTACCGCTCAAGAATTTGGCAAGGAAGGTGGTCTGAGCGAATGACCCAGCGATGACATTGTTGGAATAGCCATAGTTGAAGCTGGCGAGTGCTGCAGCACAAATGACCTAGTCGATGTCAGCGTTGGCGTCTAGTTGGGCGAGACGTCGATGTCAAGAACCCACCAGTATGTTTTTGGCACTGGTATGACCTCTGGTCTTGTATCCACGGTTTTCAGCCATATCGATGTGCGTACGGATTGCCGCTCACGGTAATATGGGGTCAATACCAGTAAGTAGGGGAAACGGGTGTTGGTCGTATGAATACAAAGAAGGGTCAGGCCACAGGGGTTGTAGCTATATATGAAGCTGCCCAGGGGGGTGACCACAAGACACCATGGAAATCCCCCACAAAGCTTGCACTGTCCCCAGATTGGGGACGCACGGGCAGTGCGATCGACTATAGACCAAACAAGCACATCGTGAATGTCATTATTACAACACAGTGTGGATGCATAAGTTCCTACGAAGATATTCCGTGACGGAAAAGGAGGGGAAAGGCAAAAAGCCAATAGTGTCGGACGCGGCAACCACTTCGCTTCTGGAGGCCAAAGCGTGCGAGATTCATGGGGAGCTAGACTTCGTTCAGCCTGATGTTTTAAATCCGGCTTCCATTTGATTGACATTATCCACATTCAGAATTATAGTAAGAATGGTGGAGAAAGAGTCATTCATATTCGGATAACCCCTACTCAAACTGGTCCAATAGGGGGCGTTTGGTCGATATGACCATTGAATGCCTGTGATTGATGAACCTCCGACTTCTGATTCACGGGTTCAACCTGGCTCAAAATATCCTTGAAGATGGTGGCAGATTGGAAGGTCTCCCAGGCCTTTCTATGCTTTGTTCTGCGAGCAAGGGTCAGCATTAGGTATGGACCAAAGATTGTGACTTTTACCGAATATAAAGACTCGCCATGTTCAGGTCAAGACTTTCTTTGAGGACTGCAAAGCTTTGTATGGTGATATTTGATGCATTCTCTGAAGCGCGAACCCGGTCGACGCCGGCTGACAGGGTTCCCAATAGCTGCTTCCGACGGCCCTCTGATGCCCAGAAGTGGTATACTACCACAAAGCTGTCCTTGCTGTCTTTGTCTTTGTCGTCAGAACGAGTCAGAAATCCATAGTGCATATCGTAGTAATGCAGGTCGTAGTCTGGGCTACCCAGGCCCTGGACGTGTCGAAGAAGCTTGTCTTCGTCGACCTTCTTCATCTCTCGTTTGAAAACGTCCGAGGCTGGATGACCGATGAAGAAGCCAATGGGGTGAGCATAACCTTCCAGGCCCCATAAGGTGTCAGGCTCTCCGTCGACATCCTGTCCCCAGTAATAGGCTGTCGAATACGGCTCTGTGGCAGATATCTCACATAGTGGTACAAGCCTTTCCTTCCACTAATCATGCCATGTGAGTCACGCATGCTTATTCTTCAGGGGACATGATACATACCTTGGAAAAGGCACCATCTGACCCTACCACCCGGGCTAAGACGAAGAAATCAGGCATGATTTGCTTTTCTTCTTGGCCAGAGAGCGCAGCTGTAGAGATCTGAGCTTGATGATGTTGAATTTCCCCCTCGATACAGAATTCTAGTCAGTTGTCTGGTTGGGACGCTTAAGTCCTCTCGAGATGCACAATTCCTCTGTTGGTATTCCGTGGAGGTGCAGTGCCCTGTGTGACCCGACAGCCACATGACGCCCTTTCCCAGGCAACCGCTGATCACCGGGGGAGTGGAGAGCCTCCATTGGACCATGGGGTTGTCCCGAGGCTGAAAATAAAGGGGCGGGGACACCCCAACAAGTACGAAGATACCCCGAAGTAATGCACCTCCACACCGAGGATTGGCGACAGGCAAAGTCTAAGGCAGGTCTTGTCTAGGAAGAGAGCTCCTACCACGGTGATGGAATTGCAAATTGCGAGGTCCGGGGTGCCCCTCGATCACGTCGAACGCTATATCTCGAAAACTCACCAGTGGCCTCCAAATTATATCTCACAAGACCCTCACCAGGTTGCACCATTCATAGAATCGAAAACCTGCAGTGTGGTCTGACCAACATGGCGCCGACTCTTCCATCGCTCTCTGTCACAGGGTTTGCTATTGCGGCCTTGGTGATTGCCCTTATATATCGTCTGTCACAAATTGGAAGTCGGGACAAAAGACTGCCACCAGGCCCGCCCACGATCCCTATCTTGGGAAATCTGCACCTCGTGCCCAAGACCGGCCTTGGAAAGAAGTGAGAAACCATGTGAAGCATCGCGGCACCCGGGTAATGATGCTAACACGATTGTTGGCAGGCTGAAAGAATGGGGAGAGACATACGGAGGTGTCTTTTCTCTCAAGTTCGGCGGCGGTACTGTGATCATTCTGTTCGATCGAAAGGCCGTGCATCATCTCCTCGACAAGAAAGGAGTAATCTACTCCGAAAGACCAGAGAGTTACGTTCCAAACCTTGTCACAGGTGGCGACAGCTTCGCGTTCATGAACAGCACACCTCTATGGAGAGCTGAAAGAAAGGTGGCCGTCCATAATCTTTCGGTGGGTACAAGGAGCTCGAATACCTTGCTGAGAGCACTCTGCTGACTGGTGATACCAGCCAAAAATGTTGGAGGACAAGGTTGGCCATATTCAAGATGCAGAGTACACAATCCCCTTTCTCGAAAGTCTTGATGTACGCATTCGCTGACAATCACACAAGATCTGTCGTGCTTCTCGCAGATATACTTAACAACCCAGACGGCTACTACAACCATATCAGGCGTACAACTTCATCTGTGGCGAGTGCTGTGGTGTGGGGACATCGAGGTCCGACCATGAAAAGCTTTTGGGCTCACGTATGAACAACCCTCGGGGCACCTCTAGGCACTAACATTGATGACAATAGGCTGTCTACGATGCCATGGACAACTATTCTGCCGCTCTCGAGCCAGGTGCAAACCCGCCAGTGGACGAGTTCCCTTTCTTAAAGTGGTTCCCTGGTACATGGAAGAAGCGTGCCATAGGCTCATACAAATGCATGGACGACACTTGGAATGAAGCCAGGCGTAGAGTTGACGCACGAAGGGCAAAAGGCATCAAGCGAGATGCCATCATCGACTCCATACTAGACGGCGAAAAGCACAGCGATCTGTCCAACGTGACCCCGAAACAGATGAATCATTTCTTGGGTGTCGTTGTCGAAGGTGGAGCAGACACTACCGCGTCTGCCACTTTGACCTCGATGATGTATCTGGCTCTGCACCCTGAGTTCCAAGACAAGGCTCGCAAGCAGCTGGACGCTGTTTGCGGAACAAGCAGGTAAGTTCTCTGAAGCGGGAAAAGGCGTTCAGAAGGAGACTAAACAATCGTGCAGACTTCCGGCTATCACCGATTTCGAGGCCATACCCTACATAAATTGTATCATCAAGGAGGCTATGAGAATCCACCCGGTGTGAGTATTCTTTGTGCATTGCATGTTGTGCTTGAAGATTTCTGATTATATTGATAGTCTTCCTCTCGGTGTTCCTCATCGAGTGAATCAGGACGATTGGTTCGATGGCATGCTGATCCCCAAGGATGCTACTGTTATCCTTCCGAGCTGGGCCATGCACTTGAGTGAAACCCAAGGCTATAAGGATCCAGAGGCGTACAATCCTGACAGGTTCCTCGACTTCCCCAGGATGGCAGACAGCTACGCTGGCAGCCCCGACTGGCAAAAACGAGACCACTACGGCTATGGAGCCGGACGTCGTATCTGCCCCGGAATTCATCTGGCTGAGAGGACCCAATGGCGCCTCAACGCAAGACTCTTGTGGGCTTTCGATATCCTACCAAAGATTGATCCCCAAACTGGCAAGCCAATGCCTATTGACGTGAACAACTACCACGAGGGCATCGCCCATGGTCCTGCTGAATTTCCGGTTGTTTTCAAACCGAGAAGTCAAGCTCATATCGATGTCATCAGGAGAGAAATGGCCGATGCCGAACAGTTTTTGAAGGCTTGGAATGATTAGACGTAGGGAAACAAGCATGAATCGAGGACTTAGGGTTGGGATGGCCGGTTGTGGAAAGTCCAAACATTGAACAGAGCTTTCCAATGATAGGAGTGACACATAACCGCTCCGATAGATGGTATAAGACAATATTGTTGTTCACTCGGTGCGGCCAGTACGGCAGCTTGCCAGCTTCGTCCATTTGGTGACATGACAGGTCTTTCCCGGCAGAATTAAGTGCGCATTTCTGCTTCTAAGGCGGGTGGTACGTGTCGAACAACTCCTGGCACGGCAAACCCTGCCACTCGGTTGCGAGACCTCACTTAGGCTCAACTTTCACGTCTTTACGGCACTCATAGCCAATGCAAGTTTCGGGCCCATTAAGTTAGCCGTGAAAGTGCCCCGAAATTGTTCCGCCCAGCAGACTTCCCCACGCTGCCCACAGCCCCCGGGTATTCGCCTCTGCCCCCAAGTAATCGGGGAGGGAATCAACCTGAATAGCACTGGGTGCAAGTGGACAGGCTCCCATTGGCATGCACCATCAGAGTTGCTTCCTACCATGATCGGACCTTGCACATACAAATTCGACTGATATTGCATTTTCACACAACTCGTCGACCAGAACATACACTGTCTCATCGGCCCTAGGGTTTCATTTGGGGACTCTTTTCCAATCAATCTCCTGAACAGAACACATTCGATTTATTCATAGGACAGGGCGATATGAGTTCGCCATTGTCTGGGTGAGACATATTTCCTCGGCCGATGACAGACCAAGACTGACCGATTTCTCTCAACAGCGTGGCGTTCATTACGGGTGCCGGTGGTTCAATTGGACGTGCGGTAGCACTAGGATTCGCTCGACACGGCGTGACAAAGATTGCTGGCGTGGACGTCAGCAGCAAGGGACTCGAAGAGACTGCCTCTGCTCTGGCCGCGGCCTTTCCAGAAGTCAAATTCCTTCCCATCACTGCAGATCTGACTTCAGAGGAAGCCGTCGCGGAAGCCGTATCGAAGGTAGTTGCAGAGTACGGCGCGATTCACTACGCGGCCAACAATGCTGGTATCGGACGACCGTATGGTGGGACCCACGAAACCGAACTGAAGGACTATGACCAGGTTATGGCCGTGAATGTCAGGGGCGTCTTCCTTTGTGAAAAGTATGTACTGGAGCAAATGCTGAAGCAGGAGCCTCGGCAGGTCAATCCGTCCGTGCCTTCGGTGCTGGAGCGTGGCTCGATCGTCAACACGGCTTCAACGCTGGCTCTCAGAGCGATGCCATTTTTGAGTGTTTACAACACCTCCAAGCACGCAGTCTTGGGACTGACAAAGACCGATGCTATCGACTATGCACGGAAGGGCATACGTGTCAATGCTGTCTGCCCTGGATTTGTCGACACTCCACTGCTCATCGAGTCGACGAGAAAGGCATTGGCGGGCACTATTGAGAGGATACCCCAAGGGCGACTGGCGGCCCCCGAAGAGATTGCCGACAGTGTCTGCTTTTTAGCAAGCGGTGCAGCTTCGCATATCAACGGAGTGGCCTTGCCAGTCGATGGAGGCTTCACAGCAACGTGATCATCTGAAAACGCGATGATCTGACTAAACTGTCCCCGGCGCTGAGAAGCCGACAAACAGTGAGCGAAGGATTGTCGCAGCTACATATCGCCCGTCACAGCTGCGGGATAGATAAGGAATGTCATTCAGGATGTCAAGGGTCTCACATGCTCTGACTTCCACATCATCAAAGAATGGCTTGCCAAGTTGTGGTGGTGTCGTCAAATTTCCTGCCGTGTTTCAGGGCCTCCTCACTGTAGACAATAGGATACCATCAAGACTGTGGCTCGGCCGACCATCTCTTCATCTTCCCCAGTGCGACTGCTCGCCGCAGGATTAGGCTAACGCGAAGCTTTTGGATGGTCGTCGTATTGAAAGTACAATCCGCCTATCAGTCAGATATTCTCCGTATTATTCAGCCTCCCCTTTTCTGCTAAAGGGGTCTGGAATCGAAGACACCCTCCATCTCGGCCGCTAATGTGGGCGACCATCCAATGGAACATGCACGTCTCCCCGGGCCTTTTACCTTTGCCACTGTTGCACTCTTGGGACCCTTCAAATGCTTCTCCTTCCTTTCGAGTGAAGGATCAGCCGACACTGGTCAACATGGTTCCTGACTTGTGGTGGTTCTGGCTTGTGAAAGGTCACCCAGACTCCCCGCTTCCCACGCTCCCGGCTGCTCGCGAAACTCACTGCAACCTCTTTCACTTTACCTTCCATTATGATGATTGCTAGTTACTCTTCCCGCCTCTTTCCAGTCTTTCTTTCTAGGTGCTGCGATGTGCAGCATATTCACTCCTTTGAGTCGCTGACGATGTGATTGAGAATGTTACCCAAACCTCGTCTTTGAACAAACCGTCCACCCACGCTCGTTAACCGATACCACATACTCCCTTGTTGCGCGATCCTACTTTTTGCGAAACCGCGCATCCACAAATATACACTGTTGTAGCCACAATGGCGCGTGTACTTCTGTCTATACTGGGTTCAATCGCGCTTTATGACGCGGTCACTGCACAGACTTTCATGCCCACAGCTGCCACGAGCACGTTTCCCAGCTGCGCAGTCAGTTGTACGGTTCTGCTGCAAGCCCAGACGGAGTGCACACCGCCGGACGTCGCGACTACCAACGATCTCACCTACGAGAACTGCTTCTGTCAAAGCAGTCTATTATCTGCCCTGTACAGTACACCCGACTCGGTTTGTACCTCAGAATGCACGGCCGAGTCCGATCGTACCGAGTTACAAACATGGTTCGAGAACTTCTGTTCGGAAGTTGGTCAGGGCATCGATCCCTTATCCACGACTACCACGACACCGACCCCAACCGCTACGACGATCGTGACAATCACCTCAACAAGAGCTCCAACAACCACAGCCACTGGGACTGGTAGCTCTGCCACATCGGCCACTACATCAAACAAGAGCTGGTAAGGACACTTGAGATGGGAAGAATTGCGCAAGCATAGCCGGCTGACACTATCGCAGGATCCAAACACATTGGCAATGGATTTTGATGTTGGGCATCCTCGTCCTGGGATTCGTGCTCCTCACCTGGGGAGCGATTTGGCTAAAGCGACGGCACAGGAGGAAGGTCGAAGAACGCAGGGCGGCAATGTCAGGGCTTCCCAAGGCGAACGAGAAGGGAGGACATCGTGCCGCGACGCCGGACCTTTGGGGGCCCCATCAGGTTGGTGTGGAATATTCTTACTGGAATCTGGCTGACCTGTTACCAAAGCATATGCAACACACACACGGTTTCGAGTATGCCAATCCTTCAATCATGGGAAGTGGTGCTGTTGTTGCCGGCGCCCCGGCCAGCAATGAGCGTGGGGATAGACGGTCGAAGAGGGTATCATCAACCCAGCGCAAACACCATGAAACTGAGACGACGGAACGTGGTGGTCGGCCGGCCGACTCCCGACGACACTCTTCAAAAGGCAAGACTAGGGGTCGGGATTCAGCTGCCGAGGTAGAGTCTGAGATCACGCCTGTAGTTGGAGAGCGAAGCAGGGATCGAAGAAGGAGAGGTCCGGATGATGAAACGGAGAGCAGAAGCGACCGAAAGCACCAGAGGCGGCTTCGCGAAGTCAGAGGGAGCCGTCGGATGGATAACGATCAGACATGAACAATGATGAATTTTTGATGAAAGCAAAGCTGTGATGCCTTTTGATCCTTGCTTCGACTGACGCTTTAGCTTTGTCTACTTGGCTTCAAGCGATTGACGACATCGGCGCAGGATCTGATATCGTTCCCTCAAGCATACGTTGGACGAAGGACTCCGGTCGACTGTCCAGCCCTGTCCATGCCTGATTTACCCTCTCCCTTGGCGGTCAGGGATAGTACCAGTACCACCAGATATTTATCACTCTTCATATACCAAACTCACGAAAAACTGGTCACCAATTCCTCACTGGCTCTGGGTCTCATCGAGGCTATCAAACTAGCACCGAGCTAGAAGGCGTGTCAGTGACGAGTCTGGTCGCCAGTTCGATTCTCGATCCGACCGCACAAAAAGTCGACTTTTCGCTCAAAACTTCCCGACGACAAAAGCCTCCAGGTCTTATCTGGTCAAACTAACACCGGGTTAGAAGGCATTAAGACCTCGATTTGAACCCCCACGATACAGATCCTGCGAACCCGTATCTCGGAAAAAGCCTGCGAACCCGGCTTTCACTTACCATGACCCCTACTCAACAGGGTTCATGGCAAAGTTTTTGTTCTTTGGGTGAACGTTGACATCACATTTTGGTATCTGGGTAGTTCTCGCTAGGCTGGACTGGCGCTTCACTTGGGCTATAAGGAATGAGGTAGTAAGCGAGGTATCCGTCCCAGAACACTAGATTGATGTTGCACAAGTACAACCATATTGATTGATAGTAAGGTGGTTTTGAATATGCCCTTACATGTAGCGTATAATCCGCCGTCTGACCGGCATTTACCACCATATGTCCATCTAGTCAGCGCCTCGTCAGACGGTATGATTTCTCATTCTTTAAATCCACCAGCGACGATCGCCATGTTCTTGACCGTCGTTTCATAACCTCATGCCCAATTATTGTTACTCACCTAGTCACTCATTTCTGCAGATTCAACAACAAGCGCATCGATGCCTGACCACTACACATACGACCACAGCCTGAGCAATGGCACTGCCAAAGCCCAATTGTTCTTTCGTTATTCCTAGCATCCATGACGATCTGGAATTAAATTGCCGAATTTACTATCCCAGACGAACGGAACAAAATGCAGAACTCTTTGGCGGGACTTTCGCGATTTTCGCGCATCCTTACGCACCGCTGGGAGGTAGCTACGATGATCCTGTAGTGGGAATTGCAGGAGGTGTTCTTCTCCGATATGGGTGTGTATTGGTCACGTTCAATTTCAGGGGAGCATCAGGCTCTGCAGGACGAACATCGTGGTCTGGAAAGGCCGAGTTGGCCGACTACGTTTCTGTGTACGGGTTCGTGTTGTGCTACATTGATGCAGTGTTCCGCGAGGTCTCGGGGCCTGTCTCGGACGACGACACAAACAGCGTTACTGGCCCACCAATACTGATTCTGGGAGGGTACTCGTACGGATCTATGATTGCGGCTCACTTACCATCGCTGGAGACGGTGACCGGCATATTGAAAGAGCCCAAGCCGGATTCAGCAGAGAGCGAGATCAGGTTACGGGCAAATGACCTTGCGAAAGATATGAAGGCCTATTTTGCGATGCATCCAGCAGCTGGAGGAAGTCATGCTTTGCCCAACTCTCCGAGTCAAATGGGAGGCTATGGTTCAGATGCCGCCAGTCGCAGGATCCATCGAGAGTCGTCGCGGAGAAGCATCGATGGTGAAAGAGTCAGGAAAAGTGTCGATAGGGTGCGGAGGAAGCTCAGCAGAGACACTAGTGGTCGTATTCAAAGTGTGTCGTCCGACAACACGGTGGAATCTAAGCCTCCCGCTACAAGATCGTCACCGGTAATGCCACGGCTGGCGTATGTGTTGGTGTCACCACTGCTGTCGACGGTTGCTGGATTCACTACGATGTTCTCCAAGCTGAAATTCACTCCCAAGGGCGGTGGTGGAGGTATTGTTCCGACAGAAGAGTTTCACGAACTCGTCAGTCATCCGTGCTGCTGCCTCTACGGTACCGAAGACATATTCACGTCGGAACGCAAGTTGCGGAGGTGGACGGAAGAATTGGTTGGTAAAGCAGGGCCGAAATTTGTCGTCGTGACTGCACAGACCGGTCACTTCTGGCGCGAAGCTGATGGGCCGCTTCGGATTCGGCAGGGACTTGCAGATTGGCTGAGAGCGTTACTACCAACGCTGGAGGAAAGTCATCCTCAGAACATCGGAAAGACTGCTTCGTAATGCTGGCACGGAATGCGCGTCCAAGTTCAAAGGGTAAACACAGATAACAATACGATGGATGGCGGACTTCCGTCGATCGACATATATGTTAACAAACCCAAGCTCGGAGTCGAGCGCTGCCAATAGGCCACAAACGTGAACGAGCAGCAACAGAGGTCGACAACATGGGATTTCCGAAATGTCGATCTTGAGGATTGTGGCATTGGCGGTTGAATAAAGCCTTTCATCATACCTTGTCATTCGCTCTCATACCTGGTACCGGACGGCATGTCCGGCCGGGGCCGCCTGATCTGGCAGATGCAGTGGTCGAAAGAAATCAATGCCATTGCAGAATTGGTGCAACCACTACGGACTACCGACTGGACTAACTGGGCCGATGAGTTGGAGTTGGCGTTGCATGTGATCGTACAGACAGGCAGTGTCCGGGATTCCCAGGCACGTCTATGGTTGAATATCCCTGTTCCTGGATTTCTTATTCGAGAATCAGGGGCATCACGCGCTCTTCAAAAGAACACGTCAAAAAGGAAAATGGCTGCCCACGGCCGCCCTCACCTGAACAGAGTGTTGAATGTGATCAACCTCGAAGAAGTAAGAATCTTTGATCGGTTAAATCGTCAATAAATCAGAGGAGTGTCTGGGTGTCTATGCCGCCCGGAACATCAAGGCAAACAATCGTCATTGGGGCCTAGGGTCCCACGGTCAGACCATTCCATCGTCTCTCCCGTCGCTCGCACTGTCCAACTTTCCTGCCACCGCCGCAAGCAGAACACTGGCAATTGAGATTCCGCTTTATCGGGCATCATGATGTCGTCGCTCACTCAACTGGTACAGTAGATCATCTGTCATTCCTTTTCGGATATTGATTCTTGGGGTCTTTTCCGCCTGTATTCCTTTTCATCCATCCAAGTTTTCCATCTTTACGGTGTATGTCCATTCCTTGTTACTTTCCTTTGTCGCCTGATGAAATAGACACTTTCATTGCCACCTACGCACAGCCATACGCGTCACGCGGACATCCTGACTCAGTATTGACCACACAGTCTTTCACCACTCTGTTGTAGACTTGATTGCATCTGTCCCTCTAGATCCTCGATTCCGACCACATCGGCTCAACATCCTCCCCCACAGATGGCCATCGACAAGCCAATATCATGACCATCCTCCTCTCTCCGGTCCCTACACAGGCCGGCACCCAGATCTTCTGGTCGTGCGTTGGCATATACGCCGATGTCGTGAAGCTATGCTCGCCCAGCAAGAAGATACGGCGACTGGCCGAAGAAATCGCCAGGTTCAGCAGGAAACCTCCGGAGACGGCGGTCCAAGCCCTTACGAGATGCATGAACGAAGCCACCACACTCGCTCAGTACGAGGAATGTACAATCGCTCTAGACCAGCTACAAGGACATGAGCAATGGAAAGCAGTCAAAGAATCCGTCGAACCTGGCTACAATCCTGATGTTATCGAAACACAAAAAGACATGCTGCAAAAGGCGGTGGCTTCCTCAGATCTAAGTTCTATGCAGCACATCCTGAGGACTGGCCTGAGTCGAGACTTGGGAGGCATGAACATGTTAAGATTATACAAGCACTCTTGGTTTGGCACGAAATTCCTCATAGACGACTACACCAACACCGTTCTGGAAGCGATCGAGAAGTTTGCTGATACCACTATTCGCTACAACGTTCCCACGGCAGAGGTTCGCTTTTATCAGGAATCGTTAGAAGATGCGCTCAAATTCTTTGGACGGTCAGCCTTGACGTTATCAGGTGGAGCGCTACTTGGAATGAAACATATCGGGGTGGTCAAGACACTGTGGGAAGCAGATCTACTCCCCGAAGTCATCTCCGGCGCTTCGGCAGGAAGCATTGTGGCAGGTATCGTGGGAAGTGCGACAGATGAGCGTATACCCGAGATCCTGGAATATTTTCCAAATTCCGACTTGGCTTGCTTTGATCCACCAGGAACCGGAAAGATTGGCTGGCTTCTTCAGCGAGTGACCACCTACGCTCGTACTGGCGCCTTCTTTGAGATTGCAAATTTGAAGAGGGTCATGAAGTCATGGCTGGGCGACATCACCTTCCGAGAAGCACATTACAAGACGGGTCGGATCCTCAACATCTGTGTCTCCAGTGCCGATAGCGCGGAACCACGACTATTAAACTATGTAACAACACCAGATGTTTATATCTGGTCGGCGGTTTGTGCTTCGTGCGCGGTACCCACCGTTTTCTCTCCAGCCAACATCTACGAGAAGGATCCCATCACAAAGCAAGAAAAGCTGTGGATGCAAAATGCTCAACAGACGTTTGTGGACGGCTCGCTCGACCATGACATTCCCATGAGGAAGCTGTCAGAAATGTTCAACGTCAACTTCTTCATTGTTTCGCAAGTCAATCCCCATGTGCGGGCATTTCTTGAGCCCGAAGAAGACTTTCAAGGGCAGCAGCCAATTGCCCCTATGCCTCATCGAGGTCCTCTTCAGACCGCGAAACATCTCATACGACATGAGATCATATACCGAGCACAACAAATGGCCGATTTGGGATTTCCACAAAACTCATATCGGTGGGCTTCTATATTCAACCAACAGTATACGGGCGACATCAACATCCTACCCGAGGTCAAGTCCAGCGAATATCTCCACATGATGATGAACCCCACATCCGAGTTTCTGGTCGAAGCCACGGCTGCCGGAGAGAGGGCAACGTGGCCTCGCATGTGCCGAATCAAGAATTGTGTCTCTATCGAATTGGCTTTGATGCGAGCGATACACACCCTCAAGGATAGGGCAAATTTCGGACCAGAGGCTCGAGCAGCTCGAGAAACCAAAAGATCAAGCAGCAGAGGACGTTCACAGCGCGGTCGATCTGCGCGTCCAACATTCCTTCGACAACGCAGTCTGAGCAACGAGTCGACTCCCAATGGCGAAATCGGACTGACCGCACCACGGCCAATAAAGGTTCGTCGCAATGTCAGCCTGAGTAATATACCCATGAAATCGGCCGTCTCGGTCGTCATCACCCCGCGAACGACGCCATTCCTATCACCGCAAGTCGGAGTGGATTCAGATATGCTGGCGGAGGCCCTAGCAATGACGTCTCCTAGTGATGAGGAGTGATACACTTTACGAAATGATACCGGAGGCCGTTGGGTTCATTATGGACCATCCACGTGACCTCGTCTGCACAGCGGTCAGGCGCAACGCATTAACGAGACTTGATACCCATATTGCATGTCATACAGATGTATCATTAGATAGAGACCGAGAATAGCATACGTGAAGAAGAGAAAATGCCATAGTTCGGTGTTTGTGCTTCGATATGTGTAACATGCTGTTTGCATCGATGCCTGCGTGTGGAAAGCGGAGCGGAGATATGGCATTGGCGAAGTCGCGCGCATGCTTTTCTCCTGCAGAACCGTGTCTGTGCGATGCCAGATTTCCGAACAACACGACCGCCATGGACAAGATGAATCATTCTCCCGTTGATGCTCATTGATGGCAGCATCACCGCGCTGTTACACAGCTACACGCCATATACTTTTGGTCCGACTGAGGCAGAAATGGACCTGAAGTCGATGCTCAATGAGTCTTCGGCGCAGCGGCAACCTCCACGACTACAGACATCTCAATCTTCCTACGAGCAACAACCTGTACACACTCCCGCCTACGATCCGCTCGAGCGCACCTCATCGTACCCTCAGCCCACTCCGTCCTCCGAGTATAAAGCTGTCTCCAATGGCTCCTATTTTGCCGTCCAGTCCCCCCACCAGCAGCAGAATCCTGCCTCCGCGTCCACTCCCAGTGTAACAGGTCAATCCATATATGCGCAAAGTCCAGGGCCACATGGACACATACACACACCACGCGAAGGTGCTCCGCCTTCACATCCGTACCAGTCTCCCTTTGTTCCTTCCCCTTCACCGTCAGGACCTCTCCCTCCCACACCTGGATCTGTCCATCATTATCAAACTCCATCTTCGGCGACCGCGCAACAACACCCCGGCACGCACACCGCTTTCAGCCACTCACCTCGAGATGAATTGATCTCCTCAAATGGTAATGCGCACGCCAGCGCCCGAATTCAATCGCCTCAGGCTCAATTTCACCCACCCCCGGCGACGCCATTAGGTCCGCCTGTTTCCTACCCTCGGCCAGCATCGCACTCGCAAAGACCTATTTCTCAAGGACAGGAAAGCTATAGAAGACTGTCGGTGAGCTCTGTAGGCTCGACGCAGAGCAGGGATCACAATCAAGCAGCCTATGCGCAAGCGAACCACTCCAGAAACGGGAGCACACAAAGAACTTATTCGGGGGACGTGCGCATACGCGAACGAAGCATAGAAAGTGTTAGCCCAAAGACGATTCCGAAGCCAACTCCATCACGACAGACAAGCATGGGAAGATTTCAGGATCCACAAGCAGAAGGGTATCAAAGCGCACAGCCATCAATTGCGTCCAGCACGAATACACAGCCTCTAGGCACTCCCGACAGAATCATTGATCCTCAAAACTACGACACAACCCCAAAGTCCACTTCAACGCCAGCTGAACTGAAAGCAATCCCTCAATACCAAGCCTCTCGTCCAAGTCCTGGTACGGCCGCCAACTTGACCCCTCAATCGATTCATTCTGAACTTCCAGCTCAACCGAGCCCCTCAATCATTTCGCAGCCAGCATTGAAGCGGAATGCGAGCCACATGTCAAGCGCTGCCTCTACACCCCAGCACCCTAGGAAACGTGCTCGCCGTGACGATGTTCCCCTTTTTGCCCGCAGTGCCAGAACAAAGCACTTGAGATTCATCAAAGGTGCTCCAGTGCCAGCGCCTACGAGGAGCGAGCCTATCGTCAAGAAAGAGCCGCAGATCCCGAATGGACAACCACAACTCCAGATTGCACTTTCCATAGGCACCACCCCGTCCGAACTTCCGTGGGAGCCATCCATCACCAATGTAGTACCCGTTGAAGATCTCACGAGGAAACTGTGCACTTGGATCTACTCGATTCTAGGAGAAGCCAGTACGCCTCAAGGTGGAGCAGTATTTGAGATTGAAGCCAAACTTGGGTCCATCTTCGACGAGCAAGCCAGCCATCGACTGAGTCTGCCTGTCGAGACAGAAACATTTTTCAACCGAGACAAATATCGAGGAAGGACGAGTTTTAAGAGTTCAATGAACATGGTGGGTTTGCCGTTGACTGTGTGGGATGCGATTTTAGCTAACCTCGTCTCCAGATCCAGCATGAAGCACTCAATACCTTTCTTAACGGATTGGTGCAAGAATCCGCACGGCGTGCAGCTGAGAATCCGGATAGAACAGTCATTGGTTACGACCATCCTCATGAATACGACGAGTTCTACGAACTCACGGATGAGGGCCGGAGAAACTTGCCTCCCTGGATCGTGAGCTGGTTGAATCCCCGGCACAAGCCTCGTGTAAGGAGGACTGTCGATGAAAAGACAGGCGCATTGAAGGCGCAGATTATCAAATCAAGAATCTCTGATGTCGACATCTACAACCCTCTGACGGATTTCGACTATAGAGTGTCGATTTCTATTGAAAGTCCTTGGGAAGGAGACCTCAACTGGCTTACGGAAATGACAGACGGTGGTCGTGATCGGCAAAAAGACCGTATGAGCTACCGACACATGGCATATCAGATTGACCTCACTCAGGTTTCTTACCCCAATAGAGTTGAGAAGGAACACGAGTTAGAGGTCGAGATCAGCACGGAACAGATCCGGATCCAGCTGGCAAACGCGCGAGAGGGTCGGCTCAGTCGATACGAAGAGATCGTAAAGGGGTTCCTCGACAATGTGAGGATACTTTGCCGTGCGGGCACGATTACTGGTGGCAGATGATCATGATTCCATGCAATGGTCCCGGAGTGAACGTGCAGGGCTTAGGGGGACTGAGGCTTGATGTTTTTTCTATTCGAGCGGGCAGAACTCTTGATTGATACCCTTGTAACACAACATATAATTTAAAGTTCTGGGACGGTATTTGATGAGAGTCGTCTAGATTCCTGTTTGAACTCAGAGTACGGAGTACTCGTACTGCAGTGCTCAATTGTTTATCGTAGTTGAAAAGGTCACGTGACTCTGTTAATAATCATCCACCGCAGGCTGCAAGAGGGTGATGCAAACTGACGCAGGCCGATTCACTGCCATCCATTCGTCGACACGTCAATAATTGTACTGCAATGTCCTCTCTTCTGCGCGACCCTTACACACCCCCCCTGCTACACTCTTCGCCATCAACAGACACTTTCCTATCTTAACATTCGACTCTTGTCATTTGTACACTAGACTTCCTTCTCTGTGGTCCATTCCACTCTTTCCAGTTCCTGGTCCATCCTTCCGTGGCGTTGCGCCTCCTAGCTTTCTCACCAGACAGGTCAACCTTTCTGAGCGCCTTCAATACTGCACCTGTCTAGATTGCGCAACGACACAAACCAACCATGGTAGGATTGGTATCAGCCGCCGGCCTTGTCGGCTTCCTATCCGAACCAGATCCGGAGCTTAGAAGCTTTGCTCTGAAGCAGCTGGACAGCCAGGTCGATTTGTTATGGACAGAGATAGCTAATTCCGTGGGCGAGATGTGCGTGTCAAGTCGCCGTCATCATATTGAGAAATGTGCTGATACTGTCCGTCTAGTGAGGCTCTGTACGAAGATGACTCCTTTCCCGACCGCGAGCTCGCTGCGATCGTCGCGTCGAAAGTGTACTACCACCTGCAAGAATATAATGAAAGCATGGCCTTTGCCCTCGGAGCTGGAAAATACTTCAACCTGGACAACGCTGGAGAGTACGAAGACACCATTATCTCAAAATGCCTTGATACCTATATTGCCCTGTCGGCCAGTCGAGACCCTACCCTAGCTGCCGCCACCGCAGGAGCGCAGCCTCAGCTTGACACGGCTTTCGGGCAAGGTGGTGACGGCGCAGCTAGCATTTCGGCAAGTTTGACCTCGCCGGTCACTCCGTTCTCTCAGTCTGCTCTCCCGTCCAAGTCCCTTCTTTCGAGGCAAAACACCGCCGTATTCGATCCTACACAAGCTGGTGCCGACGCTGGACAAGAGGGCACGCCCGAGGCAGTCATCCAACAACGTAATCTTCAAAAGGCCTTGAACCGTGTAATCGAATCTCTCTTCGAGAAGTGTTTCCAAGAGAAGCGATACCGGCAGGTAGTTGGCATTGCCCTCGAAGCACGGAACCTTGACATCCTGCGACGGGTCATCAAACGAGCCGCGGAAGATGAGCGAAAAGAGAATGGCGAGGCTACGAAAAAGGGCGAGGAGTTGATGGACTACGTCCTTGAGATCTGCATGAGCATTGTGCAAGAGCGAGGGCTGCGCAACGAGATCCTGAGACTGATCTTGGAGCTGCTCAACGAGCTTCCCTCTCCGGACTACTTTGCAATTGCAAAATGTGTTGTCTATCTCGACCAACACTCGATGGCGTCCAACATCCTGCGGCAACTGGTCGAAAAGGGCGATGCTCGATCATTGGCGGTAGCCTACCAGATTTCTTTCGATCTCTACGACAACAGCACCCAAGAGTTCCTTCTGAAGGTTCGAGAAGAACTGGTTGACCTGCTACCGAAAGAGGCACAGTCCGATTCCAATGTCTCGGAAACCGAGAAGATGGAAGAAGACAATCAAGAGAAGGCCGAAGATCAGTTACAGCAAGAATTGCAAGAGTCTGCTGGTGCACCTGCACCTGCTAAAGCCCAGCTTTCTAAACCAGAACAACAGGACGCGGTAAAGAAGATTAGGGATATCCTCGACGGACTCACGTCAATACACTTGAATATTGAGTTCCTACACAAGTCAAACCGGGTCGACTACTCTATATTGACCAAAGTCAAAGACAGTTTAGAGGCCCGGTACTCGATCTACCATACAGGCGTCACACTAAGTGCCGGGTTTATGCACGCCAAAACAGCGACCGACAGCTTCTTCCGACAAAATTTGGAGTGGTTGGGCAAGGCGGTCAATTGGTCCAAGTTCACTGCTACCGCAGTCTTTGGTGTCATCCATCAAGGCAATATCAACCAGGTGCAGCGGCTTCTCAGTCCTTACCTACCCAAAGCTGGTGGTGTGAGCGGGTCTCATGACTCTCCTTACAGCCAGGGTGGATCACTGTATGCTTACGGCTTGCTTTGCGCCAATCACAAGGGCAAGGCTGTTGACTTCCTCCGTGAGAAATTCAAGGAAGCAACAGAGGAAGTCGTCCAACATGGTGGTGCTCTCGGTCTTGGTGTTGCCGGAATGGCGTCTGGCGATGAGTCGTTATTCGAGGACCTGAGAAACGTTCTCTGGGCTGATTCTGCCATCAATGGCGAGGCCGTCGGATTGGCTATGGGCCTGGTCATGCTTGGGTCGGGCAACAACAAGGTGTTGTCTGATATGATCCAGCACGCACACGACACACAACACGACAAGATCGTCCGAGGCCTTGCTGTTGGTATGGCTTTGATCATGTACGGTCGTCAAGAAGGTGCAGATGAGCTCATTCAAGGTCTTCTCAATGACACAGATCCAACCATGAGATACGGTGGTATCTTGACCATCGCCATGGCTTACGTCGGTACCGGCAGCAACCAGGCCGTAAGGAAGCTGCTGCATGTTGCTGTCAGCGATGTCAGCGATGATGTTCGACGCATTGCTGTCCTAAGTTTGGGCTTCATTCTCTTCCGGAAGTATAGCAGTGTGCCCAGAATGGTTGAACTCCTCGCCGAGTCATACAATCCTCATGTCAGATACGGAGCTGCTATGGCATTGGGTATCTCTTGTGCCGGGACCGGCCTTGCCGAGGCCATCGATTTGCTGGAACCGATGCTCAAGGATCCCACTGACTTCGTGCGTCAAGGTGCACTGATTGCCCTTGCCATGGTGTTGGTGCAGCAAAACGAAGCCATGAACCCTAAAGTTGGCGCAATCCGCAAGCAAATGCTGAAGATTATTGCGGATCGTCACGAGGATGCCATGTGCAAGTTCGGCTGTGCCATGGCTATGGGTATCATTGATGCCGGTGGCCGAAATTGCACGATCAACCTGCAGACACAGACCGGCAACCTGAACATGCTTGGAATTGTGGGCGTGGTGGTGTTCACACAATATTGGTATTGGTTCCCGCTTGCGCACTTCTTGTCGTTGTCAATGACACCTACGGCTGTCATTGCAGTTGATCAGAAACTGGAGGCTCCAGTATTCAAGTTCCACTGCAACACTCGCCCTAGCCTGTTCGACTATCCTCCTGAACAGGTGACGAAGACGGACGAGACGCCAGAAAAGGTCAAGACTGCCGTATTGAGTACCACTGCCCAGGCAAAGAGAAGAGCTGCCAAGAAGGAAAAGCAGCAACGCCGTGACAGTATGGATGTCGATACTGTCACGCCTGTCACACCAAAGGTGGACAAGGACGATAAGATGGATACTGATGAATCCGCCCTGAAAGAAGACGAGGACAAGAAGAAAGAAGAGGGAGAGGTTCCGGAGGTCAAGAAGAAGGCCGAAAAAGAGAAAGTAGGCTACGACATCCCCAACATGTCGAGAGTGCTCCCGACACAGCTGAAGTACTTGACGTTCCCAGATGAACGATATCAACCAGTGAAGAAACCGACTGGTGGCGTCATGGTCGTGCATGACACAGAGCCGGAGAAGGAGCGTGAGACCATTCCTCTTCTCGTCAGCAAGGTCGAAGTCCCTGCTGCAAATACTGGCATTGCCGTCGGAGGGGCCGCGCAACAGCCACCGCAGACTCCAGCTCACCAAGTGATTGGTGCTGGTGCGGCGGCAGCTGCAGGTGTTTTGACTGCCATTGATGAGGATGAAGATGAAGCAGAAGAGGCTCCTGTACCAGCGGATTTCGACTACGAGACGGACGGTGAGGAGGAGGAGGAGTCATAGACTTAGTGCGAGCTGGGGGCTTTGGGAGTTGCCCTTCCGGATTTTCAAATGGCCTGCAGGAGAGGCATACTGTAGACAGGAAGCACCTGTGTCTGTATCAAAATAGGTCACTATAATATCGTGCCTTTGTCCTGGCGAACATAATTGCTTGTGCCACTTGATGTTTCTTTCTGACATTCCTAGCCTCATGCGGAAGGTCGGCAGGCCTAGGTCTGACCGCGCTGTACGGACAAAGTTAAGCTCAACGACTCTCTACCTGGTAGTCATGACATTGGATGCTGTACAAAAGCTGTGTGAAAAGGCAGAAAAGCGTATAGATATGAGTACTGATAATTATGTTTACCCAGTGGTTGATAGAATATGAAGGTGGCGGGCGACCCTGCCGTCGTTTGTCATGACCTTTAATAAGTTCCTCCATCGGATATGGCAAGGAGGTGTGGTTTTTCGTCCCCTGCTCTGGCTATGCAATTTATTCCCGTTTCCGACTGCAGGTCGCTGTTAATCTGCGTGTGCTCTTGACTTGGTTCCTACACCAGTGCTTCTTCTGCCCATACTCGCCGTTCTTAGTCCCGACTCACTACGCTTATGTCCTTCCATTCTGTCGCTCTCTTGCTGCCCCAAGCTCCGTGCTCCTTCGATCCAGTCTAACCTCCCACTCTTGCTAAATCTTCGCGTCCCGAAAGAACGAGATCCCATCAAGATGGGTGTCCGTATGCTTGACGGGGAGTTGCTGTGCAAAGAGACGGCCACACTGTGGTTGTGAAGGGACGTGACATTGCGCTCGGCGACATCGTGGTTGAACTTCCCATAGAGTCCCACTTGAGTCGCCTATAGATTTCTTCCAGCAAGATCCCGCAGGCACGTTATATTCGCGATGGCTTTTTCTCATGCCACCTGGCCGAGGGTTTTTGTGCCAACGACTCTTTTCATCACCGCACTCGACAGATCAACATGCCGCCCAGTTTTCTCTCCACGCACTCTCTAGCTTCGAGAATCCCGCGATCCGTGCTGACGAAGAGACATTCGCCCGTCCGTGTCATACCCTTGACGTATCCGCTATTTTTGCCCAGAACAAGTTTTTGTAGTCCAGTGACGTCCATCCATATCCGCCGCGTGGGTTTGCTGACCAGCGACATCTTCTCCAGCACAGGCGAGCTGTTCCAATATTTTAGACCCAGCCATAGTCGCCGGCTAGATATGTTGTGCCGGGTGACCTGCTCGATGGGGTGTTCTGGGTCCGAGGAACTCGGGTGGGAGAGGAGATTGTGTGCCGGAGGTGGCGTGGGACCGCCGCGCACGACGGTCGACAGGAAGCCTGAGTTTTGTAGGGCGAGCATCAGACCTAGATGGAATTTTGTGTCTGGGATTGAGGTCAGGCCTAGGCGTGCCTTGGTGGCGTTTTGGAGATGGGAGCAGGTGTTGGCTAAGTGGACGAGAGACATCTTTGAGTGCTATGTGGCCACCAGGGCCTATATATGTGATCAAGGTCGATGAAGGAGTTGGTGCAGGTGTTGCTGGATGGAGATGAGATGATTTCTCAATGAGCTGCTTCGCTTCGGCAGGTGACAGCTTAGGGCTTTGCTAGGAGCCCCGATATTCAGTGGCACTTGGTGATCAGGTAAGATGCCTACTGTCGTGTAGGTGATATTGCTAGTGTTATGTAGATGCGATGGCTACCTTGCATTGAATGATTTGAAGAAAGCTGCTGATCGTCCGAGAAAACGCGACCAGTTGCCAAGGCCGATAAGGACGTGAGGTGATTGGTGGGACGCATCAGGCTGAGAATACAGGAGAGACACCCAATCGAGTTGTTCCAGGGTGGTGACAAGGAGATACCTCACTACCACACCCTCTCGTTACCATTCACGTACAAAACCTCACGTGCTGGTTAATAATGCAGGTTTATAGATTGTACTCACGAAAAAGTCCTCAACAATCTCCCTTCCAGTATCCTGGCCTCCTAATACCGACCCCCACCGAGTTTAAACATGGAATTAGTGCCTGGAGAGAGGAGTGCGTTAACCTCTCTTGACAAAGTCCCCTTTATCTGACCTCTTATTCTCCTCTACTATGTTACTGAGTTAAAGTTGGAGAGACGGACTTTATATGAGTGGATACAAACAAAAAATCCTCAAGGTTTCTCCCTCTCTTGAGGGTGGAGTTTTTTGTTGCCGTTCAAATCCCCGTAAGTTTTGATATTTTGAGGCCAAGTCACGCTGCGTGCGATGTGTAGTGAAAGAGGGTGGCCGCCAAGAGAAATGGGAGAGGGAAACCACTGTTATCTGTGAGTGGTATTGATTCACTCGTACATCTCAAAGTCACAGACCATTGTCGAGAAAAGAAGTGGTGGAGGGCCGAATCAATGAGCAGAAGTCGGTTGCTGGAAACCGTGCCAAAGTGGACGTCAGCTTCGTCAAGAACACGCGTCAGCCAAGAATATCACGACCTGGCTCTAATTAACAGAAATCGAACCGGAGAAAGGATGCTGATTGTTGGCGTGTGACACATTCCAACAGGATGCAAATCACTGCAATCACATGCCGAGGATAGGCTCTGCAAAGCGATATCGTCATCCAGCACGCTTCGAGACCATGGTCGATGCGCCGGCTCAGCAGATTGCGGAGATGGCTCAGGATTTGTCCATGCGACACACCATAGCATGTCCATGGTATCCACTGGTTCGTCGCATATCTGCAAGTCATTGCTCTCCACGAACCGAGCGCTTCGAGAGCTCCGATCGTTCCCAGAGTGACCTCGGAGTTCTGAACCCGATTGGCCCTCAAGAGCAGCCGATCATCCGAGATGAAGACGGACGACCTCATTGGGTCGGCATCGTAACAGGTTGCTTTGTTAGTCACAGCACGGCAGTCATGGCCAGCTCCAGAATCCAAGATTCGGAGAAGCATGACATATGGCATTAAGCAACTGTCACGAATAGGCATTCAGAACGTGCTCAAGCCTTGGGACGGCATCTTGCTCAGACTGGAATCCGTCTTGTCAAATAGGATGTTTGATTGGATTGTTGAATGTGCCGGTTTGAGACGGACTGCCGTTTGCAAAAGATCGAAATGATTCAGGCTGGACCATTGGTACTGAAAGGTAGAGCGCGCTCAAGCAACGAGGTTGATACTTGGCACAGCAGTTCGACAGTGACCTCGGCCAGTCAGACAGTGCTAGAGCCATAGCGCCCGATACAAAGAAAGCTTCTGAAGCAAGATTTGCGGAGAGTGGTGCCGCGCGCTCAAGCTGGGTTATCTGCAATACCATATTCGGCCACTCAGCCTGGTGCCTTTTCTTAAAGCTGCGACGAATCAGAATAACCAATAGCCTATGGCGGCTAGGAATGTGTCATGGGCAAACCGAGAATCAGAGCAACGGGGATGGCCAGGTGCCCAGCGGCTTGACATGGTAGTAGATATAGTGCAACTTAGTACAGCACCTTTGAGTATCGAGCACGATTTCCTCGTTTGCTGGCTCGTATTGCTGTGCTGGACAACACAACATTGTGTCGCAGACAACACACCATTGAGAGCCCAGATTCGCATATCTACAACTCAGCTCGGTAGGCTTCCCCAAAGCCAACCAGAAAGAAAACCAACAAGCAGCTGCATGCTGGGGACTCCTGCAGGATCTTGCTTTGTGGCAGCTGTCTTTTTGTCATCTGCAGCCTTGGTTTGCAAGTCACATCTTTGCAGGCATATCCTGTTCGAATCGGAGGAGGGAACGAAGGGAAGCTGGAGAGTTGAAAGGTCCTAAGAGGCTGTCAATCACGATCCACTAGTCTGACTGGCTTTGCCGCCGGCGGCAACAGGAGAAAAAACAACCAACCACGGGGAGGAGAGACCATCCCGCATATTGAAACCCCCCAGTCATCCCGCCGTTTTAACGCCCATACTTGGATACCGCCTTCATCGTCACCCTTGTTGTGTTCAACTATTCTTCCATCCTCCACTACTGGAGCGACAGGCATCGCTCTCCCTTTTCTCTCTATACCTTTTTTTTCGCCTCTGGATTCTTCCACCAATCCAACAATCACATCCTCCGTCATCCGCTCAGTCTCTTACGGCAACTCCTACTCAGTCAGGCGCCTCAGCTCGGCCAACCGTTCACTCTCATTGCACCAATTCTTTTCGCTGGCTGGTCCTACCTTTTTGCAACGGTTGTCTTCCTCTTTACGCGCCTCGGATCTTCAGTCATCGCTTGCTCGCTACGCGGCCTAAAAGCGAGCCTACTGCACCTTGTACACATCTCGGTGACTGAGCTGGTCTCACCCCGGTCCAACTTGTTGCTGCCCGCGCATACTACTGCTGTGTGCACTGTGCCTCCCCAGAAATAGATCTCCTACCTCACTCCTGCTTCCTGTCACCCTTCTGGTTTCCTTTCTTCACGGGACGAATCTCTCCTTCCTGCGCCGATTTCCGTTAGGTCTCTTCCACCAACCCTCCTCTCTCTTCATCCGGGATACCTCGACGTCAATAGGCTTCGAAGAACGACTCACTCGTTGTCGCCTTCAAGATGCCTGCCGTCACAAGACCTGTCCTTCCACCGCTCCAGACCCCAAAGACTGCCTCGTTCCCCTCCGAGATTGTCAACACCCCAGTGTCATGTGTATCGGCCGTCATCAAGCAGGAGAGTGCTGGGACACCGATTACACCTCCGGTAGCCTACACCGATTTCCTCAAAGCTCTTACACCAGTCTTGGGAAGCCCTCCCCCGGCCGGGACTCTGCAACGAACCTTCTCAGATGAGTCGACAAGTACAAGAGACTCTATGATCTCAACCACCTCTACTTCCTCAAGCCTACAATCATCCCGAAGCGAAGGTCACAAGTCTGCCTCTGGTTCCGTTCCACCAACTCCGAATACTCGCAGAACTCCCACTCATCTAAGACGTCTGCGCATACCTCATTCTCCGGCGTTCTCCCCTAGCACTTGTGGTCCTTCTCCGCGTACTGCCTTTAGTGGCATGAGCAGTGGCAGCATGCTCTATTCTCCATACTCGCCCGCCGACTGGAGCCTAGATAGTGCTGGTCGACGTTATTTCGACAACACGCCCAGGAGTGCTTGTTCTAAACCCGTCAGCGTACGATCAGTCATGACAAGAACAGTCACCTACAAAAGATCACCACCACTAGATCCGGCGCCCAAGGGCAAAAAGCGCAAAGTTGAAGCCTCCGAAATGCCACCTCCGTCTACCACAAAGGAAACCGGTATCATCCCTGTGGACAAATTCCCGTCGACGTTGATTGAATCATCTTCCACCGTCGTAGCATCACCCAAAGTTATGAAAGTCACGACGCCTACTGCAGTCCCCACCACCACTGCTGTGGCATGACTTTGACAGTCATCGTCCCCAGAGAACGATCTGAGCCCACTGCACAATGGCAGTATCTTTTACGACTTGACTCATTTAGAGTCCTTACGACAGCTTTGCAATTTCTTTCATATATGATACCACATCATTACTGCTGGGCACAGGCGCTCGGCGTACTGGTACGACGAGCGCGCCGAATTTAGCACACGACTATTGCGTCTACCATCAGTACGAATGCTACATTTTATGCATTGGAGGGGAAGTCATCAGAGTACGATGACCGTCTGCGATACTTCGATCACGGGGGGCAAATGGCGCGGAGAAAGTTTGAAAAGTATTTGAGGCGTTGTTTGCCGCATACTACGGGAGAAGAGGTGCAGATCTGTGTGGGTGGAAAAGCTCTTGATGGTTCAATATCACATAATATTGCTGGCAATTGAGAGACCAGCATTTCAGTCCAAATCATGACCATGGCTTCTTTGTGCAGAAAATGTGCTCAGATCGAGTGCTATTTTGGGTTTTCTTACGGGCCTGCCGGGCCTTAATTGAGGGGTTGCAGAAAAACGTGGCAAAGAGCCTCTTCCCGCGGATTGATTTATGGGTGCAATGATTCGGTGCCGCAAAGGCGGGCTGAGGGATCGCCGATTGAGTTGAGCGAGGCATGATGTCTTGGAGGATTCGATTCGTCGAAAGACAATGTATGATTACGTAGCATATGCGAGCAAGAGGTTATGGAGGGATGTTGAGGACGAATCGCCCACCATTGCTCCAAATAACCTGGTACAGGATCCCATTGGTACAGCTGGCGCATACCTGTGTGCGAATTCACCCAGTGGATGGGCACACAAATGTCCAGTGTACAAAGTATCGAAGGGGACAAAGGCACGAAGAAGCACATTCTCATTCTGCCCGATCGAGTTGCAGTCACATGTGGGATTTCGACTGCAGCCAGTGTGGACATGCCAATGATACCAGTCCGAATTTGTACTTGTGGTTAGCATCGTTAGACTCAGGGGTTGTTGACGATGTACCTCTTCTGCTGTTATCACACCCGGAGGTACGTTAAGAGTTCCCCTAGCACAGAATCAACCATGGCAGCGACACGTATCAGGGGAAGAGATGAAAGCTTTAAAGCAGCGATACCTCGCCCTGCCTTCTCCTGACATCATCCACTTCTTTTGCCATTGCCAACGCAGAGACAGGGAGGGGTGAGATCTGCGTTGGTTAGAAGACTCTATTCCAGCTTCTTCCTGGGGGATGAGTTCAAAAAATTCCTAGCGATCTGTCTAAGCAGACCAAAAGTCCAAATGATTGGATGTGAAGCACGGTCTTCGCACCCCGCGACAGGGATCTGCCGTACCGCTGGGCTGGAACCGGGCTAGATAAGCGGAGACAATTTCTGGCAGCGGTGCGTGCGTCGTGGGTCGGGCGCTTCCTCGAACACACGCAGCCTGTTGTTTGAAGTTGGTCGACAGGGGTGCGAAACCGGTCTGGTGGTGATTGGAAGAAATGAGAGAAGAACGATGGCCACCTGGAGGATCTTTTATTTTTGGGTCTTTTGGTGGTTGTCTAAGGCCAGCAAATAGAAAGGGGTAAGGTGGGTATCGTGTGAGGGGGCCGGCGCTTAACATGACCTCCTGCTTTGTTTGCCCACAACAACTCGGTGTGCACGAAGAGGACGCACTTGAGAACTTCTCTCGGTGAGATGGGTTCACGTGAGAGGCAACAGGGCGCTGCAAGCTGCAAGATGCACCTGCACCTTCACTGCAGGCAGGGTGGCATTTGTGCAGCCGTCTCGCCAAGCTTCAGCTTGGGCGCGGCATGTGATCACTCGCGTCCAGATGCGGACTCGGGCGTGCTGCAGCTACGTGCAGTGCCGGGCGAATGCGCACGAAGCTCTTGTGTACCAACGTCTAATGACAGCTACCGGCCTGAAGTCGAGGCTGGCGGTATTGCATGATAACCAAGGTGTCTGTCAAATGTCTCAGGTGAATTTGATGGTAATCAAAAGGTCGAGATACTTTATGTTCGAGCAAGGAGCCTGCTTATGAACCTACCATTGCTCGTGCTTCAACCTGTGCTGTTTATCATGCTCGCTGCACTCCGGCCAATGAGTGTCTAGGATGAGTCAGCCATCAGACCTGAGAGACTGCATCTGGTCGTCTGCCAAAAGGCCTAAACGGCTGTATCTTACTTGGACCCTATGTTGGATGGGCCTAGATCATGTTCGATGTCATTGGAAAGATGGGAACGACTGCTCGATTGGTCAGGCTGGCACATTTAGGTATTGCCTTTCAGCCTCACGCCAAGCCTGGCAGCATTTGAGCCTGATCAACCTCATGTTCAGTGGGATTGAGCAGTACCTTATTCTCCTCATCTTCGCCACGTCATGTCCGGAGTGGGCGAGGCTACCGCCATTGTGAGCTGCGGCGCCGGCTTAATCCAAATATATGACACCGGTTGCCGCATACTCAAGCAGATCAAGGCTCGCCGGCGAGCCCATGGGGCCTTACCTCCTCTAGACCTTTTAGAGGAATCTTTTAGGAAAAGTAAGAGACTGATAGAAGAAGTGGTCGTCGATGGCAAGCTCCGGTTCGGCTCTAGCTTCGAGGAGGGTGATGGTATAATTGTGTTCCTATCCAGCATAGAAGTGCGCATACTAACATGGGATAGAGACTGTGCAATTAGCACTTATGAGAATTACGATCGCCACTCAGAATACCCTCCTAGTCGGTCTGACGCAGCTTGGAGACGACGATGATGTTATTGATTTCGATGCCTGGATCGACACTCTGGATAAAGGTCGAACGGATGCCGTTTCCGCGCTCCATGCGCTGTACCAGCGGAAAATGGCGGAAGAGATGCACAGAAAGAAGAATATACAGATAGCACAAGCTGTGCCCCAAGGAGCGCCACCCAGTCTACCTAAGGCTATGCGGGAAGCTCCTAAGTTATCCGAGGAAGACCCCAATGAACACTTACCAGTCCTTCATTCTCCTGAAAATCCGACGAAAGGCCCTCGCAGACTCACCACATCGCGCTTCAATCCATATCGAAGAATGGGGTCAAACCGAGCCTCGTTGATGTATCCGTCCTCGGAAGCAACGGAGCCAAAAGAACATCCTCGTGATCATAAAGACAAACGATGGGGAAACGATTTGGTAGGTTCCATCAAGACCTCTGACCAAGATGCGCTCTCCGTAATATCGGCGGATTCGGGCTACGCTAGTATCGGACAAACAGCGTCGTCGCGAATTGAAGACTATCATGGTACCCAGACCTCGGACGGCTGGGGCTGGCTTAGGCCCCTTCAGGAAAGAGAACGTGCGGCACTTGAGGAAAGAGAACATACCGTACTCAAGGCAAGAGAACATGCCGCTCTCAAGGAAAAAGAAAAGGCCGCACTCAAGGCAAAGGAACATGCCGCCAAGGGAAGACAATATGCCGCACTCATGATGGAAAGACAATATACCGCACTCATGATGGAAAGACAACATGCCGCACTCAGGGAAAGAGAACGTGCCGCACTCGAAGAAAGAAAACATGCCGCACTCGAAGAAAGGAAACACGCCGCACTCAAGGAAAGAGAACACGCCGCACTCAAGGAAACAGATCACGTGGTATATCATGATACCAAAGGTGTGATGTCAGGAGAGCTGTCTCTCAGTGAACCCATTGCCCAACCATACGACCATCCTCGTCCCGTTGTCAGTACGGATGTTGTGCACCCACCAGCTGAGTTGAAACCCCCCGTATATGAGTTTGCAGTCGATACGTCCGACTCCGTGTATAACCCCAGCGGCTCAGACGGAAAACCCAACGAAAACCAGCTTTTGTCAGAATCTGATCATGACTCCGCTTTGTTGCTATCAGATGCAGAAGACAGTAAATCGATAGGCCCGCCTCCACAGACTCGTCCGGTTATGGAAGAAGCACAAAGTCAGATTCGCGCTCTGTTTGTGTCGAATCAAGAACTTCAATCAGTCGCTACAGACTTGCTTGCAGGTATGGGTAGAGATCTTCTTATTGAGAATCTGAAAGGACTGTTGCTGTCATATTACAAGTCACAAAAACAACTTGCAAGGTCAGATCTCGAGCATGCGGTCGTGGGTCTGCTAGGCAGAACTTTGAGAGAAGAAAAACTCGCCATATACATAGCAGACAGCCTAACACCAACATCGGAGCATATACGACATGGCCACGAGGAGAGTATGGATCACTCACGCCATGCAAGAGCTGACATGGAGATATGGATCTCGAACAATGGAGCATTTTCCATGCGTCCCAAGTCCACAGACAGCGAGAACGCAGATTTTGACTATCATGACCCGAGTGGTCTCGAAGATGAGCATATGTCCGACAACACCCCAGTTGAATGTGCGCCTATCACGAGAGCTGGACAGTTTTTATGCACTGGTAACGCATTTGAAAACCTGCTGCTGAATATGCAGATGCTCTTGATACCCAGCGAGTTTCACATCTTGGCGGAGACGTTGTTAACCATACCGAAAGACGATGTGAGAATTGACCGCGTGTGTGACCCGACATTCTGGAACGAATGCAAGATATCTATTGACGAGGTCACAAATGTGAGCTGGAATTGGTGGCCCTTGAGCCCAATTATTCCGCCGCTACCGGAAGACCGTGTAAGAATATGGTGGAAGTGTGTAAGTGCACCGAAGTCGAGCTCGGGATCAAGATATGCAATGGCTGATGAGACATAGCATTGTGGAGATGAGTTGTGGGAAGATATCCCAGATGATCAATATCACCTCTTTCGCAGACTGTTATCTCCCAGGAAGTCGAAACCGCGTCATACACACTTGTGTCAGACAGCTTTCAGACACACGGGTCGAGCTCAGCGGACTCATTCACCGGTTCCCAACGGATCGGGTCCTGCCCCCGATACCACAGCCCCGGCTCCTGCAGCGTACACAGGTCTGGTGCAGTCAAGCTTGAGTGTGTCAAGCTCGCCTTCAGGTTCAGCGGCCTCCAGCTCGCTGTCACGCTCGGCTAGTCCCACGTCCTCTACCGATGCTACGAGCGTTGTTTCCGCCTCCGTAAGTATATCTTCACAGCAGCACATGTATGTGCTTCTCGGTATTGGTGGCATGCGGAGCACACTTGACTTGGAACACATGGATGTCATCAAGGACACCAAGACCGATGCGGAATTCTTCAAAAAGCTCAACGATCTGTACAGGTCAGCACGAGGGATGCTGAGAATCTTATTTTCCATTTGGAGACTGAGTCATTGTGACTTCGTGAAGGTATGTCGTGCCTTGGCAATGGTGCACAAGGCGTGCATAGTACCACTTTGCGATGCATGGTACGCTGACTTCCAACGACTGGTAGTTCAGAAGATTCAGACCCAAGAGAGTGACTGACTTGTGCGAAGACTTACCTGAGGATGAGGTAGAGTACACTTACAGTCCGCGGCCTCCAGAAGTCACAGTGTCAGCGCCCGGCATCACCAAGCACATGTGGCAACATGCCCTTCATCCCTGCGATGGACGGTTAATGGGTCTCACATTAGGATTCTGTGCACTTGGATGGTTTCACGACTGTGTTGAGTATTTTAATCCGGATTCGAGTGAATATATTGTTCGAATACCGAAGAAGCACTCGGAATGGCTGGTGGAAACTGAGGGTATTGATGATGCCTTTGGGATTCTGACCAAGGAAGAGCCGAGTATTCTTTACGTGCTCGTTTATCACGTCCTCATTCTTGCTGGGCCTTTCGCATTTTGGGGTTGGGCAATGCCTCGTGAGTCTCGACAAGATGGTTCATGGGATCTACAAAACCCAAGTGTACCTGTCACGATTGCTTTGAGCCTACTGTCGCTGTTTTGGGCGTTAGCCTACCCATTGAAAATGTTTCGAGATCCAAAGTTGTAGTCGCAGCTGGGGGGAGGCGGTTTGCCAGAAGATTCTGTGCTACCTGGTTGAACAGGCATCTCATATCGCCTTCGCTCATAAAGTAACGTACATAACTGGCACTAAGAAGTAGATATGGAGTCATCAGCCAAAATTGGAAGCGACCCGGTCTAGAAGTGTAGGCAGTCCAGTCTTTTGACTTCGTGGTTGTTGGTTTTACGCTGGGAGATGACAGTTCTTATCGTTATCAAAGCACAAGTGGAGTTCAATGCAACATCAGAATCTGAGGGAGACATCCATCCGTCAAGCCTCTGGGCAACCATTAACTTCCCAGCCGCTTCGAGTGGTTGTTTCTGGAAAAAATTGTGCGCCCTATTCACGAGAACATCTGTCCTGAAGTACTGTCTGCTTTGTTGCATACATTACCTTGCCTGCAAAAGATCTGTGTGGACGTCTCACATATCGCGCCGTTGTCCGCATCGTCGAGCCGAGCTGTTGCTAGTCGGAGAAGATAAATTCGGAAGGAAGTCAGCGCTGTCCACAGACGGATATTTGTCGCACTTCATATCTTCACACAACAGTCTGCGAAAGCTTTTCAACAATCCTATCCTTCGAATCTTCGATACCTGGCAGACTGCGCCCGACAACAGCGAACATGCCTTCAAATCCATTCGCGACGTTCCTAATCATCGTTCGTAAGTAACACCATTGAAAGCCTCTGTCGCGTCGCGTGATTACTGACATATACAACAGCCGTCGCCTTCTTTTTGGGCATCGTCTTCTCTCTCTTCCCTTATGACTACCCTCTGCTATGGTCCACGGCCCCCACGCCTACCGCACACTTCGACGCGATCGAATCGCATCTGAAGCTATTGCACAGTGCGCCGAACCTGATCGTACGCATTTTACACATCATGGTCGCCATGGGCTTGGGCGGGTTGATTTTCAAGCTGTACAAGCCGACCGAGTCGAACATGCTGTTTGACGGTGGCAGTCTGGTGCTCTACATGGTCGCGGTGATCGTCTACATTGCCAACGTTGTCAAGGGCTTGCGGCTTGTTACCGACGGTAGCTACGGAGTCGGGCTGTCAAGCTTGACGGAAGATCAACTCGACAATGTTGACAGAACTGGATTTGACGTTGATACTGGGGATAGTGTGCTCGGTCGCGAAGATAACCTCAAGGTTCTGGCGGCGAGTAACACTATTCTCGCGCTGGTGCTGGTCGGTGTTTTGGTCCTGCAAATCGGCCAAATGTATGCGGATCGAGTGGACGAGCGCACGATGCGAGAGTTCAAGGAGAAGGAGAAGGCTGAGCTGGAGAAGAAGGAGAGTGAGGCAGCTTCGGGGCATACTGTGAAGAGACAGGCGGGTGGTAAAGAGGGCAAGAAGACAAAATGAACGATCAGGGACAGACTATGAGGAAAAGGAGCTGTAATATTGGTGGTATGGGTATGTGGCATCTCAGAGCCGGGTATGTCAGGAAAAGACCTCAGTATTGGAAACGTCTTTCAACCATGGAGAGTTCGGTCCTTGTGTGCGGCGATGGCACAACAGAGAAAGCCTGTATAAATTTTTACTTCGGCCTTGTATGCACCAGAACCTATATCAAAATGGCACCACGTATGGATAAACATGCAAAGAGCTCTTCGAAGTTGGATAGTCCTTCTGTGTATTCTCTCCACGACGCGTGGATGGCGTCACCAGAAGGCTCCAGGCACAAGGGATGAGTTGACTGTCCAGCCTTGCCAGGTACGACTGACTCGTTTGCAGTTCCCCAGGCTGCGTTGTAATGGTGGGAGGAAATCGGCACCGGAGTCGGAGAAAGTCGTCGCTGCAGATTATTGGCTCAAAAAGTGCCTCTCTCATTGTTCTCTCCGCAGCCAACTTTTGTACTGTATTTCCTTCAGCCTGATCATCTTGCCGTCCGTACACTCATTATCGCCATTTCTACAGTGCTCGACCTGCTCTTATTAAAGGCATCTTTTCACTTATTTGTTGCGGACATATCTGGTCAAGATGCCTGCGACATCGAAATCTGTGGCAGACCTCCCACGATTCCTGCTCCCTCGTCTTACTTGGACCACTGCCTCATTCGCTCAGAGTGCACCACAAACATTACCAACACGGCTACCGAGACTACATTTACAAACAATAACATCGTTCAAGTCGGTCTCCCTGCCTCGATCAATACATACAGGGACCGCTAGATCCCACCGTTACTCCACGCCTCCGTCTAAGAGACAGCGCCTCTCGCTGCAGCCCTTGCGCTCAGACTCCGCTCCCATTCGACACAATGGCGTCTACGTCGCTGTATTCAAACCGGCCCGCAAGGCATTCTCGACGACTGCCGTACAGAGAAAAGAGCATCACTTTGACACTTTGAAGTTTGTCCAGAGGTTGAAAGAGGAAGGCTTCAGCGAGGAACAAGCCGTTGCCATGATGCGGGTTTTGAACGACGTGATAGAAGAGTCGATTCAGAATCTAACACGCACGATGGTCTTGAAGGAAGACGCCGAGCGCAGCACGTATACTCAGAAAGTCGACTTTGCGAAACTACGGAGCGAGCTGTCAAATGCCGACAGCACGGAAGCACAATTAACAAGGTCCAGCCATGAGAGACTGTCCAGTGATCTGGCCAAGTTGAGCTCGAGACTGAGGGATGAGATTGGTCGAACCCAGGCTAGTGTCCGGTTGGATCTGAATCTCGAGAAGGGCAGAATTCGAGAAGAGGCCAATGGCCAGGAGATGCGCATCAAGGAAACCGAAGCCAGAATTGAACAAGAGGTTGCAGGTTTGAGAGAACGTGTCGAGGCGGTCAAGTTCTCGACTCTGCAATGGCTCATGTGAGTTGCATTTTCCGTCTGCGAAACGCACAGTTACTAATCTCTTTACAGGGGCGTCTGTACCGGCACGGCTGCATTGATTCTCGGTGCTTGGCGTTTGTTGATGTGAGAAGGTCGATACTCCATCTGTACGATATACTAAGCAGGGCGAATCCGGACATCGTGGTTTTTGAGTCAAGTCGTTTCAGCCAGCACGGAGGTTTTGCCATTATCTGCTCACATGAAATGATCTTTCATTGGCTGTCACCGATTAGTCAATGCGACGACGGTCGATAGACGGTTACTTTCACAATCCAACTATCTTCTTTTGCTGACTCGGATTCCATCAGTCAGCCAATGTTTCTTGGCAGCTTTGATACAGTGATCCTTCGTGATGCCAAGATCCTATATGGAAATCTTGAGTTCCATTCGAGCGGAGCCTCGGTCTGCAGGGGGTGACCTCATATCGCACCCCTCAGAATTACACATTCCCGGATCGAGGCATCCTCAGCACTCGAAATATATATTTATATGGCACCAAAGCACCCAGAAGCATTTTTCAGAGTACGACGCTGGACCTGAATACTTCCTAGCTTGTTGACCATATTACACAAGGTAGATTACCGTACTCGCCTCAGTCCCAGAATCATGTCTAACAACACCACCACCGTCAAATCCTGGGTCTATACGACACCGACCTTCCCAGATACACTTACTCTTTCTTCAACAAAGGTGCCATCAACTCCCACTCCAGGCCATCTTCTCGTTCAAATCCATGCTGCAGCACTAAATCCAGTCGACATTCAGCTCATGAACGTCCCACTGAATTCATTACCTTATCTAAATGGACCCAAAATTCCTGGCCGAGACTTCGCCGGGACAGTATTGGCCACTGGGTCAGACACGAAATTTTCCAAGGGCGATGAAGTCATGGGCATCTCTATGGCCCTCAATGGTTCAGGGTCACTGACCGAGGCCGCCGACATTGATGTCAACAACCAAGCATGCATTATCAAGAAGCCTGCCAATCTGTCTTGGACACAAGCAGCAAGTTTGCCTCTGGTCTATCTCACCGCGCGGACCATTGTGGAGAAGTGCAAGCCCTACATGAAATCCAACACGCCATCTGAGAACAAGCTCGTTGTCCTTGGCGGGTCGTCCGCGACGGGCATGTACACAGTTCACATCGCAAGGAGTCTCGGCTGGGAAGTGTTGAGTTCCTGCTCTGGACGTAACGCCGACTTCGTCAGAGAAAAGGGTGCAGATGAGATTGTCGATTACACTACGTCCTCGACGGCGGTCGTTGATGCCGTGAAGAGGTTTGCACCACATGCAATTGCAGATTGCGTGGGCGGGACAGAGTGTATTGATTTAGCACCGAAGTATGTGACTATCGTGGGTGATAAGACGTCAAGGTCGAGTATGGGTGGTAGCGCGCTGTACTTGACGCATCCTCGGATGGTGGCAAGGTGGTTACTAGGCTGGTTGGGCTTGGGGAACTCGTATGAGTGTATCTTGCTTGATGCGAGGAGGGAGTGGTTGGAGGAAGCTGCAGGACTGTCGGAGAAAAAGATTGAGATCGATAGTGTGTTTGAGTTTGAGAAGACCAAGGAGGCGTATGAGCGGTTGCATACGGGGAGGGCGAGGGGGAAGGTTGTGGTTGAGATCAAGAGGTAGGAAAGGACTCTTGCCTCGGATTCGAGTGGCACTGCGACATGATTTTCGACTGTTAGTCACTTCAATCAATATGGTACTGAACATCTACGAGTCCTTCCCTACATTCTGTGGTGTTGGTTGGCTCTACGGATAGCGTTCGATTCCATTGAGTGCCTAGCATCATGAGGAATATATGCAGGAGGCGCATTGAGAATACTTCCTACGTCGTGTAGTGCTAGGCCACTCAATATCTTCATTTTCGCGACTTGGATCTTGTTCTTGTCTATCTACAGGGTTGATCGGCTTGTCGTCATGCTGGGTAGGGAGTTCTGAACAGGGAAAGATCATGCACAATTCAACCAGAGCCTATGGCATCCATGTCGTAAGGAAGACAGGGATCACACTGGCCTTGCTTCCTACCTAGGAACGTTTCCCTTTCGAGAGAAAATGAATAGGGACTTTACCGTTTCGAGAGAAATGAAAGATGGAGACTCATCACAGTCCAATCAAAGTCTATGGGTTCATGCAAGAGAGTGAAAAGGGTCATACTGGCCTTGCTGCCTAGTTGCTTCGTACTGTTAGCCTGAGTCGGCCTTATTCTACGCCCGCTCAGTATACATGCCCCAATGCCATGTATAAGTACTGGCCACAACTGGTCTCACAAGCAATAACAAGACTTCTTCCTAGATATTCAGGAGAGCATTCACAATGGTACAACAAGGGCCTCGTTGGTTCGACTCGGTCCCGCACATAGTGCGATTTGGCATGCAGGACGAAGACAATGGCAAGTCATGGACGACATTCTTCCGCAATGGCGTGTATTTCACAGTGAATGTCGACAAGGACGACGTCCAGGATACGCCATTCGGAAACAAGTGGCTTGCAGCCCTGAAGAAGGCGGAACCTATGGCCGGCCCAGATTTCATGAAGATATGGATTCCGTGGTATGAGGCTTTCTGCGATTTGATCATCATGCAGAGCATGCCTTTGCTCAAGGAATTGGCGCCGGTGCGGAAACATTGGGAAACGCTTGAGGACCACTTACGCACGCCGAAGTACGAGGTGAAGATGGTTGCAGAGGGTGGCGATGCGGTGGCCAAGTATGAGAGTGGGCCAATCGTGAGACCTTCGTATGACTATTTTCTCTTGCCGTTCGATAGGTTTGAGGGACTTCCTGATCCTGCCGAGGTCCGTTGGTATCACGCAAGAGAGTTGACGGTACTGAATCCGGACAAGAATTGGCGCTCTCCTCCTACTAAGATGCGCACCGGGGAGGGGGAGGTGTTGTACTTTGTCAAGTGCGAACCATTCCGTGAGTCGGTTGAAACGGGGATTGTTGACAATGCCTCGATTGAGAGGATCAACGCGCATTTGCGATTGTACAGACAGACGAAGGGGGGTGCGCATGCGTCGACTGGGGAGCCTCATATCCCTAAACTCCAGGGGATCGTGGTGAGCGAGGCATATGACTTTGCTGCACTAGGGACTCAGACCTTACCATCAGTTGGTATTCAAAAAGAAGAACAGGAGAGATGGGTAAGGGAGCGGCCGCAGCAATCGCTTGCTGGAATCCTGGTGACATATGTGTCCAAGGCGAAGACCTTAGCGGAAGTTAAGGAGCTCTTGCCTGACGAGACAAGGGCAATTGAGCTGAAGAAGGGCGCCGAGAAATGGAGAGAGCAGTTCAGCTCCGTGGTGCAATATCTTCATGACCATGGCATCACGATTGGAGCGCGCACCACTGGGGACCAAACCTGGTACTACATCAATCACTATTCCATGTATCTGGCACCGGTTCCCGGTGCTGACTCTGGTCTGGATCTGGGCACAGCGGAACTCGCAGACGCAGACGCTTCGTTCCTGTTGACGAGCGAGAATGAGTTGCATATGGCTCGGAATCAACAAAGCGGCGTGGGTGACGACGGAGATCGAGAGAGATTTGAGGAGCAGAAGGCTTTGGATTGGGAAGCTGTAGAGAAGCTGTTTCATTTCTGAGGGGGAAGAGAGAGATGTTTGAGGGACGGTTGAACTTCGGCGAAATATGTAGCAAGGGCGAGCATGACCAGAGTGAGCACATGCCCTTGAATGAATACACCTTCTTTTGTGATTGTACACATGACAGAGTGAAATATCTGGTGAGAGTGAAGTATCAAGCGCCATCCATTATGTCTGCCTACTTATGAGGACTGCACCTGCCGCGTTGTTGTTGTTGTCTACTCTGGGACATGTTCTGTTTACTACGAACTCGGACGAGACATTTCCCTAGGCCTCTATCATGAAGAAGTCATTCATCGAGCGAATCTTCCCGAACCCGCAAGGGAGTGGCCTCCCACAGTACGAGCCTGAGTACCATGACTCAATCTCACATCGTTCCACTTCGCCGCAATCTCCTCCCCGTATCGCTCTACAAGACTCCATCGCGTCGACCTCCCACTACAGCGCCGGCGCATTGGCCATCTCACATAGCCCACCGTCCCAATCACTCGGTTCGTCCCTTGTACGGCACAATGACCCGTTTCTACCGGTCGAAAGAGCAGCGAAGAATCTTGAGAGGATGCTACAGAGTCTCCTTGACGCACAGTCAGAAGGCCTAAGTGCCGGTGTGGGCGCAGACTTTCTGGACGACGCTTCCTCCATGGGCAGTCTCACGCCCACCCCGTCTGTTGCCACGCCGTCCAGAGCAACCGCAAGTCTGAAAACTATACCCGTGAGACAGCCAAAACAGAAGACGACAACACTGCGAGAAGCTCGTCGTGGCCTGTCAAAAGCCATGACCGAATTCGCGGCGCTGAAAGACTGGGAAGTGACGCTGATTGATCGTCAAGTCCAGGTACGAGACGACGCTCTCAAAAAAGCCTCTGACCTTAAGAATCGCAAACGGCTGCTGGACGACGAGGTGCAGAAGATCAAGAGCGAGAGCGTGGCCGATAGTCTACGCTCCGAGGCGGAGAATGTGCAGCACGAAATACAGGAGCTAGAGGCCCGGCTGCTCGAGCTTCGAACCAGACACCGACACATGCTTGATCAGGTTCGAGAACTGGAGAGCTCGAGAGATTCCAAGCTCAGTTCGTACACGGAAGCATCGACCCTGAACGAGAACAAGATCAAGTCTTTCCTACGGCAGCCGCCGGTCCCTCAGATAGGCGTGGGAGACACTGCTGCGGCCGACATGTACGCTTTGAAACCGGAGAGGCGGACTCTGCAGATGGCTCAGGACCAGTGGACTTCGGAGCTGAATATGTTGCAATTGCGGAGAGCGGACGTGGACAGTGAGAAGGCGGCGCTCCAACAAGGCTCGAAGCTCTGGCGCGAAGTGGCGCATCGTGTCAGAGAGTTTGAGAGGGCTCTTCGTGCGCAGACCAAAGATATGACGCTATCGCAGATGCAGGCGGCCAGTGATGGCGCTGGTGATGCTAGCACCACCAAGGACGGGTCCAAAGATGCAATCTTCTCCCAGTTATCGGCGCTCGTGACTTACCTCCAAGATGCCCTGGCGCAGGCCGAGTCAAAGAACTGGAATCTGCTCATCTGCGCGATCGGAGCTGAGCTAGTGGCTTTTCAGGAGGCTCAGGAAGCGCTTCAGCCGCCATCGGACGCGGCGAACGGCGATCATGGCTTACTGGGTGACGAGCACCAGGTTGTGTCGCATCAAAACCTCATGAGTGCTGGGCTGGCTCCTACCAACGGGTCGCGAACGCAGAGTCCGGGGGAGAAAAGCAATCGTAGCCTGGAAGACACGTTACGAGAGTTTGGGAATGGGCTGAATAAAGGGAAGCAAAGGGATCCAGAACCGGCACTCGAAACTGACCTGGGATCCCTCGACAATGGCTCCGGTTTTGGACCTGATGCGGAATCACACAAAGCCGCTGGCTCGACCTCGGAAAGTGAGGATGATGACCCTGGGCCGGAGTTCTTGCTCTCACATACTTAGCCTGCATACCTTGAGGAGCAAGTCATTGTAACAATTACGAAGACCGAACTGAGCGTTGGGCGGTTAGCATTTTCCATGTTTACATTTATCATTAATCATCCAGAGGCACTCGTTTGTGCCTCGTGCAACCGTCTTCTGATCTCTGTGCTACTGATCTTGCTTTCGAAGTTCTGCTTCTCCTGCTTGTCCCCAATTTCGGAGTCATCAAGACCCGCACCAGCGTCCAGGACATCGACTTCAAAGACCTCGAGCTCTTTCCAGCCTTTCTCCTTGCGTTTGTCATTCACCGCTTTACCACCGGCTCGCGTCTCACCTGAGATGACCAGCGCCGTGATACTCTCGTCTGTGATCGTCGGACCAAAAGGATCTATGATCTCCGTGTAGTTTATAGATATATCATCGCCGTAGGTGACCCGTACGACCTTTCCATTCGGCCCTGGTTCATTTATATATTCCGTTTTCTTGATCGAGTTGCTGTCTGTGTGGAACACCAGGATGGACTCGACGAATTCGGCTGTACGCTCTTGACGTGTGGACCAGGATTCGACGACTGAGCCGTACTTCTTGTTGACGAGAAGGTCGTCTCCCGTAATGCCGACTGTGATGTGCCGAGGCTTCTTGTCTTGGGATGAAGCTGGTGATGACGGCTCGGCTAGAAGAACGGTTGCTGTCAAGAGCAGCTTGTGGCCGATGTGTAAATGGTCGAAGGTGCCGCCTACGGCGACGGATTTGTGGACTTCAACAGGTCCATCGTCTGCGTAGGGAGATGCTGAGCCTCCTGGGTGAGCGATGGCAGGGCCCGAAGGGAGTCGTTGAAGGGGTGGTGCGACGGCGCCTTGTCGGGACTGCCAGGCGGTTATGACAGACTTGAGATGTGCTTCCGCGGTTTCACCCTCTACAGAGTAGATTGCGTTGTAGGGTCGAGATGCTGAGACGAAGGTCTGAATGTCCACGAGGGGCCCAGAGAGGGTCTGTTTGCCGATGATGGATGAAGAGAGGGCTTCATTTCGAGGTTCCAGAGCGAATATACGTACGTCTAGGCCGCCTGGAAAGTCGAGGTCGACTTTGGTCAAGGCGCCGACGGAACAGACTAGGCTGTAGGTCTGGGCCAGGAGGGTTTGGAGTAATGGGAATATGGCCGTGCGGGATATGGATTGCGTTACTGGGTATGAAGGGGACAGGACGATAGCAATATCCAGGCGTGAGATTGTCTGGCTGTTTGGTTGGATAAGCTTAGGTAGAAGAGCCTCGAGGGTGCTTCTATATGAGGATTTTAATGATGCTGGTGTGGAGGGTAGTTGTAGAGCAGGGAGAAGGAGGAGAGATACTGGTTCTTGCGGGACGGGTGCCATCTTCTCGTTTTTTTAATGATCCGGTGTAATTTAGGTCTAGATGACCAGTCGATTCTGTTCAATAAGGAAATATTGTTAGTGCTGGAACGAGGCTGAGTGTAGGTTGGTAGTATGTTAATCATATTTGGGGCTGGTGGAGGAGTAGTCAAGTTACTGTGAATGCCGCGGCGCTTTCTCCATTAGACATGGTATTGGTGTTCGTGGATACTTTTATTTTGCTAGGCCAGCAACATCGACCACAGTAGCCCACATGCGCGGTTCAATCGCCTGTCAGGCTTGATAGCTACTAAACCTCCTTCTCGACTCTTGTATTATGTCCTCCCAAGGTCGCGGCCACCACTATACCCTCTCCGACTACCAAGCCGCTTACGATAATTACTACGCTGCGGCGAACGCGAATCCCGCAGGTGGTCAGAGCAGCAGCTCCTCCGGCGCTCCAAACGCCCAGTGGAATGACCACGCGCCCAACACTGCCTCCGAAAACACACAATATCAGCCAGACACGAACATAAATGGCAATGGCACCGTAATCCCTTTTCGCCCTGGTCCGAATGCGTATGGGAGTGGTCAATATACAGCCGCATCAGAGTCGCAGCCAGGGGAATACCAGTTAGGGCTGAGGCGGTCACTGACAATTGGGGGATCACAATTCAACACTCAGCAAGGGAGCGCAATGAGTGATGTACAGCATTACGGCGCACCGCCAGCATATGGAGGTGAAGCGGTATCCATCAACATTGAGCCTTCGACTCCTCAACATCCAGGAAGCGGTGCAAGTAATCCTGTCCCAGGAACGCTACAGCCAGGCCTCACGAACAGACCTGCTCCCCTCGCTGCCAGCAATACCGCACCGAACTTGCCCACCCTACCTCAAATATCGACCCAAATGCAGCAGACTCCTACGTCTTCAAGACCTATGACCATGAATCACACGCACAGCTACTCGAGATCGAGTCCGAACGTGATGGATCAGCCACGATATAAACCCTTTTCCAGCACTCCTGAACAATCCAGGTACACGTCGGCTGGACCTGCAAATATGCCAAACACTCCTCAAGGGCCACCCTCCTACTCTCCTTTAGGTCTGGCAGATATCAGGCCTCGCTCAGACACAAATGCGACAGACATACCGTTCAGTCCGAGTATAATGCAAGAGACCGAAAGTCAAGCATACCCTGACACAAGCAATTACGTCGCGCCATGGCCCATATATGCCGTGGACTGGTGTAAATGGCCCCCACGGTCCAACGGTCCCTCAACGGGCAAAATTGCGATTGGAAGTTATTTGGAAGATAACCACAACTATGTGAGAATAAATACATCTCAAGGAACACTGACAGACAGCTGACTCATGCAGATTCAAATCCTCGACACGATGAAAACGCAGATGGACCCGGACAACCCACACGGCGAGCGCGGTCTCGAGTTCGTCAAGACTGCAGAAGCTACACATGCATATCCCGTAACGAGAATTCTTTGGGAGCCGCCTTCGTCGAACAAACAGACGACAGATCTGTTAGCGACGTCAGGCGACCATCTACGATTATGGTCCTTGCCGAACGATCAGCACAGCTTCCAGTCCAACTCTATAACCCGTTCGGCGAACACAAAGTCTCCTCCTCTACAGAAATTGTCACCATTAGCTCTGCTGTCCAACTCGAAATCTCCTGAACATACCGCACCTATCACGTCGCTGGACTGGAATGTCGTCCAGCCGTCTTTGATCATCACTTCCTCGATCGACACCACGTGTACGATATGGGACATACCAACTTTGACAGCCAAAACGCAACTCATTGCGCACGACAAGGAGGTTTACGACGTTCGTTTCTGCGCCGACAGTGTTGACGTATTTGTCTCATGTGGCGCCGACGGCAGTGTGAGAATGTTCGACCTTCGAAGCCTGGAGCACAGTACTATCATCTACGAACCCTCAGACAAGCAGCAGGAGAAGAATTGTAAGAACTCCTCTCCCAGTTCTGATTGCCAACTAACAATTTCGCAGCACAATCAGACCCTCTGTCAACATCACCGACGCGTGGCGCTGGCGCACAAACGCTCTCCTTCCCGCCTCCACTCCTACGCATAGCCGCATCACCTCACGATGCTCATCTCCTTGCCACTTTCTCCTCGGACTCGAGCACCATTCGTGTTCTGGATGTGCGACAACCGGGCCAAGCACTCCTCGAACTGAAGGGCCACAGTGCGTCAGTGAATTGCGTTGACTGGAGCAGTACGCAGCGCGGGGTCCTAGCGTCCGGTGCAGATGACTGCTGCGTTTTGCTTTGGGATCTCATGGGCTCTACAGGCTCTGTGCAGGGAGCTGGCGGTGGTGGTCCCGGTCAGGAGCGAGGCCCGTCGGCGGTCTGGGAGTCTAGATATGAAGTCAGCAATCTGAGTTGGGCACCGACAATGGGGACGCTCGGTGTTTGTGGTGGGAAAGGCTTCTGGGGTGTGCAATTATGATCACATATGGTCTCTTTGTGCTATTTGTCGAGACCAGACCAGACCAGAAATGTAACGAGCATTGAGATGAGCATGAGCATCGGAGTACATTGCATATACCGGGAGTTTCCCTGTGAGCATATAGTTCCAAGTGGTGCTTGCTCGTTGAGACCCATCGAATGTCAGATGTCGTTGTCCATGAAATATTTAGAGTGCTAAGGACGATGACCTGTAGACATATACTGACGTCGGCACCGTAGAGAGGATGTGCGTGGTACACACTGTGAAGGTCTTGTAGCGATAGATCATAACGTCACAGTCTTAGATCGAACATACGATTTCATGCAACATTTGTATTCTCTTTTGATTTCTATTCTAGCTGGCGTACAGTCTACCCTCTATCTCTTAGATCTTAGTAAGTGGCTTAATTGGCCTTGACTTTGCCATTAGCCGCATATCCATTGCTTTGGACTCCCATCGGCCCCGTGGAAGTGTGCATGAAGAAGCTCCGCTCAAAGAACTTGAGAACCTCATCAATCAGGATGACCGGCGCCGAGATCCACAGCACGGCCGACCACTCCGCCCAATTCAGCGGCTCGATCGAGAACAAGCCCTGCAAGAACGGCGTGTACAAGATAGCAAAGTGCAAAACCATGGACAGACAGATAGCGTAGATGAGCTTCATGTTCTTCCACAACGGCATGGTGATTAGGGACTCGGAGCTCGACAGCGCGTTCATGGCATTGAACATCTCGATGACCACAAGAATGGACAGTGAAACAGTCGATGCAGTGCGCGTGGTCAGCGCGTCGGGCGAGAAGACGCTGCATCTGACGTCGGCGTACAACGGGTTGATGGCCGAGCACTTGTGGAAATTGGCCAGCTGTTTGAACGAGATCTGCGGGCCGGCGCTGTAGAACATGAACCACCAGACGTATCCGAACACGGTGGCCACGCCAACGTACGTGCCGACGACCATGTATCTGAAGAACAGCCAGCCTCCGACCAAGGGTTCATCGCGTTTGCGCGGGCTCCGACGCATCACGTCGTGGTCGGCCGGGTTGAAGGAGAGTGCTGTTGCAGGAAGACCGTCAGTCACCAGGTTGACCCAGAGCAATTGTACGGGGATCAAAGCCTCGGGCAGACCCAAGGCGGCGGTCAAGAAGATGGACACGACTTCGCCGATATTCGAAGATATCAGGTACCGGATGAACTGCTGGGTGTTGCTGTAAATGGTGCGGCCTTCTTCGATGGCGACCTCGATGGTGGCGAAGTTGTCGTCAGCAAGAACCATATCGGCGGCAAGCTTGGCCACGTCGGTGCCGCTGCCCATGGCGACGCCAATGTCGGCTTTCTTCAGAGCGGGTGCATCGTTGACGCCGTCACCTGTCATTGCCACAACTTCGCCGGCCGCTTGGAGGAGGTCGACCAGCTTGGATTTGTGGGTGGGTTCAACGCGAGAGAAGAGCGAAGCCGTCTTTGCCGCCTCTAGCTGTTCGGTCGTGCTGAGTGAATCGAATTGACGGCCAGTGAAGCTCTTGCCTGTAACATCTTCGTCCGGACCAAACACGCCGATCTGCTTGCAGATGGTCTCGGCGGTGTTCTGGTTGTCGCCAGTAATGACGATAACTCGAATACCTGCGGCTCTGCATTTTTTGATAGAGTCAGCGACTTCAGGTCGTGGAGGGTCGAGCATGCCCACGAGACCAATCAGGGTCATGTTCTGCTCGAGCTGGGCGTACTCCTTCGTTGTCTTTGCGGTCTTGAGTAGTGCGTTGCCGCCGACATTTTCGACGCTAGCAAGGGCGAGAACACGGAGGCCTCGTCGACCATACTCGATAACTTCCTCGCCGATGAGGCCAAGGTGTCCCTTTGTTATTGGAACTTTCTTTCCATCCGCACCTAGCAGGGCGTGCGAACATCGTTCTAGGATAGATTCGGGGGCACCTTTGACCAGCAATTTCTGGTGCTCGCCTCTTCCGGCAAGAACTGACATGCTTTTTCGATCTCTTGAGAACTCGTAGGTTGCCTGTATGGGAAGTTTGTCCTCGTAGTATTTGCTGGCAAAGTGTACTCGCTCGGTAGGGTCCAAACCAATCTGGGTTTGGTTAGTTGCCACGTCGTCGGTGCCGATCTTCTCTACAAGCACTCGAAGAGCGCCCTCGGTAGGCTCGCCAATGCTCTGGTACGAACCAGTCTTTGGGTCGTAGGACAAACTGGAGTCGTTACAGAGAGCCAAGACCTCTGACAATTGTTTCACAGTGTTGGAGCTGACTGCAGAATTCTTAAGCGTTTTGCCGTTGTGAACGAGGTCTCCGACGGGAGTGAATGTGGTACCCTTGACTTCGATCTCGTCCAAGTCGCTACCGGCCTCGTTAAGAAAGACGATCTTCTCGACGCTCATTTGGTTCGTGGTCAAAGTGCCAGTCTTGTCGGAACAGATGACGCTGCAGCTGCCCAAGGTTTCAACGGATGGGAGACTTCGGACAATGGCGTTCTTAGCTGCCATCTTCCTTGTTCCCAGGGCAAGACACGTTGTGATGACCACAGCCAAACCTTCCGGAATTGCTGCAACACCCAAGGAGACGGCGATCTTGAGGTAGTAGATTGCACCCTTGGCCCAGCTACCGCCATGAGACGGGTCATTGAAATGTTGGATGTTGATGAGCCAGACCAAGATACAAATGACAGTGATCACTTTAGCAAGGGTATCTCCAAAATCGTTCAGCTTCTCCTTCAGTGGGGTGGGTTCCGAGATTTGTGAAGTTATGCTTTCGTGGATATCACCAATGGCGGTAGAGCTTCCTGTAAGAACGACAATCGCCGTAGCATTGCCGTTGACGACTGTTGTGCCCGAAAAGAGCATATTCACTTGATCCTGTTTGACGGACTGTGCATCCTTCACAGGGGTGCTGTCTTTGCTGACACTCTCGCTTTCGCCGGTCAAGATGGCTTGATCAACCGAGAAGCTGTTGCTGTGAATTGAGAGTAGACGACAATCCGCTGGTATTCGGTCTCCAACCGCCACATTGATAATGTCTCCTGGCACCAGCTCTTCAGCCTTGATCTTCTTGACCAGCCCATTTCGAACCACTTTGGCTTCGTTCGCGGAGTATTCCTGCAGGGCTGCAATGGCCTTTTCTGCGCTGCTCTCCTGTGTGACACCAACAACAGCGTTCAAAATGAGGATTGTCAAGATAACCACGGGATCCACGAAAGCAGTCCAGTCGTCCGAGTCTTCAAACAGGGCGAGAACAAACGATATGGCGGCCGAACCGAGTAGGATCAAGACCAGCTGGTCCTTGAATTGTTCGAGGACGAGTTGCCATAGCGGCGTTGGAGGGTCTTCTGGCAAGGCTGTATATCTGTCAACAAATATTCTGGCGATCTGCAATGATGAACCTTACAATTGCTTCCATACTTTTCTCTCGCCTCTGTGACTTGCGCAGAGAATAGACCGGCTGCTTCTGTCACGTCAAAGTACGTGAGCACCTCCGAAGTGGTACGCACATATGCTTGATCCATGCTGGTACAAGTGTATTCGTACAGGTCTCAAGCGAATACTTTTGTTCGACGACGACGACGTGAAGGGTTCAAGTTTCTTATCGACTGGCCTGAGACGAATCCATGCACCACCACTCACTTCTATCAGAAATGCAAATCTACGTCAAAAAGAGTGACTTGTTCAATATGACGCCCCACGTGCAGGAATCGATATGGACACGGTGGACTTTGTTTTCTGTCGAAAATTCCAGACGCCGCAACGGCGCAGCCAAGGGTTACCAAAGCGCGACCCATTATGGTTCGCCCCCAAGACACGGTAGTGCCCATGGATAGGATGTTAGTCGCTGATTAATAAAGCGCATGGCCTACAGTACTCGAGGACACAGTGACTACAATTGTTTACAAAGGCAATCAAGGTGTCGGAAGGCTTTTGGTGATGTCAGTCTAGGTACTGTAAGCTGTAGAGGGCCAGCCGGGATTTAACGCGTAGGCATCGTGGATTCGCGGCTCGTTCATCAACTCGAGAAGTGAGCACGTGAAATTGCCGTCCATGGGTCTCGTAAGGTTTCTTTCCATGGGTACCACAGAGATGCAGGTTTACATGTGACAGAAAACTGTATACGTGGCTCAGATGGCATTCTTTGTGTACTGTGTCCGAAGCGATTCTGCTCGTGATTGGTAACGGAGAATGTCCAACAGCCACTGATCGGTCGTCTAGAAACCGGCATGGTGAGGCTGACGAGGCCTCCAGTTGGCAGAGGGAAGCAACCGGGAAACTTGGATGACAGGTCACGGAGACAGACGGGGGATAAACAAACTGTGTAGAGTTTCAGATAGGCTGCGATCATGGCAGGATCAAGTTCAGGTATGATACAGTGACAGGCTGAAACACAAACCCACGGCGGCTTGGCCTGGTACGAGTTTTGTAAGGTGATATGAGCGTGATGAGTGAGGCGCTGCTTTCTCTCTGCCAGACTCTCCCAAAAAGCTGTTTGCGCGCTCCCCGGGTAGCCTAGCCACTAAGCCGTCTTCTTACAAGTACAAGCCCCCAAATAGTCCAGCCCATTCACTTTAGACCGCAGCACACTCATTCACTCCGAAACCAACTGCACTCTCATTTCCATCACCAAACATTCAACTTCTTTCTCAATTTCCATCCCACAAACTTCCAAAACCTAGGTCTATCTTCTTCTTGGCCCTCCCTCCAGCACCCGTCTCTTGTCCATACTGTCCACCAACTTCAAGATGTCTTCTGATGTGAGTCTCACCTGCTTCCGCTTGGAGTTCAGGCCCAGCTTGCTCCATCCAACTTCCTTCCTGCACTGCCGCCTTGATAAGACCCGATGCTGACTGAAATGCCCTGAACAGCGTGAGAGGTACTGCCAAATCCTTCTAGGCTCGAACGAACCCATCCTCTGACGATGTCTAGTAAAACCTTCCTTGCGCGGCTCTGTGAGCAGGCGGAGCGCTACGATGAGATGGTCAACTACATGAAAGAGGTTGCCAATGTGCGTCCATCCCTATATCCAGCTTGCGACCCCAGAACTGACCCAGTCTAGCTGGGCGGAGAACTCTCTGTCGATGAGCGAAACCTGCTTTCCGTTGCATACAAGAATGTCGTCGGAACAAGACGTGCTTCCTGGCGCATCATCTCCTCCATTGAGCAAAAGGAGGAATCCAAGGGCTCGGAGAAACACGTCTCCATCATCCGTGAATACCGCCAAAAGATTGAGAGCGAACTCGAGAAAGTCTGCCAAGATGTCCTCGATGTCCTTGACGATGCCCTCATCCCCAAAGCCGAGTCTGGAGAATCCAAGGTCTTCTACCACAAAATGTATGGTTAACAACTCTTACGCCATATCAAGTCTAATCGAGATGCAGGAAGGGAGACTATCACCGATACCTTGCCGAGTTCGCTTCCGGAGACAAGCGCAAGACTGCTGCGACTGCTGCCCATGAGGCTTACAAGGTATGATACTGTGGCCCGACTAATCAAGCACGAGCTTACCCTTTTACCTAGAATGCCACCGATGTTGCACAGACTGAACTCACCCCAACGCACCCCATCCGTCTTGGTCTCGCGCTCAACTTCAGTGTCTTCTACTACGAGATCCTGAACTCCCCCGACCGCGCTTGCCATCTCGCCAAGCAAGCTTTCGATGATGCCATCGCTGAGCTGGACTCTCTGTCTGAGGAATCCTACCGTGACAGCACACTCATTATGCAATTGCTCCGAGATAACTTGACCTTGTGGACCTCGTCTGATGGTGGTGAGGGTGAAACTGGCCCGGCGGGTGAGGGATCAAAGGAAGAGAAGCCTGCGGAGACTGCGGCCCCGGCCGAGGAAAAGACTGAGGCTGCTCCTGCTTCTTAGATGGGCATGTCCGAGACGTGGTGCATTCCCATGCTGCTTTGGTGAGAGGTCTTGCGTACGACTTCCCATGTTCATCCGGCAATGCTATCACTTCAATTGGCAGCATGTGCAGTGCTGGCATCAGGAGCAGGGATTCTCGGGTTCAGCAATGAAAGGCGTGTGGAGTGATCCAGGGGCTGAGCAACCTATCTTGATGACGGAGGTTGATGCCTCCTAACAACCGTTTCCCCTATGTGTGATTCAAAACAAATGCTGTTTTTCTGTCTAGTCTCCTACGATACCACATAGCCTTTTCGCTCTTGGTGGACTGCTGGGAGTAGAGTTAGCAAGCGTCAAGTTCACCGATCACATTCTGTCTGTCGTTTTTTTCGATCTTTGGTTATGTCGACCCTGATGCAGCGTACGATGAGACCATTAAACAGGCGAAACCTAGAGCATCGACTTTGCGGCGGAACAACGATCTTCCGTAGCAAGAGGACGTTAGCCTCGTCTCCTTCAACATCCACTACAAGGTCAATGATACAACGACAACAACAACAAGTGAATGTGTTCAAACTCAGTTCATGGATCGGATCATAGTTCTTCCTCCGGGTACTTCGATGCGAGTCCTCAGGCAATGACCGCCTCTTTTGCGTGGGATGGGGAGTCTCTTCCGAAGTGATGACTTCATCTTCCAAATGACTACGTGTCCACACCACTTTTGTCACGATGATGGACCGATGGTAAAGTGAAATGCCCATAACGCCCGGAACGTGCCTGCCACGAATTTCGCCTGGTCCTATTGCAGCTTCAGATGCGTCATAGGCACTCTCTGTTTCGCTTCAGTCCCTCAATCTGGAGGAAGGTATTTCCGTAGTGCTCTCAGGAACATCCTTCTACTGAAATCATCCCCTGATACTCCAGGAACTCATATTGTCCTACTTGCCTACTCACTTTCCCCAAACTGTTCAGTGTGACTTGACCTACATTACCTCTCAACTATCCCGCATAAGACGAGTCTTTCAGACCTCGTCATTCAATCCTGACTCGGCTTTAAGCTCAAACACCTCAAGACTCACTCATCATGTCCGCTGGCGGCGGCGGTCCTGGCCCTGCGCCTGCGAATCCTACAAGACCAAAAAGACCTCCGGGGGCTCCTGCACCAGGCCACCCCCTGGGTCCTTTGGCGAATCCTTGGGGTCGTCGAGTCCTCCTTGGTGGTGCGCTCCTGACCGCAGTCTACTTCGTACTGCCGAACAGATCACCACAGCCGCCCGGAGTTTCTGCAGATTCTTTCAAGACACCAGGCGTTAAGAATATCGAAAAGGCCTACCAAAGTGGAGGAGCCACCGCAACGCATACAAAAGCATACGGAGGCACAGTACAAGGTGAAAGAGGGGCGGAAACACCAAGAGAGGGGGGTGCTACTGGAGCACCAGGTGGATACAACCAGGAAGGTGTAGGATTCGATCAACGTCCTGGTCCAATGTCGGGTGCAGGCGCGAAGTGGAACGAGATACAGTATGGCAGTGCGAAGGGAAGGTGAATGGAATATGTGTACTCGCTCGAAAGCATTCAACAATGGAGGGGACGAACAGCGTGGTTCACACTGTACATGCATCTTGACAGTCGAAAAGTGCTCTTTTGCAGCTTGAAGCCTCAAACGCTGAGTGTCCAACTGTACTAATACAACTGTTGCTGCAAGCCGCGATGCAGCAATTTATCCATTTCATTGCTTGCTTGTGTCCCAATCCATTGAGTTTCGAGCTGTAGGTGCCAGGTCAGACCTCAAGGATCTTGAAAGGTCGCCGGATGTTGATCCGCAAAGTGTTGCGACTCCGCAGTACAACTTGTCGGTCCCAGCACGTTGTGACTCATGTTTCCTATCGATGAAAGAGCGAAATGAAAGAAGAAGAAGAAGTAACACAGAGTGTGATATACTGTTGCAGCCAACGGCCACATCCAATATTTCTAACGATGCGCGGAGGAATGTACCTGTAGGTTTTCGATGTCGGAGATGCAATCCGATCTGCAAAATAATGCGGATGGAGGGGCGAAGACAGACACCCGAGGTGGCTTGCATTGTGGCCAGCTGAATGTCTGCTTTCACGGCCGTCTCTTTGAGCCTGCATCGTTTCAATATCTTGTCCTGCGTGGGAAGACGATGCACCTTCAGCGCTTCACGAAAATGCCTATTGCATGCAAATTATAGCACGATTTCAGCGGTTCCAGGTGATCAACATCGTCAGCGGTCTTATCTAAGCAATGGGCCTGGGCATCCTCGAGCCCCGGGTTGAACACGTTCCCGGCACCGTCTACGTCTTCGAGACAGAGCAGCGACATGCCGAACTCCTAGAAATCAATCAACACTTGAAGACCGACAACAATGGTCGAACTATTCTAATCCCACAACCGTCTGACGATCCCAATGACCCGTTGGCAAGTGCTTTTTCAGTGGAGAATGGTTGGCGGAGTACTGACTTTCAGTTCCCCAGAATTGGCCTCTTTGGCAACGCGACCTCATTCTCGCAATCCTCTGCTTCGTCTCATGTCTAGCGACGACCGCCTCTCCTCTACTTGCGGCCGACTCTGTGACGATTGCGCTGGTATTTAAGCGCACCTTCCAGGATGCTGCTCTACTTACAGCCTACCATCTTGTCGGCGTTTGTGTGGCGGGATGGCTGTTCGTCGCGTCCGCAAGAGTTTGGGGAAAAAGGCATCTGTTTCTTCTCGGAGCTCTCCTGATGGTGGCCAGTTCTGCTTGGGGCGGATCGACTCATGTTCACCACAACTACGCCAGTCTGTTATGGAGTCGTATCTTCCAGGGTGTTGCGTTGGCACCCTTTGAGGCGCTGGTCAATGCTTGTGTTGGTGACCTATACTTTGTTCACGAGCGTGGCGTCCGGATGGCTATCACTAACACATGCCTGTTTGGAGGTGCTTTCTTGACGCCGGTATTTGTAGGCATGATTTCAGCACATCTTGGTTGGCAGTGGAGTGTAAGCATCCCCACTTGACATCCTACGTAGAGGTCTGTCTTCCGCGTGTCCGAGTAGGCTGACTAGTTGAGCAGTTCTATCTTCTTGCCATCTTCATGGCTGCTGGCTTTCTGTTGGTGTTATTTTTCGTCCCCGAAACAGCGTACCGAAGAGCACATTCACTTGACCTCGACCTTGTGGCCGGAGACTCGTCGACAGATTCCCTTCCAAACGCTCAAAATACTGGCAAGCGCGATGCCGAAGAGAAGCCTCCTCATGCGACCGTTGTTGCGCAGAATCCGACCCGTAGGGTGTCTTACCTCCAAAGACTCATGCCTTTCAACGGGCGCAAGACCGACGAATCGTTCTTCAAACTTCTGTTCAGACCATTCCCGCTGTTCCTACATCCTGCTGTTGCCTGGGCGTGTCTGATTCAAGGTGTGATCATCGGTTGGACCGTCATGGTCGGAGTCATACTCTCACTCATCTTCCTCGGGCCACCTCTATTCTTCAATGAAGAGAGAGCGGGAAAGATGTACACCAGCGCGTTCATTGGCAGTATGCTCGGCTTGGTACTGGCTGGCTTGTACAGCGAAGGGGTGACGAGGTTCATGATCCGACAACACAAAGGCAAATACGAGCCCGAATTCCGCATCCTCCTGGTTATTCCGACATTGGTATTTTCAGCAATTGGCCTCTACGGCTTCGGCATTACGGCGGTCAATGTGACACGTTACGGCTGGCTCATACCAGAGGTGTTCCTGGCCTTCATCATCATCAGCATGGTCATGGGAGCCATTGCTTCAGCGCAATATTTGCTTGACGCTCATCGTGAGCTTGCCGTGGAAGCATTCACGACTCTGTTGATCTTCAAGAACATCTTTTCTTTCGTTCTCGCATACAATGCTTACAACTGGGTGTTTGCCATTCGCATCAACCATTTGTTTATCATCTTTGGCAGCATTGAAGTGGCAATTTGTCTGCTTAGCATACCGATGTATGTGTTTGGCAAGAAGAACCGCGAGTTTTTCCATCGACACGATATACTACGGATGACTGGGCTTAGATAAATATCTAACAACCATAGTCTGATGCAGGACGCTGATTCGAAAGTCATCCTATCTGACTGAGCCATTCCTCCTTTTTGATGCTCAAACAAGGTGATGTGATCTTTACAAGCCGTCCCGGATCACGTTACGCGGAAGTGAAACGCCGCCCGAGCGGGACAACTGAGTCCTGACACGCTTGCATCGATCGAACATCCAAGCACGCATTTCCTTCCCCAAGGTAAAATAGACCTTCAGGCGATCACTGCTCAATCTTATAAATGATGATGTACTGCAGATTCGAGCCTCGGCGCGTACTCTGTCTTCGAGTCTATGGTTTCCCTGAAACTCCTAGTCGCGTGGCGTTTTCGGTTCGTGCTGTGATCGGAAATTGCACCTTGGCCATCACTGCCATGTTCAGGAGAACACCAAGACTTTTTGGTGATCAACGTCAAAAAACCCTTCCAGTCATGGCCCGAGTGTCTTAGTTCTTAGCTCTTAGCTTTGGCTGTTGCCGTTCAGTGTTGTCAACAACATGAATTTCTGGAGAGCTTAATATCGACCTACCTACGCGGGGAAACCTTTTCCTGAGGCTCTGTCAAACGTCGCCAAATCCATCGATATGGTCGAACGTTGTCAACAACGACCATGGCTACGATGACAACGACCACAACTACCACTACCACTACGATAATGGCGATCGACAACTCGAAGCTAACGCCGAGCACGTTATGTGTGGCGTGCCAGTCCATTTTCCAGCCAGATACCGTCCGAAGTGATTCGGGGGAGACGCCGCATCATGGTCTAGAGGCTCTCGCCGCGCGTGCGAGTAAATGCCATCTATGCTTGACTGTGTTCATGTCCATCGACCCGGAGTCATACAGGATTTTCCGCCGGGACTCATCGGTCGAATCTATCGGATTCGCATGGATTTCGCCCATCGCACGTGATCAGGCGCGCCTGAAGTTTCGATATGTGAAAATGGCGGCGGATGCGGACCGGGCGACACCGACCTCGACTTCAACCAGTTCCAAGACGAGTCTGGCGGGGGCGGTTGGCTCGGAGAATGTGCTGGTCGTGGAACTTATTCTGATGAATCCGAAATGTAAGCACTCTGCCAGGCTTACCAGCGTGTGTGCTTCAAGCTTACCATTGGAATATAGATGCTGTCGAGCCTGGGGTCAGGACAATTGATCCAAAGTCTGTAAGTACTGGGTCGGCAGAGAGCTTTGATCTGGCGAAGCAGTGGATCGAGGAATGCACATTCAACCATATGAAGTGCACCGTTTCAGAAAGCAATGCGACATGGAAGCCCACGCACTTGCTAGATGTGAGTGTTCGAGGACCAAAAGGAGCACCAGGTGTCAAGCTGGTGGACGGAATGTTCATTGACCCGCTCTCCGAGTACGTGACTCTCAGCCACTGCTGGGGCAAGTCGAAGCCGATACGCCTGCACAAGGGTACGCTAGCGGCACTCCGCCAGGGAGTTAGCACGTCAAGCTTACCCAAGACCTTCGCCGAGGCTGCAATGGCAGTGGAAAAACTGGGGTATCGGTACCTGTGGATTGACGCGCTGTGCATCATGCACGACAATGAGCAGGCGGTGCTGAAAGAAATCAGCCAGATGCACCGCGTGTACTCGGAAGCAACGCTCAACATTTCCGCGACTTCGTCCCGGGACGACGCTTCTGGGCTGATATATTCAAGGAATGTGTCCGCGATGCACCCTTGCATCGTCGAGGTTGCTGGGATGGGCATTGACGATGGCATGTACAAGATCCTCCGGTCGACGCTGTGGCACGACCTGGTAGATTCGAGCCCGTTAAGTAAACGCGCATGGGCGTTCCAAGAGCGGTGTCTGGCGAAGCGCACGCTGCATTTCACACGCAACGAGCTGTTGTGGGAGTGTCAGCAGATGTGCTGCTCGGAGGTGTTTCCCAAGGGATTACCGGCGACGATCGGCCCGCCTTCGAGTCAGGAGTCGGTTGAATTTTTCTCGAAGCGTACACACCACCAACGCCACGGGAACTGGCACCAGCTCGTCAAAATGTACAGTCCCAAACGGCTGACATATAGCTCGGATAAGCTTCTTGCTATTGGCGGGCTGGCGAGGCAGTACATGGCGCGCAACAGATTGAGGGAGGAGGAGTACTTGGCTGGCCTGTGGAAGCCGCAACTGCCGCACGCGCTATTGTGGCGGGTCGAGCAGGGCCGGCGCCCTCCGAAGTACAGAGCTCCAACATGGACGTGGGCTAGTATTGACGGGGAAGTCAAGTACCCTGAGCCCGCGCAGTCGACACGCGAGACATGCGTAGAAGTATTGAATCTGGACATGCGGTATAAGTCCGACCGTTTCGGCATGGTTGAAGCCGGCAAAATGAAAGTGCGAGGGTTCATGGCGAGAGGCTTACTGAGAAGGACGAACGATTATTGGGGCAGGACGCCCTGCGTGATCCAGTGCACAAAGGCCCAGGTCGAGCTTGTGTCGGCGAGCTTTGACGATCGATTGGCCAAGTTGTCTGGAGAGGGCATGTTGACGGAGATGCTCGAGGTGTATATGCTCCCTGTGATTGATGTGATCGATCGTGTTGAGGGGTTATTGCTGTGCGCTACCATGAAAAGGGGAGAATTTCGCCGGATTGGTGCCTTTGATGTCTCGAGGTATGACCAGATCAATTGGGATCGATTTCGGAGTGTGATGAAGGGCGAGGCCGATATGCTGAACTATGAGGACCGGCTGGATCATACTAATGGGTACTGGTTTGCGAGCGACTATACTTATACCATCAACATTGTCTGAAAGGGTACATCATCCGACGACCCTAAGCATCAGGTGGCCTGGAGGCACGATTTACAAAAGGGGCATGACATGGCATGGATTGTTTGGATGAGCGTTGAGCGCATGGAATCCTCCAGCCTCAAGATTTTTCGCACGGGAATGACCTGTTGATGAACAACTAATGGAATTAGTGTGTAATGTTATTGATGATTTTCAGAAATTGAATCTGATGTATCGGATCTGTGCACGATCTCTGTTACACTGGAATGAGATGTGTTGTCTCCGCTGCCTCGTGGAACCGCACCTCTCGCTGCGAGCGCGAACAAACTCATATGCCGCTAAGTAACATGTTCAGCCTCGTTGTCTTACAGATATCATCAGTCATCATGGAAACGTGCCTGCATATACTCGTACTCGGTAGAACCGGTGAGATGTATGAGATACAGATGTGAGTATCCACTCGTAAGGCATAGATACTGCCTAGAAGAGTATGTGGACTCTCTGGGGGGGGGCCGAGGTTGCCATGCTTCTAAATACAGTGAATAGTGGGCACCATTTTGTTTGTTTGGGGCAAGTGATACACCAATACAGTTAAAGTTAGTTATCCGATGGAGATCAGAGTTCTCGATGCGAGGCGGGGAAGAAATTCAGCTGAACCTCCTCCGAGCCACAAAATACCCAGGTATCTCTGAGGTCGCAAGTTCTGTCTCTGGGCGCAAGAAATAGGGCCAGGCATCCGGAATAGAGTGGTGGAAAGCTGTGGAAGACAAAGCCTGAGCTGGTCGTCAGTTCATCATCTCCCGAATGGAAGATGGCAAGGATGATCTCCAGTTGTCAGTGGTACCGTGTGGACGTTTAGCATGTGGTAAACCACTCACGGTAGCTGTAGCTGTAGCTGTAGCTTCCACCAACAGAACGCCTCGTTCTTGCCGATGATAGCTTCGACACTTGGCAAGCCACTGCAGTGAAAGAAACCAGACAAGTCCGAGTGACAGACATGCCGAAAAAAAGTGCGGCAAGAGTAACTACTTCTTTTTGGCCATTTGCCCTTGCTTCGCTTTCTTTCTTGATTTCATCTCTCCACACTTTTGCAACATCTTGAACACCATCAGGAAAGACATCATTGTGAACGTGTCGCAAAACCAGAAATCAACTCACAATGCGTTTCGCCATCGTCGCTATTTCCACCCTTCTCGCCGGGATTGTGTCCGCGCAGTCAAGTCCTTCAATTCCTACTTGTACATTCTGAAGCAGAACTGTTGCTACTCAGGTACTGACAGAATACAGGTGCCGACACATGCATCACTGACGCTCTACCCGCATCTTGCAACCTTGCACCAGCATGTTAGTCTTCTCGTCTTCTTTGCTGCTGCTCCATTCCCTCCAAAGAACAAGATCGTATCGGAATCGAAGGACTGAAACATATATGTACAGGTATCTGCAGCACACCGTCCTTCATCTCCGGCATTAGCTGCTGCATCTACAAGAGCTGTGATACCGCCGATCAGCAAGCCGCCCTTGCCTATGCCCATTCAATCTGTGATCCAGTCGGCTATTCGTCGGTATTGGTATGTTATAGTCCTGCTTGAGCTGCACAGCGCGCTCTCCTTTGACCAGCATACTGACTGCTCCTCCAGCCCGCTACAGCAGGCTGCTCGGCCAACTCGACCTCCTCTGCTACCGCCGCCAGCTCCAACGGCACAGCGAGTGCCACTGGTGCCATCGCATCCGCTTCGGCCTCGGCCTCCTCCGTTATCAGCAGCCTTACGTCCTCCCTCAGTGCCGCCGCATCTACCGCATCCACATCTGCAACTGCTGCTTCTGGCAGTGCTACGTCGACTGCGTCTGCCGCTGGCTCCAGCGCAAGTTCCAGCGCCATCGCAGCAAATCTTGTTGGCGCTAAGAGCTTGGGAATAGGTGCAGTTGCCGCAGCGTTCTTGGGTCTTGCTGCTTTGTTGTAGGTTGGGCTTTCGGTTCTGGAAGGGCTAAAAGAGTATGCCAAGAAGTATGTACAATTCGAAGGCTGATACGAGATCACGTCAGATGGTGAGAGTGCTCACGAGTCGACGTGTTTAGATAGATTGAACTTAGATGCCATGGCTAGCATTGAATGCTCGAATTGATACAGCTGTTCACATGCCGTACTTTTCATTTTCGTCCTCGATTTCCCTCCTTCTTGCCAGCATGCTGCCGACTTCCCTGCCTTCTTCTTTCAGCACTGTCCACAAGTATCCCCAAAACAACATATCGGCCAGCCCGGCTGTAAATGTCACACGATTCGCCAGACGCAAAGCAGAGGGGAATATGGCGTTATCTGACCCGAACAGCGCGTGCGAATGGAACGCATATATCCAGAAGACGAAGAGCGCCGCACCAAGGACATGAAGACCCGCAAGGGTCAACCAGCGCGACTGTGCGCTGAGAAGGGTGTGTAGTTCTTCACCCAAACGAGACGAAGATTTCGATGGTGAACTCGGTTTTCCCTGTGCCGGCGTGGGAGAAGATGAAGCAAGTACCACGGCCAGATCGCCCGCGAAAAGGAATTGTCCGATCGCGTAGACCAGCAGGACCAGTGCCAATAGCGCGAAGAGTTCGCGTTCTGATTCTGTGCCTGGCACTGCTGGTGCAGGTGGCTGCGCGCGGGCGGCAGTCAATGCGGGTGGTCGGAAAGCTTTGGGTTGAGGTTTGTTGATGGTCAGATGTTCTGGAGCGAACTCGGCGGGACGGATGGACATGGCTTCACCGAGAAGCCATATTGGTGCTGATGAGAGCAGCGTGTGGGGTGCCGTCAGGAGGTAGTAGGCGACGGTGAGCAGGGAGAGGGCATGCGTGCGGACGAGGATGTGTGAGGAGAGGAGAGGCATTGTCGAGGATGTAGAGAATAGATTCCTCTGGAGAGTTTTATGGGTGGTGGATGAGTGCTGTGTTGGGTGTGAAAGGTGGAAGATGACCACGTACAAGTCTTGACCGGGAGGTACGCAATTGAAATCTGTCATGTAGAGCCTAAGTTCCCAAGAAATCTGGGGTAAGCTCCAGGCACTGACCACGGCTCCCTAGGCTTACGTAGTTGGTGACTTACTTAAGCAGACCATTTGAAGCACCAATGGCTTTCACGAGAGGGTTTTCTCAACACATACCATTCTGTGTCTGCTGCTGTCCATGTTGATCTACCTCGGCGGCCTGCGCGATAGGTGGCAAGACTTCACTACATATTCAATCACATTAGGTCGGCTTTCATGCTCTGTCTGATGAGCCGATAGTTGCCCGGATACCATTGCTAGTACAGTCGCCCTTTTTAAACGCGAATGCAACCACCACCGTTTGACGGCTCTCCACCAGCCCCGTGTGCACATATACGAGTTGGTACGCCGAGCTCGGCTTGAGGACGCCCCGGGAGAGCCTCGACCTTCATTAGTCTGTCGGTGGTGCCAGGCAGCCGAGGCTCACCACATAAAGTAAGGCTAGTCAGGCCCAACCTGGGGTGAGGGGGTCGAGAAGTATATAATGGGCACAAAAGACCCCAGTACAAACAGCACGCCTTGCGCCATATCATAACTTCTGGCAGAAAAGAATCAAGAGCAATAACATGAAGGCCTACACTAATGAAGGACCAGTCAACTGTGATGCCGAGTTCGACAGCAGTAACGTCAAAGGCAAAACAGCCATAGTCACCGGCGGCATGTGAAAGGCTTCCCACAACAAGCAGTGTTTTCTGACTCTCACAGGCGCAAATGGTATTGGTGAGGCTTATGTTCGTGCATTGGTCGGCGCAGGGTACGCATCATTCTTCTTGTGGATTCAATAGATGCTGAGTGGAGTCCAGAGCGTTCGTGCTCATTGCCGATATCAATGAAGCGGACGGTACAAAGCTTTCAAAGGAGATGGCCAGGTAAGTTGTCCCTCGCTGTCGTCTCCCACGTTTGATCGTTCTGGTAGTGCTACCCAATTCGAGAAATGTGATGTCACGAGCTGGGCCGATCAGCTGGCAGTTTTCAAGTCGGCAATTTCGTCCTCGCCCTCTGGAAAGATTGATATTGTCGTCGCGAATGCTGGCATTGGCGGCGAAGACCCAGTCTTCTCAACCAACGGTGAGTCACAGCAGGAAAGACTCGGACAGTATTGACGATCATGAGCCGATAGTAGAAGAAGAAGACCCCGAAGAACCCAGGTTGAAAACCCTAGATGTCGATCTGGTCGGCGTGTTGTACACGATCAAACTCGCGCTCCATTACTTCCGCCGACAGAATGCTCTGAGTAAAGGTGAGGACTTGGACCAGGTCCTGGTCATTCAAGGTAGTCTTGCGGGATTCCTGGGATTACCTGGAGCACTTCAGTACTCAGCCTCAAAGTACGGCTTGCGTGGGGTATTCAGGACCCTTCGCCTTACTGAACATCAGCACAAGATTCGAGTTTCTTACATCGGACCCTGGTTCATTGAGACGAAGATCATGAACGACAAGACTATTCAGCAGTTGAAGGACACCGATACAGCGTTTGCCACTGTCCAGGACTGTGCAAGAGCGCTGATGAGGATCGTGTCGGATAGTAACACATCAGGTACTGCAGCATGCTGTGACATTGTTGATCTTGGATTCTGACATGCACCACAGGCAGGGCTTTCGCGATCTTGCCTCGACAATGGGCAGCTGCTGGATACATGGACCTCTGCGACGACGACAAAGAGGACACCCTGTTGGGGAAATTGACTGCAGGAATTGCTGCAGCACGCAGCCGTGAGCCAGAGCTTGCAAAGTAGTCGGAATGAGTGACTGATCATCTGTCTTCTAGATCCTCAGGGTTCTGATGCGAAACCGAGCACCAAGGTTGAATGGTGAGGGTCTTCATTGTAGGCCTTTCCTGGTGCCGGGCAATGTAGTACGGCGGGTGCAATATGCTAGAGGAACTTGCGTGTTTGAGGCAACATTACCATTGTCGAGAAAAGCAGTGACCGAAGCCGTTTGAATAAGTGAACAGGGGCAAATACCACACATTACCATGTTACTAGTATCCATGTTGCGCGAAGTTCAGCCGAATATGGTGGCGCTCTTTCTGGATCATGAAAAGGTGCCAAGATTGCCCGATTAGGTAGGCCCGCCTGCTTTTAGGGGAAGTCTCAAATCTCTTGGCAAAAATCCCCCGGGGACTTCGGTTGCGTTCTCAATTCTTGATTTAGAAGATATACTCGCATCTTGATCTGATACCGTAGCATTACAAGAAGTAGTACTCTCCGGTCATGCAAGATCCATTTACGACTTTTCTGCTCTTTGCTAAATATCAGACAGGCCGATCGAGATAGTGAAAGTCACGCATGAGCCGGTCAACTTCTTTGAGCGAAATCCTCCAGTTCATGTGCCTCCCTCGCGGCAGGAGTTTCATCGTTCGACGCTGTTCAATCGTGTTGCTGTTGGGCAGTGTTGTCAAAATGAAGATACAAGACGTGCACACAGGTTCTAGTCACGTCTTCCTTGCTGTTGACGCAGCTGGCTTGTGTGTAATGTTTACCCAGATATCTAGGTGTGGTCCTTTTGATCTGGTAAAGATGATATCCTGGATTCCTGGGGTACTGTAGCTTCAACCTAGAGCATGATCATTGGCCTGTAATTTTAGGCGGCACTCTGGTGATTGGGCGCACCTGGGTACCTAAGGTAAGCATAAAAATAGCTAGTCGCCAAGGCTTGAGCCAATAAATCCTATTCGGTTGCTTCATCTCCACCACTCCTTAGTTATTATCGACTCAACTGTCCTTGCGAGCGCTTACAGACAAACGCTCTCATTAGTCCATTACTCATTCGTCCACCTCATCTGCGCCCTGCTCGCGTGTCCCTGCATACGATGCGTCTCATCTTGAGATGGCAACCAATCCGATTTCCTTGCGAGACGCTGCAGTTCAGATCTTCCAATCACCAGCATGTCTTCTTCGCTTTTGTGCCTTGACTCTGCAGCCGGATGCTATCTTCAGTTATTCGGTACCGTGCTGGACGCACACCACTCATGCACTGGCCACAGTTTACAGCGGCTGCTATTGTTGTACCACCTTCAGTGCACTGTTTGGGTAAGGAGTGTCAGGAACCAACGAGGAAGGTATGCTCGTATGCTGTTGCTTCTGAAATGATATACGTCTCAGAAATCTGTCAAAACACTTTCCACTGTTCTCGCATTTCACATTGCTTTAATTGTTTTCTCTTGCCTGCTGACCTTGGACTGGATAACCGCCCTTGCTCTATCTTTGTACGTCGGCTGGTCCACGGACAGAGTCTTTGACCACACTTTTTCAAGCCAAGCGTTTTGTTCTGAGGCAAGAGGGGCTTACCACTACATCCCCTAAACTCCAGTCCGAATCAGCATATTCCAGACCTTGATTACCGTCTCCACCTGGAAGAAGAACATGGCTTCAGTCTTTGAAGGCCTAATTCACGCTCGACGTCGACCTTCACGGTCTCGGTCGGATTCAGGAAAGCAATTGCATGCAAGATGGGGCGATATTGCCATCTCAGCCCCCCATGATGGAACTTGGAGCCAGCAATATCCGGCTGGCAACAACATTTTGCAAGGTCAACCATTCGGCAGCCCAGACTCACAGAAGACGCTGGTGAACCAATCACCCGACCTTTCCAGAGAGCCTATGAAGTTCGAACACATCAGTAGTGAAGAGATTAGGCACCCAGCCCAGTCATTCATTCAGAAGGAGCGAAGTGCAATCACAATCACCATACCCTTGCCATGGTCCCGGAAGAAGGATCATCGCCGTTCGACATCAGTCAACACTGTTCAAGGTCAAGTGAATGTCGTTGAGCATCCCCCTGTCCTGGCAGAGCTTCCAGCTCCCACCGGTATAGCCAACACTATCGACGAAGTCATTGTGGCAGAATCACGACCGACCGCCGACCAGGCTCGGGCTGATTCTCCCATTGTCCATACCACATCCCCAGTATATAAAGATGTAAGCACCTTTTTCACAAGGGCCGCATTTCCGGAGAAAGGCTATGCCGCTGGGCGACTTCCACCCATTCAGACTTCCGTGCCGCCTAACAAAAGCCAACCTGCCTCAGCTCTCTCGCTTCTCAGTCCGGTCGCCGAAAAATATGATGGCCTCTCAGAAAGCAACAATGTAACTCCCCAAGACAATACCCCCACCGCCGAGCACATCGCCAGAGCCTTGGCTGCTTCTCACGGTCACAGTACCCCGGTCGACCTGAATCAACATCCAAGAATGACACCGACATCTCTGACAACATCTAGGATTGCTAGCCCGATCTTATCGTCCGACTCAGACTCTGAACGGATCCATTCCTGGGGCGCAGTGAAAGACCGCTCTCGACCTTCATCTCGCGGTCCTGGTATTGGAGAAGTGGCATACATGCGCTCCGAGTCTCGAGGAACCCCTGGACATGATCGGGCCGGATCCCGCGCTCCACGGGAAGGAGGTCGATCAGCCTCCCAAGATCCCGTCTACCGACAAGCCGGGTCGGTAGAAGCAACACATAGAACGGCTCAACCGCGGGAATCAAGTCGCCGGCGACCTTCCCCATCTCGTCAACGCGCATTGTCTCGCGATCCGGCTCTTGGGCGTGGTGATTCTCCAGGCCCTTTCTCTCGTCGTGCTGATTCTCCTGGCCTAACGAGCCGGCGTGCTGTGTCGCGAGAACCTCTATCGCGTCAAGCGCATGGCCCTTCTACTAGCACCAGACACGCACTGGTGCAAGAAGCAGCCAGTCACCGAGCCGATTCCCCTCCTCCGCTCGGCCGTCGGACAAGGTCTAGAGAGCCTTCTCGTCGTCGTGGGACCCCTTCTGGACCACCAACTCGTCGAGCGATCTCCCGCGAGCCATTTTCTCGTCGTCCTGATTCAGTTGATCTATCTCATCGTGCCGCATCCGTGGACCCCATCCATCGACGAGCCAGTCCTAGAGAAGACTACGATTCTACCTGGCGTTTCAAGGCACCGGTCACTTCGCCCGGGGCAAACAGTTCCAACGCAGATATATCTTCGAGTTCGTCTGCAGAGGAAGGGACCGACATTGAGACCGAAACGGACGAGATCTATTTCGAATCCCGCAAAGGGTGGAACGGCCCCGCAGTGGTTGACGGCGAAGGTAAAGGTTTCTACGCAGCTGTCATCCAAGACTACAGGGCCATCGCACGCGATGTGGAGGCGGAGATTGCTATGGCAGGGGAGCCAGCGGGTGTGAAGGAGGTTATCGTCAACTTGGTGACGAACAAGAAGGACAAGGAAAAAGAAAAGCCAATTGATCTCAGGATGGGCACGGGTTATGTCGGTCCGGCCCTGGTGCCCTCGAATGAGGAGTTGTGGGGTTGATGAGGGATTGAATCGAGGGAGAGTGGTGGTACTCCTGCTTCTTCAGAGGAGGCCTACCTGCTCACGAAAAGTATGGAAATGAAGCATGTCGATCTATGAGGGGACAACCTCTCAGATCATGCTCGGAACGAAAAACAAGCGATGGCGACCGGCCAAAACAGAAATCCTTCCAGCGTCTGCCTGCAATATCGCACACAACATGGTCGACAGCACTGGTCAAAATGCGATGATGAGATAAACGAATTTCCTTGAATTAGTCATGTACCTACAAATACCTGGACAATTACACATTTTGATGGAATACGTGCTCCCTTCACAGAATTTGATCGTCCCTTAGTCAGCTGATGGTGTGGCTGCTTACCACTGAACTTACCCCTGAACTCTGGCGACTTTTAAAATCGCTACTAAGAAGAAGATATCGACGATGATATACCTGTACATCATCTAAGAGTTGCCAATAGTATACTGTCGGTCCTGGCTTCAAGCACTTTAGAAGTCACAGCTGTGAGCTGTACCACTGGATTTACACTGCACGACCAGATCGATCAGGCGATCACAGTAGCACCATCCATTTCCAGCATGCAAACAACACGCTCTCGAACACGGGATCTGAAGTCCTTCACGCTCGAACTGGGTAGCGGCCTAGTGACATTCAGTTTCCCGTCGACCCATCGCACACGCATCAACATCCCACCAGGCAGTCTCTGGCGCCCTGGTGGTCACTGGCACGAGAGCTACACGGAGCACATGCGTGTTCTTCATGGTCGCGTCAAGTTCACGATCAACGGCACCGCGAAAGTGATCGGTCCTGAAGACGGGGTTCAGATCATTCGTAAATACGAGGTCCATGATTTCTGTCGCGCGGATGGAGGCGCCGGGGAAGGGGATGTCACGGTGGAAGAGTGGACGGAGCCTGGTAAGAACATCGCACCCACACCCACACCCACACTCAAAATCACCGAGCCCAGCCCAGCCCCCAGTTATCAGTGGTAGGAGGTTGGTTTTGCTGCTGGGCGTATTTGCTGACCCATCGGATGGAAGACGACGGGTTCAAGCAGGTTTTCTTTTATAACGTCCTTTCACTGTTCAAGGACTCTTTTGACCCGAACACGAAGAAGGCGAGATTGTCGCTGGGGTTGGTCGTGCAGTTGCTCACGACAATCGCGCATGTCGACAATTTCGTTGATCCTCTGCCGTTTTTGCCGTCGACGATGTTGGCTCTGTTTGCAGTTAAGTACTTTGTTACGCATTCGGTGTATGGGTTTGGGAAGGTGATTGGGTCGATGCTGGGGTATCGGGTTTGGTTTGAGGAGTATACGCCTGAAGAACTGTGGGAGGTAGCGCAGAGGGGGCCGGTGATGCAGGAGGTGCTGGGGAGGGAGAAGAAGGAGTAGGTGGGTGTTGAAAGGGGCGGAGAGGGATATACAGTATCAGAGGGCGTTCTCGACAGGAAAGGACTCATGCCACGGTTTGGTGACAGAACTTGGAAGGACAGGAGAGTAGCGAGTTTTCGACCTTCGTGCCCGGGCGTGCAAAGGACGATGAATAAAGTTCAGCCTCACTTCGTAGTATCGAGTTCGAGGCCATCAGTGACGCTGTTGGCAGGATTGACCTTGCTAAATGCCGACACATTCGTGCTGCGAGATCAATGATCCGGAGCGTCTTGGGATGTTCATCAGAGCTTCTAAGGACGCCACTATATGGGTGATGATGATCAATCGGCGTGAATGAAGTGATGAGACGGTGGATGGTATGTGTTTGGGCAAACCAATGTTTAAATTGATCGTGAGGAGAAAGAGCTTCGCATCAAAAGTCAAAGTCATGACGAAACAGAACAAGAATGTTTGACACCTCAATCTAAGCAGCCTTACTGTACACCAATACTCACTAGCCTTTCTATGCCCCATCCCAGAAAAGGACAATGACACTTCGCGCGATCCCATCAGTACCATCCAGCGTCACGCTCCTCGTGCTAGGAGCAGGCTGGACATGGCAATTCCTCCAACCACTCCTCATCAAAGAGAAAATAACCTACGCAGCAACCACAACAACAGGACACGATGGGACGATCCCATTCAAGTTCGACCCGGAGTTCACTGATATTGAGGCATACAAAACGTTACCTATTGCCAAATACGTACTCGTCACATTTCCATTGAAAGGGAAAGGGCCCTCGGCGCGATTAATCGCATCATACATCAACTCACACTCCAAAGAAGCTGGAGCCACGAAATGGATTCAACTTGGTTCTACGGGTATCTTCACTGCCCCTGACTGGAATGACTCCTCTTCACCAATTGACGAGTCTAATGAGCGGGCTATCGCGGAGAACGAGCTCATGAGATTAGGAGGATGTGTGTTGAATTTGGCGGGATTATATGGTGCTACGAGACAGCCAGGGAATTGGATCGGAAGGGTGGCGAAGACGAAGGAGGCACTCGCTTCCAAGGGTGCACTGCATCTGATCCACGGCGCGGATGTAGCTAGGGGAGTGGTAGGAGTGGTCAAGGGTGACTTAGAGGGCACGAAGACGAGTGGAAGCTTATTTGGCAGGAGATGGATTGTCGCCGACTGCGTTTCGTACGATTGGTGGTTGCTGGTTTGGGAATTTATGGGCGAGACCTTGGAAGATGGGAAAGAAGATGGGTCAAAGATCGAGGAAAGGACGAAGTATCGGGGGTGGATCGTTGAGCTGATGGAGGAGAATGGCATACGAGGCTTGCCCAGGCCGATGGATACTTTGGGCAGAAAACTCGATGCTCGAGGTTTCTGGGAGGCTATCGGCAGTTCACCTACGCATTCGATGGCGAGGTGACCGGACCAAGCACGGGGAAGAGACGTCACAACCTCAGAGCGCGGAAATAGACGGAAGAAATGCATTGGAGGTAATATTCATTGAGAGCATCGTTCGTCTCGAAATTACAGCTCGGTACAGGGCACAACATGTTCATCCATGACAATTGTGGCAGCTCCGAAGATGCTATGAGGGAGGATGGTACCTCTTCTGTCGGCGGCAGTCTTTGCCGTGTTCGACGATCCCATACATAGCTGAAAGGTTGAAGAATCGGTGAAAGGCTTGCCAATTCGTGGCCTCATTCGATTGCTGAGTTCTTCCTTCTCCAGGCAGAAGAGCCGTGATTCCAATGTCTCAACTCGCCAATCAACGAAGATGGCAGCTCTTCCAGGTCTCTTAGGTAGCGACGCTCTTTGACAGCACGGCTCGTCGTTCTTTCTCTCGCCGTTCGCGCTTTCTTTGACGATTACTCTTCCCATCAACCTTGCTGGGGCGTACTGTCTCGTCGTTCAGCTCGCGTTTGCGATATTCCCGATATACCTGGATTGCACCACCATTGGTAAGACCATTTTCCGCCACACTTCCAACCACATCCCCGGCTTTGAAGAGCTGAGTAGGATTTGGAGGCCGATCTGTGGCGGTTGCTGCCACATCCTCGGAGGCGTGGGTGAAACTGAAGCGTAGCATTGAGACGTCCTCACTTAAGTTGGTAGCAATTCGTCCCAGCAACAACAGCAAGGATTCGTCCACACCGGCAGTGATCGACCATGACGCATCTTTGAAGTGGTAAGTAATCTTTGCCATGACCCTCAAAACCACTGTGCAGCCTCGGAAGACACGCTGCAAACCAAGAATAGAGGAGTCCAACATAGGCCATCCCATGAACTCCAGCTGCTGAGAGTCTTTTGATATTCCGGTCTGCCGTTCAATCTGCTCCTTCAATTTACCGAAGCTGTCTCGGCAGTACACCTCTACCTCCGCGATGATTGGGCCACCGAAAAGATGTTTTGCAGAAGCTCGACGAATGTTGACGGTGTAGATTGCCTTGAACTTCGCCTTGATCTCAATCGGTCGGCGATTATTGGTGAGAAGCTCGGCATTAGGGTCATATTGACCTTCTGTCAGTGCTACCCTGCCTTGCTTGGCACCTCGGATAGCATACTCAAGGCCATCATGCCGGTTCAAGATTGGCGGATAGGTCTGCGTGATGGCAGCAACTAGCTTTCCGAGTGTATTGCAATTCTCCTCGCGTAATTCGACGACAATGGGCTTGTACAGAACGACAAGCTGTCCCATGGCTGTTGGGCTGTAGTAGGACCACTTTGGTGTTGAGTAAATCACTTGACTTGCACCCCGTAATGAAATCGACCTGTTGGAGTAGTACTGTTCGGCTCCACCCAGGATCAAGCAAGACCTCGAGCGCAAGACTAGATCAGCCGTGAAGATGAGGTCGGTCCGTCCTTTCGAGGAGTCTCAAGATTGTGATTGGCGAAGGGGGAGGTCGATCTGAGATGTTTCCTTCCGCAAGGTTGAATTGAAAGTGAGGTTTGTTTGAGGGCAAAAACAACCAGACAGCCAAGCCGTATGCCACATCCCATGTCCAGTGAGGATATCAGAAGCTTGTCACTTTGGGCTGGCACGATGCTCAAAGGCGGTGACCGAATTTTGGGGTAGATACGCCCTTGGCGACCTCGCAGCGGCTCTGCGCAATGTCTCGATGATCTTCCTCTCACTTTCGTGCTCCACCAAAGTCAAGTTTTTTGGCCACACCTTTGAATCTGTTCTCATCTACCACGACTCCAGGCGCGGCGGCCTCAGCCGCACCCATCTTAGTCGCGCCACCGCCTTGCTTGGGCAAGCTCTCTTTGTCGGTAGGTCGTGGATCTACTTGCCACCATTCATGTTCTAAAGCTCCCCTGGCCGTCACTCTTTTCCGTGGATCCAGCTTCAACATGGCCATAAGAAGATCAACACCAACAGAACCTGCCGTTGGGAACATTTGCATGTAAAACGATTTGTCCCTGACCGGAATCTTCTTCTCTAGTTCGAAGTAATCTCGGAGTTTCGAAACACCTGGCCAATTGTCTTCCGACGGCGTGCCTACTGCTTCGCAGATTTTGTCCAATTGTGCGACTGTGCCGCCACCCGTTGCCAGAACTTCTTGGTTGGCCACATCGGCAGCTGCATATGGACGACGAATGAGCAATTCCGCGAATACCATCCCGATGCTCCACATGTCGACAGCACCGCTGTACTGCCTTGCCCCAAACAGGAGCTCCGGAGGTCGATACCACAATGTTATCACTGCAGACGTCATTTGATATCTTGGGTCTCCAAATGACCGTGCAAGACCGAAATCTGCCAGTTTGACTTCTCCATCAGCTGCGATGAGCAAGTTGTTCGGCTTGATATCTCGGTGCAGAATGAAGTTCGAATGGCAGTAGTAGATTGCCCGGCAAAGCATGCCCATCCACGCTTTCACATCTGCAGCACCGTAACTCACCGTCTTGTCACGAATGAGCTCCTCCAGGTTGCCGTTTGGAAAGTATTCAATGACCATGTTGATGTTTTGGTCTTTGGAAGAGAACACATCGAGCAGAGCGACAATGCTAGGGTGGGAGACTTCTTGAAGGTACTTGATCTCTCGAATGGTGTCGACGTTGAGACCTTCTCGCTGTTGTGAAGGGTCGACCTTGAACTTCTTGATCGCCACCAGCGTGGTAGGATCGGATCTCAAATGTCCCTTGTAGACGATAGCATAGGTACCTTCACCCAGCTTCTTGCCTGAGCAATCGTCAGTTGGGTTCTGCTACTTGAGGCTGGGTTGACGGACCTTTCACATACTTGTTGCTGATCTCCTCATTCATCTGCTCAGCCATGTCGAAGTCAGCGGACGGTTTAGGGCGAGATTGAATGGTGGCGGTTTGTGGTTTTGATATCGACTTTCTCATTGCTAATGACTTGGCTCTGGAGGGTGACATGTAGGCGTTGAGATTAGACGGTGACCGCGGCATCAGCGGTGACACCGTGTTTGAGGGGGGCGCCATGGTGACGGTCCACTCGAGGAACAAATACTTCTAGAGGTGTTGAGATGAATGCGTATCGGGCCGAGGATGTCTCCTGGATGCCCGCCTCAGCCTTGCAGGCTGTATTTATGACTTGAATCCAACGCCCTTCAGTCCAACGATGGGTCAAATTGGTCGCCAGGATTGCCGAAGGAGGGCACTTGAAGAGCAGCATTTTCCGTACGACAGCATGTTGACGTCTGGGAAGCCACCTTGAAGATCAAAGACGAGGCTGTGGCTTGGCACTTTCAGCCTTGCCTTGGCATCAATGCTGTCGGACTTCGAAAAGTTGCAGCTGTTTAAGAAGGCTTTCCAGCAGCAATAAATTTCCTTTACAACTTCACCGAACGACAACAGCTGCGCGGAGCGTTTCGAGTGAGCGAACTCGGATTTACATACACTAGAGTTCTCAGAGCCGAAGCCGTCGTTGATAATTCCCAAAGATGATCACGCGACAACCGCAGACGGCGTCTTCCTTCTTCACATCTCTACTCCGACCTTCGGCATCAATATCACAGTCATACATTTGCACACCATGCCGTCGCAATCTACATCGTGGCCTACCCGAGGACGGCCGCGTACCACCTCCGACACCTTTTGTTCCCGATGTTCCTACTTTCTTCAAGTTGATCGGCCGCGAAATGTCCAAACATGCCAGCAAAATCGAGTCGTGGGAGGAACTATTCACCGCGACATCGCAAAAGCTAAAGGATAAGGGCGTTGAACCACCGCGAACGCGGCGGTACCTGCTGCGGTGGCGAGAGAAGTTCCGAAAAGGCGATTTTGGCATTGGCGGCGATCTACAATATGTGCAGGATGGAGTTGCTGAACTGAGGCTCGTCGAGGTGCCAAGTCTGAAAAAAGACCCAGTAACAGGAGAGCCACTGTCTGGACCAGTATCTATCGGCAAGAGTCCTGGGATGCAGAAACTTATTGTCAACGTGCCAAACGGCTCGGCGACATATGCTCTACAATCGGGGCAGACGATGGCGGACCTAAAAAAGCCTACAGGGTTCAAGCTGAAGAATGGATATATCATCACAGGGAAGCAGGCACATCCGATTAAAGGCACGTACGGCAGTGGAGTCACGTTGAAGGCAGTGGAGGGTCTTTGGGAGCATAAACGAGGCCATAAGGTCCATGGTGGTGAGAGAAGAAGAGCTCAAACATTGCACAAGATGAGAGTCGAAGCAAACAAGAAAAATGCGCGATAGTGGAGTGTCCCGACTGAATGCTGAGTGCACCACGCTGTTGGTCAGTTCGGTATATGTATTATAATGCTGGCGGTGACAGGGATGGCATCGAACAAAGGTGTTTCTCGAAGACGTTTGGGAATCTCCATGCTGTGACCTTCCTGGAGAGCTGGCACACTGAGGAGAAGCATAGCCAACACATCAGTGTAGAAGTTGCTCTGTTGAAGCAGTTTGGCTCTTGGCTACCAGTCTTCCCAGACACCGCGGGACCGGCATCAGGCCCTTGGCTTCTATCATCAGCATATCTTGTAACACATCGCGGCCATTCGTCTGTCCTCGCACTGTTTGAGGCGGTGATAATGATCAGTGTATTCCGTACCAATATGATGTTCTTCACTGTCGGTCTCGCCCAGATCTGTGAGGTAGTCAATTGACAGCGACCATGCTTGAGTAATGATGCTTTAAGATCCACAGCGTTCGCTATTGATGCACTTGGCCTTCTTCAAAGAGCTTGGATTCATAAAGTCCCGGAAGTTTCGGGTGCGTCTCAGTCTTGTTTGCAAACCATTCCAGAACCATGGGTGCGCCGGCTCCGGGATTGACACACTAAGTTTATTAGCTGATCTGGTGGCTGAGCGTCTGAACATTATTTTCGTGCGACTGTGACGCGTCGTGAGTCGTGACTCGTGAGCATGATATCCAAACCCCTGAGCATGCACATTGCAATGCGATCAAAGGTTGCTGATGCCACTAGTATAGCATCACGCTAGATACGACCCAAAGAAAACAAATCTCCGAAAGCTTTTCCTTTCTGGTCGCTGTTGGTTGCACCAAAGAGCAAACGCTATTGAACAACAGACTTGTATATTTGTGTGGCCTGGAAGACGCACAAAGTCGAAATACGAAGATGAGGCATTGAGCCTGAGAAGCTGGGTACTGCTTCGCCGTCATCACGAGGGCAGTCAACAGAGGCACAAGATCTGGCTTCATACGCGTTGCTGTTCTTTCACCAAAAGAAATCGTGCTCCAGGAAATGCAAAAGAGCCGATCGTTTCCTCCTGCCCGATTCCGCTTCACTGTGTAAGTCCAGGCGAGGCGTGGTAGCACCGGACCCATCCATCTAGGTTTCTGTCCCTAACAATGATATTTCACGGCTGATGGCGAGAACATCTCCAGGAGGGCCTTTTCACAATCACTCCCAAGACAGGCAAGTGATGATGAAATAGGACACGGCTCAGGACACCTTTTCACATGCTGGAAATACGCCAGATGATACACAATGTCCCAAGCCTGGCATGAATGAGGATGGTCCCTTTCAGCTTCAACTGCTTCTGGACTGCGTAGGCACCTTAGCCATAGTTATACCGAGATTGAGGTCGGTCGCTTCAGGTTCAGAGCAAGACAGTGTGTGCCCCCAAATTTCTAAGGTCGATGGGTGAGTAGCCGAACAGATTGCAAGGCATCAAGCGGCCGGGGAAAGACTTAGGTTAAGCCACATGAAGATTGGCGTTGACGATGCTTGCAAGGGGTGGAGAAAATTCTTCCCTTTGACCTCAAGCTACAAGGTCTATCCTTTTGACGTACATACCTTATCTCAGGGTGAACTCTAACCTCCATCTTTCGGGTATCACAACCTGTCACTCTTGTATACACCTTGGTAGTGATATGGTATACCGTTGCTTGTAAACTCATCTGGGGCAAAGCAGAGCTACAGTCATTGATTTGAGCTCAAGTGCGAGGATAAAGTAGGGCGTGTAGTCGCTTAATCGAGGTGGAGGTCGCCATGGACGACGCGCGGAAGGTCAAAAACGTCTTCGAGACTTCGAGTGCAGTAGCATGATATTGTGTAGGTCGGTGGATCGGCTAGAATGTGGGAACTTTTCTTCCTTTCTGTGATCAGCTGAACTCGGAATGGTGTTGCATGAGGTCGCAGCTTGAGGCTGGAGCAATCTTCAATGATGCCCTCCAAACTCGGCCACAGGACGACTGTGATGATCACCAGCAAGAAGATGATTGACCACTTGATGAAACCGGGTGTCAGGCCAATGATGATAGAGGATTGACAACATTACTGACCCTTGGGACACGCCATGGAAAGTGGTTGCAGAAATCGGCAGGAATTGTGCTTCGGCATTGGTCTCCAAGAGAGTGCAATTTGACACATTTTTGACGGCCTGGCCGCCCCTCAGCTGAGAAAAATATGCCTGTGCAAATCCACCTGGCACCCGCCCATCCATCATCAAACGCCCTTGCTAGGTTCTCTTTTGGCTGCAAAGGTCCTGCGCGTTATCCAGTCCCTGTGGCCCGGTGCCTGCAGCTAATCGGCACCCAAGGCACGCTTGCTCGTTTCCATTCTAGTCCCCAGGCATGCTGACAGGGGACAGCCATCCATCACCGGCACGGACCTCATGAACTGCCCCCCAGTCCAACACCCTAAGTTATCTGAATGGAGCGATGAGGAGGATTATTCTCCTGCGGCGCCTCGTCCCTCTTGCCTGTCTCTTCTGTCAGTCCGAGTAACATCACTTTGTGGTTGACGTTCAACGGTGTCCAATTGCATCTCAAAAGTCCTCCAAGACTCGAATTGATCGTGCTTCATGCACATGGTTTAGGGTTGCATGCCTCGGAGAATACCTCACATGGACAGACACTCCACATTGTTTGTGTGATGCCAACGGTCGTTCAACATCATAACGCCCCTCTCGTTCTGCGACGGCCTCTTCCCTCACCCTTTTACGGCGCGGAAGACGGGCACTTGCGTCTTTGGATATCCAAGGATACACACTATTGGGAAGAGCAGACGAAGACTACAACGAAATATTGATCCGTGCGTGAAAACCTGCGACAGCATAATCAGAGCGAGGGGCACGCAGGGACAGTGTATCAAAGCTCTGACCATCTGGCTCGACTATACAAAAAATCCAAGCACCCCGCATGAACGTGCAATAAGAGATCCTGCCAAAACCAGCCGTACCACGAATCCGTGGTCAACATGTCTCTACCCGTGGCCTCAAGGCCATTAGCCGACCCGCCAACGGGTGCGCTGCCTCCCCTACCTACGACCGCAAACAAACCGCCGCGCAAGAGCCTATCTCAACCACCATCGCGGCTAAAAACACCTTCAAGGACCTCATTATTGCCGGTGTCGCAGCCTCTTTCGTCCACTCCGGATCTACCATCTTCGAGAAGTAGCGAGAGACCGTCTGGAATCCCCTCCACCAAAACTGTGCGGAAGACCATTAGCATTGGATCATTCCCTCAGCCACCCACACCCACTGGTGGGTTTCGTCCAGGTACATCGGCCTCTATAGCCTCCACAACGTCGACAAGGAAACGGACGTCAGACGGGAATGCCTCGGGCATCCTAGCGTTTTCCAATAAAACCAAGAAGTCCCCGAGAGCGAGTGGTGGCAGTTTTCGCGGATCGCAGACTCCTTCTCTACTCAATTCTGCCGGAGATGGGATGACAGTATCTGCAAGAGCAGGCAATAGGATATCAGACGCGCAGTCCAGTATTCACTCTCTTCCGCAAAGCCGGAGTTCCTCGGCCAATGGGTCCTATTCGACCACTGCGACCACGATCGAGGATGGTGACGATGACAGTCGAGGTCGTACAAAAGACTCGGACGACATGATGACTGAGTCAAACCGAAATTCAAAGGGGAAGGAATCGAAGGGCAATGTGATCGTCAGCGTACGTGTTCGACCAGATTCAGGCACAACAAACAGTTCTCGAAGTGAAGGAGAATGGATGGTGGACGGCCGAAGAAGCTTGGTCGCTTATCGTGGCAAGGAGGGTGGTGACTACCACTACGACAACGTCTTCAATACGTACGACGACAACGCCAAAGTCTATGATGCCGCCGCTAAACGGCTGGTACGTCGGGTGATGGAAGGCTATCATGGGACAGTATTTGCCTATGGCATGACCGGAACAGGCAAAACATTCTCGATGCAGGGCACGATGTCAAGTCCGGGCGTCATCCCTCTTGCGATTACTGATATTTTCTCTTATATCAGAGAAACACCACATCGAGAGTTCTTGCTGAGGGTTAGTTACCTCGAAATATACAACGAAAAGATTCATGACCTGCTAGCAACTCCGATGGGCGGCGGCATTGGCGGTCCTCAGCAAGAGGAGATCAAGTTGCGCGAAGACAGCAAACGAGGCGTTTATGCTACACCACTGAAGGAAGAGATTGTGCAGAGTCCGACTCAGTTGCTTCGAGTAATCCACCGAGGAGATACTGCACGCCGCACCGGAAGCACCCAGTACAACGCACGCAGTTCTCGAAGTCATGCTGTGGTACAAATTGTTGTGGAGAGCCGGGAACGCATCCCTGGATCTGGAGCAATGCACGAGAATGGCAAGCGAGTAGCCATGCTTCCTGGTGGCGTTCGTGTCTCGACTCTCAGCCTCATTGACCTGGCAGGGTCTGAAAGAGCTGCCGAGGACAAAGAGAGGCGAACTGAGGGTGCACACATCAACAAGTCTTTGCTCACACTGGGTACAGTCATTGCTAAGCTTTCTGGAAACAAGGACAAAAATGGAAATCCAATGGACAAAGATGGCAAGCACTTGCCATATCGAGACAGCAAATTGACGCGTCTCCTCCAGCCAGCACTTTCTGGCAATTCCTTGGTCTCAATATTGTGTACAATCCAGATCGGAGCAGGCACGACCGCGGCAAGCAGCAACCACACTGGCGAAACTCTCAACACTCTCAAGTTTGCAGCTCGAGCCAAGAACAACATTGTCAGCCATGCGAAGAAGGCTGCGGAGGAGGTGGGTACGGGTGTCAACGCTGGTCTCCTTGAACGGTACCGATCTGAGATCCAGAGCCTGCGGTCGCAACTAGAGGGACAGCAGAGATCGGCAGCCGAGAAAGAAGAAAAGCAAATCGAGAAGGAAGCCGAACAACGACATGAAGAACAGATGTTGGAAATGCAGCTAGCAAGGACTGCTCTCAAAGAGCGAATTGAGCACTTGAATCGATTGATTCTGTGCTCGAAGTCAACCGGCGTTAACAGTGGAACAGTGTCTTCATTGGGAATGCATTCGCGACTCTCGGCAGGTACAGACATCGCGGTGTCCCGGTCGGTTCGGTCGTCTGCTAGTCAGTCTACCCTGGGTGTTACACCTGGTCTCAAGCGATACCCTTCCGCAGCGTCTTTGGCACAACCGCAATCGGCGTCGACGCATCTGTCGTTCCCCGCAATACCTGACGAGGATGAAGAAGCAGGCGGAGATTATTTCGGTGATGGGCGGGCAACACTGCAAGCGCAAGTCCGGGCCCTACAGGCAGATCTGCAGGACAAGACCAGGTACATTTCGACGCTGGAAAAGAGATTGCTGCAAGCTCGGAGATCCAGTCATTCTCGAGTATCCATGGCGTTCAACAAAACCCCTGGTGATGACGGAGAGATGATGAAGAAGCTTGACGAGAAGGATGCTATGATAGCAGATCTGCAGAAGACCGTTGCGGCCCTTCGCTCGGCCGTGCGCAAACGTGATATTGCGGAGCTGTCACCAGAAATGTCCTCCAACGAGTTCAAACAGAATCGAAGTCAAGATGGTCATCAGAGCAACGATAGCAATACTAGCTCTCAGTTGAGCAGTCTTGTGGTATCACAGGTGTCTTCCGGACCACGGTCCCCGCTTAGCGCAAGCCCCATGACGCTTTTGTCACCACAAAAGGCGCCCGAGAAGAAGCGCAAGACGGTGGACGAGATGTCCAAGATGCTTGATGAGATGATTCAGGACAAGGTGGAAAGTGGGCAGTACACGAAGCGGTCAACATCGTTTCGTATCTCTCACCGCGGTCCGCCTCCAGGGCTCTCACGAAGGACATCAAGTGCGGGTAATGTTACAGGTCCGGCCATAGGCACTCTGGTGGCCTCGCTGAGAGAGCGGGATTCGATGTTTGAACCAGGCAACCCCAACTGATTGCCTCGATCTACAGGCACTTTTCCTTTTTGTTTGTATTTGTATTTGTTACGATTGACGACCACAGCAAGTATTTTGTTTTGTTGAGATTCTTTGGGCCAGGACAAGAGGCGGTCAGGGAAAAAAGATGGGTGGCATGAAGACGACTCAGTGGCTCTTCGTCTTCAAGAGATGGCTTTTTGCTACAGATGGATTCATTTCTTGCGGCTTTGACAGCAATTCTTGTATTTCTTCTTTTCGCTCAGCGACCATCGAAGCTGGAATCAAGGTCAGCTTGAGGACGGCATGACACCATCATATACCCTGATAGAAAGTGTTTAGTGAATTAGCCTAGAAGGCATTTGGGCGACGAGGCTGGCGACAGTCTTGTTGAGGCCCCTTTTTCATGTGCTGATCTGAGGAGATTGAGAGACGATCATGTTCTTGACTTGACTTGATTCATGTATTATAATGGCAACTGGTCGCTATACGGATATCGATGACTTCATAGTCCGGAGGAGCAGGGATGGCACCATGTTTGATCTGCCCTGGATGATGGTTTCAGATGTCAGTTCGCTTCAGGTGAGACCCTCTTTCTCTCTTTTCTCTTGCATGCCGCGTCTTCTGGCGTCCCCGCGGCTGCCCGTCCGGATGTCACCTTTTCCAATCCAGGGTTCTTCCTTTTCTTTTTGCTCGTTCGATTGGACTGATATGTTTAGGTATACTGCACGACTTATGCCGGATGTCCTTCCTTTGGCCTGTCAACATCCCTCTTCGTTGGCCAGCTTCCTTTTTGGCTTTTCAAGTCGATGCAATCGGTTAGCAGCCGATATCCGGAACGAGATACCTGACAGTTGAAGCTGCATACTCGGCATCGATGCTACTCGTTACCACTTGATTCCGGGTACCCGCACCCGTGGGACAAACATCTGCAACCTCATCTGTCCTACGCAGCAATCCATCTGTGGACCGGATCTCAAAGAAAAAGAGTCCACATCTGGGCCATCTTACCGGTACAGCCTTTTTTCCTTCTCTACTCAATCCAGGGTTTTCTCTTTTCTCTTCTTTAACAGTCCAGGATCCTTAACCGCAGTTTTGTTGCTTTATCAAAAACTTTATCATCACTACGAGCGTTCAAGCCATATCTTATCCAGTCTATACCTTTGCCGCACAGTTTGGTCGACTTCCTTTGCCATTAATCTGCCATCACACATTCAAGATAGCCATTTGGTGTTTCCTAGCATCAACTCCAGTCGACTTCAAGATCGACCGTTCGCAACAAGACCATATCATGACATAAACGGCCTTCAGTATATATATTACACTTCTTTGTTTCAACCCCCCGGTATTCGACACCGCCGTACTGGTTACGGATTGGATTGTTTGACACACCAGACATAAACGACCTGCCACGACTTGTTTGCTTTGATTTCACCAGCCGGCTTTGTACATGCCTAAACGAAACACATAATACCCGGATGCTGCTCCTTTCCTGCGCTGAATGAATACTTTACCGCATGAGAAGTGCGATGACGACCAGCCTCGCAAAAAGATGCTCGTCTCCAGCAGAGCAAGTCCTCCTAAGCCACTAAAGATTAATACCTCAGAGCCATACCTTTCGCTCAAAAGCCTGTTACCGAGAACCCCAATTCCTTCACCCTCATTACCCTCAATACTGCCTCGCCATGGCAAGAAACCGCCAAAGCTCAATTCAAAACGTATCGTACGAGCTATCATATGGCTCACCGTTGTCATCAGCCTTTACTATATTGTGGCATTCGGCAAGAAGAAAACACGCAACCTCGCCGACCTGACCTTTCTGTCATCACTTGGAAAGACATACGAGATTGTCGAGGCAGCTGAACTGCCCAACCATCCGACGCCACTCGCTCTGACCGACAGCAAGGGCAGGCACCATTGGACCATCTGGATCCCTCCGAAACTCGGCTTCCCTCTTGCATCGACAGACTACGCCGACATCTGTTCACAGGTTGAAGAGGTCGCGCGGCACGTTGCTGGTCGTCCTTCGGACGAAATTCGCGATGACCACTACTACCAAGATGACGCCAACTTCATCGACGTAGAGGAAGCTCAATCCCGCCACTTTCTGCCCGAACAGGTGGACTCGTCTGCGGACAAGCATCTGCCCATCTGCCCAAAGACACTGACGTACGTTCTCGACGCCACGGATGCAGGACTCGGGTCGGCGTTGCTAGGCATGTGGGTTTCATACAGCCTGGCCAAACGCGAACAGCGCACCTTCTTCATCGACGACAGTCATTTTCCGTATGGAAACTATAGTAATTTCTTCACTCCCTACCCCAACCCAACTAAATGCCGGCCCCCACCGTCAAGTCAACGCGTACCCTGCCCCCACCGGGCCAAACACTTGGTGGTATCGGCCGGCACAACGCCCTGGACATTCGGCGATTCGTTCCACGCGCACTTCTCGCAGCGCGAGATCTTCGACATGGCGAGAGAAGGGTACGAAGCCCTTTTCAGTCTACGTGGCGATGACAAAAATCATGTCTCGAGTCGCCTGAAAAAATTGCGCCACGAAAACGACGGTACCAATGGGCTCGTGGGTATTCATATCCGTCGCGGCGATCGACATCCCTTCGAGTACAGTTTCCAGCACGGATACCTGCCGCCGGAACGGTACATGGACGTGGCGCTGCGGTTGATTGGCGCGTCGGAACAGTGGAAGGTTATACTCGCGTCTGATGATGCGAATATGTATGACCACATTGAGTTGCCTGGGGCGGTGCGCGCGCAGACGAGGATAAGTCTGGCAAGTAAGAAGCAGTTGGACGGAGCAGGGTTGGGTTGGGAAGGCGGATTCTTCAAGGATGTGTTCTGGGGGCTTGGGTTGCCTGTCCACGTGCTGAATCAGAAGAAAGTTGGGTCGCCGATGCCGACTATGGCGAGGCCGCCGTCTGGGCCTGAACATGACGATAAAAATACGGAAATCGAGCAGAAAAAGGAGAAGGAAAGGGATAAGGACAAGCAACGGTCTCTGGCCACAGCAGAAGTGAGGGATTACAAGACACATCCGACGGACGAGGCGTTGAAACTGCGGGAGTTGCTGGGACGAGCGTACCTGATGGATCTGGCTGTGCTGGCGAGGAGTGATAAAATCATCTGTGGGGTGGCAAGTAATGCGTGTCGTGTCCTGGCGGTCATGTCGGGATGGGAAAGAGCCTTTGAAGAGAAAGACTGGGTCAATGTTGATGGGAACTATGGTTGGACGTTTCTTGATTATTGAATGAGTTCGTCCCGTTCCCATGAGTTGGGAAGTGGTACTTGTGGTACCAGGTACAAAACACTAAGTACTAGCTCTTCATGACTGCCGGAATATCCATATCAGCAGATGGTTTGACTCCAGCACGACTTCTGTGTGTTGTCTTCAAGGTATTGACTGTCAAGTGTGTTGGTGTTGACAGACTCCATCCTGCTTGACTCTCATCACTTCTCTGCGCTCCCGTGCTTCGCCATGGCATCCTGTTGCCCATTACTTGCATCTCAAAACAGTGCTGGAAGAAGCACCTTCGGCAAAAACGTTGGCGAATGCCTGCACAGCATTGTCTCGACTGGTATTTACAGATCCCACAGGATAGCGTGACTATCTCTCAGGTCTCTTGCATCGATCATGCTGGTACCAAGTGTGGGAGCGTTTTGCCCTTCTTCTTGAGCTTGTCTCGTTCAGCTCGCTCACGTCGCTCTCGCTTCATCACACAGATGGTGCATCGGTCAATTTCTTCAGTCGGTCGTCTGGTGAGGCGCCAGTCGAAGGACCTCACGCACTGGCCGGTCCGCTCGAAGTTGAGGCAGCGGCGCACGCTGGTGATTCGTTCATGGGTGCTTTCGCAGAGGGGACAGTGTTCGTAGATGTATTGGCTGTAACACATTTCGAATCGATTGAGGCTTCGAGGACGTGATGAGAGTCGAGCAAGTGTTAAGACTTTTCCGAGAAGGATTTTGCTTTCTCAGGTGCTGGCGGCGCTCGATAGGCAGTGAAAGGAGTGTGGAAAGGTTGATGGAGAGCCTTTTTGGCGAGAGATACGAGGATATTTATTGCTTGATGTTTAGGGCAGTCGCAACTGAAATTCAGGCAGGAGTCGGATTGATGGGGGCAGTGTCATGATCACTGCGTGGCTTAACAATGGATGAATGACTTGGTGTTGACATTCACGATGAGTGCTGCTTCACCTGCAGGTACCCTTTTCACCGCATCACACTTCACGACACGTGAATATGCCTCATTCACTTAGTCACTGGTCATCCAGGGTTCGAATCAAGAAACACCGAGGACTTAAACCGAAGTGGCTGAATGTTTCTTCAAGTCTTCCTTCCGTTGCCATCCTGCCTAACTATTATGCAGACGAATAGCCTCTTCGACGTCCCGCGTGCAATCGACATATTTCCCCTTCAGAGCTTTGGCTTTACCTGCTGCGAGAAACACCACTGTCCAAGCTGGAAGCTCAGGACTAAAATGTGGTCGGTTTGCTCCGATTTTCGCCATATGCTCAAGAACGTACGGCGCATCCGTTCTGAGATTTTCAGGGAATGCTGTTTGATGGATGTCCGTTTCGATTTCGCCGGGATGAATCGAGAACAACTGGATACCGTTGGCGTCAAAGCCACCTTCGACTCTTTGGACCACTTCGAGCTCAGCTTGGAGCGAGCCTGCGAATTTGGTCACAGCTACTTTGGAGCAGTTGTACGCCGTCGTCCAGGGGAGATCTGCGACCGCCGCCCGTGAGCTCAAGAACACTACTGTCCCCGAATTCCGCTGCTTCATGCTCGGGAGGACATGGCGAGTGAGCGAAATTGGTGCACGAACATTGAGTTCCATCAGATTCCACCATGACTCCGCGTCGTGTTGGTGGAACGGCATGAACGTATTGGATCCTGCACTGAGGACCAAGATGTCGATGGGACCCAGTTGTTTTTCCACCTAGAAGCAAGTCAGAAAACGACCACGTGGTGGTTGAGATTGACACCAGTCAGAGTCTGCTTACGTCGTTCGTCAATTTTTCCATGGCCTTGTCATCGAGAACATCGGCAGCGAAAGGCGCGCATTTTGTCCCGTACGACGACACTTCCTCGCAGGTCCTTTGTACCGCTTTCTCGTCTCTCCCGGTGACCGCAACTGACGCTCCTGCCTGCGCAAGAGCAAGAGCTATGTGTCTCCCAATGCCGCGGCTAGATCCAGTGACTAGTGCAACTTTACCAACAAGAGACTTTCGAAGGCCTGCTGGAGTAATGGCGCCATACACATCCGTTCGCAGGGTGAGACTAGACAACTGCATGTCGGCTGAGTGGCAGTGTGATCTGCCTGTAACAACGACTTGCGCGTGGACTGATTTTGTTGTTCAAAGAGGAGCAGAAACAAATCGACCTCATCCGCACTGTTGCTGGTGTGAAAAGGCTGTGCCATGCCACTTCATAACGTGACAAGCTGTCCATGGGCACCTCACAAGACCGGAAAGGACGTCGGAACATACTGTCCTGCATATGACTCTCGGCAGCATTCAGTGGAAGAGAATCACCCAAATATCCATGATGCTGGATCTCGGAAGGCCCATGGTTCGGATGTCGTAATGCTCTACCGTTCCTCGGAATTGCCGCCGGCATGATGACTTATGTCGGGTAAGAGGAAGCTGTAAATCTTTGACTGCCGACGGCCTCCGCACGCTCATGCAGCCCCTGGCACTCCCAAAGCCTTGGCCAACGCCTGTCTTTGAGAAAGTCTTAGATGAACAAGGAATGATCCTACTACGAACAACCAACAATTCACGCCGTCAAGGCACGCATCACAGGAATGGAACACCTTGCGCCATTGGGGACGGCAATCCAGGATATTGTTCTGCCAACACACAAGATATACGCGCCATTGCTGCTCAAACAAGCCGATAAAATCCGATCAACGCGTCGAGAGACGTTTGCGTATGGCCAACATCCACGGCAGAAACTTGATGTGTACACACCCTCAGCTGGTGTGAAATCGGTGACGGGCAAGTCTTCGGTCTTCATCTTCTTGTACGGAGGAGGTCTCGTCAGAGGCGAGAAAATCAACACGAACTACCTTGATGGCCTCGTTTATGCCAATCTTGGCCACTACTTCGCGGAGAACTTGGGATTCGAGGTCGTGATCATTGACTATCGACTCATAACGCATGGAGCTAAATTTCCTTCCGGCGGCGAAGACCTGAAATTGGCCATTGACTGGGTTCTCGGTCACTTCCCCAAACCGTTGGACATTTATACGATGGGCAACTCGGCCGGCGGTGTACACCTGTCTACATACCTATTCGCACCTGACTTTGCAACAAGCAGACGGCAAATATTATCAGCGAGTTCTGCAGGAGTACTGAAAGGTGTCATCCTCCTCTCGGTTCCATTTCATTTTGAACAGGCCCATGCCGATCGGAGCGAGACACTACGGGCGTATTTTGGTGACAACGTGCGCGTAAGGTGCCCATTGGGGCTACTGGAGGCCTCCAAGCAAAATCGATCCATTAGTGAGTTGCAGCAGGTGCCAGTCATGGTCTCGAATGGAACCTTGGATCCCGAGGACGAGATATTGGTCCCAAGAGGCGATTTCATCAAAGAGTGGAAAGCGAGTGGCGCCGTGACGCCAAAATTGACAGTTCAGATGATGGAAGGCCACAATCACCTCAGTCCGGTCCTTGCTGTGGGCACAGCGGTGCCCGCTGAGGAGGCTTGGGCTCGACAGGCCATTGACTTCATCATCGCAAGCTCTCGGACCTGATGAGTCAAGTCTTATTGCGTGTCTTCAAAACGGCCGTCCCAGGGTGACAAGTCTGCCTCGTTCCCAGGGGAGATCTGTGCCATGAAATCCAGGTTGATATCGCCAAAAGGGTCCAGGAACAAGTCCTGACCGGGGAAAAAGTCGTGAACATCGTCGTTGTCAGGCTGCAGAAGTGGATTGTGGTTTGGGCTTCCCCCTTGTTGGGGAGGTCTTACTTCCGTGGCTTTGTCACTCTCCTGTATTTGGGTGGATGTTCTCTGCAAAAGTTTTGCTGCCTTCCTCGCAACGACATTTTCCTCCATGGCGTCAAGCACTTCGATACTCATGTTGATCAACTGTAGCAGCTCTGTCCTTTCGACAGGTGGCGCTATCCTGTTGAGGTAGCCTAGGATAATGGATGCCGCATACAATGTATAAGTTGTGTTGTACCACCAGGTGCGGAAATAGGACGCGTGACAGTACATCTGATGCATTAGCCGGATGGTGTTCCGGGCTGCTGTCACGCATTTGAACACCGCCAGATCGAGGCCCTCTTCTCTGTTGACTTTCGAAGCCTGGGTTCGCCCAGCGTGCAACAAGCATGGACGGTAAAGGACCATTTTGACGTTGTAATAGCGAAATTTCAATGTGTGTCGTTGCTTCTTTGCCCACATGGGATCTTTTGCAATACCCATGTTGTCCGATATGTCGTTAAGCTGGGGCCGTATGGGCTTGGGCAGGTTCAGAACCCACTTGTCCATTTCCGTCTCGATCCTCGTGGCGTGCTCAATTCTCGTCGAGATAGGTGTGGCCGTGAGGTAGATGCATACAGAGATCTTCCGAATGATCCTGGCCAAGTCCACCATCGGAGTCAAGATTGCTGTCTCGTTGTCTTCAACCAACGGCAGGGCACGGTTGTGATAAATGTCTGCGCCTAGGCAATCTGGACGGCCAAGGGCGAAGCTTGTTTCAATCTCGAGGGAAAAGAGACCCCACCAGGTCTTGGAAATTGCACCGTCTTCAGGCGGCTCAGACGTTGTCAAGGTGCTGCGGGATTGTCGGTTGTGCCCTGCAGACAAGCTCGTACGCACTGCCAGACCAAGGTACATGTAGGCAAGATGGGGGTTGAGCTCGTTTTGGCAGACTTTGGCCATTATTATATTCGCCTGAACCGTTTCCAAGTCGACCCGTGAAGGGGAATTTCCCAGATTGATCGAAGCCTGTTCGAACATTTTCCTTGACCAGGTCCATCTGCTTAGACCTTCGAAGGAGTCACCGTTCCATTCTCGTGTCAACGCACCGAGTGCCATTACGGCAAAGTAAAGAGCAATGAAACTTTGAGACTGTTTTTCGACGCGTCCAAACCAAAGGTCCTCGCACCTGGCCAGAAACCGTGAACGGTCGATGAGTGGATGAATGAAGTGAAGATTCTCGAAATAGCCATCAAGAAAGGAACGAGATTGCCGAAAGTAATACCTGCTCTGGGCGAGTGATTGATCCTCGAAGTTTGGCGCTGGTTGCGGCGAGAAGGTATCATTGTGAAGTGCGGATACCAGTGCCTGCGTACTTGCCTCTTGAGCGCGAACGGAATCATTTGGCGTGCATCGATCCAACGCGGCCAGGAAAGCCAGAGACGATGTTGGTCCATGATACTCCCGGTTTAAAGTGTGAGGATTGATCTCGCTAATCTCGTCCTCCTGGTTATTCGAGCTTCGATGACTGAAAGGAGTATCGTGAACCTGCTGGCGGTCGATCGCAAAGCCATCCTCATGATCTGTTCGAAGCCGTGCATTCTCAGAGAGACCGAACCCTGGTCGCAGAGAGTCTGCACCGATTCGCTGTCGGAACGGTTCAGCATCCTTGTACACGCATTCGACGTTGAATCCTGCAACAGCGTCAGCTTCCCGCTGACCCTGGAACTGACCTTATTTTGTGGTTCATGTGCGCTTCGGAGATGGAACGTACGCTTGCACTTGCTGCACGGATTCATCTCATCACAACGGTATTTCTTGGCCCTGCAGAGCTCGCAAGCTCTCGCGGCTCGGGAGCGCTTTTTGCCCTTCTCCAACCTGACGTCGGATTCTGCCATGATGCCGGCGGAGCACTGGATGAGCTTATAGATTAGGGTATCGTGCCATGAGGTTCATTGATGCACATGGAGTTGTCCCACACCTGAACAGTGAAAGTAAGAATGAGTGGAGAAGTCGATGGCAAAAGTGCTAAATGTGACCAAATGGTCTTCCTGCTCCGCATTACCGGATTGTCTTGCAGCAGCTCGGAATTGCCCAAACTCTACGTCTATCGCTTCATGGCTGGGATGGCAACCTTGCTGGGACCTCGGAAGCCTAGATCGACCGGCCAAAAACTTCAAAATGATGGTTCTAAATGTATCATGGAAATGGCAACCCCTCACCAGAACGACGATACAAACACCAAGATGATCGAGCGAAACGCGCGACTGGACATCATCATCGTTGGTGCCGGCCTGGGCGGTCTGGCAGCAGCAGTATCGTGTGCGCTTGCTCATCACAGAGTGGTCATTTATGAAGCGTCCAAAGAGCTTGCCGAGATCGGGGCTGGCCTGCAGATAACACCAAATGCTTCACGCCTTCTACGGCGATGGGGTCTCGAAGCTGAAGTCGAAGCTGTAGCCGCAGAACCCACGCTTTTGGCCGTTCACAGGTATAGTAACGGCAAGGTATTGGCCGAAGAACGAGACTTCGATATGAAGATGCGACGGAAGTACGGCGCCCCATTCCTCGATATGCATCGAGCGGACTTGCAAAAGATCTTGTTCAACAAGGCATTATCGCTTGGAGTGCGGGCTGAACTTGGGTTCCGTGTATCACGAGTCGTCTCTGGGCCCGAAGTCGTCCTTGAGTCCGGCGAACGAGTGCATGGCGACCTCGTTATTGGCGCTGACGGCCTCTGGTCCAAATGCCGTGAGAGTATGTTGGGGAAGTCCGATCAACCGTTACCAACTGGAGACCTAGCATACAGGATTGTTCTCGAGCTCGATAAAATCACGGATCCCGAACTCAGAGAGTGGATCAACAATCCACAGGTGCACTTCTGGTTAGGTCCATATTCGCACGCTGTCGGCTACTCACTGCGGAATGGTACCATGTACAATATCGTCCTGCTGTGCCCTGATGACCTACCAAAGGATGTGTCCCGGTCGAAAGGATCTGTGGGCGAAATGAAAGCTCTCTTCTCGGGATGGGATCCTATCCTTACGCGGTTTCTCGAGCAAGTCGATCAAGTGGACAAATGGAAATTGATGCACCGGGAGGAGGTGCAATCATGGACGAATGTAGAGAAGAACTTCGTGCTGATTGGAGACTCTTGCCATCCTATGCTGCCTTACCTGGCACAAGGCGCAAATTCGAGTCTTGAGGATGCTGCGGTTCTCGGTGGGCTTCTATCGTACGTGAAGTCGAAGGAGCAACTTCCTCGGGCTATAACGCTGTACGAACGCCTACGAAAATCACGGAGTGAGAAGATTGTTCGTGAGACATTTCATCAAAGAGATGCATTCCACATGCCTGACGGGGAGGCACAAGAGCTGCGAGACTCGCTGTTCGCCTCACAATTCGGCAAAAGCATATCTTGCAAATTCCCGAGTCGATGGTCAGTAAATTTCTCGTCCGTTGCAACCGTTATGACTGACAAAGCTGCTAGGACATGCCCAGAAGTGCAACCGTGGTTATACGGCTACGACAGCTATCACGAAGCCGACGAGGCCAACAAATCACATCCGTTATCGAGCATCGGTGATATCGGATCGGCTTCACCGCAGAGTCTCTGATGTTTCCAAACTTGGCCCTAGGACGCACTGTCTTGCAAAACTCTGTGCCGTACGCATCTGGAGCGAATTGCACTGCGGAAGTAGACATCTTACTGAACTCCTATTTCAGCCGTCAGGTCCGAGCAGCGTCCTCTTCGGGATTCTCGGAAGTCTGAAAGGATCGGAAAAGCCTCGAAGCTCAATCTAGTGCTTTGGACCGCTGGTCATTCGCTTATAGTGCTTCTTAGTCACCATCCACAATTATAGTGGCTTTTTGATGCGGTCCGATCGTGTGAAGCCGAAGGTTATAGGTCGGTGGTAGATGCTATGTCGTCTATTTTTGACACTAGCAATGCGCGAGTGAGCAGTGCTTCACGAGTCTCTAGCCTGCGAGAGATGGGGTCGCGTCAGTCCGCCCAGCCATCACTGCACCCGCACTATACTCCCCCCAGTGATTGCTTAGATCCCACCACCGCCTCCCGCGGTCGGATGTTCCGATCATACCAGTATTGAGATGGGACAGAGGCTTTCTTTGACAACGAGCGCGTCCAAGTCACTTACTTTAAACCTCAAGGCCCCCGGGTCAAACTCCTAACCCCATAGCTTTCCACATTTCACCATACTCATACTTGTTGACGAGCAAAGTGCTTATTGTCTCCGTGGAGGCTCTCTTTCGTTCCCACGACTTTCACCATCGAAGCAATGTCTGCGGCAGCCAAGTCAGAGGTGCAAGGACAGCATCATGTCGAAACCGCCCTCGACGTCCCTATCAATCCTGGGTCGGTGTCCTTTCAAGAAGAGCAGGATGTTCAGTACAAGCTGGGCTGGAGGTCGGCCCTGGCCATCACGGCGCTCGCCCTTGCAAATTGCTGTGCCGCGTTGACCAACACGGTACGTCACTGACTCAGTGAGGATCTACTGCAAACACCCATACACTGACCTTTACAGTCAAACACTACCATCAGATTTCAAGTTGCAAGCGTGGGGGGTGCCAATCTAGCCAGCTGGATTGGGAACGCAAGCTTTCTATTGACGCTCTGCTTCGGGCCCGTCTTTGTATGAACTCCCTAAGCCGACATCCTCACAAGCTGTCACTGCACTTGACTGACGCGAATTGCGCCAGGGCTTTCTGGGTGACCGGCTCGGCAAGAAATGGTTCATGGTTGGAGGGGCTGCCGTCGGTGTGGTTGGAGCGTGTATTGCTGGGACAGCTCATACAGCGCAGAGAATTGTCGCCGGTCAAGTTCTGTCCGGAGTCGCCAATGCAGGCTGCGTATGTGCCGCGAGTTCCAGAGCGCCTTTTCAGAACTAACTGGCAAACAGATCGTTTCCGTCGCAGCGAGTCAAGAAATCACGCCCAACAAAGTCCGACCATGGGTCATGGGCTACACCCAAACACTGGCCAGCTCCGCAGCTCTGCTTGGGACATACTGCGCCGGCGCGTTTGTCAAGTATCACACATGGCGGTGGTCTTACTACCTGAACGCTTTTGCCTATTTCATCGCGGGCACAAGTGTGGCGTTGACATACTTCCCACCACCTCCGACACTTCGGCGTCAAGAAACCCTTGGCAACATCTTCTCCGGTCTCGATTACATCGGTATTTTTCTTCTTAGTGGATCCCTGGCTTCCTTGGTAATTGGCCTGACTTGGGGTGGCACGACTTATGCCTGGTCGAGCGGCCAAGTCGTTGCTGCCACTCTTGTCGTCGGCTGTTTGGGTCTGGTGGGTCTAGCTGTCTTCGAAATGTTTGTCAAAACGGACGGGTTGCTTGACCACCGGCTTTTCGCGAATCGCAATTTCCCTATCCTCCTTTTCGTTTGTACCATAGACGGCATGCTACTACTCGGCGTCAATGTGCTCTATGCCCAAGAGATTGCTAGCCTCTTCACGACAGACGCTGTGAGAATCGCTGTTATCCTGTCACCTTACCTGATCACTTCGTTGTTTGGATGCCTGCCAGCCGGATATCTGATGGCGAGAACAAAGTCCTACAGGACTATGCTGGTGGCAGCGCTTATCTGGTGTAGCCTCTTCACAGGTTTGAGCCCCGAAATTCAGACATGCGGAAACTACTGCTAAGGTAATTTGAACAGGTCTGATGGCTCTTGTGACCCCCAATCGGTTGAGGTGGACTTATGCGTTTTCGACTCTTTTTGGCATCGGAACAGCCGTCACCACTGTCATTCCTGGTACGCAGGCTGCCCAGCTCGGGCATTTACGATAGTAATGACATTATGCTGACATGGCGGTAGTGGTTGCTCTTGCACTCTCCGTCCCATCATTCTTGCTTGGGACTGCGGGGACGTTGAGGATTTCATGCCGCGCCCTTGGTGATATCGTGGGAATTACAATCTTCACCGCCATCCACAGCAACAAATATGCGTCAAATCTGCCCCTGGATGTGCAGCAGGCTGTGTCGCACACTACCACAGGATCGGTGTCCGACGAAAGGCGCTTCTTGCGAAGGTCCTCGGAGCATTGGCGAACCCAGCTGTAGCACCACCTGTTGCCCTCGAGCAGATTCGACCCGCTTTGTCCAAGGCAACAGTCGGTGCCGTGTTGGAGGCAGTATCCCACGCACAAACCGAGGCATGGAAATGGGTCTGGGTGGCCGTCTCCTGTCTCGTTGCGGTGAACGCCGTTGTCGCTTGTTTTGCAAACCCAGTGAAGGAGAGGATGAATCATCACGTCGAGAGTGCTCTTGAGCATTCGGAAACCAGAATGAGCCAGATGGCTGTCAAGAAGACAGCATCTTAGAGCACAAGCAAAGACCGATGACTGGTCGGATCTCATGCCTGTACGTAGTCACATTCAGGATCTTTTCGATGATGAAGAACTCCTCGGCTGTTGCTTTGACAGTAGATGCAATGCGTAAAAACGCCACCGGGCTTGGTCCCAGAGCACACCAGAGCGCCCAGCTCTATCTTTACCGTGACAGAGCTGAGGGCCCTACCTGCCCCAAAAGCGAACGCTAGGACATTAGGTGTGAAGAACTCCGTATGGTTGATGAGGAGCTAAGTCTATCTTGGGTCTCAGGAGCAACAGCGTCCAGACAATGCAACCTTTCTCAGAGATAGACTCAGCAATTCCCTTGGCTGGGAGCTTGTAATCAACCTTGTGTCTCCAATCCGAGTTCCGTTCCCGTCAGGGCGCGCCGCTAGGCCTCCGAACCCTCGAAAAAACCCCCGTCGCATATATGGGCGAAGGCTTGATCGACGCCAGTCTCCACACTCGTCCAGATGAATTTATCTGATCACCGTCCTGCACCTTGAAGTAGACCTGAGTCATGAACGCTCTGTGATCAGACGTCTCGCCGATCAGGGGCAGGTGGTCTTTGTCCTCACTTGCAGAGTCTGTGGCGCGACGACCATGGCTCGCCAGAATCTGCCAACTCACTTCAATTTCTTCCGAATCCTGATCATTTGCAGCGATTTCCCCATGGCTGGTAGGCCTTGCGGCAAACCAGTTTCCAAACTCGTTACGTGGACGCTTTGGTCCAACATATGAGAAGTAAGGCAGCCCAAGCAAGTGCTGTGTGTTGAGGGCGCTGTTTCCCAGGTGTTCTTCACTAAGCCACAACTTGGCAAATGCTTCTTTGTCGTAGATTTTCTTTCCCCAGTCCGGGTTCACGTCAGTATAGTCGACTGAGACTTGAGGCGCCAGCGTTGATATCAGGTGAGCATAGGACTGGACATTTTGTTAACATTGATAGCGCATAGACGTGATGACTTGGGCTCTGATCACTCTGATCAAAATGCACAGGGACTAGCTGAAAAAAAAAGGAGAGAGCAGAGCATACCTTGAGGTCATACCCATCTGCCCAGGTTCTTGCGGTCTGTGTCACTGCGAAGTAGTCTTGGAATGTGAGGTTGGTTGGAATGTGAAGTGCGAAAGAAGACTCCATTTGGTCAGGAAAGAAAGATCAGGCTGTGAGCGCCAACGTCTGAGCCTGAACTTGCACCACACTGTAAGTATGCTCTCTCGCCGTCCTAGACTGTCGATGGAACCTGAACCTCATCCCAATCTCATATATGGTAGATCCCGGATTCGGCATCAAATGGTGCCGACCGGAAGCCTGACTTCCCCACAAAAACGCCTGCTGTCTCCAACATGGGCCCGACGATCCAGCAATTCTGGGACCTCGCTCGGATATCCCGCAATGAATATGCTGTCTTTGACTTTGAGGGGAGACCCGGGGATTCAAAAACCAGCGAAATAATTCTTCAAGACCAGCTTCAGCGTCGAACAACCTTGGAGCCTTCCTTGCGACATCTCAGCACTGCCGGAACTGGACACACTCTGAAGGAACAACTCTCTCCCGGAACAAATCTACCCCAAGCCACAGTTGCTTATCGAAGGACCACAACATGGGTACCACCCAGAAATCCCTCCAAGCCGTCAAGGTCGCCCCAGGTCGTCCAGGACAGCCATACATTCTCCCTTCTCTCGGCGGCGAAATAATCTACATCCCCTGCTCCAAGTCCGCCACCCGTCTCCTCGTAACAGGCAAGGAAACCGACAACGCCTTCGCCGTGGTCGGAACCGGCGGCGCACAAGGCGACCCCATAGGCTTCCACTACCACCGCGAAACCCACGACGTGTTTTTGTGTCTGAAAGGCAAAGTCAACGTCTGGGCCAACGACCAATGTCGAACCATGGAAGCCGGGGACTTCGCCAGTGTCCCACCAGGAACGGTCCACCAATACCAGATATTGGGAGATTACACGGAATTCGTCGGTCTCATCGTCCCCGGCGGATGGGAGGAGTTCTTTCGGTTCATCGGCGAATCATATGACGGTCCCTTGTTTCCTTTAGAGGATGATCGTAACGTGTTTGAGGTATTGATTCCAAAACTGAAAGCTGCGAGCGAGAAATTCGATATGATTCCTGTACGAGACCCTAAGTTGGCGGAAATCAAGCCGCAAGCGTGGAATGAGGGTGAAGACAATGTGCTGCCTAATGGTTTACAACCGTATTTCCTTCGTGCTGGCACGGGACCGAGATTCCTTCTGGGAGGGATGGTGGTCAGTCCACTTGCAACGGCCGCAGAATCAGGGGGCAGATTCTCGATCGGGAGTATCGAAGGGTCTTCGTGGCATGAGAGCAGCCCTCTTTCGAAGAATTTTGTGTTTGACGACGTGCATCATGCCTTTCAGGTTGCGGATGGCAGTGTGACGTTCACTTTAGATGAGACGGAGGTTGCAACACTGAATGTTGGTGAGACGATATATGTACCGCGGGGGCGAGCTTTTAGTCTGGCTATTGAGAGCCGGTATGCAAGGGTATATGTTTTTATCAGCGGAAGAGGAATCCTTGATGTGCTGACTGGTGCGGGTAAGCCATTCTATCAGAGCGTTCCGCCTGAGAAGTCGGAACCGTGGGAGAAGGCGAGTTTGGAGAAATATCAGGCAGATATCAAGTTTCGAATAGCTGAATGAGAACAATTTGGCTGAGAGCAATGGATGGCTTCTGAATCTCAAGTAGTTTTCCTGCATTTGGCGTACAAGTAAGTTGCTGTACTCAAGCTGTTAGAGAAACGCAAGCCTGCCTCGGGTCAATGGAGACAGAATGGTTTGGAGCATAAAAGTTGAGAAAATAATCTCATGAAAGATGATTGTAAGGCCAATAGAGCCCTACTATAACTTCACTTTCCCAGCCTTTAGAGCCTGCCATTCCCTCACACCAAACTCCTGATACCTCACTGCATCAGGCGCAAGGTAAAACACTCGTTCGGGATTGACCTTTTCTGGGTCCACGCCCTGCTCTCTCAACACATGTTTCTGCTGCTTGTTATTCCCTGTCGCCATCACACTGGTGACCACTCTTATGAACACAGGCACCGCATATTTCGGCAGACTGTTGCGCGAGAACGTCGCCAGACTCTCCAATACTCTTTCAGAGATCGGGCTTTCATTTCCCGTGACCTCCCTCAGCAACACAGCCACGCAACCCGCGCGCCCGTCATGGTTGGGGATTGCCACGCCATAAACATTCGCCTCGAGAATCTGGGGATGCTCGCCGATGATCTGCGCGACCTCGGCAGTCGAGACGTTCTCGCTTCGCCATCGAAAGGTGTCGCCCAGCCTGTCCGAGAACCACAGACGGCCTTCTTTATCTTGTCGGACGACATCCCCGCTGCGGAACCACGCGTCACCCTTCTCGTGGACATCCCGCAGGATCTTCGACTCCGAGGCCTGCTGATTGCCAAAGTACCCCTGATATTTGGCTTCGATGTCCTTGGGGTCGACCTTGAAAATCATCTCGCCTGGTTCACCATCGGGCACACGCACGCAAAAGCCAGTCGTGGGGTCTCGGTGGGGGGACTCAGTCTGCCAATCGACTTGCACGACTGATCTTGTACCTTTGTTCATCAGTGTTCCAATCAGTCCTGTTTGTCCAATCGCCCCTGACGAGAACGTGTTTCGTGACAGGTTCAGACTCGCTCCAGGACCTTCCGAGGCGCCATAGAACTCGCCGATCGTCTCGACTCCAAATCGATTCCGGAATTTGTCCCAGACATCCGGGCGCAGGCCGTTACCGAATGCCAGGCGAACACGATGTTTGGTGCGGTCGTTGGGTTGGGGTGGGACAGCGAGCAAGTATCTCAGAGTCTCTCCAACGTACTGGATCCCTGTTGCATCAGCTGATATGACGTCGTCCCAGAAGCGCGAGGTCGAGAATCTGTGACCTAGAACTAGTGTCGTCGCGGACACCAAACACATATGAAATCCTAGTTGGAAGGCCGTTCCATGGTACAGTGGCATGGCAGTGTAGAATCTGTCCGGTTTGGAGGACGTCACCGGGCGAAGACCCAGCCATCGAGAGATGAGATCAGAACCCCAGCTCGTTCGAAGCCAGGGAATCTTGGCAGCTTTTGGTAGCCCTGTGGTCCCGGATGTGAAGATCAAGCAGCATTGAGAGCGGCCAATCGCACCAGCTCTGGCAGAGTCTGGCGCCCGGTAGAGTGGGAAATATTCCAGCGAAGACTGCAGACCGGTGGTCAAAACAGCCACGTCGATTGGGAAAGCATTGTTGCGGAAGTTGGATGCGGCGAAGGCTTCTGTTGCTTCGGGCGTGAGCACCCTAGACTCGATTTCTGGGTCGACAAGCAAGAGCCTTGCCGTTGAGGTCCGGACACTATGAATGAAGGGTTTCGAGGTAAGATTATAGTTTATAAAGGCTGGTATGGCACCTAGTGACCACATGGCGATGGACAGGAAGAGAAAAGTAGGGCTGTTCATAAAGTCCATGGCGATGATCTCGCCTGGGGCGACCGAGTGCACAGAGTGAAGCCATCCCGCATAGCGAAGGACAGTGTTGTATGTCTGTTTGAAGGTCCAACTCTTTCCCTGGTAGATGAGGAATATCTTGTCCGCAATCTTGGGGTTATTGGCATGCTCCTCGAGGATGTAGAAGGAGTTGACTCTATCTGTTCGTTCGCGCTTGGTGAAAGATCTCGTGGCTCCAGCCAGGGGCACGATGGTTTCAAGGTCGACAGAAATGCGCCAGCGACCGTTGAGGTATGCGAGACCCGCGAGTGCCGCAGGTACAGATAGAGCAGCAGTCGAGACTGATGACTATGGTCAGCAAGCGGGCAGCGGACTTCAGGAAAGCGGTTCGAAGACTCACCGGTCATCTTGTACTGTTTGAGCGTCAAAGGCTTATGTAGGACGTGAAGAGATGTGCGGTGCTCCTAGCATGGCTCGAGGAAGTTGAACATGAAGTACACAATATGGAAGGCTAGGCTGATGACAGCCGCCCGATAAACGTGGGATAGCCGTACAGTACTTCCCCAGACGTTGCATGATGGAGCTTGATCTGGACAGGTGCCGAGGTACGTTCAAATGCCCAATCAAGGACAGGCTCCGGTGGGCTCATTACTGAGACTCACTCTACAGTAGGCACAGTAGGTACGGTAGGTACTTCTAGACATGTTCTTATGTTTTGATCACGGGTGCTTAGGAAGGCTGGCTGGACAAATCGCTTCTTCAACACTTCTTCAATACGCACCAGCACATCAGTGCAAAACTGTATTATTGATGTGATACATGCGTCGCGTTCAGACATGTAGTGCATACTCTGCTTGGACACGAAAAGGCGTGGAAATATAGTATTGCATGACTGGCGAAGCAGACGTAGTAGACAGCACAATAGCAAAATCGTAGACAGAGCAGGATATCCAGTTACCAAGGCACCAAACACAGGCACGTCAAGCAAGAAGTAGAACACATGCAAACGGGTGTATCAGGGTGTCCCAAATCTCCGTCCTTTCCCATCCTTTCACATAAACTTAGAGCTCCTCGGTGAATCGACTGCCAGTGGCGCTACCAATGCTGTTGCGCCCACCGACAGAAGACCCATCTTCAGACTTCTTGCCGACTTCGACCAAGCGCGGTGACTCCATCTTAGCCATGCTTGCAGTGGCCGGCAGTCTCTGCTCATCGAACGTGTCGCGAGCCTCCTCAAAATCATCGTCATCGTCACCATTGGTCTGAGTCTGCGTCAATGCTGGAGTAGTAGCTCCCGTGTCGGGCACTTCCGTTGAAGTCGTTGATGGCTCCTGAATCTTTTCACGTAGAGGCTCTGTGTCCGCGAGGATCCCTGTGGCCGGATTGGCATGAGGTTTGGCATCGGTCTTTGTCTCGGTCTCTGCTGGCTCTTCGGCGATAGGAGAGGCTACGGCTACCGTAGGCTCAGTGGTTGACTTGTGCTTCTCCTTGTCCGCTCTGCCAGGAATGACTTTCTGGAGGAAGCGTTCGCGGAAACCTTTCCTGCCTCGTGGCTCGGAGTCAGTGTCAGATACAGCGCCAGCGTCAGCGTCCAGCTGATTCATGCCAGAATTTCTCTTCGACCCACCGCCATGTTCGGATTCGTACTTGGATGAGGCAACATCAGCGGCCATCACATATGGCTCCTCGTCGGCATCAGACTCGGATACCGGACTGATGGGTCTTGCTGGGTCGGTGACAGCGTCGTAGGTCTCACCATGCCCCTCTTGCACCGGTGATACTCTTCCTTCCTCTAGAGCAGATCCTCCGTACAAGTCATCAGTTTCCGCGTCGCTCTTTCGACCTGCCAGAGCAACGTCGCGTATCGAGTCGGTGGCCGGCTCATCTTCTTCCTCCTCAATACCTTGGGTGTGGTCGGCAGTGGCAGTCGTAGGCTCAGCAACTGTCAGAGCCGGCTTCTCGGCATCATTCTCCGCCTTAGATCCAGTCCTGAATTTCTTGAACCATGACCCCAATGTCGAGGCTCTCTTGGACGGTGAGGTTGGGGAAGTGGGCGACGTAGCTGATGTTGGTTCTTGTACTGCTGAATACGGCTGACCAGAGACGGCGTCCTTCACACCACTCTCTGTGACAGGTTCAGCGTCTGTCGTCTCTTCCAACGACTTCGCCCCGAGACCAGCCTCAGTATCGGCGGAAATGACGTGCGGAGCTTCACGCTCGTCTGTTGTCACCTCCTCGTGCAAACCCGCAACACCGGCCTCATTGTCAGTTGATATGATATGTGGAGCTTCACCCTTGTCGGAAGTGACCTGATCGTGGACAGTGTCCCCAGCGAGTTCTCCTGGTTCCACTGGTGGCATTGTCGGGTAGACAGGTCTATCAACAGATCCTGTAGTACCCTCAACAGCGACTTCAGCAGCAGGTGTAGCCCCTGCTGCAACCGCTCCAGCTCCCGCTCCGGCAGTACCTCTCGACAGGAAACCCGCGAACCCTTTCTTAGTCGGTGTCGCTTCCGTACCCCTTGATGCGGCAAGAGCTTCTTCACGTGCTTTCTTCTCGGCGGCCTTTTGTTCGGTTTTGATACGACGTTCTTCATGCTTCTGCTCTTCAAGCTTTCGTTTCTCTTCGGCCTTTTGAGCTCGGACTTCTGCTTTCTCACGATCTAGAACTCTGGTTAGTCTTGAGCTTCACATAAACGTGACGGGATACATACCTGCAACTGCTTTCTGCTCAGCCTTGATTTTTGCTTGTCGTTGTCTTTCAGCTTCTTGCTCAGCCTTGATTCTTTCCTGTTCTTTCCTGATCTCTTCGTCTCTAGCGCGTTGTGCTTCGGCTTTCTCGTTAATCTCGTCAAAGGTTGGTTGCAATCGAGCCCTCGCAATTGCGTCGATTTCCGATTGATCGAGGTATTTACCTCCACCGATGTGGACTTTGCCAACATTGACCATTCTTTCATCACTATCTCGTTGAGCTCTTTCTCGTGCTTGTCGCTCCCATTGCTCACGCTGTTGCGGGCTAGTCTTTCCTGTTTCCGAGAAGACCTTCTCATCGATGGCATTCATGCGTGCAGTAACGTTCTTGTGAGCAATGGCCAATAAATTGTCCCTGTCAGCTTGTCGCTTCTTGGTGTCGACCTCAGCCAGCTTGCTTTGGAAGATGGACATCTGCGTTTTGATTCTGCGAGACTGTTCTTCATCCGAATCGCTATCATCTTGCAGATTAGATGTCCGTCGAGGGCGTCCTCGTAACGACAATCGCGACTGTTTTTGTGGCGATGTCTGTACGTAGTATTGCCGGTATTCAGCATTTTCGTCATGTAGTTTAGCAAGTCGCTCCTGCGCCAGTTTGCGCGCAGCTTCCTCCAAGTTTTGGTATCGAGGGAGTTCTTCAGGGATAGCTTCGTTGGCCGCATCGGATTGCGCTCTCTTCCTGGCAGTGTGTGCGGCGTAATGGCTTTCTGAACGCCGAATGCCTCTGGCATCATCGATGTGAGTTTGTTGAATGGCATACATCTTTTTGGCCATAGCTACTGCTGAAGCTCGCAACGTATCCTGCCTGTTCCTCTCTTCGACCTCGATTGCCACCGGTGGGTTTGCGGTGTACATCTGCCTATTCACGTTTTTGCGCGCCATGTTTTGAATTCGAGCTGGATCTAAATTTGAGGAGTCGGTGCTCTGTTGCGGACGTGGGATATCGGACGAGTTCCTTCCGGATATCGAATTTGCGGCTTTCAGAGCCCATGCAGAGTTGCCTGGTGGAGGCTGTGGTTTCATGGGAGCTGACTCTGCTCGACGTCTTCCGCTTGACATGGATGCTGTTGCGGCTAGCAATGCCTTCTGGCGCCCATCCTTCGATACTTCTCTCTCAGTTATGGCAGGGGGAGAAGACTGGTTCTGAAGTGCGGAAATCGCAGCAGTAGATCCATTCTCTGATTCTGTGGCCCTCCATATAGTCACTGGGGCCTGGTCTCTGTTCGCGATCAGTGCTGCCTTCGAACCGGCCTTGCTTAATTCTGGCTCCCACAGGGGGTCCATCTCATAGTCTTTGGCTTTATCTGCAGCAATGTTTGCCGCAGGAATATTACCCGGTTTCCAAAGGTCGACTGATTTCTTATTGGAGTCTGCGAGACTTGCGGCGGCACCGGCAGATGCCAGTTTGACTCCTCCCTTGGAAGGATACGAAGGTAGGTCTTCAGCTCGAGCGTATTTCAGAGAGGTGGCGGCGCCTGAATTGAAGGTGTTAGTAGAGTGATGGGGTAGGCGGTATGGGGCGGGGTCAAACTCACTGGCAGAAGATAGCCGACCATTCTTATCCAGGATTGAGGAAGCGCGCTGCTTGGAGGCTGTATCTCTGGGTTGATACAATGCTGCTGATGCCGCTGCCAAAAAAATGTCAGTTGAACTGTATGTGGATGCGCGATTGCCGCAACAAGACTGACCTTGATCTTCCAGGTGCTTTTCGACCGAAGGGAAGCTTGCTTCCTTCGGGGCGCTGAGTGCCGACATTCTTCCTTGGCTCCAAATGACGCAGATAAAGGAAGAGCTCTATGTCGCAACGAGGATAAAGGTCGGCGCACGCAATGAGGCTACCGCAACATGGAGGTAAGAGTTGTAAATGTGCAGTTTCTATCGACGACGACAATAAGAGTGATAGGAAAAAGAGCTACTGAACTGCCGCCCGTCTCTTGTTGAACAAGCAGTGGCCATTACCAAGAGCACGAACATGGCGCTTGTGTATGTCATCTAATCCACATACGTCATTGCAAGACGGCTTGTTTTGTTGCTCCAGCATCGTGTTCAATGATCCAGAAAGTTAGTTGACAGCCTAGACAGACGCCAGAGACGCCTAGAGGACCCCTTCTCCATCAACGAACCGTGGGCGTCAATGCTTCTGCCATCTGGGTGGTGATCATCACCATCGCAAACACTGTGTATAGCAGTCATATCTTCTCCGTAACTTATGCTGCGGACTTGACAGTCATCGAGACCTTTTTCCCCAATTCTGCAACCGATCTCCCGCTTACCTGCCAGTTGCTTATCTGGCTCTCCAAGGACAAGGAGGATAGCGTGAGGAGAAAGCAGGGGGTTGGAAGAGCTTCATTTGTGGTGACCAACTCCACAACTTTGGCAACGGTGACGATCATTGATTTCCGAATCCAGAACACCATATCCATAGCCATACAATCATTGTCACCATGCAAAACGAAAGACGCGACAAACCTCAGTTCGACAACCTTCTCAACTTTCGTGATGTTGGCGCTCACATCAATACAATACTGGGGGCCAATGTCCTCAAGACAGGTCGACTGTTCAGAAGTGCTCGTCCGGACGAATGCAGTCTGTCGGACCGTGAACAACTCATCAACAAATTCAAGATAAAGACCAACCTCGATCTGCGGTCCAAAACAGAGCACATCAATGCCGCCAGGAAACGATCAGAAGTTGCCCTCGCCTCACAGTCTGCTGTTGTTCCCTCTTCAGACAAGGCCGTACAGCAAGCAATTGAAATCCCCGGTATTCGATACGCCTATATCAACCTCAATGGCAAAGGATTTGAGCGACACTTGATCTGGCAACTCAAGTACACCAGTTTGGCCAAAATGATCGGGCTCATGGCTCTTGGTTACCGAACCGAGGGCATCTCTGTGCTTGGCCGGGAATTGATGAAACCTCGCGGACTCGTTGGACTTGGGATCGATACCCTCGACCACAGTGGACCTGAAATCAAGGAAGTATTTGACCTTCTGTCCGACCAAGGCGCATGGCCTATTCTGGCTCACTGTACCCAGGGGAAAGACAGAACTGGGCTCGTAGTGTTGTTGGTGCTCCTACTATGCAACATCAACATCGACGCCATCAGCAAGGATTATGTCCTGTCTGAATCAGAACTGGAACCGGAAAAGGCAGCAAGAATGGAAGAGATCTCAAGCATTGGCCTGGACGAGTCTTTTGCGGGCTGCCCTCCTGAATTCTGCCACAAAGTCCTTCAACATCTCGACTCGGTATACGGTGGCGTTGAAGGTTATCTCGATAAGATTGGTATCGATCACGGTCAACGTGAACGTGTAAAGAATGCGATCCTAGCCACGCAGTGAATGGAAGGCCTGGCCCAACGTACGGGCGGCTTCTCAAGCTCACCAGCAAGAGAGTTTTGTGTGTGGCTGAATCTTACTGATTGGCGGTTAAGCGAGAAATTCAACGTCTTTTGTCAGATGTATATCCTTCGACCTTTGCCGGTTTATGCCGGTCAGACTCGTATCTACCCCAGGTTCCTTGGGTTGACCCATCAAGACAACGAAGTCTCTTACTACTGGGTTTGTCAGCATCGTGCTGCTGACAACCCTGTCTCATCCAACAATACAATGGCCGCATATAACCAATCGCTGGGGTGTATTGGCCCAGACATGCCCTCGATCAAGCGGGCAATTGCCTGAGACAAGAAGGGGTCAGACTAGCTCATACAAGTGGCCCTTGCAAAGGACCTTCTTGAATGAGTATACTGCGCACAGTACATAAATGGTCCTTACTTGACCACAAGCAGCAAACACGAGCGTGACCAACTACTTAGTCATGGCGTTGAAGGATCAATAAAGTCAAAGTGTCATGGTTAATTTCAATGCGACGTCATTCTGGATTCGGGATTGACCGGCAATAGAGAAAGCTTGGTCTCGTTCCATTGGCTGTGAGGCACTGACAATCTCTCAATGGCTTTCATTGCGTCAGTAAATCTCTGTTCCACCCATGACGTCGACATGATTGGCAATTTTCATGATGCTTGCGCAACCAAGAAACCGCAGTCAATTGCGACGCAAGTAGCCGTACGACTATCTGGCTTATTTGTGTTCAGCATAACTTGATAGGGAGAAAAAATATGCGTGGAATAAGTCTTTATCACTAGGTTTAATCGAGGTCAGTTTATTGCCGAGTTGAGCCGCTTACATACCACTGTACTTTTCGTCCCTGCATTATTGCACATCTCGGGCTTTGTCAATATCTCGTACAAGATCGGAGGAGCCTTTTTAACGGTATTGCCGTTGCCGCTTCATACATCCGCCAGACGGCAAATAATGATGTAGTCATTGCATTGCAACGTCAATCCCCAGACTTCCTTCGTGATAAAATCAAACATATCTCCTTTCTGTTCCTCTTCTCCATCGCCACAAACCACCGTCCCACCTGAGTAAACAAACACACTCGCCTCTTACAATCCTCACGCGACCTCACCAACAACTCTCTCCAACGTCCTGGGCGGACCGTTTGACCCTCATCAACATCCAAGATGTGGTATCTAGGAAGTTGGATGTTTCCCGTCATCTCGGCGTGCATGTAAGTCTCTACTTCCTCACTCTTGCTCTAGCAAAGCCACTTCTGGTCAGACACTGACAATGTAAGGTGGCTCGGCATGCTCCTAGCAATGTTCATCTACTGGGAAACAATAGGCCACCCCATCTACCCGTCCATGGACCCAGGCCAAACGATAGCCTACATCTCCGACGTGGGCGCCTACAAGTTAAAACCACTCTTCATAACCGGCGCCTGCGTCACCACAGTCTTCCTAGATCTGGCCTTCATGTCCGAACGCTGGCTTCGACACGCAGGCCGCCTGGCCCCCAACACCTCACGAGCCCAGAAGATCCTATCAGTCATCGCAATCCTCTTCGCGATCGCGGGCTCCGCAGGCCTCATCCTCCTCTCTAATTTTGACACACATCACTACCCCCGCCTACACGACGCCTTCTTATTGCTCTTTATCGGAGGGTACTGGTTCTCCGCCATCTTCCTGTGCGCCGAGTACCAACGTTTGGGCATCCACTATCGCAGCCACCGCATCCTACACATAAGCTTCTGGGTCAAATTGACCTTCATCCTCGTCGAGTTTGTCTTGGCTGTCATCTTCGCCTCGACGAGTTACACTGGCAAACCAAATGTGGCCGCTGTTTTCGAATGGATTGTTGCGTTGGTGTTTACATTCTACGTTCTTTCCTTCCTGCTCGACCTCTTGCCATCAGTCCGGACCAGCCACCATCAACCACAAGGCTGGGCGCTCAGGGCAGAGATGGAGAAGCATCAGACCGGACAGCAACCTGGTGCTCCGCTCACCAACGATTCGGCGGGTCCGAATCAAAACAGGAACGTTGGGCCGGGTGATGATCTCGAGGCTGGTGCATACAGGGGCACACACATGACTAATAGTCCTCCTGCCTATCCCAATGATCATCATGACTTGGGAAAGAAGAAGCGTGGTGTAGGTCGTCTCCGGTTCTGATAAAAGAGATGTTGCGTGGCGAATGGTGCATTCTACTCTTTCTGTGGATACTTTTAAGCATGTCAACACTCCCATTGTATTCTGGAAAAGCCTGCGAACGGGATTGAGGACGATAATTGGGCGTTTTCTGGATAGGTGTTTGCATTGCATGCTCGGGCCGTAAAGGTTTCAAAGCGAGCTGGTAGAGGGAAAAGGTCACCCTTTGGGTCATTATTACGACAATACATATCATTCTAATCACAAGAGAACATATAACTATATCTGGCACATAAACCCGCATATCCACCCCTGTTGCCTCTCCTGAGACGAGTCAGTAGAATACCATGATCAGGTTATTTTCTAATCTCCGCCCCTTGCTCAGTCTTGAAGATGTCCGAGGCACTGTAAACAATCATGCCCAAGGAACAATTAGATCTACCCCGCCAGGCCCAGAACGCAGGAGCTTCCTTCTTCATGTCGAGATCAGATCCGTAAGGCTGAAGCTTGCGAATCCAATGTTTTACAATACGAACATGCTCGATTCCTGGCTGCCTACATCAGGAAACTCTGCCTCTGCATGGACTGTAAGGCGAAGGCGTGGAAGCATCATAGGTGCTGGTCACGGGCCGCAGATGCAAACCACTACCTTGAACAGATGGGACGACATTTCAAGAGGTGTGCATTGGGAATTAGGAGGCGTACATAGAGGACCAGACCAAAGATGCCTTTTTTGGTACGAGAATCAGCCTGCATTAGTGGCTGATCCCTCCACAGGCACCAGCCACAAGCACCAGCCTCCTATTCCCAAGTAGTCGCGCTTGCGAATAAATATGTCCCTCTCTACTTCCCATCTTTGCGAACGACCGTAAAACGTATTCATTCCCATCTCCTAGGTGAGCCTTCGACAGCGTGCAACAACCTGCGACAATGACGACGAATGAAGCCAAAGTCGAGAGATGCGAAGCCATCATCAAGTACGAGTTACCAAACAAGCTTAAGTGCCTCGAAGCACTTCAAGCTTCCGGCCATACGCTTCGCTGGGATCGCCAACTCGTCCCTATCCGCAGAAATGACAGCCTTGCAGTCTTCGGGGATGCTGCCACCAAGGCATACTTGTGCAGAAGATGGTATGATAGTGGCCGAAGCAAAGGTGAGAATAGTCCTGATACTCATACGTGACTCGGCTGATCTTTCGCAAGGCCAGTGGACTCAAGCCGAGCAGGCATTGCTCTCGAACACCAATCTCAGCGCCGTCGGCTACGAACATGGTCTCCATGACTGCGTTATCTTGAACCAGGGCACGCTATCTGTCTCCAACAAGACCATGGCGACCACCGTCGAAGCCATCCTCGGTGCAGTGTTCATGGATGGCGGCGCCGACGCGCTGGGCACGGTCCTCGTCACTCTGGGCCTGGACCGGCACCCATTCCTCGAATCGGTAACGTCATATTCCTGCCTCCCTTTATCAGCAGAGTTTTCATACTTCTCTCTACGCTAACTGAGTTCTTAGACCCGGCGTAACGGGCTACTGAGTCGGCTACGAGGAGGACTCAATGGTGAGTTGCGAGGGGGCTACTTCTGCATGCGATGCTTACCGGCCACTCTCTGGTTGTTGAACAGGCCTGTCCAGCCTTGACTGCAGAGTCGTAAGACCGGAATCATGCAGAGAGAGCCCCCTCGTAGCTGACCATCAAGTCCTCCTCGCAGCCGACTCAATACCCCGTTACGCCATGGTCCCATGAGGGTGATACAGTAACCCACCATCGACACTGGAGGCTGGACACTTTCACGTTGTCGAGTTGGACTGCTATCAACCTCATCGGGGGCCTCATGGCGCGTCGTGCACCATTGATCGTTATGTTCCCTGCTTCTTCGCCCTAACGCATCTACAGCCGCAGGAATAGGACTGCCATACCTAGCACGACAAAGGGATCATCCTCAGCGAAGGAGGGCGTGGACGAGGATCGGGAATAGGTGCAGCGAAGAAGGGGAAAGTTCTTCTTTTAGAAGACACGGAAACAAAGTTCCCAAGCTGGTTTATCCGGCTCCGATTGACCGTAGTACGCTCATTAAGAAATAGCAGCAATCCAAAGACGCAGGTGCGTTCTAACAATAATGCGGCAAAGAACGAACAGGAAATTGTTTGATCAAAGGCTTTCCGGGAGGCTTCTTGGTGCTGTGGTGATTGCAACATGCCAAGTTAAAGCACCAGCGCGCGTAGATGACCGGCTGGCTCATCGAGTTGCCTTTCACAGTGACATTACACAGTTCTCGGAACTGCCAGACAACGGCCACTCTTGCGCAGGAGGTCCCTAGCGTCCAAGAAATGGCACACAGAGATACAGCCCTTGGCACCTTCGAGTATTCTTGTCGCATCTTAAGTGAAACGCGACGGACTCTGACGAAAGGACCAGGCTAAAGATTGACAAAAACCGCTGAACGGTGAGACATCGTCAATAAGCGACGTGCTGTAGAGCGATGACAACTTTACCCTGCACCGTACTCCTATGGGGAAGCCGCCCATCTCCGCCTCGTCGCACCAAGTAGACCAGCAAGCATGATGCGAAAAGCCTAGAAACCAGGTGTAAGAAAAACCAAAGGCAGCTCGTTGACAGACTCTGTGTGTATGCGATCAACTTATAGCACCACTGAAGATCTTGGCGGCGAGTTCGCTCAAGATCCGGGCCTTCTTGCCCTGATCCAACTCCTGGAATACAGCGTACACTGGCTTCTGGTTCGTATCCCTGATCTTACCAAGCTGGCTTCCAGCTACGGCGCCAGGGAGAACTCCAACGGCTCCGCCGACGATGAAACCCAAAGCACTACCAGAAGCACCGCCGATGAGGGACCAGAAGCGTCGATTTGGAACTTTCTTGTCTCCAGCGTTGTCGGCCATGTCGTTTTCATCCATCATCTCTTCGAAGGCACTCTTGAATTGATCATTTGCTGTCCCGTCTGCTTCTGGCGCAGCGTGCCCTTGGCCACCAAAGAAGGTATTATACCCCCAACTGGCCCAGGAGGCCCCACCAGTTGCCGGCTCTTTACGTGGAATCTCTTCATCAGCATCCTCATCGTAATGAGCCGTGCCTTGAAAGCGGCGAGCTTCGTCGTAATCTCTCCGCCGGCTCTTCTCACTCAATGTGTAGTAGGCGTCATTGATCCTTTGAAACATCTTCGTTCGCCTTGGTCGCTCGGGGGAATCAGACGGAACGCGGTCGGGGTGCCATTTCAGGGCAGCCTTCTTGTAGGCTCTCTTGATTTCCTCCTCTGTTGCAGAAGGAGCAACCTCGAGGATGGCATCTACAAGTCGTCAGATGAGATTGTACCTATACTCGTAGTGTAACTTACAGTAGTCTGGAAGTTCCGACATATTGATGTCAGGCTGAAATAGTTGTTTGATGGTGTTTTAGGAATTGGTTCGAAGATTGCAGGTGAGGGGAGATGCGGCAATAAGAGTGAACAGGTGAAACTGGGTGAATCCGTAACGCGAAATCGACCACGGAAACAAATTCGGGATAAGGTTGAAGAATGATGTCTGAAGGATATAGGTATGATGTTGGGAGAGTGATAACGGCAGGAGGATTGTATGGCAGTCTGCCAGCCAGCCTGAGTAGTAGGTCATCGACATTCCTGTCCTGGCAAAACCCATGCTCGCGCATGACGTCGACCAGAAGTTGAAGCCACAGTGGCGTCAATAGGGATTCTGTCACCTGTGGCTTTAGCCGTAGGCATGTGCTTTTTGGTGCTTTTGGGGCCCAGCCAACCATCTCGGCACCAGGCGATGGACCCCTAACCTTTAGTCCCGACTCCCGACAGCCTTGCTAGAGTAGTTAGCCTCTGATCCGCTTGTCAGTCTCCCGACCCTCCAGCCACTCGAAATTGCATCCGAGCGGTCTGGGGAAAGGGCTGGTGCTCGAACTCTTTATGTTTGAACTGCTCTGACCTTCAGAAAATAACCATCCCACCTTGTGATAACACGTCCGAGCATAGAATTACCCTCCTTCGCCGACCAATTCCAAAGCGAGAGCAACGGGCCGATCCCACCGGTTCCACATACCTACCGACGCGGTGGGAAATACGCTGAGTACCAGCTGTGCAAGCCTCGACTGACCTCCACCCACACCTCGATTGATCTCGAGACACCAAGTTTCACAGATAAGCAATGGGCTTTTGGAACGACGGCTTCGGTGGTACAGAGCGCAGCCGCAGCCCGTCAGGGCGGTCACACCACTATTCCTCCCGACCTGCGTACTCACGAAGCGCTTCCTCATTCTTCTCCTTCGGCGGCGGAGGGTCCTCACGAGGTCATGGGCGCGCCCGCCCTCGATCTGGATTTGTCAATCGCATTCGACGCTTCCTTCGCGAAATCTACTCCTACATGCGCAGACATCCACTGAAGGTGTTCCTGCTGGTAATAATGCCGTTACTCACAGGAGGAGCACTTGCAAAACTTCTGGCGCAGGTCGGACTCAGGCTGCCGCCTTCGTTACAGAGAATGATGGGAGGGCCTCAGCAGAGTGAGAGATTTTATGCCAGGGGTGGTGCTCGTGATTATGCTGGTGGGACGGCTCTTCCTGCAATGGGTGGTGGTGTTGGAGAAAGCATTTCATCACTGGTAGGCATTGCAAAGATGTTCATATAATCTAGTACTCGCTGTCTCAGCACTGCTGGTGTTGGCACAGTACCAGACAGAAGGTGAAACATTATCCAGTAACGACATCACGACCAGGAGTTACCTGAAAATGAATGGAACGGAACAGTGAAGGCCGTGGAACCCGTGTTCTTGTGCAGACTTTGATTTGTTTACTTCTTGGTGCAGGAACATGCTGCTAACCAGGCCATCTGCTCCTACTTCGCTTTTGAAATCAGGTATCATTTCTTGCCCTTTTTGCCTCTCTTTTTTACCCCAGATGCCTTCTCCGGCTCAGTCTCCATTCCAGTCGAATCCACAATCTCAAATCCAGAGTCCTGACTGGAGCTGAGGTCCGAACTTGTCAACTTGTCTGGTACGACACTCTCTATCGTCTCGGACACTGTCTCTATGACGGAAGGCGCAGCGTCGTCACTGGGGATAGGGTCGGTGTTCTTTAGAAAAGGATCGAACGCCTTTCTGTACAGCCATACGGGAAGGCGAACAACGCCGGTGTCCCAGATTGTCGGTTTATGTATCTCGTCGAGGTCAAGCAGGTATTCCTGAACATCTCCGTCTTCGTCCTCTTCTTCCAAAAACACATCCCCCATTGAGTCGACAATCAAAACCTTGCCATTCTCAGCAGTCACACGTCGTCGCTCTGCTGGAGAAGACTGAACAGGACGTGCTTTGGGTGCTGGTTTGGTCTTGCCTGGCTTTTCCTTTCTGTTCTGTCGCTCCATTTCTCGCTTCTGGCGTCGATTCAAATTTGCCATTGGATCCGGCTCCTCGGTGGTCTCAGGAACTTCGACGGGTTGAGCTACGCCGGGTATGCCACGAATCCCCAACTCGTCACCCCAGGCAGTCTTTCTGGCATATCTGATATATCTCTCCATAAAATCACGTTGTCGTTTGTAGCTTGTGACCAACGCAAAATAGTGCGCCCCTCCACCAAATACCAGGAACAACCCGACCAAGACCGTCCCCAGCCCAGGACGGTATCTGGTGTAGTAGTAGCCGGTTCCTCGCCATGCTGGAAAGCCGTGTTGCAAGAAAAAATCGTACCTCTCTCGTTGCGGTCCTTTGAGGATATTGGCAACCACACCTAAGCGACTGTATCTTTCTCCTGCTTGTTTTGTGAATCGCTGGAGTTCTCGCTCGGACGGCCCCTTGGACACATGCACTCCAGACTTCTTCTTCTCCCCTGCCTTCTTGGGTTTCGGCGTCGACCGTGAAGCGACATAGGAATGTTTGACCTTGTCGGGATGCAACGCCCGTGATTTCTTTCGAAAAGCTTTACCAATTTCATCGACCGTCGCGGAGGACTTGACGCCTAGGAAATCGTAAAAGGAGACATCTGAACCTTCGGCAGCCTCGACTTCGTCCTTGAGTTTGAAGATCTCGTAGTCATCCTTGGACCATGCTGCGACCAGGAGAAGGAGAGTCGAAAGGACGAACAAGTGCAGGATTCGCAGCCTCATCTTTCACCCACCGCCCCAAACGAAAACAAGGAAATGGGCACAAATGCCTGCAACGCAGTTGGACGCTTTGGTTTTGGGAGTTTGTATGCAGGAAAGGGATGAGGCAATGGGTTTTGTAGTGATTTGTGGGTGATGCCCAAAAAACGTGGTCCAATTAACAGGGATCTGAGAACGAGACGCAGCGGGACAGATGCAGTAGCTTGTAATGTCCTCAAAGGATGAGAAGTGTATTTAGTTCGGATGTTATTCCTTGTTCTACAGTTGACAGCTTGTTTCTTCCACTTCCTCTTTTGTTGCAATCTCGTATGTTAACATCGAGGGCGATGACAATTGCACTTCCTTGAGCCTGCGGTGGGCAGGTCAGGGAGTGTGTGATACGGAGTGCACAGTGAGTGTCCAAATCACCGGCTCACCCAGAACGTGGCCGGTCTCCGGTGCCATATCTGGAAGTGGTGGCTGCGCCCCTGTCCCCAAGGCCCCGAAGCGAGAAAATCCAACAAAGGGCAAAGGCTGACAGATTTGCCAGATTTCAGATTGCGGGCGAAATCTGTGTCTGTCGCTTGCCTCGAAATTCTGTCCCCGTCAAAAGCGTCGAATTCCTGCATTTATTAGGGGTCAGTCAGTTCCTGAAGAACACGCGTTGCCCGCACCTGCACCTGCACCCCTTTGTTTAAACAATTCTTCATTCTTCATCCAACTCACTTCCATTCCATCCTTCGAGTCACTCGTTACCTGCCTTGTTCGTCATCCGACGGGTTCATACATCCACCTCTTTGTACGTTGCACATACAGTTGAGCCTACATATATTCGAGCTTGACACGATGGCGACGGGTTGCTAATGAGCATACAGAGTTGAACATTCAGATCTCCCATTTTCTCCTTCGATCACTTCTACCAGACACAATGGCTCGAATTAGCATCCCCCTGGACGCTATCACCTCCCGCCTCAACCTCTCCGACCGCTTCAACAGCGTACGATCGCAGCCACTCGCGTCTCGATTTGCCAACCTCAAACCTATCTCCGAGTTCTTCGACCTGAAGAGATTGTCGAAGCCAAATAACTTTGGGGAAGTTCAGACCAGAGTCAACTACAACCTCAGCTATTTCTCCAGCAATTATGCCGTGGTTTTTGTCATGCTCGCCATCTACAGCTTGCTCACCAATATGTGGCTTCTCTTCGACATTATCTTTGTGACTTGTGGCATGTGGGGAATTGGCAAACTGGGAGGTCGTGACCTTGAAATTGGCACCTTCCGTGCTACTGCGTCTCAACTCTACACTGCACTGGCTTGTGTTGCAGTCCCGGTCGCTTTCATTTCTTCACCCATTACCACTTTCTTGTGGCTGATCGGCGCTACTGGTGTCACCATTCTCGGCCATGCCTCCCTCATGGATAGACCAATCGAGAATGCTTTTTCCGAGGAGGCGGTCTAGGTGGTCGGCCGCGAACTCCATACGATATGCCCCCTTGGGGAAGACCACCAGGGGGACGACCGGCGAGCAAGAATGAAAGATACTGGCAGGCGCAGCAACGGTCGTGGAATTACGATGCACGTGTGGAGGAGCTTGACACTGATTATGACGATGGCCGAGAAAGATTCGTTTCGGATGAGCTTCGTTTTACTGGTATTGATTTAGGCGGTGGTGATTTCCGCCGACGGCGTTCAGTTGCTGCTTACGACGATGACTTTACTCCTTCTGATGACGAAGACGAATACGAGGTTTCCACAGGTCTCACGGGACCAGCAGGCATGCAAGTTGTCTACCGGAATAAGGAGGAGATGTTAGTGCAGAGAGCTCTTGAGAGGATCGCGCGTGCTCGGGCTCTTGGTAAGCCCAACGTCAAGTTGAGTCGAGCTGAGATTGATGCTTTGGAACGTGCAGAGCGGAACCAGATGCCTCCTCTTCCTTCACCTCTTCCCTCCACAGGACCAAAGGCCGCTCCCAGGGGCAAAAAGGAGGCTGCGGTCAGACGAAAGCCTGTTGAGGTTCGCAAGAAGTCTAGCAGGAATGAAGACAAGTCAGCCAGTAATTCGCCCAAGGGCAAGACTGTCGACGCACGAAACCGTGGGACGAGCTCTGCATCTTCCTCTTCTGGTCGCGACAGACGTGATGATCCTGCTGCAGCCTACCGCGGGCGCTCTGTCGATCCGGGTTTTGGTCGTCAGCCACCCTATCCATCGGGCTACTATATTACCGGGCCACGTCAGGCCGACGCCCTCAGGCAAAGCTCTCGTGCAAGTTCTAGTCAATCCTTACGGCAACAACAGGCAGAGCAATTGGCTATGCATCACCAGCCTTACTATTCAAGTCGCTACGCTTCAAATCCGGAAGCTATATACAGCCTCGGGTCTGGCTCGGATTCGACATCAGCTCGTGCGGCTCGACCTGACCCCTCTGAAGCCGACTGGGAACCCAGGTCACGCTCGGCATCGAGCCTCGTCGACGTCCCAATGGGTCAACTGCCTTACCAAACAAATATTGCCAGGGCACCGCGCTTTGATCCTTCGGATCCAAGGTTTGCCTCACCTCAACGACGTGTGGCGTCTGGGCCACCGCATGTGCTTCCAAATCAAGCTGCACAATATCGTCGCCCACAAGATGAGCTATTCCTTCCCGGGGAGGAGCTCCAAGAGCCCGAAGTCATGCGGTATCAAGTGCCATCTGACTCTGAAGAGGAGGAGGAGGACGACGACGATGATCACGACGACGACAGCGACTACGACCAAGGGGCACAGGTGACGGTCAATGAGACACCGAGGGGCGGTTACAGCATGCAGACGAGGAGTGCAGCTGCATCGACGTCGGCGCGCAAAGTCGTGTCCAGTGGTAAAAGTGCAGTGAGAACTAAAAAGGGGCGATAGCATCCAGTACTCTCGCTGTTGGTTTACATGATTTTCATGTGGTAATGAAAGTCTGCATTGATAAGAAGAGCCTGCGAACTGAGCAGTTGGTCCGTTCGTAAACATTGCCAATTTGGCTTGCGAATGAGCTTTAATTGATGTGTGATTGATATATGTCTCCACGTCCATCCCCACCGGTGTCTCTATCAGGAAAATCTGAGGGAACGAATCAGTGAAACAGGAAGTATGCAGTTTGGGCATTACGGCCAATTTTGATGATCTTGGGTTCGCCACCCCGCCTCTCATCGCCACCTCATCTGTCGTCGATCTTCTCCTTTGATGCCGGCGAGGACATGACTTGACGTTGAAAAAAAGCCGCGCCTGCCGGAATAGCAACCACTGAGAGTCAATCTGGTGGGTCACATGGTCGAGTCAGATGACCTGTTGGAGGGCCTCGCCGTCAGAATAAAGTACAAGTACCTCAAATCTGGGTGGCAAAGTCCACAAATCAGGATAAGGTTCGCGATGGAGATGCTGTACAAATATGCCGGAGAGAGTCGCGTAGTCATGTTCCGGCCGTTCCAGGGCAAGGAATAGGGGTGTCGACAGGGCATCAGATTCGCCACTTACGAGCATGGGCAATTGAAGACGATGGATCCGGCCCCGCCTGGTCGAAAGCCGACGATATGCAAGCACAATGCAGCACAACACAGCCAAACATCCAGTTCTACCCGTTGATAAAACCCGGTAATGCCACAAAATTTGGCAGATAGGCGGCATCGACCTTTCGCGGGAGGATCTCAATCTTAAAAAAGAAAATCCCCAGGGTCCATCGGCAGTCGGCGAGCGGCATACTCGAAAGCCTCGTAGAACTCAAAGCCAACATATCAGCTGTTTCACCAAGCACGATTCTTGAAAAGCGTGTCCCAGCGGCAGCGAAGTCTCTCTTCAATCATGATTGATTGGCAAGGCTCAAATATATCTTGCTGGTGACAACCTCCGTGCCAACGAGGCCGTTCGTTGCTTTCCTATCCCATGAATACGAGTATCCACCATGCACTAGATGTCCAGGCTTATCAACCTTGTCACGAAGACGGCTCAAGCTGCCGCCGGTGTATGAGATATTGTGGACAAATGGCAAATCAACCCATAGCCACCGCGTCTGCATTTCAATCAAGGAGCGCTTCTCGATGTTTCTTGATGCTCACGGAGTCACTCACGGCAGACGTTGAACAATTGACTCCGACGCCGATCGGACTCTGCCATTTCAGGCTAGACTGCACGTGCCAGGTGGGGCTCTTCGGCGAAAGTACGAGTTACACAGAGATCATTCGAGCGATTTATTTGACCTTCACATCTTCTTTGGTTTCCATCATGCTTCCATCAGATTCACTTTACCATCTTGCCGTGGTCTGCTCCAGAATAGACTAGTGGCTTCCTCCCTGGCATTCCATGCTGATCTGTTATCATCTGGGGTTAGAGCCTCCATTATGGCTTCGAGAATATCTGGACCACGCAAGAACATCAGGTCTTCTGACAATGCACAGCCCATGCCAATGTTCCATACTGTCGGTCTGTCCGTGAGTAGCCAAACGGGTACCAGTCCGAGTTGGAATTTTCTTGCGGTATTGCCTTCCGAGATTCCTATATCAAGGTCTGGGATGTCTGCCTCCGTGGGCCAGCCCCCCCACCAGTGGATTGGCCTTATTCCTTTCTTGGTTTCGCTTCAAGCAAATTTATAACAATATAACATCGAGCCATTCCTCACATACCTGACTGGTCCATGGGCTCGCTGTCGAGGAAAATTCTTTTCCACATCAACCTCATCACACCATGACCTGGCGATAAATGTGTCACCTCGCAACATTGACCAGGCAGTGAAAATGTTCTGGTGCAAACAATCTTACCTTCCTATTCTCTCGTTCAAGCGTCCTAACTGTACAGTTACCACGTACACTACCCGCGCTACATGTCATCAAGTGGTGATACAGCCCAAGAGGATAACTCAAGGCGTGAAGGGAGGAGGAGTCCCAGTACACGACCTCCGAACCTGGTAGAGTTTGTCGACAGCCAGGATCCCAACGTCAGGAGTGCCATCCAGAGGCACACGGCATATCACTCAGCTGCGCAACGTCGAGATGCACGCTCACGACTCCTCCGTCGCTCAAGTCAAAGCCGTTACCTCGAGTGGGGCAGACGCCCTCCTATGTTAGAAAACGAACTTACGACATCTTCAACCAGCAGCGCGAACAGTTCTCTTTCGATTTCACCTACACGATCCGGGTCAGAAAGGCCTGACTTGCCTAGCCGCTCGTCCAGCAATCAAACAGACCAGGAGTCAGACATATCTGCCACTCAATTCAGCTCTTTGACTGTCGGCGAAGACACCCCATTGACGCCCAGCCCCGCGATCTCTGTGGATGATACAGTCTTGCAATTTTGTGAGTGCCCTCCAGAGCTTTCTAGATGTTTCGTGCACGGTTGGCACATCGATACTAATGATATCGTTCCTCCAGACAGTAACACGTTTTGCTCGCACTATCGGAATCGGAACGTGCTCGAATCAGCGATGACTTTCATGCGAGAGCACGAAGCTCCACGACATTTCCTACTTGCTTACATTTACGGCCTGCGATGGACGCTGCAGTCGAACCCTCAGGACCAGGTTGATGCACAGTCGCATCTTGGAAGAGGAACGAATCTTCTGTGGAATCGTCTTCAGACGGCTGGCCATGCAAGCTCTGATGCCAACATCCAGGCAGTTCTCCTGTTGATTGCATATACGGCCGACTTTGGGCAATCTTCTGAGGTACAGGTCCATAGAGATGCGCTACGGACTATGGTCGAGCAACGTGGGGGCCTCGATACGTTTGGACATAACCCGGTGCTTCAACAACAGTTGTGGGCCATCGAACAATCGAGGGAGTTCCATCTCACATTCGATTGTGGGCAACCATGTCAGAATGCGTTAAGATTTCCTGATGGTCTTGGATTACGCACAGGGACAGAGGTAGCATGAAGACGATACGCCGTTTGATTATGGAGTTTGTTGGGCTCAATGTGTAGCCTATGTGACCTACTGATATTCTTCGATGATACCCAGGGATACATTGCAACAACGCATTAGGTGTAGATCCGCGTGGTTATATGGACAGGGGTTTACGAGGTTGAGATTCATGCTAGAAAGGATACACAAGGATCATGTTCGATCCCGGCGCTGGATCACTTCCATGAGGATACCAGAGCGCTGTCAGCGTATACAACACGTATTACGAACAAAATGAAACCGATTTTTACAATTCAATCATGCTCATCCACCAGGCTCGGATACTCTGGACTTCATAGCGAAAGTCGGATGAAATGAGCCCGGGAGACTCTCAAAAAGCACAAGCATGTGACGTCGGTTGAATTTCTATCCACAAGGCCAGGGCGCCGAATACCCAGCGCCGGGCAGGGCAGCTTTGAACCAGAGTTGCTTTGCGCTTGCAGCTTCTCCCGCCAACAAATCGCTCTCCCCACTAAACTAAACTGATCTCATTCCCTGCAATTGCAAACTGCCACCTTCCACATACTCATAGCAGCCTGTTCACGCAATTGTTACAAAGTACAGCAGTCTGGTCGCATTCGACAATACTTTTGTCTTCTAAACACTCCCACACGATTGGAATCGAACGGCTTCCCAACCTCGAACTTGTTGCTGCTGCTGCTCGAAATACCAACTAAAGCTATCTCAATTCGACCGACGTAAGGCTGCACTATCCCCTCTGGCAATCTGCGCAGATTGTATTCGCCTGTGGACGAAGCTTCCAACGGCGAATCCTTGAAAGTTCTGCTTCTTTAAGCCCTCAATACTCTTATCTTCCGGCCTGCGCAGTCAAGGACAACATTCAAAATGTCGGGCGAGGCATGGTTATACCTGCTCGCCGTGCTGATAAATGCCGTCAACCTGTTCCTGCAAGTCTTCTTCACCATCATGTACAGCGATCTGGAATGGTAAGTCTCAAGAGGATGGAGCTTGATCCGTCGCCTGCTGATATGCTCTCAACAGTGACTATATCAACCCTATCGACCTCTGCAACCGCCTCAACACCTACATTGTCCCCGAAGCTGCCGTCCACGCTTTCCTGACATTCCTCTTCATTGTGAATGGATACTGGCTAGCAATATTGTTGAATCTGCCTCTCCTGGCATGGAATGCTAAGAAGTGGGTGGCTCCCAAACGCACTGAGTAGACAAGGACCAAGTGGCTGACATAAAATACACTTGCAGGATCTTTGAAAACCAGCATTTGCTGGATGCCACGGAAATCTTCAGGAAGCTGAACGTCCACAAGAAGGTACGAGACATCAACAAGGATTTATCGGAGAAGAGTCTCTAACACAGTTTGCCTAGGAATCATTCATCAAACTCGGCTTCCACCTGGTCATGTTCTTCTTCTATCTTTACAGCATGATCGTTGCGCTCATTAAGGATGAGTCGAACTGACTGCGTGGCGAAGTCTCGAACGTAATGAAACATGGCAGCTATTCTTGAAGAGCATTACGCATATTGGGTCTGGGACCAAACCAGGTGTCACAGAATCTTGGAGCATCAACCTATAATAAAGAGAAGGAATTACTTACTAGAACGTTCCCACTAGCCGTAAATGATGTAGGAAGAACATCTGTGGGACGACAACAGGTGGACCGTGTGTCGACTACTATGCCTCCCGACTCTGAACACCCACCAGTGGGTTGCAGCGGGTGCCTCTACGTGAGCGACGGGGAAATGGAGCACCACTGACATGGTGAAGGGAAATGGCCTGGATAGGTTGGTCCATGTCACAGGTTGGAGCCTGCGAGGAGGGGCCTTTGATGGGCTTTGAGTGGTATGGCAGCAGAGTTCGAAGAGCATGGATTTGTGTGACGATTCGAGCTCGTATGAATGCTAGAGTATTGGATTTTTGATAGTATAACCCCTACTGCGATATGTCACATTGCTCTGCCTTAACCTGCAAACCCTGTGCATATGTTTCAATTCCCTCACCAAGCCTAGCTTCAACCCTTTGAGGGCTGCCTACCAGGTAAACCAGTCCTGAACCTCTCGATCGGAAGGACTTGAAATCTTTCTATCGCTATAGCCCTTCGAGTGCCATCACCTTGGACACAATGCCGCTGATAAGGCTGAGTTTTGCCTCTATCAAACATTTTAGGAAGGTAGGCCGAGCAATTTTTCTCTAGGCCTTGGCTGTCGACAACGCAAAGTGCAGTGACTCTCGTGCGGTACATGTAACACCTTGCAGACTTCGATCGTCTCTTGTCGTGCGGTCTCCGCATATACCCAACACCATGTCCGCCTTATTAGGAACGGGCTACGAGTCTAGCGAGGATGAGACTCCCAACACGAAGCCGACATCGGCCATGCCTCTGGCTGTAAATGCGGCGCCAGATGTATCGACAGAGGTTTGGTCTTCGCTCTCGGAACAACGTGCTGGTCCATCTAACAACATACAGGATGCGTCTGAGATGCAGATTATGCTGGCAAACCCCACCAGTAACGCTCTCACCTATAACGCGACATACGAGAACCTCTCTCGTCCTTCTCAAGGCCCCGCCAACCCGTTCAAATCGTCGACTGGAAACGTCCTGAAGCGCAAGAATGTCCTTACGGGAAACGCAGAGGAGATGAGCATGTCGGAAGCGACATTCAAAACTCAGCACCGAACATTCCAGAGTCTAGGTTACACGAAAGACCCCAGCCTGAACGGCGCCTATGTCGGGAACCAGTCCGCTGTCGCAAAGTATGGTGGAAAGGATGTGGTCCAGCTACGTCACTCGAAAGAGGAAAGTGCGGCTATAAGAACCAAGAGACAGAAGAAAGGCGACAGCAGTATTGTCGATGGTGACGGCGCATACCTGGGTCCTTGGGCGAAATATCAAAGCGACGATGTTGCGTATGAACAGGCCGAAGCCATGGCCGACCAAGAACTGGCATCGGACGAAGAATGGGTGGAGGAAGGTGTCGCATCAGCACCTCTACCAGCACCACCAAAGGAAGCCACCGCATATTCAGAGGACTCGAGTGTCGCAGAAACCACCGAGTTTCATGGTGCCTCCGAGTTGGACTACCAAGGCCGCACATATATGCACGTCCCTCAAGATCTGGACATCGACCTGCGCAAAGAGCCTGGCTCGACACAGAACTACCACCCCAAGAAACTCATTCACGTCTACAAATACCACACGAAACCCATCACCACACTACGCTTCATACCCAAATCCTCACATCTCTTGCTATCATCCTCCGCCGACGCCAAAATCGCGCTGTGGGACGCCCACCACGATCGCACCCTTCTCCGCACATTCTCAGGACACAACAAGTCCATCACCGATACCGATTTCCACCCGACAGGCCGGACATTTCTTTCGGCGTCTTACGACCGCCAGATGAAGTTATGGGACACTGAGACAGGGAAATGCATATCACGATTCACCACAGGCAAGACACCACATACATTACGTTTCCACCCTGATGGCAACGAATTCATCGCAGGCATGAACGACAAGAAGATTGTACAATTCGACACCCGGTCCGGTGAACTTGTACAGGAATACGACCACCATCTCGGCCCCATCAATACCTTGACCTTTGTGGATGAAGGGCGCAGATTCATCTCGACGTCTGACGATAAAAGTTTGAGGGCGTGGGAGTACGGTATCCCAGTACCGATCAAATTCATCGCCGATCCGTCCATGTATGCCCTCGTCCGGTCCTGTCCGCATCCTTCGGGGAAGTACGTCGCTTTCCAGAGCGCGGACAATCAGATCGTGGTTTATGCTGCGGGCGATAAGTTCCGGCAGAACCGCAAGAAGGGGTTCAGGGGCATGAATACCAGTGGGTATGCGATTGATGTGGCGATCAGTCCCGATGGTGGGATTGTGGCGTCAGGCGATTCAGGCGGGTATGTCTGTTTCTGGGACTGGAAGACGGGGAAGATGTGGCATAAGGTACAGGCTGGTGGGGATGGGTCTGGGGCTGTTACTTGCGTGGCGTGGCACCAGCAGGAAAGTAGTAAGGTTGCTACTGGTGGATTGGATGGGGTTATCAGGTATTGGGATTGAGCGGGTTTCTTGTGCTGTGTTGCAGATGACTTTACGATTGCTGAGCTGATGTGGAATCAGTCTGGCTTGATGGCCGAAGGGATTGAGGGAGCAGGGTTCATTCTTCCTTGCTTCGGCGTCAGAACGTCTGTGCGCAGAGGATCAGAAACGCGTTCTCGCACCGGACTCATACATCAGGTGGCAGTACACAGTCCTGGTCACCATGAGTTACTGATCATGAGTTTGGAGTATCGATGCCACTTGCTACTGGTATCGTGGCATCTGTGCGCACGACGACAGCATGCGTAGGAAGGGAATGTGCCTCGGTTTCTACCTGTGCTGCCAATCATTTTGTGTGGGAAGTCTGGCTGCTCCACACCTTTTGGTCGGCTCTCTCTGGCTCTCGCCTTTCTGGCACGAGGCAGTAGTTCCGGCACTGGCGAGATCATCAAGCACAGCGAGACGGATACGCCCGGGTGGAACCGAGACGCTACTTCACCTTTGCAGTGCGCTGGGACTATCAGAATCGCTGCATGATACGGAATCAGCGTATGGGACAGACCGAGAGTCGATTCATGGTCTTCGAAGACAAAGCTCCTTGAAACGGAATACCGGCGCTTTCCATAGCCATTTTTCAATCCATAAAGAAGTGAAGATGACTGAGAATTTTCTCTTTTGATGTGGTCTACATAGCCGCGATCGCCGTTGTATTAATACATCACCACCACTCTCAAGAAGTGCTTACGCAAGAATCGTGCGGTGTCTGTACAAAAGCTTTCTCTTTACAAACCCCCTTGAACCGCGGCCGTTAAACCAGTATATTGTTGCCTGCCGCGCGATCTGTTGACTCTGCGATCCTGCTCCCACTCAACATGGTTATGCCGGCTCTCGACCATCTTCCAGTCGATACTGTCCCACCACGCCGTCAGGTACTCGCGCTTGCCGAACATGCCATAATCAGGTAACCACTGGTGCTGCCAGACGTTGGCACACAGGATGGGTTCAGCGTCCAACGCTCCCACGAATAGATTTGCCCGTGCCGAACTGAAGTTGCCGAAGGATCCTGCATATCGTCCACCTCCGGGCCCTAGGCTGTCGGCATTCATGCCAGAATTGAGTAAATCCGTGCCGACCTGTCGACCGTTGTACGTGGCCATGTTGCGGTCGTCTCGGCGCGGAGCTGCGACCGAGTACGGGCTGCCCGCGTTATATGTGGCCAAGATCTTCAGTCCGCCGGGCGTCTTGGGCTTCATCAGCCACACGAAGCCATTGCCGAACATGGCGTCCGCGACCTCGAGAAATTCGGTCCGGAGGTGGTCGAGTGATTCAAAGTCCATCTCTATTGAACGTGATGTGTAGTTGCCCGGCTTTCGGTCTAGAGGGTCTTCGCTGTCCGTCAGAGCTTCCCAGAAGAAATGCGTGTGGATTGCCATTGCGGCATGGTTGTAGAGGGCTGCTCGTTCCGGTTTGTGCGAGCAGATGGCATGGAGATCGTGTGCGCTGTGTGACTCGTCGGCGGTGCCTGCAGGAGATTGTTAGACTATGTCCTCCTATTTGCAAAGATTTCGGATACAATCGTACCTTGTGTGTACTCATTCAACTTGTCACATAAATGTTTGGTGTACTTTGCATAGGTCTCTTGGTATGTCTTCGCGGAGAGGAAACCAGGAACGCCACGCTGGGTGAACCTCTCTTGTCTCTGTCTATCTGCCCATTCTGCTGGACTGTGTTTGCATCGACGCTGCGATCGAGAGAGAAGGGGAGACTATTCGTCCGGAGAGCAATGTCAGTGAATGGCTTCTTCGTATGTGTCTTGGAGTTGGAGAAAGCTTGTGCGTACAGCTTGGTTGACGACAGCTCGCAGGACCGTCTGCGGCCTCGTCGCGGGTCGTATGATCATGAACGGAGTATAGAGCAGTCCAGCCTCATTGCCTGACTGTTTTGTGGTGGACTATGCAATGTCAATGTCGAATGTCGAATTGCCCAAATTTCTGTCTTGCAATGGCCGCAGTTGCCGAAAACGGAATAGTGTCATGCTGTTGAATTGTAGCCAATCATGAAGCTCCATGATTCTGCTGAGCCTCGCGTCTGAAACGTCGCCGCCACTCTCTCTTCTCTCACACTCCATCTACTCGTGTCAGATCTCTTCCAGATGTCGACAACCAATTGTTCACGTCTTTATGACTGTTTGAGTGCAGCATTACACCTCCCGCAGATCACAAGGTCGCGCAAGCCGCCCCCAAGCGGCAAGCCACTGGCTATTCTCGGAGCCTTTTTCAACTTCCATCTGCATACTCATAGCCTCCGGATATCTATGGTCCAAGAGAATGATTTTTCACGAACACACGGTAAGTCTCGAACAGGTACGCCTTAAACAATGCCCTATAACGAGGCCGGGTCTCGACTCAGGTTTGTTCTTTGTGCGTTTGTCAAAGGTGAAGTCTCTCTGTCTCTTTGTCCACTCTGTCAAAGCCTTCAATATCCTTCTTTGTGCCTATCTCTATTTTGGCACCAAGGCCACGCGGGTGATGGTCCTGGTGACCAGAACGCATACTTGACACTCTACCGTTTCTTACTCTGCTTGTGTTTGCTTCTCTCGCTGTCCAATTTGGCATTCTATACGCCCTTCAAGTTTGATCATCATGAGACCTCTATCAAGTACATCTACTTTGCGCCTACTATGGCTCGCGACCACGATTATATCTTCAACGTCCGCTCTCGAAGCGGACACCATGTCCGGAACATCTTTTTCCACGCTCGCCAGACGAGCCAACTCCGTGTCATGTTCAGCGACCGTTGACCCAAAGCTACCCAGCAATTTCCTCTGTCCTTCAGGAGACAACTGCATATCTCTGGACAGTTCGTCCTCGGGCCTCTGCTGCCCAGATACATCCAATTGCGCCACCATCCAGACCATAACCTGCGACATCCAAACTCAGAATCTGACCTCAAACCCCAACGCAGCCATATTCACAACAAGATTAGGAGATAAACTGCCGACATGTGGCTCGTCATGCTGCCCCTTCGGCTACGAATGCGTCACATCTTCGCAATCACCAATCTGCCAGCTCATTGCCAACACCAGCATTGAAGGAAAGAACAATACCTCTACCTCTTCAACTTCATCATCTACTTCATCCGCAACCTCCTCAACAGCTTCCAAAACTGCAACATCAACCAGCAGCACAACAGCCACATCAACCCCACTCTCCACAGGCGTGAGCTCTTCATCCTCAGCCGCTGAATCTACATGCAACAGATTCCCAGTCGGTGTCTTTCTAGCGGGGTTCTTTCCCGGAATGTTCATCGGGGCATTCATGATGCTCGCCTGGGTTATTTGCTCAGGTCGGCACCGCAAACCAACCTCTCGCAACTCCACAGGCTCATCCGTCTACAAACCCACTATCTCCGACCCCATCCCCCTCGACTCCGGCGGTCTACGCACCGACTTTCTTCGCAAGACCACCGACCGCGCGAAATCCATGTTCTCCACAAACTCCCAGATCACCAGCCCGGCGGAAAGTCACTGGAAAATGCCGACACCGCCTGTACCCAATAACATCCCCGCCGCTCACCTGCCTGTGACACCGGAGCGCAGACTCGCCCACGAGCTCAGCTCCGAGAGTATCCGCGTGTATTCACCGCCCAGCGGCACGGGCGTGGTGATGCCTGTGCCTTCACACATTGCGCCTCTACGGGGCATGGCTGCGCAGAGATTTCAAGCTACAAACATGGGCAGTCCGTTCCAGTCACCTCCCCCTACCAGCAACCCGGCTGACACCTCGAACAGCATTCTTCCCACTAAAAAGGAGAGAGGTGTGAGTACGTACTCAGGCGTCTCGTCGCTGTCCGAAAACGATGAGCAGCAAGCACAGACGCTCACGCCAGCGCGCTACGAACCTACTGGCTGGACGCCGCCGAAACGAGTTCGTCCTGAGGGCACTGAGGAGCAGAGCAGGCCGACCACCACGTTCACTGAGATGTTGCATGAAGCTGGGTTTCCAGACCCCATAAGAGAGGATCACGGTACGCCGGCTGTACCGAAGATACCGAATGGGTACGGCAGGAACCGAACGTAATTGATCATTGATTGTCTACTGTCTTTGTACTTTGAGCGATGGGCACTTTCTTTGAGATGGCATATAGCGCTGCGCTGATTACTGTCGCTACTCTGACGAGCATGTACAGTCGGAGGTTAATCCAAATTTTAATGCACCCACCACAATCCCAATTTGCTCGATTTGAGATCCTAGACCAGATTCATAAGAAAGGCGGAGCCACACCAAAGGTCTGATAGCAGAAGTACTTGGTCGTGACGCGACGGCCTTTACTGCTCTGCGCCTCTGCATGAGACTCTGCAAACGTCGCGAAGAAGTCACTCCGACTGATTGGGTTTCTGATCTGCTTGATCCGTTCCACTGCCCATTGAACATCAGCAGGGTTGACGCTTTCGATGGCGTACAAGAGCAATGGGCGGAGGTAGCCGGAATTGAGCTTGCCAGCGGTATAACCATTCGTGTTGCCATCCACGATATCGCGAATTTGATTCATCGCATGCTTTGCTTCGGGGGACGCCAGGGGTGGGTCGCTCGGCGTACGCCCATACTCGACGATCTCGGTCCAGTAGGCCGCGGTAGTGATGCCAATTAGCGTGATCAGGGGCTCCGCGACTGCGCCACAGAAAAGAGACCGCAGGACGTCGGCTTGGAGTTGCATAAGGCTGGGTCTGGCCTGCCAGAGCGCACCCATCTGCGCCTTCAAATCTGCCATGAGTACTGCGACTTCTTCTTGATCGGCACTGGTCATTCGTGACCGGTGGTAGTGGCTCAAGTTGGCTATTTGAGCGGAAATCTTCTGCAACTCCAGGAAGAACGCAAAGATGGGGGCACTAATGATATCGTAGACAGACGTAGGTGCGTCGTTATAGTTGTCCAGCATGGGGAGATTGGGAGCCTCTGTTCCATAGTTGGGGATGTGGGACTTCACGGCATCGGAGAGTATTCCAGGATTCCCACCGCGTCTCGCCGATGCATGGCACAAAGTCAGCCAGGCTCCAATCCTCAATGAGAGGTGTCCTGGTGCTGACCATGTCGCGAGCCTTGTGAGGAATAAGCTCCCCAGATTGCCAAAGACGGAACCTGTTTCCTCCGGTAGTACCATCTCAAACAAGCACAATAAGAATGCTGCTGCGAAGATGTTGTCCAAGACCTCGGCGTGGTCTTTCATGGCTGTTTCAAAGGCAAGCATTCCTGCCTGGTAAAGTGACAAGGAATGTGTTGTAGGCAAACCGTTGCTTTGAGCCTTGTAGAGTGCTTGAACTGCCAAGATAGCTGCTTCTATAGCCTTGATGCGGCTCCCAAGCTCCGCAAGATGCATTTTTGCTCTGGCCCAGTTCACATGGTCGAAGTCCGAAATTATCGGAGGGTTTACCTCTTGAACAAAGTAAGTGAACGACGGCTGAAGTGGAATCTGAGTTGCTGCCATCAGATCAATAGTTGTGCACAGATAGATGTCTTGTGAAGTCATCAATGATACTGCCGACGGGGACCTCAGGCCGTCGAAGTCTGGAGGTTGGGGAGGAAGGGGTGTAGACCCATAGCGACTCGGGCCAGTAGACAGACGGAATGGGCTTGGAGGACTTTGGGTCGGCTGGCTGACGATCTCTCTGCTGGAATTCTGACTAGGAGCAGATGTCTCTCCAAGAAAGAAGGATTGTTCATGGAACACAAGTGGAGAGGGAGCTGGTAAAAACGGGAAGGCAGGCATCTCGGCTTCTAGAGGTGATGCATTCGGGCGAGAAGTTGCGGACCACCTGCATGTTTGCTGCAACTGTACACAGTTGCGGCAGTCCGGTCGTTGCTCATCACACCTCTTCTTCCTGCATCTGCAGGTGAGACAGCCTGTCTTTGTACGGTGTGAGAAATTTCTCTGTCGTCGAACAGGCGAATTGGCGATGCCGACCGGTGGCCCGACAGGCCTAGGAGTGTCGAGGGGCGTCTTTAAGATCATAATGTTGATTTGGTCTGCAGAGCAAAGAGTTGGGACGGTATTCAATGCGAGTCCCGTATCTCAAGCTCCATAGGCATCAATCTGGACACAAAAAGCAAGCAGCATCGACATGCTCGTTGTTCTCGACCTCGACAGCAGTGTGAAGGAGTTGCAACAATGCGACTTGGTGCGACTCTTGGGTAAGCAGTGCATCAGTCCGATATGCTATCAATCCATGGAGTTTGGAAGGATGTTCCTGAGGTCGCGCGTGCTTGTTACCCCTCCGCTGATTGGCAGGTACCAACAGGTACGATGACGATATACATTGAACCATTTTAGCACTTAGCATTATTATACAATTACCACAATCCGGAAGCCCCTTCTCCTCACGGAGCGCTGTCACACCCGTATACTTCATTATGCAGAAAGGACGGAACCAAGTGGGTTTACTTTGGGGACCAGCTGCGTCCCGGATCTTGCTTCTGCAGGATTGACCGGGAATATATCGTGAAGCTTTCTGTGCTCTTGGCAGCTATTGTCCATGTGATGAGCCCCCTCAAGCTGCGGTCCTCTAGCTCTGCTTTCTCAATACAGCTCCCGTTGGAAAGCGAACAGATCGTCAAAGATACAAAACTCGGGAGCCTCAAGCTCGAACACCTTTGGCAGCTTGTCTAGGTGGTTTTGCAAATAGGCGGAAATAGCCTCATGATCCTTCTGACCAAGGAAACGCAACATATATGCTAGGCTAACATGGAAGGAGTAGGTGTCATGGCCCGGGTGGCGCATGAGAAGAAGTTTCGATAATCGGTCACGAAGGCCGCGAAGTCTTCTTTCCTCATCGAGGTTTGCTGGCACGACCTTCAAGGCTATACCATCTTCCAGTGGCTCGCATCCAGCTATTGTCATCCGAAATGGTGGCTCGCTTCCCAGGTCAAAGCTTGCAAGCTTCTCCCTAACCAGTGTTGTGCAACTTTCCAGGGTTGCGTCGAGTGCGGATTCTCCTGGCCAGCACTTGCGCTTGCGTATTTGGTCCGAGACGCCTTCATACACAGTCATATGCCAGCTTGATGGTGGCAAGAGGACATAACATGAGGCAAAGTCCTGTCGCCGCAGTTTGTCATGGAGTGATAGCAACTCATGATACAACGAGCTGTTTTGAGGTAGATGGCAAATGATTGTATGTCCAGGAAATGGGAGCAAACAGCCGTCAGGCTCGAATTTGTGGCCGATCCAGCGCGGGTATCGTTGGTGGGGGAAATCTTCCCTAGGGACAGGTTCGATACGTTGTTCTTGTTGATCAGAATGCCGTCCGACGTTCTCGATGCCGCGTTCCCTCGGCGCGGCCGGAACGTCGTTGACTGTACTGACGGAGACCGCCATGATGTAGGCGAAATTGTTATTTGATGGGAGGACTCAACACTCTGTTGGAAATGTTGTCAAAGGTGAGTCGATTGGGTCAATGAGGCGAGAAGTAAGACCAAAACCTCAGTACAAAGTGGGCAGGCCACATTATGTAGTCGAGACTCCAGCACGGATGAAGTGGATTCTCTTCATCACTCTTGAACAACATTCAGGTCACTCGTTCTCGAATTGCGCAGCCGAGAATTGATGCGGCTTTGACCATCAGTCCACTCTCAAACCTTTTGATGCCCACTGCCGATCAAGCTCGTCTCGCAGCGAAAGTGAAAACGTGCTGGAACCCTACAGGATGTGCCTTGATCAGCTTTAGCGAGTCGCCCTGGATAATCTGCCGGCCCTCGTGAATCATGATAGAAATGTTTGCGTTGATGCTTCATTCCCTTATTGGTTGCAGCATGTCGAACTCACCCAAGGCCCAATAAGAGCAGGATGTGGCAGCTGTGGAGTGATCCCAGCACGTGGGTCAGCCACGACTTTTGCGCGGTTCTTCCCCGTTGACTTTCGCCTTCTCCTTCACTTTGGCTTGCGCTAGACCCGAAACGCCCAAAAGGAAGAGATATGGCGCTTGTCGGCTACAGAAAGTCCCAAAGGGGTCGATTAGGGTTGCTCCTGCGGAGGTCATGGGCGGCTCCTGTCTTCCAAGGCCAACCGTTTTTGTAGAAGATGCCGCCACACGGCTCAGGCTTTCTTGATGTCCTTGATATCAATTTCCACGTCTGATGTGCACGACTCTGTGGACAATAGTATATAAGGGCAACATGGTTGACCCCTTGCGCCAGAGCATGCATCAAGCTCTTCTCAGTCAGCAAGACAGTCACCTGCTGTTCATCACTGGCTCGACACATCAGGTTACATTGAAATACCACCTATCGGAAGAGTCAGTTGCCCAACCAGAGAAAACTAGCACCATGACCAAGCAAGAACCACACGCCATTAACATGGACAAGCCAGCAGGAGGTCGGGTGCTGCAACAAGAGCTCCTGTCGGATGCCCAGGATGCCACGAACCGGGAGCATGAACCGAGTCTTGTGCAAGCCATCAAACTCTACTCAAAGGCTGTTGGCTGGAGTATTTTAATGTCGACCGCGCTTGTCATGGACGGGTACGACACCAAGCTCATGAGCTCCCTGTTCGCTCAAGGAGCGTTTCAGGAGGCATACGGCAAGCCCTTAGGCAAGGGTAAATACCAGATCTCTGCACCATGGCAAACCGGCCTCACCAAAGGATCGAACGTCGGCCAGATTATCGGCCTCTCATTCAGCGGCTACCTTTCTGAGCGGTTCGGGTTCCGGAAGACAATGATTGGGGCTTTGCTCATCGTCCCTTGCTTCATTTTCGTCCAATTCTTTGCTCCCAGCCTTGCTGTTTTGGAGGCTGGGCAAATTCTTCTTGGTCGGTAATGGCGTCTTCCATGTTGACCAGAGTCTAACCATCGAATTTAGGCATCCCACTCGGCCTGTTTCAATCCATGGCTTGTGTCTACGCCGTCGAGGTGATGCCAACACGCCTCCGCGGTTATCTGACAAGCTATGTGAACATTTGCTGGGTAAGCAAGATAACTGCCCGAGTACGCACGAATGAGGTCTGACATCTATGCAGGTACTCGGTCAGCTCATTGTTTCTGGTGTACTCCGTGGCGTTTTAGACATGAAAGCCCCATGGGCGTACCGTGTCCCTTTTGCCGTCCAGTAAGTAGTACCATGCTTTACATGCAGTTCCACGATCTGATCAAAGTCCAGATGGTTCTGGCCCATCCCCTTGATCATCGGTGTTTCCTTGCACCTGAATCGCCATGGTGGCTGGTCCGCAAAAATCGTCTCGAAGACGCGAAGACGTCTCTTCGCCGACTTACATCACCCCAAAATGTGGCATTCGATCTTGACAAGACTCTCGCACTCATGACTCTCACAACCGAGCATGAACGCGAAGTAAACAAAGGCACTCACTTCCTGGCATGCTTCAGGGGGACCGATCGCCGCAGAACAATCATTGTGATCGGCTGTTATTGTATGCAGGTCCTCAGTGGTTCGACCTTCCGCTCGTATGTGACATACTTCTTCGAGCAGGCCGGTCTGCCCACGACTCAGGCATTCAACATGTCGATCGTCGCATATGGACTCGGCTTGATCGGTACTGTGCTCTCGGTAAGCTCGCATGTTCCACCTATTTACAAAAAGATTGTCGTTTCCTGACTCGATGCAGTGGGTTCCCATGACCCATATTGGCCGCCGGGCGCTCTTCAACTATGGTCTGATCGCGGTAGGCTCGATATTCTTCATCATCGGCGGCCTCGGGGTCCGCTTAGCATTTGCGCCCTCCTCAGGTCTCTCATGGGCAATTGGCGGTTTGTTACTTGCATCCGTCTTTATCGCCGACTCCGCCGTCCTCTCTGTGTCATACGCGCTGGTCTCGGAGATCCCGTCTTCCCTTCTCCGAAGCAAATCTGTGGTGATTGCTCGCGCCACTTACGCTGTCATCAACATCGTCGCCAACGTCCTCATACCGTATCAAATGAACCCCACGGCTTGGGGATGGTCGGCAAGGACAGGATTCTTTTGGGCAGGTAGCTGCTTCCTCGGGCTGATTTTTAGCTACTTCGTTGTTCCGGAGCCTAAAGATAGGACAATCGCAGAATTGGACCTCTTATTCAAGAAGAAAGTATCGGCACGGAACTTTGCAAAAGCACAGGTCCACCTCTCTGAGGTGACTGCAGACAATGGCAGAGTACAAGCTACCCAGGACGTGCTGACTCTAAAACATCAGCGTCAAGCCAGTGGAGAGACCTTTCCAGACACAGAATTAGTGAAAAGTATGTAAACATAGATTGGCAGGAGGAAAGACGAGCAGGTTGACACAAGACAGTCGGTCATAAGAGCTTTGTAAAAGCAACGGTGAGCTTAGTTGGTTAAGCAATATGATAACTCATCAGATAGGCGCAGACTTCGTTATAGACTTTTGGAGGAAACGGAAGCTCAGGGATAGGATCGCGCGGGGACTCCATGGAATCTCTTGCATCGCAACCAGGTGTCATCTCAGGTCAACTTCAACAGGTTTTGGCAGAGTCAACCCGGCTCGTTGCAGTTGCAACAAAGTAGAAAAAGGGCTCTAGAGCGGCGTGAATCTTCTCCAACAACCATAATGCCAAGCGATCTTCGTCTTTAAGAGCAGCGGTATTTCTCGCAGCCTTGCCATCTGCTCATGCTCTACGCTTGCCTGTTGCTTCTCCGCACTCGTCTCTGCATTGTCATAATATTTTACCAGCACTCACACGACCCCTACGTACCACCTCCCATTCCACATTGAGACCACGAGCACAGCATGTCAGAAGCACGAGAACCGTCACCGACCCCGTCCGAGCGAGCGCGCAAGGACGCCGAAGACCGCCAACGCGAAGAGGAAGAACAATCGAAACTACCCTACCGATGGACCCAAACACTCGAGGAAGCAGACGTCAATGTGCCCATACCAGGCAACTTGAAAGCGCGGGATCTGGTCGTTGAGCTGAAAAAGACGCACATCAAAGTCGCAATAAAAGGACAAGAACCTATAATCGATGTATGTACTCAGACTGGTCGACCGTGATGGTAAGCGTTGGTGTACTGATCATCCATGATTGTAGGGCGACTTCCCACACCCAATACAAGTCGACGACTCAACGTGGATATTGTCGACGACAACAGACGGCAGCAAAGAGATCGCAATCAACTTAGCCAAAAGCACCGGTTCGTACTGGTGGGCACATATCGTGACTTCGGCGCCCAAGATCGACACCACCAAGATCGTGCCCGAGAACTCGAAGTTGGGCGATCTTGACGGCGAGACGAGGGGCATGGTCGAGAAAATGATGTACGACCAGGAGATGAAGAGGCAGGGTAAACCCACCAGTGACGAACAGAATAAGCAGGATATTCTGAAGAAGTTTATGGCCGAACATCCTGAAATGGACTTTAGTCAAGCGAAGATGGGTTGAGCCTCCCCAACAGACCGGGACTGTTGTCAGGCCTCACTAATTAAGGTACGGTGACCTTGTATGAGTTTTCATGTGCTACCACGACGATCACGATGCGGGGATAGAAGAAAAAAGTACTTTGCATGACTGCTGGCGTGCATGCATTGCGTTTGATGCAGTTGGCCGCACTAGGATGGCCGGCATCGCGTGGCGTTTCAGGGCTCGAAACATCAAGATAGAGATCCGGACGCTAGGTATGATGTTCAAGGATACTCGATTCGCTGTTCGTTGTTCCTCTGCCTCACTTTCGGAATGATCTCTCTGTACGTTACTCGAATGGGACTAGTCGATTTATGTTCCCTAAATCTCAGCCTTGCCGTCGGTCATTGGCTAATGGTTTCGATATGCCTCCTTTTTTCTGGCGCATGCTCAAAAGTCCTTTGCAGCATTGATTTGCATGGAGCATTCTCTGCGTCCCAGTGGTCACCGTTATGACTTTCCTGTGCCATAGAGCTCATGTACATCTACAGGTCTGATTGGATCCATGGGCGACTCTCTCATATACAGCCTCAACCATCACGGCTGTTGTCGCGGTCGGATCAGATCAAAGGGTGACTGCCTTGAGAACTGTATGCAGAAGCTGCCCGGTAATCATGTCTGCGCGTATCTGTAGGCGGTGACCAGCCCTGTCCAGTCTGCCACACCTCCCTTACCATTGCCAAGGGTCAGCAATGGTATATTGTCACATATATGTTTAAGAGCCAGAATTTTGCTTCAATCCACAGTGAAGCCGAGAGAAATGCAAAAGCAAATCTCGATGATGCCAGAGTGGATTAGGTCCTGGTCAACGACCTTTCCCCCTTTCCCCCTTCGTAGTATCGTAGTAATCGTAGTAACGAAAAAACCCAGTACGGCTGGTTTCACTTACCTACAACCTCCTAAAGGAGTTTGTAGGAAAAGTCTTTGCTCTTTTTTTTGGTGGAAACTATGCGTGTTTTGTGGCTTGAATTATCGTTGTGTGGGGTGAGGCAGAACGGTTGTCAACGCGAAGGTGTCGAGGTGAATGAACCAGAATTCTTCATTAACGAGAAGAGACATCTCGGCTGGCTCTACTGACCTACGACTTCCCTAATCAACTGACCGGAAAGCTTTCACAACGGCCTTGTCGTCCTTCCACTAAAGTACAACGTGTGTTGTTGTGCTTTAACTCTCAAGTCTTTGCCGGGAACTGATGCCAGCACTTGCTTTCGCTCATCTATTGCCCATGTCAGCCTGCAGCGTCCCACCTCACGTCCGTTGTGGTGGTTGCTAGATCTCCTATCTCCTTGTTTTTTAGTATCCTTTGTCAGGTACAAGCAAATACCTCCTGGTAGGTATTTAGATAGCTTCTCTCCTCCATCATGGTTGAGAGGTATCACTCATGCCACACATCTCAATTTCAGCCTTTGTGGTTCAACCCTTTGTTCTCCTTCCTGCATCCATAGCTGCTGTAGCTCGTCTCCTAGCCTTGCTAGCGCCTGTACTGAGGGACCCTGTCTCTTTTGACCGTTTCTATCACGGAAGTGTGTCAGATCTAGGGAGTATTCACCCACGAGTCTTGGCGGCTGCCCATATTTCTGGTAGTCATATCAAAGGAAGTGAAGTGAAGATGCTATATCTTCACTTACAGCCATAATTCCTTCTTGATAGATTATATTTCCTCAATTATTCATCGCATATAGACCCAAATGAGGATCAAGATGGCAGCAGACTTATGTTGCACACCCCACATCGATGACAGTGGCTATGCAGTGGTCTGGTTGGTGGGCCTCTTCTTGGGCAGTCTGAGGTTTGGGGTCCTTACTGCCTGGGTCTTGGTACCGTTAGATCGGGCCAAAGAAAGGAAGAGGTATAGTAGTAGCGTTCGAGCTACTATGTCGCCAGATTTTTGCACTTTTTGTCAATACAATTAGGAATATCTGTTGTGTGGTCTCTGGGGGTGAGGCAGAATTGTTGCAGCCTTCTTGTCACGTTGGCGTGGTGGTGAAGAAGACGAGTGCCAAGCGGTGACAAGATGGACGTTCAATTGCAGCTCGTCTACTAATAATCTCTGTGTAGTAGGACTCGGAGTCAGTGAGGGTGCGTCTCTCTCATATGTGATACGACGTGGCGGTTGAGATATGTGCTTGCGAATGCGGCAGCCCTGTGCTGAAGGAGCATATTCGCTTGGGCGTGACAGCAGGAAAGGGAGCAAACCTGGTAGACGAGGGTTCTGTCTGAGGAAGACTCCTTATGGTGGGTTTGACCTATGATAACGAACATGGTCAATTCTTGTCAACATCAGTGTTGTCAGGCCTTCAGTCTCTCCAGACTCATGCACTCGCCTCTGCTTCTTGCTTCATGATGCTCATCGCAGATCTAGCTCTGCTGTCGTTGTTGCGACCTGCAACATTCGCGCGTCCGGTTCATACAGACTTTTAAAGAAGAGAAGATGGACAAAAGTCTGGCCCCCCTAGAGAACAAAGTTGTGTACCATGGGCTTTCGACAGTGGGCAACACTCTAGCGATGCCTGGGAATATGCAGTGCGCACACCAACCAATGCTGACGCATTGCCCGAGCTCGAAAGCAGGTGCGCATGGGGACGAGAAGTAGAGACAATCATGTGGAGGTGTCCTGCATACCGTTAGCTGATGCCACATGTCTGAGCCATTGTTCTCTCTGGGCAAGTCCCTGAACGCGAGCACAATCTCGATCTTGAGGCAAATTGGACGTTCTCTATGCGCCCGATTTCCAGCGACATCTGCCAGCCCCAACGACGCAGGCATCATATCCTTCAAAACAAGGCACACGTTGGGCTACATTCCGAAGGCAGAGGACCATTTTGCTGCGCCTCTTCCACGTAAGTATCGTGCAACAACTCAAAGTTGAAGTACAGTCGAGCATCAGGGGAAGCCTCGAAACCTCGCAACTCGAATTACAGACCTGCGAAGGTTCAGACTTTAGTCCAGCCTACATCGTGCGTCATGATTCCAAATCGACGAAATGCATGGCTGCCTCATGCTGAAGGGGCTGCTTCACTTGATGTTGGTTCCAGCATTGTTTCGGAGAGGTGTGTTGTACGTACATTCTCAGTCGTTATTGTCAAGCGATGGTGTTTGTGGAGGTGTGTGTTGGAGAGAACACATCTGAAACACGTTACAGATCTTGCCGTGCACGCGGTCATCGATGTCACAGGGCTGAGTGCGACGTCTCCGTACCATGCAGTAGTAAGTGTTTCATCTTATCAGGGCAAAGAGCATGTGCCCACGAAATCAGGAAATCCGTACGAAAGTGCAAATAAGAGACCTTACCTTGGTTTGGCAAGGCAGAATCAGGAAGTACTACCCGACCAGAATGATAGTGTAATTGGGCGCAAATCCATCAATCATAAGCAGTGCACACCCTTCCATGAGAGCCCATACACCTCGCTTATGCCTCGTTCTTTTTGGCAGACTAACGTGATGGGATGTACGTACATTGCAGCGTACCCTGAGATGACAATAGTGGGTTTAGGTCGCAAATTATGACCATATCGATATAGTGAAGATAGTCATTTCTTGAAGGAGCTTCTGGCCAACTGTTTAGCTGTAGTGGCTGCATAGGAAATACTTCCGACTCGTCCACCTTTTTGGCAGCAACATCGAACCATCGAGGGTTATGCAAATGCCATGCCCGGATGATAGAACCAACTTGACACACCGCCCTGTATGAGCCGTCGCAGATTCGAGTCTTAGGCATCAATGCATTGATCGACTATGCGTCGTGCATGTGGTTCATACTTCGGTGGTCTGGACTTGGGCAGCAGTATCTGCCTCTGGCCAGAGGCGGATTATACTTTCCTGGAATTTCCGCTTCCTTGCGAGTGTGGCCCGTTCCTCAGCATAGTTTCCGATGCCACGACCACCGAAGAGCTAGCAGGAGCTCTTTAGCTTCCAGATACTCATGGTTAGTTTGCTGCCCAAGCCCATGAGCACGAGCGAAGCAGCAAGGCCATCCGCCCACTTTGGATTGGGGACCCTGATCAGGCTGGTCAAGACAGTCTGCACAAAGTTGCATATGCCTCACTGGCTTTGGACACTCCTTGGACGTTTGCTGTCCGTCCGTCGCTGTATGTTTCTGAGCACTTCGACACAGTTCATGATTGTTGTACTGTGGAATCCGCTCCTGAGTCCTCTTCTCGTGTATGCAGTCTCTCTTGCGCCAGTCTCGCACATTTGAAAGTGTCTAGTCGACAGGCTGTCGAGTAGAGCAAATCGAGTCGGCTTTCCTCGTGGCACTCGCAGGTGCTCATCGGGGCAATCGTAAGGGTATAGCTGTGTTCAGTATCTGGTATCTCTTTAGAGAAACTCACAGTCCAGAACTAAATCGACTGAACTGAATCCTGATCGAGAGTGACCATATTGACCGACAGCCCTCGTTTCCCGTTTAACTCTGACTGACGACGGTATCTTATTTGATCGATAACCGTCGTACCTTGAGTGCAGTACACCAAGATGTATCGTATCTGAAATTTGTGCTTTGTGTCTCGTGATGTTTGCTCTTGCCATGATTTTTCGACGGGGCGCGCAGGAAGCCATCGACAACAGACATTTGAGTATGACGGGAGACTTGCCGTTCCCGCGAGAATTCTCTTTTACAAAACGGGTGCCTGGAAAAGTTCTTTTGGTGAGGGTCGTGATCTGGAAATGTTTCATACTCGGCAAACCCCGTATCCCGGAGCCGGTACCGTAAGGGTTGACAAGAATTGTGCACTACTTGTTTCCTGCAGAACGGCAGTTGTCAGTAATGGTTCGTGCATGATTGGAACTTTTGTAAGCGCACTTCTTGACCACTCGCCCAGGAACCATCCGAATCCTTCCCGGCCCTTACCACGTTTCGAGTTGGGGACCTGTTCAGAAACCCTCCGGAACCATTCCGTTTGGGCAATTGTACTGGCTTAACTTCATTCAAATCGAAGTCCAGCTGCACGAGGATGCTCTAAAGTCTTTCCCATTGGAACCAGCAGAGTATTCACAGATTTCGTATTCGCAGTTAAATTGAGATAACAAAGCCACTCGCACGCTTCTGATGCCTCCCCTGAAATACTTGCTTGTTGACTTTCGCGACTCGTACAGACCAGCAGGAAACACCGGTCAGTTCGCGCCTCTGAATGCAGGAAGCAATGTTCTCGCCGTAAAGTAGTAAATACGGTGTGGAAAGTGAGATGCATCCTGCCTAGGTAATTGCGACGCAATTGGCCAATATTACGGGCTGAAATGCACCCCCGGGTACTGACCATTGGTCTCCATTAGGTTGCGCCCGGTTGAAGTGGCCGTGAAATGCAACAGTCGGTTATTCTGTTGGTCCATTAGGAATAGCTGTGAGAGATTATGCTGAGCAAGGTCGCTTTCCGAGGAGGTGGACTGTGTCAGTTCAAGCTGAAAGAAGTTGATACCCTCAACATGGAAAGCAGTTGAAGACTCAGTCCGAGAACGCCGCCCGTTCTACGGCTTGAAACATCAAGAGCGGCGATAAACCTCTTCCTTGTGCTTCGTATACATCTTTTTCCTGGTGAATTATCGGCTTCTGTATGGCCGATGTCCAGAACAGACCATGAGTATTCAAGAGTTGCCTCATGAAAAGGCTAGTCCCCTCATCCGGGTCCTTCTTTCAAGGACCATGCTCTCGGTCTGCCTGTAAAGAGCATCAAGCTGCTCCATAGACAACGAATCCATCAGGATCTTCGCAACTTGTGTGCCTGCACTAACAAGTTGCAGCATATAGCGGTCGTCTCGGGGGATCCTGGGCTGCTGATCCCTGGTGTTCTGTCTAACGGCAATTGAGTTCTCTAGTGTTGTGACAAACTGTTTGATTTGATTATCGTAGAGCACACGGGCGGGGATTCTTCGCTTGGTGGCGAGCCTCTTTAACAAATAAGCCCATTCTGTCCATTCCCTATCGTCTGGTGTCCTGACTCTGGGCTTGTCTCGTTCAAGCGGTATTGGAAACTGGTACTTTGCGACAAAGTGGAAGGCGCAGCGGGACAGGGTGTCGTTGACTTGTTGCGTGATGTGGTCCTGCTCCTCAATGCTTAAATGGACAGGAAGAGTAGGTAAAGCTTGAGAACGTGCATGCTCTTGCTGTGGTACTGGTAAAGGGAGGAGTTGAGAAGGGCCGTCGAACTCGTCCTGATTGAACGGCCGTCTGCGCGTGTGGTACCGACCAGGTCTGCCCAATTCCCCCACGCGGCGATTCTGTGTCTCCACATCAAAATCACCGTATCCTTGACTTGTCGGCGACCCAGTCTGAAAGCTGTAACTATCCTGACTTTGTCGACGCAAAGCTATCTCATCCGGTATTGCCCTTGCGGGGAGAATGGGCTGTGACTGTTGGTACGCGCCCACGTCAGAAGTGAAGGCAGCAGTTTGAGATCCCAGAGATAACGGCCGGAATGGTTCGCCGACAGCCGAATGCGCAGGGAGACGAGAGCCCCCGTGTATCTGAGGAGGCAGCCTCTGCCGTAGACGCTCAACTTCTGCCGGACCTGGAGACATGCGGCCGGTAGTCTCACCAGCGAAAGGATCGTAAGTGGACGATTGCCATGGCGTAAATCTGCGTGCAATGGTATCAGTCAAGAATTGAGGTAACCAGAAGGCTAGGAGTACTTGCCTCTGATATGGATATTCGGTTGCTGTACGCGCAGATGAGGAGACATCTCCAGGCTTTGACGAGAAGAAATCTTCCTGGCCTGACATGCCAGCGTGATTGTCAGTCAGATCGAGGGCAAATCGTATCCCGGGCGCGAGACCAGAATGGTATGTAGGATGTAGATTGCTGATTGGAGATGTCAATGCCAACATGATCGATCCTGCCAGAATGATGTGCAGTCGGGACAGAAGGTGCACAAATATGTTGGCGCGATCGAAGAGTTGTGTCTTTCCAGTTGCTGATAGGTGAGATTTGTTTGGTCGATTGGCTCAAGAAGTTCGCATAGGGCACCCATCAAGGCTTGAGCAGTATAATAAGTGACAGCGGACTTCTGGCAAGATTCATGAGGTAGAATCCAACAGTGACAATGGCATTCAACCTGAAGCACGTGGAGGGGTCCCAAATGGTGGCTATGAGGTCGACGACCCATAACAACGGCTATTCTGGAAGTTGTGTGATTCCCACCCTCGTCCCATTTCGTAACCCCAGGCAGGCCTAGTTCTTACAGAAATATCCACCTACAGGGGCCGAAACGAGGATGCTTCAGGGCATGCTCGGCGGGTTGTTGCCGACTCCGTGGATGAGGCGTTGCGGCCCCTTCCAACGTTAGGTGATCTATAAAACTGACTTTGGTCCCTGACAAGTGGGACGCCACATGATTCCCACCCGCGTGGAAAGTTGGAACTCTGACAGATCATGGCGTTAAGCCATGTCTTCTGGAAGCTCGATTAATTTCTTTCTGTGGACTTCAAGGCCGAGGTGTACGCCACGTCGATGTTGGCACGTCATCAAGCCGATAGAACGAATGTTGCAGAGTAGACAGTACGATCAAGGCACTTGATGCCCGAACGGTCGTTGGATGGTCCAATACTTCCCTACAGCGACCAAAGTGCAGGTACTCGAAGTCACGAGCTTTCGTGGATGGATCGCCACAAGATAAAGTTCCGAGAGAACAGGCGAATCTGCTGACAATGATTCTGCCCACAGTCATTGTTGTCAGTTGGGCTGCTCGAACACGGTGGGTAGCCGTTTGAAGACTGCAGCGGCGATCACTATTGTCAGGGCGGAGATCCACCCATGGTGACGAACACACGAGGCGCGAGTAGCGAGCCTTACAACCAACAGACAGTACGGAGAAATCAACCTCAAGTCAAGTCTGCCGAGACTTCCATTGGGCCAACTCTGCAAACCCTGCTTTATGCGCGACTTCAGACATAACAATTTCCAAGCGAGAAGGAAAAGGGTAAATGAACCACTGCCTCCAGCATTGGGGCAGGGGGCATTGCCACCACTGCGGGAACCTACCATAGTACTCACAAAGTAAAAGCAGCCACACACTAGGAGAAGCCATGGACAAATGTAAGGTTAGTTATATGTCGGTAGGACAGAAGACGAGTTAGTCAGTCAGAGCCGGAAATAACACGAAAATAAACCTGCAGGGACAGCGGACACCACTGCTGCCCAAGTCTATGCTCGGCGTCGCCCTGCTGCCAATCATGGTTATGATCGACACCAAGTGGGTGAGGCGAACGACAGAACCCATTTTGAGGCGTAGGGTTTCGAGACATCGAAAAGTGGCGGGCTGCGGCCCAAAACGGTACCCTGGTTGGCGTACAGACATGGAAGATCCTGCCACTGACTGACAGTCTGCCATCTCGAAAAGACGGGGGATGGTGGGAAGCCGCAGTGGATCCCACTATACTATGTGGTTCTGTGGCGGTTTGACCAACGGATGCCTAAGATGAACCCAATCGGCTTGAAATGAGTTTCGGGGAGAGGTTTAGGGCGTTCTCGCACGGAGATTCCTCGTAGGGCAGGAAAAGCCAAAAAGCTGTCCAGCGCACGCAGTACGTTCACAGCCAAGGCAAACCATTTGATCTGTAACACGCCACGGTAAAAGGCGAGTCTGGTAGGTGGAAAGTGTCGGGCAGTACGACATAGGCTGGGCGGTTCACCAAACCAAGGAGACGGTATCATATCTTGGTATCAAAGCATGGCCTGACAATCTCCCAGACGACCGTGAAGAGAAAAAGCAAGAACAGAGGATGAGAGATGGAAGATGGAGAAAAAAGGGGTAATGTGGTGTTAGAACTAAGCTCGCCTAAGCCTCGTCAAAGGACCGCCAAGGCGACGAGGCTACGTCATTTACCTAGGTAAGTATGGTGACCCCTGAACATGAGACGAACTTCATCTTAAGGTCTTTCTTTCTTCCTTCTATCGATCCTCCTTGACCGAAGACCTCGTTCATAAGTCTAGTACTCAGCCACTCAGCGCACGTACGTATGTGTTCAAGTGTTGCGAAATTTCTCACACGAAGTACACGCACACCTCGGCTAAGTATTTGTATTTTGTACACATCACGCATCTGAAGCATGCACAAAACGATTCAAACGCCATGGATGGCATGGCACCTGGCCTGATCTTTCCTCGATCACGATTCCTCATGACAGCTTCAGGCGCGCAGATATGGAATTGCACAGAGTCCTGGATACTTTCCCCCAAGATTACCTGCGATGCTTTTGGCGACGTAACACGAGAAGCAATTCGGCCAGGATCTCCTCAGCCCTTCCCGTTGGAGAAGTCTAAGAGTCTATGGAACAATGGCACCTCTTCTAGAACAACTCAAGATGAGAGTCTTGAATAGTCTTTGCACTAGAGAGTGACCTTTTGTCCTACCGCGGCGCTATCGCCTTCGTGGCACCCGGCCGTCCCCCACCTTTTGCGATACTGTCGCAGGGGCAGGGGCTAACCAATACCCGGTACAGGGCTCTCTCGAAATAGGAACAGCTCGCAAGCGAGATGTGAATGACAGACTGGATAAGTTATCCAGCCTCGCTGCGATCTTTCGACGAGTCATTGAGCAAGTTTAAGGGATACGTCTCGTAAGCCGACGCGCATAGTCCTGCAATCGTTAACCAACAGGTCTGAGAAATGCTCTTCAGGCGCCAGATGCCATAGAAAGCACTCACTTGACAGCTTCTCTTGAGGCCTACTTCGAGGCCTACTCGCGGCTGATAGCCGAGGATTCTTCGAGCCTTGTCCCCGCTAGCATATCGCATTGCACAAGCGTCCATGACGCTCCCCGGTGACAGGGTTGTCGGGGTCCCGGAGATTCGGGAGAACCCTTCCGCTATCAAGCCTAGTACCCACGCCAATCTTTCTGGAATTTGCACTTCGAAGGATGGTGGAAAGTGATCAAATTCTTTCCAGACCCCCAGGCTAAACTCTCGAAACGAGATCGGTTCGTTGTTCTGAATGAAAAAGATCTCACCTGCTGCGCTTCCAGCCACGATGCCACCATGGTCGGAATGATTGCCAAAACCATGCCTTCCAGCGATGTCACCAAATTTCTGCCCTGACCGGGTACGCAGCAGGTTTTCGAGTGCGAGTACGTGGGCATCAGCGATGTTGCCCACATAAACAGTATCCCAGAGATTACTGCCGTCGCCAATCTTGTACCGGCTCTCGCCTTTCGCTATGCAGGCGTGGATGGGAGGGATCAGTTGTTCGTCACCTTCTCCAAATACGACAGCCGGTCTCAGAACACATGTCAACAGGGGCCAGGCGCGACTGCCCTCTGTGTCTTCCATCAGGGTATGGTCAATTGCGCCATTCTCCGACCGACTTCCTGCTGTGTTCGCTGCGATCACAATTCCTTCCGCTTCGACCTTACTTTCGCCATATATCGAATTTCTTTCACCGACAGGCCATCTCTCGTCGATGTTGGCATATGGTTTGCTCATATCGTCTGTCACTGCGCAACAACTACTCGTGTAAACGAGTGCCCTGCAACCAAGCTTCTTGGCTGCTCCTACCACATGCTTTGTACCATTGACATTTATGTTCTTGACCACTGGCTCTAATCGGCGTGAATATCTGTCAATTGACAAAAATCAGTTAAGTGTACGGAGCGCGCGATCGTTGTCCTTGATCACATCTCTTCGACAACCATTCCTCATCAAGAATCCCAATGGGGAAATGTCTGACGTGTCCAGCAGGAAGCGCTGCCCGACATGGTCATGGACAGCATGAAATAATGGACCTACCTCTCACTCAAGGACGGCACGATGCCTGCCGCGTGGACGACAGCCCCAGGTCTGGCCTGCTCGAACGCCCTTAACACGTCCATTTCTTCCGTGATATCTGCCTTGAAATACTCATATGTGCAGCCCCTCAGCAAATCGAAATCGTCATCAGAAGGCTCTTGCGCTTCTTTTCGCCCAGACCTAGGATCCTCTAACATGTCAAGGATGCTCACGGTCCATTTCGGATGCTGCTCCTGCAACGCTCGAACGATTGCCGACCCAATGAAGCCTAGACCGCCAGTCACCAAGACCTTGATGTCTTCTGAGATTTCGTTCGCCATTGCAATTGCCTAGACATATGAATGCGCCGCCGCCTTTCCTGCGTGTGCCTGGATGACTTCAAAGATGGATGGATTGTTTACTGCACCGCGCTCGCAAGTGAGTCGCACGGCTTATTACGCCAGGTCTTCGACGCTCGTTATCGCAAGTCATGACGAAGGTCATGAGAGCAATTACTTCAGGATTCAAGGCGCAAGCCAGGTACATATTCTGAACAGAATAGCGATAAGTTGAACAGCGGACGAAATCGGCCTCATATCCGGCGAGTAACAAGCCGCTTTTGTTCAATGTCTGACCAGTGTAGCCTCCTTGAAGAGACCGAAATAGGTCGATCAAAGGCGGAGATATTCCCTGTCATGTCCGGAATAATGGGCAGCCGAATGGGGTCATGATGCTAGGAAGTACGCATCATCATTTCTGGCAACAAATGTCTGTACCATTCTAGACGGCGGAAAAGAACTACGTAGCCAATGATCGATCCCGGCGGAACGATGCTCAGGATACGGGACATCAATGCCTTGGGGGTCACGATTGCACGAATAAAATGCGGTATACTAATCATGTCGAAGTCAAAGCTAGCACGGAGACAAACGCCTCGACATATAATGAGAAGGCCCTAAGACGATTCAATCGGTATATAGTGTATATAGATGGCCTTTTCAATCACTCAGACTTCGTGCAGCAATCACTATCGGATAACCCAGTCATGTCAGTTATATGAAATGCCCGCTGTGATAGTCCTGCGCATGCAGGCCACCTGCTCCATGTACACCGGTCGGATAAGGATAGTATGACTGCTGTGCATCGCCCGGTCCAGCCCCATGTACGCCAGGCTGTGGAAAATATGGGTGCTGCTGACCGTCACTTGGTCCAGGTAGGTCACCATCTATATCTTCGTCGTCGACCCCGAAGAACTGCTCATGCAGATTCGGATCCTGGACTTGGTCCCGTCCAGGCCCGACGTCTTCTCTTTGGAAACTGCTTCTCAATGGAGTGCCCTCCTTTGATCCTCCCGCCGACACGGCTAGTTGTTGTTGAGCACTCCATCTTGCCAAATCGGATTTCTGACCCGGGGTCATCTGGTGACTCCATCTACCCTGCGCGAGACCTGGGCTTGGTTGTTTCGCGTGAGCGTTGTGGCCACTGAGGGTCGGGCTGATGGCGTGCATTTCTGTCGGCGGCTCCGCACGACCCCATGATTCGACAGCCTTGGCTGACATGGGACTGTACAAGCTGTCGGCGTGCTGGTCGTGGACTCGACTCATGCGCCCTGTCTGGGCCATGCGTTGTCGTCGCTTGCGTGTATATGCGAAGCAGCACCAGCATGTGCTTCCGAGGAGCAGGATGCCGCCTACGATGGGCAGGGCGATGGCTAGAGGGAGTTTCCAGCCGTGCAGTCCGGAGGTTGAGGAGTTGCTGTTGGATGCGCTGGTGGGACCGGCTATTAGTGTTTCGTTGAAGATCGAGGCTGCGTCGGGGAAGAACGGCTTGCCGGCCACGGGAGGCTGTCGGCAAGCAATGTGCAGTGCTTGTAGGACTGTACCCGGTTAGTCAGATGAGCCTGATGGTATCACATTCTTGGGGAGCGTCACAGTTGGCGAGGAATAATTGTTGTGGGATATAGCTGTAGCATAATGCACATCTGTTGATAGATGTGTCGTCAAAGTCTCCTACATTGCAGAACGCTTCGCCAGGCTGACTCGTGGAGGTGTCGTTCGTGATCTCGTAGCCGATGGTCTCGTTCAGCACGGCGCAGCTGACCTGGCATGGACTGCTGATGGAGATCCGGTCTTCGGGAATCGCAAACATGCATCCTGCGAGAGTGTAGCGAAGAGCCACTGGACATTGTTCAGCGCTTTGCCATTGACCATGAAGATGACGTTATTATGAAAAAGAGAGCATACGCAGTCCCCACTCTACGTCCGTCTCATTCTTGCTTGTGTCTATGGCCGTGCTGTTCAACTGACATGCCACACATTGGTTGAAGGCTCGGCCCTGCTGGAGAGACTGGTAGTCTGCATCGAGGCAGACGACATCGTCCGAGAGGCTGCCAGCGCTGGCGCAGACGGATTCGCAAGGCGACCCGGTAACAGACTGGAGGGCGGTGGTGACACGAACGAGGAGGGTGAGCAGGCAGATCAGGACGGCGTGGAGGGACAGATGAGGAGCGGTCACATTGCGGTCATGCCAGCCGGCCATAGCATGCCATCGACCGTCAGGGCGGCCTCATATGAAACGGGCGCAGGCGCGCAAAGGCAACGCAAGGTTTGGGTTTGAAAATAGGCTCAGGCAAAGAAGGATTCTTGCGGCTTGTATTTCATCCAATTTGAAGGCCCGACGTAGAGTGCAATATGTGATTGGAAACAGCGACGAATGGGTGCTAGCAACACTGTCATCTGGGGGCGGTACCTCCCTTAGACGCATGGGACCGCATGGCCAGTTGGCAGAGACAAGTGAGAAAGCCGTGTACTCTCCCTGGGGCTTGCATCTTGCCGGGCGGTTAGAGAGGCCAGTAAGCAGAGGTGAACGAGGTTGGTGTAAGGAGGGGTCATTGGTGCCAGGGTGTGATAGAGGTTGTGAGTGGTGGGAGATTTCTCGATCCAAAGCCCACGCTAGGCTAGGCGGGACACGACGGGCCGGATGAAGCCTGTCATCTTAAGACCTTTCACAGCGCTGTCATCTCCGTCATCGTCTTGCATGTTTGTGATGGGTTTCTAGACGGCATTGATAGTGCAATGGACGACACTCCAAGTTCGACCTATACGTTCGCTTCTGTACCTTGCGGCTTCATCAGCGCGAGAGATATATGTTCCATGATGTCTGAGGTGCTGTGATAATGCGTGCCTCTCCTCGAGCCGCCATAAGCTGCATTCTCACCTCGAAGAGTGCTGCAACAGTGACGTTCTTTTAGCATTTTATTGATACATGGCTTAGAGCAGGCCTGTCTTATGAGTAGGTCAAAGCCGCACACGTACGTATACATATATACAAATCCGAAGCGTCTTTCTCATGCTTGTTGAGCGCAAAGAATCTCCGGGGCGTGGTGGCTCCTGCTGCGAGATAGTGGGTTCTAGATATTGACACTTTACCGCGCAGACATGCCACTTGCTGGTGATGATGTGCAGAGAGCTCAATCCATCACCGTTGAGCAAGTCGCCTCGATAGTGGAGGGCAGCACGGTGTTGCGAGAGCGTCCCTGGTGCGTTGATTTGCGAGAGCCGGTACGCCCCCAGCACAATGAGTCAGTAGCCTGCGGCGGACGTTCTCTGTCGATGGAAGTCCGCCTGCCCTGGTGAGTCTCATTTGTTTCGGTTCAGCTGTTCAACTCTCTTTTCAAAAGCAGAAATCATGGTGCTCGCAACCTTGCCTTCCACCTGTCCAAACATCTGATCATATACTGGGTTTCGAAACTTGACCGTCACGTCCAGTTTGACGGATGCTTGATTCTCCTTGCCACCATCCAGAGGCGATATCTGCCATTTTGTGCTCAAGACTTCAAAAAGGCCACCGCTGTTTGCCTCGCTGCTTCTGGCCTCCACGATTCCTTTCTCGGGGTCGCAACGAACAACACTGTCCCAGTCTTCCTCAAGACCGAACTTTGCATATCCGACCTTTAGTCTGGCTCGGGTTGGGTATCCTTCTGAATCCCTCGAGGTGACATTTGAAGCAATAGTAAAGGGCAGAAATGTTGGATAGCCAGAAACATCGGAAACAGCTTTGAAAATCACCCTAGGCGGATATGGGAGTGTCTTTGTATGTGTCAAGCTCCGTTCTGGGCAAGGTCCCAGTGCCTGTGAGAGTAGAGAGTCGAAGATAGTCCTTGTTTGGAACGTCGTGCTGGGATTTCCTCTGAATATTGATTCCCCAACAGCAGTCAAGGATCGACTCGAGCATCGTAAGCTCGCTGAGTGTTGTAAAATCATCTTTTATCGATCCAAGCACACCGATGCACCGCCAATGCGCCACAATCAAAATAAAAAAGAGACCATGTACTGCACCAACAACATTTAAACAGATCTTTGTTTGTGAAGGAGCGATCATAGGTTTTGCCATGACGTTTTGTATTGACAAAAGTCGCTCGAGTCAAGAAGTTTTGATATTGTTTACGGCTTGACTCGTGACATCTGCTCCTGTTATTCAACTGACCACCTATTTCACCTGCACTTTTCCATATTCTACGAGGACTCACGTTGTCGCGCTTCACGGTCCATTACCAGCCAGCGATCGGGTCATCAAAGTCCCCGATGGACTTGTAACAGAATGACTGCGGTGTCAGAAGAATCTGCGGCCATGGACGCCGCGCCGTCCACCCCTGCGCGCAGGGTCACGGTCGCAACCAAAGAACCTCCTCCGGAGAAACCTGAAGCAGTCAGCCTCAGAACAAAGATTGTCCTGTCTTTCTGGGCGGTAATACTACTGCTGGGTCTCCCAACATGGTGGCAAACGACTTCAATATACAGAGCCAGTCTGCCTTTGCAGGACATGCTCAACTGGGCAGATGGGACGGTACGCAAGGCCACGTTTAATGCCCACGACAGTACTGAATATCATCTATAGAACACACCCACCGCAATCCCGCTGAATATTTGGATCCAGTCTTCGGGTTTATCCTGTCCAGAAGCGCAGACCCTCGTACGAGACACCCAACGAGCCCTCGACGATCTAAATGAATACCCGACGTTGCATCAGCGACTGCATCTGGTAGATGTGAAACCGAGCAACAACGAGGCTGGCCATGGCAAAGAACATTCAAAAGAGGGGTGTGGCGTAGATCCATTGAAGGCAGGCCTTGGGGATCCTGCCCTGAAGATAACTCTCGAGTCATCAGCGAATGCTTTTGTCTTCGACTTGGACACAATCGCAGCGTCGGCCGCTGTACGTGTGCCAGCCATTTCAGGAAACAACGGCGCCAAACAGCTTGCGGGGACGCTGCACGATCTTTTCAGGCACGAGCAAATCGCAGCAGCTCTTCAAACTGTTTTCCTCGCAGGCAATAGCAATAACGCCCAAGCCTTCCTCAGGTCGCAACCCTACGACCTTGTCGATAGTATCGAAAAGCAGATCAGTCGTGCCTACAAGTCGGCGCCGGAATTCCACCTGACCTTTTCTCTCTTGACAGCGAGCGGGGCTCCATCCAGTTGGGACATTCAAGAGACGTTAAACGATAACATCAAACCATTGATCCAAGCGTTGTCGAGTACCGCCAAGATCGATATCACAACACAAGTTCAGCTTTACTCAGCATACTCCCCAGCAGTCCACCCATTGGTTCAGGAAGGACGGGAGGGCATGTTGTTGCAACAGAACGATCTGACGGCCTTTGTCAACGCGGCAGAGTGGCCTCTTGCACCTTCTATCGGAGATGGCCCTACCGTGAACTTCGTTCTTTACGTACCGACTGTCGACCAGATTCCGCTGAGGATTGCAGACAACGACGAGACTTCATGGCTGATTCCGCAATGGGGTGGCATCCATATCTTCAACCCTCCACTGCTTTCCGAGGCCGTGTCCGATATCTCGACTCTGCCAGCGCACCTGTCCAAGAACATGCTTCAACAACCATTTCAAACGTTCGCTTCGCAGTTACTTTCCTTACTGGGCGTGCTACAATCAGAGTCATCTGGGAGGACCCTACCACTCCAACTTCGTCTTGATGCATACAAACGCTTCTCTGCACTCACGCTGTATCTCAAAGCCGCATCGAGCTTAGGTTCCTTGTCGCGCTTGGCCCAACATCTCAGCAACATTCCTATCCCCAGGCACGTGGCTCAATTAGTCGACGACTCTATCGGCAACTTGACCGCTTGCAGCCACGCTTTTCAGGAAAGCAGGTGGGATTCTGCTCTTGCTCATGCCAAAACTGCCTATGCCGACAGTGAAAAGGCCTTCTTCGATAAGTCCATGGTTGGCCAGGTTTACTTTCCCGATGAACACAAGGTTGCTGTATACCTACCTCTGCTCGGCCCAATCGGTGTGCCTCTCCTTGTCGGTCTCCTCAAAGAGATCAAGAGATTTATCTCCAAGAAAAAAGCTTTTGCACAGTGAGGCTAAAATTCACGACAAGCACATTTCTCATCGGATTACACATCCAGTGTCACACATCAATCACTACACAGCTTCCATTTACAGCTATCGTTCAACAACTGGGATGCTGTCTATCTGTGCATTTGGTCTACGCAAGTGACCTTGTCGAGCTGCTTATTTAGGCAGCTCGATATGGTATTCGTCCACTTTAAAGTGGGGGATATCAGGACTGATCTCCGCACTACAGGCCACACTCTGCAACATCAACCACCTCATCCCGGTCATTCAGGAACGCACCAAGCAATCGAGCAATCAGATTTCGAGATGACTTTCTGAACTGTTCGCTGCATCATAGTGGGATGGCCTTATCGACAAGGCACACTGCGGGGCACGTCATGAACACAGACTAAAAACGCAACAATATCATCGAGCTACCATGCGAAAAAATCTATATAATGTCCCATCGAGGCAGAAGAAGGGCACCTTATCCTTCTGGCTCTTCTGTCTGTCTATCCTCGCGTCCACACCGCTTATCGTGATGGCAACCACCTCGCTTTTGCGCCTGTTGGCGGTGACATGGTTTGCTCTGAGCGGTCTGGTGCACAGTCAAGAATGTTTCAACTCGAGTACCGCAATCAATGGAAAGGCATTTCCCCCATTGATTGAAGCTACGACGGAGGATTTGATCACTGGCTTGGAATCAGGTCTCTTTACCAGTGTTGACCTCGTGACGGTAGGCCATATACCTGCGAGTGCAAACAGCGTCCATGTCTAACACTCTTATCAGGCATACATTGATCGCATTATGGAAGTCAATGGGACATTACGCATGGTCACTCAACTCAATCCTGATGCTCTGTCCATAGCTGCTGAACTCGATGCCATGAGAGCCAATGGTACCGTTTTGGGGCCTTTACATGGAATACCCATCCTCATCAAGAACAACATTGCCACCGCTGACAAAATGGACAACACTGCTGGATCCTATGCTTTGGCTGGAGCCAAGGTTCCCCGAGATAGCACAATGGCGGCAAAACTTCGTCAAGCCGGTGCAGTGATTTTGGGAAAGACCAATTTGTCACAATGGGCAAACTATCGGAGTTTTAATACCAGCAACGGGTGGTCTGCCATTGGAGGTCAGACCCAAGGCGCGTATTATCCAGAACAAGATCCATCAGGCTCATCTTCTGGTAGTGCTGTGTCGAGCTCTTTGGGACTTGCACTGGCTACTTTGGGTACCGAAACCGACGGTTCCATTCTGTCACCCTCAGATGTCAACAATCTTGTTGGCATCAAACCGACCGTAGGTTTGACATCGAGATATCTGGTCATTCCTATATCCGAGCACCAGGACACCATCGGTCCAATAGCGCGAACCGTCAAGGACGCAGCATATGTCCTTTCGGCCATTGCCGGAAAGTCTCCCTATGACAACTATACGAATGCAAGTCCATTCAACTCGACCCCAGATTATGTAGCGGCCTGCAACTTTTCCGCCTTGAGTGGAAAACGAATCGGCGTCCCTAGAAACCTGATCGACCTGGTGGCAGACCCTACAGCTGCACCAATTGTGCCAGTCTTCAATGCAGCGCTTGATATCCTGCGAGCTGCTGGAGCTACCATCGTCGAAAACACCAACTTTACTGGTTACGAGGCTCTCAACGAGGGCAACTACAGCAACATTGTCCTTGAGGCCGATTTCATCACTGATTTACCCAAGGAATATCTGTCGAAGCTCACGTACAATCCCAACAACATAACTTCAGTCGCGGATTTGGACAACTTCACACACTCATTCCCTCTTGAGGATTGGCCTGAAAGAGACACTTTGATCTGGGATGGGGCGTTGGAGCTTGGATACGGCAACACTTCACCGGAATTCTGGTCGAATTACACCATGAACACCTACTTGGCCGGTCCTTTGGGCGTGACTGGAGCTCTGGCGAACTACTCTCTTGATGCTCTTGTCCTACCCACCGAATTCTCACCAAACTTTCCCGCCTTGATCGGTTCACCCGTCGTGACTGTCCCGCTAGGCGCGTACCCTGCAAACACGACAGTGCTGCGGAACGGATTTGGAAACTTGAACGCTATCTTCCCCAATCTACCGTTCGGAATCAGCTTCATGGGACCACATTTCAGTGAAGAGCTGCTGATTGGCCTGGCGTACGCTTTCGAGCAGAGAACTTTGGTTCGCAACACTATAACACCATACCTTGAGGCGACAACCGAATTGGTTGATGTGGTCAACAAGAAGCGAAAACTTAGTAAGGCATAAGTCAATGTTGGACGTCCCGGGAGGTTCATGACAGGGTAATTAATGACCAGAGAGAATCGTTGAAGTCGACTTTCATCCGGCTACATAAGACAACGAGAAACCTAGAACCTCAAAACTTGCTTATATCCTGTGTTCTAATCATTCTGCTCTGTGGTACGAAATACTGTGTCGAGGCACAATCTAGAGTCGCAAAAGCGGATAACCGAGGGATATGCGCCCTGGAGGGTCGGTCAGAGGGCAACCAACCGGAGTGCAGAGGATATCGGCTGACCTTTGGCTGGCCTATTCTGGAATACCGGACAACGCTGGAGGAGAGTCATTATGGGGGACCCTCACTTACCTTCAGGTACTTTGATGAACCTCGGTTCAGTTCAGTAACCAACGACCAAAACACCCGCCCACCACTTGCCAGTAGTGCTCAAATAAATCATGATGACCCTCCACGCGCATCCCGGGGTCTCCATACTCCTTCAGAGGGTCAGTGGTCGCCGTTCCTGTGTCCCTGCTTGAACCTCACAGTACTGGTTGTTTGCTTCATCGTCTCCTCCTGGTGTTCTGATCTACTCACTGTAGTGTACTGCAATACCTTCATTCCGCATCAGCTAGACAGCCCATCCCACCCCTATACGACGTACGTCTGTATACTGCGCATCGCTGTATAGCCGGCAGCTTTCTCATCATGTCCCCAACCCTCACCCGCGCCGAAGTGGCCAAGAACAACACCGACGATTCATTATGGTGCATCATCGACCACAAAGTCTACGACCTAACCGAGTTTGTTGACGCCCACCCCGGCGGGAGTGTGGTGCTGCAACAATTCGCCGGCCAAGACGCCACAGACGCCTTCTACAATCTCCACCGTCAAGAAGTCCTACAAAAGTACGCGACTTTGTGTATCGGTGTCCTCGACGGTGAAAAGCCCGAGGTCATCGACCCGAAGCCGGGCGATATAAGTTCCGTACCCTACGCGGAACCGCTATGGCTGGCACCAGCTTTCAAGAGTCCCTATTACAATGAAAGTCATCATAAATTGCAGCGGGCGTTTCGCAAGTTTGTCGACGCAGATGTCTACCCGGAAGCACAAGCCAAGGAGGCGGATGGGACGTATATAAGTCAAGAGCTGGTTGATAAGATGGCGGCGAATAACAGTTTGGCTATGCGCTTGGGGCCCGGGAAACACCTTGCTGGCCTAACATTGCCTGGCGGCGTCAAGGGTGAAGAATTCGACTATTTCCACGATTTGATCGTTGCGCAGGAACTCTCGCGGGCGGTGGCACGAGGGTTCCAGGATGGCAATATGGCCGGGATGATGATCAGTTTGACGGCGGTGAGACAGTGGGCTAACGACTCCAGTTTGAGGGATAGAGTGACGGAGGAGTGTTTGACTGGCAAAAAATTCATGTGTCTGGCAATCACTGAAGCTTTTGCCGGATCGGACGTCGCTGGCATAAGGACGACGGCGACCAAGACTGAGGATGGGAAACATTATATCATTTCTGGTAAGATTCCTTACCTTCTTCTGTTTGGCGGGTGATGATATGCTGACGCTGGATGTGCAGGTACGAAGAAATGGATCACAAACGGCATGTTCGCCGACTACTTTGTCACCGGGTGCAAGACAGAGAAGGGGTTTTCGGTGATATTGGTGCCCAGGGACGACAACATCGAGACGAAGCGGATCAAGACAAGCTATTCAACGGCCGCTGCAACCACATTCATCCAATTTGACCATGTCAAGGTGCCGGTAAATCATCTACTGGGCAAAGAGGACCAGGGCTTTATCGTGATCATGAGCAACTTCAATCACGAAAGGTGGGCGATGGCGTGCTCTGTGATTCGATGGATGCGCACCGTCGTCGAAGAGTGTCTGAAATGGACGCACCAGCGCGTCGTGTTCGGAAAACCACTCATCACCCAGCCCGTTATCCGGCAGAAATTGGCCAAGATGATATCCCTGACTGAAGCGTGCCAGTCGTGGTTGGAGAGTATCACCTACCAGATGAACCAGATGGACTATGCGCAGCAGTCGAAACTGCTGGGTGGGCCGATCGGGTTGTTGAAGTCGTATGCGACGAGGTGTGCGCATGATGTCGCGGATGATGCTGTCAATATCTTTGGTGGGAGAGGTATCACGCAGAGTGGCATGGGAAGGGTGGTCGAGCAGTTCCATCGGACGTACAAGTTTGATGCTATACTCGGTGGCGCAGAGGAGGTGCTTGCTGATTTGGGTGTGAGACAGGCCATGAAGCAGATGCCAAAAGCGATGCTGTGATATTTGTCATGGAGAGTGACGATTTGTACAATGAATGCACATGTTTTGCAGCCTTGTGGCGGTCGACGGAAGTCACTGCTGGTTACAGTAAGATTTGTGGCATAGAATTCGGTGTAGATGCACGACTGGTTACGGTCAGCTGAGGTAAGCACGGCTGAGGTACAGTAGATGCAGGTGCCATGATGTGCCGTCCCAAGTAGGTGATACAGTATAGAGTAGTAGTACTCGACTTAGGTTGCGATGGACATACCCTGCAAAAGCGTGCGGTCCTTCTGTAGGTACAATTTCATGCTCACGGAAAATTGGATGTCTGGTGGTGGGCAAGACAATCATCAGGCCCCCAAGGAGACCAGCTGAACATGGTCACACAAACCATGACCCTGTGTATTTGCCCGGCTTAGGTAAGTTGGGACGACATGTGTCCAAGGGAAGGCGTACGAATAACGAAAAGGAAAAGTCCAGCGTATCTCCTGTTGAGGACTTGTTCTTGAGCTGACACTTCTGGCTTCTCCATCGTATCATCGTGAATAAGGCTGGCTCTCCTGGAATGTCTGTCACAGCGTCGTGCTGGAAGTCAAGCAGGGCCCATCCGGTTCGCTCAACGTTGTTGGCCATCTACAACCAAGCCACTGCCTTGTTTGCAACAGTCGGGTGCTTTCGTGCCTCCTTCTAGTCCGCGGAACCATGGGGCTGTCTCGAGATGCGGAGCCATTGTCGTTGCCGGTCGTGAGCCAGGAAGCATTCTTGAACAGTGGCATCGAACAGCAGGGACGACAGAACAACGATCAAGGTTCCTGCCATCAACCACTGAATGAGGGAGGAAGCACTCATAAAACTCCGAATACAGAGCTTCTCAGCCTGCCATTTGAACTCCAACAGAGGATTCTGGAATATGTCTTCGCAATGCCCTCCCCTGGAAGTTTTCCGCCACGCAGATCCCCGATCGCTTATGGCAAGACGCCATCTTCTTCCAGGTATCTGACCACACTTCTTCTCTGCCGCCAGATTTACACACAGGCTCGCCTGCTGCCGTTTCGGACGAATCTTGTTAGCTGCCCGGCAACCTTTGGGTCCAACACAACGACAACGAGACGATTCCTAAAGTCGCTGCGGAGTTTCCAACGAAACGCCATCAGAAGACTGGAGCTGACCCTTCTGGCGAGCATGGTAGACACGTGGTCCTTAATATCGATCCTCAGACTGCTAGCCAATGCCGCTGGCGAAAACGAGCTCCAAGATACACCGTCGGGTCCAACTCCAGCGCAGGACCAAGAAAGTGCGAGAGAAACTCCCCTGCAAGCTCTCACCATCAACATCGGCACCCGAGACCTGTACTTGGCACAGGCAGAATCTCTGACCGGACTGACGCATATGCTGGATCTATCAACTTCTGCTCCGACGTATTTATCCTGCGCCTCGTGGGTAATTGATGGACTGGTGCATCTGAAAGCCCTTAGAAGATTGACCATCGTTGTGGAAATGAGTGGTGCTGTTGCACAGAGACTGGAGCCGTCAAGAAAAGATCAATTCCAGCAAGTCTTGGACAGCTCTTTGCCCTGGGTCTCTGAGATCAGAGTCGAGTGGAAAGTAGTGGACGACCGAGTGGCGAAGACAGATGACAATGACTGGGTCGATTCTTCGTGGTCCCATGAGCAGGCGGCAATGCTGTTCACCCATGGCGCATCTCATGATGCATACGACGAAGATCTTGTCGCGGAGGAGGCTAGAGTAGTAGCTGGCTAAATCGTTAGGTCGTTGATGAAGTCCATATGAGGATCGAAAAACAATCCATAATAAGTGCAACAGGACCAGTGCCTCGCAACGAGACCGGGCAGGCGCGAAGCATCCTGATGGCTGAAAGGGTTTCGCGGCATTGTTCTTGTCGGTGGTCTTTCTTGACCATTTCAGGTCATTGTAACCAAATGACTCTGATCCTCACTACAGCGTGCTGACCTCGATGGCTGTCCATTATCTTCCAGTCGTCATGTACTTGTGGACAATTTGGAGCGGCATCTGAGTTGTAATCACTGGTCTGCTCAAAGTCCCGGTAGCAGCGGCAGAAGTTGCCTCAGCCTTTGGTTCCTCGACGTCCATCTTGTCTTCGTCCTCTTCATCATCGTCTTCGTCGAAGTCATCTCCGTCCTCGTCGATATCTTCATCAGCCTCATCGTCGGGAGGCTCCACCAGTTCTCTGCGGAGGCCAGTGACCACGTTTTCAATGCCATTTTGCATCTCCTGAAAAGTGTAGTCGGCACCCCACTTCTGTTTCCGTGCTTCCTTGTTAGCAGCACCTGGTGCCCACTGCCAGAGTGCGCTACGATCTTCATCAGAAAGTCCTGAGTGGGAACCCTTGCTCTGGTCGGCGGAAATTCTTTGCCCTTCTTCAATCCATTCTTCGACACTGGGTTCCAGCTTTGTACGTAACAGCGTTTCGAGAATGAAAGCCCGTTCCTTGCCCGGAAATTGTGGAAGGGGGAACGCGACCGTAGATTGAAATAGTTCTCGGTATTCTGAGAGTTGCGCGACGATCTGCTGCATATTATTCGAGACGAGGTTAGCGTGAGTCTGCAAAGTTGGCCTGTCGATGGTCAGTCAACGCTTCTGCTTTGGAAGTTCTGGTAATGTGGGCTCAAATACCATGATGGTAGTTGGCTCTGGGTTGTGATCTCTGATCGAAGCGCGACCAACGAAGTGTGAAGAGCCAACAGACGCAGGCGTGCTTGATCAAGAGACTTGACCTGGTCAGTACTCAAAGCGGCCATCGTGAAAACTGTCAACAGACACGATGCCGTAACATGTCGTGTTGTACGTGAAAAGATATTCAGGTGTTTTACTGCATATGCGGGGGAAATGTGTTTATCAAATGCAGGTCAGTCAGTACTGAGTAGTGATGGACGATCTCCGCAATTAACTTACCTCAAGCTCCAATTCGTAACGTCCCTTCTACATCACCAGCACAGAAGATCTCGATGTTGTCTTGCCATCACTCGCCTTCGTAGGCACAAAATATGGCTGCCCCGGCAGTCTCGCGCTTGTCGCGTTATACCGTTTGCTCCGACTGCCTAACAAGAGTCTCCCGCCATGCCTCCTTGTCCGACACTTTTCTACGCTCATCTACGCAGGCAAAGAGGAACCTTCACACAGGCTCATCACGTGCCAGTGGCGGGCCTCGAGGCACTGGCAGGCACTCGCAGAGTTTCGTTCGGGACTATTTCTCCGCCAACAACTCTCTCGAAAGAGGATGGGTCAAGAGCGGACTCTTAGCTGCGATGCGCACAGTGGCGGAACCACAGCAGAGCCGAGGGACTGTGCCAATTCGGCAGGATCAAAGATCCCGCGCAGAGGAGGAATTTGGCAGGATATCTTCAGATCACAAAGAGGCCATGCTTAAAACAAGAGAAGGTCAAGAAATCGAGTCAACAAGGCAAATACCACAAGTCGTCCACGCCGAGCCCGACACTCAATCAGAAGACCTGCTACCTCACAGGAGAAGGAAGAGACGGAAAGAAAGCGAAGTCTTACCACCTCGTGTTGAGGTCGAAGAATCATTACCGCTCGATGCCTCATCGCAGCTAACCACCGCCGCTGCATCCATGCCAACTTCCGCCACCTTTCGCCGCAGAATGGCCACCTACCTTTCCCTAACCAAACCTCGATTGTCCTTCCTGATCCTCTTGACAACGACCTCAGCATACTCTTTATATCCCATCCCCGAACTTCTCTCCTCCACAGCCTCTTCCGTGGAGTCGTCATTTTCCACATCGACCCTCACGCTACTTTTCTTGACTTCCGGCACCTTCCTATCATGTGCGTGCGCCAACACACTCAACATGCTTTTCGAGCCTCAGTACGACGCTCTCATGACCCGAACCCGAAACAGGCCGCTCGTACGAAACCTCATCTCCAAGCGCGCCGCATCATTTTTTGCACTCCTATGTGGAGCGTCAGGACTACTCCTCCTAGGCTACGGCACCAATCCTACCGTGGCCGGACTTTCGGCTCTAAACATCTTCCTGTACGCCGGCGTCTACACACCGATGAAAAGAATCTCCGCTGCCAATACATGGGTCGGTGCCATCGTGGGCGGCATACCGCCCTTGATGGGATGGTGTGCGGCCGCCGGCGAAGTCGCCACCTCGGAGCACCACTCATGGCAAGATCTCCTCTTCTCCGAGAGCTCTGTCGGGGGCTGGGCTCTGGCAGCGCTACTGTTTGCCTGGCAATTCCCTCACTTCATGTCCTTGTCTCACACCATCCGAGACGACTACAAAACCGCCGGGCATAAAATGTTGGCTTGGACCAATCCTGCGCGAAATGCACGAGTCGCACTACGCTACTCGATTGCCATGTTCCCGATATGCGGATTGCTCTACTGGTCAGGATACGTGGACTCGGGTTTCCTAGCCATCAGCACCGCTTGCAATGTCTGGATGACCCGTGAAGCGATTCGTTTCTGGAGAAAACAAGGCGCCGGTGGTAGCGCCAGAGGACTTTTCTGGGCAAGTGTATGGCAGCTACCTCTTGTGCTGGTCGGAGCGTTGGTATGTAAGAGAGGGTTGTGGGATGGGTTCTTCGGCACACCCGAAAATCTCTATGACGAGGCTGACGAAGTTGATTTCGACGGTGATGCGTTGGGCATGGAGTCGGCAAATCAGCCGTCGACACCTCAGGGCAGTATCAGCACGGCCGTGCTTGGACTGAAGAAGCCAACATGAGGAGGCTACTTCGACTGAGTCGAAAAGCTATGTGCTGCCAGCCTCTCTAAAACTAGGATCAGGCCGCAGAAGGTGGTCTCTGGTAGTGGCTGAGGAAGCATGTCTCGACGAAACTGCTTCTGTGTCTACAGTAAATGCGGATCATGAAAGTCGAATCATATTTTAGATATCGAACGGTCTTCAGGCTACGAGATAATGGCTAGGAATATCCCCTCCCCTATTGAACATAGTATTAGAAATGTTCCAAGGACTTTTGTATCTTTTGAAACGCATTATTGATTATCTACTAAGTTACGCACAGTCATATAGCTGCTGTGTCTTTTGTATACTATATACTCGGCCGTCTCAGGTTAATGATCTCTCAATCTGTGTCCAGAAAACCATTCCGCCCACATTGGGCCGGAGCTTTTGATCGAGGGCTTTTCCACCACCATCTCCACGCCCCTACATTTCCGTGTATAGTCCAAATAGTAAAACCAGCTCGCGTGTCGGTGAATTACTACCGTAAGACAAAATGTATTCACCATACTTAGTCTTCAAGCCCAAAGCACTTCTAATCCTTCAGACCAAAAGCCTTTCGCAACATAGGGAACCTCTTCTTCTTTCCACCTCGCCCAATTGCCTCGACCGGCTCTTGCTGCGTCCGCATACTGCCCTGACCAAGCCTAGTTGAGCCATTGCGCGCGGGCGGACCATCCGATGTGTTAGGCCGATCGTGGGCATAATCCGACATCTTGGGAGGTAGAGGCCACGAGTCACTCATGACACGCTGAGGAGTATGCCTTCGCTGCAACTTGGCCTTTCCTTGTGGGGGCGGCGCTCCCTGGGCCGCTTCAAGCTTGGCCTGAGTCTGTGCAATCATGCGATCTCGCTCTTGCTTGGAGGAGAAACCAAGGTTGGCCGGTTTCGTCAAGTCGAACTTTGGTGGCGGCTGCGGATATTCAGCGACGGGAGACAACGCCTCGTCGTTTTTCTTGCCACTGCCAAACATTTTACTGAACAGACCTCGCTTCTTCGCAGTATTTGGCGACATTGGTTCCGCCGTACCAGGGCGCGGTATCGGGTCTGAAGGAATCTGTAGCTGTAGCTTGGACGGATTGCGCGATGCTGCTCGCCTTCCTTCGTCCGAACTATCCTCCAGATCTGTCGAGTCACCTTCATCTGCCCGTCGTGGAATTCCACGAACAGGGGCGTAGTCGGCTTCATCGTCACTATCATCTGCGAAGCGCGATCGGAACCTGCCCCCTCGTGAAGCGTTGTCCTCATCGTCCGAGTCGACGACCCGAGAGTACGCACTTGGCACGGGTGGCACACTTTCTTGCCTGCGATCGTTGTTGCGACCAAACAATGATGATGACCGCTTAGCATCAACTGAACCACGCAGGGAGGGAGCATCCCCAGAAGCTCTCATTGACGTCCGCATAGTACGTGGCTGTGCCGGTGACTCAAATGGTTGTCGCCCAACAGGTGATACTGATCGGACTCCATTTCGCGAGTTTTCTCGCATAGTTGGTTCAGCGGCTGCCCTCATGCTTCGACGCATGGTGTACTGGCCTCCACTTGTGGACTTGCTTCGCCGGGCTTTGCGGAATGAGCTATCGGAATCACTGTCATTTCTTGTTACGGGAGCAGGCGGCTTCCGTGGCGTTAGTGCAGCAGACGAAGCAGCAGCAGCTGAGGGTATATGCTTCTTCTGTAGATTTGCTCTGGGCTGCGGCGTCTGACTAGTGCGTGGCGGAGGTTGAGATTGTCGTTGCTGCTGCTGGGACGCAACTGGTGCGGAATTGCGATTTGAATTTCGCATAGTCTTGGGGATCGATCCTCCTGTTTCAGGCGGGCCGTTTGCTCGCATAGACTGTTTGAAAGGTGCACCGGCAGCAGGAGCGCCCGTTCTGCCTGGGTTGGTAGTTGGTTGCGAAGTGCCTTGTTTCTTCTTCTTTCGAGGCGGGATGTTGGGCGCCCCTTGTTGTACAGTGCGTGCGGCAGCTGGGATAGACGCAAGAGCAGCTACGGTAGCCGGAGATTGCTTTTTCTGTCTAGGCTGAGCCACTGGAGCCTGTGGAACTTGCTGGGCCCTGGGCTGTGATACTTGCTGCTGCTGGGGTTGTTGCGGCGGTGGTGGTGCTGGCTGCTCCAGTATAGGCGATTCTGCTTCTTCAGTATTTGCCAGTGGCGAGGGCTTTCTCGTCTGCTCCGCAAGATTACGCCAGCGAGCCTGTGTCTCTTCCCAGGCACCAGCGGAGAGCATTCCTTGAGATTGTGACCCTCCACTGGGCCTAAGCGGGCTCTCGGGTGGAGAGGCCACCTGTGCTGGAGATGGTGCCACGACTGGACTGTCCACAATCGCATTTATGGAGCCAAAGCCAGTGCCATCAAGCTCATCAGGATCTTCTGCGGCGTCACTATAGATACTGTCATTGTCGGATTCACTCTCTTCGGCGGCGTTGATGCCAAGTCCGTTATTCGTGGTAGGTGCATCGGCGGCATTGGAGGCATGCTGTTGTGATGATTCCAATTGAGCAAGCGCCTCACGAGAGACAGGAAATCCACCTGGTACTGCGACATTCCACTGATCGAACGCCTTTGTCTGCTCAGGGGCAGGAGTGGGAGGGGAAATCTGTACTATGGGCACATCGGCCTCGTTCCTCAAGTCAGCAGCCTTTGTCGGCGGCTCACTGGTTACTGGCTCTTGCGTGGGCACATGAGGTCTTTCGACGTCCACTGCGTTTCTTTTAGGAGTTTCGACAGGTGCCTGCTCCGCCTCGTAATCACTCTCAGAATCAGAGTAGGAGAGTGTACCATGCACCGACGTGACCTCTGGCGGCAACGGTAGATTTGACCGCTTCTGAGCTTCCTGGGCAAGAATGCCCCCGACGGCATAATCACTAGATACTCCTGGAGAAGGTGCGGGACTTGGGTCCATCGTGACTGATGAATAAATAGGCTTGCTTGGGGTGGCGGTTGTTGACGTTGAAGGTCCTCTGGGTGACTGAGTGGTATTTGTGTCGTTCGCGTCGCGGAATTTCTGGCCACGAACACTGCCGAAAGATGGAAGTTGTGGTCGTGGTTTCATCAACTCCTCCATATCATCGTTCGAGGGTATGGTAGTTAGTGGTGGTTTGCCTTTGCTGGAACCAAACCAACCCTTCCTTTCTTTGCTTGTACTGTCACCGCCGTCAGTCGCGGCCGACGTCCCCACAATCTCTGGTTGAGCGTCAAAGCTCACACGAACAGATTTCTTTCGCTTCGCCTGACCATCCACTGAAGCACTAGAGATGTCTGAGGATTCGCTCGGGGTGACACTAGAACCGCGAGTGCGTGAGCCTGGCGCACCAGCGGGGCTGGGAGAGTGGTGTTTGAGAGCGGACTTGGCGGGCGAGACAGATCGAGGCAGAGGTTCGTGCTTTTTTCCCATGGCCAGATCTGACGAGAGCCGATCAGAGAATCTTGTTGATCTCGAAGGGCTGAGAGACGTCTCACGTTGCGGACGCGGCTCGGTTACTTGAAGGCTGGTAGCTGCTGCATAAGCTGTTTGCGGTTCGTTAGATGAGCTGACCGGCTGAGACTCCTGTGGTACAGGCCGTAGAGGGCTTTTGGCTGGTGGAGGACCAGGCTCTTCAATCTTCCTGGATACATTGGCAGTGTTGGTTGCTCTTTTAGCAGATGTCGTTGCATGTTGAGTAGAGCTTGTTTCATAAAATGATGTAGATTCAACTGCTGAAGGACTGGTTCCGTCTGCCCCTTCTTGCTCACCTTCCCAGTCTTCACGAACAACAGATGGCTGCTTCGCCAGCTTGCCCGAAGCCCTCTGCGCTCTTTTTTCTTTTGACCTGTCCACATTGGAATCGGAGTCGGAATCCGCACGCGATGAAGTATCGGCAGGCGGGAAATGAGTAGCCTCGCCTGTAAGCGCCCCCTTCTTCTTTTTCTTGGTCACTCGATCTTGCTCTTCTTCCTCTTCTTCTTCTTCTTCTTCTTCTTCACTGGCATCACCATTCAGATCATCATCAGGTTCAGGACCGGGTTCGAGAGGGGTCACCACAGGCTTGCTTGCCATTGTACCGGTTGACAAATGGCTGCCTTCGGATGAGCCAGGGATGACCTTCTTTTTCTTCTTTTTGACGGGTTGATTTGCGGTCTGCGCAAGGTTGTATTGTATATTCTCGGCTTCTCTTGCAGAGATGGCATTGAGAGCTGCAGGGCCCGAGGATCTATCTCCGTTGGCCAACGTTGGTGATGCCGGGGGCGATTGCGGACGTGGTGACAAAGGTCTCGAAAAGTTGACAGAGTTATAACTGTCGGTGCGCACAAGTTCATTCACGCTGGGCAAGTTACTTTTTTTCTGCGTTGGTGTCGGCGCCTGTTGCTGAACACGCCCGTAGCGATCGAGACTTTGCCCGCGGGCGCCGGGTCGAGTCAATGGGGGCGATGAGACTCGAGGCGGAGCAGGTCCGGAACTGGAAGCGCGCTTCTTCTTTTTCGCCGGTTGCGCCGGACTAGCAGCGTATTCTTGTGGTATGCTGGGTAGAGGAGGCGCAGTTGCAGGATCGGGTCGGGACGGTTGTCTCGACGGGGAGGGCGAGGGAGTTCTAAATGTTCTCTCAGTCATAGAACTGGCACTGTGTTGCCTCTGTAGACCGCCTCTTGATCTACCTCTACCGGATCCTGACAAAGTTGAAAGAGAGGCTTGCCTTTGGATCATGCGCTTCGTCTGAACCTGATCTACTGGGGTCGGCGAGGGAGACATTGTCCTCAGCGCGGTGGCCGCAGCTGAAGCTGACAATTGCCCCATGGAGACTCTGTTGTTCAAAAAGGCCTGACTTGCAGCCAGATGGGCAGAAGCGGAAGCATTATTGTTTTGGGGCCGCTGAGGTTATACGTCAGCACTTGATGATTGAGGTACAAAAGTGACAGAAGGGGTTACATACCGAGGCCGAAGCCGACCTGCTTCGTCTGTGAAACATACTCATCGTTGCGCCGGTGGTCGTGGTCGCAGGTGGTGTCTACCTCGATGATCGATGGGCTTGATCGTGTCGCAGGCGGATTGAAGAATCCCTGGCGCGCGTGGCTGAGGATTGTTATCGGCTTTCTGTTGGATCCGGGATCGCGGCGATCAACTTCCCCATGTCGGTCCCGAGTGAAGCAGCAGCGTCGGTACTGCGCAAAATGAAAGGTAGGAAAGGATGAAAGTTCAGTTAATGACAAGGACAAGGAATACGGATGTTGAGGAACGGTCTAGGTGTGAGCTCTGAGGAAACAATGTTGCCAGGCAAGCAGAGAACGGGCGGGCTTGACGGCAAGTGTGGCTCAGGTGTCGGGATGTAATTGGACAGGATTGGGTTTCTACGTCACTTAAATCTTTCTTTCCACAATTTCCTGTGTTTCCAAGTCTTCCCATCTCCCTAAGAAAATCAAATCACAGCTGACATGCTGTTCAGCTTGTCAAGGGTATTACTTGTATCTCCTTTCCCTTTCCGGATTATTGGTGTTTGTTCTACCCGAGGCATCCCAACACAGCACTATATCAACTCGGTATATATATATGGACATTGTGAGCGAAGTCAGCCAGACACAACCAGAACAGACTGTACAACACATCACACCCATTCAATCTGCATATGTCACCATCCGTCATAGCAATCCAAACAGGTAAGGGAGGTCCAACGTCATCAATTCATCGTTCCAGTCCACAACCTGCAAGAATTTCGAAGAGCAGCATCAAGAAATTTTAGAGGAATGGAAAGAATGGTCACACAAGAGAATATTGGCCCAGACTCTACTGTGGTAGAATATTGCTCAAATGCGATGCCTGAGATCTTGAGATATCCTATTCTAGAGACGAATGTGATGCTAGGCTAGAAAAGGTTTATCCAAAATGACAGACCGAGGTACGGGACTCCTACGAGACTGGTGTTTGAAATACCTCCATAAGGTCGAGTATTTTGGGCTAGTCCTGCAAAGGCCATCAAAGCCATCAGAGAGTCATTGCTTGTAGTCTCGGACGGTCTCCGAGGACAAAAAGGGTAAGCACCTCGACTTCAGGCTCCAGAGGAGACAGAAAAATCGAAATATATATACCTCGGTCGTTCATGGGCATAACTTACGCACACTTACGTTCGTGTCTATACTGCCATCAACACCGTCGTCACACAGTAGCACAGAGTCGCCCCAACCACACACATCCATCATGGCTTATACTCATCAAGACTCGCCATCAGATGCCACTGACCCTACAACCCTCCCTCCCCTCTCTCTGCCAGATGGTGTGAGGTCGAGATTCGTTGACACCACCCCCCACAGCCTTGTCTTCCACATCCTCGAATCCCTCCCCACCAATCTATCCCAGAAACCACAGTTGATCGTCCTATGTCATGGATTCCCAGAAGTTGGTAAGTATTCATCTTCGCGAAAGACTGTGCCATTAAAGCACAAGACTTTCGTTTTGTTCCAAGTTTGCATGACACAACTTTTTGATAATTGGTAGGATATTCATGGCGCAAGATTCTCCCCCTTCTCTCAGCCCAAGGCTACCACGCCGTGGCCTTTGACCAACGAGGCTACGGCCGGACCTTCTCCCGGAAACCCCTCCAAGCCTCATCATTCAGTCCGTTGAGTCTCATCAAAGACACCGTCACGCTCGTCCACGCACTAGGCTACAAGTCTGTGGCCGCCATCGTAGGCCACGACTTCGGCGCCGTCACCGCCGCACTAACAGCAACAGCAAGGCCAGATATGTTTCACAGGCTAGTCCTCATGTCCCATCCAACCAAAGGCCCTCCCCAGCTTCCCACAGGTACATCGCCGTCGTACGGAGAGCCATCACCTGCCCCGCCAGCCGGTGCCGCAACGGACATGGAGAAGGCGCTCAGCGAATTGCCCCAGCCCAGGAAGCATTATAAATGGTACTACTGCACTCCCCCTAGCAACAAAGAAATGACTTATCCAACCGGTGGGCCCCTCCACACCTTTTTGCGAGGCTACTTCCACCTCAAGTCCGCGGACTGGGACGGCAATAAGCCTTATCCCCTAGAGGGCTGGACGGCCACCGAACTCGAGAAAATGCCGAGATACTACATCATGGATCAAGACGACACAATGCGTCAGGGCGTGGCGCGGGATATGCGGGACGAGGACGCGAAGGTGGTAGCGGAGCGCTCTTCGCGCTGGCTGCCGGATCATGAATTGGCAGTGTATGCAAAGGAATACGCCCGGACAACGTTCCAAGGAGGTTTGAATTGGTATCGAGTCCAGACTCAGCCGAATATCGCGGCGGAGATCATGGCGTGGTCTGGTGCAAAGATCTCCGTGCCCACGGTGTTTATCGCGGGAAAGAGTGATTGGGGAACGTACCAGGAACCTGGGGCTATCGAGGCGATGGAGCAGGGGAAGAGTGTGCAGAAACAGATGTATAAAGGGACAGTCCTTGTTGAGGGTGCCGGACACTGGGTCAACCAGGAACAGCCCGAGAGGTGTGTCGAGGAGATTCTGAAACTGATCAAGCAGGACTCGTGAGCTCAAAATCGTCGATGCTTATGGTGAGCTTGGGAAGAAAAGTACACGCTTTCGATATTCTGTTTGAGAATGGGTCTTGATTTAACGTATTGTACTATCGGCAAATTCTGTGGGAAAAATAATGCAGGAAACCCCCTTTCATATGAACAATGCCGACCTCTTATGAACCGTCCTGTGTTTGCGCCTTGTTACCAAAATCCCCAACGCCTTGCTCATTCAAATGATTGAGGAATCGAAAACGCTCGAGGTGACCGGAGAATGAAACCTGCTGTGCAGCCCATGTATGTTGTTGGTACGAGAGTCCTTTTGTTCAACATTCCAAACCGTGCAACAACCATGTTTAGTCACTCTTAGTCCTCCGGCTCAGTCATCTCCGAGTCTAATCTGGATGAACGCGATTTGCCCTTATTGTTATGCTGGGTGTCCTCGTCATCCTCGTCGTAGTTCTCCTCATCCTCCGAGTCGTTGTTCAATGCTTCATCAGATTCGCTTCCATTGGCGGCATCGTCGTCGAAATCATCGAAATCATCAAAGTCAACTTCCTCCGCATCACTATCATTCCAAAAGTTATCGTCGATCTTCTCGATGACTGGCTTAGTTGACTCGTGTGTCGGCATGATGAAACCCTCAGGAATGTCTTTTTTGGATGCGTTGACGTCCTGTAGCACTCTTTTCTTGAAAGTGTCCTTGTCGTCTCTCAACATGACGCTCGCATCGACATTGGCAGGAGAAGAGATCTCGGCATCATCCAGGAGAGAAAGTATCGAAATGAGGACTGACTCCACTCGCTGTGCCGGCGACCACCTCTCACCGGCAGACTCTCCGGACATCATGTCCTCTCCAGGTGCGTGAAGGATCGAGATGCAGAGACGTCCATCAGGGTAGATGTTCGGATGCCATAGTGGCTTGAGGAAGCGGAAGTCTGTAACGGGTCAGTATGACTGCGACTTCGAACAATGTGTAATGCTAACCCGGTGGCTTGTAAGGATAGTCCTTGGGAAAGTTCATTTGAGCCTTGAAGTAACCGCCATAGTACAGGGAATCAGGGTTGAGGACCATCAACGCCAGATTCCAGTGATAGATGTTATCTTCGTCAATCTGTTCCATGTAAGTCCATGCCACACGTGCTGGTGGTGGGGCAACCTACATCGATCTGCACCCATCTTTCTCGGGCAAGAGCCTTGTATTCCTTCAGCAGGACAGCCTGCGACATACTGGATGGTCGGATTCTCAATACGAGGGGAAAAGCCGAGATATGGTGGAGTTGAGGTGTTGGTTGATGATGAGCCGGATAAGGATGTAGGGAGGCTACTAGACGGAACCGGGGAAACACGTCCCAAGTCGATCAAGCAGTGACAGACAGTAAATGACAGCAGCTTGTAATTATTCTTCGGAAGGGTAGATGTGCTTCGGATTGTGTTGGACGCGCAGGCAGTTGTTGTTACCGGCACAACATTGCTCCAAGGCGTGAAAATGTCCTTTTGAAACCAGAGAAAGGCAGTACTGCAGTGATTGTGTCGTATCAAAGGCTGGAAGTCAGAACAATCAAATGGTAAGGAAGGGTGGCTCGAGGTATGGTGAGAGTGTTTAGAACGAGGTTGAAGTGGTGGTAATGATGGGAGGATGTCAGGATTACATATGAGAGACGGTGCACAGATGGTTGAGTCCAGGTCGAGTCTAGAGTTTGCAGGTGGCCATGGTTATCAAACCTAGGGCCGATGTCGTAGTTTGAGGCCTTATCTCTGGTTGTGGCGCCTAAATGACCCGGCGTCCATCAACCACAGATTAGGTGTTTGCATCCCGGGAGGCGACCGACCCCAACCCCAAATCCAAAGCCCTGGCCTGGGCGTTCCTGACTTCCGTCACAACATCGAGTCAAGCAAAGTGGCGTCTGAGGCGACAGACGCATCATGATCATGATCCACGCGGGAAACTCCATCCACTTCCGCTACAATAAGTTAAGTCTCCATTTCACTGTTTTTGTTAGCAAACGACCGAGCGCCTTCCAAGACACCGTCGTTGCTGCCATGTGGGCTTTACTGGTGGTTTACTGTCTTTGACCTTTTTTCTGTACATCTGCACCTTGCACATATTTCACCGCGTCTCTATTGCTTTTATCGAGATGGTTGGGTTGTTCCCCGCATCAACGCAAGAGAGGTCATTGTTATGAAGATGTTTGCGCAGTGCAAGCCACCGATATGGCGTACCGATGATCTGAGCCTTTGCTTCCAAGCAGAGTGTGTTCCATACTCATCCCGAACTTTGGTCTCTTACTGACATTCATAGCTACCTTGAGACATTGTTCCCCTTATTGGCATGCGCCATTTCATTTCTACTCCTCCTATCGCAATTAATCCTGCAAAGAGTACAAAAGCAATCGCGGAAACGTCACTCAATTCTGGTCGATATCAGCGACGAGGACGAAACCTCGATCGACGCAGACGAAGATGATGATGACAGCCTAGCTAGGCTGACACTGCAAAAGACATACAGTCATGGCCACCATGGAACGAAAGACGTGGATAGACCTACTGGAGAAGTCTTCCTGGTCACAATCGAATTCCTGTTGGTGCTGGGTCAACTGGTGCTCAACATCGTCAATACACTCGATACATCAAATCGCAGGAGAAGGGCATCTATAGCAGAGACCACCGTGTCTGCATATCTTTCCATACTTGCGGGGTCTCGACTGCTTGCTACAACCACAACATGGGCGATCCCCGTCAAGCACCTCTGGGATCACAGCGCCCTGCTTTACGCAACACAATGGCTTACTCTGGTCTGGGTTTTCCGATCTGTTCTCGTTCACCCGGTTGACCGTCTGCTGCAAATCACGACAATAATCTCCTTCGTCATTACAAGCATCCTTGTCCTGATTACACTGTGCTCTCGAAAAGGGAACCGGGGCGTGCTCCTGGAATATGAAGGCGACATCGAGCCATCTCGGGAGCCGTTGGCTAGTATCCTCTCGCATGCCACCTTCACCTGGGTCGATCCAATAGTCTGGAGGGGTTACAAGAGGACGCTTGAACTAACCGATGTCTGGAACGTGGCTTTGGCCGACAAAGCTGAGACAGTCCTGGCTCATTTCCGTCAGATCAAGAAGACCCATCAACTCGCTGTTCGACTCCTCCTACATTTCAAGACCGAACTTCTCATACAAGGCGCATGGGCTATGCTGGGAAGTATTTTCATGTTTGTCCCCACACTACTGTTGAAAGCCATCCTCGAATATCTGGAGGATTCGGACAAGACTCCAATCAGTGCAGCATGGTTATATGTTGTGCTTCTTTTCGCTACCGGCGCAATACAGGCGGTCAGTGATGGCCAAGGATTGTGGATCGGAAGGAAGATATGTATTCAACTACGCGCGATCATCGTGGGCGAAATCTACTCAAAAACCTTGCGAAGAAAGGCCGCGGCGAGCACCGATGACGACGCAAAGGAGCCGCCGAAGGACAAGCAACCGCTCTTGGCCAAGGTCAGGTCATTCTGGACTCTGCGAGGGAAAAAGGCCCGGGACGGGCTCCAGCTTGACTCCAGTCTTAAGAAGGCTGCTAGCACACAGGCCAATAACGGGACTATCATCAACCTCATGTCTATCGACTCCTTCAAGGTGGCTGAGATTTGCTCATATCTCCACTTTCTCTGGGCAGCTACTCCAGTGCAGCTTGCCATGGCTGTCGGGTTACTGTACAGAGTTCTGGGCTTTAGCTCTTTCGTGGGCATTGTGCTCATGGTTCTCTTACTACCACTCAACTTCTACATTGCAAATTCCTTTCAAGCCGCACAGAAAAGGATTATGACCGCTACTGACGCCAGGATCCATGTGACCAACGAAGTGCTTCAGAACATCCGAATCATCAAATACTTTGCTTGGGAACAGCGCTTCCAGAACAACGTCAACGAGAAAAGGAGAATAGAATTGTCTGCGCTGTGGCGAAAATACGTCTTGTGGGCGAGTGCCGCGACTATCTGGAGCGGTGTCCCGATCATAATCACCTTCGCTTCTTTCCTCATTTACACAAAGGTTGAAAGGCGCCCGCTTGTGCCATCGGTTGCGTTTCCAGCTTTGTCCATGTTTTCTCTCCTGCGCATACCACTGGATCAATTGGCAGATATGGTGGCGCATATCCAGGAGTCCAAAGTATCGGTGGATCGGGTTGAGAAGTTCCTCGAAGAAGAGGAAACAGAGAAATACAGTCAATTGCGCCAAAGCAAAAGACGGAGTCTCCCGACCACTCGTATCGCCCTTGAGAATGCCACCTTGACGTGGAGCACAAGTTCCTCGGACGCAACAGAAGCATTCCGCCTGATCAATGCGAGCGTGGACTTCCCAATCGGCCAATTGAGTGTAATAGCTGGCCCAACCGGGTCCGGCAAAACGTCTTTGCTTATGGCTCTACTCGGTGAAATGCAACTGCTCAGCGGAAGTGTCTACATCCCAGGAGGCTCGGTGCGGCAAGATCTGCGACCTGCCACCATCACGGGTCTAACAGAGAGTGTAGCATATTGCGCCCAACAAGCCTGGCTTGTTAACGCCACTATCAAGGACAACATCCTCTTTGCCAGCCACTATGATGAGGATCGTTATCACGAGGTCATCTCGGTGTGTGCACTTGAGCGGGATCTGGAAATCCTGGATGCAGGTGACGCAACCCTGGTCGGGGAGAAAGGTATAACCATGTCTGGAGGCCAGAAGCAAAGAATATCACTGGCAAGGGCTATCTACTCGAATTCAAAGCATCTGCTTCTCGATGACTGCTTGAGCGCTGTGGATGCGCACACTGCGAAACACATATTCGAGGAGGCCCTTACTGGCGACTTGATGGCGCATCGTACCTGCATCCTGGTCTCACACAATGTTGCATTGACCGTGCCGTTCGCGGCTCAAGTGGTGGTCTTGGAAAACGGTAAAATCACGTCCCAAGGAACGCCAGAACAGGTTGCTCAAAGCGGTGCGCTTGGTGATGAACTTCTCAAGTCTCGGCCTGTCTCAAGAGGGACCTCTCGTGCACCTTCGAGAGTGCCATCCAATTTAGAAGAAGAGACTTCAAAGCTGTCAGGAGGTAATGGACCAGTGACTTCAGAGTCTGGCGGAAAGACTGCCAGAATAAAAGCGATGCTCAATAAACCAGAAAGGTCATTTGTTGACACCCGGATCGAGGCCAAGGCCACAGGAAGTGTCAAGCTCTCAACAATCAAAATGTATCTTCAGGCTATGGGCCCTTGGTGGTACTGGATTTTTGCCGCCTTTGGTTTCATCGCCACACAAGTTGGCTCGGTAGCAACGAATGTTTGGATCCGACAATGGGCGAATGCTTACCATCTGCGACGTACAGATAGGGCTCATGCGGCAGTCCATGGATTTCATCATGTTCATTCCATGACATCAACTTCCAACCTTGGAGGATCCTCCCTTCAAACACCACAGACTGCACCTGGATTCTGGGTTTTGGAGAAGGTGTATGATGTCGATGCATGGTATTACCTTGGAATCTATGCGCTTATCGGCCTGGCGTACGTCGCGATTTGTTTCGGAAGAGAGATCATCCTCTTCTTGGGCTCGCAACGTGCATCATGGCATCTCCACGAGAAGTTGTTGACAAGCATCTTGCGCGCAAAGTTTCGCTTCTTTGACTCTACGCCGCTCGGCCAGTTGACGAACCGATTTTCGAAAGACATCCAAGCATTGGATCAAGAAGTGGCTCCCGTTGCGATAGGTTTGCTTCACAGTGCTGCATCGGTCTTGACCATTGTTATCCTCATCTCCGTCATCACGCCAGCTTTCCTGATCCCGGGCTTCTTCATCACGATCATGTATGTCCTCACTGGCCTTTTGTACATTCGATCGTCACGCGATCTGAAGCGAATCGAGGCCGTGCAGCGGAGCCCACTGTTCCAGCACTTTGGCGAGACGCTATCGGGCGTGGTGACCATTCGAGCTTATGGCGATGAGTCCAGATTCATACAGGAGAGTCACCTGCGAGTAAACACCCATAATCGGCCATTCATCTATCTGTGGGCCACTAACAGATGGCTCGCCTTTCGGATCGACATCGCTGGAGCCTTCGTTTCATTCTTCTCGGGGATGTTTGTAGTCCTCAAGGCGGGTAGTATCGACCCTGGAGCAGCAGGTTTGGCTCTGTCATACGCCATCACGTTTACCCAAAACGTTCTATGGCTTGTCCGATTGTATGCCTCGAACGAGCAGAACATGAACGCGGTTGAGCGTCTTCAAGAGTACATTAATGTTGAGCAGGAAGCATCGGCAAGCATCCCCGAGACACAGCCTGCTTCCAATTGGCCTTCGCATGGAGCTGTCGAGTTCATTGGATACAGCACACGGTATCGAACCGACCTCGACCCAGTATTGAAGAGAGTGACATTCCGCATCGACCCTGGACAGAAAGTCGGGATCGTCGGGAGAACCGGGGCTGGCAAAAGCTCGCTTGCGTTAGCCTTGTTCCGTGGTCTTGAAGCAGAAGAGGGCAAGATTCTGATCGACGATGTTGACATTGGACTCATTGGCTTGCAAGATCTGCGCGAGGCTATCACAATTGTTCCACAAGATCCCACCCTATTCACTGGTACTCTCAGGTCCAATCTGGATCCCTTTGAGCTATTCACCGATGAGGAAATCTTTACGGCACTTCGACGGGTTCAGCTAATATCCGGCCCCAAAGGCACGTCTGATCGCTCAGGTGATACGTCTCCCTCGGAACCATCAAGCCATTCTCCAACTCTTCGCGTTAATGGCACCAATACCGATCATCAGTTGTCCGCGAATGGAACAATCAACTCCGAATCAACCCTGGTGCAGGTGCCCAGTAATGCCAGAGACAACAAGAACGTATTCCACGATCTAATGTCGCCAATAGCAGAATCAGGCTCTAATCTATCTCAAGGACAACGGCAGTTGCTTTGCCTTGCACGGGCGCTACTCAAAGCACCAAAGATCCTTGTCATGGACGAGGCTACTGCCTCGATCGACTATGCCACGGATTCCAAGATCCAGGACACCCTTCGAGAACTCAAGAACAACACGATTCTCACAATTGCACACAGATTGCAGACGATCGTTGACTACGACCGAGTACTGGTTCTGGACAAGGGCGAGGTGAAAGAGTATGCTCATCCTTGGGAGTTGATCCAACAGGAAGATGGCCTTTTCAGGTCTATGTGTCAGACCAGTGGTGAGTTTGACTCATTGTACGAATTGGCGAGAAAAGCATGGGAGGACGGCAGACTCGTCGATGATTCCTGAAAGACTTGAAAGGTATTCTTAATGGGCGGTATTCATCCCAAGTTGTTTTGCAGGTGTTTTAGCGGGGCGGTAGCGTATCAGGGAGGCCGAATCATACTTTTCAGTGTACATATATAATGCGCTGAGTGTGTATATATGATTTGACAATGACGTTGTCGTCAGGACGAGCAGCTGTGCACTTCAATGTCAGCTCCTATACGTGTCCGAAGACAGCTCAGACTCCTAACACTCCTCAGCCTCGTCCGGGGGAACAGGGGGCAAGGCTGAGCCGAGACGCCTTCTTCGACCTTGTGCTGTTGCTAGTTGCTGCAGATATGTCACATCTTTTTTGATCCAGCAATCTCTTGTCGTTCTCGGAAACGACAGATCGAGGATGACGCTTTTCATGGTCATGAACGATGATTCTGTCCGAAGCCGGACCGTGCTAAGGATGAAAATGGGATATTACCTCGGTAATTCGTCTCCAATCAGCAAAGCTCCTCCTCCCCTCATCGCTTACCTTCCCCCCTCTCGAAACCCTGCTTTTCGCGGGGTTGGTTCTGACGACAGGCACCTCGGAAACCACCCACAACCTCGAAAGACGAGAAAACGAGATTGGTGGGCATCGGACGAGGGGTCCCGTTCCGCTGAGTGGTTGCTACTTGAGGTGAGTCCCTCACTTGTCCCTGCATTTGCGACGGCCGTCTGGCCAGTGGCCCCTCACTTTCCTCCCAAGTTGACCCTTTCCCGCTTGCTATTCGATGAGATAAGGTCGTTGTCCGTGATGTGGACCACCCCTCGTTATTCGCCTTCTCGAGATTCACTGCAAGGACGTCAGGCTGCTCGAAAATGCGGGGCATTGGCAGAGAAGTCGGCTTTATGACCTTATAAATAAAAAGTAGGCTCTCTCTTTTTCGTGCGTAGGTGAACTGCTAGTTGTGAAAGCTGTCGAGTACTAATCACCATAACCTTCCTGTTTGCATTGTATCTCCTCATCAGAAGTTGCACACACGACGAGAGCCAGAGACAATGTCTACGAATGGAACAGCACATGCCTACACGGACTTGCCCAAGGCAATGTCCAAGGCCGTTTCGGGTCTCAGCAAAGCTTTGAACAGCGATAAACAATGGCAGGCGTTCGTCGACACCAATGCTATCGTCGAGCCCGTCACAATGGGCGTGCAATCGACAGGCAGCGACGAGGCTATTTTGGTCACTGTCGACGCTGGAGCCAAGAGCAGCGCGACGAGCGGTCCAGCGAGTAAAGCAGATTTCGTCCTGCGAGCACAGCCTGAACAATGGGATAAATTCTTCGACGCCGACCCCGTGGCGCCGTATACTAGTTTCGTTGGCTTGCAGGTAAGTCTCCTCCATACCATGAAAACATAAAGCTGCTTGCCGTGGTGGGTGTCTCTCTGACGCAAGGCGTCCCAGGGAATGAACATCAAGCAAGAAGGCGTCGGAGTACACGGCAACAACACCAAATTCGCCCAGTACGGACACCTTGCCACTCGCCTCTTGGAGTTGCTGAGACAAGGCCAGAACGGGCCCACCAAGGAAGACACCAACCCTGAGACCGACGAAGATCACATCATCGGCAGGTACATCTACGTCGACACTCCGGTCTGGGGCCGCACGAAGATCTTCTACGAGAAATCCGGCGATGGACCGCAACAGGTTGTCTTCTTGCACACCGCGGGTAGCGACAGCAGACAGTATCATGGCGTTATGAATGACAAGCGCACACGCGAGAAGTGCACTATGATCGCGTTCGATTTGCCGGCTCATGGTCGCAGTTTTCCGGGAAGTAACCATATTCCTGGTAACCACACCAACAACGAGGATGCGTATGTAGGAACGATTAGGGAGGTCATCAAGGCATTGAAGCTCAATAAGCCGATCGTTTGTGGCGCGTCGATGGCCGGACAGGTTTGCGTTGCGGTCGCGATCCGTGCCGACGAGGTCGGAGCCGGTGGCACGATTCCTTTGCAGGGTTGTGACTATTTGACCATGGACCGGCAATTCAATGACAAGTCGCCTGTGGTTAACCAGTCGTTGTTCAATCCTGATTGGAGTGAGTCGAAGATCCTCATTGAGCACCCGAACAAGGAGGCTGACAATTTCCAGTTTACGGCATGATGGCTCCAAAAAGTCCCTATGTCAATAAGCAATTGATTTGGGTAAGCAGATACCTTTAACGGTGATCTGCTCAGACGCTAACATTTTTCCCAGCACATGTACTCCGGCCAAGCTTATGGCATTTTCCACGGTGATCTCGACTTTTACTTTGGCGGGGTAAGTTCCCTTGCTTGCCTCCAGAAAGACATGCTTTTGACCATTTTGCAGTTCGACGCTAGAGATCGAGTGGCGAGTATTGATGTGAAGAAGTGTCCCATCTACTTCCTTACTGGCGAGTATGACTGGAGTACCACACCGGCCATGAGTAAAGCAACCGCAGACAAGATCAAGGGCGCCAATTTCAAGGCCATGAAAGGACTTGGTCATTTCCCGGCTACGGAGGATCCCCAGAAATTCGTGAGTCCTTGATTCTGGTGTTTGATATCATGATGTTGACTTTGCGGTCTAGATTCCATATTTCCTCGACGCCGTTGAGTGGATCCAGAAGACACGCTCGTCTTGAATGGCAAGTTGAGCCTGCACCACAGTGTTGCTCCTAGGGAAGTGAATACTGAGTGGTGGCATGTGAATGTGTAAGGCGAGCCCATGCTCTCAGGAGCATCAACCTTGAAAGTTCGACGAGGGATTTCAAAATCGGCGACAGAGGTGTTGTAAATGTACCGTGACTCGCGGATGTACTCTTTCAGCCTCATGATAGCAACACATGAACTTCAATTGAGGAACTAGCCGCCCCAGCAACACGCGTAGTCTGACCTTCTCCTATTTCATAGGCTCCCTGCATCGCATGTTGTAGAGACGTTCGGTTCCCATTCCTCTGACCGGTGAACAGGTTGTGCCACTCTTTCTGTTCAAGCATTGACATGTTCGCACGTTTCCGTAGTGCCAACGCGCGTGGTCATTCTTGCCCTGCAACAGGGTGTTGTGATGCGGATGGTTTGCATCCTCGTCTATCATGCCATGTCCAGCAGACAAGCCATACTGCTGTGCGCCACTTTCTCTTGTTCGTACACATCAAGCGCGGATTCGACTGTTGAATGGCGCAAGTAGCTTACCGATCACTGTTTTGTTTGGGTTTCGGTGGAGGTCCGGCAATTTGAGAGTTTGCCCACCGGGTATGTCGCTCAGGCAAATGATCGGTGGCGGTCTGTATATCGCCTTGATGCCGAGGTCGACGATATAGTACTTGACACCATTCTTAGCCCTCGCGTTGACCTTGCAGTGAACAATCTCAAACTCTGATTCCATCTCTGTTCCACCTGGATAGACCCCAGCAAGGGTGGTGACATCGGTATATAACCACTCATGTTCATGTACACAGAACCCGAACTGGCCTCTGCCTGGGAGAGACGCTAGGAGAACTGTGAAACGTGAATTATCCCGTCTCTGGAAGACCAGGGCGCCCACGATTTTGCCTCGTGCCTCATAGCCGTCGACTTTGAAAGTGGACCCGACTCTAAGGGGAATCCACTCCCGGCCAGAGATTACCAATGGCGGCAACCTCGAGAATGAGCCAGATGTATGGATGAGTGTGAAGCCATCGGCAGCTGTAGGTCCTTTGCCAAGCTGTAGGATCTGGTTTGGATATAGGCCGTTACTTGCCGACTCATTGTTCGGTTTTCGCACGAAGAAGGTTGAAACCTGACCTCTTTCATTAATCTGGTCGGAATGATAGAACTCACTGACCATAGTCCGGGCGTATTGTTGTTTGAGTCTCAGGTCGAGCTCCGTGTTGAGGCGTTTCAGATATATTCCGACAAATCCAGTATGTGTATCTGGCATCGGACAATTGAGAGCTGCAACGTAGATATCATCTTCAATTCGGAGAAGCGGCAGAGATATTTCCAGGCCGTGATTCGTCTTGGAGTACGCCGACCGAGGTTCCCACCATCCGTAGTAGGCTGTGTACCCTCTCGAACCCTCGAACATTTTCGGATGAGCCGCCAATAGGCCTGTCAAGGTGTTGCGGGAAGCATCCTTGTCTCGCCAGACGAAGATGGACTCGTCATCGGAATCTTTCATGATTTCTTCTTGCAGCCTGATGAACGCCCTCTCGCCTTCTCCGTATAGCATTGACATGTTGACATTGAAGATGCCCATCAAGCAGTACGCGATGTCCTCTGGTCTCGACGTCACTCGTTTCGAAGCCCACGACATGCGACGGGCCACGCAGACGGAATCCACCTTTTCTGTCCCAGCAAGGACTCCAACGTCGATTTTTGTGATGTCGGACAGTGTTTCACTCAGGTCTGCTCTTTCACCAAGCCGGAACCATGACTTGGAAAAGAATACAACGACTTTTGGCGCAATGAGCTCTTGCAGTGTCCAGCCGCGGTCAAACCATTCACTCTGACCCATCTTAGTCACTTCGTCCACGTCTTCCAGATATGCGTAACATTGCTCGGCATTTTCGTACCATGAGTACATGGAGTTGATGCTCTCCGATAGCTCGGCACTGCTTTTCTTGTCAATGCAGCACGTATCGATCCAGATATGCGAATATCCGTCGGTACTGGCTTGGCGACAGGCATACTCGAGCTTCTTGTATCCTAATTTGTCCTCCACGCCAAAAGGATTGAGCTGGATGTCATCGAAGGAGACCTCCTGATCTTCATCTCCCCAGCGATGGGATAGGATGGCATACTTGACGAATTGCTTCGGTGATGTATTTGGTATGAACAATTTCGTTCCATGCTCAAGCCGCAGAGTGTTTGAGTTGAGGAGATACTTGGGCGGCATGGTGAAGCTGCTGATTTACCAACTAATGTTCATACTGCGGTGAGTTGACTGGCAGGTATGCTTAGGTGCACTTGCCAGGAAAGCAGACTTCCTTCTGAGGATCGCCGTCAGGAGCGACTCGAAGCACACAATATTGGTTGAGGAAAGAAGCATCGGCGTACACTTTCCCTCCCCCGGAGGGACCAGTTAAATAAATCTCAATCTGGACCTTGCAGACTTTAGCATAGCCTTACTGCCATGGTAAAGCATCCTTGTCTGAAGTGCGGTGCGCGGCTCTAATTTTGGGGGCTGGATTTGGGCCATCTGTATGAGATTGAGTTTGCTGCGGCTAGCAAACGAGGATCAGCCCGTCAAATGCCCGTCCCGGTAGGAGGCTTGTCGCTGCAGGTTGGGGGCCTTATAAACGTACAAGGTCAATGGCCTGGGGCATCCATGGTCCGCAACGCCTCGTGTTCTTGAAATCGCCCATGCTGTTTCAGTTCTCCGCCCCTGAGGCGCAATTCCTCGATGTTCGTGGTGTGCAGCATGGTATCTGCAACCAATGACATGATATACAAATTGACGGCAAGTGCGACGTTCGCAGGGCCCCCATTGGAGAGCATGGGGTCATTGTATTGGTTGCGAGTGATCAAGTGTACTTAACACCGACCGCTTACACAATTCGATAGCCTTAGGAATTCCTCAACATTCTTATGATTGAGCAAGTGATCAGAAATATACCCAGTGAAGTTCAACGAACCATGGACGATCATAGCAACGCAGCAGGTATTACACCAGCACCACCAGCATACCTTCGAGGCAACACCGATCCTGAACTCCAGCGGAAACCGACGGTTCATCGCGAGATTCACAACCGTGTAGTGAAGCTTGACTATTTGGAGGAACAACCCGAATATATCGACTGTCCTCATTGCGAGACGCGCCAACAGACGAAGGTCAGCCACCCCAGCTCGAGTGCGACAATGTGAGTCTTTCCCGTGCCGGAGCTCACAGCTCATGACTAACGCAACCCAACAGGCTTGCTGGTGCCTTCTGCTGTCTTTGTTGCGGCATCATCACTTTCTGGATTCCATGTGCTTGCCACTGGTTCGCTGATACGGACCACACCTGCAGTCATTGCAACAACTTGGTTGCTCACAAATCACATGATGGCAAGATGACAGCAAACCTTCCAGCGACAGAAAGGACGGGCATCAGCATGTACCAGCCGGTGCAGCCCATGAAACAGCCCGTGTGATTACAGGTCGACATATCCGACAGGATCCTGGAGGTGTTTGAGTTAGTGGTCGCATCGATAGCATTGGTATGTTGGAAACGATCCGCTCAATTGGGTGTTCAAGCCAATAGGGAAGCACAGTGTTCTCAGAAATGCGGTAGTGGCATTCCGATGTTCTCAGAGCCGCAGGTGTTGGCTGTGCGAAGGCCCCGGTTTTGTAAAGGTCGGCATCATGTTCTCGGTGCCTCGGGCGGGTCAAGCTAGCTGACAGCGTCCCGGTCCCCGTACGGCGAAGGTCAATCCCCAATCGATGATGGAGGCCGCCAGCCGTAGACGTTGTAACTTTCGAATTATCAGTATCACACGACTTCTTGTGAGTGCTTAACCCACAAATAAACATATGAATGGATGTTGCGATCCAGGACTTCCTTCCTTGCGTGTGCAAGTACTACTTGCAACTCCGCAGGATCCTTGCCAAGTAAGGCCACCGAACCTCTCTCAAAGCCTGCAGAGGAATATTGAAGGAAGTTGGCAACTTCGAGCGCCCCGATTGTCTTCAGCCTTTTGTCCTTCGGCCAACGGTTCGTGGGAATCTTGTATATGCGCTCATGGACATCTTCAAAACCTTGACTTTCCAACTGGGCCTTCCACTTTTTGGCAGCCCGGCCATCTACACCCATGGCATCGGCTATCTGGAAATGAACCGCGCTCATTTCTCGGTAACAGGAGTCTGGAGGACATGTGCCGTCGTCGCACCCTATCTCTGGCACAGTGACTGATAGCTCCAGATACCCGCCTGGTCGAAGATGCTCGCGAGCCTGTGAAATGAGCGCTGGCCAGTCGCGGATCGCAAAGATCAACTCTCGTGCGTGAATCAAATCATAGACACCTTTGGGAAACTCCCAATCCGACTCGACGTCCATAATCTCAAACTGGCAATTGGGCGGAACCCATGTAGGTTGAACGGCTGCTATGTCGACGCCGGTTACTGATGCCGACGGGAAAGCATCGGCCATCTGGATCGCCCAAGTCCCATTGCCAGTTCCCAGGTCGAGAATGTGGTGCGGATCTTCCACCACGGGTGCTAGATGGAGGCGGCCTTCATACAAGAAGAGGAATTTGGAGTGCTGGAGATCATTTCGTTCCTGTTCTTCCTGGTCGATTGGAAGGCCATAGAAATGTTTTCCATAGGCGGCATATCGGCGACCATATTCCTCGATGCCTTCACGAATCTCGGTCGCAATGCTAAAGGGACGTTAAGGCCCATCCCCACAACCTTGTGAGCTATTTACTGACCTCGTCACATAACTTGCCGTCGACGAGCCAATGTCGAAGCCTTCGTCTGTGAAGTTGTCATCCGGTTCCATCACGTTCATCCTCTGGGACGATTTTCGACGGCCACGTTCACGTAAAGAATATGTGAAGAAGACGAAGAGGTGAGGAGGATGTTGAGCGTCACGGCGTTCGCCCGCCCGGCCATCAAGAAAAGGCCGTCGCGCGAGAGGACTGTCTAGGAGGAGGTGAGAATGCCCCGAGCTCGCCCATCGCCCCCTCCGTCAGTCTAATTGCCACGTGCTTCGGCCCCACTGTCCCGGCTTGGAGAAATGAATGATTGCTGATCTCAGGTGAGCTTCCGCGTCGCTTGGGCAGGCTAATCGCTGGACTAGTCAAAGGATCCCGAAGTTTCCCAGGTGGTCCAGGGGGTTGATTGGCATCATGCGGACGCCCCGAAGAGGTTCTGCCTCTGCGTTGTGGACTAGATCCAATCGCTTAACAAGGAGCGACACCTTCGTTGACCTTCGGCGGTTGGAAACGTCTCCCTCTTATATCGTGAGTGAAGTTGCAATCGCGTCTTGGTCGGTCCCTTTGCGTGAGAAGCGAGGTAAAGGGTGAGTTCTGCATCTTCCGACGCTGACAAGATCAATTGCCCACAAGCGCGGAAGAGGTTCTCCTCATGCGATACTTTCTGCCTCCCAGACACGATACTTTCCAAGCTTGGGCCCTCACCGGGAGCTATCGGAGGGATTGCCTAAACCGCTGCTTATGCGCGGCGCCGGCGGCCTTTCTCCAGGTCCACGGACCACCTAAGATCGCGATGTGAGCGTTCACGTAAAGGTTTGACTATACGAGAACGACGACGCCTATCAGAGGCTTGATCTTGGATATATTGATTTTCGAGTATCAATAATGGACGAAGATACACACTTGGGTATAGGATCAATTCTGGAGGATGTGCCGAATTGTGACCTTCACCGACCTCGGCTGCTACTCCAACCTGCAATACCACCTGCCTACCTTATACTCGTACCATCCCACCTGTTAATTTACCTGACTTACTGTCAGTATCTCAACTACCGAGGAACTAAGCGCTGCTCCCACCACACCACCGTAAAGTCATTGGTCGCTGCGTCTCATGCTATCGTGACCTGCATACTTCGTTCCCAGGCACGGCGCGATTCAGGTAGGATTCTCACCACTAACAATTGCAGCTCCCTGACAAGTACCCTCTTCACGGCTGCAAGTCATCCAATCCTATGCGTCCACGGATGGTACACATAGCACGCCCTCCTGTCTGCGTGAGACTAACGTGAGACAAGTGAAGCTAACCTCTCTACCTACGCAACAATGTGGTTTCATGATCATCTGGCACTTTATCCCTTCTTCTTCATCGTGCATCTGAAACCCGTAACATAGACAGGATGTCTCTTACAGGAACGAAAGCACCCCAAGATGATGGCCCAAAGCTACAACAGCTGGCTGAGCAGCTCTCAGAAGCTGCAAAAGGGTACACTCCAGGTCCCGGTGCAGCGGGGTACGAGTCGCGGGCGAATGTCACTCATATCGCCAAAGAAATCGTGCGCCTCATGATGGCACCAAATCATATGGCCATGCAGCACGCCACCAACGTCGGTCAGAGCATGTCCTGTAGAACGACACCACAACTGACATTTTGGCCTTACAGGGTCTTGAAATCGTGGCCGTGAGAACAATGCTAGGACTTGGCGTGCTCAAGGCTATCCCGCTCGAGGGATCGATATCGCTGGCCGACCTGTCCAAAGCGACCAACGTCCAGGACTCGCTCCTAGAACGTATGCTCAGATTGCTTGTCGGCACAGGCTTCATTGATCAGACGCCCGACTACGACTATGTCCATACCAAGTTCTCCCGCGCATACATCCCAAGTCCCGGCCCAGGCAATTTCTTCCAATTCATGTAAGGCCCCATCTACTCCAGGATATGCCTACTAATTCCCAAGAAACGACGAATGCTTGTCGACAATGCTCCATTTCCATCAATACATCAAAGACCGAGGCGAAACACCCGTCCACGAACCCGATGATCCTCTCCGCAACCCATACACCCACCGGCACAACCAAGACGGCCTCCCCGTCTGGGCAGTCATGGCACAATTCCCCGAGCGCTTCAAGACCTTCCAACTCGGATTGATGGCGCAAGAAGACTCGGCGCCCATAACCGGGTTCTACGACTTTTCTGCTCTTTACAACCCCGACACCGACGGCGACAGGACAACACTAATCGACCTCGGCGGTGGCCAGGGCCAATCCATCATCGAGATCCTAAGTAACTTCCCCAGTCTCCGCGCGGACAAATTCATCCTGCAGGATCTGCCCGAACCAATCGCGCACGTCAAGGAAACCAAATCCCTCCCCGAAGGTGTGACGGCGATGGTGCACGACTTCTGGACCCCGCAACCAATCAAGGGTGCTAAAGCGTATTTCTTCCGCCGCATCATGCACGACTACAGCGACGAAAATTGCACCAAGATCCTGGCGCGTGTCCGTGATGCTATGGAGCCAGACAGTAAAGTGCTGATTGCGGATATGGTCATGCCCAAACGCGTGGGCGAGGCTGATTTGCCGGCAGCTGCGATGGACAATTGTGTGATGGTCATGGGCGGGAAAGAAAGGACAGAAGACGGCTTCCGTAAGATCTTGGAGGACGCGGGACTCAAGCTACACAAGGTGTGGCGGAGCAGGGAGGGCGGCGCGGCAGGAAACATTGTGGAAGCGAGGTTGAAGGACTGATGGCCTGTAAGTGGAACGTGGACATCAAGCTCGTGAGAACAGGCGGGATGCTCCAGCTATAACGTGCTCACCAGGTTTATTGAGATGGGCGGGACCGTCCAACATAATGACTTGGTATGCTTGGTATGATGGGAGCCCTTCAACACTTGCATGGGTGAAATAGCGGTGGTAGAAGCCAGGAGAACATCATGCATATATGCCCAGTAGACGACTTTACTAGAGTCGAACGTCTCATATCCAATATCATTATCAATGATCGTTCCATTGAGAACCTGTCTGCTGTCCATTGTCCAGGCTTTTCATTGTCGTTTTGACGGCCGCCAGCCCCGAATAACGCCGCTTGCTATGCCTTTTCCAATTCTTGTGCTATCAATACAAAATTCAATCATGCCTTCTTCTTGCTCGGCTTCTTCCGCGCCGTTCCATCTGCTCCCGCCTTCAATTTGAGCTTCAGACTCGGCTCGATGCTGGCGTCTCTCCCGGCCTTCGTCGGTGTGACTTGGATAGTATCGCCAGCGGAATCCTTCAGAGGACTTTCGTCTCCTTGATCATCCACATTTTCTGTCTCTCTCAACTTGCTCGGACCCGACGCACCCTTCTTGTCCTTCTTGATGTCACTCATCTTCTGCTTCTTCTTCGTGGTGCCTGGACTGTCATCGTCCGCCTTTCTTTTAACGCCGTTGGTGGTCGGTTTGGGTGAATTGGCTCGACTGTCTCGAGGTGTGCCACCAATTTTTGCATTTGCTTCTCTGCCGGCAGCACGATCTTTCTTGAGGTAACAGCTTCCGTTTAAATGCGTGGCGAAGACATTGACCGACTTCCAATGATCCCCTAGGTGAGATTCACGATTCGGGCACTTTGCCGCCGGAAAGTCGATTTCCTTGAATTCGAAGGACTCGTTCGGTCCAGAAGCAGGTGTGAGAGGATCCGAGTTTTCTGATGCTGGTGAGGCAGGCTCGTTCTTCTTCTTGTTCTTGCCTTTGGCCTGTCCCTTGACCTTGACACCCTTCTTGCGTTGCCCGTGGACGTCATGCTTGTCGATGATAATCATGGGTTCGGTCTTGCAATATTGTTCATTTGGATCGGGTACAGGGCGAGCATTGAAACCAACTCTGGGATACAGAAGCCGTCGCAGCCGACAGTTGGGACACCTGATATGCTTGACGGTTTTCATTGGATTGCCTTTCAGCTGTACTTGCCCGTCTTGCAAGATAGCAGCATCGGTTTCGACTGCCTCGTCCTCGGCAGCTTCGTCGGGTTTGTTTTGTTCGACTTCGACAACGGCTGTTTGCATGCGAGCGATCTTCTCTTCTTGATGGATATCGAGCAGAATGTCATGAAGAATGCTCTCGATGGATTGATCTATGAGGTAGGTGACCTATGAATGTCAGTACCCATGGGTGGGCTTAAGGTGCTCATTGACATACCGCTTGCTCCTGGTCGGAGGCAGAGAGACTGACTGACTCTGCGGACGCCATTGCCGGAGACTTCTTTACTGGAGGTGGGACGTCAGCTGTGATGTCTTCAACTTCCATAAAACGCTTCCACAAGTCGACATCGAGAACACTGTTTGGATACAAGCTGGCATATGCTCGTGGTGGTGCCATCTTGAACAAGAGTCGGAAATAAGACGCAGCCTGACCAGCAGGATGTGCAAGAGACCATAGACTGGGGAGATAGGTCGCTGTACGGGCATGAAGAGGGCTGAAGGTGCAGAAGGATATCTCAAGTGCTTGCGCTTTGCAGGGAGCATCCGCAAGGCCATTGACAAACCCATGATGGGCAGGGGACAATCGCAGAGTTCGCATCCCATTGTGAAGACCCATCCACTTACTATTATGGTGTGGACAATCGTGTATTCACGCAATCCGACTCCTTGCAATTCAACCACCTTCACTTCCTGCCGCACCTAGCCCTACACTATTGAGGAGACAGCCATTGCTGTGTTCAATCGTGGGCAAAAGGATGTTCTCGTCTTGGCGTGTGAACGGCAGTACAGTACTCGACCTCTGAACTTCGTGACCGAGGGAGGAGGATCTGGTAGCAGGCCGACCGCCGCGAGGCTCGTGACGACCGTGTATGATGGCCTCGGCTGATCGGACAGTTCGGTACTTGGTACTGGGATAGGTGTGCCACTGGAGCTTAGGGACCTGGACTCTGACAGGTAATCATACACTAGCCAGTATCAATGTCAATGTTCGCTGCGTCAGTGAACAAGATGTACAAGACGGAGGGACACTCGGAAAAAAGGCTGGTATGGTGGCCAAGTGCCTTTTTTGCGGCTTAACTAAACTGCACCCCATGCGCTCGCCGATAAACTGCGCTTTAGCGGCGGCACCACCCGCACCTGCATCTCTGTCTTCCAAGTGGATTTCTTTCCATCACCCCTTGTTAACAAACACATCCACACCTCAATATCTTGCAGCCTTGCAGCGACAAGAAGTCGATGGTCACAGGAGAGCACAAGGATTTCAGTCAACGCAATGACTGATCAGGCCAGCAACTCAGGAGACACGTGTCGAAGATGCCTCAAGCCAGTCTCTTGTCATACTTTTCCAAGCCGGTAGCATCATCTGTCGTGGACCGCGATCATGCCGGCGTCAATGCTGCCGAGAATGTAAAATCCATCGGATCAGGATGCACTGCGGTTGCGGCAAAAGCTCCCGCCATTATACAGAAACTGCAAGAAAAAGAGAGCCTTCCCGCCACGACTGCCTCGGACATCGGAAGCGCACGCGACAACCAGTCTGAAGATGCCAGCACTTCATCTCTACCAGAAAAGCAGACTCCCAACACTACCAACGGCTTCGGTCTTGCACCTGAATGTTCCAAGATCTTCTCCGTCCCACATCTCCCAGAAGCCATCATCCTACCGGTTCAACGGGCACATCTACCGTCAATCCAGCGCCTAACGAGCACGACCCTCCCTGTCCGTTATAGCGAAGTCTTCTTCACGGCAACACTCACAGATCCAGTCGTTGCTCAGCTATCAAGGGCTGTTCTCTATTCCTCAGATCCAGTAGGCTGGATTCGATGTCGTCTGGAGCCGTGCTCACCACGAACCGACGCGTCCTTTTCCGGACTAGAGCTATCCCAGATCTACATTCAAGCTCTGGCTCTACTGTCACCATACCGTGGTCTGGGATTGGCCTCGGTGTTGCTGGAAACGATCTTGTCATCTTCGATTGCGAAAGCGTCAGAGACGGTTTGCATCTACGCACACGTGTGGGAGAAGAATGAAGACGCATTGGACTGGTACGCTAAAAGGGGTTTCAAGCGTGTTATGCTGGTCGAACAGTATTACCGAAGACTGAAGCCCAGCGGTGCATGGATCGTAAGGAAAGAACTCGACGGAAGTTGAAAGGAGCTTCAGTCCTCATGATCCCCAATAGGACTTTTGGACAGGTAGCCTCGACCAGCGCCAGGCTTAAGGGCTTGATTTATAGCCTCACTCAAACTTGGGCCTACGCATTTGCGTGAGGTGGATAGGCTAAGAATGGCCTCTTCTTGTTCTCCTCAGGCCTTGCGAGTTGCTTTCGACGCTGGTAACCCTCGTGGTCCTTCTTTGCTAGCAGAACAGCATCCACCTTTCCCGCCCAGTCGACTCGCAGATCCGATACTGTATATACAATTCGTCCTCAACGCAGAGCTTGGCAATTAGAGCATAGAAGCCACATAACTCTCCTCCATCCCCCTCACCGCCCGTTTGAATATCTCGACCTCCTTCCAACAATCCAGCGGTTGTCGGTCTTTCACCCTCAAACAAGAAATGACATTTTGTCTCCTGTAATCACACACCACACGTCAGCCATGCGCCCAAACCTCCTGCAGCTCTCCCAGGGTTCTTCTCAGAGTTCGGGGATATACTTACGCAGCTTCAACCTCACCCGGAACCTCCTTCAACACCTTCCTCGAATCCAAGGTCTGTCTCAACTTCTCAATCTCTTCCTGCACTTTCGTAGACGTCACATTCTTTTTCCGTTTATCTTCTTTACTCTCCAGCAGATCGCTAGGCGATATCGAGGGGATGGATAGTAATGAGCCCTTCCCACTCGAGGACTCAGACTTGTCGTCCGAGGACTCCAGAATCTTCTTCCTCGCCTCTTCCAATACCGACGATTCGTGGTTCTTGAGTTTCTCGAGTTCGGCGGCGACGCGGTGCGCAATGTGTAGTTCTAGTGTCTTTGCGCGTGTTGAGTTTGTCTACACAGTAGTAACGTTAGCATGTCTGTGTCGTTCTTGCGCAATACCCCAGAAAGAAAACCACGACTGTCAGGGTCACGTACTTCTGATGATGCTTCGAGTGCGTCGATTAGCCTGCAAGACCATAAACGTCAGTTCTATCTTGCGCACAGGTCCAGACCGGGTTCTTCCTACTCTTGTGAGAATTGTATGGGTGTGTCGCTTGCGAAAACATGCTTGGTAGATTCGTCCGGCTTGGACTGGCCGGCGCCCATGTTTGCAGCCGCGCCGAGTTCGGAAGGTTCGGGTCTTTCGGGGGGGATAGCTTTCTGTCGTATACCCTGAGGTCACTGAAGAACCAGATTTGGTCAGTGTAAATGTGTTCTGTGTTGCGCAAGCTTTCCGTCGAACCCTCTACAACAGCTTCCAATGCTCGCCGGCCGAGTGACCTGGGACTGACTCCCCGAAAAATATCCTTGGCAGGTACACGCAGAAGTGGAAGGTTTAGGCGAGGCATATCCTTCTGCTCGACATCAACACCAACACCAACACCATCACCACACTTGTACTCCCTTCCACCACCAACCTCATCATGACCGAATTCATAAGACCACTGAAGGGGCAGGAACATTGGGCTCTTATCCAGCACGATACAAAAGGCGATGTTGCAAAGAAGTCGATCATACCTCCTCTTGTACTGATCGTGATGATTATGCCTTTCACAGCCTCAGGTTCCAACCGGGCAATCATATGTATCCTAGTCACCACAACCTCTTCCAATAGTTCGTCCTCAAGGAATGTACACCCGACGTCAAGCGATCACTGCCCAAGTCCCCAAAAATATTTCGTACACGAAAATCCAATCGCTCATGCCAACTTATGCTAGACCTGCCTCCTTCAGGCCTTTTTCAATACCTTTCCTTCTTCGCATGTCAACGACAAGGAGGTCTCGCTCCTTCAAGAGAGCCTCGAGTGTATCCACAACCTTGTAAAAGCTGCTCGCTGCTCCCTTTTCCTGGGTGAATTTCATGATGCTCAAATTGGCCTTGCGACCATGTTCAAGGACAGAATACAGATATGCGTGGAAATGCACGGGTTTCAATTGCAAATCTGCTATCATGTTAGCATAATCCTCACTCGAACGGGTGAGAATCTTACAGTTTGAGGCGTCGACACGAGCCCGTACCACATCACCGCCTGTTCTGCGCTCAGCAACGACGTCTCTGATTCCATACTTTCGCCATTCTTTCAAGATCTTGGTAAGCTCCTTTCTCGCCTTGCCTTTGCTGGTCTGGAGACAAATGACTCTGCTTGCAGGCTTGATGTGGAAGAACTTTGCGAACCAATTCTGGCTGATCTCGATCGGACCCAGAGCGGCTGCTGCTTCCGCTGCGTCCACGCTTGTGGCTGGGGGATAAATCTTACGAAGTCCGCCCCTGGAGTGATCGACCGCGATGCCGTCGACATTTTGAACTGCGTCATTTGTGTCCGTCTCGTTGGACAACTCTCGTACAATGCGATGCTCCACCAAGGTGGATGGTGCGTCGTCCTTGACCTTGGCGGACTTGCCAAACATCTTCTTGAACCATTGTCTCTTGTTTTCCATGTTCAATTCGACGTCGCCGGATTCTGGCTCACTGTCCTTGGTCCTCGAGAGTGTGATGGACTTAGTGGAGTCGCTCGGTTCAACCACATGTGATGCATGCGATTCGAGGTCGCCCTTGACATCTTCACTAGACTGAGCAGCAGCCTCCGCCGTGTCGTTCACTCCTGAACCGCGTTTACCAAGCCATGACCACTTTCGAGCGGTGGATGGTTTCTTTGGTGAGCCCGGGTTCTCCTCGATCGTGTCAAGACCAGTCTTGCCGTAGAGGCGCTTGTCGTAGCCGACACGCTCATGCTGGGCCTTCGCCATGTCGACAGGGCCACCTCTCAATGAGTTGATCGGCATCGCCTTGTTCTTGCGGACTTTCAGCGGCTCAATTCGTGCCAAAGGGGAAGTCGGGTCCGGAGTAACAAGGCGGATAGTGTTCTCCTGACGAGCTCTAGGTGTTTGGAATTTCAGAGGGGCTGACGCCACTCTGTGATCACGATCGCGCTTCAGATCTTCCATCGTGTCGGTAGGTGAGATATTTTGGTGATATCTTGCCTGGACTCCACTGTGTGTGGGGTCAGACGCTGCTCGCTTGTCAGCATCACGCTGCTTGTCTATCTCAGCATCAATACGTTTGTCCACAGCAGCCAGCATATCTTCCAGCACAGCCTTATCAGCATCACCCCAGGTCTCGATGATCTTGTGACGGCGTTCGATTAACTCCTGAAGCACCGGAGTAGCGGGCAATGGTCGATCCCGGATGCTCCGTGGCACTTTGTAGTTGTGGGCAGATATTGACGTCGCCGAGGAATCCAAAGCAGCTTGTGGACTTAATTCGCTAGCTGACATGGAGGAGCGATTGAAGGCTTCCTCACAGATTTTGCCTAGTTCGGCACTCACCTTGCGCGTCTCATCCTTCCAATGGTGATTGGACACCCGAGATTTCTTCATGTCCATTTCTGAGCTAGACTTTCGAGGCTGGTATGTCTGCGAAGGCGTAGACAGGCTTGGCGTGCTCTGAGTCTCGGTTCTTGGATTGCTTGTGCTGCGGGTATAAGGACGTTCACTGGAACCACTTTCGTACAGCACCAGTGGGCGATTCGGATTTGGATGACCATAAGAACCTTGCCGACCATGTTGGAAGCTGACTTGTCGCTTATAGCTCATGGACTTCCGTATACCAGCTCGGCGTCTTGTGGTGGACAGAGAACTCTTAGATGTTGCCGTAGAGTATGACGCTCGCTTTTTCTGGATGAGCCTCTCAAGCTCTTCGGAGGTGAAAGTTGGGAGGGCAGGAACTTCGTCTTGTATCCGCTCCAAGGCTTTGTTGCGGACACTGCCGGCTGAACTACCTGGTCGACCAGCAGACGCAGCCCCATGTCGGCGGACAACTACTGTTGCAGGTTCAGCATTATTGTCTGCGATAGGCGTCCTAGAAGCTCGGTATGGATCGTAGCTGCTTTGGGTGACCTTGCTCGCTGCTGTTGCTGGGTTCTTGTAGTACCCATCACGATGGCTGGCATCATCGCTGACAATCGAGAACTGGGAATGACGACGATGGTGACCACGACTGGTCGCAGGGCGCTTGGTAGGTTTCGGCACTGGTTTGCCGACATGATGATAGTCACTCGCTGAGTACTGAAGGGATTCACCAGGATAATTCTCAAGTTGATCATCTCTGAATTTGACCAGAGCCCAGTAGAACAGCTTCTCATGGTTCGGCTCTTCGCTCATCAGTCTTTTTGTCAACTCTACGATTCTCTCGCCATGCCAGAGAGTCGAAAGATTGCTCAAAATCTCAGCATCAAGGTCGGACCGCCTAGTCACGCGTTTTGTTTGCGCTTCGACGCTTAGCGGAGGGGCTTGACCGATGAGCGGTTCTGGTGCGGCCAGGCTTGCATGATATTTCTCGTACTTGCGCAAAAGCGGATGTGCCCAGATTTGTTCCATGTTACTTCTCTTCTCAGGTCGCTTCTGCAGAATCCGCTGAACGAGATCTGAGGCTTCGACGCTCAGGTTGGGTGGCAGATAGTATTCTCCTTTCTTGACCAGACGCAAAGTGTTCTGTAGAGTACCACCATCGAATGGCAGAAAGCCGTTGAGCATGGCAAATAAGATGATACCTGTGCTCCAGATGTCGGCCATATCTCCTCGGTATTTCTGACCAAGGATGATTTCTGGTGCCGCGTAGTGTGGACTCCCGCAAGAAGTATTCAGCCAGGTCCCGTCCGGTTGCAGGGCTGCCATGCCAAAATCTGCTAACTTGATGTTTCGTTCGGCATCAAGCAGAATGTTTTCAGGCTTCAGATCTCTATGGCAGATGTTGAAGCGATGGCAGTACGAGAGTCCGGCAATGATCTGGCGGAAGAGTCTGACTGCTTCCCCTTCCGGTAGTGCTCCATTGCTTGAGACGTAGTCGAACAGTTCGCCACCGGAGACATATTCGAGGACGAGGTACAACTCACCACGGTTCTCCCAGATGTCATAGAGGTTGATAATGTTGGGGTGTTCAATGAGCTTCATGATCACGACCTCACGTTCGATCCCAAAAGGCATTGTGCGAGGGCCAGCTGCGATCATCGATGCGGTATCATCCTTGTCCATTCGAGCCATACTCGCACTCTGAACCAAAGCGGCGGATTTCTTGGAGACGATCTTGACCGCAGCCACCTGACCGGTCAAAGCGTGTTTTGCAAGACGAACTCTTCCAGTAGCACCTTTTCCCAAAGTCTTGCCCAACTGCCATGGTCCAACATGAGTCTTTCTTTTCCCTTTCCCAGCGCCAGAAGAATTCGAGATTGTGGAGGCTTGCGAATTGCGCTTGTCGTTGGCGGCCATTTCGTCAGCAATGGTAGAGAGCCGTTTGTTCTCGATCGCAGGGACCTTGCCAGCTACCTTTTCCCGCACGGATAGGTTGCCTTCAGGTTTTAGAGATGCATGATGTGGAAGTCGAGGCGAGGAGCCGCAACGAGGTTCGATGTTTTGTCTTGGACTTGCGCCAGGCACTCGTGGTGCTCTGGGTTGTATCTCGCCCAGAACATGTCTCTTGACCGGCGGCTTCTCAGATTTAGCATTGTAGGCTTGTGCAGTCCCGACTGTCCGACTGAAAGTTCTCTCTTGTGTAGCCATATCGATGGCCTTCGGTCGCGGCTGGCTCGATCAACGTTGACCGCCTGCTGCCGCCATTCGATGCCTTGAGATCAGTTAGTGTTATAACCATTTACTGGATCGAACCGCGAAAGGACTGTACCGCACACCGACTTTGTGTGGGTGTTGCGATTCCGAATTGAAAGGAGTGCTATGTGAGAAGAATTGAAGTGAAAGACTGTTCTCGAATTGGTGAGGTGCTGGTGGTGAAGTGTTGTCCCGCTCGACGAATTCTGCCGGTCCTCGTGCGATGACTTCCACGCTTTCACCAGATCAACTCAATCTGCCGTCCACGCTCTTTTCCTCCTCAACAGCCAATTCGCCTCCGATGCGATCACTAATATTCTGGGCCACTCTAGAACTCGAGCGCGTTTGTTGTTGTCAGAGCCGCATGCCTCGTGTCAGCTTTGTGATATGATTGGATTGCTTAAGAATGCTGGCGCATTGAGCATAGGGGGATGTTGTTTTAGGTAAGTCCAAAGGGAGACCAAAACCCAAAAAGGCTTGCAAGAATCCAAAAAGAGCGATCTAAGACGCAACCAAGGCTGAACGACTGGGCTTCGGCCTGGTTTGAGGTATCGAGGAGGAGAAAGACCTACCTCAGGAGACGGTTTCTGTCGAAGAAGGTGAAATAGACCTCCATCTTTGCATGGCAGGCACCGCTGTACTCGGAACCTCCAATGCAGTCTCAATCATCACTGCCGCTTCGCATGACAGGTACACTGGGATAACCCAGGAAGCTGCAACGAAAGGATGGGATATCAGGAGAACGACTGCCAACCCAGAAAGGTGATACTGATTGTTAGTATGGGCACTGCAGAAGCCATGCTCGACTGCATAGCTGTGCCCGTGGTCGTGGTATTTTACTGGCTACAGTACACAGCATACATTCATCAGCATGCTGAGCATTGGAGCAACAGGAATTCCTTCTTGAAATCTGCCTGCGACAAGTTACGAGGCTCTCTTGATGGAATCTAATTGAGTTGACGCGGCCTCAATCTGCGAACGGGCAGGACACGTCGTCACCGATTTCATTGGATCATGGATGACCTAAAGAGGTGACATTATTGCGAATGGGCCTAAAAGCTTACCGTCGTTAGTCAAAGCTCTTTAAGCAAGTTAATACAGCGACTCTCAGGCCGGGGAAGCTTTGGCCCGGAAGCCACTAGCGCAGATGGCAACCCGCACCATTTCCTTGCCACGCAACCACGCGGCTGGTCTCTGCTGTCATGACTTTCAATATTGTATCCGCATTGACTGCGAGTACGACTTACGAGTTCTCTCACTGCTGCCTATTGAATGCTGCTACATCCCGCTCTACCCTTTGATGTCTCTCTCCCTCCTTTCAAATCTATCCCTACACCTCAGTGATCCTACCAACCTCTCTCCCCGTGCAAGATGAGAGTTCTCTCACTCCTCTCGGCGGTCGCCGTCGCCTCGGCCTTTGTCATTCCAGACCAGGCCACCCTCGAATCGCTAGCGCTTGAGGATCAGGAATCTCGACAGTCTCAGGAACATCCATTCTGGAAGAAGGTCCACAAGGCGGAGCACTTCTGGCACGATCTTGAAGAAGAGTTCACAAAGAGCGCAAAATGTGCAAAGCACAGGTTCGAGGAAGTCGTTGAGTCAACACAGGATGCTGCCGTACAATATGGCAAACAATTTCAAGATGCATTCGCAGGCGATGCCTGGTTGGAGAGTGCCGACTTCGATCTAGACCTGCTAGAGAACCCACCTCGCGATGATCCTCACCATGGTCCTCGCCGTCACGAAGGTCCCCCGAGTGATGGCCCGCCACACCACGGTCCTCCCGGCAAAGGACCTAAGGGCCCTAAGAAGCCACACCATCCACCCCATCATGGTCATGGACCTCCAAACCAGACTGTCTATGAGTTGATCTCAAAGAGCAAATATACCACGAAGCTAGCTGCAGCTATCAACGAGTACGAGGACCTTGTTGAGCTCCTCAACGGCACTAAGGCCAACTATACCGTCTTCGCACCCACCGACAAGGCTTTCGAAAAGATCCCTGAAAAGGCTCCAAAGCCTTCCAAGGAGTTCTTGAAGAAGCTTCTCACATACCACGTCTCGACCGAATTCTATCCAGCTGGTAGAATCTTGGCCAGCCGTACTATTCCAACGGCACTTGAAGCCGAGTTCATTGGCAAAGTGGCCCAACGTATCTCCAGCCAGATCTCTTTGAAGGGTCTTACGCTCAACTTCTACTCCCGAGTCGTTGCCATCGACATTTTTGGAACCAATGGTGTCATCCATGGAATTGACAGCCTACTTTTGCCGCCTCCCAAGGTTGTTGACATCCTATCTTTGCTGCCCGGCGAATTCAGCACTCTCGGCTTTGCTCTCGAGAAGACTGGCCTGTACCCACTGTTCAATGACACAACGACCCACAGTGGTGGTACACTTTTTGCTCCTTCCAACTTTGCTTTCAAGCGCCTTGGTCCAAGAATCAATGCCTTCCTTTTCAGCACCTATGGTCAGAAATACCTTAAGGCACTGCTGCTGTATCATGCCGCTGATAACATCACTCTCTACTCCGATGCTATCTACAAAGTCGATTCTGCTGAGACACATACACCTCATTACAAGGTACCCAAGGGCTTCATTCACGTGGACCTGCCCACTGGTCTCGAGGATAAGAGCCTGAGCATTGATATTGCTCGCTATGGTCGATTGATTACCATCAAAATCAATGGTTTCACCCGTGTCAGCGTCAGTGACGGCATCGCTGCTGATGGTGTCATCCACGTTGTGCCCAACGTGTTGATTCCCCCTAAGACGCCTGGCGGGCTAGGTGTTGCCGAAGACGATATGGATCTTGATGAGTTCAAAGCAAGGCTGGCTCCTTTCGTTGAGGAAACAGAGTCCAGCGAGGGCTTCAGCTTCACTCCAGAAGACCCTGAACTGTGAATGGACAGGATTGTATCCTTGCATGTCGGCTAGCCGACACGGCTGATGCTCGTGTCTGAGCACGGGTACAATGTACCCGACATTTATGTATATAGCGATGCTTACGACGAATCACGATCATTACTGAGTTAGATGTCTTGATAATCATAATCAACGACTCAAATGGAGTTTGAGTGGCATGAGAAGATATAACAACATTTCCTTTACTCGTGCCCCTGCGTCATTTCCTGTCTCGCGTTCTGATTGTCGTTCCCCCGGCATATTACCAATGAGCCTCGGTGATCTTCTGTGTTACAATATCGTCGTCAACATCCATGCCATCCACGTACCATCGTCCCTGGATCCCTTCTTCCGGCACAGCTACACCGTCACCGTCCCTGCCGAGCAAGATGTCGTTCCCGCACATCTGTCGCTTCCTCATTTTCCCAGTCTCGCGATCAAAGGTCCAATCCTCAAGACCGTAGCACCGTTTCCACTTCATTCCGTCGTACTTGTCTTGATATTCGTACCAGAACTGCACGGCGATTTTGTCGTCGGTAAAGGAGAAAAGTTCCTTGCGCAAACGGTAAGAGTGCTCCTTCTCCCACTTCTTGGTCAGGAATTCGATGATTTTTTCTGTGCCGATGAAGAATTGATCACGGTTGCGCCAGATGCAGGTGGGCGTGTAGCCGTTGGAGACTTGATTTGGGTTACGTGTGTTCCACATGTTCTGCGCGAATTTGACCTTTTCTGTCGCCGTCTCGAGAGTGTACGGAGGTTTGAGAGACGCCATATCTGATGCTGAGGACGATCTTTGATACAAGATGAGCTGCGAGCTGCACAAGGAGTTGTCCCGCACTTGCGGACTACGAGAAAATGCTTCGTACTATCAAGGTGTCGTACTCGAAGCTGGTGGAAGTGTTGGAAAGTGCAAGCCACGAGCTCTTATATGTCATGGACCCCTCACCAAACACCGATTTTATCTTCGATCGAATCTGACAACAGCTTCGGCGTCTAGCACCTATTCGGGCGACTTTGCAACGACAACTACCTACCTCCCAGCGATCGCAGCCTTGTTCATCGAGCCAATTACCACGACCGAAAACACGAGCCGCTCTTACCTCAAGCCCTCTCTTAGCTTTCTAGCACTCGCCTCAAAAACAGCATGACAAAGATTGCAGCGATCGTATTCGCTTCGCCTGAAGAGCTTGCAGAGGTGGAGCCGATGAGGAAGGGTGGTCCTATACGCCCATAAGCGGCAAATGTATCTGCCAGTATATTATGTTCCCCGTGGTCTTTGAAGTAAGCGAAAGCGGATCGGATCCATCAGTAAGTTGGAAGAAGAAGTCAATACCTTCCCAATCAAAAGCAGCGCCATGACAGGAAAGCAGCAACAGATTGTGCGGGGCAGAAAGATTAGATGTTGATTATCCCCCACCATCATGAAGAAGCACCCGACGTCGACCGGCATACGCCGCAGGTCAGTTTGTCCACTGCCAGGTCATCTTGTGAAGCAATTCTTCCTACACTTGTACCACCCATTCCCTGCGACTCCCAATTCACCAGCCTAGCCGAGCCAGATACATCCAAAGGCTTCCACTATGTCGCTCAAAGCAGGAGACAAATTCCCTGACGATGTCGTATTCTCGTAAGTGGACTACCGCACCCATCTTTGTTTCAATGCATTTCTTGCAGTACTCGGCTGACCAATCTTCTCACATCCAGGTACATCCCCTATACCGAAGAAGCCGCCGACATAACCGCCTGCGGTATCCCGATAAACTACAATGCCTCGAAGGAATGGGCCAACAAGAAGGTCGTTCTCTTTTCCGTGCCCGGCGCATTCACACCTGGCTGCTCCGTGCGGCATTTGCCCGGATACATTGAGAAGCTCGAGGAGATCAAAGGCAAGAAGGTCGACATCGTCGCTGTCCTGGCATACAACGACGCTTTCGTTATGAGTGCCTGGGCCAAAGCCAATGGCATCAAGAACCGGGAGGAAGATATTGTGAGTGAACAACGCATATACCCGTTACACAGTACCACTGTTGCGCCGTGCGCATCGTGAACCCCTATCGGGTGGGCTGGCTTCCTTCGGCTTGGTCATCTTACAAATTACCCGGTCAAAGTCTATTATTTGCTGACTCAATGCGTCTTCCTTCGCTTAGCTCTTCCTCTGCGATCCTGAAACAAAGTTCTCAAAGTCGATAGGCTGGAACCTCGGCGAGAGAACCGCCCGGTACGCCTTGATCGTAGACAATGGAAAGGTTGTGTATGCGGAGAAAGAGCCTGGTCGGGATGTCACGGTGAGTCAGCTGCAGCTAGACAAGCACAGCACTTGTTCTCGGTGCTTGATGTACCGAAAGCACGTCTGTGTTGATATGGAAAATGTTACTAATGTTGATGTTTCATCCTAGGTATCCGGTGCCCTCGCTGTTCTGGCCAAACTATGATAGCAACGCCCAAGTCAAGCATGTTGCGACAGCGATAATGGCAAAGACTCAGAGTATAGCCCTCTTCATACACGGCTTCAGCAACCGCGTTGAGATCTGATAGAATCACAGTATAGAAAAGGAATACCGCCCCAGCACATTAGTGTTGGTCGAAAAGAACGTATTTTTAGATTTTCTGGAACCATCACCACGGGCCCGCTTCCAAGCCCCTGGCCGCGAGCAGCCTTCGGGCAATGAGCCTCGCGAATCTGCTCCGCTGTCCACAAGACGTAGATTGAGACGCTTCAAGATACCACCAACTCCTTCACATTTTCATATTGGAACAGCTGCCGTAGACTTCCAGCACATCTCCCCAGGGTATCGCTCGCCGAAACAGGTTCATTCGTTTTCGGGTCTCGTGTCCGTCATGAGATAGGCAAAAGCAGGTCTTCAAACAGCGGCAAACTGGTATCGTCCTCCGGAGTAGTTGACTTCGTTGTGGCATCCGGGGCACCGTCATCGAAATTTAGGTCCTCCCCAGCATATAGCATCGGTCCAGCAGCATCTCCAGTGAAAGCAAACGCATCGAAACTATCCGGTACTTGCGTATTGCTGGCCTGTGAAGCCTGCTCGTTGGCAACTTCAGTCGCGCGGATCCGAGCCTGGAGCTGGGCGATACGTCCGTTCAATTTGGTGATGTTGCTCGCTTGCTTGGAATACGACGCCAACAGGTCTTGGTGCTTTTCATTGAGAGTCTCGAGCTGGTACTCCAGACCTTTGACGTGGCGTTCTTTGCGTTCCCGGAATGCTCGCTGTGATGCTCGGTTTTGTGCTCGTCGACGCTTTGAACAAATCAGCGGCACCGTACTAAGCCGGATTGATGCATGTAAGTTTGTACCTACCGCTTTGGATTTGGGAGTGTTTGGTTCTTTGGCATTAGGGGACGTGATCTGCTGGTCTTGATTGTTTGCAAGGTCGTAGCTGTCAAAATCGAAGAGTTCAAAGTCTACGGACTCCCATGTTTGGCTGGTGGGATCGATATCTGAGGAGGCAGTGGTGTTCCCTCGCTGCAATGGGTTGTTGATACTCTGACGAGGATCAGCTGATGGACGAAGGCTCTTTGCTCCGGACAGTAACATACGTCAGGTGAGCTGTTTGATGAACTGTGCTGAGGCGTGTAATCGAAGTAAGACCCCTGGGTAACGAGGGGTCTGACTTGTCGTAGCGAGAAGTCCATTGCGGGGTTCTGGACCGTCGATGTAAGCCAGATCTTTGCTGAGGCTGTCTTTGTCTTCGAAGCAAAGAATTCTGAGTTGGGTGCGTGCTGTCGTTGCTGTTCTTCTGGATATTTGCAAAAGATCGTCTCTTGAAATCCACGAATGTAGTAAACACAGCTGAGGTTGAAATCTTCATCAGGCAGAAGAGGGTTTGCGGCGGATTTAGATAAGCCCTGTCCTTTTGGACTTCGATGCAATGGTAACAACGTGCATCAGCCAATGGCAGCTGTAGACGCTGCTTAGGCAATACTTGCAGAAGAACGCACCCACAGGTCACTGCCGAATACAGACACTGACGAATCGGAGGCAGATCGTGCATTTCCCCAAAGGAGATAGCAGCTGTCTTACCAAAGCATTCCAAGCCGGCTAAAAGGCTGGGATACCACGCCAAAGTCGTTGGGATTTTGGTATATATGGGGTCGTGTCCAGTCGGACCATGCTCAGAATCGACGGTCTTTCCTGCCCGCACATCATGAGGGGTCTTCTCGCAGCTGTCTAAAGTTGGGCATGTTGTTGGGTGGCCTTACAGGGGCAATCCAGACTCCATTGGAAGCACGCCCAGGACAGGGCGCTCCAACTTCGAGCATTGCCATACGGTGCAGTAGCGGACCAGTGATGGGATGCTTTCGTATCCTTGGCAGGCGCTTTCAACAGCGGTACGGAGACATCTCTGCTGCATTATTTTGTGCAACACCAAATACGAGTGACTCCCAAGTTGAGGATCCCTAGTTAGGCGTTCCGGGCTATGCCCTTTCAGTGACTGGTGAAGTTTAGCGGCTTGCCTTCGGGCTAGCTTAATTAAGGCAGTCACAAATGGTCGCTTCAAGTTCTGTTTCATCTAATGTGCAATCTCTTACCAATGCTGTTGGGTACAGGTCGTACTATCATTGCTTTCTATCGGCTGAGATATTACCAAGATATCTCCTGAAACTGATATCCAGCACCGCTTCTTGTTTCAAGTCAGCGATTAGATTTGAGGCTTCCCTTCCGCCCCGGCTCCGTGTGGGGTTGATCAAGGCCTTCCATTAGGTCACCAGGGAACCTTCCTGACACGAGAACACGCTGATACACTTCCACCACCTTCTCCTTCTGGTGCGACGTCGTTCTTGCATACATTCCGACAGAAGAAGAACACTTCGGAGTTTCTGCGTTCATTGTTTTCACCACACTGAAGCGCTTTTTATGGACTTGGCCAAAGCACGCGATGAGCAACAGGGGTAGGTCACACATCCACGAGGTTTCGACGCGGCAACCTCCGGGAAAGCCTGGCATAAGCATGGGTGCGACCTTTACTCCCACGACATGTGCGCTTCAAAGGAGAATAACGAAAACTCGTTTACCTTTTTGAATTACAACACACCCAATCACAGTGCCTCTCACCGACGTGCAGTCAAGTCGCACATTTCGAGCAAGTACAGAACGACTATTCGACAGCAAGCTCAGCCTCGCTATGCACTCCCGCAGCGGTCACCCGATGGCGCTCTGTCTTCTCCCACCAAGTCTGAAGATGATGAAGCCTCGCTCATCCTGCGGAGGCGACCCAAAAAGTCGCTCGCCTGCTCGCCAGTAGCTCCTGAAGAGCTTAACACGCACTTCCTACCATCACCCATTCAGCAAAGTTTCAGTGGTCTGCGTGTTGATCCATTTGGTGTCTTACCTGGTCCGCAAACTCCATGTGTGGCGAATGCGCTGGACTATTATGTTCAGGTTATTACCCCGCTACACGAGCCTTTGCTGGTGGCTCTCAACGGAGCCAATCCTATGAAATCTTGGGTCTTTCCACTCATTCTCCAGCATAAAACTGCCTTTCATGCAGCCGTTGCTCTGTCCCAAGCATACTTCGAAAAGGCTCAAGCTCCAACTGCCCAATTATCTCAAGAAGTCGGGTATCATCGACGGAAAGCCATCAGCCTACTCCGTGACCAGTTGACGAACCTTAAAGGACCGCCAGATGATGCGGCCTTGTTGACAGTGTTGGCTCTGTCCTCGCTCGATGTTGTCTACAAGGCTGACAGTATGGCAAACCGGAAAGGCTTGGCCTTGATGGTCGCTATGAAGGGTGGACTTGACAGTCTAGGAGATCGGGGGCGAGTCAAGGCTTACCTCATCCAGTTCGACTACTTCTGGATGCTTGAGACTGGCTCGAAGAGCCTCTTTCCATTTTCCAAACGAACGCAGCAGAGAAAATACCCTCATCATCCATTCAGCCATGATACGCTAGAACTCATCAGAACGTTGCCTACCGGTTTCGCAGCAATAGCCTATCAGGGGAGCCTTGGACTCGACGTGTTGGACATATTGTCCAGGGTCAACAGATTTGCTCAGGCCAAGACGACAGAGCTTGATTCATCTTTGGTAAAAGACCAATTTGCCGAAGACGAGCAGCATCCGGATATATTTGACGCATGTTCTTGTCTTCATGCTTCAGCCACGGAGCACAGCTTGGAGAAACATTTGTGCCTTGCGATCATCCTTCTCTGTTTCGACATCCACAGCCAACCAGGGTCATCTTCGAAGCTTACGCCGTATCGCGGTTCTAGGCAGGAACTTACAAGGTCCCTGCCTCTAACCCCTCTACTCGGCTCTGACGAACGAGCCTGTCTAATATGGATCTGGATGATCGTGATTGGATCATGGAAAATGAGCCACGACACGAATGATCAGAGCTTCTTTCTTTGTTGCACCTTTTTCGAAAGGTTTGAGGAAGTGAAACAGTGGGACTATGTCGCGGGAGTCATGCGGCAGTTCTTGTGGTACGAGCCATTGTATCATGGGTGGCGGACAAGCTGGCGAGAAGCACTGGACGACTATGACAGAGCATTACGATGGAGAAGCAGTCAGGTAACCGACGCTTCATTGAGAGACTATGGACATTTTCGCCCGTTCGAGTCACGTAGCTTCAAACACTACAGTCGGGAGTCGACACCTGCATCAATGAGCTCGAAAGGAACACATGAGAGTCTGTCTGCGGTTCATTATCTACCGACCAGGACTCGATCGATAGATCGGGATGCTGACAGCATTTCCACCCTCAGTGCAGGTGGACCAAATGTTGTCCTTCCATCAATGTTCACCTTGGATAAATATCTTGACCAAATTCAGGACCAGAAACCCGATGGGACTTAGTCACGCGATTACACCAAGCAGCAGAATCGTCAGCTGCCCTGTATCTGAGACGGCCTGGATTGACAGACATCGAGCCTGTTTCCAGCAAAACCGGCACCGTCTGACAGGGAGTCCCACGACGATACAAGTACGTGTCCAGCAAGTTCGCGACAGCGATTGCCTTGACTTCGAGCTGATACGAATGGACGGTGGAGCTGATGCGCTTCCTCTTGCCAAAGCTTAATGCTATATCGTTGTGTGTAAAGGGCTCCAGGACGACAAGAAGGGAAAGTGTCCATTTGAAACTGAAGGGCGACAACGGTCAGACGGTGCCACTTTTTCTGGAAACAGGCTCGACATTTTCCGAAACGTGATCTGACGGTCAATCGGTAGACCGGACGATCGCGGCATCAACACCGGACCCTTCCTTAAATCATCCACTAGGCCCACGAACTGCAGCATTGGAATACGCCTCATCCCAAGCAGCCCAATCAAACACGTCAAAGTCGAAGTCCACAGGCAAGAGCTGGTTTGCATCAAATGCGGACTCTTGCACAGCTGAGTCTGTCGCCAACGTGGTCTCTGGTTGGGGAAGATTGAAGTTCTGACACAGTTCTACAATCCATGGCGGTCGCTCATACGGCTCGTCGACGTCCATCTGGTGTTGTCTGATGAAAGTATCGTGTCTCTGCCAGGCTGCGAGAGTGATACGTGCGACCGTAGCCACCTCTGCACGGCGGGATGCAGTTGACAATTCTGGATGGATAGTATAGATTCGATGAATCAAGGACCATAGATCTTTGACTTGGTCGTTGTCGAAGCGGTGGTGCGCCTCAAGGATAACATACACGACTATGATTTTGTTAGTTGTCCTCATCGTCTCTATCGTCTGTGTGCAGGAGCAGGAGCTGGACACTACCACTTACACGAAGGCCACTGGAAGTAGTTCTCGTTGTGCCACTGAAATCCTTTTAGCGACTCAGTCGTTTGACTCATAAGGTAGTAATCCAAGCCTTTTGTGCAGATATTGAGGAAGTCGTCGCGCTCCTGCAGTGTCATTTCCAAAATCTTCGCGCTGACGAGCCTTGGCTGCCGTGCTGTCCTGCGAGTTGCAAGAAGAAATTGTCGAACTCCGATCTGAATGTAGACATGTAGTGGATTCAGCAACTCGCAATACTGGAGGAATTTGGCACCCAATGCGCTTTCAATGGCATCGATTTTGGCGTCCTTCTCACTCAGCGAAACCTGAGGCGAGAGCAACCACGACAAGCTTTCGGGAACGCCGCCCGGCTGTCGCATGTTCTCACGCTGCATATGCAGAATGCTATATCTCCAGAGGCAGTGCGACATGCTTGTGAGTCTGGACCGCTCAGCGGGCAAGCTTCGTAGATTAGGACTGTGTAGGTCGTCGTCCTCCAGGTTTGCCGGTGGCTTGGTATCCCAGCTAGCATATAGTGTCATGGAGAGGCTTCCAACAAGTCGTGCGATGGCGATCTCCATATATTGCAGCTGCCACCAAATGCGACGACGCTCTTCGCTGCGCGCTACGCCCAGCTCGAACATGTCACCATCGCGATGTAAGCCCATACGTTCGGCGATGCGGACGGCTACGCCCATCAGGGAGTAAATTGCAGCAGGGCGTGTTCGATCGCGCATTGCTGACTATGGCAAGACGGTCAGTTTCGCTATGCTGCCACAGGCCAATGTTGGTGGCATACCATGTATAATATGAAGGCTTGCAGGGTGCGGATGTCGCTCGTCGTAGCGAACTCTGCGACGAGCAGTGCATCTTCCACACTTTCTTGAGATTGTGATAGAAGGTACTGTTTGTTATCTGAAAGCAAGTTGGCACATTCTTCGTCAGGGATACTCAATGTGGCAATAAATATGATTGCAAAGACAAGAGCTTGCTCCCCTTTCGACAGGCTGGAGGCATCTTCGCGAGATTTCTGTACGACCCGTTCGATCTCCCAGTCGAAGAATATCTTGGTTAGAGGATGAACGTTCTTTAGGTAGCTACTCCACAGTATGGTCATCTGGCTGGGAGAGGGAAGTCTTGCATGGAGGGAGCCGCTATCGGCTGTGATGTTGCCCGGATCCAGTATCGTAGGGAAGCAAGACGGAAGGGGCGATGTGGACGGTTGGTCCTTCTTCGTTAATGCATCTTCTTCTGGGTGATCTGTGCCGCTCCAGCTGTACCACATCGGTCTGCATGATTTAGTCAGAAGTTACGACACAACGTAGGAAGCAAGCCTGTTTCCAGAAAAAGTGGCACCCTCTGACCGTTGTCGCTCTCCAGTTCAACTAGATACCTTTCCTTCTTGTCGTCCTAGAGCCCTCTAGGCACAACGATATAGGATTGATCTTTAGCAGAAGGAAGCCCATCAGCTCTATCATCCATTCGTACTAGCTTATGGTCAAGGCACTCGCTGTTGCGAAGTTGCTTGACCATGGACTTATATCATCGTGGTACTCCCTGTCAGACGGTGCCACCTTTTTTCTTTGGAAACAGGCTTGGTAAGTCTCAGGATTGCACATACGTCTCAATGTAGGTGACCTCCTCATCATGAGTTACAAGGCTGGATATCTGGCCCGTTCGTGCATTCGTCGGCCCAGAAATGGAACCAAGACGGCCGCCTGAACTAACAGACTCATTCCTGCGGATCTGTTCTGCTGTGTTCTCTGCTTTTCGTGTCCCAGTATTATCCGGCTGATCGGCCTGATTCGGGTCCCCTCCAAGGCTGCGAATATAACGCTCAAGGTCCTCGATTCGTCTAGCATGCTCCTGCACTCCACCGGGCACAGGATACACGCAATTGTCGTGTTTCCGTCGCTTGCAATGGCAGCATGGAAAAAGTCTATCGCATTTTACTTTTCTCCGTGAGCACGGCGCGCAGCTCACGGGTTGCTTGCCTAGGGGCATATCGAGGTCATTGGCGCCAGGCCCGTCTCACTGATCTTGGAGCCACCTTCAGCACCATTGTGGTCGATCAGCAATACCAACGGGTCATGTCCTCCAGGTATTTGGATGTTGATATGGTGACGTCAAGACAGAATGTCGGTAAGGCCCGAGGTTCGGCGAGGCTGTTTACAGAAAAATTGGCACCGTCTGACATAGCGCATATCGAAGACACAAGTCCGCAGCCAAGCTGGTTCACAACAGCGGAAACCCCGACGGCAAGACACAAGCACCGTACGGTAGAGTTGATGACCTCCCACAGATCAAGGGCCAGCGCTGTATCGTTGTGTGTGAAGGAGTCCGGAATAATAACAAGCATGGCATTCGTGGCATTCACCTGAAACTGATGAGCTACATCGGTCAGACTGTGCCACCTTTTCTGGAAAGGACTGTTGGCTCGTCGGTACCGAACCCGAGATTCAACACCCCAGTTTCGACCTCGTCACCAGTCACTCATTCACCCTGCATCAGAACCGAATACTTCCATGCTGAACTAGTATATATACACAGGTCCTCACTCGATTCATGGTAAGTCGCGTGTCTGCCTTGGCTCTCAGTAGCGCAGCCATATTATCATCATGGTGTGGTCAAAGACTAAACCCTCACCTAGTGCAGAAGAACCACAACCAGAAAGCAAAGATGAAATCCAAAACCTGGAGCAAGGACCTACACATGAGTGCAATGAAGTGCAGTATCCTGGGCGAAAGGTTGCACTTCCTGTTGTCTTGTCAGTGTGCCTAGCGGTCTTCCTTACTGCACTTGTAAGTCCACCATGCAACTCTGCACTGCGACCAACCCTTAACATATGATATATGCAGGACCGAACCATTATCGGCACTGCCGTCCCAACAATCTCGAACCATTTTCATTCCTTCGCGGACATATCTTGGTATGAATCCGCATATCTGCTTACCTTCGCTGCGCTTCAACTGCCGATGGGCAAGGTCTATGTGCGATACCCTGTCCCCGAATGTTCATTCGACAACGCTAATCATGATGACTACAGACCTTCTTCCCTTCCAAATGGACGTTCATCACCATTGTCATAATCTTCGAGATCGGTTCAATTATTTGCGCTGCAGCTCCAAACTCGACCGCTTTGATAGTTGGACGTGCCATCGCTGGCATTGGCAGCGCAGGTACCAACACGGGCGCGCAGGTAATCTTTGCTGACCTCTTCCCTCTCGAGAAGCGCCCCAAGTACCAAGGCTTCCTAGGCGCGACTTTTGGCCTTGCTTCGATCGCTGGGCCTCTCCTCGGAGGTGTCTTCACGACAAAGGTCTCTTGGCGCTGGTGTTTCTGGATCAATGTGCCGATTGGCGGCGTTGCACTGGCCGTGTTAGTGCTCCTCTTGCCAGCAAAAGCAGCTCCTCAAAGCTTCACAGGGAAGTCATTTCTGCAGCGAGTGCGACAGTTCGACCCAGTTGGGACTGCATTGCTGCTGCCTGGCTTGATATTGTTGCTCTTGGCCCTGCAGTGGAGTGGTAACCAGTATTCCTGGGGAAGTACACGAGTTGTGGTGACTCTTGTCTTGGGTATCGTGCTGCTCCTGGCATTTGGTGTCTCCCAAAGATGGGCTGGGGAAAATGGAGCAGTGCCACCTAGGATCTTGCGCCAACGCAGCATTATCGCTGGAGCAGCGGTATCCCTTGGATACGGATCAACGCTGGTCATAGTGACCTTTTACTTACCAATCTGGTATCAAGCGATCAAGGGACTATCAGCTGTCGACGCCGGTATACGGATGATTGGGTATTTTCTCACCACTGTCTTTGCCGTCATCGGATCCGGCGTCATCGTCTCCAAAACAGGATATTATACTCCATGGTTGATAGGAGGCACTGCTCTTTTGATCGTGGGCAACGGTCTCCTCACAACCTTTCGAGTCAACACAAGCACAGGCGAATCCATTGGCTACCAGGTATCCTTTTGTCACATCGCCCCATCAGACATGCTGAAGACTAACGCTGGACTAGATTGTCATCGGCACAGGCATGGGTTTCAGCTTAGCACAGTGTTACAACGCAGCCCAGACCGTCCTCTCTCGTGAAGACATCCCGATTGGCATCACAATCCTGAGTTTTTGCAATTTCGTTGGTGGCACTATTTTCGTTAGTGTCTGTCAAGGAATATTGTCGAGCACGTTGAGAACACGGCTTCGTGAGAGCATTCCTGGACTTGACGTGTCGTCGATAACGAGCTCCGGCGCATCGGACTTGTCGTCACTCGTTTCCACAGACCAGCTTCCACTGCTTCTGGAAGCATACAACAAAGGTATCAACAACGTCTTCTACTGTGCGCTGGGACTGTCATGTCTGGCCTTCGCAGCGTCATGGTTCGTGGAATGGAAGAGCGTCAAAAAGGAGCCTGGTGTCACAGAAGACTGACGAGGCGTTATCTCAGAAATCGAGGAAGGTCCGAAATCTTTCAGAATAGAAGTGTAAACAAAGCTTGCAGTCACACCACGCAAGTTTAATGTTGAGAAAAGTGGGACGGAGATCTTCCGGGTCCGGGAGAGCACACCATGTCAACTTTATGCGTGCACAGGTCTCGTGCGGGCGCAACATCTCTCACCAAAAGTCAGAACCTTTTGCCTCCTTATGCGGTACGCGTGTATGATCTCAAGATGATGAGAACATGCCCACAGTGGCGGCAAACATTGGCTCGGTGTTGAATGATCTCTTTAACTCCGTATCGAAGATCAGCCATCCAGCTGCGCAAGGTTTGGAAATCTGCACAATTCCGTATTCCAATGTACACTCGATATGCCAAGAAAAACAAATGCATGGGCTATGACTCGATTCGATGCCTTCGACAAACATCTTCGCATGGAAGTTGAGCCTTCTTCCGTGCGACCGTGGCGACGGCTTGAAAAATCGACATGCTTGACTGAGAACTCACTTGAAGTACCTCAAGGTCTCCGAGTTTATACTTGATCATTCCCCTCAACCTGGCTTCCTAACTTCACATAGCTGCAACTCTCATATGATAGTCCATCATGGAGAACGAAGTTGACGATCAACACCGAACTGCTTCGCCCGAGGGTTCTGAAGAGACACCTTCTAACGAGCAAGCGTCAATCTTCTCTGGACTCTACCGGAAAGCCACAGTCGATCGACTCCACGAGAGTGAGGGAGCCCTTGACCCAGCGAACAAGCATTTTGACCCTTGGAGATATGGACGCAAGTTACTGAACTCCATGGATGCACAAGGGATAGCACTCCCTCGAATCGGCGTCACGTTTCAAGATCTCTCCGCGTCCGGTTCAGGCGCGGCCCTTCAGTATCAGCAGGACGTCCTTTCGATATTCACCGCTGTGCCAAATGTGACGAGGTTACTGAGGCGAGGCAGCGCTGGCCCTAAGAAGACCATCATTAGTGGGTTCAATGGTCAACTTGTGAGTGGCGAACTCCTGCTAGTCCTTGGACGTCCTGGAAGCGGCTGCTCCACATTTCTCAAGACACTTTGTGGAAGCACCAATGGTCTATCCATCAGCCCTGACAGTAAGATCGACTTTAGTGGTATTAGCAAATCGCAAATGGCCAAGGAATACAGAGGTTTTGTCACATACAACTCGGAGGTTGACCAGCATTTCCCGCATCTGACAGTCGGCCAAACCTTCGAATTCGCAGCAGCGTCCAGAGCACCACATCTCCGCATCGGCGATGTTAGCCGACAGGAATACATCGAAACTAGTGTCCAGATTACAATGGCATTATTTGGCCTCTCGCACACATATGATACGAAGGTGGGAAGTGACTTTGTGCGTGGAGTAAGTGGTGGAGAACGCAAGAGAGTCAGGTATGTCAATTCCTTCGGCCCATAACACGTTACGAGCGTATCTTTGAACTAAGTCTTGTTTAGTATTGGTGAGATGGCTCTTTCCAGAGCACGTGTGGGAGCCTGGGACAACAGTACACGCGGACTGGATTCTGCAACAGCACTGTCATTTGTGAAAGCACTCCGACTATTTGCTGATCTGGGAGGTGCTTGCCATCTTGTTGCAGCATACCAAGCGTCACAAGCCATGTACGAAACATTCGACAAAGTCATCGTTCTATACTCGGGCCGACAAGTATTCTTTGGGAGCTGCAAGCGTGCTCTGAAATACTTCGAGGAGATGGGGTGGCAGAAACCTACACGCCAGGCCATCCCAGACTTTCTAACCGCAGTGACAAATCCGGCAGAACGAATTGCTCGCGAAGGGATGACCGAGAAGGTCCCCAGGACGGCCGATGACTTTGAACAGTATTGGAAGCGAAGTGCCGACTTTGCAGCTTTGCGAAGTCAGCTTTTGACCCCGAAAGAATCGAACAGCGAGGCAAAGCTTCTTCAGACGACCAAAAACAAACAGCAGGCAAAGCATGTGCGGCCAAAAAGCCCTTTCATTATTTCAGTGCCTATGCAGATCCGACTGTGCATCAAACGCGCATACCAAAGGCTCTGGAACGAAAAGAGCTCTACCATCTCCACGGTCGCCTCGCAGGTCATTCTATCACTCATTATCGGTTCTATCTTCTACGGAACTCCTGCTGCATCAGCCGGCTTTTTCCAGAAAGGAGCAGTACTTTTCTTTGCGATTCTGATGAATGCGTTGATCTCTATCAATGAGATCACTCTGCTCTACAGTCAACGGCCTATTGTCGAGAAGCAGGCGTCCTACGCGTTTGTGCATCCCTTCGCAGAAGCTTTCGCAACAATGATCAGTGATCTACCGATCAAAATGGTCCGGTGCTCGGTATTTTCGATTATCCTATATTTCATGGTGAATCTGCGCCGCGAACCGTCTCAATTCTTCATCTTCTATCTTTTTCTCATCATTGGCATTTTGACAATGTCGAGTATCTTCAGAACCCTGGCAGCGGCAACCAAAACCATTGGGCAAGCAATGGCATTTGCAGGTGTGCTGGTCATTATGATTGTTGTCTACGCTGGCTTCACACTACCTCAGCCCTATATGCACCCATGGTTTGCCTGGATCAGATGGCTGAACCCGATATTCTACGTGTTTGAGTCACTCATTTCCAACGAATTCCATGGCCGGCATTTTGAATGCTCAGAGTACATTCCGAACTATGCTGTCTTGACTGGCGACTCATTCATCTGCTCCGTACTTGGAGCGAAAGTGGGCGAACGATTCGTTTCAGGCGACAGTTTCATTCAAGAGAACTATAATTACCGTTACAGTCACACTTGGCGAAACTTTGGAATAGTTCTGGTCTTCTGGATCCTCTTCACATTCACCTACCTCTTTTTCTCAGAGTACAATTCTGGTATCACTTCAAAAGCAGACTTCCTAGTCTTTCGCAGAGGTCATGCTCCGGACTACATCAAGGAGGAATTATCAGCAACTTCAGATGAAGAGAAGACATCTACAAAGATCAACGATGCTTCTCACGGACTCCAGATCACGAAGTCGGTCAATCATTTACCCGAACAACGAGACATTTTGACTTGGAAGAACCTTTGCTATGAAGTTCCGACAAAAGAGGGCACTCGCCGCCTGCTTGATAATGTGGCAGGGTGGGTCAAGCCTGGAACGCTTACTGCACTTATGGTATGCCACAGTCCCTCTACCCACCTCGATATGAACCATACTTACATACCACTCATAGGGTGTTTCTGGAGCAGGAAAGACAACCTTACTCGACGTAATCGCAGATCGAGCATCAGTCGGCATTGTGACCGGCGATATATTCGTTAGTGGTAAGCCCAGAGCTGCAGACTTTCAGCGACAGACTGGGTACGTCCAGCAACAGGATCTCCATTTGGCCACAACTACAGTTCGCGAAGCACTACAATTTTCTGCGATGTTAAGACAGCCTAAAACCGTCTCTCGAGAAGAGAAGAATGCCTACGTCGAGGAAGTTGTCAAGATGCTAGGGATGGATGATTTCGCAGAGGCGGTCATCGGTCAGCCAGGACAAGGGCTCAACGTGGAGCAAAGGAAACTACTCAGCATCGGTGTTGAACTGGCGGCTAAACCAGCACTGTTATTGTTCCTGGACGAGCCAACCAGTGGTCTAGATTCGCAAAGTTCATGGGCCATCTGCAAGTTCCTCCGAACACTCGCGGATCATGGTCAAGCAATCCTTTGCACTATCCATCAACCGAGCGCCTTGCTATTTCAGGAGTTCGATCGACTCCTTCTACTCGACAAAGGTGGAAAGACAGCATACTTTGGCGACATTGGAAAACAATCTCGGACGCTCATAAGTTACTTTGAGCGCAACGGTGCTCGGCATTGTGATCTGAGTGAAAATGTAAGTACCCATGCGAGCCTTATCGATGATGACGCTAACCAAGGTCGACGCACAGCCTGCTGAATACATGCTTGAAGTTCTTGGGAAACGACAAACGAATGACGGTGCCGGGATAGATTGGCCTACAGTCTGGAACGGCAGTGCAGAAGCTGAAGCAGTCAGAGAAGAGCTTTCCAGCATCTGCGAGCGCCTTCGGTCGGAGCCGAGCAGGACTGGTGGAGGAGAACACACCGAGTTTGCCATGCCTCTCATCACTCAGATCAAAGAAGTGACATACCGAGCGTTTCAGCAAAACTACCGGTCGCCCGAGTACATCTACTCACGGTTCCTGCTAGGCATTGTTTCGGCCCTCTTCATCGGCTTTTCCTTCTGGATGCCCGACAGCTCAACACAAGGCTTCCAAAACGTGCTGTTTGCTCTCTTCCTTTTGTGTTCTATCATGAACACGTTGGTCAATCAGTGAGTCTGCTTGTCCTTTCGCATTGAAGTTCTTTCTTCTTGACGGGTACTAACTATCCCAGACTTATGCCAAAATTCATCGCTCAACGAGACTTGTATGAAGTTCGTGAACAACCTTCCAAGACCTATTCCTGGAAAGCCTTCATCCTTGCACAGATCTTCTGCGAAATACCCTGGCAAGTTCTTCTCGGCATTTTGGCCTGGATGTCGTTCTACTGGTCTGTACTTGGAGCACACCAATCAGGCGAGCGACGTGGTCTCATCTTACTCTTCTTGATTCAATTCTACCTATTTGCCGCGAGCTTCGCGCATCTCGTCATCTCCGCCATGCCGGACGCCGCGACCGGAGGCATGATCGCGACCTTATGTTTCGGTCTGACCCTCATCTTCAACGGTGTCATGCAGCCGCCCAAGGCGCTACCTGGATTCTGGATCTTCATGTACTATATCTCGCCACTCACATACTACATTCAAGGCCTTGCCGCGACGGCCTTGCACGGACGCCCTGTTACCTGCTCGGACGCTGAACTCAGTGTTTTTAACCCGCCTTCGGGCCAGACTTGTGGTCAATATCTGGAGAAGTACCTCGCGTATGCTCCTGGGCAGTTGTACAACTCAGACGCAACGTCAGGCTGTCAGTATTGCTCCATATCGTCTGCAGATCAATATCTCGCTGCAAGGGAGATTGAGTGGTCGAACAGGTGGAGAAACTATGGTATCTTCTGGGCGTACTTTTTGTTCAACATTTGTGGTGCTGTGTTGTTGTATTACCTTTGCAGGGTGAAGAAGTGGAGACAGAAAAAGTTTGCAAAACAGCAGAAGAAGGCTTGAGTCTGGAATTGGATCGGGCACCAGAAAATCACTTCGTGAGTCCTCTTGCCAGTACGCGAAGCTGCACATATGAGGTATTGCACAAAGGTTGGCTTTCGAAAGATGCGTTTGAAGATGTGGTGGGTGAGAGGAATACATACCATAAATTGCAATGCGAATGAGTAGGCCAACCGACCAACAGTCGAGCCGAGCTGAGCTTAGCATACGTTGTAGACTCCACATGATAATGGTCGGATAGTCCATTTGCACCTCTTCCCTGGTATGTTTCCCACAAAAGACTGGTCTCTGTACGGCGAGCAGACTGCTGTTGCATCAACGCATATTGGTCTGAGATAACAACGTCGAACACAAGGCGAGAGGGTTGTCGCTAGACATCTCCTGTATCGTCAGTTGGTGCTGGGAAGGTTTGCCGAGGCGTGGTTATACGGTACTCCAAATCGACCAAGGTACAACTCATAGGGTGAAGTGTTGCGCTTAGTGGCTTTTGAATCCGTGACAACCTCAACGGCCTAGACCGAGTCTCTTTTTTGCCTTTGTCGGGACTTCTCATCGAAATCAGCTAATCATACCAGCCACTCGGCAATGTGGGAGGCACTATGGAGGCAGTCAGCATCGCCCCGGTTGAGAAGGTGATTTCTTCATGCAGCGAGTGCAGACGCAGAAAGGCAAAATGTGATCGAGGAAATCCCTGCACCAATTGCGAAAAGTCTGGACGTGTTTGCTCGTTCGAAAAGGTCTCCCGAACTCCGCTCACGCGCAAGCATCTAGACCACGTCGAGAAGGAGCTCCAAAGGGCGAAGAGTCTTCTGCGACAATATGAGCGTCAGAACAACAATTCCGTATCGGAAGATCAGAGTCAGATCCTCAATGTTTCGGAAGTCCAACCTGCCAATGTCTCTCAAGTGGGTGATATCGTCCACCCACCTGAAGGGTCTCAACCGGCTATTTCAGCCATGGAGTCCTCCGATAGCACAATCTATCAGCCTACGAGCAGCGCTACCCTAGGCGTTAACGACAGCAGGAACGTTGCTCCCCGCGCGAGTCATGCTAACGGTAACGGTAACAGTACCCGGCCAGGGAGTCCGACATTCTCTTTCGAACCCTCGCCAGTCACCGGAGACTTCGACTGGGATGAGCGTGTTCAAAAAGTCAATCAAGCACATTTCATTGACGGCATGGCGAGTTTGCCAGAAAGGTCGACCAGGGGTTACATGGGCGTTGCTTCTGGAGCCGCCTTACTAAGGCTCACTGATGGCCATGATGAAACGGACATGCATTTGGAGAACGATCAACAGGGCTACAGCATGCCAAACACTCCGCCGTTGCTACCGGCAATATTCTCCTTGTCTCAACTTGAGCCTTTTATCGATGCTTATTTCCAGACATACCACGTCTCTTATCCCATCGTCCATGAGGCCACTTTCCGAGCGCAATTTATGGAAGTCGTCCCGAGACCCAAAGGCAATGCTTGGCCGGTCTTGTTGCATATCATTGCAGCTTTGGGCTCGTTCGCCGCTTCAGAGACCGCACCCGAAGTTGATGTTGCGCTATTCGAGGCAGCGAAAGCACGGATGTCAATAGACATGTTGGAAACAGGCAATATTGTTCTAGTACAGGCTTTGACGCTCATATCAAACTACGTACAGAAGAGGAACAAGCCAAATTCTGGTTACAACTATCTTGGACTCGCCAAGCGGATGGCAATGGGAATTGGCCTGCACAAGGAATTTCCTGCCTGGCAGTCGAAACCTATGAGACTGGAAATCAGGCGCCGAGTATATTGGTGTCTTTACGTATTCGACGTTGGTGCTACAATCACATTTTCGAGACCCTTAGACTTGCCACAAGAAGGGATTGAGATCCAGTTACCTCTCAATGTCGCAGACAGCGATATTACAGTCAACACCAAGACTTACCCGGCAGAAGCATCGGAGACCACCCTATACACACATGTGAGATGCCAGGCTCGATTCCATCTCGCTACCTCATCCATATATGCGAGGCTCATTTCAAGTCGGTTTCCCACAGCTGAGGAAATGCTACAAGCGGATGACACCCACCTTGCAAGATGGTTACAGGACATACCATCATACTTCCGTGAGGGCGTAACCGTGGCACCCAAGTACCGATTATCCCACTCGACATTGCAATGGAGATGGCGCAACTTCCGCATGTTGATGTATCGTCCATTCTTGATGAGAAAATTCATGACCAAGAGACGTACCACAGCACTTCCCACCTCATCTTCAGATGAACAGGCTATTCAACGATGCCTCGAGTCTGCCGCCGAGTCAATCAATCTGATCACAAACTACTGGCAATATGGGACACAAAACGTCCTTGCTTGTTGGTATGGCTTATATTTCCTATTTCAGGCAACGTTAATACCTGTGGTCTGCCTTCGAAACGAACCACAATCGCCTTTTGCCGCAGACTGGCGCAATCAAATCTCCCAAGCTCTTCAAACGATCTCAAGTATGACACGGTTGAACTCCACGGCAGCACGGTGCCACGAGGTAGTCATGAAACTCTGTGGTGCATACTTGGCCCAAGACATGACTATATGGGAATCGCCCACAAGTGAGAGTCCGTTTACCCAGCTCAATGCATTGAACTCCTTCATGTGGCCAATGGCGGATCCGCAACTCTCCACTGGCTATGATCTCGCATTTCTGGACTCTGTGCCGTTCGACTTCGTGAACCAATTCCCATCGATGTGAACGATAAACTCGCCACTCTATGGTAGAGTGTAAGCGCCATCGATGACCATGTTCGCACCAGTCATATATGACGATGCGTCGCTGGCAAGAAAGACATATGCCTGAGAAGGATTAGGAACCATCGATCCACGGTTTTTCTTGGGCTACTTACCCCCTTCAATTCGTAAGGGTCGCAGAGCCGCGCCGCAGGAATCATGCCGAACCACTTCTTCCTCCACTCTTCGGGATGGACTGACAGCATGTCTGTGGCGATGAAGCCAGGAGAAACACAGTTCACCCGACAGAAGTCCACCCACTCGACCGAAAGACATCTTGCCAATTGAACAAGACCAGCCTTGGACGCGTTATAGGCTGCTTGCTTTTGAGGAACATTGACCAGTATGGCGCTCACGGACGCCGTGAAGATGAGATTGCCGTGTCCTTGTTGTTTGAAGATCCTGCCGGCTGCCTGTGCTGTCCAGAATGCGCCGTCCAGGTTGACGTTCATGATCTCTCTCCATTGCTCCACAGTCACATCCTCGGCAGCATAGTGGTCAGCAATGCCGGCATTAGCGACAACAATATCCAATTTACCAAAGTCTTTGGCTATCTGGATCAATGTGTCTTCGATAGACTTTTGGTCCTTGACCTCGGCTTGATACGTCGCACATTTGACACCATTTGCTTCGGCAATTTCGGCTGCAATCTCGGGTGCGTCTTTTGATGTTCGGTAGATTATGGCGACATGTGCACCAGCTTCAGCGAGACCCCTTGAGACCTCAAGGCCGATGCCTCTGGCACCCCCTGTCACGGCAGCGACTTTTCCTCGCAGTCTGAATGCGCTGAGCACCTTCTGATTATCGGGCTTAGAGAGAACCATTGTCGACTAATATTGCAGTATGGGTTGAGATGGTAATGCAGCCTAGTAGTGATGTTCGAATTTTGGATTTGTATTATATTCTGAGAGAAAGTACAGTACATTACACAGAGTCGTTGGCTTTTGAAGCTAAAGCACTTTTGGCTGCAACGACAGCGCCGCCCCGGAGTCAAAGAACAGCCTCGTGATGAACGGATGAGGTTACCGCAGGGCAATTGATCACTACTAGACACCGCACTCCGTCCAGCCGTGTATGATCAACAGGAGCGGTCGGTGCTTGGTGTCAGGTGCCGTGCGGACCGGAGAACAGTGTGCCGCGTGGCGAAATCTCGGCTCACACCACGATGGGGATGGATTCCACCAACATGTCACATGGCAGCATCCTTGTCCGGATCAGATCTCCATTGATCTGATCATTCCGGTCAAACCTCTCGAAGCCTTTCTCCAGCGTTGGCTCTATGCCAGCAAGAACGTGTCGCTTGGCAACACGTTCTCGAGTCACGTCGCGGTCCACAGTCACCATGATCTTGTAGTCCAGGCACGGACTGAGGTCTCTCCACTTTTCCTCGTCCAACAACAGATAGTTACCGTCCAATATGACTATCGGAGTCTCCGGTGAAATAACGACGTCCGCGTCTTTCGGATCTTTGAGCGCGTGATCGAAAGATGGAGCCAGAAATTGCGGCCTTCGTTCCGCTGGCAATACTGCTGTTTGAGAAAGCGCCGTCACAAACTTGAGGATCGCGTCGACATCGAAAGTCCATGGAGCTCCACGCCTCACATATGCCTCTTCTCGGTTTGGCCAGGAATCCAGCACACTGCGCCTGATGTGAAAGCCGTCCAGTGACACCGCCTGTGCCTTGAGAGTGCTTGAGGCATTGATGTTCCTGACAAGTTGCTCTGCAATGGTTGACTTGCCACATCCTGGAGGTCCAGCAATGCCTACGATGAGTCTGCCTGGTAGTTTTGCATTTGCTGCTCGTTTGATATTGGCGGTGATTTGATAGTAGGTCTTGTCCATTTTTGGATATACACAGGTATCGGTTCCTTGACGTGCCGCATTGCAAGTCCTACTTCTCTTGGACCCTCTTGTAGCCTCGTTCTGAGCCCGGCCGCCCTCTCGCTTCGCAATCGTGGGCCGCGCCATGCTTGTTCAACGTGGAGACTGCCCAGGCCTCCGCATCGATGTCCGACGCCAAACAATGCGCGGGGCAAATCCATCCGGACCACCGTACGCCGCGACAGCATCCAGTGCATCGGGTCACCTTACGGTAAGTGGTGTCCGGCCTGGTCGGCTGACTCGCATACGATTAGCCACAGAATGCCTATGCACGGGCAATGTACATATCGCTGAAGCCACAATGGCCCGGTGCTATACCAAACGGGCAATCCACCCGCAACAGAGCACTTCGCTCTGCATATCTGGCAATAACCGTCAATGAAGGTACAAAATCAGTCCAACTACCATTGACTTACCATTGACAGGCCAGCGAACAAATCAGCTTACCACCCCGACAGCAGCACATATCAAAGTTGCATTCATCCTCGAAATATTCTCGCAATGGGTGATCTAGGACAGGAGAGCAACCCATCCTTCGTCCTTCGAGCTGTCAAGGATGTCAAACTCGAAGACATTCCGAAGCCCACGATCACTGACCCATACGATGTGATCGTGCACATTGGCCAAACCGGAATCTGTGGCTCAGACGTGCACTACTGGCAGCGAGGTCGCATTGGGGATTTCATTCTAGAGAGCCCTATCGTTCTTGGCCACGAGAGTGCCGGTACCGTGGTCGATATTGGTTCCAAGGTCAAGAACCTCAAAGTCGGAGATCGAGTCGCCATTGAGCCTGGTGTGCCCTGCCGACACTGCGACTATTGTCGGAGCGGATCCTACAATCTTTGCCCCGATACTGTATTTGCCGCGACTCCTCCTCATAACGGCACGCTGTCCAAATTCTACAAGACGGCTGCAGATTACTGCTACCCACTAGCTGACCACTTGACGCTGGAAGACGGTGCGCTTTGCGAACCGGTCGCCGTGGCAGTGCAGATCTGCAAAGTCGGCAATGTTCGACCCGGACAGACAGTGGTCGTATTTGGCTGCGGGCCAATTGGACTTCTCGTGCAATGTGTCGCGAAAGCGTATGCCGCGAAGAAGGTCATTGGCATCGACATGAGCGCCAGCCGTATGGAACTCGCCAAGTCGGTGTTGAAATGCGCCGACGAGACTTTCGCACCGCCACGAATGCCCAAAGCAGACGGTGAAGCTTACGACGCCGACAAGGAGAGCGAGTGGAGTGCGAAAGTCGCGGCACAGATCAAGGATGCCTTCAACTTGGGTGAGGGCCCCGACGTCGTGATCGATGCGACTGGAGCGCAAAGCTGCATCCAAACGGGCGTCAACCTGTGCAAGAAAGGCGGGACATATGTGCAAGCCGGGATGGGCAAGGAGAACATCGTCTTCCCAATCACGACTGCATGTATCCGTGATCTGACGATCCGCGGTTCCATCCGATACACGGCTGGCGTCTATTCTGCAGCCGTCGACCTTGTGGCTAGTGGGAAAGTCGATCCGAAAGTCTTGATCACGCATCGATATTCATTCGAGAAGGCAGAGGAAGCTTTCGAAACGGTTCGAAAAGGTGGAGAACATGTTTTGAAAGTCATCATCGAAGGTGTCAAAGACAACTGAGATGCTATGTGAATGAGAGAAGGGAACTAGGATCATCTGGGACCAGGATCCACTCTAGGGGACCCCAGCTCGGCATCCGCAATGGACGTGAGCTCCTGCAGTCAAAGAGACGAAATTGTCTCCGGCTACGAAAACCCCGACGAGCATGCTCTTTCGCAACGTGACCGGAGTGGCAGTGATTGGACTCTGTCTCTCTGCGGGGGTCTCTTCTCTGAGGAACCCCGAAGACGACCAGCTTGTCGAAGAAAATGTATACTTATAGACTGCCTTTTACACTTTTCGTGGATATCTATAAGGAGGGCGATGACTAATACCACGATATACCACGATATTGAGAATAGATTATAGATGTCCCTCTTAAGAGGAGACCAGAGAATCAGGGGTAAGCGAGAATTCAATAGTTAGTCTTCGAGAAACTTGTGTCTGTGTCGCATTCCTTTTGTACCGAATGGCCTCTGAGAGGCGACAAGGACACTCTCCTAAGCAACATACAACTTGTGATTCTTCGCAGTAGCCATAGCCTGACTTCTTTGGTTGAGGGGGAAGGCGGCTAACGTTACTTGCGTGCAAACACGTCTGGCATTCAGTTCAAATTTGAAAAGCGCCTCCGAATGATCATTCTTCTCTACCGACAAGTGTAGCCACCGTCGACCACAATATCGGCCCCTGTAGTGTACGTACTGGCATCGGAAGCAAGATACAAATACACACCCTTCAACTCCCTGGGATCCGCATCTCTCTTCATGGGTGTCAACTCATACCACGCCTCCTTCATCTCGAATGCACAATCTCCGGAGATAGCAGTATCTATGTAGCCCGGGCTAACACAGTTTACTCTGGCAAAACCAACCCACTCCACGGCAAGTGATTTGGCAAGATGAATGACACCTGCTTTGCAAGCATTATAGCAAGCCTGTCCATGCCGTTAGCTGTCGTTTCACAAGCGAGTTTCTTGATATCATTCTTACCTGTTGCTGGGGCACATTGGCTGCGTGGCCACTCATGGAAGCCGTGAAGATCAAATTTCCTGAACCTTGCTTGCGGAAGATCTCACCAGCGACACGAGCACAGTAGTAGGCACCGGAGAAATCCACATCTACCACACGACGCCAATCTTCAAGCCTGTCATCGAGACCTCCGGCTTTTGATGGGATTCCTGCATTGGCGATCATGACATCCAGGCGACCAAAGTCAGCGACAACAGCTTGTACGGCGCTCGACACCTGGACTTGCTTTAGCATATGACATACCCGGGACATCATGTCTATCTTACCTGGTCATAGTCTGCAACATCACACTGGTAGGCTTTGCACTTGACGGAAAAGTCTTTCTCGATGCTGGCAGCGAGCTTTTGGGCGTTTGGAGACTTGTAATACCACAAAGCGATATCTGAGCCGGCTTCTGCGAGGGCTTTCGCAACCTCGTAACCGATTCCCCCTGATCCTCCGGTGATGATCGTGACCTTGCCATGCATGTCGAACATTTTGAACACGCTGTCCTGCAATTGCTTTGGTGCTGGCCAGCGTATGCTGGCAGGGTTACCGATTGAGCCCATGTTGACTAGATTGGATTGACAAGAGTAAATGGTCAAGTAGTTTGAGCGTGTCTAGTTGTGTCTAGGATGATGCGTGGTACAAATACTATCTCTGCAGCGAGTTGCTTTGTTCTTAACCCGTGAGGTCGGACTGATCTGCCAACCTTGCTATGAAGCATTGTTCTAGAATGGCACCCACTCGCTACCCCACGAGCACACACGTCCGGCGCACAACCACGTACAAGGGCATGTACCATTCTGCTCCATACTATGCAATATGTCCGGACTGCATCCACGCGGCTATCGCTACAATGAGCAGGCGTAAGTTTCCGGCGGCAGGGACACGGGATTCTCTCGGAGAGCCTAGATGGACAGTGCACACCGGAGCATCCACTCCGTCGACCATTTTCATTAATCTACCTCAGTCTAGGTTAGTGAAACCCACACCGGAGCACACAACACCGTGGAGAGGCGATTTTGCACCCAATTTCGACCATGTTACTCTCTCCATCTTCTCCTCTCCCCGCGTGTACACGAAACCTGGAAATCTGGAAAGGCGGAAAGGTGGAGTTGCTATAACGTGGGCGTGTCTCATGATCATAGACTGACCCGCTCGACATGTGAGGTGCCGTGTATATCAATCGATCCTTGCCCTCTAAGGAGGACCGTTCACTTCCCATCACAAGGCTGTTCGGAATTCCAGAAAACAAGTCCCCAAGATGGTCAAAGATTCGGAAATCGTGGGCGCTGCCCTTGCAAGAGTTCTTCCTGCCTATGAGAAGCCATGGTACAGGATCCCTCACTTACTACAACTCAACCTCATCCTGATCGTCCCTCTCCTCTCCTCCGCGGTTGCAGGCTATGATGGTAAGAAGACACCTCTGTCGTCGAGGTGGCTATGGTAGCTGACATGGTATATCAGGCTCGATGATGAACGGTCTGCAGGCGACCAGCTCATGGAAGGCCTATTTCAATAATCCTACCGGCTCCATCCTGGGTGTTGTCAATGCTGCACAGTCAATCGGATCCGTTGCCATCCTTCCTCTTGTTGCACCGTTGTCGGACAGGCTCGGTCGCAAATGGACACTCCTCATCGGCATCGTCACCATTATCATCGCTTCCATCATTCAAGCAGCTTCGGTCAACTACGCCATGTTCGTCGTCTCGCGTATCATCGTGGGTGCCGGTGGTATGCTGGTCACCCAGCCCTCACCCATGTTGATCTCGGAGCTGTGTTTCCCAACGCACCGAGGCAAGTACACCTCACTCTTCTGGACCATCTACTACTTTGGAGCCATCCTGGCTGCCTGGAGCACCTATGGCACACAGAAACATATTGGAAACAGCGACTGGGCATGGAGAGCACCGTCCATACTTCAAGCGGCTTATCCCATCATCCAGCTGTGCTTCTGGTGGTTCGTGCCAGAGTCACCCAGATGGCTCATCGCCAACGGAAAGATAGCTGAAGCTCGAGCCATTCTTGCCCGATTCCACACCGGTGGCGACTCGAACCACGAGCTGATCGAGTTCGAGATGGCTGAGATCTCCCAAGCCATTGAAGCCGAACGTGAAGCCAAGAACACAAAATGGTCATCCTTGGTGGCGACGCCCGGCAACAGGCGTCGGCTGTTTATCGTCGTGTGTGTCGGTGCCTTCGCACAGTGGAACGGTGTGGCTGTGGTGTCCTACTATCTGACATTGGTCCTCGATACTGTTGGCATCACGGACCCTGACACACAAACCTTGATCAATGGGTAAGTCAAGTCACCCCTGTTCATGTTATGCATTTACTAACAAGTCTGGCAGACTTTTACAGATCTTCAACTTCTGGGCCGCGGTCAGTGCCGCCTTCCTTGTGGACCGACTTGGTCGACGCACTTTGTTCAACTGGTCTGGCATTGGCATGTTGGTCTCATTCGTCATCTGGACAGCCTGCTCGGCGGTATTCGATATCAATGGCAACAAGAGTGCAGGTATTGCTGTTGTGGCATTTGTCTTCATCTACGTGAGTAGCCCTTCCCATACAACCTGTCGACGACCCGTGTTGGCTTCACTGCAAAATGCTATTATGGATCAACCTGCTGACTCTCTTCCAGTTCTTCCACTACGATATCTGCTACACACCGCTGCTGTTCGGATATACCACTGAGATCTTGCCGTACTCGCTACGAGCAAAGGGCCTGACAGCCGAATTGCTCTCCATCTACGGCTCCTTGGTGCTCCTCGCGTTTGTGAACCCCATTGCGCTGGAAAACATTGGGTGGCACTATTATATCGTCTTTTGCTGCCTCTTGGTCGTCATTGTGCTTGTCGCTTTCTTCCTCTTTCCAGAAACAAAGGGACACAGTCTTGAGGAGATTGCGGAGATCTTTGACGGACCGAGAGCGCGACCGATGGTGGTCGACGACATCATGCTTGACAACAAGGACACACACGGAGAAGGCGTCGGTGTCGAACATGTTACGAAGGTGTGAGGATGCGGCATGGGGGAGAGGTTCAAGTCGTCGGGCTCATTGCATTGCGCGTTCTGCAATAGTAGAGTACTAGACGAGATTTAGCTACTTACCTCAGACTTCATGATAATATTAGCTGGTAGCGATACACCTTTGCAGTGCAGTGACAAGCTTGTAAGCTTCGTTCGTCCCGCACATGAATGCACCTCCGGGGCTGTCGTATCTTGCTTGCGGTTTTCTTTGCGCATCAAGGTTGCAGAAACTTACTAGGTAAGTACGACTCTGTCTCGTCAGGAGTGAGTCTGGCGAAATCGTGCCCATGAGGTCATGGCCTACGCAGTCATTGTTTAAAGAAGCTTTAGCGAAGCACGTGAGAGCGGCGGCAACGGCCTTGACGGCGAGGACGGTCCGTCGGCCTTGTTACGTTCTCTCGCATCGTACCTATTCCCAATTCAACAATGTTGAACGACTGCGTGATGATTAGGACCCCTTGGTATATCTCGCTGTAAGTCGAAACAAACGTGCAGTAGTTGAACATCAGACTACCCATCAAATACCCTGATAGCTTCAAAAAGCGGCGACACGATATTCTGGAAGACCTGCTGTTGAAACTTTCCGTCGACCTCGGATGTCCTGGTCCCTGACCAACGAAGACATTGTGTCACAACGTCGCGATAAGAGCCGCCAAACTCCTGCTGTACATCCTCAAGAAGTCGGGAGGCGGTTTTGAAGTTCATATTCTCTTCGATACGATCGTCGTCGTTGGGGATCCTGAGAGAAGATATAGTCTCGCAAAGGGAAAGTCCAGTCAATGCAAATCCAAGCGGAAAGAGGATTCGATTGGCGATGAGCGTGCTCGTTGAGGTCCTCGTCGTTGGTATCGTGGTCGCAGATGTGGTTATCGCGTGACCAGACAGGTAAGGCTGTTCGAGTATGGACACGCGGTTGTCCGTAACTTTGGGGAATAATACATCCCTATTGCTCCAGTCGGCTTTGAGCCAAGTTCCATGGAATCGAAGTACGGCCGAGGCAAGAACTGCTGCCAGAAACAAGCGATCTCGTCTGCTTAGCATCGAGCTTGCGCGGGCTATGCGAGATCCCACAGTGGTCCGAGAAGAGACTAACATGTCCTCCAGAGTCTGCGTCTCCATACTGGCATCGAGTCTCTCGACAAGGTGGAGAGAGTATTGGTGAGACGGATTATCTTCGTCCAAGATGGGCCCAATGCAGTTCTTCAAGAGTGCGTCGGACTTGGCTTTACAGAGAGAGAGAGTCGAGCACATGTCCGAAATTGGCAGGTTTGGGACGTTGGACCATGGTGCGCTGTTCGAGGGCGGCATGGGGATCGCAAAATGCACTCTTGGTGCCGTGGCCGTACGTGGAAGAGTGGGACGGGAAGGCAATAGCTGTGCTGCCGCGGGAGGCGTGTCCGTCGACTGCGGAATCGTCTCGACTTCATACCAATACCACTCTGGAACAGGTTTCGATGCAATAGCCCTTGAACTAAAGGCTATTCGCAGCTTCGGTTCTGCCTTTTTTGTCTCGTCGTCGTCACCGGTGTCTAGTGCTCGCGGCTCAATGCGAAGTTGTACGCAGTGAGCGTCTCTACATGGACAATTCCAGTATTTGCCCCGCACAAGGGCGTTGTAAAGGCTAATAGCGTGTTCTCTTGCCGCCTCATGTTTCGACAACAGCCAAGGTACTCGATACTTCCGTCGGATTTCTTGGAGGCTGTGGGGTTGTTCGACAAGAGTCTTGAGCGCTGTATTGCCTTTTCGATGTCTTTGAGTAAGTCTTCATAGACGGATTTTGAGAAGATGTCCTTGAGCTTCTTTACCTCCCGGTCGACAATCGATCTGTCACCCCACGATATCTGGTCATAGATGATCAACACGTCTGCATACCGTTCAAGCTGAGGGAATTGGTAAAGCTAAAGGACTCAATCCTCGGCAATTGGGAAACATACCTTCAAGGGGTCTCCGACCTCAAAACCAAGTTTCGTGGACAACTCCTCCGTTGCAGCCGACAGCTCTGTCATGGTTCTGATGAAAACGTCGTGGCTACGGCCGAGCTTGCGAGCCAGCTTTTTCTGGAACAGGGAATCCCCCCATAATGACTCTCGAGGATTCTCGACAAGCTTGGCGACATCTTCTTCGTACTCGACGATGCCTTCCAATGAAAGTTCGAGCGTGTTGAGTAAAATCACACGTTGCGTCCCAAGCCTTGTAGAGTAATCCTGGATGCGTCGGCGATATCGCTTGGTTTTGAAGCCTTTCAAGGTCTCGATGCCTTGAATATATGCATCAAGTTGATTCACAATCAACGGAAGAATAGCCAGCACGAGGCCTGCTGTCTCGATGCCGGTTATCATGATGAATCTCTTCTTCTTTTGACTCAAGATTTGGGGGGAGAGACTCACATCAAGGACGGCTGAAACTTCATCGATACAACTTCACGGCGTGGCTAGGGTCCAAAGGCAACCCCGCCACGCTCAAGTACTACGATTGGTAAGAGGACCAGCAGACCCTTGCGTGACTGCATGCACAATCTCAGCTCGAGGGGCCCCCTGCGACATGCGGCCTCTATCTCCTAATGTTCTCCCACTCGGGACATCATTCCTTAGGTAGATTAACAAAACGCATCCTGTATCACAACCAAGGCATGGACAGCAAAAGTACCCTTTGACTAAGATCGAGCGCGAATCGAGTCGTTTCGTACTGAACAGCCTTATCGAAGCTTTCACTGCGGTGGGACAAGGCTGGCGCCTGGGTTCACTCAGCCGGAGAGTCTAATCACGATGACACCGCAAGGACACACTCAGCCCGGCTGACAATGGCAAACAACATCTCATCTATGGTTCTCAAGTGTTTGAAACTCTTCGATGCTCTCATATCCCGAGATGAATTAACATCTTATGCGAAGGAGGTACCGACAAGCCTGTGGACCGGTGAACTGGGGAGATTGCGTCTATGGGCGGCCAACATCGGCGCTCATCAAAGTGGCCAATCTTCCGCTGACTATCGCCTAAGAGAAGCATCCCACATCAAAAGTCAGACCGTGAAGCTACTGGAGCGTCTTCGGCACGTTCTCCAAGACCTGGATGACTTGTTTGATGGTACTGGCCAGGAAGATGAAGCACTCTCACTCGAAGATGACGATGAAACCGAAGCACAGCAGATATATGGCAGTCTTGTCACCGCCGTTGATTGCCTTTTCCAGATCAGCATGATCATCCGGCGTCCCGCGCACCATGATAGGCTTCTAGGTACCAGGAAGTCGGACTTACAGCCTTTGAATCATTCGACAAACAGCACGTCGACCACAAATATCCTCAGGCTGATCGCATCGTGGTTGACCGGCTTGGGGTCGCCATTTCACGACGCAGAGCGGCACTGAAATATCGTCAAAGGCATCGTGAGAAGCTCGGGGAAGGTATCGATCAGCCCGAAGCTATATCCACACTTCTCTCAACAACAGTCGCCACAGACTTTGAGGAGCCTTATATTGATCTTTTCGAGGAGACGCGCTCAGATTCAGATCTTACCCAAACGTCGTACGCCACCAGCCTTTGGGAAAGTGGCGAACGCATCACAGTCCCACGTCCTCCCATGGAATCGAACGGTGGGAAGCCATTCGAATGCCCCTACTGTTTCTTTGTGATCACAGTCTCAGACAGGCATTCGTGGATTCGGCATGTGTTTAGAGATTTGATGCCTTATATCTGTGTGTTCCCTGACTGTCCCATTTCCAACAGACTATATGAGAGCCGCCGCGAATGGTTTCATCATCTTCAGACTAGGCACTTGTCAGGACTCGTGCCAGGTGAAAGTACTGATTGTCCCTTGCACTGTGGAGCTAGGGGGCCTGCCATATCCCTTGCACGACACCTTGGGAAGCACCTGCAGGAGCTAGCACTGTTTGTCCTTCCGAGTATTGTAGAAGACGATGGCCAAGATTCAGACGGCACTCACAGGTCAACTCCCAACGAAAACATTGGTAACAGTATCAGTACCAGCTCTTCTGGAGATGAAGAAGATGACGAAGTGTTTTTCAACCACTCCGAATCCAGAGGAGAGTTGGAGCCAGGTCCTGTCACCAAGGAGATCGAGAGCCATAGTGACGGGAGGGTGGCAGTCGAAGGCTTCGCTGGCGAGCTCGAGGACGCTTTGAAGGGAGAAGTCACCATAGCACAGGAAGATCACGCCAGAAGGATCCGCGACGTCGAACAACAACGATGGCAGGATGAGGAGGAGTTGAGGCGGTTGAAGCAACAAAAAGAAAGAGATGCCATGCTGCCAGAAGCGAAACTTACGGAAGTGAAAGACAAGAAGGAACAAGAAGATACAAGGGGATCGAACACATCTTCGGGGTCGATGCTCTCCAGAACAATCACGTTTCACGAAGGCAGCGATGCTGAAGGCGAGGACATGCCCCGCGAAGAAGAGGAGAAGACCGAGAAAGGGAAGGAGAAGGCCGACTTGGGGAGAGATGACGACGACAGTGTATTGAAGGCACGGCGAAGACTTGAGAATGCGACAGAAAAAAAAGAGTCAGTCGTTTTCGAGAACAACATCTTCTTCCCAACGCCGCCCAAGGATCGAGGGGACAAGGTTAACATCAAATACCGGAAGTCAGAAACAGCTAAGACTCACCGCCATTACCAAGATCCAGACTACGTAGACACGCGTCCTACCGTCAACACGAAAGGTCAAGGAAGGGGCCAAATGGCAATCATGAAAACCTAGGTAAGGATGATGTGCGTGAGTGGAGAGTAGGGAGCAGGAGCCAAAGCAGGCAAGGCAACGGAGAAGGCATGGAGTCTAAGATGGGTGTGTCGGAGACGGAGGTCGAGGCACAGTGTCGATGGCTTCAAGTAATAAAGTAAAGCTTGCATGGATGCCCCGTAAGTTAGCGTTGCCAAGAATGACATCAATTTTCCGGAAACCTTGTCGCAGTACTTGTGACTGAACATCTCCGAACGCGTCTTTTTGACACGACGAGAAACAATGTTGTAGACATGGCTTCGTCGACACAGCCCGCCGGCCAAAAGCGCAAAGTAGCTTTCGACAGGCCTGCCCAATCTTCCCAAGCGCGTAAGCGACAGAAACATCAAGATGCTCGTGCTATCCCCATTCAGCGGGCTAACGCTGCCCTCCCAGCCAACGGCGAACTCAACGTTGCATCGTTCATCAAGGCACGAGAATTCGAGATTGGTGCTTTGGAAGGGAGCATACAGAAGTCGAGAAAAGCACTAACCACCAGGGCATTTCAACAAGTACCCCGGCAGCTGAGGAGGAGGACTGCTAGTCATAATGCCAAAAAGGTTCCCCGAAGGTTACGGAGGAGGGCAGAACGCGAGGTCAGTTGATGTAGCCCTCATGGAAAGATGCTGTGTACTGACAGAGCTGACCAGGATGGGTAGATGAGGGACGATAACACTCCGACGGTCACAAAACGAACGCGCACTCCTTCTCGAAAACTGAGACTGCGACTGGGTACGGCAAACCTCATCAAGCAACTCAACCAGAAGAGAAAGACAGTACGGCAGAAAAAGAAGGAAGCGAAAGCCAACGAAAAGCAGACCGACCCCGAAAACCATGTCTCTATCTCCAAAGTGCCGAGACTGAGAAAGAATACGCTGGCAGAACCACCGAAAGCCACGGTCAAATACAAAAGGAGACAGGTCAATAAAACATGGATGCCCACCCATCTGTGGCATACCAAGAGGGCACATATGACACGTCCGACCGAGCCATTATGGAGGATAGCTATCCCCTTGAGTCCGACAGAGAAGAGTTACAGACCGAGTCATCGGGCAGCAGGTTCACATGGTTGTATAGCTTGGGATACGAGCTATATGTCTACCGTTGCCTGTCGTGGTACCGAAGCTGCGTTGGAAAGCATGCTCAAAGCCTTGAGTTTCTTCCCGCACGGTCTTAACCCTGCTATGCACAAGAAGTGGAAAGCTGGGACTCGGTTCGCTGAGGCCTGGGTGTATGAGCGAGATAATGCAAAGCAGGCCATCGCACTGGTCAAGATTATATGGTGTATTCAGTCCAAAACGGAGGTGTCGACTGCTGCGACCCCCAGAGGGGATGACCAGATGGATGTTGACGGAAATAACCAACCACCTGTGGCGAGCACAAAACGGAAGGCCAAACTTGACCACCAGATCTTATTTCGAATTCACCCTTCGGCATTCCATCAATTCTGGCAGGAACTGCTGAAAGTGGCCAAGATGCAGAGACCACAGGTCCTGCTTGAGGACCTACGGTTTGAGTTAGGAAGTATCGACGTCCAAGGTCCAGGATCAACAGAATCTCTGCTAGGTATTCTGCGCCCACTCATGAGTGAAGGAGGCGAGGCCGATACCACCGTGTGCACCTGGATGTGCCTAGCAGGACTGAACAATCCTGGTGGCGTGCCACTGAATGCTATGCTCGCCTTGGATGTCATGGACCCCAGACTCAATCATCCGCCCAAGCAGGTCAAATTCCCAAGCGCCCATAACAGCCGTCTCGATGAGATCTTAGTATCGTGGCCTCCAGACAAGGAACCGTCTTCGTCACGCCTGCTGTCCCACAAAGAGCGTTGGCTCGTGAGCAACTCATTACCTTCACAAAAGGCGATCAACCGTCGGAGAGCACTTGCGCCTCCAGGACAGACACCCAATATTTCTGCGAAAGACCCGAAGATACCTGTTCTTCTCATGGCGTCCCGATCAGAAGTCTCCAAGACCGCCAAGTCTGCCAACGCACAGGGAACGTGGACTGTTCTACTTCCTTGGACATGCGTCGACCCTATGTGGCGGTCGCTAATGTATTATCCTCTCTCGTCAGGAGGCACGCCACGATTCGGAGGGCTTAAGCAGACACAGCAATTAGCGTTTGAACATGGAACACCGTGGTTTCCTGGTGACTTCCCCGGCACTGAAGCAGGCAAGGCATGGGAACGCACAGAAGGTGAGCGGAGATTCGATGAATGGGTCCGCAGACCTCCAAAGAACAGAATAGCTTGGGACAAGCTGGATCTGGGTATGGGCAGGTGCGGCGAAGTTGGAAGAGGGTGGGCGTGTGATTGGGAGTGTCTTTTCGACAGCACCAAAGAGACCTCCAATAACGGCGTGATTGCGCCGCCTGAGAAAGCAAAGAAGGGCACAGCTGAAAACGTCGCGCCACCATTGACGCAACGACAACGCAAAGTTGCAAAAGCGAAAGCCGAAGCTAGTGCGCAGGACGAGGACACAGGCCGTCGGCGCAACACTTCAAGTCCGGAGAGTGACCCCGGCGAAGATCGAATCACAGCACCACCTGAGGTCCAATACGCTCAACTCCCTCCAACTACAAGTCTAGCACTGCTCAAGAAACCTGCAATCACAGCTTTGCCATCCCTACCAGCACTGATGACCGTCCGTATCACACTGCTGGACAAGGGTACCCCGGGACCCGCTGCCCGCATATATCGCCCCCCATCGACCAGCAAGCCAGCCGCAGAAGCAATACCCACCACCAACGAAGCAGGCTTGCCCGATCAAACTCAGCATCAGAGCTGGTCTTCCGAACCTCCACCAGCGCAACACCCACCCGCGACAAGCACGACAGATTCCTCAGCTTTGTCCAAGGATCTGTCAGCGCACGGCCTGCGAGCTCGTTGGCTTGCATTCGACCCTCATCCTCATGGTCAGACCCAGTCATATCCACGTCTTCCCAAACAAAAGACCACCAAAATCAATCTCCCGCGCCAGCAGCACGTCTACCCGCGCGAATCGCTCGCCAAGATCAACGTCCTACCAAAGCACGCACCGCAAGAAGTCATCGACAAATTCGGGCCAAACAGCGCCTTTGGTCGCGGTGACGGCGAGATCCCCAAGGAAATGCCACCACCACCGAAAAGTGCGAAGCAGAAAGGTAAAGGCAAAAACGATCGCAAAGACACTCAAGCCAAAGGCGACACTACAAAGCCCCGCCTCAAGGAGAACAACAACCAAAGAGGCTACCTTGACCCGGACGACGATGAACTTCCTCCGGCACCAATGGCAGACTTCCAAGATCTTCTCGACACCTCGCCTCCCGAAGACGAGTGGTCGAAACATCCGCCCTGTCCGGACGTGCACGATCTCATCGGCTTCGTCACATCGGGCGCATACAACCTGTCCGAAGGCCGTGGGACGGCGGTGGCCTCGATCTGGGCGCAGCGTGTACTTCAAGGCTGGATCGATCATGTCGATGATAATGCAAGCGAGCGGGAGAAGAGGTTGTGCATTGTGCGTAATGCGGGCGAGAGCGTTGGACGCTTGGGGGTTTGGGAAGTCTGTGGTGGTTGAAATCTTTTCACGACCACCGTTGGGGTGTATTTTGACCTTGTGTGCTGTGCATGACTCTACATCACTTGTCCCGAGGTAACCAACATAGCCTACGCACAGAGTGTTGTCTGCTCATGAGGTGCCATACACGAGGGTTTGCATGCAATGCGAAAGCAGTGACACCAACTATACACACGGGTATGACTTTCCAATCATCTCCTCATAAGACTGATTAAATTATACACAAGGAGCTATCTGTCTCACGTGTCCTGTCATCTCGTGTCCAAAAAGCAGAAGAGGGTATCCAAGTGTAAGCACAAAGGCGAGTTGAACGACTCCGCCTCACAGTTCAACGCATCGAAAGAAAGACAATATCCGAGATTTTTGTCGCGTAGAGAGGAGGACAAGCGTTCCTCATCCAGTCATGAGCCCTTTCCTGCCAATCCAAGTCCCCAGCCATTCCCACTGTGGTTGATCCCGACCAGAGTATGTGCACATTGACCCCCAAACACCACGCTTGCCAATTTGTACAACGCTGAAGAAGCGGCCAAGTCTAGATAGCATAATTCTCAGCATACAAGAAAATCTCGTCCTTGCCGCTATCGGTCCAGACATCGCGTTGCAGGCGTGCGACTGTGCTCGCCACATCTGTCCGCATCTCCGGCGGTCCACAGACGTACACACACGTACGACGACCGAATTCCTTGCTCAACCCCTTTAGCATGTACGGGATATCCGGGCGGCCATATTCGGTGCGCCAGCCGTCGCGCTTGTTGGCAGTGACACTTGTAGGAAGGAAGGCGAAGCGCATGAGATTCTTCTGGAACTTGGTCGGGGTTTGGGGGAAGCCGAAGTCGAAGGAGCGTGTTGCTTCGATTTGCGCTTGTGACAGGGTCGACATATCCTGAGAAGCTCGATCTCGAGCTTGCGGTGCTGCGGACGGGCCCTTGCCCGGTTTCGTTGGCGGTGGAGGGAAGTATGTTTGGGCCTGGGAGTCAGCCATGTGCCGTGGTGGTGCGAGGTATGCTTGTGGGAGGGCGGTAATCTGATCCTCGAACTCTCGCTTGAGTTCGGGCTCTTGGTCCATGTTCATCATTGCCGAACTACGCTTGCTCCCGGGGTTATGGATGGCTTCGGTGATTTTGTCGCGAATGCCGCTGAGACGGTGCTCTTTGGCTTCGGGAAGCGTCTCGTACCGCGTGGTGGCTGTGATATAGAAATGGCATTGTACTGACCCGGGAGGTGCACATTCTCTGCAGATACGCAGTTCTTCCTTGAACCATTCCATGATGTCGGGACGTTTCATGGCCCAGATGACATGGACCTTTGTGGTTGTTGCTTTGCCGTCGCGCATTCGCTTGATCAAGTCCAAGAGCTGGCTGGCGATGGCAGTGATGCCACTACCACCAGCGAAGAAGACGACCTGGTCGAATGAGGCCATCTGCCGTTGCATGCCTCCATAAGGACCCTCCACGAAAGCTCTGTACGTCTTGTATAGGCCCTTTTGGACGGCGGTTTCAAGCGCTTTGCGAGTAAAACCACTAAAAGGTCGGAAGACCAAGGTCATATCTCGATATTGTTCACCATATTGAGAAGGGAAGTCCTTGCTGCATAAGGAGGCAATCGTGAATGGATGATTTTCCAGTGCTGCAATACCTGGCATTCTCAAGTATGCATACTGGCCCGGTCGCCATCTCTTTTGAGTTGGGATGGTGACTTTAATGGCATTCTCGGGCAAAATCGTTATAGCAGACTCTTCTCCAATAAGCCAAGAAGATCGGAAGGGATTTGTCCAGTTCAGGAAGAATAGTCGCGCCAAGAGTGAGACGACCATCAGCACAACCGTGGAGTATAGATACGCCCAGGATCTCAGATAGTTGTTGCAATGCCAGAACAAAAGGCCAATGAAGGCCCACGCAACTGGAATGTGTAAGATGGCAAACAGCTCGTACATCTTGGCTCGAAGTATTGGCAGGGAGTGAAGTGTGAGGAAGATCAATGGTGCGATTGCTGCAATGCCGGTAGTATAAATGTAGTATTGCTGGCTGAAGTACAACTTGAACGTGGCAAATCCCGCCGGGTCCTTGATTGACTGGTACCAGTATGGAACTGCATGGATGACTGCAAATATCGAGCAAAGGTAGGCTGTCCATCGGTGCAAGACGATAAGCCGATCATGACCAATCCCCGTCAACAGGGAGACCGGGTTTGCCTTGGTGGCCAATACAACACACCATGGCACCAGGGATATGGACATCATGCCTGCTCGAACCGCCAGTGGAGGTGAACCATATGACATGGAGGCATAGAACAGCGGACTTGGCAGGAAACAGTATAGTAGGGAAGCTGTCAAGCAGATCGTGACAATGACGATAGCTCCCAAGGATGGAAAGGTGAATTTGTACCTGCCAATCCGTAGCGCCGGTATCGGGCGGTAGAAGATCCATCTGAAGAAGGCGACAGTGTTGTTCAGAGGCGCTATGGCGGATACGGCTGCTTGATGTGGCTGTTTCTCTGCGATCAGAGGCCCCTTGGCGGGGAAGAAATGTCTTGAAGAGCCTTCCGTTTGAACGGTAGTTGCGCTAGGTAGTTCATAGTCGACATAGCCGTACATGGGTGAGGGGTTTGTGTATGGGCTCGCTGCTGAAGCCGAGTTGATGACCTCTTCCTTGTACAGGGCGGTTCGGATCTTGTCGCCCCAGTAGTAGTATAATCGCATCAGAGTTGCAGATACCACCAGGATGATACCGACGTAGACGAAGAGTAATCCATACTTTCCAGCTTGGTTGAAAGGATCATGTTGGATGGCCTGTATCAGTGCGGGAGGCGTTGTACTGTTTATGGGTATGTTCACTCTCTTGACCAGTTCTTCCTTCGTCCTCTGGGTTAGCCAGAAGTCAACCTCTCTTCCTGTCAATCGTACCCAAGCCTCCGTCGCCGTCAAAGGCATGATGTATGGAGGGAGCGCTGCGCTCTACCCAACAGATCTGAGGATTGTACAAGCAGTTTGAGGAGGGGGCGATCGTTCTTGTTCGAAATCAGGATCTGGTCAAGTTTGTGGTCGCGGTGAGACCCTGCTCAACCTATTGGATGTTGATCGTTTTCGCAATATTGCGGTATGATCCGTGACCAGTCAATGGCCTCGGCAATGCGATCTGATGAACTTCGTGTACTGATCTCTACGAGAGAGCCTGCTCCCTCAAAATGAATAACAAGATAGCGAATGTAGGGAACGTGAAACGGAGGAGCTCTTGCCGTTGGAACATCGACGAGGGAAATGGAGGAGGCAGAAGAATCGATATAGACCTGCATCAAGCAGAAGCAGCAAACACCAAAAGTGACGAAGAGACGACCGCGCGTGCGGTTGAAATGTTCACCCCGCTACTCACCGTGATATGGACTGGGAGAGCGAGAGTGCACGCAGCCATCGAGCGGAGAAGCAATAGTAACACAGCAGCGACATTATCCTGCAAGAGGTGAGCGGTAGAGTCAGCGGTTCAACAAGAGCTTGCATTGGTTGTGATGCAGGTAAAGTGCATGTGGACATGGACATTGGACATTGAGAGTTGGCGGTGGAACCTGGAGCGGACCGAAGATGGTGAGAATAAGTCCAGCATTAGTTCATGCAGGGCAGCAACAAGAGGAATTGTGTTGATTGGATAGATGATAGTGATTCGGACAAGAAACAAAATGCAGAGGAGGGAAAAGATAAAGACGGAGACACAGAAAAGAGGAAAAAGAAGGTGCGAGCTGCATTAGCGACGTTGACAATGGACCAATGAGAACCTCAAGTCCAACCAATACCACAGTGAGATTAGGCGCCCATCAGGATAGTGACAATGTGACTACATATTAGCCACTGTTAGGCCATCCAATGCCATTCCATATCTCTCCCAAGACGCAATGACTGGATCGACTGTGCAGCAAGGGTGCTTCTGGACTTTCTGGGGGTCCAAGATCCAGGTGTAAAGCAACGACATACACAGTACCAGTGAAACAGACCGACTTCTCACCGCATAGGGCTGACCGCTCCATCCTCCAAACTGGACGTTCCTGATCGTAGGGCCAGTTTGAATTATACCAACGCCTCCTGAGGTGGAATATCAGTCAGAGATTACGAGCAGATAAATATCCGGCGTCGTATATTTGAATTATGTCATATATGTACATATCTAGCCATATCTCGGGCCTGAGCTCCTGGGCTGGTATGCGACAATGAGCTTCACTCTTGCTGGCGATTGTGCTCCCCATCTTGACTTGCTTCCTGCATGAAAGGACTGCGTCGCCGGATACTCGGACCCGTTCCCAGCAACAAAACCGGCACGAAGCTCAAGGCAAGGCCGATAAACCCAAGCAGACTGCCTGCCCAGCCGTAACCTAAGTTTTCAAAAAGGACATATGACGCCAGAGGCAAGAAGGCGGCAAACACGTTCCTCCGAAGACTTGCTGCTGAGAGCGCCGATGCGGCGAACTGCACATACGAATCGGTCAGGTAATTGACCACAGAAACGTAGATGCTGTATATGCCAACCCCCACACAAGCGACGCCGCATGTCGGCACGATCCAGTGAATGCCAGGCCGGCACGTCCAGCCATACCAGAAAAGTCCGCCTGTGAACAAGAGCGATCCAGGAACGGACAACAGTAATCGGGATTCGGGAGTGTGTTGGCCGGGCTTTTCTTTGTTCTTGCGGGCACTGCGAAAGTACAACCAGTCTTGAAGCGGACTGAAAACGGTCCCAATAAGCGCACCAACGCTTATTGCCAGCTGAATTAGACCTGTCTGGAACACATCGAAACCGTAGTTGATCGAGAAGGTCTGAGGCACACTCGAGAAGAACAGGAACAAGATGCCTCACGCAAAGCTGACCCAGAGTGTAAAGGAAGTTACGACAGGTTCGGTGAGCAACATCTTCACTGGCCGCTTGAAGCTGATTTTCACCTGTTCCGCTGTTGATTCTCTCGCAAGCTCCGATTTAGCAAATACCGGTCGTCCGGTCTCGTAGCGCAGCTTTTCGGCACGTCTAGCCAAGATCACGTCTCCTCGAGTTTCTCGCAGTATGAACCAGAAGACTGGTAACAAACCAGCGTTGTAGATGATCTGAATATTGAAAATCTGAACTGCATTAGCATGTACATCCGGTCAAGTTCAAGAATTTCCTTTGTTTGGCATACCCATCTCCATGGATCGTGCTTGTGAACCTGTACGATAGCGCTGCCGACGAATGGACCCAGAGCTATACCGGCAACCGAAGTAAATCCTGATATGAACCAAAGTGAGCATTCGTTTTGAGTCGGCCCGACCCGAGCAATGACATTGTACTTACCAAACAAGCTCATTGGAAGGCTGCGAGCCTTCTCGCCGTCCCATATGTCGGAAATAGTACCTCCAACCAGATTTATAGCGATGCTTGATGCGCCGCCACCAAAGAATCTGGTCACCACGAGCGTAGCGAAGTTCTGAGCAAAAGCTGAAGGCAAGAGCCAGATGATGAAGAGCGCGTATGCCATGAAATAGCTGCATTGGTGTTAGAGAAGCTGCGAGTATAAAGCCAGAGTCAGGATGCGTACCCAGGCATTCTCCCACGATTCTCAGTCAGCGGCACAAACAACAGGGGCAACAATGCAGCTCCCATATTCCACGAAGTTGTAGCCCAGTACAGGTTCGGAAATGGTCGGTTCTGGACATGGAACTTCCTCTCATACCAGTCATTTCCGGATCCGTAACTTCGGCTGGCAATGCGATTAGAAGTGAGATGAGGCACACCGTGATTGTGAAGACCCATTTGTACGTGTCCGACCAGTTGAAGGGGTTTTCAGGGTCGTCTTCACCATCCCAGTCGTGAATGAACTTGCCATCCTGTGTGGTATCCTTTCCGTCCTTGTTACCTCGTTCGTCTTTACTGCCTGGACCTCCATGGTGTTGGTTCTCCGACACTGCCGTTGCCGCTTGGGATACATACGAATATCGCGCTGACGAAACAGAGCCATATTGCGGCTCATCTTCACAAAAGTCAGCCGCCAATATAGAAGATCGGGTTAGAGAGAACGGCTGCTGGGACGCACATCGGGAGAATCTAGGGATAGCTTGAAATCTTTTACCAATCTCTAGGCCATGGTCAGCTTCCGTTCGGGGGTCCATCACGAAAAAACCTGGCACGCAATCGAAAGGAGAAAGGGCCATAGAAAGCACGATGGTGCATGGTGCTTTGAATCTTGCAAGCCTTCACGCTCGCATATATATGTTGAAGGCCACGATGAAGGGACTGTGCAGAACCCAAAGACATGGGGATGACGTTGGGGACCTGACAGACATCAGAAGATCAATGTCCTGTCATGCAGGATTTTCATCATTGCCGAAAGCATTCTTTGGGTACCCAATGACATATATCGTGCCAAACAATCGCAGGCCGCATGAGAAAATGGTGCAACATCGAATTGAGGTCAGAACAACACTTGGGCCTTAGTAAGTCGGATTGTATTCCAGATGACCGGCCTTTGCAGGTAGACAGACTTCGACTTTTGAAATGTTACAAGGCTGCAGCTCCGAGGAAGCCTTCCACCCAACTAATTCAGGACAGCGCATGAGGCTCGATATCCAGGCTGGGGTGCGTCAAACAGTCTCATCGAGCCGCCACTCAAGCCTCCGGGGACAACGCGCCAACGAGGAATGTGTTTGTGACTCTGTGAGTCTCCACTCGGGCCATTGTCCGGTTCCTGTCCGTTTGATGTCCAGGATTTCTCATCAAGCTTGAGATATAAGCTATGACCCTGAGAAAATCAAGATCAAACACCTCGCGAATCTGATCCGGAATAAGCCGCAATACTCCATCGATTCATCTATCTTAGCCTTCCAGGACATGCCGCCCGCACGCAGCGTATTGCCAGCGGCTCACACAGTTGATACCACTGCGTCTCCGTGATGCGATGGCTTAATGCACCTGGCTGGTTGTGGTTCGCTCCCGTAATAAGCGCATCACTGCCCATCAGGGGCCGATGCAACAGTCCGTCTTATCAACCATGGGTGGTGATGTCAATATAACGACACATCTGCGGAGCTGCTGTGGTCGACAGTAGCTTCACGCGAAGTGTCACACTTGGACGCTCTTGCCCTGAGTGGTACAGGCTAGGCCCAGAACTCAAGTAATCGAGACTCGTCGTCATTTATTCGTAAGGATGGTCGTGGTAGACAGTCTTCATACTCATTCTGCGCCGGTAGGGTCAACCACTCGTGCGCGTATGATCTTGACCTCTTCGAGAGGTCTATCCTCACTGTTCGTCTTGACCAAACCCATCCTCTGCACGACCTTCATCCCGCTCTTGACGCGACCGAAAATCGTATGCTTTCCATCAAGCCACGGCGTAGGAGCCGTCGTGATGAAGAATTGACTGCCATTTGTGTCCTTTCCGCTATTCGCCATACTCAGAATGCCTGCGCCGGTATGCTTGAGCGAAGGGCTGATCTCGTCCGCAAACTTTTCTCCGTAAATGCTCGATCCACCGCGACCAGTACCTGTGGGATCACCAGTCTGTACCATGAAATTTGGGATGACGCGGTGGAAAACGACGTTGTTGTAGTAGCCTCGTTGCGCGAGAGTGGAAAAGTTCTTGCAGGTCTTTGGAGCATGGTCGTTGTACAGCTCGACGGTGATGACGCCCTGAAGCACAAATTAGCACTACGTTGACGCCTCAGGAAGGTCAACCCTTACCATCGTCGTCTCGAGGACAACGTCGGTAGCCATGTTGGAACGTCTACTGGCTGCAGAAGTTGTAGCACCTGTCTGCTTTGCAACTTTTTTTGTAGGTGATCATCTAACGCGGGGGACTTCGCATGGCATCCCGGCTTGGCGCGGGTTTACTACTGCAGTGTTCAAGGATCTTCAACTAGAGAGGTATCATTGCGTCCGTCCTGCCTGCCAACTCCAGCATCCATGTTCCTGTGATCTCGGCACTCACTGCGCAGTGTCGCTGGTACAGTTTCTCAACCGTGGTGTATACACATATGCCCTACTGCTTGAACTCCTTCACGGCTACGTGAACATTGACCAGACCCTTCAAGTCTTTTGCTCCTCTCAGCAGGTGGACATTGTCTTGAAATGCTGAGGTATTCCTGTAGTTCAGATGTGATTCCACTTTATCCCAACCGACCAACGCAGTCCAGGCTTTGCGCTTCTCGGAGCTGTTAAGATCATCAAGGTCTTCCACAATCCAACCAGCACGAGCGTCCTTGAAGCCTTCCGCACTGCCCTTGGTGACATCGAGGAATTTCTGGACATTCTGATCAAAGGCCTTCTGGTCATCCGAGGAGTAGTCCTGAGGGAAGTATACAGTGAGAAATTCAGTTACGTGCACACCATCGCCGACGAGAGCCGGAACGGCCGGGTGGTCATCAAAGTGGACGTGGTAAAGTGCGCCAGGACCACTGACCAGAGATCCCAACTGGCCCATGAAGGATGGGAACTCTCTTTTGCACCGTCAGTATAGCAACAACTGATGCAGAATTGTGGCGACCGCTTACTCCGACTCGATGAATCTCTTGTGGTGATCAAGACTTTCCCAGTCAATGAAAGCCACGCCTATCGACTGGTTCTCGACCTGCTTCCCCCAGTAAACACGTTGACAGCCATCCTGCTTTGAGACTGTTTCGAGACATGCTTTGAGCGTCTGTCCGGCAGCACTGGTAGAGTCATCTGGATCCTGACCCTCTGCGAGAGGGAGAATTGCAACTTCTGTTGCTGGTGCCATTGATGTTGATGTCTAATTGTCGAGTCGCTTTCTTCTCGATTGAAAGCCTGTCTAATATATCACGGAAGAATGCAAGGAGATGCAAGGGTTATGAGCTTCTGTTGATTGTTGACCCAAACATCGAACAAGCCGGGAACAAGGCCTGTTGGAGGTTACGAATACGTGCATAAATACCTCTACGGCCGTACCAAGGCCGACATGCATACCCGCTGGGCATCAAACAGAACCTCTTATGAGAACTTGATCCGTAATCTGCCGCGAACGTCTTGCTGACGCCGAGACCAGACTCACATGTCAGCGACATCAGTACCACCAGTACCAGGTCTAGGTGATCCGGAATGGTAATTCCCAAGATGGACAGATCACCACCGGAAGATGTCCCAGAACCTCGTCCAGTAGCACGTGGATTGCTGGCCGCCATGGGAAAGCCAGTACCTAGGTAACCGACACCTATGGATACCGCTCTCTCAAATACGCAGATAGCATCGAGATCGTCTCACGTAATTTACCTACGGTGGATGTGTGATAGCTTTCTAGCTATCCTCAAGGTCCGAACAAGGACACTGTACTTGTACCTCACCGTAGTAGGAGCCAGGGCGGAGTATGTGAGATGTGATGCAATCCTCCGCGAACCGAGTTTCGGTTATTCGCGGATTCAAAAGCAATGTCACTCTCAAAACACCGCGGCTCCTCTGAACAATGTAAAGGGAGCACCCCCAGCACCCTTGATCATACTTCCGTCCACCACTCTTTTGGACTTCCTGTAAGATTCTCTACCTCGAGTACGAGCAACAGGTAGCAATGCCTCCAGGCAACTTCAGCTACACCCCAACACCCGGACTACTATGCAGCCTGGGGCGCGTCCTCCGCGGGCAACCCTCCACACTCCACCTCCACCTCCGCATTCGTCCTTGCGTCCATGTTCGCACAGCAGCAACATTCACACACCCACGACACGCCCAAGCGATCTCCGTTCTGCCCACGTTAGTCGACAAATCGAGCCCCGAGTACAAAGAAAATGCCTCCCAACTCTCCAGCATCATGGCCAAATACGCGGACCTCCACCAGAAGATCAACCGCGGCGGACCCCAGAAATCCCGGGACAAGCACATCCAACGAGGCAAGCTGCTCGTCCGCGATCGAATCACCGCCCTCATTGATCCCGGAAGCCCATTTCTCGAACTCTCGCCCCTCGCCGCACACGAAGTCTACGACGAGGACATTCCCGCAGCCGGCATGATCGCAGGCATCGGCACAGTCTCAGGCGTAACATGCATGATCGTCGCCAACGACGCAACAGTCAAAGGCGGCTCATACTACCCTCTAACAATCAAAAAACATCTCCGTGCCCAGGAGATCGCCCAGCAAAACAGACTCCCCTGCATATACCTAGTCGACAGCGGCGGCGCCAACCTCCCCAAACAAGCCGACGTCTTCCCCGACCGCGACCACTTCGGCCGGATATTCTTCAACCAAGCACGCATGTCCAGCCTAGCAATCCCCCAGATCGCAGTAGTAATGGGTCCCTGTACAGCAGGCGGAGCCTACGTCCCCGCCATGTGCGACGAATCCATCATCGTCGAGAAACAAGGCACAATCTTCCTCGCGGGCCCACCACTGGTCAAAGCAGCAACCGGCGAAGTCGTGTCCGCAGAGGACCTAGGTGGAGGCCACTTACACAGCACCGTCTCCGGCGTGACAGACTACCTAGCCGTCGACGACGCACATGCCATCGTCCTCGCACGCCGCTCGGTCGCCAACCTCAATTACCCAGCCGAACAACCCGCGCCCGTCGAAGTGCGTGAACCGCTCTACGACCCCGAAGAACTTGCAGGCATAGTCGGGACGAACCTCCGCAAGCAGATCCCCATGCACGAGATCATCGCCCGGATCGTGGATGGCAGCGAGTTCTCCGAGTTCAAAAAGGACTACGGCACCACTCTGGTCACCGGCTTCGCCAGGATCTACGGCTACCAAGTGGGCATCGTGGCCAACAATGGCATCCTCTTCTCCGAATCCTCCCTGAAAGGAGCACACTTCATCGAACTCTGCTGCCAGCGCAACATTCCCCTGATCTTCCTGCAAAATATCTCGGGCTTTATGGTCGGCGCGGACGCGGAGAAGGGAGGTATCGCGAAGAACGGCGCCAAACTCGTCACCGCGGTATCGTGCGCCAATGTGCCCAAGTTCACTGTCGTCGTGGGGTCGAGCGCCGGCGCAGGGAACTACGGCATGTGCGGACGAGCATACTCGCCTCGCTTCCTGTGGATGTGGCCCAATGCCAAAATTGGAGTCATGGGCCCAGACCAATTGACCGCCGTAATGGAGACGGTTGGGAAATCCGTGGACCCGGAGCTGCGAGACCGTATCGAGCGAGAGAGCGATGCTGCCTTCTCGTCTGCCCGACTTTGGGACGATGGTGTCATTCCGCCAGCCCAGACCAGGCACATGCTTGGATTAGGATTGAAGGCTGCTTTAGGTGGTAGCACCGACGATACGAAGACCAAGTTTGGCGTGTTCAGGATGTAGACGATCATACACAATTCCGGCAAGCACAATCTACAAAGAATTAGAGCGCGGCCCAGCCATATGACTGATACATTATAACATTTTCGACCCGAGTCGGTAAGTCTATCTCTTTTCTTTCGATCGTCCCAAAAAATTCCACCCGAGATTGTTCTTTTCCTCTAGCTTTTTGCAACGCCGATGATGCTAGGATTGCATGTCGATACACCGAAAACACATATTCTGACAAGACTAGGATTACAATATGACACATCGATCACGATTTCGAGTTCTTTTGCCTCGACGCTCGTGTCGATTCGGTCGCTCCCGGCGTCGGGTTGCCGCTTGCTGCTCGTTCTGCTGAGTCCGACTGGTGTCTTTCTGAATAATCTGAGAACAGAGGTTGTGAAAAACTTCGTCGACGTTGGTTCGTCTTCGCGCCGAGGTTTCGTAGTATGGCTTCTGGCCCCATTGCTGTGCCAGCTGGAAGGCTCGGGCTCGTTGTACGACTCGCTCGTCCTCCATATCGGATTTGTTGCCGACCACCACCAGCGGGATATCTTCATCGTCCTTGATTCGGATGATTTGTTCCCGTAGCTCGGCCAGCTCGTGAAAGGAATTCATGTTGCAGATTGAGAAGACCAGGAGAAAGCCTTGACCTTGTTTCATGTAGAGCTCTCTCATAGCTGTAAACTGTTCCGTACCAGCTGTGTCAAGACTGGGAGAAGATACACATTAGCTATCCATCAAAGACCGGACCTTGGGTGGGGACTTGGGAGAGTAGCATACATCTCCAGCATGATCTGTCGGCCATCGACATTGACTTGCTTGCGGTAGGAGTCTTCGATGGTGGGGTCATAGCTCTCGATCCAGACATTCTGGACGAATTGGGCCGTGAGACAGCTTTTGCCTACGCCGCCTGTTGGGAAAATACCAAAGCTGGTCAGTCTCAATGTTGTCGATGGAGGGGATGCACTGTCATAGATGACAAGACCAAATACGTACCTGCACCGAGCACGACGATGTGGTATTCTCGCCTATCGATCGACATGTCAGGCACCAAATCTTTCCAAGAATTAGTTTGCATCGCTGCATTTTCTTGACTTACCTAGGCTGCAAACTCATACTCACGCTTCCTCCCCGTGCCTCTGATGACAACGGTCGTCACGCCACCCAACACGTTGACACCCAGAAGATGAAATTGAAAAAGATCCAACACTTTTCCGCTGCAAAGGCTACATCTCAGACCTCCAGCTCACCTTCAGATGCTGTTAGAGGTAGTGAAAATTCAAAGAGAAGACGGGGTAGATTCTGGACGTTGAGCGATATCGACGACCTTCGAGGTAAGGTCCAAGGGCTGATGCCGCAAATCGGGAAGTCAATCCTGTGCTCTTGGGATTTGTGTTTGCGATTTGTGCGTGGGTTGGGATAATAAAGCGGGAAGACGGTTCGCTACGAGGTTTAGTCCCAACTCGGTTCAGAGGGTTCGTCCCTCTTTTTATACGATGGTCCTGCGTTCTGCTCAGCGTTGTGATTGCTCGTTTTGTGTCTGTCAGGAGATGTGTGATGGCTGTCTGACGGGCGGTCCGTCTGATGACAAGCCGTTTGACTCGCTGATGGGGAGCACCGGATGTGATGACTTGGGGGCCCAACACCAGTGCCTTCAGCTGCTACCTAAATTTGTTGTAGCCTGCCGTGGATCCAGTCAAAGGCGAAGACGTGGGTGAGTAAGACTGTGAGGCGACGGCGATATAATCGTGGCGATGAGGTGGTTGGATATGGTTCTTTTGGTTCTTTTTGCACCCACAAAACTGTCTCGCATCAAGTGGCGCCTCGTTCCTGGGTGCAAAGTACTTGGGTGCTGTATTTAAGGCAAGATGATATTCAAGACACAATCACGAAACCATGCTTCCTGCGAACTCCGGTTCGGTTCCATGCTCCATGCCTCGATTTTTGTCCCTTGTAACCCTCTTTTTTTGCTGTTACGTCTCTGCGTCGGATCTGGTTGGTGGAGTCAGAGGTCTCCGGACAGTAACGCGTGGAAGATTCAGAAAGCGGCTCGGGGTGTTTTGCTTGTCCTTCGATTCCCGATCGCTATCGGCAGTGGTAATGGTTACAGGATGCCTTTCTGGTCTAGTTCGGCTTCGATGGAGTTGTCTAGAGAGCGTACCGTGCAGTAGTCCGTGTTGATCGATACTGGAATATGTGGTGGATGCGTGGTTGAATGTTTGCCTGTGGTAAAGGAAAAATATTATCGCTAACTTAGTGACATCCTTGTCCAGATTGTCCAACGATGATCGCAGTAGCTTGAGTTGTGGTTGCAATTTGTTGTGTACCATTGTACCTGCCTTACTGGCACCACTCGTAACCTGATCCTTGTCTACCACGATTATTGACCCCCTGGAAGGGGAACTTTTTTACGGGGAGTATAGGCGTCAATGCGTCACGCCAATCCTTCATTTGGTGCCCGGAGCTTGTTCCCCGCTGCCGCGAAAGCCTCTTTCAGTCTCCGTTATTCTGGTCAGTGTCATGGTTGGATACGCTACGACGTACCTAGGTAGGTAGGTAACTAGTTTGGGGCCCGCCAGCACGGGAAATGTCGCTGGACTGACATAATTTCTCATCACTAGCAGCCAGCTAACACACCGTGTCCTCGTCTATATCTGGAGGCATTGATCCATGCAACCAGCGTGCGGGTTCGCTGTGTAATATACCATATCTGGCAGATCGGGAAGTTCATCCACGGTCAATGTTTCCCATCTTCTGCGGCATGAAGAGCAGCAGGAAAAGATCAGCCATACACGATCATTAATGACGGGTGAGGCTTGGACATCCGACCTCTAATGATCGGCAGGGACCTCTCTTTTAGGTCGCTTCGGAAAATATCCGTTGTTCTCTAGGGTGGCAGTATGTAAGGAATGCCACCTATGATCATGAAACACATTCGAAGATGCCATGGAAAAAGCCATCAGGTCACAGTGCCAGCACTAAAGGATTCCGAAACCTCAACGAGGCCTAACAGATATGCTGACAATTCGATGTTGGGCAGAAAGACTCAGAGCTTGAAACCAAGTCTATCCTTGTAGCGGGGGACACGCGACACATTCTCGAGGAGAGCTGTCAAAAGGCTCACACCATGGCTGGACTGCTCGCCAATGCTGTAGATGCATGCGCGATAGCTGTCTCAGCAATCGACAAAGTGCAGTCCAGTAACATTCACAGTCGGTCATCACCGTTGATTTGACTTACTTCAAACTACGGAGGTGCGGCGTCGAGTCGACCACTCCTCGTATCGAGATCAAATGCAACACCCATGAGTTTCGAGATTCCAAAGTCATCCTTCGCCTAACTTACGATGTAAGGCGTCTACAACTCGCATGCGCCCAACGGTGCTAGGCAAGCCCACGTTGTACAGCATATTGTAAGCGAACAATTGCACCTACACCGAACTCTAGCCCGGAAACTAGAACCGGTGCCGGCGTACTAAGCGATCTTGATGCGACTTACACCACAAGACGAATGCGAATATGGACACTTAGATCTCCACGACACTAAGTCACCCCTTAGAGAGTTTGTACTGTGGTATCTACCCAACGTGATGGCGCTGATCATCTTGTGCCCCTATCCTGGGGACGACGGGAGTGTTGCATTGACGATCGATCCATCCCCAAACTGCTGATCTCGGTGTCTGATGTCTGCATCTCGAACGGTCGGTCGATCAACACCCCGAGCCTCGAGAATTCGAGAATTACAATAGCCGACCGACAACGTTTAGAATCCTGAAGGATGCATCCTTGGCCAATTCTAGGTCTTAAAGACAAACGTTCACCTGGCGATCTCGATCCGGTTCGCGCAAGAGAGGCCCTGCGCCAAAGCCACGATCTGCTGATCTTGTAGACAGACACGCGTCGATGCATATTTTATACATATCACTCCAGCGCTATGGCATTTCCGCGGAACGCAGGGCTATACCACAGCTTCACAAACTTGTCATGATCGGCGCAAACCCAGGAGCCTGGTCTAAGGTGTTGGCGCGTGGGTGCACGCTTAGCGGGCAAAGTCCTGCACTAACCTCCTCTCAAACCTGCACATCGGAAGTGTGCGGTACGCCGTCCTGATGCGGTCTGAGGTTTACCATGGCAGGCAGTCGGTCTGTTCTAACTTCAAGCGATCTAGAAAATGCTGCTCCAGCAGCTCGTCGAGAAGGAAAGATTACCACACTTACTCCCCTTTACCTTCCTGTTCCTCAAACTCGACCAACTCAACGCCACTACCGACGACCTCACCTTCATCATGCACGACACGCTTGACCACAACGCCTTCGGCGGGACTGCGAATGACCGTTTCCATTTTCATGCTCTCAATGACTAAAAGGGGCTGGTCTTTGCTGACTGTGTCGCCCGCTTTCACAAGCACACGCAGAATCTTGGCCGGCATAGGCGATAGTAGCGAGTTCGCCTTCTCTCTGACACCAAGAGCTTTGGCAAGCCACGAAGGTTGAGGTGGCACGAGACGAAAAGATCCGTCTGGTGTGAAGAGGTGGATCGCACCGGAAGACGTTGTTGTCGAAGGCGCAAGGACGACGCGCGATGTATGCCGCGTGTGAGGGAAATAAGTTGTCAGCGTATTCGTTGCGGCATCGAGGGTGGAAGAGACGTTGATGGGTGTGGAGTCAGATGCTGTGCTGACGGCGAAGTGGCCGGGGCTGGTCTGTTGCACTTCGACAGTATATATATCGGGCGTTTTGCCCGGTCCTGGCTCAAAGTCTGCAGACTGGAAGTGGAATATCCGGGGTTGAAAGTCCCAGGAAGTATTCAGCCATGAAGGCGAGGACGACGGCTGCAGGGACGGAGTTGTTGCTGCTGATACATGGCTGGTTGAGTGCAGGTACGAAGTTATTGCCGCCTCGGCCAGCACTTCGGGAGTGACACCTGATTCTGGAAAGAGCTCATCTCGGTGCTTCTCGATATATCCTGTCTCGACTTTGCCCGCCACGAAGTCAGATGAGATACACGTTCTTTTCAAGAAGTCGATATTCGTGACCGGTCCGGCGACCTCGTAGTCCTGTAGTGCCATGGCCAGTTTGCGAAGCGCGTCTTCTCTGGTTTCGGCTCGGACAATCAACTTGGCTATCATAGGGTCATAATGGCTTGACACCTCATCTCCTTCAATAAAACCACTGTCGATACGGACATCAGCGGTCTCTTGGGGGAGCCGCACATGCAAGAGCTTGCCAGAGTCTGGAATGAAGCCCTTGTCGGGATTTTCGGCATAGATTCGAGCCTCAATGGCATGGCCTCGTCGCGCAATTCGCTCCTCGACCTGTTCTTGAGTCAGGGGTAATGGTTTGCCCTCAGCGACCAAAATCTGCCAGTGAACCAGATCGAGCCCGGTGACCATCTCTGTCACGGGGTGTTCGACTTGTAATCTTGTGTTCATTTCCATGAAGAAGAATTCTCCAGTGTCATTGTCGAAGATGAACTCAACAGTCCCGGCACCTTCGTACTTGACAGCAAGTGCAGCGGCACGGGCCTTGTCCCAGATGTCCTTCCGGATTGAGTCGTCCAGGTTCGGTGCTGGTGACTCTTCAAGGATCTTCTGATGTCGTCGTTGGATTGAGCAGTCGCGTTCACCGAGGGCAACACAATTTCCGTGTTTGTCGGCAAACACTTGCACTTCGATATGTCTTGGTGTTGTGATGTACTTCTCCACGAGGACATCGTCGTTGCCAAAGGAGTTCCTCGCTTCACTTTTGGCGCTGTCCAGCATGTCTGAGAACTCCTGGGCACTTTTGGCAATGCGCATTCCTTTCCCTCCACCACCCCGGACGGCTTTAATGAGGACTGGATACCCGATCTGCTCTGCCTCCTTGGCAAGGGTTTCGGGTGCTTGATCACGTCCATGGTATCCCGGCACGCAGGGTACCTTCGCCGCGTTCATGATCTCTTTACTACGCGCTTTGTCACCCATGTCCTCGATCGCGGTGGCTGGTGGGCCAATGAATGTTACCCCTGCTTCTGCACATTTTTTGGCGAACTCGGCATTCTCGGACAGGAAGCCATAGCCTGGATGGATGGCCTTGCACCCTTGTTCTTTGGCTATTGCGAGGATTTTCTCTTGGTCGAGGTAGGCGGCAGTTGCGCCGAGGTTGAAGGAGAAGGGCGAGGAGTGCGCATGTTGTGAGAGTGCGTCTGGGTTCGTGTAGAGTGTTGCAGTGCGGATGCCGTGCTTGGCTGCTGTGCGGTTGACTCTTATCGCGATCTCTCCTCGATTGGCGATCAAGATCGAGTCCAGGGACTTTATGGTAGGCTCATGGTCGGTATGGGTGGCTCGACGTTGAGCATTGATTGATGTACGGAGGACGGACTTGGCTCTCCACGCAGCAGATCCAGGGATCCTACAATGCGACATGACTGTGACAGAGTCAAGACGACTTCATAGTGCCCAAGAAGCAGATCCTGTCGCGAGGATTGGCATGATTAATATAGCAGTCTCAAGGGAACTCCCAGAGTATGTGATCCCTCGGTTGTACGGTTAGAAGCGGCAAGACGAGGTCGCTCCTAGCTGGTAGTGGAATATTTGGCGGGGAGAACACGCGGAGAGCCTCTAGGCAGCGGCAGCTTTACTAACGTTAGTCGGGCACTGTCACACGTGCCTTATTGTTGTGACATGCTCACTGGTCTTGCGAGTCGACATTTGTGTTTCAGAGTCGTCAAACGTAAGATGACTCTGTGTTTCGTTTGAGCACGCCTTCACCTTCACTTCAATTGTCGTTTGTCAACTTTTATTCGAAAAAATTGTTACCCCGTCTCAAATACAAACACGGAGTAAAACCTGCCTGCATTTCCTGAGTTTTAGCCAATCCTCTCCATAACGATTCCCTCTCGACATGCTTTTATGACCTCAGGATGTCTGACATCGAGGACTACGCATACTCGCCGTATGATGACATTGATGACCTTCTGTGGGACGCCGACCCAAATCCAGAATTAGCTGATGACCTCGCCGAGCACGCTTGTCCCAGCCCCGTCTATCAAGATGAGATTGCCGGTTTCGAACTGCAGGAATATCACAGTGACTGGGAATATTACTCAGATGATTATATGGATGATGACCCTGCACTCTTGAAAACGAATACACTAGATGGAGGTCCTCCCAGAAAAGCGGTCAAGAAGAAGGACAATGGGGACGTGGATAAGAGAGGCAAGAAGAGGAAATTGGCTGATACAGTGGACGTTGCACAGTCGGAAGAGGAATTGTTGACGAGATGCATAAAGGGTACGGTCTGGGGGAAGCCTGGAGAGCAGAATCCTCCGCGATACAACACGGGACAGGGGGTGAAAGTGGCACTTATGAAGAATTGGAAAGAGGTGTTCGCGATTACGAACGATGGATGGGGCAAGCAAAGACACCAGTCTGATGAAGATGAATCCTGGGCCAAGGACATGAGCCTGGCAGACATGGGTCTCCAGAATATGCAAGGCAAAGCCCTAGACCAAGCCCCCGAAGGCCAACCGGCTAAATACAAGGTGGAGAATGACGAGGAAGATGGAGATGAAGAGGGAGGTGAAGACGAAGAGGACGTCGACCTGATGGTTGAGGATGAGGTCGAGATCGACGAAGACGATACAAATGGGTTGGCGTCTAACAAGGAATCGGAGCCACCACCTAGTGCGACAGATGCTGTTCCTCTTCGAACCGACCTCGAAAACAACGAAGAACTTCCTCGAAAGCGGCGGCGGGTTGAAGTTGAGGTGCCAGTTTCACAGCTGAGTAGAACATCTCTCGTGGACTCCGTACCAAGTCAGAGACGTTCGACCGCAAAAGCCAAAGGCAAGATGCCCGCGGTCCAGCAAACCGAGTCGGAGCCAGTCAAAGCACAGATGCTCAACGAGACAAAGTCCAACGGCATAAAGAAGAGGAAAGCGACCGACGAACCAGAGGAAGGTGGATTTAACCGTCCTACTGCCAGTAGCCGGGCCAAAAGAGTGGCTTCAACAACTTCGACAGTCTCTCAAAACGGGGCCAACAGTGGTCGGCAAACGAGGAGCTCGAAAAAGTGATCATACACGGTACTGGGGATGGGCTGCAAGGATGACACCTGCATGATATGCCTATTCCAATCTCGCCTCTATTCGGTGGCCGGCATCAATGGCTCTTCTTCGACGGCTATCCTCTTTCCAACAGTCTGGATGAGTGGATAGACGGGCTTATGTACAAGACTTCCAAGATAATGAGGTACCATGACAGCGATTGAGCCGTATATGCAGTAGACTACTAGGTAGTAATACTGATTCATCATATCATAGACGTGCGCGAGTGTTTGATTTGGGGCGACAATGACTGGGCCGGCACCGGCTTGGAGAAATGCCGGCGAGGCTTGGCGCAGCCAACGGAAACTGCAGTCTGCAATCGGTATTCGAAAGCTTCATTCATCTGAAGACCGACAGGACGATCATATACTACGCATTCGACAGTCCGATCAACTTAGACTGCACCATTGGATACCATACTCGCTACTCTGGTGCATCCATAAAGCGTCTGAATACTTGTCCGAAAACTTATCTCTGCCGAATGGTCGTGCTCGAAAGACACCAGTTCTGGCTGAATAATTCATACGGGGGTATGTTCGGTCTACTCGACAAATCCACTTTGCACAATGCCATTATGTTCTTTATATGTGGCAACACGACACCATCTCCAACCCTCTCATCTCTATCCGTCCTCGAGTCTCCGGATCTCTTCACTAACATTCTGGTGCACTTGCAGCATCGAACACAAGTTGGTAGATCACGATTGAATGGGGGGAAGAGGACATCGGGTTGATAAAAAGAGAGAGGACGGAATTCCAAGATGGCAATGAGTACGATAACCTACCATGGTCGAAAGTCCTCTCTACGACCTCTTCGAACCGTATAATGTTGAAAGATATTGACTATTGGCAATGCAGGCGCTTCTTACATGTCGTCTCCGTCTCCGGACACTCCCTCCACCGTATTTCCCGAACGACTCATCCGACCGCTTCCCAGACGAACGATCAAGTCTCGATTATCCCTAGAAGCTGCCGAATCCATCACGTATCCTCCCCAGTTACCTTCCACGAGTCTCCCAACCTATAGTCACTATGGTGAAGACGGGGAATATTCAAATGATGGCAAGGTCTTAGTGCACCATCATGACGAACATGATCATGATTGCGATTATGATCATGATCATGATCATGACTCGGATCACCATGACCACGATTGTCCTCATCACCACCACCATTGTTGCCACCATGACGATTATGAGGATGATTTGGACGATCTGGAGAGCATGGTCCCTGCGTCTCATTATCTCGCCAGCTCACCACCCCGGTCTGGACGCCACCCAAGGTATTCGAAGGGGAGCGTTTCAGGTCCTGATGGGTATGAGGCTTTCGAAAATACAAACAACAAGAAGAAACGAAAGATACCCACGTCAGGCAGTCTGAGTTTGCATCATTCTAGCATGACGAGTGATTTTGCGCACATGGGTATCAACAATGATGGATCCGCTGATGATTCACATTATCACATGAAGCACGGAGGCTCCAGTCCTGGACACGGTATCCAAGGAGCCGGTAGGGGACGAAATGCAAGAAAGGTTTCGGGCCGAAACCCGCTTGGTGTCTCGGTCAATGGCTCAAATGCTCGGTCAAAGTATGACCAGAACCTGAGCGCCAACGCTAAAGGTAACGGAAGCAAACTTGATGGATGTGAACAAGACTGACATGTGCAAAGCCGAAGATTCGAGAGACCAGGGCATCATTTCTGCCGCCATCGCAAACGCTACTGCCTTGTTGCGGAAGCCATTGGGGAAGGGACAAGAGAACATGGGTGTGTTGGATCAACAAGCAAAACAAGCGCATACGAATTCGCAATTCACATTTACCTGCGAAACGGAGGCGAAAGGAGTGACTTTCCCGGAGCAGAGTCTCTACTCGCCGGGTTACAGTCAGCGCAATAATTTAGGACCTCAGAGTCAAGCAGCCGCCGGTCAAAAAGTGCCGGCACAAGGAATACAGAGTGGACCTGCGAACACTCAACAAGTACCAGCTGCACAACCTAATGCTGCCAATACCAACGGCAAGAAGCCTCGCAGGAGAAAGGGAGACGTGTATGTTTTGGCCGCTCGACAAAGACGGCTGCAGCAGGAATACAACAATTTGCAGCACCCACCAGCACCAGAAGATGTCTGGATTTGTGAGTTCTGCGAGTACGAGAGCATTTTTGGTGAACCACCACATGCACTCATCCGTCAATACGAGATCAAGGATCGAAAGGAGCGTCGTCGGCTAGCAGAAAAGAGGAGGCTATTGGAGAAGGCCAAACTCAAGGGCAGGAAAGGGCACCGAAAGCTGAAGAAGTCGTCTACACATCAACCAACACCGCCACCTGAGGAACCTCTCCCAGATTTCGGCGACGACCATCTGGACAGTCTTGTCGATGATGAGTTGGATGATGAGTATGAGAATGATCCAGTTTCACCAACGCCTGTCCCAGCACCAGTAGCTACGAATCGGCCAGCTGGAGGCACAGGTGCGAATGCGACCACCGACAAGGCTGGAGGAACAGGAGGCGGAGGAGGGCTACGATGACCAGGCGCGCTATCAGGCGCTGTACGTCCGTTCCCTGTCGTCTCTGAGCGTTCGAAGTCTTGTCTTGTCGGATTGGTTTTTAATGCATTCGTCTTGGTCTGCGTGGGTTATTCATTCTTGGTTCATCGGTTCTTGGTTCTCTTTTCATAAGTTATAGGCACTCCCTTAGCATAGCCAGCATTGCACATACTCCTCTCATAAACAATAAATATTACCCCTTGAGATAAGTTGAGAGGTGTTATCTCCCTCTCTTACACTCGTATGGGAGTCGGCGATATGCTTTTTTGACAGGGAACATGGCTTGGAGTCAAAGGGACGATCCGTGCAGCATGGCTAAAACAGTGCCCAATCATCGGTCTATCGCTGCGCCAAAGTCAGCCAGCCAGTGTTGTTTTATCCCCAACGAGACCCTGATCTTCCCCACAAATTCAAGGAATGCAATGAATATGACGCACCATGCACATACCAGTACAAATACCAGGTATACTCCCTCCTGTTCTCATGTCCAAGGCAGTGATCTGTGTATAGTCCCAGCTAATGGTGTCCTCATCACCCACTCAGCCGACTAACACCAGTCATCTTCTGGCTCTTCGACTACAACTTGAACGCCACCAGCAAGGCCCAGTCATTACCTGGAATAGCCGTCGCTCACTTGCAAAGCGGTACCAACGTTCTGGCACACGAGCACCTGCAGTGGACAAAGACAAAGAGACTTATTTCGGTCTTTGGCCATGTTACCAACAGCCTTATCTGAGGTGACAAAGTGACCATTGACCACAAAGGCAGTCACTCTACGTTGTTTGGTTCTTTGTCTCGCGATCAAGGCCGTTTGTTGTCACGCTTTGTGCACTTGACAGAACCTCGCAAGTTGACGACGAACTGTCCAGTATGCCTTTTATCGCTCGTACTCGACCTCTTTCTGACCAACATTACAGATACATCTACAGTACTTGCTCACAAACCAAACCAAACTTCGACAAACATTCAAAGCTTAGCCTAGCAAGGCAAACAGTAAGTCAAGCACTATTACCAGCATCAAAAATCTCACCAACAACCATCAACCATATCATCTATCAAAAACTAAATCAAGAAGCCAGTCAAAATGGTCGCCATCCCATCCTTCCGCAAATCCAACCTCCTCAACCTCCTATTCCGCACCGCCCAGCTCATAATCGGATTGACGATAATCGGCCTCTACGGCGTCGACCTGAACCGCGCCCACAGAGAAGATAAGTACACTGACGGAAAATGGGTACACACCTCCTCACCCCTCAGCATCCCTCCTGAACTTGCACGACTAATCATTTTCACACAGGTCTTCGCCGTTGTGGTTGGTACTCTGGCGGCAGTCACGGCAATCACTTATGGTGTTGTCGGCGCGTTTATCGAGTATCGTAAAGTCGCGATGTGCTTTGCATGGGATTTTGTCGTGATGATTCTCTTTGCTGCATTGTCGGGCATTTTTGGGAGTATGTTCATGCATGAAAAGACCGAAATGGAGTGGGGCATTCATCGGATGAAAGTTGCTGTTGGATTTGATCTTGCTGGGTTGGTGTTGTTCTTTGTTACGGGTGGTCTGGGGTTGTGGTGGACTTTGGCTGAAAGACGGGGTGCCGGACGGGTTAGTCCTCGAGGCAAGGCTTGAAGTGGCCGATCTCTACATCGAGACGAAGCATGAAGCGGCGACGATGTCCTAAGGGGCTCCGATCCGGAAAAGGTGATTAGTTGAGCTGACGTTGAGGAGTGATACAGCGTGGTCGGGGAGGATATTTGCTGGCGTAACGAACGTAGTGCTTTGATGTGCAGAACCTCACGCACGTTTGACTGAAGGGCACCGAGGCTGGACCTCAACATATCGTCTCCAGAAGACACAGTGCAGTCCGGGGTATGGGTGCTAGATTCTGCTTCAAAATAAAATCAATGTACAAAATGAGTATTCCGAAATGACTTCGTCATATATCGTGTAAGCGGTCTTGCATTAAGTGATTTTCCATCATCCATACCATCGATCAGCGACACCCTGTAACCAGACATCGCAGACCCCAAGACTCGGATCGAGTATAGAATCGTGATTAGTACCCTCCGTCACTCTCGACACATACTCAAGATCGGTAGAGTGTCGTTCCCAACAAGCATCAAAATACTTCGCGCCCTTGGTACCGCTCATAATATCCTTTTCGGCATAAAAGGCATCAAATTTGAGCATCGCTATCTCCCGGTGCAAGTCACTATGCCCATCGTTTTGATCCCGATGGGTCCTTCGTTCCTGCTCGGCGGCTGCGACCTTATCAGAAAGACTCGACCAGTCAAGCCACTCCTCTGTCGATTGACCGGCTGGATCTGTGGGAATAGAACTCGTTTTCTTCCGTAGATAAAGCAACGCATCGTCCGAACAACCAGAAATATCCTCAGCAAAGACATACTGCATACTCAATTTCTCCATGTTCTTCAACACCGCCTTCTGCATCTCGTCACCTCCTTCTTCTGGATTGATGGCATTCGTGACAGCCGGGGTAGCTCCCGCCCGGGAAAATGGCAGACTGACTCCCGCGCTGAAAGTGATCGTGCGATTGGCCAGCGCTATCGCAGCGTGAGTCTTGCGGATCAGGCCTGTGGGCAGACTCGCCGTGAGACGCATCAACGGCGCGCTACTGTCGTCTGGATGAACAAATGGCGCGAGCACAACGACTTGCGGTCTTTCCGGGTGTAGAAATCGCCGATACGTAAGGAGTATTTGTAACAGGTACGGCGCGCCTCCTGAGTGCGAGGCTAGGGTAACATGTTTGATGCCTAAGTGATGGAGCAGGGCTGGGATAGTTGCAAGATGGACTGCAAGCCGGTGCTCGAGGGAAACGGGAGTTGAGCCTCCCATGCCAGGGCGGTCGATGGTTATGACGCGGACTTTGAGACGTTGGGCCATGTTTGCGATGCGGCAGAGTGTGTAGCGGCCGCCCATTAGACCGCCGATGAAGAGCACTACGCATGGTTCTGACTCTGGTACGGCTTCGGATTCAAGGAGTCCATTCATTGGCGCATCATGCTGGTTTGAATGTGGTAAATTGTATCCAATGTCCGAGTAGGTGATGCGGAGAGGCGTTTCGATGTTCGTGTTGGGCAAGGCTGGGGCAGGCAAGGTGAAGAATTGGTGGAGACGCGCATCGCATAGAGTCTCGATGGCAGCGTCCCGTGCTGCATTACTCATGATGACCCTGGTCTGGACTTATGGCTATACTGTTGGCAGTGAACGGTGTGCTGTGTAGCGAGTGTGAGTTGTGTTGATTGACATCTTTTTAAAGAGTTGGACAGAACGTCCAGGCAGCAGGAATTGGTAAGTGAAGCAGGAAAGCCTTCGACCACAACGCGACGAGATGGGCTTGTGTACCCACCGAAAGTCAGTGATCCTGGGGACTGCTCACCTTGTGCGGTGTCGTGGTAATAGGCACATAGCGAGCAAGCGGTGGCAGTGAGTACCTAGGTCTCATCGTGGTTGGTCCTTTAAACCTAATCGATGTCTGTGCATGAGGCTGAAAATGCTAGCCTAAAAAGGGATTTCCTTGCGAACATTGGTGCTTTTTGCACTCTACCAGCAACCATCTGCATCATGGTATGGTCTACCCTGTAGATAGTGTCATATGAAACTAGATCCCTCAATGCCATTTCTATATATCGACCTCATCAGATTCATTCATGAACATCCTTGGTATCTCATCAAGATATGGTCTCGTATATGCATCTACACATTGGTCGCATAATTTCCCCCAGCAGTAGGATCAACCCTAATATCCGGCACAGGCATTCCTTGTGGTGGTGGCGGCGGAGGCATAGGACCAGCTTGTTGCGCCGGATAATATCCAGGTTGACCGGTGACTGGGACTGGGACTGGGACTGGGACTGGCTGTTCATTTCTCATCTGTTGTTGTTGCGCAAGGTATGCTCTAGGATCTCCCTGGAGACCATGAGCTTGTTGATTTGGTTCGATGGCCAGAGGGGTTCTGTCTTCGTCGCTAGAGTATTCGTCGTCGGTACTCTCACGCTGACCGCCTCTCTCTTTGCGCCGTTGTCGCCGCTCGTCAAGTTCAACCTGCCACTGTCGCTCTCGAGCTTCTACTCGATCTGTTAGCCAAAGTACAAACATGGGTGAAGTGCGGGGGACATTACCTCTGATCTCCTTGGTCTTCTCTGCGAATTTGGTAATTTCTTCTCGCGTCACGACCCGTAGGACAATCACATAGTCATCTCTCTCCTCAAACCTCTCATGCAACTTCTCCAGCGCTTCAGGATTTACCAGAGCACGACTGATCTTCGTCCATCGTGCATTAGCAGGAATTCCATCCTTCGTAGCATCCTTGAGCGGCGCGACACCTTCGCGCTCAGGATGAGGATCTTCTGGGAATGGTACTGCTCGAGGAGGTTTAAGAATGCCCCTCGGTTTGACGTCCTCTTTCTTGTCCACAGGTTCAACTAGCTGGACCCGCCGTGGCCTATCATCTTCGTCCTCACCCGGCGATGTCATGCGCTGCTCCTGAGGGTATTGAGGCTCTCGACCTGCTGCGTCTCGAGCCGACGCCCTCTGCCGAGCCTCTACCTCAGCAGGATTCTCCGTTGTGTCTGATTCATGGTCACGTTCAGATCTGTCCTTGTGCCTGTGATGGCGATGCTTTCTTCTTTCGTGACGCTCCTCTCGGTCATCGGTAGATTCTTCCACTCTCACATCTTCTCTGCGTCGCTCTTGCGGCACTCGGTCTCCATTAGAGACTTTCAAGTCACGCTCGACACGATCTGCGAGCTCGTCTGGGCTTGTTTCTTCGCCATTCCGATGCCGGCGACTTTTGCGGTGTTTTCGCTCTTTGCGATCGTCACTGTCGGATCCATCGTGCGGACTACGAGCTTTCTTAGAGGCAAGTCCCACAACGCCAGCTCCTGCAGCAACTGCAGCGGCTGTTGACAAGTGTTTGCGCAGCCCTGATTGTTCGGGGCTTGAATCACGACTTCTCTGCGGACGGCGATCGTCGGATGCCCTACCGCTCTTATCATGCTCCCTTGTCCTCTCGCGGTCTCGGTCTCGATCCCGATCCCTATCTCTGTCCCGATCCCGTCTGTCGAGGTCACGGGAAGGTTCAGGCTGTACCTCCCTCTCTCGATCTTCGCGCGGTCTACGCTTGTGGCGTTCTGCTCGTTCGTCGTCATCGTCAACCCGGTCATGTCTCGATCGTGGCGGTACACGAGACTCACGGTCGTCTCTGGCCGAGGTGTATCCGTCGTCGCGATAATGATGCACGACTGGAGCGCGATGCGAACCACGGCGTCGAGGTATGCCGTCCCCACGTTCTTCCACGTCGTTAATTCGCGTACCTGAGTGCCGAACGCTGTCGGCCCTGTCGATCCTGTCCAAAGCACGGGATGATGCTGGAGGAGGGCCAAGGTCTCGTCTTACCGACTGCCTATATTCTGGTCCACCAATTACACTTATGGGACGTTCTCGCCGGCCAAAACTCTCTCGTCGCTGAGGAAGTCGTGAAGACTCTTGTAAGAATTGCTCCTTGGGCGTTGTGTACGAGAATCCATCATCTTGTAGTGGCACATCCCTGGCCACATGTGGATAAGCATTGTAACCCCCTCTTCGGTGATATTCAGGTTGGCGATCGACCCTGGGGTAGCTAAGCCGTTCCTGGTCGGCTCGGGTTGCACTGGAGTGTCGGTGATGATGGCGACTCTGTGAGGCTGCTGGCATGAGATAACGGTCTTCCCTGGGAGGTAGAACAGCGCTTCTGGGTCCGTCGTCGCGCGATGATGTGCTGATCACCGGTCGCACGCGAGGAGGTGAAGCGGGTCGGGCGACATATGTACTCATCGGTCGGCGGGACTCTGAGGAAATCGACGAGTTTCCCCTGGGACGAACGGTATACTCGGTACGCAAGACCGGACCTCCACCAGGGTGAGCATCGTCAAGGAAAGTCTTCCTAGGTGCTCCCGTGGCATAGACGCTTGCTGGGCGCGCACTCGGGTATGAGTCTAGGACTGTCCGAGGCTGGGCAGCAAAGCGAGTATCGAAGGAAGAGGAGTAGATATTGGCGCCCGTCGATGCCCGAGGATTGGCATAGCGCTGCGGGGAGGAGGGACGATAGCGATTCTCGGTCATGGTGGTGTATGTAAGAATTTCCAGGCTCTTTCTTGGGGGCGTAATCTTCAATGCATGGAGAGGGTATCGTTGACTCCAGAAATCAAAGGTAGATTATCAATCACTCATTCATAAGGTCGTCGTCTCGGGGCTAGGCAGGCATAGTCAGTAAAGTCTGGCTTGGAACAGGAAATCATGGATGCTCATGTGAGACAAGAAAAGGCAACGCAAGTATCGTACCTTCTGGAAAGGGATGCCTAAAGTGCGTGCAGACAGAGAAGATGCCGCAAAAACGCTGACTGGAGTGGAAAACAGATGACTAAAACCCTCAGATGCCACAGGAACAAAAGACACGGACCAAGTCTGTACACAATGTCGGGTCGTCGTGGCAGTTGAAATATGGGTTTTAGTTCAGGTATGAATTCGATCTCGTCAACGAATCTGAGTCGATGTCGATGAACCATGCATTATTCTTGAGTTTAGAGCCAATGCGACGTCATCCGAGATACCCCGCCAGAGGCCCCTAGGCAGTGAATTGGTATACAAAGTTTTGTTTTCCGGGTGGTGTCTTGGTGTTTACCTGCCGAACTTAAGCGGTTTCATTTGATTAGAACCTACGCCCGCGCTACATACCTGGTATTGCAGGTACTTTGTGTACCCAGGCAAACCATCACCGTACTTTCTGCTTTCTATTCTTTCCAATCCGATCTTACTCCTACATTTTCCACGATCCCAACACCGCGGCCGCAGTGGATCCTACTTTCTAAGAGCGCCCTCAATCCCACTGCACTGATGCTGATGCATCAGGCTGCCGCAGTATCATCCCACACGCAATACGAGGCACAACGGATCCAGAACACAGGACTATTGCCTTATCGTTCGCAATGGTGGCGACCTCGGTTGTCAGTAGTACTACATTTCTACCCAACTGCTTGAAGGTCATTGCTGTTTTGCAACGAAAAGTCGTCGATCGCACGAGAAATGCTGCCCAATTTAATTTCCACAATGTCTCCATTTTCGTCAATTCCGTGCAGAAAATGGGTCTGATAACACTGAACTGATGGTGACTCATGTGGACTGTCCTCATTACAAGCACAATCAAGTGCATGGATGCCTTTGCTTACATTTTGGCAGGGCGTCGAACCTGCAGGCAGGCTATCTTCACCGGTCGTATTGGGCGTCATCCGAACCATACAGGACTGACGCGGTAATCCTGCACGGCATCTGAGTCGGGACGAACTGCAGAGATCATGGGAGATTTTTGACTCCCGACTGCTGGGATATGACTACCAGATATTGTGTGTGTAAAGACATCCCTTTGGCAGGCTGTTAAGCTCATCAACAAGGGGCTGTGGGCGCGTAAGTACCACAACATTCTGCCACGAGAATTCCACCGAAAGCTACCTACCTTGGACCAGCATGCATGGCCAGAATGTCTGATACCACCTGATCAATTACCGCCTCTTCCGGTGCATCCTTAACGTGCCCGGGACTCTTCGAACGCCCCATGGCCCGCAGCATATTGGATGTTACACTAACAGGCGCATAACATCATTCCATGTCGGCAAAGAGAGTCAGGTGCGGGCGTGGCCTTCCTGGGGAACCATGTGCGTTATGTGTGGGGGTTTGGTTCACCATACAAAATTGCCGACACGACGCGCGCCGTTGATGAAGCGCTTCGAGTTGGAGAGGCAGTGTACAGCAACCTGTGATCTTCTCATTGACCGTCCGCAGCCTCGTTCGGATCCGAAAACACGTCTCCTTAGCCGTGTCACGCGAGTGTTTTGGTATCCCATCAAATGCGACAACACTCTCGGTACGCCTCATATGAAGGGTGGCTGTGTGGTACTTAGCTCCTATGAGACTGTACTTCTTCGAGGCATACCTGCTTCGAAAGCCCTGACAGCTATATGCTGAGGAGTCTCACGTGGCCATGTCGGGACAAGGCACTAATTCCAGCTCAGATCTCACATCCTTCCTGCAGGCCACGGATTTGTACAGCTACATCATTGAAGAGCGCAACGGCCTGCCCGAATGTCAAGTTTGCCTCTTATCACAGCCACTGCATGGCAGCATTGACACTGATCGTTCCGCACAGAAGACAGACCGCCATGTACATGAAGGTTGCCGTCACATGGTCGCGCCTGGGCTCGCCTCAGAAGTACCTTCAGCAAATCCTAATCAGGATCTGCTTATTATGACGGCAGAGGAGACAGTGAGAATGGGCCTTAGGTTCGGAAACAGTATCTATGTTGGCCCAGATCCTACAATTTTGACAACACGAGTAGGCATCTACGCAGAAAGGTAACGAGAATGTGATGCTGCCATTGACACTGTCTGCTTCAGGTTTGATATCTCGCCATTTGCTTGCAGTATACCGCGACGACAATGCTACCGTGCTTCACTATGTGTGAAGACAGAGGCTATGTCCATGACTTGGACCGAAGAGCTTCAGAAGCTGCATTATCGTGGGGTATAAGAGCTTGGTTCATGAGAATTCGAAGGTATGTCGCCTCCATCATCAGCTCACACCAATCTCTAGGAACTCCCAGCTCCCAGCACGACCTCTTGTTCGACAACGGACTACATTCCTTCAGCCCAGAGATCCAAAAGCTCGATCCCATATCCGGCACAACCTGCACCTGGTCAATCTAAACGTCTCGCAAAGTGCTAGTGAGCATCGATCATCCTTAACGGAGTTACCTGCAGCGTCTACATTCTCCAGACTTCGAGTCTAGAGATGACGGAAATGTGGCGATGTTGTCAGTGCAAGTCGGGGCCAAACCTGTCGGCAACGACGCCCGCTTGTGTGCAATGTCATCACCGGCGTTGCGACAACTGCAAACGCAATGGGAACATTCCGCCTCATAAGCCACGCAGAACATGCAGCCTAAATATTCACTGTATGGGCGAAGATCATTGTGATCAACCTATGGTTGTGCCCGACCACCAGGCTGCTTCTGAGGATAGGGACGCCGTCATCGGTTCGACGCCTCCAAATCGAGCCTTCAAGAAACACGTTGCGCGACTGAACGTGGGCCTATTCCCATAGTCCTGGTACGCAGGTCTGTGGCACAATTGGGATGTGGCTTCTGCATCTGCGTACCGCGTTCAGCCCTCCCGAGCATGTGGCCCCCAAAAACCGAGACGGGCTTAGCCAGGCTGGACATTCAGGAACTTCAGTACGGAAGCTCGATGTCAACACTCTCCCAGACAATTGACGTCCAAGACGTGGTAAGAGGCCAGCACAACTCCAACAGTCATTACCGCACAGATCACATCGACTGCCTTTCCACCACCCGACCCTTACCATTCATTCCTCCTAGCACAAGCAGCAGCACAATTATTTCCTTTCAGACGTTCACACAGCACCCACCAAGCAGCCACTGAACCCCAGCCAGTACCATCGGACCACAGCACCAGAACTATCTGTTCTCAGTCAGAGTATCAGCCGAGACCGGTGCTCGTGCAGCACTTTTACATCACGCTTCGCTTCTACAATGTCGTTGACAACAGTTTTTTGTTGACTGTAAGCGGAAGTCACGCTACCCTCGTTTACCATGTCCAAGTTTCAGCCTTTATTGAGCACTTCTATTACTGTCGTTACTATATAGCTTCTTTCGTACGCACTCTCGCTAAGTCAAATTGATGATCATCACTTTAAGCAACATTCCTATGTGGTGTCCTACCAATCTGTGCCTTCATTAGTGCAAGGGTGCAACTCCGATAAGTCGGAGATGGCACTTGACTTTTATTACAAATAAACCTTCCTTTTCGGTATGGATAAAAAGATAATGCATCGGCATTTCGTGCATTGTGAGGAATAATCCTGCTTCGATAGCGCCATCATGTAATACCTGTATGCTTCCAACCAGTGTGAGCCAACTCACTCGATCATGTCTCTGCCGGTGTTTGATGGGCTGTAAGATACTAAATTACACCCGGACGTTCCCCCTTAAAGCAAAATGGCTTAAGCCGTCCGTAACGTTTCGAAAGCATATAGGTATGTCGCATTTTGGTAGTCCTTCTTAGTGACAATCGACTTTATGGAGACAAGTTATAGAAAGTCGACCCTACTATCTACATACACATTTCACGTATCGAGTGAGTTGGCGAAAATAAAGGCGCCGTTCTCCGGACAAGGCTGCGCGAAAAGGGGGCCGGCCACTGCCGCGGTAGTTCATGACAAGTTCAGAGGCCAGGAGGTAGGGTTTTCGGTCAATGTTTATGCACGGAGGGACTTTCGGCCTTCTGAAAGACACTTCGGGCAGACAGTCGTCCCGTAGAGGACGTGGAATGGGAAGATATTGACCCTTGGCCGAAGTCCGATGCTCGGAGTTGACACAGCTGATTGGTCATCTGGGGAATCTGGGAGCTGTATGGCTTTGTTTGAACCGTGGTGCTATATACGGTATGTTGAGCATCGCGATATGTATCAAGATACATGTGTCGATATAAAAGCTCATGTCCCTGCTTGATGTCAATGACCATGCTAGTGCAACAAATCCGCCGGAGAGATCTCAAGAACTTGCTCGTTTTCCGCCATGACAAAAGTCATTGCTGTTGTAGGGGCGACTGGATCGCAGGTATGCCGTTGGAAGTCGAGTCTAATTGCGTCTAGAGCTGACTGTGACTGTGCAGGGCGGCTCCGTAGCCAGGACGTTTCTGAAGATCCCTGGCTGGGAAGTCCGCGGCATCACACGGAACCGCAATTCAGCAGCTGCTCGTGAGCTCGCTGAGCTTGGTGTCAAGATCGTCGAAGCAGATCTTGACGACGTTGCGTCTGTGGAGTCTGCGTTTTCCGGAGCAAGTGCCATCTTCGGCGTAACTGATTTCTGGCAATTCGTCCAGTCTCCGAAGACCCATGAATTAGCGAAGTCCGAGAACATCACCTGGAACGAGGCTTGCTTTCGTCTCGAGTTGCAGCAGGGTATCAACATCATCGATGCGGCGGTCAAGGTCGCGAAAGACTGCGTACTGGAAAGGCTCGTCTTAAGCACGCTCAGCGACGCCAAGAGAGCCTCCAAGGGCAAGTATACTTGGGTCTACCACTATGATGGCAAGGCCCAGTTTGTGCAGTACCTCGAGATGAAGGCACAATCCGAGCCCGAGTACCGACAATTGTTGGAGACGACGAGTTACGTCCAGATGGGGTTTTACCTGGATAACTGGAAGATGACTCCCCTCTTCGCGCCACAGAAGGTATGGTCTGATTCAGTTTTGTTGTCGATGAGGAGCCGAGCTGATGTGCCACAGCAAGCGAATGGGTCCTATGTGTGGTATATGGTCCATGGGAAGAGTCCTATTGAGCACGAGCATCCACTTCCGGTGGTGCACCCACCAACCGATACAGGCCCATTTGTGGAAGCTCTCGTGTTGAAGGCGCCCCCAGGGACCACGGTGCTCGGAACCTCCAAGTTGTTCAAGTTTTCAGAGTTCGTAAAACTGTGGGGTGGTATTCTCAAGGTGGAAGCTGGCATCCAGGAATTGTCGATCGAAGATCTAGACGCGAAATTCCCGGGCGGATTTGGTCGTGAGGTGGGCGAGTCGGCCGCATACGTGCGTGAGTACGGCTGGGATGGCGGAGAGGGTGCTATTCTACCAGAACAGGCTGGTGTGGACTTGGGTGCTCTGACTGATGCGGAGACGTATATCAGAGATACAGATTGGAGTTCTGTGGTGAATTGAGATAGGATAACATCGGTTTGGCGATTCCAGCTAAACAGGGTAGTGACCTTCAACCACAAGTACAAGGTCAGTAATAGCTTTGATGTTCTCTGGCCCTCCGTTGCGTTCAACACGCAGAGCCTGACCTGGTACCAACCTTGATGGCCACCAGTGTTGTGAAACCCTTGCAACACACTTACCTTGCCGCAGGCATGGCCTCCGTGACACGACCAGATCCATCAGGCAGCTCAAGATGCACATTATATGCCTCCCTGTCAACAAGAATCTTCTTGTCCGAGAGGTACCTGGATCCTGAGTGTCGTTGTTGCATGTGACTCTCAATAAATTGATGATCACGTGAGTGGTCTCGCTGGCCGCCCGCAGTTTGCGGTTCTATCAATCACAGCCAAGTTGTCAACTGCGTTGCTCTTTCTGACTTCGACTCCAACACCTGTCTGGAAGCATTCGCATGTCACTGGAAGGCGATAATTTGTTGTCGCATCTACACTCAAAAGTACGGAGTACGGTGAGTCAACCCAAGCATCCCTTTCAGCCAGCCGCCGTCGTCAGTCGTCACTCGATCCGCGCCACATACCCACTAGCGAGTGACTATCGGCTGCTAAGCTAGTACCTGAAGATCTTTCCTCAGAAGCGCAAAGATGCCCTCAAGCCAAGAGAGGCGCCCCCAAACTCCCCTTTGCTCGTGGCAGGCTCGTGGTGAAAACGACGATCAAGCACGTTGTCGACCACGAGCCAGACTAGGCGCCGCGGACCTTGCCCACCACGTTGTTGTCAATCCACCCGCTCTCAAGCACAAATTAGTGCCTTTTCTAGCCATGTGGGTTTACATGATCATTATGTCAAGAGCAAGAGATGGAGTGATAGAGACATCCGAGCATGCATCTCGCGAGACTGCTAGGCGGCCCTAAAGACTGCCGAAAAACGCCGAGGACAGGGCAAGCTCCGCGACATCATCTGCAAGTATCCTTTTCGTGCACGACATCATCTGGCGACCAAGCAAACTGTATGCACATTTCCGAAACGTCGCCACAACGAGCCAGCATCCTTGGACCCAATTGTCTGGATCTCTACCATCTACGTTGCAGCAATCATTCTCTACGGCCTCTCTATGGTTGCACTGTATGCAGGTGTCGGCGATCAAAAAGTCATGGAGCAATTCAGTCATCTCGTTGTGGTCAGTCTCCGCTGTGTGGTCGTCTTACCTACCTGCCATTCTCGACTTCAAACGCATGTCGATCCGGAACTCGCATGGTAGCAGTGTCACGACTCGCAATACGAGTACAAGGCCGGTAGGACCGGCGACGTACACAGTACATGCTCAACAGGTCCCAGGTGGAAGTCCTCAGTGATCGCTGCTGGGGGCATGCTTAGGGGGAAAATAGGCTCTCAGCAAGGCACTAACTCTGCAGGGAAGTTGATCTGCGTCTGTCCGCCATGGCATCTTTGACAGCTGGTAGCCGACATAAAGCCCACCAATAACAACCCAGGCTGCTTGTTCGACACGAAAGAAACCTGGTCAGACGACATCGAACACACGTCACCCAGCGGGCAGTTGCTGTCCATTGTGTCCATATTCCGACGCCCCAGACGACTGGTCCTCACGGTCAGAGATGCACCGCGACAACTGAGGGTCGTGCTAAAGTTCTGAAACTACCGCGAAGAAATCAAGGTCTTCGTTCTCGATTGTCGCCGGAAGTGACAACATCGAATGATGCAATGCCATCGTCTCACAGACCCATTGTGCGACTGCTGCAGTCCTTCACTGTGCGGTATCAACGCGGTCATGCGTCTTGACGGTATTCAGCTCGCCTCATAATCATAGTCGCACTCAGAGTCCAACAGAGGTACGCACGACATCATTCTTCCAGTTCCCGGTTTTCCTTTGCCGACACGACGGAGGGGGCACGCCCTAGGAATACGATAGTATGCTACTGCTTGGTCCGCCTACAAATGACTTTCACCGCAGCTTTGCTTGCGCTTCATGCTTCCAGGCTGAGAAATCCGTTGCACGGCAGGAGCAAACATCCACCGAAACAGTTCAAAGTCTATTCTGGACTAGACTTTACAACCTCTTGCATAATAGTTGTCGGTTGAGTTTGTGCTGGCAGCCGTTGTACTATCCACCAGACTACGAGTAGAAGGCGAAGGCTCGACTTACTATCCATGACGAGCACTCGATTGTCGCCTTTATCTTCCCGTTAGCCTAAGCTCCATGGCAGAGACGGGAAGCGAAGTCTAAAAATCACGCGCATTTTCCGTCGTGGTCAGGGCCGTGATCCGCCCTGCCCTGACAATCTGGTGATCATGACTGACTGACTCAGCAACCATTTTCCTCGATATGGCACCAGGTCTTCCTACACAAAGGAAATAATGAGCAACTCGGGTCGGTCTCGGCTCTGGTATTACAGACTTGAGAATAGTGACCTGCTTAGTTTTCTCTGAGACCAACCTACCAGGTCAATCGTTCAAACCTTCGAAGTTATTGAGTTCCTCGCTATACGGAGCACACTAAACCTGAGACGCACCAACGTGAGAGCAATCAAACCGCTTTGCACCTGGCAGCCGAAAAGTCTACCTGCGACCCTGCAATATCCATCCGATGCACCATAGGGAGTTGGTGCCGCCTTGCACATCCGAACTTATGATCGCCATCTTGAATGCAAGAGCCTAACGCAGCCACCAAATGCACTTCAAACACCGACACTCGAGGTCACTCTGCCTCACGCGCAAGACTTACCCAGCCGAAATATGGCCTGCGCCACATGAATAGAGCTCATCGCAGCATGAGTTCGTGTAACCACTCCAGCCTGTAATGAAGTATCTCGAAGCTCACAACGGCCACCCTCATTATTAACCATTGATCACTTCGCTCTTTTTGGGGCCGATGGAGGACCAGGCCAGGCTGGATGCAGATCCCAAGGATGCGGATATCAGGGCCATCCCCATTTCTGGTATTATCAATAAGGCTGGACGAGGATGCGTAATCAGAATGGTCAAACACAAATGTCATGAACGACCTTGTTAGAAGTTAGAACATGCATGTTCTTGTCACATCCAATCTGATCAATTACTGAAGCATTTCCGGGCAGGCAGGGGAACGGACTAGGATTAGCAACAGTCTACAGGGAACAAGAACAGAGGCTGGAACTCGCAAAGCTAATTTGCGCTCCAGCAGGAGCCCCCAAAAGTGAACGCCCGGGCCCTTTCTCGGGAGGACACGTCTGCCGTTGGCGGACTGGGTTCTGGCTCGGCTCTTGCAATGAATGGTACTCTGATTTGTTGCCGACATTTCTACATATGGTAGCCAGGATTTGATGGAGATTTACTTCCAGCCCGCTCTTTTTGCTCACAGTCGGTGTGGCCTCGTTTGATGCAAATCCGCATCAATGCGCTGCAGGGACCAATGACAAGCCACTGTGCAGCTACGAGACGGTTGCAGGTTGCGTCAATGATGCATCACCATTATTATTATCTTGCAGTCGCCTACGTTGCCGGCGGCTGGGAATCAGAAGTCAAGCTGCTGTCAAAGCGCGGACAGAAAGAGGGGGTTCTGGCACTTGACCGAAAAAGGTCCAAGTGCTGATCGACCACGCCAACCGCCTTTCCTAGGACCAACGCCGGACCACACATGGCAGTTGATCACTGTCGCACTGCATGGCGGGCCTAATAAGACTGGCTTCAACTTTAGTGGTTGTGTGTGCGGCCTGCCATGAAAGCGGACACTTGATGGTTCTCACGGCCGAATAAGACGAAGGGATGAAGGACCAAGAAATACACAGGGATCTGGGGTTTTCAGGAAGCCGGCCGGCGCGGATTGCCCGCGACGTCCTCCTAAAACATGGCAGAACCGTGACATACGTATACGGTTACGCATCGGTTTCGAGACTAAAACCTCGGACCTCAGAGCAAACCCATTTCTCTGCCGAATTCCCAGTGGTTTGGACTCGTGGACGTTCTGGCTGCATGCAACGAAGAAAAAAGAAGACATCGGTCGCAACCAAACTTTTGCGCCGGTTGTGAAGATGGCATTGCTCCTACAGTGAGTGACCCAGAGTGGCAATGCACCACCCTGGTGGTGGTGGAGGTGTCGAAATGGATCTCCAGAGATGATGCGTGATTGACGGAGTGACAGGCGCAGAAGTGCAAAACCCTCTTCAGCATGCGAGACTTGCGCGTTGCGTGCACGGGCAGCACATCAAACTCCAGAGGGCTAGCTCCAAGCCCCAAAAAAGCAAAAGCCCATAGAGTATCGCTGGCCCATGTCTGATGATCGCCGGCGCCGTTGGCTGGTCTTGTTAGCCGCGTTTCGGGTTGGAGCCAGTCTGAAATTGCAGGGATTCCCACGAGCCACGGACGCTTTGACTTGCCTCCACCAAGCAATACGAGAAATGTACTCAGTAATCCTGAGAGTTTCGAGTTGCTGCGCGTCAGTCTGCTGTCTGTTGCTGATCGCATATCCGTACCGGCATGAAACCACTTGCTGGCGTTGACCAGTAAACATTGACTTACTGTGAATACACGGGTGTTGCTATGATAGTGATATAGTATGAGAAACGTTCGATATGCTGTGGCGCATGAGAAGAGGAGAGGATGGGTAGAGCAAAAGGACCAGACGGTAGCAATAAGTTATGGCAGCGCCACAGAAACGCACATAGAGAAAAGACTTAGTCAGACATTGCAAAGTCTTTTCCTTTTTCCGCTTTTTCCTTCTGGTCATTCTGTGGGCGACATTTTCTTCTAATAGAATGTGTGATGTGTGTGTATTCTTTCTGGTGCGAATGATCTATTTTCAGCCGTTTCTCTCGGACGAGTTGTAATCGCTAAGTGGAAAAGGAAGCGCAATTCGCGATCGCTGTACTGTTTCTAATCGTCGGCTGGATCGATATCCAGCTCCTGTTCCATGGTTTACACACTGTCTGAGACTCTTGAGTTCATCATTCATCTCGCTATTGTGCGTGTTTACCTGCCTCATCTCATGACATTAAGTTATCCTACTCGCTTACCCCCGGTCTCTTTCCCATTCTACACAGCTCCATTCTTTCATCCCTACTACTTTCCCTCATACCATGACATCTTCTCCACCTCCATACATCTGAGACTATTGCTTCAACCTTGTTCACGCGACCCAAATGGCGCTCGCCTTTTCCCAATCATCTTGTACTAATGGTATACCTTGTCCAGCAGGCCGCATAAACAACTGGCTAATCCCATCCCCAGTCTAAACACACCTAGACCCTCACCCTCTTTTCCTTCGACAAGCTGTTGTACCTCGCAGCCGACGAACCTTGGTTCTTGCCTCGTCCCCAGCCGGACACCCTTCCCTCGAATCGAATCTTAGGGCTCCTCCTCCATTCAATCCCCTTCCAACTTCCCTGCTACAAGTACAATCTAGCCTTCCTCCATAACCCTGCCTTCCGGCCACTCACACGCAAGCCACGCCATGGCACCCAATCGCAGCAAAAAACATACCGTCGCTTCGGAGAAATCATTCTTCGGCCCTGGCATTGCGGATGGGATTGATGCACAATCGCACGCGTATCCTCCTCCTCCACTACAGCATATGCATGTTCAACACCACACAGCAGCAAACGGCTACAATCAAAACAACAATATCCAGCTACAATCAAATCTCCCTCGCTCCGGCCCAGGTCCAGTATTGGCGCCTAGTCCTGCTGGATTCGGGCCTTCTGGTCCTGGACCGGGTCCTGGGAACGCTGATGTACAACAACAAGTAAGTCACACACATTGCGCTTTCCTTTCAATATTCACCGTCCATCTGGAAGCACAAAGCTCCCCTGGTCCGCCCGTTGAAGCTTTTTTGGATCGACCGAGCTCCACGGTTCAAAATGCCCAGCATGCAGTGGCGCTGTCTCCTCCCTGGCTACCACCCTGGCCCTGGTTCGGGGTGCCTTAGTCTCGCTCCTTGGTCACCATCCATTTATCCTGTCATGGCTGCCGTCTTATCCCTGTCCGGAGTCCTGAACCCGCCTTGCCTCCTCTGGCTCCTCCCTCCTTGAGTAGAACGACTTCTGAAAGCTTTTGACGCTTGGGCCCAGTGCGCCATCCCATCACCCACCCGATCAACGCCTGGCATGGTCCTGGTTCCACTGCCACTGGCCTTTAGGACGATCCACCAAAAAGGTTCCAAACCGCCCGGGTCCCAGTCACTCTCAAGCTCCCGCAATCGCTGATCCACTTGGTCGCTAAACTGCCAGGCTTTTTGCGTTTTCGACGGTCGGAATACCACACCCATGTCAAGCCATCATTGCGTCCGTCACCTTAATTACACTTGTTACCTGCTATACGTCTCTACCGTCGGCTCTTCTGGTATGATTATCCCAACCCTCTTTTGTCGCTCGCCAAAACTTGTTACAAAACTTGTTCTTGAGTTTCATAACCTCTGGCACTCCTGCACCGCCACGTCTGACGATTCCGTCTACATTTGCCCTTTTCGAATGTTCCAAACAACATCCAATACTTCCTCATACATAGGAACTTCATATCGTTTCCTTTACCCCAGTCCTTCCAATCCCACCATCACCTCGCCCTGGACATAACCCTAGCCATCTTGCGGCTACATCTGATCAGTACATGGTATGCTGGCCAACTTTGTCCCCCTGCCTCCTGCCCCATGCCCTGTGGCTGTCTCTTCCCGTCATCACATGCCCGCATTGACCCCCCTCCCATGCCTAAACTCACTCACCGTCTTGAAACTACCAATATCCACATTGGCAATTGTTCAGCATCTTTATTACACACTTAAGGGCCTTGCTCGTCCCTTATATCCTGGCTTCCCTGGTTCATGTCCTTGTCGCGCGACAACCCGACTCGAATCGACTCGGCTCGGCTCTGATTGCTTCCAACACCCTGGTCGAGTGACCCATTGACTAAGGCCCCGGTTACAGTTTCAGGAAGGGACGTTTGCAAACCCAGAAGGCTGGAGCATCAACGTACGAGCCCTATTACTCTTTCAAGCTTGCTTGCGAATCCCGGATCTTGACGTGCTGGGTCCATCAGCTTGCTCTGATCTATCCACCGTGACCTGGAACAACTAAGCGAAACTGGTCTTCCCGAGCATCAACACTTCCCCGGGAGTGCATTAACTACGGTCTCCCCTGCCACGACCAGAGTTGATCTGCTCCTGCTTGTCCACTTGCGTCTGGGTTCTTTACTTGACGCGCGCTTCACTTACAACCACACGTTGATTTTGATGTTGCGGGCTTGCGCTGACCGATGGATGTCCAATGCAGCATCGAACTACACAACCGTATCAGAACGTCGCCTCGCTGCCTCATCTTCAACAACCGCGATCTTTGAACAGAAGTCAAACACCTCAGCAACCGCCATACTCCTCGCCAAACCTCTACACGCCACAGTCAAACCTTCAGTCGCCATTCCTCAACGGCCAGCAGCAATTTCAGGGACAGCAAGGATCAGGTGACGCGCCCGGTTACTATCCGCCGAGCCAGAGCCCTAGAAGTCAAAGTAGTGCTGCAGGACCTTACTACTCAACTGGTGAGCTATTGCCCTTGGGTAATGCGCTCGTTCGCGCAGACATTGACAAGTCAACAGAAAAGCCCGATTCTATGGCAGCGGCAGCGACCATGCAGCGGCCGTATCCCCCAATATATACGCCGCAATCGAATTCACCGGCGTCGGTAGCCTCGCCTCAGTCTCACGATCATGGCAGGCCCATGTACGGGCAACCGGGTCCTCAGCTGGGCCAGCCTCTATATGGCTACCCGCAATATCAATCCCTGAGTCAAGTACACCAACCTCCATACGGAGGCCACCATGCGCAAGCTCAACAGCACCAAATGAGCTCTCAGCCGATGCTGTATCAGACTACGTCATCCCAGATCACCCAGGGACAGGTTGCTCCTCACCATTCCGCAATTGCGAGCAGTCCCAGGCTCAAAACTGAGTCGGCTCAATCATACCAGCAGACTCCCCAGGCGCGAGCAGGAATCCTCCCGCAACAGCAGCCGCCGCAACATACTCCTACCACACCTCAGACTCCCGTTCTCCCACAATCTCAGCAACAACAGCAGCAGCAACAGACGCCATCAAACATGCCCCCCAACTCAAATGCTGCCCCCGGTCCGATTCCTGCCACAACTCCATTAGTCGTTCGACAGGATAACAATGGCGTCCAATGGATCTCATTCGAATATTCCCGCGATCGGGTCAAAATGGAGTACACAATACGGTGCGACGTCGAGTCGGTGGATGCAAATGCCTTGTCGCAGGAATTCAAGTCGGAAAACTGCGTGTATCCACGGGCGTGTGTGCCAAAAGAACAGTACAAGGGCAATCGACTTGCCTACGAGACTGACTGCAATCAAGTTGGCTGGGCTTTGGCAGAGTTGAATCCGTGTCTTCGAGGGAAGCGTGGTTTGATCCAGAGAGCTGTCGATAGTTGGAGAAACAGCAATCAAGATCCGCGATTGAGGAGCCGTCGTGTCAGGCGTCAAGCTAAAATGACCAACAGATCGAAAATGACACCTACGGCTGCAAGCCAGCCGCCTGGACCACCTGGACCTGTACAAACGGGTGTGCCGACAGGGCTTCCTGGTCCAAACTCTATGCCAGCTCCGAGCACTAGACCCCCCGGAGGACTGCCTAGTGCCCCGAACCAAATACTGCATCACCACCCGGATGTGTCCCCTGCGGCACACAGCAATGTTGGAGGTATGTCTCACTCAGATACTGGTTTCTTGGAACAAGCACAGCTCAAGGCCTGTTCATTGACAATCTTGTTGCCGCTCTCATACAAAGACCCTGGCTAATCATGCTGCAGCTTCACCTTACAACACCACTCCCCAAGGATATCGTCAGGACTCTGCCAGTCAACATATGCCTAGCCCCAACGACATCCGTCAGAGCCACGTTTTCCCGGGCTACGCAAACTATCCGCAGGCAGCTACTTCGATGGCACCATCGATGGCACCACCTATGCAAGGAGGACTGCATCACCTTGGACGCCCGGGCGGGACAGCTGCAATGGCTACCAAAGAACTGGATGGTAAGAATGAGGAAGACAACGCATTGTTCGGCGACTTACCGGAAAGCAAAAGACGCAAATTTATCCTCGTGGAGGACACTCAAAAGAATGCCCGAGTACGGGTCAAGGTTACTCTAGACCAAATCGAAATGAGCGAGATCCCCGATTCCTACCGCAAACAGAATTCTGTCTTCCCACGCGCATATTTTCCGATTCAGATGCAGACCGCGCCCGAGGCGAGCCGAGGTGACCGCTTTGTTGAGGAAGGAGAAGAGGTGGACGGAGGGCCGCCTACACTCGGGAAGACCGCGGTCTCGGTGCAAACCACTGACGGCGAGGCGGAAGTTGATGTTCCTCAAATTTCAAGAAGCAAGCGTGGCCGGGAGCAGAAGCTGAACGAGTTGGGACATCGCATGGCATGGGGTCAAGGTCGCGTGTTTTCAGGGCGACCTATCTTTCTCGCTCGTGCCTGTGAGTAGCCAACCTCTTCTGTGTAATGGCCGTGGATGCTAAATTACCGTTCAGTGGACGCCTATCGCAGCAAACAACGAAATGCCCTGCTTGCAGCAGGCTCGGATGCATCGAGCATTCCAGCCCACCTCGAAAGCCGACCAGGAAAGCGAAAGTGGCTTGAGAGGACAAAGGCTGTCACTCAACCCATGACGCCTCCAACCACTGCTTCCGAATGAACGAGTATGCGTCATGCCAATGCACACAAATTTGTCGCCTCTTCGAATTCATCCTTTTCTACGATACCCCTATGAGTACATTTCAAGTCTCGCGATTGTACACTTACCCAGGATTGGTCTTTGGTCTCATGGAGGCTGTATGATCATTGCCTATGAACGACGAATAAAAGTTGGATTCTGTTCGCGATACCCAAGCTCGAGTTTACTGGATTTTTTTTCTCATTGTGTTTTCTGTTCTGCGCGTTGCAAACATGGATCAGCACACGGATATCGGTGGTTCTTTTTGTTTCCAGCAATTGGGAATGATTACGTGGCTGCGAAATGGTTGGAGGGAAGGTGGGGGCACCTGATAGCAGTGTTGGGTGAACAAGGTGCTGTCTGCTGTCAGTTTGGGCCTCAGAGTCAACGCGCATACTTCTTCAGCAATTCCTGAGTCGGCCAATGAAAGGCGTACCGACCACAGCTACAGGGGCCTTGAATAGCCATCGATCTCGAACAAGCACAATCTGTATGAGCGCTCCCCACGACAAGAAGGCACCAGATTTGGCAACACAGCTCACTGGATCCTGCGTCAGAAGTGGTGCAGAAATAGGCCACATGCTAATCATGCTTGGTTTGGCACTGGACTTTTTTGCCATGGAGGAATTTGGTTTTCTTTGTTCTTGATGATATGACGGCAACAATTTGGACAAAGGGGAAAGGTCAACCAGGAGGAACGGACAAGGATACACCTATTACGAAATGAACCTTCAACAACACCACTTATCTTTCCTTTGTTCTCAGCGAGGGTGCAATCATTCGAGGCTTAGGGATGGCCGCGATTATCGATACTTGTCAAAGTCCTGATCAGGCAAAGGAGATCGCAAGGATTTGTTATCTGACGGAAGCGGAGGAAAATATGGCTCGACGCAATGGGCATTTGCTCTGTTGCCCTGTGTCTTTGTTTGTTTGATCGGGTGCTTGGACTTGCGCTCCAATGACGGAAACTGATGATCACAATTGTCGACTTGGATTATACTTCTAGGTCCGGCGAGACCTTGGTGGACTTTTTCTTTGGTTATCTTTGATACCTTTGCGTAAAGCGATAGCGATGGCAATGTCGGTAGCGGAAGAATAACCGCGGTTCTTTGATGGTTATGGCAAATGGTATTAGGCATGGAAACGAGAAGGAGGTGGTTGGTGGAGGACGGGGACACGGATTCCATAGTGGTGACATAGACGCCTGCCTACATATTTAGGACTCGAAAGACTCATTGATGGGCGACGAGGAGCAAGGTGTTCCTGTGGTGACCGATGTGCCCAAGTGCTTGCTAAGCTTCGTGCGTGAGGGCAAGACAATATACTGCTAGTGTACTGTACACGTCCTTTGCTAAACACAGCAAGGGGGAGCTCCTTCGATCGGAAAGGAAATCAAGAGGCCTTGCAGTCGCTAATCATACAGTATCATGACCTCCCTTAGGAAATCTGTATCCTCAGCACCAATCGTCACCCATGGAATGCTCAAGCATGCTCAATATATGACCTGATGCTGCCATTCCCAAAAAAGCCCAAGTGGGTAAACTTGCTCCGGTGCTGCATGAACACGCTGATACGCATCCAGAAAAAAGAAGTGTCCTCCAGACCACCGATGATAATGCATCCATCTGTACAATGCCTCCAAGGTCATTTGTGACCATTATTAGTATCCGTCACGGCTGATAAGGCAGCTCGAAACCAAAGACTTGACCCCATCAAGACCCAACAGTCTTCCCATTGCAATCAGGTATCTGAAGACCAGTTTTCAAGTTCCTGCCCGGATCCATGAGACCCCATTTGTCTTCCCACTGCTCCGTGGCTGTATTATAGATGACTTTCCAGGGTTCATCAAAAGCCTCGAACCTGCAAAGTCTGTTAGTCTGGAGCGCCTCACGCTTGTACGCATCACTTACCAGAAGTACTCGGTCCCATTCTCCAAGGCCTGACAGACCCAGTTGTCCATAAAAGTGTTCATGCCAGTGACATTGGCCACGGAACCGCTCTGTCCCGTGGTGCATGCGCCAGTACTTCCACCACAATCTTCACCACCTCCACTTGGCCAACCAGTCTCACTGATGAGGTTTTTGACGGACGTGCCTTGAGTCAAGACGACATCATGAGTTTGCCAAAAGTCCCACGTCCAGCTGGCAGCCACGTCGGGCGTCACACCAGCGAAAAATGGGTGAATGTTGGACATCACGTAATCCACGGCGGTAACCAATTGAGCGTTCCAGTTGTCTCCCAAATCAGAGGTGGCAATGGGGAGATCGTAGCTCTTGCTGGAGAAATTTGATCTGACCTCGTTCAGGATATCAATCAGTTCCTGCTCCGATTGCGCCTTGTCCACACCTGCGCGATACAAAGCTTCATTGCCAACAATGACACCTTTGAAGATCGATAAATCAGTAGTGTTGGCCAAGATCTCGTACATTTGTTGTAGCTGTCGATCAGTGGTAGTTTGATTTGTGTCAATCCAGACTCCCATCCACACTTTCATGTCTGTCAGCTCTAGTCTGTCAATGGCATGGAGGACCATCTGGGTCTGATTGCAGTCGGTGCCATAGAGACGGACAGCGTTAGTCAACTGGGAAAGGACTGCCATGTCTCGTGTGACGTTGTTTTGAGATGGAGGATAAGTGAAACACAACGGATATTGAGTTCCCCATGGCGTGTAGTCTATTCCTGGAAAGACCTTGTGTAGGTTCTTGTTATTCATCAGTGCCTGGATCTCGGCCGAATTCTTGTCGAGATCTCCATTGGCGGCTGTGTCTCCAGCAGCGTTGTTGGTGTCTGAACTGCTGCTGGAAGTGGATTTCTTTGAGTTTTGACTCCCAAGTACGCCGCCAACAACGCCACCAACAATGGCTAGGACGGTGACGAGCACTATTGCCAGTCCAATCAACAGTCTCATCCTCTTCTTCCCCTGAGTCTGCCGTGCTAGCCATTCACTCTTTTCTGCTTTTGAACTGGAGCCGACAGCGTCGTATGTACCGTTCGGAGTGTACTTCCTAGACTTCCTGCCGAACAATCCTGCAAGCGCACCTCCAGTGGCAGCGGCGGCTGCAGTAGGCCCTAGGTTACCATGGCTTTTAGGTTGAGTCGTTTGTTGTTCTGCATTGTGTTGTTCATCATCTCCATCATCCAGAATGTTATGCGGGTTGATGCTAGCCTGATTCATGATATTTGCGGAATCCAACGACGTGTTGTAAGGTGTTCGGTAGGGGCCATCACGCTGGTCAGAGTAAGGCATCTCAAGGCTCAGGTTTGAGGCGTAATGGTCCATCGGAATATTGCTGCTGGACAGGGCGGATGACCTGGGACTTGGGCGACCAGTCGGCGTGCTACAACCAGGCGTGGCAGCTCCAGCAGCAAGAGCGAATGGTGAACCAAAGGAGTTTCTTTGCGGCAGTTGCGAGAGAGGCCGTCCTTTGCCGTATGGGCTTGAGTCCCGTGAATCGCTTTGGTACGGTGAATGAGACCTTAGGCCCGAGCGCATGGCTTCCACGCCGCTTTCACGTGGATTACGACCTGCCACACCCTGCCCTATTGAGTAGAGTTGCGCTCCTGGCACTTCAGGTACATGGTTGTCCATTCCTGGTGTGACATCCGAGTATGATTGGTAAGGTTGTGAGAACGCAGATCCTTCTCTTAAGAGGCGGTTCGGACTAGTTCTGTGAGGAGGGGGTGGAGGCGGGATATCTTCAAGATCACGAGGTATCTGTTGTCTTGAGCCGCTTCTTGTAGGAGTGAGGTCACTCAACAAACGAGTGTCTGGAGGAATAGGACGCCGTCTAGAGGAGGTCGGAGGAGAGGCAGGAGATGGGTGCTGTTGCGATGGAGGAGATGCGTAAGGCGGAGGAGGAGGTAGTATGTCGGTGTTGGAGACGTCGTATGGCGGTTGTTCTTGCTGTTGCAGCTGCATGGAGTGTTCGTCATGGCTTTCGAAGGAGAAAGTCCTTTCGTTGGACATCTTGTTCAGGCTGCAGGTGCCCGATGCAACCCGGTAGTCGGCTTTCTACCAGACCGTGACGGCGTACCTGTGGTCTTGTCCAACGACTGACTGTGCCACAGCAGTCACCCTGTGGTGGGGAGTGATGCGAAGGGGGTGGGCACCGGAAGCACACTCGAACGATCTGTGCAGGTGAGAGTGGGTTGTGTTCGCCCCAGCATCAGGCTCCAAAGCGCAGGATGGATTTTGTTAGAGAGACCAGCGTATTCTTAGCAGCAAAGGATGGCGCAGGGTCGGGCCAAATCAACACGAGCGGGAAGGGGGCAGTGAGAGTCGGGCTGGGTGAGACGGAAGGCTGCAATCAAAACAGCAGCAATGCGAGACAGATAACGAGTGAGATGGATGCTATACAAGAAGCCGCAGAAGGTGCAAGATGGCCGTCTGCGCATTAAAAGAACAGCTTCTTTAATTAACCCACCTTGGTTTATTGTAAACCTGAATCATCCAAAAGTCCGGCGGCGCGCCATGGTCGATCAGTGAGATGCAATCATGCAAGATCCTTGATGGTGCATCGAGTGGTTGCTCAGACTACAGCCGTGCACCAAGTCCGCCAATCGAAAAAATCATGTTAGATCATGTCAGACATAAAGAGCCGCCATACTAATAATGTGTTTTGAAATTGGGGGATTTTGGAATGTCAATTGTCAGGTTCTACAATTCTGGTAGAGTACTGTGAGTACTGTAAGGTACTGGTAACCAAGACTACCTACCTCTAGGTAGGTAGGTACCTGGTAAGTCCAGCTTCATCTGGAAATCTCTCTGATACCGACTGCCAACTTGCTTGGAATCAGCACGGTCTGCTCTGGAGCCTGGACATGGCTTTCTGTTCAGCATTGGTACAATCGTCTCGATGTAGGTGTGATGACACTGTCTCACCAAATCACCTGATCTTCACCATGTTGCTCAATCTCTCCATCATCAACCTTGACAAGTCCCAGCTTGCCATGTCCGTTCTCAGCCTCCTTGGCTTTGCCCTGTCCAGTCTTCACCAATTGCAATTCACCCTGCTCCGCTTCAGCCGGCATGTCATTCGACTTCACAATTTGGAAATCGAAGCCTGCGTGCCCTTTTCCATTCTCATCATTCTTTGGGGCTCGCACCATCTGCATCCAGCTATTGTCACTCTTCGTGTCTTCATTCGCCGTGATGCCGAGCTTCTTCGAGTCTTGGACAGCCATCCTAGTGTTTTGGGAGGGTTCCTTCGATCGACCTGCCTTAAGCTTTGCCACGGCGAGGTTGTTGTTGCCTCCACGACGCTTGTGCGCACGAGGTTCGTCGTCGCTTGACGAATCTTCGTCGTCACTTTCGCCGCTGTCCTCATCACTTGACCAATTCTTGTCTCCGCCCTTTGCATTGATCTCTTCATGCTCATCAGGATCGTGGTGCTTGAGGCGATGCTTCAATGGGGTGCCACTCGATGCCTGGAGAGTTGTAAGCCCTTTCTCGGCAGCCTTCAAGCGTTGCTGCTTCTTGCCATCCGCAGTAGCTAGATTCAGCTGTACCAGCTTAGGGAGGTCCATGGCTTGGAACGTGAATCGAGCATAGCATGTCTCGTTGAGGTCGTAAAGCCTCCAGGTTGTCGGTATGAGTTTCTGTGTGTACTGAGGTCTCCGATCCACCGTGATTGGGTGGCAATCCGTGCCATCATTGTCATGGCTGGGGCTATTGTGTTCGTCTTCGTCTCTCTGCCAGGTAGGTTTCGCAATTGCGGGTGTGCCCACGACAACAATTCTGACAAGTCGAACTTCAATCTGACCAGGCGAGCGGCGGGTCTTCGTGGGTGTAAGATTGCCCAAAGCTTTCGTAACCTCTTCGACTTCTTGTTGTAACATGTCAGGAGCCTCGGCGTCGGCTGCGATGTCCATGTTTGAAAGCAGTACGTCGATTCCCCTTGAAGAAAACTGCCACTCATGAATGTCCACCTTTGAGGCCGTACGACCCTTCGGTGCAGAGTAACGACCTTTCAGGATCGCCGGGTTATGAGGGGGGTTGTCGACGTTGAGAAATCCACCGCATTCGGGTTTCTCATTGCCCTCGATGTAGACCCAGTAGGCGAATATGTACGCTGGTGTTTCTTGCTCCAAATCCATACGGTCTTCGTCAGAGGTACCGCCATTTGCGGCCTTGCGTTGTCTGAGATTGTATCGAGCGTCGTTGCGACGACCTCCGCCAGACTTCTCCTCGGACAAACCCGGGTTGGATTGACCTTCGTACGGAAAAGGGTACTCAGACTTGATATGGATGTAGAACTTCTGCCCGTCGACGGCCCGTATCTTGCAAGAGACCATCCTACTTGCGTTGCGCGTGCCGATGTTCTGATCACCGTATTCAGTGAACAGTTCACCATCGACCGAGGCCACATTCACGGTAAAGCCGTGACGTGTAGGCATATTGCTTGAAAGGCTGTTGCCAGTGCTAGACAGGTCTGGATATGCGGTCGTCTGATGCGCGGGTACGCGGTATTTGTGAGATGGAGTGAGGGTCGGATAAAAGTTTCGACGGGGCGTCTGAAAAGAAAGGGATCTGGCACAAAGCAAAGTCTCAACAGAGCGGAGACTCTTGTAGACCGCTTTTTCTGCCTATCGTCGAGGCCGCGAAAATTCACTGCGTTGCCACGGTCAACGTCGAACAGAGGATAAGACCGCCGATCCCTTTGTGCTTAGGCAGCGACGTGAGATTTGCCAGACACTGCCTTCACTGGCGCGGCGAGCTTTGTGCTTTACTCGGTCCTTTGTTTACGACAAAGTCGAGTACTTCTCGTGCAGTGCCTTGAGGGGAAGTATTTAAGTGCGAAAAGCGTGGGCACTCATCCAGATGTGCATCAACCCAATTTCGCGATTCTGTAGCTGGCAGAACTGGTCGGTCCATCGTATCTTAGCGGTTTGGCACTGCAATTTCATAACCCAAAAGCACCTCAGTCGATGCGCCTTCCCAGCCACGGTTGCCTCCACTGGATAACATGAACCGGCATGAAGGATCGAGATACAGGTTTGACACCGTGCCGGTCCTGTGACCAGGCACAATCAAGAAAGGCACTGCTGACCGTTGAGCCTGGGATTCCTTTAGATCGTACAGCCTCAAGATGTCGTAAGATGCACATATGAGATGGCGTCCGTTTGGCATAGCCTTGACCGAGGTCACCGCACCACTTCCATTTGGAAAGCGGAATATTCGCTCCGGTGTCTTCAGCCCCTTTCGAAGGTCATACTCCTCCACAGTATTATTGCGTCGACCAGCGTAGATGCAGTTGCCGTCAACCGACCAGCATGCGCTTAGACACCATGGAGGTGTGTTTCGTGGCAGGATTCGCGCCACCGGTTTCGGCTGCCTCCGATCCCAGACACGAATGGCGCCATCGATTGACGTTGCGAGGAAGGTCGAGTCAGAGGTTGGAGGGGCTTGAGAGTCCTGCATGGTCTCTTGCTCATCTTCCTGCTTTTCTAGATCATCCGCGTGTGGCAAGCCATTTGATAGAAGTTGTTCGCTGGAGTGTGCGACGCCATTTGTCGAATCCACGGGTTCAGTCTGGGATTCTACAACCTCCTCAGGTGGAGCATCTGCTTCAGGTGGAATCTGTGTGGCGTCGGGCATTTCATGGTCGACTAGTTCTTCTGGCTGTGGTCCATTTGCTATGGCTCGACTCATTTCGTCGTCGGCTTCGCCAAAAGCATCAACCAAATCCCCTCCGTTGCCCATGACTCCACCAGCCGAATCTCCAAAGAGGTCATCATCACCATCGCCATCGCCAAACAGCGAATCAGGAGTTGCCACCGTTGGTGGTTCTTGTGTGTCCTGGCTTGGTAGGTCTACCTTGATGCCATTCGGTTTACTGTCATTCGACGAAAACGTTCCATTGGTCACCACAATATCGCCCGACTCGGCTGGCACGGGGACCGATGACAGCGGACGTGCTTCAATCGCAGAAATCTGACTAACACTCGAAGCAAAAGTTGTCCGGACCTGGCCAGTCTCCAGATCCCAATCAAGCACAGACTTATCCCAGCTTCCTGACAGAAGGCTTTTCTCGTCTGAAGAGAGTGTCAAGACCGAAACCGCTGATGTGTGCTTCTTCAGGAGAGCGACCTCTCTACCTTCGTCATGCCTAATGGACTGAAGACGGATTGGGCCTGCGGCAGTACCCGAGGCCAGCCATAGTGCTTGGCTTTGGCATGCAAGAGAATAGACAGGGGATAGGATCTGAGGCGTTTGCGGCCTGGCGTCCCAGTTTTCCCAGTAGGTCATCAAAACCCCAGCTTTGACAACGCTATCGACGAAGGGGTGACGTTGCGCGACTGTAAGAGCCAGCTTGAAATTGACAGAATCGACCCAGTTGAACTTGCGAATGTACCCATCCGAGCCGCCAGTAAAGACCCACCGCATGTCGCTAGTGGCGCAAACTGCATTGATGGAAGTACTCTGAGGCGCAGCTATCGTGGGAACAATGTCGTAGGTTGCTGCATCGAGATACTCTGGCGATATTCGCGCCCGTGCAGCAGCTTCACGAGCCTCATCGGCTTGGGTTCCTGATAGCTGAAGTCCGTCTTGGGTGGCAGGTGGATCACCCGAGGTGTCTTCGTTGTCCGAGTTCTGGCTACCACCAGATTGGCTTCCCGCATCGTCATCATCGTCCGCATCGCCGTCGCCGTCGCCTTCACCCTCGCCTTCGCCGTCTCCTTCTCCGTCTTCAGGTTCGGCGTCTAGGTCGACATCGGCGTCTTGGTCGCCGCCGTCACCCTCGCCGTCGCCATCTCCATCTCCATCTCCGTCACCATCGTCGAGGTCCTGCATGGTTTCGTCATTATCGTTGTCGTTGTCGAAGTCATCTTGGGACCGATCATCATCTTCGTCGAATGCAGGCATTGCCTCGAATCACACGAGACGAAGCAAGAAAGAAATAGGGAAGAATAGCAACAAAGAACTGAGCGTGAATCGGCCAAAGCGGCGCCTTTCCCTTTCTAGATCTAGCGTTGTACCTGGCGTCGGAGATACAATGTTCCGTCCCCGAACTGCACTGCTCCTTCAACTCATCTCATACTTCTCTTCAATGTTTGCTAGACAGTTCAATTGATCATACGCATCCTCTCTGCTTGTTGTTTCTTCTCATTCCTGTGTCTTATGGTGGCGTTTCTCGGAGTCTTCTTCCACCATCAAAGAAATGCACAAGAGCATAGTGGCGTTTAGCATTCTTTGATTGTCCTTCCATGCATACTGTTTACCATACGCCAGACGACAACATTGGTGACGGTCTCGGCAGACTGATATGCATATGTCCAGGTCCGTCTTGAACGGAATTTCATGAATGTGAATGATCAAGATCAGGCACCTCAGGTTTTTTGCGCGACAAGTTGAGTGATGTGGCCGAGCTGCTGCCATCTCATGTCGACATGCGACACCATCGGCTGCGGCATTGAAATCAGCGACGACTCTCGCATCGAAGCATCTTGGCTCGGTTTGGTACCTTTCCTGCAAATTTGATCGCCTGTGGCACACCGTCTCTTCCATCTCATCCTTCGTTTCCAGTACGCTCCTATCAACGTTGAATTTTATCTCTGCGGCTTCCTGGCACCATGCCTTCTGCCCGGCATACTGGTCATCCGACCGGCAAGCGAGGCCAACGACCACATGGAGGGGCATCAAATCGTGAGTCGAGTGCCTTCACCTCAAATTACTCTTTGAAACGTGATTTCCAATTCCCTGGATCTTAAATACTGATCTCCAATCTACATAGGCGGCCATGAATCTTCGAGCGAAATGCAAAATGGCGGTGAGTATTACTTCAACTCGCTCTTACCTACCTGGACCTCCCGGTCTACTACTCTCCCTTAAATTGTTTGACGAGCTAATCTTTATCTAGAGATGAATGCAAACCTCTCAGAGCGTTTCAGAGGCGGCCGCCGTCCAAATACTCATCAAGCGTTGACTACTGCTTTTGAGAATGGTCTCGACCTCAGCTTGAACCTAGAAATCCGCGACTACGTTCAAAAACAAGAATCAATCAAGCAATCCTCGGAAAAAGACGCATGGCTTTCCCAACCGGAGTTCCCCACCGTCGAAGAATTGGCCATTGCTGAAGCCGCCCTAACGCCAAACAAGATCGAAGGCCCCTACAGAAGCAAAGATAAATACCTTAAGATACATTACGGCCTGCAGCGAGAAGATGCAATTGGCAGCCTCCGTGATGCACTTCAAGATTTTCGTCAAAATCCGTCAGCCAATGACACGACAAAGTACTCAGTCTACGATCAGGTTCACATTGTCGGCTTCACATTTGCTCGACGAGGTCTTGCCGCAAGAATACAGTTCTCGACGAAGAGAGCAGGAAAACGTATCAGTTGGCAAACCAGCAAGAGACTGGTGTCAGGCTCCATTGTTACATTGATTCGAGCGAAGGACAAACTCACGGATCTGAATGGCTTGGTGGTCGCAGTCGTGGCAGCAAGACCTCTCGCTGGAGTCTTAGCAGAACCCCCAGAGATTGACATTTACTTCGGCAATCCTGAAGCGGTCCAAATCGATCCACAAGAGGAGTGGCTTATGATTGAGGCGAAGCAAGGGTATTACGAAGCATACCGACATACATTGAGAGCACTGCAGAAACTCAGCCAGGAAACCTTTCCTTTATCTGAACATATCTGCCAACTAAACCCTTCTGTCGGAGCTCCGGCCTATGTACAAGACAATCCAAGTCTCGACCTTAGTGCGGCCGCGAAACAGGATCAAAAGAAGGACTACGAGAAGATAGACATCACAAGAGATTGGCCACCTGCCCCGAAAGACTCCCTTGACGACACTCAATGGGAGGCTTTACAAGAGATCATCACGAAGAAGCTCGCCATCATCCAAGGACCCCCGGGGACGGGAAAGACCTATGTCTCCAAGATTGCAGTTGAGATACTCCAAGCGAACCGAAAAGCAGGCGATCCACCAATCATCATCGCAGCACAGACAAATCACGCTTTGGATCAACTCCTCGGCCACATATCTCACTTTGAACCCAACTACGTTCGTCTGGGAGGTCGGAGCACGAATCTGGAGGTCAAGAAACGTGCTCTTTTCGAGATCCGGCAGAAGGAGAGAATCAAACAGATTCCGGGCGGTCTCTTTGGCAGATCCAACAACCACCTGACCAAGCAGTCCAAAGCGATGAGTTCCATTCTGGAACCACTCTCGTTACCCGGGAGTGATCCTTACTCCACTGAACGAGTTTCCGGACCGGCATTCTTCCTGAAGCTTGGTGTCCTAAATGCGCAGCAAGCGAAATCACTAGAAGATGGGGCGACACAGTGGGTGTCTACCACCACTTCGCTAGGCGGATCAATACAACTCTGGCTTGATAGAGCTCTGCTTCCATTCGAGGTCAAGTATGCGCACGATACTTATGGGTTCGATGAAGTCGAAGACGAGGATTTAGAGTTTGAACAACTGAGAGAGAACGAGGACTCTGCAGGTGTCAATGATGAAGAAGACATTGAGCTCCTGAAAGGGCCCTGGATCAGAATTCAAGAGAAATTCACAGTCCGACCTGCATCATCAAGTGATATCGCCAAAGCCACCAAATTGTTGGATACAGCCACAGACCTGTGGAGAGTCCCTGACTACCTTCGAGGTCCCATGTATTCCGTCATCCAATCTCGAGCGAAGGCAGCTCTAGCAAGACAGTTCCGTGAAGCTGCAGTGACCTATGAAAAGCTAGTCAAGGAGAATCTTGTCGGCAAGTGGGAGCAGGATGCAGTTTACCTTCAACGAGCTGCTATAATCGGCATGACGACGACGGGTCTTAGCAAATATCGCCCTCTGGTCTCCGCCTTGAAACCCAAGATCATCCTCATTGAGGAAGCAGCCGAAGTGTTGGAGGCTCCGGTCACGGTTGCTTGCATTGAGTCGCTCCAACATCTGATCCTGGTAGGTGATCATCAACAACTCCAAGGACATTGCAGCGTGCAGGAGCTGGAGGGTGACCCATTCAACCTCAATGTGTCTCTGTTCGAGAGACTTGTTCGCAATAACATGCCTTACAAGACGCTCTTGCGACAAAGACGAATGGATCCTGAGTTCCGAAGACTCATTTCTGACTTGTATCCGAATTTGAGCGATCATCCAAGTGTCCTTGACCGTCCAGTCGAACAGTGGGGTATGGGTAAAATCAAATCTTTCTTTTTCGATCATTCGTGGTCCGAGTACAAGGACGAGTCACTTTCGACATAGTAAGTGTTCATTGGAGGCCCGTTCTGGTCTTGAAGAACTCTTCGGCACACCATCGGTCCCTTTCAGCTGTCCAGTGCTAACAAACGTATCCAGTAACGCGGAAGAGGCTAAGATGATCGCTGCCTTCTACCGTCATCTGAACAAGAATGGTGTGGGACCCGAACAAATCACAGTGTTGACCTTCTACAACGGACAGCGAAAGAAGATCTTGAAAGAACTCCGAGCTTATACCGATATTACCGCAGGCTACCTTCAGGTCAAGACTGTCGACTCCTACCAAGGAGAAGAGAACCATGTGGTGATCCTATCGCTCACCCGCAGCAACGAAGATGGAAGGATTGGTTTCTTGGCCAACATCAACAGAGTGTGCGTTGCTCTCTCGCGTGCCAAATTTGGCTTTTACATCTTCGGAAATGCTAGAGCAATGATGGCTGGCAGCGAGCTATGGTATAACGTCGTCCAACGAATGCGCGCAAGCCCGAAACGCCTCGAGAACGTCTTACCCATCCAGTGTAAGAATCATGGTAGAACATGCCTCATGCAATATCCAGAAGACTGGGCGAACACCGAAGGAGGTTGCCAAAACGCTTGTGACACAACCCTAAACTGTGGCCACCAATGCCCATTGTGGTGCCACCCCTACTCACATGACAAGGTCCAGTGCCCAGAGGACTGCATGAAAAAGTTGGCTTGTTCGCACGGATGTGATCGCAAATGCTCACAACCTTGTTATTGCTCTTGTGACGAGTTTGCACGAATTCAAAAGCTGGAGATGGAAGAAGCTTGGTCTATGCCGGATGCATCCGCAGACCGACAGGCTACGCAGGATATCAGGGTTCCCCAAGGATTCAATGGTCAGCGTGTTCCCTCTATTGGCAGCGCACCTTACTTACAGGAACAGTTACAGCTCGGTTCGCGTAATACTGGCCCGTCATATCGAGATGCCGTCCTCGATTCAGCCCCAGCTAGTCCCGACGGACCTCACATCGAGACGAAGCCCCAAGCATCGCTCAAACCCAGTAGTACCGGCTATAAGGTCGGAGGCGCTTGGAATCCGACCCCGAAAGAAACCATCGAGACTCACCATTTGACCGCCGAAAAGCAGCATGAACGTCGACAGGGGTGGAAGACGTATGCCAAAGGAGGCGTGGTCGTTGACGATAAGCGCCGAGTGGAAATGGAAAAGTCTCCGTCGATGCCTAACGCTAGCACTCAGATCACCCGCAATCCAATTTTTGATTCTACAGCTTCCCATGCTGGCCCGGCCTCAATGAACGCCAGTCGCCAAATGACGTTTGGAGTCAAGAAGGAGACTATCAAACCTGTTGGTGATGGCAGAAGCAGATTCATGCAAGAATCCGCATACGGTCCAGAAGCGTCGCGTGGGAGAAGATTGTCGCCAGCAGAGAACCATAATCCAAGCAAGTCAGATCAGAGCAAGCAGAAGCCTCCTGTAATAGGTCTTAGGGGTGGCAAGGCTACGCACATGGAGGGGTCATCAACTGCAGCAGACACAATGCCGGCTCCTGGAAAAGAACAAAATGCTGGAAATGATATCATGGATGAACTGGCGGGGTTGGATGCCTACTACCGGAGTTTTTGAGCGAGTTATGGAGTGATGATGTGCTCCCAGCTAGCTTGGATGGTATCAAGGACGTACTCATCGGCATGCAGAATGGGATTGGGAATGACATAACGTCTCTGGTGGACAGTGCTAGCACCGTATGATTGTGAAGCATGCTTACAAACAGCATGAGATGTCAGAGTCAAGCGCTCCACAAGAGACGCGAGGCTGTCTTACAAGAATGAACATGAAACAAATTCACCCACGCACGTGTCCAGTCCATCCTGATTTCCTCCATGTCCCAGCATCACTCGCATGTCCAAAGTGATATGTATAGATCTTATCCGATGGACCGACCACGCAACGCGGGGTGCTTCCGCCTGTACCTTTTTCTAGATCTCCACCGCGGGGAAGTATGGAATCGCATCATCGTCATCGTCATGGCGAGTATTCGAGGCACAAGGAGGGAAGGTTCTCATTAGGTAAAGAGAACGAGGTGGCCAGAATTACAGACAACAAGCGCTTGGAGATAATTACAAACCCTGACACTCGTCTGAGGACTTTGATTAAGTATAGTTCAAGAGTTCCATCTTTCGAGCAATAAGTCCTTACGAACTGCTTGTCGAATTCTCTGATCCTACAATATCTCAAGCCTCATCACCATCACCATCACCATTGAACATCTGATCGATCGCAAACATGGCGTCAGCAACGCAAGTGAAGAGTTTCCGAGAGATGCTGGGAGAGCCAACACTCACGGCATCACCCAAGGACAGCACACTGATCATCATTGACGCACAGAATGAGTGAGTTTCTCGCGTCCGTGGATGACAGCCTTTCCCTTCAGTCCACAATCTTATTGATAACGGACAGATACGCCCAAGGCCACCTGAAGACCGTCAACGTCGACCAAACCCGCAAAGCCATATCGTCGCTGCTGCAAAGGTATCGGTCAGGCAGCACCGACGGCAAGAACATAGTGCATGTAGTGCACAAGACGCCCGAGGGCGCGCCTGTATTCACGCCTGGCACGCATTTGGCCGAGGAATTTGACGAGATCAAGCCCCGCGACAACGAGAAGGTGATTGCGAAGGAACTTGTGAGTTCGTTCTCGGGAACGGATTTGCATGAGTATCTTTCGGGCCTCGGGGAGAGAGGCAAGAAGACGGTGTTGACGGGGTATATGGCGCATGTTTGCGTTAGTAACACCGCCAGAGCCGGTGCGGATTTGGGTTATCAGGTTGTGCTGGCGGGGGATGCCATTGGTGATCGCGATATCCCTGGATTGAGTGGGAGCGAGGTTACGGAGGCGGTGTTAAAAGAGTTGGGGGATGCGTTTGGGACGGTTGTGAGGAGTGAGGATGTCAAATAGGTCCATTCTGGTAGGCATCGTATAGACTTCAGGGCTTCGTAGGTATATGGATCGGCATTGTCCCTGAGGGCCGGAGAAAGCTGTGTGCATCTCCTGCGTATGTCTGTCGTCGAGAGGATACCTCAGGGTCACTTGGAAGTGGTTTGTAGAAACAGTACTTGCTTGAGTCGGAGTCAAGACGGGTCTTGCTGTTCAGCAGGCCACCATATCACGGAACCGTGGAAAGGAAAGTTCTTGAGTGGCAGGTCTGGAAGTCGTGCATGCTCGTGGTGTGTTGTGAAGTCTTCCGTCATCCTCAGGTTGAGGTCAGACTCTTCTTTCGTGAACTTGTCGCTGGCAGAAGGCGACTTCGTGTGTAGGTGGTCCAATGACCTGTGAAGCCATATCCTTGGGCTGAGTGACATGATCTGGTACTCAACCTCGAGCTCGGCGGCGGGCGAGTATGCGAACGAACCGGTGTCTAGCAGCTCGAAACCTTGTGGGTGCGTGACTGCGGTGATTTCCAGCGTAGCGAGCAGGTCGGTGTCAAGAGTGTTGTAGTATGGCTCTTGGGCGTAGCATCGCGGACGTTCACCTTGTGCTTGTTTGATGATGTCGACTACGCTCTTGAACGCTGCGAGTTGATAGTATGCTGACTCGTGACGATCGAGCCAGTGTAGCTCGTCACCGCAGAGGCTCCCAGACCCGAAGAGCACGCATTTGGTCATTTTCTCGGACGTCAAGATCCTTCTCGTTAGGATGTCTTTGAGGGAATGATACATCTCGCTCTCAAGCCATCTGGTCGCAATTCTGGTGTACTGCGTTTGCATGGACTGCAGTGTTGTGCCCGGGAGTGGTTTCATCGGACGAATAGCCGAACCACAGGTCTTGGTGACCTGTGGGCCGTCGAAAGTCCATGTGAAGACTATTTCGGAGCCGTCTGCGCTTGTGCTGGGGACTGGTGCTCGAGGTGTGGTGTGTGATGAGGTGACCCGGGTCCAACCTTCATCGTCTAGAACTTCTTGTCTTTTCTTGGGTAGGCCTCTCTTCTTATGACTTGTATGAGGCATGGCAACAGTGGCAGGACTGGTCTGGTTGCGACTTTTTGTAGGCCGTCTCCGGCAAATGCATCGCTCGGTCGCTTAACGGGGAAAGGTGGCAGTTGGCATCGGAGCCCCGACGACGCGAAGAGGGAGGCTTGAGGGTGAGAAGGTGGTCTCCCGAGGGCAGAATCTTATTGATTGCATGTCGATGAGCTCTTGCGCACCCATGTATCACATTTCAACATTCACAAAAAGTTGCTGTTTGTTTAGAATCTCGAGTCGATTCTGCCGATATTTTGCCGACGAGGTTGAGGTATCTGATCACTGATTTGCCATTCGAGTTCATTTCCTCTGGGCAATATTCCTAGTTTCACATTCTATATGAGGTACTTTCTGACACTATATCGATCTATGAAGCACATCGCATGCTCAGACCAGACTGTCACCACGTCTCAGCGAAGGCCGTCCACAACTGGTCCCTTACAACCACTCTTTGTTTCCGTAATGAGAGACAAATGAGCCACCATTGCCATTCTCAAGACTGAAATCGTGAATGACTTTCACACACATCTCTGCTGATTCCAATGGTTGCAGTGGTCCACTCCATCCCGGTACCATTTGCCTGAAACCCTGAAGTACGAGCGGTTCCTCTCCCTCCCATGTGGCCACGACACCGGGTGAAAGAGCAAAGAAGAGGATACCTTGGACCTTGTACTTGGCATTGTATTTGCACACAGCCATGTTAACTGCAGCCTTGCTGATGGCGTAGGGGCCTGCATTGCTAACCCCACCTCCATTGACCAGATCCGGATCTGCCATGCCTGTGCTGATAACAACCACCTTTTTTGTGGCACCTTTCTTGATGAGGGGCAAGAAGATGTTGATAGTGTTGATGACGCCCACGACGTTCACATCAAAAGACGCTTTGAGTTCGCGTTCCATCATGTCTGGATCTGTTTCCTCATACTCATCGAGAGCGTTCGCTTCGGTGTTGCGATCGATATATGCAGCATTGTTGATCAGATAGTCAAGAGAGCCGCCAGCGATTTTGTGCACTTCTTCTCGTGCTGCGAGCAGAGACTTGCGGTCCGAGATATCGGCTTGGAGCATGGTGACATTCTTGAGGCCATCAGCAGCAATAGTCTTGTCGGCAGAGGCTTTGTTGCGGACGAGACCAATGATGGTGTTGGACGGGTCTTTAGCCAGGTACTGAACGAAACCATACCCTAAGCCGCGATTGGCGCCAGTGACAAGGTAGGACGGCATCTTATAAGGTTTATGGATAAATCGTCAAACAGTAGTCTTGTGCTGTTGTTTTGAGAGTTGCTTTTGAATACTACTTATGGTGAAGATGAATATTGCACAGCAGACCTGGCTTACCTCTTTATACCTACCTACGGCGGTGTTTCGAAGCGGACAACGCCGGGTTGATTCGTAATCTTTGGTGGCATCGTCTGTGATGTGGAATCATTCAATGGAACAGACAGTATTTCTCTCGTCTGTGCTGTTTGTCCGCCGCAGTACCAAGAATTGGCTTACTTGAGCCAACATCACGTTGGTGGTAAAGACGGAACGGCACCGGACGAAGGAAAGAGAAGGACCTGGTGAGAGCGGCCAAGACGTTTACGGTCATTTTGCGCGAGACTTGGTTGAGGTATGTATGAAGCACCGTGTGGTGTTGATGTATGTGGTTGAAAGATGAGGATGGTCATCATAGGAGATGCATAGGATTACACTTTCGTAAGGCGATAGCGATAGCGAATGTGGAGATGGAGTGCTCCGTCATATTGCCGTGAAATCAGCCATGCATGAACTCGACCCGAAGGTGACAAAGAACTCGACACGACTCGAGCATGGACCACCACGGAGTTGTGTTGACCTTGTGTGACCGTGGTTGACCGTCCCTTTGCCGTGATTTGATTCAACTTGGCAGGAGCAATGCTCTGCACCAAAATATCTCTTTGCGCCTAACAAGTTACTCCTTTCTCCTGTTATGGCCAGACCATGAACATGTCACTTCAATGCTGGACATAGTTTTGCCCAGTCTCGAGCTGTGAGATTGCCATCTCCGACATGCAGATGATGACTACCAGGTATCTACTGAGTACTCCGTATGGTCTGGGGATTGAATGGTTTGGTCCCCTCCCTTCACCCCTGTCATTGTCAGCGCTTAGAGAAAGGGTCTTCTTCCAATCATGAACTCCAACACCTTCTGACCGCAGCTGCAACCGCCTGACTGGATCATCTTGTCCATTCCTCATCTCGAATCAGACCGCCCATCACTGGCTCGACCATAGCAGCACTGCATGGATCCAGAACACCCATCACCCGTCGCCATGTCCAGTCACGGCGTTTCCAAGCTATTGGGCGGCTGCTTCCTCTCCTCTAATCGGGCCCTGCATACGAACCAAGAACTATTCAAATGATACCCGATGCCCCGGATGCTCACAAAATGGATCATCTTTCTACCCTTGATCTCGTCGGCCAGGCCATTCGAACGACCTGTCTATTCTTGATTATCTGACGGTTCGCCCAAGAAGCTACTGTGTAGCTACCACTCCGAAGACCACTTGACTGTGCCCTCTTCCGCAGCCGAGTAGACAGACTCAGTCCACCACCTGCGTCAGCAGCAGAAAGAAAGAGACACATACCAGCAGCATGGGGTCAAGGTCGATATCTGCCATGATCCTCAGCCTCCTATCCTTCCTTAGCCTCGTCTCCGCGCATATTGTTATAACATATCCCGGCTGGAGAGGCGACAATCTGCACTCGAATGGCACGGTACAAAAGACGAATGGGTTAGAGACGCAACTTGATGGAAATGAATATATATGGCCATACGGCATGCAATGGTCATACCCTTGTACGTACAACATCTACGCCCAATACATCGCAAAACCAGGCTGATATACTGTGTCTAGGCGGCGGTATGCCCACTTCGACAAATCGCACGAAATGGCCACTGAAAGGTGGCGCCGTTGCTTTTCAACCTGGCTGGTTCACTGGCCATGGCACCGCCTTCATTTATATCAATCTGGGCTTTGGCACGATACCGCCCAACATGTCCAATGTCATGCTGTCGGGCGTTCAAATCATCGGTCCGGACAAAGATCCCTACCCAGGAACATTCTGCTTCCCACAAGTCCCGCTTCCCGCGAACACTACCGTGAATGTCGGTGACAATGCAACCATTCAAGTCATTGAGACCGCTGTCCATGGAGCGGCTCTGTACAGCTGTGTCGACATCACTTTCGCGGAACCTGAAGATGTTCCCGAAGTCAACAAGAGCAATTGCTTTAATTCGACTCAGATCACGAGCGACTTGATTTTTACCACGAGTGACTTGGCGTCCGGTGCTCCAAAATCCACCAGTCGATACAGCTATGCCACTACTGCATTGGTGGTTCTACTTGGACTGGTGATGCTATAGCGCTGAGCGGCTATCGGAATAAGATGATGATTGCATTGCCAAATCATGCCACTCCCAATAAATGACGACCTTGGTTTCAACCGATGGCGCGGTCCTGTCCCGACACGGGACCATGAGACCATGGGAATTCCCCATCCACACCTCCTTCGATGGCCACAGGCAGGATATGGCGCCAGCAGAAAAGGCGCGCCTCAAACGGGAGTCCTCTCCTTGCGTGGGGAAATCCAGCCCTGCGTCTTCGGTGGGTAACGCGTTATGTCTGCCAACGTGTCGATACCTGGGGTTCCCTAACCCAGTCTCCGGGGTGGTAGCCGAATGATTATGTGTGATTCACAAAGGAGAAAGAGGTACTGTAGCCAAGGAGACGAGGACGGCTGCGTATGCGGCTATCTAAGGAGTTGACGACATGTTGATGCCATATTATACTAATATTCCCAGATAGACCGGTATGTACGCGCTGGTGTTTAACGAATGTACAATTTATTTTATCTTCAGACTTCCATAGTGGCATGTCGTATTCCATACGACATGGGTAAAGTCTGTCAGCCTTTCGCAAGCCCGTCCATGTATGACATATCGTGGATGGTATGTATGAACATCATAGTATGTGGCAAACCTAGCTGATCTACTGCATGCTATCCCTAGCCTATATTAAATACCCATCCCAACACCAAGGTCACAATCTCCCGCCACTCCTCCTTTCTTCAGTCTACTACAACCTCGACCCATGAATGATCTTCATATCCACAACCAATTCCCGCCCACCATCATTAATCACCAACACCCTCACACTACCCCTGCCATCCGAGAAAGCCCGATCAATCCGCTTGAACAACCCACCCTGATCAACGACAGAAAGTCCCTGCTTGACGTCTCCGGTCTCGGTCATCGCGACAATCAGCCCATCGTCACGAATGTCAAGGACACGATACTGCTTGAACACGGGGCCCAACATGGTCTGCACAACGACACTAGGCGCCGGGTTACTCACGAACGATGACTCTTCGTGTAATTGTCTCGTGAACAAGTCGACGCCCAGGTACCGATACTGTCCTGTCTGCGAGCTCATACTGATACGAATGACTTGTGATGGACGGCCTTGCAACAACAAGATGTCCCCAACGCGGATGAAGTGACATTGAATCGGGACACCTTTGCCGCCGAAGCGAGGTTCCACGAAACGTACTTGTTCGCGTGTGTGCCCGCCGGGCCCAGCTTCGCGGTCGTGGATGACGACTTCATCGCGCTCAATGACTCGGTCTGTGTGGTGGTGCCCGCCGGAAAGGGGGTGGAGGATGCGGTCGGCGGCGCGCTCGACGCCGCGGCGGAAACTGTGGTATTGGCCTTCGTCGTCGTAGTAGCCCATTTTGTTGCTGGAGTTGGCAACGTCAACGTCAGTGACTTTGATTTCTTCTTTGCTAACGCTGACGTTGATGTCGGCGTCTGCGGCTGCGGTGGGACGGCGACGTTCGTATTCGTCGATGCCTACGTCGTAGGTTGGGTTGGTGCGGCGGCGGTAGTCGCGCTCTGTGATGTCGAGTTGGGATTCAGCGGCGACTTCAATGTGGTCTCGTGTTTCGCGGCGGTCGATGTTGATGTCCGCGGAGTATTCGGCGGGGCCGCGGTACCTGTCACGATAATGTCAGTTTATCACCGTAGTTGTAAATGTTCCGGAGCACGGAACTGGGTCGGGTCAAAGCGTTTCTGGGGTGGAAGTGCACGGATGGGGGTTTGACAGGGTACGTACTTTTCACGAGTGAGTTCTACTTCTGGGTGTCCGTGTCGATGGTCTCGGTCACGCTCTTCGTAGATGCGGATGTCTTCGCGTCCACGTTCGGTGTGTCGTCCTGGTGTGCGACTGCGTATGTCGACTTCTTCCCTGGCGAATCGAGTATCTTCCCGTCCGCGTTGCTGAGTTGCTGGGCCTGCTGCCGAGACTTCTCCTTGTACCCGAGTGACTGTTGTGGTGCTTGCCTCCTGAGATTCGGAGGTAGCGTTGTTTCGGTACGTAGACGGGAAGACACTGATCGGGATGGGGACTCGGGCGTCAAAGTCCAGATTGACGGTGAGATCGACTCTCTTTTACCTTGCGGCAGTCGAGAGTCAGTTTGTTGTAGGTGGTTTTAGGGGGGTTTTGGGGGTGTGATAGGTAGCACAGAAGAATGCAACGCTGAGCAATCAAGCAGAAAGGAGCAAAGCAGGATGCGAGATGCAAGATGCTGGTGTGTGGTTGTAAAGTGGTTGTGGGTGCGGGTGGTGGTGGTCTGTGTGAGAACAGAAGATGGGGAGGAGAAAGAGGAAGGAAGAAAAGCATGGGCCAGGAGAAGAAGAGGTCCGTGGTTATAAAAAGCCAGGGGGTTTCTTCGTTGGCTTTCTCACAGCACATGTAACGCCAATGTCAGTAGGAAGAAAATGTATGGGGAATAAACAAATAGACTCGGAGATGTTGCTGGAGTGATACTCACCAAACTAATCCACTTGCGGTCAAGATCAATTCAATTGTTTCGGAGAGTCTTTTTGTATCCGTTCGCTGCCGATGCTCAGATTATTCACAAACTCATTACACAGCTCAAACAATGATCGTCACAGTGAGAAGCAGATGAGAAAGCCGAGAACTTGTGTAGGCTACCATGACTCTGGTAATGTTGCCGAAGATATTACACATTACACAGCAGACAGCAGACAGCAGTTAGCATACCTATCCTCTCAAGCTGCGACCTTCCTTTCATCTGTGCATAGTACAACGCCCAAAACGGCCACCCGTCGTACACCTATTGGTCCAAATAGGCCTTCGGCCTGAAACTCAGCGCGGCCAGTCTGGTGGAAGTCCAATGTGAGACAGACATCCTTGACCCGGGATCTTTGGGTAGCGAAGTGGCCTTACAGCTTGCTGCATCTCGCATGCAAACGTGTCCATCTCTTCACACACCGAGACAGGAGCTTAGAGTTGGGTACAGATGGAGGTCCAAGAGAGAACGCGTGGATATGCACGACTATGTTGTATGCATGTTTCAGCTGGCTTGGGATTCGTGTTCGTGTATACTTACATTGGCGTGCGGCTTACCTGCAGCGCAGGACACCACCAACACCACAGATCCGTGTACAAGGATATATCTACATGTTTGCCAGCCTTGAGCATCTTTCTTTAGTCTACACTCAATGTATGCACGGACACTTCTGCAGAAACTCCTTCACACCATGTGAACTTTTGATTTCATGACATTTCCCTTTTATTGAAGAGCTTCCACTGGCCTTCCAGCTGATGATTTGGTGAACTCATCCTCTCGAAAAAGCTCGATTGGATAAGCAGTGTCAATGGTTTGTCTATCTTGACCAACGCCTCGTAGCAGTGAACCATCAATCCAATGCTATTCCATCGTCCCGCTCATCAAATCAAATCAATTCCTATTCATCATCTCGCATTTCCAGAAGCAATATGCTGCGCCATCGCTATGCTTTTTAATCCCACATTGGTCTTCATGCACCATGCACGCGACGACCTAATCAGTGTCTCTGCACGCAATTCCACTCATACTGCAATCATGATTAGCTGGGTCTCTCAACAGTGTCAGGCAACTCACCACTCTCCCGTCCTCATCCCCGGTGTAGACGGCCTGTGGCATGGGAAGAATGCAACTGATCGCAGCACTGACATTTGCTCCGTCGTCCCGACTGCCGTCAGCATGATTGAGCTGTCGAATGAGCTCGAGTTCAAACCGTCCTCCACGAATGACTTTGCTCCAGATACGGACCTGTCCTCTCTTGTGGCCGGTAAAGATCAGATCTTGTTCCAGCCACTCGTTGCCGGCTCCTTCATAGCACGCACACGACACAATACTCTCTCGTAGGCGATCTCCAGCATCTTGCCGCAAAAGTCGGTCTCCATTCAAACTGTACACACTGATTTCATGATCATGGCAAAGCACAATGTTGCCCGTCACATCGTTGATGGCGGCACAGGCTACAGGCAACTGATCATCTAGCTTGCGGTTGAACTCGCATCGATTCAGGTCCCACAGCATGATTTGGCCGTCTGTCGACGCCGACAACAGTGCATTGAATGACCGCGAGACCGCCAATACACTTACTGGTTTGCGATGTCCGAAAAGTGTCGCCCGAGGCTGGAGTTCAACGGTCTTGCCGGTCTCAACCACCGACCATACCGCAACTGTGCAATCCGTCCCTGCCGTTACCAAGGTTTTGGAGTCTGTAAATATGGCGCACGACAACTGACCAATGTGCAAATGCTCAAATAGGCCGATCTGCTTTCTGCCTTCTGCCGTGTAGAACCGCACACTGTTGTCCGAGAAGCCCCATTCCATGTACATGTCGAATTCGGGCAGTATGTTGAGTCGAAACGCTCCAGAGCACATGAGTCGGTCCCACTTCCATGAGTAACTCATAGATGCAACCTTTTCTCCCATTTCTAAAAGCGTCGATGGAACTCGTGTCAATGACTCGGCAGCAGTGTCCAAACGTTTGTATCGATGTCGGATGTGATCCCGTGCTGGATGTGGCCTATTGAAGACTTGATACGGTGTTTGTCCGAAATTGTGGATGACACCGATCGTTGCCAGCCGCTCTCGAGGATCGGTGATGGAATCAAGATCCCGTGCACCTTGATAGGAGAGGTAATGAAAGACATTCACCGCTTCCACAGCGGCCTCGCCTTTCTGCTTGCTCCCAAAGATCAAGTCAATCCACTTGTGTAGGTTGCGACTCACATGGGGACTTTCCAAAGCCTCACGTTGTTTGGCTATAAAGATTCGAGGATCTCCTTTGGCCCAAGGTGGAAGCTCAACATTCCCAATCGACTTGGAAGAGTTTTGCCTGGTCCCAAAATCGAAATTGTTCACATTGGTCAAAAATTCGGGCAGATAATAGAACTCGGGAGTAAGTTCACGCACATCCGTTGGGATCAACCGTGATGCCGACTTCCAGGCACCCTCGATGGAAAAGAACATGCGATCCGGATGATCGAATGTACCACCCTGCAGCAAGAGATAAGATTTGACGAAAGGTTGTAGGCGGATCAAATACGAAGTCACAATCATGGCTGATGAGTAGTGAGTTCCGTAATGGAAAGCCGGCGTATTGCTGTCGCCCATTTCTGCCAGCGCTTCGTATCTTTCGCGAAATTGTCTTTCTCGCTCCATTGTTTGACAGCCCATGGGTTTAGATAGGTCACGGAAGGATCTTGGATCCGTCAGATCAAGCTCTTCACTGGTGTAGTCCGCAATGACCCATGGAAAGACGGGATACTGTGTCAGATCATTGTATGTTCTTCCAGCCATGGTGTTGATGAGCATCAAGTAGTGGAAATTGGACATTTCTCCTTTTTGCCATTTACGCGTGGCAGCGAGAGAGCTCGATTGTTGGCCAAAAACGTTGGCAAATTTCGAGCCCAACGTTTGTGGCTCGTCGTCGACACTCTTCAAGGTTTCATATCGCCAGGCTGTTTCCGGATGAGCCGCGCTCAGTGCAGCTGGTGAAGGCGCTCTGGCCGTAATCAGGCCGTGCAACTCATTCCGACTTTGTGGTGAAATCACGGTCAGGAGATAGCTTCTTCCATCACTGAAGAACATTTCAATGGCCACATCGCGGAAGAGAAAGCGACGTTTGGACACGCTGATGATTTCTGACCACTTCCAACTCCGTGTCCCGTGTTCGTCGCCACGTGCAATGGGCTTCCTGTCGACGACATCTCGACCAGATATCATCCGCACATAAGGATCACGTTCCTCTTCCGGTGCCTGCCAGACATTCACGATCTCGCCATCAACACGTTGAAAGAAATTGTCGAGAAGATAGATGTAGTCCTTGCCCAGAATGAGCAGACCTTCAACGGCCTCGAGCCCCAATACTCGCGAAATGTTGGCGACATGTTTGACTTGATCTCCCCGGTGGAGACTACGCATCACCTTCCGATTCTTGTCCTCGAAGTTGTCCATTTCGGCGTTGGGGTCTTCCACCAGTTCGAAACTTTCCTCTTCTTCGACAGCCTCACCCTCCTGAGGAGTACCGTTTTCATCACCTTGATCTTGGGTCTGCGTTTCGCCATCCGGTATTTGCGGAAATGGCTCGGTACCATTGTTTGCTTGCTCCGGTGTCGCGACCATGGGTGTAAGACCTCCCGGAGTGACGCCGATCGCCTCGGCCGTGGATAGCTTGGTGCTCCTGGTATCAAGACGGAGCTGCATCGTTTCTGATCCTTTTCGTTTCGGTTGCTGTTCGCTCTCTACTTTGCTGAAATCTTCGTGCAGTCGTATGCGCATCCGGTTGCGTCCTTCAGTTTGATCGAGTCGCCATTTCCGGTCTTTCTCGACGTAGAAGAGGCCCCCAGCTCTGCTAGTGTCTCTTTGCATCCGACTGAAGCTGGCTTCAGTATATACAAGGTCGTCTTGCTGATCTTGTAGCAGTCTCTGATTCTTGAGATACTCCGAAGTGTAGATATTTGCCGTCCAATTCTCAAATGCAAGTTCATGTCTCCGAACTAGTTCGTCGTGGTCCTCCTCTTCTTGTGCCCATTGTTTGACTCTTTCTCGTCGTCGAGATATTCTCATGCGTCCATTTTCTTCTGTTCGTTTATTCTCGCTCGCAACGAATGTATCCCACTGCCTAGAAAGTGTGTCAAAGAACAAAGAGTCCAATCCATCTCTGTGCTCGTCGACCCAATAGAGGAATGTCTCGTTGTCAAGCTCAACCACTTTGGCAAAGCTCGCGGCCAGACCTTTCTGCTCGGTGGTATCTGTGTACCCGAAGATGGCGGCCGCTTCATCCGGTTTCTGTACAAGTATGATCCTCCACAAATTCGCTGCCGTCTGCCGCACGCCGTCACTTGACGAGATCAGGTTCGCATAGAGCAAGTAACAAACGAGTTGCAAATGGACAGACTGGGTTTCCTCGGCGGATAGTAGGACCGTTTGCCAGTAAGTGAGCTTCTCAAGGAACGGCAATGCTTCGTCGTCTTGGATTGAAGACAAGCTCAGGAGCACTGTGCGAAACACTACAGCCCTAATGACGGTGACCGTTTGCGCACAGAGACGTACGCTCTTCAATTTGGCAATGTCCGGGCGTTGCAGATACTCTAGGATAGACCCTGATAGATCCAGCACAGAATCTGCGCCACCGATGAACCAACCTTCGAACAGAGCCTCCTCTAAATGGGTGAATAATCTTGCCAGGTTGAGAAGCACTCTTGGTTCGGTCAGGACCTTTTGATCCAGGGCTAATTGGTTCGATAGCTGTGAAAGTGTATTGCGCAAGATCCAAGTCTCGAAGTAGGTCTGGTGTTCGATGAACCCCGGCGGAGTTTTCAAGAACAAGCCAAGTCCGGGAAAATCCTTCCTCACGAGTATCTGATCCATGAAGATGGATATGACGATTTCCAGCAAGTTCTGTACGATTGAATGGCCTTCATTGAGATCGGGCATTTTGCCAACAGCAGAGCTCGATCCGGCCACCTGAGACAGCTTCGACCCATTTCCGTTCTGATGAGCGTGCTCTCGCGTTACCAGTACATAGGACGAGCCTCGCCGCAGTGTCTTGCCTCTAGTAGCTGTGGAGGGTGCTTCGGCCTCAGCAATGCGAATGATAGGCGATGTGGTCGAAAGAGGATGGAGGACAACATCTGCACCTTCGAACGAGAGCGTCGAATCCCGAGCGTCCAATTCTGTCCTCGCTTCAACAATGTCGGAGCCAACAACCACGGGGAAGAGGACGGCGAGGAGTTGTTGGACATACATCGAAGTGGCTGCGAAATCTCGAAACTTGCGGGACCTCGCATGGAGATCTGCCAGAAAGTGGACAACGGTATCGAATGTCTCGACATGTTGACTCGTGACAATAGTTAACAGCGGGTTCGGTGGAGCCATCGTTGACATGGAGAGTCTTTGCGGAGGCTGGTTACTTTCTTCCATGGGAGGTGCAAGTTTCGAGTTGGCCTGATAATGCCTCGACGATACTATAGTCTTCAGACCGCTTTGTAGCATGCCCATGATGACCTCGAGAATTTCTGGATGCACAACCGACAACTCCTTTTTGCCTGCAAAGATATCGACGAATCCGAAGAGGTCAAAATTCCTGTCCAGGTCAAGGTTGCACACGTCCAGATCAAACAGTATGGCAAAGCATATAGGCCACAAAGCGGGGAGATGCCACCATCGTTTCAGACGATGTGCCATGATCGTGAAACCAGAGCTTTTAGACGTGTCTTTGAATTTTTTGACATAACTGTCTCCATGGACAACCAGTAGTCTTGCGAGTATCTTCATGGACAGAACCACAACTTCAGGAGATGTCTCTGAAAGCAGATAAAGGAGCCACTTGTTGGTAACCGTCTTCGCAAACTTCTTGATCATGGTGTCGTCGTCTTTGCGGCACAATAACTCCGCACACAAGCGAAGCATTTCCACGCCAATTTCGAAATGTGTTAACATTGGGGTTGTTTCATCTTTTGTGCTGTGAGAAGAACCTGCGGATGAACTTCGCTGTCGTCCTTCTCGTCGAGTTGGTTTCCGAAGCTGGAGGCCAATGTTACGCTTGTTTACCGAGAAGGTTACAAACAGCGCAAGCGATCGCAGTGTCTCGGCAGATAGAGATTGAGGCAGAAGAATTCTGAAGGCAGCCATATATGTTGGCATGATGGCTTTAGAGACCGGCTCTGACTTCAAAGCTTCCATGAGTCGTTTCAAGACTCTCATTCTTGAAAGGCGTTTCAAGTTGAAACGCCTGTGTTCACTTTGCTCGGCAAGTACCATGAACTGCTCGAAGTAGAGTTGCTGGACTGGAAGTGGGCCACACCTCCATGTACTGCTGTCGGCCACCAAGACCTTGTAGGCAAGAGGATTGTTGATGACAGATTTTGTCGGATTCTCGAAGTCATAACCAGTGAAGGATAGAATGGATCTCAAGACCTTGAGAGTCAGCGCGTTCCTATCGAGCCGAGGAGTTGGGATGGCGAAACCGTTCTTTCCGCCTTCTCCATTGCTTTGTGTTGGGGCAAGCAGTTTGTCTCTCAGGAGCATCGCTAGAATAGCGTACCCGCCATCCCTTTCCATAACCTCGCTATTTCTCCAGCTGTGGCAGACAGTCTCAAGCAGAATGTCGACCGCCAGCGTGACTTCATCCGTTGTTCGAGCACGTTGTATCAGCCCAAGGCCTATTGCACCACAACCCCCCAGACGCCAACTAGCATCATCCAAGGAATGCGGTACCGCCGCAGTAGGATCTCCCATGAGCAGAAGAACGCCACGAGCTTGGGTCAGTGCATCATTGATTGCAGGAACTGCGCCATTAACCGCAACAGCATTGGTTCCTGAACGTGTATAGGCAAAAAGGTTTTTCGCTGCCAGCTTTGATAGCGATTTTACCAATTGAGTCTCATCAATGTTGTTTCTATCGTCGTTGTCGAGAATGCCAGCAGGAGAAATATTCACCAGGATCTTATCCTCACTAACAAGGTTACTAGCCTTATGCCGAATTGCTAAGATGAGTTCTGAATGATCCTCTTTCCCGGGATGTAAAGTCTCGTTTCTCAGATTCAACGCGGCAGAAGCTTGGTACGTTTGAAATGAACCAAGGCAGTCTTGAAAATTCCCATGATACTTTGGACCCAGGTGATAGAAGACAGCCACAAGGTCGTCGCTGATTGTGTCTTGAAACAAAATCGCTGAGCCTAACGACCATTTTGACCTACAAACTGTGCCTGTGGCATTGGGCGCCAGATCTTGAGGGGTGCCAAAGAAAGCCTGGACTTTTGGCGTACTTTCTCCATGTTCAGTAGAGGGGACTGAAGGATAATTGGCCTTTTGTTGTTCTAGGAATTCACCATCGACGAAGAGGAAAGCCTTCGAGGATGATGTCGTTCTCGGCCGCTTGTGTACTACACAGATATGGTACCAGCGGTCTGGTTCAAATCGTACCGACTTGAATCTGATGCTAGGTCTGCTCCCTTTGATTGCGGTCTGCAGAATTAGCTGGTGTGTGTCTTTTTCGAGATAAGCCAAGATGAAGCAACTCTGGCTCCTATCGAAGGCACCAAAGAGGGTGGTATGTGCTTGGCTATCAAAGGAATCGAACCGAGCCCAAAGACTCAAAGTGTAACCAGCCGTATCAAGGGGCGGAAAAGGTCTGCCAAGCGTGGCCAATTCGGCGGAAGCATGGCCTTGTTGAGATAGATCGAACTGGATGCTGGATGGTTGTCGCGAGGCTCGGATTGCCTCAAGAAGAAAGGCCGCAGCATCGTGGGACACGATAGCCTGTTTATACAGGTAGTGTGCGTCCTCCAAGCTTGATACACCTTCCTGGCACAGAACAAGTGCGGCTTCTTTGAACAACGTCCGCTCAATGGGTGAAAGTCGTTCTTCAAACACTAGTCGCAAGATCGCAGTGAGAGCTCCAGCCGTGTGGGCAGCGACAATGTTGTGCCTTGATATAGAAAGGGCCTCCTTGAAACTAATTGGCATCCCCAGTCGAACGAGTCGTTGTGGGATGCTTGCTACCTTGATGCCAACACTCCAAACAGCAAGGATGACGGTAAGCATATCGGGTAATGCGATGTCATCCACACTGGCCAAAGACTTCGTGATTGCGGCACGGACAGCCTTGACTGACGCGTCCGACAAGGGCTTAGCATCTTCCCCTGGTGCAGACCGCTGGGCGGAAGAGTAGATATCGTCCATTACCTCTACTCCCGCTGCTGTTGCGAACAGCACACCAAAGAATTGTTCGACATAGAGCTCGGTTGCCCCTTGACATGACAGGACTGTGAGGATCTGCTCGAAGGTGCATTGCAGAGATTGCCAGCCACCGCCGTCCACCTTTGTTCTGAAGTATCTTTGATTCCCATCGTGACCCTCCAATGCAGCACCCAGGACGGCGGACCATTGTGAAAGAATCTGGAAAAAGGTCTTCACGTTGGCTGGAGAGGTGTTGTCGGCCCCATAGCTGTCGACCAGCGACCGCAGTAGTCGAAGAAGCGCTTGCAAGCCGCCTGCCCTTCTAAAGCCACTTTTCGTGCCGTGCAGTTCACTGTCGTCCTTCAAAAAGTGCCGTAGTTGTTGCAGGATTGCCGATTCCTCAAGGCTACTTTGGAGCGTCTCCAAGGATGTACGATCAAGGTTGTCGAGACTCTTTACCAGCTCGGTAATCTCTTTGTCTTCCGGACGGACTATGTCGGCGGTCGAGACAGAACGCCCGCGTGTCTGTACAGTGAGGCCCGTCATGTTCTACCCACCTCTTATCTGGCCGCGACACCGCCGTTCGTGTTTGACCGCTCCGCATGAGGACCGCTAGGAAGGGAACGCTTCGAGGTAGACTCTCAGGACGGCAGAACCAATATCTGGTTCATCGGGCGTATTGATATTTAAACGAGCATGTACACTCGATCTCTTGTGGCCGATGTCGCTGGGAATATTCAGGTCACAATGAATGCACTTTTGGTATACTGCAACAACGAAATGACGGGAGAGTGAGTGCACAACTGAATAACTCGCTCGACCTCCTTTTCGAATATGAATCAATGTGTACAAGTTTCTACTCTGAAATTGTTCGCTGATGTGCTGCACAATACACGGTATCCAAGAACTGCGCTTCAGCGGAGTTTACTGCCACAGACTGCGGTGGCCGAGATGACGTCTCAGCGCACAAGGGCTGACTGCGCAACAGCAGCAGCACAGAGCATGTTTCAGTCGACGTGGCCCCCAAAGGTCCTTATCACAAGTGTACATCTCGTCTCACTACAGACAGATGGGTGTGTCGTGTGCAGTGTTGAGTGACTCTTATGCTCTTATCTATCAATATGGAGTTCCTCGGGCAATACTTAGTACCTAGGTAAATATGTGGCTGGTGCTGTGGTCGCTATCGTCGTCATTGATTGCTGGATGGGCTGCTAATAGGGATAGCCGTGAAATAGCTTGGAATATTTGGCTTTATCGAGGCTGTTTCCGGGGTTGCAGGGTCATGTGCTGGCCGGGCTGCAGGCGCAGGCGAGGTGGGGGGTTTCCGTTCTTGGAAGTCACATCATCTGCGCTCGGGTATGGCTCATGCTCATGCGCCGTCTCTCCAACCAGTCCATCAGCAGGCTGCCATCTAACGTTTACGTCTCGGCGCCTTCGTCCGTATCTATCTCCAAGCGATAACCCATCTCCCTCTCTTCCATTACTCTTTATCACTCCGTCTCATCCATCCATCCATCTTGTTGTCCTTTCCTCCATCGTATCTCTTGTTCACGCTTTGCTTGTCAAGGCTGATCAGAGCTTCCTTTCCTCCTCGACCGCCGTCTTCTCTCTGACCATCGCAACCGTCTTATACAGCTTATCAGGATGAAGTTCCTCGGTCTTGCTGTCCTCCCTCTCGTAGCGGCAGGTCCGCTCCTCATCGACACCATTCACAAGAATGCAGCTCCTATCATCTCCTCCTCCAACGCAAAGGAGATCCCCAACTCCTACATGGTGGTCTTCAAGAAGCACCTCACCGAGCTAGATGCTGCTGCTCACCACTCCTGGGTTCAGGATGCCCATTTGTCACAAGAGACACGCAAGCAAGAGCTACGGAAACGCAGCCAGACTGCTTTCTCTGATGATACTGTCTTCGAGGGCTTGAGACACGTCTACAATATCCCTGGCGGATTCTTGGGATACGCTGGTCACTTCGATGAAGATGTCATCGAGCTTGTCCGCAGGCACCCAGATGTGAGTCCATCCATGTTTCATCACCTTTCATCCACGAGATAAGCCGTCATCACAAGCCTGATGGCCTGACGAGCCTCTCCACACCTGTAACCTGCCTCAATACCACTCGTTGCCAGTTATCGCTGCTTATCTAGACCGAACTCATGCTCACGTGCTCTATTGCAGGTCGAATACATCGAGCGTGACTCCGAGGTCCACACCCTTAAGGAGGTTCCCTCCCTCGAGAAGAACGCTCCTTGGGGTCTGGCCCGTATCTCTCATCGTGATGCCTTGAGCTTCGGTAACTTCAACAAATACCTCTACACTAACGATGGTGGTGAGGGTGTTGACGCCTACGTCATTGACACTGGCACCAACATTGAACACGTTGACTTCGAAGGCCGTGCCAACTGGGGCAAGACCATTCCTCAAGGTGATGAAGATGTCGATGGTAATGGCCATGGCACTCATTGCTCCGGCACAGTCGCTGGCAAGAAGTTTGGTGTCGCGAAGAAGGCCAACGTCTATGCCGTTAAGGTCTTGAGGTCCAACGGCTCCGGCACTATGAGTGACGTCGTCAAAGGTGTTGAGTGGGCTGCGACAGCACACAGCGAATCAGTCAGTGCCGCAAAGAAGGGAAAGAAGAAGGGTTTCAAGGGCAGCGTTGCCAACATGAGCTTGGGTGGTGGCAAGTCTAGAATCCTGGACCTCGCCGTTAACGCTGCCGTTGATGCTGGTCTCCACTTCGCTGTTGCTGCTGGCAATGACAACGCCGACGCTTGCAACTACTCTCCCGCTGCCGCCGAGAAGGCTGTCACTGTTGGTGCCTCGACCTTGGCCGACGAACGTGCCTACTTCTCCAACTACGGCACCTGCACTGACATCTTTGCTCCTGGCTACAATGTGCTCTCTGCCTGGATCGGAAGCAAGTATGCTACTAACAGCATTTCCGGTACCTCGATGGCATCGCCCCACATCTGCGGTCTTCTTGCCTACTTCTTGTCTCTTCAACCCGCCAGCGACTCAGCTTACGCTGTGGCTGAGATCACTCCCAAGCAAATGAAGGCCAACATGATCTCCGTTGCTACCGAGGGTGCTCTGACTAGCATTCCAGACGACACCGTCAACCTTCTTGCCTGGAACGGTGGTGGCAAGTCCAACTACTCTGAGATCATCAACGATGGTGGCTATACCCTCAACAAGGGTTTTTCGACTGAGGAGTACATCCACGAGAAGGCGCACGAGCTCAAGGCTGAGCTCAAGCGTGTTGCCGCCGAGCTTGAAGCCCTCATTGAGAAGGCTTAAGGGGTTCTCATCTAGCGTGTCAACGAGCCACGCACATTTGATATGGCTATTTTCCAGCCATAGGGGTTGGGTCGCATTGTTTCAGGGGCAGAGGGAGTCATCCTGTATTGGTGTGGGCTGCATGGCTTAGGACTTGACGGCTATTGTTATAGGCCGGCGTAGTGATCTCATAGTATCCGACCTAGAAGGTCTTATTACTCACATACAACCGTCTCAATGAACTCATTAGAAAAACAAAATCCGGGTCTTCGTTGCTTTCCCCCTGTACTGATCAAGCGCACATTTGACGAAACCGGTTGCAGCCAGCATCAAATAAACCATTGCCATAATACAAACACACTGCTGCCTTGTAGGCTGCCAGGTAGTTGCGTCTCATACGTAAAGACGTGGGTCACTGGGCGTTTGAATGAGGCGACGGTGATCTTCTGGGAGAGCCGGAACCCTCGAGTCCTCGACATGGTAAGGGCTAATAAATGTCCACTATGGGACTAATAACACTCAGCAAGAAGGACAATCATATACTCTTCCGTCTCCTCCTCCCTCTTCGTCGTCTCAACAAGCTCGACCTCTGGTCGCACTCTTCGCCCGACCCTTCACCGTCGTAAAACCCGGCAGGCATGACACCCTGCTTCCCAAGACCTTCCTGCTCCTCAAGAACATCCACATGTCTCACGACCCGTGTGTCAATCTCGTTCCTAAACACATAATCCGGATCGGGCTCTCTCCAGCCATACTTGACCCGCATATCAGGAAACACCTCCGAAATTTCGTCGCCCGAAAGCAAACACCCCTTCCCACCCAGCTTGTCGACCACAGGCCGGAGCAGTCGTGCCGTACTAAGACAACTCTCGTCGCGAATGATCGCCGTGTTTGACCATATAATCACACATATACTCGCGATCAGTTGGACAAAAGGCACCACTCCCAGAATCGTACCGGCCCATACCCACGCGACATTGACCGTCTGCGCAGTGATAGGGTACCAGCCCGTAACGTTGGTTCGGAGACCATTGTAATCGAGCGCAGCGACGGCCTCGATGCTAAATTCCATGACCCGCTGCGCGATGTCGTATGCTGATGCAGTCGCGTCGGGACTCCAGTATGACTCGCTAGTGTAGCGGACGTACTGGTAGAGGTCGCCGTCAGAGTAATTGAAGCCGGTCCAGCCTATGGCGCCAGCCATGATCATCGCCTGTTCGTCGGCCATTTGGAATGTTTCGGCCGTCCAGCCTGGATAGAGATATTGTTCGTACCCCTGGACTTGGGAGAGTGTGTTGGTGCAGGTGAAGAACCTTGGTTGGGGGATGGCGTCCCCATCAGCAGACTGTAGGGCCATGACTTGTGAGCAGCGCGGACCGCATGTCGAGTTCAAGACGCCGATATATGTCACTGCGCCGGGGCCTACGGGCGGGACGTCCAGGGTTGTACGTATGCCCTGATCGTCAAGGTACGTGACGAATTCGGCTGTGCCGTTGCCGCCGGCAAGCACCGTGTGCGACGTGCAGGTGCCATTAATTGTGATGGTACGCCGCGAGACGAAAGTGAGTTGGTTGTTCCGTATGTTTTGATCTTGGAACGCATAGGTATACGTATCCCAGTCTGCGCCGTTGCCGTAGACGGTCGGCGTGCCGGGTGTGCCGTACAGCCATGGGCCGGTCTGGCCTGGGGGAGGGCCTTGCACGAAGTTGTAGTCTTGGCCTTGGATGCCGAAGGAATTGGCGGAGCTCAGTTCGGCGTCGAATTTGGGCTCAGGCGTGCTCCAGATGTCGCGGATGTCTGTGAGATTCGCGACGCTGACATTGCCGAATTGTCGGCCGGGATAACGGGAGGTGTTGAGGTTGTAGGTCAGGCCGAGGAGTGCGACGAGGACTTGCAGACAGATGTTGATGAACAGCCATATGACGCAGAGACGCTGCGTGCGGTTGATCAGAAACCATGCCCGTCCCATGTTTCTGGATGCGCGGATAAGATGGAGTACTTTGCGCAGACTGTCGCATTGCATCAGAAGATCGAATTCCTCGAGGGATCGGTATTTCGACGCCAAAAGTCGCCATCTAAACATGCATGCGAATTCTCGCAGTGTGCTACTTAGGTTGTTGCCCAGGAATAATGAGAGGAGGACGATCAGGGCGTTGAACAGTTTGATTCGACTGACGGACATGGTGGGGAGTCTAGCGAAGCCTATGAGACAGCCGGCGAGCAGGGCGCAAAGAATTGTCGTGATTGACCAGTGGAACATTGTTTTCCAGAACAGTCGTCGTCGTTGACGGTCCGGTTTGTATTCGCGGACGGTCTGAGAGGGGACATCGGAGTGGTGTTTCGACACGGAATGGCGCCATGGTTGTCTTGAGCGTCCCACCTTGGGACTGGATAGGCGACTTGGGGTCTGTAAGAGTGTACTGCCCCAGGTGTAGGAGAAGGTGGGTGTGAAGTTACCTTCATTGATGGGTGATAAGGGCGACTTGGGGGTTGTATTGCCGGATTTCTCCATCATTGTCCTTGCGTTGTGTCCTGATGCATGATCCTAGGCAATCCGGTCATAGGCGAAGCGCTCGCATGGGATACGAACACCGCATGCGTGCGGTGTGCTGAATGATGCTTGTCAAATTGGACGGATAAAGAGGAGAAAATGTTGTGGCATGAGTTTGTCCTTCGAGGCGCTCGAGCCGCCACTGTGAAAGTCCGGCGGTCGCCATGGATGACGGTACGCACAGATGGTAAGTAACCTTAGACTTTGGTGAGAGTTTTCCTTGTACTCTGGTAGAAAGCAGAACGGTGGCTTGCGGTGGTCCGGGTCTCAGCTCTGCTCGATTTAGAAGATTGTGCCAATAGATTCGTCGATCTGAGCGTTCGAGACTCGTGTTGCTCCCCGAAGGGTGTGTGGAGTCTTGTATCTGTTAATGCAGCAATGTATTCCACATTATTTGGGCATGGCAAGCGACTATTCGCCAATAGGTGCAAAGTCGTGGAGGTATCTGGTTAAACTGGCGGGGGACAAGACTATACCTCGCATGGCCTGTGCTCCAAACAAACCCTTGTGTCTTCTGGTTTCCGAGAAATGAAAGTCGGTCACGCGCTCATGTCGACATCATGAAGACCCTAAAGCCTTTCGAATACATATAAACTTCCTCTATCATGTATTTGCACGAAATCTGGTCTGAAAAGGAGAAAATACCCAGTACTGCACCATGAACCGCGAACATGACCACCGCAGTCGATGCCATCATAGCCCAGACAGGAAAGTCGCTGAAAAGCAAAACGAGACGATCAGGGCCATTCCAATTGCCAATTACTTGCAGCAGCTCGCACCATTAGCATGACCGTTCGTCGCACCATTGGTAAGCACCGAGGCCTCGTTCTTGCTCGACGGCACGTCGATTGCAGGATTTTCGGTGAAGAAGTCGACCGGCTTGATGTGCAGCTGGTGGATTTCAACCGGCATAACAGGCCAATCCTCGACTCTCGGATTGTGAGTCAAGCCAAAGACGTTCCAGACTACCACATCTTCATCCTCAATGTGATCGTTTCGCTTGACCGCATCAGCCACGCCGCCGATCTCATTCTGGGATTGTAGTGTATAGCGACCCGCAGCAAAAAGCTCGCCATCTTGATGTTTCGTCACCCAGACGTGATGATGAGCGAACAGTGCTCGTTTCGATTGCACAGAGTCCGGATCAGCCAAAAGCAGCTGAGTGGCGGCTGGCGTGAACTTATAACCAACTGGTTTACCGCTGATGGGGTTGGTCTTGCTCTTGTTAATGATTTTGACAACACGATTGTGCATAGGCGCTGCGTCCAAGTGTTGACTTTGGTCAAGCACCTTCTGCCGAACTTCGTAGAAGTTGCCTTTGGGATTGGTTTCTTTGTTCATGGGTGCCCGATGTGATTCTTCAGCCAGTACTGTATTCTTGTACCCATCAATTGCAGGATCGATACGGACGCAGAAAATGTGTTGGTGATTTTGAGCCAGCGCACCAGGTGAGACAACATTGCCATAGGCGCTGGTCTTCCCAGGATCGATATTTACCACAGATACAATACCAGTGGCTCGAGTCTCGACGGTAATGCCTCCAGCCTGGTCAAACTTATAGGCAAAGACATATTCGTAATTGGCCAAAGTGATGATGAATTGGACGACGAGCTCGCGGGACCTTGTGACAACAGCGCGTCCCGTCCGCCAGTTCGTGTGTTTCCACCCGATGCCGTTGTCTTGTTCATGGAGGCAAATGACGTTCGGCGCCACCTTTGCACTACCATCTGGTCCAGTGTTGACGCCGTCGAAGTACTTGATCACGCCGAGACAGTCACAACCGAGAGAGAGGTTATTGGCAGCATTGCCAACTGATCCGTCTCCAAAGTCGAATGCTTGCTTTCTGGGAAACGGTCCGCGTGGATCGGCGTATGGTACAGTCATTTCGCTCATACTGAGTCGATACATGACGCTTCTTCCTGCGAAGTGGACGTCATGAATAGTAGCTCCTTCTCGGGGACTACGTCGTCTAAATTAGCAGAGCGATTGAGACGACTGGGAGGTAGGACTCACTTGAAACCCACTCTGAATCTCCAGTTCTGCCATTCAACAAGCTGTCCGTCGACCGTGAATGACGGGCCTTCCGCTTGTAGTACGTTCAAAGGTTTGAGATTCTTTCGTGTCCCATTCTCTAAAAGCTCGGGCACATATTCGGAGGAAACGCAGTGATCGATGATATTTTTCGCATGCGTTTTGGCATCCAGAGCGTCGCCTTTTCCACCCGTTGCAAGCCGGTCGATTCGTACGATTTCCCGCTTGTGGAAGTCCAAGACTGGTATGAACGGTAGAGGGTAGGCATAGAAATTGGAGTCCGGATTGCCAGATCGCGTGTCGCGCGCAAAACACAACCCTTGAAAGTAACGTCTGTTCTCTTCATCTGCAGACATGCCGCCATATGGCCAGGGTTCAACAATGATCTCAAATCCATCTGGAAGTGTGAACTCGACGCAGACGTCCTTGAACATCTTCGAGGACTTGCACACTTCGACAAGCACATCAAATTCGGCTCTGTAGGATTTTGTCAGTTGACGCTTTCAAGACAGGTAGCTTGCGATATACATTGTCAGTCCTGCATGCTGGTTCTCGTCCACCACGGCATGAGATGTTCGTTTCTTTTCGTCCAAATCGATCACAGATTCGTGGGAATGAGGGATCATGTCAGATTCGATGACATCGTATTGCACTAAGGCTGTTCTGTGAGGCCGCACTGCGTCTTGTCCGGCATGCTCGGCGGTGAGGAATTCAATGAATTGTCCCTTGGGCGGCTCCTCGAGGTAAATTTCGCGAAAGGTGAGGACAGCATCTGGGTGGAGGTCGGCGACGATGTCACGGGCAATGGTGGTCTCCTCGATCGAGAGGATATCTAAAGGGTGAGGTGTCATTGTGCTTCAACGGAGGGCGTTTGTTAAGTCGATAGATGTTGGTGGCTGGACACGATTGAGAAGGGATGGAAAAGAACAACGCTTTTATACCTTGTACATGCCACGAACGACATGGAGAGACTTTCCTAATATTCACAGCCAACCTTTTTCATCTTGTTTTCTTATCAGTAAGGGACACGCATGTCGACTGGATGGAGCCGGCCTGGACGTGCGAGAGATGCTCCAGCAGGTATATGCGCTCGAATAGAAACTTCGTCAAGGGCCCGAAGAAGACGTCGACAAGGATGAAGTCCGGCAATAGCTTCCCAAAAGGGCGGGGTCAACACACCGGGAAGGTGCTTGAGGTCGCGTTCTGGCGAGGGCTGTTGGTTTTGATAGTCATCTCCGGGTATGTCCATGATCGGACCTCCGAAAAGCACGGAGAAGTAACCCCAGGCCTTATCCTTCTTGATAATATGATACTGTGAATGAGTCAAAGCAGTCAAAGGGTAGAAAGAATGGCCCTTTTTCAAAGGCAAAAATTGAGGTCGGAGCGGTAATCTCGCTGATTGGCCGACTTCCCATGACTGCGGAATTTGTGCCTTTTCATCTCCGCCAACATCTTTTCCTTCTGCAGCTTCAACCACCGAACCATCCGTATCGTCCTCCTACATTGCTGGAATTATGTCCGCTCTGACTGGGGATTAGCACTGATGAGTCTCCTGCAGTGGACCTCTGCAATGCCTTCCTGATGCGGCTGTCGTTGACGTTGCTGTCCAAGCCACTCGCGAAGAGACCAGTCAATCATGATCGTCCAAAATGGCCGACCTCAAGGGCCAGATCCATAGTCGCCGAGTAACGAGGTCTCTTTGCTTCGACGAGATGTATACGTCGCAATCGTCCGTCCAGGGGCTGGTCAACATGAGGTTTGGATCCGTTCAAATATCAAGTAGACCCATCGGCGGCACTCCATGACTAGATGCTGTTTATGTTACGTTTCACAAGAACTGGAAATATCACAACATGAAAGACAATCAATCCTTGGAGTCTCCCAGCGGCCGGACGAGAATTCTCCATCTGGTCCCTTGGCTGCTTGTGCTTGTGCTTGATGGCCACCTGGGAAGCACTCTCATCCGTCGTCGCAGCTGCCTTGGTCACTTCTCAGAACATGGATTACCCGACCGTGGTGCTTGTTGGCTGGATCGTTTTCGGAGTGGCTTATTACTTTTTGTTTGGTCGCAAAGTGTGTACAGGGCCCGTGGTTGAGACTGAAGCAGCCGAGTTGAGCGTGGTTGGATCTCGTCCCGAGACAAAGCGAAATTGATGGACGCACTACGTGCATTCCTGAAGACCAATTCTGTTGTTGTGGCCACACACGAGGAATGTGTTGTCCAAGTGGCGCTGTGATAGTAGGTACACATGAGGTACACAGTCACACGGTGCCCAGCGCGCCTGGGGCACCTCCGAGGTGGATTTCCCCATGAGGTGTCACTTTGCCATCTCGGGACCGTGCCGGGAGGCGTTTGGGGCAAAGCTACAGTAGGAGCGACAGCCCATAAGCCACTGTAACCACCACAGCTTGTCTTTGCTCCTTGAGATGGATGGATTTATGGTATCGAGGCACAAACCCTGGTATCTTCCTAGAAACACCGCCAGGCCAGCATGCCGGGTGAATAGTCGTATCAATGATCCGTTTCATTACATTATGAATATACCATATTTATCTGAGGGACGGTGGATTGTGTGTCGCAGGCGATATTGGACCCCATAGCACCTTTGATGTAAAATCTCGGTTGGAGGCTCACTTTGGACCTTTGTGACCTTCTAGAAAGAGTGTTTTGCCAACGTGGACATTTCCTTATGGCTAGCCTGCGCCATCCGAGATGGATTTTCGAATTGTCAATCTTCAAGGATCACCCATGAAACAATCAACCCCGGATACTGATATTCGAGTTTGATTGACCCGTCAGAGCCATTATTTAGGGTTTTCATGCAAGCTCTTTCAGGTTTTCAGCGATGCAGCAACTCATCAATTCACCTACTATCACTGTGACCGGCTTGATGCCCTCAGCAAACCCAGCAGAGGCTGAATGGGAGGTGACCTTTGTCAATTTACTGTGTACGACCTACACGAAGTCACGTATCCCCGCAAAATCATGGACCATCACCAACCAATGAATGTGGCCCCCGAGACCTTTTTCGTGCCTTGATCCCGGTTTTTTCATTACCAAGTTTTACGTCGCCCCAATCTCGGTAGGTGATGAAAAAATCATGCTACAACGCCAACCGCTGGGCCACTTTCGCTGGTCCTTGGGAGCGTGCAAGTCCGAATGGCCGCAATAGGACCCTCCTCCTAGGCTCTGGGCGCCTTGAGGGAGAAACATATGTACGGCTTTCTGTCCATACGTCAAAGCAAATGGCATTTCAAGACAGCACGAAGAGCAATATCGCCCAATATCAAACTTTATTGTCGGGACAAAAATAGGCACTCTTTACGAAGTCCAATGCCGGCCCTTGCGATGAAAGATTTCTACTCGTTGCGAATCAAATGGCCGTCGACCACGTACTAGCACTGCCTCAGTTGCCGATCTCCTTCAAGTCCTTGTTTCGATCCCAACCAAATTTCCCCATGTTACAACCCGGTCGTCGGCCTGCTGCCGCCTATCCACCTCCCTTGCAACACCTCTTCACCATCATTAGCGGGTGACTTCTCCGGCACACACTAGCTTGCACGTTTTCATTCGGCTTGTTCACAAGCGCATTCTTATCGACTCCGTATGCTCGTCATGGCCGAAATGGTGCGTTGGAGAGGGGAGTCGCAAGCTCGTTTGGCTTGTTCCGTCACAGCAATGGCAATCAACGATCATGCTCCCTTGCCGCATGGCGTTTTACTTGATCCCCCGGCTTTTTGGCTAAACTTATCTTTGGCCTTAACCCAGTTTTTGAAGTTTCTTTCAAGTGCGACTTCAAGACTGCTAGAGAGACCCCCGTTGCGGCTCACCGTGCGACAGCGTCATTCAGTATGGGGAGGTGAGGTCTGTTCAGTCGAGTGCTTGTCTGGCATCTTTGTTTTTATCTGCTTTGGTTCGGTCGGATTGCATCACTTTCCTGCTCTATCTCTGACTATTTTGAATCTTTGCCCGATGGATGGATAGGTGCTCGGGGGCAACATTTTTTGGACGTTGAGGAGGTGTAACGATCGGGTCGTTTTACAGTCAAGCTCCGTCGAGTGGATGATATCGAGACATCAAAGGGAGACTGCACTCTCCGTCATCCGTCAACAGGATCAACATGCGGGCGTCCTATCTTATCGTCTTGACGGTGCTGGGCTGGGTTGTACAATTCAGCGCTTGCCGCGTGGCCTTCCCAGAGCTGCAAAGGCGGCAAGATACCACTGAGACGGGCTTCCCGACTTTAACAACGGAGACTGCTGATGTTGCGACAATTTCGGCAACAGTGGAGAGCAACTCTGTGACATCTGCTGCAAGGACGACGACGGCAACAACGACGACAGGATCTACTGAGCAGACGTCGACGACGAAGCCATCCTTTCAAACTACGTCCGCTGACCCCACAGCCAGCAGCACGATCGCCAGTTCGTACGCATTGTATGGCGATGAGCTCCCTCTCGAACCCAAAATCACCCCCACTCTGGGTATTGCGGGCGCTTTACTGGTCATTTTCGGAGCGATCAACGCTTTGATCGGGGTCAAGAACAGATTGACTCAGATTTTCCTGTCATGCGGCTTCCTGGCCAGTATTGGAGCGACAATGCTAGTCGAATACGTGATGAGCCCACCAGTCAGCGATGCTGTGCAAGGAGGATTCTTCGTGGCGATCTTCATGGCCGGCGTTGTGTTCGGTGGAGGAGCTCTGGTCTTCAAAGAGATCACCGAAGGCTTTGGCTGTCTGCTGGGAGGCTTCTGTTTCGCCATGTGGCTGCTCACACTCGAAGCAGGTGGGACCGTCACCAGTGCTGCCGGAAAAGGAGCGTTTATCGGAGTCTTCTGCGCCGCAGCTTGGGCACTCTCCTTCAGCAAACTGACCAAACCGTACGCGTTGATCGCGTCGACGGCATTCGGCGGAGCGACTGCTTTCACGCTTGGGATCGATTGCTTCACCAGGGCTGGATTGAAGGAGTTCTGGCTGTACATCTGGAACCTGAACGACAATTTGTTTCCGCTAAATACCAACACATATCCCCTCACCAAGGGGATAAAAGTTGAGATAGCCGTGATTGTGATCGTCACCATCATCGGTGTGCTGTCGCAAATCAGGCTATGGAACGTCATCAAGTCCAAGGAACTGAAGGTGGAGGCAGTGCAGCAGCAGGACGAGCAACAGAAGGATGCTGTCGAAGAAGCCTTGGGTAGATACCTCGAACGTCAGAACGAGCGTGAGAAATCGGCGTGGGAAAGGCATTATGGTGATCGGCTTAACAGCAAGCGCAACACCCTTTTGTGGCAGGATCCACATTCGAGGAAACGGCAGTCGACAGTCTCTATTGTCCCTGTGGATAAATCAACGCCGTCCACATCGTCCGAGAGCCTGGAAATGAACGCCTTTGGGCCTCAGAAGAGCAGCTCGACTTACGGATCGAAGACAAAACGGCAGAGTTCTGTCACCATCGATGTCATCGAGGAAGTAGAAGAGGATGACGACACTGGTGCCTCGCTTGAACGACAAAAAGCCCTGCAAGCCTTGGAGAGCCCAGAAGAGTCTTTAGAAGAAGCCATAAAGATTAGCAACGTCCTTCGAGCTACGAAATCAAAAAGCATTGTGAAGGAGGAGGAAGTCGACGATGCGCCTTCAGTAGTTCAGCCAGAGAAGGAATCTCCGGGTGCAAAACTCAAGCGGCGGTCGCAACGATCAATTTCTGGTCTCACGAAACGCCTAACCCCAGGCTATAGGCCTCTGGGCTCCAAGTCCCAAGAGCAACTCATCGATATACAAAGGCCTTCGAGCAGGGCTTCGTCAGCTGCAGCGACATTGGATAAAGATGATGAGGAGCTGGGCGCGGGATTACTCGAAACCGATGGTGATGACCAAATCTACAACAAAACGCCGGACATCGTGATCTCATCCGCTGCATCGGATGCTCCAGAGTTTGGAGAAGCTTCCTACAGCTCTGCAAAGACGTCGATAGCAGGCGACCATGCTCCGCCTTTGCTCTGCACTGCACGTCTCGAGTCGCAAGCCGACTCTGACGGATTTGAGCTACAAGTCTTGACCAGCAGCGCACCAGAGTCCACTGAAACGAGCGAGAGGGCAAGCAAAGAGGACAGAGAAGGAGGCAGAACGGGTTCATCGCGTTCGCAACTGTCAGGAACTACGAACACGAGCGGCGAATCTTTGACCAAAACTGCCCTTGCGCAAATGCCAAGTCAAGCATCCACTGTGGTCTTGTCATACCGGACGAATGAATGGGCAAAGCATATCGCGTCGGCGGATGAGCCTATGTATGATGAACCGGAAAGCTATGGCGTGGATGAAGAGCTACCCACACATGTGTCAACCGCATCAGCACCAACGTCCGCGCCATCGTCAATTCGAGCTGGCAGAACAGGTGTAGGTATCACATCCCAATCTGCGGCCGGGCACCGTTCTTTCTCAGATCCAGATCGTCGGCGTAGCGCAGCGAAGCCACCGTCCAGATCGGTCTCGATGCAATCTTTGAAAGTACCCGGTACCAGAGGCAGCCGAGCCAGCTTCAATCCTTCAGCCAGCACATCCCTCGTCAAGATGCCAATCGTGGAGAATGTACCGACCGAGTTCACCGCCTCGAAACCATCTTCTATTTCCAGCCGTCGGGCATCTGGAGGATCCCCGTACAACCTGCCTCCTTCGCAACGCGCTTCTGCCACACGGCTTGCCATGACTTCGATGAGGCCTTCGTCTTCAGGATCTGCAGGTCCATATGCAGGTAGTGTGTACGAGCTTGCGCAGACGAGTAGATTCCCAAGTCAGCAATTTTTTACGCCTGGGACTACAACTCCGTATCAACAGTTCCATACCCCCGGAACCACAACCCCCATGGGCACTAATGGCAGACGGGTATCATACGAGTCTCAACAATCATTGCAGCGACAGTCCAGCATAGAGGCACTCAATAGGGAATCATTACACGCACAGTGGCGATTGTCTCAACAAGTACGAATGTCGCGCGGTGGCATCGTCGATCCCGCAGCGGCGGAGGCCGAACATCGCAGGGCCAAGATGAAGGCCGAAAAGGACAATCAGCGCCGCCTGGAAGAGTATCAACGCATCGAACGGATGAGAAAACAGGCTACCATGGACCAGCTTATGAGGAGGCCTGATATGCAGGACCTGCACCGTGAGGCGATGCGGAAGATGCAGGCCAATGCGAACAAAAAGCTGAGAAAGTCCGTTGGGTAGGTGGTCGAGTCATTGCCCGTATGGTGTCGCCGAAGTTGGACGGCTATTTTATTTGTTTTCTTGCACAGCCTGGGACAGGGGAACACAAAAGGACCAGGAGTAGGAGCATTGGTGACATGAGCGAAGCATGTTTTCTACCTTCATTCAGCATTTTGGACACGGAAGGCTTGGATTTGAAGCCAATCGTTATGAGCACATAGATCTACATGATACCCCGGATTTGGATATACGAAAACTACGGATAATAGGTATAATCAATAATATGAACATCATCTACGGGATCGGTTCTTTCTCAATGATAAGTGAATCCATCGCTCTAAGTTCAGCAGAAAGTGCGACCATGGTCACGTCGTTATTATCCCATGATGTTGATCCTTATCGGCCACAGGTCGTCTTTGCTTCACTACGAGTACGCACTGACACCATGGATTTTTATGTCAAGTGTGTCCGTGCCATTGTCCGTGCACAATAACTCGACGACGGAACGATGAACCACGTGTGCGGCAGTTCGGTACCGGATACCAGTGAGATGGTTTCCATGTCCAAGCGCCAGAGATCCGCCATCCTCATGGCACCAGGAACGAGGATGGTCAAAAGTATCCTTGAGATTCGAGGAGTGAATGAAGGAAGTCCGCCGCATAACACTCAATACATTGTTTTCTTATCAGGGACGTGCCGAGAAAGCTCTCAAGGGCTGAGAAGGTGATGCGTGAGTATCAGGACACCACCCCTGGGTCATGCATGAGGAAATGGTACCTTGCGCTTATCTACTGGGGGCGTCTCTTCCTTATCAACAGCCTTTCATGTCGCCTGATCCCGGGCCCTTGAATCTGGCTTTACCTCTAATCGGTGGATTGACCAGAATATCATCCCACGCCGAGTTCTTCCCTATCTTGCCCGTCACGAGTATCCATGATGTTGAATCCAATACCCCGGGTCAATGCGCAAGTTCTGACATGATGCCAGCCTGCAGCCTCAGATAAGACCGGCGCATGTTATTGAAGGCGATTTTCTGAGGCATTCGCGGCCCGCCATCACCACTTGGAAAGTTTTTTTTCTGCACTTTCGCTCTCACTAGTCTGAAGCTTGATCCGATCGAGTGTCTTTCCCCGTGCTAACGGGAGGGCGAGGTTTGGAGGTGGGTTCATGGCGTCTTTTAGGCAGGCCACGGCAGGCTTAGGGCAGGCATTAGTTGGCTTTGGAAGCCTCCTGCTGGCCGGGGTCGACGCTGTGGTGATGAAGATCGATGTCAACTGGCTGGTCCTCCCACAGATCGTCCGTCACCATGCCGCGTCCACTGCTCTTCCCTCGCGAAAGAGTCAGCCACCCCTCCCGTCCCGGCTGCAGACAGACTCGGTACAGTCGGTCAACAGTGACTGGGCAGTCGTATCCTTATCACTACGGATGGTATCTTTTCATTCTTCTCAAACGCAGGGTCACGCTATCTATGACTGCAGTTTCTTTACTGCAAACGAATCGCAATTGCCTCGTCGTTCTTCTACACACGGTATTTTGACCTGTTGGAATCATGCCGTCGCAGGCCAAAATCGATCTACATTTACCTAATCCGACAATACGGTAGACGGAACTTGAGGCACGACGGATCCCGTCATTGACATAGTTTAGTCGCTTCGAGTACCTAGGTAACCATGACACCCTTTCCAGTGGAATCATGGATATGGTACTCGGTCGTCGTATGCATGGTTCTCATGCGAATGTACGAAGTTCTCCAGAACCCCAGGTGGACGCTTGAACGTTGCTGACATGGCACCAGGATTGCGCGCTTTCTACATTTCAAATCTATCTTACGACTACAACTTGAGGATTTCTTGATGGTCTTCCTCACAGTAAGTACGCTCCATCTCGAGGAACTGTCAAACTGACTGTTCGCAGTGTCTCTACACGATTTTGATTGTATTTCTCAACATCGACTTGAACGTCTCAACAAATCTGATCGACCCCTCACATCCAGTCGTTCTGACGCCCCATGAGATCAAAGTCCGAACATGGGGATCCAAAACCGTCCTCCTGGTTGAACAGTGCATGTGTGCCGTTCAATGGGGCACCAAAGCCTGCCTTCTGCTGCTTTACTGGCGACTCACCCAAAATCTCAGACAGGGTTTGATTGTCAAATGCGCTGCGGTCTATGTTGCGACCACGTACGTTGTGATGGAAATCCTCTACTTCGCGGTCTGGTGCCGACCGTTCTACGAATATTGGAAAACCCCGACCGACAATGCGCAATGTAACACGGCGCTACACCATCTCATCACCAACCTGGTCTTCAATCTGACCAGCGATGTCCTAATCCTGTCCATACCGTTACCACTTTTCCTAAGGGCGCACCTGGAATTCAAACGGAAACTTCTCCTGGTGTTCCCTTTCAGTTTGGGGCTCTTCACCATGTTATGCGCTATTCTGAGCAAGGTGTCAAGCTTCAAACACCCGTACAGTGCGGAATGGGTCTATTGGTACTGTCGGGAGGCAAGCACGGCCATGATTGTCACCAATATGCCATACAGCTGGGGTTTGCTTCGAAAAATATTCAATCTTCGATCGTTCCTAGGCAACTCGGATAGTACAGACCGGATGCAGGATGGTCGTCCAAAAGAGCTTCAAGGGTATAGTGTCGGCGGGATCCCTTTGGCCAGCCCCACACGGTCGAGACAAGCGAGTCATGCAACTGCTAAATCCTCCTGGAGACATCCCAGCACCCCCAAGAAACGCGAAGCCAGTATCATGTCGGACACTGGCACGAACGCGTGGGCGGCCGGTATTGCCAAGGACAAGGAGATCAATGTTGAAGCCATGGCAGCTTCGAGCAGTGATAGCAGTGGTGATATCATACGGAGACCTACACAGGCTGCAACGACTGATTGGACACTGGATCGACTGTATCCTCTGGACGACGATGAAGAACTTGAGAGGATGGATGTTGCGCAACGACGATATGACGGTTGATGACTCTCTGCAGGCGGAAGACAATCAATTCATCTACTACCCACCACATGGCTGATGCTCGTGAGCTGGCGACATTGAAAAGCAATGAATTCAGCATGCAAATCTGTACCACGATCAAAGTCTGGTATATTGCGCTGTTCCATGGTGCTGGAACCACAAGTTGTTGGTGGGATGGCCACTGATGGGCATTGATGGGCACTGACGGACTCTCCACGTGCTTTATGGCCGAAAACGGACAAGCGGGATGAGAGAGAGAAAAATGACGCAGCACCAAAAGGAACTTGAATCGACTCGTCAATCAACCGACCGCAGCCAGAAATTCCTCTGCTTTGTCATTCCTTTTCACTCATTCATTGTTTGTCACGTCGAGTCATACAAAGACTCTTCTGGTCAATAAAAGGTCCAACTCATCGTCACTCGTTTACAGAGAGGTAAGCTCTTTGCCCTTCTTTTCGCACACTTCACGAAGCTGCGGCGGTACAGTCATGACTAACTCAGCTCGCAGAGGGCAAAATCGCCGTGGCCACGCTCGGCAGCATTCGCAACATAACTTCGCCGAATACCACGACGACGAGCAAGACTCTCACTGGTCTGAGCCCGTCGACGAGTATTCCTTGACGACGTCCGCTTCACATCTCGATCCTATTCCTCAACCTAGTCGAAAAAATGTCATTTCACGACGACCCGTCAATCCGGTAATATCTACGGAGCCGCCTCCTTTCACGAACCACGACAGCGAGCCTCCTACCTCCCCGATCATCCCCTCTCCTTTGCGCATCCGCAAACCCAAGACCGTCACGCCCGTCATGGCAGCCCGCTCGGTGCGTCTACTAGTCGCGTCCATCGGCAACCCTCCGCCTTATCACACGACCCGACACTCTGCAGGCCATCTCCTCCTCAAGACGATCGCTGCCAACCTGAGTCTTCCGCCGCTCTCGAAGGGCAAGGCTCTCGGCTCAGGGAGCGTCAGTGTGGGATTTGATCGCGGCAGTCCAGAATACACACTTTGGCAGAGCGCAGCCGTGATGAACGTCTCTGGCGCACCAACGCTGAAAGCATGGAAACAGTTCACCAATATACATCCTGCTTCGGCAGACGTCGTCACCGCACTGGTTGTCCTACACGACGAACTCGAGTCGCCGATCGGGACGATCAAGCTACGCCGAGGTGAGACGAGTGCCAAGGGTCACAATGGGATTAAGAGTATACAATCGTCACTGAAGTCTGCTGGTCTGCTACCTGCGATGGGCGAGCGGTTCATAAAGATTGGCATTGGCATTGGACGGCCTCAGTCCAGGGAGACGAATGATGTCTCGGCTTGGGTGCTCGGACAGTTGACGCAGATGGAGAAAGGGAAGATGGAGGCCGCGACGGATAGTGTCATCGCTGTGTTGAGGAGCGAGATTTCGAGGCTGGAAAATGCTTGAATGCTGTCACGCGGGATGGATTTTTACAGATATGATACCCCATTTTGCAATACCTGGAGAAGGAATTTTTGGCGCTATTTGCGACTGGAAGGTGGGGAGCAAGATATGCAAGCGCTGTATGATATGGTCAAATAATAAGGAATATCCATTCTATCTTGCTTTTGACTTCGACTTTGTGACAAGTGCGCGTGTGATCCTTACACTGACGAGGTGAGAGAGTCAGCTTGGGGGCTGTGGACAGCCGCGGCTGGGGTCGTCTGATCTTCTGGGACTTAGACCGATCTTTCAGCCCCATTCTGTAGTTGTATGGTCAGCCTTGCTGACATCATGACGCCTCATGTCAACGCTTCAAACTTGGCCTTGATTATATGGTGTAATTCTGGAGGTAGATCTTGGTGCTCTTGTCCGGTCGATGTCGTTGGGACTAGGTTGGATGCAGTCTTTGGTCAATTTCTGCACTCGGTATAAGGTGTCATGTCTGCTCGATCTGAAGTGACGTCTTATGATGGCGGTATCCTTTTCCCTCTGATTGAACTGAAGATCGTCGAGGGGTCCTGTCATTTCGAGGGTATGGTCCAGGCTGTGCAAGGTCGTCCCTTTTCAGGGCTTGATGGTAGCCCCCGGCCAACCCTGGGCCCTGTGGTATCCTCCCGGCTTGTCAACGTCGTCCCTCCTTGGAGACTTCAACAAGAACTCCATGGTGGGAGCAACCGAAGCTGGCCTGCTTCAGCCGTAGGCATGAAAGTCCGCTTCTGTCGATGGCAATACCGATTGCCAAATCACTTGGTCGAAGGCCTTTGGGGGCCAATGGGCTTGGAAATCCCAGCGACGTCGTAATGACCACGACCCATGTTGAGAGGAGATTGCATTTTGGCCGGAGACCTGGACTATTCGAGCAAATTTCTGGTTCTTGAAATTCTGACGTTGTTAAGAGGTGTTGGTTGTAATCCACACAGCTGTTAAAGTGATGTTTGGAAAAGAAAGCAAGAGAATGATGAGCACAGCCCTTATATGCCAGCGTTGCACAAACTCGGTGAGGCCTTCCAAGAGGCATTCAGTATACTGCGCATGCGCAACATGGGGGCTGATAAGGCGGAGTGTCTCTTACTGCACCTGTTGGACAAATCAAAGCACAGCCATTCTTACCGTCTCACAACACATCTGACCGAAAACAGAGAGGAAGATCGAGTTGCGTCTTGTGTCTCTCATCGCTGTGTCAGCTTGTCAAAAGATGCGGTGACTGTGTGGCATCCCGGTATCCTGACTTCCCCGGACGAAACATATAGAGTATAGAAAGACCCGAGCTGCAATGCACTTGCGCAGGTCCCAGGCGTCCAGTAGGATGATAGTATGGAACCCAACATTCGGTGTCAACCCAGCGTATGCAGAGGAAGTGTGTACGCCGCATGTGCATCATGCTGCCCGACGAATCGGGCCTGAAGCCAGGTACATGTGGAGAAATGTGAGCAGAATATCGGTGTATCCGTGCTTTTCATGTGCACTGTCTGCCTGAAAGATGGAATGTTGTTGGGAAAAAAGGAAAAGAGTGAGCTTCGGAAAAGAAGCGGTGAGGTTTAGTGAGGTAAGAAAGGCTGACGGGGGCGCCAGATACATCCCGCGTAACGGGCCCCTTTTTCTTCCGGACGTTTCCTCCTTTCCTTCATCCACGCGCTGTCTTGCATAAGGGCACGATCTAGCAAGCGATCCAATGCCACAGAAGAGATGCATTCGTTGCACAAGGCGTGATTGGGAATCCGAAATCTGCGTATTCTTTTGCGTTATACAGGATTCTGTGCAACACACAGGAATGCTGGTCGTGACGCGCGATCAGGCGTTCTTCACAGATTTGCCATCTTGACCATCAGATCTGCGAGGCAAGACTGCACCAGGACAATCATCAGCTTTCACCATCGGCGACAGTGTTCAAGAGCTGTTTCATTCCGAAGTCGATGGTCTGAGAAGGTAACTGCTGCACTAGTGCAGGAAAGAAACATGATCCAGTCATGACTCCGGCAATTCCAGTCTTCGCCGCCCATTGTTACTGCGACAGAGTTACTGGCACCCAGGACGAAAGGTATAAGTATCTTGCTATTTTCCACAGGTATATCGCTCTCCCATCATGAGATCTGTTATGTCGCGCCGCGATGCATCGTCACAAATTATATATATCACACTGTGTCTCGTCCTGCCGGGTTCTCGTCTGCATTTCTGGCTAAAGGACAGCCTCATCTTGATGGCGCAAAGCCATAGCGTCATCAGAGCACGTTCGAAGATATCGCAATGAACTTCCGGACCTCTGGACGAGGATGAAGATACCAACAGGCGTTGTATTAAAGAGCACGACAGAATGACGGCGGATTTCTGAGGGAAGAACATCACGCAGGTCGGATTCAGGCGATCAACCAACCAGAAGATATTTCATGTCCAACTCGACGGCAGCTACGGTCCACTGTGTATGACGAAAAGACCTCACAGTCGGCGTTTCCAGACTACTGGGTTCATATTTTAACGCAATGAAGTCATCAAAGAAGAACTGCATCCTGACCTCGGAGACAATGGTGCAGATGTCAGATACTCATACAACAGCGTCGAATACTTCACCATCACGACTTGCGTTAGTGCTGCCGTAGAAGAAGAGAGGAGTAGAGCCAGTGTACCGTTGAGAGGCAGTCACGCACAAGCTGTACCTCTACGCTATGGTGGCAGGCCGCAAGGCAAGGTAAGCACGCTCTCTTCTCGCATGCTGCATGCTTGCCGGCCATTTGTGCTGACATTGTGCGCCGCAGCTGTTACTCGATCCTTTATTCCGCTGGTTCGATTCTCAAAGTGAGGTTTTTGCAACGTTTGATATATACTACCCGAGCCGACCTCGAACATATATTGGAAAACAGACTGTCTCCAGCAGCACCGACAGAGCCTGCTCATGTGGCTTGCTTTCAACCGAGCCATAAAGTACTCCAAGGCCTCGCGAGAGCCCAACACCACTTCCTCGCTAAATACCGTTTCCTGTGTGGCCATACTGCAAGGGGACCTTGAATGGACACCTCCAAAGTACTACAAGGCCCACGCAGAGGCCCTACCAACTATTGGACAAATTTCCAAAAGCAAATCGACCTAGAAAGAGGCCCTGAGGCCATCTCGCATCCGGTACATCAAGCTATCCGGCTCTGATCCTTGTGAATCATACCAAAGGTCCTGGTAGAGTTTTAGGCCCTATGGCTTCATTTTCGGAGTTTCGCATGGCCCAAAAAAATCAGATGGCTCATCTGGATCTTGGAGAAGATGTGAAATCTGGAAAAATTCCAGAAGTTGCGCATATCCTGGCTTCTTGATGGAAAAGCTGGAGCTGAGCCTGGCTTTGACACCAGAAACGAAGGAACACTACCGGGAAGCCATTCTGCAATATCAGAAGACATTATTCGTGTCAATCTCGTCCAAGAGGTTCTTTCAGGAAGGAGGAAAGATGAACCAGAACAGCATTTACGTTGGCTCTGTTTGAACTCGACTCATCAAAAGCACCAAGATGGAACACAAGATTCTTAACACAGCGTGAGACAAGGAATTCAGGTGCTCCGCATTGGTTGGCTTTGGATTCTCTTGCCTGGTCAGACAGTCTGGAAGCTTGGACGAAGCCCCAGCTTAACGCGAGGTTTGGTCAATCAACATAAGAGAGCAGGTGAATTCTCCGTCGACGGCAGTCTGGCCGGAAGATCAAGAGGCCGCGGACTCCAGCCTCGGTATAATATGGGCAATATGTATAGCACCAACCCCGCGTCACCATTTTCTAGGCAGGCCTGGTGAGTCGAACTCAGCAGTCTCAACCTAGATAGCAGCATAATATTCTTCGACTGGGAGATCGAACCAGTCATACAGAAATCTCGCGAAGACACTTCTAGCCTGTCCAAAGGAGAGCAAGCTCCCGTGTTTGCAATATCTTCATTGCTACATTGAGTACCCCTGACGAAGAATGTGCCAATTTGCTTTCAGGTAAAAAACAAGACCTTTTATCCCAATAATCTCAAAATGTGTGGAAGATGCACTGCTTCTTGCATGGTTTGCTACGACGAGCGATACCCGCACCTTACGGCACTCCTGAAACAAGAAGCACGATCGAGATGGAGTAAACCAATCTTCAAGGTACTAAAAGCCACGGGCAAGGCGATCATGGATGACTTGCCAACGGCATGGAGGCCGGCATTTGGTGTCGTTCAGAGATCAACCAACGGCGGATCACGTTCCAGTCCTGTAAGACATGGCGTGTGCGCCGCCAACATAGCAACACTGGGCAACGCGGAGAGATATTGGCGGATACGTCCCGAGTACCGGAACTTAGGAAGTGAAAGTTGCGAAAGCAAGACCTCGTCCCAGGCAAAGGCCCATGTTCCTCCTCTCCTTGCCTACCATTCCTTTCTTACCTACGTTGGCCGCGAGTTTTCTGCGGGCGCCCGCAGTGATGGCCCCATCTCTGGCTCCCTCAGGTACCAGGAGTGGAAGATCGAAGGGAGCAGAAATGCGACGAAAGAGGGGGTGGACAAGGGAAAAGATCGCGAGTGTACAGAGAGATGTCGAAAGACTCAGCAATGGAGTGGGATCAGGCCTCGCAACAGAAAATCGAGTGGACAATCGTGGGAGGCGCCGGAGGCACCTGGAGCTTTGCCCACTCTTTCAGTTTTGCTTACGACCCAGATGGACTGCTCGGTAGACTTCTGTCTTATTTCCCAATGACTCTCGTTGCAAAACATGGCTATGAGCGATGACTAGGTCGATTCCGCATGCCCACGCCTACGGTCGACGCCAACAATTCTTCGTGACAGAGGTCAGCACGGCCGAGGTCTTCAAGTGCTCTCATGAGGGAGCTGCCTTCCGCACAGAAAAGGAGAGGTTGGAGAGCATGGTCGTCCTGTTCTGAGGATCGCTGGGTGGGAAGAATCTACGACGAATGATGCAGGAGAAGTTGCTGGGGTGCCGCCCGTCTTGCGGCGATTCCAAACAGACCATGCTGATAAGCTCAAACACCGAGCTAAGACTCACGACTCGTCGGTTCTCTATCCTCATCTATCTCTTTTGTCCTCCCAGAACTGTTGCTCAAGACATCGCTACCGCTTTTCTCATCATCGACTTCCAACCCAATATATATATATCATCAAGATGGCTCAATCCAGGGGTCAGAAACCCTCGTTCGTGGTATAGGGAAGCACGATAAGAGGACCGATGAAGACCTCGGGCTTCCCAGTTGGCAATACTTACCCCAAATTAATCTTGAACTAAGTTGGAAACCGGGTAGGAAGCACATCGTCCCTGATACGCAATCAGACGATGACGGAAATGCGGAGTGGGCTAAGATTGATGAGACATGGCCCAAGGGATGAACTCACTCGTGGTTTGTGAATATCAAACTTCTACGGACGAAGAATTTGATCAAGGCATTGGCCGTGCCGATAGTGACCTGACACGGATGTCGTGAACGTGAGTGAGGACGAAGTCTGGAATCAAGGTTGAGAGTATATAAAGTGTCGGACAGGTTTATCAAGAGGTTTTTTACATTGTGTTTCTGTCATGGTATAAACTAGCCGTCAAAATACAAGCCAAACCCGCATCACACCTTCGCTTGCCAGTCCATGTTTAATAAGTTCGCTTGAAAGGAGGAACGGCCTTGCATTCGCTCTCATCCAAAGTGTGGCCGACCACAGATCGGTAACCAAGTTCGACCTTCCCTTGCGGCGACTTCTGCCATGAGAGTGTGTGCTTCATCCAGTTCTCGTCATCTCGCTCCGGGAAGTCCTCACGTGCGTGTGCACCACGAGACTCCGTTCGGTTCGCAGCAGAAGCAGCAGTTTGGGTACTGTTTGTCATGTTAGCAGAGACATCAGTGTGGTGGCAGAACTGATACGTACGCGCAGGTCAACAAGTTTCTCAGCTCAAGAGTCTCAACAAGATCCGAGTTCCAGATCATGCTTCTGTCCTTGATGCCAACGTCGTCAAACTGTTTGTCTACATCGTTGATTCTCTTGACACCCTCGTCCAAAGATTCTTGTGTTCGGAAGACACTGACATCGGTCTGCATGACCTTCTGCATAGCGGCTCGAATTTCGGCGGTGCTCTTGGGGCCATCGGAGTTGCGGACCTTGTCGAGGACGTTGATCGAATCTGCAGCAGCATCGGCGGCGATCTCCTGCTGGCTTTCACCAGGTGTGAAGTTGTCTCGGATGGTGTGAGAAACGGCTCGTCCAAAGACAATCAAGTCGAGAAGGGAGTTGGCACCCAACCGGTTAGCTCCATGGACAGAGACACAAGCAGCTTCACCGCAGGCAAACAATCCAGGAACCACCTCATCCTCACCCTTGTCACTGATACGAAGGACTTCGCCAGTGTATTTGGTAGGGATACCACCCATGTTGTAGTGGACAGTAGGCAGGACGGGAATAGGTTGCTTGGTAACATCGACACCGGCGAAGATGGAAGCAGTCTCGGAGATACCAGGTAGTCGTTCGTGGAGAATCTCGGGTGGCAAATGGCTCAGCTGCAGGTAAATGTGGTCCTTGTCAGGACCAACGCCACGACCTTCGCGGATTTCCATCGTCATTGATCGTGACACGACGTCTCGGGAGGCCAAATCCTTAGCAGTAGGGGCATAACGTTCCATGAATCGTTCACCCTCCGAATTCAGTAGATAACCACCTTCACCTCGAGAACCTTCAGTGATGAGACAGCCAGCACCATAGATACCAGTTGGATGGAATTGAACGAATTCCAGATCCTGGTTGGGAAGACCTGCGCGAGCAACCATGGCCATACCGTCTCCAGTGCAAGTATGCGCGGAGGTACAGCTGAAGTATGCGCGACCGTAACCACCGGTGGCCAAAACGGTGTTCTTGGCCAGGAATCGGTGAAGTGTACCATCCTCCTGGTTATATGCGAGGATACCCTTGCACTCGCCGCCTTCCATGATCAAATCGAGGGCAAAGTACTCAATAAAGTAGTTGGTGTTGTAATGGAGGGATTGACCGTAGAGTGTGTGGAGGAGGGCGTGACCGGTTCTGTCGGCAGCTGCACAACATCTGTACGCTTGTCCACCTTTTCCAAATTTCTGTGATTGACCGCCAAAAGCTCTCTGGTATATTCGGCCGTCTTCGGTTCGGGAGAATGGGCATCCGTAGCTTTCGAGTTCGATGACTGATCTGGGCGCTTCGCGTGTCATATAATGAATGGCATCTTGATCACCTAGCCAATCCGATCCTTTTACGGTATCGTACATGTGCCACCTCCAGTCGTCTTCGTGCATATTACCCAGAGCAGCATTGATACCGCCCTGTGCCGCCACAGTGTGACTTCTCGTGGGGAACAATTTTGTTACGCAGGCAGTGTTGAACCCGGCTTCCTGGTTTTTGTTATCCGATATGTTCCCACCCTCTCAGGCATTATCACTTACTGCAAGGCCAAAGGCAGCTCTTAGACCTGCACCTCCAGCTCCACTACCATGTATCAGAAAATGTCGCAATCGCCACAGCTCTTTGAGCAAACATGACTCACACTACTACCGCATCGTACTGGTGGTCGATAACTGGGTATGACTTGCTCGCAAAGGGCGAGGCTTCTTTTGCGCGTAGAGGCTGGGAGGCGACAACACGGGCTATGCATCGTCAGCGGTGGGATTGTAGTATTCGAGTAACTCAAAGCATACCGACAGGACTCGTCGAAGAGAATTGCCTTTTTGTCGGTTTGAGAGCTCGAGAAAACTGCCACACGATCAGTCCCGGGTACGAGTGAATGGAGCTGCTTCACGCATACCTTGCTGGTGGGAGCCAGGCTCCGAAGCATGCTGGACGAGCTCATCTTGCACAGTGTCAAACTGTCCAAGAGAACCGGACGAGAAATCTGCTGTGATAAAGACAGGCGTTGGCGGCGATTTGGAAGAATAGGAATGGACTACGTCTTTGATTGAGCAAAAGAGCGCAGCCCAGAACCTCCGAGGTGACACATTGGCCAATCGGGTAAAGGCAGCACATGATGCGACATCTTCCGGGGGACAAATCAGATTTCACCTAAAAACGATCACTACTTTGCTCCCACGGGACTTTTCTACGGGGTCAAAATGTGCTTCATCCGATATTCTTACCGGGCACCGCTATTTGCACGATCATCGTGTCGGCCATGATATATGGTAACAATCAGCGAACCCTATATTTGCCGCTGGTATATATCTCCTTCACAATACCGACAAGTCTGCTATTGACTTGTGAACAAGCATGTGGAGGACCTTCTCTACCTCAAGGCTAGACTCGCACGCAACCTAGCATAGTTCATATTCATACAGGACAACACGGCCCGCACCCGCTCTATCTCCTCCAACTGCTTCGGCGCGATAGTGAGGGACCATCTGAAAAAAGTACTGGTAAAGAGGTCTTTGGTTGCACTCGAACCGATCACTCGCCGATCACGTATTCGCATCCTGTGAGTACAGTTAGACTTCAATCGGGCCCCATGTTCCCCAGGCCTGGGGCCAACCAAACATACCCTCGTTGCCGACCCAGACTTCGTGCACCTTCTCTGCTGGCACGTCCCATCTCGCCCCAACGCCGAAGGTTTCCTTTGTAGGGTTTGGATCCCGTGGATATGACATGGTGAGCGACCCTCGACGGATCAGATGTGTGGTCAAGCCAGAATGAAAGTGAGTTGATTTGAGACTCATCACGTGACAGGCAGTGACATGTGTAGGCAGTAGGCAGTGTCACTCACTGCCTACTGAGGGTACATATATATCCTCTCCTGTTTGTAGACTGTTTAGATTCATCATCACACTTGTACATCAGTTCATGGCTTCAACTAAGTGAGGAGCATAATGAGCGCCCGGCCCGTCTGTCCAGGTGAACACATGACTGAAACCCCAGCCTCGAACGGTCTTTTCGTCTTCTGCGCGAGATGTAGTTCGGGTGGACATCGTATATGAGTGACTTGTCTATCCTGATCATTGATGTTGTACCTGAATATCATCATTTACCTGTTGACTTGGATTCGAGGCTCAAGGGATAATGACGTATGCCAAGACATGATTTTCAAAACACCTTGTTTGTTTTCCCCGTGTTGTTGATTCTGCGACACGCGAGCTTCCCCTGCAGTGAAGCGAGGCTGGCTGGAATAATGCTGTCTGAGCCTTGCCTTGATGCATTGCGTTCATACTCACGTCTCTTATGACGAGTGTGTTGATGTGAGGGTGCCGGACGAGACAACAACTTACCACATTACTATGGCGCGAAAATTGCGGACGAGTCAATGATGGATGAACATAAAGTATCAATGTTTTAGAGATGATCAATGACAGACGAAATATCCCAATCTGCTCTGATCGAACACAGTCAGCGAGCTCATGTGAATTGTGGGGGAGGATTTGCGACAGAAGATTGAGCGTCGTCATAAGGTATCCCGCGTTGCTACAACAGCTCCCTCCCTCCGCATTCTTGTTGAGATACTCATTCCTTGTCTTGACGGCATTTTGTTGATGCTGTTGTTTTGTGTTTCTGAAACACTAATACATGCAGTTCAATCGCGAATTGTCCAGAGCAACGCAGGACAAGAATGGTATGTCATGACGATATTTTGCCTCTGCGTACCGGACTTGATCATAGCATCTTTGCGAGTGCTTGTGCGCGGATGACAGCGTCCATATTCGTGCAACCGAAAATCGGACAGGCGCAGGAGCCACGTGTAGACAAGTTTGATTTACAATCTGGGGGAGGAACCCACAGGGTAAATCCCATCTCACTCTTAACAAGAATGGTGGCGGCTGAAGTACTTATGATCCAGCACCTGTGGTGGTATGTGCTCCTGGTGCCAACTTCACTACAAGTGACAAGGCTGATGGTGACAGCCTGAACGGACTCATCGCAACAGAAGTTACATATTTTTAGGTGTATGAGGAAATGAGCCATCGTCGGTCCAAAGCAAGTAATGCATATCGTCATTTGTTATTGTTTCAAGTGACGTGTTTTTTTACAATCCTTCTTCCATCAGTCGTGATTTCTACTATGGTCACATCCGATATGGTCCATGATATACGTACGACTTACGAAGTGGCTGACCCTCAGTGGCTCCTATATGCAAGCACTCCCCCTGTTTCCCAAGGTAGCCTTACATAGGATACCAGCGACATGGACGTGGACCGTCCAATGGGATCTTCATGCTTGGGATTGAAGTGGTTTAAGGATGCAATTTCCCCCAAGGTGCGACATTGATACGTAATTGGAGCAAGCTTTTGGTGGTTGGAAAGGCGGAGAGTAGAGAAAGGGGTCAGTTCATATTAGGTGAACGAAAAAAGTTAGTACGCGATCCTAGCATCTCGAAGGGGACTAGCACCTATTGAACTTTCGACGCGTTCAGCTCTTCGAGTCTTAGCCTGTGACCCGTGGCAGGCTCCGTGTTGACCTCGCATCGTCAAAGGACTGACTACTTACTCACCGGTGTAGAGGAGGCCCAGACAGGATCCAAACGCTCAATACTGCAGAGACTGCCTGCCAAACCTCATCTTCACACCGCCATCAGTCAACATGTTACAGAACATCCATCACGAGGACCTTTCTGGGTGGGATTGAAAGCTGACAAGGCTACTCCTGCACTCCACAAATGGCGGAAAAGAGTTGGCGCCCGCCCCGAAGCTTGCATCGTTCTCTTTCCCCTGCGTCAGAAATGACAATCTTATAGCCTGGCAGTTTTGTTGTCGCTGGCCCCGAACCCCCTGACCACCTCTTAATCCGCATTGTTAATCTCCACTTTCTGAGCAATGGGCCTTCTTTGTTGGGGCCGGCTATTTTCGAGATCTCGGCATTCGACAATCTGGTCAGGACAGACCCAGTGGGTCGCCCATTGTTTCACAATTTGGGGACCTCGACAAGAGAGAACCATCCATCCACCACGGGGGCTGGAATGGATGGTGCAATTGTGACAGTGTGAACGCAGTCCGCAAGCATTACTGGGTAGGGTATATCTGGCGCACCGTGCGCCTCTGTCTCTTTGTTTTCCCTCTTTCCTTTGTTGGTCCGCACGTTCCTTTGATCTCGACGATATATCAAAAAGTCTGTGACTTTCGTTTCGCTCCCTTTCTTGACTACACTCCTTTCACGGTCAAGCCCACACTCATTGCCATCCCCGGAGGATATCACGTTCTTTTACACAAACAACAAGACACTCTTTCGAAACAAAACGTACACAGTCTTTCAAGTCACTTTTATACCATCAAAATGATCTCCGTCAAGACTCTTTCCGTCTTGGCCGCTGTTGCCGGTATCGCTGTCGCGATTCCCACCCCTGCCGAGAACGGTGCCGGCGTTGAGAAGAGATGGAATGGCCATTGGAGCAAGGGCTGGGAATCCTGGTCATCAGGCGAGGAGGCGGCCACCGTCACCGCCACCGCTGTCGCTGTTGTCACCACGTGGGTTGAAGCGGCGAGTCCTACGGCCACCGTTTATACTGAGGCCGCCGAAACCACCTCAACCGCCGCCGCTTGGTCTGCCACCACCACCAGCACTGCCGCCACCAGCACTAGCACCAGCAGCAGCACTGACTCTATCAGCTCTGACGTCTCTGAATCCGACTACATCTCCGTCGTTTCCAAGTGGCGCACCGCAGCTGGCCTTCCTGACCTCACCCAGGACAGCACCCTCGAGGCCAACGCCCTCAAGACCAGCACCAACAGCGTTGGTGGCTTGATCCACGAATTGAACCCCGGCACCATGGCCCAGGTTCTGGCTCCTGGCACCAGCACCGACTTCGAGGAAGTCTACGTTGGAGGATGGCTCTGCGAGATTCCCACCGATGCTGGCCTGGATGGCATCTGCGCCACTGCCTCCGATGGCTGGGACTACGATGGCCAGACCGGTCACGCAACCATTCTGACCTCAACCTCTTACACCAAGATCGGTTGCGCTATCTCATCTGGCACCAGTGTCTGGGCCTGCGATCTTGCGTAAACCGCAAAATCGTGTCTCGGGACCCGCTACTTCTCTCATCTACGCATTTATTGGTGAATGTTAGTTGGAAAAGACGATGCGCTGCATGAGCGTGCATCGGTTTTATGCATGTGCGACATATTTATGTCGATTTCTGGATCAATCTTATGACCTGTGATTCCTGTATAAGACAAGATTTCAATCATAGCTCTTTTTTATTCTTCTCTGTGAAATTATCTTTCCCTATGCTCTTGTCCTGATCGACTGCAGCGTTGCTGGCTGTGTAGCATAATTTCATCATCAAGTCTCAAGGCACTGTCGGCGATTGACACGCATCCTGCTTGTCCAACGCTTAGCATATAATTCCTGACAGTATGAACTTATTATACCATCTCCAATATACGAACTATCATATGTGCATACGATGAGCATGCAACGACGAAGATAACCCCTGAAATTGCTCCTTCCTTGGCATTGTTTACATAATCCTCGAACTGGCTTGCAGCTGGAAAGCATCTCGCCAATTGACGTAGTCCATGCCTCGTCACCCTTTATACTTTGGTGTGCCCTGGCGGTGAAAGCCTGACCAGTTAATGCAGATAACAGGCAAGAATCATCGTCTCACCACTCGCCTACTCACATTTGCGAAGGCATCCCAACATGCTTGAGGCCCTTTCTAAGGGACTCAATGATTCTTACCTTCCTCGCTTAGTTCAACAACGCAGTCCTTCCTCAACAACTCACCTTTGTGGTAGCGGCAGTCGCGCGACAAGTTTTGACTGAACTGGAGATTGTCAAGGACACCATACTATCAAACCCTATCGCTAACAATGGCAGACGGTCCCAAACTCCCTGCCGGCGCCGCAGGAGGCGGTCAACCGTCCGAAGCGGTCCAAGAATTCGGGCTCCAACCATTCTCCAAACCAGTGCTCTCTCGCCTTATTGAAGCCTACAGCCTCTCTTCAGAAGAACGCCACCGCTTCAGGGACCAATCATCTTTCCTGATCTACATGGCTTCAGATGAATCTGCTGCCATGACTGGACCATCAAACAATGACCTAAACTATACATTGTCGTCCTACTTCATAAGTTCCAGTCACAACACCTACCTCTCAGGCCACCAACTCTATGGCGATGCGAGTGGAGAATCGTACAAAAACGTGCTGAGACGAGGTTGCCGATGTTTAGAGATTGACGTTTGGGACGGGGATGATTCAGACAGTAGTACTTCGGACTACGAGGACGAGCAGGGTCATCAATCTTCAGGTTACCCACATGAAAGATCTGAGTCCAAAGCTTCTCGATGGGACAGAGTCAAGGCTCGTGCAGCCAGGATTAAATCCGCATCACGTCCAGAAGCTTTTCCAGAAAGTGGCAAGACCAGCGAGCCCCATACAAGCACCCCGTCCAAAGATCCTCAACATATTGGAGCTTCCAGCCTGAACGACGATCAACTCTCGCCTCATCCTTCACATGGCCTCTCACCAAAGCTTGAGCCCCGTGTGCTTCATGGCCACACACTTACGCACGCAGTCAGCTTTCGTTCCGTCTGCCACGCTATCAAGGACTCCGCATTCCTGACTACGGATCTCCCCATCATCGTCTCTCTGGAAGTCCATGCTTGTCATGATCAGCAAGAAGTGATGGTAGACATCATACGAGAAGTATGGTCCGGTCTCCTAGTAGACTTTGACGGGGACCCACAGAAGCTACCGACACCAGAGTCTCTCCGGCGAAAGATTCTGATCAAAGTCAAATGGTCACCCAACACGAAACCCAACGAATCCAACAATCCTGTTGACCATGTCACGTCGTATGCAAGTGATGACAGCACGGAGGAGGGCGTTGCAACCTCCTCCGATCAAAAGAACAAGGCGCCGAAAGTGAAAGTGTTGGCCGCGCTATCAGAACTTGGTATCTATACTCGAGCGTACACTTTCAAGAATTTCTCGCAACCAGAAGCCTCCATTCCAACACACGTGTTCAGCTTATCCGAGAAGAAGATGCTTTCAATGCACTCAGATCCCTATGATGGTCCAAAACTTTTTCATCACAACAAAAACTACCTCGTGCGGGTCTATCCCAAAGGAACCAGAATTAACAGCTCCAATGTCGATCCAACCCTCCACTGGAGGCAAGGGGCGCAGATGGTAGCTTTGAACTGGCAGAGAGTGGACAAGGGCATGATGCTCAACGAAGGCATGTTTGCCGGGACTGGAGGATGGATGCTCAAGCCTGAAGGGTACCGATGCACCGGAGCAAGCGTACCAGCCGAGAACATGACTCCGAAAAAGGGGCGACTTAGCCTCGCAATCAAGCTCCTAGCTGCCCAGAGGATACCGCCGCCCATCGAAAGGGACAGCTCGCAGGTATCCAAGATCAAACCCTATGTCAAAGCCAATCTGCACGACGCACATGGTCCGCTTACTTCCGCGCAGACCCGTTCGAATGTGGAAGATGTTTATGACGATGAAGACGATGACAAGAGCGTTTACAAGCGGAGGTCGTCAACGCAAAGAACGGATTGTCCGGATTTCGACGGCGAAAGGCTATCATGGCACAATGTGCCAGACATTGTGGATGAGCTGAGCTTTCTTCGGTAAGTTCACTTTTACTTTGTTCTCCTGCGTGCTGTTCTGGGGTTTGATTTCCGCAACATCCTATTCGTGGCAGGCATCCAGAGTTTTCCAATATCACGTCCCTCAGTACGACTGTAGCAGCCCAATAGGTGTGGGTGCAGAAGTTGGGCGAAACATTGCCTGCAAAAACTGGAGCGAATGTCCGACGAGCCAAGATCGAAAGTCGAGCTTACGAAGTGTGATTCACCGATGAACCTGCATGCTGCACGATCACGTTACACAAAATCTGCCCTCCGGCATTCGAGTCCCTGCCATCCATCTCCTTATTTTCTTCTGAATGGAAAAATGACCTGTCACTTTGTGGCTGGCGCGAGAGTGTTGGCGCTGACTGACCGTGTCCAATAGACTTCAAATCAAAGACGACCGTTCCATGGCCAGGGATACCTTGCTTGGTTGGGCATGCATACGACTCGATCGTCTACAGAATGGATATCGATTCATTCATCTGCTCAACTCGGCGGGGCTTCCTTCAGCAGGTGCATTGCTCGTCCACGTGTCCAAACATATCGACTGATAAGTGTTGACATCGATCTCGGACTCGAAGCGAGCTGCTGACGACAAAGTACCTCCTCACGGAAAATCCGAGGTTCTCCTCAGGTGCTCAGAGATGGGGAATATACCCACTAAATTTGGCCCGCCCCGGCATCTGACTCTGCGATTCTGTGAAGCACTATCCTTAAGCGGACTCCAAAATGATGGAGAATGAGAGAATGATTGTATGATGTCTATGGAGTCGACGGATAGTCGCCATTTGCTCAACCAGTTTTCCCTTTTTCGTCAATGGCTGCAACTCCATCCAATCACTTTTCTCACAAGGGTCCCGCAAGGGATATGCAGGACTGTTTTTTCCGGGCTATTGTGCGATGAGGCGACTAAAGACCGTTTCATTCGTCGGAGGCAAGCACTGCCGAGGGTTATACTGCCGCAAGATCCAGCGGCCAAGCTTAGATTGATGGTTGGTCGTTGTCTTGCGATGCGCGGTCCCGCATCTGACCCGAAGCAGTATGCTCTCGATGGAACGTGTCAGAACTATTGTTGCAATATGAAGACTTGTTCAACTTCTCAAGGGCGGATACATCGCTACATGTCCTGATTTCGGTGTCTTGGGTGCTTACGGTCGAGCGTCTAGATGATCCGACCCCCTACGACCTGGAAGGTCAACACTGCTCGGCCATGCTGACTCTCGGCCAAGATGGTCTCTTATGGCATGATAAGCGACTATGGCAGGTCAACAAACCAGCCAACTGACCCACACGGACCCGCAAGTACAAATGCTTTGGTATCACAAGTCAGATATGTGGATCGGCCAGGAACTCACCGATGTTGTTTTGTGTAACCTATTTTGTAACGTCTCGATTCCGGTTACTAGCCCAGAGTATGTTGAGACGATAGCCGTCGACCGCATCTCTGGAGATCAACGCCAGATATGGACAAGCAGCCCATAAGGACATTGATTCGCATTAAGCCAAACTCTGATCAGACCTTACATCTTGTGAGTCTCGTGGGTAATGCGTGCATAGCTGCAGTTGCAGCTTGGTCGCATCTGGGGGAAAATCTCCCCTTTACCCTTACTGCTAGTGCAGAGGATTGGGGATTTGACGGGAAGAGCCTCAGACATATATAAGAGGGCCTACCTGGTTCATCATGGTTCCAAGCCAAGCTCACTGGGAATTCTGAGACAAGCTTTCATTGTCCTTCTGCAGTGTTCGAGCTTGTCAATTCAGTCCGCAATTCCCGAGAGTTGCTTGCCAAAACAGTCTCCGCCATGGCTATCTTGAAGCACACCCTCAAAAACACCTCTCTGACCGAGCGGAACGTTTTTCAAGTTAACAAGCCACAACGTATACTTCGAGGAATACTCGCTCAGATTCGACCGGTAAGGGAGTCTACGGTCTGTGATATATCTCTCGCGCGATACTGTTAGGCTGATGCTCTGCTCGAAAAGATGAATGGTGTGCGATGTCCTCGTTGCAAAGGGAAGGGGCAAGAAGTCTGGGTAATTCCGGGAACGAGATGTCACAAGTGTGGATTCGCCTGCTGAATAACGGTGCCGATGAGGGCTTTGGGGTCGGAAGGACGTGCCCTAGGAAACGCTGGCTGGTACGACGATCAATCGGGTGTGGGACACGCAGGAACTTGTCCATGGGGACTGATACTGATCAAAGAGGAATGGCCCTCTTGTAGTACTGAAGGAAAATGTGCCTTGTGTCGATGGCTGGTTTGTTACCGTGACCTGGGACATGCGGGGGCGGCGTCTTGCAATCGGCCGAGACCTAGAGCCAAGAGGGACGGCTGAGGAATGGATTACCAGAACACTGATGAAGACTCGAAGCGAGATGCATAAACGGGCTGGACGACACTTGACAAAAGGACGGAAAGGACAACGGTCTGAGAGCATGGATGCCACGAGTCTTGTTTAGTATGCCAGGGGTACCTCTCTCGCGGCGAAAGGCCGTTGACTTGACTTCTCGAACTGAACGGCACTCGAGTCAATCAACGTGACGGACACAATATAATGTGTTCGTTGGTCGGCTCTCTTTTCCGGAGGCCGAATTTCGACTTGGTGCCAGTCTGTACTCGGTATTTTGGACGGTAGACTCGATCTGGATCAATTGGTGACGACTGACTTCGAGAGGCTGGCAAGATGGCCGAGTCTGAAGTCGAGAAGTGTAACTGGACGCGGACGTGTTCCGTAGCGCATGTAGTAGGTCGAGCATGTGAAGAAAGGGTGTTTGTAAAAGTAGAAACCCATTTTCTACACGCGGCTTAAACCCATATGCGAGTTTCTTAGTGTCAAGGCGACGAGGAAATGCTGAGATGTGACGGCCAGACTTTCCTTCTCTTGATGTGCAACTTGGACGGAAGTTGTTTCCCTTCAAAGCCTGTTCTTGGCAACATTTCTCAGCCATTTTTTCTTATTGGTCAACAAGTCGGAAACATGACCCACTCGGATTGTCTTACAACGTCGACTTCCTTTTGCATTCATCACTCCTCCATCCATCTGCCTTGATTGCTGAATCGTTTCATCCCGTGATACTGGGAGACAACGCGTGTGCTTACGAATCATGCCACCAGTCCTCCTAGCCCACGAGTAGGAAACCAAATACCATGCTCTGCGCTCAAAGGCTGCAGCTTCCCTTGCCTACAGCCCGGTCCGTGTACGCGCCCGCCTTCACTAGCCTACGGGGCGTGATCAGGCCATTCGAGAGCGGCGCTACTTCACCAGTTCCTGCACCCTCGTACCGATTCAGAACTAAGCGACCATTCTGCATGTGCTGAATGAGCACGGCACGTGGAGTCGGGGAAATATTGACCGTGGACATTAATCCCTTTCAGTCTTCGACCGACATAGGCCCCCTCAGCTTGTCGGGTGGGTCTTTGCATTCTTCACTGCGGCCTGACATACCGACCTACATTGCGCAATCGCAATCGGCATCCTATTCACGCATCGGACTATGCCCAATCCAAAGATCTGCCTCTACGCCGAAGCGCTGACCCACATTCGGCAACTCACGCTTCATGCCTCGCTTCAGACCGAGAAGAACGAACACACCAAGATTTTGATCTCGTCGGACAAGAAGATCATCGCGGCGGTGCACGACGGCGAGACTTCGAGCATTTACCTGCCAACTCAGATCTCGGGGACTGTCAACGCCACTTTTCCCACGGACAAAAGGACCGAGATCTCGGTACGACTGCAGATTGACGACCAGTTTCCTGCTAGCGGTGAGGCTGCTGGCGGCGAGACCGTCGAAGTGCCATGGTCGGCGGGCGAGTTGTCTCGCGAGACTGCGATCGCGTGCAAGAAGTGCGGCACTGAGATCCTGGCGGCTGGCAAGGTGGGTGTCTGGAAGGATCTGCCTAGTGATCATTGGGCGGAGTTGATGGACCTTTGGTTCTGTCATAAGCCCCATGATGATCACGGGCACGGCCATGGGCATGAACACGGCGGCCAGTCTGACGACACTGTCGCTGCTGCTGCTGAGGCCAAGGGCTTCTCTGCCACGAGTAAAGTCGCTGACGCAAGGCCTGGCACTGGCTTGGTGGATGTCGTGTCTTTCCTACTGCACAGAGACGATTGTGCGAATGTTCAGGTACGTTTGACAGTCGACGTTGAAACTTGTTTCCCCCAAGATGGCGAGTTTTGCTTGTTCTGGCGTCAAGAAAGAAGCTCTTCAGTCTTCAACGAGACGACTCTGTTGATCCAGTTTCTGATACAATCGCCACATATTGACGTTTCACTGGGGCCCGTCGAGACAGCGTCAACCTCCTTCTACGAGGATGGATGACCTGTCCGTGGATGGGCCCTGGCCTCTTGTTATTTCACCTTTGCGGTTTTTGTGTGCTATAAGACGTAAGGGGATGCAAGTGAGGTACAGTTATTGACTGACATTGTGCAGGTGCAGAAGACCAGTAACGATTCGAAGAAAAATACGACGATCGTGAAATGCGATTCTTGCAGCGCGACTGTCGGATCAACCATACAAGGAGAGACGAGTGTCAGAATGTACAAGTCCAGGCTGAAGGTCAGCGTGACGAACAAAGAAGACAGTTGGGAAGAATATCCCACCGCAGTCTTCCTCTGCGCGCAACTATTATCCCTTATCGAAAGCTCAGTGAGTCGCAAGGTCGTCGTCCACGACGAGGTCGGAAGTCAGGGTCTTTTGATCTGGGTCTTCAATCCGGACATATACTACTCGAGCAGCAAGCGCGGTCCAACGGCACATCGGGCGATGAAGGTCTTTTATAAGACTCTGGATGAGGAGCCGGGCAAGTTTCTCGAGACGAGTGGCGCTGCGGCGTACGAGGAACTCGTTGTGCCGGCGGAGGATTATGAAGAGTTTACGACGACGTTGCGCGAGAGTACGGATGTGCTTCCGCAGGCTGCAAGATTGTTCCAGGATTGGAATGTGGGCTTGTTGGATCGCTGGGAGAAGAAGGCGAGTGGGTCGATGGTGTTGGATGGGAATCCGCTGAATAGGAAGGTCGAGGAGGGGTTCGAAGTGTTTAAGTTGCCGGCTGGTATGGCGGAGCTTTATCTTTGAAAGGATACGCTAGGCGGTAGTATTGTTCTACCACCAGTGGAATGATATTACGCCCTTTAATGAGCGGACAGTCGACCAAACAGTCGCTGAATCTACGATCAGGCGGTCACGGCGACGAAAGACTCGAAGGAATGCCAGCTATGTGGGCAATTGCCGCGGCCGGGTCCCACGTTCTGTTCTCAGATGCAGTTCATGGTGACGAGCGACCTCTACGATCGTGCCTCTGACTACACGCTCCATGGCCTCCGATCGTCCCCCTACAGCGAGGAGCGGACCGGAGGAATGGCGCCGGCCGACATCGCGCCGAAGTCTTCACAGAACGCTCGCAGCGTCATGACGAGGATGCTTGACATGGACATACTCAACTTGCCAGCAGAATTTTTGCCGTATGTGTCATCAGGTCTCCTTTCAATGAAGGACGCCAAGCGAGCTTAGGCATCGCTCCATCGCAGTGAGTTGTGGATACCAATCCCCTAACGGACATGGTCGGCGGCATGGAAGTCCGGCGTACGAAGGGCCGTCCATGTCGTATTGACCATCGTCGGAATGTGTGATTATCCAAGTTCGTAAATCTCCTGCGAAGTTCTTACTTTGAGCCAAGCATGGCAAGCCAGGGGCTGAGCTATGCACACAATGGGATGCATATGCAGATGTATTGACGAGATTGCGAGGTTGTGGGATGCAGAGGAGTACTCTTGGCTCATGCACAGGATGGAGCTCAGAAAACAATCATAAGACGATAACAGGTCTTCGTGAAGAAGCCGCATACTATCTGAAACAATCCCTATGTGACAGCGTCGCTCTTATCCCATCCGCGCTGAGCTCCTGACGAGGCTTTCGAAGCTTGCCTGCTCCCTCTGCTCTCATCCCATGCCAGTCTAGAAATGAGGAATGTACTGTGCCCACGTCGTTGTCTCGTACACACCGACTGGCACGCGCCTCAGACTAATGAACGCCTCCACCACGATGTACAGCCTGGACAAAACATATAAGGCCATTGAAGCCAGCATGGACGGAAAAACCAGGAAGATAATCGAATAGTACAAAAGATCGTCCAGAAGATTGAGGAAATCGATTTTTAGTCTCCTCATTTCTTTTGTTACTCTCCCAGTAGGCTCTTTTCGGGTCGTAGCGGAGTCGTCCCTGTCCTCAGTAGAGGCGGGCTCCACTGACCGTCGTCCCGGACTCCACGCCTTAAGGGATCCCAGAGCTTCGCCGAGCAATAATGCGAGGGCCTTGATCTGCCGCCATAAGGAAAAGCAAGCAGTGATACTGCAAATCCCAGGGATTATCGCCAGGGGAGCACCAAGTGCACAACTTGCAACTCTCCACAGCAAATTCTCGACCTCTGTAGGGAACTCATAGTTCCAAAGCGCCACGTGGACACCAGCGTAGGCCGCAGAGACCAGAGTCATGGAAACAATAGCCTGAGTCGCCTTGTCGAGGTATTGAGCATTGTCCCTCAGAGCTGGCGTCGTTGCGAATGACAGATTGGGTGACCGTAGGACAAAAACGCCGTTTGAATGTGTCGATGTACGGTCTGAGTAATCTTCCGCTTGTAGCGACCGCAAGCAAGGTGTAGCCGATCGTGATATCTGAGGGATGCCCCCAGTGGCGTGGCTGTCATCGCAAACTGAATCCTTGGAAGCCTCGGCTGTCAACTCGTGGCGATAAGCAAGCCCAGCACGATGCCAGCGCAGCAGATCTTTTCGAGACAGACAGACAGTCACCTTGAATAGGTGGGACCGGTGGCGGCGTTCATCGCCTAGGAGTGGTTTCATCCAAGGGTCAATCTCATTGTTTGGAATTGTGACGGAGTCAGTCGCCTGAGCCCTGGAATTCTCGCGATATTCTTTCGTAATCGAAAGCTGAATGATTCTGTGCACTCGCTGTCGAAGGCCCCAGGACCAATTCCCGACGTGAGTGATTGACCGGTCACCAGGACCATTGCTGGTTCTTCATCAACGCACGACTGCCGGTATAAGGTGGTTTCCTGGCCGCTTGGCTTCCGTCCCATCTGTGATTCTAACTCTCCAGGATCCATCTGAGACTGATCCGCCTCTGCTGCAGCTTGTCTAGTCGGCGAAGGCTCCACAACATGAATGGGGGAAGCACATTCCTGTCTCTCCCGTACTTTTATGACCAACAGCAAGAGTATCGAGAATAGACTCTGCCAGTGGCTCCGAGTCATTTGAGCCTTCATGCGGGTACTGCAGACATTTCGTATTGAAAATGAGGAGGTCGCCCTCGCTTGGCAGTTGTTTCTTGGACCCGGGGTCCAGTATTAGGTCTAAAAAATCAAGAACGTATTCGGAATCAGAAGTCTTGAACTGAGTTTGAGGCCCGACAATCGCAGTAAACGGCTTATAGGCTGAACCAGACGACCTCACCAATGCAAGCGCCACATCTTTAGAAACTGGGCCCAGGGTGACAGACGAAGGATCTCCGACATCAAGAGGCTTGTGAAACCACAATGCATACATGAGCATAGCACAAGCGGCATGCACGAGAATGTGGACTTCGAGTAGGGTTAAAGGATATCCGGAAGCTTGCCGCGAGATGCATTGCAGAAATGTCCAGGATACCTGGAGAATGACCAGCACCTTTGACAAATTATCTGCCTTGCTCTTGTCCCTGATATCTCGGTCTGACATCGAGAAACTCTCCCATCCCATCTTCCTTGGCAAAATGTAAGACGCCCCCCGGAGTCAGCGTCACCCACCTGATGTTGTCGTATATGTCGCTGACATCGACCACTAGACCACCCAACACGACATAGAAACCGTAAGTGAGGGAAAACTGGGTCGGATGCCGCGACGATGAAACCAGATTGATATCGGACATCGCAGGAGGGATAGTGTGCGACAAGGTAGGGTGACACCTGCGTGTGAGTCGATGCGGCCAAGCGGGGAAAGGCCTCTTGAGCCTCCTCCACCAGGAAGTTGGTCTTGACTTTGGCAATCCAACCTGTTTCAATTGGATATCGTATAGATCGCGACAGAAGCAGCTGGCGATATAGTACTGTTGCCACGCAGTATATAGAACAAGCTTGGGGGCGAATAATGCAATAAAGGCCCATTTGACCTTGCGCCAGAATTAAGCGTTTTTGCGCTCTCCCCTGGCGGGAATATTGATGTGAATAGCCGAATAGACGCAGATGAAAAGCGTGAAAACGCAGCTGTACAAGAGTTGCCATGTTCCTCTGCCGTCAGGATCGGGCACCCAGCCATGCACGTATTGCGTTGAGTTAGTCATCGTTGGTCAGTGTCGATTCGAGCGATTTCTTGACCTGCTTTTCAAGAGACACGGTCTGGGAATGAGCACGAAAAGCATGAGGATGCAATCAAATGGGAAGAGGAAAATCCGCCTAATTTTCCACACATTGGTGTGGTGAGGCAGTCGGCTGGATTGACGGCTCTCACGAACCGGCCACTGGTATCAACCGCGAGCCACTCTCAAAGCCACCACCATTTGGCAAATGAGGCTATGTGACCTTGTCAATCACAATGCTAGCAGGCAGATGTAGCCTATCAGCTGAGAGTCGAAATCTGTGGTGTAACACAGGCAGGCATCCATCATGGCACAGCCACAAAATAGCCTGCAAGTACTGTCAAGGTCCGTCTCAAAGCGACGGTCATGGCTTTGAGCAGTTCAAGACATCAATTCTGGTTCGCAGCTTCACGATCCTGCGGTTGGGACGCAGCTGTGCGCTGGCTTTTGTATTTTAAGCATCGAATGACGATAGCTACGTTAGGCACCTGCGATAAAAGGAGATGCGCAAAACTCTGCTGTTCGGTTTCTATGGCTGTCTGATCATCGGATACTTGCAAGGGAACAAAACGTCGCAATAAGCGCGAGAAATCACCTTCACTCCAAAGTAAAGGTACTGCAAAGAAGACGAAAATATTGACCTTGAAGCGGCGCTGTTCTTGTCTTCTTTTAGCTAACCGTGACTGCTGCTTTTCATTCTCTTGGCGAGTCCGGACCTCCAGTCCAGTCGCAGTATGATGAACCTCAATTGGAGCTTGTCGTAGAAGTACCAGACTCTCACCGTCGCCATTCTCTACCCGCATTCGACATGAGCGCCCTCCGACTGTCCCGTGCAGCGCTGCGCGCCAGATCCGCAGTCGCTTTGAAGCCAGTTCAACGCAGAGGCTACGCCGATGCTGTCTCCGACAAAATAAAGCTTTCCCTGGCCCTCCCTCACCAGGTATGTCGCCCAAAGGATCCGGCAAAGGGCTGGAAAGGAGGATGAAAAGGTTTTCAGAGGCAATGCTGACATGTCCCTGGTATTCAGTCTATCTACAAATCGCAAGACGTGTACGTTCCGCCTCTTGCAAGCTCCGAGGACATATCTCCATGCCGCGCCGAACGTCGAGCTGACCTTTTCTCTCAAGCGTACAAGTTAACATCCCCGCCGAATCCGGTGAAATGGGTATCCTCGCCCAGCACGTCCCTTCGATCGAACAGCTAAGACCTGGCTTGATCGAGATCATCCAGGAGAGCGGTGACAACAAGCAATTCTTCCGTATGTTTGGCAACACTAGCAAAAGCACGGGAGAGCGCATATACTCATACTTCGTGGCAGTTTCCGGAGGTTTCGCTGTCGTCCAGCCCGACTCTGTTCTCAGCATCAACGCCGTCGAAGGTTTCCCTATTGAAGAATTCAGTGAAGAAGCCGTCAAATCCCAAATCTCCGAGGCTCAGAAGATCGCCAATGGAAGTGGAAGTGAGCAGGATATTGCGGAGGCCAAGATCGAGCTTGAGGTACGAATCCCTCGCATATTGGTCGGCGGCTGCTAACATCAGTCTAGGTTCTCGAGTCGTTGCAGGCTGCCATGAAATAAGAGAATCAATTGCTGCTCTTGTACATATACACTAAGATGGGGACGGGATCAAAAGAATGGTCTCACTTTCTGGCGGTTGATCAATTGATGAGAAAGAGTGTCTTCCTCGTGATCATTTTGTTTCCCCTACCTATCTATCCTGCCGACGTCGTTCTTGTATGGGTTCTTCTCTACCATCTAAGTTGCTCTTGCCTGACTTCAAACCCTCCAACCAAGCAGCGCCTTCTTCCTCATGCAACACTTTACGCTAAGGAGACGTTTAAAAGGAAAGAACTCTCGCTCCCATCACTTATCCTGAAATTTGCTCTTTGCGTTGTTTAAGGCTCATTGCCGATGCTACTTCGCCATGCTTACCCCAATCCTACCGTAACCGGTCTTCACTAAGTCGACCTCGAACATGAATAGTTCTCAAGGGTACGGCCTTTCGGGACAACTCCTTCCATCGTGGCTAATCAAGACGCAGTCCTCAACGAGGCACCGTGGCCGACCGCATCCGAGCGTTCCAAGATGTGCAATTGCCAGAGTCAAAAGCCCCAGCATTCAATCTCGCACCCCGAGTCCTGACACAAGCCAAAGAGTCCGGAGTCTACACAGGTCATGGTCGAAGAGAAACTCCCAGCTTTGCACCGCCAGCAGGTCGAGTCTCGAGAGACGGGAATGAGGGGTCTCGGGCTGATGGTCGTCCACCGGTTGGCTCTGTCTTCTACAAACGGCCTATGCTCGAACAAAAAGATGCTGGCAAAACTCTACTCGTTCGACCTGTGACTAGCATGGGGGATGCTCCGCAGGCTCAGACTACGCAAGGGGAACAGACCGGAAGCTCGGAAGCTGATCAACTTCATCGAAGGCGTCGATCCGCTGGGCATGTGGCGGATCCGATTGAGGCAATAGCCACCGCTCGAGCAAGACTTCGCTCTATCGCCGGACAGAGGACTGCAAATGGAAATCAGCCACGAGACAGAGCACCTACTCTGGCCGAATTGAACGACATGCTGGACGATGCGATTGAAAACACTAGTACTCAGCCTCATGTCTTATCCGATGAAGACACAGATGTATTCAATCCTACTTCTGCCCTGATTAGTCGTCCGCACACTAGCCAGAGTGTCCATCGCCAATCACAGTCTCATGGACGAGAGTCCAGACGAAGCATAGACTCTCACAGACCCCGTAGCAGCGAGGAATCTGTCAGGGTCGACTACGGTCAGTCTCCAGCCGAGGGAACAGGTCGGACCCCGTTGCAAAGCAAAGGTCTTGATTCTTCGCCTGAACCGAGACGAGCGCGGAAGTCCCTGGATATCAAATCTGCTCAAGCCCTTTCTTCGCCTGCTCGACCAGAGCCAAAGACCAGAGAAACAAGCCCGGTGAAGCAAACAGCTGCCATCTTTGAAAGCCTCAATAAGAAGCCTAGGGAATATGATGAAGCACATGAGCATCGTCATCAAGGACATGGCACATCATGGGATGGCGTGGACAAGCAGAATGGAACGAAGAAAATGCACAAGATCAAGCTTGGCGAGACAATTGAAGAGAGGCCAGGGACACCATTGATACCATTCGCGCTGCCGGCGATGGTGAAAGATCAACAGGAATTTGTCAAAGGAGAATCGGCGCCCGAGCAAGAACAGTCCAATGATGCGTATGAAGAAGACCAAGGGGACAAGGTCATAGAGCACAACAACCAACGCAAGCCATCTTTTAGTTGGCCGTTCAAGTGGGGCATATTCAGCAAAACTCCTGCTCCGTCTCAGGAAGCCGAGCATCCAGATGAAGCCAAGCAAGACAAGCAGCCGCGAACTAAGCCAGGTGTTGTGAAGAGCAGGGTTCATGAGCTTATGCAAGTAGCCAACGAGAAAGAGGATGCTGAAAAGCGACGAAGACGTGCGGAGAACGAACGGGTAAGCCGCTGGCGAAATCGAGGTCCTCCATTTGTCAAGGAGTACGAATTGAGAGAAGACAAGGTGGACCTGGAAGATTTGAAGTCATCTCAGTTGCCTCCTCTTCAGGTCCCTGTTGACGACGAAGCTGAAGGCGTCAATCCGGCCCCAAACCCAGACGATGTCTTGTCAGAGCCATCGTCTCTTCAACGAGCTATGACCGAGAAGCAAGTCTTATCGGCACCAAGCGAATGCGATGCACCGAGTGTTTTGACTAGTCCAACAAGATCTGTTCCTCGAACTCCAGTCAGGGGCAGACCGACAAAGTTGGGTCATCGCCTTTCAATCGGTGAGCCATTTGGCGTTGAACAACAATTCAAACTCAGTCCTGGTCCGAGTCGAAGTGCGTCAAGAAATGGTAGAGCAGGTGTCAAGGTGGAAGTCGAGGTTCGTGACAGCCCGGAACGAGAGGGTAGGGAGAGGGGAGAGAAGATTGTCATTATCAGAGCTGACGTTGAGGCTGCTGAAGTTCAAGTCTGATGGGATGCGATGGCACTGGGGCATACTTATGGACTGAGAAAGCATGGTAGATGTGGCATTTCATAGTCCACATGTGACATGGTGGTGAAGAATGAAGGAGATTTCGACCGGTATCAAGTCATCGAGTAAAAGGTATAGCAAGATAGACCTCTATGAATTGAATCATCATTGTCGATATATGAAGAGCTGGTCTTGGAAGATGAAGATCAAGAGAGTAGTGCCTTGAGATCATCTCTGTGGTATACTTCCTCAATCATCTTCTTGAACTCCTCGTCGTCATGTTCATATGCTTGGGACTTGAAGTACGGCATATTCTCTTTCAGCCATGTGCCTTCATTGCCAGCCTTGATCATTGTCAGCCATGGTACTCAGACGGTGGCGGAGCGGGGATGAGGGAGCCTATGCTTACATCGGGAATAGCAACACCATTCTCCCTGACGGCAATCATGGGATAAAACGCGATGAAGTGCATCTTCTTCGCTTGCTTGTCGTGGCTGTCGCCAATGGCATCGTACCAGGCGTTCTCGATTTTGACAGCGAGATCATCGAAGGTGGCCTTTGTCCGACCTGGAGATGAGCGGACTAGTGCTAGGATACGGTTGGGACCATGAGATGCTGAGGTGGGTTCGCCGGCGAGGAAGTAGTTTGGACCATCGTCTGAGGTTTTCAGGTGCTGGAAGACGACGTTCTAAGATCACTCCTCGGTCAGATCGGGGTCATGTGGGATGGCTTGGTTGGCTAGAACGCCGGCCTTACCACGAAGAGCGAGGGTGTTACGAATGTCGTTGAGTGCAGGGACGTTATGGAGCGGGCGATGGCGTGTTTTTGGGACGCGGTTAGGGGGATGGTGTGTTGGATCTACGAACGTTAGATAGCCCGAGCCAGCAGTTAGGATCTGAGGGATGACGGAAGCAACAGTGATAACGGAGGGAAGGTTAAGAGCGGGTGATTGCCAGGGCATAGATGGGGGATTGGAGGACGAGGCTGTGTGTGAAAAGGGGCTGTGCGCAACCGAGAAGACAAGAAGAGCTCTGATGCTTGATATGATGTTGAGACCAGTAGAAATGCTCTGCAGAATCATGACTTCTGACAACGACAAAGAGGGATACTCGCCATGTGGTGCTGTAAGAAGCGCTGCACTCAAAAGTAGACTGACCTGATACATAGGCATCTTGAAGACTCGTCTCCTGGGAATGTCGTGGTGGATATTGTCTGGTGTGCTACGGCACAGGACAAGTAACAGTCACCTCGACAGATTCTTGTTTTTCGTTTCCCCGGCCTAAAGAAGCTGGAGTATTTGTATTTGAGATGTGATAAACGACAGCAAGCGACTCCGAGTGTCCTTTATTCTGGGAGGTCAATGGCGGATGTTTGTGATCTTACAAAGCCCGAGAAAACGGCGAGGACTAAGGACTGGCAGTCCAAGTACTCCAATCCTTGCTCACCCAAAGTTGCTCTTCAGATCTTCAGATTCAGGATCCGTGTACGCAGTGCCCAATTGACCTGGTCTTTGACGTGTCTTATCCACGAATGATCCATGGTGCTTCACCATGGTGCTTCAGTAAGAACATCAACGTCATCGTTCCCCGCATCAGCATCGAATATTTCTGGGGATTGATCAATGCTCATGTTCGGCCGTTGCTTCCCATGCTTACTGATACGTTCTTTCCGGATATCGGATTGAGAAGACAAACCCGAGGTCGGTGATTGTCCGTCGAGGTTCGTCTGTCTCGACCCCCAGGCTCGCAATCTCCTGTTTGTGCCCAGCGATGTTGTCGCTCGACCACAGCATTTTGTCGTTCGATCTCGGGGTCTCGTCTTTCTATCTTGACAAGTCGTCGATCCATCTCAGTCTTTTCTTGTCGGATCCTAGCAAGTTGTCGATCCATCTCAGCCACTTCTTGCCGGATCTCAGCAAGTTGTCGATCCATCTCAGCAAGACTGCTTTCATGGTCATCAATCCTCCTTTCAAACGCGATTAACCGGCTATGGATCAATTGCAACAAGGGGTGGTTTGTTAGGTCAATCTGCGCCACGGGCGCTTCAGGTCTTTGCGCATCAATGGTCGGTGAAGTCGGAGCTGACGATGGCGTCGAGGTGGCAGATATGAAAGACGAGACTTCGTCGTCGGACGAGCTGGTGGTGTCTGAGCTGCTGTCGTCTTCGCCGCCATCGTTGTCGTCGCCGCCGCAGCACTCCTCTGGGTGAGCCTCAAAGTGTCCATCGGAAGTATCTTTCTCCATCTGCGTCGGGTATTTCAGTAAATATTGCTTCAGTACCCACTAAGCTTGACTTTACCTCAGCTTCGTCTTCGCCTTCACCCCTTCTCTCAGTGACTGTCGGGGACGATCCTGCAGCTGCAGTGCTGTGAGCTGTGGAAGATTTGAAGTAGTATCTGATTGCTTCAATTTCTTCCTCGCGAGTCATGTTGGCAAGAGATCTTATGCTTGACCGGCGCGTACTGTTTGCAAGGGACGGAACAAGTACAGTATTGCAGAATAGTAGATGACTTGTCTCACAAGAGGTATTGGAAATGCTGACAAGGCAGGCAGTGACGAATCTTCGGTACACAGAAAATTCACCAGAGGTGAGTCACCGTAAGAAGGATAATCTTCGCCGACTGTTTGGTTCAGCCAGAGATGGCCTCAGACGGCGTGACAGGAGATCAAGTGTGCCGAGTTAGCGAAGGACAAGGCAACTAGGTATTCTGGTGCAGCGGACGAGGCTGAGACGGGACTTCGAGCATTCTTTTCCAGCACAGCGAGCGAACCGAAATGCATGAAGGAATCTCCTCCTGTCACGGAGACTCTGATACAAGATGATGAGAGTATTCATAGCTACCGTTACCCATCAATCTGGCCCTGCTGAGTAGCCGCCCTTAGCACCATCGAGCCCGTAGTATCATGCTCCTCTGGTCAGTAGCATTTCAATCGAAACCTCAATAACCCCAATAAAGAGCCGTTGCTCCAGAAAGACCATTCCTGGCACAGACCTCTTGAGGAGGCTCGACGTCCACTGCGAATTTTGTGTCGGAAATATCATCCCAACATGCCCAAATCTCTCGCCCGATTCGATCGCCATTGGAGCCCTAACGCACGCCTCAACCCTTACTTTGACAGTCCGATATGAAAACACCCAATCATCGATTCGTGATGAAGCTCAATGGCAATCATGAGAACTTCCACCGATTACCACAATTCATACACTCGCAAAACGTCGTCATCGGTTCATCAGCACTCCTCGTCTGTGCCTGCGAGTAACTGACTTTCTTCTGGTGGCATTTGCCACATTCCAGACTGGTACTGACACTCTTCTCCTCCTGCGCCACCATGGCATTGTTCATGTTCTCCTTTGCGATCTTCTTGTCTTCCTCGCGTTGTTGCTTAGATTTCATCTCCTCGTGGCTCATGGTCACAAATCGGCTTGGCTTGACATCGCCGTTGAGGATTCGTTTGCGAAGATCCGGGTTGGATTTGTTTTTGAGATTCTGATATAGCGATCGGATCTTGTCTTTGTAGATTGGAGACCCCGATGAGCCTTTGGTATCAGGTAGATTGAGCGCGGCCGATTCAATCTGCTTGGCTATGTCCAGTATCTGCTTCATAGCCATTTCCGAACCCATACAGAGACCATCGTATATCAGGCCTATGCAGTTATTCCGCGCTGTGTCGTTGGTGAGATCATCTCGAGGGACTTTGTCGACTTTCCAATTCCGCTTGTCCGGTGCGACTCCAGGACTGACCGCTTTCGGTGTTGGGGTTGCGGCTTTGGGTGCAGGAGAATTAGTGCCGTTTGATCGAACGCCGTTCGGTGTGGACGTCCCGCTTGACAGCTTCTGTTCGTTGACCACATGTCTCCATCTGCTTATTATTTCTGATGCCAACTGTGCCACATGCGGGTCCAGGTTGGGAACGCCCTTGACTTTATTCACGATCTTGCCGATTCCTGTAGCCCGCAGGAGCTCTTCGCTAGGTCGTACATTTGCTTTCAAATCTCGTAGAATTGTTAGGATATTTTCGGATGGCTCTTTTCCCGCGATGGCTTTTTGTAGGGCGGAGCCTTTGGAGAGGACTTCTCGCCGATCCATATTGAGCGAGGAAGGAGTCGGAGGAGTGGTGGCGTAGAGAGGTCGTAGGTCGCGACAGGCTCAGGTTGGCAGAGGTGATTCGGAGTTCTTGTCTAGATCAAATCACCTCGTTAGCATATCAGGCTGGACCGAAGCGATCATGGACAATATCGACAGTGTGACGGCGAAGGCTCATGAATGTGACGACGTCGGTCCATTGTAAAGACCACTGCCTTCACCAAAGTCGCGCTCGTCCTCCTGAGAGACTCGAGCATGAGTGAAACTTGTGCGACGCAGTGCTGGTCATCCAGGTCGCATGCACGACTTGCAGGTAACAAGGATGCGGGCATTCCTCACCTTCGACACGTTGATTCACTCTTCAAGGCAGAACTTCATTGTCGTCAGCACAACTATGCTCTGAGGGTGTACCAAAGATAAAGCGGCTGTCGAAGATGTCGCATGAAGGTCGGGGTGCATGAGGCTCTCGGATGCGAAAGGTGGGCAAAGCGATTTGCGAATACAAAGTGTTCGTGGAGAAGCGCGGGTGGTGGCAGAAAAAGTGGAGCCGGGTATTTCAACTGCCTGCGGGAGGAATGCATGCGACACACACAGCAGAAACGAATTCAGAGAATGGCCTCATCAAGATTGTCCATATATTGGCATATGGTATATCGTAAGGTATTGTTTTCGGTTCTGCCTGAAACTGATACTGGCAAGGTCATGATACAGTATTTCATCCCCTTCAACTGCGGCGCAAGAACAAACACGCTATACCCAAGCACGCGACCTCATCCTTAATATTCTAGCCGTACTTCTTGACCCTTGACACGGCCAATGACAATATCGGCAGCATATTTGGGAATCACTTCGTCGTCGTGTAGCATTTCGAATTCTGTGTGATTGTTAGTAAGGGATTCACAGTCCTCCGCGTGCAAGGGAAACTCACCTTCTGTGGCATCTCTACCCATATGACTGAACAATGCTTGAGGACCACCTGGATGTTCGTCGAGCCAGTTCGTAACGTCCATCACCACACCCTTGACGGCAATCCACAGATCGTCCTTCTTGTTGTGTTTGGCAACTTCCTCTAGAGAATACTCCTTTTCAGGAACCTTGAAGTTTTCGATACTGTTGGGCTCCTTTTTCTTGCCAGGGTCTTCGCTCTTGTTGCCATCCATCACAGGTGCCGCACTCTTTTGGGACTGCTGTGCGATGGCAGAAGCACCATTCTCAGCAGACGCACCCGAACCGCCACTTCCCCACTCTACAGAGATCTTTCCTGGGGTGCTGGGATCGATGTGTAGCGAAATCTGGCCGAGACGTTGAGAGGCACCACCGGCACCACCAGAAGTCAATTTCTTGAACAAGTACTGTGACGCCGACGCACCAGCGACACGGCCATAGACGACGCAGCCAAGCAGTGATGAACCACCAAGTCGGTTTGCTCCGTGAACACCGCCAGCCAATTCACCGCAAGCAAAGAGAGCCTCGAATGGTTCCTTCTCGTGGTTAAGCACTTGAGCCTTGTCGTTGATCTCCATACCACCCATAGTAAAGTGCAAGACAGGCTCCATCAGGGCGACGTGGAAAGTGTCATCGATTTCCAGAGGCAAGTTGTGGAAGTATTTCTTGCCCCAAGCGTCCTTCTTCTCTCCCTTGGAGATGGCGTTGTACTCTTTGAATTGCTTGTCGAGGGCTTCCTCGCCACAGCCGATCTCTTTGGCTAGCTCCTTGCCGCTCATCTTCTTCATCAGGCCACGACCGGAGTAGTGTCGGGTGTGGAAGTCGAGAACATTCGAAGCCTTGGAGTTGAGAACCAGACGGATGGGCCAGTTGCCTTTCTCTTTCTCTTCCCACATCTTGCCAGAGACGTAATCACGATGCCCCAGATCATCGCAGAAACGTTGGCCTTTGTTGTTGAGAAGAACACCGCCTTCACCTCGCAGGGCTTCAGCAGCCAAGAACTTCCACTTGGAGCCGGGGTCCTTAGGATCAACTAGACCAGTAGGATGTACTTGGACCTTGTCCATATCGATGTCGTTTGCTCCAATGGCCATCAACATCTTGTGACCGTCACCAGTTGCGTGTGTGCCGTTGGTCGTTGAAAGGTCGAAAGTATCGGGCCTCCATTTCTTGAGTAGGGAGGTCTCTCCAAAATCGGCAGCATAACCACCAGTCGCAAGAACGACAACACCATCAACAGAGTGTGACTCGCCACCAAATTCGTAAGTGACACCGGTGACGGTATTTCCCTCCTTGTTCAGCGACGTGACCTTGGCCTTTTTGATGACTTGTACTCTTTCCGGATCCGAGTCGGTGAGCTCTTCCAAGCGTTGCATCAGAGCATATGTGATGGCCATACCAGGGAATTTGGCATCGTGGCCTCGATGCGTTCTGGGAAAGGAGTGACCACTGGACACTGAATTAGCCTGTGCACCGAAAGCATCCGGATTGAGCATACCCAAGTCGAGAAACGAGGGTGAGATCGAGGTTGAAGACATCCTGCAGCCATTCGACGGCAGCTGCAGACTGGTATGTGAGGACTTTGATGAGATCTGGTCTCGCCTTGTCACGAGCTGACTTTAGAGTATCCTCGTAGAATTGCTTGACACTGTCTTGGATGCCGAGGTCGACTTGGGTTCTTGTCAGGGCGCCGTTGATGCCGGAGGTGGCTTTGGTCGAGTTGCCGCCAAAGAAGTCTGGACTGTTGTCAGCAAAGGAGTTCTTTAGCTTCGGGGAATCAATAGACTTGCTGTTCTTGTCTAGCACAACAACGTTGCCACCATTCAGGTAAACCGTGTGAGCGGCGCTGAGACCGGACACTGCGCAATGAGTTAGTGAGCCACATCAACGTAGACGAGTGGAGAGGGGCTGCTTACGGCCACCACCGACAACAATAACGCGGGGAGGAGCCATGTTGATCAAAGACTGTATAGAATTGAAGGGAATGAAGGTGTAGTATGCGCCGATGGAAGAGGAAGAGTCGAGGTTTTGAAGACCTGGCTAACAAAAGGATCACACGGACGGTAAACTGGGCCGTGGAGGATTCCCCAGACGACAGGACGGCAGTGAACCGTGGGCGCAGCACAATAATGCAATACCTAATGGTGATCAAATGGACCTCGGTACTTTTTGGCGAATGGGTGCTACTAATGTCCTTCGCCTGACTGGTGCCCACAATCAAATCTCCTTCTAGGGACAATTTGATTGTTGAGACTCGAGAAATGTTTCTACTTGGAGATATATAAAGGCCAATGTTCATTAGCAGCTTCTCGTCAATCTGTCCGAAGTCCTATTGTCGCTGTCTCCTCCGTCGGGGTAATATTACCATCATCAGAAGTGCGAACAGGTTGAAGAAACAGGACTCGCTCTTCTTTCCACCGAGCAAGGAGTGGGCTTTGGGGATAGTAGGAGACTAAGTTAGGAGTCTTTCCACCATACCCGCAAATCAAGGGCCCCCCGCAACTCCGGCCATGGTACTCGGTGACAGAGAATTCACATGCTTCTGACACCCTTGGTTTCTACTCTTCTCCCTGGGCCAGCATGGACCAAAAATCAAAGTCCGGGGCATGTGAAAATCAATCTTAATGACGATTTCTTCATCTCACGAGACCTCTTGACATGGGTGGATATAAATTGCTTCTGTCCAATAGTTGTAAATAGTATATGGCCTGACATTCAAACGCAAACACATTCATAGGGAATCATTAGATCAACTTGACTCCAATGGCGCCTCGCATCCGTAAATCATGAGACATGCAAGTCGAACACATACTCCATGCTCAAACGTCTTCTCCGTATTTCTTCGTCGTCTGGTCAATTTTGTCAATGCCGCCGGTCTCGCCATCGCTGCACATCATATCGCATATACATAATCTTGGTGGGCGAAGCGGCCTTGAGAGATGTGGCTCTCGGCCATGCCCTGTTTGCGACGTCTTGGTGTCTCATTCTTCGGGTCAGTGATTAGGAGTTCACTAATTCATGCTCGCGCACGACGTTGTGTGACGAGACAGAGCGATTGTGGCGGCGTCGGCCCGGAACTGGACACTACCACCATAGGCTTGCGTGTTGCCTGATGATGTTAGGGCGGTTTGGCATTCCCAGGGAAAGTCTGGGAGGCCAGGTTCATTGCGAAGAACAGCACTGCTCCTGATTTTTGAGGGATGCCGATGCGTCTTCGGCACATCTTCAATTCGAGTCGAGTGCGCGTTCAGAAGACTGCAACGCGCCCACGGCGGTCCTTTATGACTCGCAACTGAATGGCTCTTTGTGTTTGCTTGTTCATGGATTCCTTCTTAGGTCTGCAGCACTCCTAGTCGGCGTGTTCGACAAAGTATTTGTGGGATGTCGTGACAGCAAAGAGACGCTGGAAGTGGACGAGCGCAGACTTGACGCCGAAGACGAACTGCCCAGAGACTGCGCATTTTGGGACTGTCTGCTATCGTTCTCCGGCTCTTTATAGAACATCGTGAAGCGAAGGGTTTGGTATCTCATCTTTGTAGTGGTCTCCAATCACACTGTCTCATGAAAGGCAAAGGAGATACAGAAGGGTAGAGAAACGAGTGGAGTGGTACTCGAGAAAGACCTGATAAACGAAGCAGCGTTAATACAGACAACGGAGAATATTACAACCTTGATGGTGTTATCATGAGATCGGCGGGGTTCGTGGTGTATTTGTACTGATCCCATCATCGTGGCACTGACCCGATTGCGGGCCACGAAAAGAGTGAAGGCCTTGGATGAGCACTGTCTCAATGGTCGATGACGATCTGCCATTTGCCGAAAGAATGAAGGCACGGGAGAGTTTAGGAAGAAATCGGAATCGCAAAGCTTGGGTTGATAAGGACCGATCACGTGACTATTTCTCAACTGCAAATATCTGCGATCGCGGAGCACTCGTTGAGGAAATAACTTCCATCACCATCGTCCCTCTGCGTGCCGCGTCTTATCAGATGTACATGTTCCAAGCGATGTCACACGTTGAGTACCTATGCAACCTCATGCCAAGCGAAGCAGTTAGCAGGTGACAATGCCCATTCCACGCCCGACATCAATAACTTGTGCCAGGCCTCTGAAGGCACCGACAAAGTAGTCTGGCTGTACGTTGGTCATCTGGATCCGCTGACTGCCCTGCCCTGTATTGGTCGATAGGGTTTGCCAGATGCACTGCCAGCAAATCTTCAGAGGCTCTCAGCCTCACTTCCAAAGCGCTCACCTCGCACAGTACATGAGCACGAGCAACACCTGACAATAAGGCGACATTAGGGTATCTTGGCTGCGCGCGGCGGTCCTGGGCAAACGCTGGCCCCAGTGCGAGAATGGCCTGAGGCTTCGGGCGTGAACATGATGAGATGTCGCATCGCATCATGAAACTTTATGATGGTCCTGATTTGATGCCGAAACATGCTTTGAGCTGCAGTCAATTGTCCGACTCATGCACTCTCGTGTAGGGGACCCAGTTTGGAAACTTTCTGCCCTTACCCATAAATCTCTTCGTCAAGTTGCACCACAATTCGACCTGGTCGCGTGCCTTCTTCTACATCTCTCCACTTTCCGCAATCCTGACATCCAACACCGGGCGTTCTCCCTGCCCTCGTCCACCTGGGCCAGCGGTCCTAGTATTTTCGATCATTTTGACCACCCCCATACTCTCCTCGTCCGCAACTTGCCCGAACACGACGTGCTTGTTATCCAAAAAGGGTGTGGGCGCGGCTGTGATGAAGAACTGGCACCCATTCGTGTTGGGACCGGAATTTGCCATTGATAGTAGACCAGGACGTGTATGCTTGTGCTGAAACGACTCGTCGGGAAATGCGGTGTTGTTGTATATACTCGTGCTACCTGTGCCGTCAGAGTGTAGGAAGTCTCCACCTTGGATCATGAAGTTTTTGATCTACCACATCAAATTTAGCTAGGGTAGTCCCAATTGCGGTGGTCTTTTGCGAATTTCGGATCTGCTTACCACACGATGAAATTTGCTGCCTTTGTAGCCTTGAGGGCGGCCGTTCACTTTGTGCTCACCGGTGCAGAATTGACGGAAATTCTCGGCGGTTTTGGGTACGGTGTTGGCGAAGAGGTGCATTTTGATCCGGCCTAGCGGTTCGCCTGTGATTTGGATGGTCAGTGGCCTCGTCCTGTCTGGGCAGAGAAGTGCAAGCAAGGATGGATGGTGGAGTGTGAAAAGGCCAGGGAGCAGCCATGATTCCTGAGCCCTTCAAAATAGACTCTGCGCAGATTCCCACCGAGTATTTGGCCCCGATCAATTCAGATCATAAAAGCATGTAGCAACATAGAACAAGTCCTCGAGTATGAATAACTCATTCAGACGTTTTGGTGGCATGGTGTGCAGAATTCGTCCAGGTGCAAATGCTTCTGCTCAAAGGGTGCTTCAGGGTAGAAACTTACCACCAAGGGTGACATCGAAGAAGACGATAGGTTCGCCCTCACCAGGCTTCGGAACGGGAATGCTCGCTGCCATCTTGTTGTCTACGAGCGAGGTCGCAAGATGATCGTGGTATGAGTGTGCTTTGTTTGAGGTGGAGAAGTTCTTAAATTAAATTTGCGCGACTATCCTGACGAGGCTGAGGGACAATCCTGAAATGGGGTAGGATATCGTGCAAGAATCTGGAATGCTGATTCAACAACTCTAAGTACTACGAACGCAGGGTGGAACGCTCTTCAATTCGTGAATGTCCGAAATAAAGAAGTAGCAATATATGTCAAGAGGAAGTGAACATCAAGATGTCGTAAGTGAAGTCAAAAGACGTAAAGTTCTCCAGTAATGTCCCCATATTCCCATATTTTCCCTCTCCTTACCATTGAGATACTCCCATGATCCTATTAACGCCCACTTTCAACATTGACAGAATTGTGTCAGTTCTCCAGACTCAATTAGCGGCAATGTCCTGGGCTTTATCATCTCTCTTCCAGAACTTGAAGCCTTTCTTCTTCTTGGGCTCAATGGCTGCGAGAGGAGGAGGGATGATGTAGGGCAAAGGTCTCGCGATTGTCTCCTCGGGAGACAGTTCTTGCTTTGGCCATCGAGATTCAGGAATCTCGCCAATCTTGGTGCTGGTCGTCATAAAAGTCATAGTAGATACAGGACGGACTTCCTTGCGACGTGTTCGAGCCTGAGGTCGTGGCTCAGGATCCAGTGGAATCTTCGGTGGTCGAGGCGGAGGCTGTTCTGCGTGGCCAACCGCACTGGCAAAGAAGTCGGCAGGCACTAGTAACATCCTTGGTTGCCTCTCAGGCTTCGCGTGGTTTGGGGCCTCTTGCCTAACATCAAGTCTGGGCTTTGCATCTTGAGAGCTTGATCGTAATCCCCGCGGCTCACTGGCCACTTTACGATGCTTGCGAATCTCGTTTCTTGTTGTCGAGCACTTGAATAGGTTGGACTCGGACTTAGCTCTCTTATGTCTTGTTGGCTCGCATTCCACGACTTTCCTGGCCGTGGTAAGTGTGACCACGGAAGATCCGCTTTTGCTTCTGACCCAGCCACCACGCACCAATAAGGGCGCAGGTGGAGGTCGCCTCGTTTGACGAGATGTCGCTGATAGCGACGATGACGAAGAGCCTTTTCTTTCCTTGTCATGACCTGATCTTTTATCCACTTTCCTCTGACTTGGTTCGACTGGCAACCTCGCGCCCGAACCGCGGCTCAAGCGCGACGTCAGCTGACCAAGTGCAGTCATGGTGTCCAGAGCAGCAGTTTCTGAGAGATTGAACAGGGTCTTCTTTGACAGAGATCTTGATTTGGAGTCATCAGCCAAAGCATGGCTGATCAAATTGATCAATCCAGTGTTCAGGACCAGCAGTGTGTGGGCCAGGCTGGCATGAGCAATGCCATCACCAACCTCAAATCGATTGCCATACTTTGCAACACTCTGGTCATATTCGCTCCGGATTTCCAAAGGTCGACTTTTCAAAGAACGTCGTAACCATTCTTCTTCCTCGGAAGGATGAGGGAGTCTTGCAATGGTGGGTCTTTTCTTTCCTCCCAGACGATGGAATACATCTAGACCACTTCCAAACGCTGCGATAATGGAGCCCACCACCGTAGCAACATCAATAGCACCCATAGTAGACGACGGCAAAGACCTGCTGCGAGCAGCTAGTTCATAGCACAATTCAAGCAACGAAAGACATGAAACAGCTGCAAGGAAGTACAACCTGGTATATCGATCAGCTGCCCCCGAAACGAGAGGAGTAGGGCGTTGAAGGTCGAGGCAGACACAGTCTGCGCCTGTGGAGCGAAGGTGGAAAGTGAGGAAGGCACCCTTCTGGATGGGCTAGATATACATGAGAACCAATGTAGCTCGAGCCCTGCATGTGCTTGTACAAACCTCCGAGTGGCGCTTGCAGCATGTTTCCTCCACTCAGGAACCAACGCGGCATGTCTTGTTGACTCCCGCTGCATGACTGGTACGAAGAAATGGCAATGGTCTGCAGGTAGTCGACTAGGGGCCATCGGTCCAGGCGCTTGCGGACATGCAATGAGTCGAACTTGATAAGCAAGGAGACGGGCGAAAGCATGAAACATGCATAGACCAGGCTTTGTCTCCAAACATCTGCTTCGCGTTTTCTACAGATAGCATTTCCTCCCGCCAGTGAAAGGTGCAGACCAACATGGATTGGCAAGAAGAGGAAGGAGAAGACCTGGTGTTAGGGAATGCACAGATAAAGCAGGTTCAAGACGCAAACCTCCTTGAACAATGAACATGACACCACATCGGCACTTTTTGTTCCCCGCGGTCCAGGCACACTAGGCGTACTGGAAACTTTCCCCCCACACCACCTGGAAAAACTGCGGGTCATTAGGCACAATAGGTGATCGCAACTAGACTGAGCACTCTTGTTCGAAAGTGCACTTCGACAGAAACGTTGAGAAGTCCAACCCTGGTCACCGAGGTCTATACTCCAGTTCGATCCCGATCAGTCTTCCAAAATGTCCTCTGTCGGTCCTGAACTACCGCCCGAACTGCAAAAGCGCAGACGCAGCGCCGAAGATGACGACGAAGAAAACAACTCCTCAGATTCCTCCACTGGCCCTCTTCCCTCAAGAACAGATACACAAGCACAAGCACCACCCTCGACTAAACGTGCCCGTGTAATAGGTCCATCCCTCCCACCAGCACCACTTGATCAACGCCCATCAAGCCCTCCGCAGGCTGACCGGGACGAAAACACAAGTGAAAGCAGCGACCAGGACGACGACTACTTCGGTCCCTCCCTTCCCTCGGCAGCCGACGCGATCAAGCCCACATTAAACGGTCCACAAGCGCCTGAAGTATCTACTCGCGCTCCTGCCCCAGCCCAGCGCGACGAATGGATGACTCTAGCTCCCACCAGCGGTGACTGGTCTTCACGCGTCGACCCAACAAAACTCAAGAACCGCGGATTCAACACAGGTCGAGGGTCAAAGGCGCCCCCGAAACCACCCAGCGGCGGTGACCAGTCATGGCACGAAACGCCCGAGCAAAAGCAAGCTCGCCTGAAAAGAGAAGTCATGGGTATCAAAGACTCCACTGTTACAACCACTGGGTCCAAAACGGAGCACAACGCTCACGATGAGGAGACCGCACGAAGACTCAAAGAATATAATGAAAAGCAACGAGGCACATCGCTTTACGCCTCGCACCATGCCTCGAGCAGGCCCATCGAAGAGGATGACCCCAGCGCCCGGGCGTTCGATCGCGAGAAAGATATCGCAGGCGGCGCGACCGTCAACTCCACCAAACGCAGAGAAATGCTCAAGAAGGCTGCGGATTTCTCCTCCCGGTTCAGCTCGGCTAAGTATCTGTAATGGCTTCACGCACAGTGTCACGCGCATGCGAATATACTAGAGGCAGCACTGAGCTGAGCTGTCCGCGCTGGCCGTACTTGGGGTCACTTCGAGGTCAACGTTGCCATGATGGCGGGACCTCAGCCGGCGCCGTTCCTAGCTACATTTACCCTGTGGGGATGCGATCTCACAGGTATCTGCGCAGGACAGATATGCTGACTGTTGTGGTGCTGAACAAGTACCGTGGTGCTACTGTGGCTCTCTCGAACAACCCTGACTTTGAGACCTCCAACGACCACTCGATCATGGTCGCAACTCAAAAATCTGGCCGACTCTTCGGCGCTGGCCTGCGAAAACGCGCTATGCGGCATCACCAACATGCATATTGTCGACTTGAAAATTGCATTGCCCCTGAGGGTGATTGAGCCTTCACTTTCCTGTGGCGCGATCGCCAGATCTAAAGAAGTCCGTGCATGCTTGGATACCCCAATCACCAGACCACACGAGAAATTGTTCTCGTATCGCGCCAACTTGGCATATGCTAAGTGTTTCCTCATGTCCTAATTGATTTGCCCTGCGGGCATTTACTGGTCGGTCCGAACCCCTGACAGTGATCTGACAGCACGCGCCGCACAATGACATCTCGGCATGGCAACTGCTGAGAGGTTGGGAAGTCGAGACCGTTGCGTGAACATGAAAGGGGGGTTCGAAAGATACCATTATAAAAGCATGATGTATTGCCATTATGGGCGCTGGACGCACCGCGGTTTTCGTGCTAAGACTGGAGACCGGATAACGACCAGTCTGCCGAACACACCTGATCGAGGCGACGTGAGGAACAGCCTTTCAGATGACAAAGCCCGTGCTGCTCGCGAATGCTTTCGCAGCAACCTGTCTCTTCGCTTCATATGGGGCGACAGCTGGCTGCTCAGCCCTGTACGGGCAATGTGGAGGGATCGGCTGGACTGGAGCGACATGCTGTGCCACTGGATCTAGCTGTCAGTATGTGAACGGCAACTACTATCAGTGTCTCACGTATGTTGGCAATTCTGCTTGCGCTGCTACGTATGGACAGTGTGGAGGAATAGGCTGGACCGGCGCAACCTGTTGTCAATCCGACTGGAGCTGCGATTATAGCAACGACTACTATTATCAGTGTCTCCCACCCACGGACACTTCTTCCCCTACCTCATCCAGTAAGACGAGTACAACGACTACTTCCACTTCGAGGACTTCAACTGCATCAACAGCTTGTGCAACGAACTGGGGTCAATGTGGTGGGATAGGCTGGACCGGTCCAACCTGTTGCAACAATGACTGGCCTTGTGTATACGGGAATGATTACTACTACCAGTGTATCTCACCGTCAAGTGGTAAGTTAGGACATGAGAGTTGTTCAGATGCCCCTCCGTTCTGACAACCTTCAGCAAGCGCGCTTTCTGCAAGCAAGACAACCTCCAGCACCACAACCACTAAATCGACGACCTCCAGTACGACAACAACAACCAAGTTGACGGCCTCCAGCACCACGTCCACCAAGTCGACAACGTCCAACACCTCATCGGCAACTTCGACAAGCTCCCGTACAACCACCAAGTCGACAACTTCCAGCACCACAACCTCCAGCTCAACCACCCCCACGACCTCAAAAGTGTCTACATCCTCCACAACCTCCACCCTCAAATCCAGCTCATCATCCTCGACGACCACTGCCTCTGCAAGCGCCTCCTCGACTGGCGATCGTCTCCAATATGGTGGAGTCAACATCGCGGGCTTCGAATTCGGCAGCTATGACACTTGTGGCATTCACACGGCACAGCCAGATGCTGATCCCACCGACTTCGTCGCACAGATCAAACACTTCGTCGACGACGACAAGCTCAATGCCTTCAGGCTTCCAGTGTCGTGGCAGTACCTCATCAACCAATTTGACGGTAGCTCGTTGGGGACCAACAAACTCGACTCGAACAACTTTGCAACCTACGACGACTTGGTGCAAGGGTGTCTTGACGCAGGAGCCTCGCTCTGCATTATTGATATCCACAACTATGCTCGATTCAATGGATATATTATCGGCCAGGACGGTCCGACTGCAGCCCAATTCGCCAGTCTTTGGAGTCAGATTGCCACCAACTATGCTTCTGAGAGCCGGGTCGCGTTTGGTCTCATGAATGAACCGCACGACGAATCATGTAATTCCGCAAACGGGGGTGTCATGGACATCGATACCTGGGCGGCGACTTTGCAGACGGTAGTGAATGCCATCCGTTCAGCAGGCGCAACATCTCAGTTGATCATTATGCCCGGCAAAGGTTGGACTCATTCCATCACATACCTCGATGCGAGTGGCGACGGTTCGGGGCCGGCGTTGATGGGCATCACGGACCCTGCGGGTGGAACGTCGAAGCTGGTGTTTGAAGTCCATGAATACCTCGATTCCAACAATGCTGGCTCGAGCAGTGACTGTGTCACGAGTAGCATTGACAGCTCTTATGGCCGGGGTGGTCTCCAGAATCTGGCAAATTATCTCCGATCTAATGGCCGATTTGCGATGATCACGGAATCTGGTGGCCTCAATAATGCCAATTGTGCTACATATCTTTGCAAGGAGCTGAACTTTCTTGCTAATAACACGGATGTTTTCCTGGGATACACGACTTGGGCTGCCGGTGGGTTCGATTCAAGTTACGAGTTGACAGAGACACCAACTTTGAGTGGAAGTACTTGGACGGATACGTCGCTGGTCCAAGCATGTGTTGCGAAATGCTTCACAGGAACATGTTGATAGATGTTGGTTCATTCACGAATCGGACCGGATGAAGTCCGCAGAAGGAGGGCCCCTGATGGAATCGTAGCCTTGCCGGCCGTTGACAGACTAGTTCCCCACAGGCACTAATCAGCAAGGGCGAGTATTTTCGGGTACTAGTTCTTATTCTCCGCAATCAAAAAATTTCCTCGTTTTTGACCTCCTACGCAAAGTATTCCCAGCTTCATGTCAGGCAGTATTTGCCAATGCCATCCCTGTCTTCGGCATCGCGAGGGTCGTCTCAGGTGCCTGTGATTTTCGGGCCCGTCCAGATGAATGTGCTGGCACCGATCTCACATGAATGCAGTTGTTCGCATAGCTCTGAAGCTAAGAGCAGATATTCCATTCGTTCCGCAGGATCTTACTCTTCGTTAAGATACTGTCTCATCGCGAAAAGCCTTCACTGGCTCTTTCAGAATGGTAGAAAAACCTTCACATCGATTCTGTATCTACTGTGCTGGACCTCCGGGACTGAAAGCTCAGTTCGTTTTGAATTCGTACAAAATTGGAAGCACTAGATTCAGGCGTGGTCTTGCAGGGACTCGGGACGATTAGGCGCCGAACGGTCTAAGGTCCTTTGATCGCTCCGGCAAAGGAGAAGAGATGCTGCAGAGAAAGGTCGTATGCAAAGTCGAAGTCAGCATGTCTGGATCTTCAGGTTAGGTATGCGCACGTATCGTCCATCCAATTAGTCACCCATTATGTCAGGGCATACAGTACACTGTCAGGATAACGTATTCCGTGTGCCTGGGGGTTGCCCCGAGTGCAAGAGGTGTGGACTTTTGTTACTCGTAGATACCCCGATCAACTCGTACAGGCGGTAGGTACAGTAAAATTTCACATGCATTTTACGTCCGTTGCCCAATGAATGAAACCCTCCGCAGCGGCATGGAAAGTGAAACGTGCAGGCGGCGTGGTAACAACTTCACCACCGGCGGCACAGACGGCACTTCCCACGCGTCTGTATCACTTCACCATTACTTCATAAGGCACTTATATCTACCGGTCCAATCGTACTGTTAGTTTCGGCTCACCATTCGCAAATCAAATCAGACCAAGCGAGCAGCATAACACGAAGGCAACACAACCTCTACATACCTACCTTACTAAAGTCCATTTCGTCAACCACCTCACAGCATAATACGAAAGCAACACAATCTCTAATACTAAGCCCATTCCATCCATCACCTCACAGCACAAATCGCCAAAAATGGATCGCATCGACGTCTTGAAAGCTACATCGCTTGTTGGCCTCACATCGTCCCTCTGGCTCTCCGGCATCTACTTCGGCAGCTCGCAATTGACAGTTCCACTCCTGTTTGGTCTTCCCGTCGAAACCAGCAGCGCAGCATTCAAGGACCTGTATTACAGTGGCGCAAAGACCGTCGTCCCGCTTGCTCTGCTGTCCACAGTGGCCACCGGGGTAGCTGGTTATCTTGACCCAGAGAAGCGGGTGGGCTATGCGATTGCTGCGGTCTCTACTATTGGAACTCTCGCCTGGACAAGAGCGGCTATGGTGGGCAATATCGACAGATTGCTTGCGATTGCGGACGACAAGAAAGTCAAGGAGAAAGTTCGGACTGAGGAGATGGATCAGCTTTTGAAACAGTGGCAGTGGATGAACTCTGTGAGAGCGGTACTGGCGGGTGTTGGAGGTGTGCTTGGACTGCTGGTGACGAGCCGGACACTGTGAAAGATCTTGCATCTTTCATGCTCAGGACAAGCATCATGGACGACGTTGACTAGGTGTTAGGGTAAGAGGCTTCCAGAGAGTGAATAATGCACATGTACTGTATCAAGAATCGCCATGCATTTGAACGACGCTGCCTAACCTCATACTGCCTACCGTGATGTGCCGAGAATGCCTAACGTTGTGGCGCTTCTGGGGCGGCCTCGGGCCGTTGCACATCACTTCCAGGCACCCCGGCCTCCCTCAAGCGGCAAACCTGACAAAGCATCGTTAAAAACTTGGCGTGATGAAACGCGCTGTGACGCCAAATCCGCCTTGCACGCGATTTGCCCTGACAGCATCAACCATGCAGCGAACATGAGATGCCAATAAATGCGGACGCACTCCATTTAATGCCCATGGCTGTCCCTACGAAAAACTGCTGCAGCCATGACAAATCCTCCACTCCAGAAAGGAAAGGCCATATCGGATTACTTCAAACCCTACATCAAACCTAACGTTCCAGCGAAGCGGCCTTCGCCGTCTATCGACGAAGCAGAGCAGACGAAGAACGCGGCGCAGAGCAAGAGCCCAAGGAAAGGTGCTGCAGGGACCTCGACGCCCAAAGCCGTGAGAAGGACAACAGAAGCAAAGACACGCACACCAAATGCGCCCTCGCTCTCACCGTTGTCTGCACGGGGCTCCAGCGTCCGCTCAATACCTTTCCGCAGCCCTCGGCCTCAGGAGCCTATAGAGCCGCCGTCGACCTACAAACGCGCTTCTCTTTTTGGAACGGACAGAAAGACAAACCCAGTATCGCCAGCACCAGCCAAACCCTTTTCTTTCGCAGACCTACCTACCTCAACCCAAGCCGTGTTAAAGGCTGGTCAGGTGGTGGAAATCCGCGACTCAGACGATGACACTGCATCCGTTGACTCGCTAGAGTCGCTAGGACAGCTCTTTGGGAAGAAGAAGGATGGCAATACCACATCACTGTCTTCCTCTCCCGAGGTGGACGAGAACGAGCTTGAGGCGCAACGTGTTAAAACATTGAGTGCATTTACTCGGGGCCGATCAGACCCGTTGGTGGGCAAAGACAAGTTGCGCGCGCTCCATGCAAAACAAAAAGCAACCAATTTCGACCTGTCCGGCATCATTGGCGATCATGACGACGACGCTGCAGTAGAGCAGAAAGTCCAGCAGTCACGAGCCGACTATGAGGCGTCTCGGGCCCCTTCACCTCGAGGGAACCACAGCTTGGACAGGAAGTTGCTCGCGGCCGTTGTCGATGCTGAAGATGGCGATGGCGGGGTCTCAAGGCTTATGGACGCCGTTGAGCGTACGGAAGCTTTGGCATCAGACCGAGTCTTTCTGTTCTTCGGGGCTGATGGTGTAAATGACTGGCACGAGAAGCCTCCTATGCTGTACGACTACCCGAAGAGAGCTATACCAGACAGCACCTGGCGTCCAGGGGACGATGATGCGCGATCGAGGGCGTTTAAGTCTGGTTATATGTCGGAGCTTGCCTCTCGAGGACGAATATCGGACGAGGCGCTACGGTGGACTTTTGACAGCGTCGTTCTTGAACAGGATGATGGCTCGCGGCCTGCATACATCGAGTGTCTACAGAATGCAAGTCCATCATGGACCAGAAACAATGTCACAGCCCAGGATGTGCAGACTGTTTTTCAGACCCTGGGAGCAGACGTTGCCAACTTCCAGGATGCAGTGCCAATCCAGCCAAAGTATCGCCTTGTAAGCGAACCTGCACGGCGTGATCCAAAGTATCTGCTGGCGGCTCTGGACCTCTTTCAGTCCATCGCACAGGACATGGACTTCATCGGGTTGAGCAAATTAACCTCAATGCTCTGTCGATTAGCTATCGACAGTGAACTCATGAGCGACGGTCAAGTCACTTGCAAAGTCGAACAAAGCCTGGAACACCTCCTCAGCCTGCCGGACCATGATCTGCGGGAGCATGTTTTTGAAAGGATGATCGCCGACGTGGGACAGCATCTGAAAGAGCCGACCCTACAAGCATACCTGCTCTCTCACCTCCTGCCGACATCGACCACCGCCTCACGCGTACGCACAACCCTTGCACGGATATTCTTCATGGGCACTGAGGAGTCGGAACCTACACAGAACCTCTCTCCTCGGGACAATCTCGATAGATTGACGGAGCGCATCTCCACATCAGAACCTTTCATGCCCAAGCGGCACCGAGACCCCAGGAAAGTCGATTATACTGCCCTGCGAGCGCAAGCATACATCCTCGACACTGCTATCGCGGACGGCGGTCGACCCGCGGATTTTGACTCTCGCGCTGAAGAAGTCGCGTTCAATAAGTCGGTTGACAAACTGGCTGAGAGCGTTCGTCTGACCTTCACCTCGATCATCAACACGGGTACCTCGCACTTGAGCAGAACCGAGGCGAAAGCCGCGCTACAAACACTCTATTGGCGCTTGTTGTACAGTGTGCGAACAGAGGTCCGACCAAGGAAAAACATCTTTGATGCGCGGACCGGGTTGATACGCGAGTCCAGAGAGTTCAACAGTGAGGAGAAGGGCAAGAATGTGATGAAGCAGTTTCTGGCGAGAAAAGAGCAGAGGAATGCTGAAGCTGATGCAGACAACCAGCGACACGCATCTCAAGGCGTGTCAGAACCTGGCGGAAACGTCATTCTTTCTGGATCTTCAGAACCTTCAGAGACGGAAGTGATGATACGGCGTCAGTTGGGACTAAGCGAGTGAACTGTAGTGGTTGATGAATTTTGGGGTTTCGTGGTGTTGCAACAGTGTGTTATTAGCATGGCGTTGGTGGATGAAGGGACATGTCGCTCCTGTGATACTGTTATACTCTGAGATGCCGGTTTGAAATGATCAGAAGTTATGTATATACATGCATCTGCGTAAGCGAACAGTATCGCGTACTCTGATGAATAGCAACCCATCCCTGATTAATGGCTGATTTCTGAGCGCCATATTCTATCGAAGCACTGCTGTTCCTCAAGCATAGTACAACAAGCCGACCAGTACCTCACAATCGCACACAGAACAACGCCTGCTTGATTCACAGCCCGCTCAATCATGGAACCGTCTATTTTGGTTCTCGCCGAACAGTGTAGCTCGAATGCTTGGAAGAGCGTCGGTTTCACACATGCGCAGCCTCTCTTCGAGCGTGTTGTTCAATTCAATCTTGCCGCCACCACCAACGACATAGACACCGCCGGCCCTGTAGATATATTAGCATTTCACCTCACGAAATTGTTTGTGGTGTCGACATACGATTCTTCTGGCAGCCAGTTCTTCTCGTCAATCACAGGCTCGACATCAGTGCCCACCTTTTCCTTGTATTCGGCAGCAGCCTTCTTTGCAGCACCTTCCACCTTGTCCTTCTCTGCCTGCTTACACCGGATGACCAACTTACTCTCATTGAGCATGTATAGACCTTCTAGTATCAGACCTTTTAACATCTCCTCGTAGTCCTTGTTGGCAGCTTCGGCCAGCTTGCCCCGTGCATCTTCGAACAGCTTATCTAGCAGCTCTTGTCGAGCACTGAGGACTTTTATCCGGGTCTTATTGGCCATAGTTGAACGGGTAATCTGCTGCGACATGGATGCCTGCTTGAACTTCTTCTCGTATTCCTTGTCGATTGCCGCAATTTCCTCGCGAACAAGTCTGGACTTTTCGATGGCAAATTCTTCGTCTGCTTTTAGCTGGATCTCGCGGGCTTTCTCGAGGGCTTCCTGCCGTATGAACGCAGTCATTTTCTTCAGCTCGGAAGCGACCTGTGACCCATGTCAGTCAGACTGTCGAATGGAAGATGAGTCAAGAAGCGACGAACCTGGTCGTCCGAGAGAGCGTGAGACGACGACATATTGGCGGTGGGTATGAACCTGTGCTACTAGGGTATAGGATGCGTGGGAATGTAGCTCTTGAAAACGAGCTTCAAGGTCGAGGGTGATAACCTGCGCAGCAGGACCTCTTTCGAGCTTCGTAGGTGGTGCTAAGCTTTCAGATTCGTCGACCGGTGGGAGTGTGTCGACACACGATGTTGACAAGCGAGTCTTAGTTGCTGAAAGGTAGACGTACGGAAAGCGCATGCAAGGTCAATGCTGAGCAGCAGTGCGTTCATGGGGAAAGAAGCGACAACCTAAAGCTAAACTAGCGATGCGGATGAAGTCACCGCCAAACACTTTGACAACCCACCCGCGTCTCACATTCAAACACCCTTCTTCGAGGCACCACTCTTCCGACTACATCCCTCATCACTCCTTGGAAAACAGCCCTACGACTCAATCAACTCTCATTCATGCTTGGTCAATCAAAATGTATGGCTCGACGGAGCTGAACTCACGCATGGATCTTGAGACCTCCGCCTCAGTCATCCACGATTATGGGCCAACTAGGTGACATCTCGCCCGAGGGCAGCATTGCCGTGAGAGAACTCGTTATGACCCGAAAAATCCAAAGGCTGACTCGCATTAGATCGGAATCATCGTCGGCCTTTTATCCACCTCCATTCAGAGTCTGGGACTCACCCTACAACGGAAGTCGCATCTGATCGAGGATGCCAAAGGAGATGGGGAAGCCAGAACACCACCATATAAGAGACGAAAATGGCAGCTGGGAATGTTCATGTTTGTGATGGCCAACTTGATCGGCAGTACCATCCAAATCACAACGTTACCATTGCCAGTCTTGTCGACTTTGCAGGCTTCCGGCTTGGTCTTCAACACGGCATTTGCCACTCTTTTGCTCGGCGAGCCCTTCACGCATTACTCCCTTGTCGGGACGATTCTGACGTGTGGTGGTGCCGCTTTGATCGCGACATTCGGCGCCATCGGCGAGCCGGCGCATAACTTGCGACAATTACTGGAACTCCTTGGTCAGAGAGACTTCATAATATGGATGGTTGGGACCATGGTCGTGGTGATCGCCACTATACTTTTCGCACATGTCCTCAAAATGTGGTCATCCCACAAGCATATCACGCAGAGTCTGGCCAAGCACGAGAGGCCTCGATCGACCTCCTCGAGCTCAAGACATTCACTTACGCTCAGCCGTTCGTTTACCGCTCAACTACCGCAAGCTATGAAGGTGAGACTTCATCGCCTACGTCTGGTTCGAGGACTTTCGTATGCCCTTATATCTGGCATCTTGTCCGCTCATTCTCTTCTCGTCGCGAAATCAGCTGTAGAGCTGCTTGTTCGGACCATTGTCGACCACAAAAATCAATTCAATCGCTTTCAGTCATGGCTTATCCTCGTGGCACTACTCTTCTTCGCCTTGACGCAACTATACTACTTACATCTCGGTCTACGACTTTGCAGTACGAGCGTATTATACCCCTTTGTGTTCTGTATTTACAACATTATTGCCATCTTGGATGGTCTGATATACTTTCAGCAAGGATCGAGGCTCAGTGCTCTACACGCTGGACTGGTAGCCTTGGGCACTGTCATATTACTTCTGGGAGTGCTAGCCTTGTCTTGGAGATTGGATGATACAACGCCATCGGAAGCCGTCCACCCTGTGGCCCCTCCACGGACTCCTCTTACGCCAGGAATGGGTTTGGTACAGTCTCCATCCGATGACCGCAGTCAGTACCTTTCCACCGGCAGAAGAACAAGCTCTGGATCTCTCGACAAACAGTCTGTGGACGAGGAGACGCCTCTCTTGGTTGCAGGAAAGCCTCAAAATCCAGCACGGTCTGTCGGGACGGATACGGAAGGGATCTGGGCTGAAATAGACGATGAGACCCCCCAAGACTTCCTTTCTTCTCTGCCGAATACAAATACGACTTTTCTGACAAACAACTACAAAGTTCGCCGGAGAGGCAATTCTGGTTCTTCGCAGGCTATCTCCGATGGAAGTCGACCTAGTTCGTCTGGCTCTAATGCCCGGGATAAGGCCAAGGATGCTCCCACCGGAAGCAATGACGGTGATGATACGAGTCAGAGGCGCAACAGTACGCCCCAAGCTTCGGAATCCACGCCTTCGCCCGACCAGAAACAAGAAAGAAAACGAAGCACATCCATCCGGTTTGCCGACATTGATCCCGGGAATCGAAATCAAAACCAGAAGCACGATTCTAAAAGAGGAAGTCGAAGTCGCTTCGACAAGGGCACCGAGGAGGACAAGTGAGGGTGTCTGTAGAGCAAGCTATTGAACTCGGACTGCCGTTGAACTCAGTGCGGAAGGACTGAGCGATGCAGAATCGCTTACACGGGCATAGACCTACGCTCTGCACTTGCGTGAAAAGAGGCAGAGATCGATGATGATAACGTAGTCGAAACACAGATTATATTGCAATGGTAAGACATTATTCCGGCATTCTCTTCTCTACAAATGCAGTAGGATATGGTTGAAGTGCGCATGTGCACTTCAACGATCTGAAATGCCGACTCCTCCTGGCCAGTTGTGCCAAAGTCAGTGTACTTACTGCGGGCAGAATAGTGTCCTAAGTGCCGCTCGCTATCGACATACTTGTAGTTCCCAATCGACCCATCGGTCATGCTTGAACAGTGGTAACTCTTCATGGAGAGATACAAAGACGTTTTCCATGCCCCCGAATTGATTGTTTGCCTGGTGATTCATGTCAGGTCCTCTTGTTCATGGCTTCGTCACTTTGTATATCTCATTGTATCCACTCAACACCATCTTCTCCAAAGTCGAGATATTGTGACCGTGAAAACGCTCGGGATCCAAAGAATCTCTTGTCTCTTGATCAGTTTCCAACCCATTCACGACCTGGGCAACGAAACTAGCAGTGCCAGCAGCGTGAGTCATCCAGACTGCCGCTGCCACATACAAGCCCCGGACAGCTGTTATCGGCCCTGCGATCTACCAGGATGATATGTCGCTCCTTGAAGCTCGCGGATAAATAGTTGGCCAGAGCTGAGCCCACTATACCGGCTCCAACAATGATGGTGGTGTTGGAAATGTCCGACATAATGCTCTGGAGAGAAGCGTTGAGCTATCGAACCTGCATCCAACATGACTTGGGTGAGTCTATGCTTGTGGCCCCCTTATAAATGACCGAACCTCGGCGCATTCGACCAGAGTCAAGGCATGATCAAGTTAAGGGTGTGAACGACGGTGGAGTCGTCAACTATCTCAGTCAATGAGCAAGACTTGCGCAGTTAGGTAGGCATCCGAGGTTCCCTCCAACAAGCATAGGAGCGATGCTGTCTCCAAGCTCGTTCGTGAAGGCCTTTGCTTGACTTTGACGCGAGGAGGCCACAAACAAGGCGCGGTGTCTGCTGGTTCCGAAACCATTGGAACTTCCTGACGATTGAAGACTTGGACAATAGTCCATCTCATCTTGGTTTTGCAGCTCGAATAGGACTATCCGTCATCCCTGTATGATCTGTGGCAGAACCAGTCTCACTAGCACTGAGATCATCTTCCGTAGACTCATCCCAGATCTCTCTCGATTCTCTTTCGACCCGGCGCATAGCACCAGCCACCTCATCAAGCTTGCTGACCACATCAAGCACGCCACGATTGACCTGTTCAAAGTACCGATCGTTGGCCTCCCGTCTCTTCCTCGCGAGCTGGATATCTCGCTCAGTCTCTTCTTCCAGGTTTTTATTGTTAGTGAAAGCGCTGGGTTTCCCGTCACTGTTCTTGCCTTTTACAGGACTTGCACCCGCCTCGATCTTGCCACCGATAGTCGCGCTATCAGCCGTGATATCGTGTTCATGCTCGTGTAGTTCGTCCGCCTCACTCTTCGCCCACGTCTGGGCTAGAGAGAGTTGCGCCGTTCGTAAGTCTTCCAGCGCTTTGGCGTGCGAGGCCCCGAAGACATGCGACGTGTTCATGGCGGAGACTTCAACGTCGGCCAGCGTCTTTTGCATCTCAACCCATAGGTTCTCTGCCCGGCGGTCGTCAGCTTCCGTGGTGGGCTGGCGGAGGGATGGGCCTGAGAAGGACGCAGCGGCGGGTACTCGTGATGGTCGCGGCGGGCGAAGAGAATGCTCTGTCTCGGCGCCTGCTGGACGGTCGCCTCCGGGCAAGGCAAGCGATACATGCGAGGCATTCTTGGATGGAGGACCCTGAAACAACGCTGGAGGAGGGAGTCGATGGGTATTTGTTCTCGTGAGATTCGCCTTTGGTCGCTCCAATGGAGATGGCGGAATCTCGAGATGTGGAGGCTTCCTTGTTGAAGGCGCTGAAGACGCCATGGTTGTAAGGCGGAGAGCAATGCTCTCGCCGGTCCCTCAGATTATATCATTGAGGGATATCCGAAATTCAGCAATATGCTTCCAGTACCGTAAACGAGGTAATGTCAATCCATGTCACCGAATCGTGCCGTATGCTCCGCCGTAACAGAATTCTGCCACGCTTCACCGCCTTAGCAGAATCTTGGCATTGCCCACTGAAATCCCAGAGCGAACATCAAATTCGAGACCGCATCGTCGACAACGAGCTTCAGTGCCGCCAGCTTTTTTTCACACAACATCTGCTTGTCACAGTCGCCAGTACGTATACCCTGCGTCTATCCCAGCATCAACACAAGTCCCGTAACCGCTCGATCATCTATCTCTTGTTCCTGCGATTTCTCGATCTCAATATAATCATCGTCGAAAATCCCATTCTAACTCGCTGCGTAATAGAAATGACAAACAGAGGAAAGCCCCGTGGTCTCAACGCCGCCCGCAAACTCGTCGCCGCCCGCAAGGAAGGCCGATGGGCCGATTTGCACTACAAGAAGCGACTCCTCGGAACCGCCTACAAGTCCTCCCCCTTCGGTGGCTCTTCGCACGCCAAGGGCATCGTGCTTGAAAAAGTTGGTGTCGAAGCCAAACAGCCCAACTCCGCTATCCGAAAATGTGTCAGAGTTCAATTGATCAAGAACGGAAAGAAGGTTACTGCTTTCGGTAAGACCATATATAAGGACGAATATTTCAGGGTGTTAACGAGTCACAGTTCCCAACGACGGTTGCTTGAACTTTGTGGATGAGAACGACGAGGTCCTGCTCGCTGGTTTCGGTCGAAAGGGTAAAGCCAAGGGTGATATTCCCGGTGTGCGATTCAAGGTGGTCAAGGTCTCTGGTGTCGGTTTGAGCGCTCTGTGGAAGGAGAAGAAGGAAAAGCCTCGATCATAAGCGCCCGAAAAACGGAGTAGGGAGGAAATCCAGCAGGCCCGGCAAACCTAGAATCTGAGTGGTGGAGGGAGCGGTGCGATGGCAGATTGATATCCATGCATGCTCACTTACCGAAATATGGATCTGGACTGGATGCTACACGAGCAGCGGGAACAATATGGCCACGAAAGTCTTGCCTTGCAGAAAACTTGCATGGTGACGACGGGTGTTGCCTGTGTGCCTAATCCAGGCTCATAGACACGGAAATGAAATATCAACGTCGATTTCTGCGATTTGATGCTATCTTCTCACAAAAGAAAGGAGCTTGTGCTTTCGCGAGTTTCATGTGGGCAAACGCTATCCGCAGCCTACAGCGCATGCTGTGACCATTTGATGTAAGACTCGGATGTTCAATCGAAATACTAATGATGGAAAAGGGCCGTCTCGTACTTATGTGCTTTTGTAACCCGCCTGCTGCATGACCGGCTGCCTCTCAAACACTACGGGTGAACGAAATGAATCCAACGAGCGAGCGACTGTGGAATGCCCCTGTACTGTCTACAGATGAACCAGGCAGATCAGTGACTGACCTCCATGGACTCGTCTTCCTCGTCCTCTTCTTCATTTGACACGTCCGGGCCTTTCCTGCCACGACCGAAATGGGGTGTATCCAATCCGAGGCCTACATCACCATCCTTGCTGACAGGGCTTCTAGCCTCATCATCCTCACTTCCGGAGGGGCTTGGAGGTTGAGAGTCGCGAAGGGAACGTTTTCCTCGCATCATCTGGGACCGTCGTTAGTCAACTCACAGTGTCAGCGTTGATCGTGGAACTCACCCAAGACTTGACACCGCCAATCAGACCCAAGCTATACCCTGCCGCAAAGTCCTCGCTTCGACTGAATCTACCAGGTGAGTCGCTCCTTCTTTCAGCAGAACCAGGAACCTCCAAATGCTTCAAGTGCTCAACAGCACGAGCCGTCGTGGGACTCTTAAGACCATCACTGGGTTGCCTGTTGTAAGGAGCTGGGCTGGCAGGTCTTGAACTGGCATTCTGCCAGAGTTGCCGAAGGTCACGACTGATTTCACCACCGGCGGTCATCCAGTTGGCTTTGATGTTATCTCTCAGTTCTTGGACGTGTCGCTTCAAGTCAAGTTCGTTCTTCTTGAGCCAGCTGACATTCAGCTCTTGACGACTGGTTCCTCTCTTGAACTGTCTGGCGATGTATTTCTCGTAGTCGCGAACGATCTTGGTGATGATGCCCGTGGTGGAAACTCCCTCGGTGCGCTGCGTCACGAGAAACTTTCCCTCTTTCTTGATAGGTGCATAGATATCATCGCCTTCATCTGCACCATAGGGCTCGTCGTCGTGAGCGACGTAGTCGATCTCGTGCTTGGCCAGAAACTCTGGGGTCACGATCCAAGGGCAATTTGGAATGACCTCGTCTACCCATCTGCAATGGCGGACGGTCTCTGCTCTTTCTGCACCAGTAAGGACGGTCAAGCCTTTGCGTTTGTGAGTCTCTGCGTCTCCAGTAACTCCAACGATAAGGTATGTGTCTGGGAAAGCCGTCTTGGCCTGCTCCAATTGCCGCATGTGTCTGCAAGGAATTAGCATGTCTACATCGAAACCATGATGCGGTGGAATCCTACCCAAGGTGGAACAGGTCAAAGACTCCATCGGCATACACCCTGACAGGTCTGCCCACTGGTGGAGGATTCGTCTTGTAACCTCCTACAGGATCTCTCGAGCCTGCCTTTGGTGGAGCTGACATAGCTCCTTCTTCCCCAGCGACGAAGGCCTTGGTGACGGAGCTGGGAACCTGCTGTGTCTTCTTGCCCGTCTTCTCAGATTCTTCGTTTTCCTCATCTGCACTCGAATCTCCAAGGTCCTCATCTTCGCCGTTCGGTTCGACCGACTTCGCGCCAGACCGAGTACGTGCTCTCTTACTAGGTGGCACGCTGGTATCCATGGAAATGCTAGAGGCATGTTTGCGGTTCCGCAGGTTATGCGAGGGAGAATCTGCCAGCTCCTCACCGGAAGCATCGCGAGAGGAAGGCTGCTGGAGGTCGGCCGTGGTGGGCTTGAGTCGGTCCGAAGCAGTGGTCCGCTTCCGCTTCCCTGAGGTCGTAGAGGATGGGGAGGACATGGCCAACGGCGGTCTATGTCTTTCGACAATATTACGAGGATTAGGGAATGTTGACTAAAGACGAGCAAGAGTGAGAGCAGTTAGGAGGATGATCTGGGAGTAAGAGCGGTTCTGCCAAGCTCAATAAAGACAATTTCCAGAAGACGGGCAAGCGAGGCCCTAAATTAAAGGCCGTTCGTTCATGGTTATATTGTGGAACGCCGGCATCGTCAGCAGGGAATCTCTGGGTTTACCAGCCTGTTAACGTGTCAACACTGGGATCATGGGAATCATGCTGCCAGCTTCTGATGCCGTCACCCTCCGTTTACAATGTTCAATCATACCCATTCGATCTCCCTTCGAAAGCCACTTTTCCTGTGGCGGAGCTGCGGCTCGACGTCATGCCGTGTGGAACAACGTCCGTCGAGCAAACTTGGCAGTCCGTAAACAAGGTCTATGCATTGCCTCACAGGCTCGAGTCAAATGATATGCAAGATGCTTGTCCAGCTCGACAAAGAGGAAAGGTAAAGCAAGCAGCGAAGTCGAATCAACACCGGGAACGACCTAATCCCCTTCCTCAACAACGCCATGCGTGGATCAAGTCCAACAGAGCCTATTCTGTCCTCTGCTGTAAACTTGACGATACGGAAACAAGAGAGAGAAACTCCAACCACTGATCCGTTTCATGTTGGGGCTCTGGACAGTCATGCATGTAAAGATAGCCTTCATCGACGTATTGAGGTCAAAGGGGTATCTCGAGTCGTGATGATCTGGATCTGCCTGCCCAACCCACCCATGAATACAAAACGGGCTAAGTAGATTTACCAGCAGGTTCGTCCACCACTCCCTTGATCTCCATTTCCGATCCTTGTGAAGCGCCTTTTGACTTATCGCTGGCTGATTGCGGTGCCGGCGTGCCTTCCCGCTCGTTGCGTGCCGAACCGTCGTCCGAGGTCGCCGGAGTTGATTTCTTGACTTGATTCGCCGAATCCTTTTCTTCTTCGCTTTGATCGAACATTTCAGTGTCATCTGAATCTGTTAGAACCTCAGTCCCATCACCAAGCAGGATAATCCTGCCACCACGGCCGCCAAACCCTCTTGATCGATGCTCCATATCCAGTTCATACTCATCGGGACTATCGTGGTCGAACTGATGCCGAACACCAGGACCGCGGAATTCAGCTGCTATATAGTTAGATCAGATATTTGTCCCAAGGATAAAGGATTGGACTTGCCGTACTCTGGTGGCGCACATGGCCCATCTCCGTCTGCGACACGTTTGGCAATCATGTCGTACCATTCCTCTTTGGATTTACCGTTCAACAGACCAATGATTATCATCGTCATATTGTCACAGCCAACGCCACCCGTTTCGCTGTTGGATGCAAGGCAGTTGTCCATCATGTTCTCGCAGATGAGATGGAGTTCTTGTTTCGCGGCTATACCCCTACGGACGAACTCGACGACCGCTTGCGAAGACTGGCAGTCCCAGATACCTAGCTGACGTCAGTCTCTGTTCTGAGAAAAGGCATTCGATTTTATAGTCATACCGTCACAAGCGATGACCAAGAACTCGTCATCACTCGAGACCTCATGTGTGATCACATCGGGAAAGGCCGTCACGATCTGTTGCTCGGGCGAGAGGTCGGCGCTCTTCTTGAATTCGAAATCGCCAATGGCACGTGACAAAGCCAGGTTGCCATTGACTCGTCCGAAGTCGACGAAACCACCAGCAGCACTTATACGTGCCTTCTCACCTGTATTTGCGTTAGCCTATACCCTGCTGAAACAGTAGCGACCGTCCTACCTTCGTTCTGTGGTTTATGGTCAAATGATAGAGGCTTCGCTCTGCCCTTGACACCAAGTACGCTTCGAGAGTCTCCGGCGTTGCCCTAAGCTGGTGAGTATATATCTCGAAGAGGTCACAAAGGTACTCTTACCACCCAGATCTTATCCCTTGAAATTATGCCAACAGATGCGGTACATCCAGATACTTCGTCTTCGTACCGTGAATCTGTTGTGGTTCAGCGATATGGCATGACTTTGTTATAAGAACAGGCATACCGTTCAGAATCGCACGATCTGTGGCGAGGAATCCATCTTTCAAAGCTTGTTCGATATCACCTTTAGAGAAGGCGTCTTGTTTTGTCACAATCTTGTGCACGTTTTCCCCTGCGAACTGCGCGACTTTTTCACCTCCATGTCCATCATAGACACCAAAGTATGATAATCGCTGGTCTGGTCCATTGGGTTTGTGTGTTTTGCCATCGACTTCAGTTTGTAGATCAAGTATTGCGGCATGCGCGTCTTCCATACTTATACGCCACCCTTGCATAGCTGAAAGGCCATATATCACACAATCATCGGCCCCGCTATCGGAGATCTATTGGTATCTCAGGTCAGCTTTGAATCCGGAGATGCCATAGAAGTGCAGGCAGGACAGATCTCTGCTTCACTTGCTGATGGACAGTGGCAGGGACCTAGTTCAAGAGTCATGGATTGAGCGCACCTTTTCGACCACGGGTTCGGACAGAGTCTGACCCATGCTTGCAGTTCTTGAAGTTGTGACGCGGATGAATTTTGCTGGTGTTCATGTACACTTTGCACACGATGTCATAAGCCTCCGTCGGAGGTGGGTAACAAATCGTGCAGGGACAGGATGGAGGGCGTGGGATTTAGGGCCGTACGAATATGCTGAAATGTTGCATACACCGACTGACAATAGGTGCAGAGGACGTAGAATGGAGGTGGGTTTGCTGGTCAATACAAAAGGTGTCGCGTGCAGGGATTAGAGATGTCGGATTGAACAAGGTCGTTCGAAGGTGCGAAGATGCAGGATTGTTGCTAGGAAGCCCCCGTGCGATAAATGACGAACTCGGTTGTAAAACGAGGACTGCACCTTACTAACAGCCCACCGCGCCAAGCAAAAGCCAAAGGGCCAGCCCTCCAACGTCACTACCGCGGTACATCACCAGCTATCTCGAACCTTACTGACTGTGCGAATGCTTTTGTTCTTCTGCTATCTATGATCCCAGCTGTCATGTCATATGAAACGAAAACTCCCATGATGACTCGCCTTGGACCTGGTGAGCCCTCCTTCGCCGACACTAGTATGCCGTTTCCTAGCATCCGAGACTCGTGCATGCCTGGCATAGCCAACAGAGTTCTCATTCTCCTTACTTTCTGATTCGAAAGGTAAGCGTGGTGAGTTTCTCGAATTCTCATCTGCCTCCCACTGCCTTGCTCCATCTGCCGTTTCTTTGACAATTACACCTTCGTCCTCCCAAGAGTCCGAGGATGTGACGGATTCAAACTGTCCGCTGCTCGCAAGGCTTATATTTGTCCTCGTATTCGGAAAACTCTCCAGGGCCGAGTCCAGTGGGCTTCCGGCCTTCAACGAACCATGTGCTGCTGGTCCAACCCCCGACCAGTCTGACCACGTATGCTGTCGAGATGCAGGTCCATACTTGAGCCTTCCAGCATCCGGGATTGTGGACAAAGCCGTGGAATGAACATCTCCTCTCGACCTTCCTGTCCAGTGATCGCGTGGTGAGGGCATCATGCGTGAAGTACCTGCGTTGGAGAACCGTGCTGACCCTTCTAACCGAGCTCGAGCACGTTCAGTGTGCCATTTCTGGCGCCGCGCCTCAAACGACAAAGATCCGACACTATCACGCATCGAAGGAGTGGTAGATCTGGCCCTCAGGACAGCCCTGTCTCGTTTAGACCCTGGGCTTATTGGAGGATTGGGAAATGATTCGAGCATGACAGTGGATCTTTTACTATCCCTGACAGGTTTGGAAGTCCATGTATCCCGCCACGATCTCCCAGCAGCCTCGGAATCAGAACGAAGCAAAATACCAGATCCATGTCCTGCACCACTTCTTCGATCTGGGAGACCTACAGCAGCTTGTGGCGTTGACGAGTCGTCAAGGACTGCAGACGCTCTGTTCGTCGTGCTAAAGACTGTTCCAGATTGCCCGATGCGTGACACACGAGCCTGTTCTTGCGCGCGGTTTTCGTTTTCAGCTGAGCGTTGATTGAGTGTGCCACTATGTCGAGTCTGAGCCTTCCTATTGATATAAGACTGCCGCGATGCTGATCCCTCCCCAAGAGACATTTTTGACGTACGATCATCTTCCGAAACGGCTATTCCTGATAATTTGTATCTGGACTGAGCAATCGAGTCGTTCGGCCACGATAAATCGATCCTGGGAGGCCTAGTCAATGGTCTGCTAGGAGCCGTCAGGGGACGCGCCCGACTTGGCGACACACCTGGGCTACCGTCCGTTGTGGTCGGCTGCACGGACTCCAAGTTGGCGAATTCGGCATTTGTCGACCTCTTGCGCCGTTTGCGTAACGTCCAAAGCAATATGAGACAGATTATGATCAATACTGCCAGCACTGAAAGCACTATTGCCAGTATCATCCGGGTGGACGACCATTTGGAAGTATTTCCCGAGCTGGGTGAGCTGTTCTGTGGGTTGCTTGTCTCGCTTGCCTGCGGCAGGGCTCGTGTCTGCATATTGCTAGCAGTAGCCATGCCGTTAGGGGGCTTATCCGGCATGAGATAGAGGACCACCGTTGCCGTCAGCTTCGCGGTAGCGTTTGCGAATGCTATTGTGACAGGTATAATGTCTTCGGGCAAACTCATTGGTGGCTGTCCTGATAACGTCCCACTCGAGCTATCGAAATGGAGCCACCCATTCGCACTTCCCAAGTCTGCAGAGATTGATCCAGAGTCTGCGAATGCCGGATTGTTTAGAGTGTAGGAGAAGTTCTCACCCAGTGTGACATTGACATCACCAATCGTGCCCAGTGAAACAGCAGGCACACTGTTAGCCTGCAAGAGCACCGTAGTGTTGGCGACATCGTTGTAGACATCTGTAACACTAATCGTGACAATGGTGTTTATTGCAGTCTGTGGTGTGCCACTTAACGAGATCCGGCTTCTGTCTAATTCAACCCACTCCGGCCCGTCGGTAACGATGCTCGCAATCTGCCCATCCGCGCAGACGTTGCCGTTCAACGTCAATTGAGAGCGCAGTGGCGGTGTCTGAAATGGTAATCCACTGGAAATGCCAACCGTTTGAGAGACATTTTCGAAGGCGAAGACATTGTAGCCAACCACAATGTCGAAATGGACTGTAGCTTCTTCGAACCCGACCACGTCTGACGCAATCAGAAAGAATCCGTATGTCTGGGGAGGAGCAGTCAGGGAGACTAGTGGTGGACCCGTGCCAGAGAACGAGAGTTGTTCAAATTGTACCCAGGGAGGCAGAGGGGAGCGATCGTCTGAAATTGCATAGTATGTTGTCTTTGATCCAATGCCGGTAAACGTGCCCAGATCAAAAATGACTTCGAAAGGCTGCAGAGGACGTAACAACAGGGAATCGGGCGCTGAAGAGGAAAGTCCGGCTTGTTGCAGTTGAGGAAGGACTGGCGTCCCTGTACCCAGCTGTGTAGACTCAAGTACGATCAAGGTAATGCTGTCTGAATATTCCCCGGTCGAATCTGAGGCATTCAATTGAACTATGTTGGCTCCCACATCGCTCTGGGCCGGCGTTCCTGTGAAGGAGCGGCTTGAAGTATCGAGTTGGAGCCAGTCAGGACCATCAGCTATGATATAGGAGAGCTGGCTTTTGTTCGAGACAAAAGTCGTCGCAGAGAACGTGAATGCGTATTGCTGCGAGACGTAGGCGACCGGCGGTACCTGAGAATTGATGGGGAAATATAGATCAGGTACAGCCCTGGCAAGCGCAGCCAACGAAGCAAAGGCAACCGCCAGCAAAGGCTTCCTCGCTTCAGCGAAAGGCATTCATGTGTTGCAGCCGATAACTATATGTCGTATGTCTGTGAACAAAGAAAACGTTCAGTCGCGTGGACGCGACGGTCGAGCGCAGCTGCAAGCACTTATTGCCTTTGAGAGGCTGGTTGAATCCAAAGCCCTCCGTGGCTGCAAGGGATAGCCTCACAAGAGAATGTGCCATCAGCACGACTGAAGCACGTGCGTCAAGTCTGCAGAGCAAGAGACATTTTCATACCAGTTCGACCTTGACCATAATAGTTGGCTACCGTCTCTTGCCAGACAAAGTTATGCTTCGAGTAGAGGGACCTGGCTGCATGGTTGTTCTCGTCCACCCAGAGGTCAATGCCCCTACAGGACCAACGACGGGCACGCTCAATTATTTCGTGCATGACCCGACTGCCCAGGCCTCTCCGCCGATGAACTGGTGACACGCAGATTTTGTGTAGAAGAAGTTGATGGTTCCATCTTACGCCCACCCCGTAAGCGACCAGTTCATGCTCTGCGTTGTCTGATAGGACAACAAGGACGAACGTGTTTTGTTTTTTCAGTATGCTGTCATCGAAGGGAAATGCCTCGTTGGAAGCGAAACATTTTCGCTCCAAATTCCTCAAATCATGCAAGGTTTTCGGTATGCTGGGACGAGGAAGATGTCGGATCTCACTGAACTTCAGCTGCTCAATCGGAAGGTTTGCATTTTTGCCCGCCTCGGGCTTCATATTAGGGTCGGCAGACCTGGCAGCTGGAAGTCTGTCTGTTAGCCGACCAAAAATGGCCGTACGGTCGCCATAAATCAGATAGATGGAGGTAAAAGATTTGTTAGTGGAGGGTGCCACGTTAGGAAGTGAATTAGGCGCGATCTTGCCGCCGCTTTTTCAAGTCGACGCGTCTTCCCACCACTCCTGACGGTGTACAACAGCACCCATTCTGATCCTTGGTTCTCATTCTCGTCAATCCATCGTTAGTGTACCTGGATCAGGGCCATCGCACGTACTATCAGCACGCTCCTGTCAAGTCCAAGAAATGCCGTCAACGGACTCGAAACGCGAAAAGGCGAGAGAAGTCGTCGACATCCTGGAAGAAATCTCCATGCTGTTGGTAAGGTAGAGCAATGCGCCTGAGGCTATACCGGCTGACACGCTAGTAGAACACACAGTTGGACCGGACACAATTGTCTTTATGTGTCTCCTTAATTGAGAATGGCGTCAATCCAGAAGCCCTTGCTGTAGGTCATAGTTGGAAGATTGAAGGTCAAGATGCTGACTTGACCAAAAGACTGCGATCAAAGAACTACGACGAGAAACGCAAGACTTACAGCACCAAGATGCTGCTGTATCCGAGTGATCCAGTCATCCGGCGCCAAAGCGTTTTGTTGCACGCCAACATGATGTGCGAGTTCGACTAGGGTGAGAGCCGGTTGCTCTTTACCTGGCCTACCACAACGCAAGTCAATTCGTCGGGTTACATCTGAGCCGGGACGAGACTTCAAACTTGCCCTATACGGGACCTGTGTGGCGATGGCTGGTCTCAAACTGCTTACGACCTCGACCATGCAGCGTTGCTAGGGCACTGGTTCAGGCACCATGAGCACAATTTACAATCCATCCTAGTTGCTGGTTGATGCGAGTGGGCGGTCCGAATGCAGGACTTGTGGCAGACCAGCATGAGTGGATGATGAAGAAAGCACTGATGAAAACACCCGCCCATGGCACTATGGTCGACACCTACCGGAAGAGCATCATACGCAAGTGACAGAGTTGTCATCGGTGCAGATCTCTCCCGAGGAGCAACGGACAATGCACCAGTGCTATCGGTGATCGAATGAATGGAGTCATCCTATTGACGCAGTATGCTACCTCAATGGATACATCCAGCTGGCACCAGTCTTGGGTCTCTTGCACCGATCCTTGTTCCCTGTGACTACGCAGTTTTGTCCACTGGCATAACAAATGAACATGAGCACGTAGCTGAGGAACACGCGCAAAATCTTGGGGCGCCTCATTGAACACAATTCCGAGGATGTTGTCAACACCTTGCTGTCGTCTGCTCTTTTGATCTTGCAGGTGGATCTTGTTCTTGAACGGAAGAAACCGTCAAGATCGTGTCACTGGGACCTGGCAACGTGGGGAAGCATTCCAATGACGTGTGAAACATCACCAAGCCGTGGCTGAGAAATGTCATCCCATGTCCAATGCGCAGGCGCCTAGGACTGCCTAATCGACCTTGGAATACTGGCCAATTAACTATGACTTGGGCCATCATTGGACAACGCGAGTACCCAGCCACGCTAGAGTACAGGGCCCCTGTCTTGCTTGACCAAACAACATCCGCAAATGCTCTTGTTATGACAGGGTTTTGAAGCAGACCGACACCCAGCCTGATCGACGAAGGATTCGCATCGCTTCCAAGAACAATAATAAGCCATGTCCACCACCAGTCATTCCTCCTTCTTCTGTTTCAGTCGACCGATCACAGGGCAGTCCTATATTCCCTAAAAGCCGAAGCAGTCTCGCCATTCCCCGTCTCGACAACGACCAATCTTTCTATCATATCCCTAATTCGAGCGACGCCAATTACGATGCGATTCTCGTCACTATTGACTCTGGCGTGTGCCATCGCCGCACTTGTCCTCTCTCTGCTGTGTCTCTTTGCGGGTTCCAGCAAGTCATTCATCCAAGATGGCGATCTTCTGACTGTAAGCAAATGCACGGTACCACCAAAAGACGGTTATTAATGAAGATTATAGCTGAATCTCTCCCGAATTGGTCATACTAGCCTCTTCAACACGTCAAGCAGCAGTGATGACTCCCTGGGGGGTCTACTGAGCAGCCTCGAAGGAGATCTTAACAGCCTCTTGAGCGATGTGGCCTCTGATATTGCCACTGCGCTGAATCTCCCCGACTTTCTCAACGTTCATCTCATGGATTACTGCGAAGGGACTTATGAGCCCAATGCGACGGTGAAACATGCTAGCGAGAACATCACTTTATGCTCCAACCGGACGTTGGGCTACCACTTCCAACCTACCAAGATTATCCAAGACCATCTTCCAAGCGGGATCACACTGGACGATATCCATTGGCCGCAGGAGGTAGAGAAGGCAGAACGGGATGTCAAGATCGCAAGCATCGCCATGATCGTACTATACATCATTGGCATCTCATTTGCTGCCCTTGCAATTTTGGGAGCTCTCTGGGGAATTGTCACCGAAGGTCGGCTGTCTGCTTTCACCAATTTCGTCATAGATCTCGTGAGTATTCTTCCGAATAACATCCTCAATGCTCGCACCTACTGACATGGCTGTGACTAGCTTGCTTTCCTCACTATCGGCATAGCATCAGCCATTGCGACCGCAATCATCGTCAAGGCCGTCGACGCCGTGAACAAATACGGGAACGATATCGGGATCGCGGCATTCAAAGGAAGAAAGTTTCTGGGAATGACCTGGGCGGCCACTGCAGTCATGCTGTTGGCGTGTGTCTTGTCCATTGCTCAGTGTTGCGTAGGGAGGTCAAGAAAACAGCGATCTGGCAGGAAAGAAGTATACTGAAAGTTTCGTGAAGGGAACTGCGGTTATGATGCACACGAAACGATGTGTGTTTTTCTCCATGTTGTAAGATATTTGCGTGGTTGTTTGAGCGTTTGAGCGTTTGAGCGCAGCTTCATGTTTTTGCCTCATATAGACCAACATCTAATGCAACAACAATACACCCTGATCTTTGGTGCGACGCACTCGCAGTGTCCTGGCTCTGCCACCTTCTACTTGAGATATGACGTAGTATATCTGTCCATTTGTTTGTGTTCGGGTTTACTAGGCGGCACGGCAGGGCTAGAGGCGGGGTTTTGGTGTGGTTGTGTCACTTTAGCCAACTTTTTACAGGGGTGGCTGGTCCTAACACCCTCCCGAGATATGATTACGCCTACTCGTGGTTAATGGCGCCTGTGGCGCCCATCTGCACAGTGACGTTAAGGTTAGCGCGGGGTTGCTGACTTCTGCTTCACTGAATCTTCACCGATTGATCACAGCCGAGAGCAAGCAAGTTTTAGGGCGTCCTCGGGTGACAGCGAATGGTTAATAGTTTTCCTTCACCGAGTCATTGTCACTTCATTTGTTGACCGCACTTCACTTCTACCACCAGTTCGCCCATAAATAAACAACTTCTTCCTCAACTCTCACACAAACTCTACCGACAACGACAAAGACAATCGAACTTCGCTCTTTGTCTAATTCAGTGCTACAAGTCAAGCTCTTTCCCCAACAAAAGAACACCGTAAGTCGCGACGATCTTCCTTCCTTCTCACTATAGAATTATACTAACACTGGTGCGGACGCAGGACAGTCCTCGCACCACCTCACCCACACCGTCAAGATGCCTGGAACAGCTGTCCATTTCGGCGGCGGCAACATCGGTCGTGGCTTCATCGCCGAGCTCCTCCATGAATCCGGGTTCGAAGTTGTCTTTGTCGATGTCGTCGACGACCTGATCAACAAGATCAGCGCGACGAAATCTTACAAGATCACGGAAGTCGGTCCAGAGGGAGAGAGCAGCAAAACTATCACCAACTACCGTGCTCTGAACTCCAAGCACAGCATGCCTGAGGTGGTCGATACCATCGCTAATGCCGATGTGGTTACCTGCGCTGTCGGACCCAACGTTCTCAAGTTCGTCGCAAAGCCTATTGCAGATGGCATTGCAGCCAGAACCAAATCGAAGCCGCTTGCCGTCATTGCCTGCGAAAACATGATCAATGCAACCGACGCCCTCAGAGAGCACATCATCGACCCGAAGAACATGAAGCCTGAGGTGCTTAAGGAGCTGCCAAAGAAGGCAGAGTTTGGCAATTCCGCTATTGACAGAATTGTCCCAACCCAACCTGCCGACGCTGGTCTCGACGTCGTGATCGAGAGCTTCTACGAGTGGTGTGTCGAAACCACCGGTTTCAAGTCAGGCCATCCTCAGATCAAGGGTATTCACTGGGTCGATGACCTCGAGCCCTACATTGAGCGCAAGCTCTACACTGTCAACACCAGCCACGCTACCGCCGCCTACTTCGGGTACAACAAGGGTATCTCAACCATCCACGAAGCCATGGCCGATCCCGAGATCAAGCAGGAGGTGCATGAGGCTTTGGAGGAGACTGCCCACTTGATCAGTGGCAAACACGGCATCACCAAGGAAGAGCAACAAGCATATGTCGACACCATCATCTCTCGTATTTCCAACCCTCATCTTGAGGATGTCCCTGTTCGTGTCGGTCGTGCACCCCTTCGAAAGCTCGGTAGAAACGAGCGTTTCATCGGTCCTGCAGCTCAACTCGCCGAGCAGGGCTACGATGTCACTGCTCTTGTGCGTGGCGTTGAGATGGCTCTTCGCTTCCAGAATGTTGAAGGTGACGAGGAGAGCAAAGAGTTGGCCAAGATCATGAGCAGCACGTCGCCAGAGGAAGCCACCACCAAGCTCACTGGACTTGAGAAGGATCACCCACTGTATCCTAAGATCTTAGATGCAGTCAAGCTTGTCCAGGGCGAAAAGAAATAGGACAGACACAATTGCTACCGGCGGATATGACTGACGAGCTTTTCGGGAGTTATCACGGTTCATGAAGGAGTTGAGGCTGGGAAAAACATCGAGCGATCTTGCTCCTTTGCTACGCAGCATCAGCGCTTGATGGAAGCAGATTCGGTACATAGAGTACCATTGATATGAGATCAGAGCGATACTCAATCCAACATGTCTGCAAACAAATTCTCTCCTCCCAAACGTTTCCTCTCCAGCTGCACTTTCGCCGTCAGTATCGCCGCTTCCATCCGTAGACGACCCTCGACTTAGATGACCGTCGACCTAGCGAACAACGGGTAGTTGCCGTGTGGCCCGTGTCCCCTGAAGAACTCCGTACCCACGTAGAGGACTAGCCGAATTGAGCATCGACCTCGGCATCTGTCAAGCTATCCCGTGGAGAGACAAGGTCTACAATACTTTAGTCCCCACGTCTCGATGTACCTCGTTGATGGACATGTTCAACAATCTGATTACTTTTCACTCAATAGCCGCGGGAGATATACCTTATACAAAGCAAAGACGACAAGATCTACGCGCCCGAGCTGCATGAAGACGTCTTAAGAGCTGAAGTCAACACACGAGCGCTCACCTTAGCACACCGAGGATAATAGTAGTATATATCGTACGAGTGAGACCAACGTCAATATCAACCAAACCTGACCGACATACACACCTCACACACAACAAGATGTCATCAACACCTCCATCAACCCTTCGCACACCTCCTCCCAGCACACTCAACACCCTCACGCTCTTCCCAACACCCTCGACCCTACTCATCGTTCTCAACAACCCCAAAGGTCTAAACTGCATATCTGTCCCCCAACACTGGGCCCTCGACGCCCTCCTACAATGGTACGACAACGAACCCTCCCTCCGCTGCGCAGTCATCACAGGTAGTGGCCGCGCATTCTGCGCCGGCGCCGACCTGAAGGAGTGGAACGAATCCAACGCCGCCGCGAAAAAAGGCGGCGCCGGCCACCGGACCATGCCGCCCTCAGGTTTCGGCGCCATAAGTCGACGCGCAGGCAAGAAACCCGTCATCGGGGCCATCAACGGTTTAGCATTCGGCGAAGGAATGGAGATGGTGGCTAACCTCGACCTCGTGGTCGCTGCGAAATCAGCGCTGTTCTCGCTACCTGAAGTCAAGAGAGGCTTGTACGCAATGGCTGGCGCCCTGCCACGACTTGTGCGCACTGTCGGCAAACCGAGGGCCATGGAGATGGCACTTACAGGCCGGACGGTTACTGCGGCAGAAGCACTGACCTGGGGGATATTGAATGCTGTGACCGATGATGCGCCTGCTGATGCCGACATCCTGAACAGGCCAGTCGTGAAGAAAGCGCTCGAGTATGCTGAGCAGATCTCCAATAACAGTCCGGACAGCGTCATCATCAGTAGGGCTGGAGTCGTATCGGGTTGGGAAGGTAAGACATGCTGTTCCTCGCCATTGGTATAGCCAACTAATACACTACATGACAGACGGAAGCGCCGAGCATGCGACTCAAGCAGTCATCGACGTATATCAAAAAAGGTTGAACGAGGGAGAAAACTTTCACGAGGGTATCAAAGCATTTGTCGAGAAAAGATCCCCGCAATGGGTGGGCAGCAAACTCTGAAGAGGAAGATAGAATAGAGAGATTAATTGAAGTTTGGGTTCAGTGTGCTGTCTCTAGACAGGCAACAAGTCCAAAGTCGTATCGTGGACGATGAGTACGCTTTGGGTTTCTTTTGGTTGTTCTTTGGCAGGCTGCTCCGATTAAACAGCTCGAACTTTGCCCAATCTGCCACGCTTCCCAAATTCTGATTCTGGCATGAGAAAGCTGAGGATATCCGAGCCTGCATGGTGGGCTTTCAACAAGAGCAAATCATTCCTTTCCAGCTCCCCTCCCTGAACTTGATTTGTGAAAATTCAACAACGCCGTACGACCAGAGCAGTGTCGCAGCTTTTCGTATGCGCCGGTCACTCACGTGCCCCAAGGACAACTGACAACAGCAATGAGAGACTCGACCGGATGAACGCTGACGAGACCACTGTGTGGGTATCATTATGTGAGAGTAGGTTCGTCATCCTATGCGCGTTGATGCTGGGGCATCTGAGGCATGCCAGCGTATTGACCACTCTGGTTCTGTTGCTGGAGTTGTTGATAGTACATGGCTTGCTGTTGTTGTTCTTGAGTCATGTATCCACCATGGGTAGGAGGTCGAGCCATGCCGGTGGCCGCGGGTGGCATGGCAGGAACATCGTCAGGCGACGCGACATCATCGGCGGCATCGACACCGTTCTCATTTCCGGAGGGTTCGGGTGCGTTCAAGCATGCCTATGCTTGGTCAGAGAAGATACATGACGGATTGTGAGACAACGTACTTGGATGAGATTCTTGCCTTCGGCCTTGGTGACCAGAGGTTGGAGCTTAGGAGTGGTGAAGGTGTAGACAAGACCGGTTTCCGAGACGACGAGCAGAAGGACTTGGGTTCCGGTAAGGACAGAGAGTTCGTACGCCTATGACCAGATTTAGTATGGACGGCGCATTTTATAAACTGATTGCGCTGACCTTCTTCATGATACCAGCCTTTCTCTTTGAGAATGTGATGTGACGACGCGACTTGTCTTGGATGAACTTGATCTCAATCTTTCTACGTTCGCGGCCACCCTTCTCATCGTCATCGTCATCGTCATCTCCTGCCATTGAGGTTCTGGGACGCTTGGTGCCTCGGGAGTCAACGCCATTGCCGGTCAGGTCATCGCCGGGGGAAGGTTGGTCGAGACCAGCGGAGGGATCGGTGATGTCGGCCATGATGGTAGATTGAGTCTGATAAAGTCTGCCCAAAGAAGTAAAGTGTCAATAGACGAAAGAGGAAATATGATGGATCGAGTCTAGGTTGTACCTTTTAGATGAAATAAGCAAGATCCAGAAGATCTTTCGTGTATGGACGCGGGTTTAGTAGAAAGCCCTAATCTGAGTTGACGAGTCAGCAAAGTGTACCAATTAAGAATACCAGTGAAGTGAACCGCTGGTCGAGGCAGTGGGATTAACTGGATAGAGCGGAGCTGTCACGAACACGTACACGGCCAGGTGCAGAGAAGAGTCGCAGGCGCAGGTGCAGGCGAAATCTCAACCGAATCCGGGGAATGGCAGTTCCAATTTGAAGGTGAGAGCAACACAAGCTTTGTGGATGAAAGGGATGTGCAACAGTCAAACTGCAAAAGGATAGAAGTGGATTTTTGGGAGGTCAAGGAAGGAAGTAACCACTTTCTGTATGGACTGACAGTGGATGGAGAGAGTCTGGGAAGGTCCGGGGCATAGATTTCAAAAGGGTTTGGTAACTTTGGTTTGAGGGGGAGGAAGAGAGTGACTGGGCGGGCGGTGTTCGGCAGTATTCGTAAGACTGCCTGGGATGGGGGGTGGGTTGCAGTGAAGAATCAGTGGCCACTGGCCAGTGCAGGTCCGAGGCGGTGGCTGGATAATCATTGGCCTTTGGGGGCTTGGCGAGGGGCATCTTTTGCCGGTTGATCTTTGGTCCTTGGGTCTTTTCGACTCCTCGGTCGCTCACTCGGTGAAGAACTTCCTGGCCAGAGTGGACCAACATTGGAAAACAGAACAATCCAGGCTCATGGATTCGGAGGTTTCAGGAGGCGATAGGATCGAGTCTCCGGGTTGTCAAATTTTGGGCGAGTCTTTGACCGTTTCTTTCTCTGCACGTCCAGATGCTGTCGCTCAATGGGGGAAGGTTGCAAAGTGATCCTCGCGGTGGATGAAAGAGGAAAAGACCAGAGAACAAAAACTTCGGAAGTGAACGTACCGTTTGATGATTGGAAAAAACCGACTGTTGTCTTTCCCAAACAGTCAAAGACTGTTACGCAAGAGAATATGCTTCGATGCTTGCCCAGGAAAACCCGTGGCACGAGGTGGGCGGATTGTTTCTTCTCTGAGATGAGGAAGGAAGGGAATGGGATGGACGAGAGAGGAAATGGAATCGGAAAGGGCATAGCGGCAGCTGGCCTGCCTTTTGTAGATTCACAGCCTGTGGGAAGCCCACTCACTGCCACTGGCGGCATCAGCTGGCTTGGTCGCTGATTGGTGGACTCGTAGGGCGGATCATTCCATCCCCGACTGTCCGGACGCTGGTCAGTGGTTCAATCAATCATTGCAATAAAAATGAGATCCACGCCTGCTAGTCTGCGCCAGTGCCCACTGCTAGTTTGCTGCTCTAGCTTATCCATCCAATGCATCCTCGGGCCCTATCTTTTGGGGCGGGCAGGCCTTCAATCGTCAATCTTCAATTGTCCATCACGCTTTGGGTCTTGTACCAACTCGAGAAAATTGTTTCGAGAGAAATGATATCGAGCCAATGTTTAATCCAGTATGGGGAGAACAGAATGCTCTGCCACATCCAACCCTATCACTGCTTCGCCTTCGTAAGGTCTCCTCTCTCAGTCCACCACCAACGACCTCTGCATTGCTAGCGCAGGTTTCGAGGTTACTAGCCTTCAACTAGCAAGGTCCGCTCGCTGCTGATTCATCACAGCCACCAATTACATGTCGATGCGCATCTTCCCCAGCTTCCACCCCTATCCGAATGACCACTGGGATGTCTGGGATAGAAAAAGCATATGGGCAGTAAGCTTGCATGTTCAGGAACATTATCCCACTTCCCATCAATTGACACTCATGAGATGTCTTGCCACCGGATCGTTACGGCTTCATCTCTGCGTCGTCGTCAAGATGGCCTAATGTCGAAGCCATCCAACACTGGATCTTCACCTCGTCTGTCCACGTCTGACCCAGGCGATAGGCAACTCGACAGCCTTATCATTGCCCCTCTGACTAAGCTCTCAAAGGTGGGTCACTAATGCAGCAGGCTGCAGTTATGGGGGGATCTCTTTGCCTGCCCAATCCCAACATCTTCCTCGACTGTCCTCGTTCAGGCCATTCACAACTTCAATCAGTTTCTCAGCAGAAAATTCTGGACTGAACAGCTTCTCTTTGGGAGTGTTGTTCCAAAATTCCTTGCTGAGATCGGTTCGAACAGTGCCAGGATGCAATCCCACACACATGGCGTTAGGCCCGGATTGCATTTTCAGATGAATATCCGTCGATTTGACCAACTGGTTGACTCCGCTCTTCGAACTTCGATAACTATACCAACCGCCTAGACGATTGTCACCGATCGACCCTACTCTCGCGCTCATCAGTGCCAGCACTGCAGAGGCAGGTAGACCCTCGACTCCCTCGAGCTTGGTCGATTTTCGCGGGACAAAGCCCGAGAAATGTTTGACCAGCATCATTGGTGCCAAAAGATTCAGCTTGAGCGTTTCCAATGCCGATTCGTACTCGATCTTGTCCGGTGCCCTTTCTGGCATCAACATGCCGGGAGTCATGAACGCCAATCGTAGATGTGCTCCCTTATTCTGACTTCGATCATTGTACCGTTCCTTGCAATATGCGGCCAGATTCGAGATCGAGGATTCCGACAGCACATCACATTCTTGCAGATCGAGTCGAGATGCCTGCGATTCTGCCAGGTTCAGGGATGAGAGAAGCTTCTCCTTCGTGCCCGGCAGATCAGAACGTGCGGTCGCGACAATGGGAATGGCCGGTGGTAACGTCCGAAGAAGGTGACGGGTTAATGCAAACCCAATGCCTCTGGAGGATGGTGTCACAAGCGTCCAAGCCATTTCCGATGATTCTTATGGCTACCTTGAAATCGTCTCTCTCGTTCGTAAACGACCACGGTCCCCAGATCCTTGAAGCGTGATGCTTTGAGCGACGATAGCTTCTGCCTGGCTTGATTGCGCTTTTCGTGGAAGTCGGAACAGGGTTGCAAGAATTCGGGAACGTTCTGTTGCTGTTGTGGTGGCCGTCCTGGTAGGCGCGCCACAGCTTCTCTTCTTGGCAATTCTTCAGAGACGTCGGTGCTCAATTCGTGAACTGAAAGAGAGAGAGCCGTGCTAGCCTTTCACGAATCTTGTCAGGGTGAGGTGGACGTCCTGCTAAATATTACTTTGGTATGATATAGTGTTGGAATAGCTGTGCCTCCATTCTCTCATATACTCTGCTCTGCTCGACAGAGATGGCGCCGTCACTTCGACCGAAGGCCGCAAAGGAAGCTCTCGACGAGCCTCTTTAAGGACGTCCTTACCCCAAAAGAATCGTGCCGACGAGATGATTGTTTTAAAAAATCGCATCCATTAGGCGTCAAGCATCCCTTCCTAGCCAAGTTGACCGGTTGGCTGTTGCTGGTAAGTGACAAGTATTCTCCTCACCACCTAAAGTCTCGCTCGCCTCAAAGCTGGATATGTTCTGACCGCATCACTTCAAAATGAATCAAACCCGCCCCAACCCAAAGAAAATACAATGGCAGAGAAGGAGTCAAGATCCAACTGGGATTTGTCGCAATGCAAAAGAATGCCGTCACCGTATCTGTGCGTCCCAAGTGGGAGTTCCCGTTCAAGATCGTAAAGCTTTGACCATGTGGCGCCGAGATCAGGTGAAGCTTGGAGGGTGATGATGCCAACAAGGTCCAATCCCCAATCCCCAAGTTCAAAAACCGCTGATCCCTATGCGCAGCGCCGCAAATACGGGAGATCTACACCAAAAAGCCCCCAATGCACACCGTCGTCATCTGTGGCTTTTTGGGCAAACTGACAGAAAATGATCAACAAAGGAGCGATACGAAAACTTATCAATTTGACAGAATGAGCTGCAGACGATCAATCGATAAAGCTGCTGCCACAGAAGTCTCTGACTTTCTGTCCCCTGACGAGGTACCGTGCGAGGGCGTCGTGGCTGAATCCGCAAATGTAGTATCAAGGTATTTGCACCGTTTCACATGTGATCATATGCAGAGTTTGTAAGATTTGTATGGTCAATGGTCGATGGTCATATCTATCTATTGTAATTGTCTAAGACTCAAAGCTCCCTAGAACACGCAGTGACAAGAAATCGCTTCAAGCTCGTTGATATACAGCTTTCATACTCGTAGATATTGGTCCTCAGTTGAACAGAAGCATTTTCCCAGAAACTTAGTCTTCGCTAACTCCAAACATTCAGCCATAACATGTCGTAGATGAATCAGGTCGAGGATGATGAAGAGACCCGCTCAAATCGATCCCCACCCTCTCTTCTCATCAATCAGCTTGTAGCGTTCCTTCTCCTTTCGGTCCTTGACCAAGCACAGTGCCGACAACAAGAGCATCATATCGACAGCCACAAATCCGAAGAACGTGGTGAAGACAATGTCCAGGAACCGGTTGGCATAAACACCCAGCGGCGTAGAACACGGTCCCAAACGTGCGGCAGTAGCGGCGTTGATGCACGTCGCGTCCTTGACGAACAGTGCAGGATTGGTGTACCCGCAGCACTGGAACTTCTGTTGCAACAGAGACTGGATCGCAGGGGTCTGCGCGTTCCACACCGGTCCAAGGTTCTTGTGTACTTGGAGCGTCGAGAACCAGATCGCGACACCGATCGCCAAGGTGAAGAGAGCGGCAGCAATGACACCGACGATATGCAAGTGAAGGAAGACCCGATTGCGCTTCATAAAGATTGACGGGATGGACAGCAGGAATGTCGCGAACATGATGATCGAATTGATTTCGCTTGCTAGAAACCACAGTTAGCCTTGAAGTATCACACAAACGGCGGTGAGGCGTACCTGTGAGTGGGCAATGGCCGAGCAGCAGGTTGGAGGCGACATTGCTGACATTGCTTGTGGGAACACTGGCTCTGGTGTATAGTGGGATGAGCAGGTGCAGAACAGCACAGAGGAGGAAGGCGATGTCGAAGCCGACAAAGACCAGCAGGATTCTGTTCATCTTGGCGACAGGAATGTGGTTGAGAGGGATTTTCCTGGATACTTCAAAGCACGATATATATGCTCAAAGAGCGTGTCTTTCGTGGAAATCCGGGTCAAAGAACGTTGGACGAGTCCTGCTCGAATGATAGACGGTGTCGTCTGTGGCGGCCGAGCGCGCAAAAGGGCGGAATAACGAGAGTAAATGAAAGATCAGCCCAAGAAGTGAACGTAATGATAGTGCTTGCAGAAGAGAGAGGAAGATCGAAAACGAAACGCACGGAGCACCAACGTAAAAGGGAAAAAGGACGGGCTCAAGAGAGATCTGAGCGTCTGTGTCAGGAGAGTGCACGGTTGCTGGTTTGAGGTGTTTGGAAATTTAGGGTCAAGGGGCGCTTGAGTGTCTTGGAGGTCGTTTCAGGATCTTGCTCCACTGAGAATACCTACCAATGTGCTCGCGCACCTGATGAAGCTCCCGCCGTATGGGAGTATCGAGGATTCATTCCTGTAGCCATAACAAACAAAAGGAAAGAAGACTTTCACAAAAAAAAAGATCATGCTCGCTGTATCATGCTATCATCAGGCTGCCTTATCCAGGCGTGCCAGGGTTTCGATCGTGAGCACAGAGCCACAGATGCAACTCTGGGATTTGACAGCAGCCGCTGACGGCCTTGATGGGTGAAAATTGGTCACATGCTATCGCTGGTTGGGCTGAGGGCGACCCTGGTGGCTTACTCACCTATTCTTATCTGCCAACTCCCTAGTCCCTAGGAGCCTTCACTGCGGACGAACTTCAAGCCCCTGATGAAGTGGTTGCAGTGGTCGAACTCTGCGCCCTGTCAGACGCGAACTTTGCTCACAGATCGCGAGCTCCCAATCCCTTGGACTTGCACTTTACGCCACGTAAGTGTTTGACAATCCACGTGACACTTTTCGTCTATGGCACAGTCTCGTTAGGTATTGGTTCGCCATAAACCTGGTTGAAACCGAACCGAGCAGCAGCCTTGCGTCCACGTCAACGCCCACCTCCATCTGCGCCAGGGATTGAAATCCTCCATTCCTTTCTCCTGCGTATCAGGCCACTGAAGTTTCCCATTGCAAGATCGTGCGGCAAAATCATGAAAAGACGCGTGCTTGTTGCGCGTCCCGTGGGACATTTATCCCATTGCAGCTTTTCCGAAATATATACATGGCCATTCCTCCTGGTCGATGATTATCATGCCTCGACACCAGGCTCCAGACAAAACAACCCGAATTGCGTTCCTCCCTAGTCTTACATGATCATTTTGGTAGACATAACCCTATACTAAATGTCCGTGCCGTTGTACAGCCTCATGCTATCATTCATCATCATCTGAGGCCACTGTAAGTGTTCTTGCCAGATTTCTGGCACAGACTCTTTGACCGTCTCTAACATGTACCTCGCCCATCCGCTGATAAACCAAGTGTCCTGATCTTTGCTTTCGCCCCAGTACATCAGCACGCAGTAGTGTGCCAAGACGACCATCGCTTCCGGTTGTTTCTCACTCAGGAGATCCAGGAATTTGGGCGGCAGATTGATCGGCCAAACAAAAGTCGTCAAAATCGTTCCGTCATTACGAGCCTTCAGCAGGGAAGCTTGAATGAACGTGCTGAGCAGCGAGTGAATAGCCAGATCAAGAGCTTGGGCGGTCTCTTTGTCATGGTCACTGGATGCGCAAAGACGAAAGAGCTTGGTAATTTGGTCCGTGTCCGGCAGTGTGTAGGCGGCCGCGTTCTCAATGTGTCCCATTTCATCGAGCAACGGCTTCAGAAAGCTAGCTTTGATAGTCTCGGAATGCAGATTGAGCACACTGTTTGCGCCTCTCAGTAAGTAAAACCAATGTAGTACGTCGCTGTTGAAGCCTCGTGGCTTGTCTTTGGTACTGGAAGCAAAAGCAAGCACAATCAGCAAGCATGAGAAGGCGAATAGCGCATGGCAATTGCTTTCGTCGACGTGACCGAGCGTCTCTTGAAAGTCGGTCAAGGCTATGCTCTGATGCGTTGTTCCGATGAGGTCGTACTCGGCTTTCTGTTCAGGGTGAAGATAGGCCCAGTGGAAAGCTGCAACAGCGAGGATGCCTCTCAGGAGAAAATGATGCTTGAACCCTAGCTTGACTGCATGCGTCTGCCATAGCGCCAGCGCCTCGGCAGTTTGGGAGTTGGCCAGATTCAGCGCAACCACACTGGTAAAGTGGTGCATCAGTTGGAGATCAGTAATATCCAGCTCCGTAGTCTTCTTGGTGCTGACCAGGTCAGGCAGGTGGAAGGGATCAATCACATGCTGTGATGATGTCCGCTTCTCTCCCTTGACCGATGCAAGTTGACTACTCTGCCGCCGGCCATCGGCGGGATCGCTGGGAGAGTTGCTAGCATCGGATGAGAGTGAAAAGTCGCAGACAATTTGCCGACGTTCACAATTGGAACATGTCGGATGTACTTCGTTGCACTATGGCTCAGGTAAGCACTTCGGAGTCAGATGGAAAGCTTTCATAACAGCCAACCTTTATGCGCCTAACTTTGCACTGACTACAGCCATTCTTGGATTTCGTATGCGACCGCCGCTGGTTCTTTGGCGGCATGGGAAGATGGAGATATCGTTGGTAATTAGAGATCGCGCCCCGTAATGGTTCGCATGACAGTGGCAGGGGTGTATGGAGGCAGTTGATCGTATTTTCGTATATTGCTGCACGATCCGAATTGTTACTCGACAACCATCTGCTCGAAAGAGATGCGCTATACGAGCAAAAATTTACATAAACGGTGAAAAACAAGAGAAAATCAGCAATTAACAAAAGCCTCGAGGTAACATTGAAAGAACAAAGAGCGTTGAGTTCGGCAACATTGGGGAAGGAAGCATGGATCAGGCTGCCGAGTTCTAAAAACTCCAAAGAGTCCCGGCCAGGCTCGCTGACTCAAAACATTGTATCTAAAGAGGTGAGCATTTTCATCCATGCTTGCCGTGGTGCCACGTTTCACTCAGCCAACAGTCTTAATTGATAAGGGAACCTCGAAGAATAATCTGAAGCAAGACATTCATTGCTTTTTCTAACTTGCTTTGTAGGATGCGCGCTAAATTACCAATTCCTGGGTCGTCGTGCCTTGTTCTCGCGCTGCCTTTTCTCTTTCAACACAGTCCGCCGTCTCAACTTCCACGCCCGATTGTTCTCGCCCCGGTTCTCCCAGAACTTCTTCTCAAAGTCACTCTGCTGCCGTGATGGCGTCTCGTTGGGCTGCTTGCGCAGACCGCCCTGTCCGGTCGGAGTCGCCTCTTCATCGTCGGCTTCCATCTCCTCATCGCCTGGCAGCCCAGAACTGCCGAAGCTGTTGAATCGACTTGGATGCGCCGTATCAGGTGTGGGAGCTGCACTTCGCAGACTCCTGGATCGGTTGTCCTGCGAGCTGAAGGGTGTCCCTGGCATGCTAGTCTCTTCCTCGATATCATCTTCGTTGCCAGATTCAAAAAATGAAAATGACGTTGACACCTCTAGCGATGGCTTTGCAACATCAGATGTGGTCGGTTTGCTTGGCTTCTTGAATAGCGCTTCGAGTGGGTGGACCTCCGCAGCCTTCTTTGCTTCAGCAGACTCTGGTATTGCAGACGATGCTTTCTCTGTATCAACCGCAGATTGTTCCGATTCGATGTCTGAATCAGACTCAGACGAAGAGCCCGAACTGCTTGTCTCATCATCGTATTGATTCACCGGATGTTCCTGGCTTTCTTCTTCTTCTTCTTCCCCTCCCTTTTCACCCTTAGTTGGACTGTCTTCATCGGAATGTTGACTTTCATTCCCCGAGGCGACTTCAACTTGCTCTACTCCCTTTCGATTGGTGGTAGCGGCACTTTTGATGGCGCGACGTGATCTTGCAACCCGCTCGCTCTCTTGCTCGACAACATGTCCATCCTCGTCGACCCATCCCTGTCCTTCGATATATTCCAAGTTGACTTTAGAATGCTGACCAACATCTTGTCTGAGGAAAGATGGTTGCGCTGTGGACTTTTCGAATTCGTGTACCACACTTTCGCCAGGCCTCTTCTTTGACTTGCTCTTTTCCCTATCTCGCAATCCGACATCTGTCTTGTTGGGAGGTAGCTGCGTGCGAAACAGTAACTCATCTTTATCAGAGTATTTCGACGCAGCAGACGAAGTTTTCCCCTTGTCTTTCTTACTCGACTTCGAAGGCTTCGCCTCGGTCCAGCCGCGCTTTACCTTGCGATCTGAGGGCAGCGCATGTCCAGCGATCACATCAGGCTCTTTTTTCGCCTTCCTAGACACTTTCACGGCTTTGGTATCGGGATGTTCCTCCTCCGTCTCTTCGACACGCCTGCGTTTCTTAGGGCGAGCTTCCTCGATCTTTATTTTCTTTCCCTTCAAAATAGCGCCATTAAGCTTTTTCTTTATTCTTTCAGCCTCCATCGTGGGGATATCCAGGTAGCCGTAACTATTTTCCGGAAATGTCTGGAGCGTATGGTAGGAAACGTTGGAGACTGAATCAAGCAGCCTTGGTCCGACCACAGCATGGAGTAGATCGGGAGTTAGAGGAGTTATATGGAGTCGTACCGAGTCAGCCGTCATCGGGAATACATGTAACGATTGTAGCAAGCGCTCTTGAACACAACCAGAACTCGTGGGCGGCTGTTTGTTTGCGTCTAAAAGCGTGCCGCCGGAATGTTTGACGCTTAACGGTCAAAAGTTCGCCGTCATTTTTTTCCAGGCTTAGTTTAGGCAGGGCACCCGACATCATTAGTGGGAGAGATGGGTGTGGGTTGGTCACCGAGTATCTGGTGCGGGGCAGCAACTGATGGCCCACCATCGATCATAGGCTGTGTTTGTAGGCACGCCTATAGCTTTCGTAATCTGCGTTATCGTCGTCCTCCCGCCCGCTCGGATGACCATACTCATGAGCAATGACCATCGATTTATCCGACGTCCTTCCATCTCACTTATCCGCTAGTAGTTGGTTATAACGGGCACCCTGCATCCATTAACTTTGTGGCCGGTGCAGCAAACTTGGCGGAAGGCTGCGGACTGACCTTGTTTCTCATGAGGAGAGTATTGCGTTTGTCCACTACTCCATCTGAACATACGTACCCTCATTCACATGGTTGTTATGTGAGCATCACCCCACAATCGTTCACATCAACTACCTCCTTCCCGGACCTGACCGCCATCCAAGTCGAGCTTCGAGGCGTCGCTCACTCATCAAGCTCTTGGTCAACCCCGACGAGACCTACATATTCCAGGCACATCTCACCGACCGGCTCGAAACCAGGCTCAATTTCAAGCTCAGCGATCCTTCCATGTTCCCGCCTTCGGAACGAGAGGGTATGCAGAAGATGTGGCGATGATTGCGCCTCATTGGTATCGCTAAGTAGCAGGAGGTCACTCGTCATTCGAAAGTTGGGCGAAGATGGGTAACTCTCAGACAAAAGAAGCACGTGGGCAAGGCTCTTCCGCGTCGCGAGGCAGTGACAGCACCAGCATAGGCCAACGACAGGATGGTCAAGCAAACTCATCCGAACCCTCACTCCGCCCTGCATACTCCTCTCGCGGCCAGCGAAGAGGGAGTCGGCACGACTTTTCATTCCTCGGCATTGGCGGAAGTAGCGACCAAGATGCCTCTTCCCTCGAAGCGAGAAGGGAGACCAAGGTGGAGAGGGAAGCAAGAAAAGCAGAGAAAGAGCGGGCTGCAAGGCTCAAAGAGCGTGAGCGTAGCATGAAGGAAGAGAATGTTGACGGAGGCTATCTTGTCACGCAAGGCGTATATGTTGGGACTGAAGATTTCAATAAAACTGTCGCTCGACAACTTATGGTGAGTGTGGTACCTTCACGACCGAAAAGCATTATACTTACGCAGTCATAGATTGAGCGCAGACTTGCTCCCTTTTGGAGAGGGCTGAACGATTTCTCAGATTCATGGGCAGAACATCAGCTCATGGCTGCCGCCAGAGGTATGCCCATTCCTCCGGCCGATGAAGTACCTCCCGAACTCGAATATCAACTTGCCAAGAGGATAACATCCGACAAAAACAATCAGTCAACCTTAAAGAACCTCACAATCCCAATAGGAGGAAGGTCACAGTCCTTTCAGTCGGACAAATCAGCTCCTCTCTCACCTGCCATGAACTCTTTACCACTTCCATCTCCACCGGCATCCAGCTCGTCCGGCGGCAATATTTTCAGGACTCGGGCGAAAACGCTGGCCTCACTGACCACATCATCACGAGCCAATTCTCAGGCAGACATGACTCCCCGGGAATTCCAGCTGCCTCCAGATCCTTTCGTGAACGGCCAACCCATAGAGGTATATCTGTATAAGGATGCGTCGGAATGCCCGATTTGCTTCTTATATTACCCTCCATATCTTAACACGACAAGATGTTGCGAACAACCGATCTGCTCGGAGTGCTTCGTCCAAATAAAAAGGCCGGATCCACATCCTCCGGAACATGAACAGCCAGATCCCAACGCGCCGCCCGTCTCTGAAGCCGAACGCGAGGCACAAGCTGAGGAGTTGTTGGTGTCTGAAATAGCAACATGCCCATATTGCAAGACCCCTGATTTTGGCATCACATATACACCACCCCCATTCCGGCGGGGGCTTACTTACGGAGTTGGGTCACAACCATATCAGGTCATGTCAGCAATGTCTTCCCAGACATCCATCTCTTCGGGCAACTTGTCCCCTGGTCTTGGTCGAAGGCGAGGCACTTCTCTTTCGGCCAATGCGCCCGAGGTAATCACCACGGACAAGATCCGTCCAGACTGGGCTAATAAGCTTGCGACTGCTCGAGCTCATGCTGCACGACGATCGGCTGCAGCCACAGCACTACACACTGCGGCGTATCTGATGAACGGCCAGACCGCTGATTCGCGGGCCTTTGCTGGATTCGGCCGACGAAACGTGCTCCGACGATCTACCATGGACAGTCCGGATATCGGTCCAAGTCCTCATCTGGGTGCCCTTGCTCTGCTCGCGGAGCGGCATGCTGCCCGACAACAAGAAGCTGGTAGTACAGAGGGACGACCTAACCCTGTTATACCTCCCGTAAGAGGGGGCAGTTCCCGTCGAAGCCGTATGGATGATTTGGAGGATATGATGATGATGGAAGCCATTAGATTGAGTTTGGCATCTGAGGAAGAACGTCGAAAGAAAGAAGAAAAGGACGCCCGCAAGGATGCCAAAAAGAAGGAGAAGGAAGCTAAGAAAGCAGAAAAGGCCGGCCGGAAGAATAGCCTCTTCACACTAAACTCCAATACCAGCTATGGTGATGGATCTAGCAGCCTCCTCGAAAGATCGAGAAGCAATCTTTCGTTACTTCCAGATGATGATTCGATCTCGGGCAAGGGTAAGGCTGTGGAACGAAATGGCACTCCCCAACAGGAAGCCACCAGGATTGAAGAAGAAGCCCCTCAACCCTCCTATATTCCCACTCTGTCGCTCTCCGGCACGAGCCAAGAGTCTGTGGCATCGTCAATCCCCATTCCAACAGCAGCTGAGCCATTTCGACGATCGCACCTTCGACAAATGTCAAATGCCTCATCAGCATCGTCGTCATTCGTCGACTCAGGAACGCCGGGCGCATTCTCCGGTTCTGGAACTCCTCCGCCTGGAAGCTTGGAACCCATGTTCAACTTCAGAAGTCTCGCAGCAATGATTGGCGAAGAAGAGAAAGCAGAAACCAGCGCCCACGTCGAGAACGCTGACGAAGAACCTTCACCAACCGCACTACCGGACGGCAGAGACGAGTATCCGTCAAGGAAGTATGGGGAGCGTGGGGCATCTCATGGCCTAGGGTCTAGTTCGTCCTCAAGTTCGAACTCTCCAGAGCTGAACGAGGAGGACTCGGGTCTGAGGAAAGGAAAGCATGTTGTGGAGACATCGGCCGCTATGTCTGATATGTAGAAGGTGGAAGGTCACGCTTGATTATGATTACGAGCAGGGATCAGGATATACGAAGATGCTATATCCTGCAACACGATTGGCATGGCTGAATGGCGGAAAGATGAATGTAACAGTTTTACTTGGGATCACTGGGTGCATAAATTGTTGGTATCCTCACACCATGTACATGTGCACCTCATGGCGGTTGATGTCCAATTGGGCCCAAGTTGCGGCAACGAGCACGCCAGAAGGGCATCTTGCTGGAGCAGCGCTCAGCAGCATATTTAAGAAACGTTCGCAAAATATAGACACCTCCCGCTTCCCGATGTTGTCCAAAAAGCATCTCGCTAACTACCTAGGTATCTGGTATTCGATCTGAGGTTTTAACCTTGGAATATGGTAGAGGAAATGCCTGGATTTTGACCTGTGATTGGCGGATCGCGATGCGACCACTTCATTTCCCGAAGGACTGGTCAATATGGATTGTAGCGGTGCTCGACATACTCTTAACCCTCGTCTCATCCTACTTAGCACAGTATCGTGGACACGTCTGGCCACTCGTTTGGCTGTCTAGGGTGGACTCACACCAATACAGAGCATTGCAAACCGTTCACAGGGCCATGCGCATGGCTTGCTTCTAAAGACATTGACATCCTCTTTCCCTCTCCTCGGACGTTCACCGCACCTACCCTTCACTTCTCCCCTGCGCCTCCACAGTGAACCATGGCTCCCGACTTGAATACTGTCCCAAGATCTCCTCGTACTGGCGCGAACACTCAAACGTCCCTTCCTGCTGTACCTCTTCCTTCCTCACAGGCCGCCTCTAGACGGACATCAACCCAAATGCTACCCCCTCCTTTGCCCCGATACGACAGTCTTCCCAGCTCGCCTCGACCAGCGCAAGCCTCAATAATGGACAATTCTGGCGTTGGAATAGGACCAGGTACGATGGTGCCACACTCAACACGCTATGGTCTGTACTGACTAGGAAGCATCAGGGCCAATCAGGCACCCAAGGCCTCTCACGGCTGCTGAATTGCATCTGGAATTAGAGAAGGAGCAGGAGAGCATCGTAAGCCAGTCTGACCCATAACCATTTCAGCTCGGCCAACACCAAGTTTTAGGTCAACCGACTTACACGAGAACTGTCCGCACTGCGTGCGCAGACCGCGTCCGTGGCCTCAACGACCTCTTCTACATCCGACCACTTCTTCTCCGCAAGCGACCCTTACACATCTACCACTGGCACCGCTACAACCATCATACCCAACACCACCCGCCGTCATCGATCCTCGTCGAACCTTTCGACTCGCTCTGCGCGATCAATTCGAGATAACCTAGCCAACGCTACTAACACGAGCGTTTCGGGAGTTGCAGCACCGCGGGACCAGAGCGTTGTCGCAAGTAGCAGACCTAGCATGGAACTTACTCGGCCGGACATGAGCAGACAGAACTCTACATCTGCCATGGGCTTCCGATCGAGCTCGATTACATCGTCACCGCACATGTCCCAGAGTGCCTACGCGTACCCGCATCGAAGCTCCGTGTCATCAAATGCACCAAATATGTCGAGTGACTCTGCGCAAAGTTATGGCTTCCCACGGAGTCCTGGGTCCAATGCCGCTGCTTCGGCACTGAGGTACGAGGAGGCTGCGCAGCAGCGTGCCGAGTTGGAAGCGGTCAAGCGTGAAAACGAGATTCTCAGAGCCAGGGTCAAGGAGTTGGAGAAAAGCGTTCAGAAGACCAACGAGTCGACTGCTGAGCCTGCTTTGACGCCCTCTACCTCATGAGGTAGATCTGGGTGCCGACCTGCATCTCAGGTAGGAAACAATGTCAAGCTCTTATGAGCATACACAAGACAATGTCCGAGCATGGTATGCCACGAAACGACGATTGATGATCAATGATGGATGTCTACTATTGACGAGGAGAGTCGAGAATCTGTCTCTAAGGGCATGACAATAGGATGGGAATTGGGATAGCATGCATGGTGTTCTAGGCGTCTTTTTAAGCTGAACAAAAATCGTGTCAAGGCTGGCAGGGAGCGAAAGTGAAGTATCGGAATTGAGTTGTGATTTACAAGACAACCAGACAACATCTTTTGGCTTACGCGACGGATAGCCCAGCCTGACAAAGGTTCCCACATTCCAAGAGACAAGTAGTGCCGCTCTAGTCTGATATCGCATCTGCTCTCCAGGCGCTGAGATGTTCTTCGATGCAGGACGGCATGATTCAGACGCTCCCAGTCGACTTGGCCTTCTGTCCAGGGCTTCCGAGGTTGCCCTCAGCCACCTGAGCATCCCGCTGACTGCATGTGGATTGACTAACGGTGCCGTCCTGCCGGGTCTCAGTCGTTCCACTGAGAGCATGCTGCCGTGACTTCGTCCACGCTCGCTGAAAAGACCTGATTTGGCGCTGTGATGGCCTATTCTGTACTCAGATCTCCATATTGTCTGATCAACCTTATGTTTGCCCGGGCGATTCGCCCCTCGGTGCCGATGAAGGCAGGCACATTTGTCGGGGCTGACGCGAGCGTTGGCTGCGCCCCTCCTCTCGCACAGAAACCCTCGAACGTATGTATTAGACGGCCGAGATAATGCAATGCACCGGACGAGGGATCGCTAGTAAGACCTCATCTTGGGAGTGCTGCTGCCGTCCTAGGTTCGAGAGACTGTGACTGACGAGTCGAGGGTAGAACAAGTCCCAATCAAGGTAACATAAAGTCGGGAACATCTCATTTCAACTCCAACAACCTGGGTTCTCTCCCCGTTGCTTTGTCCGCCACGTCTTTTGTCGTCGCTTTCGCCTTCTCCGTGCTTTCAGCGATGGTGTTTTTCGCCTTGTCTGCTCCTTCAGCAACACTCTCTCTCACCTTCTGTCCGACCTCTTTTGCCTTACTGGTGGCAAATGCCGAAGCTTTCCCCGCCTCCGACTTCACAGTATCCTGCACTTTTTGGCTCGTCTCTTTCGCTGAGGCAAGAGCTCGCTGGGTACTGTCTCTCGCAGCATCCACAACCTGCTGTTCAACCTCTTTGGCTTTAGCCTCGAGTTGGTGCGCAGACTCCGTTGAGCGTAGTTTAGCCCAAGCAGCAGATATTCTCGCCTCCCAGATCTCGCGCTGCTCGTCCCAGTCGGTGGTCTGTACTTTCCGGACGAGATGCTCCACCTCGCTGTTCCAGTGGTCCTTGAGTTCCTCGACTAGTCCGGCCTTGCGAACCTCGTAGGCCGGTGGGTCTGGGAGAGGCGGTAAGGGCTCGACGACGGAGTTGAGTAGCGTGGTTTGTTGTGAGAGGAGGGTTTTCTGGACATTGCGGTTCGCGCGGTGGACGTATAATGACATGTAGAGGAGGGAGTAGGTTAGTGTGAGGCCTCCGAGCTGTGACTTGTTAGGTTTGCATTTGTGAGACGTGAGGGAGGCTTACGAAGCCTGTTGTAAAGCCCATCTTGTTTCCTTAGACAGATGGCGTTTGTCCTTGGGTGGATCTGTTCGTAGCGTGGTGTGGTCAGGTATGCGATGCAGAAAGATTAGTCGCCAGAGGATGGTGTCTTATACCTGACCACGACGGGGTGGCAAGAGTACGTCGCGGTAGTTGCTGTCGCCTGGTGTTATAGAAAGATTATGAGGTATTGCTGCTCGCGTACGTTGAGCTCCGAAGCATCGAAAGTTCCTGGGTAGGTTTGTAGGGGGAAAATGTCTCGCCGGAGAGCTACGGCACGGCATTGGGCTTGTCAAAAGCGAGGCTGAGGTTCAGCCTTGCCTTGGCTCTGCAGCCGGGTCGGATTGGAGAAGAAAGTTGAACGCAGCTTTCGACTTCAGTTTGACCCATCAATCCCCAAGCAACATATAGCACGCGAACAGGGCATCCGAGTGCTCCTCTAAAGGCTCGACCAACCTAAACTACTGCTGAGGTTTCTTCACATTCCCCACTCATCGTTTACTGGCCAACACTACTTCTCTCCGATCGCGCAACAAAGGATCACCTCGTCCTGGCGTCCTGCAGTACTAGGAACTTGCCAACTCATATCTCGACATCATGTCGGGCATAAAATACAGGCATTTAAGCCGCGACTCAGCTCATCGACGAGCTCTCCTCCGCAACCTAGTCACATCTCTCATTGCCAATGAATCAATATCCACGACCTACGCCAAAGCCAAAGAAGCACAACGTCTAGCCGAAAAGCTGATCACCTTGGGCAAGAAGAACACCAACGCCGCCAAACAACGAGCCAAGTCTATATTCTTCGTACGTGGCCCTTGAATACAGCAGCCAAGTTCCTTCCCTTTGACCATCCGGATGTAGCTAACGAGATGTAACAGGAGCCTGAACAGCCACAGCATATGGAGAAACTCTTCGAAACACTCCGTCTACGTTACGAACACCGACCCGGCGGCTACACACGAGTACTCCGACAGGAACCCATTCGCGACGACCAGGCGCCATCAGCCATATTATCGCTGGTAGATGGCCCGCGAGATATGCGCTTCAGCATGACGGCCAAAGCGCTAGTGCGCCAACGCAAGGACAATCTACCTATGCATGAGATGACGGCCGTGAATGTGCGGAAGGTGACCAGGTTCCGGGATGGAGGCGAGGAAGCGTTAGAAGAAGAGGTCAAACGACTAGAAGAGCAGATGGAGGCGCAAGATCTGGAGGAGAAGGAGGACTTCGAGACCGACGGGACGACGTACGAGTGGGTTAGAGGCGAGAAGGACAGGCGAACGTCGGCCAAGGGCAAGGAGAAGAACGGTCCAGGTCGACTGAGAAGGCAAAGGGCTGGAGAGGATGAGGAGACTCGATTCGGATAGTTCGACTCGTTGGAGCGTGTAAAAACATTATTCAAAGCGTGTCTCATGCCCCGAACTGTTCATATTGGGATGCTGTCGCTTCTCTCCAGCTATTCCGACATGCGATAGGCAAGTTATCTCGCCATCCCCAAGCCTTATGCAACACATGCCGTTGACATGCAGCGGTACGCCCATTTTCGCAAGCAAACAGTCCACTTTCATAGTTGGCTATCATCATAATTCCAAATCTTCATCATGGTACTGCTCCCGGACGACTCTGTACAGATAACCCGTGCTCACAACAGCGGGTACCTGGTTGGTGACAAACAAGTCGACGTCTCCTGCCTCGACAAAATCGTACAGCGGATTCCTAACGCCATCCTTCAAGCCTTCCCGTAGTGCGCCTTCTTGCACCGGAACCACTTTGCTTGCGTCGCCATATTCGATTAACGTGTAAGGATCGTATGGGTACGTAGGCGAGAGCTTGTAAGTTGCAGCCAGTACGACGACCGGAACACGGTGGAAACGGGCAGCTTTAATTACAGCTTTGCTTCCCGCGGCGGCGACGAGGGAGCCGTTTGTGAGCACAGCGTGAGCGTCAAGGACGACCTTGGTGGCGCGTGACATGACGGCGAATATTGCGGAATCTGGAACCATAATGACGTTGACTCCGGCCGAGGTCAGCGGTTTTGAAAAAGACTCGTTGGGCAAGATGTCGTCGTCCTCGGCTTCTTCTTGGGTACTGCCGGTCAAAAGAGCGTGAGTCTTTTGATGGTTGTTCGGATATGATTCTGCGTGTATGACGGTGAATTTTCGTTTTGAGGCTGCTTTCAGCAGGAATCTCTGCACTGTTAGAGAGGACGAGTAGGTGACTATTGTCTCTTGAGGATGAACTTGTTCCAGTGCGGCCGCAGAGATTTCGTCGTCGGCTTCGTTGATCTCGTCAAGAATCTCCTTGATGCCTTTGATGACCTCCGCCCGCAAGTTTGAGAGCGTCCCGGACATGCTCATGCGCGGTGTGACAGTACCACTACCGCTGCCTTGCCCTGGTGAGTCCTGGCCTGACATTCTCATGGTTGGATGGGCTATTATGCTGAACATGGATGTCATCGGAGGACGAGCAGGGGCAGGTGCACCAGTGTGCGAAGACATCAGAGGGGGCCGAGCAGGCCCTCGTTGTGGTGACGGACTGACGCTGGCCATGGACCTTCCAAAAGGGCCATTAGGTGCGCCGAACGGCGTCCGCGGTGAACTTGCTCGTTCGAGTGGTGTAGCACAGATTGGGCTGTCATCGCGTTCTGGGGTCCAGTCCCCGTCTCCTTCTTTACCGGCTGCTTCATCCTCGTCTTCGTCACGTATACTGCCGAGGACTCTTCGTACTATATTTCCAACTGCGGGCTCATGTGGTGCAGCAGCTATCAGCTTCTTGCCAACCTCAGACACCCTTTGCAGGAGTCTGTCACAGTCGGGTTGTTTGGTGAGTTCGACTGTTCGGAGAAGGAGAAGTGTAGTTGCCGCGGCGCATCGCTTTGAGCCTTTCAGCTGTCGTCTCTTTAACAGTCTGAGTGTCTCTGTTAGCCTCGCACCACCAACAGCCAGGAATACGACTCTTACGAAACAAGGTATGTGGTAGAGGAATCCAGAGGTTCTGTGGACAGGAAGCGCTGGAAGCTGGCAAACCCAGGCGTCAAAGGTGCTGTCATGGGCGCCATGATGGCAGCCCTTGAGTATTAGACGCAGGTGACTTGGACGATGCTTGACTGTGCGGACGCCTTTCTCTTCTGTGGTAGGTGCGGCCGAGAATATGATCGAGATGAGAATGTACTCTGCCGATAGTTGCGAAGTCTTTGAAGGGCTGAAATAACTCCGGCTATGGTTGTATGGTGTTTTTGTTTGCTGGTGAGTCTTGAGGTTGTAGGATCTGAAAAAAAGTTGTGGAGAGCCGCTGGGTGCATGACTCGCGTGGTCCTCGTTAAAGCGATATTCCACTACTCCAATTTTGGCACTATGATCACCTGTGCCAGCCACCTAAATGGGCATCGCCATTCCCCCACTGCGCCGACACCTCGTTTCTGGATCTGTTTCAATTGTGACCTTGTCCTTGTCATCTCGATCACAGCGCTCATTCTCAGCCTTGTATTCTCATAAGCTGCAATCCGCCCGGCGCAGCTCTTTCGAAAGAGTCATTGTAGCGTTCTATCGTGCGAATCTTTGGGCTTTTGTTCCACAGCACACCACACTGAACCCCCCACCTTCGTTTCGTAACGAGATGCCTTCGTCATAACACGGTTTGGAAGCCTTTCCCGCCAGGAACCGGCTGCCGCAGCTGTCCGCAAGCTGATCGCATATCACTCGCGTCATTGCCCGGTTGCGCGACTCTCGCGCAGGAAATGAACTCACTCAACCTGATCTCCTCCCGAGTTATCGGACAAAGCCAATCAGCTTCACGGCCACGATCGCGGTCGCACGGTGACCTGTGGAATCAGGAACGGGAAGAAGAGTCCACGAGAGGGAGATCGTACAGCGACGAGCTTACTGCTGAGATCAAGAAGGAGACAGACCCAGACACTCCAAGCCCGAGTCAGGCATCAGCAGCGACATCTGAAGGTGGAGATGATGTGCTCAAGGATGAGGACGAAATCGACCCACTGTTAGGATACGACGAGAAGGAGGACATTGCACCAGAAACAACAGGGTGGCATGCTTTCGCGAAGAAGTTAGCAAATGCCCTCACAGCTGTATTGGCAGCCATCGGTGCTCCGGTCGTTTATCTGGTAAAGTGGCTTAGGGACCCCGATGCCAAATATTCACCCGTTCCACGATGGTCGCGCCGAGAGAGGATTCCCAGCATCGGCTCGGTCAGCGCTGCACTTCTTCCCAATGGTACTGGGGATAGCCAGAAATTGACAAATCGTGTCCTGCACGAAACCAAGCTCCGGCATTCTTACTCAAGTGAGTCTATGAACACTTCAACATCGGACTCTGAGGCCGAGCTACGTAAAGCCGAGAAAGCGCAAGTCAAACCAAAGCGAGAAAAGAGCGGGCGCGATGAGGTCGAGACCAGAAGATCCTCGATTCGAATCAAGGAACAGACGGACCCTGCACTGAAACGGCGAAGGCAGAAGAAAGCTGCCAGCCCGCTGGCTGATGGAAGTCCGATGACCGTTGACAATATCAAATCACCCACATCACCGTCTACATCGTTGAAAATCACCAGATACCCACATGCGCCTCAACCACCACGACCGCTGATTCCACGAAGGCAGCCCTCATACGCCAATCTTGCCCCTCGATCACCGACACGTGGTCCGACATCTCTTCAGCAGAAGACGCTAGTACTCGACCTGGACGAAACACTGATTCATTCTCTGGCAAAGGGAGGTCGAATGTCTTCCGGACACATGGTGGAAGTCAAATTGAATGTGCCCGTAGCTGTGAGCTCACCTCAACCTGGTCAGGCCACATCCATGCTTGGACCACAACATCCCATTCTATACTATGTGCACAAGCGACCGCATTGCGACGAGTTTTTGCGGAAAATCTCCAAATGGTACAAGTTGGTCGTCTTCACTGCATCGGTGCAAGAGTACGCCGATCCGGTCATCGACTGGCTGGAACAGGAGCGCAAATTTTTTGCAGGCAGATACTATCGACAGCACTGCACGTTCCGAAATGGAGCATACATCAAGGATCTGAGCAGTATCGAGCCTGACTTGAGCAAAGTGATGATTTTGGACAACAGCCCCGTGAGCTACATTTTCCATGAAGGTGAGTGCATCCAGAACAGCCCAAAAAATGGTGGGAAAACTGACTTTGAGGGACAGACAATGCGATACCGATTGAAGGATGGATCAACGATCCAACGGATAACGATTTGCTTCACCTGATACCCATGTTAGAAGCTCTACAGTATGTGACGGATGTGAGGGCACTGTTGGCTCTTCGAAGAGGCGAGGCTGAGGTAGCCACGTAGCATTCATCGCGGCTTATATCACTACATTCGGGCGTCTGTTATACCCTTCATTCCGTTGTAAAGCACAGTCAGACGTTCTCATCACAACCACATCTGGAGGCCTTGTATTGTCACAGGTGAGAGATGAGTGGATGGAGAACCCGTGCTGAAATCGATCCGCCTCTCCGCATAGGAGACCTGCTTAGGCGGCATGAACCATCCAATAGTCGCCCGAAGATGAAGGTGACATATATGATCCCTTGATCTTCGTACTCCGTACCATTCGATTGTTCCCCACGAACGTCAAGAGACCTGCGTCCCGAGCAGTCCTGCGCCTTTTGACTCCAGAGTCTTCTACATCCGTCTCTCTGTCTGCTTTTTCATGATCTCATCTTCTCACATTCTCGCATCTGTTTTGGCTGTTTTGCACATATCAACCTACCCGGCACGGCCTTATTTTCTTTCTATATACTGCCGGTGCCTCTATTCGGTCCTGTCTTTTTGGGGCAGATCCTTTTTGCAAAGCGTTGTAAGATCTTGCATCTGGAATGGCTTCCGGGACAAATAGACCATGTCGATGAACCAGTCTCATATTCAAAATGAATCAGTACTTCCTTCTTTAACCTACCCAATCAATGAATCTACATCTTCGTCATCCTCATCATCATCGTCACCGCCGAGACCAGCGGCTCAACCGCCACCATTCGAGTCCAGACAATCCTACCTCGATGTGCCGACGAACAATCGCCCTTCGAGGCCATCGCTAGACAGCACCTACTCTGAACTATCCGAACTCTCATTTCGTTCGAATGAGCTGCAAAGCCGCCGGCCTCTCGTCCGAAGTATTTCCCAAAATGCTCCTCCGCCCAAAAACCTCTCGGCACGCATTGTTGCAGCGTTGCGCCTGTTCTACCTCATCAACTATGGTGCCCTGCTCGTTCTCCTCGCCCAATTCTTTGGCGTTGGGATGAACGTAAGTACAAGACTACTCGAGACAGAAGGCGCCCATGGCAAGCCAATGCATCCTTTTCAGATCCTCTTCGCTCGCCAGTCCATCACCGCTTCTCTCTGCACGGCCTATGGTATTTACACCAAGGCAGTGCCCGACTTCCCGCTTGGACCCCGCGACACCCGCTGGCTATTGATAGCACGCGGTATCTTTGGCTTCATGGGCGTCTTCGGCATGTACTTCAGCTTGTTGTATCTGCCGTTGAGCGAAGCTACCGTCCTGACGTTCCTCTCCCCAATCCTGAGCTGTTATATCTGCAGCTTTATCATCCCAGGCGAGACCTTTACCAGACAACAGCAACTAGCCGGCTTTGTCAGCCTGCTGGGCGTCATCTTAATTGCCCAGCCGGCCTCGTTGTTCTCATCAGGCTCGTCAAACCCGACGAACAATCCTTCGCTCCCTCCAGATGCGCAACCTGCTGATCCTTCACAAAAGCCTACAGCAGATAAGCATCTCCTTGCCATTGGCATCGCCATGATCGGTGTGATTGGGTCCACTGGTGCCTACACTTCCATCCGTGCTATTGGCACCCGAGCACACGCCTTCATCAGCATCAATTACTTCAGCGTCTGGTGCACCATTGTCTCATTGTTCTGTCTTATCGTCATCCCCGATGTCACGTTTCGTCTGCCCGGCAACGCGACCGAATGGACGCTGCTCGTCAGTCTCGGCGTCTGTGGATTCATAATGCAATTTCTCCTCACTGCCGGTCTGGCATATGGTGGACCATCAGCACAGTCACACAGCGAACACAAAAGAGCAGCTAAGATCAGAGATATTGAACATGAAGAGTCTGTTAGTGAGCCGGCCTTCAGCGATGGAGACAGACAAAGTGCCCAGCCTAATGCAGCAGCCAGAGGTTCCGGGACAAGAGCGACGAGTATGGTTTACACGCAGATGCTATTCGCATTAGCCGGCGACAGATGGGTCTTTGGCATTACTCCCACGACAGTGAGCTGGATCGGGAGTGTATTGATTCTGGCTGGCGCAGTATGGGTCGCCGCCGCAAGAGACACCGCGTCAAAGAGCAGTGGTACCGCCCAGAGCAGTGAAGCTCTGGTCAGCAGCGTGATCAACACAGAGTCCGGCCCGAACAAGAACGAGGGAACCATAGAGGAGGTCGTCGGGCTCATGCAGAGTCAGGAGGCAGATGAAGTTCATGACCCACGGGGACTGCAACCCGTCGAAAGTCTTGAGATGCACGACCTCCGGCGTACCATTGGCAACAGCTAACTTCTGGGCTGCTCCGCACTTTTGAAACACCACGTTTTTACGAATTTCGGTATGCATTAATTTGGACTGTGGCGCTGCTGGTACGGCTTACATTCAGGGCTAGAGATGACGGACATATAAAGCTATACAGGGCATGCATGCGTGGGTAAGACTATATAGAGCAAAATTGGGTCAGGTTAGATAGGCGCTCCTACACTTGGAGGGTAGATAATCTCTCGGTACAAGCGCCTTATAAGCAAATGAATCACCTGGAAGGATGTCAATCGAACCGTTTTCTTCCAGTGCATTTTTCGACTATCTAGATCTCGTGCTGATGACTGAAGCACTCACCGCTCACCAGCGATGCGGCTGACGCTTCTGCTGCTGCTCACGATACACACTCACAATGGCAAACGACTCGTACATGATGTCCTTCTCACCAAGGTCTTTCTTCCTTGGCGTTTGGTGAAAGAGGTCTTTTGGTGATGATTATGCGTCTCTTTCCTTTTTTCCCGGGTCCACCATACAATGCAAATGGATCCTGTCTCATGTCATGGTCGAACCGCTCGTGCCATGCCTGAATTTTATTTCCAGCTCAGTTGTCCCGAACCATCTTGACTTTTTGATAACGCCTTGTAAAACTCCATGTTCCATCCTGGACCTGACTCCGTGGCCAAGTCATGCTAACTAAAACGCCGGTGCTCGAATTGAATCTGGGTATGCGTGTGCTGAAACTATGAGGACGATCCACCCGGAGTCGCGTTACCCGAAGCATTGAACGGGAAAGCCCCAGGCCCATTGCTGAGGGTCTCCACTTCATAGGTAGAAGGATGCTGCGACGGTGGAGGCTTTTTCGGAAGATGAGCGGGAGCCCCATACTTTTGCTGCAGCGAATCTTCTCTGGGCACGAAGTTCGCCCCAGATGCTGATAGACCGGCCATACTCGGGGCATCCGTTCCAAAGGATCTTGGACCGTTGTTGTTGGCTCGATTTTGGCTGGACGAGGGTGATGGTTTCTTCCTACCATTGCGTCCGCCGTTACGGCTTGTGGCGTTACTCGGGACGAACGACCGGGTCTGCGGGTTGAACAAGGACCTCGAAGGGTCACCTGGACCCAAATGTGGCGCATTGTACGGGGTGTTTGAGTTGTATCCCTGTCCGCCGAGTTGCCCGTATCCGAAAGATGCTCCATTAGCAATCCCTGAGTTGGGCTGATAGCCCGACCAGGCATTCATATGTGGACCACCTGGACCCGACGGCTGGTGGTAAGGTGCCTGAAACTGATTGTTCATCCAAGGTTGCGACTGTTGCATTCCTGAATGTGGTTGCTGCATGTATTGGTTGTTCATCTGTGCCATCATTGAAGGTACATTCTGCTGGTAATTTGGTGGTGATGCAGAATAGTTTGGATAGCCGTTCGTAGAAGGAGTCTGCACCGAGGACCAAAAATCGGCTGGACTGTACGGCTGATTATTGTTGGGTCCATATCCCATGTTGTTGTTGTAGGGGTTAGATGGCTCAAAGTTCGGATAAGCTTGCGTTGGTGTGCTACCATAGTTCATGCCAGCGCCATATCCGTGGTTGGGACCCTGGTAAGGTGCTTGATACATCTGATCTTGATACTGAGGCTGAGACTGATGTTGTGGGGTTGGTATAGCCATAGGTGCGTAACTGGGAATGAACGCCGAGCGTGCCTCGAAGCTATCATCTTTGGGAGTTTTGTGTTTCCGGGTCTTTCTCTTACCGCTTGAGGAACTTGACCGTGACATGCTGGCTGAATTATCCCCGTTCGAGGCATTTTCGCTCGTCACTGACTCCTGGAAATCACCAAAGATACGCTCTCTGGCAGCTTTGTACTGCGCTTCTCGTTCTTCTCTCGTAAGTTTGGACTTGTCTTTGTTTGGTGTGCCTTCAATGGCATATAAGATTCCTTCCTCACTGGTAGACTCCAGACCGGTTTCCGAGGTTGCCTTTGACGGATTCGAGGAACTGAGTTGCGTGCTGACTCCAGCAGAGCCTTGCCTACGACCCAAACCCGCCCTACGCATGATCTTCACAGCCATGGCTGAAGGCGGCTGCGACGGTCCAGCAGGAATCGACTGCGCAAGGATGTGTAGTGGAGTCGGCCTGCCTCGATGTTAGCAAGCAAGGTCAGAGTAATGTGGTCCAGTACCTACAGAGACGCAGACGACGGTCTGAAGACTCGGATTGAAGTACCATCTTCATTGATATGATGGGCGAGCGAATAGTAATCGGCGAGTTTGTGGGCAAGCAACCTAGCATATCCATTTTGCGGGGGCAGATCAAGAAACTCGCTCCTGCTTAATGTCAGCATGTTATTCCCAATGGGGATCGTACTACTCACTCAGACTTCGCAATAAAGCCGAGAAAGATCTCTTCCAGTTGCAACAAGGGCAAGCGGTCTTTTGGATTTGCCAACGCGTCAAGCAACTTTTCGTCTGGAGCGACCGGGAGAAAAGGCGCTCGCTCATGCGCCTCCGTCTGTTGAGATACTGCACTCTCCGTCTGGATTGATTGCTCATGCTCCTCCTGGACCATCGGAACAGCAGGAAGGTCTCCAAAACGTGGTGGGTTGGTCATCGTCAAGGTATGATAACGACGAGCAGCAATTGTAACACCGGATGTGGGAGGCTTAATGTATGGACGAGAGACGGCAAGAGAATCATTATCACGAATGAAGTTCAGCTCCCTGCCCGGTGCATTGGAGGTCTCGTCGTCCTCGGCAGCTCTGACACTGGCGCTATCATCCGGACGGATGCTTTCTTTCTCGTCCATTGCGAATGTTGTAACAGATGCCATGCTTTTCGTGTCGAAGCTTTGCTGTTTAGTTGAGGAGTTGGAAAGGTGTGATTGATCGTCCCCCAGAGACTCTCCGCTTTCTGCACTTTGAGGTCCAACTGGCGCAACATTGGTGCTATTGACCAACGATAGATTCTGGATGGCATTGGTCACATAATCGGATTGAGTGCGTCCTTCGACATTCGCCAACTGTGGTTCACCTGCTCTATGTGGTGAAGTTGGAGATATGTAGGTGCCAGGCGCCTCCGATTTGCGCACATTGTTTCCATCATTGGATCGGAGCTTTTTGTCGTCGACGGCATTTGAGCTTGCAAGGGGCTTAGTAGGCGCACGCATTGCTGCAACCTGGCGCTAAAGTTAGTACTTGTATTGTATGAAATTGACCAAGACCAGCGAACCTTTGCGAATGAGAGTTTCGGCGGAACCGATCCAACTTGAGGAGACGCCATTGTTCCCAAGGAGATTCGTCACGTCGTATCCAACAACGTTCAGTAAAGATGTCAGACTGAGGACCGAAAGATGAATGTGGCGCGTATGAGCGAAAACCGAAGCTTCAGTTTTCCTTTCCTCCCTTTTCACACAACCTCTCGCCCAAGAAACGAGCCTGTACAGCGCAACTTGAAAGGCTCCATGGATTCGGCACGGGGATGTCTTCGGTCAGGGTTTCAAGTGTAAACTGATTGCCGTTCGAGTTCTGCTAAGGTATCGGGTTACAGGACTTGGTGGTGACTCTTGCACTTTGTCTCCCACTTGAAAAAGGGCGATCGCAAGGTGGGCGAAGTCGGGAATCAGCCGAAGTCCAGCGGCGGCCACAAGGCAGATGGAGGAATGTCAAGTTGTCCAAGACGTGAAACCGCCAACGATGGTCGAAATACAACTCTTTCTTCTCGAAACGCTTGGGGATGGCCAACAAGGGTGTGTCTCAATCCATTCTGACTGCAGACTCAACTTCGCAGATGTCGCAGCAACAAGGTATAAGGCTCAAGGATGCAGAGGCATGACAATGTCCAAAATGCGTGAGGTTTCAAAGCCGCCAAGATGCTGCACTGCGGACTGAATATCACGCTGTTTTGGAGCATTGTGATCGCTGCTTTAATGAAGAAAGAACGATGCAATATCGACTTTGCCGCCTCGTACTCGTATAATCCCGAAAGTTTTAGTCAGATAGTGCCTACCTTGCCTGTAACTTCACCTCGTCAGCTTCGTTTTGGACAGTATCGGGATATTGCCAAAGAAGTGTACACTGTTGTTAAGGCTTTAACGGCTTCAGCATTGTCATTGTCATTGTATCCTTCATTACTGTGGCTGTTCCTGTCTCTCTTGCTGACAGGCTTTTGCGTAAGACGTGAGGACGTCTCTGTGCCACAGTGATTGATCTGGCACAATCGCGAATCGGCTGGGAGGGTTATTTGGCATGATACTGAGAGAGTGTCATTAAGATGAACCGCTACCGCACAATTCCCGGACTTGGGCCTCAGAAAGCCACGGTATCTACTGTCTGCCAGAAATGCTTGAAGAAAGATACGTCTGCCAAACCCCTCCACGTGTACCCGCACTGACAGTCGATGCAAGCCACTACAGTTATGAGTGCAAGTCGAGTGCTCAGGAGCGTCCATACATCTCCAGACCGTCAAGAACTCAACAGCTACTCAACCCCAAGCTCAAACCAAAATTGACAAGCGACAAACCAAACGAATTGCTGAACAGGTAGGGCTTCATCACCTCTGATTCCAGAAGAACCCTCCTACTGACACTTGCACAGTCGGGGTGTAGCCGACCAACAACTAGCCGAGGCGGAAGCCAGGCGTAATGGAACCCCAGCATTGGAGTCCGAAAGTCGAGGACGCTCATTGAGCCCACGCGCAAATTCTCCGTCTCGATCTCGATCCATAGACTCTGCGAGTTCCGTCTCTACTATCTCAACGGCTAAGTCTCGGTCTCGGTCGCATTCGCTGTCCGAAAGCCGCGATGATAGGATGGACACTGGTAAACGGGCTGGTCACGCTCGGTCGAGGACACCGCCCCGGAAGCGCAAACACCATTCCGATTCGAGTTCATATTCACGTTCACCCAGGTCGCCAAAGAGGGCACCCAGCTCACATCATAAAACTCGCCGCCATCGGAGCAAAAGTCCAAGTGACCGTGGCCGGCCGAACTCAACGCGCCGAGGAAGCCATCGCAGTCGAACCAGCAGTCCAAGCATGGACCAAAGTCGAATCACCAAACATAGAAGATCATTGGGTTCGCAAGACGGCTATAGGGAAGAGGAGAAACGTTATAGCCGCGAAAATAGGCCCCAAGCAAATGGAGACGGCCGCAGGCCTGCAGGTTTCGGGTCGTCCGGTGCGCAAGGGAGGGGACCACGGAGAGAACGAAGTCTCAGCCCATACAGCAAACGACTGGCATTGACGCAGGCGATGAATTTGTGATTGATTATGTCTTGTTTTGGCTAATAGCAAGTACTATTGATACCATGCATCGGTGGACACTCCTCTATGTAATTTAGCTTGCAAGGCGCTGGAGGCCTCATACCAAGTTCAATGATACTCAAGTTTTGCCTTACTGTCCGAAGTTCCACCACATGTTTATTCGCCCGGCGCATTTTAGAGAACCTCTCTATGCTCGACGCAGCGAAAGAGCCAGCCGCTGACCAATGGTGTGACTGAGCGTCTCGGACGTGGAAGCATCGGTGGTTCTGCGCAATTGTCGATGGCTACCATGGTTCGAGCCTAAAAGACTGTGACCCATGAGCTATGGCTGCAAGACTTGTCGACGCTCTTTTGCTTCCAGAGCCGTTCTCTGAATGTGAGGAGACTGTGCGACTGATTTTCTGCAGCCATGCTTCTCACATTGCAGGACGAGGAAGACATAGCAGCCTAGATCGGATCGAGTCCTTTCAGATCGGTAGCAGTTGCGACGCTCGCCTTGGTGAAGACAGGTGCTGCATGCCACAGGCCCGTACTTCATCAATGAGATTTTCCCCTCGGTAGCAAATGCATTTCACGATGCTCACTGATCGTGGCAACAAGCGTGACAGTCGAAATTGGGGTACATGGCATGCATTTGAACTGCTTTGGGTCGAGATAAGTTCTCACATGCAAGTCGTCTCATGAGATGTCGGCCTCTTCCTCTTCCAGTTGAGCTTCTCTCTCCTCCTCTTGCTCCCGAAGATGAATACCTTCGACCAGTGTACTGCCCTCCATGCCGACCTCTTCCCCTTGATCACCATTTTGACTCGCTTGAGGTGCCTTGCCTGAATTGACTGCGTCCTTCTTTGCGTTCTCTATTCGCTCTCTCACTAGTCTAGCGATGGCGTTCTGAGTCCGGACGTCTAGTATCTTCATCTTCTCCGCCAGGTCTCTCTTCAAGTCCCAGTTCGGCTTCTTGGGCTGCAACTTGAATAAGTCGATCCCTTTCTCTGCCTCTGCCTCGTCCTTGGCTGCTTGTTCAGCGGCTTCTGCCGCAATACGTTCAGCCTGTTGTTCCAAAGTCTCAGCATCGGCGATGGGGACACTTTCAAAGCCGAGTTTCGCGTTCTTGTTTGCGGTGTCATAGTTTCGTCCCGACAGATATTTATTTGTAGAGGTTGCCTCTTCAGTTTGCTGTTCTTCCTCTTGTACATTTGGCGCAGTCACATCGGAGCCGGGCTGTTTGCGCTTGAGAGAGGCAAGTTCCGCAAGACGGGTCTTACGGTCGACCGCTGCAGCGTCTAGGCTGGTATGTGTTGAGGACATCCTCACATCCACCACGAGTTCTCGTTCGGCAGGCTTAATAGAATTGACTTCAGCCTAGCAGTAACATGAGTGCAAATAACGGTATGAACCGAATTTCGTTGCGTCGTCGGCAGATCATCGGATAAATTTCTTTTTCTGTTCTGCTCGCCTGCTGCATGCGCTTCTCTTCTCCAAGTCTTTTCAACCACGTTTGCTGTCCGCCAGTCCTACGACCTACAATTGTTTCACAGCTGGCACGCAGGAAGCCAAATGAGCCGGCTTCTGAATGTTCGGCGAGTTGCTGTGCGCGCTATCAAGATGCCAATGCTTTAGCAAAACGAGATATCACCCTGGGCGCATTTTCTCACGGCACTCGAGCGGCTACCCTCCCCCATTCCCAAGGACCAACAAGATCGGACTGAGGCCTAAATCCCCGAACCAGCGTCTGCCACCTACGCGTCTCCGGAGAGGGGAAGAATCCAAACAGGTTCCGCTGTTGCAAGCTTTGGACCCTATTACACCAGTTGAAGCAGCGGAAGAACAGCCCGCTAAGCCGAGTGCAGTGGTCGAAGAACAGCTCTTTAGGCCGATTGAAGCAGTCCGGGATCGAGCATCTCAAAATGGGCTGCCCGTGGAGACTAGCGCTGTGTCTCCTAGCCCACGAACGGGACAATCTCGAGACTTCGACGCCTCTGGAAGGCCCCAGCTGATTCCAGTCCAGCTATGGCGCGACGGTCCTGTTGTGACCGTTCGCTCTTCTGTTGGGGTTTCCAGGACAAGTAAGAAACCTCGGTCTCGATACGTGACATTCCCGAAGAGATGGATAGAACTGTACAAAAAATTGATCTTTCCCAAGGACGGGGATCTGGTCAGGGCACAAGAGCGTGGAAGAATTCATCGACAAAGGGCGATGAGCTTCGTTAGATCCCACGATGTCAAGTCTCTGCGCGCAGCCTGGATGGACATGGCTCTGGCTGAGAGAAGCAAGCTACTTCCATCTATACTTGCTGGTTGTCTCGCCATTTCTGCTCGGAAAACCCTCATGATGCTCACGATGCTCAAAGTCATCCCACGCGAATGGAGAACTCGCTGCGAGTGCTTGTGTTACCTCGACCTAGTATACTCGGCGGAGATCAATGGTGATCCAGAGCTACAATCTTTGTTTGCCAGACAAATCGAGTTGGTGTCAGCGGTGTCAACATGGCCCAGAAAGTTCTCGATGCCACGTGCGTTTCTTGTACTGTTACTTCACCACAATGGTGTCCAAAACTGCGAAAACATTATCGACGCAGTCTTTAAAATCCAAGATGGGGTTCCAGCCCAACTCGTCCTGGTTATGGTGGATCATTTCACGAGGATCGGTAATCCGGATCGAGCAATCGACGTGCTTTGGCGCATACCACCAGAGCAAAGAGAATATTTCAGAAGGGAAATCCTTCACCGATTCACAAACCTCATCAAACTGGACACAATCGAAGAAGCGGGTGCTGTGCGGAATTTCAGACTCCTGCCGAGTCTGGCAGGATTTGAGCTACCAATGAATGAAAAGATCCATAACACCATCATCGACCGAGCCATCACCCTAGGAAGACCCAACGTGGCATGGGAGTTGTTCCGGTATATGGAAGTTGAAAACATCAATGTTGATGCCCGAAGTTATCTTGTCTTACTCCGCGACAGTTTCGATCGCAACGACCACGAACGCCTCGACAAGATCATGTCCGCAGTCCACCAACGTGAAGATCTGTACAAGGATCCTTATCTGGTCGTGTACATGATGCACGTTATCAGGGTGGTTTGTTGCATCGATCGCAAGCTACTTCCCGAAACTTCGTTCTCTCACATTCTTGCCATATATGACAGAGCCTATGATAGGGGTCCACTGATCAAATTGGGCCTGGTTGATGCACTTTCTGCTGAGCCAACCTCGCAGCGCGACTTACCTGAGCCGTCACCAGCAGTTCTCGGGTTTACGGTTTGGGCATATATCCTGTGTCAACAGAAAGAAGGACCGGTGTGGAAGTTGTGGCACTGGATTGTGCATATGATCAAGCAACACGATGCATCCATCTGTAAAGCTGCTGAGCACGACGTGCTGTATAACGGCTTCATTCACTTCTTCAGTCGCGACCCATCGACCATCGACCGAGGACTTGTGGTTGTCCAGGAAATGATTGAACTTCAACTCTGCGCGCCTACGAAACGCACCTGGAGCGAGGTCTTGTGTGGCTTCTTACAGTATGGCGATGATGAGACAGCGGAAAAGATCTGGCGCGAAATGCTGACGAATGAGATGCGTTCCGGAAAAGAGGGGTGGGAGTATTTGCTAACCAAGTTCGATAAGTCGCGCGTGGCAGAGGAGATCAACCATGTAGTTGATGAAAGACGGATGCCAGAAGGTATGGCAGCTACACTAGGCGATGATGCCGAGGTTATCGTCACGGAAGACGCAACTCGCGAAGGCCATCAAGCGGGCGGGGGCTGACTGATCCCTTGACCTTTTCCATCATTCCCTGTACTACTAGAGAGCCTCACCCATACTTCTTGAGAAGTTTGTACATTATCAGGTCAGCCACTCTTTATCTCTGGCGGCGTCTATATATACAGGACAATAGTACCCAAAGTGGGCTGGTATCGCGCTTGGACCACCATGGAATGTGCTGGCCTTCCTCTTACTTTGTGCTTTGGGCGGGGCCTGTTGAGAAGTGTAGCCAGTCGCGTTGTAGAGGAGGAAATTCCGTGCAGTAGCGTGCTTGGAAGTGCACCCACAGCAATGCCTATAAGAGCCTATCAGCTGCAAGGAGTTTGCCCCTCCTAATCCCCAATTGAAGCCATCCCGCTCCGATTTTGTTTTCCCGCCAACCTCGCTCGTCCCTCTCCCATCAGATCATCTCCAAACTTTGTCTTATAAATACCATTTGCGTACCTGCTGTGTATTGCATCTTTGGACCTCGGCCGCGATTCACACAGCTGAGCTTGAAGCGATTACAGACTAGGATTGGATTGTTGCTTCTGCATCGGAATTCGGCAGTCATCCACCTATCTCCGGCCCCCCTAACGTGACGCTGGAGTGTCTGGAACGGTTGCCTGAAACAGTCGATCTGCCACGAGCCCAAAGACAGCATCAACAGCATATGCCATCACCTGTCAGTGACTCGGCGAGGAGGTTTACGCAGATGGATTGAACCACGGGTAGAAGATGAGGCTTGACGGGTGCGTCGCACAAGATCTGTCTCAGACGGGCATTCCCCAGGGCATGCATGTAAGTTCATTTTCATATGCGCGCTCTTGACCTTTTGCTGCATTTGCGCCGATACAACAACAATTGTACCGCTTCGAAGATGAGTCACTGGTAAAAGGTCTGATTGGACTCAAATCGTCACTTGTGGTAGCGCGCGCCGGGCTTATCTTGGTCTACTTCAAAAGCACTGGCTGCCTTAAAAGGAACGTCGACTACCATGGGCACCCGCGATTGCATGACTAATGTCCATGGGTGCAATCAACGCAAGAATGGTGTTCTGCGAGCAATCAGTTCTGCCTCATTGGAAATTTTGTGCATATTGAATCCTACACCGCAAATATGGGGCTCTCTTTCTTAGCATGGTGATCGCAAGAGTCAATGGCGACGGCGTACATTTTTCTACGACTAATCAAGGATTAAGAGTGTTTGTTGTCTGCTGGGAGCCCATGTCTGGTTGATTAACCTGGCGTCTGGTTCTTTGTTGGGATTGAGATTCTGCCTGACCCTCCACGCAACCTGAGTGATCTAAAGTGAAGACTGCGAAAAAACTGAAAAGACCTGAGGAAGCAACTTACTGTGTTTTTATTACTGCACTGTCACTGTTTGTTGTGCATCAAAGCTAATCTATTTCTCTTTCAGTACTCTCCCTCTCTACCACTCCAACACGCCGTTGCTCAGCAGGAAATGAGACGAGAGTGGCTGTTGCGAGTTTCGCGCGCCATAACGGCCGCCTAGAATTGTCCTACTTTATCCTACTTTATCACACACCACAGAGGCATCTTGCATGTGTATCACCAACCATGGCGGACCAAAGTTCTCCTAAAAATGACGGCTCTGAATCGACATTCAAAGTGCAACCCCCAACGGCACCACGTTCGATGAGGCGCCAGATTACACCACCGCCACTGAAGAGGTCGGATAGTTATAGGCCCTCTGAACACCAAGAACGCCGTGCACAGCATGATCTCTATAGGCCTGCTCCACCCCGTCACAGTGAATCCAATCATTCAGAAAGCCGACTCGTTGCATCCGACTGCTATAGACCCTCAGCACAGTACAAGAATGACTATACTCGTGACGATGAGAAAGTCAAATCAGTCACAAGAGGAGGAACAATCGAGTCTAAAGACCGATCTACAGACAACAAGCCCGACCCTGTGCCCGAAAGACAAAAGACCATGGATACCTCGCCACCAAGTGGAAGCTTCAATCAGAGACCTAGCTTCACCGCACGATTAGCCTCGATGTTTCATGTTTCAGAGCGGAAGCTCGGTGAACCAGCTCAAGATCTATCTGATGCATTTAAAAAGTACATGATTTCACAGCAACAGAGAATGACCAAAGACAATCGAGGCACCCTACCTGCTGTACGGGACGATGCTGTCGGCTCCAATGGTTGTGCCGATGTTCAATTTCAGGAAAGAATGAAACTTGGCTTGGCGGACGATATGAACCTCGCGACTTCTTCACAACCTCCACTCTCTTCCATTCAACCACGGTTTGGCGGACCACAGCCGCCTGCCAGTCCTCCTCTGACGCTTGATTACAATGAACAGGAAGATGCCATGTGTTCCGCCGAGGTGGAAAAAGAAGATGCCATTGGAGCGGCGGGGGAAGGCTCCTATCTGAAGAGTCATTTAGACTTACCTAGTAGGGGACCGTCACGATCATCCAAAGACGAAACTGCTTCAACAACCTCTACGACCACCTCTCGACACAAGACTACCTGCAGAAGCTGTGGCGCGCCTGGCAGCCAGGTTACACCCTTAGTGCCCTGCAGTCGTTGTAGAAGACGATATCACGATCGCTGTGGCATTCCGAAACCACAAGAGAGGTAATAGAGATCTCAGACCCATTATGTTCTATGCTTACAAGACTTAGCAACTCTCTCGAAGAGTTCGTCTGCGGAAGATGCCTACAAAAGGAACGGGAACCGAGAAGCAGAAACAGTCCCGAAAGAAATAGCGAAGATCGCAGCATCGGCGTTGCCACGACAAAACCTATCCCTCTGAATGATTATCACGATATTGCAACTTCCGCTGTTGACAACGTTGCAGCATCAACGAATACGGCAGGGGCACAGACTGACCTGCAGTGCCAGAGCAGCATCGCGACAAACAATCATACTGTCAAGGAACGCCCACCTCGGCATACATTAAGCACAGCTCAAGTCCAATCATGCAAGACAAACAGCCCTTTTGCGGCTAACGACACAGCACTACAAGGAACCCTCTACAAGGATATTACATGTCCAAGATGGCGCTTTGACGGTTGCGTCTTTGACGAAGCTCATTGTGAGTTTGCTCATAGAGATACTGGCCGGCATGCACCATCGAATGTAGGCCCTGCAAAAGATTTTACGTGTCCAAAGTGGCTTAGCGGCACGTGTCCCAAGAGCGAGGCTGACTGTCCTCTGGCACACACAAACACCCTACTACATGTGGGGCCTGACAATAGAGCATGCAGGAAGCATATAACATGCTACTTCTGGAAAACAAACGGGTTTTGCAGGCATGACGAAGAGCAATGCCCTTATGCGCACAGAGATACCGGAATTGTCGCCTGGCAGCCTTCTAAGGATGGGTACACCAGATCAGGAAAGCATTCCCTGAAAGGATACATCTGTCCAAGATGGGAGCGGAAAGAAGAGTGCAGATGGATGGGCCACAGCTGTCCGTATGCTCATGTTTCTTCTGGCACATCATGTCCCAGCATTACAAAAGCGCGAATCACCGGACAAGCTGACTTACAAGGAAGAGTTGAAGAGACGAACGCCGTACGCGACACTGAACAGTCGAAAACAACAAAGGGATTTCCACGTGGCGAAGGAAGTCCTCAAGACCGTGTTTCTGATCACCTCTCTGTTCCATTCTGGGCGATGCGTGCACGGCCTAGCGAGATTACGATCCTTCATGCAGCTGTATTAGCTCAGCATTTCGCTCGCACACATCAACACCAGCAGCGAAAACTCTTTGACCAAAACACAACACCACAGGCAGCAACTCCAGTCAAACATATGGCCAAGCGGAGCGTTTTTCTGATCGATCCGCGAAAGCGAAGAATGCAGGCAGCACCAGGCGAGACCCCTTCAACGGTTGCTTTGGTTACTGAACAGAGTCTCCCACACCGTGATCCAGAAGATTCAACACTCTCCAACGGCGGCGTGGCACCTCCCAGTCCGACGAATGCTGATGTCAACCAGAATGCTACGACCAGGAAGGTGTGTGAGTCATGCCAGAAGTCTATCATTGGGACTGCCTCTCGCTGCCACAAGTGCAACGAAGGGCGACTAAAAGAACAGGCCGCTAGCAAAACTGGGATTGATGCTGTCGATGGCCAAACGCCATCTAGGTTATCAAATCTGGCCCAGGACATAGACCCCTTGCGCATTGTTGAGAGTGACCAAAGTGTTGTTCCATATCATTCTGAGATCCCGGATGCTGTCCTTCAGCAAGCTCTTGCAGGCAATAAATTGAAGAGGTCCGCGCCAGAAGAAGTCCTCTTCGTTGCCAAGAAGAAGGTGAAGCTTTCGAACATGTCCATGCACGAAGTGGCATTGTCTTTACGGCAAGAGAAGCAGAAAGGCGAGCTGGGAGCTGATAGACTCGACGTGTCTTCTACTCTGTCCCGAGAGAGACGAAGTTCATTAGAAGAGTTGACGAGACGAGCACTGATCAACAACACAAAGCCAGTCCCCGCAACTCAAGATGTACGCCAGCTGAAACACAGTGACCAAGCAGCATCAGACGCACTTGCTTCTCACCATGGTCAAGAGCTACTCTCGCGTGAGAAGACTTGTGGGACAATGACTGCCGATGGTAATAAAGGAGAAGATCGAGCTCAATCCGCGAACCTCATGGCGACAAACAGTGCAACTCAAGCACAAGCCCACCAGTCCAGAAATGCTGAGGTCGGTGGCTCGAACATTGGCGGCATCCCTCTTATCAACATAGAGAAATTTACGCAGGCAGAGCATAATGCATTCGTACTCCAGTACGAGATCTCGCGTGGAGATTTTGACGCAATTGCTCAACGTTTGCCAGGCCGGACACCGCAAGACTGTGTCGAGTACTATGACAACACGAAGGATCTGTTCGACTACAGCGCTCTTCTGAAATTCAGCAAAGCAATATACGAGCCGGAATGTGAAGCTGAACGGTTTTCGAGTGCATTGAAGAAAGCCTCCTTGATCAGAAAATTTCAGGCACTCTGGGGCTCAGCAAGCAAGGGTGTGCAATCGTCGCAAAAGAGCGCAACGACTTTCTCCACGGAGCGTCGGCGGCAGTCCAACGACGGCGGTGCTGGCAGAACGACTACCTCAACTGACGCACCAGATCTGTTGAAATCGAGAGAACGTCCCTCCCAGTCTTCTAAACCATCAGGAACTTCTGCATCTACGGCCAGGAATTTTCCTGTGCCGCCTAGCGCATCCCTTGGCCGTGCTTGTGCATGCAGCAGAGGCCACAAGAGATGCTTCCACAATAAGGAAGGTGCGCTAGACCGCGAGAAATGCTCGCGATTTCTTGAAGAACAAAACTACATATTCCCAGGACGACAAAGAATGTCCATCCGTGAATGGGAAAGTATTACCGAAGCGGCCCGTGGACCAGCTGCAAACGACCAGCGTGCGGTTAGATTCGAGAACGGGATCCGTGATCATTTACCCGTATCAACTGGTCTGGAAGGCCAAGGAGCTGGTGCTATGCAGCTACTTACCTCAGTAGATCTCCCGGGTGCTGGACCGATGGATCTCGATCAGCCGCTCGATCAGCCGCAGGACTACTTGTCCGTGGATGATGATCCAGATGATGATATTCCACTCATCCAAGCAAGGGGGTCGTGTCAACAACATGGCAGAAGATACCAAGAGCCATCTTTATCCACGGCTGATGCGGAAGATGAGCATGAGGATGTCGTGCAACTGGAGCGACTAAACTCATCAGATGCCAGCAAAGAGACCAAGTCACCGGATACAGCGCCAACCTCTCCATCAATTACTCATGAGAAGCAAAACGGTATGATCTCACCTGTGCAATCGAACCGAGCTTTGGAAGAACATGACTTCGACGGACCAAGTCGAGAGCTGACATCAACGCAACAACGACGTTGGACCAAGGCTGATGAGCAGAGAGCAATCAGAAATTTCAGAGAACGTGGTGTGTTGTTCGAGACAGAGTCAGAGTCTGACCAGGGATTGGATGACGAAGCAACGTACATGACATCTGAAGGACAAGGTAGAACATTCCAGCGATCACAAGTTTTGAGGAACGTCTACGGCATCCACCCGCTACATGTTGGGAACTACCTCGATGAGGATTATGTGCAGCCTTTGTCATGGCCGCATCAGCAGCAAGCTCGGCCCTCCAAGAAACAGATGATTGGCAAGCTGCTCAAACATCAATGTCGAGAGCGCAGAAGAAAGTTTGGGAATCCTCACAAAGAGACCGATCGGCGCGTGGAGGACGTGAAGGTCCAAGCCGTGATTCAGCGAGACCTTCGAGGGGGAGATCCTCTCGCAGTACCTGACCTAGTGACAGAGAAGGTGACTATGAGCTTCCGAGAGTTTATCGGCATGCCGGAGAAGCCTGTAATCGTGCAAGGGAAGAGCAGGGACGAGCTGGCTTACTTTGAGGCAAGGAGTGATCGGGCCAACGCCGTTGGGATTTCGCGGGTCAGGAGAGTCAAGGACGACGACAAGTTTCCGTTTGTGTATACTAGAAGACTTTGAGGTAGCTGCAAGGCTTTTGTGTCTGCAAATTCTGAGATAGCGATGCTCACGAGAGCAATCTAATGACATTTTATGGGTGAGATTTTCTTCAGAAATGCTCTTCTTGTGCGCCTGGTCACTAATCATTCCTCCAACAAAGAACGCCGCCAACGCCATGCCTTGTCGTACATGCCAAGTGTGGAAGCACTCTCAATCATATCAATAGCCCAGTATCATTGAGCACTATGATTCCAGTCAGTAAGCATGCTTCAACAAGCATGTTGTGCTGGGCTGGAGCGTGCACTTACAGCCATGGCGATACAAAATATACTGACGTATGGACTTAGTCGTTCGCCTATACGTGCGCATTTCCAGAAGATTCCCATGAGTCTGGGACAGGCTTGTTAGTCGGACCAGCCAACCGTGATTGAGCGAGGTCAAGGGGGACAAGAGAGGACATACCCATCCTTGTTCCTGTCCAGGATGCTGGGAAACAGGTCGTGGACGTATGTCGATGTGCAGATTATGAGGAGGATGACTAGGAGGAGAGATTGGAAGTTGAAGATGGCTGTCTAAAAGGGGAGTAATTAGTATGAGGACCTAGGATCGAATGTCCATGGGGAATGTCGATGATGTGTTGAACGAGTGATATGGCGCTCAAAGAGGCCAGGGAAGAAAGGGGGCAACAGGATTCATGAGTCGGATGGGCTCTTGGGGGAAGTTACTCCGTACCATGGTGTGGATGTCGGGAGATTATTGTCCAGGTCTCAAGATGTGCGCATGAACGGCTGAACGATCTGCACCAGCTTAAGTGCCGGTATGTGATGATTTTAGGTCGATGTTCGTCAGTCGCGACTGGTGAGGATGTGGAAAAGTGGTTTTCGTGGCATGGAGGAAGGAGGAAAGAACGACTGAGGTTGGTGATATATCTGGCCCAGTGTCCTTTGTGGCACCTTGCCCGAATGGGGGAACCGTCGATGCTGCTTTAGCAGGGTTAACGGATTGTCCTCAGTCAGGATGTTCCCCACGTTGTTGTTCTGGGGGTGACAGCAAGTCAGCAACAATCTTACGTGAGTTCGCTTGCCAATTGACGCGCGAGCCAACATATGTGAGTGCCGAAGAACAGCAACACTGGGGGGCGATAGGCACATTCTGGTCGCTAGATGCGTGCTGTCCACTGTTTGCAAAAACCCATGTTATTGGGACGCTGATTATCGAGGTCAACTCTTCGTCAGCCGAAAGCGGGACTCAACATAGATCATGACGGCTGCCACTATATCAATACCGCAATATATCGACCGAGTGGTCGAGTTCCTAGAAGGGGTCTCCTACGAGATCATACGCCCACTGACCACTTTCCGTCATTGCCATGATGGCAGGCCGGCTGAGGCCCGCATGGTCTTTACGTGTAGACATTTTGCTCATGGAAACGCATCTCCCGGAGAATACGTGATGAAGGTCAAAGTTCGGTGTGCTACCGCCTCTTGCGATCCAGAGGCGAGGATTGACTGGGCTGACAAGAGTTCCTCAGAGTGCCAGATCGAGTCCAGGAAGCCAGCGACGAGGCAGAACCAGAGTCAAGCACGACCACAAGAGCGGAACTCAAGGCACTGACGAGGTTTCATGAAGCCAATACCACGTATGCACCGCATCTTGTACATTTCAAGAAAGGCGTACAGGGTGCCAAAGGGCCGCTTCCGGGTGGGTATATCACCTACACGATTTTGACGCAGATGCCTGGTGACTCACTGCATAATCTTTACTATTGGGGTATGTCAGATGAAGAAAGGCAGGAAATCGTACAGGAGTTTTTGATCGCCTTGAGGTCGATCTACGCTCTGGGCATCGAACCAGTTGACTGTGCGTTGCGGAATGTTCTGTGGGAACCAGAGACGAAGAGATGGTATGTACTCGGACTCATTAGTTGACGTGGGCATCCACCGTATTGACTCGAGTCGCTAGCACTATTATAGATTTCGAATTGTGGAGGGAGGCTGAATGTTGTTTCGAGGATGAGACGAACGAACTTCAGCGATGGGGTTTGGCTCGAAGACCAGCTGCGAAGACATGGTGGGATGCTTGGAACACGCAATGGAGATGAGCTATTGGATGATGAGGCTCGACGCTGGAAGCCTTGCCCATTTTGCTCACAGGCATTGGCTGATTGTTTGGTTGAAGACACTGAACGGCGTCGCACATTGATTGGACCAAACTCATTTAGAGGCACCAGCATTATGGTTCAGCAAGGCTTGTTTGTGGCCTGTCGCTGACCCAGTCGTTTTGCGGCAGCGAAGAAGAAGAGATTTCCTACCATTCGGTCTTTGACGAAGGCGCCGTTGGCTCCTGCCGAGCCTGCGGGCACCTACTTATGGCACCTGCGACACTGTGACCTTCTTACACCTGCACGATTCTTACGCTTTCGACAGTCTACATCCACAACACATAGCCAGCCCTCGCAACCTTTACATCACCTTGGAGTCAGTATCAGAGTATCGTCACTTCATTATGGCATTAGCGTCGCTGGACAATGTCGTTTTCGAGGGTTATACTGGTAGCGATATCACAACAGACATGGTCAAAGATGCTGCGGCCTTGTTCTCGCGGACTTATGGTGTCTGGTCTCCGCAAGCGGAGACAAAGATGGGATCTTTCGCAAAGCCAGGTGAGTAGCTGTCTCGGCTTCCTCTGGACGACCATCTATTCTGACGGCATGACAGGAAACCGTGTGCGCATGAGTGCCAGCCGCCTGCACGAAGAGTGTCTTCCCAAGGATGCGGAAAGTTTTCATGCAAGGGCTAGGACAGGAGATCAGCTGGTCGGACATGTGTTCGCGGTACGCTGGATGAGTGAGGGGCAGCAAGTCTGTTGGGTTACACAGTTATGCATGGATCCAAAGTACCGTGGTCATGGACTGGCTACCAGAGTAAGTGAACGTCCTAGTGTTGAAGCGATGCTGACTGGTACAGCTTCTTGTGCTTGTGCGCCAGAGTAGCGTGGACGCCTTTTACGGTATATTGAGCTCCAATCCTGCAGCAGTTCTCGCCTTCCTGAAAGCTTTTGGTGCTGGCCTTGAGAAGACCAACTTAAATGTTGCAAAAGAGCATGCGAAGGTGATCATGCAGAGCAGTCCGATCGGATATGTCAAAACAGCCACATTGCGAGGAAGCTTGTTCGACGAGAATACAACAACTGGTGCAATTTGCTGCGCGGACACGAATTTCTGGGTTGACCACAAGGAGCCCCTGGAGATACTAGAAGCAGTCAGGCAGCGAGGCTGGCCATTTGGGGATCTCCCCGATGGTCATGAGTTTCTTGCATTGATCACGAGACAAGCATAGATTAGCATCTAAGGAATGGTCAAGCGCCACAGAATCAAAGCCATGGCAAATGCAGGCAGGAGGGATGCGGTTCTTGGAAAAGTCTGCCTCAGGAGGTCAGTTGGCCTCTGTGGCCTCATTACTGTATGAATAGTTAGAGCGGCGGCAACATCATTCCATAGAGGGAACACTCATTTGGATTTCACGTTCATCAACTGCGATGCGAGCTGAACTCAACACCGTCGACTCATCGTTCATTCTAAAGTGACTGTTAATACTACCGCTGTATGTTATCCGACAGCGTAGTATCGCACGATGGACTAGAAGAAACCAGAACGTGCGCAACCTGTACTTCCAGGATCTATTCTTCAACGTCCGCTTCATGAGTCGTCTCTCCCAACACAACCGCTCAACATGGAACCTCGAGCCCGAGCAGGTCGGCATAAGAACAACCTGAACTTCGGCCCTGAACTCTCAGCCCTGCTCTTCGCGTACGGTGCGCCCACACACCCCGATATCGTCAAACCGATCGGCCCCTCATCACAACAATACCTTGCAACGCTTCCCACACCTAACACCACCAACCCACCCACGCCATTCAATCAGCCGTTCCCCGAGACGTTGCGTGTCCTCGACGAGATCCTGACAGACTTCATCATCGAGACGTGCCACAATGCCGTTAGCGTTGCCACGTACAGTGGGCGTGCGAAGCTGAAACTCTCGGACTTTGAATTCGTCCTGCGCCAGGACAGCATCAAGTTGGGCCGTGTGCAGGAGATGTTCAAGAAGAAGCGCGACATCGACAATAAGAAGAAGCTGTTTGATACGAATGAGGGACGTGAGGGGCAGAAGCTGGGCGTCGGTGATCTGATGAACTTAGGCGAAGTGGTTGGTGAAGAGGGGACTGGTAAGGGTAAGGGCCGAGGCCGTGGAAGGAGGAAGAAGAGGGATAGAGAGGATGGAGATGCAGGGGACGGTCAAGGGAAGGACGTCAACGGAGAGGACGACCTCGATGAGCCAGCAAGTAAGAGGGCCAGAAGCGAGGTTGGCTGAAGATGGCCGGAGGTGGGATTCTGACGATCACGAAACACACGATATTACACTTTGCAACTCTGGGATGGCTACTTATCCTTACAGATGCGCACCAGGCACACTCTTGAAGAGTGTACCTCGACGACATTCCCAGGTCAAGATCATGGGAAAGCAGCAGTTTTCCGTCTGCGCTCAATACACTCTAGAGTACATTTGCAGACAGGAGCAGAGAGAAAGACGGCGTCGCATCATTGATGTCAATTCTTTGGCTCAATTACAGGCGGTCTACCTGCACAGCATACGCTGCCTGAGCATATGAGGGCCAACAATCTCCCCACCGCTGCTCGTACTGCAACGACTACCGCCCTGGACAGCATCTTTTATCCGGTAGCCACAATCATATGTGCATACAATGCACTTTTACCGACCCCAGGCGCCGCATTTTCTTAGGCTTCATTGCACTTAGCCAGGCGGCTGGGTAGCGAGAGATCCATGCTGAAGTCCATCATCAATGTCTCAGCAACAGCTCGAAACAATAAAGCATGATACTTTTTCGTAACGTTCTTCACATAGCCGACAGTGATACGCTCTCTGCCCGGTTCTGCCTTGTTTGCCCTCCTTGTCGATCTCCTCTGTCTCCTCTGTCTCCTCTGTCTCCTCTGTCTCCCCTGTTTTGTCTCTGTCCGCCTTTGTTGTCCGTCGAAGCTGCATTTGCATTCTCGCCGCTGCCCATCGTCAATTGTGCCGTGGCTAATCTGTTAGACAAATCCATTTGTGTCCGGATCATGTTCGCAAGGTATGAAACTGTCAAAACGTCTTGGATGTGGTTGTTGAAGTCTTTCTCGATCTCCGCAGGCTCGACCTTCGGTGCAAGTGCGAGGGTATTGAGCAGGAATTGACCCAAGGCTGTGGATGGCTCTTCCTCCTCCTCGATCACATTTTCCACGTATTTGCCGACTCGGTCCAACATTCCTAGAGTATCTTCCAAGGAACGCTCCAGACTTTCAATATCCGTAAGAACCGTCGCCTTTCGGTCTTCGGTATCTTTGGCCTGCTCCAAAGCTTCCACTCCGGAGTGCTCGGCCTCGGTGTAATTGATGCTGTACGGGACAGGAACGAATGCGGCAGAGTCGGCGGCTCGTTCTGGGCTGACGCCCACTGAAGCCGAAATATATGTTCTGACCTCGACATCTTGGCCAGGTTGTGACGAAACGGTGATGTGCACTGCAGGATATGGGTATGTGCCTTCCCCCTGGCTGCTGTAGTGGTTTTGGATCAAGGCGGAGAATGTGTTCAATTCCGAACTGGTCGCATACCAGCCTACCAAAACCTCCTTGGGGTTTGCTCGTAGATGTAATGCTAGCATCGCCTTTTGATATTCCATATCCACCTCGACTTGGTCTGTCGTCTCGGTGTGGCTGACTGCGAAAGAGGAATGTACAACGACTTGAGATTCGTCTGCATCTGATCGGGTTCCGAGAAGAGTGCCAATGACTCGTTGTTGGTCAGGCGGTCGGCGAATACAATGGTCAAGAATTGAGAATAGGGCCTGGAAGAGTCAGTCATCATTCTTTTGAGATATACTGGCGCAACTCACCTGTGGTTGTATCACAACTTTCAGAGGAGCAGTTGTTGGCTGTGCGCCCACTGCAGCAGGACCCAGCGGCCGCGTGAGGTGGAGGAAGGAGTCCTGTTCAGCCATGATGGGCAAAACGTAGAATGTCGAGGTGAGAAGGGAAGTGAACTGTCTACTCGTCACGATCTGATTGAGGGCGTTGTATGTTCGAGGACTACGATCAAGCACCTCCCATTCACATTCAGCGGGCCAGAGCCTCATCAAATTTCGTGTGTGGGTTTTGCGGCGAAAAGTTGCCGCACGTGATATCCGACTATGAACTGATCTAATCTTATCTCAACGCCGGGGGGCTCCTTCTTGATTAGACGGAAGCAGTACTTGGGCAATGGCGAAGGACATTTTTCCACGTCTATTCATTCCTTTCCTGATTTTTATATCTATAGATTTGCCACCTTTTAAATCTTCTTTGCCGACTGGATCATGAGTGCGAATGGAGTGCTTCGAAAAGATCAACTCGAACGCAGCCTTCACGACGAGAAAAGGCTGATTGAGGAGGGTATTCTCAAGGAAGATAATCCTCTCGATTTCAGCGAGAACTTTCAGAAACTATGTGGCGCTAGTCGCCGCGGCGACCTCAAGGTCTGCCAGGAGATGATCCAAGAAGGAACTAACATCAACGCCAAAGATCAATACGATTATACCCCTCTTATTCTGGTGAGTGCTCCTTTCCCGGGGTCATTGTTGCCACTCTACGTCCTCCATGACACCAACGAGCAACCACTTACAGTGGCCAGGCAAGTCTATGCGGCCACTATGAGGTTGTACAACTGCTATTAGAGTCCGGTGCTCTATGCGAACGAGATACCTTCCAAGGTGAAAGGTGCTGCTGGACGTCTTCCCTTCGATGTCAGCCCCACTGACACGAACTAGATGTCTATACAATGCTCTGAACGACCGAATACGGAACTTGCTATTGTCATATGACTACTCGAAATCTACAGACCCATTGCAACCTCTGGCTTCACACTTGACGTCACTGTTGACCAGAGAACATCCCAAGACGTCTGACATTACTGTGGTCACACCTACGGAGTCGTTTCGTCTACACAAATTCATACTCTCAGCACGATCACCCTATTTTAAAAGCAAACTGGCATCAGCACCGGATACGCCATCATGGAAGCTACCGCCAACCATCCCTCCACAATCCTTTGGCATTGCCCTGAAACATTTGTATTTGGGAGAACTGCCTAGGGAGGTAGGTGGCGGACCCGGGACCGGTTTTACAGACTCAGAAATCCTTGCTGGGCTTGATAGAATCAGCAAACACCTGGAAATTCAAAGTCTATCTCACATGGTCCTGGACAGCAGCGATCGCCGTTTGGCCAGGCAACGACGGCAAGATGAGGTTGAAAAGGGCCGAGATCAATTGGAACAATGGTTCCGCGAAAATGTGCTGAGGCACTCTATTGAGATTGACATGTCTCGGGCAGAAGATGTAAAGTGGGACCGAGACAACGGTATCTTTGCTGACATCCTCCTACGCGCTGACGAGGACGAGCAAGATGCAACCGAACATATTCAAGACGACTCGTCTCTTCAAAGGATACGATCATCGACCAATGCACTGGGCATTCCTCTTGACCCGTCCTCCAAAATATCTCGCTCACCATCTCGGTCCCGGCGGCCTCGCAGGTCCAAGATCTACCCGTGCCACAAAGCCATGCTTATACGTTCCGAATTCTTTATGACCATGTTCGACTCGTCCTTTCGCGAGGCCCAGGACACCCCCCACCTTCAGATCGTGCCGATCGACTGTTCGCCAGAAGTCCTCGAGATTATCCTAACCTTCTTGTACACGGAAAAAGCCGATTTTGGCCTCGACATCGCCGTCGACGTCCTCTTCTCCGCGGATATGCTGTTCCTCGAGAAAGTCAAGGCCAAAGCCGCCCTTGTAATATCCACACTAGGTAACGGCACCGCGACCGCGATGGCGCCTGAGGCCGACCAGGCTCGGCAAGATGAGGAGATGGACATCTACGAAATTCTCCGCGCCGCATGGCTCACCCGTGTCCAGCGCCTCGAAGAGTTTGCGGCCCGCTACATTGCTTACCGGCTGGAGGCATATATCGACGATCCGGAGTTTGCTGAACTGGTCAAAGAATCTGCAGGGCGTATCAGTGCGCGTCAAGAGACCGACTCGATTGAACTGCTCGATGATATTAGGTACTACCTGTCTGAGCGATTCCGGCTGCGCTTCGAAGATACTCAGCTTGAGGAAGTCATGGATGAGGAGCAGGCTCTGGCGGAAGCACTTAGCCAGACGCACGTCGTGGCCGAGACCGACGCAGGCAAGATGTCCGTGCCATTGACAAACGGGCAATCTGAAGTGCCAGAACATGATCATGAACAGAAGAAGCAATCCGCTGACGATGAGGGCGTGGACATGACCTCGCCTGCAAATGCACAAGTCGCCGCCGAGGCACTGCTCCAGTCTGGTGCGGTGCGGACTTTGGACGGAGAACTAGCCGGTGATGAGTTCGCTGCTGATGCTGTCAATTACCAGATTCTTTTGGGCAAGATTGACTCGCTTCTGGAAAAGCTGAAACTCGATGCTTGATCGTTCTGGCCATTATTCTGGCTACTTATACTTTGGACAACGTGGATAGCACGAGGAGATTCTTCGATCCGAGAGCACTTAGTTAGACATGAATCACGACTAGATCAATGACACTTTTCACGAATTTGCTACTGAGGCTAGAGCACGTAGGGCATAAGCATTCCCAGCCACAGATATTTGGGAAACGTGTTGACAGTATCAAGATTTGTCATTCTTGGTCAGAAACTATTGGAGCATAGAGCTAGCTACATAGTTATGCAAGCATTCGTCGAGTGATCAATCTGAAAAGCCCCCAATGCCAAGTTCCTTTTGTCGCCTCGTCACATTCCAATATCACGACCGTTGTCACACTTGAGAGGAATAAGTGTCGAACAGCACCCACAACTCTAAGAAGCCATGTAGGTGCTCGAATCAACACCTCCCTCTGGATATGGAGGGATTTGTGCCTGGAATTTGCCCTCAATCTGCTTGATCACTTCCTCATCAGTTTCGCTGCTGACAAATGAGATGCTGAGACCCTTGGTTCCGAAACGACCGGCACGACCGACACGATGGAGGTACGAGTCAGCATCACCGGGAAGATCGTAGTTGATGGCCAGATTGATACGTTCAATGTCGATACCACGACCAAAAACGTCCGTGGCGACGCAGATCCGCTTGTTGAACTCCTTGAATTCCTTGTATCGCTTGATACTGAAGCTTTTATCAGAATCTGTTCCTCGAAAAACGAATGTAGGACTTACCGCTCCTCTTGACTGACACCTGAGTGCACAGCAATACTTGGGAAATTGCACTCGCGAAGCAATTTGTCGAGTTCAGTAGCCCGAACAGTGCTCTTGACAAAGATGATGACTTGATTGAACTCGAGGCTGTCAAGCAAGTCGTTGAGCTTCCGGTTCTTTTCACCTTCGCTGAGTCGAATAGAATATTGTTGAAGACCATGGAGAGTCAGCTTGGTCTCGTCGTCAACGAAGACCTCCAGAGGGTTCCTCATGAACTTTCTGCAGATGGGTCTGATTTCCTTGGGCAGAGTGGCGCTGAACATCATCACTTGCTTCTCGGTTGGGGTCGCGCGGAAGATTTCTTGAACGTCGCGGCGCATATCTGGACAAACTTGTTAGCGGGACACCATCGAGCTTGAGTGGGAAGCATACCGATTTGGTCAAGCATCTTGTCGCATTCGTCGAGAACAAATGCTTTGACATTTCGCAGGGACAAGACTTTGTCACGGACAAGAGCATTGAGTCGTCCAGGAGTGCCCACGATGATGTTTGGGAATGTGTCCTTGCTCTTGAGAAGTTCAATATCCTTTTGGATTGGTGTACCGCCGTAGAATACAGCTGTCTTTACATCTGGTAGGTATTTGCTGAAACGTGCGTACTCATTCTTGATCTGATAGGCCAGTTCGCGGGTGTGGCACATGACCAGGACAGAGGCTTCTCCAGGAACAGGCTCAAGCTGATGCAAGGTCGTCAGGACAAAGACAGCAGTCTTACCGAGACCAGACTTGGCCTGGCAGAGAATGTCGACGCTAAGAAGGGCCTGTGGAATACACTTTTGTTGGACTGTAGTATTGTTGATGTTAGACTTGTTCGGCCAATAGATTTGAAGACGACGAAACAGGGTCGCACTCCGGTCCGTCCATCTCCTTGATTGTATCATGTCACGCTTTTCACAGCATTTGGATGTCTGTTCCAACTCTTTTTGCAAAGCACCAGCAAACCACGCCAGCAAACCACGCCAGCAACCCAGCGGCAGAAAGCTACGCCGATCGAATGCTACCTCGATGGCACGGCAATGGCGAGGGCCGGAAAGACTCATTGACAGCATGTTTCAGCTTGCCAATAAAAGTCATAGGCAAAGTCTCTGACTGGCGTAAAGCGCACCGCTTTCGCCCACATGGTCTCGATTGTGCTTGCTGCCAGAGCAATGTTTAAACCATCGAAGGTTCAAGGAATGATTGCGTGTTTTTTGCAACTCAAAATCGACCGCACCGAGACGCCTGCTGTTCTGGATTGCCCATATATTCTCTCGGTATGATACTTTCTTAATCTTGGAGATGGACGGACTGTCGCAGTACGAAGGAACGTGGAGGGATTTTGCTTGCAAGAATGGATGACTAACCCTCCGATGGATGTTCGAAACCGCAGTCGGTGATGGCTCGAAGGAGCTCGCCTTTGAGCAGGAAGTCTCTGAAACCTGTGGAATGAATGCCGACATAGCTGCCCTTGCCCTTTTCCCCAGTTTTTCCACCGCTAACCGTCAAGTCGCCTTTCTTTGCGGCGCCATTCGTAGCGCCAGCAGCTGGAGCTTCTGTCGCTTGGAGTTCCTCGTCGGAGTAATCGATGAGATCTTCCTCAGCAGACATGGTTAGAGATGGGTGGGAGAGGTTATTGTTGATTCAAGGTAGGCGCGAAAGCCTTGAGAGGGGTTGAGACGAGGTGGAGATGATGAGAAAGTGGTTAGAATTGGCGCAAAGTACCTGAGTCCGATGACAGATCCAGTGAGGTGTCCGGTAAGCTTCAGATCGTGCGAGGAGATGAAAGATGAGAATATCGACACTTGAGACAAAGGGTGGAGGAAACAGTGAGGCTGCGACGTTGTTTTCAGGAAGAGGCGATGTTTGCGGCAAGGACGCCTTTCGAACCAGGCTAAACCCAAACAAGACTAGCAAATACTGGCCTTGGCATCAGCCTCATTGCCCTGGCACTGCTTGGACTCTCTGCAGTGCATTGACTACTAAACACTCTCTCAAATTCACGCCAAAGGTCTGAAAACGTTCAAACGTCCTCGCGCTTGGTCTACGATATTAGACTTCGACATAATGAACTATCGACCAAGTTACTGCGATGGTCAAATCAAAATCTTCAAAGGGCGATGGCTCTAACATCCCTCAAAAACATCTCCATTCCAGACTATCCTTTCTTCACCAGGCAGCAACCCTCCTAGCCACCACAACCCGTGCAGGAGCGTCTGCGGACGCCGAAACAGGCTCTTCGACCAAAGATCTGCGGCGTGAAAGCACAACAACTCAGCTCAAGTCGGAAGCGACGAGACTATTGACTCAGATCCGTGGAGTGTCTCGAAAGTCACAAATCCGCTTGGGTCCAAAGTTCAAACACACATTCTGCAAGCGCTGTGATTCTCTGCTCATCCCTGGCAGAACAAGCAGTGAATCCATTGTCAATGCGAGCAAGGACAGCAAGAAACCTTGGGCAGACATATTCGAGATTCGATGCAGCACCTGTGGGACGATCAAACGATTTCCGGTGGGCCAGTGCGAGAACAAGCCGGCGGAGCCAGAGTTGACGGCATGAGCAACATGAAATAGATTAGCGAAGATAGACTTTGCTCCTCCTGAAATTGTGACAGATCAACATACATCCGTCCCAACATGTCTGTTTTGTAGCGCGAGCCACGACACTTCTAGCACAGATTTTCTTGCAGATGTCCAATTGAAAATGACGCCCGCTCTTGAAAGCAAATCCATCATTACGCCATGTCCAAGCCAAATAACTTCAAGTCTCGAGACATCCCATGATCAGGAGATCGATTACTCATACATTCATCAGGCATGATTCGTAAGTCAATGACCAGCCGTGAGGCTTCCGTCTCTGCGTTCGCCGTGGTATGGTTTTGGATATAAAAACACGTCAAATCGTTCGTGAGGCGTGGTATGTTGAGGACAAGCACCAATACAGCTTGAAGTATACTTCTTAGTACGGACGCTGTGCAAGTGTCGCATACATCGTCATCTGTCGCGAGCCGCTGAAGGAGCCGGTGGAACTTCAGCGTCGAGGCCGAGTCCCTGATCCATGGCCGCTTATGCGAGTGCGTTCAAATCTTTCCGAGAGCGCATCGACATTGCTTCTGTAGTGTTTGACTTTGTCTCGAATCCGCTTGATCTTTGCAAACTCTTCCTCCAATTTATCGATCTCGGCCAGAATACGCCGCATTCTGGTAATCTCGGAATCCGCACTATGCATGGCAGACTGTGCCCTACCACTCGATGCTGAGACCGATTGCTCGGTTGCGTCTTCTAACTGCTCCAAGTCAGCGCACGAATGATGGAGAGACATTATTGGGAAACATACGTGTTGGATACGACGCTGAATGGTCCTCAGCACATTGTCCAGATGCGTAGATAAGGTTTGCAGACTATGCGGATCAAGCAAAATCCTTCCCGACTGGCTGCTGGCCGCGCTGCCTGCACGAGAACTCGGGTTGGACTGCCTGCTTGTGCCTCGGCCACGGTCGGCCACTCCGCCGCCTTGATGACTTCGTTGGGCCATGATCTGTTGTTGCTGTCGAATGAGAACGAGTTCTGATTGAGTCAGGCCCAAAGAATCAGCGACCGACTGAGACGCGGACATGGACGTCCAGATCGGACTCGAAGCGTGGTTCTGGCCAATCTATGTGTAGACGCAGGAGGCTGTGGACGAATAGCCGTGGTGATCAGACACAACATGTCAGTCCTGAGAGCTGATAGGTGTCCGGCAAGCCGTCAAGAGTCGTGCAAGAGACACCAGACAGCGATCTGGCTGCGAGATATGGCAGTTCGATTGAGCCTGGTCATTGTAGCTTGGACATATCAATTGGCGCTCTTCGGGGAAAATAGCAGAGCCCCAATTCTGGACAGCGCTTGAGTGTTCCTCTCTAAAACGACGGAGCCACCTCTTCTGTAATTTTCTCCCGTCCCCTGCCGGCGACTGGAAATTTAACGGTGAGCAGGGCGGAACGGGGAAGGCTCAAACTAGTTGGGGTAGGACGACCAGCGGCGCAGGAGTAAGGACGAGGGTCAAAAGGGACGCGCTGAGTACGAATGCGGAAGCGGGAGCGGGGACGAAAGCCGTTGAAGACTGTTTCATCGCCTGCCACAGTGATGTAAAATAAGAAGTGAGATGAACGCAACAGATCGCCAGCGGCAGGATGTAAGTAAAGGAAGAAACAGCAGTGCGGCTATCGTGGTAGAAGAGGAGGTTTGAGATGGAGCTTTTGAAATAAGTAGGTCGATCGTAACCCTTCGTCCCTGGTTATTCTCTGGTGTTGCTCGATGCCCACAGTGCCTAGACAGCTTCACTGACGCTAGGGGTCAGAAATGACCAAGAGGCAGGGCAATGGGTTGTGTCAGGAAAGTTCGATTGGCTGTACGTGTGATGTTTTAGGTTCCGTGGGGCGCCAAACACTTTAGAACAGGTGCAAGGGGAGAAGGATGGTGGAAGTATCGCTATCGCTGTGGCTTGTAAAGCGGAGGCAGGCCCGAAGGGTGTGCACCAAGATCTTATTAGCCTGGATTCCATGCCTAACATTTCGATAACCTGTCAGGTGCTCAGTTTCCAATCAAGAAAGATGTTCCTCTTCGTACAGCCAACACTACGTGTCCTTTCGAACTCGTGTCTGCATTCGAGGAACTATCACAGCTGAATCAACGAGGCATGTTCAGAAGCACTCTGTGGCCAGAGATAAGTTCACGCTCACACGCAGGCCCGTTCATGCAAGAGTTGCTGTCGTTCCAGACAGGAGGGACGACGCTGCAGCTTCGCATGCAGCGCTACTGCACTTTGCATATCTTTTGTTCGCCCGCCCTGCAGCCGCCATCCTCGGGATCGCTCGTAGGGTTGGTCATTTCGAACCGGTGAGACCCAAAGGTACCAGGTATCTGGGGGAGAGCGGCCTGTGATACAAGATACTTCTCCCGCCCCGCCTACTGGCCTGTCACTCATCCTTTGCTCTGCCACGGATCCCATACGTGGGGGCCACAATAGACTTTGCTTCCGGGCACCAATCACTACCTTCCAGCCTTATTCTCCGGGCCGCTTGACTTCTGACGTGCCTCCTGCGATTTTATCCCATCACTGAGGTACCAGGATCCAAAACTTTCCTAACAACACGACGACGCGATGGCACGAGACAAAGAACGCTCGGTCAACCCTGCACAGCAGCAGCGTAAGCTAGAAAAAGCCAAACAGCTGAAAAAGAGTCGGGCCGAGTTACAATCGAGGCGCAATGAAAAATTGGCTCGACGAAATCCAGATCGGCTACAGAGACAAATTGACGACCTCAAAGCCTTAGAGTCGTCCGGCGAGATCAAACCCAGAGAAAAGGCCATTCTAGAAGAATTAGAACGAGACCTGAAGGCTGTCCAGAAAGCAAGAGAAGCACTAGGCGAGAAAGCACCGCATTTCGGAGGACAACAGCGGAGAAGAGAAGGCGAAGGCAACAACGTGCTGGGCAAGAGGAGGCATGACGGCGAGCGCAAACCTTTCCAACAATCGAGACACGAGTCGTCAGGCAGCGACACAGATGACTCCGTACGTCGAATACCGATGCCGGAGGACACTCCGCCGCCAATACCACGAGAGTTTAGGCGCAACTTTCGCAATGCAGACAACGCACAACAAGCAGACACCCAACTACCATCAACAGCAAAACCGGTGCCAGTCGCAAAGACAACGTACGAGAGCGCACCACAGGTTCGAGATCTCCGAAAAGAGGCAGTGAACAGATTCGTTCCAGACGTGGTGCGCAAAAAGCAAGAAGCGGCGAAAGGCGGCCCAACAGGTCGCTTGATCGAGCCTGAGGAGATGGACCGACTCGAAGCTGAGGGGTATGTACGGACAGAACAGGAAAGACGTGGAAGTGCAGGCCCTGCTGGGGAGGACCAACCTATGCCAGACGAGGTCGATGCAAAGAGGCTGGCAGAAGAAGAGCAGCGTTTCCTTCGAGAACTTGAGATGCAGGACGTTGAAGGAATGGGCGAGGAAGACACGGGAGTAGGACGAGACAATTCGCAACCGCAAAAACAGAACAGACATGTCGAGATCGAAGAGGTTGAGGACGAGGACGCTTGAGGGAAGGATTGGGACACGTCAAACCTTCCATATACTCTACGTTGAAAGTCCAGGGTCCCCCCCTTTTGATAGCCTCTCTCAGTGCCTTTCTGGCCTTGGTGTTCTTCCCTGAAGGCATCAGAGCAGTCTTCTCCTAATGCTGCTCAAGATCGTATCATGCACATTGTCAGGTTGAGGGGCTTTGATTACTCGTTAGCCTTCGTGGCCTTCGTAGCCAGCCAAGAGATTGCTGACATGAGCACAACTAGCAAGAAGGATTGGGAGCAGCGCAGCACGACTTCATCGTCATTGCATAATCTGTGCTCGATACAAGAGGTGTGTATCCACACAACAGAGAGAAAGAATTTCTAGTCCAACACCTAGTGCTTTTCCTATGCACAACATGCTCGCTTAAAGTGCTTCGCAAGCCCTGAAAAAGATGACATCCTCCAGCCCATACACCAACACATCATACCAGCCTCCATGTTATCGTATTCATCGCCAGGTCGCATCATCGCATCAAGCGGATCGTCTTGAAGTCGCGTTTCAAGAATGGACTGGGCATTTCGTCGCCGAGAATCTCAGGATCCCAGACGGGAGGTTCGGGAAGATCCATGTCAAGCAATTTCTGATCCGAGCCAGTTCTGGCGGCACTCATTGGTCGGCCACCAGCTCGCGCTTGGGCAAGCTCAACCAAAGTACGACCACCAACGCTGGGAGGCGCAGTTGCTTCCTTGCTAGCAGCGAGCTTGCTGACAAGTCTGGTACCAGTGGTTGCAGCCCGTCTGAGAGGGCTCAAGTCGCCTCTTCCTACAGCAGTATTTTCCTTGAGCTCAGTTCGACTTGGTATCTTGCTGAGTCGTCTGGGACTTGCCGGCCTGGATACTGTAGGTATGATATCACCGTCAGTAGCGGCTCTAGTCACCCCTTTTCGTGATGCCGCTATTCCTGCTCGTACTTGTGATGCTGCGCCACTCGAAGGAAACAATGTCGGTTTGGCCGTGAGTTGCTGCATGGTTGCGGTGGTGTGCTGTCTAATGAGGGCGGGCCTGCTTCTACCTTGCAACGGCGCAGGGTTCTTGAAGGGATCGAAATTAGCCTGGTTCGACTTTGGTCGTGTAGGACTGGGCAGGTCAGGAAATCCATCGTCGTCAGAGTCTTCCTCAAGGTCGTTCTCTTCTTCATCTGAAGAGTAGGCCAGCTGTGGTTCCCATTTTGCTTTCTGGCGGGCAGCTGCTGCAAACACATTCTTGACTCCAGTGGCAGTCACTATGGCGTTGGCAGTGGCTTGAGCAGCCGCTGTCCGACGAGGTGATAATGCGAGTGAAGAGATAGACATTGGTGAAGGCTCTGACATGTGAACGTCGGCCGGTGAGTCGAATCCAGTCTTGGCTCTTGCAAATGGTGTCTTCGACTTCTTTGGCGGCTTCGAAGCTGAAGTACCATTCGAAGTGATAGGGGAGTTAAGAGACAGGTCAGATAGATCGGTGATATCGGTCGTCGACGGAAAGTCCTCCTCGCCATTGGTGTTGACCGATGACAGCGGGTCCAGGTTCTCCTTGTTGTAAGCTGGACTGTTATGGTTGCGAATCTCTCTTGGTGGCCTCGAGCCGCCAACGGTTTGATGCTGCTTCGCCACTATCTGGGCAACGCGGTCATCAACTTCCTTGTTGAATTGTTTTCGTAGACTCTCAAGCTCCATTTGAACCTGTCGATCAATCTCCAGTCGTGCCTTGACTTCCCATTCGCGTCGCACTCGAGCGTCAATCTCGGCAGTCATCGCGGCTTGGTCAGTCTCAAGTGCGGACAGTCTTTCTTCGGCCTGCTTGAGCTTCTGCGCAGCGATTTCCTCTCTGGTCTTCAATGCCTTGCCAATGCTAACCATCTCTTGCTGTCGTCGAGCCACCCAAACATAAGGCAAGCTCAACAATGAAATCGTGTCTGGTCGATGCATTGGGTTCGTCTTCAAACAACTGGCAATAACATTGGCAAGGTCTTTCGAGTAGACATTTGGAATAGGCTTGAATTCGCCCTTTCGGATACGTTGGACAAGCTGCAGGTGGGAGTTTGCGTTGAATGGAGGTTCTCTGGTGCAGAGCTCGTACATTATACAGCCCAATGACCAGATATCAGAGTGCAACGTGTACTTCTCTGCCGCACAGATCTCCGGTGACATGTAGAAAGGTGTGCCGACATAGGTCGAGGCAAAATCATGCGAGTGCATCAGTTTTGACAGGCCAAAGTCTCCCAGCTTGACAGACTGATCGTCTCCCAGAAAGATGTTTTCGGGTTTGAGATCTCGATGGAGAATCATCTTTCCAGCTACTACCTGGCGGATATCTTTCTGCCGTGAAAGGTCGTTACCAGGTTCAGGAGGGTCGACTCCATAGTGACAACGGTAGAGTGCCGTGATGATCTGACTGAAAATTCTCCAGACGAATTCTTCTTTGGCGTATTCATTCTTCCTCTTGAGCTCTTTGATGACGGAGCCAAGATCACCACCTCCGCAATACTCCATGTACAGATATAGCTCTTGAGAGTGCTTGATGTGTTCGCGGTGGAAGTAGCCAACGATATGGGGGTGTTTGAGAGATGATAGGATAGAGAATTCGGCATGTAGTTGGTCGCGTTCCTTTTGGGACATCTTTAGGTAGTTGATCTCTTTTCGACATAGGATCTGTCATGCATCAGCCAGGCCCTCCGACAACATACAGCTTCTAGAAGCTTACATGACCATCGTGTCTCCGACGAACTTTGCGAATGATCCCAAAAGCACCGCGTCCTGGTCATGTCAGTAAAGTCTTTCGTGGTGATAGGACCTGAGGAATGTACCGATGATCTCTTTGACCTCGTATTTGTCATTGTCTGCAAGTTCGAGCGCCATATTGATCGGTGGAAGGAGCAACTGCCTTTGTCACACAGACAAATGGCAGGCACGATCAACGCTGTGAATACTGACAACGGCAAACGAACAACGTGCTGGCAGTTAGAGGAGCATGACAATGAGGATATGAGATGCTGAAAGATGGCGCATAGAAGCTTCAACTGGATTGTCTGTGTCCAATCCTTGGGCGTCCAAAGGCACTGAGAATGTTCGCCCGGACGACTGTTGACACTTTTCCCGTTCACCCCGTTGTCCGGCAACGGCCTTTTTTCACAAGCCATTAACGGTTAGCGCCATATGACGTATTAGGCAGCTCGGCTATCCTTCCGTGTTTGTGGCTTGCTTGTTGTAGTAGAAGTATCATTCACAGTAGGGATGATGCACTGCAGAACTTACCATCGTAACCTACCTTGCACATCATAAGACATGGCTTGCTTGTTGGGATTTCGATCATCACAGTCCGCAGACTGGGCTCTGAGAAAAGCAGTCCGATCACGAAGTGTCGAAGCTCGAGCCTTACGCCGGACCGACGTGGCTGCCGCTCCCGCATGTCAAGACAACCTACCTGATTTCTAGACACAGTTTTGTCAAGACAGTGGTTGAACCTACCACCAAGACGCGCGGCATTCGTGGATGAAAGTAGGTTGTGTGATGAGTTGCTATCGCCGCCATTGTTGGAAGAGGAAAATCATGGAAAGAATGTGCTCTCCGACTGGAGGGATTCGCTGTTACCCCTCGCTGATCAGCCGCATCCCTTCTGGTAGTAAGCGTGATTGCTTCTTGTTCAGCTGAAGAAGCGCCTTATGCATTGTGAATAACCGACTTGGGTAATTATCGGCGTTCGGTCAGGCGCGTGCCATGCAATGTCAACGAAGGATTCTGTAAAGCCTAGACAGCGCCTCAAGCTGTGGCAGGTGCCGGTCCTGGCTCATCACCTTTCCATGTCAGGAAGGTCAACGTTTACCGACTACGATTGACATACATGCGGCCGGCATACACAGATAGCATTGCATCTTTTGTGGCTTCCACATGGCTGCACCAATTTCCCCATGAAATGTGCTGGACTGTCACGAAGCCTCAGACGGTCTAGACGATAACGGAAGCCATTTATAATGGCGGCTGCATTACAGCGGACTTAATGACCGGCAGGATGTTGCATACTCCAAGAATAAAAAGATATGGTACTCCGTGGTCAAGACCCTGTCCCCTTTGTACTCACTCACCACCCCCTGGCCTCGCTTGACTCCCAGAAGCAACGTCACGAAGCCTCCTGCAATCTAGTCTGCAGAGTAGGTCCTTTGGCTCGTAAAACACACCCCAGGTTCACTGAATAGCTCTAAAAAGCGCTCTTGGCCGCTTATGACAAAGTCCAACACGGGGAACGTGATGTCCAACACTAGCAGACTAGCTGCTTCTGGAGAAAACTATCTTCACACAATCACGATTCCTTGACACAGGAATCAGTCTCACGATGTGACTCTTGCTGAAATCCAGAATGCCGGGTGAAGTTTCTTGCGCTACAATGGGGAAATTCATATTCGTACCGACGGGCACCTTCTGGACCCAGGTAGACAAGATGCGACATAACGAACATCAAAGGGTGGCCTTATTATTATCTCATTGACAAGTTGTCCCTGGTACTCTGGAGTCTGGGCACGGCATGGGCCTGAAAATGTACGTCAAAAGCGTCCAGGGGGAGTTGGATTGAGCGAATACGGCCTGGTTGTCGATCTGGGAAGTTCCCACCGGCAACTTCCAGCTTCTCCCTTAGTTATTGGCCCAGAATCCTCCAGCCCTCCCAGCAGCTGTCCAGTCTGTTCGAACGTCAAAGTCTGTCACCGAACGACCTGGATGTTTTGCCTGCTTGGCGGGTGTTCGGTGCGTTAGATTACCTAGGTAGCCAGTGCCAGTCGACGCCATTTCTGGAGGGCTGCACTACTGGCAGTTCGAGACCACCTAGTGCGCCTCTAATTGACCAGTGCAAGAAGCAGCCTGAACGAGGAAGCTCGGATAAGTCTGGGTTTGGTTAAATTGGTCTGAGAAGTGGAATGACCGATACGCTCAATATTACAATATTACACACAACTTGAGTTCCCATAGCGCGGTGTGATTACCTTGCCAGTCTGCATTGTTGGCTTGGCCGATGTTACATTTCCTGCTTGCAGTAGTCGCTTGCAGCACACTGGCGTTTGAAGAGTCACAGGGAGCGCGAAACATCGCAGACAAGGTGGTTGTACACCGTCGATTTAGCGGCGAAGACTTGAGCGGGAATGCGGGATTGAAGGAAAGGAAGGCCCGAAGGACACTGCGCGATTGATGTGCTGATGTGCATTGGCGCCGAGCTAAGGAGGTCTGCAGGGGGGTGGGCATGCGGTTGATGCGCAGGGGTGGCTGCCACGTGGAAGTATTTGGCGGGGGATGCGAAGAGGCCAGCGTCTCGAAACCTCGACGCCTCGTCGGAGCAAAAAGTCAAAAGTGTCCGACTCTCTCCGTGTCGCTGACCTCCGTTGGTCAAGATAGGTATAGTCTGAAGCAACATGGCCAGGGCTGTTGCTAGGGCCATGCCAGTCGCGGTAGTGTGGCCAGGCGAACACGGGTCTTCTTCTCAATCCGGAATTGTGGTCCCAAAGTTGAAGTGCCCAGCTCCGAAAAGGGCTCGAAAGGACTTGCTACGGTCCATGCATGCGTGCAGATGGATTCACCTGAAAATCGGACATAGTCCGAGAAAAGTCAGGTAGCGGGAAGCGACAGATCAATTTTTGGATTGCGGTCCGGTCACTGGTGCGTCTGCCACACTCTCACCCCGTTTCTAGAATGATTGTGTATGCAAGCCACGGCCATGGAACCGACAGAGAGGTTCAAACATCGGTACCACAGTACCATAGCACACGTGGAGCGAACGGCACGGCATGGATGCAGGGGCTTGACACAGATTGGCAGCCTTCAGGGGAGTTTTTCTTGCGTGAGTGCAAATTTGACAGATCCCTACCTCTTGCTCTGAAGGCTCAATCACAAAGTTTGCGAAAGTTTTGCTGCCTGTCACTTGTGCCCGCCAGCATCGCAACGATAATTGCAGGCGACGTCACAAGCACCAGTCCAGTGGTACGGTCCACGGCAGCGAGAGACGATACAGTATGCCTAATTTCAACAGGCATGCATCAGTGCCCACTGCCCAAGCCCAGCGAGCGTAACGCCGAACGGGAATGAGGGCATCCGATGGGTACCAAGAGTCCTGGAAAGCCTATTTCTGCACAGTGACTGCAGAGCGTGAACCTTCCCATAGGAACGAAACCATTCCAGGCGACGGATTTTTCCAATTGATCTCGAGGCATGCAACCCAATGTACAGCACGACAACCACTTAGGGGCGCCATAATAGTATGGCCATAGTAATGTACCGCGGCGGACGACTCGCCTTAAGGTGTCGAGCAAAAGCCAATATCGATCGGTCGGCGCTTCCTCATTTTGACGCAAAAGTGCGGTGATGGGATTTCTCCTAAACTTGTGATCCCCAAGATTTTCCACGTGGTTTAGCTGTGCCGGGGCCACCAAGCGCGGCCCACACCACCCAGAAACTTGGTCAACACTCACAGAGTTCCCGGTCATGCCCAACTGATTAGATTATAAATTGTAGGCAAGTACGTACAAGTAAGACTGTGTGGTGCCATACCGTCATTGACGTATGCAAAGAAGCCTCTAGGGTGAGTGAATAGGATTCCCACGACTTGTGATTGCTGGAGGTCAACGTTCCGTTCTGACGCGGCTTCGGCCACGAGAAACAATTAATGCAACTAGCATGCGCCACATATGCGCCTAGAAAACGTGGACTGCAGCGTGTCGCCAATTCAGAACCGTTTCGGCGGGATTGTACCTTACTGTCGGGTCAACGAGGTGGCTTGGTCAGCGCATGCGACCGTGCGACCGTAGGTTTGGATTCTGCCGATGGCAACCACGCCACGGATGCATTTTTCCACAAGTCCACATCCACTGACAAGACGTCGATTCATGGGTTAGGTGCAGTAGTAGACCGGATGATGTATGCCCTGCAGTAAACTTGGAGCAACCGTGTCTCAGCACAAACCACTTTCAGGCTGGTCTTCTTTCTCGAATCTCCAAGAGCAGCAATGTGGGATACGAGGCTGTACCAGGAAACTTCTGTCGAGAGCGGCATGTCAAACCTTTAGCGAACTTCGAGGGTTTATCCATGCAGCCTTCCTCCTCCTGTGATTGTGTGATTGCGAGTGATGGTCGGAAGTTTTGAAACCATCGGGAGTGGGGGATTGCTGTCCATGACTTCTCATTTCGCTTCACAGCCCTGACCGGTCCAGGGTAGCGATCACGAGACGGTCAAGGTTGACTCTTATGGCGTAGATGTGTGCCGGGTATAACTTAGCAGGCTTACAGCAACAGTGATGGTCAGCGTGCTTGAAACAGGATTGTCAGCATTACTGAGCAGCCACATGGGAAATGACCAGGGGCAACGCTTGAGGGACGATCAAACAGACCATGTGCAAGACGATCGACGCGCGTGGCTGGGAATAGCCGGGATCTTGACGAGAAAATACGACGCTCGAGACGCTAAGTACCGCTTGTGAGAGCAGGGGACCGTGCGTGGTTGGCAGCCGGGTGAACTTGGAGTCTCAGAACGATTGCGTCTGTGCTCGTAAATGCTCGCCGGTCTCGGGACGGTCGTTCTCTATGTAAGGACACGAGGGCATCATCGTGTAGAGAAGACCGTCCACACGATCGATTCCATGGATCTCTTGCATAAATCGACATTCAAGGAGCTCCGGCAATCTGCAAACTCCAGTTGTAAGAGAATGAGGCAAGCATGATTTGGAGACTGGATTACTGGATTGATGATTTTTGTTCCTTGATGATGGAGTGTGCCAGTAAGCGAGGCAACAGCAGGGGCCAGGAGTGAAATGGCGTGCACATAATCTCCGATTTGCGCCTATTGGACAAGGCTTCTAAGCGAGCCTCGTTAGGTGCTTGGAAGGT